CAGCACTCTGCCTATCTATAAAATGCTGCAAGGTGAATAGCTGGTGGACAGTGGAGAGCTTAGGCCTAAAGCCAGCCTGAGTGTCTGCGCGCAGCCCAACACCCTCTGTATACCTGAGAAGCCGAGCATTTAAAATGTTGGAATAAAGGCGCATGATGGGCTCAGTCACTGCAATGGGCCTGTAATTTGACGTGTCTAATTTGCTGCCTTTCTTATGCACAGGGGTGATCAGACTACCATTCACAAAAGCTGGTACTTGCCCAGCCACAAAAGCAGAGTTCAACACAGCAACGAGCGCAGGCCCCAGAACGTTCTCAGGGGGAGGCATGCCGGGCTCCTTCTCATTCTTTGCATACCGGAACAGCTCGGCCGGCAAGCCATGCACCCCAGTGGCACGGCCATTTTGCAATTTTTGGAGCCCGGCAAGTACTTCCTCAAGGGATATAGGAGCATGCAAATTATCAACGCGATCAGCGGGAGCAGCTGGCTGCACAGGGAAAGACAGGAGTGGCAACTCTGCTATGTTTGGCAAGTGCAGATGAAGAGAAGGAACCTTGCAATCCTGGCTCTGCCCAAGCTGGCGTGCCCAGTTGGATGACGTCAGCACGGGCAGGCACTGTTTGCAACGAGACCTGGATATGTTCTCAACTCCACAATGAAGGGATTCTTCGTGACTTTGGGAGAAGCAATCTGAAACTGCAAATAGGTGCATCTTTTTTCTAAAAGGAAGGTTTCGTGGAAACGATCACATTCACATGCCGACGATCTGCGTGCAGAATCATGTCTGTGCGATACTCAGAAGACCCTCAATCAATACCATCAATCGAATAAATCCTGATAAAGCATGTCATGAGACGACTTTCTGCCTTAGATCCAAAAATATCCCCAGGTACCTAAGTGATCACCATACAAATTTGCCTGGTGACTTGTCCATGTCAAATTTTTCAAGCCCTATGGCAGTCATCAACGGATATGGGGCATGCAGGCGCTCAGTGCTATTGTCCACAGCAGCACCACTTGTTGTGATGGGAGTGCTTGGCCGACAGTCACCAGCAAGACAAGCCTCCCGGCTTGTGCAGGTGACATGCATGCATGCCTGATGCTTGATGCTTAATGAGCATGGAATGCCACCACTGTCTTTATCAACAAGTAATAGTTTTTTTCTGCGCCTTGATCAGGCTGGTATGGACAAATTTCGCCGGGCAGATGTTGAGGGTTCCCTCCAGGACTTCAACAGCGCCCTTGAGTTGGACCCTGACATACGGCCATACCTGTGGCAGCGGGGCCTTAGCCTCTTTTATGCAGGCAGGTGCCCTCAATTCCCATTCTAATTAGGAAGGTGTTACCGCCAGCTCCAACACCGTCTGACACCCAGCAAGTACCATAATGTCTATCATATGTGCTATAGCTGTTTGTGTCCAAGAAGTTGTCCTTGTTGGTGTGCAGGGCAGTATGAAGAGGCTAGTCAACAGTTCAGGGATGATGTGGCGGTGAATCCCAATGACACAGAGGAGGCCATATGGGCGTTTCTGGCTGAGGCGTGCCTTTCAGGGCCAGAGACGGCAAGACAGAAATTCTTGAAGGCACGCGCGTGCTGAATTTGGACCAGCAACTTCCCAACTGTTGATCAGCACATGTGAAACAAAGAGCACAAATGAATTTTTATTGCAGGTCGGAGAGGATCCGAGGCCAGTCATGCGAGCAGCATACACAGCCTTCCAGGATGGTAGTGATCCAGACAGCATTCTGAAAGCTGTAGACCCAGCCAGAGGCAGTCATGACAGTTTCTATGCGCATCTGGTGCGTTTCACTATCCAGGCTCATTCTTTGAACGTACAATGCCGCTTACCTAAGACTCCCTGCTCTCGGAACATTGTGTTGATTGATTCCTGTCTCACTAGACATCTGGCTTGATTGCAGTATGTGGGCCTTTACCATGAGTCCATGGGGAATGCGAGCAAAGCAGAGGAGGCAATACTTGCTGCAGTTGGGACGCCATACGCCCAGCAATCTGGCGACTATATGGCGGGAGTTGCTGCCGTGCATTGTATTACACGAGGCATCAAGCCCTCATAATTTCCTCCCTCACACAAACGGAGATTGCAAATTTTTGAGGCAAAAACTTAATGAAAGATGCTGCCTTCATGAATGTCACCATAAAATAAAGGAAATTGTTGTTCTGGCCTTCTGTAATCGAGAAAGTCAAGATTGCAGCTTCGAGTCAACTAGTATAGTAGATAAGTAGGTTGATTCAAGGGAAGATCATTTTGTAATCAAACCCAGTACCCACAGGCACTTGCATCGTGCGCATGTCATCATTCATGAAACAGGTATCAGAACAGATCAAGCAATACTCCTGTCCGGAGCCACAAGCCAGCCTACGAAGCGGCTTGGTCAGCGGTGGACGCCTTGAGCCCGCTCAGCGTCGCGCCAATCTTCTGCAGCGCGTCCGCAGCCTCCGCCGCAGCTACCTGCACCGCCGTGTTGTCTGCCAGCTTCAGCTGCTTCTGGATCTCCAGGCGGACCTTGTCCAGCGCCCTCTCCAGCTTGCTGGGCGCGGCTGTGGTGCTCTCACGCTCGCTGCCCTGCTCGCTCTTGGCGTCGAGCACGCCATACATGCTGCCCACCAGCTCGCCATCCTCCACCTCATCCTCCATCTCATGCTCCGGCTCGGCATACCTGCACCACCAGTGTCTTTCAAACTCTGCTTGCCTAACAATAAAAATGGTACAGCACCCGTCATGCAGACTAATGCCTGCTGTCCCATCATCAACGCAGAGCTCCTCGAAGACATGAACACAGGATGGCAATGCAACGACATTTGTGCAGGACAGCAATAGGGCGCTGACGGCATCCGCAGCATCCGCGCCTTAGGGTTGAAGAAGGCAGGTCTCGGCCTCACATGCATTGTCCCTGCAAGGCTAGGCCTCACTAGAGCAGTGACAACAAGAATTGGGCGGGGCGATCTGGCACATGAGGGCGCACCAGCAGTCGCTGTCCTCCAGGAAGAGGGAATTGATGCCGCGCTCGATGCGGAAGAAGCCCATCTCGCCCCAGAAGGTGCCCCACGAGTTGCGCACAATCCAGAACGGCACGCCGTGCTCCTCACCCCAGCCGGTCACCTGCAGAGGGATCAGCTTTCTTTTGAGCCAACCTGCCTTACAGACACATATAGCTTGAGAGCCTGCAACCCCAAGGTGGGTGCTCAGTTGCTTTTTTCCTGAAGTAGAAGGTTAGCAGTGTGGCGCCAGGAGTTGGGCAAAGAGAAGGAGAGATAAGGAGTGCACACCTCCACATTGTGGTCAACAGTCTCCCTGGTGTAGTTGAGGGGGTCCTTGTAAATGCCGCCGCGGTATCCGTATGTGAAATCTTCGGGCGTGGAGATTGAGCACACAATGGGGCCCCGCTGGTAGATCTCTGACATCATCGCAGACTCCTGTCAAATATGAGAACAGAAGCCATCGCGACAATGCCGAAAAATGCTGGATACAAAGTAAGGAGTAGGAGATCATAGTAGGAGTGCCTGGTCAATGAAAGAAGCACATGGGCCTGGCAACTCTACAGAAAATGCGATTGATGAAAGCGGCCTAGAGCACCAAGGCGTGATGAAAGCAAAAGATATTTCCTTGCGCGCTCGTGCAGAGACACGCACCTGCTCAGACTTGTGGGCAGTTTCGATCTTGCCCCAGCTCTTGACCTTGTACAGGATGGGGGACTTGACAGCCCAGCAGGTGTCTGCGGTATCATTCAGCGGCATGCAATTCCGACAGACAGCCCCGAGCGGACAGTGCTTCAGGGACTGGTCAAACTTGGTGTGATCCGTGGCGCTGTACCTGCAAAAACGGTTCAGACACTTTTGAGTTACTACTACTTCCGGCATTGGGAACTATCACAGCGGAACAACACATGCATGCTGCGGCATCAGCACAAGATGTTGAGTGCGTACGTGTTGCAGCTCTCGTCAGGAAGCCCAAACTTGGCCATGTAGCGGAAGACATCTATGGGGTCGCCACCATCGCAGCCTGCTCCCATGCCCTCATATGCTGCGCAGTTCAGCAGTGACTGCCGTCCCAGCATCACATCTGGGCCCTTCCCCTTCTTGCTGATTTTTAGCCGGTCCTGAACCTACACACAAATACCATGGCAAGTGAGACAATGTAGGAATTGCTGTCCAAACCCCTAAATGAAATGTGACTTCAGAAGCATGTCTTACCATGGAGAGAGTGCCATGCACCCAGCAGCTCCCGCAGTAGATGGGCTGATGCTGGCCCCAGGAGGACACAATCAGGTTTTGCCCATCCACATCAGACCAGTCAAATCTGCGAGGAAGGTGCCTCGCTGCCAACAGCGTGGTTGGCTCATCGTTCCAGTGGTACAGCTCAGGAGGGATGACGGGCTTGGGACGGCCACGGTAGCAACCGGCCTCAGTCGATGACAGCACAGACAGGGCTGCAGCCACCAGCAGCAGATAATATGCTGCCATGGGCACTTCCAGACCTGCACCTCAGCAAAACTCAATACCTCAGCTAGATGCGGCTAATGATGGGGAAAGAATCATACGATTGTTGACATTTTTAAGAACACGTCATTTGTGACACGGTCAGACGAGCACGAAAGCAGGATCACGTCGTGACGAGCACGACCGACATGCCAGATGCCAGATCACACCCAATACGCTCTTCACAGCTAGTTGCAGCGATTGTAAGCCTTGCAATTAAGCTTCAATAATTGCTATCGGTAACAATAGGAAATTGCATAGAGATAAGCAGCCGCCCCCTACGTACCTAGTCACGTTGATGACTTACAAGTGGAGGAGAAAGTGTTCTCACCTTGCCTAACGATCGTGACCTTATCACACGCCAACACTGCCGCAACTTTCGTAGGAACTACCTTTGCTCAGATCAGCACCTACTCACGGTGTTTTTGCCAGCTGAGCACCGATGAGTTTGACTCGGCCGCTCACGCTGTGGGGGCGTTCTCCTGGGGCGTCCCTTTTCGTCATCTCCTCTATTATCTCCCAAAGTGTGCACAATTGGGGCCAACGGGAAAGTCGAACGTTTGCACTTTGCTATTTGTTGTCACTTGTGCCACCCAGAGATTCATCCGGACTTGTCGAGCAACATTCATGCACGCATTTGCGCATGCATGCTCTGCTTTTAAAACAAAATTGTGCTCTGTGCAGGCTGCAGGCCGGCCCGGCGCCGCGGGCCGCCAAGGCCAGGGCCGGGCTTGCTCTGCGCCATCGGCCGCGCATGGCCCTCTACCAGGTTGCATGTCACCTCACACTGACGCCAGGTGCCAAATCCACCCCGCAGTTCTGCCGCGGGAGCCTGCGGGTCTATTGAAGTCCCATTTAAAAGCATGAAGTGCGGCAGATGCCGCTCTAGCACTGTGCCGCACGGTGCATTATGCATTATGTAACTCACTGGGGTGGCGATTGAGATCGGAGGCCTAGGCATCAGATGCACATTGCAAAAGACCAAATTAGGTCCATCCCTCTTTCCAATCACAACTTGTCATCATCTTACAACATCTTGAAGACCTTGTGCAAATTTTGAAGCTTGAGGAGGCTTGAAGCCCCCACCCTTCATCACCTTGACTGATACATAAACTCAACCTTCAAACGTAGGATCAAAGCCCAGAGCAATATATCAATGTTGCACGGCGCTGCTTACTTGTGTGACACTGGAATAATCAACAGAGCTGACTATGCCAGTGTGCTTACCACAGCTAAATACATATACTGACAAGAACGCAAAACTGGGCATGCAGAAACATGCAAAAGAATGCAATATTGTCTGTGAGTCTAATTACAAGAAGGCGCTGCAGACCACGGTGCCACTTTGAGTACAAGTTGACACGCCTCAGATGCTTGTGTTTAGGGCTTCTTGCTGTCTTCATTGTAGCTCTCGTCTATCGTGCAGCTGTTGTCGCTCTCCAGCTGCACACAGATCAAGCAACAAAGCTCACAAGATGCACTGCACAGAATTGACCTTGCCCATGCCGGCACCATGAAAGCAACATAGTTGACCTTCCCAGAAAGCGCATCTTCGCTGCCTCCAATGATTGTGATTGAGCACACGCTCTCGGTACTAGGTCCTGCTTGTATATGGCGGGTCCATCAATGCGTACTATATGTAGCAGCCTCTACCTGTAGCTTGTGTGCAGACATGCTTTGCCTCTGGCAGGAGCAGCGCGTAGCACTGATGCAGGCATGACAGGCCTCAAGACGGAATATGTCATTCGCTTTGTGTATGTTGACAGCACTACCCTCTCACAGTGGGGCAGAGCTGCAGGCTCACCCTGTTGGAGCCAGCCTTGATGCGCGACTGCCAGCCGCCGGGCCAGGCGGACGCCAGAACAACGTCCAGGTCGGTGTCATCGATGAGCTGCGCAAACATGGCCGCCCGCTGCCGCGCCGCCCGCCGGCTCTCCCGATTGTTGTACGAGTACGGCGGCTCAGCCGTCCGCACCGTCGTAGCATTGCCCGCCACGTTGCACACCTGATCACACGTGCACATCAGTCATCAGCTCCAAGATCCTTATTCCTCCTTCTAAGCACTGGGGCCAGCTGACATCCTCTTGCTGAGTTCTCCTGCTCAGAGTCCAGCTGTAATATTTGCAGTGCAAGGCAATCTGTACAAAAGCTGCCACACAATCTTGCCCCTTGTCTGACTTGCCAGATCCAAGCAAGACCCAAGCAACCATGGGCACGGTGCTCAGTACTTATACCGGCCTTGCCAGCAAAATATGAATGCTATGCAAAAACCAGCTGCGATTTCGCACAGGGCCTCCACTCCACTGGGGGCAAAGACTTCCTATCAGTCTGCGGGTGCAAACAGGGACTGGGGATGATGCCATACCTCGTCGGGGTCGACGGGCTTGGTGCGGTCGGTAGGGGAGGCGGAGGCTGATAGGACGCTGATCTGGCGAGGGGTGAGGCCGGGGATGGTGAAAAGGTCCAGGTAGGTGCGCTCGCCCGCCACGACGCAGTAGACGGAGCAGGGCGCGATGTACTCCAGATTTGGCGCGGCGTCGTCGAATTGCTCGCCCCAGGAGTGGATCTGGATGCCGCTGATGACAGCGTAGTCGGCCTTGCGCGGATCCACCGTGTGCTTTATCAGATACTCCATGTCGTCGTGGATCGTCCTCTCCGCTATCTGCGCCAGCTTCACATGGCTCTTACATGGCCATGTAACGGTCACGGTGGACTGTTGATTGGACTGAACCTTTACCCATGACTAAGCGGCGGGAGTACCCCAACTGTGGAGCCCAACCGCCATTACTATAACAACATCTTACCGTGGAAACCAGTGTTATTCTAGGCCAATTTACAAACGCTACCATCAGGCAACACTCCCATAAGTTGACACTCGCCTGAAGGGGCACTATATAGCTAATCTGGTAGAACTCAGAACTCATCTTTGCTGTTGCTTGCATTGTTGCGAAGCGTCATCTTATATTAGAGGTCTCACCTACACCCATACCCGCTTGTGCAGCACATGACACAACACTACCAGGTGTCAAAGCTCAACCCACAGAACCACACTCTGCCCAGCACTGTGAACACGGCAAGCTGTGTGCCCAAAAAACCAAACTAACGGCAGAAGTAATCTTCGGAAAGTGTCAAGGACACCAAGAGGGTAGGAGGGTGTGCGTGCCTTGGTGATCTGCACGAGGTCCATGGCCTGGATGTCCTCGTCAGTCATGCCCTCATAGCGCATGCGGCGCGCCAGGCGCTGCTTCAGGATGGAGAACTCCGGGTCCATCGCATCGTGCTCTGCGCCAGCACATTTCCCCACCCTCAGCCCAGCTCCTCTACAAAGTCAAAAGAGTATCGCACTAGAAAGCCTCAGATCACCTGAAATACTGCTTGCAGTAGAGTGGCCAGTAGAGTGGCAGGCATCCAGATTGCAGATCTTGGCGCCTGCTGCATGCTCAAGGAGCAGCAGCTAACCTAGGAAAGATGGAGTGGCCTTTAAACAGGCGGCTGGGAAAGCAGTCAAGGAAGGTGTGCAGTGTGATAGGGACGCACCTCCAGGCTTCCTGCAGTTGGCCGCGAGGCCGGTGGCCTTGAGGTCCGTGAGGGCGCCGTTGAGGGCGCCGCACGCGCACGACTGCCCCGGCCGCCCCGGCCGGCTGATGGCCCCCACCGTGCCCACCGCATTCACGCTGATGTGCGGGAAGCTCATGAACACATACCTCTCCTTCCCGCTGCCCTGCATCAACACCAGAGTCCCACATTGTTGCACAGGATCATCCGCGCCACAACGAAGCCAAGTGCTATGCATGGCAGGTGCCATGCAGCGTTTTCAAGCAGGATGGAGGGCCCCACCTCAGAGACGGGTGAGTGTGAGAGGCCAGCCTTCACTCCTGTGACACCGCAGGTGAGCACACCCCCAAGCCCATTGGTGTTGAAGGAGGAGCCAAAAACGCCGTCCAGCTTCTGCTTCAATGTGGCGCTGATCTCGTCGCGGCACATGTTGGACATGGCTGTCCATAGGCAAGGCATAGGAACACTCAGTATCTGCAAAGCCCTGGGAGGATTTTCCTTTCTGCTCGCAAATGTGGTGCATGTGATCTGTAAACGAAGGACGTATCGAGCGTACCAATGCAGTTCTCCCCTGTAAATCCATAGGCGAACAGAGCAATCTCAAGGCGATTGAGAAAGTCATCAAGGCCCAAGGCGGTGGGGAAGTGCTGAGCCACACGCCTGGTGCGTGCCGTGAGGTACGCTTGCTCTGTGTATTGATACCCCTTGGGCGTCTGCCTCGAAATCAGCTGGTGTTCACCTCTTCCTTGCGTTGTTGGCTCCTGCCCTAGCTCACGGGTATGCTGTTGCACAGCGCCATTGCTCGATGGACTTTGATTGCGAAGAGGTTTCAGTACATTCAGAGATCTCCAACTTGGGGCATTGGTTTTTTGCGATGTGCTTGTGAAACAGTCTGAGAGCCTCTGCCTTGAGCCCCGACTTGCGTTGTTCGTCGGCGTTGAAACACGACCAAACATTGTTCTGCCCTTTTGCAACAAGTTGTTTACATTCAATTGCATCTGCTACCTCAAAGCTGATGATTAACCAACCAGCAAAGAAACTTGACCACAACAAAGCGATCTGTTGTGTCGTACCGAGGCACCGTCAGCAATGCCAGGGCGCAGTGTCCAATGTTTCACGCTTCTCACAAGCTACGATTGTTTTATTTCAACTTTTTCTCCATTCGAGGTAGCCTTACGAAAGCCAGCATTCGGTGGCTCCAAAGCGCTCTTGTAGTACACGTGGGTCACGCACCGCGGAGTCAGCACTTGACAAGGAGTCCCTTCCAATGCAGAGTCCAAGAGCACTATGGCAGAAACATACCGGATCACATAAAACAGCCACTGTACAGTAACAGGGGTACACGCACCACAGCTGAGCCTAGGCCGGTCTGATTGGACTTCCATGAGCATGATCATTATGGACTCAGATCTGACTCCGATTCAGCTGAAGTCTAGACTTGCTGCACCCCCGGGGGCCCAGGGCTCTTGCCAACCTGATCGTCCGGAGGAGCACTGGGTAGAATAGGAACTGATGGCAACCAGGCCAGTTCAGGCTGCTGGCCGAGCAAAACTGCGCCCCAGATCAATGTGCATGCGCATGTCATGCGCGCAGCTTGCACAAACAACCCTTGGCCCCACTGCAGTGGCAGCCTCAAACTGCCTCTTACCACCTTAGCCAGCTACTCACCATCGGCATATCACAGTGAAATCTGCCAGTACTCGCAAAAGGAAAAAGAAATAGTACCGTCATCACAACGAGGAATAGAAAACTTCATGCAAGTAGGGCATCCTGAAATGGCTCCCATGCCAAGGCAGCATGATAGTCAACCCACAGGCCCAACCTGAGCAATGTGGCAAGCCCCAAGTCCAATACTTAGCAACAAATGACTATACAAAAACAGAATCTGCAATCTGGCCGGAGAAATTGCTGGGCAAGCAGGGCAGAAAACATAGCCGAACGTTGCCAATGGAGAGCGACCTTGCCAGAAAGCGTGCGCAAATAAGTAGGAATTCAAATGCACATTCTTCAGGAGGGAGTGGTGCTGCTTGCTAGAGAAGCAGCACCAGAAGCAACTGCCCCACACAAAGTGCAGGCTCTGTGCGGCTGCCTTGATTCTTGTGCTCTATATTCGTATGGCACATAGCCGGCAAGCATCAGTGCTGCCTAGGCAGTGACCGCGCGCAGTGCTCGTGCACACCCAATCTAGTTCCGCTCAGATCAGATACTCGCCACAGCCCAGGCACTCAGAGTATCTGTGCCCTGGGTTGCAGCGACAATGTGGTGCAATCCGCCCTTCAACACAGCAGGTGGACGTATCACCTGGCAGGTGCTTCCTTTCTCAATCATGTGAGACCGCAACACCTCTATATCTCTTGCCACAATTACTCAATCACATGTCAGGCAAACAACAATTGACACACAACAGCCACACAAGCAATACACACAGAGCAACGTTGACACGTGAGAGGGCGTCTCAGATCAGCTCCCTTCAACAATGACCCTCTGCCTAGGCTCGGACCATAGCACATGAAGAATTTAAAGGTCTCAGATGACCGCCAATCACGTCTTGCCCTGAGCTTATGCCTTGACATTTCTTACAGCGCAGTCTCAACACCCGCTGCAACTCCATAGGATGTGGGCCAGCTTGGAATCATGCTCCCCGCCCATTGAAGCAATCCACAATGCTTAGACAAGGATATGCTGCCCAATAATCCTTCGCGCTCCATATGCACCCTTGCAATGAATCTTTCGCCTTGCTCTTGAGTGAGAAATTCCCAGCAGATATGCCATATCGATCAGCCTTTCTATTACTCGTAACTGCCTCTGGCAATCAATGAGCCTTGATGATCATCAAGAACCTTCTTTCAGTCTCATCACGCTGTGCGCTCATATTGTGCCGGACTGCAAGGCTTGCATCAGAATGGGGTACTGCTCCAGCAGCTGCTGCATCTTCGCCGGGTTGTTCAGGCTCTGCAACAGACCGACAACACGCTCCGTTAGACCTCCTGCTGCAGCTGCTCTAGCAACATAAACCGCATCAAAAGAGAGCCACAACTAATCCCACATGCCTTTTGCGACAGTGAAAAGCTCCAAGATCAACGCAACATACCGCAACAACGGCCGGGTCAGAGAGCAGCTGCGCAAGGCTCGGGCCGCCGCCGCCGCCGCCTCCACCGCCGCTCCTGCCGCCGTGCCGTCCGGACCCCTGCAAGGAGAAGCCCCCGCCGCTGCCGCTGCCGCGGGGCGTGGTGAGGCCGCCCGGCCGGCCAGCGTCGGCACCGCCGTTGCGCTGGAAGTCGTCCACGTGAATGGAGGTGGGACGCGACAGGGAGCCGGTCTGGCTGCGGGCGCGCGCATTGTTGCGCGTGCGGCCCGGCGGTGCGATCACCGGCGGCAGGTCGGCGCCGGGCATGGCCGCCAGGGGCGTCTTTGCCGGCTGGGCAGGCGCATGGGCAGCCGCCGGTTTCGCCGGCGGCTGCTGCGCCGCCTTGGCTGCCGATGGGGAGGCATCCGGCCCCCCTGCCGCCATCTTGGCGTCGCGCGGATGCTTCGCACGCGTCAGACCCTGCTCGGCGGAAGAAAGTGGAGCAGGCGCATCATCAGTAACACGCTGTCAATCACCAGCTTGCACGCTCTCTTATGAAGATACTGAAATGGTGAAAGCTCTTGCAGCCAGCAGGAGCGAAATGCATGATGTGCACCTGGGTCAGTCGAGCTGTGACGGCGGCTACAGGGACGCTTTCGGGGATATCGTAGCGCGTGGGCTTGCGACCCAGCTTGTTGATGGTCGTGCCGGCCGCGCGCGCATTGACATTGCGCCAGAACATGCGCGTGGCCGCATCGTATACCAGAGCCTCCGGGCTGGACGTCTCTGCCAGCTCGTCCTCACTGCGCAGCCAATCCTTGGGCTAGAAGGAGGAGACAAGCAACTTACCTACTTTCCGAGCTGTAGTGCTTGATGGCATGCTCATTGCTCACAGCGTAACATGCAAGTGGCGTTGTTCATTCTGTAGGAGTTCAGGGACAGCAGGCAGACAGAGCCTGACCTGCTTGCCGGCGGCAGGCCGGTGTTGAGGGCGGCTTGCACAGCGGCTGCAAAGCGGATGGGGGCGCTGGCGGGGCTGGGCCACTCGGTGTCCTCGTCCTCTTCAGTGGTGGCCACCGTCTGCAATACTGCGCCCACCTCCGTGCACACCTGCCGCATGCTCGCCTCCGCCCCATCTTGCCCTGTGTACACATACCCATTCTCAGGCCCAAGGACCAAGATCTACACCACGTGTTGAATAGTACGGAAAAAAAAATGCCTAACTCAGACCCACGTCCAGCCTTCAACGGCTACACTCAAGGTTCAAACGCCTAAACATTCCCAACAATTAGTCGTTTAATTCAACAGGGTGAGTGTGGGAGCAACAAAGGAATGAGCAAGCACCCTGCTGGCGCAGGCGTGAGACAGCCCACTGCAGCGCAGCTTCGCCGGTGGTGGAGGCGCCGGTCGCCTGGGCCTGCCAGCGCGTGGCGGCCGTGCGCAGGGCGGCGCGGCCGGGCGCCTGCGTCGCCAGCGCTGCCACCAGCCGCTTGGCTATGAACGCATTGCCTCCCAGGCGCACCAGGCCCGCTAGCAAGATTGCAACCACGCTGCCGGCCTGCGCAGGCACCACGTCCTTCTCACACAATGGACACTTCCTATTCTCCAAGACCGGATCTGTGACGTCGATGCACGCTTATGTGACAGTGAGGCAGCCCTCCCCCATACTTGGCGCTTACACAGCCTTGTATGTCTTGCATTCTTCCTGGTATAATCTTCAAGTCAGGAGTGCATGCATGAATGGGTACATTGTGTGCGCTGCTCGAGATAAACAGAATGAGGCCTCTAAACACAGTTCCACCAGTCAGGCAAGGGAGGCGCACCTCGCTGGTGCCGACACACTCATCGGTGGCGCGCCGCTCGGCGCTGAGGGAGGGGTCCAGGCAGACGTCGGTGTTGCACAGCACGGTCAAAATTTCCAGCGCCATGGTCGTCAGCGCGCTCGCCTCCGCCGCCTTTGCTGGGTCCGCCGCAGCCGGCAACAGCCGAGCCAGCAGCTGGCCCAGCGCCGCCGCGCACCCCGCGTCCAGCAGCGCAGCCTGTGTGCCACATACATGCTCATTCCACTGCTGCGAGGCTGTAAGTGATGTTCGAAATGGACAGAGCTGCCTTCTATTGTCGTTTGGGCATGTGTGTGGAAGGGTGCTAATTGGCATGAAAAGAGGCAAAGAGACCAGTGCCGGCTCTGCCCTCCCCAGACTATTGTCAAAGCCGCACCGTGAATTGTTTAGCAACTGAAGATAGTTCAGTGATTAGCAGGCGTGAGCCTCCTGACAGTGTGAGTAAAACGAACGCGACAGACCTTGATGGCGGGCCGGTAGGCCAAGGGCACGAGAACTTCGAGGCAGCGGCGCGCATCAAAGACCTGCTTGGAGGGCTGCGCGGCCTCGGCCAGCTCCTCCATCAGGGGCCCCACCACGAACATGCCCATGCCGCCGCCGAGGCCGGATGCGCGCGCGCACAGCCGCACAAGCGCCGCGCGGAACAGCACTGCCTCGCTCCCCGCCGCGGTCGTCAGCAGCCGGCGCAGTGAGGCGGCCGACGGCTCAAAAGAGCGCGCGAGGGCCGCCCGGTAGCGCATGTGCGCCGGCGGCAGGTGGCAGCCGCCGCCCTGCCGCGCCGCGCCGGCCGGCGGCCACTCCGCCGGGAATATGTCCGCCAGCATGCATGCTGATGTCAGCATCTCCTGCGGCGCCTGCACCCAGCAGCATTTATCTCACGACAGGCCTTGAGAAGCAGGACGTGGCAATTTATTCAGTGATGTGCAGCAAGGCAAGCAGGCCTCCAGAAGGACGTGGGAGCTGTCTTGGTAATGTGCAGCAAGGAAAGAAGAATCGATGTGAAGGTGTCCGACCTGGGCATTGACGAGGGGTGGATCGCCGCTGGCGGAGGCACGCGCCGTGAAGATGGTCGGCATGAGCTCGGGCGTCCAGCTGCTGTTCGCGATCCAGCACTTGAGGGACGCTGCCAGCGCTTGCCTCGCCTGAACAGTGCAATATCCTTGTACTTCAACTTGCCGCCCAGCTGCCAGGAGAAACAGCCCTAAGACAAGGCACTCTTCTGCACCAGCAAACACTCAAGGTAGCATGATTGGAAGCGCACAACCATGGGCATCTGTTCAGTGCAGGTGAAAGGAGCTTTTAGCACACCTGCAGGATTGGCGTTGAGGCGGGGTAGGACAGGTGGCCAATCGTGGCGGCCAGGCTCTCCGTGGACAGGGTGCATGTGGCGTGCGCAGCCAGCAGGGCCTCCAGCAGGGCGCTGCTGTTGAAGTCCACGCTTGCATCACACAGCCTCTGCAGCAGCGCGTTCACTGCCTTGGCAGCCGCAGCCAGCAGGGCCGCAGCGCGCAGCCTGTTGCTGGCAACCTCCAGGTCGTCCAGGGCGTCTCCGGCAAAGGCCGCGCCGGCGTCGTCCGCGCTGCTGGCCTTCATCATTGCCGTGCACGAGCGCAGCGCCCGATCCATGACCTGCGCACACAGCATGCAAGTTCTCATTGCATTTCGCCAGCCGGGGGTAATTTTACTATATAATCACCTGTTCTTTCAACTTGTAGGCAAGATTTGTCTGCGGACAAGCTACACAGGCATTCACCGCATGCACAATGAAAGATACAAGTACTCGAATACAGATAATCAGCTGAATGGAGAAGCTGATAATCTGGCACGTCGGGTACATTGTGCCCAATGTTCCTAAACAGGGGAAAGTCCAGGTGGGTCTCCCACCTTGATCCCGGCGGCGTCTGCGGCGGCCAGGCCGATGTGGGCTCCTCCACTGGCAGAGATGACGGCGTGCAGAAGCTGCAGCGCAGTCTGGGCCTTGCCGCTCTTGTCAGCATCGTGCAGCAGCGCGATCGCCGCCCTCAGCTCCACGTGCTTCGGCACCTTCTTCGCATTCCTGTCCTTGTCCTTGGCCACATCAGGAGCTGCATCCAAACAAGGCAGCACTCTGCATCTCTCCAACTTTCTTTGAGAAGCCACTTCTCAATGCAAAACTACAGAAGACTGGCCCATTGCCCCACTGCAAAGAGGAGCAAGGAGGACACGCATCTTCCATGATGGAGCAGGGACTCATTGAATAATGGGCTCAGAGCAAGGCGGGTGCAACTGCAACACGAGGGTATGTCATGTCTCACCAGCTGCGACAAGGGGCGGCAGGATGCCGTCGAGGCAGGTGATGAGGGCGCCGATGCCCTTGTCGCGCAGCAGCATCATGGCCTCTACACGGCCCCTCACATCCACCAGCATGCGCGCCACTCTCTGCTTCTTCAAATCATCTGCACCACGATACAATTCCCTTGGGGATCGTTTCCATACAGCCAGTATGACATTACTCTACAATGCAAAAATTGTTCAACTTGCCAGCTGGTTTTGTAAAGTTGTGGTCATATTAGCCAAAATTTAGTGGCACGTAATAGAGCGCCGCACCATTGTCAGAGGGTATCTCCACGGCCGAGAGTGCGTCCGAGACGGCAGCCTGCACGGCGGGTGCAGCGGTGGCCCATGTGCGCAGGGCATCGCAGTGGCTGTGCTGCACCAGCTCCTGCAGCAGCGCTGCACCGTACAGCGCCCCCGCACGCCACTGCACGGCCGCCGCAGCCTTCTGGCCCTCTCTGCCCGCGTGCGGATGCACTGGGTCCTGATGCAACAGCAAGAAAGCACGTAAATATCATAGAACAGAAGCTCACCAGCCCAGTGATCCTCAAGCTATTACAAGCGTTAAAGGCTTGATCAAGACCTAACACCATGCGAATTTTCTTGATTCAGAACTTGCAGGAGGAGCCACCCAGCTTGTAATAGCCAGCATGCAACATTGAAGATTGCACAGCAATTGCAGCTGTTGGACAGCACCAAAGAAGCGATGCGCACCCGGACAAGGTCCAGCAGGCGGCTGAGGGCGCCAGGGACGTTGGCGATTGCGCAGACGGCGGCGGCGCGGCCGGCCTCCCAATTGAGCAGCTCGGCCAGTGCACGCGCGGCGTCCGCGGCCGCAGCGGAGTGCAGGCCCGGGGCCTCCACCAGCGCGAGCGCCGCCTGTGCAGCCGCCATGCTGGCGCGCAGCGTCGCCGCCAGGTGCTCGCTCGAACCCCTGCCACATGTGCACCAGCTCCTTCGTCATCTCTATTGTGATCGGGCTCAGTATGCTAGGTTTTAATCAATTATTTGCATGGGTACCTTGCTCATACAGAAGATTTCATACCTGGGAAGTCTGCGCCTCATAGGTCCATTATGAGAAGGGGTAGCATGCAGGCATACACCCAGGATAAAGGTTGCAAAGAGGCAACCGCACAGCACAGCAAAAATAGCCCACCTAGCAGGCTCCAGGTCTTGGGGGAGGGGCGGCCCGTAGGGGTCGCTGGCCGGGTCGAGGGCTTTGAGCAGGGCTCCTGTGGGGATGGGGTTTCGCAGCAGCAGGTCCAGGCCCCCGGCACAGCTCAGCAGCACCGCCAGCAGCCGCCGCACCGCCTGCAGCAGCGGCTTTGACAGGTGCGCCTGCGCAGATGCCCACACTTGTCAAGCAATGTCCTATTTACAAGAAATGGGTTGCTCACATACAGATAAGAATTTATTTCTAATACATCTGGCGGCCACATCTGTTATCACAAAGGAATGCAACAGAGGGCGACCAGGAGGTAATACAGGTTGGGGTATTCTACCATGATGACAGCGGGTGTGGTGGGCGGTTGCAGCAGGCCCTGCTGCTCGAGCAGGGTGGCATGCACCGCAGGCACATGCATCACGGCGGCCACCAGAGCAAGCGCTCTGCGAGCCGCCAGCGTAGAAAGCGCCACTGTGTCCGGCTCCGGGGTGGCGCCCAAGCTCTTCACCACATCTGTCCATCGCAGGCAGCTCTCAATCAAGTATATACAGGAGGGAAAGGACCACCAGCATAGCTCTAGACGGTCAGTTGTGCCATGAATTGATTCAGATAGGGACATCTTCCCAGACATTCCGGGAATCACAAATAGGAGATTCCGCGTGCACACCTTGTCCTTGCAGACCAGACACCACGGGCAGTATAGGCCGTTCTGCCGCTATGCCCGAGGATGCCAGGGCGTGCGCCACGGCTGTCAGGGTACTGGCCGTCTCCGCAATGGCCACCTGGGCGGCTTGCGTGTCAGGGGCGGAGCCGCTGGCATGCATGCGGGCCAGCGCCTCGCCCGCCGCCTGAAACTTTGCAACAGCCTCCACCACCCTCAAGCGTGCCAGCAGCTGGGCGCCTGCAGCAGCCACCTGCAGCAGCAGCCAACACACTCTCATTCAGGGCAACCTGGCATTTGCGCACTCCTCTGGTCGTTAGTAACTATGTGACCTCTAGGAGGGGCACCCTAGGACAGCATGTACAGCAGGGATGTGTAAGAGACAGGCCTCGCATTTGCATTCACATTCACAGTAGTCAGCAGGAAAGCCAGGACAGTTCTATAGAAAGTGATTCTTGCCCAACACTCTCCACAATCTTGCAACACAACAGATGCAGGCGCCACCTGTTTAGGCAGCGGCTGCAGGATGGCCTCCAGCACGGCGGAGTAGCAGCCGCCAAATTCGCGGCGTTCTCTTTCCATGCGCTCCGCCGCGCGTTCCCTCTCTCGCTCAAACTCCCGCGCCTGCGCCTGCGCGGCCGCCGCCGTGCGCGCCTCGCTGTCAGCTTCCTCCTGCCGCGCCGCCTCAGCCGCCCTCTCCATCGCCTGCACCAGACCCACCGCACCCTTAGCTTAAGAAGATGCTGTGAAAATGTCAAGAATGTCTTTGGGAAGATACGTCGCTCTGTCAACTACAACCCACTGCTCATCAATCCCACTGTGTGTTAAAAGAGAAAATCTCCAGTGTTTTGAGGGCATCAGATCAGGGCAACTAGACATGGACGCGGGAGAGGGGCGGCGCACATTTTCCTGGGCAATATCCGTGTCGGGGTCAGGCTTGATGGAGTCGTGCCACGGCTCCCTAGAGCGGCTCCGCTTCGTGCGGGGTTCCCTGATATCAGGGCGCGTCCTGGCACCCGCAGGCACCGGGGCGTCTCTGCTCCTGTGTTGCCTGTAGCACAGCGTCCCCTTCATGAGATACCGCTTTCAATGAGGATGCCTGCCCATTACTTTGCGCATGTTTCTGCGGATAAAGTGTATGGTCGGGAAACTCACCTGCTTGGGTCTTCCTTGATTGGCTCAGCCCGCCTTGTCTCCTCCCTGCCTCTTGCCTTTGCAGGGGCTGGCTGGGGCTCTCTGCTGGGCCTGCTCTCTTCCCGCCCAGGCCTACTGCGTGCCCTGCTGTCACTGGTCCTGCGAGCTGTGTCCACAGCATCTGGCCTGGCACTTCTGCGATCCCTTTGATCATCCTCACGAGAGCGGTCCCTCCTGTGCGCCAATGGATGCTCAGAAACTTATGGGGCATCCCGCAAGAAGCCAGTGTTCAGTACTGTGAAGCCCATAGTTGCCACCGAAAAGTAAATGGACATTGCACATGTGGGTGATATCAGCATGTCAGACCGGTGAAGAGGCCCACCGGTCTCGAGGAGCCTCTTTGGAGCGCTGAGCCTGCTCCTGGTCCCTGCTCTTCAGGGCTTCCACACTTCGTCTGGACTCCTTTTCGCGCTCTGACCTGTGGCTCTTCTCAGCGGCTCTTTCTCTGTCCCTGACCTTCTCCTTCTCGCGCTCTCTCTGCCTCTCTTTCTCCCTGTCTTTCTCCCTGTCCTTCTCCCGCCTGCTGTCCCTCTCGCGCTGCTTTTCTTTCCTGTCCCTGTCGCCATCTGCTTCTAATGCCTTGGTCCTCTCCTTGTCCCTGCTTCTGTCCTTCCCAATGTCCCTGTCTCTGTCCTTTTCTCTGTCCTTCTCCTTATCTTTCTCCCTGTCCCTGTCCTTGTCCTTCTCCTTGTGTTTGCGCTTCTTCTCCTTGTGGCCCCCTTCTCTGTCATGGGATTTCCTGCTCAACATACAGCAATTGTCAACACACGCCGTATCATTCTGACATGGAGTGCACATGAATTTTGAACTGGGCACCACTGTCACCTGTCCTTGTGGCGATCGTCCTTGTCCTGATCACTTTTGCTCTTCTTCCGAGCGCCGCCCTCCTGCCCTGGTTCCCACCTCACCGGCTCGTGCTTGCGTTTTGAGTTCCCCTCATCCCTGCTGTTCCCCCTGGAATCCCCACAGAGAACAACATTCATGCATGCAGATGACAGCCTTCCATCTCTTCAACAACCCTTTCTGCAGAAGATGGCATGATAAAGTCCTTCCCAGTAGCTGTCAACCTGGACACATCCCGCACCTGTCTGAGGTGCTGGTGTGTTTGTCATGGCCCCCGTTTTCTGCGGATCGTGCACCTGCATCCAGCTGCGGCTCCTCTTCCTCAGAGAAGTGGTCTGGAGTGTCCGCCAGCATCTTGTCCAGCATGTTATCTGCATGTCATTACTCTTGCAAGTCAGCAGCCGTGCCATGAAACTGTGCCAAAGGAGGTGCAAGGAGCTGCCTTCTTCCTCCTTGTCGCTGCATCACGTCACGGGATTGTCTTCTAATCTGTGCTTTCCAAGCAGGATTCAGGCTTCAGAAAGCATCACACACCGTCGTCAGCAGCGGCCTGCGGCGCTAACCCCTTAATGGCAGGATTCCAGCGATGGTCCGCATCTGCATGAGCAGCTTCCTCGCCCTCCCATCTGAACCCCCCAGCCAGTACCACGTCAATTCAACCTCAATGACATGAATGCCTGATGCCTGCCGAAGAACAGGCGCATCCAAAAAACTTGGAGGCCAGCCATTTGGTTGAGAAGCCAGCAACCTGCAGATTACACTGGGCATGATGCCTGCTTGTTTGCTCACCTCGGCTGTGCGTCAGAGCCCCACTGTTCATCTGCGTTGTTCTGGCCTCCATTTGCGCCCGTGTCTCCAGCAACGTCCTCATCGCTGTCATCCCACTCCTGGTCGCATATGAGCCGCTCAACTCAAGAGTTGCCTCTTCCAACCAGGCTTGCTAGGAAACCTTGAATCTACAATCTGCAGAGTGTGTACAGACTACAACCAGCGCAAGCACGTACCCCATCAACTTGCGCCAGTCCTGGCACGATGTCAGCATACAGGTCATCGTCCTCCTGATGGGCCTCAGCCTCATCTGCGCCGCCCCCTTCTCCAGCGGTTTCACCACCCTCATATCCCTCCCCCTGGCCACCTGCTCCAATGTCAGCACCAGTGGTTCCCAACTCAGCTACTGGTTCAAAGCAGACACCTCATACCTCATGACATAAAACATTACGTGACATGACAAAAATCATCACCCTCGGCAGCATCGCAATTGCGTGAGTTAATCTGCAACACGCCAAGTCATGTGCTTTGCAAGAAATTGTCACCTCCATGGTTGAGCTGATAGTCTTTGTACAGGTCCTCGTCTGCATTGGCGTCTGCTTGAGCATCTCCATCTTCAAGCATGTCATAGTCCTCCTGCGCATCAAATGTCGACGCAGGGAGTCTTACATCCTCGCCCCTTGGGGTGGTGCCCTCCACGTCCGGCTCTTCCTTGACCAGGAAGCCTGCTTGCGCTTCCCCTTCCCTCCCATACCCCTGCTCAAGCTTCATCTCTGGCTCAGCCAGCTGCGCAGCATTCCAGGACATCCCATCACCGACTGGTAAATGTCGTATGAGGTGTCAATAACTGTCTCAGATCATCAGGCCGTCCGTCATTCCCTACTGCAAACAGGAACAATGCAAGGCCAATTGGATGAGAGACATGCTGCCGGAGAGGCGCACCTCGGCAGCATCCTGGAGTGCCCGGCCATCAGCGTGGCCAGGACTGGGCGCTTGCGGGCAGTCCAGCTGGGGCAGGGGCGGAGCCCACCAGCCCAGCGCGACTTCGCAGCCGGCAGGGCCGCACGCGCGCGTGACCGCCTCCAGCGCGGCTATTGCGTAGCGGATCACCGACACCGGCGGCCGCGCCAGCGCCAGCGCTGCCGTCAGTGCGCCCGCCCCATTCACGGCCAGGAACCGCGCAGCATACCTGCACGCGATTCCTCCACTTCAATGCATGCTTCTAGTGCCAATCAATCCAGCAGGAAGCTCGAAACCACCCTCTTGGGCATGATACGTGCCTGCAGCTGCTGGGAGGCCTTCAAAAGTGCACAGGAGAGTGAATATTTCCTTGTGGGGTCCATGCCGCACCTGGGGCATGCGGCAACAAGGACGGATGCGGCTATTCCTGCCATGCCGAACGCTGCAATAGAGCCCGAGCCCGGTCCAGATGCCAGCAGCTGGGACCAGCCGGCTGCCATGTCCGCCACCTGCTCTGATATGGCGGGGGCCGGGGCCGGGGCCGCCGCAGCCCCTTCTCCGCTCGGCCCGAGCCCATTGGTCAGCGCCGAGCCAAAGTGCGAGTAGAGCAGGCTAGGGCTGGTGGAAGGGGCGCCCGCATTTGGTAATGCTGCGCACATGCGGTCTGCAGCCGCCTCCACCTATCGGGCCCGGCACAGAACATGATACTCGATTTCTCAACCAACACATTGCTCCTTGACATTATCAGGAGAAATGGCAATCTCAAATGATGTGCTCGAGTGAGGGGACTGCTCACGGCTTGCAGCTGCTCTTTGGTCAGCGTCTCGTCCCGCAGGCGGCGCTCTGACGCTGCAGCGCGATCCCAGATCTCCAGCAGAGGCCGCAGAGCCTCCAGCGCATACTTGGGCAGCTCCGCAGCAAAGGGCTGGCCTGCCGTTATTCCAGAAACAGGTCTCAATGTCAAGCCTGTGGGTACCAGCATTGCCAGATCCTCAAAGGTTGCCAAGAGATAAAGAGGGTTCGCGCTCACACCTGCAAAAGCCCGGGGGGCAGGAGTTGGAGGCAGAAAGTTGGCAGAGTAGACAGCACTTTCAATGCTTGGACCCTGGCCATTGTCCAGAGCTAATTTCCAGCCGTACAGGGCGACCGGCAGAGTCTGAAATTGGCCACGCAGCACCACAGTGGTTGTGATAATCGCCTGCGCCATCCAGCACCTTGCATGAGGGTGCGAGCCAATGCAAGAATATATCGTGAGAATGCACAAGCAAAATAAGGGAGACATGGGAGTATGGCAGACAGAGACGTACATCCAGGCGCACTGCCTTGGTGTCTTTGTCAGGCAGGGTGCAGTGCTGGGTGAGCAGTACAAAGCGAGCGGCTGACTGAGTTGTCAGATCAAGCGCGAAGAGGTTGATGTATGGGCGGCCTGCAGGGCCACCCCCAGTGCCAGGCGCCGCACCAACCTTGATGCCCGTCAGGCATATGGGCTGCTCAAAGTGCACCTGCAATTGATAAGCAAGATTTTAACACGGTAGCAAGCTGATTTGCACGGTTAGCCAGAGGACACCGGTGCTGTACTCCAAGTTGTGCCACTGAATTGCGAAAATTTGTTTCAAAGGTGCCTCCATCAGAAGGGTGTGCAGGACTTGCCTCCTGTACATGATCCCCAAATCTACTGTGTTGATAAACCTCCTTAAATATCTGGATTTCTTTCCGCAAACGGATCGTCATCTTGATGATGCTGTTACCCTTTCAAGACAATGATCCCAGGAGTCCATGCAACGCATGTTTTGGAGCAATGATGCCACACAAATTCCCCACAACTTTTAATGCTGACATCGAGATTTCCCACAAGGTATATCAATGCCTGGCTCTTATGCTGGCTGAATGGTCAAAGGCCCCTGAATCGCCAGCTCGGACATGGTTGTCAAGGGCATACTTGACCTATATTGAACAGATCCTGATATTCCAGCTCTTGAAGCATAGGAATTGGATCATCAGATGTTCCAGGCGCTCTTCTGATTGCCAGCCCGTCATGCCAAATCTGGCTTCTAGCCTCTCTCGTTTCCTTCCTTGTCATGCGAAAGTGTTGAATTCCATTGGAACTCAGGTTTCTTATCAGAATAATGCAAGTCACGTTTATCCAAGTGTTTTTAGAATGTTAGACAGCAGCAAACAAAAGAAACATATTTAGGATCGCCACATTGTGTTCGATATAATACGATGTCTGTGTATTCAATCACGTATTCGCGCTCTGCCTGAACAAAAGGAAAAAATGCATACTGCAAGTAATATTTGGCTTACTTTGAGCTCCGTAGACCTGTGATATCATCATCACACAAGGTCACAGAGCTATGTTCCGAAGCTTTGATGGACAGGTTTCATCGAAGCCGAAAGTGGATCTCCGCGGCAGAAGCCGAGTGGAAGAATCAAGAGAGCAAGTACGTTTGCACAGGCCATTTCAAAGCCACTTCCTGTGCTCCACAAATACCTTGATGTGAAATATAGTAATACTCGGAAGACATAAGAAGAGCACCCGTTTCCTTCTTTTCTTGCAAAGCATGCTATGGAAATTTGTAGCTACTTCCTGGGATATGGTAGTATGAAATTGCACGGGTTTCCTCACTTTTATCATACTTTCCCTGGTGCTTATTGGTTGGGTACGGTGATGGCACCAACAGATGCTCTCCGTGTCTATTCCCGGTGCCGTGTATTGGAATCCACGTTTCCATCTTATGTTCAGGTGCTGGAGAGGACTCGTTTAGAGAGGAAGCGCAGGCAGCAACAAAAGTTGGAACAGAAGAGTGCCCTTCAGATTCAGGTTCCTTCGCTGCATACAGATAAACAATGGAGATTTGTAAGAGCACGTCATCATTTTATGCTCTAATATAGATGTTGCTGACTTTCATTCGCTGGTCAGGCCTTTTGGCGAGGCCGGCATGCAGCCAGAAAGCTTCGGGAAGCTGCCCGGAGCTTCTGGCTTCAAAAGTATGGCATAGGCGCAGAAATCGCAGACAGGTATATACCTTTACCATATATGTAATTTTGCAGGTGCTCACAGTGTGATCCTTCACATGCATGCTTACAGCGTGCTGAGGTGCAAAGCTGTGCATGCAGGGAAGCAGGTCTGCTGTCCTCGCCCCTGTATCGTGATCTCTGCTTCTTCTGCCAACCGGAAAGTCCTGCAGATGTGGAAATGCTTGTTGTGGCCTGCAAACGCCTTGTGGCCAGCAAGGATCCCAGTGGTGAGAACAGCGATTTGTTGGCTGTCTCTTTTCCTGGACATTCTTGACCTTCCGTGCGAGCCCAGCTCTGTTGCACCTTGAGGCTCATTACCGCCGAGTATGTGAGACTGTGTCCTGCCTTTCTGCAGGACATGCTCTCTGCTGTGATGTGGACGGGACAGAGCTCAGTAGCTACATCCTCCTCCTGCGAGCAAAGCAGCTGGCCTTTATGTGTGCGCAAGCCCTGGTATCCCACAGCGGCGAGCTTCAGGCTGTGCTCCATGATGGGCATCGCCGGTCTGCGCCAAGCAATGCATCCGATGTGGTCAATACGGCCATCTCAACAATCGAACTGCTGACAGGTACAATGCTTCCATTTTTGTGCAACTGTGGCATTGACATCTGCCCACCATGACTTGTGCATGCTTATGAACTGGAAGTGCATGTTAGTGAACTGTAATTGTTGACAGAGTGATTTGGCAGTGCTGATGCTTGTGCTGCTGTGCAGATGAGCGGACTTGGCTGCCTCTGGGCAGCACAGAAGCAGCTGCTAAGGCAGCATGCACAGTGCTGGAGCACCTGGCTCCCCTGTCCCACAGATTAAGCAGCACTATATTTGCAGCTGCACCACTTCCCGCACAGCCAGGGACAGGAAAGGCATTGAAGCCAGCCGGCCCCCAGGCATCAGCCAGCAATGCAGCCATGGCAGGGAGCCCAGCACAGCAGCTTCTCACATGCCTGGGCCGCCAAGCAGTCCATTTTGCACCTCTGAGGCACACTGGTATGGTGTCACAGTTCCTGTGCATCCCCCTGCTGTGGGAAAGGTGAGTCCTCCACCATAAGTGCCGCAAGCCTTAGGAATCCCAATTCAAGTTGCAAGATACATGTTGAATGTCTGTTGATTGCTGTCTGGACCTTGCCAGGTACCCTGCGTTGAGGTCCCTGCAGGCAGCGATGTGGCAGCAGGCAGTCAGAAACCTGGACGAGCTGGGCAGTGTGGCGGCTCTGCTCGCATGGCTCCCTTCAGAGGAGAGTATTGGGGGCAAAGCTGTTGCAGCTGCAGCCCTGCTTGGGAACACTGCCCAGGTGGCAGGCGCTTGCCTCACGGTGCGCCCCCAGGACATTTGCCCCCCATAGAAAGCGTTGATGGGAGGAGTGCAAGGTTGCATGTTGAAAGAGTATTTTGCTTGGAGGAATGCACTTTCATTCCATGAGACTCTGACAGGCCTTTTTGGAATGCAGGATGCGCAGCTGCAGCTTGATCAGTCCTCCTTGGCTGTACAATTTGTGACAGTTGCAGGCTGGCTCATGTCGGTCATTCCCTTGCAAAGGCTCTTTGACGCAGATGATCACATGGTTGACGAAGATGATGATGTGTCAGAAAGCATGCCCTCTTCAAGCAACCAGCCCTCAGGTTTGTTCTGCCACTACATACCTGCAACTGCACGCATGCTCTCCTACAATTGTCACAATGGCTACTGGCAGCTATCTCTGACAAGTCTTGGTGCATGGTGTTCGCAGAAATGCTCCATCTGAATCTTCAGGAGCCCCTAGCAACTTCACTAGCAGCCCAGATAAATTGTCTGGCTGAGGCTGCTGTCCTAAAGCCGATCATATCCATCCTGTTGCCTTCGACACCTGCAACGGCTGCTGCAGCATCTCGTAAGCTCCTGACCCAAGCTTCTTTTCATCTTCTAATCAATATGATCAAAGCTTGAGCCGGCCTGTGATGCAGCAGAGGTCCCTGCAAAATGTCATGGATGTCCACCTGAATATCTTGTGTGGTGCTTGGTCACTGCAGTGGATGCAAAGAATGGGAGGTCTACCAACGCATCAGGGGTGAGGAAGCTGCTGGAGCTGCTGAGCATAATGCTGGACACGCCTGCTCTCAGACAGAGCACCCTCATAGTCTTGGCTGTCCATGCTGAGCTGGTGCCTCGCCTTTGGTATTCTTACCTCAAGGTACACCCACTGAATAAGTAGTACAGCACCAATAATACACCCCTGATAAACGGTGGTATCTCGACTGTGGTTGCCACTAGCTAAATACAGCTTCACAAGCAATGCCTTGTGAATTAAGCGAGAAAATTGCTTGTGCATATGCAGGCCATGCATGCGTCATCTGCATGGGAGCCATCCAGGGATGAGGCCTGCGACCCTGGCTGGATGCTGCCGCTTGTCGTCTTTGCGCGCACCTACAGCACCTTCCTGAGCACCTTTGGCGATGACTACATGTACCGCCTGCAGAAGCCGCTGCCGCTGGCCGAGCTGCACCAGCCGGGGCGCAACAGGGGCCTTGTCAGCCTGCTCAAGTTCGCCATGTGGCAGGTGGATTTTCTCCGCCCGATTTACGAACCTCCCCACTTCCTGCCTCACTTCCTTCCTCTCTTCCTCCCTCACCCGGATTTCTGGGGGATAAATGCTGTGCTCTGCAAATTTCACAGTCAGATGTATAATGGATGATGTCAGATGGTATTATCCATCGCAATTGTGGCATGTCAAAGCAAAAAGCACAGCAAGCAAAAAAGAGGGTGCAGATGTGTGCTCCTGTATTGACCTGCAGGTGCTGTGGGCGGAGAGCGCGCCTGCGCCCCACGGATGGACGGCCAGGGCGGCTGCAGTGCGGGCAAAGCTGAAGGAGGCGGTGGGGACGCTGCTGGGCCAGCTGTACAACCGCAACTGTGGGAGGCAGTTTGCGCCGCCGCAGGCCTTTCAGGCGGAGGACCTGCCACCAGCGCGCTTCCATAGCGAGGTCAAGGTTGCTGCCGCGTCCGTGGGCGGCCTGATGGAGGCCAAGCACACCCGCGTCTGGTCCATCCTCACGTGGGCTTTCTCCACTTCCTGCCATATTCAACCGTGCTTTGTCTGATGTTGTGCACATTTGGTGACTGTCTCAATCTCGGAGAGGTGGTTCACAGCTGTTGTTTGACGATGTATTTGGCCCTCTTCACTGCTGCCATGTGAATGACACATTGGACAGTGGATGCCTGTCAAATGCTGAGTCGTTGGAAGTTGATGGGGCCAGGCATGCGCCGTTCCTGGTTCCGTTTGAGGAGCGGGCGCGGGTGTTCCAGACGGTGATCTCGGGCGACAGAGCAGAGCGGCGGGAGATGGGCATCTACGGCCCGCAGAGCTTTAGCATGATCCATCGTTCCAGCGTGTTCCAGGCATGCCAAGTCTTATTTGAGCGGTGCCCACGTATTGGCAGATTCACTGGATGTGTTCCGACGCCAATCAAGGTCATGTGACAAGGCTTTCAGAACAACGTGCTCTGGCATTTGATGTGCCCTTTGGCAGCAGGTTGAAATGATGTGGTCGTCAGTTGACGAGAAAGAACGTAGGAATATCAATGTTGTGCAATATCAATCCAGACTCTGGACCATGCATGTGGATGTCATGTGCGCTGATGCATGGCATTTCCGGGTGCAGGATGGCTTTGAGAAGCTCAACCTGCCAGGGGATGCGCTGCGGGGGCGGATCAGGATCCAGTACGTGGACAGCTTTGGGGAGGTTGAGGCTGGGGTGGATGGCGGCGGCCTCTTCAAAGACTTCATGGAGAACCTCATCAAGGAGGGGTTTGACCCGCGAATAGGCCTGTTCAAGGCCACGCCCGACCAGAAGCTCTACCCCAATCCTGCCGCCGCCACTGTGGAGCCGAACGCCTTTGCCCTCTTCGAGTTCATGGGCAAGATGGTCGGCAAGGCCCTGTATGAGGTGAGGTCATCTCCCATTGTTGTTGTCACCTTCGAGCAACCAGCATGACATGCCTGATACTGTTTACCCTGAAGATCGTACCCATAGCGCTGTATTGGGAAAAAGTGAGCCGCAATGCTAACGCACTTGCTTTTCATATTGGGGAACAGTGTGGTGCATTGAAAGGTTTGTACCAGGGTTTTGCACTGCCTCATCTTCGCTGTTGTGTATGTGTATCAGGGTATCCTCCTCGAGGTGCCGCTGGCGGGCTTCTTCCTGAAGAAGCTGCTACGGCGCGGCTGCGACCTAAATGACCTCCCCTCGCTGGACGCCGAGCTGTACCGCCAACTGCTGTTCCTGCGCGACTACGATGGCGACGTGGAAGACCTCGCCCTCACCTTCACCGTCACAGACTCCGACTTCGGCACCAACCGAGAGGTGACGCCCGCCCACCCACATCTCGCCGGGCGCTTGAATGAAAATGCGAGCACTGCACAGCAAGCTGCAAGGATGTGCACTATTGAGTGACCTACCCACCCATCATGCGTGATTGAAGAGGTTGGATGTTTTGGCTTGAGTCAGCTGAGGATTGGGTGCTGGTTGGTGTCCCTGGCAAGGGTCTGCTCGGCATCGGGCATGAGGCAGGGAGCGCTGCTTGTCTGCAAGTCAATAATCAGTTACAACATTGGTTGAACAAGGTCACCTCTGAGATTGTGGAAAGCTTGGGCATGTGCAGTTGTGACGCTCCCCAAAGATGTGAGTGTTGGATCATGGGTGCTGCGCAGATTGAGCTGGTGCCGGGATCGCGGGAGCGGGCGGTGACGGACGGCAACCGGCTGGAGTACATCCACCGCGTGGCCAACTTCCGGCTGAACGTGCAGATCAAGCGCGCCACCGACGCCTTCCGCCGCGGCCTCGAGGACGTCATTGCGCGCGAATGGATCACCATGTTCAACGAGGCCGAGCTCCAGGTGGCACCCGGGCAGAAACTGATAGCGTTTATCTCCACTGCAGGCAATAGCACTCTTTCTGAGGAGCGCAGTTGGACAAGAGCTGCTGCTGCTGGAGTGCATGTACTTAAAGAATAGTAGGGCTGCCCCATTGCTATTCCGAAAGGGCTTGCGATTGTGATGCATAGTATGCATGTGTGCGAGAGGACATGTAGAAGAGCAGCAGCCCTTTGCTGGCAGCCGTGCATCCTGTGGTATTGCTGCTGCCTGGCTGGCAGAGACGCTGGAGTCATTGCACCAGACCCAACAAGGGGAAGGATCTTCAAAGTGCTAATTGTGTGGAACTCTAGTGCTGTGCATGGGCATAACCGGTGCGGGCTGTGCAGGCTCTCATAGGAGGCGGCGACCACCAGGGCCTGGACTTGGAGGACATGAAGCAACATGTCAACTATGCAGGCGGCTACGGCACAGATCATCCAGTCATCCTGGAGTTCTGGAGGGTGCGCTGAATCGACTGCCAGGCTACCTTGTGTGTATGTTCTGCACTGCATGCAACAGCTTGCCTCCATGTATTGCCAGCATGATAAGGTGTGGCCTGTTGCTGCGATGCGGCTTGATTTGGGCAAAGGGCGATATGCAGGCCCTGCAGGACTTCACGCCAGAGCAGCAGAAGGCTTTCCTGCGCTTTGTGACATCCTGCAGCCGGCCGCCGCTCCTCGGCTTCCAATACCTTGACCCAAAATTATGTATCCAGGTGGGTGTCGTTTTTATGCCATGCCATTTTGCATGTACCCACTGATGCACACGTGAATCTTCTCAATGCAACTGCCCTCTGGCAATTCATTTGGCAAAGTTTGCTCCATGGGCTGGAGAGCACTGTGCCTGTGCCTTGGTGGTCAGTGAATTGATGGCGGTGATCATGGGGTGCAGATGGCAGGATCGGTGTTGGATGAGGCTGCACAGGAGCGACTGCCTTCAGCTTCCACCTGCATCAACCTGCTCAAGCTCCCACCATACCGCTCAGCAACAGCCATCCGCGACAAGCTGCTGTACGCTGTCAAGAATGTTGCCGGCTTTGACCTGAGCTGAACAGCCAGCTCAGCTGGGGCCATGCAGGCATCAGAGTCTGAATATGTAGAGAATTCCACTGGCAGCCAGTCTGGAATAATAGTCAAGTGGCGAAGTGGCCTCAGTCAGAGGTCGGCCTGAGACTCCTGGCAAGGATAAGATCACACCTCTCGCGTAGAAGCTTTAGCCTTGCTCAGGCAGAATTGTCCTGTGAAACAAGATGTTGTGCCATCTAGAAACTCCCGTTCACCAGAAACACGCTGAACATGGCCTTTAAGGCTGTTCAAATGTATAAGATATGCTGGAATTCTTGCAGATTCTATGCATGCAATTTGTGCTAAGCGCATCAACTAGACAGAAATGATGTCGGTGATGTTCTCATCAGTGATCATCACATGCATGATGCATGTAATAATATGGCCTGCGGAGCATGCTGGCGCACCTCATTTAGAATGTGGATTCCAGGCCTCAAGTTGCAGACTGGCTCAAGCCCACCATTATGCCTTTTCACTTACAGTTGTGTGCGCGGCAGACTCAATGGATTCCAAGGCGTTTAAATGCCAGAGGGTGGGAAGCCAACCCAGAGGCAAATGATTTGCCGCGCATGGAAGTGCTGGTTCAGGCGGCGGATAGTGCGAGTGCACGGACTGCTGCAGCGCTGCTAGCTGCAGGACCGTCCGGCTATGCGTTCCGCACAGTCAACCATTGACTGTGACATCATGATCATTTGCAAATTTGCATGCACTGCGCAGTGCATGCATGGCATGTGTGCAATGCATCCTGCGGATCCGGAGCTCTGAGTCAGACCATGCCATGCCGCCTGGTGGCACCTAGCCACCATGCCGTGCAGCAGACATGGTGACTCACTGAGTCGGACTATCAAGTCAAGTTGACTGAGTCAACGGTTCGGCAAGCTGCACAGCTGCAGTCGAAATAAAAATTTGTCAGACTGCCCAGTAGGCGGCAGTGGCGCCACTGCCTGTGGCAATGCATGTCCAGCCAGGTCCTGGAACTTCTGTGAAGCCTGAACAAGGACCCAAGCTCAAATGATCAAAAATATTGGAAGTTCCCCATCCAGCCACCTGGACACCTACTAGGACGCTTCCGAAGCTGCGGCGACCGGTGGAGATAATGTCCAAATTTGGCTCCTTTCAACAAAAGTTCCTTCCAGGAATGATCGGAGGACACTTTTGCATCGAATACCGGACGGGGGCAGGGCCGGTTCGTTTTCGGAGACAGATTAGAGACCTGGTTGACGCCGGCGAGGAGATTTCTTTTTGTTTGTGGGTGCTTCAGAACTCCGTTTACCGCACAAACGTGGTCGTCGTCTTAGGACCCTTCAAACCGCACGTCTGTATCCAGGAATCCGCTTACAGGCCTGAAGTAGGCGCAACATCCGACATTCGTGTCGCTTGTCGCCTCTGAGAAGGGGTCTGGAGACCTTCACGTGGGATTGCGTAAAACGTGTGCGAGAGTTGCTGACTCTTTACCCTCGTCTGGAGATGGGTGTCTTCAGCTCGCGATGCAGCTCCTGAGTACGGAGGTGAGGTTTCACTGGCCTTCAACGCTGCTGCGTGATGCTGCTCTCAGGGCCGGCAAAGTCGACGGGCCTTGAGGCATTGCATGTCGGGCAAGACGGAGTGAGACCGATGCAGATTTCTGTCATGTAGAAGTACCCTCATCAGCAATCTGTCGTCGTGTGTTCTATGCACGTATTCAGTGGCTTGAGTCGAGCATCCTGAGTTTCCAGGGTTTCCTGTAATATCTGAGGCATCTGGAAGAAGCCAAGTCCTCCTTTATTACATGACCGTTGATTCTTTGAGTGGCTACTTACAACCACATGGAAATTTCTTCCAATGTGCTTGTCGTCTCTTTGGATGGACGGAGGGTGCTGTAGATGTATATCTTATTAGGCTTAGTTTATCTGGCTGGGGACCCACAGAGGAACAGTGGCCAACTTCTGGTCATAATGGATTGCCTTGGTATTTATTGCACATTCTCCTTTTACGGAGGTTTTAGGACAGTATGGGCAGCAGGTGTCTTACGTTTCCCCTCTCCTGAGGAGTTTGGATCTGTGTGCAGACTGTATCGAAGCTGCACGACTACAGAAGATGGAGGGATTGCGGATGGGAATGAATGGTCTTGAAATGAAGGTGTGCTGGGAAATTCTTTCTTCCATTGATTGATGGTACAACTGGTAAACAGAGTTCTGCCTTCCAATACTTTCTTCTGCTGTTCTTCTACAGCAGAAGAAAGTATCTGCTGTGCCAACAGCGCTCAAAAATTTCTGCTGCCCTGTTCAGGCGCCAGGCAATGCGCAGCACACAATGCACTCGCAGCACGGCTTCCACGTCAAGGGCTCCGGCTCCTCCAGTCAGTTCCCAACCATCCAGGAGGCGTCCCAGGCAGAGGAGAGCGGGGATGGCCTCGTGCCAGAGCTGTGGCGCGTTAGCTGCAGCCCAGCTGCTCCCGTGCCCCGTGTGGGCTCAGCAGTCACAGGACTGCTGGGGCTCTGCGCAGACAGCAGCATGGCCATTGCCAGCACGCGTGGCCTGCAGCTTCCGGGCAGCCCAGTTGAAGTTGTGGGCACCGCGCACAGCAGCCATGGCATCCGCCGCCTGGTCAAGGCGGTTGTGCGCGGCCTGCGCGCATGCCAGGTGCCCTCCTCTTGTCTACATGCTCGCCGAATATGCGATGGGCGCCACTGGGTCGCTCTTGCCATGATGGATTCAGCTCCAGACAACCTCCAGAGCTGGCTATCCCCGAAGTGGCATGCAGCCTGATGGGGGTTGTGGTGCCATGCAGGAGCCTGAGGCGAGCAGCGATGGGCTGGGGGGCACGTATTTCTTCATGAATGAGGCCGGCCGGCGGGCAGCCATCGTGAAGCCCTGTGATGAAGAGCCCCTGGCACCCAACAACCCCAAGGCACTGCTCCTGTCCTTCTCAATTTGCGGATACTCTGATGATTGCATTATTTTTAAGGACTGCCACAGCAATGTAATACTTCATTGTCTGCCAGGTGCATCACCTGAGGCAAATATTTGGATGATGCAGGGGTTTGTTGGACGCGCAATGGGGGAGCCCGGGCTGAAGCCGAGCGTGCGCGTCGGGGAGGCGGCCACGCGCGAAGTGGCAGCTTTCCTGCTGGACCACGAGCACTTTGCCAAGGTCCCCCATACAGTCATGGTGAAGGTGAGCGGCCCTGTGGGAGAGAGCGTGTGCCGGCGACGGGGTTGCAGTCTGGCTGTGATGAAGTACAGCTCCCTCTACTGATCCGGGAAGACATTGCTGGCAGGAATCGAACTTTTATATTGCCACTCCTGAGCCAACGCCCCCCGTCGCGCACCACGACCTGCACTGCTGATCATTTCTTGCATGTAGCCTTCAAGGGCTGTTCTCTGTGATCATGATGGCTTATCCAATCTTGAACGGTATGATATGGAGCTCAATACTTGTTGTTTCGCGTGGGCAGGTGTCGCACAACATATTCCACGTCTGCCAGGACGCAGGCAGCCCGACATCCATGGTCAGCACCGACGCCATGTCGACATCGTTTGGGTCAAACCTGTCATCCTCCCTGCACGCCAGCCACGCCCAGCCCAGCCCATCTGTGTCCATGGACAGCAGCGCCCCAAAGCTGGCCAGCCTGCAGGTGAAGACAGTCCCCTTCAGTCTGCATGTCCCTTACTCCGTGAGTGCTCCAAGCATGTGCATTTCTCAGGAGTTGTTGAGTCGCGACTGCTTTGCAAGTATCAATCTGGAGGCACAGAAATGCAGATTTCAAGGCACAGCAATCGCCGAAGGTGAGAGGTAGGGCTACCTTGCAAATTGGACGTCGGCATCGGGCTCTAAATAATTGCGTATAGAGCCCCTGATGTCGGCCAGGACAACAGAACTGATACTCAAAGTGCTGCGCGGCGCAGGAGTACGTGTACCATGATTGTGACACGAGCGAGATGGGGGCGTCGCGCTTTGCGGCGCGAGACGTGCACCGCATCGGCATCCTGGACATCCGCATCTGGAACACAGACCGCCACGCGGGCAACATCCTGGTGCGCCGCCCGCGCGACAGCGCCCTGGCGCTCTCCGGCCTCGCGCGCCTCGACAGCGGCCAGCTCGAGCTGGTGCCTATCGACCACGGCTTCTGCCTGCCCGAGTCCTACGAGTCCCCCTACTTCGAGTGGCTCTTCTGGCCCCAGGTGCTTTTTCGCCTCCAAATGCATGTTTCCCAGTTTGTTGCTGATGTCCACGTCATTCCTTCAGTGACGTGGCAGCATGTGGTTCTGAAAAGTGCGCACTTGTTGGCTTGTTGCGCAATTCCACATCAGCCGAGAGCTCTTTGTCCTCTACTGTGAGGTCACTCTGCCCTGGATGCTTCTGCTTCCCTGGACGATGTTACAACGGCTGATTTCTGTATTCAGGCAGTCAGTGTTGTGGGTTGTTATTGTTGAGCATGCAGTGTTGTTGAGCTGGTGATGTCTTGCGCGCAGGCGATGGTGCCCTTCAGCGAGGAGGAGCTGAGCTACATAGCGCGCCTGGATGCTGCGGCCGACAAGGAGCTGCTGCGACGCGAGCTGCCCTGCCTGCGCGAGGAGTCCCTGCGCACCCTGGAGGTCGCCACCCTCCTGCTCCAGCGCTGCGCCGCCGCAGGTGCCCTTACCTGCAGCATCCCCATCATCCTCTTGCCGTCAAGATTTCTCTGCTGGGTGTTCTTAACTTGACTGTCTCGTGTGTTTCCTGTTTGCTGAGTGCATGTAGCAGTCTCATTGCTAAGCCAGGATGTGTGATGCAGGGCTAACGCTGGCGGAGATCGGCGCGGCGGTGTCCCGGCCGCTGGTGGGCATTGATGAGGACCCGTCCGAGTTGGAGCGCCTGTGCCTGGCTGCGCGCGCACACGCCGACGCCCTGAGCGTCTCAAACGACGAAGAAGATGACGAGGACGGCGACTACAGTCTGAGCAGCAGTGCCGCCGAGGACTGGATGCCCCAGGAAGCCCTGCAGCGCGCAGACATCAGCGGCCAGCAGGGGTTTGTCGCGGCCGCGCAGAAGCCGGCGGCCGACCCCATGGAGTGCACCAGCAGCAGCTGCCTGAGCTCGGGCACGGCCTTCAACGCGGGCACCAGCTTTGAGCTGTCCTTCGGCGGCAGCGGCCGCCTCACCATCGCGGTGGAGTCCCTGGGGCCCTCCGCCCGCGGCAGCGCTGAGGACGACGTGCTTCTGCACGGCGCCGGCAGCAGCCGCTCCGGGGAGGATCTGCTGTTCGACCTGGACGACCACCACGGCCACCCGGCAGACGCGCCCGCCGATCCCTGCACGCCGAGCGGGGCCGCGCGGCTCGGGTTCCGGCCGTCTGTGACGCTGTTGTCGCCCGGTGTGTGCTCCTCCCTGGGCGACGCCCCCTCGCTGTCCTTCTCGCCCGTGCACGGCGCGCCCTGCGACCTGCACCCGGCCTGCGACGGCGGCTGCGACGCCCGCACCACCCCGCTGGCCGCCCCGCTGCCGGCCATGGCACGCTCCGTCACCGCCGCCTGCGCAGTGCCGCCCTGGCAGCACGCCCAGCGCATGGCCCGCAGGTTGGCCCCTCATCCTGGCTTCCAGTGCATTCCTAAAGAGGCCTGATCAATGAACAGTCATACACCGTAAGGACCTTTTGCAGTGTCTACGGGCCGGTGAAAGCTGGGCTTGCGCATGTGTTCTGATGCGTCCCGTTGCGGTCTTACAGGCATAATGACAAGGAGGGCGTGAAGCGCATCCGCCGGGCACGCGCCGGGCACCGGGCTCAGCCGCACAGGGCAGCCCCGCTGAAGACGGCGGGCGGCTGCTCCCTGTTTGGGGGCCTGGACGAGGAGCAGTGGGGGGTGTTCATGGAAGTCCTGGAGGACGGGCTCGCGCAGACTCTGGCAGAGGGATGCTGGAGGCAGGCAGCCGCCTCCGGCAAGGCCGGCGCCTTTGGCGTCTCCTGCCCCCGCTTCTAGCTCGACGCAGGTTGACCATGATATTTGCCGGCTCTTTTCACCTCGCGAATTCTTGTGGCGCGAATCCAGACCAGGGAAGCTTGGCAGGATATGGAGGTATTACCTTATCGAGTTGTTGGCGGCGCACTACGTGGGGCCTCTGTTTCTCGCGCACATGCTGCTGCTGGTTGTTGCCTTTGGCTGAGAGAAGCTTTGCATATTCTGCATGTATTGTACGGATCTCATGTGCTGTTGCACCGTTTGAAGAGAGCTCTTTGCTGGAAGAGGGGCTTTGTCTCAGGGTCGACCTAATCTGAATGGGGTGAGCCCAGCTAGATTGTATGCTGCATATGCATATGTATCAGACCTGTTGAAGGTTAGGGAGGCAACCTTGTCTCCATGAAGGAAGCTTATCTTGACTGGCACTCGATGTTTCAAGTGGCAAGGGTTGTGATTGATTGCGGTGTTTCGAAAGGAGCAAGCGTGGGGTCTTTTGGAGTTGTGTGGAGTTGTCAGCCTGTCGCCAGAGCTGCCAATCAGAATTTTTTGCTAAGTCTTTGGCTCTGGGAGGTCCAGAGCTGCAAATGTTATTTTAGGAGCGGTGGGTGCTTGCTGGCCTCATAAGAGTGTCACAGAACGGTTGAATGAAGCGCATGCCCTCAGATGTACCCTAGGATTTTACTCGGGAGCAGTCCTCCAAGGTGAGCATACTGGCACAGCTAGCCAGGCAATTTTCTGGGGAGAAGGAGCACCTGCTGTGCCAGTATGAGTCCCTGCACGTTGTGTGTACGATAAGCGGCGTGCGATCTTTGATGCGCCGCCCAGGTCTTGAGCGGATGTGTGCGTGTACTCTTTGAGGGAATGGTGCTTTGAGTGTGATGTTGTACCTTTGATGTGGAAGTGTGAACGTGTATGAGTGATGGCTCAGTTGCCTGAAAGCTACGGGAACGCTGCAATGTGAGGTCTATTAGGTGGCGCACTGGACATATTCCCATGGCACAATGTCCCACAGATGAGCTCTAGTGGCAGTCTTGATTACCAAACTCGGACTTTAGTTGATTGCAAAGATGGTATTGATGGTTCAGTGATAAGTGGTGTTGCGTGCTTGTTCTGGTATGCGTATGCAAGCTGGTGCAGAGGCTCCTGGGGTGATAGACTCTGATTCTGGATGTCAGAATCTTACCAATTGGCGCTTGTGTTGGAGAAGTGCCTCTGCTGTGTAAAGCACCTGGCCAGCCCATGGGCTCCAAAGAATTGCACAACTGTTGTGAGGGAATGTCTTTCAAAGGCTGATAGCTGGCTAGCAAATTATACTACTCTTCAGAGAGTAATGAAGGTGTACAAGAGGACATCAACACACAGGAAGGAAGGAAGGAAGATTACATCACTCCAGCCGCCTAGGGCTGATTGGATGAACTGGCAGCATCCAAATAATCAAAACAATCCATCACAAAATGTGCAACACCAACAATGTCCAACTGCCACATGAATTGCTGCATCGTCACAATGGCTGCACCAAACAGCCCAGGATATCTGTCCCGAACAGATTGCAAGGCAGGGCACTCAAACACAAGGTGGCGCTCATCCCCAATAACCTGCTGGGCACAACGCATGCACAAACGCTGGGGCCGGGGAATCCTTGCCCAGCGGCCCGAGACATTGGGCAGACTATGACAACCCATCCTGAACTTCAACAGTATACGCAAGCAACGGGCACTCAAAGGCTGCTGTAAGAGCTGGCAAGGGTGGCGCACACAAGCTGGCCTAGCAAACCATCTGTGATATGTACACAAGGTGGCATTGCTGGACGGGCAGGTCCTAGGGCAAATGTCAATGTCATCCCAAACCTGCAGTGCTTGCGCATCTAGCAGCTGCATCACAGCATCAACTTCCACAGGAACAAGGGTGTCAAACCGAATAACAAACTCATACCCAATCCGGCGCAAGCCCCGCATGAAGGCCCAAGCCCAATTCTTAACATTACGGGTTATGGCATCCCAACAATCATCAAGGGCCACTTGCCTGTGAAAATTATTTGCAGGCAAGGCAGCCAAATTGTTCCAGAACTTGATAATGCGCCGCCACCACACACAATCAAGGGTCTGCTGATTCAACTCCTTAAGCAAGATGGCACCATGCACAGAGGTGGGGACGCCAGCAATGTCTCTCAGAATTTTCAGGTGAGAGGAGGCCAAGGCAGCCCGGCCCCGCCGGCTGTCGCCACCAGGAAGGCTGCGCAGGCCCCACACCTCACAACCGTAGGAGGCAGTCGGCGGCACACATGCATCATATAGGCGCAACAACAGGCCAGCTGACATGCTGCAATGCAACTTCCCATATTGCTGCCTGAGCTGAGCCTGAGCACATGAGGGGTAATAGGAGGACAGTTTCCATCCATCAGGAAACCCTAAATATAGGCCTTTCTGCTGAGTCAGAGTCAGTCATGTAGGTGACTGAACTGAAGTTCTCCCTCTCCAGTCTGTGAATATGATAAAACTGAGGGTAACACTCATTCGTAGCTCACTTTGACGTTGCAAACCTTTGAAAGTTGACTCTGGTAAAACAAGTGTCGTCACTCATCCCATCAGTATCTCTAACGTTAAAACTTCTTTGAAGATTAGTGTGGCTCAGTCTATTCGCCCCTAATTTTCATCTAACAATATTGTGGAATAAGATTTTTACTTGAGATCTGTGATCGTCGATCTTGAACTCTTTTCTGTGCAGAAGATGCACCATGTGAGATCTACGATATTCTTTTTGCCCTTGTTCAGATCAGGAAAGATCAGGTAGGGAAATTATCAATAGAATAACATCACATGTCTTTTGGACAGCTTGTCATCGGCCCACCAGGCAGCGGGAAGAGCACCTACTGCCATGGCATGCAGCAGTACCTACAGCTGACAGGCCGAAAGGTCGCGGTCATGAACTTGGATCCTGCCAACGATGCTCTCCCATACGATTGTTCGGTAGATATCGCGGATTTGGTGTCACTAGATGCAGTCATGACCAGCCTTCATCTTGGGCCAAATGGAGGTGGGCTTCTGACTCGAACACTGCGCATGCGGAGGGTCAATGCTCTCAAATGATATATGGCTGTGTTACACTTATTCACCAAGGCATCTTAAGCGCATTGCATGTGCAGGCTTGCTGTATTGCATGGATTTCTTGAGCGAGAACCTTGACTGGCTGGAAGAGAGGCTGGCCCCTCTTCTACAAGGTTTGCATGCAACGACCGTCCCCCAGTCACCAGCCAACATTCCCTCTGCCAAGTGTGCACTATGCATAGCACTGCCTCGCGGTAAGATCGCATGCATGCAGAGGGGTACTACATCATCATTGACTGCCCGGGGCAAGTGGAGCTCTTCACACTGCGCAGCGGGCTGCAGAATGTGATCAAGGCCCTCACAGACAGATTGCACATCAGGTATTGCAAATATCTCCTCATGGCATGCCAGTCCCTGGTGACAAGTAGCCTCAAGCAAGCAGGGCAGTCGAGATTGCAGGGGACATCACTGTGCTGAGCGCTTGCGGGCAGGCTGGCAGCAGTGGAGCTGGTCGATGCGCACCTGTGCTCGGATGCCGGCAAGTTTCTGGCGGCGCTGCTGCTGAGCCTGTCCAGCATGATGCATTTGGAGCTGCCCCATATCAATGTCCTGTCCAAGGCTGACCTGGTGGAGGCCTACGGCGAGCTGCACTTTGACCTGGACTACTACACTGAGGTGAGACCACCCAGCACCCTTGGCAAGCCCGGCCTCTTCTGGCAGCCATGCAGCTTCTCGAGAAGGACATGCACTGCATGCGACTGCAGAGCCATCTTGCTGAATGGCTGAAACAGACCCCTTCTCAAGAGGGTATCTGCATGATCTGCATGTCCACTGGCATGTCCTTGTAGCAGATGCCCTGAAGGCCTGGTGCTTTGGATGCGACCCTTCCTGCTTGTGATTGGAGACATGACGAAAGGGCACTCTTACAGTTATAAAGACAGTCCTACTGAGTCTCTTCTGTTTCGCCCTTGTAGCTGAGCTTGAATGTAGCTGGCATGGGGCTGCAGGTGCAGGACTTGTCCCGGCTGGTGGACACGATAGGCGAGGATGCTTTTGGGCGGCGCTACAGGAAGCTGTCAGAGGCGCTGGGGGAGGTGATTGAGGACTACGGGTTGGTGAACTACACGCCGCTGGCCATAGAGGACAAGGACAGCGTGCAGAGAGTGGTCGCCCTCATAGACAAGGCCACCGGCTACGTGTTTGCGGGCCTGGCCGGCAAGAGCCCGTACCCGCCGGAGTTTGTGTACGGCGCCGGCGCGGCCGACAGCGGCGCGGCCGACATGTGGGAGAGGCACCAGACCCAGCAGGAGCTGCGCGTGCACGAGCGCGAGCCCTCCTGACCAGACTGGCATTGGGTGAATATTCTTAGATGCGTTACATGGCATAGGTTGGAGATGAAATGAAAAAAAATTGTATGTACAAAGATCAAAGAATGGCATCAAAGCACTTGCAAAAACATCAAAAAGGGAGAAATTTGTGATTGTCTGTTGCTAATGTCAATTCAGTTGTGTCAAGTTTGATAATCTGTGCCAAACTTGGTTTCAACCAGAGTTGCAGAAAAGTAGGTTTGTAAGTCCCAGTGTCCCAGTATGTGTACCAACATGGCATTTTGCAAGGTCTACTCCCCGCCAATCTCGCAAGTCCACCATCCTTGTACAAAAGGCAGCTTCTGTCTCCCTATCTATCTCACTTGCCACAGAGCCTGAATCGTGGCTTCTGCATATTTTACACTCAAAAGCACATATCATTATAGCTGCAGCATCAATCTCACCAATTACCCAGACATGCGGGGAAGTTGCAAACATCACTGCTCAACAGAAGTAATTTCTTGCTCCATTACACAGCCGACAGCTGATAATTGTCACACTTTCAAGGGCAGCACAAGGCCCCTGAAGCAGTTGTCGGGGGTGAAGGTCCTGGCGGCCACGCCTCGGACGTCCTCAGGCGTGAGCTGCTCAACGAGCGCGGTCTCTGTAAGCAGAGACTGCCAGGAGCCTGTCAGTGCGTGGTACGACGCCAGTGCGGACGCCATGCTGCTGTTGCTGCGCAGCGCGTCCACCAGTGTCACCTTCGCCGCCTGCACAGGGTGCACACAGCACAGCCTCAACTCCCAGACAGGCATCTTTGAACACTGCAGCTGCAAATTTTCAGGCAGGTCGCATCTGGAGAGAGCGAGCTGGTACGTGTAAGGAGAATATAATTTCCTGATGCACATGGTGCACACCCCACCCAACTTCCAGGCGGGCACCTTTCAACACTGCTGCTGCACGTTGTCATGCGGCAAGAGGCCGCATTTGGAGAGGGCATCCAGAGAGAGGCGGCTGGCATGTGTGTGAATGAGGGAACATGCCTTCTTGATGCGCTGGAGTTCGCGTACAGTGGGACCGCTGTCGGCCAGGGCACTGATCTGGTCGGCCAGCGCGCGCTCGACGGCGGCCAGGCCAACGTCGGAGGCCGGCAGCGCGTACAGCAGCGTGACGCAGGCATGCTTGTCGCCCGGGTAGCTCGGCACCGAGTTGGCCGTGTAGGCAACCCCGCGCTGCACCAGGTTCGCGTTTAAGCGCGCCGTTCGCGAGCCGCTCAGGATGTCACTGCGGGGAGGCCACAACGCACATGGTCAGCTACAGTAAGTAAAGCATCTGCTTGATTCGTGTTCAACAGTGCCTCAAGCCGCACACAGGGCAAGCCTGCTTGACGCACTTGTGGCACAAAATGGTAATGGACTCCTCAAGCCACTGCTCTACGCTCTTATGTGGAAGGTATGTGATGCATGGGCATGACCTAGGCACTGCCTCGGCCTTACGACTCATGCACATACAGCTTTTACACACACAGCGGTGCACAGGAAGCAAGATTGCCAGCTTGGATGACCATAGACTTGCCCTTTATGAACGCACCTGATGATGTCGTGGACGGGCGCGTCTGGGTGGGCGACCCCTGGCCGGTAGAAAGCCTGCATGAAGGCAGGACCAGCCTTGGCAGCCTGCTGCAGCTCCATGGGGCCCTGGCTCGGCCTCGGCAGCGCCTCCACAGCACTGGGCGCCGCTGCCGGCAGCACCTCCTGGCGCCAGCCGCCAAAGTACTTCTCCGCCAGATCCCTCACCTGCACGCATGCCCATCCTGATACAATCATGCGCGCTTGGGGCAGCTTAATGACAGCCTTGTGTACGCATCAGCCCCAACCTCAAACAATACAAGCAGTATATGATTTGCCACACGTTTTTGATTTCAATTGGGAGGCTGGTTGTCTCCTCACTGACTTAGGACCCTATCAAGTACAGGGCCTGATGAAGAAGACCCTAAAGCAGAGGCAGGCAGACAACATTATGCGCGCGCCTGCTGGGGCACAATGTCGCCGACAACGGAGATGACGAGGTTGCGGGGCCCGTAGTGGCGCCGGAAGAAGGCCTCCACCTCGCGGCGGCCCAGGGACGCCACATCGCGCTCAAAGCCGATGACGGGGCGGCGGTAGTTGTTGGCCAGCGCGGCCGCCAGAAAGGCCTCCTGGAAACGGCCCAGGGGCGCCGAATCTATGCGCGACCGCCGCTCCTCCGCCACCACCCGCTTCTCGCTGTACAGCTCCCTGAACACCGGCGCCTGCGTGTCACATTTCTCTCAGTCATGAGGATTCATTAGGGTGCACTTTGGGGTGGGGCCCCCAATATGGCATGTGCTGACTATGACATCTACGGCTGTGCAGGATCCGAGGGTGGCCTCAGGGGTGGGCTTGGTGAGGATCAGCAAACACGACATGCCCAGGCGGGAGTTTGCCTGGTCTGTAAGCAATCTGTGAGTCTGTCAGACTGATGCATCATCATGCAAGTGATGTGCAGGGTGCATGGGCAGACAAGCTGTTGAGCTGCACTGGCACCTGGAAGCGCTCGGCCTCGAGGGCGAACCAGAGCTCGAGCTTGTTGGCGGGCAGGCTCATGAAGTACTTGGTGGCGTCGTGGCTGGTAGTCGCATTCAGGCCCACCGCGCCGGACCGCTGCAGCAGCGACCCGAACGCGTTGGGCTCCACCAGCTCCCCCGCGGCCGCCACCAGCTGCTGCAGCTGCGCGTACAGCTGCCCCGCGCGCGACGCCTGCCCCGCCTCGTGCGCCTCCCAGAACGCGTAGAAGGCTGCGCAGCAATTCGTGCAATATCGGCAGGTGCAATTGAAGCTTGGACAAGCACGGACAGATTGTGAGTCATATAAGAGCACTGGCTTTGGATAGCTGTTGTGTGTGTGACAAAGAAAACGGCCGTGCAAGGGCTGCACCTTCATCCACGGAGTTGAGCAGCGCGGCCTCCCGCAGGTAATCCTTGGTCCCCAGCCTGGCAGACCCCTTGAAGGCCATGTGTTCCAACAGATGCGCGATGCCTGTGTGCACACTGAGATATAAAACTATTGCTGGTGGGGAAAGAGAAGCATCAGTGGGAGAAGCAGTGCAGAGCTCTTGGGGCGGCCTCACCTGTCTGGCCATCCACCTCGTCAAAGGCTCCCACGTTGGCATATGTGTGCACGCTGACGATTGGCGCGTTGTGCCTCTCCATGACTATAAAGTGCAGGCCATTTGCCAGCTCAAATTCTGTGATGCGCTCTGTGAGCCTCTTCTCCATCTCCATGGCGCCTGCAGGGAGGCATGCAGCCTCAGATCATACATGACAGTTCTGATGCAGAAGCGAGCATTGCCCAGCTCATTATCAGCAGAGCGTGGCAAAAGGCTCACCAAATCCAGCTGGGGCTGATGAAGCTTCACAAAGGTCGCATCGCATCGCTGAGCTAAGTGTGATCGTTGCAAGCATGCCTCGTCTAGAAAGGCTGATCTGTTCCCCTCTATCATTCGATCCATCTGTATTGCTTTGAGCACGTGTGGTGGATCTGCACTGACGCTTTATGGATCTTGTTGTCCTCACATCTTCCTTGATCTGAAGATGGGTCAATTTTTCGAATCTGGCATTACATGCAAGTGATCGATCCGGTAACATGCAATTGAGACTAATAATAGAAAAGGTCCAAAGATGCAGATGGAGATGAAATGACAATATAGGAAGTGATGGTCAAGAGAAAGAGAAGGATGACTCACAAGCCACGTGGCACCTGATCAGCAGCTTCGTTCCAATAAGAAGGTGCACATGCCCTCTCTAAAGGGAGGATGAGATGACGGAAGCGATGTTTAAATTTCCCTGAAAGAGTTGTATGCAGCAGTGACATCCTTGCGATCGAAGTCTCTAGCTCAACCTATGCTGCAATTCGATATTTTAGGCTTGACTTCCTCCAATACTTGGACTGATCCCATTGGCCCAGGAAGATCTTTGAGAATTTCACGGCTTGTAGAAAAGGTCCTTCCTCCTCGGCGTTTTGTAAAAATTAATCAGGTCCTTGGGCACAGAGAACATACGAGACGTGTAGCAGCTCAGGCAAAGTCCGGGACGGGCATGAGCTTTGACTTTACTGTCCAAGAGCCAATACAGGAAGCGAAGGAACAGCAGATCACCAAAGATAACTTGACAGAGCGTTGGTCTCAGCAGTCACGCCATGGCGACAAGGGCAATAGCCAGAAGGAAAGGCAGCCCCAAGGACAGCAGCTTCACAGAGCTGAGGGACGCTCAGCAGTGGCCACCATCAAGGGATCATCACCTAGATTGACAAATGCTGATTCCCCCGGTACCGCAAAAACTACCCAGCGGAAGCGCAGACGAAAAGCCAAGAGGAGGAGTGAAACATCTGGAGAGCAGCAGAACGTCAACACCCTGAAGCAGGCAACAGAAGCTTCAGGTGATAGAGAGGCCGCTGCCATACATCCTGGTGAGGGGCAAGGCAAATTTGCAGAAGCACCACAATCTGAAGCCCATGACAGCGCAGCACATGCAGCCTCAGCAGCAGGGGACGTGCTGCAAGTCCGACGGGGAGAACTGGGACCAAGCTTGCAGCCAGCATTGTTGCACCCTGGGAGCCCTGCAAGACAGCCCTATCCAGTTGGGCAGACAGTGCAGCTGGGCAGCGCAGACAGCCTGGCCTTCCTCATGGGCCTGGGCTTAAGCACTCAGGCGGCCAGTGATACGCTCAGCAGAACCCTCTCTTCAGCCTCCGATGGACGAGCAGGAGTCCAATTCAGACGCATCTCTGCGTGGCAGGTAGGGTGAAGGCCAAGCATAGCATTTGAGACTGTGTTCTGAAGAAGAGTTTCTTGCGGCGACTGAAGGAAAAGTGTGGGGGCAGATGGAGGCAGTGTGCCGGTCACTCGTGGAGTACAACATCAGGGTCCGGGATCTGGGGCAGCTGTTTGTCACCTGCCCGGCACTGCTCACTTGTCGCGCAGAGGATATCCATCAGCGGGTGAGTACGCGCGTGTCTACTGTTGTCATTGTTGAAGGACAGACGTATGAGTATCTTTTCTACCAAACATCAGCTCTTGTGCTTGACACCAGGTTGAACATTACCTCCCTGAGTAGAGGCGTGTTTGCAGGTAGAAGACATCTCTCAAATGCTTGGAGCACCCACCAGCAAGATCACCAAGGAGAGCTGTCTTGCGAACCTGATCTCTGGCGCACCCGGCATCTTGGCGGATCCCGATGCCATGAGACGGTTGCAATTCCTTGTCGGTCACGTACAGCGCATTGGCAAGAGCCTGCCAGAAGAGTGCAGCGGCACCTTGTGGGCAATGGCCTACAAGTGCCCAAAAGTGTTTGCTGTAGATGTATGCTACTCCCCTGTGCTTGCATAATATTGCTCCGTACAGACTTTCTCGTGCACCACAGCATTTCCCTGCTTGTAGGACCAAAAAATCTGCCAAAAAATATATTTGTCTGGCACAGAGTGTGGACGTCCTGCAGTCAATCAGGTTCCTGACCCTACAGCTGCAAGTGGACAGCAAAGGGACACTACTGCTGGTGGCCTCACATCCTGAAATTTTGATAACGGGCATTGCTGAAGCCTTCGAGGCCCTGCTCGCAGTGCTACCCCTTCAAAAGGCAGAGCTCAAGGTGAAGGCCTGCCCTCTTGGCACCTGAATGAAGATTTTGCCAGTGTGCCTTTACAACAGTTGTTGCATCACACTGATCTGTCAAGACGGCATCAGAAAGGAACTCATGGAAAGATCTTGCTTTGACTGCCTCCCATGCATTTGCCAAATCCATGCGTGCAGGCGGTCATCAGGAAGCACCCTATCACATTGGGCGTGGATGTGGAGCGAGCTGGAAGTGTGCTCAAGGCGTTACGTGCAGGCGGCATGGAAGATGCTGAGGTGGTGCAGCTGGTGCAGAAGTTCCCAGCTGTCCTGTCCACAAGGCCAGTGCTTGCCCAGCATTCCTCTTCTGTACTCTACATGCGTGCAACAGCATCCTAAGTCAGCAGTGGCATGTCTTGCAACTTGAGCTTCCCCAGGGTAATGCCATCAATAATTGGCGGAGTACAGCTCAGGCTGGCTGATGTGATGCTGGTGCAGGCCCAAGGATGTGCAGGTGAGGCTGGCATTCCTGACAAAGCTGCTGGGCGTGCCAGCGGGGAGCATCTTGGGTGCACCGAGCCTCTTCTTCAACAGGTCTGTGGTGAGCACCATCGGCCCACGCTTCAGCTTCATCAAGGATTGTCTGCCGGATAGCACCGCCACATGGGCGCCCACCACGCTCCTGCGCTCTTCTGATGAGGTGAACGGAACTGGGGAGATGGTGGTGCCAGGAACACACTGTCAAGCTCTTGTTGCCTGCTTGCACTTGTGATCACAGCGCCTGACGTGGCTTCTGCTGCCACGGAAGAAGAGTCTTGACCAGGCATTGTGTGTGGCAGGACTTCTGCGAGCTGACAGAGGCACCCCTGGAGCAGTATGCAATCTACAAGAAGCAGTGGCAGGAGGCGAATGGGAGAAGGTTTCGAGCAAAATAATCCCATAGGGGACTTTGAGCACTGCATGTATATCTGAACACTGATTGAATTAGCAGAAAATTGATGCAATGGCATGAAATTGCCAAGAATACTTGAACACAACATTGGAAAAGCAAATAAGCCACGAGTTTACACAGTTCTTCTGACAGCTGTACAAACTGTTTTGAAGCAGATCAACTTGACCGGAAGTTTGAGCTTGCTGTCACTTTAACGATACATCAGTCATGACTATTTGTGCCCTCAGCTACCCTTTGGGGCTATGTAATCGTTCGCACTCCCGTACTTGAAAGCGTCAACCTGCAATGCACAGTCCAGCTCAGAAGCAAGCCTCCTGAAGTATCACAGCATTTGATACAGATCTGAAGGCTGACACAATGTGTTGTGAAGATCAGAACACCCACCAGGCAGCGCCACCGGAAGAGGAGGCCAGGGAAAGGTCTCAGCAGGGTCTCATGCGCAGGTGACATGAAGGACGCCAGAGAGAAGAGGATGTCATAGAATAGGATCCCCAGGAAGCTTGAAGCAAACATTTGGCCAGCCTTGGGCGAGCGCATAAAGACTGTCATGCGGAACAGCTGGCCAGGCTCGTTTGCAATCTGCCCCCCAACCACCTTGGACAAGCAGCTCCACTGCAAGTAGTCCTGCATGCCACAACACCTCATCAGATTGCATGGCATCCTGAAGGATCAGCAGTGGCAACAATGACTCTTCAAGTTGAGCATTCTAGATATGAGTCCAGTATGTAAGGATTAGAACAGAAACATGTGTAGTCCTGAAAAGAGCATGGAGTTACTAGCCCCATCAAAAAGATGCTGGCGGTCACCTGCATGAATGGTCTGTAAACGCTCTCCCCATATTTTGCCATGTGATAAAAGGAAGATCCGAGGTAGTTCTGTATTATGTTTGGATCAAAAGAGTCGCCATCAAAAACTTGATTGCTCCTCGTGCCCATGCTGAACTGCAGCAAGCAGAGATACACCCTCACGCCACTTAAAAACATGCTCAACTGAATGAACCCACGATAAAGCAGCATGTACCTACGATAAGGCAACCTAATAAAGAAGTAAGATCCCAGGCTCTGTTCGAATTTGTAAGCAGAGACTTACCTGCATAGCTGCCGTCATTGAGATCGCGGGTGATTTTGGTTGCAACAATTGAAGGGCCCCCCTGCTTGTCTGATTTGTTTCAAGAGCAAAAGCCAACCCCTCCGTCAGGCGAGGCAGATGCCTAGCCATTGATCCAAAGCCTACACACCGCAACACACCCATGAGGCTCTGTGAATCATAGCTACTGAATGACAGGCCTCAAGTATGTGCTAGTCCATGTGTATGATTGGATCAACAGTACACCGACGCGGCTTGAATATGCCTAGATGGATTGGTCCTACCTGCAAAACTGAGCGCTGAGCGGTTGCCTGCTGAGTCCCCAATGTGGAGCAGGCGTGATGTGATGGGCTTTAATGGGGTGTCGTGCCAGTTGGGCACAAAGCCAAAGAAGGGCCGAACACATGACACCCCATCCAGGTCTGAAATCCCCCTGTATCTGGGCAGGTCACTCAGATAGTCCGCATACACATCCTTCAAGCTGGGCCGCCCTGTTACACACGGTGTTCAGTCCACCTGTACGAATTCCAGTGCAAAAGTCAGGGCTTCTCAAGGCATGCAACTGGAAAGGCATGCAACTGAAATCTCACCTGGAGTCGGGTCTGTGTAGGCAAACATGTAAGTGGTGATGCCGTCCCGAGCAGGAAACACCTCCCAAAAGTACTGCAATCTCCTCTCCCTGTGTGCATGCATAAACTTGACCATATGTTCTCTCTGGCACACCCCTTCTGCACTGAACAATATTATTTACCACTCAAAAGGCAGTGTCCTCTGTCACGGCGTGTCACCTGTTAATGGGAGTGAAGGACCAGAGCAGGTCTGCAGACGTTGTGGGTGGCAGTCCAGTGGCGCAGCTGCCCACCATGAGCACAACAGAGTCCGGCTTTGTGCCGCGCCGCGCCTGGGCTGCTATGGGGCTGAAGCTGCCCATGGCATCCACCAACACCTTGGCTCGCACAGCCACACCCACCTAAACACACAGACACACGTCTTGTGATCAGCGAGTGACGCCAGATATTACAAAGAGCAAGTATTATGTATGCCAGGCAGAGAGGTAGTCACCTGCTCCTCTGAGTCTGTGCCGAAGGAGACTTGCAATCTGGCCCCCTCGCCTCCCGCGCCCGCAGCCAGGCCGTGCACTGCATCCTTCCCTTGCATTGCCAGCTGGATATGAACCCCCTCAGGGTGCACTGTGGCGGCCTTGAAAGCAGCGCCTTCCAGCAAAGTCCTGCGACAGCAATCCTCCCTGAGGCATCGCCGCAAGGTTGTCCCAGCATACCAACAACAGTCGAAGGGCTCTTTTTTTATGATGCATATTTTTGTTTGAGGCCAGCACTCACCCTCCAGCTTCAAGGAAATGCTCTTTGACATATTTCAAGAGGAGCGCGGGACTGACACCACAGTTCAATACATCTGTGGTGGTGATCTCTGATATCCCCTCGAAGCCCATTCTCACAGGATTGAATTCTGACACTAAAACCTCCTCAAGCTCTGTCTCTGACAGCAATCCCATCTCGACGAAGACCTGCAAGTGGCATTGCAGCGTCAATCAGCGATCTGTGAGCCAAGAGCCTTCAAGCATCACACGCGAAATTGGGCAGCACTGCATGCATGGCAGAAAGATGGCAACAGTCTGGGAGGTCGATGCACCTTCATGTCTTCCCGTGAAATGTTCCACTCCTGGTCTCTGCCAATGAGCTTCCCCCTTTCAACGCAAGCCACTTTGATCCCTCGCTTTGAGAGAGTGGCCGCAAGGAAGATCCCCAAAGTACCTGCTCAGAAAGTCCAGATATATCATGCGAAGTATGGAATGTACTATATCAATCCTGGATGAGCTTCTCTGCTTCTCCTCTTTCAAGACAGCCCAACAGCACAGAAGATGCTCAAGCATGAATCGTTGCCAGGATAATCACCGCCAAGAATGACAACATCAAACTCCTGGTAGCACGGTTGAGACAACGGTGCTTTAGTCTCAGTGATCACTTCCCGGAACGGCATGCGCTCAGCATCGCAAAGCTGTCTCCAAGCTGCGTCGGCATTTTCCAGATTTGCCAGTGCTCGATTACCAGGGACGGCCTGCAATAGTGAACCGTTCAGACACACTCCAGCAAGCAGAGGGAACTGCAGGTGTGATAGAAAAAGAAAGGCACCTGCAGAAACTCTGTCAGATACATCGTGCCATCAGATGTTGTACTAGGCCTGTCTTGCTCTACAATTTGGGCTCTGCACAAATTTGAGCGGTGTGAATGCCGCTGTGCTTGCATTAATGGCCTTGCTGCTGCAGAGCTCGATGAAGCTAGCTTGTTACTAGCTAATCTAGTGCACAATTGCATGTTGCATCTTGAATGCAGACAGTGATGATTGACATCCATCGATCGATAGGTTTCTGATGCAGTAAGTACAAGCGGCAAGCTTCGCAAAGAATCCCTCGTTCGATTCCTCGACAAGCACAGATAAGGAATTAGCCATATACTTTATAATGAACGGTTTACAGAAGACCTTGCTGTCGGTGTGACTTTGTGCCGAAGAAATTGGTCATCAAAACGACGAGACCTCAGATCAGGGTTTGCTCCCCTGTTCCAGTCAATTTACAGGGTCATCGAGGCAATAAACCTTATCGAGGTCGAGATTCTCGCCTTTCCGTTCAGCGTGCGATATCAGTTGCAGTTTTGTCCGATACATTCTGGGATCCGTCACAGAGTGCAGCCATGGCCTCGATGATGCTGACCGCTGCGCCCCTCTGCTCAGCACCGTCTCGCCAGAGCAGCTTCCAGGGCACCGCAGTGCGCAGCAAGCCCGCTCTGTCTCGCCGTGTTCTGTCCCTGAGCAGGGCTGTTGCTGAGGAGAAGGCTGCCTGGAAGCCACCGACATTGGATCCCTCCACCCCTTCTCCGATTTTCGGCGGCAGCACAGGAGGTCTCCTGCGAAAGGCTCAGGTGCAGAAACTCAAATGGAGTTGGCTGGAATGCTGTACTGTGATCCTTGCAGTCCTGTAATTTATTGCCTCATAAAGCTGGATGACCTGTTCCACTCTGTCACGTACGGGCAACCTAACACCTGCTCCTTTTCAACCTGATGTGCATCTGCACGTACATCAAGACCCATCAAACAAAGGACTTTCCTTGTGGTGCAGATCGAGGAGTTCTACGTGATCACATGGGACGCAAAGAAGGAGCAGGTGTTTGAGATGCCCACTGGCGGCGCGGCCATCATGCGCTCAGGCCCCAACCTGCTGAAGCTGGCCAGGAAGGAGCAGTGCTTGGCGCTCTTGACGCAGCTGCGCAACAAGTTCAAGACGGACGGTCAGATCTACCGTGTCTTCCCGGACGGTGAGGTGCAGTACCTGCACCCCAAGGACGGCGTGTACCCCGAGAAGGTCAACGCTGGCAGGACAGCAGTCGGCGCCAAGGACCGCAGCATCGGCAAGAACACAAACCCCGTCGCGGTGCGCTCTCACTCCGGACTGTCTCTGTGCTGTGCTCTCAGGTGGTGTCACTTGGGCTGCTGCAGGCCTGATGTATTCTGGGCAATGGCCCGAGAGGCGCGAGCTCTACTTGTGTCTATAGAGCAAAGGGTTTGTGGGTTGTGTGTGTCTGAGTTAATGAGCAGGCAGGCATGACTTGTGTGTATGCAACTGCAGGTCAAGTTCACCGGCAAGCTGGGCACCTACGATGTATGATCAACCACATTGTAGTGTGGGCGGCTTTGGGAAGTAGAAACCGAGGAAGGGAGGGCAATTATGGTTGTCAAGCAATTGCAGAGGGATAGCCCAATGTCCATGTCCTGCTATTGCAAAAAGAAAAGAGTGCAATTGCACCGACCGTTGTAGCTTTTGTAGATGCTGCAGACTGAGAAGAAAAAGCAAATCACTGTTTTCCAGGGTTTGGATGCAAACCATTTGACGACTAGTCAAACCTTCATGAGCATGAGTGTAAGGATCTGGGTATTGTCATGGTCCAGCCGCCCATAAGGAATGGCGATGTCTCATAGCTGAGTGGGTCATAATTTATGTAGCACCGCTTTCAAACTTGTCACCATTTGTATGCTCTTGCAAAATTCCCAGCGCATGAATAAAGTTGCAATCATGTGGAGACAATGAAAGTTGGCATCGACATCAAGGAGGGCCAGCCTTACAAGTGCTTACAAGCAAGCTGCAGGACTTTCAATCTGGGGCATACAACTAGTGTACTGGTGATTATTGCTGCACATACATGAGTAGTGTGTGTCCTCGAAAGAAGGCTCCAGAAGTACAGCTACATGTATGAAAGGATATGCAACCTCACTTTACATCCTCAGATAATTGCAAGGAAGGGCGCAAGGCACACGAGCGCGCTGCCACACACTGCAGTGCACTCGTGCCACCCAGCTGGCGCATGTGACAATGTCAACAGGATCCTTGAAACTCTCAAACACATCAACCTTGCTAAGATTGTCTCAATGTACAATGCTATAAATAATATACACACGGCACAACCAAAAGGATATCATGATCTGTAACTGAGGCAAATATCCAAGCCCCTCTTCCTTGTGCATTTGGCGGGTAAAAGGAGCAATGGGATTGCCAGGAGCAACTTATCAGCCTGGAACCCGATTGGAGAGCCTATATCGGCAAAAACCTGGACGGATGACAGCCTGCAAGCCTCCAAAGGCACAAATGATGTACAAGACCTCAAGCTTTGACACAAAAACCTCCAACCTTTATGCCCCACAACACAGAAATGGATCAAGAGTCTGCTGTCAGGTGCTCCAGCAACGCCAGGGCGCTGGTCAGGTCGGCTGCCTTAAATCCTTGGAACACAACATGCTCCTTCTCTCCAAATGTTATGTGCAGCTTCTCAGAGGGTCCTGATTCCAAACACACGGAATCCAAAGGTAAGAATCAATAAGTCAGGGGACCTTGTCAACACATGCAAATTTCCACAAGCAGATCTGCTGAACCATTCCTCAGACTGAGCAGTGTTTTTCTCACTAATTCTCCACATAGACAATATTTCAACAACTAGCTACCCTGCAGGGACAGAGCCAGGTCAAAGAGCAGCACTCTACATCAATACATACCTGGCTTCCTGGTCTTTGCAACCACCTTCTTCACTTCTTTGACATCTTTGTGAGCCAGGCAGAAAGAGATCTTTTCCGATGGAGCACTGAAGCATGTGTGCTTGTCCGTCACATACAGAGTGCCAAGGAAGGTGATCTGCACGGCACCCACAAATGAATCACAGCATCACATCATCGGTGTCTTTGAGTTAGGCTTCAGATGTTTACATCTTCTGATCGTCAGGATGACAGCACACCTCTCGAGCCCTGGAAAAGGTGTTGTAGGTGCAAGCATAGGTCTGGGCCAGCATGCAGTGGAAGCCCTCCATCAATTCCTCCTCAGGTGGCAGTCCAAACAGGCTTTCAAGCTCAGTCCCTCCCTGCAATCAAATGCAATGTTATATTCTTCAGCCCTTGCTGAAGGGAAAGTTTAGTCTTGTGTACTCGTCTGATCGGTCATGCGCAAATTGAAATCACAGCTTTGCTCTAAAGCAGAGCAAAACAGATGTGATGTGATACCTTGCTGTCAGCCATGGAACTCGCTTCCCGGCCAGGAGAGTTTGGCTGGGGCTTGGGCACAGGATCCAGATTAGCCCACCATGTTGACACATTGTTTGCGAACAGGCTGGCTGTCTTTGCCAGGCTGTCCTTTGCATCAGCTGCTCCATGCATCACCTGCGACCAATCACCCCAAGTTCAGTATATTCTTTGCTTCAAGCATGAGAAAACACACTGCAGGAGATACAGGTGGCTTGAATGTCGATGTACCTGCCAGGACTGGACGTTGTCTGCCATCAGTGTCAGACTCTGCTTTGCCCCTGCAGCTCCACCGATGATCTGAAACCACATGTTTCACTGTCATGTGAGGCCAAGCTATGCCATTGTCTCAGCAAATGGAACACGCAAATTGTGCATACCTTTGTCGACACAGTTCTGGCTGCTGTCGACGCCAACTCTGTTGCCTGCATCCATCAAGATCATTCAATACCCTCGCCTGACACAAGAGAAGCACGTTCCAGATGGCGTTGCAATGTGTTGAGCTTATCAGAGCTGCCTACCTTCTGTGTCGCCAGCTCAATGTCCTTCAATGGGTCATAGATCGGCTCACCCATTGCATTGACAGTGTTGGGAGGAGGGCCTGCAGATACCACAAGTTGCTTGCACATGTCTGCTTTCATCATGAGCAGCTTCTCTTCATGGATTATAGTACACTAAGATTGATCCCATGCACACAAGAAGAAGTTATCCATGCGATCTCTTTTGCCTTACCTTGGCGGTTGCCGCGCCAGCTGATCTCCGGGTCTGGCTCCTCTGTCACACCAGCTTGACTTTCGTCTGCACCCTCTCCTTTGACAGGGGTCCTGCGTGTTGCAGCCTGCTGCACAGGCGCAGCAACTGGAGCTTTGCCAGGAGTTGAAGCTGCGTCCGGTCTGGGAGCTGAGACATTCTTGCCAACCACAGCCGGCTCCTGCCTCTGTACCACCTCATCATCACCTGCATGCAAGCTGCTACAATCAACACCCTCCACCTCTGTAAGTGGTACATATCCTCGGCCAAGCTGAGGCAAGTTGAAGCTGTGAGCCAGGCAAAAGTATATCATGCCTGATGGAAACTCCAGTTCTTCTCCAGACCCAGTGCTTGCCGAGTGCTCCACTTCTTCTAGGTGCACTTCCTCAAATTCTGAGCTGATGTTTGATGCCATTGACGCTGGTCGCTTCACTTTGTTCTGCACCAATGTCATTCCTCCCTGTAGGCACAGTATGGTTTCTTCAAGTATATGCAGCGCATCTGATCCTCTCAAACGTCATGATCATTCGTGATGGATGAAGTCTGCGTACATAGAACTCCTGCCCTTAAAACGCCTTTCAGCTTCCTCTCACGTCCATGAGAGTGCACGCTTTACACCATATCTTAGCGATCAGAGCATACTAATATGATCTGCACATTGCTGAAGACAAAGATGTTTCCTACTGATAACAAGGGCACCCTTTCCTCTTACTCAGCAGCACTGTAGAGTCCTACCTGCTTTATCAAGTCCGTCCCGGCATCCCACGAGGCACACCAGATCGTGCAATGCTTCGCTTCTGAGCAGCATGCACCCAAATCACGGTGCGTTAGACGTTCAATTATCGAGTTCACTTCCTCGGAAGAGAGTGATGGATAGCGGGGGGTCCCGTCCCACGTGGGCTCATATATCTGCGGGGGGACTGTTCTGTCGAGCACATTCTCGATGTGACAGGCATCCTTGCAAGCCTTGAAGCCTGAGAAGAATTTCGAGGTTGTTACGAAGCAATTTTCGACGTGTGTGTGCGCAAGGAGATTCCAGGCAGGCTGGTAGGAAAGGAAACAAGCCCTCTGATGACTCGGACGTTCTGAGTTGGCCTTCGGAATGATTTCTGCTTTGACAGCTAAATTGGCAAGATCCAAATCCGTGCTAAATACTGCGGGTCGCATCAATGTTGCCTACGTGCGTGGCTTCGCATCACAGCCCGAGTTAGCAACAGACAGCGCGGTGAGACTTTACTACATGCCACACGACCGTTTACGTATATCTAGCACAGTGATCTGTCTTGTGCAGACTTACAAGCTGCTCTGCACGTGCTTAAATGATTACATCTAACGATCTGCTATCGGTGTTCGGCTGCAGCCGTCTGTGAAGCTACTCATCAATGGGGAGTTCGTAGAATCTCAAGCCACAGAGTGGGTGGACGTCACAAACCCGGTGCGTATGTAAGGAAGATTCGTTGATTCACCAAGGGGCATTCTAATTTAGGGGATGTATGGAGATATGTGATCTAGTGAAACATGGGCACAGGTTCTGTAACCTCCAAGTGCAGCAAGCTCTGGCTAATATATATTTCTGCATGCATGCAGGCAACGCAGGAAGTGGTGTCAAGGCTCCCCGAGACAACCTCTGGGGAATTCAATGCAGCTGTGCAAGCTGCAAAAGAGGCATTCCCAAAATGGCGCAACACTCCCCTTCCCACTAGGTCCCGCGTCATGTTCAAGCTCCAGGAGCTCATCAGGCGGAATATGGTGAGCTGCACAACAGCGGAGCTTCCTTTTTTACTTGCCAAAATACATGAAACCTCAGTGCTTTCCTCTTTGCTAACTTTTATTTCTGGTGCCTGCAGGATGAACTCGCTGCAAATGTCACCCTCGAACAAGGAAAGACACTCCCTGACGCCAAAGGGGATGTTTTCAGAGGCCTAGGTGTGCCCTTGATGCAATAGCATTTTGGAGTTGCGCATACTGGCAGATATCATGCATGAGCGGGTTGTGAACTCAGCCGGTGCCTTGCTGCAGAGGTGGTGGAGTATGCTTGCAACCTGGCCCCGGATCTGATGGGAGACTACATTGAGAATGTATCAAATGGGATGGACACGTACAGCGTCCGACAGCCTCTTGGGGTAAGCACTCGTGAGATGCGCGTCAGATATGCTGCTATTCCAGGTGTTTCACTCGCTCTCTATGCAGTGCACCCTGCATGCACGGATAGCTAAACCTGGCATGTGCACTGCAGGTGGTTGCAGGCATTTGCCCCTTCAATTTCCCCGCCATGATACCGCTCTGGATGTTCCCCATTGCTTGCACGGTTGGCAACACTTTCGTCCTCAAGCCCTCTGAGAAGGACCCTGGGGCAGCCATGATGCTGGCAGAACTGGCCCTGGAAGCAGGCCTTCCCAGGTGATCCTCCTATAGGATTGATCCTATAGGAGGGTTTCTGCAATTCTCTGGCCTTGCAGTAATCAGGTTAACTCTCGGTGGGGGTTCTAGTACAGCATGCACACTGCTCTCAATGGCAATATCCAAGACAATGGCAGAATTTTCTTGCATTAGTGCGCAATGTGACGTTTGTACGCTTGCAGGGGAGTGTTGAACATCGTGCACGGGACGCATGGGACGGTGAATCGCATCCTGGATCACCCTGACATCAAGGCTGTGTCCTTTGTGGGCTCAGACAGGGCGGGCCGCTACATCTACGAGCGCGGCTCTGCCAATGGCAAGAGAGTCCAGGTGCCAATCGCCTAATGCATCTCCTTCAATCAACTTGCCCATTGGGGTTTTTTCTTCTGAGCTCCAATTAACTTCGTGGAGTTTCTGATGACTCTGCATTTTGTGAACGACAGGCAAACATGGGGGCCAAGAACCATGCTGTTATCCTGCCCGATGCAAACCCAGAGGCGACAGTTGCTGCACTGACTGGCGCCGCCTTCGGCGCTGCTGGGCAAAGGTGAGTTTCCCATCACTGGGCAAAGGTGCAGGGACTACTCCACAGAAAATGGAAGGCCACTGCTCAAAGGCCACATGTGCACCATGTGCCTGAACAGGCAGTGCCAGTCAGATCACGCCAGTTTTTGTCATGTTGGCCAGGTGCATGGCAATTTCGGCGGCGGTTTTTGTGGGCGGGATTGAGCCCTGGAAGGATGCCCTGCTGGAGCGCGCCAAGGCGCTGACCGTGGGCCCGGGGGCCGCAGCAGGCACGGACGTGGGCCCGCTCATCACTCCAGAGGCCAAGGACCGCGCAGCCAACCTCATTCAGAGTGGCCTGGACCAGGTGCATATTCCTGCACACTCCTCTGTTGCATTGGGAAGGATACTTTTTAGACATGCAGACATGCTCAGCTCAATGATACCTATCTCCGTACATGGCATTGGTGACAAGGTGAAGTACCGTATACATCGTTGTGATGATCAGGGGCTTTAGTTAATTTCCGAGGGGAGTGCTGTGTGGCTCAGGGTGCGAAGCTGTTGCTGGACGGCAGAGGAGTGAAGGTGCCAGGCTTTGAGTCCGGCAATTTCTTGGGCCCCTCGCTGCTGTCCGGTGTCAAGCCGAATATGGAGTGTTACAAGGAAGAGATCTTTGGACCTGTACTTGTCTGCCTGGAGGTGAACAGCTCCACTATCCTTCATGTTGTCATTTCTCTGGCATACAGATTCTAGAAAGGCGTTTTTCTTTTACAGCCAGCATGCCTCATGTCAACGTGAGCACAGTGTCGTCATGGAATAGGCTCATACGCTGCACAAAAATAGTTGAATCACTGAAGGCTGGCTGTGCCTGTAGGCCGAGACTCTGGACGAGGCCATCAGCATTGTCAATGGGAACGAGCATGGCAATGGCACAGCGCTGTTCACTCGGTCGGGGCCTGCAGCGCGCAAGTTCCAGAATGAGGTAGGCACTTTTTCCCCCTCTTGATTTCAAATGCCTCGGAATGCCTTGCTGTATCCCCCGCATCGGGCTGTGCAGCCTAGCACTGAAGGCCGGATGCTGACAGTGGGCTGGGAATGCAGGTGGAGGTGGGCATGGTGGGCATCAATGTGCCCATCCCCGTGCCGCTGCCCTTCTTCTCCTTCACAGGCTGGAGGGGCTCCTTCCACGGGGACCTGCACATGTACGGCAAGGCTGGCCTCCAGTTCTTCACACAGGTGAGCTCCCCTCCATCACGCTGCATGTCTCCACTGCTTGTCTGCACTGTCTGTCAGGAGCAGTCCTGTGTTGCATGGCTGTTCAGGACTGCTCACAAGCCAAGACAAAGCCTGACAGGAGGTGCTGATTGTGTGCAGGCAAAGACCATCACAACAAACTGGAAGGACACCGATGACCATAGGAGCAAGCGTGCTCCAGGGCTCGACGCTGTGGGCACATCAGCTGCCCCAAGCTAGCTTTGCAGAAGCAGTCCGACGGCATTTCACTTTGTGTCAAGTTCATGATTGTACTACCTTCCATGATGCAGCGAATGCACACTCCTTGGCCAAGGCACATGAGAGGCAGCATGTCAATTTTGCTGAATCTGAATGCATCTCTCTAATCTTAAGTCCAGTCGTCTGCAGGACAATCATCTGCCAGTGTGTGCCACACTGCTGGGAAGATCTTGTGATCACATTCTTGTCACATCATATTTATGTCGAATCTGCTCGTGTCGGTGCGCATACTACTAAGCAAAGAATTCCGAGCCTTGTCGGTTATCCACCCTCATGTGCTATGGAGCAGGGAATACTAAATACAACATATTGTACCCCGTATGACGCCTGGCATCACTTTGCTCTTTTCTAGCCAGCAAGAAAGGTGTCTGTGTCCCCCTCGAAAATGCAGTTCCCACTTGTGACTGAGCTACTCAATCAAGACATCCACCAAACACAAAACTTCAACACACAAGCATCCCTCAAACTCAAGTCAACTGCTCATTTTCACGCTCGTTTGCGCCTAGTAAAACCTAGCCCCTCTGCGAATCTGCTCCCTGAGTGAGCATTCTGATAAGCATTGCATTTGATGTGCCCCTTGGGGGTAATAAAAAAAATCATGTGCACCCTCACATGATAATACTGTAACCCATCAATAAAATTCTGTTCCCAGCATCCTGATCAGACTCTCTCGTGATGCTGCAGAAGCGGCACAATCTGCCTGCAGAACAAAGACCTGACTCCAGTGGCAGTAGTTTTTATGCTTCTCACCACCGTGTTAATACCTCTCAATACCGGAAAGTAAGTAAGATACATATTTATTCTGCCGAGACACTCCCGGATGCTCCTATTCCCCTGTTCATCTCCCAGCCACTGGCTTTTGCCTGGTTCTGGCAGAGGGGCACCTAAAAAGATGCAGCCTCTGGGATATTCTGGCGGCCCCTGCTCAACCTTGCCCTGCATTGCAACATCGAAAGTGGGTCAGTTCTGTCATGGAGGGCAGACAAGCCTTGTCAATTCCTGAAGCTTCAACCATCTTTGTCTTGAGATGTGTGCTGCACACCAAAAAAGGCTTCGGAACTAAGCTGAGCCGGCAGGTATATGTGCTCACCCACGCAGATGGTGCCAAAATCGAGGAGCCTGTGGTCCTGGACAGCCGCAATGGTTGACACGACGGCCTCATAGTAGATAATGACCATAGAGATGACCATGAGCAGGGCCATGGCTATCACCACCACTGACCGCCTGTCGAGCGCCTTCATCAGCCAGTAGCAGGTCACCTACACAGTGCCACAAAATTAGAGGCCGCTGTCACCTTGTGGACACTACAGCATGAGGAGACCGCAGCTGTGAAGCGTGTTGCCTTGATCATGTGTGCATGACACAGTGAGGGTCCTTGGATGAAAGAGACTCCTTGCAAGGGATGCATGGGAGACAGGGGCGAATTGTACACCTGGCCAACCATGGTGAAGATGAGGCCGACGAGGAAAGTCGCCAGGCCGTAGTCGAAGGGAATGCCGCCGAACGACAGGTACACGACCGAGGCCGAAGCTGCGGTGAACATGCTGCACAGACACACCACATTAGCACCACCCCTTGACACACCACATGCGCACCGGTCTTCCACCAATCATGCAACGCGTGCACGCAAGCACAACACCCGGCAGCATGGACCATGCACCAGAAATAGAATATCATCCCCTGCCATTTCGCAACCTTAAATTAAGTGTGTGAACGACTCTTGATTTTTAGGGTTGAAACCTCTGAATCATTCTTTCATTCTCAAAAGCACTCAACGTCAGTGCTTTTGGCAAAGAAGCCAAACTCAGAATTCAAATTCAAAATTCCTGAATTCAAATGCAGGCGCTCACATCATGGTGGCGCTGGTGGCGGCTGCGACGTCGGGCAGGACGCCCATCTCGAGCATGAGGGGGCCCTTCACAATGCCGCCGCCGACGCCGAACATGCCCGCAATGAGGCCCGCCAGCGAGGACAGCGCAGGGAAGAGCAGCGTGTTGCGCCGGCTCCACTCCACGTCCCCCTCCGTCCACACATACCCCGACGCCTGCTTTGCGTTGAAGTCCCGCACCAGGTACGCGCGCACCTGCAGAACCCAGCATGTCACACAGCTCAGCAGCCGCACTTCCCTGCTTCATTAGGGCCAGTTAGAAAGGTTCACTCCTCAAGATTTGGATACAGGAACTGTAAGCAACATGTGGGCAACAGTACCATGAAATGCTCATACACCCATGCAGTGGAGTTATGCTTTGAGCGAGGCAAATTGCAGGCAGGGGAAGGTAGCTTGTTGTGGCAGAGGGAGGGGACGTGGTACGCACAAAGAGGGTGATAATGAGGATGACTGGGAGGACGGAGAGGACGACCAGCCAGTACTGCCACGTGCCGCACACCGTCCTGTCCTTGAACGAGTCCGAGGCCACAATGCCTGCGAATGAGGGTATGTGATGCCCTCATCCTTTCTGGGCCGTGAACAATAAAATATGCTCCCTGGGTAGAGGCTTGTATCAAAAGGCGTAACGACCACAAGCATGACACAGCATTTGGCCAAAAGAGAGATGCAGGGGGTTCCAACTTCAACAGCACGCCCAAGTCAGCAACAGAGTGCAGTGTATGTGTCACTGCAGAGGTGGTGGGGACGGCCTCTCACATGCGAACATGAGGAACAGCAGTGCCAGTTTCAGCGGCGGGACTTGCGGCTCGGCCGCCTCGATCTTCTCCGCGACGTCGTTGGCCGCCGCTTCGTCCGCGGCCGCACCGGCAGCCACCGGCCCGGCCACGGCCGCGCCACCATCTGCACACAGCATGCCACTCCTTAGTCAATCACATGAGGTAATCAGGTTGTTGTCGGCAAACACCACACTCCACTCCACTCCACACCGAATGGACACCTCACGCTCAGTGAACAGCGTAAGTGGCAACTGTATGCAGGGGAAGCAGGCGAGACTGCAGGTAGAGGGTGCTTCAAGGGGGGACCAGGTGGGGTCCCAAGGGAGATCCATGCCTTGGGCATCTTCGGCGATGGCAGGCTCGTGGTGGTTGGAGCCCTCGCCGGCGCCGTGCACGTTGCTGAGGCTGGCGATGCGAGCCCTCTCTATCAGCGACACCCGCCTGCCCACACCCCACACCCACCCTCAACCTCCAAGGACATTCCACCATACTCATGTATTGATGTGTGTCCGACTCCTTCTGAGGTGAGGGCTCCTGTTGTGTGTGGAAACCTTCGGCATTTTGAAACAAGATGACATCTGGGTGAAGGACGCTATTTCAGCATGCGGAGCAGGATGTGCACAAGACATGCCTCACTGAGGCAGACAATCAAGCATGGAGGGACAGGACATCGGCAGTAATACCGTAGTAATCATTTTAAAACCCGCACCCTCGGCGGTGCGGGATATTATTCAAAGCAACTTTTAGGGGTCTTACTGACTTCAAACATACCAAGGTCGTGCTCCATTGGATTGGGCTTGTCGACAGCTTTCCGAATCTGGTCTCAAGATTATCATGGGCTTTACATTTTGGGAGATAGCGTCTCATTTACCACCCTTTTTGGCCGAAAATAATCAATTATTGCGCGTTTTAGAATGACTACTACAGTAACATGATCTGCACCCATGCAGTCAATGCAACAAGCAAGACGCCTTGTGAAGTCACAGGCAACAGCATCATGTGTGAGCTGGCAGGGCTGCTTGCCTGATGAGGCTGCTGGAGCGAAAGGAGCCTCCCAGGGAGCTCCCCAGGTGCGCGCCCTCCGCGCCCTCGTTGCCCAGAGAGGTGTACGTCAGCGGCGAGCTCTTGTGCGCGGGGTCCTGGCCGGAGAAGGACACCAGCGCACTTTCTGTGCTCGGCCGCGCACCCGCCGCGATCGGCTGCGTCGATTGGCGCGGCGACTCTGCACACAGATTTCCTCTTAGCCACGGCCTTCGACGGCAGGAAAATTTTCCTAGAGCTGCCTTAAGCAAGGCATTCAGGCAGTAAATAATTTGGGAAGGGCACCGCAGGAGGTCGCTGTTGCTGGGGCTGCAATGAAAAAGGGAATGTGTTGTGCAGGGGAGGCGGAAGGGGTGTACGTTCGGGGGCGAAGGCCTCGTTCAGGATTTCCTGCTGCTCCTGGGGCCCCTTTCGCAGCAGCGGCTCGGAGGGGTCGCTGCCATCCTGGCTGCTGCCGGCGGCAGCGCGCTTGAACTCCAGGTTCTCCTTGCGCCAGGTCACCACAGCGCGGTCCACCAGCTTGTATGTCAGCAGCGTCAGCAGTGCCGCCAGCAGAATCGTGGTCATCCAATTCGGCGTCGCCTGCACAGAGAAGAAGATTGCTCGTTATTGAACATGTTGTTTGCTCATGCGCATGCTGCACTTTGGGCCTTCTGCAACGGATGTGAAAATTTCCCTTGTACGAATGGTTGTTTGTTTGGCAGTCCCCCTTGAGCAGCCGCCCCCTTGAGAGGCATGGGAGCACAGATAGTTGACAAACACAAGGGATTCAGCCGCGCAAATCAGCGGGGTTGTGAACACTCTTGAGGTGGTCTTGCATGCACAGATGTGGCAGGGGATGAGGACCCCATTGGCGTGCACCGAACGTTCCATTAATTCACAAGGTTAGTAGTACAACAGTACAGAGAAGCCCAGTGACATGCGCTGGCTCTGCGCATGGTAAGGAGCAGCACGCCATGCGGAGGTGTGGCAGGTGATGTGTACCTTGTTGAGGTATCCGCCGAGCAGGGCACCGAGTATGGTGGCGGGCTCCATGGCGAGGATAATGTTCCAGTCGATGAGGGGCCGGTTGAAGAAGGCGTGGCGCCTGCCCACGTTGAACACAAAGTTGGAGATGGCCCCACCCACGATCGTGATGTTGGACAGCGCCACTGCCGTGTTGGTGGGGAAACCTGCCACGCAGCAGCACCACATATCAGCGCCTGTTCCTCCTCATCCCTTGAGCTGAGACTTAGGTTACTTAACGCAGATTGAGGGACAGCTGTCATAAACAAGGCTGAAGGGACTTCGCTGGCATTGCCTTGGTATGCAGAGGCAGGGATGCCTCACCCATGACAAGGATGTAGAGCGGGACGAGAATGCCGCCCCCTCCGATGCCGCCACCAGCAGCAATGAACAGGCTGACAGCAGCAAAGATGTATCCAACGACATCCCGCCAGTCCAGGGGCCACAGACCTTTGTGGGGATCGTCCTTGTGGTTCCCCAATCTGTTGCATTCGCCAAATAAGCCCAGCTCAGGCTCACTGAAGGCCACTCTCCCAGACATGCGTCCAACAGTGTGGCCCCTCAAGGGTCCTCGATGGGCCAGGCTCAAGGAATTGTCCCTTAGAAGTTTGCTATGCTCCACAATACCTCTCTAGGACTGTGTAGTACAACAAACTCCAAGGCGTGAGCAAGTGGTGGCTTCAAGCAGGTAGGTCCCTCGGACTGGCAAAAGGTCAAGCGCGCCGTACCTCTTCAAGCATTCGAACAGATTGGAGCTGTAGAACGTCGATCGTCCCTTCGTCACTTGTTGAATCCTCACATACGCCTCTGACACGTTTCCCTGTGAGTCGGACGTGCCCGGCCGATGGTGGACGCCATCTGAGGTTACGACAGCGCTAGACCTTGCAGTGAGCTGTGAAGGTGCCGCATGGGTGTCACCAGGGACACCGAGCAGTCCATCAATGCTATCTGTGAATTCTACTGTCTCTGAAACGTGAGCACTCAGAACACGTGCAGTGGTCGGAACCAAAAGCACCTGCAATGCAGCGAAGACCACGCAGATCCTGCGCTGCATTGAGATCAAAAACTCAAACAGAGGTGCACAGCACCCGTGTGTGACTCTAGATAAAGATTTTACAGGGGTTTGCACTGCGTACTGGAGGCAGCAAGTGGATGGTCCCCCTAGAGCATGTTGGCATGTGCAGGCAGGCAGGCAGGGGGCCATCCGATGGTCCCACGCGTTGCTTCTCTAGATGGAAAATTTCCTCTATCAGGGCACCTGCCTCACAGGGAAATGAAAAGGGTTATGATGGGACTTTTACAGCTGCATGCACATAAAGGTCGGTGATGCACGGCTTCATGACCATACGTATACTATATATATATATAGGTAGTACCAGTGAAGCAGCTGCAGCTGCAACGCACATTTCGGTTATGAGCACGCACCATTGGCCGGTTGTGTGAACTTCTTGAAGAGAGGCAGACTCTGATCGGATCTGCCTTGCGTTTTGACATATTTTGCATGCATTTAGGCCCATGCATGTACCTATTTAGGTGTAGTCAGATCTGCGTACTATGTAGTACATAGCCATTTGCACAGATATTGAAACGCACGCGCGCAAACTGTTTCCAACGGGTACCCAGCAGGCGCGCGCGGTGACCGGTCTTTGGCTAGCGACTGCCGGCCAGCGCGCGCGCCTGCTGGGCAACACTTGCGTCGAGCATTTCAATAAACTTTATTGAATACAACCGTGCATCTCGTCTGACTCGGAGTCTTTATTAAATCTCTTTTGGGGTTTTCTCCAGCTGTGGTTCCCTGATACAGGGATATTACACAGGCATTTCCAACGTGCCTGGCCCCGGCTGGCGGGGGGCGGTATAGATACTCAGCACCATGCCCACGGGTGATTGGGTCTTGCTTGGATCAGCTTGTCTGTACCTTGCCTCTGGCAGAAAAAGCGTGTAATAATAATGAGAATGGTTATAAATTTCATTTTGACTTCGGCAGCACATTGCAATCCTATGTTCTGACAAGACCATCTAGTAGATATCTTTCAATAGAGGCCCCCCTATCAGATACACCATGGTGGCCACCATTAAGGGCAAGTTCTGTAGATCTAGCTCTGGAGCTAGAGCCTTGAAGTTTTGTAGGACCGATTAATTTTGCTTTCATCAGGTTCTCGAATATACATGACATTTTCCATGTTGAAAGCGGTCCCATGATTGTATTGTCATGATAGCATGAGAGATCATATCCATGTTCTCTCATGCTAGCCACCCACAGTCCCATTCTACATCAGCAGCCAAGACCGCTGGGATAAATCATGGTCAGCCCAGATGCATGCTGCAGATGCTGATGCATGCAAAGAAGCCCAGAAATGTAAAACACAGATGCAAGCCGGTCAGAAAGCCCAAATCGGGGTTCAAGGGTTCAAACATGTTCTATGTCATTTCGGTAATTGGTGTGCAATTGCTTGCACAAGAGCAAGGTTGCTATTCACCTGCGCGCCCCCGCGCACGCGGGCAGCGCGGCTGGGTCAGGCGTCAAACTCGCGCAGGATGTAGCTCTGCACGCCGCAGCGGCAGATGGGGCACAGGGGCAGGTTACGCTGGCCCAACAGCAGGCTGGTGCAGGGCGCACACAGCGCACGATGCCCGCACGCTGGCGCCAGCGTGGTCTGCCTCGGGTTCTGCCAGCACATGTGATGTACATCACGCACATCGTTGCAGCCTCCTTCTCGTCCCTGGCGTCCACCCAAGCACTCCTGTGGCCACGGTGCGCTGCCCACGGCCGTGCCGGCGCCTGCGCGCCCAGCAGGCCGGCCAGGCCGCCGCCAACCGGGGAGCCGAAGCGCAAGGCCGAATATAGACGCGGCCCTGGGGTGGCCGTACGAAGTGCTGCGGGACCCCCCGGTGAGCACTGCCAGAAGCAGGTCCTCTCGGGAGCAACGCTGCGCGGCGGCAATGACGGGCGGCCCCGGAATCGGCACAGCCGGTGTTGCGGCGGCTGCCGGCACAGCCGGCGGCTGCGGTGCCAGGAGCGCGGCTGGGACGGCCGAAGACACTGGCAGCTTACGACGCACAGAGAACGGGTAGGGTCCCGATGGATATATATATAGAGGAAGGCCTAGAGGGAAATGGATCCCGATGGATCCCAGGGTTTACTCGGAGTCTTTAAAAAATTAGTTCCCCCTGTGGATCCCATGTAATATATCCCTGGAAGAGGGTGTGAACCTCAGCATGGAAGGGTTCCACGTTGTGAAGGACCGGGAAGCCGGTGCACAGCTGACCGGTGCATCTGGAATCTACTTCGATAGCCATATTCTCAACCAGTCGATCATCGTCTATAAACATTGATTCCTCAGATAGTTGAATTACATTCCTAATCGAAGTGCAGCCATGGAAGCGTTCGAGGAGAAAATGAAGGCAGAAGGCCTCAGTCAAGCGGCCATCGATGCGTTTCGATTGAACTATGAGCAGCTTGTTGCCGGAGTCACTGGACTGGTACGTCAGATTGCTGCAGGCAATAGTTATGCAGCATCTGTATGTTCCATGTGGGAATCCGGTGCCAAGTGATCTCTGAATCGAACCGATCCTCTATATATCTTTGCAGGTCCCTGAGAAAGAGATCGAGGCCATTGAGGAACTTCCGCGTCTTGCTGATCTGAGATCGAAATCCGTCGGGGATATCAAGGTGCGCGGACGACGCAATTCCTTTCCCATGTTCCTGTTGACCATAGGGAATATCGAGTTCACTGTGCAAGGTGTTGGCCGTTCTCCTGGAGTGATTACGGCGATCTTTCTAATTCAAATTTTATGTAAGTAATGCGGGCTGTAGCAGGGACTTCTGGCCAAGACAGCTGTCCTGAAGCTGAATGGAGGCCTGGGAACCTCCATGGGTCTTGCAAAGGCCAAGTCTTTGCTGGAGGTGAAGGACGGAAAGACATTCTTGGACCTTATAGCGGATCAGATCGAGTACACCCGCACCAAATTCGGATCCAAAGTCCGTTTCGTTCTTATGAACAGGTGAGCAATCACGCAGCAGGAGGGATTCCCAGTTCTCTGTTTCACAGGATGCTGATCAGCTTTGAACCCCTAACACATGTGCATCGCCAGTTGGATTGACAGTGTCGCCGGCTGTGCAGCTTCTCCACCAGCGATGACACAAAGGAGTACCTCAGCAAGTCGCATGCCGACCTCATCAATGAGCCTGATGTGGAGCTCGTGCAGAACAAGTCGCCCAAGGTCGATGCAAAGACGCTGAAGCCGGCCACATTCCCAGAGGATCCCGAGCAGGAGTGGTGCGCACCTGCGCTGCTGCAAAGCAATTGTTTTTGTTTAAGTCTGCTAAAATCCTTTTTTATTATCTCACTTGCATCATGGCGAAGTCCTGAGGGCGGAAAGGTGTGTCACAGAGATTGCTGTGTCCTGGTGCAGGTGTCCACCCGGCCACGGTGATATCTACCCATCCCTGTTGGGCTCTGGCATGCTGGACCGCCTGGTGGATGCTGGCATTGAGTATGTCTTTGTCTCCAACAGTGACAACCTGGGAGCCACCCTGGATGTTGACCTGCTGGCCTACTTCGCAGAGACCAAAAAGTCCTTCATCATGGAGGTCCGTACTATCTTTTGCCCTTTTCAAAGCACATGCAGTGCGCCTTTGTCTTCTGGATTATGGAGCAACTGCTCTACTTCTGCGGCGGGGGTTGTGCTCTCACCGGAGTGAGTGAGAAGGTGATTGTGATCCAGAGGTGCCAGCTTCACCTGCTAGACCTGAAAGCGCCTGGTAGGGAGGCAGGGATGCTAAGACAGGCTCGCTCACTAATGGTGGCAATCAGTCTTTATGTTTTAAGATTGGCGCGGGTGGCAGGTGGCCGAGAGGACGGCGGCTGACAAGAAGGGGGGCCACCTGGCACGGCGGCTGGCGGACGGGCGGCTGATGCTGCGCGAGAGCGCCATGTGCCCCGACGACGACAAGGCCGCCTTCGAGGACATCTCCAAGCACAAATTCTTCAACACCAACAACCTCTGGGTCAACCTGCCCAAGCTCAAGGTGCGCGCCGCGCCACCTGCATCCCAATCAGAGCAGCATACAAAGTAGTTGCATTGCCTTGCCCATATCTGGAAATGCTCATATGCATCACTGTCTGCATGCATGATCTGCAGCTCCAACGTTTGCAGCGATTGTTGCCATGGTCAGGAGTGGGACAGGCTCTTGGGACATGTGATAACATTGTAGACATAGATACTCTCTCTCTCTTTCCCTGGAGCAACTTTCTCTGCAATATCCCATGCCTGTGCCTCATGCACTGTGGGGTGGTGCTGAACTCAGGCCAAGCTGGAGGCGAGCAACGGCGTGCTGCAGCTGCCGCTGATAAAGAACAAGAAGACGGTGAACCCCCGCGACTCCAGCAGCCCGCCCGTATTCCAGCTGGAAACCGCCATGGGCTCGGCCATCGAGTGCTTCGATGACTCCGGCGCTGTTGTTGTGCCACGCGAGCGCTTCGCCCCCGTCAAGACCACCAATGACCTCTTCTCCCTCCGCTCCGACGCCTTCAAGGCAAGCGCCTTGACCTGCTACTTTGCGCAGGGCCAGGGCACCGCGCACCAGTCTTCTTCTAAGAATGTCAGCTGCAGTCCAAGTGGCTGAAGCCATGAAAGTGGCTGGAAATGGGAATTCCAAGAATCATTTCTCCATAAAGTCTGCCCACGCAGCAGCTTTGAGGGGCGTTGCGGTCGCCGGCGTACGTGTGCCAGTACCCTGCATGCTTGTGTTGCCCCAAATCTTCTCCAAGTACTCGGGCCGCTGCCCATTCTGTGCTGATGAGTTTTTCGCACCTGCCACACTTGGTCTTCCCCGTTGAAGCCGTGATGTCACAGGCGCATTAGGGCCCGCACACCCGCTGATGTACAATGCGCTCTATGCAATGACGGCTAATATTGTTGGCTGGGGGTGAGTGCAGGTGACAGAGGCGCACACGGTGGTGTTGGCGGCGCCCAAGGGCCCGCTGGTGAAGCTGGACGACAAGCACTACAAGCTAGTGGACAAGATGGATGCGCTCACCGACGCCGTTCCCTCCCTCGTCCACGCCACCTCCCTCACAGTCAGGGGCCCCGTGCGCTTTGTGAAGGGCACCAGCATCGCGGGAGACGTCCTCATCTCCAACGGTGAAGCCTGCTCCAAAGATCCATGGCTCTAATGTTGCTATGCTCTTGCACGCTGTTATTGGCAAACGGTGCCTGCTGACAGGCTGCAATTATGTGCCCTTTGGCGGCACCCGTCAGCAGAGCTTGCAGAGCGCTGTACTTCATAAATATTATGAATTTGTACCTGGCCTGCAGCTTGCCTGCAGTGCTATGGCTTCGATGGCAGTGCCTTCCTGGCCAGTGCCTCCATCATGGCACCTGTCAACCAAGCTTGCAGGGCACTGTTTCTGTAAATTCTGAAGGTGTATCGGGAGCCTGCATGAGGCTGACCTGGTGTTATCTGCCGCAGAATCATCGGAGCCGGTGACGCTGCCGCCGCAGGCCTACAAGGACAGCGTCACAGATCTGACGCCAGCCAAGGTCCCCGCAACAGCTTGAGGGCCGCTGCTGATCACCCAAGGATCTTCACTAGAGATGCTGTCGTGACGAGGCACTGGAGTCCTGAGAGAGGTCGTGTTGTTCTGATTCTGGCACTGTCAGGCTTGACAGCAAAGGTGCCGTGGATTCGAGAAGTGTTATCCCCTCAGTTGGCAAAGCACATATATACTCCACACTCTGGCACTCCAAGGTATTTGTGCATGGCCATGACGATGCTGCCGGACAGTGTCTGAGCGGCCACATACATTGAAGTAGCAGGATGCATCCACTGGATCATGATGGCATATGGCATATGGCAGATGCACCGTTCTGCCCTAGGGCCTCGCACCCATGGCCATCCTCAACTTTGCTGCATATTCTTGCAATATCATGAACTTGCAGGATTCTGATCAGCTCCAGCCTGATCAGCATGCATGTGAGTCCAGGCATGACCCATGAACTCGATGGCGTTTCTATCCTAGCGGATATCATCGAGCTAGCAACTTGCGCTTGAAGCAATTGCGCAGCACGCCGCCGCCATGGCCTGTATTGGCATTAGAACGGTGTAATGACAATTATCCTGCCTCTTGGTCCCCATAAAAATGTAGACACCTGGATCCAGTCAGGAAACTGGATCGGAGACTTTGCCCATGGATTCATTTCTTAGCAAATCAGGCTGCATGGGGCCAGGTGTTGGCCCGTAGCCAGCTGGCAGCAGCCAAATTTGGACAGCCAGTGCTGCGAGCAAAATTTGCGAAGAAGTGCTGCACCTGCCTGCAATTGTTGTCGCCATGAAGGGGACTGCAAGCAGACCATCACGTGCGGTGGAAGCCAAGGATGGCTTGGAGCTTCCACCAGTCCACGGGTGCGCGCCCCAGGCCCCATCGCTTGTTCCTGTGCCGTGAAATCTACAGAGTTTGGCGTTGTGTGACCTGACTCGCGTGCCTCTGACTGTCTCAGGAAAACTGGAGCGCCGACTAGGCGCTCGGCTGTTGGAGGATGGACGGCGGAGGAGGTGATTGTGTTTTTGCAACGTACGCGGCCATCAGGCCCACCAACGGGCACCAGCAGAGATTGAGGCGCACGTTCCCGGCCCCTCTCAATTGCTCACTTTGACTGCGCAGGATGAGGTGCTGCGGAGAGCTGTATCCTACTACGGGGCGAAAAATTGGAAGAAGATAGGTGCGTCGGTTTCAAGGATGCTTTGTCCTTAGTCTCGAGGCTGTATGTTGTCACAGAGCGCCGGTGCGCACCGATCCGATGCTGCCCGTATCCTGTTGGGGATGGCAATCGTGCAAGGACTGCATTTGCCACCAATTGGGCAGCATTTTTGGTTGAGAATCGATCAGACGAGGAATTGGGCGCACTGGCAGTTGCTTTTGAACGGTCTGTGGTGCTTCTCCCCAAAGGGGCACAGCGAGCGCCGCTAGACACATTTACTGTGTATGATTGCAAATCAGATAAATTTGCCGGGCCTGTTACAATTCAGTGGGCAACGTGCATGTTCGACGGTTATCACACCATCACAATGTGGCTTCTAGCAGAAGACAGTCACCAAGTTTCGCAGACAGTGATTTGGCTCGGCTGTGCTAACATGTGCAGAGATGTTTGTCATATCCTTTGGGGTCAAATTGAGTGTATCATCCTCACAAGTTATTGTTGAGGGGGAGCTGAATCTTGTGTGTCAAACCTGTGATGCAGCTGAGCATTTTGAGGACAGGACTGACGTCCAGTGTCTCCATCGATGGCAGAAGGTTCTCAATCCCGAGCTCGTCAAGGGGCCTTGGACTCCAGAGGTGAGCCCTGTCGATTTGCCAGTCCCTTGGCCTGACGTTGGGATATCCCCTAGTTGGAGTTGCACAGGAGGGTCGGCAGATGTGATACTTGTGCTGGATGCGTAGGAGGACCTGAAGATCATTGAGCTGGTGACACGGCTGGGAGCCAAGAGGTGGTCACTTATTGCCAAGGATCTGCCTGGCCGCATTGGCAAGCAGTGCAGAGAGAGGTGCGAGGCACTCTTGCTCCCTGCTGTGCTTCCTGTTGCCCTCACAATACCAGCGTGGATGCCTGTGCCAGGGAAGGCTAGCAATCTGGCTGAGCATGGTGCCGGGTGCCTTTCACAGATGGCACAACCACCTGGACCCCACCATCAAGAGGGGAGACTGGACCAAGGAGGAGGATAGCATGCTGGTGGAGAAGCACGCAGAGTACGGCAACCAGTGGGCCAAAATTGCGCAGTTCCTGCCCGGCCGCACAGACAACGCCATCAAGAACCACTGGAACAGCACGATGCGGCGCAAGGTGGAGAGCGGCCAGTTCCGAGCCGCGGCCGCCAAGGGCCGCCAGCGCATGCAGCAGCGCGCCTCCTCCCAGGAGGCCCCTTCGGGCTCCGCCTCACAAGTGAGAGCTGTGGAGCGCTTATCTTGCCAGAGGTTTAGGAATCCTTGTAGATTGTCATGCATCAGATGGGCAGCTGCCTTGTATGTGATGCTATCCAGAGGATGGATGAGTCATTTCACTTGCATGAGGCTTGCTGGGTGCATGCAGGACGAGCTGGAGGATTCTCCAGGGGGCGAGTATGTGCAGGAGGAAGCAGGACGCAGCGGTGCCATGGTGTCACCAGAGACGCCGGAGACGCTGGGGCACGGCGCGGACCACAGCAGGCGTGGCAGGGCATCGGCTCGGAAACCGAGTGTTGCTTCGCGCGCGCCCATGTCAGCCTCACCCACCATACCCAGCCCCGGCCTTGAGCTGGGCAGCCCTGGGACGGGCGGCTGCGCCAAGCGCCCCGCCCGCCACGCACCGGCCAGCACCGCAGCCCGCAACACCCGGGCCCGCCTGTCCCATGGTGTGATCCTTCCACCTCCTCAGTAATCTGGAGGAACTCCGAGAATGTAGTGCAGGTCCTAGGCACCGCTTCAACTAGGGGTGCACCATGGAGGGCAGGAGGAAGGTGTTGTAGATGAAATCTCATATATCTCTATGTGGGTGAATGTCTGCCAGAGTGGGATGACACGCAATTATGAGCAGCCTGGCCTGAGCATCTCTCTGTATGTTGCAGACGATGCGCCGGCAGAGGGCCCCACGGAGGCGGCTGCCTCCCCGCCGCTCTTCAAGGAGCCAACCTCAAGGCGGCCGGTGAGGAAGGCGCGTCGCACGATACCGCACACAGACTGTGATTCCGATGAGGACGAGGAGACCCCCACTGTGGCTGTGGAAGGCCGCACCAGGCGAAGGGAGCACGTGTCCGGCAGCCAGGTTGCCGAGCTGGCGCGTCGGGGCCGCGAGCGGTCACTGCCTGGCCGAGCAGCCGTCGAGGGCAGCGCGGTGAAGGGGCCCTATGACGAAACGACCTGGAACACACTCATGGAGCTGGGCTATGCGCCCACCCCGGCGCAGGGGCAGTCCGGCACCTTCCGCACGCCGCGCGAGTTCAACCCGGCGGCCGCCACGCCGCCGCTCGTGCACACCGATGCGCTGGCCGGCTGCAAGCGCACTCCGGCAGGGCCTCAGGGCGCCTCGCCGCCCGGGCCCTTGCTGTCCGCGGCCAAGATGCTCAGCAACAGCCGCACGCCCGCCTTTGCGCGCAAGCGTTCCGTCGCCGCAGAGCTTGCAGCGGCCGCCGCATCGGGCGGCGATGCAGCGCGGCCGGCAGGGCCGTCGCGTCGGGGCGGTGCATCTGCGGCCGAGCGGGGAAGCAAATCTACTGAGGCTCTTGATGGGATGGCGGTGCTTGCGGCTGCTGCGGCTGACAGCGCCAGCGAGGAGAGATCAGAGCGGCAGCGCCGGCAGCAGGAGCCATTCACGCCGACGTCATCTGCCAAAGAGCGCGCGCTGGCGGGGCCGGACAGGGATGATGCGCTGGATGGTCTGGTCAGGCCGCTGCTGTTCACCACCCCCCTGGGTGGCCTCACGCCGGGGGCGACCCCCACTAGCGTGGCGGCGGCGATGGAGCAACAGCCGTCCGCGTCTGCCGATCTTGGGCGGGCCACGCCTCGGCACAGCCCCCTGGTGCTGCGGCAAGCGCTGCACCTTGTTCCCCCCGTCATCTTCCCCCACAACTTCAAGGGCACAGCGCCGTCCTGTATCCAACTGACCCCCCAAGCCGAGGTGCGCCACCAGCCTGTGCTTCCCTGTGCGCGGGAAAGAGAGGCATTGCAATGCATTGTCTGCCGTGCGGCAAGACTTGTGTGCATGACGGGAAGGAAACTGGACAGGCTGATTTTTCTGGTGTTTTCAGGTAAGGTTGGAAGCTGCTTTGCAAAGTTCGCGTGAGGTTTACAAGGTTTGGGTTGTTGAAGCAGGCTGGCGGGGCGGGCAGCAGTGGCGGTTCTCCTGAAGGAGAGAGCGCAAGGGAGCGGCAGGCGGAGCCCGCCAGCACCAGCAAGACGGAGGCTCTCCCAGACTGGATGCAGGGCGTCACTCTCGTGGGCCAGGCGCATGTCTCCGACGCCGCACAGCTTCCAGAGTGCCTGCGCTCGCCGCAACCAAGCGCGGCGGCCAACCTGCAGAGTTGGACGTCCATCAGCGGCCAGGACGTGATCACCAACGTGATCACCAACCCGCAGTGGGCCCACTACTTCCTGGAGGTGTCGCGCCACGCCATGGCTGATCCGGCCGACTCGCTGTCACTGCTGCGCGCCGTGCAGGCCGGTGGCGCCCCCCTCTACGCCCTCGCGCAGGCGCGCCCTCTCACCTGGCCTGCTGCATCGCTGACCCCTCCGCATACACACCCCTGCTGGCAGTCTTGCCCTGCTGGGAAATGCTGGAGGGATAGTGTCAGGCCCATCGATTGCATAAACTAGTTGACACTCACCTGTAAGAATGCAGCTGGAGGGTGACTCGAAGCCGAGGGATTGTCTTGAATAACGGATTAAATGCAGCAGCCGGTTGAGCTGGGCTTGGTGTGTTGCGCAGGGCGTGATGCAGTGCGAGGATGTTGAAGCAGTTGCCAGGCCGGATGGGGAAGCCGCGGAGGGCACAGCAGAGGGCGCAGTCTCTGCGGACGCCCCAGAGCCGCAGCGGCCGAGGGAGGACCCACAGAGCCCCAGCCCAACCGCCAGCAAAGAGAATGAGGGCGACGCCGCCTGTGGCAACAGTGCTGCCGGCGTGCAAGCTGCACTGGACCGCGTACAGTACGGCTGCAGCGGCGTGGCAGCCATGAGCACCGGCGCCGATGCAGAGCAGGCCAACTCCTCCATGAGCAGTGCAAAGGAGGCCACACTGAGCCCGTCGCACTTTCTGCTGAAAGAATGCTGTTGAGTATTGGGGGCCAGCTCCGGTGCAAGATCTAGGGCAGTGTGGGAAAGCAACAGGGCATTTTGTCGTGTGAATTTCGTCCACAATTTTTGGGGTTCTGCAGAAAGGCCTGTCAGACTCCGGTTGAATACTTACTTCTAGGCTGATGTCTATTATCAATTTTGTTCTGTACTGGTATCAGGAGCCCAAAGCTACTGCTAAAGTCACGTTTGTGCATCTAGTGCTCCATCAAGAAAGTCTGTTCAGGTGAGACAGTGTAGAAAGCTTCGTAGCGAGCTTGGGACAATTCTCTGTGATTGCCAGCTGTAGAATTAGCGTCAAGTTGACACACTGTCAACGTCAAGATGGCCTCCAACTTATGAACGTGTTGTTGGCAGTCTGGAGGATCCTCCATCCAGTTCCAGCCAATATGATGAATAAAGCAAGATGCATTTTTTTTTGCGCCGCACAAAGAAATTACAAGTGATCTTATAAGCTGGTCCGTAGCAACTTGTAAAAATCATTGCAACTCCCTACCATTGAACAGAATTCATTGGGTGACAACGATGATCTGTACCTCACCAAGCCTTATCATAACAGCATCATAATGCAGAACCACTCTCGGCAAGTGTCACACATCTTGTAGAAATGTTGAGAACAAGGGCAAGTAAACTTCGGTGATTGGAAGACACCTGCAATACATTTTACCAAGCATGTCCAAACATCTCATGAGTCCAAACATCTGATCAGTCAGCTCTGGGGAAGGGCACACGGCCTGCCGGAGGCGCCTTCTGCTTGAAGCCAAAGTCTTGCAAGACTCCGGAAGCATCATTCAAAGCGAGGACAATGCAGTAGTGGTCCTGCAAGCAGCAGTGATTAAGGAGGTCAAAAGCAAAATCACGACAGTGTGACACGTCACTGCTACATATCCACAGCACAAAGAGGCGAAGCACAATGTCGGATAGCCGAAGCCCTAGAAGGATACCTGTATCATGTGCCATTCCTCAAACTCATCGAAGATTTCAAGTCGCTCTGCCCTGCAGTTGAGCAGAGCAGAAGAGAAATTAAGACCTCGCCATGATACCATCTAAAAAAACATTGCACAGCTTTCCAGCAGTTGCACAAATACTTCACGAACACAAGAAGAGTGTGGACAACTGCCAAGAGCCCAAGGCAGCAGAATTCACCTGCGCTTCTCAGCAGGATCAAGGTAAGCACGATATATGGTGGTCATGTCCTTGGCATCCGCGCGCTGCCAGCCATTGTTAAGGAAGCGGTCCTGATGAGCTTTCAGATCTGGCGTTGCTTGAAGTCCCCTCAATGGACATCCTCGGGACTGTCAGTGCACAGCACCTTCACTGCTGGTACTGCAGAGTGGCTAATCATGGGCAAATCGCCTGTGAATTATGATATCAAAGGCACTTCCCAGGAAGCTGAAGGCACCCAGAGACCTAGCTCACCTCTAGATTCATCAGCATCTGCCTCCCAAATGCATCGCCTGGCTTGATCTGGCCACACCACTCAGTCAGCAAAATCACCCAAGCTTCTTCACTCAACCCAGCACCACCATGCAACTGAAATGAACACACTCACGCCGTCAATGTTTTCAATGTGAAAACCTCCATGTGGCATGCCAGCATGGTGGCCAGCACGTCTGCTCTGCACCTGTTCGTACACCACGCATGCAGCTGTGCTGAGGAAGCTGCCCAGCCATCGTACCACTGCTGAGCTCTCCTCTGCCTCCATGTACACCAGCACACACTCTGCCAGCACATATGTGGGCAGCTGTGGGTTGAAGCCGGCCGCAAGCAGGGCGGCCTCCACCCCTTTGACATCCCGGAGGTCAGCTGGCAACACGCTGAGCGCATCTGTCTGAATTCTGCCCTCGCCTGAAGATCTCAGACAGAATTATCGGATCATAATCAAGTTACTTCACTGCATTGCTGCTAATTTCCACCCAGCAAGGACCACGAAGCCACATAAACAGCAATGTCTTCGGAACAATTATTCAACGTACCTGGATGTATCTTCTCCTTTGCATCTGGCCCTAGCTGCTCATGCAAAGCTGCATTTCCAGCAATGATGGCCGCCTTCTTCTGTGTGACTTCCTTGAAGTCAACCTCAAACCATCGTGCTTTTCTTCTGTCCTCACCCTGCAGGACTGACATTGATCAATGGTGGATGATATGAATATTAGCAGGCTCTGTTGCCTTGGGCTTGGAAGTGTCCTCACCTCGACGTTGAAAAAGGTAGTGTCGAATCCAGCGCCAAGAGAGAGGACTTGTGCCACACTCTGTTGCTCATGCGGTGCAGTGGATTGGCTGATCACATCAAAAAATTGTTGAAGGAGCTGCCTCAAAGCCAAAAGTCGAGCGAAGTATCCTGGAAGTCAGACCACGACTTATCAGATCCCCATTAGCACATGCATTTGCAAATACATTCAGAGCATTCTCCACCCAGCGGTATATCGATGTATTCCTATATGAATGCTCTGTGGAACAAAGACCAATAGATTGAACTCGACGGTTATAGTCATAGACACTTTAAACTACCTCGATTGATCAGTGGAGACCTCTTCGACGAACGTCTTACGAAATATTTGATGAAGTCATCCTTGAAGTATCCTAGATTTGCGCAAGACCTGTGCGGTGACAGAGGCAACCCTCAACAAAATAGACAATGTCCTCATTATATTGATCCAGCTCTTGTAGAGACGGACTAGTAGCTCAATAGAGCTTCAAAAACTCACAGCTTTGATATCTGGGCGTCGTCGTTGGTTCCCTGCACTGAAATATCTCCTCCTCTGTTTAATGTTGGCACCGAAGTCATATCATCTGCCTATGTGGGTGTACCACACTCTGCACATGCACTTCAATGGATCTCTGTAAAATGCTACAGCGATGCGGCTACGTGTGGCGAGTGATGCTGCAGGGAAATTCGAGAATCCAAGGAAGGTGAAGCTGTTCCCAGCGCTTTCGAGATCAGTTGCCTACTTTGGCAGCCCGAGCAAGTATCAAGCTTGTCAAGTCTGATCATCAAACCCAAGGTGTTGCGTTGCTTATGCTAGAGTTTCCAGCCGGCGGAGGGGAAGGCGGCTTAGTGTTATGCGGCTGGCTGTGCTCATCGCGACAATAGTGAGTAGACCTTGTTCGGTTGGGAGTGGGAATGCTCAGATGAAATTTTGCGAGGCCAAACCCTTGCGTCTTGTTCCACTCAGGCGCTTTTCCACAGAAATCCAATTAGGCAGAGGTCTTTTTGTGCCATTTCATTGCCTTCGGTACTGCCATGTTTAACAAGTGACGCTTCTCCTCTCTCATCCTGTTGGAGTGGCCTCTGCATACAGCAAGGCCTGTCGGTGCCCGTACAAGCGTGGCCCCATTTCTAATATGGCCTCTGGTGTCATGTGCAGGTTGAAGAGGAGATCGCCCCCTTGCCCTCTGCATTGCTGCTGTGTCAAGCAGGACTCTGGTGGCTTCCCTTGAGCACAGCAGAAGCCTTGGAGAACTGCTGATGCGGAAAGCAGGCTGCCAGGGCCATTATCAGGAGCCCTGGGGTACCCGGTGGTCCACCCTGGGACGGGAGCATGTCCCAGAATGATGCATCACAGCAACAGGGGATCCTGGGAGTGCGGTCGTTTGCAGTGCAGCTTGACAGCGACAGCGACGCAGGCTCTGTGCGGTCCAACGGGATTGACTCCCCGCCATTGGAGCGCAAGCCCGAAGAGAGGGACAGTGCGCGCAGAGCAACACTTGCCGCGCTCGGTCTGGTTCCGGGGCCTCCACCTCCAGTGCAGCCCAGCCAGCAGCAGGCCTCCAGCCCAAGCCTGACATCCAGGGGAGGGTCCGCATTCGCGCAGCCATCAGCACAGAAGTCAGCCAGGGACACTGCAGCATCCAGTGCGGCGCCCGCGCTAAAGGCAGACCACAGGAGACCCAATAGCCCAGTGCAGCCACCACGGAGCAGCGGTTTTGGTGCAGATAGCTGGCAGAGCGCAGCTCTGTTCAATCCAACAGGCCCTGTAGGAGGTCGGGCTGTGTACAATAATCTTGATAGTGAGCCTGCTGGAAGCGAAGGACTCCCCACAGTGCGTCGCACCGCCCACTGCATTGTGCCCACTACATTGCTCCTGTTTTGTTTCATTCACCATTTTTTGGTTCTGTTGTGCTTGGCCGAAACAAGGCATGTTCTTGGCGGTGAATGACAAGCATGTGGTGTGCAGGATGAAAGCTTGACAAGCAGTATTAATCTACACATGCAGGAGTCGAACCACACCAACTCCTTTCTGTCACCACAGAGGTACGGTGCACCTGCAGCAAGAAGTTTGTTGTGTGCATACCTGCTGCTTTGCACGTGTGCTGTCAAAGGACAAGTAGTGATTGTTCGAGCGTGCGCCCAGGGCACCAATGAATGCGCTGCAAGAGGTGGAGGCTGCCGAGGCCGCAGCGCCCCTGCTGAGCAGTGCGGGGGTGGACCGTACCTCCAGTGGCGGCGCAACGGGCAGCGTGAGCGACACAGGATCAGGCAGTGATCCGGCAGCAGCCGGCGCTGCAGGGACCTCGCCCCCATCCCCACCAACCTCCCTCGTGCCCAGCTCGCCCTTCCAGGCTGTGCAGGCAAGCGACACACCTCTCTCTTTGCCCTGGCATGTCTTTCACGTCCCTCGGAATCTTTACCGAAAGATGTGAAGTCCCCCACCCTGTCATGATTGCTGTCGCCACCCATATTGCCCAGAACACCCTCAGAAGCAGGGCAACACAGGCCTGCTGCACAATGGGGACCGCAGAGCTCTGCTTCAGAAGCCATTGCTGCAGCTAGAATGACACAGCGGTGGCCTGCAGGTGTTCGACGCGGCGGAGCCGTTTGTGGCGCCGCTGGTGCCGCCGATCCGCACCAAGGGCCCGTCGCCCAGCCCCAGCGGCACGCCGTCCGTGCGCACGTCGTCGCGCTTCACTGAGCGCTTCACGTCACCCACCACCACGCGCATCGTGGACGAGCTGCTGGACGAAGTCGTCGCGCACAGGCTGACCCCCAGAGACTCCGCCAGTGCGCGCCCCTTGCTGGCTCAACTGCCTCACTGTTGTCCCTTTCTTTCAACAGGATTGCTGCAATATCTTGTTCCGTCCTGCTTGCATGCATTTGGCTTGACTTTGCAAATGCTGAAGTCTGCCGTTGACTTGCAGGCTCTGGCAGGCAGAACGAGCATCCGGCGCGGCCCAGAGTACCCCGAGCCGGCAGTGACGAAGCAGTGGATTTGCCCAGAGTGAAGCCTGCACAGGTGTGTCATCTGGTGCCGCCATCTTGCTGCGTTCATGGATGTTAGCCACAAGAAGTGTCGCTGCCCGAGGCGCCTGAGGGAGGGACATGACTGACTTGCATGTGCGCAGGACATCAAGAGAGGGGCAGGGGCCGGCAGCAGTTTCAGAGATCTGGAGACACCTGCGGCCGCCGGCGGGCTGACAGCGTCAGCTGTGCCCGGGGGACCTGATGGGGAGTCGAGCCGGGCATCATCGCAGGCGCTGTCCGAGGAGCAGCGCGCGAGCAGCATCGGCGAGGAGCTGAAGATGGTGATGAAGAGCGAGCGAGGCGGCCGCCTGGCGCGCAACTCGGCCGAGCTGCTGGCCGGCGACAAGCCCGGCGAGTTCACGGTGGTCACCGAGGAGGGCAGCAGCATCCCGGTGGCCGTCAAGGACGTCGCCGGCGCCATGGCTGCGCCAGATAGCACAAACACGGATGCTCCAGTGACGCCCACGCGCAACTGGTGGGGCAGCATGACGGCCGCGCTGGGGCTGAAAGCCGGCGCTGAGAGCGAGGCCCCGGGGCCAGCGCCGCGCGAGGAAGGCCTGCCGGAGGCCGAAGCCGCTCAGGCGCCGCCCATCGCAGAGCAGAGCGAAGCGCCTGCTGCCGCTGCAGAACAGGAGCCGTTGCCCGTGTCGGCTTTTGCGAACGATGTGGCCGTCAAGCCTGTCTCGGCTGAGACGACCGACAGCAGTGCCGTACAAGGTGCTCTCATCTCTGCTTTCGACAATGATTACATTGCTGAGCATGGTCCTACACAGGTCACTTTTAGATTGCCTGGTTGGTGTTCTGTTTCTCATGGGTCTTTGGTGATGGCACAGGTCCAAAGGCTGCGGCCGGAGATGTGCTGGTGTCGCCACCAGTAAAGGGCGTCCCGGCAGAGGACGCCAAGCCCCAGACGACTGGCAGCGGCATTGGGGAGCCACTCTCCCTGGACAGCCTGCGGGCATTATCTCTGCCCCCCGACCCGGCAGTCCCAACAGAAAAGAGGCCCTCGCAAGAATATGAAAGGGCCAGCAGGACGTCCTCCCGTCGGACCTCCTTCCACATGGATACTGCCAACAGCTTTGAGGAGGACACCCTGGGCACCGTGCCGGACCCCTCCCACCGCGTCTCCCTGGACATGATGGGCGCGCCTGAGGGCTCCGCAATCGCATCCATGTTTGCTAAGTCTGGGGCCGCCTCCGCCTTTGCCGCCGGCCCCGTGACGCAGCTGGGCACGGCCGACAGAACGCGCTCTGAGGCCGCCTTCATGGAGGCGGAGCCCCTGCAGATGACAGTGAAGAAGAGGCAGCCGCGGAGGCCTTCGGTGCAGCCAGTCCCGGAGGCACCTCGGGTCACCGTGACGGCCGAGCGCACCCGCTCCGAGATCGCCTTCGACGAAGCCCTGCCGCTGGAGCGGCCGCGCGCGCGCAGCAAGCAGCCTGCCGCTGCTGCGGCGTCCGCCCCAGCCGCCGCTGCTGCGGCGTCGGCCCCGGCCGCCACTGCGCCGGCCACGTGGGACAACGCGGTGCCGCTGGAGCTCACACGCAAGCGGGGAGGGGCCCCGGCAGCAGTCGCTCCTGCTGCTGCCGCTTCGCCTGCTGCCACTGCTGCTGCTCCGGAGGAGAAGGCTGGGGCTTGGGAGGCGGCCGTCCCGTTGGAGAGCAGCAAGCGCAAGGCCGCACCAAGCTCGCAGAGGCAGGCGGACGCGCCCCCCGGCCCCTCTGTGGAGCCTGCGCCGCAGCCCAGGGCCAGCTCGAGGTCGGCGCGGAGCAGCCGTGGCAGGTCGCCGCCCCCGGCGCAAGTGGGGGACTTCTCGGACGAGGCGGAGTTCCCGCACGACCCCGACCTGGCCCGCGACGACCGGGAGCCCCTCATGCACAACCTGGTCGGGCGCTACTCGCTGGAGTCCTCTGGCACAGAGCGCTACGACCTCTACATCGACCGCGCCGCCGCCTACGCCAAGGCGCAGGAGGGCGTGCGCACCGCCGCCCTTGCGGCGGTGCGCCTCCTTGCTCTTGTCTCCTTCAGATGCCTGCTGTTCATGCTTGTCTTACATGCACCTTTGCCAGCCACCAAGGTAATAAAAGGCAATGCAAGTCTTGGAACCTTCAAGAGGCTAACGCTGGTGTTCTTTTGGCGCAGGGGCATCCGGTCCCGTCGCGGGCGTCGTCACAGGGCTCCATGGACTCGTCCTGCGCGACGCCGTTTGTTTTGTCGCGGCGCGTGCCGCACATGGGCGGGATTGCCGCAGGCACGCAGGCGCCGCAGCTGCGCGGGATCCACGAGGGAGCCGGCATAGAGCCGGAGCCGGACATCGACATCCCCGAAACCGGCACGCCCACCTCCGAATCGGATTTGGACGAGGCAGAGGGAGACGCCCTCTTCTTCCCCGGCCAGGACAAAGGTGCATCTTCCGCCTGACGCACTGATTCCTTCATTAGGGTGCATTTGAAGATCATCATGTAAATGTGACAAAACAATCTTGTAATGCAAGGAGGGGTAAAGAGGGCGCCAGCACAAATGATCAAGCTGTATTGCTAGCTAGTGTGGAATGCGGTGGGTCCTGAACCTGATCGCAGGAGATTTGCACCTCTGCGTAGGGGGCGAGGGCAGGAAGGCCACCGGCAACAACATGCACGGCCTGGTGGGCGTGTCGCACGCCTCCCCGCCGCCTTCTGCCTTTGCGTCGGCGCAACCGCCCAGGTCTGTCTTTGCCGACGCGCAGCTGCCGGCATCCCACAGCGAGGCCGAGAACGAGAACGGCCCCTTCCCCGCGCCTGGCACGGCAGAGCCGACCATCAGGGCACAAAACACCACCAGAAGGACCTCACAGGTGTGCCAATTCAAGCAATCGCTCCTGCGCATGCCAAGGCTGTGAAGGGGTGTGCCGCAACGGAGTATTTTTGGCAGCAGGCTTCATTGGTGAGCAGGACTGTGGCAGACATCTGTAATGGTATTTGCCTAAGTTTGGAACAGTATCAAAAGTGGTGAGCAGGACTGTAGCAGCCAGCTGTGATGGTGTTGGCCTGAAGATGCAGTGTGAGCGGGTTTTGTTTGTGAGAGCATGGTTTGGAGCTGTGGCTGATGCCGGCAGTGGGATGCTGTGCAGGCGGAGGGCAAAGCACGGCCGGGGAATGGGCGGACAGATCTGGAGGCCGAGCAGCGCAGCAGCCCTGAGAGTGCGCCAAAGAAGGTGCCGCAGGCCGCCAAGCCTGCCTTCTTCTGTTGCTTTGGCCGCCCGGCCACGCGGCAGTGAGCCGGGTCCAGATCCTCTTTTTCTTCCTTTTGTGTGTGCCACCGGCGTCAGCGCGATCGAGTGCAGGATGCAGCAAGGATAGTTGAGCTCCAGAAGATACTCCGAGAGATGTGCATGGACAGTGGAGTTGCGTCCTTAAGTAGTTGTAAGCCTGCGAGTTGGCCATGAAGGTGTCAGGGGGCATCCTTTGGTGCACATACCAGACAGTCCACGCCAAACCTGGGGAGGCTGCTGTGTGTTGATGGAGGGCCAGTCAAAAAAATCTCTCCCTCAGCACTCCGCAAATTTGTCTTCTTCTGTGTCAGCGGCAATAATGCCCGTCTTTGCCAGCATTTGCAGGGGTTTTTCAAGTCACGCCGTGAGCTGTTGCAGATTTGAGGGGACAGCTCAAGTCTGAGCAGCAGCTAACAAGCACTTTTTGCGTTGTGTTGTTTTGTTTCTTTGCCCAGCATGTCTCAGGAGTGGCCGGGAGCTCAAAACGATCCTGAATGACGCTATATCTGATTGGCAAACCTGTTCTCTTTCTTGGCCGGTGTTGCGAGCTTGGGTTGGTGATGCCTTGGGAGCACAGGTGACAGTGCGGGTTGAGCATGATAATCGGCAGTTCATTGGGGCCCATCTAGGTTGATCCTGACACAGGATGGCGTGCCATCTATAACGGTATAACGATGCTATGCAAGGGTGTTGCCATTCCCCAATCTGCAGAGAGTGTCCTGCCAGAATTTCCCTGCAGACTATCAGGTTTTCTGTCTATGACGGATTGGTCCCAATGTTGTCTGTTGGAAGCTGATTGCACAGCTGTGCCTCACCAATGCCGCATGCGGCATCGTGAATGTTTTGCTGCAGCTGGTAATTCAGATAATACCCTTGCTTTCATTTACCGATCAATGCACCTGTGTATTTTGACTTCAGCAAGCTGCCTGTGCCACATAGTGCACTGCATGCTCAGCAGATGGCATGCGCAAGTGCATGCCGAGCTTTCAAAGTTTGGCTGCGCATTGGCTGCATTGCATGCAAGCATGAGAGAGAGAGAGAAACATTACATCATGCCAGCCAACAAGGCTGATTAGATGTTCACTGTATCTAGATCAGTGTTTACGCGTCCTAATGAGAGTCTGATAAATTGAGCCACCTGTACAAGATCATCTTGCCACATGAACTGACGCATAGTGGTAATACTGGGCCTAAACAGGCTGTCATACCTAGCACGCAGATCATGAAGCGCAGGACATTCAAAGACAATATGCCGTTCATCACCAATGGCCTGAGTGTTGCACAAGTGACAGAAACGTTCCGAGCGAGGTACTCGATTCCCCCAACGACCCTGATCAACTGGAAGACCGTGACAACCAGTACGAAAGCGCAGGAAGAGTCTAAGCGTGGTGGCAGACACAGAGATCCTAAGACAATGGCGACGGGGATGAATAGCAGCAAACCAGTTCTAATAGGTACAAAGTCGAGCCCCTTGTGTTGCACAGGTCCTAGGACACAAGGCCAAATTCTCCCAGTGTGCATCTAATTGACCCTGTAACTGTTGTCTAACCTGGGCCAAAGAGATCTGATCCATAGTATTGCAAGCAATGTCTAGGGAATACCCAAGCTTTTGCAGGGCCTTGTGTAAACTCCAAGCCCAGTTCTTTGTATTGTGCACAATAGCATCCCTGCAATCGTCCAGTGCAATTTTCCTATGCAGGCTTGTAGGTGGCAGGCCAGCAAGATTGTTCCAGAATCGAATTGATCGAAGTAACCACAGATCTTGTAAGGGCGTTTCCTGCAACTCTCTAAAGCATGAATACATTGCAATGTTCATGAATCAATTGATCAAACAGTAAATTTCACAGTCTCTCCAGTATTCCTTTTGCGGGCCAATGAAAGCCTCATAAACCTCCATTGCTTGCTCACAGCATCCTACGGCACATCTTGCAATGCATGCGTGCATAGCTCTGAATTCCGTGGTCCCCTCACTCAACTCCCCTACCACCGCCTATCCCACCGCCACTTACGTTATGAGCTTCGACAGAGCTATTCGTCTTTCAATGCAATGCATTCTCCAGGGCAGATGCGGTTCATGCAGCTGCATATGTAATTGCTTGCTGCGACGAGTGACTTACCTCATGCATCGAGCATTTAGAACTTGAAATTCAGTTGGTGAAGGCTTGTTGTGGAGGATGGAGCAGTCTGCACCGTTGGTGCCCTGATCTGAAAGATGTAGGAAGAGTGACCGCAGACAGTACCGTCACAAACTCATCAAGATGTCCCATGGAACCTTATCCCCTCCCTTCTTTGTCGCTCTGGCGACGATGGCCAGGTGGTGCAACGTTCTTGGAGACTGTATATGCTGCTGCTGCAAAATATCTTTTTAAATGCATGGTATTATCGTTGTTCAATATTGCTGCTCTATGTATTTTTGGCTGATTCATACCAAATTCATTGGTCCTTGTTGTGCGCTCGGAATGCTCTTCTGGCAACGCACACCGTTTGTAGCAGTCTACCTTTGCTGCCTGCAGTCAAGTGGAAGCTTAGACAGCTCGACAAGACTTCCATAGAAAAAGTTACTTAGTGCACGTGTGTTAAGTGCACTTTCAAGGGGGCTGAGACCTACACTCTTTGTTGCTGCGCAGCTGGACCATTCTCTTCATCATGGGGCACATTCGGGACTTGTTTAGGCGGCGATATAGTCCAGAGAGAAAGGTGTGCATGGACGCCTTAATGTTGGAGAGGCTCGTCCAACAAACATGGAGCGGCATTTCATGGACCAGCATCATTGATCGAAGTCCTCCTAGAGCCTGCATGGAGTAACCAGCTTGTCACTGTGCACAGGGCTATGCTCCTATACGACAGGACTATGAGGATTTCTACACACGGCGCATGTTCTACAGGATACATGTAAGATATCATGTAAAGCAGGAATTCTTTAACCCCCACGCATGCATCGGAGACCTGCTGTTTTGAGCTTGTTTCCTGCATGCAGGACTGTTGGAACAGACCGATCTGCAGCGCACCAGACTCTCACATCGACGTCATGGAGCGAACTGCCGTATCTGGTCAGAAGTGAGAGCAACTGCTTATGCTTCCTTTATCTGTGCGACAAATAGTAGTGCTTGATTGCTACTCTTATCTACATGGCGCCCTGGGGTTGGTGCCTTGTCTTGGCTCTGTATTGAGCTTGGCCTAGAGCTGTGTGTGTCGCTGCAGGCCCTTGACTTTGACCGGTCGAGTGAGGCGCTGCCTCAACCTGGGCTCATACAACTACCTGGGCTTTGCAGCGTCAGACGAGTATTGCACGCCGCGTGTGCAGGACGCCATGAACTCATATGGATGGGCCATGTGCAGTTCCCGCCTTGATGCAGGTAGATATCGGAGTCTCCACCCCTCAAGACAGGCCTGCACCAGCTCACATTCCAGAATGAAGATACACGAAAGAAGGTGGCCTGTTGTGTGGCAATATGGCTCCCATGGTCATGTGCAGGTACCACACCGGTGCATCTGGAGTTGGAGGCAGCGGTGGCAGACTTTGTGGGGAAGGAGGCGGCGCTGACGTTCGGCATGGGGTTTGCCACAAACAGCATTGTGCTGCCTGCGCTCGTGGGCAAGGGCGGCCTCATCATCAGCGACTCTCTGAACCACGCCTCCATTGTGGCTGGTTCCCGAGGCTCTGGGGCTAAGGTCAAGGTAAGCTTACTGCATCTCAACACCAGCAAGCCTGTCTCCTGACATCTGGACAGCCGCCTGTGAGCTAAGTCTTTGCATGGACCTGTGAGCCACCTCCTGAATTACATTCCTAGAGGTCATCTGTGGCCCCAGGGTCCAGAGAAATCCACATTCTTCAGGCGCAATTGAGGGGTCATCATGGGGTGTGGTCCAGGTGTTTGCCCACAACGATGTGGAGCATCTGGAGTTGGTGCTGTGGAGGGCTATAGCGGAGGGGCAGCCTCGCACGCGGCGGCCCTGGAAAAAGATCCTGATCGTGGTGGAGGGCGTGTACAGCATGGAGGGGGAGTCTGCCAAGCTGGCAGCCATTGTGGCCGTCAAGAAGAAGTACAAGGTGCGCTGTCCTGGTTTTTCCTGCAGCTAAAGCTGCATGCTGCACAGAAGCCAGGTGTGGCCGTTCACGTCAGGAGTGGCCGTTCATGTCCTCACGCCAATATCCCCCCAATTGTCTTTTCAAGGCTGATGTTGTGTCGATACAGCGTAGCGCTGCTTTCGTACAATTTATCATATCCCAGAGTGGCATGTGCTTGAAAGCTGTGGTCAACCTGACACCAGGTTGACACCAAGTGAAGCTTCATTTGGCAAACAAGCTTTTTCAAGTTTGAATTCTGAGGACTGTTATCTGCCAGGCGTACTTGTATTTGGACGAGGCTCACAGCATCGGGGCGCTGGGCAAGGGCGGCCGGGGGGTGTGCGAGGCGCAGGGCGTGGACCCAGCCGATGTGGACATCATGATGGGCACCTTCACCAAGTCCTTTGGCTCCTGCGGCGGCTACATCGCCGGGGACAGGTGCTCCTCTCGCTGGAGTCCAAGACCAAACTTTTTCCACTGTGCACTCGCATACTCCGCTGTCATGCAGCTGTCGTTGCTGTAGAGTTTGGGAGTTTGATGTGCCATCAAACAGCTCGAAATTTTGCCTGTTGACATGGAAAGCGGCGCTTTGCTGATCACAACCAGGTTGCAGAGTTGGTGCACAGTGCTTTTACTCTTGCACAACGCGCGGGGCAGGGACCTGATCGCGTACCTGCGGAGCGTGGCGCCAGGGCACTACTATGCGACGAGCATGGCGCCGCCGGCAGCGCAGCAGATCATCGCCGCGCTGCAGGTGGTGAGCGGCCAGGACGGCACGGACCGCGGCTCGCGCAAGATCGCGGCACTGCACGAGAATAGCAACTACTTCCGCCGCCGCCTGCTGGACATGGGCTGCAATGTGCTCGGCGACTGGGACTCCCCAGTCATGGTGAGCGCCCTCGTGCGGCCTGCATGTATGCCATGTGTGTGAAGGCCCCTGAAGCTCACTGCCTGCATGGTGAAGTCCTCCGGCTGCCTGCTGTATATCTTGAATGTGATGCATGGACCTGTCCCCTCTCCGAAGGTCATCACACACGCCATTGCACAGCAGCAGTGAGGGTGCTCTTGTTGTATGGTGGCTCTGACGCAATCTTGTCCTGGGAGAAGAGGGGGACTGAAAAGAGCGACGCATGCTGGTGCAGCCGCTGATGCTGTTCAACCCGGGGAAGATTGCGGCGACGTCGCGGCTGTGCTGGGAGCGCGGGGTGGCGCTCGTGGTGGTGGGCTTCCCGGCCACGCCGCTGCTGACGGCTCGCGCGCGCATCTGCATCTCCGCCTCCCACACCCGCAAGGACCTCGACTACGCCCTCGAGGTGCGCCCCCACTCAGTCCCTGCCCGCCTGCACGACTGTGACATGTGCTTGACTAGGACTTTTAGCACATGTCATGCTATCCTGCAAAGCGCCTACTCGCAGCTTCTGGGAGTCAACACTGGACACCACCGGTAAGATATGTTCTTGAAAACCGTCTGGTCATACTTTTGTATTCACTTGCGTAAGTCACTGAATGTATGCATTGCTGAAGTGGTCATGTTAGAGGCATGCTCCCGATAGATTGCAAAGGTGGGCATGGACATCTGTGCAGGTGCTGAGTGAGGCATGCGATCTGGTGATGACAAAGTACAACGCCAGCAAGACAATGCTGTCACACGGAGCGCAGGTCATTATGAATGGCCACTGACGGAATCTGCCGAGCGTATATACGGTACATATATCTGTTCCAGCCACCAGCATTGTTTAGCAGCATTGCAGTAATCTGTGATCAGCTGGGCTCATTCAGCCGGCCTTGCAGCTGCGGATGAAGCGCTTCTGCCGTGATGTTTGGGGTGTTTGCCCCTGATACTTTTATACGTTGCAATGCTCAAGGACAGACTTGAGCAGAGTGACGTGCTGGTAGGCACAAATAATGGAAGAGCGCCATGGCTAGCCAGCGCTGATACCATGTGCCTGTAGACAATTTGATATGCCACACATGTGGGACTTTCTTTCCTGGGAGGTTGTTATTTGACACGCTCGCTTCCAAGGGCATTGACAAAGGTTTGTGGATGAATACTGCTTTCCAAGCAAGCTATATTACTGATGTGCCATCAAGAATGTGGGCTCTGCAGCTAGTCCTGACCCCGCTGCCCAGTGCTGGTGGGACACTTGTGGGCGGCACCAGCCAGATATTGGTAGATGGTTGCTTGCCAAGTGGGTGTCACCACCATGATGAGAGTTGCAGGTGAATATATACCTAGGCCGCCGGGGTTCATCCGTCGCACACTGATAACGTGCTATCTGTAAGACACCCAGGTCTCTGACAGCGCCTGAGACTTGCTGAGTATTATTGCCGCCATTGCCACGTGTGTCACACAATATTGCACACATGTGCACATCAGGCCTCGAGGCCTCACTCAGGCCTCGGAGGCATGTGCCGCCGCATACGCATGGCACCGCCGGCCCGCCTCAGCTGCATGCTTCATGAATCTGATCAGATGTTCCGGCACCAACGATATAAGTGTGGGGCGTTTGTCGGAACTCGACCTTCAATTAATTCATTGGCAAGGTAGAAAATTGGAAAAAGGCAAAAGTGGCAAGAAAGAGCCTCGGCTTTTTGCAACACGTGCACATGACTCATCACACCCGCCGCTTCGGCTAGCTGCACATTCTGAAGGGGAAGAAAACAAGAAGGAACACTCTTTTTGTTAATATCAGTGATTGGATATGGCATCACGCACGACAGTGGGTGTTCTTTCGGGACAGACCTGCTCTCTGACCGTCTTGTCTACAGCACATGCACGTGTCTTCACTGTTCTTCAACCTTTGCACAGTACTAGGCTGCATCTTTACAGTGTCCTAAGGTCCAGAGAGTCATCGAAAAGGGCGCAGTTGCCATCGATGAGGAGACAGAGTGTCCAAGCGTCTCCACTGAGCCCCACATCTACGTCTGACACTGAAGCTATTCCTATCAGCGATCTTAGAGGACTGCTCGAACAAGCAATCCGCGCGTTGGGATACTCTGAAGAAGAGACAGATGTGATTGTCGAGGTGAGGATAATCGCCACTGCTGATATCCCACATTTGCGCTGAATTCCTGCACTAGTACTGGGGAAGAGAGAGACTATGTGTCAACTTGACATGCAGGCGATCTTGTGGTCCCAGCTACGAGGCAATTCCCAAGGGGTCATCAAGATCCCCAGTGGCGCCTTTGCAATCCCGCCTGGCACTGGCCCTGCTGTTGTTGTTCAGGACTCTCCTGTGAGCGCAAGCATAGATGGGCAGCAATGCCTCGGAATGCTGGCACTGCACAAGGCAACCAAGCTGGCTGTGGCTAAGGCGAAGCAGGCTGGTGTGGGCATAGTGGGTATAAACAACACAGCATCCACCACAGGCGCTCTGGGGTGCGCGGGTCTTTGTGGTTCTACGAATATAATTCGAGTGAAATCTTGTGCCTAAAGGTGAGGTCTACTGAGAGGATGGCAGCTGATCGTACGTCTCATGTGCTCGCAGGCATTGGGTGGAGCAAATCGCAGATGCAGGCTTGGTGGGGATCATCATGTGCCAGAGCCCAGAGTATGTGGCACCGCACGGTTCCACGGAGGCCATCTTTGGCACCAATCCGATTGCGCTTGGGTGTCCCTCTGACGGAGGTCCCGTCATTGTGGACCTGGCAACGTCTGCTCAGTCCTGGTGACGATCCTTGAGTGCTTCGTTTCCTGACCTCCTGGCTTTACCAGTCGTACTTGTGGGCTGAGAAGCAGAGTTTGACTGTTGACTTGACGTCACAATGGTCTCTTTTCATGCAGGTACAGCTTGCTTGAAGCCAAAGAGAGCGGTCAGGCGGTGGGTGAAGACATAGGGTACGATGCGCGCGGTGAGCCCACTACAGATCCCGGCAGCATCCTCGATGGCGGCGCCATCCGCACCTTTGACAGGCATGCCCCCTGCCACCGGCATCGCACAGAATTTTTTTTAGAGCTGTGGATATCAATATGGCTGCCACACAATTCCAGCATTTTCAGAAAGCGGTAGCCCTTTTGGTAATGCTTCTGCTCTATTATTATTCGATCACGTGTTTCTGCACGGATGCATGCTGATGGGTTGCACGCGTGCGGGGGCCCTCACGCAGGTCTTACAAGGGCAGCGCGCTCGCGTTGCTGGTGGAGATTCTGGGGGGGGCGCTGGCGGGGGGAGCGGTGGTGGGCAAGGCGGCCGCGCGCAACTGGGGCAGCCTCGTGGCCGCCGTCGACCCGGCCGCGCTCGGGGACGCCGCCGCCTTCAGCTCGCGCGTCTCCGCGCTGCTGCGCCGCGTCAAGGCTGCGCGGCCGGCCCCGGGCGTCGCCGAGATCCGCCTGCCCGGCGAGAGCAGCGCGGAACTGGCCGGTATGCAGCGCCACTCTTGTTGCCCTCCTGCTGTGTGCTGCTGCACAGGAGTACTGCAGGACAGTGCAGAACGCAAGCAGTGAAGAATAAATCCAAATCTCTAATTGTCTCCCTGGCTCATACCTGCGACCCTAGAGTACTAGAGGACAGTGCAGGACGCAGTGATAATGGTGCCAGCATAAACACAAGTAATCCTACTGGTGTCCCTGGGATGTGATTGGTGGTTGTTTAGAAACGCATGAAGAGGCTGATGGTGTGGTGTGGAATGCCTGTAGAGCGCTGCAGGGCGGCTGGCGTGGTGCCCATGTCCAGCAGGCTGTATGAGCAGCTGCGCGCGGCTGCCAGCGCTGGCGGAAGCAGGAGGGAGCCGGGTGCTACCCCTTCCAGCAACGGCAGCAATCATACAGGCAGGTCTGAGCAGCCCTCCACATCGCAAGCCCCCCGGCTTGGAGCAGCAGGTGTGTTCCCACCCCTGCTGAGCCCAAGCTGGGACTTCCTTCAGGAGCCAGACCAGAATCGATCTGTGCACGCACCTTCTTAGGTTGTCCATACCGTGGCATTATAAGATTAGCAGTGCTCCTTGCAGCACTGTAGTGCCCTGGAGAGATGAGTGAGTGTTGCAAGGGTTTTGAGAGGCTCTCATTGTGCGTCCAGGTGGGCGGGAGGGTTGGGCGATGGCGACGCGGCTGGTGCATGCGCCCAAAGTGACCAGCGATCCGTACGGGGCGGTGTCTCCGCCGCTGTACCAGACGGCGACATTTGAGCAGGTGAGCGCGGTGGAGTGCGGCCGCTACGACTACTCGCGCTCCGGCAACCCCACGCGCACCCAGCTGGAGGCCCACATCGCCCACCTCGAGGCACGACTTTGCCATCTTTTCTTGCAAAAACTAATGCATGCATGTTTTCCTCTTTGTTCACAGGACAGTAGATGATCGCTCATCCCTGTCACAAGGGCCTCCGGGCAATCTATGCTCTGGGCTGAGGCACTGAGATGCTTGGAGGTACAATATCCAGCAGCATACCTGGCCTGCACGGGGCAGCTGTAAGGGAGACCCGGCAGGATGCTTTGGTGGTGTGGCTGAGCGAACGAGAGTGGGCTGACATGGGTCTGGGCTGAGGCAGGGCGCGGCGCGGTCGTTTGCGTTTGGCAGCGGGATGGCGGCGCTGTCGGCAGTACTGCGGCTGGTGCGCAACGGCGAGCACGTGGTGGCGGGCGACGACATCTATGGTGGCACCTCGCGCCTGCTCACGCGCGTCGCCCCAGACCTCGGCATCTCCGTCACAAACGTGTCCACCACCGAGACCGAGTGCGGCCCCCTCACCTGCCATATGCATGCAGCTCTCAGACGTTTCCTTTCCTCTGTGTTCTTGGCTCACATGCTTGCATGTAGCCTGCTGCCGGTGAGGAAGATGATGTGTCCACAAGACTGCGGTGCCATGTTTTGAGGGAGGGATGGTGTGTCATGCAGGCCTTTGCGGCAGGCGATCATCCCTGGGAAGACGAAGCTCGTGATGCTCGAGTCGCCCACCAACCCGCGCATGCAAATATGCGACATCGCCGCGCTCACAGCCATTGCCCATGAGGTCAGCCCCCCACACTTCTCCTGTGCAGCCACTCCGCTTGCTTTGCTGAGTGTCTTGCTGACAATATGTCAAGAAGTGCAAACTGCTTGGGGTGACAGCTGTGGTATGTGGTGGATCAGGCTGGCGCTCTTGTGGTGGTGGACAACAGCATCCTGGCGCCCACCTTCCAGCAGCCGCTGGTGCTGGGCGCTGACATCGTCATGACATCAGCCACCAAGTTCATCGCCGGCCACTCTGATGTCACCGGGGGACTGCTGTCCGTTAGAGACCCCGAGCTCGCCGAGCGCGTGTACTTCTACCAGGTGCGCCCATCGCCAGAACACTACATCCCTTCTCCATTCTGTCGCCCTTGGTCCAGGCGCCCTGTCAGAGCAAAGCTTATAAGAGCACAGCTCACAACAGTGCTCATGAGCGCTTTATCAAATTTAAGTTGGAGCAATGCCTCATCAAAAATGGTAAGGAAGCGACACAGTGGTGATGAGAGGGGGAGTGGTGACGTGCGCAGAATGCGGAGGGCAGCGGGTTGGGCCCATTCGACTGCTGGCTGGCCATGCGCGGCCTGAAGACGATGGCGCTGCGAATGGAGCGGCAGGCGGCGAGCGCTGCGCTGATCGCTCGCTGGCTGCAGGCCCACCCGCTGGTGCGCAAGGTCAACTACCCGGGCCTCCCCAGCCACCCGGGCCACGCTGTGCACGCTGCGCAGTCCTCCAGCGGCGGCTCCCTGCTCAGCTTCGAGACCGGCAGGTGCGCGCACCCAGATACCATGGCTTCTGCGCGTGTTCTGATCTGCATCACTGACTCTCCTCCTGCTGAATCAAGCATTCATTCGTCATGGTCTAAGTATACCAGCAGACCCAGGGTCCCTTCCAGTGGCCACTGGAAGGATTGACCATGCTTTGAAGCTCCTGGAGATTGTGTGGCTCCCTCCATGAAAGGGCTATGTGGAGCAATCAGCGACACTTCTCGGAATTTTTGCATGCACTGTGGCACAATGAGTCTGACTGGGGTGGCTGCACTCCTGGCGCAGCATTGAGGCGAGCCGCACGGTGGCGGAGCAGGCGCAGCTGTTCAAGATCACGGTCAGCTTTGGCAGCGTCAGCTCGCTCATCAGCCTGCCCTGCTACATGAGCCACGCCTCCATCCCGGCCGCCCTGCGCGTGCAACGGGGCCTCCCGGACGACCTCGTCCGCATCTCCGTCGGCATCGAAGACCCCGCCGACCTGCTCGCCGGTGAGTGGTCATTACTAATATCATTACAAGATTGTCAGACCCTGAGCCAGAGGCCACAGGGCATGCATGCAGAACGCCTGCAGCCACATCTACGGGATAACAATGGTTTGCAAGCCTAGCACTGATTTGCATACAAGTGGCTTCCAGTGCTGCCCCTGTTTGGGTAGCCACCGCCAGTACTGGGCTGGTATGATGTCCTGGCAGCATCCCCTGTGCACCACTGTTCTGCTAGTGTCACATACACAAGAATCTGCTGTGCTGAGTGGGCCGGTGAGCAGCGCGCGCACTGGCTTTGGGTGTTGAGAGTGATGGTTGGATGGCAATTTGGCTGAGTGGGAAGTTGTGTGCCCATGCAGATCTTGACCAGGCGATGAGGAAAGCAATGGATGCAATTGGCATGACTGCAGCCGTCCCAGGGTTCCAGCTTGATGGGTTTACAGGCAGTCAGCGAGAGCGACAGCTTCTGGACAGGATAGCACAGCTTGAGGCACAGCTGCAGCCAACATGAATACTTACATGACCAGCCACTTGGGAATCTGTACTAAACTAGCAGCAATCTTGACACTGGGGTTCATTAAGCCGCCTCTCTGATTGAAAGTTTTCACCGTCGTTGGGTGCACAATTACAAGTATTGTTCAGAAAAGGTAATTGTAACGCTTAAATCTGATGGTCAAAGTAGCAACATGAATTCACAATGTAAGGCAATACCAGTTCTGTGAATATTGTTCCTTCATGCAGTTCTCAATGTCTTGGTCCCAAGCCGATTTCTCTCAATCTGTCCTCAACGGCACTCATCAATATCAGCCCTGGTTCAAGACTTGTGGAAGATCTTGCGGAAAAGGGATTTGATTCCCTTGAAGAATGCGGCAAGCCCGTCCATGACCTTGCCCTCGCCCTCCAGAATGACATAGACACATCCGTCGTGGGGCTTGTTTGGGATGCATGTCAGCCTCTCCTCCTGCGCCAGCTTCTCGATGGCTGGCTTAAGCTTCTGCACGCCGCCTGCGCTGTGATTGCCCTTCCCCACAATGAACACCAGGTACTCTTTGCCCTGCGCACACCAGGTTTCAGCTCTAAACAGTGTTGCTATGCAGTGTCTTAGTGAAGTCAGAGCACTGCTGGCAGATGCAACAGAACAGTGTATGCGGATGGCTGGGCCTTGGTACTGAACGCCCGCTCACCTCGCCTCTGGCCTTCACAATGCACTCACGTGCGCGCCGCACAGCCTCATCAACGTAGAGGCCATGCAGGTCAATCGTGGCGCTGTCCCGACCCATGTTGTTCCCCTGGAAAGCTGCATCGCTTGCCATCCTGTTCGCTTTTTCCATGAGCGCAGCCTCGGCTTTCCCCTTGTTCGACAGCGCTTTCGCCTCTGCCTTGCGCCCGCTCCTGAATGCGTCCTGGGCCACCATTGATGCACAGTCAGCACAATGATCTGACAACTGGTACTTTCCCTGCAACAGCTAGTAAAACGTTCAGCCAGGCCATGACCCCGCACCTGTGACTGCTGATAGTATTGGTTGCGCAGTTCTGCATGTTTCTTGGCCTCTGCACGGTAGTGCTCATGCTGGCTCACGCCCGCAGGCGCCTGTGAAGGGTGGGAATTTGTGTTCCCCATTGCAGTGTCCTTTCCCTTCCTCTCAGTGGCAAAATCGCAAAGTGCGGTCCTCAAGAAATTCACAAATTCGTTGTCTGACAAAGATCGGGGAGCCACAGCCTGCTGTGCTAGCTCACAGGCACAAAGGGCTTGCCGTCTGATCGGCCTCAAGAAGACTGCCATATGTTCTATAATCAGCTACGAACATATAGTCCACTTGGGACTGCATAGCTAGTCACGTTTGATGCTCAATGCTAGATCCAAGGCAGTACCCAGAAGGATGTCCTATCCTGGAGGCGTTTTCTTTTGTTAGTGGAGCAGTCGCTATGAAATCCAACAAAGAAATGGAATGTTAAAGCTATCCCTCCTTCTGCCAGGCTGCTCTTCAGCTCTGCTTGGATCCCAGTCCCAGGAAGAAAATGTATTTACCTCGTGCCTGCACATGCATGCACATGATGGCGTCCCGTCACTCAGCTTCTCCTTGTGTCTCGTTTCTTGTTCTGCCGAATTTGTGAGGCTCGGCTCGAGCAACCGAGCACATTGGTGATAAAGCGCAAGAATATTTTGACCATGCACCTGCTCAAGATGTAGATATTGAGCCCATCTGTTACTTAGATGATTGTCAAAGTCATCAGATATCCAGTGAAGCTGTGTCCCATCCTTGGCCCAGACGAACTGCCACAACGATTCGGGAAGCCTGCAAATAAAATTTCAAGCTTCATTTTCGGCTGAAAGACTTTAGGACGAGAGGAGTATAAAGAAAACTCTCTCAAAGTTAAGTGATTGAGACTTGGAAACAATAGAATGCCTCCACGGGGGCCACCACAACCGCATCAATATGCGCAGCCGGGAATTCCCATACAGCCTGGTGTGCCTGGCCAGCCAGGGCAACAGGTTCCATTCAATCACAACTCCTATGGTGACCCTTATGCCCAGGCGCCCTACGCCCAAGCCAATCCTTATGGGATGCCAAACCCGCAGGTAAGTGTCCTCTTGTAATTACTTTTCATGTCTCTTGTCACCTTATTTTGGAATTGTGCCAACTCTCCAAGCAAGAGGTTGAACAAATTCCTGCTCTACTCAGGCACCCTTCCCTGTCAATGACCCCCTGATGGCCATGGGTAGCAGCATGCTGCGGCAGTCGGGTGCAACCTACCTGGAGAGTGGGAAGAAGTACATGCAGTCATGGACAGGCGTGCTCTCCGGGGGTCTCCTCCACTATCACTTTGACATCAACTCAGAGTACGGTGAGGCACACTCCTTTTCACCAGAAGCTCCTTAGAATTACATGTAGCTGACATTTGTTGTCTGCCGGCATAAAATATCTGCTGCATGGGGACTGCTTGACCGCTCTGTTAGGTTCTTCTCGTTCTTAATGACGTGGGCATGCGCAGTGCGGAACAAGCTGATGATGCTGCTGGCGCCTTTCCTGAGGCGATGGAACTACACACGAGTGCTGGAGCAGGTCAGTGCCACCACCTCTTGCAGCAGCCACCGCTCCACGGCATACATGGAGCTTGTTTGATATGACATGTATGATCTAATCACAAGCCTGGCTGCCGATGTTGCGCAGATCACTGGCGGCCACAAATATCTCCCTCCTCGCCAGGATGTCAATGCGCCTGACCTGTACATTCCCTTCATGGCACTCTGCACCTGCTGCCTCCTGGCCAGCATCAGCAAGGTGGTCACAGGGCGATTCTCCCCGGACACCATGTATGCCACGGTGAGTTCCAACATGCAATCCTTTTGAGTACCAGTGATCACAAGTGTATACATTTTTCATTTGGCTGTTTCCTGGCGAAATAGAGCATGGACATCCATTGTTTTTGTGTATTTGCAGGTCAGCAAGGGCTTTGGAGCCTGGGCAGTGCATTGGATGGTTCTCAAAGCCCTGATGTACGTGCTGGGGGCATCTGCTGCGATTCCCTTCCTGGAGCTGGCATCGTATGCGGGCTACCCATTCGTGCCAGCCTGTATTGCCATGCTGGCACGCATGACTCTAGGTGCGCAGGCCTCTTTTCACACAAGGGCCGAGCCTTTATTGGGACCATTATGCTGCTGCTGTACCATGCGCGTCGAATGCTGCATTCTTATTGTGGAGCAATTTGTGCAGGGACGTGGGGATTCAGGGCAGTGTGGGCGTACGGCGCAGCCATGATAGGGATTGTGCTGGTTCGCACGCTGAAGCGCATCATCTTCTATGAAGCGCGACAGTACAGCATCGACTCGACCACGCACAACTACCTGCTGCTCGCGCTCTGGATCTTTGAGTTCCCATTCACCTGGTGGCTTGCACTTTTGCCATGAATTGTGCAGAACAGAACAGCGCTGTACGGCTAGCCAACCATGCGGGTCTCGCACTGTGAATGCTGGTACAAACGGAACTTCCTTGAAGGTCACAAACGGTTGGAAGAGAGGGAGCTCTTGCTTTCTTTACTTGTACAGAGTTTGCGTGTAGGCATTCAGGAGAGTCAAGAGAGGAATGGCATGTTCGACTTGGGGACAGGAAAACGTCCAGTTCAAAAACAAAACATTACTAGCCACGTGCACGGTTTCTGTACACACTGTCAAGATGATGCACGGTACCATACATGTGACTTCTGCTCCTATAAATCTTACTTTCCTGAGGAACAAACACATGGCTACGCAGCAGCCTCACTGAATGCCTGCTTCAAGCAGATCTAAATTGCTTCTCAGGGGGAGCACCATGAATTCCAATGGCATGCCACTCGTGAAGTGGCTACAAGGGCCTGATTCAGAATGAAAAAACCCCAAGAATATTGAGGCAGCTCTCAGTAACTGTAATAACAAGTAGTTCTCAATGTTCAAAAATGAAATTATATATTGAGAGCTGCACAACGGATGCCTCGACATGCGGAGGCACTTATCCCAGTCCTACTGTACACTGCCGTATCCTAAGAGACTCCCTAAGAGTCTCAATGGCTCATCCTTGAAAGTCAATGGTGGACTCCATTCTGGATCTGGCTGTCAAATAGAGGACCACAGTGAAGACAATGCAGATGAGGACATAGAGCTGTTGCTGCGGCAGGTGCAGCCAGGAGCTGCCATTTGTCGCCACACTGTCACAGCTCTGTCCCAGCAGCACATCACGCACACCCAGGAGGCTCCCACGCACGCCCTCTGCCGTGGCCGTGGCTGCCAGCATCAGCATCAGCTTCCTCGCCTCTGGCACCTTGACAACCTGCCTTTGTTCCATACACACCTTATACACTGCTTACCCTCTCATGACTACTTAGGAGAAATTCTTCTCCACACATGCAGGAATCTTCCCTTGCTGCAACCAACAAGCAGTGGACAACTGCAAACTGAAGGAGTGCACATTCGTTGTCTGCATCAGCACATCACCTGGATGACCTCATTAGCCCAGCTGTCAGTTGGGCCGCTGCTGCTCGCTTGTTTGCCCAACCTCTGCTCTGACGCGCTGCACGAACCCTTGCCTGGCAGCATGTCAGGAGGGATCAGGTTGGCAGTGGCATCCACGGCCTCACGGCAGCTGGCATGATGCACATGAGATTGGGCTGTGGGAGCAGGACAGCTCCCCTGCAGCTGGTCCTCTGGCTGCATCGTCGCTGAATACACTTCTTCCTCGACCACCACTGTCCTGCAAGGTGGCAAGATGTGTGAGAAACAGCTTCTTTTTCAGTACCAGAAAGGTGCGATAGAGGCAGCTACAAACACAGATTGGTGAATGTATGCAGTGCAAACCTGCTGGTGGTGGAGGGCCGTCTGAGGTATGAGTTGACCAGTTCATGCACGAAAACGCGCGTGAGGCCGCCCATGACTGCGCTGTTTTGGCCCTGACCAATGGCAGCCAGCAGGTCTGCCCATGAGTTGGTGCCTTCCAGCTTCTCCATGTACACCTCCATGCCCTCCCTCACAAATGTGCGGATGCTGGTTGTCGACAGCTGCTGCCCCTCCCGGCTCCCTGATCACAGGCAATCATGCAATCTCAGCTATCTAATAGCAACAATGCTGGGCGAACCAAGCATTTGAGCAGCGTCTCAATCTCAGCCTGACGAGAAGCAACACAATCAAATGCTGTAGCACGGCAGAGGCAGGCCCGCACTCACCAGCAAAGTGCAGCAATCTCTGCATCATGTCAGGCTGCCCAGAATCTGCCGCAGCTTGCGCCAGGTTTGAGCAAAATGCATCTGTTGAGCTCTTGCATGCGACGCTGATGGCCAGGGTCAAGAGGCTGCTGCCGCGCTCGCTGCTCAACACATCCAGAATCTTTGTGGTCATGTCTCTGGATCCCTCGCCTAATGATGAAGCCCCCTCCACAGCCCCCCGGACTGCTGCTGACACGAGCTGTGATGTCGACTGCTGCACTTCCTGCACATAACATCCAGTGACTTGTCCATCCAGACACACAAGTGGGAATTCACTGCACCCAAAAAGCAAAGCCCAGCAATACTTGTCCGTCTCACCATGTCACACTGCATCACTCCGTCTTGGATTCAATCTTAGCGGTGGCATACCTGGGACTCTGCCAGCCGCAGCAGTTGCCTGAAGCTTTGCGGCAGCTGCTCTGAGTCCGAGCTCAGAAAGCTCTGCAAGTCGCTAAGCAGCAGAGAGCTGACCTCGGACCCCACCAGGAAGGCCTCACTGTACTTACGCAGAGCAGCCCTCAAACGACTCACGTACGACTCACTACCACTTTTTGTGCAGTAGTATGAACGATATGCAAGCACAGCTGCAGCAAGTGTCAGCAGACCCCCACAGGCCAGATATTTCCTCTGACGAGGCAATCTGACTGGCCAAAATTCCATCAGAGGCTACAACTGCACCCCAAAGGTGCAGAAGACACGTTTGTTGCAGTCGGGACACTTGGAACTGAGGATTGACAGGTTTACACAGACGCTCCTTTTCTGTAATTCACTGTCCCCGTTCAGGCTATGATGTGCACCAACGCAATAGAGTCGCCTTGATAATGTCAAGCAAAGTTGCAGAAGTTGAAACGAGCAAGCAGTGCTCCTTGCTGACAGGGCTTTTAAGAGTTGTTGGAACTGGTTTGGAGCACGTGCATCAAGACAAAAGGCCGGCCTCTCAGATATGACATCGCTGCATTTAATGGACGAGCTTTCTGTCTATCATGTCGTGATGCAAATAAATTTGGGAGATTTGCTCAGTGCAAAAGCGAGTTTCCTCACACCTTCATTGGATCGCCGTTGGGAGGGTGGGCATTCAAATGGGTTTTGCACGTGCGGTAAATCAACTCTATTTTTAGCAAGTTGCATCTGGAGAACAAAACTCGTGGACGAGCAGTGCTATCTGCGAGTCAATTCGAACTCTACTGAAATAATAGAGTCTCGAGGACTTCCAGAATGGACACACCAGTTGAAAGTGTGCAGATCATGGAGTCGTCGCCAAAGCTTGACGAGGAATCTTTCCTGAAAGCCTTCACTGAACGTATCATCGCCTGTGCACAGCAAAGTAGGAAGCAAAAAAATGGTACTGAAGCCGAGGACTCCCTTGTGGTGGGAGGACGACCTCTGACATTTGCATTTGCTATTCGACCCAAATCATCGAAGGGTTTGCTAAAACTTTGGTTGATTACAGGATTTGGATGATTGTGAAGTATCGACAGATGGATCTTGTCAATATCTCACGGTGGACGAGAAACATGCTATCGCAATCTTGGAGGTCGAACACATCCAGGCATTACTCGAGCAGGTTGTAAACCATTGCTTTGTTACTCCGTGTAGTAACAAGATACATCTTGAGATTCTTCAGGATCTGGCAATGCCTATGTGTTTCTAGTTTTGCCGAGATCTAAGGGTCTTTCCCTGCAGGCGATAGCAGAATCTGAGAAGGCATTACTGGAGGGTGAAGCCAGGCTTGCTGACTGGGAAGCCAAAGTGTCTTCAAACAACAGCTGCTTGTATCAATTGAAGCATGACGCACTTCCTGAGGCAGGCCAGCGCAGTGAAAAGGTCACAGCAGACCGCATATTGAGGCATCTGGAGCACATGATTGATGCTAAAGGCGCAGCAGTAGAGAGTTTCACTATTCAGGCTGCCACTCTGAAGGTGGGCGTTCTCATACAGTCATGTAAAACTGATACAACAGATTGCTGTCCACACTGACCACCACAACCCATGAATACACCACCGACATGGGCGCTGCTCGATTCATGTTCTTGCCTGTGTTCTGCTGAGCTCTTGAGAATTTTTAGAAGGGCGTGCAATGACTTGATGCGCAGGGAAAGTTGAAGAGTATACAGCACCAGACGCAGCATCAGCAGATCTTAGGGGAAGGATTGCACGCTGTGGATTTCGATCAATTGACAATCGAGAATCAGGAGCTCATTGCTCGGTTCAGCCAGTCCAACGCGGCGCTCTTATGCGCAAAGCGCAAGTCAGCTTCTTTGCTTCAGGTGACCATGCCAGTATACAAACGCACCATTCATTGGGAGGAAGAGCAAGAATAATTTCAAAGCCAATGCTGTCCCGTAAGATCATCTTGGCATGCCAGCAAATGTTTCTGTTGACTATATTCGACACACAAATAATTACAGTCATCGTCAGTTAGTATGCATCGGCCGATTTGCCACGGGATGCCTTACTTCATGCAGGCACTGTCTCAGAGGAAAGGGATGGTGAGGGAGACGATGGAGATGAGTGTGCGTCCTGTAGAACAGATCGCAGCATGCAATTCGAGCTGCATTGATGCAGGAGGCGACAAGCAACTCCTTGTCTATTAGCCCAAGCAGTTCAATGACATAAGCAATGGACAATTGCTTGCTAAATAGGAACGTTCAACATTCAATGCAATGTGAAATAACAAGATGTCGCAATGCTCGCTGCCCTGATCACATCAGTACAGCAGACGTTCAAAGAAAGCAGACACATACATTATGAAATGTGCTTTTGCGTACATGGATCATTCATCGAAATAGTGGCTCTAGGACCTTGAAGTCTTCACCGAGTGGCACTGCAGCTGCCACGTCCTGCGCATCAGCAGGCAGGAAACACAGCCTGCGCTCTTTGGGTGTGTCCAGTTGCACCAGTGCTCCTTTCACATCCCCCAGGGGCCAGCCCCGCAGCTTCCACACCTGCACACAACCATGGCGCTCGATTTGTCACCCTGTGAGAGGTTCCTCTGGCGACATTGCAAGTCACATGCACGCTCAGGATTGGGCAGCAATGACCATCCAAATGGCACGCAATTGGAAGAAGGCCAACCTGTGGGTATGCAACGTCCTGGAGTGGTACGATGGCACAGGCTGCAAGAGCGCTCTTCTCGCTGGCGTACTGCCTCAGGAACCCCAGGCAGTTCTGCAGCATCTCTGGCGACTGGAAAGCTTCCTTGACCTTTACCTGGCTCATGCTGGACTCCAGATCTGTAGATGGCGGCCCTTCAGCATGCCAGGAATGCACAATGAGGGCGAATAGTCATTTCAAGGACCGCATGCAAATATGATGTCAGCCATCACTTGATTAAGTCTGTGACCTCCTTACCAAGGAAGTAGACGGATGGCTCCAGCGTGTCAGCGTCCAAGGCCAGGGCTAAGCATTCCCTCTGAAATTCTGCAGTGTCTGCATTGAGTTGTCCAGACGGGTGCACTTGTTTTGCGCCCAGCGGTGCAGCCTGGCGTGCATGGAGACTCCAAGATCAGCCTTTGCACTGAATAATCTGCTCTTTCCTCACTTATAATAGACCTTGCAGGGCTATTGATGTTCCCAAAAGCTCAAAAGTGTCATTGTGATACCTGTTTGTTTCCCTGACTTTTCATCTCAACGCCACTGTTGCCGTTCACCGACTTGTTTTTCTCCTGATTTTCTTTGTCTTTCTTGGCATTTGGCTTTGATGAGTTTATCACTTTCTTGAGCTCTCGGGCTTTCTTTGCCATCTCAGCATTCTGTGCATTGCATTTTAGTGCGGCTTCCACCGCCTGGAGTGCCTGCTCCAACACATAATCTAGCTATGATATGGTCGCTGGAGTAAAAACAGCGAGAGGTGATAATGTCATTTTGCTTTATTCGGAAGTCTGATTGCTTGGATCAGGTAGGATCACCTCAGTATAAGCCCCTTGCAGCTCCAAAGCTAAGCCCTTTCGAAAGTGCCCCTTTTCCCAGTCTGGCCTCCGACGTATGCAGTCTTCTGCATCTTCGAGCGCTTTTGCCGCCTTTTTTAGTTGTAAGAGAGCTGCAGATCTGTTAGAGTACAGAACGGCAGAGTCTGGGTCCTCCTTGATGCCCTGCAGGAACATCACTAATATTCAGACTGTGAGCCAGAAGTCACCCGATCTCAACGATCACCTGCGCGCATTGCACCCACCTTGGTGTAGAGACCAGCAGCTTTGAGCCATTTCCCCTTCTTATATTCCGCGTTTCCTTGATCTTTGAAACTGCAGCTCGTTGTCTGACACATCTTGATTAAGCACACGAGGGCGACGTCGGACCGTGATTTGATGCACCAGTTGTCATGATCTGTCTTCACTACAGCAACGATCTTCTAGACACAGACTTCTTTCTCATCGCGCTGAACTTCTGCATGCATTGACCGGCAGGCCATGACCAGTATTGCTCGAGCAGCTGAATCTCCTTCGTATTTTGCGATCCTCTTTCCCTCTCCTCTATCATATTCCATCCTCATGTGAAGATGGCAGGGAAAGGATACAATTACGCGGATGATTACGAAGACGATTGGTATCAGCAAGATGATGACTTTGAGGACGACGACGAGGATGATCCAGAACTAGCAGAGGCTGTCAGGGCTGTTGAAGCGCAGAAAGCAGCAGAAAAACCTGTAAAAAAGGTGATTCTAAGTTTCCTCTATCCCTTTTAGAGTGCAAGCCCTCGTATTGTTGGCGAAGAATCGCCTGGCTGTCCTCCATGGTTCCTTGCTTCCTCCAAATGCCTAACCCAAAAGACAATCGATTAGAATACCCTGATTAGATCCTATCCATACTACTCCAGATGGATCCCAAATTGATGCCATGCTGGTGTACTGCAGTGCTCGGCATAGTACAGTAAGCCACACTGGTATCTCACCTCCAATGTGGCTGGATCAGCGTTTCCATGCTGATTCCATGCTGAAAATTGAACTTCTGGTGTCTTTCCATGACAGGGCAAGGCCGTTCTAAGCAAAAGTGGTACTAGTGTACCACCACAACCGGGCGGAAAGGGCACTGCTGCAAAGAGCGTGGGCAAGGCAGGCATTGACGCAGGTGCTTCTGCCCTGGCTCATTACCTCTGTGATCCACCTCCTACTCTGCCGAGCGGCAAGCCTCAAAAGGGGGGTACGTGTTGATGCTGTACTGCATCCTCATGTCCTCGTACCTGCTGCTGTCCAGACGCATGACAAGTGCTGTGATTTTAACGAGCTTGCTGCGTCATGATCTGCTGACATGCTTGGCCGTTTTACAGGCAGGAGAGTAGAGCAGCCACCCCCAGTATCACAGACCTTTCCAATAGCGCCACAGGAGTCTGCAGCAGATGAGGGGAGACTATTCAGATTTGACCAACCATCTCCGGATGACCGCGTGCTAGCAGCTCAGTCAGGCAAGCCCGTAGTGTCACTAACGCAGAATAGAGCGGCTCAGCATACCCATGCAAGGTGAGACCACATCTATCGTGCCTCTCGCTCGTTCGCTGCCATTGCTTTCATATTTGGCCCTCTGCATGGAATGCTTTGCATTTTCAATCGTTTCACATGGCAAGTTTTCTTGGCAGGCCAAGTGTTGCGGCACAAGAGGAAGTGGAGAGGGGAGTGGCAGCGATTCAGCTGCAGGGTGAGGAAAACGGCAGCACTTCAGGTCGTTCTGAAAGCAGATGGACCGATCAGCAGGTTCCCTCGACAAGCGGGAGGACAGAACTCGAGCCTCAGCTCCAGGTATGACATCCATTCAAAAGTCCTCCACCATGTGAGCTCCCTGGTGCATTGAGAAGAGGGACGACGAGACGACTGATCATCCATGCAAGCCATTGTCATGGCAATGCACCCACGCTGCCATATCTGCTGGCAACCATCCAATCCCCACGCAATGTACTAAGAAGATCCTTGGATTGCAGCGGAGGCGGCGGCCGCTGTCAGAGTACAGGCCGGACAGTGACCTGGCAAGAGCATGCGACGAGGCGAGTGCGCGGGAAGGTGTAGAGGCTAATGGCAAATCGCGGCTGCATCTGGTGGTGCTGGGCCATGTAGATGCTGGCAAGTCCACGCTCATGGGCCGCCTGCTGCATGAACTAGGGTGAGCTGCGCACATGCATAACGCCGGGAAAGCCCTAAAAAGAGCCGAATTCGACCTGTAAATTTCCATCTGAGAACCTGCAACAATTTTCACTTCGGGACAATAGTGAAAAAAAAAATCAAAAAGTGACCACACAATGTGTCCATGCAGGCACATCAGCCAGAAAACTGTGCACAAAGCGCAGCGCGATGCAACGGCGGCCGGGAAGGGGTCGTTTGCATGGGCGTGGCTGTTGGATGAGAGGGCCGAGGAGCGCTCGAGGGGGGTCACCGTCGATGTCGCATCCACCTTCTTCGAGACCCCAAAGCACCTGGTCAGGCTGCTGGATGCGCCCGGCCACCGCGACTTTGTGCCCAACATGATTGCTGGTGAGCTCGCAGAGTTCAAAAGAACTTGTTTCGAAAAAAAAATTGCCCCTTGATGAAATGCTGCATGTCAACCTTAGCATGTACATGCTCCCAAGGATGCAGAGGCATCCACGATGTACCATAAAAAGCATTCCCTACAATCATATCCATGCCACAGTGGGGGAAATGCTTGCTGCAGCGCTTCTAGTCAAAACGCCCATAAGCACTTTGATAAACACGGCGTGCCATCGCGCAGGGGCAGCCCAGGCGGACGCTGCGCTGCTCTTGGTGGATGGATCGGTGGGGGGATTCGAGGCGGGCTTTGATGCGGGCGGCGGCATGGGTGGCGGGCAGACGCGGGAGCACGCGCAGCTGGCGCGCAGCCTCGGCATTGAGCAGCTCGCCGTCGTCATCTCCAAGCTGGACACCTGCGCCTTCTCCCAGGTCCGCCCTGACTCATCCGCCTCACCACCCCCGTCAGGTTATGCATTGAGAGGCAGGAAGAGCGATGACAGTTGTGGGTGTGTGCAGGAGCGGTTTGAGCAGGTCAAGGGGGCGCTTCTGCCTTTCCTGCGCACATCAGGCTTCAGGGAGAGCCAGGTGCAGTGGCTGCCGGCCGTGGGCCCCTCAGGGCAGAACCTGACGGATCACCCCACTGAGCCGGCACTGAGCAGCTGGTGGCGGGGGCCCTCGGTGGTGGCCGCCATCGACGCATTCCGGCCGGCGGCGCGCGCATTGGAGCGGTCGCTGCGCATGCCCATTGCCGACGTGTTCAAGGGATTGCGCGGGGGATTGGCCGTCGGCGGCAAGCTGGAGGGCGGCGCTCTCAAGGTCAGGCATCCCCTGTGAACGCTGTGGGGCTGTGTCAGCTTGACACTTGGCCATCACACCTGACTCCTTTGTTTTTGTCAGCCTGCATGCATCAGGCTGACAAGAACAACAGCATCAATGTAAATATTACATTGAAGAGGATCTTCAAGGGAGAAATTCTGCTGGAGAAATTCCGCAATCCCACTACATACAGCAGCTGCAATGAAAGCCTTGGCCTGCCAACCATGCATGCATCGTGAATGGGTCTGTGAATGGGTGTACAGGTGGGCACGAGGGTGCTGGTGCAGCCGGGCGGCCACCAGGCGATGGTGCGCAGTGTGGAGATGGATGGACAGGCCGCGGCGCTGGCGAGGGCTGGCGACACAGCGGACGTGGTGCTGGCGGGTGTTGATGCCACGGCGCTGGCGGTGGGCGCGGTTGTGTGCCACCCGGACTGGCCCGTGCCGGTGGCCGGCCGGTTGGAGGCGCGCATCGTCGTGCTGGACCTCCCGCTGCCCATCCTCAAAGGCCGCCAGGTAAAAGTACCAAAAGCTTTGCTGTGCTCTAACCATCGATCAGCCACGCTTGGCCGCAGTGTATGCATTCTGATCATCATCGCGACAGGGCTGAGACATGTCTTACTGTGAGACGCAATCTGTCTAAGCTGCAAAGCAGCCTTTTCTCCCGATTCCGGCGCTTTTACTGGTTTTCATGTATGCAATGTGACCTGAATTGGATGCTGGAAGCTGCAAATGTATCTCAGGCGCCTGTTGGATGTTTGCATGCAGAGATGTGCTGAGTGAAGAGATGTTTTACTAGGGAAGCTCTTGAGGACTGGTGATGTGCGGCGCAGGTGAGCGTGCATGTGCACACGGCGCAGGAGTCCGGCCAGATTTCGCGGCTGGTCTCTGTGCTGAATCCAAAGACGGGCGAGGTGACAAAGGCGCGACCGCGCGCTCTGACCAAGGGGCAGACGGCGGTGGTGGAGATCAGCGTGGCTCGGCCCATGTGCGTGGAGCTGTACACCGACTACAGAGCCCTCGGCCGCATTGCCCTGAGGGATGGCGGGCACACCATTGCAGTGGGCATAATTGTGTCGCTCCTCGACTCTGACTGAAATCTGGGCCAGTGTCTCCTGAGATCAGCTGCTTGTACTTGAGATGCACAGGCGCCATAAATTGTAGTTGTGCGCCTGGTTGCAACAGGGCTCTTGCCCCAAATTTCCCTTTTTAAATAATTTGAGCAGTTGGTAAATTCTTACACCATTCTTTACAACAGCAAGACTTCATTCAGCTGTTGAAATCACATTCAGCATAAGATGAGGGCCTACATATGATAGCTCTCATCAAAGGTGCAGCATCGCATTGCGCAAAATTGGCTATTTGCTCTGGGCCAACAAATTGAAAAATACATTATACAGTATCATACAGCAGGCGTTGCACAGGTACAAGGCAAGTCCAAGCCGGAAATCAGGTGATATGCGGTTACTACAGTTAATTGAAGACGTATTCTAAACTATGCTGCCATATGATCGCATGGCATGCTCATGAATGAAGCTGACACACTGCTTTCACCTAGAATCAGCTGAGTTCTGAAGAGTTCTCAATCATGCTGGTGTCTCGTATCAAAATTAACATTGGTGTCTCATATCAAAATTATCATTGTCGTCTCCTAACAAAATTATCATGGGACTTGAGCTGACAGGGGCCTAATCAATGCTGGGGAGGCCATGAAGGTGCAGACGCTGCAGGGAACGGATTTGCATTCTGGACTGAGCATACGTTTCTGATGCTGCCAGGCACTTGCATCTCCATCTGATTCAGCGCATCAGCCTGGGCACAAACAACACATCAGCGCCATCATCTCAACGACTGGCCAGCATGTTGCACAGCCGAGCATTGAAAGAATCAAAGAATGGAGGCCATCTTGCTCATGCACAGTGCAGCAAGCACTGGGTAGCTCATGAGTGATCACCTGTTCCTCGTTCAGGTGCAAGGCTCTCCTGATCAGCAGAGATGTGACAGCTGCTACCTCACAGGACTGGCACATGAAAGTTTGGCAGCCCAATCCCATCAGCAGCAACCCTGCACATGAGAAGGCCTACTGAGCATCTCAACAATCCTTCCACCTCTGGACCTAAACATGCAATCCAACGCCTCTTATTTTCACATCGAATCCCTGCAGAAGATGGTACTTCCTTGTTGACTCACCCCCGGCTGCCAAGCAAGCAAAAATGAGGGCAGAGCCCAATATGTCGGCTATCCTCTGGATGCTGCCTGGGTCACAGATGTGCGAACGATGCTGGAAGAGCGCAAAGTCAAAGCAGTGCTGCGACGCTGCTGTGTCTGTGTCCCCAGACGCCGCAGCCATGGCTTTCATGTTCAGGGTGAAGATGATCCCTGCGCAGAATTCACAATCACAGTGATTAACCAAACCACAAAACTTCATATGTGGAGCACAGGAGCAACTTTGACAGGAGTATATGTCATGGCGGGATTCTTTTGGTGGGTTCTGTGATCATTTGGTGGTGCACACCTGTCGTCTGCAGGGCCCCCAGGAGAACCAGCCATGCTGAAGTGAGGATCAGCAGCACGCAGAGGACCCTGGCAAGCATCAATTGAGCCCTCCGCACAGACACGTTTTGGCATCCTGCATGCGATACGATGAGGCCGGATTCTCAGTCTCAGACTGGCAAGAAAGTCATGCACAGAACATGTTAAGAAAGTTCCTCCCAATCAGCATCGTACCTTCTTTCGCCAGAATCATATCCATCTTGCAGGTCACCAAGATGCGCACGAGGCAGGAACTCAGCAAGGCTAACACTGGCGCGACTGCTGTTGTGGCAATCACAGCAGCCTTGTAGGCGACTGTCCAGGAGCCTTTCGCCCCATGCAGGATCCCTGTTAGCTGCTGAATTGCATTCAGCTGCGCAAATGCCTGTATAAAGTGAAATTAGCTGTCAAGGTGTGCCAACACGTCAGTGTCTAGAGGACAGTTCTTCCAGGTGTTGGTCTGAGTAAGTTGGGAAAGGTAATTGAAGGGTCTCAGCCAAGACGTCACTATTGTTAAGCTGTCACTTGTGATCAAATTTCATACCTGAGAACAGAATAGCACTGCTCCAGCAATCGAAAGCGCCAAAGCGGCATGAGCCAACAGGGATCCACAGCCGCAAGCTCTGCGGTTACAGGAATGTCAGTGCCCCCTTCTGTTTGTTGGTTTGCTTGCAAAGGAAGCTCTCCAAGGCCACATCACCTCGAAGAATCTTCTGGCATCTTCATCGAGTCAGCTGGCCCGCCTGATGGCAAAATGGCCAGTGGTGATGCCGTCAAACCCTTGCTGGATCCTCCGCAGGGAACATCATCACAGATGGTAGAGGTTGATATCAATATGACAAGAGTAATGTAGCTGATGGGGGAATCGGTGATTGTGGAAGCATCTGATCGCTTCTACACAGACAAATGCTGCTGGTATGTGTCTATCCTTGCAAGGATTTACGCTCAATGTATATGAGAAAGCAAATCCACTCGATTGAGATGTGATGCTGGGATCACTCGGACAAAAGAGCAAGCCGATATTCCTCAGGAAGCTTCTGCATGCACCTGTTCCCCGTACTACGGGCCACAGATTTAAAGGACTGTGACCACGTTGGATGCCCATCCTCATCACTTTTCTGACGGTCTTCCCTTAATTTGAGGATGACATATCTTTATGACGTTCACTAGTGTCTAGAGGAAAGATTCCTGTGGTTTTCCCTTGCGTCGATCTCATGTGATCTACTCATGTCCGTGAGAAATGAGGACCTTCACTGGCATGCACGATTCAGAACCTTCAAATTCAAGACACAATGATCATCCTGATACTCCAGAGAGCACGATCGCTGCCGGAGATCGGCAGACAAAGACACCCTGGTGGGCATGGCTACTCCTTGCTGCTGCGGTGGGTCCTGTCAGATTTTCTCCCTGCTTGAGTCTAATGACTTGTACGATAGGGAAGTAATACTGATTAAAACCATTGCTTGTTTCTGTACTGTGCTCCCCTTGACAGCTGTTCTTGGGTGAGCTATCTCTGACCCCTTCCAGGGATACGCAGTAGGGATACCTTCACCTGTTTTGCAGGTCGTTGCTGTATCCTCAGCAGCCACCGCCTTTCGTTCGATGAGGGAGGTTCCCCCGATGACACTGGCAGCCTGGCGCCTGCAACTCACGTCACTGCTTCTTTTCCCTGGAGCTGTCATACAGTACAGGAATCTGGCACCAGGTAATTTGGTGCTGATGGTGTCTACTAGCTTGATGCTCTGTGATAAGTCAACCCAGACGTGCGGACTGTGAAGGACTCTTAAATAAAACGTGTGTAGCGTGGCGAGAGCAGGCGAAACAGAATGGGCTGCTCATGCTTCTCTCCGGCATGTCATTGGCCTTCCACTTTGCATTGTGGGTCTGGGGCATCGATCACACTAGCCTGACGCACGCCCTGCTGTACGTGTCCATCACACCAATTCTGATTGCAGCGGGTATGTGGGCAATGAGCAAGCCTCTTTCGCAAGGTGATGACACGGACTACTTCATAGCAATATTGGGGGTTATGCATGTAAAGATGGCTGAGCTGCCTTAGTTCGATCGCATGACAGTGGGTCCAGAACGGTGCATGCATGCAAGGCTAGTTGATGCATGCTTCAAAGAGTCTCCTTACCAAGATGCTATGGATCTGCAGGGGAGAATATTGGCACAGGCATTGGGGCCGTGGGTGGGCTTTTGTTGGCATTGTCAGGGGTTAAGGAAGGAGAGGTGAGCGCGAATACTTCAAGGTGTCTCACGTTGAGTCAGCAAAGCAGCAGCATCACTTTTGAGCAAGTGAAAGCTTGGCATGTGTCTGGCAGGTGACATTCGCGGGTGACTTTGCCTGTGTAATTGCTTCACTGGCAGTGATAGCTTACCTGTCCATTGGAAGGCGCCTCCGGTCTTGGATGCCTTTGTTTGTGTATGCATTCCCAGTCACAGGTATACATTGCGACCAAATTCAGCCCTTGAGCACACCTCAGTAAATCTTCATTGTGCAGACCCTGAATTGCAGCTCAGGGGTACAGTGTGCAAGACATTGAGTTGTTATTAGGGCAATAATGAGGAGCTGCATGTGCAGGTTCAGCAGCAGGGTTTCTAACTCTGTCAGCAGTCAGCTTTGGGGGCGCCTCTGTGGCTTCTTCTGGTCAAAGTGGAGTTGCGGGGTGGATCACATCTAACTATTTGCCGGGCGTGATATATCTGGCAGTGATTCCTGGCATTCTGGGACACACGAGCTTCAATGCACTGCTCAAGTACCTGCACCCCTTAGCAATTGCCCTGCCGCTAACCCTCGAGCCTGTGATTGGTAGCCTGATAGGCTTTGCTTTAGGCCTAACCAGCCCTCCATATGCGCTGACATATGCTGGTGGAGGGGTCCTACTAGCAGCTGTTGCCTTGGTGACCGTGGCTGGGTACCGGCGTGAATGTGCAGAGAGGGAGAGCACGTGAAACATCCTACCCTGCATTGTTCATTGAGCAAGTACCTCTTCTTTTTGCTGGAGAATTGGTGCATGCGAGGTAGAGGTCTCCAAGCTCAGATTAAACAATAAGCAGGGATGTTGGCACCCTGCATGCTTTCTCTGTAGCATGGCGAAGTTGTGCGCATGCTCTATAAAAGGGATGCAGACTTATTTCTGCTAGTAATTGCAGTTTTTGAAACCCAGAGGGTGGAACCATCACTGCTTGTACATGATGATTGTACTATAATTATTTGTGTCATATGTCATCGTGCCATGTCGGAGTGTGGGCTGATAGGATGCATTGTGAGCTACTCTGAAGTTGATCCCAGCTATAATCATAAACACCACAATATTCATTGGCTTACAAAAAGCTGTTGATGGGACTACTGTTATTTTTCGCTTCTCAGGGCGGAGCTGTGCCTACGTCCATGTACTTCCCCAGGACCTCTGTAAGAACCTTTTTACTTCTAAATGTCATTGAGAAGAAATATCTGCTAGTCAGCATCATCAGCTCATCACACGTGGAGCTGAGATCAAATGACAACCCATCCAATAAACTTTGGAAAAAAAGCTCAAGAAGCAACATGTGCAACATGGCAGGCATGTAAGTCTACCGATTCAAGTGCGTCATTGACGTCTTGCACCTGGCCCAAACAACAGACAGTCTTTGTAAAGCCTACCAAGGTCTCACCTTGCCATGTGACTGGTTTCCAGTGCGAGGTCATTCATTTTGGTTCCAATAGACACTACAGAAATAGAAAAAAGAAGATCCATGCTGGTCAGCTTGCGCATACTCTACAACAACCCGTGTCATCCAACTGATGCTACAACACACCCTGTGCAGTCCAAAAATGGCAGTGGAGCAAGCCAACGCAGTCGGCCATGCTGAAAAATATTGATTTAGTCGTCTCATGAAACTCTGTACGTTTCCAGGGCATGCTCTTCCTCGGCCCTCTGCCTGTCATTTTCCAACGACAGCCCTTGTGTGGGATCATTTCACCGAGCTGATTTTGCATCCGAGACGGCGCTGGCAGGGAGCAAGAACTGATGCAGGGACTCTGCTTTTGAAAAGCAGGCCCAGGGGCCACCTGGCAGCGCAACACCGGACGCCACCGTGATGCGCCTGTCATCCAGCCACTGCACCGCTGCAATGTTGCAGTACACCATCTCACATGCCTCATTCCTAGGCAGGTGGTACAGGTCCCCCTCGTCCTTGAACTCCCATGACTCCCAGTCAACGACGCCCAGCCACACCGCCGAGTCCTCCTGCAATCCACACAAATGCCCCCCTTGAACCTTGCAGTTGATCTTTGCTATTGATCTGCACCAGCAGTGGTCCTCCATTCTCCTTCGTATGAGATGCGTGCCGGGTCATTGCTGCCAAAAAGTTGTGCAGCGTTGTGGTGTGGCTATCTGACAAGTCAGACAAGCAATTGAAAGCTAAAATGCCTACCTGTGACGCAATGAGCATCCTGTTGCTGCGGATAGCAATGCCAGAATACTGCGTGAAGGCGGCTGTGGCCGGGATGCTGATGACCTTCTCAGGCACCCACGCACATCTGGTGCTGTCCTCCTTCATGCGCGACACTATGATCCTGCCATTCCCCCTGTCACGCCCATGCTGGCCGCCGGCGCAGTGATTGCCATCACACAGGCCCAGCAGGAACTTGTCTGCAAGCATGGCACCCCAGACGTCAGCTCCAAACAAATGCGCATGGCTTGTAGCTTTTCAGCCTGCACCCAGTGATCACACATGAATGAATTGTGGGTATGGGCTTGACAGAGACAGAGGGTCACTCACTTCCCTGGTCATCATAGTGGATTTGTATGTCCTGGAACCCCGTGACTGACTGCGACAGGTTGAAGGCAACGGCACAGTTGCGCTGCACTTTGTAGCTCTTCAGGTCCCCCGCCACCTGCAGCTCATGTATTATTGGCCGCAGCTCCTCACCTGCAATGGCCAGATCGCATACTCGTATTCTCACATCAGATTGCAATTTTTGCAACGCTTGCCTTGACCCAAGCATGAGAATACTTTGCAAATGCGCCACAGCAAGGGGGATGTACCGGTGGCGTCTGAAATGCGCCGTTCTTGCACGGCCAGCAGACCGCCGGCGTCCCTTTTGGCGGCAATGCCTCCAAAGGAGGTCTTGTTGATGCTGCTTGAGATGGCAACCAGCTTGTTGCTGTCGTCCATTGGGGCCAGTCTATTGGGGATGTAGGCCAGTGTCTGGGAACTGTGCGCAACACAAAGCTTGTCAGGGTCACAGATCTTCTGCACATTTCATACAGCCTGGCAACACCAACAAGGGAGATCTTGGTAACGGTGGGCGCTTGCGGAAAATGACACATGGTGACATCAAAATGTGTTTGCCTTGCATGTGTCACCAAAGCAATGCACACGATTACAGCATGGTAAGAGAGGGGTATGTGCACCTCTTAAAGACAACGTAGTAGTTCATATTGATCTGTTCCAGCCCCGTAGGATCAAAGACAGTCTGATTCAACTCCTGCGAGAACAGGCTGGCGAAGGGCCGCTCTTGCAGCAGCTTCAAAGATGAAGCCTGCCACGCCTTGTCGCTGCAGAGCTGCTGCACCTCATCCTGTCACCAAAAAAACGTTAATGTTCAGCTTTCCCAAATGCAGCACATCAGGGAAATCAGCAAGGCTGATTAGAAAAGTCATAAACATGAACTTCGTTTGCCAGATGCGGCGCAAAAAGGGGCCAATGGTTCTGGCGCGCACCTGCTGCACTCCTGCTGGGGAAGCACTCGCTTCAGGAGCAGCCACAGGCGCATACGCCGGGGAAGCAGCAGCCTGGGGTGCTGTGGCACCCAGGGGCGCTGGTGCAGCAGCAGGCACAATGCTGGCACTGCTGCCGGCTGCTGTGGCATTGCGAGGCGGCGCTGCAGTGGGGCTCGGGGTTGTGCTTGCTGGGGGCACTCGCCCCTGGTTCTCCAGCGCAGCTGCCAGATGGGGGTCCAGCGGCGCATAATTACTGCGGGGAGGCGGCAACGGCGCGGAGCTGCGCGCCTGTGCCGGCCCGTGGGCTGGCGCGCTCTGGGGGGACTGATTCCATGCGGAGGGCTCTGGCGCCGCGCCCGGCCCCGGCCACCCTACACTGCTCGAGCGCACCATGCCGGGTGACTGACTGCTGCTGCTGCTGCTTGTGGCGGTCATGGGAGACTGAGCAAGGGAGGGCCCTGGGATGGGCGCTGAACTGCTGCTTCGGTTGCCAGGCTGACCAGAGGTTGCATTGGCACCGCTCTGCTGCAGGGCAGCTAGCAGGCTGGGGTCGAGACCGTACACATTCACCGCAGGTGTGGCTTGGCTCTTGGCGCTGGGGCTCACTGGCAGCCCGTCCAGTGCAGCAGATAGAGCTGCGTCTTCGCTCAGCCTTCGGCCCGCCCTCCGCTGCCGCTGCCGCGCAGGCATGACATGGACAATATGGACTAGGAAGAGCAGGACCAGTGCTGCAGCAAAGATGGCCCTCCTGCCCTTTAATCTAGTCCTGCCTATATGCACCATCTGTTCCACAATTTCCTGCGTGTCAGCACACTGGTTCAAGCTGCAGGAAACAGCGATGCTTCTGCTGACTAACATGAACACAGGGAAAACCTGGCTCACAAGCAGCTATATTGGTGCTCCTGCCACACCTTGCTGTTACGGGGGCTCATCAACCCTGAGACAGCCCATCAGTGCTTGCTATTGAGTAAGCGAGCCTCAGTTTGATCAAGTGGGGATTGCACGGACGACGGTCGACATTGCTGCTCCACCTGCCAGTGACATAGATGACTATAGAACCGCTGATATTCAAGATCGGCCTCACCCAGGAAGATTGTAAGGTCTGCAGGTCTGCCAAGGGACAGAAACAGGACGTTCCTGGCATCCTTGCGTAAAGGGGTGACGTGAGATTCGTAACAGCCGGCATGCAGGCTCAGTCAGTCTCTGCTGCTTCTGACAACTCGTCCCAGCACCACAATCTTTAGATTCATCGTTTTGTGCTGAGTAGTATATCTGCTGCTGAAAATCGTTGGAATGAGGCCCTACCTCCTGAAGGGCCACGAACGGCCTCTCACTCAGCTCAAGTACATCACTCTCTAGCTCAAACAATGTCATAATCAAATGCTTGACTATGTGTCTCATGTGTGGTGACGACATATTAATGAATATCCGTCAGATCTAAGTTTTGAGTGGCGGTGCAGGTACAATCGGGAAGGAGATCTTCTATTTTCCTGTGCAAAGGTACGATCTCAGGCTCTTTCCTCTATACTATTGCATATTTTATATTCGTAATTTGAGGGCATATCGTCAAGGTACGGGTGCGTGATGGGCGTGGGCCGTGCGTGCAGGATCACCATCCCACTCTGTGGTTTTCAGAGGATGGAGCGAGGATTGGGACATATGTCGGGCACAATGGAGCAGTGAACACATGCGATGTCAGCAGTAAGTTTTGATTTTTGGCGTATTCAGACCTAGTGTCAACATCACGCGCAGAGACATTATTGAGAGAATAAGAAGAAGTGTCTGATAGTTGCTTCCTTGGATCGCAGTGGACTCCACGCGTCTGTTGACAGGTTCATCAGACAGCACTGCTAAGCTGTGGGAGGTGGAGACGGGCAGGAATGTGTTCACCTTCAAATACCAGGCACCCTGTCGAGCAGTGTCCTTCTCGATCGATGAGCAGCTTGCAGCGTTGTCGACAGACCCCTTCATGACCACCACGCCCGCCATCAACATTGTCAGAATATCAGAAGACCCGTCTGAGCAGAGCGACCAGCCAGTGCAGCGCTTGGAGGGGTTCAGCAAGAGGATCAATCGAGTCACCTTCACGGACCTCAACACAGTGCTCATCTCTGCTGGAGAGGATGGATTTGTGAGGAGATGGGATGTGGAGGTCGGTCCTGCCTCAACCTTAATCATCGGCTTGTCGCTTGTACTGCAAGCCACAGGAAGCCCATAAGAGTGCTTTGTGTGGTATTCACGGAATGCCAATGTGCTGTTTTGCAGACTGGCAAGGTGAAGGAAGAGGCCAAGCTCCATGAGAAGGAGATCAGGGACATGCAGCTGTACAAGGATGGCACACACATGGTGACAGCTTCCGTGGACAAGCTTGTGAAGCTGGTGGACACACAGACGCTTGAGGTCCTCAAATTCTTCAATACAGACAGGCCAGCCAATGCAGCGGCGCTTTCACCTGTCTTTGACCAGGCAAGCCTCCAGTCCTGGACTATTGATTGTTGCAGACCTACAGAGAGCAATTCAAGAATCATGCATGTATAGATTCTGGAGAGTGCTGCTGGTGCAGTCACAGCTTCAAGTAGATGATGAGGGCTGCGGTTTTGCAGGTGCTCATTGGAGGCGGACAGGATGCTGCAGATGTGACGACCACGAGTGATCGTGCTGGAGGCTTCCAGTCGCGCTTTATCCACAAGGTAAATAATAACAGCCTGCTGATCTCCCTCTGAGGGAACCTTGCGTTTATGCGAGCAATTCACTGATCCTTTCTCCTGTCTGTGCAGATCTTCATGGAAGAGATTGGCAGCGTGAGGGGTCACTTTGGGCCCATCAATGCTGTGGCGTTCAGACCTGATGGCCGGAGTTTCGCCACTGGCGGGGAGGATGGATACATCCGCATCAATCACTTTGATAATGACTACCTGTCAGGACGCTTCCTCTGATTTCTAGTCTCGTTATACATGTCGTGTCCAGAACGTAATTCCCATGGCTTTCTCCTGGAAGTACTTATGTGCTGGAGAAATGTCACCTGCAGCTGTCGGAAGTGCCACACAGTGTGCAACAACTGTTGAACGTCATGTGATGTGATAATCCCGAACTCAGGGTGGATATCACCAGGCTAGTGACTGCAAGCAGCACCGTGCTCTCAGCTGGTTATGCTGAGGCTCAGAGAGTGCTCCCAGATCATCATGATGAGCGCCCCCAGTGGGGCCAATTGGGCATGCATGCCGTTATTACAAGCTTTCAGCAAGTGGCTGACCAACTCTTCATTCTCAAGAGAGCCCTTAAATGACCTTGTTCGAGAGCAGCACTACTTGACCTCTTGTTTGCATCTAAGAACTATTACAGTAGGCAATACCTTGCATGCTCTGCATGCTTTGCCACCTGGCACCATCGTCTCTCTACGTATAAAGCCTCTGCCACAGTGTGGAAACATAAAAGGGGGCATTGTATGCGAAAGGAAGCTCTTGACGCTTGGAATACCTGTTGGAGACTCCTTGATTGTCGCTTAGGCCGCCGTTTTACATAAGGATCTGTGAAGCAAGGAAGCATTTCACTGTGCAAGGTGTTGGAGATCATGTTGTAGCAAGATCCAATAATGGAACAAGATTCATTGGGACCTGAATATGTCAGCGAGGTGTATGAGGGCTTGAAAAGAGCTCTCAGTCCCGATGTGAATTTACAGAAGGCTGCGGAAACGGCACTGAAGTCCTTTGAGGCCCGACAGGGATTCTGCTCGTGTCTCGCGGTATGTATGACATCAAATTTCCGATTCTTCTTCCAGATGTGTGGGTTTTCTTGCATCAGCTGTCTGAGCATCGCATGCTTCCAGGAGATCATTGGATCCAGAAATTTGGACCATAGCGCACGATGGTTGGCCACAATCTACTTCAAGAACAGCATAAATCGTCATTGGCGTCTACGACCTGGACAAGGGTGCTGCGCTTGATCTTACAGCTTCTCAAGTAGACTGAACGTCTTCAGCTCTCAATCTGGACTCTATAAGTATGGCTCTTGGCATTGACACAGGGGCATCACGGATCAGGAAAAAACTCATCTAAGAACAAAACTCCTCTCCCTGCTTGATCAGGAGGACAGTCAGGCATGCTTGCCACTCATGCTGCACCCACTCACCTATGTGTGCTTCACGCTATCGATAACCCCATCTTTACCTACAAAATGAGCTTGAATTTCTGCTGCTTCGCAGATTGCTGTGCAAGTGGCCTTGGTCTTTGCCAAGGTTGCCCGCAATGACTATCCCAGGCAGTGGCATTCTGTCTTCGCGGATCTCATTGCGCTCATGCAAAATGGCAGCACAATGACCGTGCGGAGAGTCTATCTTGTCCTACATCATATCCTGAAAGAGCTCTCCTCCAAGCGTCTAGCCTCCGACCAGAAGAACTTTGCGGATGTGAGATTCCCCTTTGCCTCGTCCTAGAGCACTGCACAGCACTGCTCGAGGTCACTCGCATTTCGTGCCTGCAAGCAAGACTGACTGGGGTGCTGCATGATTACAGGTAAGGGAACAGCTCTTCAGTCCATACTGGACTCAGTGGCTGGCAGATACAACAACACTGCTGCAGCAGCTTCCAGAGGCATTGAATAGCAACGAACAGAATGCATCTGTGATGCTCACGTTTGAGCGATGGTTGCTGGAGCTGAAGGTATGCCTCGAAGGTCAGGGTCACAATGCAGCTTTCCAGAGTGCCACATAACCCCCTCGGGACAAACTTTTTCCTTGCCGCAGGGCTTGCGCCGATTGACACTCTTTGGATTCCAGAGCGATGCAAAGTCTTTTCAAAGCGTCCCAGCCGTGGCTCAGGTACGTTACCTTTCTACTCACATTTCTTGTTAAGGTAGCCCATCTGTACATAAAAGTAAGTTGCATGCGTGTGACTGATCACTTGCCGCGCTAAGGAGGACAATGTTCCTTGTTATTGCGAGCTGCATTTTCAGTCTGCGATGTTGCAATGTGGCACATGACCTGCGGTGTTGCGCAGGTGGCACCAGCCTTCCTGAAGTGCTTGCAAGAGTTGCTACCCTTGCGGCATGGGAGCACAAGTAGGCGCAGCCAGCTGCACGCAATGCTGGACCGAGCAATCTTGAAGCTCACAAAGATTTTCACAAATGTGCTAGAGACGCATCCCTGGTCGCTGCTGCACTGCGATGTATTTTCGCCGCTGCTGGACTTCATGTGCAGCCAGATTGTGGGTGCTCCTGCAGCTCCCCTGCAGAATGAGGGCTTCTACACACAGTGCATGCTATTTGTGCACGGTGTGCTGAAAAGTCCGGCATATGGAGGCAGCATGTCAAGCTCGTTTGAGCTAAATCTTGCTGCCAGAAGCCAGGTATGCATCTTTCTTGAATTCAAAGCATTACCGTATTTTATTTTCTGCATTTGTAAGACCAGGAGCTCACACCCTCTTAGCTACTTTTCAGTTCCACTTATGTTGAAGTGAATAGTGTGTCAATCTTTCTGCAGGCCGCAACCCTCAAACAGATGTCAGCAGAGGCTAAGGCGCGTCTTAAGGCATTCTGGGCAGGCGGCCGATTGCAGTTGCTCTGCATCGCCGTCGTGGAGAAGTTCCTGCCTCTGAATGTGCGCTCTTTGTGTGGACTGCTCATGCCTACCCATAGACATCTGCATAGTGTCATGGGCAAATTGCTTCATGCATGGCACACAGCTTGCCCCAATCCCAACCGTCTTGGGAGTGAAAGAAACGTTCTGCTTGTACTGCAGGCCAAGGAGCTCCAGGAATGGGCAGAGAGCCCGGCAGCATTTCATCATGAAGCAGACATGGGATCGTGGCAGGATCACCTTCGAGGCTGTGCTGAAGTACTTCTGGCAAGCCTGCTAGAGGTGTCCTTCTACTCACTTGCTCAACCCCTGAACTTTCCCCACAACTAGATGACACAGTGCATGTTCCTGTATGTCATGTTTCCTTTTCTTGTTTATGTGCCTGCCACTGAGGGGGTTGCTCGGCTGCTCAGGCGGACAGAGAGACACTGGCGCCAGTGATGATGGAGCTGCTGACGAGCACATCGGAGGCCTGCCCAGCGGGGAGTGCTTCCATGCAGCAGGGGCAGCGCATTGGTGGAGTCCCAGCGGCTGGGCTGGCAAAGGAGGCGGCCTACAATGCAGTGGGAGTGGGCGCCTATGAGCTGCATGACTACATCGACTTCATGTCGTGGTTCAACACAGCCCTCCTTCAGGTGACCTTTTGTTGCAATCAAACAGTGTATTTAAGAGCTCACTGATGTCATGTGCTCACTGTGAGTCTTGCACTGGGCTCGGAGGCTCCTGGACTTTCTGTGTGTCAACAGGAGCTGGCAGACACCTCGCCAGAGGCCAAGCCGCTGCGCAGGAGGGCGGCTCTGCTGCTGGGGCAGTGGGTGGTCAAGCTCAGCGCTGAGGGCCGCCCTGCCGCCTACCGAGCCCTCCTCTCCCTCATGGCAGACCATGACACCGCCCTCCAGCTGGCCGCGGTGAGTACACCATAACGTTCTGTCATGGTTGCCATGCAAGCAGTGTCCTTTCATGCTTGGTTTCCTTCCCATAAAAAACTACATGTGAAACATGATGCCTGTGATGTTGAAGTCATAAATACAGTGCTGATACTTAAGCATGTACAATTATACCTTCAAACGTGTAAGTAATACCGTTGAGCTGTCTGCAGGTGTCCAGCTTAAGGGCGTTGATTGAAGATTGGGAGTTTCAGGAGGCCCCCTTTTTGGAGTATGTTGCACCAGCTCTGCAGCTCTTAGCTGGGCTCCTGCAGGACTCCAATGAGCTAGACACACAGCTGCAGGTGCGTTGAGCACTTCCACAACAAATATTGAAGAAAGTAATCTCAGTATCAAATGGCACTGAGGTGGCTAATTATTGTGCTGCAGGTCTTCCATGTTTTCAACATGATCATTGAGCGACTTGCGGATGGCATCCGCCCCTATGCAGATGGTATCATGCAGCTGTTGCCCTCCATCTGGCAGGAGGCTGAGGGCCAGAGCCTGCTTAGAATACAGGTAGGTGTGCTCTGCGGCTGATGAGCATGCTTGCTTTGGTCCTGCACAGTCATGCGCATTCGACCTTGAAATGCTTGCGCAGGTGCTCATGAGTGTGCAGAGATTGGTGAATGCCCTGGGCACGGACTGCCCCTCCTGCTATCCGTTCTTAATTCCAGTCTTGCGGATATGCACCGACTCAAATCAGGTACATATCCCCGATCAACATCCTTGTGTGTTTTGGCATCTATCCCAACAGTATTTTAAAGGATTTTGGTACGGGAATCTAATGTGACTGTGGATGTCTGTGCTGCAGCCTGATGAGCTGAATCTGCTGGAGGACGGTCTGCAGCTGTGGCTGATAACCCTGCGCAATGCACCTGCACCTCAGCCAGAGCTCCTGGATCTGTTCCCTAACTTGGCCATCGTCATGGAGAGATCAACAGGTGAAGTGTGCTGCTGTTACACAGATGATCTGAAGTACATTTCTTCTGAGAGGCTCAAGCATGCCATGCGATTTAATGTAGCATGCACGCTGAAATCGGTTTCTTTGATGCGCGCAGAGCACATCCAGACAGCCACCAAGATCATCACGTCCTGTGTCCTGCTGGGCGGGCCGGACTTCATGAGCAGACATGCAGCCACGATTGTGGGGATCCTGTGCATCTTGCTGGGGAATGTGAAGGAGCGGGGCATGCTGCTGCTGTTGCCTGTCATGGGCCTGTTGCTTTGCTCCTACCCGGAGCACATGCCTGGGTTCATGGAGCCTGCCCTGCAGCGGCTGCTGCACCTCTTGCTGTCAGACCAGGAGCCCAGCCAAGTGATCGCAGGTGGGCAATCCTCTCTCATTAAGTATCCTGGCTGTGCGGCAAAGTGGTGTGCTTTGCACGGATGGGTGATAGAGGTCAGAGGATGGAATGTTCTTTGCTGGGGTGGATATTCGGATGTCAGGAGAGAGAGTGAATGATTCAGTGGGGCATGCATGTCCAGGTGGTTTGGGCGTCTTTGCTCGGCTGTTGCTGCAGAGCTCGCCAGCCTTCCTGCAGCTGCTGGCTCGGGCCGAGCCAGGACTGGCACAGCTGTCAGCGCCGGCTAGGGACCAGCCTGGCGAGCGAGCGCTGCTGGCGCTTGTGGATGTCTGGCTGGACAAGTTTGACAACATCGGCGTGCCCCATGCTCGCAAGCTGAGCGCGCTGGCCATGTGTGTGCTGCTGACTGTGCCCGTGCCGGCGCTGCTGGACCGGCTTGAGCCCATCGCTGGGTGCATCACATCTGTGTGGTTTGAGGTAAACTTTCTCATGGGGCTCCCAGAATAAACATGACGCTCCCTTCTTGGCATCTGTCATGCCGTTTGAGGGACGGGCCTTCCATGAAAGGATGTTGTCCTGCAGGTTGAGGGGAGTGACCTGGCGGGCCACATCAGCTCTGGGAACGACTATTTTAGTCAAGCCCAAAGTGATGCTGCAGACACTGTGGTCACCTCCGAGGACGCTGAGGGCGAGACGACCAGGTATTTTTGCTTAACATCCTGCAATGCAGTGCTTCAACTTGCAACTGATTCTGACTTCAAACCTGTCCGATGCATTTCTGTGCTTGCTCACTGTTACTTTTGCGATAGGAGACAGCAGCTGTACGAGAGAGACGCAGTCAACCGCCTGCAGCTGAGCGTCTTCTTAAAGGAGCAGCTTGCGGCCTGCGCTGCTGTGCATGGTGCTGCCTTTCAGACAGCATTTTCTCGCTTGCCTGCCGCGCTCTCCGAGCAGCTGAAAGCAGCCGTGGGTCAGGCATAGTTTGGCGCTTACATTTCGTACACTGCGCTTACATCCGTAGAGAAGTTTGAATTTATAGTTATTTGAATAGAGATTGTTGAGGCAAAACTTGTCAGGAACATAATATCCCTGCTTAAGCAAACCCAAGCAAGAACAATCGTTGTTCTAGTGCACTATCGATATCATTTGTCTTGCACGGTGTCTGATAAGACCAGTTGCACTTGTAGTGCTCTCTGTTGCTTTGCTTGATCATATGAGTGTGCTGCGACATCCATTGCCACGATTGCATAAAGGACTGTTGAGGGATCATCCATGATGCAAAGACGTGATGGAAGTGGTAAAGGGTGGTAGCTGTCCAGATCAAATTTAGAAAACGAAGGAAACTGTGTGACGTCAGCCAGAACAATATCATCTTTGCCAGGCGCTCTGTCTCTCATTTGCGATTCTGTAGATCTTGCAGTAATCATTTCACTCCTTAAAAACCACATCGATTCCATCGAGGACATTATTAAGGCAGCCCTATCACGGACAGATTGTCCATGGACATCCTAAGTGTAGTGGACGTTCAACACCGATCGGACACATGCAAAGGCCCTGGCAGGGCAGTATATGAGTAAAATGACGCAAAGAAATGCCTTCATCGGTTCCTGCCTGGCGATTGTTGAGTGACCACCGTTTGTTTAGCCTTGGGGCGCATTCTTGCTACCAAAGGTCAGTCACCCTGCTGCTGAGATAACTAATCCAAAGTCCATCTGGAATATAAATTACTGATACGTTGCCATGAGTGCTTGCACAGGTCACGATTGATTTGTCCCACAACCAGCCTGCTGGGATTTTTTGGTGCCAGAAGAAAGCCTCCTCCCATGAAAAAACAAAAGCTCCAGCGCACATTTGAGGACGTACAAGATCCTGTAAAGCATGCGCAAAGCATGACCGTGCTCCAGTGGAATGTCCTTGCAGACGGTTTGGCGCAGTTTGGCGATTTTGAGAGGGTGCGCTTATGAACAGGAATTGCTGTCTCATCTTCTGCAGCACATGAATGCATGCAGTAGGTCTGGCATATCCAATTTTAAAAAGCATTGGAAGTGCTCTTTGCTGCTCAGGTACCGGCTGATGTCCTGTCATGGGAGTCGCGCTCGCCCCAGCTACTCATGGAAATTTTGGAGTCCAAGTCTGATCTGATCTCCCTGCAAGAAGTCAACAGATATGGTACGCAACACACACTAGGCGCATGCAGTATCTGTTCCTGCTTGATGCCCATTCAAACTGGATCACGCTTTGCTGACAGCTCTGGCGCATCTGCAGAGGACTTCTTTAAACCCAGGCTTGAGCAGCTAGGATACACAGGCCTGTTTTGGCCAAAGGCATGCTCGCCAGCAGAACAGTATGGGTTTCCCTGTGACGGTTGCGCCCTCTTCTACAGAACAGAGCGCTTTGAAATGATTGGCCCACCATGCGGTGAGTAGAACCTGGGCTTACAGCACTTGCAGCACCTGCCTGAGCTGCATACTTCCCCTCTTTCTGGCTGTGCAGGCTTGCAATCGTTATCCTCAAGTGCTAGCCATGAGTCATGGAATGCATGCATGCCAGGTCTGCCCTTCAGCATTGCAAATGGACCTTCCGGCAAGCAGGGCATGCTGCAAGTTTTGTTGAGGGATCAATTGAGCGGTCGGCATGTGATTTTTGCCGGCACCCACCTGAAGGCCAAGGCAGGCGAGGTATTGAGGAGCGACTTCCATGAATCATCAACCAAAATACCAACATTTTGTCAGCAAAAATCCATCACTTTCATGTGCGACCACTCACGTCTGTGTGCAGGCTAATGCAGCAGCCCGAGAGCTGCAGGCGAGGCAAATGATGGAGCGGCTTGCATCAGCCCACCAGGCTGCTTCCAGCAACGAATGCAATCCAGAGAACGGCAGTTCGACTGAACCAGATCGACAGAAAACGCCGGTTGTGATCCTGTGTGGGGACTTCAATGACTCCCCAACCTCATCCGCTTGCCAAGTGCGCCCTCGAGGCATGGCAGCAGGCATGGCTGCTGTAAATGGCATTTAATGCGCCAGGATGTACACTTTGGATTCAGTTCCTCAACTGATCATGTCCGGAAATTCCCTGAGCATCTGGATGCCATTGAGCAGCGCGCTTTCAGCACCCCAACACCCGAGAGTGTATTGCTGGCTTCAATTCCCTTGCACCCACCCTGCTGGTTGCGGCAAAGGCATGATCCCTGTTGCAATAACCTGTGGTGATGAAGTGTGTGGGGTGTGCAGGTGGTGCGGGAGCATTGGCTGGGGCTGTCCTGCATCTGGGACTGGGCGGCCGCCCATTCCACCAATGGCTCTGTGCCTGCGCCATTCACGACCTGGAAGTTCCGGCCTGACGGCGTGTCACAGCGAACCATAGACTTCATCTGGTGCGTCGCTGGTGCACATGATATGTCTTGCCGCCTGCTGTCTGAGAGATTCTGTGCTGCAACTTGTGTACGGCTGAAAGATATGAGCATGTCTTGCTGATCTCATGTGGTTGTTTGCCTGGTGGGCAGGTTCTCAAAGGATCCTCGGTTGCGGCTGCTGCGCCGGTGGCGGATGCCAACAGAGGGCGATATTGGGGAGCAGGGGCTGCCATGCGAGCGTTACCCCTCAGATCACCTGGCCCTGTGTGCTGTCTTTGAATTGGACGCCCTCGAGTGACATGCTGGGACAAGGCAAGCTGGATGTTTCCAGTACTAGACTTTGTTTTAACATGAATAAGCGCCCACTTGTAGAGCTCGTGCGGGACATGTGCAAGCTGGCGGCTAGGAAAATAACTTGCTACGGGCCTCCCAGTGCACATTCCAATGACGTGATGCAATGCTGTCTCCTTAAGGAGTTCTTAAGACCAAAATAAACAATTTCACTTCCTCAACGCCATTGACAGTGCCATTGGCAGCGCTGGAACTTTGTCCATTTGTCCACCCCTCAATATCTACAGCACATAGCATGCACCGTCACTGCATCATGCTCACCATATATACACAGAATGTAATGCTCATCATGATATGCCATGGCCATGTATGGCCATGTATCGGTAGCCTAGTGACCTGAGGTCACTACCAGCGCTGTATAGCTTCAAATGCCAGAGCAGACCCAGCACACTCACAGAGGCATACAATTGTCAGATCTTTCTCCCCACTTGGCGCTCGCTCTGCCAGATCAGTGTTTTGATCTCTGCATTCCTTTTTCTTGAATCATCATTTAAGTTGGCCACGTGTGCATGTCTGCAGGCCCTATAGGCACGTGCACTAGCTAGGGCTCTGCTGGGTGTGAGTAAGAAAAAGTGCAGTTTGGATACTATCTATTAGAGCTCAATCATTGTCCATTCATGTCCACGAAAGTCCATGGATGTTGGGTCAGCCTTATCATAAAAGGACCCCCATGCGCATAAAAAAAGTGTGCATGTCTGCATGTCTGCGCAGGCCTGCCTGAGGGCAGTTTGTAGTTGCTCAATTGACCATTCATCTAGGATTCAGGGTGAGAGGTGATTTATAGATCATTTTAATGAGGACACGTCAGGGATCGAATCCAGGGTGGGTGCTGACTTGGACGGGCCAAATCAAAAGTTCCCCCTGTACGGCCGTGGGTCCAAATCACGTGGTCCCTAAGGGTAACCGGACAGGCAAGAGATTCCGAGCTCCCCTCGCACAAACTCAGCAGCAGCATGGAGGGTGCCAAACCACTGAGGCCCACACCCCAGATTCCAGACCTGCAACAAGTCATGGACGCTGCACGAGTGTCAAGCGGGCTGCCCGCGCAGCAGAGCGCGCTGCAGAACTCGCTGGCGTCCTTAGCCAATCTGCGGTCTGCCTTCACGCCCATGGTCCCCACGCAGGGGCCCCTGTACCCAGAGATTGCCCTATTCAGCCAGTTCAACCAGCTGCTCCCGGGAATGGCGGAGCTGGCGCAGCATCAGCAGATGCTCAGCCGAAACGCAGAGCCTGCAGCTTCGAGGGGCCGAACCAAATCCAACGACTCCAAGTCTTCCTCGGCCTATGCCTCGCGGCATCAGGCGGCAGAACAGCGACGACGCACACGCATCAATGAGAGGTGGGTGGCCCAGGGTGGTGCAGCCAGTGCCCTTAGTGATATTCATTCTTTTGGACCTCTTTTCGGAGGTGTCTCTTTGGCACGAGGCACCGCTGAGTCTGCACCCCGCTCGCAGGCTGGACCGGCTGCGGCAAGTGGTGCCTCACGCGGAGCGAGCCAACACAGCTTCGTTCCTGGAGGAGGTGATCACGTATATCCAGGGCCTGCAGAAGCGGATTGCCGAGCTGGAGCAGGCAGCAGGTGGGGGCCAGGTCATCGCCCAGCCCACCATCGCCCAGCCGGCGACCACCAGCGCACCGCTGATGGCACAGGCGGGCTTCACAGCTGTTCCCAGGGCGGCTCAGTCGGCCGAGGTGCCAGCCCCGGCAGCCAACCACGGCCACGGCGCTGGGGCACAGGGACCACTTGACGCACGTGACAAGTTCTCTTTTTCTTGTACCGCAGCACAAGCCCCCCAGGAAGCCCAGCCCAGCGCGCAGCCCCACACGCAGCCGGGCACTCCCCCTGCAGTCTCGGGCGGTCACGCCAGCGAGGCGGGCGGTGCATCGCCAGCCTCCAGCGAGGGCTGCGGGATGCCCCTCAAGAAGAGGCGCGTGGTCGAGGGTGGCAGCGGTTGAGAGAGCCGATCACCCTGGGTCGACTTTGCAGATGCTGTCTGAAGGACAGGCGGACTTTCGTGAGCGAGTATACATGCGGCAAAGCTGATCGATTTCAAGCAGGACTTTTGCAGTGCTGTTGACCTTAGTAATACCATGGCCTAGCAGAGAGAGACGTGGGAAGTATCGCTGGTGTTATAAATGCAAGAATCCTCTGTGTGAGTTACTTGTTATTCTCGTACTGTACCCGTGCACAATGCTTATTGAAGTGGAAGCTTCCTTTGATATATTGTTCAAGGCCTGGCAGATGACGCGCAAAACACTTATTTATATGCGCGGAGTAGTGAAAATGAAACGAGTGTCTGCAATGCGTGCTGAGTGCGATTTTCTCTGCTGCCCTGGAGCAGCGGTAGGATATGGTATGCATCTGGTGTTCCGTGCTCTGTGTGCATGCTGTGCATAAAGCTGTCTTGAGGGCGACCCAATTAAAGGTTGCTTATGACTTACCAACTCATGAGTTCAGCACACACTGGCGGCCCCAAGGATCCCACTTGGGCATGCCATGGGGCATACATGACAATCCCTTCACAGTAGCCCGCCGTCCAATCACTCTCATAAGCCCTCTTCCTATGGCTAGATGCACATCTTATTTGTTGGGCTGGCCTGGGCCATCAGCACAAGCAGAGCACCCCACCACATTGTCAGGTCAAAGCTGCTGCACACACTGCAAGCAGGCCTCCCAAAACTCCAACTCAGTCAGCACTGCAGAGTGCATACGCACACAGGAACACCAGGCCTCTCCACAGGTCAAGATCTTGGAGGAGAGGCTCTCACGACCAGCCTCAGCAAAATGAATTGCAAGATGCTACTGACAGCAATGGGACGCATCCTCCATCACATGCTGCTCTTCTCCGGATGCAGCAGAAGGTCGGCCTCCTCAAATCCTTCACGTTGGGGTGTACTCTGCAAGGCACAACAGAGCACATGATCAGCACCTAAACAACCCCTCTCCTGGCTGTATGAAGCATTCTCTCTCAGTCAGGCTCCACTTGTCTTCCTCACAACATGTCGACCTAGTCAAACATGCACAGAAGAGGGGTCCTGTGATGCAGGCTCAGGGGCGCACCAAAGGGCTCTGGCGGCGGTGGCTCTTGTTGGTTGGCTGGCGCCGGCGGTCCATTGGCCTGCGCCTGCCCCTCGGCTGCCTGGGGCACGGTGCTGATGCTGGTCAGCAGATCCACCGGCTCACCTGCACAGCACACCACTTGTAACTCAGCACAACAGCAAAGAACAGCATGCCTGACCTGCAAGGCTACACAGGTCCTGGCAGCAGCAGACCACCGAAGGCATGCTGCTGACAGCACTGGCAGCGTCCCTTATTAAGCAGCATGGAGCAAATCCCATATGCCCTCAAAGACAAAAAAATCAATATCTTGAAAGATGATATCCCTGTGAAAACAATGCCTTGTCTCCTTGTTGGCCCAGCAAGATCAGTGCTTTCAAAAGGGAGACTGCATCATGTTAGAAGCTGCGCGGCGTTTGACCTGGGCGCAGGTCCTTGAGGACGAGGATGCCGGCGATGGGGCGGTTCTTGTGGATGGGTGCCCAGCGCGAGTTGGGCTCCAGGGCCACAAACTTCTGCTGCGTGGGCACCACGCGCGACGGGTTGTCCAGCTTGTATGAAGTCGGCTCCGGCTCCTTGGCTTTTGCGACCTCCGCCTTGTCACCGACCGGCCCAGCCTCCTTCTCATCCGTCTCCATGGCAGTCCCTGCTGCAGCGCAGCCAGCATGCAATCAAAGCCTTGCGGGTTGCGCCAGTTCACCAACAGAAGCAGGACTGGAAGAGGCTGCACAAGCTTGCAGTAATAGTCTGTGCGGTCAGACATGTGGCAGTACGTGATGAAGAGCCACACAGAAGCGGGACCCAATGACAAATCAAAGAGCAGTACACCGTGTCTGCAATTGCTGCCTGCGGTTCCATGGGAACATTGCACCAAGCCATACAACGGCCTATTACTCCTGAAAGACGGCATTGCAAAGGCAAATGCCACGGCAGTGAGGGCAGACCTGCTTCGTCGGAAGCAGGCTTGTCGCCTCCCTCGGCCTTGGCGCTCTTCTCGGCCTCCTTCTTCTTGGCCTTCTCGCGCGCACGAGCCGTGGTGGACAGCACCGCCGTGGGCACCTTAGCAGCCGTGGACGCAGCCTCCTGCGTCACTGCCGTGGGGTAGGCGAACAGCGACGGCTTGCACTTGCACACCACCTGCCAAGCCCACAAGCCCGTTCAGCTCTCTTCATTGATGGCACCAGGAGTACCTCTGCTCCAATGCACAAGTCTGCAGCGCACATGAATGCAAACCAAAAGCCTGATTACTGTAGCGTTCTAAATCAAGCTAGTGGATCCGGCATGTTTCACTCCCCATCGTGCTACAGTCCCCTGATCCCCTCTGCTGCATTCCCACAGTGACAGGTGCACAAATCTCCTGAACTTGGAGCGCATCACAGCAGGGACTAGGTGTCAGGGAAGGGAGATAAGAGGGAGGATCTCACCTGCATGCGGGGCAGCTTGAGGTCGGCGTTGAGGGCGATGAGGGCGGAGGGCTGCAGGGCGAGGGAGATGCAGTAGGACAGCGGGTACCAGTACCAGTACTGGAGGAAGAGCATGAGGCCGACCACGCTGGTGCGGCGGAAGTAGCCGGACGCGGAGCGCAGCCCCACGGTGAGGTTGCGGCCGCCCGCGTCCAGCAGGCCCGTGGCCATGATGGCCCCCATGCGCGCCATCACCTCCTCGTGCTTGTCACCCACCACCTTCTCCAGCCGCTTGCGGAACGCCGACACCTGCACCACACCAATGCACCATTTTCCGACGGTGAGCGGTGATTGCCAAAAAGACATGGCAAAGGGTGCTATCATGCGGATCACACAGCAAGCGCGAGCCACGTGGGTGACGTCTTGCCGTGCGTCAGCCCCTCAGCCTGGTACTCTCCATCCACCCTGCAAGGCGTGTGTGCGCGCTACAATAGAGCAGCACGATACAGTCCACACGGAGAGGAACTGTCTGATGCACCAGAGCCACAAGAGCAGAAGTAGGTGCAAGAAATTGGCTGCGAGGGTGGTGTGCTAGAGCAGCAGGGGCACCTTGGCCTCAGGCTGCTGCATGAGGATGAGGGCGGTGGAGATGAGGGCGCCCTGGCGCACAAAGTCCACCGCGTCCGTCAGCAGCGGCGCAAGAAGGTCCACCGCCGACCGCATGCCCGTCCCCGCGCACGCCACTCCCACCGCCATCGCCGCGCCTGCACACCCACCGCCACCGCTTTCACCACTTGCCAATTCAGCCCATATTCTGTTTAAATATCAGCCAAATCCAGGAAAATGAGTGCACACAGAACACAGGGCCCTTAAGGCGGGTGGAGGGTGAATTGCAGAACTTTTGTCCCAAGAATTACCTCACAATAAACACCCGGCAAGATTCACCCGGCAGAACACTCATGTGGAGAGAATTGTTCGGGCATGTCCGTGGGTGCTCACCGTAGCGGACGTGGGGGTTGTAGGACTCGGAGAGCAGGGCGACGATGGGCGGGCACTGGTCGGGCACGCCCATGAGCAGGAAGCCCAGGTTGAGCACGGCCGCGCGGCGCACGTCGTCCGATACGTCGCTGACGGCGAAGTGCAGCAGCTTTTGGATGGCCCCATTGTTGGCCGTGCCGCGGTACGCCATGCCCATGACAAACATGCCGCCATACCTGCGCACCACAAGTGTCAAGTTAAAGTCTGCCAACCTACCAAAGCCTGCCAGCTTCTCTGTCGCTTGCCAACTACTTCCTACTACAAAACTTCCACAACAAACAACATGCTGCCCCGCAGGACTCCTGGTCATGTCTAGGGTATGCGATAGCTAAACAGCTATAGATTAACCTGAGAATGGGGTCCTGGTCGCGCGTCATGTCTTCGATGAGCGTATCCGCGCCCTCCTCCTGCCCATACATCACCAGCGCCAGGCCCAGCGCCACTCCGCGGATGATCTGGGCAATGTCAACACTTCTCAGCTTTCCATCTGAATGCACTCATGCAAAGAGAGTTAAAGGTTCTTAAGTGCAGCTGCGATAGCACTGCCACTGGGAAGGGTAATGGTCGCACCTTTTCATGCTGCGTGTCGTGCGCGTAGGTGAGCAGCTCAGAGGCCTTCTCGGTGGCGGATCCGACGCTGACAAGGCCCAGCGCGATGCCGGCCGCCTCTCCGGCGACGGCGCTGTCGGTGTACAGCACGTTCTTGATCTCCTCAAAAACCATCTCGTCCTCTGTGCCCAGCGCTGCCAGGCCCAGGCCCAGGCAAGCACCGTGCTGAGTCACCTGTGCCCCATAGTCCCATCTTTCACCCAAATGCTCTTGCATCCAAGACAAAGAAAAAGGAGCCACCTCCCTGACATTGGCAAGGGCACTGCACAATATTTCTGGTGAATCTCAGTCCTTCATGCCAGGTGCAGAGACTGGAAAGGAGCAGCGCCTCGCTGGCGGTCTCGCGCAGGCTCTGCAGCAAGAAGTCCTTGACGTCGTGGCCGTGGTTGGCGTAGGTCAGGCCCAGCGCGTACAGCGCGCCGCCTTCCGAGTAGGGGCTCCCCGACGCCCCGTTGCGTGGCAGGTATGGCGCCATCAGCGCACGGCCCTGCATTGCAACACCCGTACATTAGCCGCTGAACCCTGCCTATTAGGGGCAACTTACTAATTCCTAGCTCGTCTAAAGTATTCTAGTTTAAGATCACCTACAGCTTCTTTATAGTGTTACTTCAAGTACCCCTACTCCCTCTCCCCACATGCTCACGAGTGCAGTGCCTCAGAGGTACATGCACACTTCACAGAGATGCCTCCGGCCAGGTAAGAGATCCCAAAGCATTGTCAGTGCCCCCCTTACCTGGGACAGGTGGCCCCTGTGGATGACGCCGAGGCCGGCGGTGGCGCTGAACTTGGCCCAGTTGGTGGCGCGGCTGAGCCAGTCCAGGTTCTCACGCAGGAACAAGTCCACCGTCGTGCCCGAGTGCATGATGGCGTTGGCGAAGATCACCGCCGAGTGGCACACGCTGTTCCTCACCTCCGACGCCGTCTTCACGTTCTTCAGGATCTGCACCCCCCACCAGCCCCCAGCTTTCAGCACAGCCCCACATTCTGCCCATATTCTATGTAAATCATGCAGCGAGTGCACATAAGGTGTAAGTTGTAGACAAGCTTGCAGGAGCCTGTGCTGGGTCTCAAGGCTTCACCTGCAGGTCTGCGTGGTTGTGGGAGTACAGGAATTCCAGGTAGAGGCCTATGGAGGTGGCGCCGGATATGATGCCCTTGAGGCGGTCGTAGCGCTCCACGTAGCGCTGCTCCTCGGGCGTCAGGCTGATGGCCGGGGCTGCGTCTGCCGCCGCTGCTGCGTCTGTGTCCATGTCATCTGCAGCAGGCTGTCCGCCTGCAACCCCGTTGGGCAGTGCCTCACTGGCGGCTGCCTCTGCTGCGCCGTCCCGCGGCGCGGCCTCAGCCTGCTCTGGGGCAGGGGCTGCGGTCCTGGGCGCATGCTGCTCGAGCAGAGCTCCAACCTGCAAGTCACAGCAATGTTTGTACAGCACGTCTTTCTCACTGCATGTGCGTCAGATGGGCGCAAGGAAACCTTAGAAAAACTATGATCAACCCTACATGCAAGCCATTGTAATGTTACCTTTGTGAGGAAGGACTGCGACTCGTTCTCAACCAGGTCAAAGCAGACTTGGTACGCCAGAATAGCATCATCCTGCACGGTGACCACAACACGTATGTCTTTCACAGATAAAAATACTCAATGGTAACAGGATTGAGAATGAAAGAAGGGTGTGAAATGGATGCTGGAAGGGCAGATACTGACCTCGCTGCCTTTCAGGAGCTTGTCGAGGATTTTGGCCACCTCCGGCGCATCATCAAGGAACAGCAAGCACTGTGCGATATTGACCCAGTCTGGGTTCTCAACGCTCTCATAAAGCTTGATCAAGAGCCTGAGGACCTGCAGTGGCAATATTACTAAATTTCTGTGAGCAGCAGATTTACCAGTGAATTTGGCACAAGCAGTGCCGGCAACAGAGATTGATGGAAGCCAGCATGGGCCCTTGTCTGTAATCTACAGCAGGCAAGATAATCCACCTCAAAACGGAACTCGCGGCTGATGACCAAATTCTGGCACACTCGCAGCGCATATGTGAGCGTTGCCACTTTGTCGGGTGCCTTCTGGACCGCCTGGTCTACCTTGTCCAATCTACGAGCCTCGAGTGCAATTCCCACGGCCTGCTCAAATTGGCCGTCCCGGAAGCACCTACACGACGTGAGCATGTGATACAATAGCTATTCCATGCAAGTCAAGGTTCCAAAGGGGCTTCAGAGAACCACAAGAGATCAACTGATGGCCAAAGTAGACGCGAACCTCTCAAAGAGCCGCTCAACAATGGCTGATAATCTGTCGTCAATAGGCTTCGCTTTCCCATCCTCTGCTGTGTCGTTCCTCAGCTGGACGTATTGATCTATGCACCTATCTGCACAGAGCAATCACACCCTGGTTGCAGTGATCCTGCCTTGGCAATGCGAGATAACAATAGAAGGCAGCATAAAACACAGTCAAAATAATTCTTAAGCTCACCTAAGGTGGTTTGCACGTACTCGGACGGCTCGTTGATATCAAAGAGCTTGCCAGCACCCAGAGCATATGAAAGTGCATCATCAAGTTCGCCCAAGTGGTAGAACACCTGGCAGCCACCGTCAAAATCACACTCGCATAGCTGTAAATATATTGCCAATAAATACAAACAAACCCTTCGTGACAGAACGCTTCAGGGTCCTCTAACGAGGACGCGCAGCTGACATACCTTTGATGCTACAAGAGCAGCGAGCTCCCTGTGGCTAAATTCCTCGTCCTCACAGAATGCTTCCACTGATGTAAGCACAGAGGCTATCTGGTACCAAAACTCATGGACAACCTTGTTCAAGCTCTGCAGTGCATAGAGTTTCAGGGCGTCATCGTCCTCCTTCAGCAGAGCCAGAAGGTTGTCTGCGCTGGACTGCTGGACTGCCACCGCCATTTTGTGTGGATCGCCTCTAGTCAGATATCCATTCGGTTCACAAGTACTTATCACTGCCAGACTGGGATTACAAGTCTGCCACCTCCAGGCCACGTGTTCTTTCTAGAAGCGGTAAGCCTGCAACTCCTGAACGCACACCCTTTGATATAGCTTGCTATCAAAGGAAATGGACCTATGCGGATCTGTGGCGTGATGGTCGATGAATGGGCTCCCAAATGAGAAAGGCAGAGGGCGCCAATTTAAGACGCTCCGAAGAACGCCTCCACCCTGCCACAACCTCGTGCCACATGCATGTGTTTTAGCGTTTGGGTGGGGTGTGTGATAGTGTCACAGCTGAAAACATTCATCAACACAGAGCCTGCGGTGCAGCAGCGGTGCAGACCCGCTCTGGCACTAGTGCAATACTGGCCAGCACGTCCGCAGCGGCCGTTGGCTGCCAGCACTGAGTGGCGGTCACCACGGTGCGCACCGGTGGTCATCATGATGATCAGTGCGCACTGCAGGCTGCATAGCATGCAGGCTGTCAAACAGCAGAGACACTCAAGCTACCTTGCATGTGGCCACCATATTGACTTTAGGATCTGCAGACATTCTAGGTGATTTTGATAATACCGGATTGGTCTGATCAGCAATGTAAATGGATTACTTAAAGTCAATGATATCCGCCGCCGGCCAGAGGGGTGCCACTGGCCCCATGGGCCCAGCGCTAACATCATAAAGACCTGGTCCCTTAAGATTCACTCCTGTTTGTTGCATCTGTAAACTCCAGTGGACTCCAGTAACTCGGAGTTCCTCCACACATTGCTTTCAGCGCAAATGGTGATGCGCATTGCCACAGGCAGCAGCTGCCAATGCAGTGTATCTAGCAGTCCAGATCTTGCATCGCAGGCACCGAACGACTTCAGACAAAAAGCAGTGTGACTTGCACAGCCATGCTTAAAACAGCAGTTCTTGCTTACTTGTCAATGCTAAGATGATCTCCAGGATCAAAGTCTAACTTAAGCCAAAATCGATGACATCTCGGGCTTTGCCTCTGCTCAATGCAGTAAGTCGCCAATTTTGCGCGTACACCACAATCCAACACGCACTTGACAAGACGATTCTGTACAACTCCAATTTGGGGTCCCAAAACTTTCAATGCAATAGAGCAACTTGTCATGACCATATAAGTCTCCTGCATGCCAGGGTAAGGTTTGCCTGTTGCCTTTTCGCTCAGCAAATCTGGGCCCCAACAGCTTGGGTACGCTTTTTGCAATATACATACTAATTATCCTCTCTGAAATGCACAGAAAGGGTGGTTGCCAAAGGGCAGCCATGAGCTGCACTCCACCGCCTCCTCTATCAGCGCTGCACCGATGTTTGAAGTCACCCTATGCTATCTGACTTGACACATGACCTGCTTGTACCATTGCACTGTCCTCTCCACATTTGACTCCAGGTCCTCGACTGTGTTGCTGGGCAGCACCTGGACAATTTCCTGCCTGCATGAGTCCACTGGACAGGTCAGTGGGTTTCTTGCAAAATGCTGCTTGGCCTCGCTGCTTGCTTTTGCCATTTACTTCTGCTAGCCACATTAATCTACATTTCAAGTGTAAGCGGACAAGATATATGGCTGAGGAATACCTGTAGCTGTCCATTGCTTCTTCAACGATGACATGCATGATCTCGCACTCCACATTCTCTGTCACCTTATTCTGTGAGTAACCCCTGCAGGTACACGAGAGCCAGGAGCTTTGTAAGATGAATCCATATCTCTTAGTACTACTGCAGCATACTGTGCATGCTGGCTGTGACACTCTAGACCAAGCAGAAACACTTGCCTCTTTTCCAAGCGCTCATATAGCACTGTGTTGTCTGTCTGCAGCACGATGACGAGGTCAAACCACCTCTCTGGAAAAAAATCACATCCATGGTAATCCACTATGTTCCCTCCTCTGCCCATCTGATCTTCCAAAGCATCACAAACCTGCAATTGTACAAGCAGTGCGGTCAGTGGCTAAGCTTTGACAATTTGAAGCAGCAGGTTATGTGCCCAAAATCCAACATTTCTGGTTGATAACAAGCACTATTCTTTTCGAACACAGGATCACAGCAGTTGAACTTCTGATGGTCAATTGTGAGGGGCAAGTGGCTAGTAACATCTGTACTGTGTTGGTCACAAGGCCTCCTGTCCCATGAAACTTACTATTGCATTGGCTAGATTCTAGCTATAACTGCTAATATAACCTTACCTTGTCCTCGTCTATAATGTGGCAGCTAAACTCGTCGTCCCATCCGCAATGTAAATCTTGGGTCTTCACGAGATCGCCGACGTTGATGTATCGCAGACCTGTGGCCTCAGCTATCTGCTCGCAAGTAGTGCTCTTGCCAGTTCCAGGTGTTCCTGTGACGAGCACGTTGGGTTGTCGCCTCTTTCCCTCTAAGCTCTCTGGCTGCATCAGGATTGCTGCTGTGCAATCTTCCAGCACTACAAGCACAGAATTTCGCCTAATAAGAGACCAAGACCACAGAAGTGCTCATGTCAACACTAGCAACATTCGTCTTCTGTCTGGCAAGCAGGGCGGCCTTAGATAATGTCAACGTGGAAGTAGTAAGCAGATCTTGCATGCATGATCTGCCCTCAAGCATTGTGTGAGCTGGAAGAATGTAGTTCCTCTTTCAGGCAGCTGAGATCAGCGGTCTCGTGAATGCATGTCAACAGCGCTCATCAATCGAGCAGGCTGCTTAGCGCTAAGGCTAGCCTGAAGCTCAGCCAGTGGCAACTGTGGCAACCAGGCTGTACAGACATGTCCAACAAGTTGCCAGCAGCAACCGTGTCTCGGACAGGCTGTATAAAGTTATTACGCCCGTTTTTTTAGTCTAATCTGCGAATGTTTGTTCCCTTCAGAATAAGTTACTGCTAGGCCAGCATAATGCATTAAGACTAATAATTGAATAAGGCCAGCTGCTGCAACACAGCAGCTGCCAGTAGTTGCACAGCAGTTGCAACCGGTTGAACTGCATCTGCCACAGTATGTTCTTGTGGGAGCTGAAACAACTCTTTTAACCTTCCAGTCACACTGTTGAACCACTTGGCAAGAGAAGGAATGCTACCGCGTCTCTAGGGAGAAAATTGCCAAGCTGAAGGATGCAAGAAAGACAGAATTCTTAAGCAATTTTGGTTAAGTAACCAAAATCGGTGGCATACTTGACAGCTAATACCTTCTAAAACAATGTGTAGCAGAACAATTGTCAACGATTGGTGCGTTGCTGCGACACAAGAGCAAGGTACCTAATTTAGGAAGCAGCGGAATCCGTCCCAAACTGATGTTCAAGGCAATGCGCATTGCATGCCACAAAAAACGCTACAGCTATGCAGACAGCGCCTGTAACGCAACGCAGCAACAAAATTGTCTCACAGCGCATGTCTCCAATCTCTTCGCTCATCCCTTCTCACACCTCTGCTCTGCTGAAAACAGGCGAGAGCACCAGCCTGCCAATATGGCATCCTTCAAAGCGCTGGCTTCTCAATTCAAAGCTAGTCTTAGTTATGTCCTAAGCCATATCTCTCTCTAATGCTGTCGCCCTCCTTATCAACTTCGCCTTTTCTTGTTGCTCCTCTCGTTATGCACTGTACTTTGTTGTCCCCTCTGGGCTTGCACCTTCAACGCCACCTCCACTGTTCGCTGCAATTCTTCTTCCAATTCTTGGCCCTCTACAAACTCCAAGTCCACAGCCAATTCATCCAGCCATCTCAAAAGAGCCTGCGTGTGGAAACGTTGATCATCAACGCAGTGATACATTTGCAGACATTTCTTCGCCCAAAGATACTGCAAGATACTCCACTGAGGTCTCTGGCAAGGTCCTGCAGATGTGGACACACCTGGTTGTGGCGGGACACATCTGCTCCAGCTGCTGATGAAAAGTGTGGTCGGTCCGGTGCTCTGAAGCTCGGCTGCCGCCTTGATGAAGGTGCAGACGCATTTAGCTCTTGAGGCCGCTCAAGAGTAAGTCCCTCGCGCGTTGCTCGACAGAGGTGACCACGAGACCACAACCTTCCGCTCTTGCTTATACTGCTGTGAGTAGTCGGAGGGGCTCGCATGCCTGTGAATATTATGTGTGCAACATCTGCGAGTCCAGTCGAAACGCTGGCACTAGCGTGGCTGTGCAGTCTTTGGGTGAGATCGACAAGCAACATGAGAGGCTTCACTTCTGAACGATCTACTCGACGAGATCAATCAATCAAACTAACGTAAAGCTGCTCTATTAGTGGAGTGATCGAGCAGGAAATTCCATTTCCGAAAGATTTAGCGCACAAGATAGAAGTGCAGCCACGTGGCAAGGATGGGCAGGACTTCGTGTCGAAGAGAGGGCACGGCGGGTAGCGGGCACGAACTGGCCTCAGGGCATTGATCTTGCAATTTGACTCAGCACTTAGAGACATCTGCATCCACAATCAAGTTCAATCGTACAACATGTAATTTCCCATCAGGACAGGCAATGAATACGTATCGTTGTACTGTATAGTGTTGAACAGGCAGTCTGGTCTTCTCGACGAGGCTTTGCGGTCTGTAAAATATTGCATTAATATATCGGTGTGCTTACATAGAAAAAGACTATATTGTCAGATCCACAGGCTAACTGTGTTTCACACCGATCTGCGTTTACCAAACAGTTTCAAGGAAAGGTGTGGTCATGTCATGCCGCGTTTGGTACAAACGATCAACGAGTTTCTTCGTTAATTCAGTCGAGATTTATTTCCTTTTTCCCCCAGCCACATGTGTCCAGTTGCTCTGCTTCAACTGTCATACCACTAACACGGCTCTTTGTGTACTGCAGCCCCACATGGCACATGGATCCGGGGCAACATAATACAGCAATGCTCTACAGCCAGGCTTGTGCATCCCCAATACACAAACAGGACGCTGCCTGCTATAACTCTGGGCATACGCAGTTCAAGAGGCCCATTCAGAAGCAGGGCCATCATGTATGGAGGCCTGCTAGGCGCCCACCACGCAGTCCCTACCCCAGCATCCTGCGGTGTACAGTGGCTGGCTCATTGGAAGCAACAAGCGGGCTAGACAGAGCCTCAAAGCACCTGCATAGCGATAGGCTCGATATGGCGGCCATGAAGGTTGGGCAGAGGCTTGCCAGCCTCAGCAGATCAGCTGCAGCAATTGCCTTAGCTGGTATTCTATTGACTGGGTGCACTACTGATGCCGCCTATGCAAAGTCCAAGCTGACTCAGGATGAGCAGCTTACTGTCGACCTGTTCAAAAGGAACACACCCTCTGTCGTCTTCATCACGAACCTGGCTGTAAGGTGTGCTCCTCGCCCTCAATCTTGGGTTTCAGAAAGGTCACTCACAGATCTTCAGGCATATTAAGCACTGGAAGAGCAACCACATGAGCATTGATGTCTTGGTGCAGGAGAGACGCATTCACACTGGACATGCAGGAAATTCCCCAGGGAGCAGGATCTGGTGAGACTCGGCACATCTCCCCCTGTCCTGCTGACACTTGACATGGCTGGCACACTTCTCTCAGCTTCCCATGCCTTGTCGCAGGCTTTGTATGGGACGCAGATGGCCATGTGGTGACCAACTTTCATGTCATCAAGGGGGCATCTGATCTGCAGGCATGATCAAAACTCTCACCACAGCAGCTCTGATAGCTTCGGTTATTGTGAACCTGTCCTGACACTTGGCTTTGCAAAGGCATGAATTCAATCCTGGTCATAATTGCAGGTTACGCTGACAGATGGGGACGAGTATGCAGCAGAGGTGGTGGGTTTTGATGGTGACAAGGATGTGGCGGTCCTGCAGCTGAAGTTGCCAGACACTGTGAACAAGAAGGTGACACCAGAGGCCGCAATATCTGCCACTCCAAATTTTAGGAGAGGAAAGAAAAAGAAGTGACTCTCCGTGTGTGCAGGAGAAGCTACATCCTGTGAAGTTGGGAACGTCTGCAGATCTCCTGGTTGGCCAGCGTGTCTACGCAATTGGTGAATGCTTCTCCTGCTTAGTGACAGCTGCAGGAAAAAGGAAGAAGAGCACCATAATTTTATACTTTTAACTCCAGATGGCACATTTTTGTGGCTCAATTTTCCCCGCACCATGCAGGCAATCCCTTTGGTCTGGACCACACCCTCACCACTGGCGTGATCTCTGGCACAGGTGGAAAAGACATGCATCCTGAGCATGACTGTAAGGTGTTTGTCCTGGGTTTTAATGATGTGTCATGAGAAGAAGAATGCATTGAAATCCCACGACATCTCTCAAGTCCATGGTAATGTGCAGGCAGAGAAATCAGCAGTGGCAACACTGGCCGACCAATTGAAGATGTCATCCAGACCGATGCTGCAATCAACCCAGGCATGCTTCGTCCTCCTAAGTGACAACCAGTAATGCATCCACAATGTGAGGATTGCATGTCTCAGAAAAGGCACCTAATATGTCTGGCATTGTCATTGCAGGGAATTCAGGTGGTCCGCTTCTTAATTCATCTGGCGAACTCATAGGTGGGCAACAGACACCCACTGTACAGCAAATCAATTCACACCTGGAAAAATGTGCAGGATTGCTCCAGGTATAACTGCTGGACACCCAAAAGGTTTTCACTGCTGCAGGTGTCAACACAGCAATCTACTCCCCATCTGGTGCCAACAGCGGAGTGGGCTTTGCAGTGCCCGTAGACATCATCAACAGCTCGGTCACGCAGATCATAAAGTTCGGCAAAGTGATCAGGCCAATCCTGGGCATTTCATTCGCACCAGATCAGTCTGTCGAACAGGTGACCCCCCTGATGGAAGTCAGTCATTCACCTCTAATTGCAGACGTATGCGCAAGAAGTCATTTTACACATTGACTCCTTATCGTCGAGTGGTGTGCTGGGGATGCACAACATTTATTGTTGGTGTGTATTTGTGCAGCTGCAGCTGGGAGTGCAGGGCATTCTTGTTTTGGACGCGAGGGAGACTGGTCCAGCAGGAGCGGCAGGGGTTCACGGCACCAAGCGCGACCAGAACGGGCGCCTTGTGTTGGGAGACATCATCACAGGCTTCAACAACATGCGTGTCAGGTGCTCACCTTTCCATGCGCCTCTTCTAGCCGCTGTTTTGCCTGCTGTGCTGCAGGTGCTCATCTGGCCCTCACAACCTTGCGAATCGCATATTAAAGGCTTGAACTGAATGCAATCTCGCGCAGGAATGCTTCTGACCTGTACAAGGCTCTGGACAAATGTGGAATTGGTGATGAGGTGGATCTGGAGGTCTTACGAGACAACAGCAAGATCCACATGAAGATCACACTGGGCTCGAGCAGCTAGCAGTGAAGATGGGACAACGCTGAAGGAGGAGAGTGGACTTAGACAGCTAGTGAGATGGTGCGAGCAAGTATCAGAATGACCGACCTTGACAAGATTGACGTAGCGCCGGTATTCTTTGAGCGGGTGAGCATACAGCGCTCCGTTGTGCTCATCATGCGAGCTGACATCAACATGAGAGATGAGAAAAGTGAGGTCTCCTTTGCACTGGCTGGTTAGTATAGCGTTGGACAGGACTGGGCCGCAGCTATATTAGAGGGAAGCTGCAAGTTGCCATAGCATGCTGTGCAAACTAGAGGTAATCACCAAGGGCTGCCACATTCCAGAACTGCAAGCAATTGGAGAATGAGGGATCCTGGCTTTGGATCCATTGCTCAATAATTTGATCACTGCCACGCGCGCACCATCATGTTGATGGCGGTAACCGCCTACCTAGGCAGCCTATAGGCGGCTGCGGGCGGTGATTGAGATGTTGTACAAGTTGCACGCAACTGCAATGAGCGCCAAAGCAGGTAAAAATCATAGGCCTTTAAGGGGCTCAGCCTCGCAGGCTGCCTCGCGGTGTATATGCTGTGCAACTGCAATAGTATTCTTGCAGGGCAATGGCTTATCCATTTGTTTGTGCTGTAAGAGCAGAAAACATCCACAGCTTCACAGAATAAAAATTTCCATGGCTGTGGCTGTCTTCATCACTTCCCTGCTGGGTTCACCCCAGCTTCTGCCAGGTTGCACCCTTGGCTCAACCTTGTACCGGAGGAGTCGAGCTTCCAAAGGCGCTTCGACCATAACGTCAGAATCAGAACATCTCTTGTTGTCGTAACATACTGCCCATAGAGTGTGCCTCTCGCCAGGATCCGGCAAGCTGCTGTGGAACTCCTTAATCGCCAAGGGCGGGCCGCTTTCGAGAAATGGCTCGAGGACAACAGTCTTGGAACAGTAACACGACCTATTCTCCGACCCCAGAACCAGAAAGCAACATGATACATTTCAGATCGAAGTCCTTCGAACCCTGGAGGTGCGAGATGCCTCGTTTATGGGTGCCTAGTAGACGTTTGACTTTGAAAACTGTGGCGGTACAGAGGTGTACCATAATGCTCCCGTATGCAGGATTGCCAATATATGGAAGAAGAGCAAGGAACAGAGCCGCAGGCTGTGGAGAAAGTCAAGGTACCACGGCAAAGAGTTTGCTCTCAAGATTGAGCGATGGCGGCACCGGTGATCTGCGTGGTACCCAAGGAAACATCGTGCGCACAGCAGTAGGAGGTCTCGGCCACGAGCTTCAACAGGAGGAAAAAATCCTGGCCCAAAATTTTGTCCAGGAAAGACAGCCAAGTTAAGCAGCATACTGTTTATGGTCTGAAAGACAGCTGTTCTCCCAAACACTGCCGCAATTTGTGTAGAGTGACGCGCTGTTGACATCAATCAGTTGCTTGTGAATACTGTATTGCAATTTGACAAGTGTGTCAGTTTGTGAGTTGATAATGAGATAGTGCATGCCGCAGCTACCGTTGATCAGAACATGCCGGTGCGTATCTAGTGGCCAGGCAGACCTCGGCATCATTGTCATAATTAAATTGACGCAAAAACATGGCAAAGGAAAGCCTGGGGGTGACCGACTGCTTGCACCACAAGACACATGCAGCAAGCTGCAGTATGGTGGGCCACTATTGCAATAATGCCCTTCACAGCTAGGCATTGCCACATACGCTGATTATGCGGACGGACCATGTCATGCTGAGTGCCAACATGAAAGTCAGAGATCACCTTCAATCAAACTTCATGCAGCACAGCTACACAACCACAACAGGCGCATGGTCGGGTGCACCTCGACGTTACAAAACTTTCGTGACATTGTAACTCATTTGGCTGCAGTCAACCTGACGAGACACGTGTGCACAGATGCTGAAGTTGCTCGTGCAAAAATGGCAGCATTATAAAGCATCTTCTGGTTTCACCTGCAGGACATCACAGAAGATTGCTACATGCTGAGGAGTGAAGCAGTACCATAGAATTGCCTTTGAAATGCACAGCTCTGGGTTCCTAGAATCTCAGAGTCTTTGAATATTGCAATCAGCACAATTGCGCATGCATGGGGGCAGGAATCACATCAACTTCCATGGGCGTGAAGTGGGCTGGCTGCTTTCCATTGGGGTCACCACTTGGTTGCAAGCCAACCACCTGCTCATCGCTGGAACACAACAGCAGCATCAGAGTCCCGTTTTCAAGTCATGCAACAAATTTGAGAATACAGGCCATCAAGCCATCACGGCAATGCGAACCTTGCAAATGCAGGCATGGCACTGGTCATCCTTGCAGTATAATGGATCAAGGATGTACCTTAGCAAGTGTCCTATGTCCGGGCACGCCACAGCACGCTGCGACACCTCCCCGAGGAACACACAGGCCTGATCTGCTGCACTGACAGCCGCAATGTCCTGCCGGAACGCTGAGTCTGTGCCAGGCAGTACATCGAATAGCACATCCCCAAGCTGCATCTTCACTGCGCCGCTCTCATACACCAGCATCTTCCCAATCTGTATTGTGCACAGCACCCCTCTTCTCATCTACAGACAGGTTCTGTCGCTCTTATAGCTTTATTGAATGACTTGGACACACCTGCGATGGGAGATTCCATATAGAACAACCGGAGGGTACAGACACATGCTGACCTTGCCGGATGGCAGATCTTTGAGAGACACGGCCACAGGCGCAGGAGGGGCGTCCTCACGCCTGAGCTGGCGCAGCTTCATGGCAGCTGCGTCTGCTGCTGGGGCCGGGGCCGGTGAGGGCAGCAGCGCCGGCATCTGCAGCAGCACAATGCGCTCTTCTGCGCTGCCATCCACCCCAAGGCCCAAAGTCTCTGCCACATTCACCTCGTCCTCCTGCACATCCTGCACAGTCCCTGTCAAAGCAACGCGTGCACTGCTGCTCGGCCACATTGCGCGGTACACACACACATCACATTAGAAAATTGCTGAGGCAGAAATAAGAAAGACAATGACAGACCCAATTAGGAAAGGAGGCGGCTCGACGCACCGGGAGGGTTTCTAAATCTGGGGGTTTGCTGTCGTCCAGCGAGTCTCCATACCCGAGCACTTCGTGGCCCGGTGGCCGCATGGGGAGCACTGTGGGGTAGTACTGCCGGTAGTCCAGCATCGGCTGGGCCACCCCGCCAACCTTCTCATCTGCATCCTCGTCCTCATCTTCCTCAAACTGCTCCTCCTCCTTCTTCACAGCCGACCCAAACCTGCTGCTGCATTTTCCCATGCAGCCGTCAGCCTTACTTATACTTGTATGTTTGACTGCAGCAGCATCTACAGCTGCACAGCCGCCATAGGCCAGTGCATGTGTGGCAGGCTGCCTGCTTCCTTGTTTTGTCATTCACAGAACTTTTGCCGCGATGCACTGCCAAACGAGTGACAGTGGGGAGTCACCTGGACCGAGCTCCACTGGGCCCCTCCCCGCTCTTTCCGCCGCCACCACTGCCACTGCCCATGCTGGGCCCTGGACCCCTCATCCCTGGCATGGCCCTCGGATCGCCCACCGCCCCAGCATTCAGCATGACCTGTGCACATGCGCGCATCAATCCCAGCCTGACAGCATCCTGATGAGGAAATTACTGCTCACTGCATCAAGTGATGCAAAAGCTATGTGGCAGGTTCCGTACTTTGGGGGTCGGCTGGGCGCCCAGAGGCCCTGATGCAGAGCCCCTCCCACGGCCGCCTCCCCGCTCCCAGCTTCTGTCAGACTGCGCCTGTTTGATGAGCTCTTTGAACTGGTCATTCCCCCCTGTGCTTGTCGCTCCAGCCGGCGTTGAGGCCAGCCCCTTATGCTCTGTTCTGCTCCGGACCTTGGGTATGAACCTCTGTTGGCACATACCACGACAAGTGTTCAGATACACAAGATCATTGATGTTAATGCATTGAAGACACGTCAATGAAGTCGAGGTGTGAGTTGTGGCCAGATACCTTCCGAGGCGCAGGCTGCCCATTGCTGATGGGCTGATCTGGCTGCGAGGTGCTTGGCTGAGAGGTCGAAGCTTCATTAGAGCCAGTGGAGCGGAGCCCACCTGCAGAAATGAGGACAGGCCACTCAAACAGAGGCTTCGTTGTGCCTTCTCCAGCCATGCTAGACAGATTTGTTGCCTCAGATCAAACAAGCATCCAGAAGAAGTATCGTTGACTTGATCGTATGCTAATTTTTGTGATTGATGAAGACCGCTTTGTAAAGCATAGAAGCAGCAAATTAGTCTGCACCTGGTCGACTGGAAGTTGAGAGAAATCCGGAATTCAATGATCCGAGCCTTTTGTTACCATCCTTGGCTTTTTGCTGGTTGTTGGGCGCGGCCCCCCCAGACATGACTGAGGGTACGCGACCCTCAAGAAGGCGTCGGAGATGGAACACAGGTCTTCCTAAATGGGTGTTTCATCCAGATGCCAGCGTCAATTCTACACTAATCTCACTGCATATATTTCTTTCAATTGCCGTTTTCAAATATATATGTATCCTGAACGTCGAGACAAAAGGTGGTGAGTGTGCAATAGGGATTTTCAGGAAGACCACCGATCAATCAAGCGATCGTCATAGCATTTGCAACAAACAACGTTCTATGAATATATGTCAAGAAAGTAGGAATGCATATCCTTTACCGGAATCACTTCCTCTAATTTCCTTCAAGTTCGGCAGTAACCATCAGGGCAACGGCGTCCCATCAACCTCCTAGGCTTGGCTCTGTCAAGTCTTCATTCTTGCCAGCTCTTACAGCAGCCTTTGAGTGCCCGTTGCTTGCGTATACTGTTGAAGTTCAGGATGGGTTGTCATAGTCTGCCCAATGTCTCGGGCCGCTGGGCAAGGATTCCCCGGCCCCAGCGTTTGTGCATGCGTTGTGCCCAGCAGGTTATTGGGGATGAGCGCCACCTTGTGTTTGAGTGCCCTGCCTTGCAACCTGTTCGGGACAGATATCCTGGGCTGTTTGGTGCAGCCATTGTGACGATGCAGCAATTCATGTGGCAGTTGGACATTGTTGGTGTTGCACATTTTGTGATGGATTGTTTTGATTATTTGGATGCTGCCAGTTCATCCAATCAGCCCTAGGCGGCTGGAGTGATGTAATCTTCCTTCCTTCCTTCCTTCATTCCAAAGGACCTGACATTCCAATAGGCTGCAGTAAGATCCTCAGGCACTGTGGGGGCGCACACATTGCCTTAAGACTCAATCTACACCGGAAAGACATTCATGCAGACTGCCGGCTGTAGGCCTGTACTACAGGCCTAGTAGGCGCCTGCAGCATGGAAGCCCTTTCCTTGGACTGCATATTTGGAAAGTCTGCACCAAGGGCCGCGTCAAGACGTCATCACTGGATATAGATCTTTGGCGTGATTGGCGCCTGCAGCTTGGGCGTGTAGATCTGAGAAATGTGCCGCGTGCTCTGGGGCTCACGTGCAAAAACAGCTTTGTATGCTTCCTGGGCAGGACCACCTAGAAAATCTGCCATCTGCTTGTAAGCACTGCGGCGGTAACCCCAGGCGTCTCCCTCCTTCAACCAGCCATGCCTCTCATTCACCTTTGCAGCTTCCCTCTCCACCTGGACCCAACCATATGACCTTGAAGAGACATCTTATATGGCCGATGCATTTTCAGATGATTGCGTTGCCAGCAGATGATCATTGCAGGGCCACCCATGCTTCTCCAGAGACAGACTGTCTGTGCATTCCTGCCCGTGTCCAGGTACCTCCATGCATAGCCTCAATGACAGCTGAAGTTGGGAGCGGTGCAGAATGGCACCTGCTCCAGCCAATCCGCCAGGTGTACTGTGATGAGATCTTGGAGCTGCTCATCCGTCAAAGCGATTTCATGACCACCAACATCCGGCCGCGCCTTTATCTTATGCTCCCCAGCAGGTGCAGAAAGGGTGGCATCCAGAGTGGCTCTGTCCATGACGCAATTGCAGTAGGCACAGAATTCTGCCCGCTGCAGGACAGAAGCACGCACTCAGATTTTAAAACTATAGTGAAGGCCTTTTGGAACTAGTCACAAGGCTTGGAGGACGGACCTCTCCAATGAGCCTTTTGACGTCTTCACGCCTGTCAAGACTGAGCTGGAAGTCCTGCATGCAGCATGCGTCATCCTCTCTTTTCAAAGAAGGGTGAAAGTTTTGTGGGCAGATTTCCAGTGCAGCCTATCCTTGACTTCCAGGGAGAAGGGTGAAGCTGCCTGAAATCCCTCAGTGCCGTATATTGAGTGAAATAAGCCTGCAAGCTCCAAATCCTTTCCCAAGTTCCAATCCCTCAGCACATTCTGCACAGCTCTGAGATGATCGCCGAAGAGATCACCTGAAAGATCGGTGAATATGTGATCAGCAACATGGAATTAGCCAGCCATGGTAAGTAAATATTGGACATGAAAGCATCTATCAGCAGCAGTTCATACCTGAATTGTGTACTATGGTCCCTGTACCAACTGTCTCGACGAACTCCTCCGGCGTCAACGAAAAGATGTCCATGGTCAATAATGATTCAGGAACAGTTTGTGACCAAATGCTAGGCTTACTAAAGGTCCAAGCAATAACTTTGCGAATGTTAAGTGTGTGTTCTCATATCATAGTGCCATACTCGCGAAGGCCGAGGAGGCAATTGCCATTGCATTGCTGACATGGCACAGTCACGTGCCACTATGGAGATCGAGATGACTTCGTGCTCAGCGAACGTGCTCAGCGGGCGTAACAAGTACCAGTACTCTTCCATAGACGTATCCAAGGGGGCGTCTGAGTCTGGTCTAAGTGGGGGCCGATTGTAGGTTACCGCCATGCACTACTTGCTGGTTTTCTGTTGTCCGTTGTCACTACGGGGAGCGAAACTCAGTGATAGGGATCTGAAGAAGTAAAATGCCATCTTGAAGATTTTTCAGTGGTCTGCGGGCGGCATGGCGATCACCTCGGACGAAGTAAACTTCCTAGTGTACAGATACCTGCAGGAGTCAGGCAAGCTGCGCATTCTTCGGCATGCCAAATTGCTTCCATTTGCTTTTAAGGGAGTAACAGTCAACACTTGTGACAGCCCTTATGTACACGTGCGTCATTTTTTCCCCCTCTGGCTAACAAATGTTCATGGCTGCTATTGTCCAGGCTTCTCACACTCTGCCTTTGTGTTTGGCTACGAGAGCTTCGTGCACAAGAGCACCATAAGTGGTAACGATGTGCCTCCTGGAGCCATGATATCCTTCCTGCAAAAGGGGCTGCAGTACATGGAGTTGGAGGCGAACCTGACTGAGGTCAGCCCTGTCCCACAGCACTCCATTCACTTGCTGCTTCCTATGCCAGCAATGGCCCCTCACAACTGTCAAGAATGTCGCCCTGTCGCAAGAGATCCTTGGCTTATGGTAGCCACAAGGAAGAAGAGAAAGCCCCGGAGCGGACATGGCTGGATTGTTCGTTCCTTGGATTGTTAATTTTGCATGCATTGATTCGTCTGCGTAAGCTGGACTGCCTGTGTTGCTACACTGAATAACACAGCATGCATGCGGGGGCTGAGGGGGCTGTGGGCATGCGTTGCGCGCAGGAGAACTCGGGCGTGGACGGCGACTTTGCACCGCTGAGCGCGCAGGAGCTGCTGACACAGGACGCGGAGGAGCTGCGGCGGAGGGTGGCCGACAAGCGCGAAGATGCCGAGCGCGCGCGAGAGGCCGACGCGCGCGGCATGGATGGCGATGTGTCGGCGGCGGCCATGGAGGCTGACGGGGCCGGGCCGCAGGAGATCCCCGCCTCCAAGGTCACCTCCCTGGAGGGCCACACCTCAGAGGTCTTCATCTGCGCCTGGAGCCCCGACAGCGAGATGCTGGCATCAGGGTGAGGTGCCTCCCAGAGTGCTGAAGTGTCCTCGTCACCAATAGGATTGCTGGTGTGCCCGTGTGAGGGCATCCAATCGACCCTTTTCTGTGCTTCCCATGCTCGATGAAAGCAGTGGGGACAAGTGCCGCCATGGATGTGAGGGTCCAACTTTCGAGAAGAATGCAACGTCATTTGCTGTGAGACCTCGGGCTGAGCCTTGTGTGGCCTGTGGCAGGAGTGGGGACTCAACAGCGCGGATATGGGACCTCAGCGAGATGGCGGACGGCGGGTATGCGAAGAGCACGGTGCTCAAGCACTTTGCCAAGCAGGGCAGCGACAAGGCGAAGGACGTGACCACCCTGGACTGGAATGGCGACGGCACCCTGCTGGCCACGGGCTCCTATGATGGCCTTGCGCGCATCTGGTCCAAAGATGGTGTGTTTTCTGACAAACCTATATGTTCACCTTATGGACTGTTGACAGTGAAGGATGGAAAATCTATTTTGGAAGGCTGTAGCTTGACAGGAGATTAGGATGGGCACAGGGAGAAATTCTTGCCCGCAGCTTGGGGATGAGACAGAGCATGGGGGCTGAATGCAGGGGAGTTGAGGAACACGCTGACAAACCACAAGGGCCCCATCTTTTCCCTGAAGTGGAACAAGAAGGGCGACCTGCTGCTGTCCGGCTCCGTGGACAAGACCGCCATCATCTGGGACGGCCGCACCGGCGACGTCAAGCAGCAGTTCGAGTTCCACACAGGTGCCACTTTTGACATCTTCATGCAGACAAATTGATTCTAAAAGATATTCTGTTTGCCTCTGCAGGAATGTGTTGTGGAGTACCTGCTACGATTGTCGGGGTATACAGTGATAGCATGCAAAGCAAAGAGGACTGAAGTTTGAGTGGTGTATGTGCAGCTCCCACTCTGGACGTGGACTGGCGCAACAACTCGACCTTCGCCACTTGCAGCACGGACAAGATCATCTATGTCTGCAAACTGGGGGAGCACCAGCCGCTCAAAGCCTTCGAGGGGCACAGGGATGAGGTCAACGCCATCAAGTGGGACCCCACAGGTCCGCCCCTTTTGAGTATGACACACCCATCAATTGGAAGCTCTGCAGTTTCCAATGCAGCAAAATGGCACGGTAATATGTAGGTCCTTACCTGCTAGTGCGTGATGTCCAGGGAAGCTGCTGGCGTCCTGCTCAGATGACCACACAGCAAAGATCTGGAGCATGAACCAGACCCACGCAGTGCATGACCTGGCGGCGCACACAAAGGAGATCTATACCATCAAATGGTCACCCACGGGGCCCGGCACTGCCAACCCCAACCAGCGCCTCATGCTCGTGTCGGCCTCCTTCGACAACACAATCAGGTGGCGCATCTTGTCTGCCTGACCAACTCTCCACCTCACCGCTCAGCTGCAAATACTCTTGCAAAGCTCCAGCCGCAAAACTCAAGCATTGGCAGCAAGCGGCCTCTCTGTTGGTTGGATTGTGAAGCTCCATGCTTAATCAATGGGGATGATTTGCATTATCCCCAACATGAAGAGGTTAAGATTACAGATTATCGGCTTGTTCTGTCATGTGTGTTGAGGTAGTGGCTGGTGTGCAGGTTGTGGGATGCGGAGAGTGGGATGTGCTTGCATCACCTGACCAGGCACGAGCAGCCAGTGTACTCTGTGGCCTTCTCCCCCAACGGAGAGTTGCTGGCATCGGGGTCATTTGACAAGAACCTCTACATCTGGTCAGTGAGCACGGGCAACCTTGTGCGCACATACAAGGGCCAGGGGGGAATTTTTGAGGTAATTTCTCTGTTTCTCCCGAGTGGTCTAATTGTCATTGGAGTGTTTTGTTATCAAATGGGCTCAGCGTGGATGCAAGAGGTTCCGGGCAATCTTCATTGTGGATCTCTCACTCTGTTTGCCCTGCAGGTTTGCTGGGCGAAGGATGGCAACAGAGTGGCTGCGTGCTTTGCCAACAAGATCATATCGATTCTTGATTTGAGGATGTGATATAGTATTTCAGGTGGTGTGTGTCAATGTCTTGGTCTGTTGCGAGTTCCCCGTCAGCGAGAGTCTTGGCTGTCTTGAGGCAGTCTTTTTGCTTTATCATGTCTTGCTGCATCAGGTCATCACAAGTTATGATATCAGTGAGTGCCTTGGCGAGGTATTCTTTGTGCCCACAAAATGAGCATATTGTAAGTACAAGTGAGATGCAACAGCAGTCGCTTACAACAACCTGGGCACAACTATTTGTCTTACTGTCTCTAAATCAATTTCATGAACAGATCTGACATACGGTATCTACTTGGCCGCGCACGACAACGATCAATACACAAGGCACAGCAGCCTTGCCAGATATCTGCAAGCTTCCATACATATTATAAAGAACTGCACATCAACAAATGATATATAAGCCCCAACAAAGGCCGAATGCCTGCGTCCTACAGCACACTTGTGAAGACCGTTGGGAACGAACTCCTTCAGTGTCGCCCCAACATGATATATCAAGGTATATTTGCCCTCATACCGGCACAGCCTGACACAAATCTTGCATCATTGCAGACATTTCAGAGCTCCACTGTCCAGAACGGTCTTCTCAATGAGAGGTTCTCATGCATGCTGCATTCATGCCTCTTGACATCACAGGCCAGACGGCCAAGCTCGTGACACAAAAACACTCAACTTGTCTTGGCGACGGTTTTAAGAAGAGCCTTCAAGTCATTAGCACGCATCAGCTTCATTCCTTAGCGTGCCAAAAAATATATTGCAGGCTCAAGCATCTTGAAGACCAAATGCTCTGCAGCAAGCCAAGCTTGGGAGTCTTGAGAGATGCATGGGACCAGAATAGCGGGCAAATTAGATGACTGTGCCAGCTGGGATGGCAGCATTCCTCAATATTGTCACGATGCTGTCCTGGATGACAAACCCCTCCTCTGTGCGGTCTGCATCTGTGATGCCCTGCTCATTTGTGATGCGCACATTCTCGCCGATGGACACGTTGTCATCCAGAATAGCCCCCCTGATCACCGTGTTGGCTCCTGCAAAGCAATGCAAATCTGCGCTCAGGCGCATGTGAAAGGACGGCAGAGTCAGCCATGCAAATAGACTCCTCTTCCCATAAACTCCTGTTCCCCAAATCTGTGACATGCAGATCTGGGTCCTCACCAATGCCAAGGGCAGACTCTCCCTTCTCCAGGGAGGCGGCGCGAGTTTTGTCATTGGTGTAGTAATCGTTGCCCAGCACCAGAGTCTGCTCCAGAGTGCACCCCTCGCCCACGTACGTGTTGTTTCCCAGCACGCACCCACGAATCGTAGACCCCTGCATGCACCAGCAAAATCGCTGTCATCAAACCCGCATCCCCAGAAAGTCAGAAAGAGTCTGAAAATCCTCTTCTGAACTAAGATCTCCTGAGCATGCATGATCATGCAAAGGCTATTTTGGGGGCTCCTGGACTGGAGGTATGGTCCTGAGAACAGTCTGGGGAGACTATGGATGCTTAGAGCACTATTCTGCGTTCCTCCTGCATTTTTGCATTGAAGCTGAGGCTCGCACTAAGTCTGCTGGCTGTGAAGGTGTTGTGCAAGATACATGAGTCCATAGGGCTGAAGAGGGCCGCACCCGGAGGACGCTGCCCTCGCCGACGAGGCTGTTTTCGACCTCGCAGTTGTGGATGAGCGCGGGCGGCAGCACATGGCCCGAGCTGATGATGCCCTCCTCCACCTCGTAGAAGGAGATGGGCGCCCCAGGCAGCGCCAGCTCCAGGTTCACCTCGTAGAAGTCCCGCAGGCTGTTCACGTCCTGTGCGCATTGCCATCAAGCCTCCCTCAAGCTCAATTTCTCCTCCAGCCCTGGCTCAATGTATCAGCGTCCACAGGAGCAGCCAAGCACCGTCACTTGGAACCCGTTGAAGATTGCTGAGCAGCCCTCCAGGTAATGGGCCAAACAATTGGTCAATCAGGCAGGAAGAGCGCCAGCCAGGAAGGGCTCCAAAGTTTTATCAACTCAACCAGCGAGCCCCATGACAGTCAACACACAACATGTATTAACCAGATTACCTCTGGGTGGAGCAAGAATCACATGACGTCATACATGACATGACAGTAGACAACATGCACAAGCAACCGCACAAGGTGCGCAGCGGGCAGGGGGCCGGGGCCGCACCCGCCAGTAGCCCGGGTGGTAGTGGGCCACGATGGTCAGGCCGTCGCGCAGCGCGTGGGGGATGACATCATAGCCAAAGTGGGTGTCGGGGCCCGCCTTGTCGCCAAAGTGGTCCTCGTTCTGCAGCAGCAGCCGCTCCAGCACCTCGCGCCGGAACATGTAGATGCCCATGCTCGCCTCGAAGGGATCCTCCGGCGTCGCGTTCTTGCTGCCGCCCTCCAGGGCCGCCAGCCGGTCCGCCGACGGCTTCTCCTCAAACTCGCGCACCAAACCTGCCGCACCAGCCCACCCCGCACATGAGTATATAGATGAACGAGCAATTCTGGCTCATCGCAAGCCAGGCATCGGCATGATCCGGATACAGGCTGCCAGGATGGGCCCATGCCCATGCTGCCGCTGCTGAACCTTCGCCCCTAGTCCCACTGCTCTTCCACTGGTGGCCGAGGGGGGTTTCCAAAATCAAAGAACTGTTCTTGTATTGAAGACTGCATCAGAGGACCTGCTACTGACTTCCCCAGAGCATCACCCACCATCTGCACATCCTGCGTCTCTGGGCGGTGATGCCCTGCAAATGGGCCTTCCAGCACCACATCACGTTCTGCTTCAAAATGACATGAGTGGAGGAAGGGCAGTCACCGCTGGGGTCCACTCGGGTGATGCCGCGCAGGGAGGCCTGCTTCCAGCCCACAGAGTGGGTTGCAATGGTGATGTCCGCGTTGTTTTCCCTGTGAGTCCTCAGCAGCGCTCCGTAGTCCTGCCAAGCACATGCACATGGCTCAGTAGGCGTAGGTAACTTTTAGAAGCCAACTACTGCACCTGCCAGCGAGGCAAAGGTAGCCACAGACACAGTTGAAGACAGAGATCAGGATTGATTAATTACCATGCGGTACAGGGCCTGGCCGGAGAGGATGAGCATGTCATCCGGCAGCATGGTGCCCCTGTAGTCCTCCAAAATGACGGGTAGATTGCGCCGCACGGCATCTGCTGAGCCCCGGTACCAGGACGCCTCTGTGGGGGTCTGATGGCAGGCCAGCACATCCACAAAGCCCTGCTTCCCGGGACCCCCAAAGACTGCTGGAGGGTACGCGTTGCCGATGTGCGTGTTCAGCATGTGCGAGTTGAACTGAGTCAAGACATACCTGCCGCACACCAGGAGCATGCAGCTATCAGTGCTTGCATCAGCAATAGAGCATGTAACGAAATAGTTCAGGCAACTTCCAAAACTTGATTGTGAAACGGCAGGTGGCGCACAATTTGTTGACGCCAGATCGTATGCAGTTGCTGATGGAGATGTCGATCAGCTGGGTGCTCGAACCTGTGGGTGCATGGCAGAAAGCGCTTTCAGTATTGCCTTAGTATGAGACGAAGGGCACAGGCAAGCGTGCGGCAAGAAGGCCAAAACTTGGTGGTGCTGCTAGGTGGCTGATGCAGTACCAAGCTCCACAGCAGGCATGGCACGGTAGCGCGCCAGGGGGTTGTCAGAGGATCCTCCAGCGAGGATGATTGCATGAACGCTCTTGCTGATGTCCTCCACAGTGATAACGCCAATCTTGCTTGTTGTCCTGGACAACCCTCTGAACCATAGCACCCACAGAACGTCATTAGTCCAATAAATTGCGAACCTTTAGTCTTCAAAATCACATAGTACCCTCCTCTGCAGTCAACAGATGGAAGGATCCGATGAACAAAGCAAAAGTCTGTCATTGGAAGGTGTTTTGGGCAGATATTGGTACAGCATCCGGTCTGCCCCGTAGTACCAATCAGAGACGTACCGTGGCTGTGCAAGGGGCTCCACCGGTCTGTCTAATGTTTTGATGCTCAGATCCTCGGCAGACTCTGTCACAGCTTGGGCTGCTACGCTCAGGTCCGCACGCCGAGCATGGGCCTTGACGACAGGAGCTTCCGACCTGCAGGTTCGAGCTGAGGGCGTCGCTAGAAGATGCGATGTCCTCCCGCAAAGATTGGATCCACCCAGGCTGGTGTGCTGCGAGCCCCTCAAGGGAGCTTCGCAGGAAGTGTGCATCGTGGAAACTGGACAGAAGAACGCCCTCGTGGTGCCAATGTGAAGCACACCTGGTGATGAAGCAAAGCTACACTCTTATTTTAAGAGTATGCAGATACCCTTTTTATTCGACGGTGTGAAATAAATGCATCAAGATGTTTTGTGGGTCTCCAGGGCACCCGCCCAGAATCCAAGGGGTTTTGGTGAGGGTTTCAGATATTTTTCAGCCGCTAGTATCCAAATCTTTACTCTGCTTACGGGTGGTTGGATAAAGTCTCTAAGTTATTGCCAAATTTCATCTACTATTACAGGTGAACGCCGAATGCACCATAGGTCATAGTCTAGCCCTTATCACTCCCATCATTTGAGGGGCCATTCTGCACTCCTGGCTCTGCCGGGAGCTGCTCCCCAACAATGCTCCAGTAAAGCCTGAGCGTTTCCGAGGCGAGCGCCACTTTGGAGAAGTCCTGCCACAGGTCTGGGTTCGCCGACTGGAGTTCTGCATGGCATTGACAGCCCCATGTCAGATGCTGACGCAGCAGACTGGCTAATTTCAGGGCCGAGCACGCCGCAACAGGGCAATTATGATCCCAATACTGACCACAATGGAATGGAGCGCACCTGTCAGCAGCAGGCTGTTCTCGAGGGCCAGCGCCAGAGCGATGGACCAGTCAAGCAGGCCCGCCCCGTGGCATGCGTCCAGCAGGATCTGGGCGTTGTTTGCGAGCGACAGGTCCGGCACCACCGGGAGCTCCTCTTCCACCATCTCCAGTGCTGCACCACACAGCCCCCATCAACCCGTCAGTTGCAGACACTCACATCACACCGCGCAGCGAGGAAACCTGTGGATGTACGCAAAACAGCAGTGCAAGGGGTGCATGCAAGGTGCTGCTGCAAACGGGCCATGTATGAACAGTCGCGGCGACAGTGGGTGATTCGCCCTATGCCGCTCTCAAGGCCAGATTGGTGCCAATTCCGCCAAGGCGCCAGAACTCTTTTGAGCATCTTGAGGGGGCAACCTTCAAGCTCTTGTGGGCCCATACTATTAATGCAAGGGGGAGCGCACCGCGGGCGATGGAGAGGGGGGTGGGCAAGGGCCGATCAGGCGGCCGGCAGGAGAGCAGTAGGGCGGGCATGCTGCCGCCGACGGCGGAGAGGGCAGCGCTGAGGCGCGCGGCGTTGCGAAGGCGGCCGCTGTCCAGCAGGCGCCAGGCCTCCGCCCCCAGCACCCGCCACGCTGCCGTCCCAGCGCTCACCTGCGGCCCCTCTCCCTCTGCTACCCCTGCACCCACCCAATACTGGGGGTGAATGAAGAGTATAAAGGGTCCTTAAAACCCCTTGCCCAATTGCATGCGTCAGGCTCTCGCTGCGCTGCGGCCGCAACACCATGCATTGTGCAAAAGCAGCTGACCAACATGCCGTGGGCCAGCACTGGCTGTCATCAGTACACAAGATAATGATACGAGACTCTAGCAAAGCGGGTTGTGCAAAAGGACGATTTGGTGGGTGGGCCATGCGGCTCACCAGAGGCATATGAGGTGCTGGCTTCCGGCTGCGGAGCGCTCCCGCTGAACCAAGACCTCAACCAGCCCGCATTCTGCGCACATTCCACGGAGATGATTTCAACAAAGGAGCTCAGGAAATACTATACTCTCCAAACAAATGGGCACTGAAATTGGTAGACCATATGGGCAGCATCATTGTGCAACAAGGAAGGGCCGCTCACCCGCTGAGGTGCGACTCCACCACCCGGAGCCGTTTCCCGGGGCTGGCCGACGTGCGCACCGCCGCTGACGGCTGGCAGAGCAGAGAAGGCGTCGTCGCCTTCGGTGGGTGGCACCACAAAGCGGAGCAGCTCGGCCGCCAGGTCATACTGCGCCTCCGCCAGCGCCAGCTGCGCACCGGCACCCCTCGCTCATCACAAGGACTTTACGTACATCCACACCAAAGTACTGGTTATCCAAACGCACTGTAAGACAGGAAGAATAGGTGTTGTGACGGAGGTCTTGCAGTTCAATGCAGTGCTGCCACAAGAGCCATTAGTCCTGCGTCACAGTCTTGTGGAGCTAGCAAAATCATGGAGGAAGAATCACCAGGCTTCAGCTTTTCTACAGGGGGCAAATGGGGAGCGACAGGGGGGAGCGCACTCGTATGAGGCGCAGGGCTGAGGAGTGGGCGATGGAGGAGCCCTCGATGCGGTCGACGATGAGGAGGCAGCAGGCGGCGGAGGCGAGTGCGCCGGCATCGATCAAGTCGTCCAGCAGCTCGCTGGGTGCGCCCACAGCCTGGAACAGCGCCGGCCACATCGCCGCGTCCGTCTTGCGCGCCACGCTCACCACTATGTCCCGGAACTGCGCACCAGCCGCGCGTTTCTGTCACCTTCTTTGTGATCTTCTGGCCTTTTGTAGCCAGATGACCTCTGGTTAGGGCATCTGCTACAGCATGCAAAGCAGATATTACAGCACGCATGGCATGTCATTTTCTTATCTTGATTTGGTATCAATTGGCTGAGCAGAAAGGTGCAGGGCAGCACAAAAGGTGACTGAGGCTGGCCATCCTCCTCCAAGCTCAGATTCGAGGAAATCGGCATTGCGTGCCGTCATGAACCACTCCCATCCCGGCCTTTGGTAGACCATGCCCCTGTGGCGCCATTGCCAGGCCCAGGTGTGCGAGGTTCACACCTCTGCACCTGAAAAGCACATGGAAAGTGTCTTGGGAGGGCATCAGACGTCAAGAGAGGCAGGGGCACACCTGCGGGAAGCGGCGAATGAGGGAGGCGGCGGCGAGCAGGAGGGGTCCTGCAGAGTCCCCCCGGCGGCGGCGCTCGGGGCTGGCCTGCTGGGGGGACCATCCGTGGGAACCGGCGGGGGGCCCCTTGGAGGGCGAGGGCACCAGGTCCGCGTTGAACTCCAGCGAGGTGAACAGCAGCCACTCCAAGGACCGCGCAAAGTGCGGCGCCCGGCTGTGACGCGCCGCCAGCGACACCGCCTCGGCCACCCGCTCCTGCGCAGCATTGATTCAAACCCCTCATGCACTCGCCCAGACCCCCATGCCTGCCTTCACGGACATGTAACATTACTTAGATCATGTGTGCATTGACTGACATGTAACAGTACTCAGGTACCAGTCGGTTCATGTCAGTGCATGAACTGACTGGTACTTCAGGCTGTAACGCCCAAATGATAAAGGGGTGAGTCAACATTGTACCATACACATTGTAAAACGATAAAGGTTACCAGTCCAGGTCATTCAGGTGTGAGGAGGTATAATGAGCACTGGCACAAACGCGTGGGGTCTTGGCAAAATGATGCAAGGGAGACAGGTCACCTGCTGCAGGAGGCGGCGCAGGAGGCAGGGGAGAACGGGCTGGCTTTCTGGCAGGGGCTGGAACAGGGGCAGCATTGCGTGCGCGTACGAGGCCAGCCCGCTGGCGGCAGGCCTGCCGGCAGACCCGCCCTGCGCCGCCGACGGAGTGGACGTGGCCAGCGCTGCACTGCGCACCACCCGCTGCGTGACACCTGCATTAGACCAGAAGCCGGCACGTCAATACCATTGAATCCATAGAGAGACAACAGAACTCGCACGACTTCCTTCAGGGGCCCCTCGGCAGATGTCCCCAAGGCACATGCTGACATGGACCAGCTGACAGTCTTTGCTGCAGTCAACTATCATCTGAAGTCATCTGTTGAACCCCTAATTGCTGAGCGACTACCACTTGTGATCAGGAAGTGCAAGGCAGGCGCACCTATGATGGAGACTTCGGCAAGGGAGATGCTGATGGGGTACACTTCTTTGTCGAACTCCAGCTCTGGGTCGGTCATGTAGTGCGCGGCCTCTGCTGCGGCCGCATGCGACACGGGCTCGGCCAGGCTCTTGGGGAACCAGAGCTGCATGCCTCGCGCCCCATATGTCCACCAGGGAATCTCCACGTCCTCGCCGTCATCTGTACCTGATGTGCAAAACAAGTCGCTCACCTCGCTGCAATTTGCAAGGTTTTCCTCCCTGAGATTCTCAGAAACAGGCAACATGCGAGCTGCATGGCTTTCTAGCAACTCAGCAAATGATGGGAACCGTGCTGATGTATGCCTCAACAACCAGAAGCCAGTGGACAGAAGTGCAACAGGCAATTCCACAGGCCGGCAGGTGCCCACGGAATGGAATGCCATGCGTTCTTATTGACAGGATGGTCCAAGACAGTGCATCAAGCATACCACGACCAGACGTTTCGGCACTCAAAAATCCAAGCCCGTTCCCGTTGGCTGCCGCAGGTTGCTGCGGAATCATGCCCTGCATGGACCCTGCCGCGCTGGCCGCATCATCGTACATCTCGCTCATGTTGCTCTGCGACCTGTCACGGGAGTGCATGCCGCGCTCTGCCGCTCTGGCTCCCTCTGACTCTAGCCCATTCTGGCCTCCTGCCAAGTGCATCCCACAGAGTGAGCCCACAGCCATGCCTTCCCCTTTTCCTTCCTTCTTCTTCCCCTTTCATTACGCCAGCTAGAGAGCTGTTCATGCCAGCTCCAAAGGGGAGTTGTACCTGTGAAAGGGAGGAGAGCGCGGGGTTCAGCAGAGTGGAGGCTCATAGCCTCAGAGTCCTGGGACTCCAGGCGGCTGACCCCAGGGGGCGCCGGTGATGCAGTGACTGCACGGCCAGAGAGCCAGAAGCACTCCACATCATTGGCCAGCGTCAGCTCAGAGCCTGCGCAGACAACAGACCTGCATATTAACCCAGCAACACTCTGCTGCTGGTGGGACGTGGGTTTCTTGGCCCTGTCTTCCGAGAGCATGCTCAAACACGAAAAGCCCTGATTAACGAATGCAAGGCGCATGAAGGATATTGTGACCACGTTCTGGCAGCAGAAGCAGAAGAAGTGGGGCAACCTTGCTCCATGTCTAAGACAGACATGTGGCCGCCGGCGCGCAGCAAAACGCACTGCTGGGGCTCCCGGTCCTCCAAAACCACCCGGCCCTGCTTGTACGGCGAATTGAAGGTGGCCGCTGTGCGTTCCACCAGAGCGATATCCTGGGATGCACAGCAGCAAGACCAATTTCAGACGCTGTCTATGCTGCAGCAGCGAGTCAACCGCCCAGCATTGTGAGAATAGTGTGGACACGGCTGATGACCGTGAACACTTCCATGCAATGTAGAGGTGTCATGGTGAGCTCCTTGGGTCAATGTGAAGGCAGCGCACCCTGAGCGGCTGGCCCACAGACATGATGGAGAGCTCGCGGACGATGGTGATCTTAGCGGAGGGCTTGCCCGAAGGCAGGACGGTTCCGGCCAGGTCAATGCGCCACACTTTGATGTCAAGTGGGGCATACGCCGCTACCACGTGGCTCCCGCTTGCGTCCATGGCAAGAGGCACCTGAAAAAGGGCGAGCACACGGTCTCAGCAAGGTGAGCAAGCGAATGCATGCACCCACCACACATGCATAATGGGACGCCAAGATAAATAATGCCAAGGGGGCGCACCTGCTGCAGGGGGAAGCGGCCGAGCAGGGAGGCATTGTCCAGGTGGTAGCGTGGGTACAGCAGCAGGTCTGCGCTACTGGCAGCATGGTTGGCGGTGGCAGGCGTGCTGACGCAGGCCAGCACCACCCGCGGCAGCCACATCAGATGCTGCATGCACAGGCACACAGACTCAGCCTTCAGCCGATTTCACCACGAGCACCAAGCCTGACAACTTTGATGCGTCGTTTGATGTGCACCCATGCCGGTCATCTGTAACTGCAACTGCCACTGTGCAGCCCTGCACAATTCTAAGCCATCCTCCAGGCATCCCCGGCTATGGATATCCACATCTTTACCACCTGCACCTCTGCAGCCCTTCAAATTTCTAGTAAAATCCTCAGGCATTCCTGGCTATGGATCTCTATATGTGCACCTGCAACTCTGCAAGCTCTGTACAGTTGTAGCACACTCCTCCAGGCGTCTCTGGCTGTAGATCGGCACGCACACGCTCAACAATAAGCAAGTAGAAGGCAGCGTATCATCACGGCAGGCTGGGTGACGGCCTCACGTGCACGGTGATCTCGCGCTCCTGGCTGACGTCGCCGAAGAGGCGCCAGCGCGCGGAGCGGCGGGAGTAGAGCGCGAGGCCGTTGCGGCCGGCCACCGCAATGTCCATGCCGTCGGCGCTGAGCGCGGCGTGCGAGAGCGGCCAGTTGGCGGCCACGTACGGCGCCGGCGGCTGCAGGTGCACCACGCCCAGATCGGCCGCGTGCGGGGCTGCAGACGCGTTCCCGGCCGCACCGCCCTGCCGCATCCCGGCCGCCAGCCCCGCGCCGCCAGACACCTCGCTGCCCTCCGTTATCACCAGCAGCCGGTCGTCCGCCTGGCCACAGCACCACACTACTTCTGATTTCATGTTTCGTGACATGGCGTGGCCACATCACCCGCACAGCTTCTGGGTTTCACGCTTTGTGAAAAGTGCTAGATGTCAACCACGCCCTCCCCATTCAGTGTGACACCTGTAACGAAAAGCATGCCCTCCTTGTATGAAGAAGCAAGCTTCATGATCTAATCAAACTTGGCCCTCCTGCTGTGTCCCCAAAGGCAGATTGCTGAGGGACTCCGGAGGTGCAGAAAATATATCAGAGGGTGAAGGAGGTCGGCTCGGTCTAGTACCTGCAGGAGGTGGACTTCTGGCTGGGGCCCAGGCGCCTGGGAGGGCCCGGGCAGCGGGTGGTGCACGATGCGGTGGGAGCCGGTCAGGCTCTTGGCCAGCGACAGCTCCAGCACCTGCGCAGCCATTCCCGCCTCCGCCAGCACCAGCCGGTACCCAAACGCCCCCCACGCCATCGCCGACACCCCATTCTGCCGCCCCACACAGACATCTCAACATGGCCATTTTTATTATGATTACAGGTCGGCAAGCCCAAAGCCAAAGGCCATAGGGCATACACGCAGGACGTCTGCAGCCACGTCTGCGGGGCCTACAAAGGTCTGCAGCCTGGCCATGCATTCTAGCAAATGATTTGCTCAGTCCCCACCGACTGCCAGCATTACTCCCTTACAGAACATCTATTGGAAACCATTACCACCTTGCAAAACATTAATTGAAGCCCCCTTGGCTTTAAAAAGAGTTCTGCCTGTCAGGAGGCATCAGACTCTATGCACCTTGCAATGTGTGATGATGTACGGTGGAGAGTGAGCACCTCGAACGAGAGGGGTGGGGGCGACTTGAAGCTGCTGGACATGCTGTGCATGGGGCCTGTCCTGGCCTGCCGCACCGAGCATAGCAGCCTGCAACCCGACGGCGTCCATAGGCCCAGCCCACTGCGCCTCCAGCCCACCTGTCCCAAGACATCGTGGATCGAGTGACACTGTTTCGTAATGGACGAGAGGGACTTTGCGTCCAAGTATACTTTGCTAATCAAAGGGCGCAAATTTCACATCTGCGCATATGTGCGGTGTGTTGGCAGCCTTTCAGCATGTGTCCCTTCCGGAGAATCTGGTCAACTCACCGCCAAGGCCCTGTTGTCGGGCGACCACTGCATGTCCGCCACCGAGCCGGTCACTTCCGGCTCGTAGCCCCAGTCGGCCAGGGAGATGATGCGCAGCGGCTCGCCTCCCTTGGGCGCCCACAGCTTGTACAGCGCCACCTCGCCGCTGTTGAGGCCCACCGCCAGCAGCTGTGCCACCGTGCCTGCCAGACAAGCTGGTTTGCTGAGTTCACTTCAAATCAAGGGAATCTCACTTATCATAATGGCAGGACGAACACACAATGACCAAGTGCAGTTGTACTCCTTCCAAAGGGAGCAAAAGAGGACGCACCTATGCGCACACAAAGGGCGCCGCTGCCGGCGCTGCAGACCCAGTGCAGCAGCTGCAGCTGCTCAGCGGGCGCCAGGCCGCTTTCGGCGGCTCTGAGCAGCGCGCACGCCCCGTCCGTGAGCACGACAGCCAGCAGGCGCAGGCTACTAGCGTAGTCCATGGCCTCTATGCAGGGCAGGTCCAGCGCGCTCTCCACTGAAGCCGCGCGCGAGCCCGTGCCCAAACCCCCGCCGCTCAGCGCCTGCCCTGACAGCCCCGACAGGGCCGTTCGCATCGTGGGCGCCTTGAGCGAGCCCTGCCATATGCAGCCTGCTTGCTGTGCGTTCGATCTCGGTGCTGCAAGGATGATTCATGTGTCCTGATGGCAAGCTTCAAATGAGTTCGCCAGGGACCGGACATGAGGGCCTCACCTGCCGTGAGGCGCCTTGGCGCCGCAAGCCCGACCCCGTCTCATTGCCGGCCCTGAGCTCCCCGCTGCTGCCGCGCTTTGGCAGGCGCATCTGCACCTCCGTAAAAGGACTGATGCGGCCTCGCAGCTGCGATGGCACGTCCACATTCGTCAGGTGTGATGCGGTGGTGCTCAGGACATGCTGCTCAGGTGAGCCTTTGGAGGACAGAAACAAGTGGCAGGCATCGGGTGCTGTGTCAGTGCAAGTATAGGGAGAGAGGAAGAGCGGGAACCTGGCTCTGCCAGGACATGAGCTGGAAGGTGCCGTCTGAGAAGCCGATGAGGATGCTGCGGGAGTCGCAGACCAAGTCCACAGCATGCGCGCCAGACTGGTCCAGCACCGTGCTGTGCTGCAGGTACACATCCACTCGCCGCAGCTGGCCCAGCGTCTGCTCAAACGCCGGCAGGACTGCCTCCTTGGAGGTGTGCAGGCCGTACACATGCAACACGTTGTTGTATGTCTGCACAGCAGAGATTTCTGCGCTCATGAGGACTCAGAGAGAGCAGAATGCAGTGCACCAGGAGGTCCCCTGCGTTTCTGCACTCCTGTTATTTACTGCGATGTTACTGTGGGATTGTAACATCAGATAGATAGATTTTCGTTAGGATTCCCAACGGTACTGAAATACTTACCAAGACTCCCAGAAGGCGCCTGCTGCTGCACCAAACAGCCTGCCTGTTCAAGCCATCACTTTTGACAGACTCCAAATTACGCCGGAGTTGGCCAAGCCTGACACGAATCTGACCCCCTGACCAGATCTGCACGCTAACTGTGGAGACGATTACGAGGTAATCATCGCTGAAGGAAATTTGCACGACATCCTCATGTGCATTCCCAGTTTGAACAGCCAGCGCCTTGGGCCAGCCATAGGCAAAATACATTGTTGTATAGTCTTGTCGATATCAATGCTTCATTGCATATTGTTTGTTTGGCAGAGATGAGTCTATTGACCAGAACGCATGCTACACAATGCCCACCCCTTTTGTTCTGCTAATGCCTTAAAACTTGTTCTCGATGCCATTGGTCGCATTATACCGTTTCATATATCAGTCCAAAACCTTCTTTCGTTCATTCCTAATCTAATGAAACAAATTTATGATAGTGTCGCTTTGATTCTGCCCAACAAGGAAGAGAAGCATGATGCTCATTTCAGGAATTTGCAGGTCAATCAGCATCTCATCTTTCAGAATTTTGTTACTAGCAAATATTCTTGTAGATCTGCGCACATTTCATCGACTGATCACGGCCTCCTGAGTTGCTGCTCATCATACTACATCGCAAGTACTGGTATTCGGAGCTTGTGCATTTGGAGCGAGTCATAGGGATGTATTGAGTGTTTGGCAGATAATTGCATTCTGATAGCATCCAGCGTCGTGGGATATTTGTGCACGGTTATCCCTTGGGAGTTAGGTCGCACAGAATCTTAGGGCCGCAGAGATGTCCTTAAATGGTCTCGCACAGGATGTGTTCAGCTTTCACAAAGCTGCAGCAGATCCACTTATCAACTGGGACTACCTGGGCTTCCTGTTCAAGAACATCTCCCCTTACTTCTGGTCAAGCTTGGGAATAGGGCTTTGTGTTGGACTCTCCGTCGGAGGTGCTGCCTGGTAAGTAAGACGGATGGTTTGCTGCCTTTAAATAGAACACTCTCATCAACAGTGGTAGCACGGGAACCTCCAAGCCATATTCTTGGTGGTCGTTATGAGATGGGATGTCTATGTGCAGGGGCATTTTCATCACAGGAAGCAGCTTGCTGGGAGCTGCCATCCGTGTTCCACGCATTACCTCGAAAAATTTGATCAGGTGGGCCATAGATTGACATTCTGGAGTCTTGTTGTCATTGGTCCATCCTGTCTTAGAGCTGTCACTCACTGGCAAGGTTGTTTTGGCCCAACACATTGCATTCTGCGTGCAGCATCATCTTCTGCGAGGCAGTGGCTATCTATGGGGTCATTGTGGCGATCATCCTGCAAACCAAGATAGACTATGTGGACAAAGTACCAACCACAGGGCTGTATCCCATACCAGCAATGACTGCAGGCTATGCCATTTTCGCATCTGGAATAACTACAGGCTGGGCAAATCTGGCATGCGGGTGAGTTTCTGTATTGTTTGCAGTGCTGCTCCTGACTGGTATGGGGAGGTGTATATGGTGTAATATCTGCTTCCATCACCGCAGTTGCAAAGCTGTTGCGCAATATCTGCATCTCCTTATTGCTTTTATAAAGAATGAAAGCATGACGATTACTCTCACTGGCATGCAGTGTCTGCGTCGGAATTGTGGGCAGCAGTGCGGCGCTCTCAGATGCACAGAATGCAACCCTCTTTGTGAAGATCCTGGTCGTGGAAATCTTTGGCAGCGCGCTGGGCTTGTTTGGGGTCATCATTGGCATCATTGTCGCTGGCCAAGCCAACTTCAAGCCATGAAACTATGCAGTGCATGGCGACATGGCAAGGTCTATACAACATCAAGTGCAATGCTTGTTACAAACTGGAAGGATGTGGTGCTTGAGAGCGAGGTGTCTATTGCTTTCTCAGACAGCAATTGCAAGATCAGTTAACACAGTAAAATTTTAAAGGGGTGGGCCGGTGCAAGTCAAGCATGTGTCAAGGTATCACTCGTGTGTAGGGCAGATGCAAGACGAGCTCTCTGCTCCTCGACAGTCAACTGTTGATCAGTGTGTATCCCACGATGGCGCAGCACAGTCAACAGTCCATTGCCATGACCACACAGCAGCAGTGGAAGCGCTGGTGCAAAGGTGAGGTGACAGAGCGCGATGTTGTCAGGCACATTGTGCACCTGCCGGGGCCGGTCCAATGCGCGAGCCACGTCCCAAACCTGCACAGGGATCAAGCTTATAAGCTAATTAGCTGTGGTCATGTGTCATGGGCGAGGCAAGGCTACTTGCAGTGTTGCCAGGCTAGGAAGGTGACAGTGGCCTCCCAAATGGTGTGATTGGCGAGGCAGATACACACCTCAATGCATCCTCTACTGTTCACCAGAGCAAAGGCTGTGGGGTTGCCAGGCCACCATTGCACATCTGACACTTCATCAAAGCCTGTCTGAAATGTGAAGAGCGCCGCTTCCTGTCATCCACAAGTGAAAGACTTCAGCATGCCAAGACACAACCGGCCCTTGTGGCATTTTCTGAAGAGGGCATTTCAACTTCAATGTACATGGGAGCATGGGCACATACATGATCTCTGGTCCACAGGCGAGCTGTGCAGTCTGCAGACGCCGACAAGAATGTATCTTTGCTTGCTGGATGCCAGCGCACAGCATACACAGGGCCATGGTGCCCAGTGTATGTCTTGATGTACTGATCAGACATGGTGCTTGAGCACAAGTGTATGGTGCCTTCCTCCCTTCCTGCATGCAAAATTCCCATTGAACAGGATAATAAGTTGCTTCATATTTAGAGCAAGACGTCTGCAGGGACTTCTTCAACATTTGCTGCTGTCATCAGCAAAACCAAGAAGGATTCCAGTGAACTGAGCAATGCAGGGAGAGGGACACATGCTCTTCCTCACCCACAAGGTATTCCTGGCTGCGTTCGCCAGTAGCAAAAGCAAAACAGAAAGCTCCGCTCCTGCGGCTGATTATCGGATCCACAAGTGGTGCTTCTGGCTTGGGTGGGCTGCTTGCACTACTCTGCAAGCTGCTGCTGTCCTTGCGATGTAGAGCCCTCTTGAGCACCAGCAGATCTATGTGCTTCAACCCCTGATACACGGCATGTTTACCCATGTGAGCTTCCTTCTCGCTTCTGTTGCAAACATACACATATGGACGCAGCAGTGGCAGTGCATGCAAGCACAATTTGATATCTTCACCTGATGTTTAAGTTGCCCACACAGGATAGAAAACCCTTATACCTGTCTTGCTAGATGTACCTAGATCCTAGATCCCTAGGAACTAAAAACATGTCATAACAGCAACACCCATAATATAAATGTTCAGGTTTACCACCAGGACAGAGCTTGCCTGGGATGTGGACCACTGGCACACACGGCCGTCGGTGGAGACAGACACGAGCACCTCCTCAGCCTCTGCGCCCCTGTCGACCCACTGCAGCTGCCAGACCGGGTCGCTGTGCGCGCCAGATGAGTGCCATGTCTGCATCGAGGGCTCCACCTGCACACATCAAACACAAGCTGTGACAGCTATTGGGAGCGGACAGGTTTGATGGAAGTGGATTGCCCCCACACAGTAAATCCATTGCATCAGATCTCCTTGCATGCTGTAGTGGCGGCCCATGCTGAGGTTTTAAAGCAAGGTCATGGACATGATGCAGTTCATGACTGGATGGTCTGAAACAACATGCACGGGATAGAGGTTTGCATCTTACCTGGCGCGTCCTGGCGTCATGAACTGCAATGGTACCATTGCTAAAGCCCAGGGCCAGGAGGTTGGGGCTGTTGGTAGCCCAGTCAAGCGCGGTGACTCCCACCGGCGTGGCAAAGGCCCACAGGGGGCTGGATGGGTTCTTGAGAGACCAAACGCAAACGCTGCCCTTTTGAGAGGCCCCAAAGGCTAGCTGCCCATACCCAACCGCCAGAATGCTGCTATTCACCTGGTCCCATAGACAGTCCTTTTTTACATGGCCACAGATATTGGGAATGCTATGTGAGGGATGCTGCTTCCGTGGCTGGGGTGCTCAGCTGCGGCGAATGAAAAGAGTCACCTTGTTCCATGACATTGCTGTAACGCTCAAGCCCTGAGTCAGATGGTGCGCCCACTGCCACACAATATCCAGGCTGCCGGCAATGAAATTGACAATTCCATTCTGGTCCCTAGGGGCTTCATTTCTTGAGTCGGCTAGCTGAGAAGCTGCATCCGCGGTGCCTGCCTGGCTATCCCATCTTCCCTCCAAGCTGTAGCCTTGCAAGTCTTCCACCTGCCATAGCACATTGCAATCTGCCTCATCCGTACAGAGCATGCAGCCAAGCGCTGTCGTGAGTCACGGCGGCATATTATGCAGCTGGACAGTTTAAGGGACTTGTGAACGTGAAAGAAAGCAAAGGATGGCAAATTGCATGCGCAGCTGGAGGAATACTCACAGATTGGCAGCTCAGGAGCTTGCTCAAATGGATGTTCTGACAGAGGAGTGCATCCATGTGCTGGAGCACAGGGATAATTGCTGGCAGCTTCTTCAGGGGGTTAGGGGGTGGGGGCGGTGGCAATGCAGCAAGCGGCCACTCTGATTCAGTCCCCCCGACAAGCTTGCTCATCCTGATCGACCCTGCAGGTATGAAATTAACACATTTAATTGAAGCACCCACAGACCCCTTCCTTTCCAGAAGCATTAGAAGGTCCGAAGCCGAATTGTAAAGCATGGCAAAAAAACTGAAGCGCAGGGTGAGGCGCGCACCACCCTTGCTGTTGGCTGGCACAAAGGACTGCCGAGTGGAGCGAGCAAAGGAGGGTGCATAGCTGTTCCTTGCACTGCTGATGCTGGCTCGCTCGCTCATCACAGACTGCGCAGACATCGACGCCCTGCAGGAGCCCATGCATGCATGCATCAACATCTCGGGGCTCATGAACATGCACATGCATGCAGCATGCATGCTTGTATTCTTCACTACAAGCAGGCAGGAATTAAGTCGAATTTGGCAGAACCTGGGATCCTGCTGGGTGGTTCGCCTGCTGGCAGCCGAGCTCCTTGAGCTGGTCTGCTTCCTCCCCAGCGCGCCTGACCCCTTGGCACTGTCTAATGCGCTCTCAGCTGGCAGCGGCCGCAGTGTCTTTGACAATCCAAGCTCTTCCAGCACCGTTCCCATGCCGACAGCTTCCTCGTCATGACCTGCCGCTGCAGGGAAGGCATCCTGGCGAGTTTCTGGATCTGCAGCTGCTTCGCCGGTAGCGTGCGGACCCTGCATCTCCCATTGATGGACCTGCAGGGTTGAATTACGATTATCACTGATGAGGTTGATTGAGAGCTCGATCATGCATGTATGACTGTATCTCCTACCTGGCTGGCCTTGTCAGCAGTTTCTACTTGCCGGGTCTGGCTTTCATGCGACCTTTGCATGGGCCTCAGAGTCTGTGTACCTGCATGTCCAAGTTGTGGATTCCTGCAATATCGTCAAAGCTCAGTGATGACAATGCAAACCCCTTGCTATCTACAGAAAGACCATAACGGTGATTCAGCGTACGCCTGGCATTGTCCACAACTGCCCAACTCATGCAAGAGCACTCAACCTTCTCTCACTGGTTGCTGTAGTGCTGCTTCTGTAGTTTCACTGCCAATGAGATTTCCAAGGTGTTGAAGTGACCACATTGTGGGAGTTTCACGCAGCAATATTTCAGCCTGCATGACAACAGTGGGAACATTCACGTGCGCACATGCATGCCGTTGAGTCATCACATGCAACATCAGCACAAGTGATGAAGTGATGTTGTATCGCAATGGGAACACAGGAAAGCTTATGTTGTTTTACTGACGCGCACATCTTTGCTGACAGCCGGTGAGATGGTAGGGATTCTCAAAGGAATCTTGGAAGCCTGTCCTCCTGCTGCAGCTTTCCTGTCCGCACCCGGTGAAGCCTGGAAAGCACTTCTGATGTGCAACTCACCAGAATCATCCTCGTCCAGCGTGAGCTCAGGCATGTTCAGGCCAGAATTTGCAAAGTTTGCAAGCGCTGCCTCCAGAGCCATGGGGCCTATTGCGCTGGCCATCACACTGCCGCGCAACTGCAGACCTGAAGCATGCAACACATTGCCCCTCAAATTATTGAAACCTGCCTTGTCAATACATCCCAAGAATGGACCATGCCAATTCCCTGGAGGCATGCAGATGCAATGCGCATAGGATGATATAAATATAGTATATAGAGGGAGGTAGTCCAGGGCTTATAAGTGTCTCACTCATTGTGCTGACGCGTGAGCTCATTCGAGAGTTGCGTGTGGAGCGATTGTTGCCGCCAGGAAGAGTCTCTGGGCGTCCAGGCCCGGCCGGATACCCCGGGGCTGTGGGGCGCTGCACCAGTGGCTTGGGCGTCCGGTCTTTGCCATCCTCATCCAAGACCTGTCTCACAGTCCACCATGGCGATCATGATGCCTTGGAGAGCAAGTCCTGTGACTTGCACACGGGGTGCGGTGCTGCATGGATGAAGGACTAGTGTGGCAGCATGACTGAGCGTTCTTGAAGGTCACCCTGTGTATGTTGCTAGGTGGAGGCTCTGCGCCGCGGTTAGTCATGCGGCTGCCTCGCACAGAGCCGCGCACCAAGGGCCCCAGGGAGGCGCGTGTATCATTCAAAAAGCTCTTTGTGCCCTGATGGCTCACGCCTGCGCGGACATGAGCTGCCTTAATCCGTGTTGAACACCCTGATGCATCTGTCTGGGATCTGAAGGGCCTCCTTGGCCTTACTTTTGTTGGAATAGCTAGGCTTTGTAGGACAGCAATTATGTGTCCAGATACACGATCCATGGGAAACAGATTTCTCCTTGGTCGAAGACTGTAAGATACTCACGGGAACTTGCACTCCCAGCGCTGCTGATCACACTCGACCTCTGCTGTTTCAAGGCCGTTGAACGGCTAGACGCCCTCTCTGGCGACTCATGCTGCCTCGGCCCCGGCATGCTGACTTTGGAACACAAGAATCACCTTTTTTTTGCAATTGAAAGCACGTTATCGGGGACATTCCCAAGATCTGCGCAACGGATGGCGGTTACACTTGCAGTTCCCACGTCACTTGCTTAGTAATTTTGGCAAACTTTCAGAGCTTCTTTGCTGCTTCTTTGCAATAATTATTAAAGGAATGCTCTCCACACTTCTTTCAAGGCGCTTTTGAGGATTGCTTCCGTTGCGATTGACATGAGATGATGCAGAGGAAAAAGTCAAGAGAACGCAAAAGGAAAGCTAGCGAGAAGATCCTTCACGAAGTTAAGAAGGTGAGCGGATATCCATCGGTGAATGTCTGGATCGTTGTAAACGGAATGACAGCTCCAGCGTTTCATCAACAGATGGTAAGGCGTTAGACCCAAGTGAACAGGCATCTTACTATATTCTCACGCTGTAGAAGTGCAGGCGGAGCTCCGAAGCGCAACAGAGGAAAAGAGACGGTTTCGATGAAACAAATCAGAGGCGAACCGGTGTGAACAAGGAAGAAGGCAACAGCAGAGCACCAGAAGGGAGGCAGTCTCAGAGCAGTGAAGGTGGCCAGCAGTTAGCGAAGAAGCTCGACTCCAGAGCTGGGAAATCTCACTTCTGCAGGCAGACGACGCCCCCAACCTGCAGTGATGGCCCATCGCAGAGGGAAGTGACAAGATCTGAGGGCAAGCGAAGCGCAGGAGATCACCTGAAGCATGCTGACAAGGCCAGGAGCGCAAGGGATGGAAAGAGGCCCAGGCAGAAGTCGAGGGAAGCACCTGCTGAGATTGCAGATCCCCTCTCCAAGGGACTGCCGCGAGATCGCCAGCGGTCATCACTGCACATATTCAGTGGCAAAGCTTCCCAGACAGTGACAGACCTGACGCATGCTCAGCATCAGCGAGCTGCACAACGTAGGGTCGAAAGGGTGGCAGCACCTCCTGCCCGCGTGGCAGCTGACAGCCACAGGCAGACCCATCATGACTCCGTCAGCATTGGACATGGAGCAAGCGGCGATGGCCAGGAGGATCCAGTCAGTCCAAGGGCGCCAAGAGCGCCACCCAGCTACAGATTTGAAGCTTCAGTCGCACAGCGAATGCCGATTCAGGCCGAGGAGCTGGCCGAGGCATCTGTCTGCCAAGGAGCAGAGCCAGAGCAGCAAGAAGAACAGGGATCAGCCGACAGAGTGCCGCATGATCAGTGGTTCAGGAGCCTGCGCGCACGCCTGCGGCAGCGCTTCTGCCAAGTCTGCGATGTGCAGGAGCTGCATGGCACCGTTGATGCCAAGGTCGATGAGGTCTTAGCCAGACTGCATGACGACTCTGCGAGCGCCCTGGACCAGGGCATCAGCGTGCCAAGTGGACTGCGGCACAGCCGAGAGCAGCCCTCATGCAGCCTGGATGATGCAGATATCAGCTGCAGCTTACTCCAGCAAGAAGAAGAGCAGCCTGGCATCATGTTGGACCCAGGACATGACGATGTGAATGTCGACCAGACCCCTGTCTCAAGCTTTGGGAGGCTCGATGATTTCTTCCAGTACAATGCAGACTTGGAGGAGGTGAATGTGAACAGGCCAGGGCCCCTTGTGTGCTCACCTTTGGCAGAGCTGCAGACCGCAGGCGCCATCACACAGCATGCAGATCTGCCATGGATTAATGATGCTGAGATCCTAGCAGATCATTTCCTGCGCAGCCCGTGCCCATCATTGTCCTCAGATGCACCAGCACTCTCTGGAGATGAAATCATAAGCCTTGGTGTCGCTGATAGCCCCGGTGAGTGGGACAGTGCAGTGCAGTCAGAGAAGCAAGATGATGCAGCCTGGTTTGACAGGGCCATGACTGAGGTAGACGGTCCAGACGTGTCTGAGGAGAGCAAGCTGGACATTGAGAACTTTGCACAGTTCTGCGCATCGCTTGAGCAGTGAAGGTGTAATTAGCCGTGCAGGCATGGTCATGAAGATGATTCAGGACAAGAGAACCTGCATCTGTAGGGCAGCCTGCTATGTCAGGCTGCTATCTCTTGCGCAGCCTGCCGAAAACTGGCTGCCCACTGGGCACTTGATTTGGGAAGGGAGTATCGAGGGACCACACTCTGCTTTCAGTGGCCCCTCTTCTTTCCTTCCTTTGCTTTCGTTTGGTTATCACAAAGTTCCAAGATCAAATTTTCACTCTTGTGAAACTCACTCCAGAAGCAAGTGGAGGAATTTGCACCAGTGTCATTCGGGGGTCGTTGCACTCATCGTCTCAGTGCATCGTGAACTTTTACATCAATAACATGATATGAATAAAACACGCCGAGCTGGACAGCGTCACATTTCTAAACACTGATCACAACCATTGAAGTTCACTTCACATTCGAGGGATCCGTTTAAGAGCCTTTCCCAGTAATCTTGTGAAGGATCAGAAGAATTCTTTTGCTGTATAGCTTTGCATGTAGCTTCACTGAGCTTCAATTCAGAGGCAATCGTGAGTGAACCTGGTGGGTAGGGTAAAGGTGTCCATGCAAAGGGTTCACCCCTGGATGGCGATGGCAAGGGCACGATCGTGATGCAGTTCGAGACAATTCATCCCCCACTGTAAAGCAGCCCATACTTGGTTGACTGTATACTCGTTTGTATTCAGGAGACTTTCTGCTGTCCTCTTGTACCCGTAGCTGCAGCATAGTCATCAAAAAACTTTCGATCACATGTCTATTTTTCGCCGAGCTTCTCACCTGATCAAGCATGTGCAAATGCGAAATTACTCCCTGATACCAATGGTGATTGAACACACTCCAAGAGGGGAGCGATCATTTGATATCTATTCCAGACTGCTACGAGAAAGGATTGTCATGGTGAACGGTACGTTTACAAGGAGCTTTCACGCCGTGCAAAGTTGACGTGAACACAAAGAACGCTAATTGATTTTTTTCTTACTCCATCAGGTGGCATCGATGATCACATGAGCAATCTGATCATTGCCCAGCTTCTCTACCTGGAGTCAGAAAACCCTGAACAACCAGTAAGTTGATCGAATGCTTCATTTCACGTTATGAGTTAAAAATAATGCTGAACCGCATCTGACAGCTTGCTTTGCTCGTAGATCAGCATGTACATCAATTCTCAGGGTGGGGTGGTGACTTCTGGTCTGGCAATTTATGACACCATGCAGGTGCGCACAAAGACATGCGTCTCCCAATCACGTTGCTGCGTTGCTCATGATATTCATACATTTTCATGGAGTAATTACGTGTTGTGCTTATGCAGTACATCCGCAATCCCATCAGCACGCTGTGTGTTGGCCAAGCTGCCTCAATGGCGTCACTATTGCTGGCAGCTGGCGAGAAGGGACACCGGCGCTCCCTTCCCAACTCCAGAATTATGTTGCATCAGCCTTCTGGAGGCTTCCAGGTGAGAGGATTAGTGCATGCCAACAATAAGCATGATCCAGTAAATGACAGATGAGTGTGTGTGGGGATGACTGGTGGTAAATGCTGTGCAGGGCCAAGCCAGTGACATCAGGATACATGCAGAGGAGATTGCACGCCTCAGCAAACGCTTGAACAAGATTTATGCAAAGCACACTGGCCAGTCAGAGGAATTGATAGGTATGTAATCAGAAGAAGTAGCCTGCAAAAGCTCGTATTGGACTCTACTTGCTTGGACTGCCTACATAATCTGGTCTGCATTAACCGATGGCAAAGGCTTCTGCAGAATATTGCTTGGAGCCCGGACTAAGAACCACATCAATGCTGTGCTGCAGAGGAAACACTGGACAGGGACAGATTTCAATCTGCTGATGAAGCTCAGCAATTTGGGCTGATTGATGAAGTCATCGAGACTCGGCCAGTAACTGAAGAAACTTGACGGCACCACACCAGCGTAGCGACACAGCTATAGACCACAGCGGATTCGATGCGCGTCTGATGAGCGAAAGACGTTGTGCATGTATTGATCCCTTCTTTTCATCTTACAAGACGCAGAGCCGGCCGACCTCTTAGAACCCATAGTGAGTTACTGGATTCGTGATTTGTCGCAAGACCGTCGTGACAGTGTGCCAGGCATTCTAGAATAAACAGCTCTTGGCCTTGCACATGCGTTCTTTAATCCGCCATGGCAGACTAAATGAATTTTCACGAGAGTGGCAGCAGATGAAGCATTACTTCGAGGCTCAAGCCTGCATGCAATTAATTGAGCACAACATATTCTTGATTGTTTGCCAAGTTGGCCACTTCTTCCAAATGGCTGATAATTATGCCATATGCTAATTTTTATGTCTCTCGTAGTTGCCTTGATACTTTTGTTTTCTCTCACTTCTGTCTGTTGCACAACTCGCCGCGTAAACATGCATGTAAATTAACTGCACGGCCGCGGCTGATGGCCTACATGGCTCTCTTCCTGCAAAGAGGGATGCCCAAAACCTCATGATCATCTGCACACTTAAAGAAGTGCGCCTGTCGGATGCCTAATTTTTCTACTAGGTTCAATGAGACCAAATTTCTGGATGATGTGCTTGATGCACTCGCTGATGACACCAGCGCTGTCCTTTGCATAGCCTCCGGAAAGAGCCATACAGATAGGAACACCTGCATCATATGCTGCCTGAAAGACCATTTCGTCCCGTTTGGCTACCGCTTCAGCGCTAACGCTACACCTGTGGAACAATGCAGCAGCGTTGATCATGTGGCATGGTGTTTTCATGAGGACTTTTGGCAAGCACATCTTCTGAATTTGAATTCCCTATTGGAATTGTTCTTTCTTGAGATACTCATTCCATTGCAATATGGGGTGGAGAATATTGATTACCTGCCAAGGGGGTCCCCCCTCAGAATATCTGTGCCCGCATTGTACAAGATGATGTCTGGTGCGAACTCCTGAAATGCTGTGTGGAGCCCCTTGCTGAGCATGGACAGGTATTCCTCATCCCCAGTCCCAGACTTCATCGGCAGCTCACAATTGATGGCTGCTTTTGCAGTAGTGTCCCAGGGCCACAGATCCGCGTTATACAGGTCCAAAATGTACAGGTCCTTGTCCCCAAAATGAAGCTTTGTCCGAGCATGCCCGTTGCCCTGGAGAAGAATTCACATGGTGTTTAGCAACATGAGCACTTTGCAAAAACATGTTCCATTCGCGGCGTTGCAAGATTGGCAAAATGTTGTGGCAGAAGGTCAGCTGCTGAGGGCTCACCTGATGTACATCCAAGTCAATCAGCATGGCCTTTTGGACTACATTTCCCGTTTCTCGCCGCAGCTTCCTCAGTGCTAGTGTCCAGTCATCATACACGCACCAGCCGCCACCATTGTCAACAGATGCATGATGCATGCCTCCTGCATGATGAAAAGTTTCCCTATGTCTAGAAGCGCAGCACAAACATGTCTTTTCAAAGGCCTCGTGGGTGCGGTGTCAGGACTTACCACCCAGATTGATTGCCCAACCCCACTCCATTGCCATACCAACTGCCTGAGGCGCACACACAGCAAATCACACCATATAGCTGCCACAAATTAATATCTCACGCATGCTTGTCGGCTCTGGACGCATGAGATCTGCTGCTTCTCTTGTTGCTATTGATGCTAATCATTTTGCTGTGCCTCACCAGCATTGTGCCCCCCACGTGAATCCTCATTGGTCGATTCAATCTGTGCTGCACTACACTGTTGGGCAGGAAACCTATTGCAGCAATCTCTGTGATCTGCGAGATCCATACGATGTTAAGTCAGGACGCCAGAGGACTGGCACATGAATGGACTCACGATCCAGTGTGACTGGCCACGTATTGACCTGCTGGATCATTGCACACATTGTAAGTAGCACATTACCTCGGCCATTTTAGAGCTGGAAGTGTTGATGGACAGCAGATACTCTTCTGAGTGGACATCCCTGAGCACCTGCTGCGTGGCTTCTGGTGGCTGCACTAGCTGCACCAAATGATCGTACACTCAGTCGGGTGCGTCGTATGTACTGCATCGTGGATTAACGAAGCAGGATTTGTTGGTTTTGATAAAATTGGGCAATGCATCAAGGACCGCATGTGATGTTGTGAAAATGGGCATACCTGATCAGGATTTAGGATGCCTGACGCATCCAAATTGTTGACGACTTTTCCGAACTTCCTGCTGTCAAAAGGATGAAATCGTTCCAGCCCAAGGAATCCTATGTTGTAGGCGTCTGCGTAAGCGATCGGCAGCTTCGTGCTTGACCAACCTTCGTAACTGCCCCTGATCCTCTCGGCTAGTTCACGCCGGCTGCATCTGCCAAATTGAGCAGGCCGGCCCCGCGCATCTGCCGATGCAGAGGCAAATATACCCATTAAACAACCATTAGATCTGCTGACGACTGTGTTGACAATGCGCGCGTGCTGCTAATTGAACAATAACAATTTGCGAGACAAAGACTCTCGTTCAAGTCCTAAGTGGTTGTTTTTCTTTCCGAAGGACAAGATAGAGATCCACATAAAAGTTGCACATGCAACTCCAGTCTTGGAAAACCTACAGGGTCCTTCAGGACCTACAGGGTGGATGATTTAATATTTTTTTCCTGGGATCTCTTGAAGTCCGGCCCTTGTAATCGAAGCGGCGACCATGATGAGCTCTTCCCCACTTGCAATATGGCAATGCTCACAATGTAATGCTCAAGTAACGAACCCCCTTATGGGGCCTGAAGCAACCCCCCGTTTTCGGGTTTCACCTAAAATTCAGGGTCCGTCCGAGACGTACAGATTGAGACCCTAATAGCAGAAAGCTGTTCGCTGAACTAAAGAGGGTACTCTATTGCCATAGTATCATTGTCCACGCACGACATCTTGTTGCCGACACCACTTTCGGCGAGAAGGATCTCCTCGGGTGCGCAGGTTCAACCGGCACGTTTCCTTCTCAATGAAACTGAGACATCCGGCTGTTCAGCAATTTTCATATGCTATTGAAATGTCTGTCCCGTATTTGCCGGCACGTCTTCAAATGCTTGCCGACAAGCGTTTTACAATGCTCAAGGCGATATTGGGTTTGACCAAGAAGACACGGGAAATTGCATTCCCCTGGATACTTTGCCAATGATAATGGACATTCATAATCATCAATACAGACTGCAAGGCTTTAGACACATTCTGTCTGACTGTGTTCCAACCCCTGTCATGCAGGGAAAACCCTTCAGAGAGACCAGCCCATGTCTGTCTGTGTGCAAAGGCCGCTTGATGGCCACCGAGCGCCAGACGTAAGTTTTCGAAAAGACTTCGACGCCTACTCTCCAGTCTCTCCGATGTGTTTTGCAAAGTCAACCCTGGGCCAGCTCAACAAACCCGCCCACACGCCAGGTGCAGCCTCTGCTTCAGATTCCGAGAGCAATGCCAATCGCAGTCAGAATGAACATATTTTCTAGATGGCATGTATGGCCTTGCATCACTGGCAGCTGTATGGCACAGGGGTGTCACTGCCTACAGCTGCTGGGGCTTGCGACCGCTCTTCTAGGACAACAGACAGCGATGTGCAAAGTATGCTGCCCTCCTGCTGAGCATCTGTTACTTTTTGCCTCGCTGATTTGCGCAGCTGTGTGCACAAATCAAGGTCTCTCTGCAGGTCGTTCCATGACTAACGTGCATGCTTGCTACGCCGCAGGTGACTCCGACCTGAGCGAACAGAGTCCCACAACCTCAAGGCACAACGCCACCCAGCTTGCAGCTTACAAGGTCTGGGTCTGATTCAACCGGCTATACACTCATTTCCTCTGCCCTGGGGTCAGTGCGGGAGGCCCAAATGGCAGCGACTCAGTCCTTGGTGTGTGTTGCAGGCGTCAGCCCAGTCCCTGCCATGCAGCACATACACCCTGAAGCCAAGCCCGACCCCGTTCAGGGCGCTGTCTGCGTCGGCAAATGCTGTGCCGCCCCTAGCACTGTCCACCGGCATCAGTCCCCCACCAGCCTTCGCACACTGCAGCCTTCCAGTGGAATCTCATCTCCCCGCTGTGGCAGAGGACCTGGTCCTTGCGCCATGGGGCCCAGTACCAGATCGCGCCCAGCATGCGCAGGATCTGCCCTGCCAAGCACCCGCCCCTGTGCTGCTTGAGCGCGGCAGCGACGAGGAGAGTATCTCCACCAGGAGGCAGAAGGAGGGGAGGAGGCCCGGGGTGCTGGCCGTGCTGAAGGGAGTCTGCAGGAGCCTGGTGGGGCTGAGAAAGGAGGAGGTGGGGCCGAGCAAGGAGGCGGCTGCGCTGCCGGTGTCGCGGCTGGACGATGACACTCCGCTGCTGGCCTGGCGCCAGGAGCAGTATGTGCAGTGCCGGCTGCAGGACTCGCCGCAGCTCACTGTGGGCGAAGCCAGGGTGCGCCCCTATCTATCTCCCTATATCCTGTTCTCAAATAACTCTTTGGTCTCTGTCATTTGTCGGCTTTAAAAGTGCATGTCCAGCAGTGTTGTCATGCCTCACAACTTGGTCCTACAAAATGTAAGGACAGATTAGATCTCGCAGTATCAGTGGGTTGAATTGAGTTCTGTGTGTGCATGCGCAGGCTGAGTATCTGCGGCGCAGCTTTGAGCAGAACATACGGCTGATCGGTGTGAGCGCCTCATCATGTGCAGTGCCTGCTGCCCCCATGCAGCATGAACTGCAGGGCGCCCCTTGCCTGTCGTATGAGCTGCTGTCAGAGCTGAGCGCAGAGGAACATCCTGTCCCCTGCCACCCCCTGGAGGACTTGGACACAATTTTGGACGAGGCCTGGTTTTTCGGGTCATTCTCGACGCCGCCTCCTTCCTACGCTGGATCCTGCTGTAGCTCCTGGCATGGATAAGGAAGTGCAGTGGAGGAATACAGCGCAAGCCTGGAACCCGCTCACCCAGATCTTTTGATGGTGGACTGATCAATGATGCATTGCAAATAGCGACACACAAAGCTCTCAGCCTGCTGACTCGTCGCCTTTCAATTGCTGCACAACACTGCCAGGACGGCACTAGTATGGAGCCTGTGAATAGGAATGCATGCATGCCATCGTTGCCGTTGCGAGAGAGGAATTGCAATTCAAGCGTCCAGCCGATCGAAGGATATTCAAACGATTGCGAACGTATGTCCTGGACTGTTTCATTGACGTTGCTTGTCACACTGTGTGTGCCTTTGATCTACGCGTGAGGAGCTCCACAGGAGAGCTTCTGTTGGGTGCGAATTTGTGTAGATGCAGGTGTGGGGCCCCTCAGGGTCCCAGACAAGGTGTGCAGCCTGCACTGGCCAAGGGTCTTCAAACCACCTGGCTCACCTTTGCCAACTTGGAAGCTGACAACCTTGCATATATTGCGAATGAACACTGGCTGTGACGGGGTGCTGTATTGAGAGTTTGTCTCTAGGTTTGTCTTTGTACATGTACGACGTGTTCCTGTGTGCATTTATTTGGGGGTTTCAAGGCGCTGCAGAGCGTGCGCGCACGTTAGTCACTGCATCAATAGTACCTTTCTGTCGAGGAATGAATTGCCAGTGTGGAGAAATGTGTGACATAAAACTGTTGAGTAAACAATGATGCAAACCTTCCAGATTTTGACTGTAAAATACCTGCTGGATATCCATGATCAATCGAACAGAGATATCTCATCGATGCATCTCGGCAGCATGCTGAGGACAGCTGACTGTCCAATTTGGACAGTCCAAATGACCGTCCTGCTCACTGAGAATGGCATTCAACGTTCAACTGCCAGAAGTTGGACCACTACCAACCATGACTCATCCGAGTCGGATGGTAGCATCTTGCATTGAATGATCGTAGTCGCCATTGTGCATGCACTGCCTGCATGCTCATGGCCGGCATATTGGGACCGAGCCTGTCATCATGATCAGGGCAAGTGCCCTGAGCTTTGATGCCTAGGCTGATCTCTGCGCCTGGCAGGGTGCCACTAGCAGCCTGGCTGCCAGCTGCCAATGTGCTGACTCCGAGTCTGAGCTCGGAGCTGCAGCGGTCTTTGAAGAAAATATCTGTAGGAATTTACGGCCGTATTTACGGCCGCGGCCATCACAGACCCACATTTCCAAATGAAAGGATTATGATAATCCATTCACTTTGGCCAGTGCCTTGCACAGTCCACAGTTCCTGTGACAGGACCAGCCTATGCCAAAGCATAGCCACTTTCGCCAGAATAAATCCGGGCAAATTTAAATGATGACCGACTGAAGCTGTCTCCTAATCTGGCTTCCAACATGGAAGTCTTCTTGGGAGCTGTGCATATGTCCTCCAGATCTGCTCTCAAGCACGCACCTTGTCGCAAAGTGTTTGATGCATCTCGTGAGCACATCACGTCCTCCTTGACCGGAGTGGTGCTGCGCTTCGGAACCACTTTCTGACATATACACTCTTCCAAGTATGCACGAACAGGCCATACGAATGCATCTTGCGCAGATACGCTGGTGCGTGTAGCATATTTCGCATCAATCTGGCATGCTGACGCAAAAAGCCATTAGAATGTGGATCTACAAGAGGTCCAACATGAAAAGGGTGTAGTCATAAAAAGGTTGTATATCGTGCGCGCTCCTCGTTATCTCCCGAGATAGCCGTTTACAGTCGTTTGAGATCAAAACAATGGACGCGGACTCGATTACTGGCCCTCACCAGAACCCGTCAGTGCAGAATATGGCCACAGGGGAAATTCTGAAAGAGGGTCGTCATGCTGAACATTTAGCCCCAAAGGGAAGTGCATCAAGCAAAGAGAGCAACATGAATGCTGATCTGGTGGGGACCATAGCAAGGGAAGCTCTTGAAGTGGCAAAGGACCCCCCACCAGAAGTGACTAAGCAGGTCCTCACTGCTGGTCAGGTGGGTATGCACATGATGGCATGATGGGAGAAGTGCACGCTTGCGCATAATAATGTCTGCAACTGGCATGTTGAAGATTTGCAAATAACACCACTGGCCTTCTGCACGGTCAGAAGGCACACATGCAAATGAAAGTGATGATAGGTTTTTGGGGTTGTCCAGAGACGCTTAGCCGGCAAGCTGCGGAAGGAGTTCGAACGACAAACCCTATTGCTGCAGAATATCATTGAGAAGCAGATCTTGCTGACCGGGCAAGATCCCATCAGCAAAGACGAGGCCGCGTCCAAGACAGTGGAGAAAGCCACTGCCAGCGGTACCTTCTTCCAGCTTCCAAGACAATTACCTCACAGCTGTTCAGTCTGATGTCCTTCATTCCCAGCACAATTTCCTGCGGATTGGCAAACATAATCACTACTGAGGTGACAGAATAATGATGCAAAAGGTACACCGATCAAAGCAAATGGCGTGGGCCCACCGGTGGCAGTGACAGGGACATCTCCTGCCGCCAAGACATCGCGGCTGTCCCCAGAGTCTGAGGCGGTGCTGCTGACACTCTTTGGGGTCCAGGACACTCTGGGCAGGGAGGACGCCCAAGTGCTGGCGAATCAGGTGGGCCCATCTCCATCCCTTTTCAATATTCTTTCCTCATCTGCTTCATGTGTCAGTTTGGCTTGTCATTGTGGCCAACAATGGAGAGAAATACCCCCATTAGAAGACTCTGAATCTCCCGGTCTCACCAGGCAGGGGGCAGCCAGGAGGCAGAATACATTATCTCGCACGTATGGTGGGAGCAAATTCAGCTGTGTTGACTGGATGGGGCATGTGCCGCAGGCAGGGTGCTCAGAGTCGCAGGTGCGCGAGTACTTCACCAAGCTGCGCAGCAACGTACGCGCCTTCATGCAGAAACTGCAGCGCAAGGTCTCCGCAGCGGAGGCGCCATCTGCAGCGGCCGACCTCCTCACATCCAGTCCCACAGCACCCCAGCTCCCTCTGTCTGGCAGCAGCGCTCCTGCTGCGCTGGGTGGCACACCAGCCGCCCCGCCGATGCACCCTCAATTCACCCCTCAGTCAGCTGCTCAGTCGGCCCCGGCGCTGTCTGCCACAGCCAACGGGGGTTCCAGCGCAAGTCTGCAGCCGTCAGTGGCGGCCGCCGGGTTCCCTCAGTCGCAGGCGGCCACCCCCGCGCGGCCCGCGGGTGCCGGCCAGCCGCACGCCTCCCCGATGACGGCGACAGACCTCCGGACGATGCTCACAAACGCCGCCTCTGCCTCCTCTGCCTCTGCATCCCTTGCGGTGCGCGCTGCATCATTTTCCGGTGGTTCAAGTGCCGCCGAATGTAAGTTTGAGCCTGGCTGTTCAAGCATTTGTCCTGTCACGGATCAGCAAGGTATACATGCCAGATCAGCTTATTTTGATCATGACTGATCCTTTCGGGGTCTGAAACATTGGTGCCGCTCTGTGGCGTGTCGAGCAACATGGCGCTGATGCAGATTTGGGGATTGCATGTGCGCAGGAGGAGGCTGTGGCTGCTGCGGTGGCAGGCACGTCCATGGTTGAGTTGGAAAGCCTGGATGCGGCCAGGAAGGCTGGCCTGGTTGAGCTGCAGCGGTACCTGGACGAAAATGGCGGCGTAGCCTCTGCCAAACATGCAGGTGCAGCTTTTCTTTTGAACCATGTATCCGAATGCAACCCACCCCACAGAGGGAACAGACTGCATAGACCGGACAGCTGCGAGGCATTCCTCTGCATACAAGGGGGCAATGACTTGTCGGACCCAGCTCACAAGCGGGACATGTCTGCCCGTGTGAGACGCATTGAAAACAAATGGTTGGTGTGCATGTCGCTACTTGGAGACACCATTACTGCCCACAAGCTGGACTGTGAGTCAGAAGAAAGATCTATGTCTTTTGGTGATTATGCTCATATTACGGTATGTCTCCCGGGAGCGATACCGATGACGTGTGGTGCGCATGGCAGGGCCAGTGGCGTTGCTGATGGCGCGGGCGGCGAGTGCAGAGGTGCGCGAGGCGCTGCTGCATGCGCTGATGCGCACGGCCTCGTCGCAGGTTCTGGCGCAGCTGGCCGGCAGCGGCCGCGCTCTTGACACCCTCGACGACTGGGCCGGGTGAACCGCACTCACCTCTCCAAGCTTCCCTCTGGTCCACTGTATTGAACATCATGGGCCCCGGCTGGCGGGATCACCTTTACGCATCCCTGCTATTTATGCTGAAACAGGATGCCCCATCTAGAGGATGCCATATTTCTGATACAAGTACTGAGCACGGTGCCCCTGGTCGATTGGGTCTTGCTTGGATCTGCTGAGTCCAACAAGGGACAGCCTGCAGCTTTTTCGCACATGCACCTTGCCTCTGGCAGGACACATTTGTAATGGCACTTACAACTTTAAAGATCTAGGGTGATGGTAGGATGCTCCTGAGAGGCATAGCCCCTTTGACACTGACAACATTAGGCACTGAAAAAGCTCGGAAAAGGAAATGGGAAAGGCGAGATTTGTGCGGTAGACTTTGAACTGGAGCTGTGTGCATCAGCAAGTCTGCGCATGAAGCAGAAGCATGAGACGGGTGAGTTGTGGGCAGGTGGGCGGAGCAGGACAAGCAGAGCACGGTGCTGCGGCTGCTGCTGAGCGTGCTGCAGCGCCTGCCCGTGCCCATCGCCCTGCTCAAGAACAGCAGCCTGCAGAAGACCATCGGCCGCCTCCAAAAGTACAGGTGTGCCCTCTGCTCATCAGCAAACGCCCCGTGACAATAGATCATGCCCTCCAGATTATATGACTCTCGCCTGATTTTTGCACTACTGTGATTGAAAGGAGTACCTTGCAGTGAACAAGCTCGTGTGCTGGCAGGACGCGCTGCATTGCCACGGCAGCAACAGCTTTATTGTCACACTGGTACCATCTGGAGCAGCCAATATTCCAGGCGGCTGCTGCTCCCATGCGGCCTCCCCCGCCTCCTGTGCGGGTTTCTGCACCTGCTCAGCCGGTCACCACTGGCCACCCAGAGAGCGCCGCGCCGCAATGGCTGGCCTCTGTGCAGCTGCAGGTCTTCAAACCAGGGACGCCCGTCTCTGCTGGGCGCCAACCACCCCAGCAGCTGAGTGCGCCAGGTGGGCCAATCTTTTATTTTCGTTCCTTTAGATTTCATTCTATCACAGTCTGCTTCTTCTCACGGTTATCGTCAATCTTTTCCTGGTGGGAGTTCCAGGGTGAGGGTCCCGGGCATTGCAGCTGAGGTGAAATGCCTGCATTAGATGCATGAATGAAGATGTGCCAAGGGTTGCTGTGCTGTGATGAATGCAGCTCCGGCGCCTGTGCAAATGGCTTTCCAGCAGAGCCACGGTCAGGCGGAGCTGCTGAAGCCATCAAACACATTCTACCGCGGCATGGCCGGCAGACTGGGGTGTGTACTCTCCTCATCTACTCACTTCTCTGGTGTGTGCAAAGCTGTCTGGCTCTGACAATGCAGACCCTCGCCTTCAAGTGCCTCAGCCCTTCCCTGTGTACAAATTACTTTCATATATAATAGAAATTTCTAAGATTCACAGCAAGTCTGACGGCCCTTGTGCTGTTGTGCAGGAGCTTGGACAAGTCAGAACAGGCCCAGTCTCCCAGGAAGGTCTTGTCAGCAGACGAGATTGTGAGGGCCAAGGAGAAGGAGCGCAGCCGGCTGGCGGGCGCTGCCGGGCTGAGCGGCCGGCCCGGGCCGTCCAAGAGCTCGCGTCTGGACAACAACTCTCTACTGGATGTCGCCGCCAAGCGCCGAGCAAACCTCCGCCCCAGTAGCCCTCACCTTCTGCCCTCCCAGGTGTGTGGGCCTGCAGCCTCCTGAACAGTCTTCCACAAGCTGGCCTGCAGCTTTGTGCAACAGCGTGATACCCTGCCTAGAGCATGTGAAGGTGCAGGAGATCCAGAGGGGATTGTGCACTTGCTTGCTGTGCATGATGATTGAATGAGCCATGATGTTTCTGTGGTGCTGTGCAGGGGCGCACTCCGCATGCAGTGCCGCCCGCCCATCAGCAGGGGCTTGTTGGCAACCCACAGCAGCCACAGCTGCAGCAGCAGCCGTGGCAGTTGCCGCAGCAGCCGCAGTTGCAGCGGCAGCCTGGACACATGCCGCACGCCGGCGCCAGTGCGCAGCCACAGCTGCCGGCCGCGAGCCACCACTCGCCTGTTGCATTGTCGCGCGCCGTGCAGTACCGGCCGCCCCAGCAGCCCCAGCAGGCCGCGCAGGGACCTGCGCAGCAGCCGCAGCCGCGGCAGGAGGCACCTGAGTGGAGGCCGAACGTGGCGTGGACGGCCCCGCAATCCGTGCAGGCGTTGCAGCGGGAGCGGCCGGGCAGCGGGGAGGAGAGCGAGGAGGCCGCCACGCAGCGCGCTTGCAACATGCAGCAGGTGATCTTTAATACCATCTCAGCAGCCGCGCCAGCATTCTTTTTCCTTCCAGATGATGGGCAATTTCTTGCTGCAGAACAATGGCCGCCATACATACTCTCCGAGCCATGCCTGTGTGACATCCTAGCAAATGGATGGTAGAAGGACATGCTTGGACTGACAGCTTGTTTTGTGGTGCAGCCTGGGGTCTCTTACAGAGCGCCAGAGCTCATTCCAGCAAGTCCGGCCGAACCAGAGGGAGGTGGGCAGGATGTGGGTGCAGGCAAGCCGGCCAAGCTTGTCCCCATACTGCCCACCGATCTAATTGAGCAAGCACAGCAGCTGCAGGCCTTGCAAGATGCAGGCTTTCCTGTGGATTTGCTGCTGGGCTTGTGATCATGCGACATTGGATGTGGAAACTGGAATAAATGTCTTCATAAACAGTGGAGCCGGTCTTTCCTGCAGCTGTGTTCAAGAAAGCAGTCCTGGCGTATGCATAGAGTCTTCCATTTGAAGGTTCAAATAATGTGCCGCAAGCTTGTCAGTGAAGAAGCAAGCTGCATGGCTGCTTCCATGAGGGCAGCCATCGCTTTTGACCTACAATGACATCTTGGAAGAGTACATGATTTTATCGATGTAATGTGATAGGATTGCATGTGTGAATTGCATTCCCGCTGTACAGGCCTCATTCGAGCGCTAAATTAAATATAATGAAGATCTGTCTTCAAACCTCCACACTCTGCCGCACGGGTTTTAGGAAGCTCGCTAGCACTCAGCGGATGTACTGTTTCCCTGGCCCTGCCACGGATGTCCTCACCTCACATTAGGGAGCGTTAAATACATGCGGCTTGAGCAGACCCTCCTACACCTAAGTCCAAACATGCAAACCAATGGAGCCCTAAGACGACGAAGCCCTTACGGCTCATCACCCCTCGTAAAGGGGTTTTTGTGTTTAGGGAGAAGGCCTTGAATGTGGTCTCTTTTGATCAGTCTTGTGTGGCTAAATATATAGTGAATTTTCTTCTCTGTCCCTCTATTATTTGATCAGATCGTTCGCTTGGATTGCATTCCAACAGATGACATCACAGTGCAAGGTTACATGGGCAGTGCACGGCGTGAACTGCACAAATCTCATGGTACAACCTTGTGTATATTAATCAATCAATGATGCTCTTGCCCCACACCAGATGGTGATCGTAAAAAAATCCTAGCAGGACTGCCATCATGATGACCATCACCTAATGTCACAGTGTGATGCGCACAATCGTCATAAAATCATCTGCACATCCTATAAATGCCCACTCGGTCCATCAAAAGTCTTCATTGCCGCACAACGTGAGTCCACCACTCCTCGAACCTGCAACCGGCTCCGTGCCACGCATTTCTAGTGACGCCGCTCAGTGCTCTGGCCGCGAGGGCGGCGTGAGGGCGGCCTCCATGGACAGCTGCGCGATGCCCGAGAAGGATGGGTCCTTGATCCTGAACAGCTTGTCCAGGACCTCCTCAACTGCGCGGTCCGGTGTGGATGCGCCGGAGGTGACGCCCACTGTGATCGGTCCATCGCGCAGCCAGGGCTGCGTCTCCACGAGCTCGCCATGCGCCAACTTGTGGGTGATCTTGTTGTGCTCCACATCCACGCACGCCGCTGAATTGACCCAGAAGGACGGCACGCCCGCCATCTCCGGAATCTCCTGCGCGTACACAGACCAGCTGATGGTAAATGGCCTCCTCTCGAGTCACAGCACAGCCAGGCATGCCATCGTTTCGGCAAGGCAGATGGCAAAACAAAATGATTGCAGACCAGCGGGCGTGGACCTTAGCGCCTCATGATAAACATCCCCAATGACTTCTAGTGTGAATACTCCCACTCTGCTCTCTCAAGAGCAGTACGTCAAGCTGCTCTCAGCTTCCCACAGAGATTGTGTGCACAGGAACAGGTTGCATCTGTGAAACAGTGCGTGATTTGCAACTGTGCAGCGCTTTGCAGCAAGGCGCGCACCTGCAGGTGGGAAGTGTTGGAGGAGTTGAAGCCGCCCACAACCAGCATGAAGTCCACGCGCTCGGCAGGGTCGCTCTGCTTCTGCACCAGCTCTGTCACCGCATCTTGCCGCTCCTGCAATCAGACAGATGAGTAATCAGATTTTCTCCAAACAGGGCAACCTGCTGCATTTGGGGGCCATGCACCATCCAATCCAGCCATGCACTGGACAGAGGGTTGCAAGAAGTCTCTGTGATGGCATGCAGCATTAGTGCTGCAGTGTAATAACACACAATACAGCAGGGTGACTCACGGCAGAGCAGGAGAGGAGGAACATGCGAAGACAAGCAGGACAGGGCATCCAAGAGATCCAGTCTGCAGCATGCAGGACATGCACAGCGAGCAAGGGAGAGGAGCCTGCCTGTGTGGCGTCGCAGATGGTGTCCAGGACCATGTAGTGGTCCTTCAGCTCGGCCGGCCCATACTTCTGCATCATAGTCTTCTCCAGCATCTTGCCGATGGTCAGCGTCTCGTCGCGCAGCATGGTCGTCTGGTTGGCCAGTCCGATGCGCAGCAGATCCCTGTCAGGGTCAAAGCCCTGCACACAAGCACCATTCAACTTAGATCCCCACAATCAACTTCAACGCAAAGCCATGAAGATTGCACTTGAAAAAATGCACGGAGTGCTCCTGACGTTTCCAATCAAACATGTGCGCAATGTGAGCCTCCTGCGTGCAGAAGCGGCACAGCGCCAAGAGCATGCACGCACCTCAGACATAGCATTTGAGAACTTTGCAAGGAACTCCTCCCTGTCTCCGCCGTTGAGGATGTAGTCCACGACATACTGCGTCTCTGGGATGTCCCTCACGATGAGGTAGGTGGTGGCGAATGAGGCGGTGGCGATGGTCTCCTCGTGCGAGTACTTGCCGTGAATGATGGAGGTGTGCTGCTTGCGCGCCTGGTTGTCCACGGCGCTCCACACCTGCGCGGATGCCTGCCTTAGGACGGCGTTGTGTGGCGTTGTCGTGCATGTCCACGCGCTTAGATCCGCAGGACAGCAAAGTGATTTCTGCTGCTTATAATTCCATCCAAGGTGGCTCCCTGGCCGCAGCGCCTTCCAAGAGAGCTGCTATGGGTGGATCATGTGCTGCCCAGAAGCTCTGCTATAAAAGTTGTGCAATACCCAGAGTCATGGAGTGGGAGCACAGGCAGCAGAAGCGAAGCTTGACAGAGCCCTGCTCACAATATGGTCGCCCCAGAGCTCGTGTTATAAAGTCAGGTGGTAAGATCCAAGTACCTTGGCCACCCAGGGGCAGGTAGTGTCCACGATCTGGACGCCCTTGTCGCTGAGCATCTTCATTTCCTGCCAGCTGGCGCCAAACGCCGGCAGAATGACGACGTCCTCCCCCTTGATCCCTGAGAAGTCCTTCCCCTTGCCCACGTCCTCAATGATGTTCACCTCCATCTCTTTCAACCGCTGATCATGGCACACCGTCTTGTTAGCCCCTCATACAAGGACTTGAGCCTTGCAGAAAGGAAAGCAGGGCCAGCTCTGCACAAGTGCTTTATAGTAAGATCAGTACATTGACCCTGGTCGGGGCGACATGCCTGGTTGACAGCGGGGTTGTGAATAATCTCGTTGGTAACATGCAGCTTGGAGTTGGGGTACTGCTTGCGGGCCTCGTACGCCATCTGCACAGCCCTCTCCACGCCCCAGCAGTAACCATATGCCTTCGCAAGCTTCACCTTCACATCCTGCTACCACCGACACTCCCCAAAATTACTTCATCTCTCACTTGAATTAACAGAGACACTCTACTGATGCAACCCGACATGATGACTTACTAATTGACAGGTGATCTCAGACGGGCATGACAAGCTGCAAAGGTGATAGATGTGTTCTGAACGCACCCCTTCCTGCCATAGATTTCCATTGGCGCGCATGCGAGCCACAAGGCCTGTCGAGGAGTAGCCCACTCCATGCTCCTCCATGAGAGCCAGGCTCTCGGCGTCGTCCATGGGCTTCCTGACGTATCTTCCAGTTTTGTTGAGAGAACGTCTGAAGGCACGGCCATCAAGCTGAACGACAGGTGCTCCAGCCCCAGACCCATTGCCTGAGCTGGATGCCCTTTGGACCAAGTCTTCAGCAGTTTCAGTGCCAGCTGCACCACAAATATTAAGTATTCGAGTGCACATATTGATATCTTGCACATGCCCAGGCATTTTGCTTTCTTTGACAGAGAAGAGAGTATCCCAGTCCCTGTTAAAAGATTCAGGAAGAGGAGACTCCCGATCGAGACTCTCGATCCAATTTTATACATGAAACAATAAATCTCACCTGCATTGCATACTGCTTTCAAGGCATTGCGATTCTGCCTTGGAGGGCCCCCAAAAGCTGATAGAGCTCTCTGACTAGAACTTGAACGGGTAGGCAAGCGCCCCGAGAATGAGGCACCGCATCCGTTTGAATACAAGGACGACTGCATGGTCGCTTATCTTTACACAAAGCTTCTCATTGTGTCTCTGCGAGTTGATCAACGTCCAGGATTCTGCTCGAGGGAAATGAAGTTACTGGAGCATGGCGCCAAATTTGGTCGCACATGTGCGGGTCACCTGCATTGCACCTGCTGCCACCGAGAAAATGCCCAAGAACTGCCCCCCTTCTTGTCGCCGATTGAAAATGAGAGAGTATAGCTCGTTTTAAAGATAACAAGTTTGCTCAAGGATTCACCAGGCAACATTTCCTTGCGGAAAGTTCCCAGTCCGCTTGACATCATATCACACGATGCCCAACTTGAACGCCTATCCATGATCTTGTGACACATGGTAATCGTGTTGATGGAACCAAGTTTGAACTAGAAGCAAAGATGTCCAAGGTTGTGGGGAAAAAGCGCCCTCTAACAACCGATGAGAAGGCAGCAGAAGCAGCGAAACGACAAATAAAGAGCGCTGAGGTATCTGTGGCATGCATGGATTAGTATGATCGAAAATATATATTTTTCACTCAGCACATTTACGTATGTTGACAAGTTTGCTGTGGTCCCAACAGGAAGTGCTCCAGCATGTGAAAAAGCTCACCAAGCTCATAGAGCGTGAGCCTCGGATTGCAAAGTACGCTTCGAGAAAGTTCAGTTGCATATTACTCGTTCGCAACGCTTAATTCCTGATCCTGATGCGTGCTGCTCACCAAGAGGAAATATATCCTCTGTTGTTGCAGGAGTTTGGCTGCCCTTGATCTACCACAAGCCTGCAGAGAAGTCGTGGACAAAGGTGCCTCTGCTGTCTTGGATGAGATTGAGGCAGCCATCTACATGGTGGCCTCATCCATCTTGCGGGGAGAGGGCTTCTCGTATGACATACCGTCACGGGCAAAGGGGAATCAGGTCTGCCCTCATATATGCACTGTAATCACTATTTCTATTGTGATGTGGATACAATCCTTGCCTTCAAATCACATCCCATCAAAGCAATCTTTGCACGACTGCTTGGCTTTCCTAAGACACACCATGCATGCATGCGCAGCTCTATGTTCCGGAGCTGGACCGCATAGTGCTGAAGGACAGCACGTCACAGCGCCCTTTTGCCAGCACGGCCACCTGCCGCAAGGCCGTCTTCACAACGCGCGTGCTGGGGCTCGTGCATGAGCTGTGCATGAAGCAGATCCACGTCACCAAGCGTGACCTGTTCTACACAGATGTCAAGCTGTTCGAGGTATGCATTTCAGCCAAATGGTGCATCATGCTGTCCACGGGGTTTGCTGGCAATACTTAACGATTCAATATTTTTGCCTGAAATTCGTCGATCTACAGGACCAAGGCAACTCTGACGCGATACTGGATGATGTGGCATGCTTCCTTGGGTGCACAAGGTCCAGCCTGCATGGTAAGTCGCCAGTATTATTCGGGGAGATGCTGAGGAACTGCTGGTTCAGAAGTCACCTCCTGTGTGATCGATCAACTTACGGATAGTGAAAGGCAAAGTTGTTGGTGGGCAGTGGTTGCCTCCGAGAAAGGTGTTGTGGTGGGACGCCTAACATACAGGGAGGATGGTGATCTGATCGACTGTCAGCGGATGGGCGTGGGTGGCAAAGCCATTCCGCCCAATGTGGACAAGGTACTTTACAACATGTGCCTTCACCTTACTGTCAATGCCACTCACTGCAGCTCCCTCATTATAATTAAGACCTGTCTGAGGACTGACAATGATTGCTGCCAGGTGACCGACATCCAGAGCGATGCGCTCTTCATACTCCTGGTGGAGAAGGATGCAGCATTCATGCGCCTGGCAGAAGATCGATTCTACAATACCTACCCTTGCATCATCTTGACCGCAAAGGGCCAGCCAGATGTCGCTTCAAGGTGTGTGCTGCTGGTTCTTCTGCATTAATCACTTTCATCAAAGTGCGTTCATGCATTATGCGCATTTAACAGTTTTGTGGTTGCAGGCTCTTTTTGAGGAAGCTCAGAGACACATTGCGCATTCCTGTGCTGGCGCTTGTCGACTCTGACCCTTACGGCTTGAAGATCCTGTCAGTGTACATGAAGGGTGTGTCCCTGCTTTCTGAACACCACTTGTGTGCTCAGCACAGCATTATTCTGCGAAGATTTTCCGTTGAATGGGGCCCTATTCACCCTTCTGATTGTGTGTGTTCCACAGGGAGCATGAACATGTCGTATGACAGCTCCAATCTGACCACCCCTGACATCAAGTGGCTTGGAGTGCGCCCATCAGATCTGGATCGCTTCAATATCCCGCAGCAGTGCCGCCTGCCTATGACAGATGAAGATATCAGGACCGGCAAGAGACTGGTGGGTTTGCTTCTCTGATCAACCATGACTGACTTTAAGCCCAATTTATCACACCAACAGGGTGGCCTCTGCGCTGCCTGATAGCACTCTCTGCATATGATAACTGACATCAGTGCATGTGTGTCTTTTTGCAGCTTGAGGAGGACTTCATTCAGGCGAATGCTGAGTGGGTGAAAGAGCTGGAAATCATGATTGCCAGTAAAGTCAAGGCAGAAATCCAGGCTCTGTCCTCCTTTGGATTTCAGTATCTGTCACAAGTCTACCTGCCGCTCAAGTTGCAAGAAGGGGACTGGATCTGATATGTGAACCTTTCACACCATCAATCGCCTTTGGAGCAAAAAATTGTAAAAGACGAATGAACATCTGCAAGCTTATGCAATTTTCCACTGGTTCTAGTAACGTGCATGTCAGCACGACGTGACGCGGCTCGTGATTGGTTTCCTTTCACTTTCATCATCAACACAATTTGTCCAATTGTATGGTTCATGACCTTGCAGGAATGTCTGTGGTAAGACCTGCTGCTGCCTTCATGCAACTCTGAAGTATTTTTTAGATGGACTGCACCAGCAGAACAAGCGGGGTTGCGTCCACCTCGGGCAGACCTGCCAATCAGGGGCAGGTTCGCAATGTTGGAGCAGCACTGAGGTTGCATAATAAATTGCCTATTGCATCGAGCCGCAGATGCGCTCGGTTAAGGCAAGTAGTGAGCCCAGGCAGATTAGCTGGAAAGGATGCCCAGCAATTGCGTCCATGGATTGCATCCAAGGTGCAGAGCGTGGCATCAGCAGAGGTGCAATTAGACGCAAAGCCCGATAAAAAGCACAGCATAGCCTGGAAAACGGAATATGATGGCCTCATTATCGGGCTTGCAGTTCCAGCACTTGGTTCCATCCTTCTGGACCCCATCATGAGCCTTGTAGACACAGGTGTGCTGCCCGAAAAGCCATTTGCACACAAGCAAGTGATTCGCGTTGAGATCTCAAGAGTCACTCGCGCTGTCTGTCCAGCTTTTGTTGGGCGCCTGGGAGCTGCACAGCTTGGAGCAGTGGGCCTCAGCACGATCATGTTCAACTTCTGTGGGATGCTGTTCAACTTCCTGGTCGTGGTCACGACCCCCCTTGTTGCCGCCGCAGTCGCACAGAACGATTTCGAGAAGGTCAGCGAATTTTCACTCTAATTGCATGGCGTTGTGTTTGCTTTCTCCAAGTTGGGTGTCAGCGGCTTTGGATGAATTTGCAGCAATGTTACAACACAGAGCTGGATTGCAGGCATCTAGAACGACAGCTCAGGGATTGTGGATTGCACTATTCTTTGGGACGGTGACAGGCTTGTCCATATACCATGGCGCACCATATCTCCTCCAGAAGATGGGGGCTGCACCGGAGGTGGCCGTGCATGCCTTGGCCTATCTGCGCTGCAGGGCGGTGGCGTGCCCTGCCCTACTCGGCCTGTTTGTGGCTACAGGCAGCTTCCGTGGCTTTCAGGATACAAAGTGAGCAGCTCTCCTCCGCACACCCCCCACAATTTGGCGTGATGCATTTGCAACTTGTCATTCCACTGAGAGGACAAACTGTGGCAGGATGGCTGTGACAGCTGCACGCACTCACCCCCACTGCTGCTCCTTGCAGGACTCCCCTGTACTCTGCGGTGCTGTCCAATGTGGCGAATTTCCTGATGGACATCCTGTTCATCTTTGGGCTGGGCTGGGGTGTGGCTGGCGCTGCGCTGGCCACGTCTGTGTCACAGTATGTGGGCGTGGGGGCCATGCTCTTCCTGCTGCACCGCAAGCGCATCCTCAATTTTGCCGACATGCTCCGCATCCCCTCCATTGGCGATGTCGCTCCCCTGCTCCGGGTAAATTTCCCTTCCCTCTGCTCCATGCTGTGTGCAAGATAGGGCACTGGATGCTGGAAAGATGGGTGCTGAGATCTCGTTTGTGCACAGCGATATATAGGACACTGACATGCATCTGTGCATGTCTGCGATGCAGGCCGGGCTTGCAGTGTCTCTACGCAACATCAGCACGATGGGCGTGATTCTGTATGGCACCACAATGGTGAGCACCATGGGCACGGCAACGCTGGCCGCCCATGAGATATCGCGCCAGGTCTTCATCTTCTCCATCCAGTTCTTCTCCTGCCTGGACGTCACGGCCCAGAGCCTTGTGGCCTCTCAGCTAGGCAAGGTAGGAGCCCGCCAATCCGATTGTTATCAAACGTTTACTGCAAGGTGCATGCACCAATGACAGGTGTCTACTGGACATTGGGTGTAATCTGCTGATGTAGCATTGGACTGATTCCCTGCTATGCTGACCGCATCCTTACTTGTCTTCCGCAGAATAAGCGCAGCACAGCACGGGCGGTGCTACTTCGGATCTTGCAGATTGCTCTGGGCCTCAGCTTCACGCTGATGGCCGCGCTGACCTTGGGGAGGAGTGCCATTCCCAGGGTGTTCACCAGTGACCTGGAGGTCATCGCAGTCACCCAGAGAGTGATGCCTCTCCTGGCATTCTTCATGGTAAGCAGCGCCCCCGTGAGACAGCCCCATTCACTGCTGAAGCAGTTTGGTTGGTAATCCGGATTCAGTAATGACCATGATAATTAGTGGACCGCAAGTTGTATTGGCAATGCCTTTTTTGGAACACTGCATACTGGCATGCTTGCATCTCAGCCTGATAAAATTCGGTCTGCTCTGTGCGCAGCCCTTTGACGCGGCGGCTGCAGTGATGGACGGCGGGCTTCTAGGCGCGTCAGAGACAGCGTATGCCTCGCGCGCGACGCTTGTCGTGGCCGGCTGCGTGTACGGCCTGCTGTCAGTGGTGCCGCGCATGTACCCCGGCCTCTTTGGCGTATGGCTGTCCCTCAAGGGGCTCAGCGTCGGCCGCACCCTGGCCGCCAGCTACCGCCTGGCTTCCGCCAGGTCCCCCCTCAGCAAAGAGGTCGCTGGCAGCTCGCATGCGCAGGCTGTGCCTGAGCGATCTGCAGCCGGAGCAGCTGCGAGTGGCGCGGCTTTCACGGGGCAGTGTGATCAGCACTTGCAGCAGGACGCGAGCAGCGGTGCAGGAGTGCATGGGGAGCTTCTTGCGGCCCAGGAATACTTGCAGGATGGGAGCGCAGTTGGCGATGAGCAGATCCATAGCGTGAGCAGCAACAACATCGTGGCAGGGAAGATCCCGAGGGAGCAGGGGTCTCTGGAGGTCCCGACAGAAAAGGCGCAGGATGTTGGATAGGATCGTGGATGCATGCATTGAAGAGTTCGCATTTGAGAGTCATTGCCTATGTTGGGCTGCATTTCCGTGAGTGTCTTTTACACTGTGAGTGTTCTGTAAGTGTCCTGGTCCCTTATAAAATTTCATGGAGATGTCATTCTCCACCCCCAAGTCCATGTCATCTTTCATCGTGAGGCACAATGCAATGGCTGTTCATGTACGGATCTAGATGGCAAGCTGAACTACTGGCCGAGTGAAAGCAACGCGGGTCTACAGAATTACCAGTAATGTATGGTAAGATGGTAATCAGACCCCGCAGCTGAGTGCAGATCAGCCGATGTCCTGACCAGCCTGGGATTCTGGTGCGCAAAAGAACAGCGAATCCGATGGCGAACTATTATCATGAAGCTCGTGCTCAGGTCAAAAAGCTTAAGACTATGTCAGAAGATAAAAGGAGAAAGTCTGAAAGGGCAGCAGAACAGGCCATTGTCGAGGTAAACGCTCGTTTCTCAGGTGCTTGGGGGGGATTTCCCTCACACTATGGACAACATGCGTCTGTAACTTCCATAAAATTAGGGTTGAAGCCCCATTTACTGCGCATGCAGGCCGAAGACCCACTCCATGCCCTCAGAATAGATGGTCGTGCCATCAAGTTGCACCGCAATCAGGACGCCTATGCAGCAGCAGAAACGCTTGCCAGCATGATCCCATGGAATGGTGACACGGAGAAGATGATCGATCGGTTCGATGGCAGAGCGCTGTTGGACTTCTACAAAGAGCCTGACCCCCGCACCCAACACCAGAAAAGTGAAGCTGAACGAGAATTGGATGAGGTACAGATAGCATGAATGTAGTCCACCAACACAGATGGGAGCAAATATACTTGCCTGGCTTGAAGCTATTCAAGCAATATTCACACTCCTGCCTGTGCTGCAGCTGGTGAATTTTGAGGCGTTCAGAGACTTGGTGAAAATGCTCCAACTCGGCATCAGTGAGGAGACAGCCATCCTGCTGGCGGAGGATGAGAACCTGGAGCAGCGGGCCTCAGCAAAAAGTACAGCCGTGGGGCAGCTCAACCTGCAGAGCGGACAGTCCAAGGGACCCCAACCGCCCTCTCTGGCCCCAGCTGGTCTGTCCGCGCACTTGCCTCTAGCATGCCATGTCATGTCCGTGAGTGGCACGTTGAAGCAAGATGTAAATTCCCTTCTCTGCGCAGCTTGATTGGGTGTGTATGCACTAAGAAATGCTGTGATTGTTTCTGCTGAATGCTGCCATTCACAGGCAGCGGCCAGTATGGAGCAGTTGAGTTCTCATATGGCGGTGCACAAGAGCCTGGCGCCAAGTCTGAGAGCGGCTCAGAGGGCTCGCAAGACGATGACGAGGACGAAGAGGACTCAGAAGGGGATGAGGAGGCTGACACAGCAGACCTCGACGGCCTGGCAGCCAACCTGGGCATCAACTCCTTTGGCGCGCTGCTGCGCCGCGCCGAGCGCGAGGAGCAACAGATGGCCCAGGGCATCTTCCCAAAGAAGAAGTGAGCCGCCGCCAGCTCCTTGCACTGATCTTTCTCACGAATCACAGCATTGGCAGTCGTAAAGAGCAGCATTTTCTCATTGCAATTCGTAAACCATTGGATTGTCTTGGAAGTGGTGCCGTCATGTTGTTCTGGGTAGTAAAGGCTGCGGCAATGGGTTTCAGGAGGAGGTTCAGCCGGAAGGTTGCAGCACAGCGCGCCAGGAGGATGGCAGGGCAGGGGCTGGGGCCGCTCGTCAACAAGGCGCCAGAGATTAAGGCGCCCAGCGCCGCATCGCACAGGGACCTTCGCCCGCCGCGCAGAGGCAGCCCCACCTACGACGCCTACAGGTTGCCTTCTTCCCTATCCTTGGTGGCACATCAGCTACTTGCATCTGTGCCTGAAGGTATCAACTGGGGACCTGCAAGGTGTGTACTTCCTCGTTTGGAGTCCTACTAGGTGTATATGCGTCTGTGTTGCCTGACATGTGTCAAGGGGTTACGCAGGCGGCGGTCCAGATCCCCTTCACGGTCCAGATCTCCGCCCAGGAGAAGGGGCGATACGGCCAGGACAGAGTTCATTACAGAGTTCAAGGCTTCCAAGGCGCGCGGTAGCAGCAACGCGACACCCGGAATGTCTGCGCCCAAGCGGTCTGCGCCGTAACTTGCTCCCTGCTCGCCAACAACACTGGCCAATTGAGACCTACTGTCCTCCCACTTAAGACACTTGAAGGGTTTGCAACAAGCGCTGGCCATAGACATTGGATCAACATAAAATGCGTATGATCAAGATTCACTGGTGGCCTCCTGTGAGCATAATTGTACACCAGCAGACACACATGTGAGTTGCGGTGTGTGGGTCTTCAAATCAATAGTTGAGGGCTGCAGCAACGGGCGGGCCTGACATGGAACTGGGGCGGGCTGCTGTGTTGCGTGCTGCAGGGATGGGCCCTTTGTGGACGTGCTACCCCAGGGCATCGATCCTGCAGGTGCAGGCGGCCCAGTGTCGCTGCCAAAGGAGGCCGTCACCATGCAGGGCGTGCGCGCGCACGAAGCCTACTACAGCTACGAAGACGAGCGGCGGCGGGAAAGGCAGCGAGAACGAGAGCGAGAGAGGGAGCGAGACAGGGAACGGGAGAAGACCAAGAACGCGGCCAGCAAAGCAACCCCTGTGCCGGTGCTCATTTCTTCATCATGAAACACTGCCTGTAAATTTTCTCTTTGAGATTGTCACTGTTCCATTTTCTCTGTCCGCGCCGTTGAAGGAGAGCATTCACATCTATGTTCCCTCTGTGTCATTTCTGTTTCTGGATGTGGCAACTATAGACAGCTACTGTGTTAAACCTCCTGCCCACCAAGCAAGGTCATGCCGGCGTGCAGGCGGTGGACAAGGGGAAGGAGACGCCGATGGAGCGGCTGAAGCGGCTGCGGGCAGCGCAGATCAACAAGGCCTTCCAGAAGGACGTGCTGACGGTCGCGCAGCGCAAGCTGCAGGACGAGCGCGACCGCCGCGCGCGCGAAACCATCGAGCGGGCCGCCGCAGCAGCGCGCCGTCGATCCCCCTCCCCCAGGTGGCAGACGATCCATCTCCCTTGCGCACTGCCACCCACACCACCCCAACACCGGCATTGCCTCCTCCTGCGCCACCCTCGGCGTGCCCCCTCTTCATAAATCGGCTCACATGTGATGCTCATGTGAAGCTTTTTTACTCCGCCCAATACCGGGGATGTGCTCGCCAGTGTCACAGCCAGCTATTGCCTGCCCAAATGGAAACCGAGGTGGCAGACACAAGGGCTGGGGAACACGAAACAGCAGGAATCTCACAGATCAATATACTCAGTATATATAGGAACACTTATCTTCAAGTGTCACATAGTGGATTTTCCCTGGTTGACAATCATCCCGTGAGTGGGTGCACAATGGTTGGGAGACTGATGCAGTGTTGGGGGCTGTGCTGCGCTGTAACAGGCGCAGGGACAGGGACAGGCATCGGAGCAGAAGCCCCAGGCGACGCAGACGCAGTCGGTCTCCTTCATCTGGCCGTAGCTACTAGGCCACGCGTTTTGCTTCAGCTAATTGCTTTGGAATTTCTCTGGGTATGTTGTATCACCTGTGACAGTGTCTATGCGGACTTGTGATGTGTAGGATACTTTTGATGCTGGTTTTGGAGATTAATATCTGCTGCCCTTGTAAGATAGTTTACACTCCTCTCTCAGGCTGAATTCCTTTAAAGTATCAATCTGCAAGCCTGCAGTAAGCGTGTCCTCTGCTGCACTGTTTTTTACCATGCGCCATCATACATGCCCAGCTGGAGCTCTGTCCCTCCACACTTAATCACTCATGAGACTGAGGCTCTTCATCCCAATGCACGTCCTCCTTCCCCAGAAAATTGCTCCACAGCATGCCACACTGCTACGAATTCACCGCTGCTGTACAGCTGAGTCATCAAGACTCCTTCTTCACTTCCAAAAATGTGCTTGCTGTCCACCTCTTCATATTTTACAGAGCAGCTTGGATATTGACTGCTTGCATTGCACAGAGATCCATTTGCTCCTGCAGTGCAGGTCCCGAAGCCCTATAACTTCACAAACAGCCAGAACATGCTGAAGACAGCACACGCTCCCCCTGGTGACCCAAGAAGCTTACCTGTGCTGCTGCTTGTCGCAGACCAGCGATGCGCAAGCCATCTTCAAGGGTGCATTCAACCTTGAAGCCCAGCCCGACATCCACAAACACCCTGGATGTGTCTGGGACTTTTGCTTGCATCATCACGTCTTTGCCCACGCCTATGTGAGTCAACAGAGTTGACGGCTGCCCCTGAAGTTCGGGCAATGAGAGCATCAGAATTTGTGAGAGAGATCAGTACTCTCTCCTTGCATAAGGAACTCTAAAATATGTAGTAGTGACCGGTTCAAACCTGCAACTCTTTGAGATTCGTTTCAAGCTCCTGGTACGTGTTCAGAACCTCTCTGTGCCTCTCATGCACCGCCTTAAGCTGTTCTAATCCCACCAACATCTGCTGGCGCTCTGTGCCTGGAGGCATTTTTGTGTCTGCACAATCATATCATCACACATATTACGCCGATGGATGCTATTGCACAAAATTAGGAAAAGACAAATGACATGATTACCTAAGGAAGGCATTGAGCGTGACAATTGTAGAGAGGCCGAGCAGGATCAACACTCTCGGGCGCCTCGCGTTGGACAAGAATACTGCTTTCATGCGGAACCTCTCCCGCTGAATTGTAATCTCAAAATTCTGGACCAGAAACTGTCATGATCGAAGACAAAATCACACATCACATTTGTGCCAAATCCATTTTCTTGGACCTGATCTGTGACTGGGATGGCAGCTGACGGAAGCTGTCAAGAACGTTCTCCCCGTCATTCGATCAGGAATGCACTATCTTACTCGGGCTTTCGGATATGTTTGTTTTCTGTTGGCTTAAAGAGAGAGTTCCTTTTTACGTCGTTGTGGAAGGCTAGAATAATATTCTTTGGGAGATCCCGCTCATCACGAGGGCCATGCCCGAGACATTCCTAGATCTTTCCAGTGGGTCATCACTAGGTACAATGTCGACTGTCATGAGGCATTTCTGCCCTACTCCAGCCGTATGGTTGCCTTCCCGTGCGCGTTTGCAGAGACCGTGCAGGCAGAGATGCCGCACCGTGGCTGCCCAGAAATCTGTAGCAGAAAAGAAATTGGCAGGACCTTCCTTCCAGGCAAGCGTAATGAGCTGGTATTATGAGGCTTTGCTCAACTCAACCTACACGAGTTTGCAATTACAAGAACGAAAAAGTATGACTTGGAAGCTGTGCAGACCTCTGACAACCTGGGGAAAGTAACCTCATCACCTGGAGGGTCACCGCCTCCTGATCCCGAAGATGACCCAAGAGCTCCACACTTTGAGCAATGGCCGGCGCAGCGCTCGTTTTCGGAAGTCCTGAAGGACAAGACCAGTGACACAATTGGGGTGGGTCCCGAGCAGTTGGTGTTCATGCACGGATCCTCTTTCAGCCTGATCTTGATCCAGTCTGCATGTTATGTATTTGGAATGTCTGATGTCATCGTGGTCTGGACATGACAGGATCTGTTGCTGATCGCTCGCCGCACCTTGAGGAAGCTGCCTCGGAGGAGCAGAATCCGAGCTCAGCTGCGCAGAATGGGCAACAAGGGCAAGGGCAGCGATGACGCGCCGGTTGCACTGAAGTGCGACAAGCCAATCATCCTGGTGTTGGGCTCAGGCTGGGGCGCACACTCCCTGATCAAGGCAAGCGCTGCTGTCCTCTGAGCGCAACCATGCATGGACTTGCATGTTGTCATGCAGACCGGCCTCCTCTTTTGCAGCATGTCATCATTACTGATGGTTTATTGAGTGGCAGCTGTCGATGCGCAGGTGATCGACACAGACAAATTTGAAGCGATCTGTGTTTCGCCTCGCAACCACTTCATCTTCACCCCAATGTTGCCAAGCTCGGCAGGTCAGGATCTCATGGAATTACAACTGCTGATCTTGACAACCTCAAGTCCAGAAGGAGTAACACATGGTGCTGTATATAACCAATATTTTTGTTCCTTGTGCAGTGGGGACTGTGGAGTTTCGTTCTCTGCTGGAGCCCATCCGCATTTCCAACCCCTTTGTCACCTACATAGAGGCCGAGTGTGAGGTATGATGCTCCCAGTGAATTCACAGTCCATGCAACCCTGCGTTGGAATTTGATGGTCTCCAGCTCTTGAGCACATGCGCATGGGCAGGTGCTGGACGTGAAGCGGAAGCTAGCCCTCTGTTCCTCAACGTTTGCGTATGAGAACGGCCGCCGGCCGCAGTTCGAAGTCGCTTACGACGCGGTCGTCATTGCAATTGGAGAACAGACCGCCACCTTCGGGGTGCCAGGCGTAATGGAGCACTGCTACTTCCTGAAGGTGCCCACAGAATGACCTCGTCTGTGTCTCTGCTCACCCTGATTTCCTCATGCATTCCTCTGTTTGTACCTCGTAAGCCAATCTGCTCGGAGTGATACAAGAGTAGAGAAGGTGGGGAACAAGTATTGTGTGGGCGCGATGTGGTGCAGGAGATCAGCGATGCGGTGGGGCTGCGGCGGAGAATTGGGCAGTGCTTTGAGCTGGCCGCGCTGCCCGGCACGCCTGAGGAGGACCGCAAGAGGGCGCTGCGCTTCATCGTGGTCGGGGGCGGACCCACAGGTGCACCCGCCTGTCCAGAGGATACTCACATCACTTGGAGGGTTTTTAAATCCTTTCTGATTGGAATCAGCTCAGCGGGCAAGGTCTCCAGAGCACACAGTACTGCAGTGTGTCGTTGAGGCACCAGCAGACTGCCTCCATTCATCCTGCCAGCTTGTGGGGGCCTCCTAGATCCCAGCCTATCCTGCCCTATCACAGATCACTGATAAGTACTAACGGAGTCCTCATATTTTGGCAGGGACAGATGCATAAAACTGGGTAGTAATTCATTTCCTCACACTGGCAGGCGTGGAGTTTGCGGGGACGCTGAGGGATTTTGTGCGAGGGGACCTGGCACGCAAGTACCCGGAGCTGATGGGCGACGTGGAGGTGGTGCTGCTGCAGAGCGCGCAGAGCATCCTGACCCAGTTCTCGGCCGGCCTGCAGCAGCGCGCGCTCGACACCTTCCGCAAGACCGGCGTCTCCGTGCGCACCGGCGTCCGCGTCGTCGCCATCACCCAGGACCAGGCGCGCCTTTACTATCGCCCCTTTTCCCAGCATCTTCAAGGGGTACTGAAGACTACCATGGTCTTTAGTACCCCCTGGCACCTTTGCCCCCCAGGAGGAGGGTGGCATACCCCTCTGGACAGCCCCAGCAGGGGGTACTCTACATCCATGTTCTTACTTCCTCTGTCCCCAGACCTGCACTCCTGGGCCCACCATTGCCAGCGGATATCCTCCATGCATGACTAGGTGAACATGGCAGGTCGGTGAATGATGCCACACTGCAAGCTCGGTCGAAAGGCGCGCTTGCCTGTCGTGGGCAGCTGTGGGCGCTTAGTGGATCCAGAAGTATCTGTGACGAGATTCAGTAGATTCAGCTTACAAGTGGAGGATTATCATCCTGAAACCGGCTCTTGATGTTGACCTTCAGATAGAGGGTGGCCTGAGAATCTGTCTTGCAGTTGCTGTTCAGGCCCCTGTACTAAAATTTGGAGCGCTTGTACTCAAATCTGGAGCTTGCGCAGGTGGTGCTGGAGGGCGGGGAGCGGCTGGACTACGGCGTCTGCGTGTGGTCCACCGGCAACGCTGCGCGGCCGCTCGTGCAGGCGGTGGCCGGCGCTGTGCCGGTGCAGCGCGAGGCGCTGGCGGGGCGAAACCCGGCGGCCGCCAAGCTGACGGTGGATCCGTTCCTGCGCATCGCGGGTGTGCGCGACGCCATCGCTCTCGGCGACTGCAGCCGCCTCTCCGGCGCACCCCTGCCCGCCACCGCGCAGGTGCGCGCACTCTTCACCCCGGCTCAGTCCATCGTCCTGCAGCTGTACCCAACATTATCCTTACTCTATCAGGCTTTTCTTGCCAAGAGATATGGTGCGCCTGCTGACTGCACGCAGTAAGCTGCCCCTGATGGAAACGGTTGCATATCTGCGTCACGCTCTCTGAGCCCGGTGTGAAGCAGAACAAGATGTCTGAGAAGCCTTGCGATGCATGGACCATGACCCCGATAATGCAATTATCAAAGCTGGTGTCGGTTGTTACGTCTGACAGCCATAGCATCTAATGGCGTAAATAGCCTTGCCAAGGGGAAAGGCAGTCGTATGATTGTTGAGACTGAGTTTCTTGTACTCACGGGGAGCAGGTGGCGGGTCAGCAGGGGGCGTACGTCGCGCGCATGATCAACAAGGGGTACAGGCTGGGCACGGGTGGCCTGGACAAGGCCTTCCCTGCGCGCTGGAAGGAGGGCTCGGCCAGTGAGGTGCGCCCCATTTCTTAAGCCTCATGACATGGGATGCATGAAGACCCAACAGACACTCAGCCATTGATTGAATATATAGATTTGCTGAGTGCGTCCAAGTGGGCTAAGCTGAATGTGCATGCTGCTGCCCAGGAGGTGGAGTACTTTGAGAAGCCATTCGCATTCCTATCTCTAGGTGAGAGCCCACCCACGGACCCCAGCAGTACAGTAAGCGGTGTCTGTCATTGCTGTCCCAAGCATAATAAGGATGCTCTGTCTTCTCTAGCGTGTGCCCCCTGACTGTGCACCAGGCCCCAATGAATGCAGGCTTGCACTGACACTTGTGTTTGAGTGATGCCAGGTTTGATGGCGTACGTGGGCAGCGACCAGGCCATCACACAGCTGGAGGCCGGCAAAGCATCTTTTTCTCTGGCTGGCTACCTGTCATTCCTGCTCTGGCGATCTGTCTACATCACTAAGCAGGTGAAACCACAGTGCTGCTGCGTTTGGTTTGTGCAATTCTCAGTGCATGTCATTGCCGGAACTCTAAGTTGCTGTGTGGCAGGATGTGACTCTCGTTTGCTTCCTGTGGGCAGGTCAGCACGCGCAACAGGATCCTGATATTGTTTGACTGGGTGAAGACAAGGGTCTTTGGACGCGACCTCAGTATATACTAAGACAGCACTGCAAACGGTTGAGAGGTGTGAGGAGATTTACCGCCATTCAAGAGCTGACTGCAAGAAGACTGCAATTGAGATGCCATGAGATTGTGTTACAGGAGTGTCTGCAGTGAGCATTGCAATTGGTCCAGAACTGTCACGACGTCGGGAAATTGCCACCGTACTGCCACTGTTGAACCTTCCATCAAGATTTCTTGAAGAATGTTGACATCAGCATCCCATGCAGGCTCCAATGCATGTTTGGTGTCATCTCCAAAAGTTGTCGTGTGTCCAGAAGCAGCATCTTCTCAGACATGGTGATTAAGAGCTTCAACAGGGTTGAAGTGTTGCAGTGCAGAGCCGCGGGCTGGAAATCTCTGTTGCCCTAAAGGCTTGGCTCTAGCTTCAAGTAAAGCTTTCATATTATGATAATTATAAGCAGGACTCAATGATGCCGTTGCTGAAGTGCAGCACTTTATAGTGTTTCTACACCCGACGCCAATCATTGGTAACCTACAGATATTCACCAATTGCAAGCTTGAGCTCACCGTGACAACTTCAAGTTGGCAAGCACTGCTCATGATCAGCAGTGGCACTGATCATGATCAGCAGATCGTCACTGCAAGGAATTATGGTACAGCTGCGCAGGCATGCCGCAATTACATGGAATCGCAAAGCGATTGCTCTTCATAGCTTCCTATTTAGGTTGATGCTCTTTCGACCCTGCTCCTTCGTCTTTTATGAGAACCCACACCGGTGCGATCACACCGGCAGATCATAGTAAACAAACTGCTCATTAATTCAAATAAGTAATCTTTGATAGCGTGCAACAACCCAATCATTGACAGACACCGCAGGTTGCCTCGCATCAACGCGTGTCATGCAACCATTGTGTTCTGCGCATTCCTTGCGGAGATCTGATGTTTTGCCTTTCTCATCGGATCAATCTAGACAACGCAGGTGTCAAAGGTGAGGGGTATACAAGTTGATTGGTCCCTCAGGACCTGCCTCCAATAGTGATCTCAGGTTCTTATCCTTGGTTCATCTGTCTTAGACCAGAAAATGCAGTATTTTGTAATATGATCAGAATCTCTTTTCTGTGCAGGAAGATGACATGCTGCAATGTCTCAGGAGTAAGCCTGCCCTGCCAATGACTGCAATCTAAATTCGTGTGCACAAGCACACGTCACTTTCATGAGATTTGACAGCGGTATGTTGAGCTGCAGGATCAATCTGGCTTCACAAGAAGAAAGGCTCTCGTAAATCTTTCAGTGCTAAGCACCTCTTTTATCGCCGGGGGAAGCTGGGCGAGAGCCAGTGAATTGGAGCCCGCCAAGAAGACTCCTGCTGATGACCTCATAGCAGGTGCCTGTCAATGAGGAACTCAATGAACGCTTAACCCATTGAGGCTCATTAGGCTGCAGGCCCACAGCTGTCTGGAGTGAAGTTACGCAACTTCAGGGATCCAAGCTGATGTCCATAGAATATACGCAACGCGTCGTTGCCCGAAAGGCGCTTACATCTGAAGATCTACGCAGGCTTGCTGGAAAGATCAAAGGCGAACAAGGAGAGATATAACAAAGAGCGCTTGGACAGCTATTACAGAAGAAACTACCAGGTATCTCACGATCTTTTCAGCGCTTGTGCATGCAATATTGGACTGTGACCCTTCTGGAAGGGGAGACCAATGTGGTGGCTGATCTTGATGAAAGTACAGGACTACTTCAATCTTTACAAGAGCGACATAGAATCTGGAACGGCGCGGGGGTTGAGCAAGGAACTGCAAGCCGAGATCTTGGAATGGATCAGGAAGAACGAGAAGCGCTGATGTTGAGGCCTCCCCGACGAGGAGTTTTGATCACACACCTTGCAGGGAAGGAGATGTTTCAGGGCAGTCTTTCGTGGCCTGGGATTATGGCAGGGAAGCCCGTATTTACTGCCCGCAAGATGGATGCGCATGACCTCTTGGACCATATGGGAATGCTAGACTACCATTCCTTGTTCCTCCCGAACCTGAGGTCCCATTTCAAATTGCTTTGAGCGTCCTTACATGAGAGACAATTATCGTCAAGGCAGAAAATAAATATTGCGCCATTGAACGCTGGTTGATTCGCAAATAAAGGTCACTTGCCACAGTGCACTTTGGTCTAAGGAGTCATCCTCCACCATCACAGCTATGGGTGCAAACTTAGCATAGACACGTTTGACAGCGAGCTGTGAAGCCTTCTCTCCTCTCTCTCGAGCTATTTTTGTCAACAGCCATCAGCACTGATGCACATGCTGCAATCATGCCAAGCATCTTGGCAAATTCTTGATTTAATGTATACACTTCTGGCACACTCTGCACTGACTTTATGCTGCACTGATCCTTTAAGCAGCATTTCTCAAATCGCCAGCTATGCTGTGGCCTTGCTGCATGGAAAATTTTGCGCCCTGTGCTTGGCATTTTTCTCCACGCTATTGACTGCCTAGGCTACACATCACAAGCATCTGTTCATCAAGTACCATGCATGCTGCAAAGCAGATCCAAACAAAATTTCCACTGGCCCACCCATTGGTGGTTGAATACATGCTGAGCACTCACGCTGTAGACCAGACGGACGCACTCCCAGACAACATAGAGGGGGACTCTTCTGGATGGGGGGTCCACCATACTACTGCTTGCCACTGGACCCCCTGCTCTTGCTGAAGAATCACGCTTGTCATCATGTAGCTACTTCCGCTGAGGGCACACAAGGAAAACAAAAGAATATCAATCCGATCGATCCAATTGGCTCAAGAAGCTCCACCGCCATTACTGCTGATGACGGCAGGAGTCTTTTCCTGACCCTTGTCCTGGAACACCTGAGCATCCCAGATGAGTTCCATCGGGTGGAGGCGAGTCAAAGACAGGTCCCCGCGGGTGTCTTGGAGAATCTTGCAGCAGCCAACCACTTGCACAGAGCTCACAGCAAGGGGAGCAACCACTTGCGGAGCTCTGGGCTGCGCGGCTTTAGGCTGCAGCTGCTACAGGCGGAAGTAGTCCTCGTCGCAGCGGGAGACAAAGTACATGTAGTCGTCGTGATGCCTGCCCTTGGCCGCCTGCGGCACCAGGCCGTCGCGCATCGACAGCGCGTCCGCGCTCTCGCTCAGGTGCTTCAGCTGCGCGCGCCGCGCGTAGGGCCCCTCCCAGCCGCCGCCTGCCGCGGCCTTGACGGCGGTGCGCTCACGCTCGCGCTCGGCCGGGCGGCCGGCCTCCTCGTCGGTGGTGACGGACCAGGAGTCGGCGGAGCTGCTGGAGCTGCTGTTGGCGCGCCCAATGCCGGCCGCCGCCAGGCTGGCGCAGGGCACGGGGTCCAGCCACTCCTCGTTCGCCAGGTGGCACAGCTTGAGGCCCACGGTCGGCAGGCACAACGGGCCGTCATGATGCGGCCCGGGCTGGCCGGCCGCCAGGCTGCGCGCGCCATAGTGCGTGGCGGCTGTGGGCACCGGCGCGAAGGTGTGGTACGTCAGGAACTTGGCCGTCAGCGGCGCGTCCGGGATGCGGTAGATGGGGTACCACGCCACGCACATCCTGCACACACAGTGCATGTCAGATTTTGCAGCTGATTCCTGGAAGACCAGATGCAAAGGAAGAATTTTTACCTTGAGCACCTGGAAGGAAAGACACGGCCAGATGGATTGGAAGTCCTGGAAGGACCTGATCCAAGAGCAGAAACATGATGTAAAAATTGAAGCTTACCATGAGGCAGGGTGCAGCTCGGTCAGAGACTGATCCATGACGCGGGCTCCCGGCATGCCGCCAACGCTGGAGCTTCCTGCCAGCATCTCTACACGCTCCCTGAGAGCAGGCCTGTCGTACGGCTTGGTCGCCTCAAACAGCTCTGCCAGAGGAGTCATCAGCCGCGGCCACTCCGGATGCTGCACAGCAACATGCCTCATCACTTCATGCACCACTCCTTTGTGACCTACATCGAAGTAAACTGTTTCAAATCTCTAAGGAAAACCAAGTTAGCTGGCGTACCTTTGCAGCCAGGGCGTCGGACAGCCGGTAGACTTGGCCTGCTGCCTTCCTGTGGGCTGCATCGGGGCGCAAGGGCAGGAAGAGCTGCATTGCTGACAGGCTGGGGACGTAGTAGGCCAGAGATGGCCCCCGCCCGCCGCCCATGGTGAACACCTCCTTGCCATAAATGCTCGCCTCATCGTAGAAGCTCCACACATCAGACTGCAAAGAAGCAGTCAGGTGTCAGTGAACTGTATCATACATGTTTTGCCTGAAACGACATATGCATGCTTTATTATTCCCGCGCAATGAAGCGGTGCAATAACAAGCAAGCTGATGCAAAACACAACGGTGCAGGATAACGAACGCACCAGCTTGAGGTCTCGGTAGTGCCTGTTTCCCAGGATGGGCGCCGCAAGAGACAAGAAGCGCTCGACGTCGGTCAGCGGTGGGGCTTGGTGGCCCCACAGAGATGCCGGCGCTGGAAGGGGCACCTGAGGAGGGGGCAGACCATCTTGAGAAGAAGGCTCCTTGACCAGAACAATTAATTCACCCGTGCAATCCAGCAAATAAGATAGTGGACACATGGCACTGTGATTAACTCAATGCAAGTAGGCATGCACCTGCGTGGAGTTCTGGCGCTGCATGGGGGCATTGGCGCCGGACCGCGGCGGGGGCGGCGGCGGCGGCTGTGCCCCTTTGCCATTCTCCCGGTGCTTCCTGGAGTCGCCGGCCGGCGCATGCGGAGCGTCTGACGGCTTGCTGCTGTTGTGCTGCGCAAGAGCCAGCTGCATGGCGTCAGCCGCGCCCATCCACACGGCGGGTCCCTCTGAGAGCTGCACCCGGACGGCCGCTGCGGAGGACGGGAACGGCATCCCTTGGTGCCCAGCCACGGGTGTCGTGGGCAGGCTGAAGCCCATTCTGTGCAGCCCACGCACCTGCTCCTGCCTGTTTCTGCCAGCAGTGTGGTGACTGAGGGCTTCAATGTGCTGCACTGTGGCCTGCTTCCCGGAGCTGCTGCCAGGCTGGCGCTCGTGTGGGAACGCCTGTGAACTGGGCTGCCCCAGGGCATGGCTTGCGGGCAGGTGCCATTGATCTCCCCCGGCTGGGATGCGGCCATTCTGCACCCACTGGCCCTGCTGCTCTGCCATCTTGGGCAGGCTCCTGGTGCGCACAGGCGCCCTCTGCTCCCCAGGCTGGTGCAGGAAGCCCCGCTGCTGCTGCTGCTGCTGCTGCTGCAACTGCAGGTGCACCCTGTGCTGCAGCTCCCTCACGAACTCCGAGTTTGCGCTCAGCAGCTGTGGTGACTGCATCTGCCACGTTCCCTGCATGCTGCTCGCCATTGGTGGCATCGCAGCATACCCCATCGAGCTGGCAGAGACTGGCGGCCGCATGCCATTCACAGGATCCCTCCGATACGCTGCGCTGGGGCCTAAATGCCCTGAGTTCTGAGCCGGCCAAGCCCTGCCGCGCGAGTCCTCCCCGCCAGCAGCAAATGCAGAGGCCGGCACCTGCTTGATCTGAGGACGATACCCTGGGAAGTCATCTGCTGACCAGGAGTGCCGCCTGCCGCCTCCGCCTGAGGACAGCATCCTCGGAGGCTCCTCAGGCTGCCCTGGGCCTTGACTAGGGGCAGCGGGAGCAGGGACCGTCTGGCTGGCAGGTGCAGCTTGCGCCGGCGGTGCTTCCACAGGCAGCAGAGGGCCTCCGGGCTGAATGGTGCTGGCCATCTCAGCAGGGCTCTGAGGCTGCGAGGGGCACGCAGACACAGGAATGGGTTGCCGCAGCAGGGTGCCCATCCATGCCTCCACATTGCTTGCTCCAGCCCGGTCAGGGGAAACCAGAGGGCTCGGCTTGGCGCCAGTGGAGGAGCCCGCAGTGCTTCCGGCTGCAGATGAACTCCCGCTCATGGGGTGGCTCCCCAAGTCTGCCACCTCGCCGCTGCCCTGCCCTCCTGCGGCGTGGTTGTTGACACATCGCCCTGTCATTATGCGCCGCGGCTCGCCTGACTGCGGCCTGGACTGACTGCCTGCACCATGCGCTGTCCCGCCCGGGATCTCCCTCCGCTCGGAGGCCTCATGCATGCCCGGCACGAGCAGCCTGATCGGCTCGACAGGCTCCGGCCGCGCGCGCAGGGGCGGGCTTGCCAGCTCCGGGCTGACATCAGTGCCCTCGCTCCTGTCGCTCCCAAGGCTGCTGTAGCGCATGGTGACGTCGCTGTCCTCCCCGCATGCCAGATCCAGGGACCTGGTTGAGGCAGTGTCCTGTGCGCTCTGCCAGCCGTGAGGAGTGTCGACAAGGGCTTGCTGGTCCAGAATGAAGCCATTGGTGACTGCATTGCTTGGCTCCTGGAGCACCTGCTTGATGACGTCCCCGTTCATGATGGGAAGCGGCGTGTGGCAGCCGTTCTGCTTGCTGTGGTCCTTTGCAGTGCCATGCCCGTTCGCCAAGCTCGCCCTGACCAAGCCATCTGCAAGACACCATCCAGGGATCAGCACGACACGCGTGCCATTTCCTACCTGTGTCGATGATAAGCATGCATCAGGTTTGAGACGCAAGGAGAGATGCGAATAGCATGCAACCACACAAGAACATACTCCAACTGTAGGCAAAGACAATAGAATGTTGGCAAGTGTCAAATGCCGTGTGCTTGACCACAAACACTCACCTGCACCATGCATGCTGCTCCATTGGAGCGCTGTGTCAGGTATATGGGAGCCCTCATGGCTGCTGGAGGAGGTGCATACACCATCGTGCTCCATGCTGGCATCTGCACAGCATGCATATGTATCAGAAAGCCTGCATTTTCCCTTATGTGACCTTATCAGTTCCTTCATCTCTTGGCATGCTTCCTTGTGAGCCCAGGCACAAGTTATCAGCAGAATGCCTTTTGAGATTCACCGCTGGCGTCACTGCCTTCACTCGCCGCCCTGGAATGTCCGCCAGTATGACCATTGGCCATTGGGCTGTCAGAGGTTTGCAGGGCATCCAGGGAGTGCGGCGCTGCCATCCGCAGGAATGCCTTGGCTGTCGACATGTCCTCGCCTGAATCTGACACTGCAGCGCTCATTCTGCTGTCTGCTGCGGGAGCATCGGCAAGGGCACCTTCCCAGTCGCTGCTGCCTGCTGAGCGCTGGGGGCTGGGCAGGGGGTGGCGCAGCCCTCTCCCTGCCTGCGCCTGCTCGCTGTTTCATGAGCTTCTTTGACTGCTTCTGCTTGCCGTTGGCGTCTGCCTTTGGAGGCAGCAGTGCTGGAGGAAGCCACCCAAGCGCTGACGCCTGCGATAGGCTGGCGGGGCCAACCGCGGGTCCCGCTGCTATCTGCTGTTCTGGGATGTCTTGAGGATGGTTCCTATGCGTTGCTGTGTCCACTGGTGGCTTTGTGGTTGCCATGCTGTCTGCTTTCTTGTCTGATGTGCAATTGCTGCTGTTGCTGCGCGGCACAATCTTGTCATCCAGCTTGCTTGCGATGAGGACGGAGAATCGCAGAACGAAGCACTTCAGCCAGTGAGGCTGGTCCACCACGTCGAAGACAGCTGTGAAGCCTTGAAGACCCTCGTCTGCGCAACAAGCAAAGGCTCAGACACAAGTGTGTGCAAGTGATGTCATGTGAGATATGTTTTGCCGTGAGACAGCCCAGGACCTTCTGACACACTCAGCTCTGGAAGCCACGAGTGAAGTCCCACAATTCCGATCAGCACAACTCACAGGGCAGTACAGCACGCACCAAAATGGACGCACAGCTCCGAGCTCACTGCTGTGTCAAGCAGCTCCTGACGACTCTGCTGGTGTCGCCTCACGTAGCTGTCAAAGTACTCGAGACGAGATTTGGCGTGAGCCCCGTCGAAGTGGTACGCGAAGGGCAGCGCGAAGTTCCTTCCTGCCGAAGTGCGGCCTATTAGCTGTATGTGGAAGCGGGATGCCTGGAAGCGCTCGTCAACTGCGATGTAGAGCGGTGAGCTGTCGTCGGACTTCGCCTTCCAAGAAGGTAGCCAGGAGTCGAGCTGCAAGGCAAAAGACTCCACTCCCAAGCCCTGACTGCAGAGATCCCCGTCGACTGTCTCGCAGGAGTAGAGGCGAAGACTCAAGGATCGTCCAATGACCTTTCCGTCCTGGAAGATGATAGCCTGTCCCAAGCACATAGAGGGTCATTGCAGCCACGTCCGGTTCCAAAATATTATAGGACAGTCTGCCTGCATGACAATTCTGCGCACAGTTGCTCCAAAGCGTTAGGATACTGAAACGCAAGTTGCATTCCCCTGCACACGTTGGACAGTCCCAACCTCCCCTTCATAAAGCTTGTGGCCATGTGTCCTGCCTTCCTTTACAGGACAAGTCAGGGTGACATCTTGAAAGCTTTGCAAATGCACATTACGATAATATCACTACGAGCTTGAGGACTGTAAATGGGATTTTCTTCGGCTCACAGTGAAAGACACAGCAGTGCATGCATACTGACTTCAAACATACCTGCCACTGGTTGAGCGACGATAAGATTTCCTCCGCTGCTGGTTGCTGCTTTGTGCTCTCCTTTAGATCTGTGGATTGGTCTGCCTCTGTTCCAAATATGAGACGCTGCTGTTCAACAGGAATCCCTTCCTTCTCTTGGAGGGCCTCCTTTATCACGCGCAAGTGCTCCTCAGGGTGCTCTACAAGAACCTGCGCAGGCACAACAGTGTGCATGTGAATTAAGGCCACAGTGTTTCTACAGTCTTATCAGAGGCAGACGACGCGTGTCAGAGCATAAAGTACCTGACTATGTGCCTGCCAGCTTTTTCTGAGCTTCATAAGAATTGTATGCGTGATAGCCCATCAGATCTTGGAACCACCATAAACTTCAACGAAGGAGGCTTCCGAACGTCATAATTGGTGTCCACAAAAACCAGAGTCCACAAGAAAGCTCTATTCAGAAGGCAGATTTGGCCGAGTTGCGGAGCTACATAGGACGGCGTTCCCTCTTGTGCAAACCTTTTCGACCACTTCAACGAGGTCTCAAAGGTCATCCCATCCCGTCGAATTGCCAAAGTGATAACATCTGTAGTGAGATCTCAGGATTAATATGCCTATCGGAGGAGAAAGGTCCCGTCTAAATCAGATTCAGATTATAGATCTGAGGTCCGGTGAACGAGAGAGAGAGATGTCGGAGCCTTCCTTTCTGCTGGTATGGAAGACACCTGCCACCAAGTTATATCTATTTTTCAATTTGCCACCGCTGAACGCCCAAGCTTGTATTTTAAGCCTGCGCAATAGCCTTGTTTGTGGGTGCAAGGCTTTCCGAAAGGTGTGAGTTCGACGACAACTCTTGTGACTCGCAGAGGAACATTCTCGGTGGCTGGCGACGAAGCACAGAATTGGCCTTCGAAGCTGCAGCTATCCGGCACCGGCCACAGCAGCCATGCCCTGGAACCTCCACTGACGACCACCAAAGATTTGGAGCAATTCCTGGCTCACACACTGGGAGCTCTATCCAGATGAACGAGGAAATTGAGGTTTGACATCAATCATCCAGCATAACTTGGAATTTTGAAAGCCCTCATGTGCCCATTGCTGATGTAAATTCCAGCTCTAGTACTGGGCTTTGCTCGTGCTCGTCCTTGTGACTACTCTTCAATTCTCAAGGTATCAATCTTGATATGACAGCTTGCTAAAATGCTGCACAACTGCTGCAGGATCTCTCTCAACCAGCCAGCTGTAGTTTTCTGCAGGCAGGCCAGGTACAGGCCTACCGTTCCGTGCAATTGCTTACCTTGTTTACTCAATCCAATAAAACATCGGCAGGCATGTTCTGAAAAACATCAAAACCTCTTCATGCAGATGTTCAAAGGCAAGCAGCGCGTGTCACGCTTGGATTGCAGCACTGAGGAGGATTGGCCGGTTGAGATCCGGGTGGAGGTGATCACCTAACCCAAATTTTCACCTGAGCTGGCAGCGGCATGTTGTGAACGCTGATTAGAACTACTGATTAGAACTTGAGCTTCTCACTACACAAGCTTTGTGTTAAGACAACAGTATTTCAGGTGCTCTGCCAGAGCCAATACTGGCTGTGTGCTTGCAGGATGTGAACCTGCAGGAAGGGACACTATGCGGTAGCAGTACCTGGCACCTGCCAAACGGCAAGTCGCCTGTGGTCACGTCGTGGGAGGGCGAGATAATCGACAACGTCAACCACAGCTTTGTGACGCAGAAGTGGGGGGCCACGCAGCAGAGCGACTTGAAACAGTGGAGCAAATTCCCTCACTTTGTGCCCCTGCGCCTCAATGTTCTGCAGAGGAGAGGCAGGTGGGACAGCAGCCTTTCATCTTCTGCTGCATGCTTGAAATGGAGTGTCTACAGCCGTTAGCATGCTCATTGCACAGCATTTTCCTTCAGCACATCAAAAACTGCACAAACCCTGCCTTGTTCTGTCCTGCTGTGTGTACAATGTAAATATGTTTGGGGCTAGCCAGCCTCACTCTGTGACATGTAGGCAACATTCACATCCGATGGTTTTGTAAAGATGTGTGCATCGATGTCAACGCGCAGGTGTGGGTATTTGCGGGACTACTCCCACATATACATGCGGTGGAAGGAGCAGTGCTTCCTCAACGCTGGCGAGGACTGCGGCCTGACAATCGCCGGTTTCTACTACGTCTGCATGTGCCGCAAGACTGGCGAGGTGCAGGGTACGTATATAGGCTCCCCTTCCTGTAACATGGTGCATCCTATCTTCCCTCGTGGACTGAACCATCCTTGTGAGTTGCTGGTCTTCGTAGAGACAGGGTATGACCCCTTGCTGTGTAATTTACAGGGATATATGTGGACCCACACTCGACCCCCAACCACCACTTGTCCCTGCGGCCCTGCACCCAGGGAGGAGCTGGCTCTCAGACCTTTTCTGCTTTCCAATTTCGATGATAAAGTTGCCCTTGGGCACGTCAAAGTGGTGTCCTGGCAATTCTTGTAGCTTCACTGTCTCTTGACAGCATGAACATACTGATTGCACGGCATGCATGTCCAGAGGGTGTTGCCAAGGTGGAATTAAGCCAGCGCCACATGGGCCCGCCTGCAATTGCAGCTCCTTGTGCAGAGTGAGCATGCTAGTCCAGGTGCAAGCGGTACATAGATATGTGATTTAGCGCTGTGCTTAGTTTTGGCAGCAAACATTTTCTTGTACTATACATGCCTCACTGCATGTGAATATTGTACTTGTTTTTGTGCTGAAAGGCAAGTGTTTGGATGGGAAAGCGGTGGGAGCTAGGATCCTTCAGGGCAGCTCGTTGAGGTTGGCCGTTTTCGGGATAGGCAGAGCGATATGAAAGTTGCCCGGCCCGTTATGCAATTGACTGCGAATGCTTTGCAACAAATGGCAGCCACAACTGTGCCATGGGTTTGACTGGTGCTGCAGCAAGTTCTATCATGTACATAAGTTGGTATCTTTAATCGTTGAGATTGCCTTCCCTCTGGAAGAATTAAGCTCTGAGCTGTGCGTCAGGATTATGCGGCGGTTGCTGAGCTCGTTTCATTGTCTGATGGAACTTGCAATGGCACTGGTTGTGTGATTGCCCAGCATGTGCAATGATGTATCTGATACTTGTAATGGATTGGAACCCCCTCAACAATTCATGATGCACTAGCAAATTGAATAGCACAGGCATCACTTCAATTTCAAACATTAATCAAGGGTATCCTGCAATGCAGACGCTGCAATCCTCCCCCACACTTGTCAACCTGACACGTCTGAGGTATGCTGCAGAAACACAACATTGCCAATTGATCTGCAGGCACTCTTGTGATAAGCTCTCATGTGCTCTGTGAATCTCAGATCCTCTCAATGTTGCAATTGTGCAAATGGCAAGTCATGCCCTTGCACCAGAGCGCCGCTTGATGGTGATGATGTACTCAGGATACCCTTGCTCATGGCACCTCGAAGACAACGAGCCGCCTCTGCTGGCATGGAAGTAGCAGCTATCCCCAGAGCGCCTCTCTGGTTTGCTGTCCTCAGCTCTTTGCGCAACCCGGCAGAGGAGCAATGCTGGATCTCGCATGTTTTGCTGCAATCACAGCTTAATCATGACACAGTAGAACGTCAAAATGCTTGCAGTACAGCATCATGTTTCTTGTAAGCAGATGTCAAGGTTCTACTGAAGTCTGAGAGAGCTAAGAGCTGTACTGGGGTGAGGGTGTCACCTTTGCTAGATCTGATGACACTTCACTTGTGCTCATGCCAGTTGTGTGACTGGAGATTGCAGACCTACTGGAGAACTTTCTTGCAGGTCGGGCCTTGTCAGCTGCAAGCATCAAAACCTCATCTGCATGCAGGAACCTGAGTAATATGGGGTAGGTGCCCACCAGGTTGCATGCAAACATAACTTTGATCTTAGCAAGAGATGCAAGAGGCCGTTTAATTGGGGAGCATGACAGCATACCTGTATCACTGTGTACCCCGTACTCAGCGAAGAACCAAGCCTCTCTTTGTGTCGTGCTGCGGCCATGCCATTGCCATTTCTCTTCAACTCCGCATCCGCTTCTCCGTGCAACTTCTGCCCTGCAGCAATGCAAGTTCCCAAAGCAATTATGCATTCCACAGTGCATGTGCTGCTTGACAGCTACCCCATGCATGCCAGTTGTCCTTCCATCTCAATGGTCGTACATGGGAAAATGGCTACCTTCTGACAGCAAAGTTGAACCACAGCCTTGGATTCTGGATGCGCTGGATGGTGGCAACATGCTCCTTCCTCATGCGCAGGCTGTGTTCCAAAAAGCTCAGCACTGCTGTCACCTCTGCGTGGTGTCCCTGAGCATTGCCACCTTGATGGGTCCGGGGGGATCTCTGTCTTTTAGCAAAGGCCCGACAGTTCTGAGGATCCTGCACGCAAAGCAACATGAGTGAAATGTGCCCTCAAAATTGCTTACTGTGTCAAGTCAGGTGCAGAAAAGGGGATAAAGGAGAGGCATTCATACATTCCAGCCTTCAAGATCGCCTGTATACTCTGTTGCGGTCGGAAACATCTGTGCAATCTCGACACCGTCAAGCCTGGATGGCGGCATTGCCTTCCAATGCACTGGAAGCATTCCCGTCAAACTGGCCAAGAGATCCTCCTCCGTGCAGCTGCCCCTGCCCTGCACAGGCAAATGATGCTTTGCAAGGGTCCACAGTACTTCAAAGGCTACTGACTAGTGTACCTGTGACAATCTGGAGCCCATTCCCGGACATGCATCTTGAGACAGACATGACATACTGTTACAAATGGAAATGGGCTGAACACCACGAGAGGCAGACCTGCGTGTTGATGGAAGGTGGATCCTGCTGCGCTGTAAGATAGGACTGGCTCGATGTGGGTGACAGCCGTGCAACTGGTCCTGCGGCTGATGCCCAGTTGTCTGGGCATTCTGTTAAGCACGTGGAGGACTCGAGTGTTTCGCTGCAGCTATCGTCCCTGCAGGTGTCGTTCAGCCACTCGTAGATGTACCTGTCCCGCATGCCTGCAAAGACATGCGGAGGGAGTGGCCTCGTGGAATGCTTTGTCAATCCCGCACCCTTCAGGTCAAGTTTGGGCACTGCTGGAGGCGACTGGGCTGTACGAAGCACCCGCCTGCCTCCTGTGCATGCAGCATATTTCCCATGAATGTCACTGCTGTTCATCAGGTGCTTTATCACAGCGCTCAGTGTTCTGCCTTAATGCTGACAAGGCTTTTCAAAGCCATCTAAATTACCTGCTTCAGCACTACCACCTGCATCTCGAGAGCTCCCTCCAATATCCAGCTGTGCGCTTTTCTCAGGAATCAGCAGCAGCCTTTTCACAGCAGACCTCACTCTGCATCCAAACAGAGCTTTATATTGAGGGCCACGTTGAGAACTTGGAGCGAATTGAGATGCAGAACAATTGCTATCAGTGGATTGTTGTTGAAAGGCCGACATACCTTCTATCCATGATGTCGTCTTCTCTTTATGTGTGCGCATTTCAGGCCTTCTCACGTCTAGATTTGTCCGAAGACCTCGAGATTTTGCTGATTGTCCTGGAAATCGTCCTCGTCGTTGGGCGTTGAAAACAGGTAGGCCAGTCTGCGAGCAAGTTAAACCAGGCAGGCTTCGGCTACACACCAGGATTCCGCATGGTTAAATGGGATTGGACTTGAAAGGACGAGGTCCACCGGCCAGTCCTTGGACACGTGTAATTCACATGAGCATGCATGCAACGCTTGGATGTCCCAACATACTTGTGAGGACCATCTAACATTACAAGTGAGTCATCCAAGTATTAAGATCTCAATTGCAATACTCTAGAAGACATCAATGTGCAATGCATCATAAGCTCAAGGACAGCTGCAGCTGCAGCAGAACCGGTGGCCAGTTTTTCTCCGATCAGAAAAGGTTATTGTAATCAACATTGAATGCAAGCATGGCATGATCACCATTACGGCTGTGCATCATGCTGGCATATGCAATATATATATGATGCGCAGGATTGTTATTTTGCTTGCATCATCATATAACATCCGTCATAAAACAGGCTTGGTGCACTAAATCCCCAAGGCAGGCCGCTGAAAGGAGAGTAGTCTGATTGGGCCGCTTTCAAACTCTTCAGCTGCACATTGCATGGGGACCAGGCCCACGGCGGCTGCCAGATCGATCACTCGCTGCTCACTCACTCTTCGTGTCACATGACAAAGGAATACCAGCCCCTGCACATTAGCATAACCCGCAGTTTTCTGGGGTGCCACAGGCAGCGAATAGGTCCACTTCAAGACAAGCAGCATTGCAATTTATACATGGCCCTGGTGGTGGTGCATTCAGATGCCCCATCTTGGAAATTAGAAGCACAGCTGCACATGACAGGGCCTGATTTGCTCACAGAACCAAATTCACTTTCTCGCGCTGGTCAGGCAACAATGCATGCACCTCAGAAGTCTTAGCGGGAGCCACTAAAGCACACTGCCTACCTCTCTGGATGGGTCCAGCAGCCGTGCAATGCTGTTGAACAGCTCGGGGACTGCCTCCTCAACATACACCACGTCCGCACCAACAGCAATGTCAACGTGCCCGAATTTTTGCAGCACCGCATTGACATGGATTGCATCGCCCCAGCGCAGCTGTCGCAGCCTCAACCGCTCCACCACCACCAAGCTGCAATCCATCAGCCATGTCAACTGCGCCTTGATTGCTTCATCTGCTGGTCTGCACAATTTGCCTCGACAGATGACTTCATCTGTTGACTTGCATACATTGCATCGATGGAAGACGGGTGAAGACCCCTGTTATGATCACCTGGCATTCAGGCTGACATTGGTTTCCATGAGGGCCAGCGCTTTGGGGCTGCCATCACATGCAATCACCCTCCGGCAGTGCCGCAGAGCTGCAAAGGCCACCAAAGGATTGCTGCCGCAGCCGACCTCCAGAACTCGACTTCCTGTCAACTCATAACAAATACTTGTCAGCTTCAGCAAGACAGGACGCCTCTTGTTTTTCCACAATTGCAAAATTCTCAGTAGAGCAACGGCTGAATTACCTGCAAAGACTTCAGGATGTGCAAGGATGAAGCGAGCCAGAGCTGGACCCGATTCCCAGTGCATGAGGCCAGTATGAGGCAGGGTATGACGGTGTGTCCTGCTGATGCTTCTCAGCTCCAGACACCCAAGACCCTCAACGTGCACTGTTTCAACAATCTCCTCTGGTCGATTGGCCTCCGAGAACAGAAGATCTGTCCCAAGCTCATCATCAGCAGGGGCAAGATTCCACTCTTCCGTGGATGTTAAAGGCTGAGCACGCAAAGGATTCAAGGCTCCTGCGCAGAGAAGATAGCAAAGATGAAGCCATTGGCTGTCAGCATGTCTAACAACGATGCAACTATTTAGAGCTTTTATTTGGAGTGGCAGTAGTCTGGCTGACCTGATGTCACATCCTCTTCGATCCCTGTGTACAAAAAGACAGCTTGTATCCATCGTCTCTCCATGACGATCGCCTTTGCTCGGTTCTCCACTTGCCGCTCATGCACATGCATGTCCATGCATCTGTAGCCGTTCCTCCTAAATAGTTCCAGCAGCCCTTCCTGATAGCAAACACTAAATCAGTGTGAGTTTTCTGCCGTGGCTGGTCCTGCATCAGCTGAAAACAAATCTTCTGCTGAGGCAGTTTTCAAGCTAGGAGATATTAGTCCCAATGCAGCACTGATTGTAGAAGGTGGCAGATGAGCACCTCAGAGAAGTAGAAGGCGCGAGTGCCATCGCCTCTTGCGAAGAAATTATCACCCAGCTGCTGCTGCTTTGTGGCCAGGCGAGCCTGTGCCAGGTCACCCTCCGCATAGTCGCGCACCAAGACTCTCCCCGAGCCAACCTTCAGCGTTCTACCTATGTTTTGAAGCACCTGCATGCCAGCATCCGACCTCCTCCATCAGAAAGTGCCATTAACGAAAGCTTGCATATATTTTGTCATCGTCGTAAATGCTGAAAGTATTGTGTTCCTCAAAAGACATAAGTGCTTAGAGGATCTACCTGTGGCATTTTGCTGGGGTCGATCGCCGAGAGCACAAAAATGAGGGTGCAGAAGTCAATGCTTGCCTCTGGCACATTGGAGGCGAGGTCATCGGCAGTGAGGTCAGCTACAAAGGCATGCACCCTGCCTGCCTGATGCAGTGGATGCGAGCGCAGGATGTCGACTGCGCTGGGTGAAAAATCGCAGGCATATGCGATAGCCTCTGCATTTGTTTCCAGCAGCGGGAGGAGGGCATTGCCAACTCCGCAACCTGCCTAGTTCAGCATAATTCTTTGCTGAGTTGCGTGTCACTGAGACATCAGTGAGGCATCATCATCTGTTCATGTGGAGGCATGCACATTGTGTAGCAGACATACAGACTGTCATCCACGCTTTGTCCATGAGAAGTGTACCTCTAGAAGAGTCAAGGGGCCTTTGATAAGATCAGGGACCTCCTTTTCAAGATAGTGCCGGTCACTGAAGAATCTGCTGCCATTGCGCTGGTAGAACAACTCCCAGTATTTTGCTGCTCCGATCTCAAGTTGATCTGTGAAGAAGCAGCCCTGTCAGCCAAATTAGTGAAGGCAGAGTGCATCTGCGCTACGACAGTGCAAGTTTGCAAATTAATTACCGATACGTTGTAATGATTGCAGGGATGATGGCACGCTGTAAATGGGCATGTCTGCATCCTAGCTACAGCCTGTGGCACTGGTCATGCCTGTCAGCGAGCCCACGCTTCCTGGAATCTGTAGATGTTTCAGTGAACAAAATACATGTCATGATGAGTCAGGAACCCGGCTAGTAAGTCCTTCAAACAGGAGTCCTTGTTCACGTTTACAGGGTGGCTATATATTCCACATAAGAATGATGCACGACAGCCGCTCAGTTCAAACGAATTATGGAATTCTAAATAAACAGAGATTGTAGCCAACAATGCTGCGGCCGTCTCCATATTACGTTTCATGAAGTCACATCGCTCAGCTGAGTCGGCTCCAAAGACACGAGGGAGGTAGCCTTGGTAACCAAGGAGAAACTTGAGGGCACAAGGTTCCAGACCAACTGTTCCAGGACCTCGATTTGTGGCGATGAAGCTTCAAATTTAATGCATTCCAGCTCATCGGTCTCCAACTCATTTTTTTCTCTTAGAAGGATGTCCTGCTTACACCTGTAGCTGTGTTGTTCGACGAATTGCATGTTTCAATACATGTTTGCTTTCAAACATCTTCAGTACAATATATCATAATTTAAATTCTTGTTTTTGGAGGGTGATTACGCGGACATCACTGTTGACACTTTCGACTTAGTCTATTTTTTGGCAATGTCCCAGTCAACGAGAGCACCAGCTCTTCTGAAGGGCCACACAGCAAGCGTCCTTTGCTGTGCCGTCCAACAATCTCAATCCATATTGGCTTCAGGATCAGAGGTATTTCGTTACTGTGAACGTCACCCTTTCCCACTGTTACTAGGAAACAGTACTGGACTTCAGCTGTGTCTACATCTCACACTTATTCTGCAGGACGGGGATCTCGCCATCCACGATCTGCGAACATATGAAGTGGCACAGCGTATCAACTTTGCTGAGAGCGGGGCTCTTGAAATTCCATCAGTGGTCTTTGGAGTGGAAGACCACCAAATTTATGCAACCGGAGAGAATTGTGCATTCCAAATCGACAAGCGCCAGGTGAATCAGCCAGCAGCTCCATTATCTGCCATTTTTATTTCCACAGTGACCTCCGAGGACAAATGGTTGACGCACTTGATGGTCTCCAGGGTGCAGTCCTGCAGAGATATGCTTTCAACAGCGAAGAAATCAACAGCCTCGCGCTGTCTCCAAATGGCACATATCTAGCGGCAGCCGATGATTCTGGGGAGGTAAAGATCATCAACGTCCGCACACAAGAGCTGCACAAGACGCTGAGAGGCTCCCACACCAACATCTGCGCAGCGGTTGCCTTTCGGCCGCACCATCCTTGGGAAGTGCTCAGCGGCGGCCTGGATGCGCAAGCAGTAAGGTGGAACTTTGCTTCCGGCAGACCGCTGCGGACCTGGCAGATGGGCGCAGAGTCAGTGGAACCTGATAGCACACAGGTGATGCCAACGATGCTCTCAACCAAATTACCATCGTCAAGGAAACTCCTGCTGATTTTTTTTTTCGAGTGGACATCACAAAATGGGGCTGACTAATTTGCAGGCGTTCAACCCTCCGCTTGTGCACAGCATCGATGTGGCATGTCCGCCGTGGGCGCCCAGGCAGCTTGGGCGACTAATGGCAGTGGCGCGCGGAGACGGCCATGTCACAGTGTACGACGCCGATCATGTGGACCGAGCGCCAAATCTGGGAAAAAAGAGCAAGGTAGCGCTTGGGAATTATCTTGTCTGGTGCATTTGCAATGCTTCAGGTTTTTCGATCATGCTTTTACTTGGGTCTGAGTGTATGGCAGGTCGGTAAGAAGTCACGAGGTGCCTCGAGAGGCCATGACGTTGCCGTGGGCGAGGCTGTTCAGCATGAAGACCAGGGAATGAGGGAGGGCCAAGTCTGCAGCCTCGCGCAAGAGGACGGTGGCCATGGTGCAAGTGTTGGTACTGTGTGAGTATCCTTCTCACCCTGAAAGTCTCATGATGTCATGCTTGCTCCTCCCACAGTCACAGAATCAGGCACAGTTGATGCCATGCGCTCTTTCTGATGCAACATGTACCTTCATGCAGGGCATTTCACAGGGCATCGAATGGGCGGCACCTGATTTCCGGTGGGAATGATGCAGCGATTATCATCTGGGACTGGTCCAGGGGTCTTTCAAGTGACTCAGTGTTGGCTACTTTGCTGCTTGGTGGCTCAGAAACAGCGAGCAGCAGCTGCACAATGGAGCGAATCAACCATGGGAGAAAAGTGAACTGTATTGCAACGTGTGAAGGCGGTGGAATGAATACTTTTGTAGCAGATACATCACGAACACTAAAGGCATACTGCATCACGTGATTGCAGCACTGTAACTCAAGAGTGGAGAAGCATTAAGGATTGAGCGTGACAAGCCTTCCGATCCGGTCGCGACTGAGTAGGTCACCTACCGCATTGGCGACTGCAGTGCACTTGTGGTGGGCCAGCATTCTTGCTTAGACTAGATTATCAGCTGGCACTGGAACCCAAGCTGAACGAAGGAAGTTTTCAATGGACAGTGAAGCTATAGCAGGACAGGATGTGCCCACCTTGCATGTTCTGCATGCTCAAGCAGCAGATGCCCAGTGCATGCCAAGTTTGGCAGCTGCACAATGCAGTCTTGGCAGTCTTGGTCTTGTTGCAGTGTGTCTGCTTAGTGCATTGCACCAAAAAGGCATTTTCAACCACTTAAATTGCTGTTGATGCATTATGCTCTGGTTGCGGTCAATATGTAGCACGACATAGGTCTTCAATTTGCTCCATTTGGATCTGGTCATGCCAATAGACATCGCAGGCGAAACTACACAGACTTTCACTTCTTACATATAGTTTAACACCTCGATTAGTTTAAAAAGCTTTCTCTAGCTGGTCCAAAGCCATTGATTTTCACTTTGAAGAATATCACATGTCGATGCCTGGAGCATGAAACAAAGGAGAGAACATGTGGAGGGTGCAAAAGCCTGCGCTCATTAGATCTGCATGCATCGTGCGCTCCCAACAAAGCCATCCCGTTGTGTATCATCCTGACTTCAAGATATCACCTCTGAAGGATGGACACAGGTAAGGGCCCATGCCCTGGCAGCCTATGATCAGGGTTTGAAAATGACAATCCAGCTACGCCACGATCTGGTCAGAATGGCAGCATGAGTGGCTGGCTCAATATGATGCAGGTTTCCAATGCCAAAGGACCACCTGCTCTACTTGAGGCTGAAGGAGTTGGGATATGTCGACAGGACATTCACACCACGGTGCTCGCTTCAGATCTGCATGCATCTCGTGCTTTCCTTGTCTATGTGCTGGATCCTGTGGAGGAAAATTCAACGTACTTCATGTCCATGCAGGTACCCTGATGCGGAGACTCTGCGCTTGGTATGCAGACACTCTGTGCTTCTCTGCTTTTGCGCCCCGTGTGTGTTGGGAGATTGTTGATCCAGACAATGCATCTGTCTTGTCCCAGGTCCACAGCAGCACCTATGTTGACGCCTTCATTGCTGGAACAATATCAGCGGAGAAGATGCGGCAGATTGGGCTGCCGTGGTCAGAGGAATTGGTGAAGAGGACGCTCATTGGGACCGGCAGCGCCCTGCTTGCCGCCCGGCTGGCATTGCAGTACGGGGTGGCCGTCATGTGCAATGGGGGGACGCACCACGCACACGCAGATCATGGGACAGGCAAGAGGGTCTTGGCACTTTGCACAGGAGAAGTTGACCTGCAGGTTATACCCTTTCAAGACATCCGAATCGGATGTATTGAATGTCAAATGTAGCACTGCAGGGTGGTGCATTTTCAATGACCTGGCGTGCGCAGCGCGAGCCGCACAGAGAGATGCTGGTGTCGAGAAAGTCCTCTTTGTGGACTTGGATGTGCATCAAGGTGAGCAGCAATGCCAGACTTTGCTGCATGCTGATCACTGCTCAATTTGAGGATACAGAAGTCTATCTCCATACCATGGTGCAAATGAGCTCGTCGGTCTCTGTTCCGCAGGTGACGGCACAGCGGCAATCTTTCAGCGTGATCCGTCTGTGTTCACGTTCTCGATGCACTGTGAGGCACAGTCGTTTCCAAGTCCTTTGCAGACAAGCGATGAGGACATTGCGCTGCCGGCTGGCACCTCTGATGGTGAATACCTGGAGGTAATTCCAGTGCCACAGTACTGGCATGCCATGCTGCTTGTCCAGCCATTGATATGCAACTCCACCCCGCACTAAGATTCTGCCAGTAGATGTTTACTTTGCATTCCTCCTTTTGCACAAGGCTCTGCTTTGTTTGTAGGTTCTGCAGGAGACGCTGCCTCGTCTTCTCTCCAGAGAAAATCCAGATCTAGTTCTGTACAATGCGGGGGTGGATGTACACAAGGATGATGCTCTCGGCAAAATGGCCCTGACAGACGAGGGCATCCCGTCAGCGAGACAGGCTTGTCTTTGCAAGCTGTGCAGACGCCTCTGTGCCTGTAGCATGCGCAATCGGCGGCGGCTACCAGGAAGATCACCTCAGCATTGTAGAGCGGCATGTTCTATTGCACAGAGCAGCTCGGGAAGCCATGCCAAAGTTTGCACAGATTGCAGAGATGACAAGAAGACAATGGGCCAGAACAAAAGTGTCATGATACTTAAGTATCAGGCCAAATATTTGCATGACTAGCCAGCTGTCACCATCAGTATTGTTATCCTTGATGTTTAAATCGGTCCGTCTGCATGAAGGGTTTCTAGGAAAATGACAAGCCTCTGGGGTAAAAGAAGTTGGTGAGATTTTAGCAGTCTGCCACGTGACCCTCATAAAATAGCTCTTACCTGCAACGCATGGCGCTGTAAAGCCAATTGTGCTGCAAATTCAGCTTCATCAGTAGCTTTGCAAATTTGACATCCAGCCCATGACAGATGCATGCATGCGGAACACGATGTTGATGCATACTATGCATACTATGCATAGTATGCATGCCCACTGTTAAAAGCTTCATGATCTGCCTGCCGAGCAATCATTCCAAGACACACTCAAAATGAGTCAAATTGCAGACATGCAAGACACCACGAGCGCAAAAGGTAGATCTGAGAAGTTCCTCTAGAATATTCAAATGGGCAGTGCTCATCATGATGGTGCCAAATCTGGAACAGCCACTTCTCCCGAATGGATCAACTAGATGCAATCAGAGAAATCGGGCAATGCCATTACACGAGAATCGATGAAGAGTAATATTGCTTGTCTTTGCGACAGGTACAGTCCTCTGGTCCTTGCTGATCTGAGATCCATGCAGCTGACGGATCCGAAAAAGGATCAAACGGAAGAGGAATGAAACGCTTGAGCACTCTGCTGCTGGTCACGATACACTGTCTTACCCTGGCCTTGTCTGCTTCTGGCGTTGACAACGAGAAGGGCATCGTCAACAATCCGCAGGCAATCGTCTTTGGGTAAGAAAGTTGCAGCCCCCGAATTTGAAGCTCTGCCAAGATCTGCAAAGGCTCCTGTCCATAATATGCTTGGCCAGTCAGTATCTGAAGGGCGACTGTGCTGATCAGGAAGGTGCAGGGTTGGCAGCAATCTTTGGCACAGGCAGTGCAAGCGGCAGGAGGGGAGTGCCAGTCTCGTGTGCATTTTTCTTTCTCCTCTGGCAGTCAGAAGGTAGTTAAGAACCACCAGTGTTTGCATTCCCGTGCACAAATGTTGGAGAGAGATTTTGCTGCGAAGACACTGCTATCAGGTTACAGATGAGAGTGCATGGGGTCATAGGCTTCAGATGTGCTCTGCAGGTCCAAAGCAAAACATGCATTGACCTGTGCAAGTCAGAAGCGGCCTACTATGATATCAGAATACCCCAGGCACATCCGGGCGGGTCAGACATTGCAGGACTCTTGACGGCCACAGTGGACTCATTGCCATCACTGACATGGCAGCGAGTTGTTTCTGTGAGAGGACTCGCTCACAAGGTGACAACACTACGTACGACTCTTTTGTGTGCAGTTGAGCGCATAACATTCTCAGCTGTAAATCTCCATGTCCGCCTGACTGATTTGCATGGCAAATGTGTAACCATGCAGGTGGACATCAATCTTGCAGACAGCGACAGGGACATCTGCACCCCTGCAGCAGCAAAAGTAGACAGCGACAAACGTAGTTCGAGGTCAGCAGACGCGCATGGGCGAGAGAGGTCTGATGCAGGCAGCTTTGAAGAGGCTGCAGCGCCACATCCACTGCTGTGGGAGTGCCTTCACAGGCAATGCAGCAAAGATGTCATCGCCGACATGCTGCAGTGCAAGGCAGAGCTGCCCATCTGGCAACCCCCTGATCCCCAGCCAACCTGTGCCGCCCACAGCATGCATGTCAGAAACACAGAGCGTTCGTCAGCAGGGGCCGAGGACAGCGTACCCTGGGCAGCCTTCTTGTGGGTCCCGGTCCTGTTTGTGGCAGCGCAGGCGACTCTGGCTACTGTGATTTGGACTTGTAGAGCCCGATCAGCTACTTGCTCAGTCGCGGCAGAAGGTCTTGAAACAAAGCAGACGGACCACCTCAACCTCAGACCTGAAGCAATTGCACTTGCAAGGCCTGTGCGCAGCTCAGGTACATCCTGACAACTGCTAGTGCTGACATGCCACGCACATGCCCTCATTTCATATGTCCTATCAGATGGACCCCTGATGGCATGATGACTGGCACCAATTGCAGGGGAATCAGGAGGAAGCGTGGTGCATGCTGCTGACATCGGGAGTAAGACGAAGCAGGCGCAGAGCAGGCAGACCACCGACATCGATGTGGTTGCGTGTGAGGAGACATCAGCTGAGGTGGGCAGCTACCAGCAGCAGCACCTGCAGCTGAAGAAGGGGACACGAAGCCACAGCACAGGGAAGAGGCAGGACAGTGTGATCACAAGGCGTCAGTCCACACTCTGGGAGCGAGCAGGGAACAGGTTGCAGCGCGCAGACACCAGCTCTTTCAGCAAGGCTGAGGAAGATTGATGGATCAGCTTGTGACCGGATTCATCAAGGGTCACTTGCACCAGCAACTTTCTGCTCATGTTAACCATCTCATGGCAGGACCAATGTCCAAGGACGCAACCATCAGTAGGTGAGCGAAATGAACAATGATGTGGTGCTTAGTATCCCATGGTGCAATAATAGAGAAGGCTTTAGCTGAATGATAGATTAGAGATCTGCATGGATGCAGATGAAGGAAAGCAGGCCAGACAATATTAATAATTTTGCAGCTTGAAATGTGAGTTTCTACAAGTTTGGCCATGATGACAGAAGTATCTTTGCACCCTTTCACAAGCTACAGTTGATCTGATCCTTCTAAGCACTCTCACAGATATTGTTCCTTGTTTCAGACCTCTTTATCGACGCAAAAAGTTATGTCAACATCTTCCTGACTTCTTTTTGTAATTTGAGAAAGTGAAGACTTGCATAGAAAATTATCGTACGCACTTTCTCAAATGCGACTTAATGCATGTCATGCATCATTATAACATGTCATTAGGATATTCACTTGTGCAATTTACCGCTGCTCCATTCTCACGCTTCTGAGCCGGTTCACCGCAGCTCCTATCTCAAAGATGCGCGGTCGTGCAAAGTTCCCTGCCTTCAGAGCAGGCGCCAGCACATCTAGACCCTGTTGCACACAGAAACTTGAGATCTTGCCCAGCGTATTCTGTTCTCACGCAGGCTATTCTGGTCCCAGCAACTGAAAAAAAGGACCTGATCACGGGCAGAACATACCTGGGAGTCGAACTCTGCATCCATGCGTTTCAACAGTTGAGCCAGGGAGGAGCCAGATGCTTGGGGCTGGCTGATCCATAAACGCAGCAGGCAGAGGGCTTCCGCAATTGCGCGCGTCTGAGACTTCTCTATGAGCTGCTCAAGCCCACTCAGGTCCAGGTTCTCATCGCCAAACTGGATCAGATTGGTCTGCCTTGTGGTTGTCTTCACTCGTTCTGTCCATGATGCAAAACCCCCCAGAGTCAAATTTCCAGACAATCTTTCTGCAGACCATTCATCATCCAACAATGGCAGCAGTCACAGGCGGGGGGAACAAGGCACCTGAGGATTGACTAGGGTAGATGGTGACAGGCGAGCGGCTGGCGACAGTGCCATAGTGACTGTTGTTCCCTGTCAGTGACGGCGCGCTCCCAAAGCGCCGATCGATGGCCAGGGCCTCCGCAGTCACGTCCGAGGCCTCATAGCTGTCCATGCGCAGGACAGTGTCCGACACCCCAAAGTAGTCGCCGCTGCCTCCCATGACCAGGATGCTGGACACACCGCGCGCCAGCAGAGACCTGATCTTGCTGATGAACGGCGTGATCGGCTCATTTTCCTTCTTCACCAACGCCTGCATAGTGCCCATACTTGCATACAGCTCTTGCGTCGCTGTGATCCTTGCCTTGCACATACGCTATACAAGCTGGACATTGATCAAAACAGCATGAAACATCAAGATCACCGCACCTGCATGCGCGCATCCCTGATCATGAAGTTGGTGGCGCACACGTCTTCATCCAGCAGCAGCGTGCTCGCGCCCAGCTCGAGGGCTTCCTGGATGTTGGCTGCCTGACTCGTGCTGCCGGAAGCGTCGGGCGTCCTGAACATTGTCGTGTCCTTGCCTGCATGCAGAGCATTTCTGTCACAGCAAGCATGTGGTAAAGAAGCAAACTGGTCTGTTGCTGGGAAAGAAGGTACTCAAAAAAACACAGAAGCCACCCACCAAAGGGGAGGTTGGATATGAAGGGCGAGATGTCTGTTGCCTCGACTCGACGCCCATCCTCCGCCCTGACTTTCACAGAGTCAGCCACAGTCACAACGAGCTCGCGGCCGTCTCCAGGCACCTGGGCAGCGCAATCAGAGAGCCACTATTGACACCACAACCAAATATGTGTGGTGAGGCATGATTCTTTCATAGCCCAGATCGGCACAGGCAGATTTTGTAGCCTGCAGAAGGGGTGAGTGGGTGCTTGCCTTGTTGTACACGCCGGCCTCCAGAGCTTTGAGCAGAGTGGTCTTGCCGTGGAAGCCTCCGCCGACAATCAGGGTAACGCCCTTCCTGATCCCCATACCTGTCACGACCCCTCGTCTTGGCAGAGACACCTGAACCGCAAGGTTCTCCGGAGAGGTGAAAGGGACAGCCTCCGCTGCTGGCATGGGCAAATCTGATTCGCCAGTCTTCCTGCAATAGATAAGCAACTGACAACCTTTCAGATTCAAGTTGACTACAGATGCGGTAAGAAACCACCTACGGACCCCACTTGCTGGCAAAAAAAAACCTGTGATTTATTCACACTATTGCTGACAAGGCGCTGATGGTGGCATAGGAAGCAGAGCTCACCGTGGCAGAATAGATCCATTTCCCACAAAGGCCACGAGGCCCAGGCCAGGCAGAGCACTGCGTAGGGCCTCAGTGTCCTCAACACAGTCCACATGTCTTCGCAGAGCTGCTGCATCCTGCATCTCGTAGAATAAACCGGCTCGTATATACCTGTGCACATGCTAGCTCAGTCCCATACGTCCTACCTCAATTTTTAAAGGCTGACAACAACTTTCCCAAGCAGTTGTTTGCTCGTTACATTTGTGCAAAGTACACGCAAGCAAGTGTGGGGAACCACAGACCTGGGCAAAAAGTCCACCAGGATCTGTGCTGCCAGGTTGCCCAGGATAGTGCGGCCCCTCGCTGGCAGAGCAACTGTGAATCTTGCCTCCACTCCACCCTGCAGTGCACAGTTGATAAGGGCAATGAGATTTTTTTTGGTACATTCATGACTTGTTGGCACGCATAGTGAATAGTTCTGAGGACAGTGCTGACCTGGTCATCTATGATGCATGATGTCCTCTGCAGGACATGTTGACCAGGGGTGTCAACAGTCATCTCTCCACCCTTCTGCCCATGCCAGCCGCCACTCTCCCTTCTGACATCCCCTCCAGCTGCTGAGACTGCACTGCCCAAAGATCGAGTCAAGAAGTCACACAGCGCTGTGCGCCGAATGGGCGACTCCCAGAGATCTCTGGGAAAACGCGCTGCCTCTGGCGATACCTGCAGTGCAACTTGGGCTCTTCAGCGCATGAATGTGGGCATGAGACAAGTACACCAAATCTTGCCCCAGTCAGCATGCGTACCTGCACTCGGCACCGTGATGGCTGTGCAAAGGGATCGGACTGAGCGCGATCGAGCATGAAGGAAAAGCCTCCTTGAAACTGCCAACTGCCCTCGACGTCATGGTATTTTGGGTAGTTCTGGCCTGCACAACGGGCACTCTCTGTGATGATCAGGCCCCAGTAATTATGAGGAAGGACTCCTTGACAAGCAGTATGGGAGGATCACACACCTTCCAGCCGCCTCAGAAGGCTGTTCAGCTCATCAGATCCACCACGGCTTCTAAGCTGATCTGCATGCAAGGTCTGGGTGGCCCCATCATGAGTGGAACCCTGATGCTCAGAGCGACCCCCTCCGTACCTTCCTGAGCTCCCTCTGCCATATTTGTTTTTGTAATATTCTCCTCTCCCACGTCCCCGTCCTGACATTTGGACTGATCTGCAGCTGGATCCTCTTATAGAACTTGAGCGTACAGGGCTGACCGTCAAAATTTCAGAAATGTGTTTAGACTTGGGCGAACATCTTCCAAATGCCCAGTCTGTGAGGAGGGGCTCTGTTGCGCGGGCAAGTGATCTGTGCAGGCAATAGTAATCTGCAAAGTAACTGATCTTCAGTAAAGCAGCCAGATTGCAGGAGTTCCTTAGATATGCAATCTCCCCAGAATGCCGAGATGTTCTGGGAAAGTTGTCTTGCATTGGCATTTCTGTCTCGAAAGTTTGCATTGCTATGTAAGTTACTGACCCGGATTCTCTATAACGCGAGGGTTTTCAAACCTATGCTGTCATTGCAGTCGTCCAGCACTCCATTGACACTTGGGAATCGCAATATACTCACTGACTGGTTGTCTTCCTTGAAGTTTGAAATGATGTAGTTTCAACCGACCCATACTGTGCAGGATCGGCAATCTGCAGCCCTGGAGTTGTCGTCTCGTGTTGTATGAGATGGCAGGGCTGCCCTTGTCTTTCACAACAAGCGTGACCACTTGTAACGTCAGGTACAGAAAGGAAGTATTTGATCTTGGAGTGTGTCTTCTTTAGTTTAGAACGATTGCCAATCTAAGTATGGTATGCGTAGGTGTGCAAGTCAAACGAACAGGAAGACTTCATCAAGCCAATTTATTGGTGATCGTTGTGCGTGTCTTCAGCTGCTTGGAAAACCAAATTTGGAGCAGAAGTTCGTATTTCTTCATGCATCTCTAGCCCAATCAAGGTTAGGGAAAGGACCTACATATCTTGAGGTGAGAGAGTCAAAGGGCTGTTGCTCTGGCCTGCCAAATACTTGGATGGTTGCCCTGAAGAAAATGTGCTTTTTTGAAGGTCTACTGAGGTCACCACTTGATTTATTATGACAATAAAAGGGGGGTAAATACTCTGTACTATACAGACCTACACTTTGCAGATGCCCTACTCCTAGGAACATACAAAAGAAGTACAGGCAGAATTCAAGGGCCAGGACATTAGGTATGCATGCTAAGAACAACAGAATGATTTTTTGGATCTGATCCTGGCCTGTCCTTGCAATTGTCCAGGGGCATAGGTGGTCGCTGGCAGCTACGTCCTTCGACGTGGCTGCATCAATGGACTTTGGCAGCGGCTTATTCATTGACTTTGACAACAATACTGACCCAGACGCCACAGTCGTCACCATCACGGGCCCAGACCAGCACAACCTGCTGCTGCGCCTCACAGCGGCGCTCAACAGCATGGGGCTGAATGTGGTGTCTGCTAGCATATCCTCATCAGATGATGGGACCGTGCTAGATGTCTTCCGAGTCACCAACAGCGAGGACCAGAAGGTCAGCACCTGTCCATGTTAATGGAAGCAGCTTGTGTAGGCTGCTTTTTATACACCTTTCTTCACTCTGCATACCGCTGATCTACCGCTCAAGGGCTCAATCCGTGTCTTACCGACTGTATAGCAAACCTTTCTATATTGATAATGGCGATGTGCGCAGGTGCCAGAGGACAGCTGGGATGGGGTGAGGGAGTCAGTGCTAGAGATGTTGGCGGCCTCCAGCAGCCGCTCCTCAAAGCCGGCCATCTTTGGAGCCGCGCCGGCGCCGGAGGAGCAGCAGCGGCGGCCGCTGGGGTCGGCCAGGGAAGGGGACGCCGTCGCGCTGGAAGTCGCTGCTGCAGAGATGGCGCAGGCCGCCGCCAACCTGGTCGCCATCGAGCGCAGCATTGTGGCGCTCACCGAGAAGGGGGTGCGCCCTGAAGCTGCTTTTTCTTGCCTTTTCGGCATGCAGCTGCAGGCAGACTGGATTCTATCAGTACAGACACACTGCCACGGTGAAGGAATGGCAGCAAGATTGGAGATGGCATGATTAAAATATAGCAAAATACTGCTCAACAAGTCCCTGCAGCGTGCTACAGACGAGGAGATAATAATAACAAGCTTGCAGCCATGCCAGTGCTTTACAGACATCAGGTTGGAGAATGATGGCAAGGCCATATCCCAGTATGCCGTGATTGAGAGGTATGGCCGGATGCAGGGGGATGCACAGGCGCTGGCGGCCAAGGAGACGGAGCGGGCGGAGGCGGCTGCGCAATTGGAACGACGGATGTCGGCCATGGAAGCTGTCCTGGTTGCGCGCAGAACGCCTGTGGCGGAGGCCAAGCCTGAGGCCGCCCGGGGGCCTGGAGCAGACCTCCGCTTCCAGGTGAGTTTCTAGCACAAATGACCCTGCCCAGATTTCCAAGGTTGTCATTGGATGCATCATGGTCTCATAGGGTTTTGCATGTCTCATTAACGCGCAAACAAAGTCTGCATGTGCAGGCTGGTGGAGCTACTGCATCCGGGCCGGCTCTTGGCAATGGCTATGAGATCATCCTGCAGGGCTTCAACTGGGAGTCACACAGGCAACAGTGGTACCAGGTGAGCTGCGCCCAAATTCTGCCAAGCAGTTTCCACAAGATGACAGTCTCATATGATGCTCATCTTGATATGAGGTCAGACAATGGTCACAGGGGGATGACAGGGTCTGTGCTGGGTGGCTGCAGGTGCTGAAGGATCAGGCGGGCTTCATGGCGAGTGCAGGCATCACGAGCGTGTGGCTGCCGCCGCCCAGCGACAGTGTGAGCCCGCAGGGGTACCTGCCGCGCGACCTGTACAGCCTCAACAGCGCATATGGCAGTGAGGCAGAGCTGCGCGAGTGCCTGCACGTGCTGCACGACTGCAACCTCAAAGCCATCGCTGACATCGTCATCAACCACCGCTGCGCGCATTTCCAGGTGCTGCATGCTCCTGACAGCCTCTTTTGTGCACAGAAAAAGTGCCAGGCACAGCTAACTAGGGCATAGTTTAGAGGGGTCGATCTTTTAGAGGGGAGAAAGAGATAGGCATATTGCTTGGGCCAGGGTTCTGTTGCGCCAGGATGTTCAAATGATAGACCGCTACATAGTCATGCTGACGGCCATGTGCCAGAATGCTTGTTTGGTTGGGCATGTGCAGAGGCTCAAAGCTCTGGCTGGTTGTGTGTGGCAGGACGAAAAAGGGAGGTGGAACAAGTATGGGGGCAGGTTGCCGTGGGGCACGGAGGCCATCTGTAACAACAACGCGGTCTTCGGCGGCACGGGGAACCACAAAACCGGGGAGGACTACACGGCCGCGCCCAACATTGACCACACGCAGGAGTTTGTGCGCCAGGACATCATCAAATGGCTCAAGCTCCTGCGCTCCATCGGCTTTGACGGCTTCCGCTTTGACTTCGTCAAGGGCTACAGTGCGCCTCGTCCCACCCTCCTGTTTTATCCATTTGTACTTGAACAGCCAATCTTCTCATGCAATCATTCAAATGGACAAGATGTGTCCTGCACATCGCATGCATGTATGTCATAACTGCATGCACGCCTTTGTGCCCCTCATGCTGGCATGCAGGCTGCAGGCAAGCACAAAAGCCCTATATATATATTCCCCTGGCGCAGGCGGGGAGTTTGTGAAGGAGTACCTGGATGCCACGGTGCCGGAGCTGGCGTTTGGCGAGTACTGGGACACTTGCGAGTACACAGACGGCGTGCTCAACTACAACCAGGACGCCCACCGGCAGCGCACCGTCAACTGGTGTGACCGCACCGGCGGCACCTCAGCGGCATTCGACTTCACGACAAAGGGTGCGGCTGCCCATCTGCGTACTCTGATTGCAACTACTCACACCATGCGCCTACCACACAACGCTGTACCGTGTTCTCCTGCACGCCAACGCATCTTCTTGGGCTGCCTCGTGATTAAGGCGTCCGGAAGCTGTGCCATCTACTTGATTAAAGTTATTCAGTGCTGGGCAGCAGTCCCTCATGCAAGACGCTGAAGGATCGTCTGTGCATGCAGGCATCCTGCAGGAGGCGATGGGGCGGGGGGAGTACTGGCGACTGATTGACAGCCAGGGGCGTCCGCCAGGCCTGCTGGGCATGTGGCCCTCGCGAGCGGTGACGTTCATAGAGAACCACGACACGGGCTCCACGCTCAATCACTGGCCCTTCCCCAGCTCGCACCTGCTGGAGGGGTATGCCTACATCATCACCCACCCCGGCTCCCCCTGCATCTTCTATGACCACTTCTTCGCCGAGGGCCTGGGCCAGGGCATCCGCGAGATGATCAAGATCCGCTCCCGCCTCGGCATCCAGTGCCGATCCAAGGTGCGCCACTTCAGGCAGCGCTGGTTAATTCTATGTGTGAGAGCATGCGCTGTGGATGCTGCATGCACCATGTGGATTTCTCTGATCCCTTGTTTTCCCTTGGCAATGTGGAGCGTCGGTAAGTATCATGAGGCAGTTCCAAGACTGCAAAGATTAAGCATAGGTGTCCTCCAGCAAAGGGTCCGGCATGCTTGTTACTGGCTTTGAGATTGATGTGGATGTTTTGTGCTGCAGGTGCTGATCCTGAAGGCAGCCGGGGATGTGTATGCAGCGAGCATTGACAGCAAGATAGCAATGAAGGTGGGCCCAGGAGATTGGTCCCCTGGAGCGGCCAACCTGCAGGTGGGCCAGAAAGAGTGGAAGCTGGCGCTCTCTGGTCCCAACTATGCAATCTGGGAGGCGATCTATTGATTGCGCCAAGGGGGGCTGCCCAGATGGTAGCTGTGCTGCCCCTCTTTCGTTGGAGCCAACAGCAGAGACAGCACTGAAGATTTATGCACTATTGTTACAGAAGATCCCTCGTGAACATTTCACGAACCGGAGGCCTCTGGCTCTGATTACAGTTCTTTGAGCTGGCACAAATGGAGTCGGGAATCCCCACCGCTCTGAGTATCCTGCTGTCTCTTGTTGCTGCAAGCTGTTTGTTCAGATCTGCTTTGCGGGTGCTGCTGTTACTGGCACCTTACATGCATCATTGCCAGCGTTGAATGCATTATTGCTGCCTCTGGCGGAAAGCCGTCACGGTGGCCGCCACGGTGGCGTTGAACGCATTCAGAACGGTACCGGTTAGCTAGCTATTGATCAATCATGATGGTGCAGCAGTCAGCTGATGCACTGCTTGGCTGGTCATGAGAGACCTTGCTATGACCAGTTCGTCACTTTGCATGCCTGTCAGTCTGGGGCATGACTCTCTCTCTGGATGCATCTTGGCATCATGTAACTGGCTTCAGAGCATGTGAGCACCTGGTCCTATTCAGGAGCCTATCGGACCAGGTTCCAGGTGCCCATCGTGAATTCAAGACTATTCTATCGTGCATTGTTCAGATGGCGGCTAGCGTGATGCGGCCGCATCGTGTGCTCCGCAGTAGCGGCATCCTGCTGCGGAACAACAAGAGATTGTGCACCGTCGAAGAGCACACTAGTGTCGTTAAGCTGACAAACACGGCAGCCTTTAACTTTGTGTTCAACCTTCCTGACGAGCTGCTAGACGACATCTTGCCTCATGTGGACAGCGGGGATCTGTGCAGCCTCTCGCAAGTGTGCCGCAGGTTGAACAAGCTTGCGGTAAGGCTCTGCTTCCTGCTTGTGAATACGCGGGCACATTTTCAACAGGGAAAGGGATCAGTGAATAGGCGGACGAATGAGTAGAGGGACGGAAGCAGTACGGCAGGGAGAGTCGGTTCTGGTCAACCCAGGGTGAACAGGGTTTCGAGCATTGGAACATGGGTGAAGACTTTCAAAGGCTTGTGGCAGCAGGAACACAGATCACCGATGGGATCCTGTGAATTACCTTCTTGCGGATCACAGTGCTCTGGTTGTAGTATATCGTCTGCTGTAGAACGATCTTGTCAGCATAAGGCAGGACCATGGTCTACAGTGTCATGCCATCAGTCGTCGTGTTCGGACCGATCCTCCGGACAAAGTCTTGGCGAAGTGGCGTCGTGCCGTTCTTGTGGTGTGTAAAACAACCAGTAGGGCTCTAGATAGGACGTATAACGTCTCAACAAACGGTGCTGACCTGGCACAAACTCACTGCAGGAAGCACCCTCTAGGTGGCAGAGCCTCTGCGAGGCGCGCTGGGGCCCGCTCACAGACCTACAGTATGCAGCAGAAGCGCTGGCTGGGTCATGGAAGAAGCTGTACAGGAGCAAGACTGAGACAGACAAGAAGGCAGAGCAGGCGCAGAATCTGTGCCCCTATGAGGTGGATGCATTTGTGCAGCGCCTGGGCTGCTGCGCCGCGCCTGCAGGGCGAACAACGATTGCCACCTTCTGCGTAGACGGCAGCGGATCCATGGCCTCTGAGGACTTCAAAGTCATGACCAGCTTCATCGCGACTGCCATGACTGGCCTGCTGGCCATGGACATCAACTGCAAGGTCCGGCATCTGTCGTCTCGTGCAACTGCCTTTTGCCATCGCTAGTGTGCCATTCTGGGCCCCTTTTGCGCAGGGAAGTTTGCCAACAAGCACATCAAACTATGCTTGTGCATTGCAGCTGCAAGGCCTGTCTGGATATTGGGGCAAGGTCACAGCAGGAACAGATTGTACATGTTGCATGCGCAGGTTGCAGTAGTGCAGTTCAGCAATGACGTGCGAGTGGAGATTGCGCCACGGCACCTGCCGCTGGATGAGCTGAAGAGGCAACTGGATGAAATGGTGCGCTGCTGCAGAAAATTTGGGCTGCACATGGTGCTGCGCAAAACTTGGACGATTGTAATGGTGCACAGTGCCTGACATGACTGGCTTGCCTGTGCCAGACGCGCATGAATGGAGGCACGAACATCGCCCTGGCAATCAAGCAGGCTGGGCAGATGCTCAAGTGCGAGGATGCAGACGCAGCGCGCATCATCATCCTGCTCACAGATGGGCGCGTAGACACCTTCCAGGGTGAGCGAAGCTTATTCTTCACTTCATGTATCCTCCTTGCATGCATTTTTTTGATGGTCTTGATGGGATACTATGCTGTGAAGTCACTCTGGGTGTGGATGGCCTGGCAGGGCGCGAGGCAGTGAAGATGGCAGAGCGTTTGGCGGACGAGCAGGCAAACGTGTCCATCTTTGCTCTGGGCGTCGGGCGGGGCGTGGAGAAGACAGAGATGCAGAAGATCATCGGCGTCTGCGGTGCTGACAAGGTGGCTGCGCGCTACATCCCCCTGTACACCCTGGACGAGGCCCCCTGGTGAGCCAGGTTGTTGCAGCAATAATCGTGAGGGCTGCTGAGACGCATGCATCTCTGTAGCGGGGAATGACTGAGCTCTCAGCGGATGCTGCCTTAAAATTCTGTATCAAGAAAATAATGTACATAAACAGTGCATCCTTACCATTGCTGGCCGTGTACATTTATCTAGGGGCACTACGTCAAGGTATCCAAGTTTGCGTTGCTGACGATTCAAGACAGTCGAGTGTATCAATGTATGCGGGGCGCCCTGGACCTTGCCGAATATCTTAATCATTGTACATTGCAGTCCTGCTCCCAGTTGTACAGTTAGTTGAGTCTGATGAGCATTTGTTGTACAAACAGTAAATAGGAGCTTGTAGAGTTGTATTGCCGCATCTGTGGCTCCCTTCTCAAGTGTAATCAAGTTGATGGCCTGTAAATTCTCAGCCTCATGCATGTGCAGCTTGCGCTGGTCTTTAATGTTATGCCATGGTGCAAATGAAGATCGGCAATTGAAGTACTTTCATTTTCCAGAGGTGCAGCCTTGCAAAGGAGTCAAGATTCTGGATCTGACTTCACTCCTGCCTCCTACTGCAGACTTCAAGTTGTCCACAACTTGTCCACAGCATCGTCACCGATGCTGCCTATAGCTGCTGTCTTGAGCATCGCTTGCAGACTTAGGTCTAGCAACATACAACCTCTGACATTTTGTTGAGGATTCGAGGAGCTGCATTGTAAAAAGTGTGGTCCTGAAAAGAACAGCATGAATGCCAATGGAATGCAGTGGATTGCAAATGAACTTCAAATGTACTCCCACACCCAATTCTGGAGGGCATCACTCATGCGTCAGAGGTCGCCTTGCATCACATACAATGAGTGGACTTAGTTGTAATCAATGGATCAAGACAGCAATGCTAAAAATACCACCTTACAAGGCGCTGCCGAATTTAACACAACGGCCTGGCCTAGCTGTACTCATCGAACTTACTCTTCTTGTACTGAGGGTTTGGAAAGATGTAGAAGTAGTGCACAGGTCGACACGAGGCGACATCTAAATGCCTCCTTATAGCAGTAGGTGGCCTCAAATCGAGGCGTTACGTTCCTCCTCGAAAGGGCAGAGTACAATCGCAGCTTGGAAGGGGGGACCACTGAGGGGACCACAGCATGCATGGCACGGTACCTCGTCCTTGGACATAAAAAATGTCCCCGAGGAAGTACCATCACAGTGGCACTTAGCATTTTACCAAGCTCAGAGTGTGTATTGCATTAAGATCGTTCCACCAGGCTTTTCAAACAAATGGCCTAAAACACTTACCAATTACACTTGGGGCCCTTCAAAGTGAATGGCCAGTTTACTTTCAGTATGCTCAGGAGCTCAAATACGAGAGATGTATGGAGATATAGCATACATGATCGACAACCCTGCTAGTACTTAACCCTGAAAACTTTGATGGCGCAACCACAAGAAGAGGCAGGCCCTTCTGAAGCTTGCAACCGGGCAGAAGGACCTGTCAAGAGATCTGCAGATGACAGCAGAAAATTGAGATCTGAATACCGAGCTTTCCAAAAGACTGTTCATCGTAAGCTTCCTGCGCCAAATTACGAAGCACCAACACCATCCTCCCTGAAAAATTGGAGGAGTTCTCCAACTCTTTGAATGAGCTTGCTGACGGATCCTACGCAAGGCACTCTACTAAACTAGGGGGTTTCTTGTGCATCCACAGGGGAAGGCGATGACCTCGTCAGCATAAACAAAAGTTCAAAATTGTTGGACTACCTCGAGAACCTGAACAGCTTAAATACACGAGGTTGAAGTCGGCTCCAATATCTTGCTGTCTTCTTTGCTTGTTTGGGACTTCTTTCCAGACAATCGGTGTTGCTTCAGCCTGACTCTGACTTTGAGACTTGCTGCCGCAGTCGAGGGGCCAAGGGAACAAGCAGAAGACACAGAATGCTTCTTTGTACTTTGTCAGAAAGGCGCAGAAGCAGCCAAGAGGGTCATTGGAGCCGGGAAGGTGCCTCCCTTGCATGTTCCTCCAAATCAATCGTCAAGCTAGAGCAGTGCTGCTTTTCACACATTGCGTTGCCCTGCACGAATCTTCCGCTTGTGTCTGCAGGGCCGGACACCAAATGACCTCATCCGAGCGCTCAAGACGGAGTTTGTAGCCACAGCTCACCCGCAGGAGGATGGCGCCAAGAATCCAGAAGCCTTCAACTGGGCTGCCCTGGCCAAGCTGGCCTCAAGATACTTCAAGCATGCTCCGGGCATCAGCTGCATGCTTGGGCCCATGGATGCCGCCCCCAAGGCAAATCTATCCCTCTCACACCTCCGGCTGTTGAGCCTTGCAGCACCTTCAGTAGCTCTGGGTAGTTGCAAGGCTGCTCCATCGGTTGGGAAGCGGGCATGGGCATCAATGTTCTCTGGGCAGAATGATAGAAGGAGAGTTGGAATTCCTTTTGAGATGGAATGCCCCAAATGGCCAAGGGCATGAGCCAGTGCAGGGCATGTCTCTTAGGAGCTGCAGGGAGCCCTGATGTGCGAGAAATTGTGGGCTCCGTCTGCTGGATATTGACTAGTGCAGAGAAGCTCACACATCATTCAATGCAGCATCATGAGATGTGTGTGATGGGCTGCAGGCGCGCAAGGTGTCGGTGCGGCAGCCGAAGAAGCAGCTGGGGGCGCTGGTGAATCCGGCCGAGGTGGAGATCAACAAGGAGGCCAAGGACGCGTCGGACAAGAACGCGGAGGACATGCGGAGTCTGCTCTACAAAACGAACAATGTCAACCTGCTGCAGTGTGTCATCAACCACAAGTCCTTCTCCCAGTCTGTGGAGAACCTGTTCGCGCTGTCCTTCCTGGTGAGGAACCTCGTCTGCCCTCAACTTTATTAGGAAGCATTTCTCAATTCTGGCTTTGCTGTGATGACAATGGCTCTGCAGCTACTTTATGTTGCTGATCAGGAAAGCGATGCACTGCAGGTGAGGGATGGGCGGGTGGTGCTGTCCAAGGCGGACGGTGGGGGCTACATGGTGAAGGGGGTGACAGACGACGAGTCCAACCGCCTGTGCAAGAACAAGGAGCGCACGCAGGCCATCTTCGGCTTTGACATGGACACGTGGGACGACTGGTGCACGCGCTTGCGCCCCGAGGACTGCATCATGCCGCACAGGCCCCCGGCCGTCCTGCCCGGCGGTGAACTCGTAGCGCCGCCCGCTGGTGCGCGCTTCCTCGCAAACAATTCTGGACCTCCTGAGCCTTCCACATCTCTTGCCGGAGTTCCTGTTGTTTTTCAATTGATCTGGCATGTTCCAGCGGGTTGCCCTGGCCTAAAATAGCTTCTGAGTGTGTGGCAAATATGTTTTGCACTGCAGAGTCATGATGGCGCGCATGGGGCGACTTTCATGCACACAGGACGGGTGCCTGTGCGCAGGTCTCAATTGATGGTCATTCTGAGGCAAATAAATGGCAGGTCATAAGTTAAGTTGTGAGTGCAGATGGGGGCGCTGGTGGGAGTGGGCGTGGGCCGCAACCCTCAAGCCGCAAGCGGGCGCCATCCCAGAGACCACCCCCAGAAGAGGAGTCAGAGCAGGAGGAAGATGAGGAGGAAGATGAAGAAGCTGCTCTTGCAAGGGTTCGCAAGGGCAAGAAGAAAGTCAGGAATGCCTGACAACACTGCAGCAAGGGATACTCGAAATATAGAGTGTCGTCCAGATTACATAATAGTTCTGCGTGTTTAGCAGCGCACTCAGATTTTGATTTACTTCAATGCTGTAGCGCAGCATGATGCGATCCTGACCATTCTTCCCGCACTGGACTTTGTACAAATATTGGGAACTCAAAGCGCAGGCATAAGCAGTTGAAAGATCTGCCTTGGTTGAAAATTATAATGCACCAGCAAGACATTTAAATACCAATCAGATGCTCAAATGTCCGACGCAGCATATTAATTTCTCAATGTCAACTCACAAGAGTCTATCCCCAATGTTGACAGCATAGAGGCCTCCAATGTCTCTGGCAAAAAGATTGGCGGCGCACATGGAGGAGATACAAATTTTATAGGACTATTCTCCTCAGAGCCAAAGAGCCTTGCTGCCGATGGTTTTATAGGGTGCGGCCACCCACGAACAATCCATCACTTGCTGAGCAAGAGAGAACAACAATTATATCACAGAACTGATGCACAAGGCTCAGGCACTCCTCCACTGCCCGGGCTGAAGCAAGAAGGCTGCATCACCGCACTGCCACGACAGGTGCATGCACACCAGACAATGCTGACAATGTCCACAATCATCCCCGTACCCATTCACGACAGCATCAGTACGAGGGGGAAAACTCCAAGCTGCCATCCTCTTCCATGCCATCTTCTGGCTCCTCATTGTAGCTGTCAATCAGGGCGTTGCCGTTTGCAAATGCGCTGTTGGAGGGCAGCACCATGGCGTCGTGCACAATCTTGCGCACTTCCTCCACGTTCTGAGCCAACTCTGGCATCTCCCTCTGCTTGGCCAGGCAGTTGTCGTTGAACTGGCTCAGCCCCGACGGCAGGTCCTTCAGATACCTGCGCAAGAAGGCATCATCAAGTCAGCCTCGAGCACAATATCGACACCTGCGTGCATGCTTAAAAAGACTGGGGTGAGAAAGATCACGTGGTAGAGACAGCCCTTGGAGGGTGCATGGGCAGCAGTTCGGCAGTTTCAGATTTTCAAATTGATCAGTGGGGTTTTTGTGAGGGGGTTGCGCACCAGGGATGTTGCTGGACTTGCTGGACGGTGAGGCGCTTCTCAGGGTCCACCACCAGGATTTTGGAGAGCAGGTCCTTGCAGTCATCTGAGATGGGGATATTTCGAGGAAACACATAGTCCCCCCTGATCACCCGCTGCAGCACCTGCATTGCAATCCAACCCCCTCAGCATGAATCCAACCTGACAAAACACACCGGCATCTACGTTGGGAAGCTTACAGGATTGCGCAATGTGGGCAGCACAGGAGGCAGCTAGGGTGAAGGAAACAGATGGAAAGCAACTCCAGGGGCAAGGCAAGTAGCTCACAGTCTGGTACTTCTTTGTGGGCGTTTCCCGCTCGTCCTCCGGGCGCTCAAAGGGATATGTGCAGAACAGCATGACGTAGAGCATGACACCCGCGCTCCACACGTCCACCATCTTCCCATCATAATTCCTCCTGTTGGTCACAATCTCTGGCGCTGCAGCACACAAGACTCTTTATTAGTGCGTGGAAGTATGCACAGGAGGCACACATCAGGTCTGGCTCTGCGCAATGTAGAAGAGCAGCGTAGGAAAAAAGAGTAGACAGGGATAAGTAGTACCTGTGTAGCCCGGGGTGCCGACGCGGGACTTGGGCACGCTGTCCTTCTCGGTGTGCTTGGAGTAGCCAAAGTCGCAGATCTTGACGAGGGGCCGTCGGTTGCCGTCCAGCAGCGTGTTCTCCAGCTTAATGTCCCGGCTGACCACACCCACGCGGTGCAGGTAGTCCAGCGCTATCATCACCTGCTGGAAGAACCAGCGCGCCTCCACCTCCTGCAGCCGCAGCCAGGCTCGCTTACAGGCCGCTGTGCTGCTCCTTACTGAGAAATTTTCCGTCAAGTACCAGCAGGCATCATGACACGTGCAGAAGGTGTGGGGAGGGTGTGATGAGCTTGGATGAATGAGCGCAATGAACATCCTGGTGGTGTGATGCAATCTACCTGCAAACCCCTCTTGGCTTTGACGTACTGGAACATGTCCCCGCCGTCCACAAACTCCATGGCGATTGCCAGGTATTCCGGTGTGAGAAATGCCTGTGCAAGGCGCAGGGTCGTTAGTCAGACAGGTACAACAAGTGGATCAGACCAGGGATCGGATACATGATCATCCACGATTATTACCTCCTTGAACTGCACGATGTGGGGATGAAGGAGGCTGCTGTGGTTGATGATCTCACGCTCAACATACACGCTTGCAAGCCTCTCTCCTCTTTGAAGGAACTTGATGGCAACCTGCAATTGAGTATCACACTGTCAGATAATTAGCTAAATGATGAGGAAAATTCAAGTATGAATGTGCAAGCGCGACGTTCCAGGACACTTGCAGGGTGTGGAAATGCACCTCATGTCCTGTGCTCTTGTCATATGCCAGCTGCACAAATCCATAGCTGCCCTTGTTGAGATTGCGGATCTTCTTGTATCTCGGGTGTCCAGCCAAGGGATCTTCCAGATTCTTATGTGTCGCCATATATTCTAGTCTAACAGTGAGCAGGCCTCCTGCCCTGGGGCTTTTGATGCCTCGACCCGCGGGCCCCTAGGGAACCCCCTCCCCACCTTGCAGTTGAGTGTAATCTACGATTCAAGCACCAGAGAAGCCGCGATCTTTATTTGTACAAAGATCAGGGTGCGAGGCCCTTTAAAGATACAATCTTCCGACTGCCCTATGTCACATGAGCTTGAACCGATCTTGATCCAACCAATTGCTGTCCAATATGCGATGAAGACCACAATGGATCCGTTAGTGACTGCGTTGGACTGCACGTTTGGTGTCTCACATTGTGCTCCAAATGTTCCCCAGTTCAGAGTCTCGTCATCTGTCGAATGGCGTTCCTGGCGTTGAAATCTCTGGGGATACAGTTCACCCCATTTCAGATGCCACGAATTGCTTCATCCTTTCAAATCATCATTACAAGGGACATTAAATCTCCGTACTATCCTACCGTACCGCTGGTAGGGGGTTGAACAAAGGAACCTAACAAGATGCTTACGCACTGAATTTGGTTCATAGGAGCATTTCGACAGATCCTTGCATGCTGTAAGGGCCTCGTCAGGTTTCTGGAACCCGAGGGTTCGGTATCGCCAGCTTATGAAGGCTCGTGGCTCGAAAAATCCTCTAGAAAACAATAGCAAGTATGAGAAGATTAAGGACCTCAATGCAGGAGCCTTCGGGTTTGTACAACTTGCAAAAGAGAAAGAAACTGGAGAAAGGGTTGCCATCAAATTCATGGAGAGGGGTCACAAGATCACCAAGGTATTGCTCAGTCTGTAGTAACCATGCCTGCATCGAAGGCTATGAAGTTGCTGCTCTGTGATTGTAGCTGGCTTGGAGAATCACTTCATACACCGTTTCGCCAATGCTGTCTTCAGCTTTATGGTATAAAGCTCTAAATAGCTAGAGGTGTGTCTGAATCTTACAAGATCGCTTTGGCTGACTGTTGCGCTGTTGCTGCAGTACGTGGCGCGTGAAATCATGAATCACAGCCACCTCCTGCATCCCCACATTGTGCAATTCAAGGAGGTGAGTCACTGGGCAACCCTTATACACCAAATGCCTCCACAGGAACCTTCTCATCGGTTTCAACCGTTGCACTTCGGTCCTGTTAACCTGACTCAACTGCGCAGGTGTTTTTGACGAAAGACTACCTTGCAATTGCCATGGAGTATGCAGCGGGAGGAGACATGTTCCAGTATGTAAAGCACAGAGGTGGACTGGAGGAGGTGGAGGCACGGTGGTTCTTCCAACAGCTCATAATCGGCATGGACTACTGCCATAAGATGGTGTGTCCGCATCTCCAAATTGTAATGGCAATTGTACTGCCTTTATCAATTGCATTGTCCTTTCCACAACCGCTACAGTATAAGTCTCGAGCCTTTTGAGCATAGGGTATATTTCTGACCTGCATGCTGTAATAGGGTGCCCCATCTAGAGGTCATCCAGCTTTGTGCACTCATCATGGACTTTTCTCCTGCAGGGGGTGGTGAACAGGGACATCAAGCTGGAGAACACCTTGCTGGACGGCAGCAAGAGGCCGCTGCTTAAAATTTGCGATTTTGGGTACTCCAAGAACGACAAGGACAGCGTCCCAAAGTCCAAAGTTGGCACTCCAGGCTACACAGGTGGACACATCAATCTGTCACCTGCATTGCTGCTGACACCTCCTGTCATTCTTTGAGTTTCACAACAGCTAACACCCTGACGCTGGTGCTGGGTGTGTGTGGATGCAGCTCCAGAGGTGATTGCAAACAGCAGAACATACGACGGCAAATTGGCTGACGTGTGGAGCAGCGGCGTGATGCTCTATGTCATGCTGTTCTGTGAATACCCCTTTGAGCGGCCGGAAGACGCTGGAGACCCACACCGCTTCCAAAAGGCACGTGCCTATATCTCTGCGCTTGCTCCCTATCGTACCTTGTCTTGTGCTGCTTGTGTCCTTCCAGCAGATACTAGAGAAGGATGCAAGCCCCTTTATTTGTGGACAGTATCATTGGATACCAAGAACTGCCAACATTCAGGAGCTGATCCCTCTGTGTGGGTGCTCAGGTGTTGGAGCGGATCCTGGCAGTGGACTACAATTTCCCCACCAGCATCCCTGTCAGCCCGGAGTGCAAGGATCTGCTGGCCAAGATCCTGGTGGCGGATCCGGCAAAGCGATTCACCATCTCTGACATCCAGCAGCACCCCTGGTCAGCTGCTGAACCCTCTCAATGTACTTTTTCAAGGAGCTCAAGTAGCACGAGTTCCTGCAATCACTTATCCAAATTAACTTCGAGACATTGCCTGCATTTGACCAATGCAAACAGTGCCCATTATGAATCCTTTGCCCATGTGCAGGTACACAAAGGATTTGCCAGCGGGCGTGACGCGGATGAACGATGAGTGCTTGAAGCTCAAGGACCACACAGCTGGCTACCAGACTGTGGAGGACATCCAAAGGGTTGTCACAGAAGCCATCGGGGCCAGTAAAACCCTCATGAACGAGCGGCTGATCGATGAAGTCATGGTGAGCTGCGTTCCGCAGAGTACTCCAGCTGTCTTTACAAATGACATGCATGCCCTTATTGCTGTATGCTGGTTTCTGTGTGTGTGTCAGACAAGTTTTGAGGTTCACAATTTCTGGCTTTGAATGCTCCATTGCTTGCTGTGCCAGGATGACAACGAGTATTACTGACCACCTGAACGGAGATTTTGGCGCTTTTCCCCGAGCATCAGTACTCAGTCTGAGAAGGGTCCGACAAAGACCTCATCAGCGGTATACTTGAGGCACATCTGTAGCTTCAGCGGAACTGCAGTTCGGGAATGTATGTTGAAGGGGATTGTTGCTCTGCTTGCTGACCACGCTGAGGGCTGAAAAATGGTTGAAGGAAGTGAGTGGTTGCAAGCCCATGTGTACAGTGGAAGGAAGGGTTTTGCTGCCTAGCCTTTTTGTCTTTTTCTGACTTGCTTCAGGTCTCAGGAGTCAGACAGCCGCGGAAGCTGATCCATCTCAGACTCGCAATACTAAAGTTACTGGAGGTCCTTGACCGGTCCTTGCTTATACTGCAGGTTGTTTCCTTGAGTTTTGGCAAGTAGATTTACTCTCTGCATAAGTTTCGGGTGGTAATGACCGCGTCAACATGTGCAATGCATTCCATTGTGCAGCTTTCCATTTTCCGAATGTAAAACGGGCGATTTGCTATGACAGGCGCACGTCCCCTATACCTGAAAATTGATTTTTGAGACTCCTTGGATTCGCCCAGGCAGAGTCATAATACCTAGTGTCATCCGCAGCCAGCCTCTGCAGGGCACATCAAAGATTTTCCTGAGCATGACAGGCCTTCAGAAAGTACCGTACTTTAGCACCTTCAAGAGCGGATTTTCCAGGAGTGCTGGCCTACCTTCTGATCTTCCTGCTTCTTATAGTAGTACGCCAACATCGCCTTCTGCGTCTCCTCATCGACAGCCTGCTCAGACACAGACTCGTGAACAATTCCAAAATTAAGCACATAGGACAAGTGTCCTACATGTGGCCTTGCACAGCCTGATTGTGCATGGCTTGCCAACGCTATGAGTCTGACATCACCGGCTCTCGGGGTGGTGGGCCATATCCAGCGCGCTGCAACTTTACCACCACCTGTGACAGACAAGAAAACAGCTTAAATAGTGATCTTTACTTCAATCTATCCAATTCACCTTCAAGTAATCAACTTTTGCTTCTATATTTTCTGTGAAAAAGCTCGTTAAGCCATCAAAGAACCTGTCCTGCAAAATAAAACCTCCCTCACAAAAGCAGGGCATGTTCTCGCCTTTGTCTTCTCATTGCGTCCGACATGCTGGGACAGCTTATTGTCCAGGGGAAGCTTCTTGGATGCAAACCACAGCTCCGCTTCAGCAGCATCAAGATCACCTCCATCATGCTGCACAATCATAGCAGTCACAATGTCACTAATGCAGCTGCATACATATGTCACACAGATTGCTTGGAGACGCACGATGGAATGTTGATGCTGTGGAGCCCTCACCGATGTCTCTGCAAGGTCCTCGGTCCCGTCTAGTGCCCGCATGAGTGGATTATCTAAGAGAAGCCCGTCGGGAAAAGCTTCAGCCACAGCATGTCTGATGTCATCCACAGCTTCCTCCAGCGAGGCTTCCGTGAGGGCCACCTTCTTCCCTACCTGGTCCTACATCAACATAGCAAGGGAGTATATTTTCTTGTCACTGGTGTGCACATGTTTTCTTCAGCTGTTGATTCCCTAGCCATCCACAAGAGGGATGATTCCCCAGGTCATGAAGATGAAGCATGATGCAAATGATAAAGGCGCACCTTATGCTGCAGCTGTTCTGCTGCAGCCAATCTCCTCTGCAGCGCCTCTGCCTGATCTGGTGCACAAACTGCATGACAAGCAGCTCAGTGCTGAGGCAAGTGTGATGCAGGGGAGTTGCATGGATCCTAGTGCTGAAACTGCTCTGCAGGAGGCCATCTTTCCGCCATGCAGACAATTCATGCAAGGCATGCACAGTGGCATGAGCGCATGACCCAGTGCAGCTCCACTCACCGCTTCTTGCATCGTCTGCAGAGCCCATTTGACTGTCAGAGTCAGCCAGATGAAGCTTTTCGCCTCCCTCCTTCAGCCTCTGTATCTTGTAACGCAAATTGTTGACGTTGACAACGCGCTGCAGAGCTTCCTCCACAACGGTATCAGCGGGGACTTCATACAGAAACTGCTGAGCTTCCGATCTCTGCATACAGAGATTGCACGATTGACTGTTTTGGTTGCAGTGCTGATCAAGGTGATCTCAGCATGGTCTAAGCCATCTGCTGTCCTTTGCATACAGCATTCCTGCCAGATATACCCAGGCTGAAAATCAAAGTATTATAGAATTAGATTTTGTTGATCTCCTGCAGACTTCAGACGTTCACCTTGACGATGAGGAGAACCATCTGACTGATGAACAGTTCCTTTCAGTGTTGATAGGCGAGCTTGCTTGTATCAGGTCTCTCACAAGGCTCTCACTATTTGTAAAGCTTTGATCATCCAAAAAATATCCGGTAAGATTTCTCTAAGCTGCAACGGTTATATAGGGTATCTATCACCCCGTGATTATTAGCAAACCCTAAGCCACAGCTCGCTTAGAGCTTTCTGGAGACAATTTGGATCATACTGACCCAGATTGTAAGGATTCAACCGGTGTGAGATCGTGCTTTATGTTGTGACGAACAGCAGAGAACCTGAGAAAATCTGCTTTCATTGGAGTTCGATCGCGAACAGTTTTTATGTAACAAGATCGATGCTAGGGGCAGCTCTTATAGTGCTTCTAGCACAATATTTTATTCTTTGTGAGCTGCCGAGTGCCACAGCTATTGTTCAGGAATGTCAAGCGTGCCGTCAAATATCGGTACGCATAATTTCCCTTTACGACTATCAACTGGACAGGCATCCTTGATCCTGCGCTTTCGTGGCTTTCGTCTCATTCAAATGTCAGATGCTTGACGCAGTATTGATAAAATGCATCTGACTAACAGAAAGAGTTTATAAGGCGCCTAGCTTCCGAAAAGCACAAAGATCCCATCAATCTGAAATACCGCCTGGATTCTCAAGGGAAGAAGTATGGGAAGGTCATCGAATTCAGGTGAAGCACATGGATTAAAGGTGCAAAATCAAGAATCAATTATTCATAGGCGAGGTTCCGATACTTTGCACCACCTAACCTTGTAAGGTGGTGCACAGGTTGAGTGAACAGAGAATACATGATCTTCTAGATGGGTTGTGCACTGCTGCGTCTGCCAACAGCACACTCTACAGATTGAAGAATGGCGATCAGTACAGTCTGGTGTGGAGCGACGTGAAAGAGGAGAAGTCCTGGATTGCTCCTGACAAGGCGGAGAAGGAAGGTGTGTGGCAGATGAATTCCAACAGAACCTCTTCGCAAAATGGCTTGGATATGCTCAGCACAAAGCAATTAGAAGGAATCAATGCCGCTCTCATGTGCCTCACAGGCAGAAAGAAGGAAATGGAGAATTACTGCGTCAGGTTGCTGGATGAGCATGAAGACGACTTGACAGACATTCTAAAGAAGGACGCTGGTGATCTGGAAAGCATTTTGTGTGTGCGCCTTGCAAAAGCATGTGAATCAAATGCGGAAGTATCTGAACAAGGCAGGAACGAGCTTTAGCTCAGAAAGAGCTGCCCTGCAGCTGCCATTATCTTGGATGTAGACTATTGCATCACCAGAGTCTCATCAAAATGTTGGCAATGGTCCTCAACATTGTCAGCTCATTGCAAGAGGAAACGCACACCATGTAAGATCAGCTCAAAACAACACAGTACTTCTATCTAACAGAGTGCTGTCATGTCTCGTCCCCGTTCTGCATGACCTTCTGCCGCTTCCAGCGCTGCGCAGCATCCAGCAGCTTGAGGTTGGGCGCAGCAGCTGCCTCGTCTGGGAAGATGTAGTCAAAGTACTCCTCCATGCCTGCCTCTGCCCCATCCTCCGTAATGATCGGCCGCTGCACAGCACAATCATACATCCTCATTGCCTGATCTCCATGAAAATGACTTTGTGGAATCAGGATAGAATGCATACATGAAAGCCCATGTGGCATTGCGCCCGTGCAGAAATTATGCCCTGCTTCTCTGAGAGGTACTGGTCTTTGTCAGAACCTAAAGCTAAACGAAAATGCGTCAGAATTACCTTCCGCTTGACGCGTTTGGGCATTCTCTTTTCAACTGCCGTGATGGCTGCCACGCGCTGCGCCTCCCCGTGCGACTCAGCCTCCGCCTCAAACGCTCGCCAGGCCTCCAGCAGCATCACCGCCTCCTCCTTGGCGTCCGGCTGCGTTTCTCTGAGGCTCTGATACGCCCGCTCATACACCCTGCACATGTATGGGCTCACCTTCAGCCTGCCTCAATGTCTGCATGCATCATTGTGGTGCACAACACCCCGTATACTAATGCTTGCTTGCAGACCTCCGGTACTCATTGTGCTCTCCTCCACATAAGGCCGAAGTGTGTGCCTTACTGCAGAGCACAGCTGCATGCCAGCAGCTAGAATACATCAAATTCATGGAGAGGCCCCCCTCCATCAACTTCACGGTGCACAACATACCAAAAAGCTTGCTCGCACACCCACTCCTCCTGTGCTTCCTCTATACAGGGTCAAAGCAGCGCTGACTCTGCAGCTCTGCTGCATGCCAGCAGCTGGAACACAATAAAGTTCACTACTGCAGAGCAGGCAGGATAATACAAGGGAGGTAGGGGCCGCACGCGCGCGCATGGACGTCGCGGCTGGCGGGGGACTCGGCGCTGGACTGCGCAGCGCGCTGGCGAGCGACAGCAGCGTCCTCGTCGTCGTCCTCGGGCAGCGGCAGGGGCGCGGCCTCAAACGCGGCGTAGCTCATCCAGACCTTGACGTGGCGCGTGCGGTCCAGCAGCCGCTCGTACAGCGCGCGCGTCCGCTCCCTCTCCCCCTCCGCGATCTCAAAATCGATGTACGACTGCACCCACACACCGCACCTCACAGTCTGTCTCCCCTGCTGACGTCGCAAATCCTTGGCCACTGGCCATTGCCTTATTCCAAGGATCCCTCTTGCTCTTGCATCACGTGGGACGAGGCAAGCAGAAGGACAGGGCCGGAGCAAGCAATTCCCGAGGCAGTGTTTGGGACAGCACACGCACGATTGACGAGCTCCGTATTTGGAGGCAGTCTTTGTAAATGATAGGTGTCAGCAAGCACTTCAGTGAACTCCCCGCATTTCGATATGGAAGATGGGAGGCGGCGCACCTTCCAGAGGACCTCGGGCATGTCGAGGAGGGGCTGCGCGATGGCGAGCTCGAAGATGCTGCGCGCGCGGTCGAGCTCCCCCAGGCTACGCTCCAGGTCAGCAAACTTGCACCAGGCCGCGCAGTTGGCGGGCGCCCACTCCAGGAACTTGGCGTACAGCGTGCGCACGCGCTCGATGGCGCCCAGCTGCAGCTCCAGCTCTATGTAGGCCCGGAACAGCTTTGCCTTGGGGCACACCCCGATCGCGCGGCCCAGCAGCCTCCTCGCCGCGCCCAGCTGCCTCTGCCGCACCTCAAAGTGCGCCGCCATGATCCAGATCTGCGCCACGACAGGCCGGCATCAGCACGTGCAACAGGTTGTATAGCACAGACACACCGCTTGCTGGCCCAGGATATCAAAAACAATCTTTTGGGAGCTTGCCATCTGCCGTAGGGCAGACCGTCCTTGCTCTACAGAGGAAACTTGTGCTCGTAGAGTTTTTTGGGACGTATCAATGCCAAGCGCACTCTCAAAATGCATGCCGAGTGTTGGACAGGCAGCATTGATGCCTGTGAAATGGGGACGGCAATCAGAAGCAGATGCCTCACCTTTGCAAAGGTGAAGGCTTTGTGGGGCATGAGGTCGAGGCAGGCCTTGTAGACCTCTCGAGTCCGCGCAGGATCCTCCGCTTCCAGCTCTTCCCACAGCGCGTAGTTTATCCAGAGGTAGATGTACCGCTGCCAATACCGCTTCTCCGCTGCTGGTGGCACATTTGCAATCGCCCTCTCGTAGACTTCCCTCACCTGTGGTCCAACATGTCATCAGGAGTTTTCAAATACGGGAGCGCGCACTCCCAGGAGTGCACGCAGGGCGTGTACCTCATGCAAGGGGTTGTTAAGGTGCACAATGCAAAACTGTAAAGCAGAGGCATACCCGGTCAGGCTGCCCAGCAGACTCTTCCAGGCGGATGTAGTCAAACCAGGAGTCATAGTTCAAGGGATCCCGCTTCACATCCGCCTCGTACTGAAACCTCCTCTCGCTCACAATCACATCCTGCAGCCGGGCAAATCTCACATCAGAGTCACAGACAAGGCGCCTTCACATGCCTGTTTATGTACATGCTTATCAGGGGATTCTAAACTAAATTACGAGTCGCCTGTGCTTATTCACGTGGGGGCAATAATTGGCAGCAAGACTCACCTCAATGCCTTCCCTGTCTCCGTGCTGCTTCTCAAAGGCGACAAAGCGCTGGTACACAGTGTCCGCTTGGCTCTTGGGGATGTGGTCCAGGGCATACTTGTAGATGGCCCTCGCGCGGTCGATTTCCTTGCACTTCTCCTCAAACTCTGCAAACTTGATGAAGAGCTCTTCCTGCACAGCACCCATGTCCTGATGCTTCATCCAGAACCCTGCCCTCTGTAATTGTGAGATCACCAGACCTAGATACCCCAGAAATGCCCACAAAGGAATTTGCCAGCTGCTAATCATGCTACGCCCGCCTGGGCCAGAGTAAGTCACCAATCAGATTGCATGACAGTCCTCAAGAGCACAGAGGTCAGAGGGATCACCGTCTGAGCGTCCTCGCCAAGTTCTTCAACGGCGCGCTCGTAGCAGCAGCGTGCGCGGGCCACCTCACCCTCCTTCATCTCCGCCTTGGCAAAGCGCACCCACGACTTTACCGTGGGTATGCACCGCACGTAGCGCTCAAAGATGTTGCGCGCCCGGTCCATCTCCTTATACCTCATCTCCATCTGCGCGGCACCCAGAGATCAACGTAAGCAGGAAACCGCGTGCAACTCTTTGAATTTCTGACCCATGCTGACATATTGCTTTTGGTCAGCATCCCATGGAGGAGGATGAGAAAGGTGGAGGCACGTGCACAAGAAGGTAACCTTGATGTAGGCCATCCAGCCATGATGGTCCGGCTCGAAAGCCATCCAGCGCTCAAAGATCTGCCTGGCGCCCGGCACATTCCCCAGCATCTCCTCCATGTGGATGTACTTGTACCTGTGCAACGCCATTTCCCCTCTCTTCACTTCTTTAGAAGAGACACTTTGCAAGCGCCGTGCAATTGCATTGAGGGCTGCGTGGCAGGCACGCACCACAGCTGGTCGACTCTGGGGAGCAGGGAGACAGCGCGGTCCCAGACATTGCGCGCATGGTTGATGAAGCGGTGCCGCATCTCCATCTCCGCATATTTGAGCCAGGTGGTGGGGTTGGTGTATGAGACACCCAAGGCCCGCTCCCACACGCTGCGAGCCCTTCTGAAGTCCTTCTGGCCCTCCTCCCATTGTGCATACTGCACCGCATAGATTACTTGATGGGTCTGTCCTTCACCTTGTGCAGACAGTGTCTCTCTTGCCAGGTGCCTTCCAGGCAATGGAGGATGCCAAGAGACAGCAGAGCGTCAAGTGCTGGAATCAGGGATGTGATTACCTTCACCCAAATGCTGGAGTTCCAGCGCACGCGGCGAACCAGATCCTCAAACTCCTTGCGCTTGCGCAGGCGGTATTCATCTAGCTCGGTCTGGTCTGTGATCTTCTGCTTTGGCGGCTTGAAATCCTGCTCCTGAAGCTCCTTGGCCTCGCGAAGAATCTGTTCAGCAGTGATCTGCAAGGAGAGGAAAACAAATTAGATGTCTGAAACTTTGTGTTGGCCATTTTTTTGACAAAATAGCTAACCAGAAGACAAGAAAGCTGCAAATAAACAGTGAATATTAGCCTTCTAAGTCAACGAAATCATACCTGCTGAGATGCCGGCTGTTTGTTTTTTACTTTGGTGGCTCTGGGCAGCCTGATCTCTGTATCTCTCGCACTCGTCCCAGCAATACCCGACATTTTGAAGTGTCTTACTCCAACACACCTTAACTCACATCAATTTTAACATTGGTGCGTTGCCATCATGAGTTCGACAGTATTATTGTGAGCCCAATTCAAGGTTTCATGATGTGGAGGTCCCAAGCCCTCAGAGCCCCAGGAAACCCCAAATGACAGGGTCTCTACAATAGTTGTAGTGCCGAAGGACCAAGCAAATATACGATTCGCTACATCCGCGTAGCACCTCTAGTATTACTAGACTAGTAAGATAACATCATTAGTTTGGGAGTCTTCATGAAAGTCTTGAACCTTTATTGCGCTGGAGTAGTTGCGTGCAATGCATGCACATGCGTGTGCCGGCACAGTGCCGGTGCCAGCTGCCAGTGGTCACGTGTGGCACTCAGCAGGCTGCCACGGTGGACGGCAGACTGAGAGAGTGTGAAAACAGTGCCACCACCTGGCCAATGTTTCAGCACTGAAATATGACATCATTAAATCCCAACTCTGCAGAACAGTGCTGGTGCGAATGTTCAATATTCTGGTTATATATAGGACTTGGCCCCGGCTGGCGGGGGGCGGTACAAATACTGAGCACCGTGCCCACGGTTGATAGGGTCTTGCTTGGATCTGGCGAGTCCAAAAAGGGGTAGGAATTTGGCAGCATTTACTTGCAGCTTGTCTGCAGACGCACCTTGCCTTTGGCAGGAAAAGCGTGTAAAATAATAAAATTAATAATATAGGACTCTGCAAGTGTCCGAGTCGGTCTAGAATCATCTGCCTCAGAGTCAGACCTCAAGGTCAAGCCTCAAGGTCAGGCCTGTCCTAGGACTGTACAGTCGTTTGGTCAGTGGTATTGATCAATCACATCAGTGGTATCATGGTCAGATCTGAACTGCTTGTTTAAATGTTGCGTTTAAAAAGCCATATTTCGAAGGGTGGGTGTGCCAGCTACATCCAAAATGCGGATATGCACAAACACCATTGTATATTCATCAGTCTTCGCTCAAACCATGCGAGCTGCATTGCAGCTGACCTGTCTGCTCTCCAGGGTCATTGCGTTGTTCTTCCTGGCAGCTGCTCCATCCTGGCTGTTCTCAATGACTTCCCCATTAGAACAGCGCTGTTTGAGGGGCACATATGGCCGCAGAAGGTGCCCGGTGTACATCTGTCCCATCGTGCACAGAACTCATGTTCAAATACTGCAAGCAACTGGTCTGGAGCATGACGTCTCTCACAGACTGCCTTTTATATACAGACAGCATTGATACAAATTATTCCATGGCAGGCAACTTTCAAGAGGTGTCCAAGTACCTGGCGCGGTCTGGAGATCTTGGGGGTCTTCTGCTGTTCCTCTGCCATCTCCTTCCATTGTGCCACCCATCCACACGTCCGCGACACCGCGAAGAGCACTGTGAACATATCTAAAGGCACGCCAAGCGCTCGGAGCACTATGCCACTGTAGAAGTCCACGTTAGGGTACAGGCCTCGTTGTATGAAGTAGGGGTCATGCGTTGCCACATTCTCCAGCTCCATTGCAATGTCAAGCAGAGGGTCATCCCTGTGCACCGCAGCACAGGCACTTATATCTGCACTGGTTAGATAGATAACCTCCCTCACACCAGAGTTATTCCTGCAGGATTTGCAGGAAGCTGCATGGAACCTGCATTGAGCTGTTTGGGTCCAACGGGGACTCACCTGATCTGCAGGTGCTGCAGCACCTCATGGCAGACCTTGCGCATTACTTTTGCCCTGGGATCGAATGTCTTGTAGACGCGGTGACCAAAGCCCATCAGTCGGAACGGATCCTTCTTGTCCTTGGCCCGAGCCAAGGCCTCCGGTATCCTGTCCTTCGAGCCAATGTCCTCCAGCATCCGAAGCACAGCCTGGAGGGCGATTTGATTTTCATCAATGAAACAATGATGCAAGCGGCGAGAACCTTCACTTTCATCTCATTTATCCAAAAGCAGCAGCCTTTGAGCTCTGTGTTGCATGGAGGTGAGTTTCAGACCTCATTGGCGCCCCCGTGAGCCGGTCCCCACAGCGCGGCTATTCCAGAAGCTATACAGGCAAAGGGGTTTGCCTGGCTTGAGCCTGCACGTTGGTTTGTCCTTATGTGCCCCTTTTCCAATGAACCAATTGCCATGCGTGCAAAAATGCATTTAATAGAGCATTAAGAGCAACGCCACCCACCTGCTGTGCGGACTGTCGATGTGGAAGCATTCTGCTCATGATCCATGTGCCTGCACAGCATGGCAACAGCTGCTCAACCTCTCGCCCTCAAGCCCCATTCGCGCAGGCGCGCCAATTCACTTGCAGTTGGAATTGAGCTGGTGCAAGTCTCGGATTTAGGGGCTCACAAAATGAGTATCTTTTCCAGGGCGCGCGCCAGGATCGGGTCCACCTCGTACTTCTGGGTGGGCCAGGCAAACATCATATGCAGGAAGCGCGAGGCATAGTCGAGGTCATTGCGGGGGTAGATGATGGGGTAGCCCCTGGATGTTCTGTACGCAATGGCGGCCAGCGTGGGCATGCGCGAAATCATACGCAGACACGATCGCATGCGCGATGCCGGGTCCCTGCACAAGCCATAATTTCTTTTGGCTTTGCATGCAAAAGAGCGCACACCCACCAGCACCTCACCAAGTAGGAAAGAGGGCAATTATAATCAGAGGAGGAGGGAGGCATGCTCACGCAATGTCTGCAGCATAGGGCTCAAAGGCTGAGAGCGCTCCCACCACGCCGGTCATGATGGCCATGGGATGCGCGTCATGCTTGAAGCCCTTGTAGAAATGAATCAGCTGCTCATGCACCAGGGTGTGCATCGTGATATCCTGGTCAAAGGCTGCCTTCTGCTCGGCAGTGGGCAGCTCGTTCATGAGCAGCAGGTATGCACTGTCTAAAAAGTCCCCCTGTTCTGCAAGCTCCTCGATGTCGTACCTGCGCCACTGGCCATTTAGTCGAGGTAACTTTCACCGACATGTCTGCAACCAAAAAGTAATGCATGCAAGAGTGTCCAAGAGAACTACCCGCGATACAGAAGGACCCCCTTCTTCCCATCAATGTATGTGATGGTGGAACTGCAAGATCCTGGGAAAAAACAGATAAGATTGAAACCCAGATTGATGATACTCATGTCCATTGGCAACCAAGAGTTCATTACCCGGGTCTGCTGTTTGCTTCTATGGGACTTGGCACTGAGCAGATGGGTACCTGTCGAGGTGTATCCAGGATCATATGTACAGATTCCAGTGCTCGGTTGGAGTTTTCTGATATCAATGAATCGATTGTTGGCGGCATCCTGCAGTATGCAGTCTACTTCACAAGACCAGACCAGCCCTTGCTGACTCGGCATGAACTCCCATAAATACAAGCATTGTTCCTCATCGAACATGAAGTATGCTCCTATACTTGCAATACGACATTTTACGAGAGAACCTCATTAAAAACCTTACAATGAGGAATGGAAGATCGATCTTCTGTCCGTCTGGCAATGTCAAAATTGCAGATTCTGTCGATGTCGACGAGCTCTCGGTGCCCGCATGCTGCGTCTCCTGCACCATTCTTTCGACCACTGTCTCTCACGGAAACCGAGTTCGAGGCCCAGAAAGAGTACCCCCTTTCTTTAGAAAGGAACGAAACGCTACTGAATGACTCAGCGCTTAGGTCATCTTGGGCACTCCTTCGTCTTTTGTACTTGTTTCCATCTCCTGCCTTTGCCCTGATTGAGCCTGCCCATTACTCTTTCATTTTGAAATTCTTTCCCTTTGATCATGTTGCAGTCATCTAGTTTCGATCGTGCAACGCAAAATCGGGCAAGTTCGTGAGAGACAGATGTCTGCTGCCACTGTTCAATACATTCCGGAGGAAGAACACCCAGGCGAGTCCTATAATCATATGCTCTTCATTGTGACCTGTAAATTTTGCAAATTAGGTGCTGATCCATTCTCTCTGCAGGCATTGTACTCCAAGAAGTGCTGGTGGCTCTCATAAGTCCAAAGCAAGCAAGCCTGCTGGTCAAGCAGCTGAGTACGCTTGCTCCATTGTCTGGACTCCAACACCTCAAGCGCGTGCAAAAGGCTGCCAAGCCTCCTGGACATTTGGAGATAATCATCTGCCCCCTGCGCCGGCCCCTGAGGAGTGCAGTGCAGCCTGACAGCGTATGCGACAACTCTCTTGACGCTGGTCATAGGGCCTGGAGCAGAGAGAAACTCACAGCAGATGCTGTGCCTGGACCCATACAGCAGCTGATTTCAGACAACGAGCTCCTGCTGCGTGCAACTCTCGTGAGTACTATACATTTTGGCCCCTTCCCAATTGCCCTGTCTCTTGTAATCTGATATCGTTTGTCAGCACAGTGATTCAGTCAAACTTGTCTTTTTGCAGGTCACTCGTGATCCACCCAAGACTCGTGAGGAGTTCACAAAATGGTGCAAAACTTGGCCAATGAGCTGGAGGCCGCCAGAGATGCCTTCCAGGCCTCCACCCAACAGCCTGACCGCCAAAGAGGCAGCCATCATGCTGGATCTCATGCGCAGGACAGTGGCCCTGTCAGAGGCTGCAAAGTCCACACATCAATGCAGCAATGCAGCACTTTCATTGATGGTAGCTAGCAGAAGCGTACATAGAGAGCAGGGCAGCAGTAGAGCAGCAGGGGATCCCTGCAGCCATGCGATGGAGACCACATGCAACGCAGCTTTGATCATAAACCCAAGAACAGGAGAGACCATTGCTCAGGGACTAGACGGCACAAGGGGCTTGCAAGCTCACCCGCTGCACCACGCAGTCATGGTGGCTGTGGCGGCAGTTGCTGAGCGAGACCTGCGCCTGTGGCCACCGCAGCCAGGGCCTTCTGGGCATGCAGGCAGTGACAGCAGCGCTGGAGGCAGGGCCGAGGACAGCATGTGCAAACACCCTGACAGGAAAAGGAAGAGGGCCTGTCAGGCTGCAAGCCTGCCGGCCGGCAGTCAAGCAGAGGAGCGTGCTTTGGCAGATGTTGTGAATGAGCAAGCGGAACAAGCTGCAGCGCAGCCGGCTTCACATGACAGCCGCAGCGAGGTCACCGTGCCGTGCATGTTTGAAGAGACCCAGGCGAGTCCGGCTGAGGCAGCTGGCGACAAGCCCTACCTGTGCACTGGATATGACTGCTACACCGTGCGGGAGCCCTGTGCGATGTGCGCGATGGCGCTTGTGCATTCGCGGGTGCGCCGCGTCATATTCTGCATCCCCGACGTGCAGCATGGGGCTCTTGGGGGCAAGTTCCGGCTGCATGGGCAGCGCAGCCTGAACCATCACTACCAAGTGTACAGGTGTCAGCTGTGAGAGTGGTGCTCAGGAGAGCTCGGGCTTGTTTGTTCTGCGCTTGACCAGAGTTGCCTGGAGAGAATTGTTCCTGGCGTTTTACTCGCTTGACATTGTGGTGGACTGCTTGGCAAGCAGCCACTGCATTGCTAGCAGGCAGGAAGTTGTGTGACTCTCAATTTTGGAGAGCAGTACAGTATCCGGATTATCAGATTCCAGCAATATAAACGTAATGCCATGCGGCATACTTGCTGGCAAGCCTACAATTGCTGTCGTTCCTTGACAATTCCGCTGAAACATAAATTACTATTATAACGATAATGATCAAGAGCCCACTCCCTCACGCAAAATGCATGATTGCTCATGCAGTATATGATGGCCCATCTGGGTGCCATCTGATGGCGTCTATAGCAGTCATCAAGACTTAATACACTCTGAGTCTGACACCCACCGTAAAGTGCTAGGATGATTGCACAAAAATGCAGCAGGTGCTACAGTGCCATATGACATGTCACCGGCATGCTCGCACACCATGATCAGGACACTGATGGCATCTGCCCCTGCCAAAAATAAGTGATGTCAGATATGTCGCTACAAAGAATTTCACTCACTGCGCAGGACGCTTCTCAGACTCTTCTTTAAGGCAAGATGCCACTTCATGAATCGCGCGGCTTGCTGACAATACAAATTGCATCGCTGTGGCCTCTTGCTGTAGAGCTGGCTCAGGACTGGAAGCTAGCAACTTCTGGAGCTGCAGTGGCAACTGCGAATTGATCCTTGTATTGTCTGAGCGTCCGGTAGTTTGATGCCTCCTTCCGGAGCTCCTGCACGGCCACTGCATCACAGAATCTTGCCAGTTAGACCAGACCTTTGCTATGGATGAAAGCAGGCATCGGTTGTCACCATGCAATCTGCAGGCCGGGTCGAATAGGGTGGGAGAAATGGGCACCTGCAGAGTTGGGCTGCGTTCCACGCAGTGCTAGGAGGCCGACAGCTAGAATCCCCACTCCGACTGCGCCAGCCACAAGGGCAGCATTGTTGCTGTTCTCGCCAGTGTCACGCGAGCTCCCAGCAACGTACTGCTTGGGCTGCAGCAAAGATTACATGTGTGGGGTCAGCATGGAAAGAAAAACACGGCTAGCAGGCTGCAAATTACCAGCCGAACGCTGGGTATCAGAGTATGTAGGTGCAGTGACACCAATGGCTCACCTCGACTGCAAAAATGTTTGACTGTCCAGCAGAGTCTTCTTCTGTGTATCCTCGAGCCTGCATTGACATAAAATCATTAATTTGTACCTCCATGCAACCTGACAGACACGAACCTACTCTTCAGATCGGTAGTCAACCCCTCCTAGAACAGGAAAACCTCACCGCATTACGGTTCGCAGTAAAGTCAAGACCCCTCTTATCTTCTTCAGCCTCAGCAACAGCCCTCAGACGACACCGTTCATATCGCCTGTAAGCTGTCTTGACTGCAAGTGGTGAACCCGAGATGTGTCTGGGGAAGGTCCCTGTAAGTGATGCCTGCATCAACAGATTTTGAATCAACTGATACGCCTTTATCAATCGATTGATTGCTAAAGCTCTTTCTTAGTAGGCAATTTACAGGGAGCGGACAAGGAAAGGCTTGCAGGCCAGCCGGCACTTGCACACCTGTGAAAGGGCCGCCATTGCTGGTGTCTATACTGCTTACTGGAAGGATGATCTGTGAAGGTCTGCAATTTGATTTAGGATATCGAGTGAATTGAACGCGCAATCCCGCAATGAGTCTTACTTCTTGAGCGGGCGAACCTGAGGCCCAGGAAAGTTGTCACGTGTCAAATCCTAGCATCCAGTGGCCCAGTAGCAGAGTTTCTGCCCGGAGCAGAATTTGCAAGTCTGCACTGCCTTGTGCTTGCACAAAAGTTCAGGGCCGCAGTGCAGTGAAGGCTCTGGATGTTGCAGTTGATAAATGACCAGCATGCCATGCAAAAGATTGCATCGTCCCGCGCCATATGGCACCATCATCATGATGGTGCACCGCGTGCCTGCATGCCGTGCACATGCGTAGCATGCAGTGACTGTGCTGGCACCGCTCTGTGGGAGCTGCGTTCGGCTGGAGACATTGATGAAAGACTTTCTACTGGAAGTCTTGGTAGGTTCTAAAAGACCGCCGGGTCACTCACTGTGCCGCAAAAGTCGTCATGCATGTTGACGTCAACTTGCAACTCGCAGGGCAATGGCAAAATACCAGGCCTGCTCAAATAACCATGCAGCGCGATGATCATAAGAAGGTGGTAAGACTAGGATATGTCATGCCAAGATTCATTAACAAATTGGCTTTGAGCTTCACTGGTTGCAGTCATCACAGCACTGTATAGAGCCTTCACAGCATGCCCCAAGGCTGTAATTGATTGTATGCAAACACATTGGAAATCAAGACTAAGCCTTGATAGCCAGAGTAGCGGTGGCCCAGGAGGTAGAATGTAACACAAAACGGCCATACACAGAGAGCAACACAGACATTCCTGGAACTCAAAGTCACGCAACCTGAAATTCACAATAAAATGCTACTGGAAGGGACCTCATTGTTTGTACAACACTGCAGTACAATTGCCTTTGACACTATTTCCATTATCAACAGATCCACCACCAAGATGCCCAAGTCCATCAGGTCTGTGCAGTGTGACGGCCCCAAATGCTGACCCAGCCCCAGAATTGCTCCGGTGTTATCAAAATATCCACATGGATCCATCCGCCACTCACTTGCCGCCCTGGAACATCTTCAGGGCCGACTTGAACATGGAAGACTGCTTGGGCTTCTCTGCTGCTGCTTCCACGGCTTCCCCCTTGGCTGTGCCCTCCCTGGCGCCTGCAGCCTCCTCCCCATCCTTGCTCTGGCCTGCATCCTGCGCCTCGCTGGGGGCTTCCTTGGCCTCAACCAGCGGCACCTCTTTGACCTCTGCCTCCTCATCTCCTGCAGGCTTGGCAGCCTCTGCCGCGTGTGCATTGCCGCTGCCGCCGTTCACTTCTTCGGCAGGAGTGCTGGGCGCTGCCTCTTGAGGGGCGGGGCAATCCTTGGCAGGAGCTGTCTCAGCGGCAGGTTCTGGGATGCTGGAGCCTTCCTCTGTGGGCTGAAGGGCATCCACTGTCTTAGCTGCATCCTCGGCCTTCGGCTGTGCTGCGTCTGGAATTGCCTCGGTGATGCTGTCCGCTGTGTCAGTGTCGGCAGCCACAACAGCGTCCACATTGCTGGCCAGCACAGCCTGCACCGCCTCCACCTTTGTTTCCTCCGCTGGCGCGCTCTCCTCCACACCAGGCTCTGCACCCGCGTCCTTCAGCGGCTCTGCAGCAGCAGCAGCGGCTGGTGTCTCCTTGACCAAATCTGCCTCTTCTGGCTCTGCTTCTGCCTCTGGGACTGCCGTCTCCTCATCGGCAGCTTCTGCTGGCGCAGCCTCCTGGACTGCAGCATCAGCTGGGGCATCGGCTGGTGCTTCAAGCGCCGTCTCACCGGGCTCGCCTGGAGTCTCAGGGGCGGAGTCATCCTTGGGCGCCTCTGCCTCCTCCTCTGCTGCCGCACCCGTTGGAGCGGGAGTGTCAGAAGGGGCCGCCTTGCTGACAGCCTCGGGCACAGCCTTGGGCGCAGCCGCTGTAGCTGCAGTCGTCTCCTCTGCAGCGTCGTCTTCAGCCGCAGCCTCTGCGTTGCCCGCGCTCTCCGCGGCGCTGTCCTCGATCTCTGGCAGCAGGGTGTCCGGCAGGGCTGCTGTAGCAGCAGGCACCACAGGCACCGCAGCCTCGCCTGCTGCGGGCAGGGCGCCGTCGCTGCTCTCCTTTGCTGTCGGCTCCGCGGCTGGCGCGCTTGCTGCAGGGGCCTCCTGCGGCTTGGGCGCTGGTGGCACCACAGTGAGCTCCACGGTGAAGCCATCGCCAGACTCCACAGGCACCAGCTTGAGGCTGACAGTCTCGAGGGCAGGCTTTGCGGGGCGCGATGCAGAGCGCTCCTTGCGCTTGCCTGCAGAATTTCCATGCCCTTGGGAGCTGCTTGTCAATATACACTGTCAATATACACTGCTCCAAACGTGGTGATGAGAAGGTGGGGATGATATGCAAGAAGAAGGGAGTGGTGGCTGTTGGGAAGGAGCTTACCAGGCTTCGATGCGTCTGCCTTCTTTGCGCCAGAGGACGCCTGAGCAGGAGCCTTCGTGTGGAGCAGGGGCCGTGCAGTCCCGGATCTGATGTCGGGCACACTGATGGCCACAAAGCGCTGACCCCGCTTGACGCTCTCCAGCAGATCTCCGAGCTTGTAGTAGTGGATGGGCAGTGGTACGTCAGGAGGTGCCACCTTGCGCTCCTGCACACATTCGGCAGCACTCAGGCAGAGCTCGTGCATGCACTGTATCAAGTTAATGCATTTTGCAGAGCAATAAATCCTGCTATGGAAGGGCTCGTATGGCCATTGGAGAGGAAGCAGGTAGCTCACCGCTCCGCAGACCTGCAGGCCCATGTCGTGCAGCATGCCCTTGCGGTACCACTCCAGCATGTTCCTGGCTGGGAACGGCCCCTGGACAGTGCCGGACGGGTCTATGTACCGCCACCTGCAAGCACATGCGCCCAAATGCTTCCACCATGAGCAGAGAGGTTCACATTTCTTACCAAAGGGCAACACAAACACAGGCAGACAGTGCTATTTTGAGAAGGTGTAATCCGGTGTGCTTACATGGGCTCATCAGTGGCCAGTTCGGCCTCGGCAGAGAAAAGCTTCTGCGCAATCTTGTAGTTGAACGGCAGCCGCGCCTCCGCGGTGTCGCCAACAGCGACCGCGCGCGCACCGCCCTGCCCGCGTCCGCCCCTCCCATAGCCGTCGCCGCGCCCGCCGCCCCGGCCCCTCTCTCCCCGGAAGCCCTTCAAGCACAGCAGCATCCATACTCTCTCATGCACATCCACCGTTGAAAAGAGCCGCACGGACCTCCTATGTTGACACGGATCTGCATCAGACAGGGTGAAAGCATCGTGGGGCGTACCTGGTCGTCCCGGCGGCCGCCGCGGCCGGCAGGCTCGAAGCCCTGGCGCACGCCCCGGCCTCCGCGCGCATCCCTGTGGGTGTATCCCTCAGTCTCGAGGGCTGCGGATGCATCGTGCGCCCTCGCCGCCGACTCCTCGGCTGACAACAGGGCGTCTGCCGGGTGCTGCCCCTGCAAACAATTACAGCACCTCGTCAGCGTTGTCGAGCTCTCCAAGAGCATGCATGCAGCGAGCTGCAGTGCCTGTCAAATTGCATGCACAACATGCAGAAAGCGCGCAGAAGGATGCTGACCTGGTATCCTGCACCGCGTCCTGGTCGCTGCTCGCGCGGGCGGCCTTCGAGGTGAGAGACCGCCCTCCTGACAGGGGCATCCTCACGCGAACCTCTGCCATTGATCTGCCAGAAGGAGGAAGAATTTCAAGTCTCTTACAAACTTTAGCACACAGCAGTGCACCTTGTGAAACAGAGCATGCATGGGTTGTCGCTGAGGTCTTCCTCAGGGAGCCTGCCAATACCTCTGCTGCACCAGTCCGGCGTGCAGTCCCAGCAGGTGGAGCTGCTCTGCCCTCGGCTTCTCTATTAAGCTGCGGCAGCACAGACTTCAGAGGCACGAATGCCTGCTGCCCTGCTCTCCGCACCTGCAGCACGAAACAGCTTTGCTTACCGCCTATCTCAGATCAGTCTCTGCTGCACCAAAAAGGGATCTGGAATCAAGGACATTCCCCACCTTCTGATCTGCTGAAAAAAAGCCTCCATTCGACCACTTCAGGAGATCAGAGGCAGGGAACGGCCCCTGAGTGTTGCCTTTGGGGTCCACATACTCCCACCGGCTTGGTCGGCCCTCCGCAGGAGCCCCTGCAATCATTGAATCATCTGATCAATATCTGCCATGCCATATACAGTACAATCCAGAAGCAACATATTCACAACTGGCATACCTGATGGTGCACGGTCACGAGCTGCTCCTGCTGTGCGCTCATCAGTCCTGTACGAAATGGCCACTCTCAGTGTCAATGTGATGCAGGGTTCATGCACTCGAGGCCAACAAACTGTGGACAAAACCATACCTCCTATTCCTGGCATTCCGGTCATCATTTGGTACCTGGCCGAAAGGAAATTGTCAGACAATCTGTTGCATTGAGTTGTCTTCATGGTGTGAAGGTCACATTACTGTGGAGTGCAGGAGTGCGAGCATTTGGAGCCTGGTGATTACGCACCGCAGTCCTCCTCTGGACTGGACCCCCATCCAGCTCCTCTCTATCACGGTCATCATGAAGAAACCTAAAACATCACAAATTGGACCTTCGAGAACCGTTGTGAATATACAATACTGGTCATGCTGGTCTGGGGTTTGTACCTTGTCTTTCTTGGCATAACAAAAAGGAAACATATGATACTTTCAATAATCGCGGCACACTGTTTCGATCCGTTAGCACGCAGATGCGCGTTGCAAAGGGCTGCTGGCACTTATGCTCAAGAAAGATGGATGGCAGAAGATGTCAAAGTGAGATATTGTCACGATCAGGCTGTAAGCCTTGGGAATCCACACCAGGACTGCTTGCCAGTGTTCCTTCCATCTTCAGCGGAGGGAGTTCGAGGGTCCTCGCCGATAAGCTCTTCCCTTGCTTGGGGATTTGCTGATCTAGCTTGAGAAACCCTTCTAGTATCAGGTCGCCTTCCAGTGCGACCTGTGCTACGCCTGCGATCGACAATACAACAAAGTAAAAGGAGTGACAAAAACCACAACGAAGGCTCGCTGAGGTCGAAGGTGCAGATAACATGTCAAAGGTTGGTTGATCAGAACGAACCTCTCTTGGTCTGCCTCAAATAAGGCTGCGGAACGCATTGTGAACAATCTCTTGATTTCTTTTGCTGGTTGTTGTTTGCAGTCGCTCCATTCGGGGCCGCCTGCCTGCCTTCGATGTCATACATCCTATATAGGCTTGCATGCAGGTCCAACTTCGAAGAATTCCCAGATATCTGGTATCTGGCAGTCCTTTATGGCAGTTTATACTTGCCTGCGTGCTGGGATGCATATTATCGAGTACTCATGGTGTGCGTGCTACTGATGGTTTGAGATATGTGGGACGCTTAATTAGCCCTGAGTGGCTGGAAAAGTACTACTTAGTAGTACAGTCTCACTATCTCTCCGAGAGTCTCAGAGTCTGGCATAGCTACGGCGTGTAGCAAAAGCGGTGGTCATGATTATAGTAGAGGTTGCTTTGAGGTGAGCAAGACGAATTGTTGGCAACTAAAAGACGCACAGAAAGCCGGCCTAGAGCTACCAGCACTGCTAGCAGGGCTCGAGCTCGCGCATGCGCAGCTCATTGCCAGTGGCAATTGGCAAGCTCATCAGCTCACTGAGCTGGCAGCCTGAGCTCATTGCTGGTCCAGGCAGATGAGGCTACACGAAAATAAGACCATGGTATGGGAAGCATGAATGCAACTTGCTAGAACTTTCATGAAGTTGGCACAAGAATGACCTTGAAGAGGAACTCACAGCGTGCTGCTAGCACGGGCTTATAGCACGGGCTTATAGTAAGAGCCCATCGAAGAGTCCCTGCAAGTTGATTAGCTGATCACTGATTTTGGTAAATAGATCAGATCAGATCAGTTCACTGATATATCTGCTTCATATTCTGTTACACAAATCCAGTACACAAGTCCACACAGGCACAGTGGCCACAAAGGGGTGAAAGCTAGGTGCTGCACGTGTATTGGAACCACAAAAAAGCGTGGCGTCCCGCCCCGAAGTTTGCAAGCTAAACCTCACATGTCTCAAAGTACTAAGCTGAGATTCGGACAGCTCTTGCTGCCTGCCGCATGCTGGCTATTGCTATCCGCTGTTGTGTGGATCAATCCTCCCTGCAGCAAAAAACTATCATCAGACTCCATCCGGCAGCAGTTTGCAAGGCAACCTTTTTTCAGCTGCACATGCCAGTGGGATACTGAAGCAGCAAGAAATGAGGAGTGACAGCAACAAATTAGTGCGGATTTGTGAAAGTGGTTGAAGGTTGGGGCGCACATGTCTGACTCTTCCAAAGAAGCCTTGGCCTGCTGTTCTGCGGCTTCGAGGATATCAGCAGGCACACGCCTGAACTCCCGGTCTGAAGCATCGCATATCCAGGCTATCTCCAGCTCAAAGGGCTTCTCCTCATCGTGCACACTGTAAAGACTGCAGGAACACACCCCAAGGAAGGTAAATATAGGAGATGCATTGAGAAGAAAGGAGAAGAATGTTGCCTTGCATATGTAGGCCTGCATGTTAGGGACAATATTGACCCTTTGAATGAAAGCCTACATCTTGGCAACCTCGACGACCCCCTGCTCGCTGCTGATCTCGCCCAGCTTCAAGCGCTCAATCTCTGTCTTGGCTGCCTGGCGGCCCTTGCCCACAGCCGTTCCAAAGAATCTCTGCGCACAGAAGGAAACGAAAACTGAAGCTGGTGCTGCTGAAAGGGTCTTCGTGTTGTTAGTAGCTGAGACACCAACAAGTCATGGGAAAGGTCACGTACATGGCAGTTGCCTGATGGCTCGACGACATACAGCTGCGGTCCTGAGTCGTCATATGCTGCTAGCAAGACTGATGTGCCGAATGGTCTGATGTTCACACCAAGAATGGTCAAGTCTATTCAGAAGTGGCTTAATAAGCAGCTACTTTATGACAATTACTCTGTGGTACAGGGCATGATCAGAAGATACCAGCGGTAGTTCACTCACCTGGCATACCAATACAAGTTGAAGACATGGACAAAGCTGGCAACTCGATCAGCCAGCACTTGCCCAGGTATGCTGTCTCCATAGAAGCTGCGCACGGCAACAAGGTCACATGTCAGAACAGGGTGCAAGCAAGAACGCTATTAGTCCCAGTAAAAGTAAGCGTGCAGTGATGCACTCACCTTTTGTATTGCACAGCCTCGTCAAATGCCCGGTTGACAACCTGCCTGCCATCAGCAATGACTCCAGCAACAGCCTGCAGAGCAACAGTGATCAGAGGTCTGTCCACAGCAAAGCAAACAAACACCATTGAGAATAAATTGCTGCTCTCTGAGGCACATATGCTCACCATTCCAGCATGTCGGTCGACTGGGAACGTTCGCTTGTTTGAGCCCTTCTCTAGCATCTTTGACACGATCGTCTTCTCAACACCCTGTGCTTGCAACGAAGAAGCCTATCAGGGAAGATCAAATACGGATAGTATAATGAGCCATAAAGATAAAACCAGATGAATCGAAAAAAGTTAATAAAGGAGGTGTTCAAGCGCACCAGCACAACTCCATCTTTGCACTTGATTCCCACCACCGTTCTGCACGCACAGAAGATCATTTACAGGATGTGACACGAAAGCAGACTAGAAAGCAAAGCTATTGCACACTTGGTCTCCTACCCGCTGTTGTCGATCGCTTTTTGAGCATAGTCTGTCTGGAACACCCTCCCATCAGGTGAAAATGTCGAAACTGACAAATCATACTGCACCACACGAGCCACGCGTCAGCACTACGTATCCTTTGAATTTTTAAGATATGGAGTACAATGCAAGATGAGATTTCAACAGTGGATCTCACCCCAGTCCCTATTCCACTCATGATGATGACTGGTAGCCACTCTCACTTCAGAGCTGCTCAATCCTCGCAGACAATGAAAAGCTTACTTTCCAATCATAAGAATAGAATTACAATGTTGCAGGAAGGTAGAGGCCAAAGGTCACAAACAAAGCAGCACTGAAAGAAGTTGTAATGATGCATCCCAGGACCGAGCGGTTCTGCAATGTCATGCGAAATTCAGCCGAGGCGTAGGATAGAGTTGTCTGGCCTGCGTGGAAGATGGGTGAGCATTGTTTTGATAAGCCGTTGAGATCGATGTGTAAGTAAAGAGGGTGCAAATATCTTGGCAAGATTGGTTTTAGTACACTAGCTGGCCATGGAAACACTTTGTTCTTCACGCCAAGTGGCTAGACAGGTGAGCACTGCTAAGTAGACAGTTATTGAATCGTTCTGGATGGGGTGGATTGATCTTAATCTGACTTTCGTCCTGTATTTCCAGGTCCACTCCACAGGAATTACACGTGTGGCCGTACCTCTCAGGTGAGGTCGCCAATTGCATTACTAGCTTTCCTGTTCAGAAGCTCTGAAATTTTGCATGACTTACACTGTTACCTGCATAAACGATCTCTACTGATATTTTTCATCCAATTATCCACTTTGGGGGTTATTGCGTCTGATCCACGGCATTTGCCCCTCCCAGGCCAAGGAGAGGTGTTCCGGTGTTCCGTGGCAACCGACGCACCTTGCGCCCGAGGGTTCTTGCATGCGTTGCGACCGCTGAAGTCGAGCAGGCAGAAGAATTACAGACACCAGAAGCCCCAGCGGGGCCTACAGAAGCTGTCGAGCGAAAAGAGCCAGCGGAAAACTTCGAATCTCGGCGGCGCGCACGACCTTTTCAGCAGAGGCGTCCTAAGAAGGAGAAAATCTACGACATCACCGATCTTACTGTGGGACAAGAGGTCGAAGCTGTCGTGGTGCGTCTTCATTCCTCAAGCTCCCCTTGCCTTGGCCTGCAGCCTGTTGCCAAGTGTGTGACTGAAGCAGCTCCCCTTCTGCTGGCAGGTCGGTGTGACGACGTATGGTGCCTTCGTGGATTATGGTGCCGGAAAGGACGCGCTGATCCACATCTCTCAGCTGACGGTGAGCTACCTCTTGACCGCTGCCTCACCTGCCACCGATTTCAGTAGTGCATGCATCATCAGTCATGCATCCTGCACAGCAACTTAGATACATGACAGGCTATCATGCATGCCTGACAATCTTGCTGACGGGTGTGGTAGGACGGCTTTGTGGAGAACACCGCAGACGTTGTTCAAGTGGGCCTGGAGATCAAGCCGCGCGTGATCAGCGTGGATGTGGCCGCGAACAAGGTGGGCCTCACGCTGCGCTCGGAGGAGTCGGCCAACCGGCGCAACTTCCGCCGCGAAAGCGGGGATGATGAGGGCTCCAGCAACGGCGCCCCCGCCCGCCAGCAGAAGTTTGACGGCCAGCGCAGAATGTCCACCCAGGGTGGCGCCCGGCAAGGTCTGCCATCCTGCAGCACTCTGGCAATATTACCTGCCTTTAATTGTTCCTTTGTTTGTAAATTGCACAAAGGTATCATGCCACTGTTACATCATGTACCATGCATTCTGTCAGCTGTAGTTCAGCTGCACCTTTCAAGGCATGCTTTAGATTTCACAATGAAGTGCGGCCATGTGGATGTATGGTTGACTGGGCTTGTGGGGTGTGCAGACCGGGCTCCCAGGACGCCGCTGCCAGCGGTGGGAGACGAGGTGACCGGCAAGGTCCAGCGCTTAGCAGGCTACGGTGTGTTTGTGGAGCTGGAGAACAATGTGCGCGGGCTACTGCACGTGGACGAGGTGGCTGTGCCTGAGGGCGACACCAGCCGCGAGCCAAATATCCGCGCCATGTTCAGCGAGGGCGATGAGGTCAAGGTGCGGCCGCGCCCACAGCAGCTGTGTTGTGGTGAATTTTGAAGTGAGTATCTGTGCGCACGTTAGGGCACTATTGCGGCGCTCCTTGATGCCTGCAGAAAGTTTTGGTGGGGGTTGTGTGTACCACTGTCGATGGGGGAAATTGTGACAGGAAAATGTCGGTGGTGGCCAAGAAGGACGACAAATACCCTGTTCAGGGGCAGTACATTGCATTTTTTGTGTGGAAGTGAGGTAGCAGAGCAGAGGCTGAGAGGGGTGTGGGGTTGGCGCAGGTGCGAGTGATCCGGGTGGACAGCAAGGCGCGCAAGGTGGACCTGAGCCAGCGCAGCGAGGAGGAGCGCGCGTCTGACAAGAAGCTGGCCGAGAAGGGCGCCGGCACCATCAAGGTGTCCGGCATGAACACGCTGCAGGCCGCCCTTGCGCGCGCCGGCATCCAGAAGGCCGACTTCGAGGACCTCTCCAAGGTGCACATGCATGCGCTGCTACCTCCTCTCCTGCTTCACTGTCTCTTTCGCAAACCATATATGCTCAATGTGACAAGACGCACATATGTCCCTCGTTAGGGGAGTATCTGCCTGGCACATATGCAGCACTCTGTGTGTGGGAGCGCTGGGGTGATGTTTGAAAAAAGACGGTGTCAGATGCTTGAGCCACGCTCTTCACGGTGTCAGGCACCCGAGGAGGAGGCGCAGGCCGCAGCAGCTGCCGAGCCCGCCGCAGAGGAGCCCCAGGCACCGACAGAGGCTGCAGTGGAGGAGCCCGCATCATCGACAGAGGAGCCGGCATTCACAGAGGCCGCGAAGGAGGCCATCGCCGAGGCCGCTGAGGAGGTGCAGCCGGAGGCAGTCACTATTGCTGAGCCCGAGCAGGCCCCTGAGCCGATTGTGGAGGCAGCGCTGGAAAGTAACACTGCAGAGGCTGCGCCCGCAGAAGCAGAGGCAGCGTCAGCGCCGGAGGCGGCCCCCGTGGAGGCAGCGGCCCCCGCCGCGGCTGATGTGCCGGTGTGAGACCGCCTGTAGGCAGTGCTTGAACTTGATCAGTGTGGCAGTGACTTGATCTCACAAACTCTGAGCACACGCCTTCCAGCTGAGCGGTGTTCTTCAGCCGGGCAGAACAAATGATCGAGTCGCATGGGTGTTTCAGATGATGTGAATAGGCTGAGTCTGAAATTCAGGTTGTGTTGCTTGAAGCGGGTTGCTGGTGCATGATTGGCACCAGCTTGCCTTGTTTTGGAATTGCCAAGCAGACATTGGTGCTGCTGTGATGTACAGCCTTTATTCGATCTTGTTACAAATCAAATGGAGATGCAGTATCGAGCTGCCTGATGAGGCACTTTCATCGCAAATCTTGGCTGCGTCATGCAGCAATTGAATAGCAAAGATCACGGAAGCCTGCAATTAAGACAATGGGTGCTCCGACTTGATCGGGGACGGGTGGTATGTGCAGGTGAAGATTGACGCCAAAGCAGTCAAGGCGCTGCGGGACAAGACTGGCGCGGGCATGATGGACGCAAAGAAGGCGCTGATGCAGACCGAGGGTGACATCGACAAGGCGGTGGACTTCCTGCGCAAGAAGGGCCTGGCCTCCGCCGACAAGAAGGCCGGCCGCATCGCCGCCGAGGGCGTCGTTGCTTCCTACATCCACGCCGGATCCAGGTGCTCCCACACTGCATTCACTGCCTCCTGTTTAAGCATTGCATGCATTGCTTGATCGCCTCTGTGCCGTTCCGAGGTGCTCCTGCCGATGGTGGCAACGCTGCTTGCTTGTTCCCTGATTTTCCATCATTGTGCAAGTTGGCTGTAGCGGCTTGGTGTGCATGTCAAATTGCAGTCACAAGGCATGCGTCGCATGCCTAAAGAATTATCTTCTTTGCAGGCTGGGTGTGTTGGTGGAGCTCAACTGTGAGACGGACTTTGTGGCGCGCGGCGACAAGTTCAAGGAGCTGGTGGCCGACATGGCCATGCAGATCGCGGCGTCGCCCGAGGTCACCGTGGTTTCGGTGGACGACGTGCCCGCGGAGGTCATCAAGAAGGAGACCGACATCGAGATGGGCAAGGAGGACATCTTGTCCAAGCCCGAGCAGATACGGTGAGCCCCTCCCCCTTGCAAGCCAGCTGGCTGTGCTTCTGCCTGGATTGACCTGGGCTGTTGACCCCACAACCCATACCCAGGGTGTTTGGGCTCTTCAGCAGGAGGTGTTGATCAAGGAAGCACGACCTTTGATGTCCAGGAGACAACAGCTATGAGGCCCAGAAAGCCGAGAGTGTACTTTTGTGGGGATTTGCACTGCTCCTGAGCCGAGGTGGCAGTGTGTGCCCGTGTGTGTGTGTGCTGACAAAGTGCATGGTGTGGCAGGGGAAAGATTGTGGAGGGGCGCATAGCCAAGACGATCAAGACAATGGCGCTGCTGGAGCAGCCCTTCATCAAGGACACCGACAAGACCGTCGCCACGCTCATCAAGGAGGCCGTGTCCACCCTGGGTGAGAACATTCAAGTGCGCCGCTTTGAGAGGTGCGCCCGCTTCTTGTTCTAATCTTGCCTGTGCAGCGCTGCTGCAAGCTGCTGAAAATATCTTTGACTTGACCCGTTTTTGTGTACCATTGTGGCTGTCTGGTGTGCTATCCTGAATTATGACGCAGCCCTCAGTACAATGTTTGTCATTGTGCTAATGATATTTTGGGTCCTGGAAGGGTGAGGAATGCTGTGGATAAGAAACTGCTGCATGCGGTTGTTTCATTGCACAAATTTTGGTCTTTGAGGTGCGGGTGCCGTGGCCAGGTTTGTGCTGGGAGAGGGCATTGAGAAGCGGTCGACAGATCTGGCCAAGGAGGTGGAGGAGCAGACCAAGGCCTTTGAGGAGGCCGCTACCAAGAAGGCTGCCGAGGCCGCCGCCGCAGCTCCCGCCGAGGAGGCCACCGCTGCCCCTGCTGGTGAGGAGGTGCGAGCTTCACACACTGCTGACTTGCCCTCTAAGACACTCTTCTGCAGGCTGAGTGCATCAGGGTGAAATCAACGCGTCATTGTCCATATGTTTGCTCGGATGGAGACCAGGAGCACAATGCCAGCTAAGGTAGTTAGAGCTCAGCTGAATCTGTTGTCATAAGTTTATGTGCCATGCGGAGGACGAGAAGATTGAGTCCGGGTGCATCTGCGTAGGTGAAGGTTGACGCGAAGTCGGTGAAGGCGCTGAGGCAGGCGACGGGCGCGGGCATGATGGATGCGAAGAAGGCGCTGATGCAGTGCGGCGGCGACATCGACAAGGCCACCGAGTTCCTGCGCAAGAAAGGGCTTGCGTCCGCCGACAAGAAGGCCGGCCGCGTTGCCGCCGAGGGTGCCGTTGGTGCCTACATCCACGCGGGCTCCAGGTATGCTGCCCTGCTGACAAAGTCCTTCCATTGCTGCACAATGCACTGGGTAGCTCGGCCGCTGATCTTGTCCTGCAGATTGGCAGACTCTGCTCATCGCACTTGCATGGGTCTTTAGAAGGAAGATGTCGGGTCGAAGAGCCTCCCGAAGGAGCATAAGGGGCTGTCAAGAGTCCGGCTCGCTGAGAGGGGCGGAGAGACGGCCTATGAAATTGAGATGCAACAATGGTGCAGGCTCGGCGTGTTGGTGGAGGTGAACTGTGAGACAGAATTTGTGGCGCGAGGCGACAAGTTCAAGGAGCTGGTGGCCGACATGGCCATGCAGATTGCGGCGTCCGATGTCAGCATCGTGGCGGCTCAGGACGCCCCTGCAGACGAGGTCGAGCGCGAGCGCGCCATCGAGATGCAGAAGGAGGACATCCAGTCCAAGCCCGAGGCCATCAGGTGCGCTGCGCCCTGCCTTCAACATTGCATGCTGTCCTGCTGCCAGTCTCATGACCAATTGGTGTGAACATGTGACCAGCGAACATGTGAAGACGTGGCCTTTCAGGGCTGGAGAGCGATGCAGAGGCTGATCTATATTCAAGCCTGGGTATTTGAGTTGGTGGTAAAGCTGTAGAATATCTGCTTACAGTCACATGCACAGACATCTAGCATGCAAACGACCTGTTCTGCGTGGGACATTGAGTGCTTACTGTGTGAAGACTGAAAGAAAGCCAATTGCCAGGGGACTGTGCTGGGTAAGTTTTCATGTGGGGGTGCTGACGGTGTTGGGGCGGTGCAGGGGGAAGATAGTGGAGGGCCGCGTGGCCAAGATCTTCAAGGAGCGCGCACTGCTGGAGCAGGCCTTCATCAAGGACACCTCCAAGACCGTCGCCGAGCACATCAAGGCCCAGGTCGCCGCCATCGGCGAAAACATCCAGGTGCAACTTTATCCTGATGCTCTCACTGGATTTGGCTGCAATGCTGAAAGCATTGTTCCCTGAAATTTGTGAATAAACCCTTGCTGGCAACCTTTGCAGCTCTTATACAGACATGGAAGAGCGTGACGTCTACTTAGCAGTCCACCACTTTGGAGCCTTGTGGGTGCTTGCTTGCAACAGTGGGTGCGGTGAGGGGCTGGGGTCTGAGAACATGTGTGTGCATGTGTTTAGGTGCGCCGATTCTCTCGCTACGTGCTGGGAGAGGGCATCGAGAAGAGGTCGGACGACTTTGCAGCTGAGGTGGCAGCAGCCACTGGAAAGGCATGAGTCACGACGAGAGTGCTCTCTGTAGAGACAAGCTTGGACATGGAGATGCCGTTTGTTCAGGCACGAATGATACTGGGAGTGCAATGTTGTTAAAGTGAGGGAGAGAGCAATTTTGAGCAGCAACACTGGATGCTGCGGTTGGTTGACGATCAGAGCTACGGCACAAACAGTCTTTACTTCTCACTCCCATCCTTTGACAGAGATATTTGAACGCTCTTTATGTGGTGTGAGATGCATACTAGGAAGGTATGTCTGTGCAGCCCGCTTCAGGGGTAGTTGACGCCTCAGGTGAGTGATTTACTGCAGACTAGAGCTGTAGAACAGAACATTTACGCCTGCATGTCGCACGCCAATGCGGGCTTGTTGCAAGGAGGAATATATTGATACCTGTGATGGAGATTGTCCTAGGTCCTAGGCCTGTAGTGGGCTACATTTCAGACTGCTCGTCAAGAGTAAATGCATGTAAGCGACTGGATTTTGCATGGTTTGGAACATGCCGGCCTGCAATAGAATTTTGAAAAAACTTTGAACCTTCCATCCATGACCTACATGAATGACCATTACATTGACAATGCAAATCCAATCGCTTTGTTGCAAACAAATGCAGACTTATGCAGAACATCAGGCAAGCAGGCGTTCACATTGTGTGCAAACCCATTGCCAAACAGTCACAAGCGGCTTTTGGAACCACTGTTAATTATCACTTGATCCCAGATGATGGGGATCTCTCAGGGTCATGTCAGTTCGGTGTTGAGTTCAGTCAGGATCAGTTGGTGGAAGCAGCAGCCTGAGCTCTTGATACGCGCTTGAACAAGATGCCTAGTCAACCTTCACATGATGGGTGGCAAGTAGCATTGACGCATGTATGCAGCGCGCCTCAAAAGCCACAAGAAGAAACAATATGCCATGCTTCTATGGCAGCCCCATGGATGGCGCAAAACACGTCTTGATATGTATGACTTGCCAATGTTGGGGCATGGCTGCTAATGCCAGACACCCATTGGCTGTCCCTTTATTGCATGCCCAAAGCCACGAGGAGCTGCTGGCTCCTTTAGATGGCGAGTCGTGTTCAGCATCTGCGACACCGCGCCTGGAAGCTAGAAGCAGAGACGGCGATGTCGTGCTTTGAAAGATGTGAACTCCCTTTTCGATTCCTTGCATGCACAAATGCTCTGCCGCACTTCTGGCAGATACTTCTCTTCCTCTCGCACCCTTGGCACATGGCTGCTCCAGATGACGCTTGATGACGCCACCACACATCAATGTGAGCGGGTGCGCCCTCCTGCAGCCTGCTGTGGTAATGATTGCTCTCCCCTCTGCCAGGGAGTCCCTGCCCAAGCTTCTCCTGCTCCTCCCCATGTCCCATTACGCCTTCAAGCTGTTCTACTGCTCATGTCCCACCTGCACCGTATTCACCCCCAGATTGAGCCGGTCCTCCAGGCTGCAGAAGGACGACTAGAAGCAGCTTGACATCATCCAGGGATGTACATGATACTCACACAAGCAGTCAGCCAGTGAGTGGGATTGTCAGTAGCTGCCGTAGTGACGCTGACAATCCAGCAGCACCTGACCAGGATCAGAGGGAGCTGAAGCAAAGCAGCGCACCGCTGCGGCGTAGAGTGGTGGGCGGCTCAGCTCATGGAGGTGCCGAAGTTGAAGCCACCCTGGGGGAGGGCTCCGCCGGCCGGGGGCGCGGCAAAAGAGTAGGTGCCCTGATTGGCGTCGATGGCGGGCGCCAGATTCTCGACCTCGCCGTCCTCCACGTCAAAGAAGGCCTCCAGGATGTTGGCGGCCTTGTCGTAGATCTCCTCGTTGGCGTGGTTCTGCAGGTCCTCGATCTTGTCCAGGCCCTCCGCCTCGTCCACCAGGTTTGCGTACGCGTTGACACCGCTGGGGCCGGCCAGCTCCTTCTCCGCCTCGCCCACCTGCAAACAACCTCGCCACGCTCAGCATTCAACTCTCCACACTTTGTCTGCGCTGGCGGACCCGCATTGCAGGAGAACTGGGAAACCATATGGCGCTAGAATCTCAACTGCTTCCACGTGTGCAATGCTGGTCAAGAGCATTACAAGAGTCAAGGGAGCCCAGGTGGGCTCACAGATTTTAGCACATAATAAGCTGGTCAAGGGCATGTACAGTGCATATTCAAGCCTGCAACTCCTACCACATGCGTTGAAGCCACAGAGCCTGCAAGAGGCAGACTGTCCTTGGACTGGGGGTCTGCCCAGCCCATGCAACCGCTAGATGCGAAGCAGCGCTGATAATTGCCGGGCTGTCTGGATTCAGCAATGCCGTAAGGTCACCAGGGAAATGCAATGGAGGCCGCTGCCGCAGGGAAATAATGGTTTTCGGGGAAGGAATGCGCATGCGTGTACCTTGAGGATGTTTTCGATGCCCTCCAGGGCAACGGTGACGATGCGGGGGTCGGAGCAGGTGAGCAGGTCGCACAGCGGCTTGATGGCGCCCGCGCCCACCAGGTACTTGATCTGGTCGTGGCGGCCGCCCGAGGTAGCGTTGCTGATGGCCCACGCTGCTTCCTTCTTGATGTCAAACTCCGCCTCGCCCAGCATGTGCACCAGCGGCAGGATCAGGTCCGCATCTATCACCGCCTGCGCCGCACAGTCGTTAATCCTCAAACCTCCATCACTGGATTAAGGATGCGCACTTCAGACCTCCGTCACTGGTCCAAGGCTGCACAATGCCAAGCAATGCAGATGCTGCATGTAGCATGATACAGCCATAGTAAAGAGAGGCCGCGCATGAGTGGGTGGAGGGGCAGCATGGGCATGCCTGGATCTGCTCCTTGGTGCCGGCGGTGATGTTGGAGATTGTCCAGCAGGCCTCCTTCTTGATACTCTTCTTCTGGCTGGTCTTGAGCAGGTGCAGCAGGCAGGACAGCGAGCCGCAGTTGATGATGACCTGCGTCTGGAGGTCGTCTCCAGTGACGATGTTGCCCACCGTACGCAGTGCTGGCACCAGCACGTTGCTGCTCTGGTGCCTGCAAGCAGCCGCAATCCCACATTCTTCACAGCATAATCATTAACCATTGCAAAGCATTTATTGCCTCTTAGGGTAAACCTGGCTCTCCCAAGGTCAGCAAAGCAGAATACGGCACCAAACATATCAAGCGTTTCCCCAAGGAGCAGAGCATGGCTGAGTCCGTTTGAACTCTTGGGTATAAGTTCTTGCTGGCATGAGAATTTGTATGCATAGGGACTTACAGAAGGAGCTCCACAAGCCGCCTGCAAACTCCAGTCTGGATGACCTCCTGGATCTTATCGTTGGTGCCGTCTGACAAGTATGACAGCGCCCAGCAAGCGTCTGTCAAGACTTCCTCGTCGTTGGAGTGAATGAGCCGCGCCAAGGTAGGAAGAGCCAGCTTTGTCTGCAATGCCGCAGGCAATCATTACTTGCCGGGGACATGTGACCAATACAAAATATTACCATTTTAGCATCCCGAAGAGCACATTGCTTCTGGGTTGCTCGGATACAGTCCCAGACCAGACTGTGAGAGATCCCACCTGCTCAAAGGCGGGCTGGGGCTGCTTTCCTCGGCAGAAATTTGACAGCGTCCAGGTGGCGTTCCGCAGCATGGAAAGCTTTGTGTTGTCTTTCAGCTGCTCCAGCAAGGGTCCCAGCGCTCCGTGCTCAAGGACAAGATCTCTGCATTTTGCAGAGTCGCCAGCAATGTTCCCCAACGCCCACACCGCCTGTGCGCACAAATGCATTTGGTCAGTGACTACAAATTAGCAGGGGTTACAATCAACCAGATTTGACAGATGCTCCAAGAAGCAACAGAGGTGAATATATCCTCTTACATTTGAGACGAAAGCATGAGCAGGGATGGATGAGCTTTGCATTTTTATGAGTTGCTCTACCCTCAACAATTAGGTTCGAAAGCCCTGAAGTCACCTGCTCCCTGACATCGTCGCTAGGAGAGCTCAGCAGAGCAACAAAGATTGGTACAGCCCCGCTCTCGATCACCACCCTTGTGTGGTCAGAAGTCCCGGACGCAACGTTTGTGAGCGCCCACGCCGCCTCAAACTGTCAACAGGGAACACTCTCGTTTCAATCCTTTCCCCGCCTTGGTCATGATTTCCAGAGATACATCCGACTCGGTCGCTAGCGAATGCAAGGTCTTCAACCAACCTGTAGCGTCGGCATATCGGACCGCTGTAAGAATTGGACAAATCGCGGGATGACGCCCTGATTAATGACCTCCTCTATGGGTGGGTTTCTCTCTGCAAAGGCAGAGAACGTTAGAAGGTTTCTATCTTGTCCTTTTGATGGTGAGTGTACATGACAGTGTGCCATAAGTTGGCATCATCTGCAAGCATACCGATCGACAAAAGCTTGCGAAATTGAGTGGTGGCCTCCAGCTGCTGCTGAGGATCCTCGCTGTACACTCCGCGAACCATGAGTGGCAGGGCTTCCAGCTGCAAGCATGACAAGACCACCTCTGCTGAGGATCAGAGCACAAAAGCTTGGAGACACAGAGGTGATAAGGGATTAAGCCACAGACCTTTCGCTGGAATGCAGCTGTCCCTCTGTTGGAGTCTTCCATGCTCCCGGCACCAGGAGCTGCAAACACAGCTCTTTTCTTCTGTAGACTTTCATCGCGCTTATTCTTGCGCAGCTCTACAATGTTGGTCTCTCTTTTGCGCCTCGCATCCTCTGTGTCAATGCCCTTCTTGAAGCCCTTTCTTCTGCGATCGGCGTTCATGTTACCCCACAGCTGGGTGTACCAATTCTTGCAAGTCTCCACCTGAATGGAAATGGAACCCTGGTGACCAGCCGGTGAAGTTGGCTGGGGAGCTAGACTATTGGAACGGGGTCGTCGACATCTAATCGTGCTTGGGGAAAACGAATGGGGAAATCTTTTATGGGGAGTGCCACTCAGGTATATTGTAATAGTGGAGGTCATTAACCCAGCTGGAAGCATTGGCGGCCATGTCCATGCATACTATGCATGCTTGCCGCCACCACATTATATGTGTTGCACAGCTGTCTCAGGCTGAACTTTTTATTGAATGCCTAGTACTAGTAGTAGGCCTGCGTTTCTCGCGAGCTTATGGGCGTTGTTGTTTGCATTGTTGATGCTGCAAACAAAGTTGAACCAGCACCTCAGATATAGCCGTCCAGCAACCAACATTGTCTACCAAACTTCAATGTTCTGCCAGTTCTGTCAGTGAGCACCTTCGGATTATAGACTTCACAGCTCGTTGAAGAGCCACTGTGCAAGCGGCTAACGCCAGGATCACGCTCACGGCCGCACGACATGCAGCACATGTCAATTTTGACTCACTGGAGACAACATCATGATCGCAAGAACTCTGAGAGCCTGACAGGTCCAGTGTCCTTTCCATCATCATGATCTTGCAAGGCGCTGTCGCTATCACTGCTGCCATCAGAATCCTTCTTGAATTTCTTTGCTTTCTTGCCCTTGTCTCTCTCCTTCTTCCGCTTCTTGTCCTTCTCTTTGTCCTTGTCTTTGTCCTTGTCTTTGCTTTTGCTCTTCTTCTCTTTGTCTCTCTTCCGCTTCTGCAGGTCCCAGCCACCAAGGTATTATATATCAGCTACAGACTCCAGTAGATAGAAACTGGTCGCATGTCTGTATCAGCCTCATACATTGACAAAAAATATTGGCCTGATATTCCGTCACAGCAGCATTCATCAGCCTCCTAGGATGCTGCACAGCCCTTACCTTGGATTTTGCCTCTTCCACAGCTCCTCTGAGGTCAGCATGGTTCGTGCCCTTGCTCAGCTTTTTTGCTCGATCAGCATCAAGCTGCGCACGGTACTCCCGCATTTGCTGCTCTTCTGTTAGCGCCTGTGCACAATCCTCAGCAACGGTGGTCCCAGAGCAGTGCTCTCTGCAGACATTCTGTCTCGCCGCAGTGTAAGCTACACATGGGCATTCGGCATAATTGGTAGAATCCAGACGGCCCGAGTACGAATCATTTGATGGTGCGCAGGGGCCAGAACTACAGAGCCTGCATGGTAGGTGACCTACCTGGGCCTCTGCAGCCATGGCTTCATCTTTCTGCTTCTTTTTCCAGTCTTCCCAGGACATTCTCTCAGTGGTTAGGGCAGCAATACGTGCAGCGTGCCACTCTGCTGTGTGGAAGCTGGCATCAACACCGAATTCGCCTGAGCAATTGCAGAGCGTTGCATTTCAGTATCATGTGACGATAGGAATTTTCTGAACTATTCGTTGGAGAGCAAAACAATAGGCTGAGAAACGCAATGGGGGTTGTCATGCTTCACCTGTCCCAAGATCAGGAGCTCCATCCTCAGCTGTATGCCTTGTTCTTTGTTGCTGCTTATGTCCTTGGTTTTTACCCATCCTTTCTCGCCTAAGTGCTACACGTAGCGTCACGCAATGAAGCGCTAGGTGTTCTGAGTGCTGGATGCACCGTGACAATTTCTTATCTCATCATGGAGCCATATAATACATTATATCTTTCGGAACAATTATTCGTGTTCAGGGCTTGTATATTTGAAATCAAATCAAAAGGTACTTCTGAAGCCGCTATCCTTGCAACTGGAATTGGGACTTGGTGAGTCATCATTCTCGTCCGAGAATTTGCTGTCCGATCTAGTCCTTCCCACAAGTTCAGTCCATTTCTTGGTTCTCTTGGATAGCAATAGTAAGGTACCTTATACAGAGCAATCTTCGCAGATGCATAGGGCCCAGCAAAGCACACTTTCATAAAAATGGCCAGCAAACCAGGTCCAGCAGATGGCCAGCAATCATTTTGACTGGAATGGCTAGTAAAGCTTGTGTCAACAGGCTGCAGAAAGAGTACAAGTCCTTATTGAAGGTGCGCTTGCATCATATTCGCTGGTATCTTCGTTGCACTACCGCTGTGGTTTGTCTTCTTCTGGGGGGCATCTGTGGCACTTAGAATAAGCAGCTATGTCCCATCGATCTAATGATCTGAAACATCTGACGCGTTCAGGATCCCGTACCCAACATCAAAGCACATCCTTCGCCCAGCAACCTTCTGGAGTGGCATTACGTTCTTGAAGGTTCAGCCAATAGCGACTATGAGAGCGGAGTGTACCATGGGTGAGGATTCTCCTGCTACTTCAGAACAGGATTTAGCTCCATGAATGCCAGTCAATCTTCGTCTAAAAGGGGATTTCTTATTGGCCTTGAGTATGGCTTGAGAAGTTAGAGTGCTCGTGCAGGAAAGTTATCTTTTCACAGCAGTACCCTTACAAACCACCTTCCATCATCATGTTGACTCCCAGCGGGCGATTTGCAGTCCAGCAGAAGTTGTGCTTGTCCATGTCGGACTTCCATCCTGGTGCGTAACAGCAACTGCCTGCAGCTTCTCACAACTTCTCCAGTGCTGGCAGATCTCTCCACAGATCTGCATGCTCGATGCTGACCTTTGCTTAATATTACGATTCCCTTGTGAATGCAGAATCGTGGAATCCCATGTGGAGTGTTGGGACCATCCTGAACGGACTGCTGTCCTTCATGAACGAAGTGGCACACACCACAGGGAGCATTGCCACAAGCAAGGCAGAGAAGAGGCGGCTTGCCAAACTTTCCCTGGAGTTCAATCTGCGCAATCCAATGTTCAGGAAGCTCTTTTCCGAGTACATCGCTGAGCAGAAGCGCCGACTTGAGGCCGAGCAGGTGTGCGTGCTCTCGTGCTTCATCATGTCAGCAACGTCTAGGGCTGAGCAGATGTTTATAAAGAGATACTTCCACCAAACTGCAGGAAGAACAGCCAGATCTGAGCACCCGTGTCATCAGGAGCATGGGCTTTGGGCGCATCATCCAAGATGTTGTGCTTCCTCCACGCTCACTTATTGCCTGTTCCTGTTAAAAGCATCATGCCATATTTTGGAATTGCTGAGCAGGAATTGGCGAGTCGCAACATGGCGATGGGGCAAACAGGCGACGCAAGTGAGGCAGCACCATCAAATCCCAACAACGGCTGGTCGCTGCTGGCATCAGCATCATTAGCGTGCATTCTGTTGGCCATCCTGCTGCTGCCATTCCTGTCCCAGAGCAATCCAAATCATAACAGCCATCTAGTCACTTAAGCTTTAGCTGTTTTAGCAAGTGATGGCACATGCAGAGCTGTTGTGCACCTGTGCACACATCTCATGCAGGCTGCTATAAATGGCCAGAAGTGTACGTGTGATCGCACACTAATTGTATATCTGCCTCGTTTGGCCAAAGCCACCGATCACAAGTGTCGACAGCTTGCGTGTTTAAGTCATGCATTTTTTGTTGCTGTAGAATGGGTGCATATGCATGCTAGTGGAAATAAGTACCATTCTGTGACATAGATCTAGAGGTGGTTGGTTCGTAGTGACTGAAATTATTGCGTCATATCTCAGATCTGAACACAAGCATGATCCTTGTAACTTGCAGAGGTCATGCATCTTGCTCTCGAAAGCATAACCTCCACCTGGAAGCTGGTCACGGGGACTCCTGCGCCCTTTAATACTGGAGGTGAAGAGGGGACAACAATAAGTTTCTTTTAAGGGACGCTAGGATGCCTTTATTGCACATGGAAGCTGCATCTTCTTGAAGAAGTTCTTGATCTAGATCTTCTCGAAGATCTTGACATGGAGTACAATGTGCTAAAGAGTACCATGATGGCACTGCAATCCCGCATCAACGCTGAAGTTTCCAAATTGGGAATACAGACTTGTTGCATCCGTCAACTTTTAGGCGCTATACAGCTGCGGTTTCCCCTTGGGCTGCTGGCAATATCCTATGGAGATCGAGCAGTATGCTTGGCAGCTTTTCGCCAAAGTACAGTTTTGTGTTATTTGCTATTGCTTGCATAAAAGCCACCTGAATGTACTCTGGTGTGAGTTTGGCTTTATTTGCCTCAGCCTCTCGGATTGTCCTGCATGCACAGCATAACCCTTTTTTTAAAATATATGGGCAAAATAAAAAAAATGCTCCCTAAATCCTGCAGCATACATGCATCAGCACGCATATAGAAAGCCAGCAAAGGCAAATCTAAGGCCATCAGATAGACTCTTGTATGACTCACACCTGTAGTAGTCTGAGTCTGCAAGCATCCGTTGCTTTGCAAGGTACATCTCGTTCTGAATGGTCTCCCGCATCTGCTCTGCCTGCCTCTCTGCAAGCAGCTGCTGCATGTGTATCCTACTGGTCTCAGCCTCCTTCTCTGCCTGCATTGAAGCAATGCATGCCCATGGTTTGACAAGATCTCTGGCAAAACAAGTGGATCTGCACCAGATACTACTCAGCTGAAGGAAGAGTGTCGAGAGGTGCAAAGCCCTCACTATCATCACTGCCCGCCGGTGTTCTGTTTCAGCCTCCTGCGTCACGACAAGAGCTCGTTCTCTCGCCACTCCCACCCGGGTCCGCTCCGCTTCCATGGCCTCATAGTTTGCCTCTATGGCAGGTGGCAGCCGCGGCTTTGTCACCCGCACACTGAAGATCTCTATGCCTGGTGCAAACTTTGTGCAGTCTGCTTGCAGGGCGTCCTTCAAGATCTCATCAATCTGCGTTCGAGGACATAGCAATCGTCATGATTTCTACACATGGCAGAATTTGGGCATCACAAATAATGAGGCGTGGTTTCTAGAAGGCACACTCGGGCACTTTGTCTTACTGTCAAGGCGTGCCTTACCTGATCAAACTTGTCAATGTAGATATCCTGCAGTGTGGAATGGGAGCAAAGCTGATTCATTTCATGATGAATCTTGGAAAAGATCCACAGATTGTCATAGTCCTCGCCATATGCCCTAATAGTTTCCAAAACATACTCTTTCTTCAACCTGTTAACGACCTGCACAGCACCAGATCTCGGATTCAGTTCATGATCAAGTGAACGTGGCTTTGAGCAAACAAATTGTGACATGCCAGACCTTGAAGCGCAAGTCGCACCTCAACTTTGTCAAAATAAACCATAACCCCCTGCGCTGCCATAAAGCCGAATCACCCCAAAATTTTTACTCTGCAGCTGAGGATACGTCGCATCCATGCCTTGCTGAGAAGGGAAAAGCAGGTCAAGGTACTTCATCTGCGCAACCCACCTTCGTGCCGCATGGTATGTCAGCTACCTTGTCTGTTTGCAAGGTCACCTGGATGGGTGAAAAGAGATCCAAGAAGGGCAGTTTCAGCCTCAAGCCCGGCTCAGTGACTCTCGAAAGCAATGATCCTCCGCGCCAGTACACTCCCACATGACCCTGTCAAGTTTTTCAGAAGATTCTTCTGAATTTCTCGGTCTACAACCAGGGGGTTGCGTACGATGCCTCGTTCTCACCGTCAATCTTGTGAACAATGAGCACTTCAGATGCATGCGACCTTGTCACATGACATTCATTTGGTTCTTCAAGCCTCACCTCGGGGACCGAATGTAAGGAAAATTTCAAGAAGACTGCCAACAGGAGACTTCCTATCACGATGTAATTAAGTGTCGATAATAACACATTCCCTCGTTGCTGAATCACTCGTGGCTGGTCGTTAGCAAACCGCGGCACTGGCCCACTGCTGGAACTCATCTCTTTATTGTTAGCCTTACGGACTACTAATCTGACCACATGTCTAGTTGGTCTTTCTGAACAATAAGTGTCGGTTAGGATGTGAAGTACGAAGATGGAAACGCTTTTGCCAATCTAACAAGTGAACGGAATTGACATAACACACATCATGATATTCTGTGTTCACCTACAGTTTTCCTTCCGGCATCGGGACAAAGAAACGAGTGCGCATTAGATTTCTGTTGAGGTCGATTCGTCAGCATTTGTCATGGTTTCATAAGTGCCCTGCGCTGCAGCTCGCTTCCACGACAGTCCCCACACAAAGGGCAGCCTTGATGCAGCCTCCTGCTCCGCACACAAGATCTACAACAGACGAGGACGATGATTTTGACGAGTTCATTGATCAGCAGGTAAGGCCTTGATGTGGAATTTCACGTCATGCAGCCATCAGTCTGTTGCTTTTATTCTATCGTATATCGTCACATCTGCAAGATGCTAGATTAGGGTGTTGAGCATTTCATTATCGTGCAGGGGTGTGGTCGGGTCTTCGCAAAACTAGAGGTGAGTTTGACGGTCAATGGCCATCGCTTTGCTCTCTACTTCGCTCGTGCTCGACCTGTGACTGGAATTCTTGTTTGTCTTCAGGTCTGTCTGGCAGAGAACAACCGTGATTGGCGGGCCTGCCAGAAAGGTGCAGAGTTGACACAGCTATTTTGCAGAGTTGCGATTTCTGTTGTACTAGGAAACAAACAATCTAAAATCTTCGTGACCCAGGGACAATTTGCTGCAGAAGTACAAGCTTGGAGGGACTGCTACGAAAAGTCCCAGCAGGCACAAGATCAACCAGGAGAAGGGGAGCTCAAGTGATGCTACCCTGCCTTGACATTTGAGTCTGACAGCCAAGCAAGGCATGAGCCAAGTGTCAGTACCGCTACTCTATAGGCACATCCTCCGCGCTGCCAAGCAGTTCCCGAGCATCAAGCGGGACGGCATAGTTCAGGAAATAAAGCTGGAGTTTGCTGCTAATAAGGTGTGTCTCAAAGAGCCCTTTGACATTTGAGTGCCTAGGTTCCATTTCATAAAGACATGACTGGACTGAATTGAATTGTACAGTGGAAGCAATTCACACTGGTTTGGTGCATGCAGAACCTGTCCTCCCTCGAAGAGATTCAAAGACAGCGGGCGCTGGCAGTGAGTTCTCTACGGCAGCTAGAAGAGTACGTGGGAATTTCAAGGGATGATTCACCGCAATGGGAAGTTTTCTTGAAGGGACCAGCTAATGCCTCGTGAGGTAATTCTGCCCCATAGGGATGCTGTGCAATTTTGAGGATTTTCCCAATGAGTGTCAGATTTACTATCTCGATTTGACTTAGCCTGTCAATCCATTGGGATTGAGAGGATTGCTTGTGTGTGCAACAGCGCGCATGCTACGCACATTGAACCCCTGCCCTCTGGACCGGAGTCGCCAAATGGGTTCATGTGCTGTGGATGTCTTTCGGGTCCTATTTTGCGGGCAGGAATTCAATTGGGGTTACAAATTCACCAAAGAGGCGCTGCAAGATGATGCAGAGATAGAGGTGAGGCTTTCTGGCTGGCATGCATGCATCAAGCACTGCATGCTGCTTAACATTATGATACTCCTGCTTTTGTCCGCTTCATGACTGAGGACCAGTGTTCCTGTGTTAGGTGTCCTGCTGCCCGCGTGAGGAGGTCGGACAGCACATTGGATCTACAGACTTGGCAGTGCCCCTGATGGCCCGACTGGACTCTTACATGCTTTCCAGAGCACCACGCCTGAAGGCGATACTGCAGTATGGAGTCGGCGTGGAAGGAATTGATATCCCAGCGGTGCTTTTCGCAGCCATTGCGCCCATCCTGAAGACTTGCAACTGGAAACTCTTTGCTTCATTCAAACATTTGCTATTTCTGGGATCAGATTGTCTCTGTATGGGTTCCATAGACTGGCAGCATGCTGGAGTCTATAAAAGTGTCAGATGCCAAGGAGCACTGGTTTCTCTGCACAGGCGACAGAGAGGGGCATCTGGGTGTCAAACATCCCGAGCGAGGGGACTGGGAACGCGCTCTCCTGTGCAGAAATGGCAATCTATTTGACCCTGGCCTGCTTGCGCTCTTCACATGCATGCGCGGAGTCCATTGCCGAGAGGCGAGTCGGCGTGCCACTCGGCCGCACCTTGTTTGGCACCAATGTGCTCATTGTCGGCTTTGGGGGCATTGCAAAGGAGCTTCTGCCACGGTACTGAGCTCCCACTCTGGCTGCCCTTGCTGCCTTATTTTGACCAGATACTTCCGAGGGAAGCTCTCTGCATTCGAGCATGCATTTATTCCAGATGTGCCTGGCGCAAAACATGCTCTCTTGACAGTTATCTCAAGCACGGAGCCTGACAAAAGCCGTGTGAGGCAGGCTGCGTCCATTTGGGGCGCGGGTGACGGCTGTGCGGCGGAGCTCATGGGGCCAGGCAGCGGATGCGTCTGCAGAGGCCCTGCTGGATGACAAGGGCGGCTGGGGTGACATGCGCCGCTTTGCTGCTGGCGCTGATGTCATCATCGTCGCCTGCTCCCAGGACAGCTCATCCATGGGCTTTGTGAACGAAGATCTTTTGTCTGCCTGCAAGCGCGGCGTCATCATTGTCAACGTCGCCAGAGGTGTGTTCCTTGCAACACAAGCCCCTTGATATGTTGTCCTGGCACGCTGGCTGCTTGCACAATTTTGTTGCAAAAGGCGCTAGTCTCGAACACAAATGCAGTAGCAGTCCCTGCAATGCAATCTAGTGGGGCGTAAAAAACATTACATGTATATTAATAAGCACAGCGGATCGGATTGTTGTACATGCTTTCAGAAGCCGCATTCCTGAACTGCTGCGTTTGGTGCGAAACCATCAGGTGGTCTGCTGGACTACAGTGCTGTGCGTGCTGGCCTGAAGAGCGGCCACATTGGCGGCCTTGGCTTGGATGTCCACTGGACAGAGCCATTTGATCCCCAGGACTGGGTAGCTCAGCACCCCAGGTGTGACCATCACCACCCCACCAAATAATTGTCTGCTTGGGACAACAATTTACTCCATGCAAGTACATTCCTGTTGAAAGAGCAGTGAGTTCATGGCAAGAATGACTGAGAAAGAGGGGTGTGACACGTGCACAGGGTTGTTCTGACGCCCCATGTGGCGGGCGTGACGGAGCTCAGCTATCGAGCAATGGCTCAGATCGTTGCACAAGAGGCTCGGCGCCTTCATCGTGGCCTGCCGCCCACCATCCAGCTGGCTGCTGTCCCCCATCCAAGAACCGGGGTTGCGACCAAACCTCAAAGCAGCTGACTAAATAAATGTGATATCTTGTGACTGACATACACTGGATGTAGATTTCTGTGTCTGGGTCGAAATGAAGCTCCGTAGTCAGTTAGCGAGACTTAGTAATTAGCTGTTTTGAGGGTACATTGTTTGTTTGTGCTCAACCTCGTATGTTTTATTAGCCAATTCGTTGCAATGTGGACCTCTAACACATGAAGAAGCCCTTCCTGTCTGAGACTGGTGGTGAACAATTCTTGTATTGATTTCACACAGAGGTTTACGCGCTCGGAATGTGCATGTCAAATGTCCCTGGCAGATTATGTCCAGCAACAAGACTTCTGTAGAGGCTGGCACCCTTATTCTCGAGCAGCATCATAATAGGCGCTTGAGCATGTCCAGTCTGTACAGGACAGTGGGAGCATATCCAAGGCACTGTCACTTGACCTTCTTGTAGCCCTTCTCAAGTCCACTCATGAGCTTGTTGCTGTAGCTCTTCTCAAAGTCAGTCAAAAGCTTCTGCACCTCTGCTGCGAATTTTTCCTCGTGCAGGAAGCCCTTGTCATCATAGAACTCTGTCAGGCTCCGAGACAGGATGGCACTGTCCTTCCTGCAAACACGAAGCAGCACAGCCTGTGAAGCTTTGCACTGCTCCACTGACTGTGTTTTCAAGCAATATTCAGTCCGCCCAGTGCTGGGGAGGAGCTCGCCAATGTCAGGGCACCAGAACATGGCCTGCATAAATAAGTATGGAGCTGCAGGAACAAGGACTAAGGCGCTCGAAACAGCAGGAAAATCACAGATCGATGAAAGTAGAGGACTACGATATGATGAAGCTAGTGCCGACGTGCGGGCCATTTCCTAGTGGGACTACCTTGTTGATCAGCATTGCACAGGCGTACCTGGGATCATGTCGCCACAAGTTGGCGATCGAGACCACTCGATTCCGGTCACTGTCCAGCACCAGCTTGTACTCATCAGAGTAGCGCGGTAAGCGTGATGACAGACGCAACACCAAATCGCCAGCCACCTGCCATCAAGGGACTGTGGTCATCATGGTGCCCCAGGTTTGCAAACCACTTTGCAAATTATGCTGTGAATGCATAGGTCACGCAGTGTGGGTGGCATAGTGTGCTTTGTCCAAGTCATGGCCACGAGGTTTACACTGAGCTCACCTTTTTGGGCTTTGTGATGAGGAAGCTGTCCTCTTCTGCGAGGGAGGTGAAGACAGAGAGCGCTGCACTTCCTACGCCATAGAACACTAGGCACAGCAGGAGGATGAGCCAATTGTCTGGATACTTCTTGGGGTAGAATTGTGCCAGTAGAGCAATCGCAATCCTGCATGCATTGTCAATTGGGTTAGATTTGCTTTTACCAAATGTCTGAGAACAGATACAGAGAATACTTTTAGCAGGTGGGGAAACTGCAAGCACTCACGTGATGCTTCCGAGCCCAATTTTCACATTGCTAACGAAAAACTCTTCTTCGTAGCCTGCATCCAAGATGGTCTGTACACACACCATATCCTCAGACGATGAGATTGGAGGTGTAATCAAGCATAGATGTGAAGAGGGCAGGGACCGTCATTTCACTAACGTGCATCAAGAAACCATGTAAGAGTAAGTAAATCGTACAGAAACAGCACAGTCGTCCAAACCGCGCTTCAGGCCTGCTTGATCGCCGAGATTCACTGGCGATGGTGATGGGTCTTCCTTCTTAATCTGAGAACTTCCACGATCCTGGTTCGCGTCAATCTCCTTTCCAACCAACTTTCCAAGGCCTCTTGCCATGCTGTCGTGTCCCCTTGACAGGTTCTAGGTAGCGCACCAGGATAGCTCAGATGGAAAACTGAACCAAAAAGATATATAAAAATGGTGATACGCTCACAAGGTATATATCATTGCAACTGTATTTCTTGTCTCAATTTTTTTCAATTCTGGTTGATTTTCATCCCAGATCCCAGGATGGTCAGCATCACGAAGAACTTGCCAAGAAACGGACCCCCCGTTTGCCCCCCGCTGCAATCAGGTTGATCTGTGACATGAACACATACATCAAACTCATACCTCTGCTGTTAAAATAGCCGAGATATTGGAATAGTGCGCTATCTCTTGCAGATCTGGGCGCTCGACACAGTGGAACGTTGTCCAAATTTTGAGACACACAAGGTGCATAGGACTGTGACAGAGCCAAAGGTCCTTGTGAGAATAGCGAAATGGCAATGGGTCTGATGAACACGGCAGAGGAATGGAACTGTCCAATTTGCCCGGACCTTCTCTACAAGCCCACATCGGCAGTTTGTGGCCACTTGTTTTGTTTCTGGTGCATGCACAGAGCGATGAGTCCCTTTAATAGCTCACGCTGCCCTCTGTGCCGGTCTTCGTTTGGACACTTCCCAGACGTGCGTTCTCTGACTCTGATATGCCAAGTGCTAACTCTGATCTGCCGAGTATTGTGCCGTATCAGGGTTATTTCCAGAGAGCTGTGTGAGTCACCACCTATCAGGAGAAGATTCAGATAGGGGTTGTGATTGTGCAGGTGTGCAATGTGTTGCATCATTTTCTATTGCGAGCCTTCCCAGAAAGCTACGAAAGCCGTGCAGAGGAGACAAGAGGTGAGGGCAAGCTGGGTTGAAGCTAGCCAAGCATCATTTGCTGAGTTTGATCGACTTGTGCGCCCTTCTTAGCTCCACATCAGAGAAGTTACTATATTGTGCGCATTGGATGTTGGTGTGTCTTGATACATATGTTTCCCCCTTCACTGACAGAGAATGAACAAGAGGAGGAAGTCGACTCAATTGAGGTCTCTCCACCAGCGGCGATCAGTGAGAACGTCCCTGCAAAGGTACCTACTTCTCCCCTCCAGCCTCACACATACAAGTATCCTGAGACCTCACAGATACCCGCCCAGGCAATAGAGGCACGAATGCAGTGGACCACGGCCATTGACATATGGATGTTGTGGCGCAGGCGGTGCCGGCCAAGGACACGCGCTGGAGCCTGGCAGACTTCTTGTGCAGCAGGCCGGACTGTGCGCAGCTGCTGAGGGAGCCTGTCATTCTCAACTGCGGCTGCGCGGTGTGCAGCGGCTGCGTCCCAGACTCCGGCCAGCCCTGCGCTCGATGCGGCGCCATCTCCGTCACACAGCCCAAGCCCTGCACCAAGGTCTGCCTCCTCTTTGTCCTCCACCTTTCCACTGCAAGAAGTTTGCCTGGCTTTCAATGGCTGCCCTCACCAGCGGTGTCCTATTACAGCCCTGAGTCTTGCGTCCATAGGCCAAGTTCATGACAGGAGAGTGGACATGTTGTGGGCGTGTGGTGCAGATGAAGGACCTGGTGGATGAGCTGTTTCCCAGCACAGACTTTGACAGGCTGCAGAGCGGCATGCGCGCGATAGCTCAGCAGCAGCAGCAGCAGCAGCAGCAGCAGGGGGATGCTGCCCTGCCGGAGGCAGCGTGCCAGCGCGCAAAGCGCAAGACCATGGACATCAATGTGGACGCCAGCTCAGCGCCCTCTCCCTCTGAGCAACCTGAGGGTGCGCCCCTGGTGTCCCCAATTATTCTAATCAGTACACCAAGAGAATCATGATCAGTCAGAGTGCTCATGCACGGGAACCTGAGGGGAAGCAGAAATTGGCTGTGAAGAGATGGGTGATGCTGCTGCAGGGGATGTTGATCCTGATGGCGAGACAGCTGTGGATGAAGCCTTAGAAGAAGAGCAGGAGCCATCCACGCCGACTGGTCCTGCTGCTGCCATTCAGAGCCGGCTGCAAAGCAATATGACGCACTTTGGGTGCGGCTGTATGTTATGAGGACAATTGGTGACACGTGTGACTTTCACATTCACATGTTGACAACGATTGGTGTCTCAGCCTATGTTGCCCAGAAGTTGCAAGTAACGTATAGCTTTCCTTTTGTTGCAGGATCGGCTGCGACTTCTGCGGACAGTATCCTATAGTAGGTGCGAGCAACGGCTCCGCAGCATGCAACACTTTGTGTCCGTGCTCCTCCTGAGGTGGTGCGGCACCACTGGTGCCTAATTGTAAAATGGATTTGCAGTCCGCTCAAGAGTGCTAGCTGGCCTTGCAGGCAAGCGGTACCAGTGTCTGGACTGCCCAGAGCGCGTTGGCTTTGACCTCTGCGTCGCCTGCTACGAGCGCCGCTCAAATGTGCACGGCCGCTTCAACCAGCACCACACTGCAGGTCAGCCAGTCACCCTTGCCCTAGCCATCCTTGCACAAAACACTCCCATCCGCCTGAGAACTTGGCAGCATGTAGACTTGTCCATCTGCACAGATTACAGCGACACCTGGCTGCTCTTGGCAGAGTATAACCGTCATTCCTGTGGTTACAATGACCGCCGTGTGGGGAGTGAGACATGCTGAGTGGAGTTGTGTGCTGTTCTGTGCAGAGCACCGGATGAGGGAGGTGGCGGTGACGCCCAACATTCTGCACATCCTGCAGGCGGCCAACCCGGACATGGACATGTCCCAGATCCTCAACATGATGCAGATGGCCTGGGAGGAGCCCGACGCGCCCATCCCCCACGCGCACCGCGGCGGCCCCCGCCCCGCCACCGCCGACCCCTTCGCCCCAGGCAACCTCGCCGCCGCCGCCATACTCGCGCACGGCCATCTGCTGGACACCGCCGGCCCCGCGCACGGGAATGCCCCGCCAGACGCGCCCTCTGCTGCCGACGGCGAGGCCCCGGCGGCCGCCGCGGCGCAGCCGAGCGAGGACACCGGAGCACCCGCCACGCCGCCGCACCCCGCTGTGGAGCCGGCATCAGGTGGGCTACAGGTCTATACTGTAGCGCACACACTTACACACTTACACATACCACACACACTTTGAGTCCTACACCCTGCACAGTCTTGTAGGGATGTGAGAGCTTGGGTCATTGCAACGGGTGTATTGTGATGTAAATAGGCCTGTCTAGTACTGGTCCATGGGGAGGCTCATTTGATGGGGAGGCGGTGTGCTTCGCAGGCGGTGACGAGGAAATGCCACAGGCGTCCGCCTCCGGGCAGCGCCTCATGGGGCTGCAGATGGCCGATAACAGCTTCTTTGCCCTTCTCGTGCCGGTGTCTGGTGCGGCAGGCGCAGACACTGCAGCGGAAGCAGCAGGAATAGACGCATCAAACGTGGCAGACACTGCACATGCTGGGACAGCCACAGGTCAACCTGCTGAGGAGGCTGCCCAGGCCGACAGTGTAGCAGAGAGCGAGGAGGCAAATGATGTGAACGACACTGGATGATCAGCATGGCCCTGTGACTGCAGTCTGTGTGTGCGGGTATACTCAATCAAGTGCGGCGCATGTGGTGTACATCTTGTGCTGTTCTGAGCGTGGTGTGATGTACCTCATGTAGGTCTTGACATTGTCATGACCGGAGTGCCTGTGTATACGTCATTGTGTTGTCTACTTCCCACCTGTCAACCTTTTGGAGGGTATCAAATATTGATTCATTAATGTGCACAGTAATATGGCGATTAGCTGATACACTGACAGCTTTGAAGCATACAAGATGTATTAATGTTAAGCCTGTGTCATAGAACCATTTGCCGAGAAGAGCGATGCTGTTCCTTGGGCTCGAATACCGCAGTTTGATATCAGAATGAAAGTCACAACTCCTGTTGATATCAACATTGAGCACACCAAGAACCTGCTTACATTTCTGTGGCGCTAAGGCCGGCCGACATATCATGGGAACGACATTGCAATTTAGATCAAGCGTGACCACTTTACTCCGATCCGATACCCATATTCTTGCCTTAAAAGAGGTGTTTAAACAAGAGCCTGACGCAACTTATAAACACCCAAAGAGTGGAGCCTCCCCCAGTGCAGCATGTCATGATTTGCGAAGGATTCCAAAGATACATATCAAAGATCTACAGCAGCTACCAAGATCTCACACCACACACTCTCACTCAAACCAAAAACAAACCCCACAGAGCAACCTACCATCCATAGAAATTTCAATGCAGCCCCTGCTACAAGGGGGTCCAATGCTCCAAAAGCAGTGAGCTCCATTCAATGCTCACAGTTCGACTATCCTAAGCTACATGTACAGAGCAGAGCTACATTACAGGGTATCTTTTACAGGATGCGCATGCCGCCTGACCAATTGCAGTGGGCCTAACCTACCAATACTGTACCGATGGCACTAATTCTTGCAGTGGACCCAGAAGCTCAATCCACCCCTCAGAAATGGGTGCTGAGGCAGGAGCGGGGGATGAGGATGCTGATGGATGCGCGCAGCGTGAGGTTGGGCACCAGGTCCTTGTGCTTGAGGGGCTGCCCGGTGCGGGGGCTGACCCCCGTGGTCGCCATCCAGGCCTCGATGGCCGAACGCTCGTAGGTGTAGCCGTCCGATGCCACCACTGGGTCGCGCATCAGCTCCCTCGTGATGGGGCACGTCAGCTGGTACGCCTCCGCCATCCGCCGCACCTGCCCAGAGCCACACCCCGCCTCAGCTTCTTGCGCTTCATGCACTGCCTGCAACATAGAACCTAGACCTCTTGCATGTTGCATATGCCAAAGGTCCACTCCTCAGCGCGACAGTACAATCGTGGAGATGTCTTCTAGAGAAAGAGAGATGTTATGTACGTACAATTTGAACTGCTAGTCATCTCCTCTGCAAAACAGAACGGCATATGGGATCATGTGAAACTAAGTATGCATTTGTACCTCGGAATTGTTGCCGCTGACGCCGGCTTTGGGCGGAGGTGTTGCTGCGGGAGCAGCGGGGCCGGCGCCGGGCGGCTGCTCGCGCTGGGGGCTGTTCCAGATGTCATTGAGGACGGCTGCGTAGTCCTTGGGCGGCTCGGGCGACGCGCGGACGCCGGCCGCGGCTGCGTGGATGCCGCCGGAGCCCATGCTCATGTGATTCAGCGGCGATGAGCTGTACTGCAGCCGCGACATATTTTTGGCCGAGGCGCCGTCACCAAGATCGGCGGCCGGCGTGCCCTCCGCCAGGCACAGGCTGGCGCTGCTCTCCAGGCTGGAGCAGGTCACCCGATCCGAGCCGTTGTCCAGGAACAAACCCCCATTCGCCTGCAAGCGAGATTTTCAAATCAGCGTGTGGGGCAGCAACATACATAGGGCAAAGATGTTGACAAAAGAACCTGAGACCAGCGAGTGGTAGCCCACCTGCGGCGGTGGCGCGAGCGAGCTGAGAGAAGTGCCGGAGCCGTTGCGCGGGAAGCTCCAGTCCACGCTGCGAGCGTGCAATCCGCTGCGCCACACGGCCGGCGCCGCACTGATGGGCACCGCCGACCCGCTGCCCTCATAAAGCACCTGTGGCTTTGGAGGCGCGGAGTCTGCCTCAGCATTGCCGACCCCGAGCTCGTCCGCCAGCAAAGGCCTGCTTGTTAATGGCCCGATGAGGTGCTCCGGCGTGGACAGTTCTGAGGCAGTGGGCCGCCAGATCTTGGCCAGGGCTGACAGGCCCGAGCTGGGTGCTGTCGAGGGTGGTGAGGGCGCGAGGATCTTCGGGGGTGCCGCTGCCTGGGGAGGCGGCCTGCTGCTGGCAATCGGCGCCAGGGTGGCGGCTGTCGCCTGCGGGGGCAACTGGTGCCGCGGCTGCGCTGCCAACACCGGTGGCTGGGAGCCAAACTGCAGCGGAGCACCCTCGTCTGCAGCAGCTCGCCCTGTGTCTGCTCGCTCAGCTGAGATTCCAGGCGTCCCCTCAGCAGCAGCAGGTGGAGCCGTGATGTGTGGCAGCAACTGCACAGGTCCGGGCACCTTGCCTGGCGATGGCTTCCCTTGTAAGGCGCTGCTCGCCTCTGCATCCGGGACGCTGGCTGCCGCCGGCTGGGGCTGCTCTCTGACCGCTCTTGGGTGCCCTGGCCGAGCGACATCCGCGAACGAGGGTGCTCCTGCGTTGCCACGCGCGGGCGCCGCTGCATCGGCAGCCGCCCTCACGTCCGCAGCCCGAGGCTGGCTGCGCACTGGGCGAGCCTCCTGGGGAGACGGCGCGGTGGAGCCCTTGCCGGGAACAACCGCCCTCGCAGCAGGTTTGGCGGAGGCAGAATTTGAACCAGCCGCAGCGCGCGGCGGCGGCGGTGGCTGCTGCTGGTATCCGCTGGCGGGCGCCGGACGAGGCGCGCTGCCGGGCTGCGGGTCTTGCAGCTTGAGGGCGCGGCGCGCCTTGCGCTGTGCCGTGCCTACGCTCTGCCACTCAGAGGCGTCCTCCTCCGCAGCCTGTGCCGCCTTGCCCGGCATTGTAACCTCCGCTGGCTGCTTCCTGGACTTCACTGCCTTGGCTGGACTCTTGCTGCGCGGAGTGCGGGGGTTGGCCTTGGCTGCCGGTCCATTGGACACGCGGGCTTCAGGAGTCTTTGCAGCCACACTATCTGCTTGCTTCTTAAGCTTGACAGGAGGCGCCTCTGACAGATCTGCTCCCTCAGCTGGAGGGCAGGGCGGGTCTGCAACCTCTGGCCTCCCAACAGCATCTTCCTCCACTGCTTCCTGGTGCTCTGCAGTTTCTTCATGCTCGGCGATGGAGGGCACTGCATCTGCGCCATCCTGCTTTGCATCATCAGCGCTGCCTGCCTCCTCCTCTGCCTCCTTCTCGCTGCCTTTCTTGCCCTTGCGCTTCTTCTTGTCCTTCTTCTTGTTTTTCTTCTTCTCCACCACATCCTGCAACAGCAGAAATCTTCTAATCTAAGCATCAGAGCACGCAGCCATAGCAGCATTTTGAGAGGTCCATTGTCAAGGATTCAAGATGCACCAGTGATGATTTGGGGTGTTTGGACGTACCTTCTTGACTTCTTCCTCTTCCAAGAGCGCTGCCATATTGGCGTTCGCCTGCGCCTCCAGGGAGGCCAGCTCTTCTTGCGACGGGCCGGTTTGTGCGCCGCTGGCCACAGTCTTGCTTTTGATGCGCTGCCTCTCCTTCTCTGCCAGCCTCAGCCGCCCCTCCACGTAGCTGTGCCTGCACCCACAGACCCACCCCTTATTCTGCTATGCTGGCCATAGGTTGTTTTATTCCTTGATAGCACTGAATTTCCCATCTGCTGTTCAAGGAAGAGCCACTTTCAGAGCAGGACAGCCAGCAGCGCAAGACAGGCAGCAGCTGTTGCAGATGTGTCCTTGCATGCTGAATGAGTATTTAGTCATTGGCACTGCACTTCACTTACGTACGTTTTCAGTGCGGCAATCACTGTGATGTAATCATTACTGCTGTTGTGTGTATTGCAGGACACACATTTCTTGAGCAAGGGGGCCCACACACCTGTAGGTGGTCTTGCGCGTGAGCAGGCGCAGGACGTCGAGGTCGGGGCGCGAGCGGGGGGCGGCACCGGCAGCAACCAGGCGCAGAACTGCCTCTAGCTGCCCCGCGGCCGCAGCGCTGTGCACTGGCGCCCACCCTTTGGCGTTGCGGATGTGCGCGCTCGCCCCGGCCGCCAGCAGAGTCTCCACCACCTCTACATGCCCTGCCGCCTCCCAGCATGCCCCTCAGCATGTGTTTGCATGACGCCCAATTGCGGGTAAGTTGCAGGGGGATCTATACTCCCCTATAATATATATCTTCCTCTTAGCTGTGATGTAGGGGTGAGTTGGTGGTGTAGCGAGCAACTTAATGGCTGCAGACTAAACCAGTGTCGTGCAAAAGGGTTTGACCACGTAAGGGGATGTGAGCATGTGGTGCAGACAGGGGCATGCGCATGCAAAGGAGAGGAGTAGCCACCTTTTCCGGACGCGAGGTGGAGCGCCGTGTTGCAGTTGCCATTCTGGACGTCGGTGTCCGCCTTGGCGCCCAGCAGGGCCTTGACAACGTCGTTGTAGCCCCCTCCTGTAGCATTGTGCAGCGCTGTCGCGCCGTTTTGAGCCTGCACATGCCCAACAATCTGCCTCACAACCATAAAATGCCGATGTCTCCCTTCATGTCTCAACTACAGGGTATACTAAGCAGTGCTGAAGGCAGCCCTTCAGTTCTCCCCAACAATAACCCTCCCATCTTACCCCAAGATTGTGCCAGTCAGCAGATGGGAAATCTGAGAATTTGTGACATGCGGGTTGCTTCCACCTCTCTGCACAGCAACACAGCACAGCACACCATTACTAGTGCGGGGGGCAACCTGCACGTCGACATCGGCGTGCCCGTCCAGCAGGGCCTCGACGACGGGGAGGTGGCCTGCGCCCGCGGCTGCATGCAGCGCGGTGGCGCCGGCCCCTGCAGCCACGCCGACCTCAGCGCCGACGGCCAGCAGGCGGCGCACGATGGCGGTGTGGCCAGCGCCGGCCGCGCAGAAGAGCGCGGTCGCGTTGGACAGCGCGCGCGCGTTCGGGGCGGCCCCCGCGGCCAGCAGCAGCTCCACGACCTCTGTGTGCCCGTTGCTCGCCGCGTTGTGCAGCGCCGTCAGGCCCATCGACGTCTTGAGGCACACCTGCACGCCCCACAGGAAACTCACTCCAGCAGCCCTGCGCCGGCCCCAGCGTTAAAGGGCATGCGGTCCACAGAAGGGCGGCTGGCACAAGCTTGGCGCGCATCCATGGCTGCATTTAAGGCCCGATGGGAGAGTGCTCTGGTGCTCTGAGAGGGGTGAAGCTGGCGCACCTGTGCCCCGGCTTGCAGCAGGCGCTCCACCACGGCAGTGTGGCCATTGAGGGAGGCTTCGTGCAGCGCGGTCCAGCTGTCATTCGTAACAGCGTCGATGTCGGCGACGGCTGCCAGCAGCTGTCCCACAATCATATCCGAGCCTGACGCCAATCAATATGTCAGGACAAATTATGTTGATAGCTGTAAACCTTACGTCCTATGGCTGGTGGGGATAGGGCAACATCCTGGGCAGAGGAAAAGAAGGGAGCAGTACCTCTTGACGCAGCCCAGTGGAGAGGGGTGAGCCCGTCCTTGTCGCGGCTGTCGGGCGCAGCCCCAGGCAACAGCAGCAGCTGGGCCACAAGGAGGTCCAAGCCATCCTGCAGCCAAACAGGCCAAATTTAAAAGAAACCTCATCAAAGACATGCACGACAAACCTAGCAGGCAGTCGTGGCAAGCAGGCAGCAATATGAGTAGTGGTGCATGAAAGCCCTGCGCACCTGCACAGCAAGGTGCAGGGCGGAGAGGCCCCTCTCTGTTGCGGTGGTGGTGCTGTCCAGGATCTGAGCGACGCACTCCACGTGGCCCCCGGCAGCCGCCAGCGCCACAGCGGACAAGCCGGTCTTGTCCTGCGAGCAGGAGCATGAAAAGATCACACAAGGCAACGCCGCTGCACACGACAGCCCAAGCACCTTCGCAGCAAGGTGATGAGTGCAAACCAGGCCTGCCTCTATTACTGCTCAAATGCGGTGTTATTAAAAAGTAAAGACATTGACAAAATGTCAGCCGAGTAACATTTTGGCCGAGATATCGAGATGATGTTAGCCAGGAGACAAGTGGTTGGGACACATTGGTAGCCAGGTAATATGTGGGCTCACCAGCGCATGCAGGTCGGAGCCGGCCTGCAGCATGGCGGGGACAAGCAGCGCGACTACATGCGCGCGGCCGCGCTCAGCAGCCCAGTGCAGCGGCAGGCGGCCCTGGTCGTCGAGCGAGCCAACGCCCGCGCCGGCCTCCAGCAGGAGCGAGACACACGTGGCGTGCCCGCCGGCCGCCGCCCACGCCAGCGGAGTCCAGCCGGCCGCGTCCGCTGCCCCCATTGCCACCCCAAGATCCAGCAGCTGCTCCACCAGGGCATGCTCGCCCGTGCCTGCACCACCCGCTCACACTCACTTTGTCTTTGACAAAGTGATGAAGAATATTTGCCGATCCCTAAGTGATGAACAAATCCCAGGCTGCAAATTCACATCAATAACACGTAGGGAAGCTCTGTATAGAAAGCAGATTATTATAATGCAGCTCAATCTGTATGAGGTCTGCCCTTTAACACATTGCTGATGTAGCACATCAGCTACATCAGCACGCGAAAGCTGGTTCCTGGATAAAATGCTCCACAGCTAAGGCTCACCAGCAGCATAGTGCAGCGCGGTGCGGCCACAGGCGTCCACAGCATACACATCGACGCGCGCTGCCAGCAGCAGCTCGGATGCGCCGGCAAAGTCAATGCGCACGCGTGGCATCAGCCCCGGCCACTGCATGGCAGCCGGCCACGCGCCGGGCCCGGCCTGAGCTGGCCATTGGGCTGGCGCGTCCGCCGCTGCAATTGTCACACCACTTGAGGGTTGCGGCTCATGCGTGCTATCTGACTGCGCTGTGCCGCAGCTGCTGCCACTGGTGCTGCTAGTGCTGCGGCTCAGTTGGCTGCAGGGCGGTGCATCAGCGGCAGACGTCTGCTTGGCGGGGCTGGCCTTGGAGTCAGAGTCCCCGGCGCAGCTATCAAGCCACCCATGCAGACCCCCAGGCGCGGCGGCCCCGGCCATGGCTAGCGGTGGGACGGCCGCCACGGCTGCTTCATGGGTGGTGCCGGAGGGCAGCTCAAAGGCGTGACAGCCCTGCAGGGCCGCGTAATGCAGCGGCGTGCGGCGGAGGGAGTCCAGAGTGCTCACAGAGTAGCCAGCCTGGAGCAGGCAGGGGATGAGCTCTGCGTGGCCCTTGTACGCCGCCATATGGATAGGCGTGAAGGAGGCCGTCTTGATTGCATTACTTGGATGAGCTGCATTGCTGCATGATGGCATCCTCCCAGGAGCGGCGTCTGGGGCTTTTGGTGACAACGCAGAGACGTGAGGAGCTCCACTTCTGCATTCAGCTTCAGAGGATCTCAATTGGGCACCTCCTTCTACGTGCGGTGTGCGCTGCTGTGATTTGCTACCGCTGGGCTGCTGGCTGTCGTCTTGCTGACCCTTGAGGTCTCCTGCGGCACGCGGTGCCGCAGGGCCAGGAGACTCACGTTTGAGTGCGGCCATGTGAGCCAACAGCACTCCCACAATTTCCAGCGACCCTCCCTCCACAGCATAGTGGAGGGGTGTGAGCCCTGCACAACCGCATGGGCACCGTTTAGCCAAAAACATACCCTTGACAGTTGCCCCGTGCTTGTCCCAATAGGCAAAGGATCCAAAGCGCAAATGCAATTGCTCACCTCTGTCATCTGCGTCCATGACAGCGCAGGCAGGGTGCTCATACAGTGTGCTAAACAGCGGCCACTCCCCCGACTGCGCAGCGTAGTGCAGGGCAGCTCTGCCGGACGCATCCGCCAGGCTGCCATCACAGCTGCACTCTAGCAGCAGTCTCACAACCGCCACACTCCGGGCTCTCGCGGCGACGTGCAGCGGTGTCAGATCTGCTGTATTCTGAGCATCCAGCTCCGCACCCGCCTGCCAAATGCAAACAGACCAGTCATGGTCCCTGCATAGCAGCAGGAGGCATTTCACTGCAATAGCCCCAGCAAGCACAAGTTTATGATCTACTTCAACACTTGCCAGCAATGCAATGGGGTATGATCGACCTCAATGAGCAAGGCAGAGCAGACGGGTTGCTCGTGGCTGGCAGCGTAATGGAGGGCAGTCCAGCCGAGAGCATCCTTGACCCTGATCAGAGCCTCCCTTGCGCTCTGCAGCAGCCGCTCGAGCACCTCTGAGCGGTTGCTCTCTGCAGCGTGGTGCAGCGCCGTAGTGCCTCGCTGGCACACCACTCCCACATCTGCGCCCTTCTCCAGCAGCAGGTCCACTGCCCTCTCTGAACCTGGGGTGGATCAGCATGTCAGAGTGAGACATATCAGACTTATTCTCCTCATGAAAAACCAAGAGTACATGGTGCACAACAGTGAGCTCGAGCCCAAGATGATCCATCATAAGCTTATGATATGTATGCTCAAAAGGTGGACCTACCAGAAGAGGAGGCGAAGTGCAGGGGGGTGCAGCCAGCAGCGCTGGATGCATGCAGGTCAGCGCCGTGCGCCAGAAGCAGGGAAACCATCTCAGGGGAGCCGGCCTCGCATGCAAGCATGAGGGGAGTGACTCCAACACAGTCCTCGCGGTTCACACTTGCGCCGCGCTTGAGCAGCCACTCCGTCATGTCCATATGCCCGCCTGCCCAGAGCATAAACACCCTCAAATCACCTCTCCCTGACCCTCCCATGCTTGTGTGTATGCAGGCAGCGTGTGCGGGATGGAAAGAGCGCGAGGCAAGGTGCATGTTTGATTTCCAGACTCACCATGCGCGGCGTAGTGAAGGCAGGTGCGGCCTACGCTGGTGATGGCTGTCTCATCACCGCCACGGTCCAGCAGTGTCTGCAAGATGGCACCATTGCCGCCCTTGGCAGCACTGTGGACCAGGTGTGCACCCGCCAAGTCACGGCCAGCCAGGTCGCTCTTGCCCACCTATGATCAAAAGCAAAAAGGAGGGTTGCGTGACAATCTACACGAAGAACTGGTACACTAGCAATGTGGGTCCTCATCAGTGGGAAAGGCTCGCACCTCCAAGATGCGCTCAAAAACCTCGTGGCATCCGCTCTCTGCAGCGCACTGCAGGACGTCTGCGCCAGTGTCGCACTTGAGCTGCACGTTTGCGCCCGCCATAAGCAGAACATTCACTGCCTGCATGCCCAACATATAATCCCGATCAGCCATTGGCAAAAATCAAACCATGGACAGGAAATCAAAGGCAGCACAAATTGGCAAGAACCAGTGTTGTGGATCTGGGCCTCTTGAGCTCGGACTCATGATCACTTCCTGTGTAGATTTATTAATATTATTATTGTGGTTATTATACACGCATTTCCTGCCAAGAGGCAAGGTGCGTCCTGCAGACAAGCTGTGTAGATGGCAATGTGTCAAACCTGCAGATGCCCATGCTGCGCGGCAAGTTGCAATGCAGTGCAGGCGCCTGAGCCTGAGGCACAGTCCACATCGTAGCCCCCAAGCAGCAGCTTCTGGAGCACCTCTGTGTGGCCAGAATAGGCTGCCAGGTGCGCTGCCGTCCAGCCTGCCGACGTGCCAGTGTGCACGTGGCAGCCGGCTATCACCAAGTTTGCCACCACCCCTGTGCTCCCCGCCTCCGCCGCATAGTGTAGCGCTGTTCCCAGCAACCACCCACTGGTCAAGTCAACAACCCGCAGTGGCTGTCTATACCTCCCCTTGAACGCAAAGTCGATCAGGACAGAATTTCAGGAGGCAACACTTCAGGTAGCTTCAGTCATGAATGGGAGAGCCTCGAGAAAGACAGAAGGGGCACACCGCTCCATCCGTTTGAATCCACAGGCTCAATTTTGCAGCCGGAGCACCAGAGCTTGTTGACCACGTCGGCTCGGCCCATGGCAGCGGCAAGGTGCATTGCTGTGCGGCCGCCGTAGTCGCATGCGTCCAGGTTGCACTCAGGCACCAGCGCCAGCAGCGACACAAACTGCGCCCAGCCCTCCCGAGCTGCGATGTGCAGCGCTGTCGTCCCCTGCGCAGCCATTCTTCCTCAACAAATATGCCGAGAAACAGCCTCATGGAGATTCTTGGTCTGCAATACCGTAACACTAGTGCCGCTTCTGCAAAGCATGATAAGATAAACAAGCATGCAGACGCCAAGGAGGGCCCCATATCAGAGCTGAGCTGCACGCACCTGAGCATTGCGGGAGCTGACGCTGCAGGCAGGCGACTCCAGCAGGACCTGTGCCACCTGGACGTGCCCAAACAGAGCTGCCAGGTGCAGGGCGGTGCACTGGAGCAAGGTCTGGCAGTCAGGCTGGGCGAGGCCTGCAGGCGCAGCCACAAAGGGGCCTGGCAGCCGGGACCCCGGTGCCCGCTCGCTCGCCAGGGCTGCAGCCAGCAGCGCCGCTTGCTCCAGCTCCTGCTGTATGAGCCTGACATGCACACCACCGCGAGGCGTCAGCGCTTGTTTCCATGCATGCCATCATTGTTACTTGACTGCCATCATATTTTTTAAAGTAAAGGTGCAATGCAGTGTTCTCAGCAGCCAATGAGGACATATCTGCATTTACTGCTCTCACCCATAGTCACTCGACCGGGGGTTGGGAGGCTCCTTGGGGGCTGACGCGAGGAGGTGGCGGATGATGTCAGCGCGGCCGGTGGCAGCCGCCAGTAGAAGGGGGGGGCGACCCAAGCAGGAGCTTGCACTGGGCGCATCTCCCGAGAGCCCGAGCTCATCCCGATGCAGCGTTGTGTTGCGCAATGACGGAGTCTCCCCAGCCTGCGGGGATCCCTCTCTCTGGCAGGCTGTGCTGGAGGAACCTGTGCTGGGGGTCTGTATCTGGTGGCTGCGCAGGGGCGACACCAGACTCGCCGACACGAACGGTGGCGTCTGCAGCACAGCGGGTGATGCCACGGAGGCTGCTCTTGAGCTGCTGGCAGCGCGCTGCCCTGTCGGGCAGTTTGTGGAGCCGCCAGGCGTCCTCTGCCTGCCGCTGGCGCCGCCGCCGGCGTCCTTGCCCCCGGGGCCTGCCGAGGAGGGCGTGTGGAAGGCAACGCCACCCTCCATCAGCGAGGTGGCCGCGCGCTTCTTGCGCGTGCGCCGCGGGCTCCCTGCGCACGCGGCCGCCTCCGGTGCTGAGCAGCACGCCTGCGGCGACGCCCTGTCGGCCGCGGCTGCTGTCCCGTTACCGGGCGCCGGAGCACGGGGCTTGGCAGCGCTGCGGATCACCCTAATCATCCTGCGAGCGCGCTGCGCCCTGAACGTGCCGTTGAAGGAGGACGGCTCTGACAGTGGCGCCTGCCTGCTCGGAAAGGATGTCCAGCTGTCCACTACATCCGCGTCGCTGGAACCCCCCGAGAGCGACGGGCTTCCTTGGCGCAAGGCTGCCCCGTCAGGGTTGGTGACCTGGCAGCCGCCATTGCTTGCCTCCTGCACTTTCACTGCTGCCCTTGCGGTGCCTTTGGTGCTTCGGGTTGCTGCAGCTGCCAGGGCCGCCCACAGTGCCTCGTCATATGTGGCTGAGCTGCGCTCCTCTGCCGCTACCTCTTTTCCATTCTCAGCAGGTTCTGGGGCGAGAAAACCTGCCTCAGAGGCTGTCTTTGCCTGCCTCCTGCTGTTGTCAGTCTGCTGGGCGCCATCTGCGCTGTGCTGAAAAAGCTGAGCCTGCTCGAGAGTCAGGTTCAGCAGCGCGGCTGCATCCCCCTCGCCTGGGAGCTCAGTCCCACTGTTGATCGCAAAAGCCGAGGCCAGCACTGGCGCCAGATTTTTGTGCACATATGCAGCCCAGGCTTCCTGGAAGCAGGACAATGAAATTTCTTTACGAGTGAAACAAGAAGCGGCAAAATAGGCAGTGGAGGTGTCCTTCGATGGAATACCTTTGCTGTGCCTGCAGACCACACGCCAGAGCCTGCTGATCTCTGGCTTCCCCTGTCCGATATGCAAGAGGAAGCGCTTCCCTCTGTCTTCCAGCTGGCTGGCCCTTTCACAGCGAGCGCAGCTTCCATCCATGCACATGCGCTGTTCATGTCATCTGCAGAAAGGTCCTTGCCTGTCAGTACGACTTTTGCATCAGCAGGCGATAGACACCGCAATGACAGTGCATTGCCGATGATCTCCCGTCATTCACCAGCGGTTCTACAGAAAGTTCAGGACAAGCTGTAGCAGTGATAACTGATACTCATAGGTGGTGCAGGCTCACAGAGAAGATGAAGCAGCCAAAAGAAGAGCAGTGTCACATAGTCATCTGAGAATGATCTAAAATGCACTTTCCTACCAGTAGCACATCTTCATGCAAACTCTATGGTGTGCAAAGGCTTGCTGTATGTCACGTACTTGACTATCTTGTGTACGATCAGGATCGTGCATACAGAGTAAAAAACACGTTTCAAAGTGCACCCAATCACTAAAAATGCAAAGCTGATCAGTGCCAAGTCAAGATTCTATTAATTACTCCTGGGAAGAGCTGACCATCTTGAAGGAAGGATAGGGTTGGGCTGCCCCCCTGCTCCAGTAATTCCACTGGAAATCATCCTCGAATGGCTTTAGTAGACTTACCTGACAAAAGGACATCCACGTACACCCGAAACGCCAGATATTGCCTCTCTGACTCGGAGCTATGGCAAGTGTCGAACCTGAACAATGAGAGCAGCTACCAATACAGCCGTCCCTGCGTACTGAAACTGCGCTGACGTCAATTGAACCTCGAAATACTGTTAAATTTGTCTACCAGTCTCTCTTTCTGTCACGCTCGCGTCCCTGAACACCACAAGGAGAAGACAGCTCCTTCTCCAGGAGGGTTCACCCTCTGCTGCCTTGAAACCCTCGAGAGCTCTCCGTTCCAGCTCAGATTTGAAGGTGACAAAGCGCAATCAGTGTCGGACTTCTTCGCATCAAAGCGAGCACAGACTCTGGGAAGTCCCCTTGTTTGGGTGCGATGGTGAGTGTGCGTGCGCTGATCGCGGGGCTGACGCTGCTGGTACTAGGAATTTTGTCCAGTTCGGCGCAGCCAAGCGAGACCGATCGAATACGCGCTTGTGGGAAGTTGAAGCAAGACGCCTGTCGGATTGTCAAAGCATGCACCTTCTGCCGCAGCAAATGGGGCGAATCGATGTGTTTCTCGGCGAACCAGGTTGATGGGCTTCCGGCTGGTGGGTTGCAGCGTCTTTTCCAACGACCATGAAGTGGGTTTGAGATAAACCATTCATGTTAGGATCAATATTTTGATGGCAATGCTGATCAGAGAGAAATTCTCCACAGTAGCCTGATGTGTAAATCATCGGGACAACGCAAACCGAGACACCTCACCAGCTGGACCTCGTACTGACTCTTTTCTATCAAATGCAGACATCTACCCGTGCAAATATTATCAAAACACTCCTACAGCCTCAAGTTGTGATGGCCTGGACAAAGATGAGTGCAAAGGAGCGGGGTCCTGCGCTTGGTGTGAGAGCGCTGCAGTAGGGAACTCCTGCTATCCAGCGGTACGCTCACCTTTCAATGAGTTGTTTGTCCAGACAGTGATTGCCCTGCAGGCGTGCTTGGGGATTAGGCTGTGCTGCGTTCAAACAGATTTCCCAAGCATTGCCATGAGTGCACCTTGAGAACGTCAAAGCCTGCAAGCGTTCTTTGTCAAGTCAATTCGTACTGTACTTACATTAATTTTCGGAGCATGTCGCCGAATGTGTCAGCTCTGCGGCAGATTTGCACAGACAGCCCCATGTCTTCTGTGGAGGTGACACTCACTGCTGACGCAATGGTTATGTGGCTCAGGCGGACGCCAAGCGCCTGCCTCCGGCCATCTTCAACTGCACCACAAGTGTGGCAGCAGCAAGCTTGAAGCCGGCGGCCCCATCGCCTGCCACAGAGGTGGCTAGGGGCGAGCAGGATGCACCATCGCTGCTTGATGCGGGGCTGGACAGCAGGCAAGGCAGCCAGAGTGGCGGGGGTGTGTCTGCACAACAGAAATCCAGCGCGGATGCTGGTGGGAGGCCGCAGGAGTTCTCATTTGCCACCCGGGTCAGCAACTCGCTGAAAGCTGGCCAGGCCAACGATTTGGCAGCGCCCTGAGTGGGGAGTATTGCCAGATGATGAAGTGCATGAAGCATGTGCAAATTTTTGAGCCTGTAATAGCGCTATTATTTTCCTGGATAGTTGCGCACTTGCAAGCGATTGAGCGATATAGTTTATTTTGGACTCCTGCGTGAATGATGTAGAGAGTGTAGATGTCAGATAGGCATGGATGCCATCCCTCTGCGCAAGACCCCTTTGCACAAGTTTGCCAAGTGGTTGAGAGCATGTTTTTTACCTTTTCTTTCGTTGTCCACTGCATGTCTTTTGCGTGTCCTTTGCAACCTGTTCCTATGTGCACATGTGGCATGTGAGGTAATCGACCATGTAGCCAATGGTATACCTGCGCAGCTAGAGCATGTCTGTAGTGCGATCTACAAGTGACTTGGAACCAGTCCCTTGCTAGGGGAACAATCGTAGCTCAAGAACTTGCCCGTCATGTGGGGTTCAACGTTGGTCTATAGACATTGTATTCTGCCAGACGTCTGTTGACAGCTGCATTATAGAGTGGATTGAGAGAATCATTGTAAAAAATAATTTGTGAATGAGTTCTGTGATGAGCTTCAAATCATGTGCTTGGACATTACATGTCATGCAGACCATGACAGATTCGCACAGTCTACCATATCAGTGTGGATCTCCGGGTACCAGTATATTACTTTGAATACGCAATTTCTAAATATAGTGCCATTCGTAAATAATATACAAAAAAGCAAGGAGCTAAGTCTAAGAGCGGGATCTCCATTCTAGCAGGCGCTTCATTAGGTTCGTAGGACTATCCATACTTGCTCTAATACTATGTGAAACCCGCAATCTTTCAAGCGTGGCACCACATGCAGGCTGTCCTGTGCGGAGACGATGTGAAATGCATCCTTGCTATACCTGACAACAAATCCTGTCTTTCCAATGAGCTGAGGGTTCCGGTGCTCTTTGACTTCAAGCAAGCAGCCATGCAGGTCCAGAAGTAAGGCTGCATCTTCTGGATTGGCAGCACTGCACATGGCATCTTTGGCGTACCTCTGCCACCTTTCATTCAGTTTCCGTAAGTTCTCGTACCTGCGTTGCAAACAGCAGCTCCGTGGTCTCAAAGGACCTCTGCTGCAAGAGATTTGCGAAATTGATTTCAACCCCCAGCTTATGACCAGCCACTGATGCAAAGGAGAAGGCCGGCACCTAATCTCATCAGGGCGAAGAGCATGCAGTCCCAACTTTCTGAGCTTCACTCCACTCAGCATCGCCACCTGACTGCCATGCCTTCTTGGCAGCTGCTTCTTCACAGCCTTCGCAGGGTTGTCAAGCAGGAGTGTCTTGTCCTGCAGGGAATCGATTGACATATGAATCCTGCAAAGTGGATCAAAGTTGCATTGGTGGACAAAAGTCATGCATGCCCCAGTTCGCTTGTGTTTAAAGAGGCGGCCTGACCTGGATCCTGAGCCCAGTCCCTGCTTTAGCTGATGCGAGTCTTGGATTGGTTGCAGCCACATCCTCCAGCAAAGAGTCCACGAAGCCCACTGCTCCTTCTCCCGCCTGAGGCTGAAATCAACCAACACCACAGACTTCAAGAATTGCTTGGAAAGGGAAGGAGTCTTCTCCAGGAGTTTAGAGCCTTAAATGACGATATATGTGCATGGTGTGAAGGAAAACCCCAGACTCTCAACAGGGGCATCCGCTTTTCATGCTCTCAATGTTGCAAGCAAACGACCAGGGGCATCATACTGGGTGTCTGCCTCTGCTGGAAAGCTTGCGGTGACTTATAAATGGTGGCATGAGCGGCAACTGTACCTTTGCTCCATTCACAAGCCTGCCTCTATGAACATCGTGTGAGATGCCGTCATACGGTGGTGCAGAAGACCCAGGGCTCTCCCGGCTTCTTCTGTCTTCCTGTCCAGGGGTGGGTGTAAGTCTGCCAGTGCCAGGGCTTTGCCCCTTTGCCAGGGCATCAGATCTCTTCTGCGGTTGAGGCAGTGAAGAAATCTTGTTGACTTCAAATTGCGGTCTTGGCGTCTCTGGGAAAGCACAAACCTGCTGAGTCTATTCGTTATTGCGCTTCAGTGCGATAAAGTTGCATGATAAAGTTGCGACCCAATTGCCATACCTTTCCGCTTCTTATGCGATCCCGCCAGTTTGGAGTCAAGTACAGCCAGCCTGCAGCCCCAATATATCGTCAAAATTTTGAAAGTGGCTTGCTGCTCGAGAATTTCAACCCTGCACCACTAGAGTGCTACCTTCGCTTTTTGGCATCTGAGAGGCCGCTTGAGCCTGAAAATCCGCTTCCTAGATTTCTTTCCATCGTTTGGTAGCTGCAGAAACCCAAGTCAAGTACACCTGCCTAGAGACTCATCCACACTCCAAAGGCATTCCTGTTACATACTGGGCCGCACGCCTCTCTGGGCGTTTTCAAGGGCCCACTGGGCAATGATATTTGGAATATTGAAGGTCTCCGATCTCGATCGAAGGACAGAGTGAAAATTTTACCAAGGATTGGACTCTCCTCATGCAGGTGGGGCAGCTTCCACGATTTCAAGCGCAGCTTCCTCAGCCATTCTTCAAAGTTGGAACCCTTTCTCTTTCAAGATCTAAAAGTCATAAATTGAGAGATATGTCTCCCTCCTCGCAAAAATAGGATTAGACGTCCGCACCAAGCCTCAGGACGCAGATACAGATTAGATGCACACACCGGGTCAGCAAATCCTAGCCAAGTGGCCCTCCATTTACCCCTTGAATCTTCGGCATAGCCCTAACCTTACCAAAAATAATATTCGTCCTCATAAGATTCAGTGTGCTCTTGTCAACTCGAACAAAGGGTCTCGTTGCGACGATGTGCATGCAGACATCGTTGTAGTTGGTGGAGGTGAGCAAGCAATGCGTTGCAGCTTTGAATGGTCTGCAATCCTGATGTTCTACTTGACAATGATGAAGAACATAGCTGCCGACTGCAGGAATCATTGGACTTTGTGCAGCTTATTCCTTCCTGAAGCACAGGAGCACTAAACTGACAGTGGCACTGATTGAGACCAATGATACCATTCCTGGTCCATCTATTGGAAATGGCTCTGCTACAGGCGCGGGTGTGTCTCAGAGCCTCTCTCGCCAACGCAATGCTTGCCCTCTTCCTGTGAATGTTGCGGTGATCAGTTGCACTCAGGAAAACTTGACAAGGCAATTTCACTCTGTCATGTAGGTCAGGGGTATATTTGGATGGCTCATCGGCAGCCTGAGAGTCCTGCCTGGCTCTTGGCTGAGCAGAGCAAAGCCCTGTGGCGGGAGCTGTTTCAGACGGACGACGCAGTCCCAGAGAGCTCTGTTGCGTGGCAGCCCTCTGGCAGCATCTTGCTTGCAACCTCTTTGGCGGAAACAGAGCAATTGCGCAAGCGGCAGGCAATGCTTGGCGCTGCCGGCATCAAGGCTGCCCTGATGGACGAAGGGCAATTAAGAGCAGAGGAGCCTGCACTTGGGGATGCAGTGTGTGCTGGACTTGTCACAAGGACTGATGCACAACTGGTGAGACATTTATGCTTCTACTGGCATTAGATAAGACTCCTATCTACTGCCATGCATATTTGTCATCAGAGACTACTGTCCACGGGGAGATTTGCTGGCACAGAATTGTCTTTCCCGAGAGTTTCCCCGAGGGTCAGTGTTCACTGGTGTCCTGCAGAACGGCAGGCTTGCAGCTTCGGCTCTGCTGAGGGCATGCGAGGTGCACAGCGGAGGGTCCAATTTCACTCTCCTCCTGCAGCACAGGGTGGAAAGCTTTGAGCTGTGTCAGAGCACAGGGAGAGCAACCGCAGTGCAGACAGAAAAGAGGAGGTGTGAGCGGCGCAAAATCCAATGCTTGAAAAACCCATATTGTAAATATGCAGCTGGCGTGTTCTGAGAGGGAGCTAGTGTGAACACACATAGATCTGCTGCACAGGGTGATACCATCCAAAGCGCTCATAATAGCAGCAGGAGCCTGGACAGCTGACCTGGTGGCACAAGCTGCTCCGGCCAGCTCAGCAGCATGGCTTCCATCTATCAAGCCCCGCCGAGGGCACCTCTTGGAGCTTCCCCCTGGCCTTGTCCAACCCATCCGACATGGCCTGATGGAAATTGGATATGCCCAGGCAAGCCCCAAGTGCTGTTCACGTCCCATCCCCTTCTCAAGCACCACATCTGTGATTCTGGGATGATCAGCTTGTGTTTGCCTGGTGCAGCATTATGCCAGCCAGGCGACAAGATCCAGGGAGAATCTTGATATCACCTTCACAGCCACTACCAGCGCATCTGGGAGCACCTTGTTGGGGAGCAGCCGCGAGTTCTGTGGTTTTGACGGCCAGTCAAGCCCAGCTGTCATGCAAGCGATATTGGACCGTGCAATCATGTTTCTGCCTGGGTTGAGCCAGGTAGATCTGTTGGGGGTGGATGTCCGGGTGGGATTAAGGCCATATGCCCCTCGAGGTTTACCATATGTAGGGTGGATGCTTGGCACTCAAGGCCTGCTTGTTGCAGCCGGTCACGAGGGCTCTGGTCTCACGTATGGTCCGGCGACTGGAGAAATCATTAGAAGACTTGTTATGGGTGAGAAATTGGACCAGGAGCTTGCCGGCGCAGTGAAGGTTGCATGAGGCCATGCCGTATCAATGTACAGTATGTTCGTGATGATTCATATGACTGTGCACACCCATGATCATTGACATGAAGAATATGGCTGTATGCCGACAGCATCTTGTAATAAGGTGAAGAGCTTTTATCTCATTGAAGATCAGCTGGGTACCAACATGCACAAAAGTATAATAGGGTAAAGTATGGCCTGCAGCAGTGGTTTTGTACTTCTGGAATCTAAGCAAGTTGAGAGTGATTGTAAGACTTACAGGGCAGTGTGAGCGCCAATGTAAGGGGGAGGGCCCTGTAGTTTATTTGCAATGCGTGCAACATACAAGACCATCGGCCCGAAGTATCATAGTGCTGCTATAGCTGCTAGACAACATACAGCTGCAAATTACGTAACAGCCTGTAAGGGAAATCGCACCATGTCAATTTGATGCAAATTGAGCCAGATCAGCTAGTACCCCAACTAAAGTCATCAAGAATTGCACTATCAGTGGGAAAGGCCTTGCACAATTGCAGTGTGTTCTACTCGACTGCTGCTCTTCTATTGCCAATTGGCGATTTCAATAGTGCTGCGCTTGCTGAGATCATCGTAAGGTAACAAACGACGAGACCACCCTCCAGAAAATACAATCTGCTGCAGGAAAAGGCTTTCCTCATCGTGGATGCCACTTGATGTTACAACCAATAGATGGTTTGACCGGTCTCTGGACAGGCCTTCCAGCAAGGACATCATCCAGAGCCGCACGCAGATCATTGCCTGCATCCAACCGCTTGAGAATCAGGATCTCAATGCAAAGAAATTTCAGCAGATTCCATGTAGACTTACAAAATGGAGCTTGTTGCTGCATGTCAAAGAAGTGCTCGTAAGCAAACAGGGGCTGATCAGCATGATTAACGTCAAGCCTTGCTACATTCAGTGAGCAGGATCTTCTCACCTGTGACAGGCAAACCCTTCCCCGGCCGTGCATCGTCAAACTGGCCATGATATGCGAGCTCACGGTTGGAATCAAACACATAGAACTCTGGTGTGCAGGCTGCCTTGTACTGCTTGGCGACGTCCTGTGTCTCGTCGTAAAGGTAAGGGAATGGATAACCTGTGCGTTATCGGAAAATTGGCGATACACACATGGCGATAAGCATGGCCCGAAGTGGCCATGCTGACGTCAACAGTATTGTGTCCAAGTCAGGCAGTAGCCTGAGTATGGGTGCTTGAATGTATCAATGAATGGGGCAGTGCCTCACCCAAATTCTTGGCGTCATCAGCCATGCGCTGAGGTCCATCTTGTGGATGGGTCTTGATGGAATTTGAGCTGATGGCAACGACAGCCACACCCTGGTCCATGTACTCCTTGCAGACTTCCACGATCTTCTCTTTGAGAAGGACCACGAATGGGCAATGATTGCAGATGAACATCACAAGAAGAGCTGGGGCTCCCTCAGCCAGATTATAGAGCGATATTTGATTTGTTGTGAGAGGCTCAGGCAGCTGCACGTTGAACACAGACAGTTGCTTATGAGCACCACATACATGCACATCAATACGAACATCTGGTTGAAGCTCTGCCTTGAAATGCACTTCCTTCTGTCCTGCGATGTACAGACACGCATGTGGGGAGATGCCCACCGTGAATGCCGGAGCTTTGGTGCCAACCTCGAGCGTTTTGCTCTCCGTCAGCACCATCACAATGGATTGAGATGATCTGCGTGTTGTTTGAAGTGTTTGCTGGGGTGTTTGAAAGGGGATTGCCGGTCGTGTTCTTGGAACCCCAGTGAGAGCTGGCGATGCCGGTGCCCCTCGCAATATGCAAGACAAGTTGGCAGGCACACGCGTTGTGAAGTAAAAATTTGCTCGTCGAGAACAAGACATTCCGGACATGCACAGGTGAACCAGATCAAGCTGTAGAGGTGTGGTCTGAGAGCTGGCCACAAATCGCCTTGCATGCCAAGATGACAAGCACGGTTATTATCCCACACCCAGAGTGGAAGACGGCTTGGAGTAATTCAGTTGCAGCATAGCATACTGATCTGTCATGTCAGAATCCTGATCTAATCATTGCGCAAAGTTAAAAGCTGCTGCAGATTGGGAGCTGCTGCAATACAAGTCCTCCGCGGTGGCAAGCATGGCCTCCAAAGGTGTGTCAGATCTTCATTTTCTGTACAAGTCTGGTGTTGAGATTCGATTGTTGACAATTGATGTCATGCAGAGCAATCTGGAGAGGCTGCCAAGCCCGGTGGCAAGAAGAAGGGCAAGACCCTTCCCCTGACTGACTTCCTGAAACCAAATGTGGGACGATGGGCGGATGAGGACGTCGATAATGACACACGTAAGTTTGCAGCTACTCATCTGGGGGTATTACCTCAATTTGCGCATGATCGTGCAGTATTAAATTGAAGGCAGCGATGCAACAATCTCCTGAACGCAGCTTCTTTGTGATATGTTACACAGTTGAGAGCCTTCCCCCTCTGCCGACCGCACCTGGAGAGGGCGCTGGCTACCAATCTGTTGGGGCATACAGCAGCGCTCCAAGCGGACCGTCTCGGCCGTTGCCAGACCACCCACCGTTCAAGGTCTTCATTGGCAACATCCCCTACGAAGCCACTGAGAACGAAATGAAAGATATTTTCTCTCCCCCTCTCGAGGTAAGAGAGAATGAAATTTGTGAAGGGCACGGTTCAGAGTTTTCATCGCCATCAGATGCATGTGCCTTCGGAACTGCAGCAAGTCCTCTGCCTGAGACAGTGGTGCAACCAGGTGGTGGATGTACACATCATCAAGCACAAGGACACCCTCAAGCCTCGCGGCTGCTTCGTGGAATTTGCCACACGTTCTGACTTGGAGAAGGGCCTCATGAAGGACGGCTCGGTGCGTACGCTATGCAACCCCAGTCGTTCCTTGTGCATTGTCCTGACTGCTGGATTCTGTCTATTCTCACTGGTGGGGCGCCCATGCAGGTTGTTCTTGGCAGGCCCATTCGTGTTGATGTGGCGGAGGACCGGCCTGATCGCGCACAGCGCTCTGGAGGTGAAAACCACACTTCTGCTTTTCTACCACCAGTTTACATTCTTCTTGATCAAGTGTGTTCACCATGTTGACTCCAAAGGGAGGCAGACCTTGAGCTTCTGTGCCATGTAATGTGCATACAATAGCGAGCAATTTCTGTGGTGGATCAGGTGGCTTTGGGGCCCGTTCCGACCGCGATTTTGACGGGGGCCGAGACCGGCGGCGCGGGTACGGCTTTGGCGATGGCGGCTATGAAGATGACCGTAGGGGCGCCGGCGGTTTTGAGGACAGGCGCAGGGGAGGGGGCGGCGGCGGCTTTGCTGACACCTATGGCCCTGACAGGGGCAGGCCCAGGGAGGGCGGCTTTGGGTGGGCACTTTACACTGTTCATGTCACGCCTGCCCTTTCCGCCGCTCCCAATTATTTATATCGGCAGGCGTTCCCCAGAGGCTTGATTGTCAGTGAGCATGTGTGAATTGGGTCTCTGTTGATGCCTGCGCAGGAGGCAAGATGATGAGGGCAGAAGGGGCCCTGGCGGTCAGGACCGTGGGGAGCGTGGCTATGGAGGCTTCAGGTGAACATATATCAGAACTTTCTTCCCTGACATGCCAGTCTGAGTGCGCTGATTTGCTGCGTGGACTGTTGGATCTCTGTAGAATTTTCAAGTGACAGTGTCATGTTCTTGCAGTGGCCGCCACGAGGAAGAAACAGGCGGCAGCCGGTGGGGTCACATAAACAGGGAGCCGGCCCAGCTTCCTCTGCGCGCCAGGTCGCCTCCGCCCCCTGTGCAGGAGGCCGCGGAACCTCTGGACCCCACAGATCGCCCCAAGCTCACACTGGCACCCCGCTCAAAGGCAGATGAGACCGGGCCTGAGCAACCAGCGGCAGCACCTGTAAAGAAGGTACATTACTGCTGACAGCAATGTGTTCTGGTATAAATTAACCGTTAACAGAAAGCGTCAAAGGCTTTTGTGCATGGCTTGCATTGGTCACAGTTAGGGAAAAGCAAGTACCTCTATAGAAATAAAATACACTGCGACGAAGTCGGGTGCTGAACAGAACTGTGTGCGACCACGCAGGCAAATCCTTTTGGAGATGCTAAGCCTATCGACGCAGAGGCTAAGATCCGTGAGATTGAGGAGCGAGAGAAGAAGCGCAGGGTGAGCCGCCCCATCCCCACAGACAATGCTTTTGTTGTTGACTTCATCACAGGCTCATCTTGCTCTGAGTCAGCGCTCTCGTTGTGTGTGCCACTGTAATTGCTGTGTTGTGCTTGCTGTGCAGATGGCAGAGGCTCAGAAGAGGGCTGCAGAGGCCGAGGCGGCGCGGGCGGCAGAGGTGCGGGTGAAGGCGGCCGCCCCGGGCCGCCCAGTGAACGGGGCCGGCCCCAACCGCGACGATGACAGCGTGTCGTCCACCAGTGCGGCCTCGGCAGAGCGGCCGCATGGGCCGGGGCGCGGCGGCGGCCGGGGGGAGGGTGGCGGGCGCGGGGGCCGCGGCCGGGGCGACGGCCACCGCGTCGGCGGCGGCGGCCGGGGGCCCCCGCGCACGGGGTTGCCCCCGGGGCTGGAGGGCCACCCTGAGCGCGGCTGGCAGGGCGGCGGCAGGACGCCGCGCGGCGGCTACGGCGGCCGCCCACGCAGCGGCGGCAGGGGCGACGGTGAGCCCTTTGCCTGTTTACATCCAGTTCTTTAGCCAACGCAGTACCACCAAGAGCGGCGTGGGCCCCCTTTGGCAGCAAGAAGCCGTATGTCCATCGGAGTGAGGCTTGTGGCGAGCACTTTTGTTCTAAATTTTCCTGACAGGAAGATCTCACGTGGAAGCTTGTCTGTGATACGGCAGGGGACAGCGGCCACCACCAAGGGCCTGCTCCAGGGAGGGGTCCGCCGTCGCGAACGGCCGCGCCACCTGCAGCCGAGCCGGCCAAGGATGCGGCCGGTTTCCAGACGGTCAGCGCGCACCAGCGTGCCCGCAACAGGGAGAGGGATGCTGACGCGGCCAAGAGCGCAGGCGGCCCTCCAGGCCTCGTCGCCAAGGAGGAGCCCAAACGGGCAGCTGTGTCTAACAAGTTCGACCTCCTGAATCTGGACGATGAGTGATGCTGGGGAAATATTGCTGATCAGCATAGCTCTTTTCCACTATGCGTTGTGCTTCTAACCTGAGCCATTTTACAATCACAGTGATATACCGGCTGCGCTGGCACGTGCCGCACCAAGCGGCTTACAGGCAGTGCAGAGCAACGGCAGGCTTTAGGCGCTTGCCTGGTGTGATGTGATCCGCAACTTATGGGCGCAATGTGAGTGGTAATAAGTGCCTCAGACTCTGTGCATTGTGCTGAGCATGCAAAGTGTAGGAAGTGTGGTCTTGAATATATACAAACACTGCGGCAGATATGTGCGGCAGGTTGATCGCCTTGATTGCTGCGATCAGATCAAGGACATGAGAGCCATATTTAACGACTCGGAGTATTCAGTCCTTTTCTCGTGGGTATACTTGGAATACGTATTGCTTGGAATAATTTTGTTGCGTTGCTTCACTACGATCGGGCCACTAAAGGTAAAGAGCTCCCTCGAAATCCTGGCAACTTAGCTACTTTACAGCAGAATTAGAGAACATGGTATGCTGACATCAAAGCAGCTGCCAGCTCAGTGAGTGCGAGTGCCAGGAGATTTGAAAGCTCTCTGGACAGGTCATGCTTTTGGGCAGTACAATCCTTTGCTCTTTATGGACGGCTGCACGGCTTCAAAGTTGCTCCAGTTGAGACTTCAACGAGTGCATGCATCAGCAAACGGCCCTCGATTGCACCGTCAGGAATTGTGCAAGCATATCTGGAAAAACGGCTTTCCACGTGGCAATCATGGTGAACCAAGGGATTGTGGCATGCCGAAGCTTTTGGACACTTTTTCCAATCCAAACCTTGATCTTCTGGATACTGACGAGCACAGGCTGGCCCCGATTCAAAGTCGTCACCTGTCAGACGCCAGCCATGTTTGATTCCTTGTCCGGGTGTATAGCATGACATGGACAGCGGTGGCAGCGGAGATGCGGCCTGTGCGCCCGCCCAGCGGGTCCCTTCACCTCCTTTCAGGACTGTCCTGCTGTGGTTCAGGAGGGACTTGAGAGTCTCGGACAATCCTGCTCTCATCGCTGCTGTCCAGGCAGCGACCACCGTGGTGCGGGCTCCAGGAATCAGTGTTTGCAACTTGCTGGGACGCTGACTCCATGCAGCGTCTCAGCTCTGTGATTTGATCAGAAAAATGCTGGAATTTAATATTTGATTCTATCGGTTGCCTTGGATGTTCCCTGTCCTGAAGAACAAGGCTGAACAAAGGAGAATTCTTTATGTTGTGTTGGAATCCCCTACAAAAGGGTCTCGTGCCTTTCTGGTGCCAAGGCTCTGTTTCTTGACCTGTGAAACTTGACTCTTTGAATGTCAGGTGCCAGTATACGTATGGGCACCGGAAGAGGAGGGGCAGTTCCAGCCGGGCAGGTGCTCGCGCTGGTGGCTGCACCAGAGCCTGAAAGCGCTGGAGAAGGACCTGCAAGCCCTGGGCACCTCCATGGTATACCGCCGCTCCCCGGAGTCTAGGATTGCCCTCATCCAGCTGGTGGAGGAGACTGGAGCCCAGGCAAGCCCTTCGCCAGTCGCCTTCCGGCCCAGAATCAGTGCCGTGCTTTTTCTACAAGCCCTGTCCGATTGTGGCACCGATCAGCGTTGACAGGCACCTTGGGAAGGGCAGTAGTGCAGGGGAGGAGTGTACTTATCAAATTAGTGTCGTGGCTGAACAGGCGGTGTTCTTCAACCACCTGTACGATCCCATATCGCTGGTGCGCGACAATGAGGTCAAGGCGGCCATGCAGGGCCTGAGTGTTCACTGCCAGAGCTTCAACGGCGACCTGCTGTACGAGCCCTGGGAGGTCCTCGCCGAGGGCGGCCGCCCCGTCACCAGCTTTGCCTCCTTCTGGTCGCGGTGCGCGCCACACACCGTCTGCCGGTCATCATTAAAAGCTCTCGCATGCCTGTGACTGCGTGCAATCCTGCACTTGCTGCCTGCGAAAGCAGGGGGCCAGGAAAGGTATATTCCTTCATTGCAGCCTTGTAATTTAAAAGCCTTGCACTTCCTGCCTGGAATACGATGGCTTCAGGAGGGATTGCGAAGTGACAGCGGTGGCATGATGTCTCTGGAATTGGCGTTGTTCAGGGTGCAGAACATGCCGTACCCGCCGCCCATCCCGCTGCCGGTGCCGGCGGCCATTTCCGCGGTGCCGCCAGAGATCGTGGGCCTGGAGCTGGACAGCCTGGGTCTTATGAGCCCCGAGGAGCAGCAGTCGAACGCGCAGCTGTATCACTGCGTGAGCCCCAAAACCCACCCTCTCTGCGCTGCTATCAACAAAGTGCGTTGGTCAACGCCAAGTTCTGACGGCTGATGCGGGGAGGCAGCGCTGCAGTCTCAGGCAGACGGCGGGGGTTGGACTCCTGGCAGCTGGGAGGTTGCTGCTTGAATGACATGTTAAGATCAGCTGTGCGATCCACATTCAATGCAGAGTCTTATGCAATGTGGCCGGGTGCGCAGTGGGCGCCCGGGGGCAAGGGCGCGCACGCGCTGCTGGAAAAGTTTGTGAGGGAACGGCTGCGCACCTTCAGCGCGCACCGCTCCAAAACTGACCGCGAGTCCACATCCACGCTGTCGCCGCATGTGCACTACGGCGAAATCAGCAATCGCCACATCTACTATGTGGTGCGACCCTCGCTCTTAGGAGACAGAGATATGAAATTTTGTTGGTCATTTTTTCCGGCTGCTGACATGTCGGCAAGTTCGCGCTTTTTTGCTGATAATTATATTCATCTTCGCCGGATATCTGGCATGGCTTATTGCACAGGGTTGGGAGTCCGGTCTTCCCGATGCTGGAATACTTGAGCCACTTGAATTTTATCAGAAAAATGTGGCAGGTGAGGCTTTTGGCACTAACAGGATCTGAAGTGGTGTTCGCATGGATGTTACGCAGGTGAAGCGGCAGGAGGCAAAGCTGGGGGCGATGGCGGGCGAGTGGCACGACAGCACGGCGGACTTTGTGCGGCAGATGGGCTACCGCGAGTATGCGCGCTACCTCTCCTTCCACTTTCCCTTCACCCACGAGCGCTCCCTGCTCGAGCACCTGCGCGCAGCCCCCTGGAACTTCGACCAGCGCCACTTCAAGGCATGTCCAGTTTCCCCTGACTTGTTGCCCCTGACTTGTTGCTACTGACCTGTACTCTTGTGTTGAGCATTGGTGATGAGTCCAGGCGATTCATGTCGAGAGATCCCAATTCTTGTCAGCTTGTGCTGCTGAGCTGGACATGATTGAAGGGAACAAGTGGAGCTCTGTGGAGTATAAAGAAGATGGTGAGAGAGAAGAGTGGGATGGCTTCTGGCGTAGGCTTGGCGGCAGGGGCGAACGGGGTATCCGCTGGTGGATGCGGGCATGCGGCAGCTGTGGAGCAGCGGTTGGGTGCACAACCGCATCCGCGTCGTGTGCGCCAGCTTCCTGGTCAAGAACCTGCTGCTGCCCTGGCAGTGGGGCCTCAAGCACTACTGGGACGCCCTGCTGGACGCCGACCTGGAGTGCGCCGCCCTCGGCTGGCAGTACATCTCCGGCTGCCTCGCCGGTGCGCCCCCCGCCCTTCTGCCTTTCAATTTATGATGAGTGATGTTTCAGGCAAACAAACAAACAATCAGACAATAAAAAGACAACCAAAACTCTGAGGTGTTGTGCCCCTTGCGCACGCTTGTCTGCACACATTGAAAGGGGTGGCCTTCATGAGACTCCCAAGGATTGAATGTAGACTGCCAGTGGGGGCGGCGTTTCTCGTGGTGTCCTGAGTTAAGTTGTGTCTGCCCAGACGCGCACCCCTTCTCTTACATGCTGGACCACAAGAAGGAGTCGCTTCGCTTCGACCCGGAGGGCAAGTATGTCAGGCGATGGCTGCCCGTGCTGGCCCGCGTGCCCGTCAAGTACATCCACAGGTGTGTGGCTGCCAGCCTCGCCCCTCCCTTGCACGGAAGGATCATGGGCCTTGGTGTCTCAAAATTGAAGAAGGAGAGTACCCAGCCTCAGGTCGATTGAAGTGTGCTGGCACGCAGGCCGTGGGAGGCGCCGGAGCATGTGCTGGAGGACGCTGGGGTGGAGCTCGGGTCCAACTACCCCTACCCAATAATCTCGGCTGAGGACTCCGAGGCAGCGCTCGCGCGCGCGGCCGAGGTCATCCAGCAGAGCATTGTCAGCCACAACTCTGGAGGGGTGCGGCCCAAGACTCTTGCCAAGGCTTTTTTTTGGGATCCGTGTCATGGCGTCATGGGTTGAGCGCGGTGACACACATGCCGACATGTTGATGGAGAATTTAAATGTAAGACCAAGGAGATGCTCGATGGAACAGATATGTGAATTTTGACTTCGTGTGCTGTCCTTTACACACAGATCCCGTATCGCCCGGCGTCGGACCCTTCTGCGTTGCGCAACTCGCACGAAACAAGCGCGCCGACGCCGTCGAGCGTGGACATGCTGGGCGGCAAGCGGCAGCGCGGCCGCAACGGCGGCGATGCGGCCGAGAGGACGGCCGGGGCATTCAAGGCCGCGGCCGCGCGCGCTCGCAACCCGGAATACCGCGGCTACGACCATGCTGAGCGCACCGCCAACCTCGCCGGGGAGGCTGCCCAGGTTCTTATCCCCTCTTACTGCCCTCTACATACATCTTCTCGAGAAGCGCTTGTCGGGCAAAGCTTGGCATCTCGAGACCAGGGTGTTACGAGAAAAGGTGTCCTTTCTAGTTTTGCACTAGGATGGCTGGCTGTGCGAGGCTGTGGCACCCCATCAGAAGCTACGCTGGCAGCAGATAGGTGAAGATTCTGTTTGGCGGCATTCCAGGTGCCTCAGGCCTCATTTGCAGGGCGGCTGGCGGGCGAGAGGGGCTCGGCAGAGCCGACAGGCAGCAACGGTGCGGGGGCCGGAGCGGCAATGGTCGCCGCCTGCAATGGGGCCGCCGAAGGCTTGGCTGGGCCGGCGGCGCCCGCGGCAGCAGGCAGCGGGTCGCAGAGGGTCCAGGCGCTATCGGATGAGGTGGTCATGTCCAACAACATCAGCGCCGTGTCCATAACTCGCGATGACGCCAACGTGACGTCTGGAGCGCTCAGGGTCCGGGGCAGCGCGCAGGTGCTGCTGTCGCTGCACGCTGTGTCGTGCAAGCAATACCTGGATCATACTAACAGAATGGCGCCAATTCAGACCTTGCCCGGCCTGATACTGCTCAGCACTGGCGCAGCGCAGCGTGGCTGACATGGTTGTATATAGTATCCCCCTATGGTTGACAGTGGCAGGGGTGCTGCGCAGGGTGGAGGCCCGGGGCGGCAGCAGGGCGCATACATCGGCGCAGCAGCAGCAGGGATTGCGGCGGCGGAGGGAGCACGGGGGCAGCAGGATCGGCTGCCGGGGCCCGATGCGGAGGTGCCGTGCGTGGATGCTGTGGAGGCCGTTGTGCCCTGCATGTCCGGCGATACCAACAATGCTGTGGTGCCGGGCAAATTGGACACCGGGGCCGGCAGCAAGCGCAGGTGTCTCTGATACCGGCCGCTGCAGAGGCGCCGTCCCTTGAAGCCCACGCCACTCCCAAGCTGTGAGCGAGTGAGGCCTGACCTTAGCGCTGCTCTGTTGAGGTGCTCAGATCCCAGGTGCTGCTGTGCCTGGTGATGTTGGTTCTGAGCGTCTTCTGTTCAGACTGAGAGGCAGCGGTGAGGTAACGGAGCAATTCCAGGACACATTCTTCTTTTCGTGGCATGGATACACCACTGGGGCACCATGGTGACAGATGATGCTGGAGCGATTCTAGCTGGAGCAGTCTATGGTGAGCGGGACTTGTATGCCATATGAGCGTGTCAACTGGCGCACGCCCTGTGCCGTGCTGAGGGCGACCACTGAGCGCTAAAGGATACAGTATGCTATTGTTTTAAGAGCACACCAGTGGCCGTCATGCATCTGCCGTGACTGATGGCAATCTCTCGCGGAAATGAGCTAACAGAGAGTGAGGCTACCCAATTACATTGCACCATTTTGTACACTGATTGTCCCACCGACTTCTTTGTTTTCTTTATGGCACGCGAGTGCAGATCCCTATGGCATATGTGCTGAGGCGGTTGGCTTCCTTCTGATCCTGCATATACTCCAAATTTTGGCTTCTTTGACTCCCTAGCTCTATGTACGCGTATATTTAGAATGGTTGGGTCAGGCTTCAGCAAGCTTTCAGGCGCCGCATATTGGCTTGCAGTGCGCTTGTTTCCCAAACGGGCTGTGTGAGTACATGATAGCTTCTGTGCAAGCGGGGCTGAGATTGCGGCAAGTGGGAGAGTGCCAGCTGCCTGTCGAGCTGATTCCATTTGCATGCATGCAAGACGTGTGCTGCTGCACATGGTCATGTTGTTGAAGTGTGTACCACAGAGTGGCTGTACAATACTATATCTAGAGACCTGTGTGCTCCTGTGTTGACAACTCAATCGCGCACCTGAATACTGTAGTACAGGCCAGCTGCATATTTTCGAGGCCATTGAACACATGTAAACACATCAATGCAGCGCACTGAATTACTGGACTAATGAGGCTCATTATTGTTGGCATTAATCTCAGAATCATGAGACACATTGTTCAGCATGCATGTGGTGCGATTTGCTATTCCAGCTGTCAAGGTTTGTAAATAGGTTGAGGAGAATTGACAAGATTACATCTGCTCAGACCCTACTCCACATGTCAAACAAGCTGACACAGATTTCAGCGGCAATCAACACCACAATCATGTACTCCAGGAAGTCGGACTTCTTGTTCTGGATGATCTCGAGGAAGTACTTCAGATTGTCCTGGATTAGGTCAAACTGCAGCACAAACACACCCATGCACACCATCAGACTCATTGACTTTCAGTGCATCCATCCGTCATCTTCACAAGACCATACACATGCTCACAAATATATCAGCGGCCTGTCGCATGCGCGGGAAGCAGCTGTTACATAGGCCCATGTGAAGACAACGACAATGCGGTATAGAGCAGCAAATGACAGTCGCAAGGCTCATAATGGTGAAGTCGTAGGTTCAGCCCCTATTCCGCCTAGCACACAACAACAATATGTGTCCTAGAAAAACGGCAGGGTACGCCCGAGACCAGTGCGCTGAGTAGTCACCTTGACTTCGAGGTCGTCGTAGCGGCGGTCGATCTCCATTTCGCGGCGCAGGTGCTCGTAGATGCGGTCGCACTCGGGGTCCTTCCAGGCCGCCTCGAAGCGCTTGGTGAGGCCGATCTTGGAGGACAGGATGCCGGTGCGCATCACGTTGTTCTTGGCCACCATCTTGAGCAGGTCCTCCTTCCCGCCGCCGGCCGCGCTGGCCGTCCCAAACTCGCCCGTGCGCTCCATCGCCACGTTTATGTCCTGGAACACCTTTAGCATGTTGTCCACCTCCCTGCGCCAAATCAACATCTTATTGCCTCGACCCTATCAAGAAAGATCCTTAAATTGTCTCCCAAGGACTGCTGATTTAACAGTGGGATGGCAGCTTCTCAGCTGCTTCGATGTCACAAAGGACAATTCCAATACTCTTGCTTGGGTTTGAGGCTGCTTCCCGACCCTTTTGCACCATCCTTCAGCAGCTCCATATGGCAAGGCTGGGGACATATGGCACAATTAAACAGACCCAACAGAATTAATGTTGACTCCAAGTTCCTGCATGACAGGTTGATTTGGCGACGGGGGCAGTGGGTGCAGCGCGCACATTTCATAGAAGTGGAGCGCCACGGTCTGCGCGAGCAAGTAGGCGATGGTCTTGATCATGTCGGGCTCGGCCTGCATCAGCGCGATGTGGTCCTCGTAGATGCGGCTCTTGTCCCTCATGTTCCTCTGCACCACCACCTTGAACTCTGCGCAGACACCAGCCTCCCACATCAGGCATATGTCCCCTGAAGGCTCTGCTCCCAATGCATCGTGCCCGCTGCTTGATGCTCACTTTGTCACTGTGTACGTGTCACTCGAACAATAGCAATTGCGGTGAAGTCTGACCCTCTATGTTGCGTGAGGGCAGCGTGGCATTTGCCAGCCTCTCCCAGATTTTTGTTTCGTAGCCCTTGGCATTGAAGAAAACCACAGTGTCCATGTTCTCAAACACGGCTACGTAGGTTTCTCTGCAGGGCAGATCCTGCACAGCAAAAATGTCACCTGCAGATGTACTTTGGGACACCCCTGTTTGGGCTCGTCTGGATCCTAAGGCCTCAGCTGACCCCTAAACTGGGCTCAGGATCACATGGCTGCTAAGCAGGGATGTTATAAGGTTATAAGGCAGGCGTATTCCCAGCAATTCCTGCGCTCCTGTGGAATTTTTGAGAGGCTACAGTTGGCACCTTTCTCCTGTCCTCCTCGCTGCTGCTCTGCCACTGTGACAGCGGCGACAGACAGAGCATTCTGGAATCCTGGGTCGCCCAGACTGTGGAGTAGTTCGACTTCTCCGCAGTGGCGTACAGTGCCTTCAGCTGTGTCGACAGCCCCTTGCCTGCAGGATCAGGCAGACACCCTGTCACCATCTGGACCCGAGGTTCAGTCAGAGGAGGGAACAGTAAAAGCCATATGCACACCATCCGAATGGGAGTTAACGGAGTCTTACCCACATAAAATGCCTTTGCGCTGAATGGGAATATGGCACTGTCGTCCCACGGCTCCCGCCTGACGTACACTAGGGAGGGGTCTTTGGCAACGGCCCCCCACTCATGCTTCACCGTGTCACTTGGGCTAGCAAACTCGAGGGATCGCTGCTCAGCAGAGTTGCTAAGTTGCGGTTGAGACGCTAGTGAAGGAGTGCTATTGCTATTGACATGCGTTGTGCTGAGGTGCCTCGGTCCTAGGGAAACACCTGAGGTGAGATCACACACAGACACCTACGGTCAATTATTTTGAATGGTCAGGTCAAGGTGAGCACAATTGCTCTGTGCAAAAGCCAGGGGATGTCAAGGAACATGTGGGTCATGCACTGGAGGCCGTTCAATAGTACCTCGCTGATCTCCAAAACAAAGCAACGATGTCGGCTGATTGATGGTGCTACTAACACGCAATGTCGATTCCGATCTAAATTGGACTTCAAGTGGCAACCAAGCCAGCGCTGAGGAATGCACAGCTCTGAAGGTTTCAGGCTGCGAGTGTCCCCAAGCATCTAGATGACGACAAGCATTCCTCGTAATGCATGACCACAAGGATCTCTGAAGAAATGCTGACTGCATGTGCGTTGGATATGCCTCTCAAGTGTATGTGCGACGGCAAGTTCGGCAGCTTCAGTCACATCCTGCTTGGGGGCGGATCAACTGTGGCCAGATCCAGCTCGCACTATTATCTGTTCGTTGAGCTTCGCAATCAATACGCATTTGTAAGGACAGGAGCAAGTTGCACTGGAAGTTTTGGTGGCATTGCAATCACAATGTGCGCCTAGGCTGGGTCGTTTCCTATAACATCGACTCCCTTGCAGTTTTCAGACCCTACCCGAGGGTTTGGCTGCGTTACATCTGTGACTGCAGTTTTCATGTCTCTGAGAGTTTGGACGCTATAGAGGGGCCCAACATGCCTCGCGATTTGACAGCATGCGGGAGGTACCCTCCCCAGCCGCTGCACAAGCCAATCGCCTTCTACAGTTGTGCCAGGCTTGGGGACCCGGACCAGTTGGCGAAGATCGTGGCCACGGATCCCTACTTCATCACCCAGGACAACGGAGCAGGGGCACCGTTGCATTTTGCAACAACGTATAAACAGCTAGACATGGTAAGTAATGGCAGCGAAAGAACAATTTGGCGCTTTCCTGTTCCGAACGACGCTTCATCACCAGTGCTGTGCAGGTTCACCACCTTCTCAACAATGGGGCGGAGATCAATCAACGCGACGAGAAGGGCTTCACACCTCTCCACAGGGCGGCATATCTCTCCCACTATGATGGTTATTTGGAGATTTACGAGTACCTGCTGGTAAGTTCTCTCACCCATTCTCAAATCTAGCAAAATGAAGTATTAACTACCCCATTATTTTGCGCTTGGGGACATCATGAAATGGCCATCCAACGTTGCAGAGTCGTGGTGCGGATCCAAGCATCAGGACGGAAAATTACGACCCCTACTTGAGCCCTGGCAAAAAGCTGCCCATCGACGTGGCTCTGGATGATGATGAGATTCGCAGCAAGCTACGCGCCCTGGACAAAAAGTATGCCAAGGTAAGTGACCATGAGTCACACAGTCGTCATGGCATCATCTAAGCCTGCAAAGGTTTAATGCACATCCAATAGCCTGCACGTCACCATTCAGTGTGCTGCCATCCCATGATCTAAAAATTCTATTGTGTGCACAGGTGAAGAAAGTGCGGGAGCCCCATCCTGACATCGGGTGCTGGTGGACGCTGTATGACTATGGGCTGGACGCCATCAAGAAGTGGGACAAGGAATACAAGCACCCCTATCCAGGTGAGAGCCACCCCCGTGACGTGCACATAAGACCCTGCAAGCTCAAAACAAACATGCATTGGGAGAAGGCACATCCTTCACACAAGCAAACTTGACGGTACATGAGGCCAAACGGCGCAGAGGAGCTGAAGAGGGCAGAGGATGAGGTGGAGCGGCAGAAGATGAAGGAGGAGCGCAGGAAGAAGAAGGCTCTGCAGGCTGCAGGCAAGGCAGCTGTCCCCGCAGCCCTGCCATCTCAGAGCGCCGCTGTGGCTGCTCCTACAAAGGCACAGGTTCCAGACACGCTGGTGGCCTTCCTCTTCCCCGGCCAGGGATCCCAGGCAGTGGGCATGCTCAAGGTCAGTAATTACACCACCGCCATTTGAACCCTTACTTCCTCGTATGGTACCAAATTGCCACAGTAAATTACTGAACACTGTCATATGACATCAATTTGCCACGGTAATTTACCGAGCACTGTGCCCACGGTTCTTTTGTCTTGCTTGGATCTGGCTATTTAATCATGGGGTGAGGTATGTGACAGCCTGTATTGAGCTTGCCTGCAAACACACCTCCTGGCAGAACAGCATGTTTCATTAGAAGAATAGTATGAGTTTTCAGCCTGAGGCATGCACATGGGGAGACCTTCAGAGGAGCAGCTGAAGGGCACTGCGCGTGTTGCTGTGTGCAGGAGTGCAAGGATATCCCAGCAGTGCAGAAGATGCTGGCCACGGCTCAGAAGGTGCTGGGCTATGACCTGCTGAAGCTGTGCCTGGAGGGCCCCAAGGAGAAGCTGGACGACACTGTCTACTCCCAGCCAGCCCTCTTTGTTGCAGGTACTTCTCGACACCCTGTGCCGCTCAACACCCTGTGCCGAGACTTTTCCAGGGCTTCATGGGCTGTGTGACTTTTCTTACGTTGCTCAGAATTTGGAAAAAATATGCAATTGCGCTCTGCTGACAGGGCTGGCGGCTGTGGAGAAGCTGCGCGCCGAGGATCCAAAGCTGGTGGACAGCTGCAGCGCGGCTGCCGGGCTGAGCCTGGGAGAGTATTGCGCGCTCGTGTTTGCCGGCGCCCTCAGCTTCGAGGACGGCCTCAAGGTGAATACCTTGCTTGGCAAAACAGTTTCTATCCCTTGACAGGCAATCAGATCAGCTGCTCACTTAAAATTCGGGATCCTGTTATCGCTCATCAAAACCAAGGGTTGGCTCATGTTGTTGTCTATGGCGCAAATGAAGACTGTATTGACATCTGATCAAGCTCAAAAATGAGGACCTGCAACTGAGCTCCTCAGGCCTCCTCTGCATGCTCTCTGGTGAAATCCAAATGGCATGCACAAGTTCTCTTCATGGCAAACTTCCACGAACGCACAGGTGGTGAAGCGGCGGGGGGAGAGCATGGCGGCGGCGGCCAAGCAGGGCAAGCCGCACGGCATGCTGTCCATCATTGGCCTCAGCGACGCGGTGCTGGAAGACGTGTGCGCCAAGGCGTGCGCCAAAACCGGCGGCGACACCGTCTGCCGCATCGCCAACTACCTCTTCCCCACCGGCCGCGTTGCCTCTGGGCACAAGGACGCCCTCGCAGAGGTGCCTGCAGTGATCCCCCTGCTGTGCAATGCTTATGCATGCATGCAAGTATCAGTAAAGGTAACATTGTAAGAGTCAATGATGCCACTTGCACCACATTACCCTGCCGCTGCAATTCTCTCCTTGGCTGAGTTCCTCCGATAGCTGATGCAGGCATGCATGCATGTCGATGCCCCCTGTTGGCATGCTGGAATATCTCACAAAGGTTCGGTGCAAGGCAAGGAGCCTGTGAAAGGACTAATGATGCAGGTACATGCCAGAAATTCATAGCAGGTTCGGTCAATGACCAGGCGAATATAGTGCGCAGGTGGCGAGCCTGGCGACTGCGGCGGGGGCAATGAAGGCAGTGCCGCTGGCCGTCAGCGGCGCCTTCCACACTCCGCTCATGCAGCCGGCGCGCGAAGCCCTCATCGAGGTGCCTTCCCCTTGCTGCCAGCTCATCTCATCTTCCAACGCCAAATGCCGTCAGGGGGAAACCCGTTGCCTTGCCAACATAATCTGAAGACTCTCTATCAGGATCTTTTCTAAAGAGGATGCTGTGTCCCAAAGCCTGCCTTGGTGGCCACGCCGTTTTCTGCACACCACTTAAAGTTTGACCTAAAATTACCTGACCTTATATGTCTTTTGTAATCTTTGATTGATGGGGAATGAGGGTGCATTGTGGGGGTGGTGCAGGTGCTGGGCAGCGTGACCTTCACAGAGCCGCGCATGCCGGTCTACTCCAATGTGACGGGGGCGCCGTTTGCGGGCGCGTCGGAGATTGCAGGCATGCTGGCACGGCAGCTGGTGGAGCCCGTGCAGTGGGAGCGCACAATCACAGCATTGGTCAAGGATGCGAAGAAGGAGCAGCTGCTGGAGCTGGGGCCGGGCGCGCAGATCAAGGCCATGGTCAAGCGCATCGACATGGGTGTCTGGAAAGCCATGAAGAATGTCAGCGTGTGAGGCTATCGCTGTTTAGGACAAGGGAAACATGTCAGCCGGCGAAGCTAGTCCTGTTCAGGACGATGCAATCCAGCCTTGGCATGTCAGGTTGACGTCTCAATATATTTCAGTAGGTCTGTCACGTAGCAAATCTCACAGATGATTTTTGACTCGAGCTAGTGTATGCAGCAAGAGAACTGATCAGGCTACATCTGCACTTGATGAGGATTGGGCAGTAGGTGAACAGCGGAGTCCAGCAAATTAAAATCATGTTTGCATTTGACATCCCCAGATGCAAAGCGCTTGCATTTCTTACAGGCAAGCTTCACAGCCAGCGGACATTTGGCAGATCCGTGATCTCTGTATGGCAGAACAAATTCAATGCAACATTTTTGCAGGTGCTACCCTCAGGTGCTGCTCTCACAAATTGTCCAGCCGTCCAAACACTTCCTGCTCTACTGCATGCAAGCTGTGCAGCCGCCAGAGATCGGGCATGGCCTTAAACATGGCCGATGCCAGGTCCTGCTCATGCAGCAGCGTGTAAGTCATGGCTACTCGCGACAGTGGCACTCCCCTGCGCGCACACAGCCACCATGGCCTCTCCCCAAGCTCCTTCACTGTGGATGACAGGCAAGCCTCCCACAGGGGCTGCTCACACCTGCACACAGCATTTATCTCGCCATCAGGACTTGCACAGTCTCTCATTGTGATTCTGCAAGACACGAAAATATGCTCCACCAAATAGACAAGGATCAGACGTCCATAAGCATGTAGAGTATGTGGCAAATGAGAGGATGACATGCTGCAATTATCAGAGAAAGGGTCACCTGAGAGCCTCAATGAGCAGAAGCACGAGGTCATACAGCGGGTCGCCATGCCCAGCGTCGCCAAAGTCGATGAGCTGCACTGCATCGGGCACGAGTCCGTCCTCGCAGCTGGCTCCGGTGTCAAGCGGCTCTGCCACCAGGATGTTCTGCGCTATGAGGTCCCCATGCAGCCAGCTGGGCGCGTAGACACTCTCAGGGCTTGCTCCTGCTGCTGTACTGCTGTGTGTAGCAGCTGTAGATTGCTCGGTGCAGCCATTCACATGGCTGGTGCAGGTGCGCAGATCTGTTGAGCATACTGCACATGCGTTGGGAAGGAAGGCGGCCGGGTTTGGCGGCAGGTAAGCTTCAAGCTGACCCAGCAGGCGCCGTGGCAGGCTGTGCTCCCACGCCAGCTCCCCAGGGGCGTCCCTGCGCCGCTCCCTCAGAAAGTCCGCAAACGGCCGCCACAGCCGCCGTGCCGCGCTCTCGTCCAACGCAGTCTCGACAGTAGCTTTCGCGAATTCGCCGTCAGTGACCGGCGAGCTGGCATCCACTGGGCTACCAAGCCTCACGCAGGCAGTCCCAGCAGCGGTGTCCACATGCTGCTGCAGCTCCAAATGCTCCAGCAGAGCCTGCGCGCTTCCGGTCTCCGCCCCTACCGGTCGGAAGCTCAGGTCCAGGCCATCCCTGCTCTGCCACAGCGTGAAGGGCGCCGCTGCGTCGCCCGTGCCGAGCAGCCGGGCATCAGGGAGCGGCAGGCTGTGCAGCTGCCCAGTCAGACGGCCCAGCCGCGCGGCAATGCTCTGCCGGGAGTTCGCGGTGAGCAACGGCCGTGCCACGTCGAGAGGAGTCCCCAAGCAGGCTGTCATGTTTACAAAGGGCAGCGCGTGCGTCACACCGAGGCCTACTGTATCCAAATTGCACGGGTCGACGCTGCCGAGCGCCAGCACTTGGGGTGTGCACTGCGTCAGTGGCCCTCGATGGCGCTGCAGGCAGGCCGATGCGAGCGCCTCTGCCCAGGTGCGCGCCGCGCCAGCCTCGCCGCCCTGTGGGATGGCAGAGTATAATTGGGAGCTTGTCTAGCCTCAGTAAGCGGGCCAAGTACTGCTGGTCCAGGTGGTATTAGGTGCAGTGTCGAGAGCCATCCAGCTTGCAGAAATTGTGCCCTGCTGGTGATGTGTCACCCTGCTCATGGATGAGTTTCAGCAGGTCCGCGAGAGCTCACCTTGGCCACAAATTTGCAGATGTGGTTTGACACTTGGAAGACCACAGAACTGCCTCCAGCGATGGGCTGCTGCGAATCTTTCAAGCTGGCCTCCATGCCGCTGGCAGACAGGGCCCTACCGAGGAGAGTGAGCCATGTCTTCTGCGCAGCGTGATGCTCAGCAAGCTTGAGCACATTTGCGGCAGTAGCTCGTGTATCATCCGTCTGGAGGCCTGGCTCTGCTTCTGTAGCAAGCTGGTTGAGGAACGGGGCAAGAACGCGGCTCCGCATGAAACCCTGCCTGGCTCCGTCTGGTTGTCCAACCTGCAGTGCATACGTCATACAGAGCTCCGTCAAGGGCTCTTATCTCGCACTTAAGACTCTTGCCCTCTGGGCTACTAGTGCTGGCTCATGCATCTTATTGCCAGCATTATATTTGCAAGGCCCGCAGGACACATTCTGCAGCGGAACAGGTGTAGAAGGGTGTGCTTTTTGGAAATGCAAGAAGAAGCTACTCTGGGCGCGTGGCATGGCTCACCTTTGACTCATCTGAGAGTTGTGCTGCTGAGCCATATGCCAGGCACTGAATGACCCTCCCTAAGCTCTGTTCTGATGCAAAGTTCTGGGTGACTGCAACGGAGGCTTCCAGGTTGAGGACCATGTGCCACCAACCCCCAGGCACGAAAATCACTTCCCCAGGTCGCTGTATTATTTCTACAGGCCGCTCCTCAACTCTTAGGCTGGGATACACCTGTGCCAACAGACACATTTCATGCGTCCCCGCATCGTGAGCAGCTCACAAAGTAAGAAAACGCTGTGTATGAGGGTCAGAGCAGCACACCTCCAGAAACCATGTGAGGCTCGATGGACCGTCCCACAGGACATCATTGCTGTCATCCACCCAGGTGTGCACTCCTGGCGGCTTCTGGCCTGCACGCATGAAGCCTCCACTGATTACCATGTTGACAGTTTCTAGATGAATAAAATATTCCGTGACCCGTCCAGCCCACCAATCAAAGAAGTTGCGCATGCAGACATCTTGACCAGCAGTCCACCATGTGCAAGCTGTCCTGCAGAGAGCCATCTTCAGTCTTGGATCTGGCATGGAGGAGTTACTTGGTGGATATAGAGCCCATCGCTTTGATCCAGAAACAAGAGCATTCCACGCAGATGTGCAGAGGGGGTCTATGTGCCAAGAAGCTCCAGATCGCGCAGGGCCCATTACAAACCAGCGGAATGGGGGCTGTCTCTCTCCTGTGACACACATTTTGCCTCAACACTTAAAGAAAGTTTTTACTTCTTTTTCATGGTCTCTAAGTGATGCAACATTCCCAGTTCAAGCTTCATTTAGGCACATGGGAACAGTCAACAATCTCACCCATGACACCAAATAGGTCCTTTGGGAAGATGTCAGGAACATTGTAGTCACTGAGTATTTCTGGGATATTGCTGCCAAAATGCCTGCCACAAAAGATGTCCTGCTTCACAACACTTGTTCCAGATGTATGCACGACAGTGAGCATGAAACTGCCTCGCATGCTTGCAGTGGCTTCAAATTCACAAGTAATGCCTGGCACAGGTATTGAATAGGGACACTCACGAGTCGAACAGGTATAAGGGGTCCTCATCGCATTGTCGCTCTGAATAATCCAGGTAATCATTCATTGTCATCAAGACTCGGCCAGAGGGTGCTGTGATATCAAAGTGTCTGTCACCAAACCTTTTCCTTAGCATGGGCGGTTGCCAAGTTGTACCTGCGCATACCTGACACAGTCAAGAATTATGGCAGTACTGTTTTGATGAAAAGAAGCTTGATCACCATATTTGTGCTGAGCACTGTGCCTGCAGCACTCACTTGCAGACCAACTGTTCTGCAGTCCAGCTAGCATTACTGGTTGGTGGGGATGCAGAAAGGCTGCCGCAAATGTCTGCTTTGTTAGTGCATGGCCATCGATTCGGTCGAGGGTCTCTTGGTCCGGGAAGAACCATGTCACGTCCATGTGGCAGCGGCACCATCTCCTGAAAACAAGTAATGGGTCAGTAATGGACAAGTCTAGCATTGCTGGCTGGAAACGTGTCAGTAGTCTGTGATATGGGCATCATGCAATCCCACACCAGTGCACATCACAGATATACCTCTAGGTTACCTGTAGAGGAAATCGCTGAAGAAGCCGGGCACAGGCATGGGTGCTCCAAGCAAAGGAAGGCTGGCTGAGTCTTCTGCAGTGTCAGCGGTTGCTGTCTCCCTCCACGCTCCCTGATGCCACATTGATTTACGTAAAGCAATAAGATGCACATGTACTAGCAGTGTTGGACTTGTCCTCATCAAAAATTCCTACCTTGGACGAGAAGTTTCCTTTCACATTGGCCAGGCACAAGTGCATCCAAAGTGGTTCCTCCAAGCAAATGACACGCATTGCTTTCGATGTGCAGGACAGGAAAATCACGTCCTTGACTGACAGTGATGGAAGAACAAGCTCGCAAAGGATATCAATGGGAAGTCCACCGAGAACACCGAGGTGCCCTGTAGAGGATATCATCTTGGAGGAACCAATGATATCGCCTTCCTTAACTTCCAACGTATGTTGAAGAGCGCCTCAACGCAAATTGCAGATGTATAGCTTCCCTTTCGGAAGAAGCTACAGGGTCGGTAAAATCTATTCAGGCTGCCGTTGCTCCAGGACGCTTTGTTCTTCTCGTTCCCATGATCCATTCTGTTCATACTCCGATCCACACCTGTTTGATATCACTGTCCATCACCCGCAGAACACTGAAAAAAGACTGAACATTTGTTTGCATCAGAGCATTTCGTCTACCATGTCTTGTGTGATCGAAGAGATACTGCCAGAAGACGATCCCACTCGCTTCGATGATGAGCTTGAACGGATATTGATAGCTCATCAGCGCGATGGCAAGGCGCTTTTGGCTACATGCTTTGACTTCCTCAACCGCAAAACAGCCTTCTTCAAGGATCCGAATGTGTCAAAGACTCTGGCAAGGTTGTTGAGGGATGTCAAGCAAGGGTCTACGTCCAATAAGCCTTCCGGTGCCGCGCCCTCGACCACCTCAACAGGGACTCCAACGTCCGCTAATGGTGCTCCGAAGGTGAGGATCTGGTGCATCGGTGCACTGCAACATGCATGAATTAAGGTTGAAGTCTATGAGCTCAATCACTGATTAACCGCCATTTTTCGTGCTTTGCCAGGTCGAGCCTGCAGCAGCCAGCCCGTCTCTTCAGCAGGAAGCAGCACCTGTGATTGATGCACCGACCAGCAGCAAGGTGGAGAAAGAGGAAGACGAGGAAAAGGAGGAAAGCAAGGGGCTAAGTGAGTGCTTGATATACTGATATGCTTGCCCAAGCACACAAGGACTTAACCCGTGCCATTGCTCTTAAAGCTTGAAGCAAAATTATCCCGCAGAGCCCAACGGAGGAAATGGAGCAGATCTGGAGACCTATTCCTGGACGCAATCACTGTCAGATGTGGTCATTGCAGTCCCTGTACCCGCAGGCACCAAGGGCCGAGACTGTGATGTAAGGCATCCTGCCTCTTCCAGATGCCGTGGCATTTGTGCTGTTCTGGCTGGTGAAGGATGTGATCTTCGTGGGGCAACCCAGGAGTATTGAGTTCTTACAGAAAAAGTACTGAAGCATTTCGTGCTGTCTTGCCTGCAGGTGAGCATCAGCAAGACGAAGCTGAAAGTGGGCCTGACAGGCGCTGACCCGGTGCTGGATGGAGAGCTGTTTGCATCTGTCATGCCAGAGGACTGCTACTGGAATATCTCAGATGGCGAGGTCGTGGAGCTCAACCTGCAGAAGGTGGGCCTCGTTGCTGCGACAAGCTGTCACCAATACACTGAAACCTCAATAAGCTTTGCCGGGCACACAAAGGCATGAGTTTTGTGGACACCACAGCAGTGCTGAGCTTTGTAAAGCTGAATGCCCTTATTTGGTCCTGCCTTTCATCAGGTGGACAGGATGGCATGGTGGAAGAGCGTTGTGAAGGGGGAGCCTGAGATTGACACCCAGAAGGTGGAGCCGGAAAACTCAAAGCTGGCAGACCTGGATCCAGAGACGCGGCAGACCGTCGAGAAGATGATGTGGGACCAGCGGCAGAAGCAGATGGGGCTGCCCACCAGCGAAGAGGCCAAGAAGGAGGAGATGCTCAAGAAGTTCATGGTTCAGCACCCTGAAATGGACTTCTCCAAGGCCAAGTTCATGTGAAAGTGCACTCCTGGAGAATGGTATCTTGGTCCATGGGAGCCCCAGCCTTGCCCGTGACTTATGCTGACCGCCAATTGAAATTCAGGTTAATCTCAACCTCAGGCTGCCAGTAGCTTCATATTTGACACAGGAGAACTGTGTAACGCTGCATTCAGTGCAACACGGTTCATTGTGGCCCCGCAAGCGTCAGTGCCCGCCAGTTGCTCTAGTTTGGCCTCATCTTGGCTTGATGAACAACGTGACTGCTAGCACTGCTAGCACTGGCAGTGCCGCAGCGGCTGCGCTGCCAGTGGCGCCATCAAGGCATCTTGCATGCGCAGCACACAGGAGCTGGAGCTTGATGGCGCTCAATCTCGTGCAGATTTGGTCTACTAGTGAATATTGTAAAGGTCTCACAAATGCAATTGGCCTAGCAGCTGGGGTTCCAGGGCCCAGTAATATCGATGTGGGTAAATAAAACCCTTGCAAGTCCAAGATTCGGTCTCCAAGAAATCTTGACGTCAGCTTTCCCCCTGCATTGATTGTTCTTTAGAACAGCAATTGATTTTGATAAGAAAAACATGACAACCGAAATGGTGGACGCTCCCGTAGTGCCTCCACCCAGGGTCCTATCAGGCCACCGGAACATTGTGCTGGCAATCGACAACACTGAGGAAAGTGAGAAGATTCTACAGTGGGCTCGCAAGTATCACAAACCCGGCGACATTTTCCACATCACCCATGTTGCAAAGCTGCTGGGTCACCAGGACGAGGTTTTCCACGGTATGCCAACGCCCACTTTACATACCCTTGCACTATGATTGAACTTTCGACGAGATTATCAAGTTGAGGTGCCGCTGACAGGTCCTGTGGGGACATCTATAAATTTCCACGAAAAGCCTTTGAATGAGGCGAAGAAAGACATCGATATGAGGAAGGCCTGGTTCAGAGACAGGTGAGGGCTTGGCATGCATGTAGGGCTTGTCCCCCTTGATCGAGGCGTTAATATGGAGGGGGCGATCGCATTATAAAAATGAATCATGTTCTTTGGGAAGCCGTTATTTCAATCTAGCTTGCCATGGCTGACAGTCATTCTGGTGAGGCAGGGTCAAGGAGTTGGCAGACCTAGAGCATGTCCAGTGCATTCCATACCTCTACATTGAAGACACCAGCGCATCCACAACCGTGGCAGCCAAGGTCATTGAGGATCTTGCGGACACAGTGCATGCAGACTGCATTGTGGCAGCAAAGAGCAACAAGGTGATGTTCTTTCCTCCGCTAGCTGATATTTCCACGATATGCCGACGCGCATGAATTGCGTCAGGGCATCTTGTGACTGGCTGCAGACTACGTGGCAAAAATTCTCTGATGGCTGCAGACTACGTGGCAAAAATTCACTGTGGGCTCAACGGCAGGAGCACTGCTCGGCACTTCTCATTCCATTGTCCTGGTAGCGACATGACCGCCCCCATCATGTTCTGCTAAAACAAATACCACCTACTCGTCCATGTATGGGACACACAGTCTGAAATTGCTCCTATTGCGGCCAGTTTTCTATGTACCGCTGCCTCTTGCAAGGGAAGATGGCACTGTTGGAGGATGCTCAGACATCCAAGTGCAGCCAAGCAGCTCCTAATGGCTTGTCTTGTGTCACTACTGCGTATCTTGGAATTTGAAGCAAGTTTTCATCGTGAAAGCTGTTTCAGACTGTGGTATGCTGAATTGTGTGTGCGGTGCATGCACTCACACAAGTGTGGCTGCCGCCCTTGAAGGCGCACTGCTTGATGGATGGGCCAAATTGCAGGGTCCCGTGATGAAGCTTCTGTTACTTGTGCAAGTCTGTGCTTACTGGGTCCACACATTATGTTTGCATTTACTTTTTATGCATTGGGTGCAGATTGATATGCAAGTGACCCAGAGTTTTATTGAATTCTTCACGAGCCCAGGAAACAGTGTCAGAGGGTCTTGTGCCGTGGGTCGTGCGGTCATCAAGCGCACTGTTTAAAGCCTGTTCGGTGGACTTTCTTTCGGTTGGAAGCAGTGTCTCTGAGTGAGTCTGCTGGATTGTAGTATTCTTCTGTTCACCTCAGGCTGCAGTGCATTGGATAGGATTTTCATTGAGGATTTTTCAGCTCTTATCATGCTGACCTCGGACTCACCTCGGAGGTGACCACCACTGGCACTCTGGCGCACTGGATCCACGTGGCACTGCCGGTGGCTGCACTCAGCACTTAGGCACATATCATATTATGCACATATCATCATGATGTTGACATCAACAGTATGTAAACGGCGCATGCATCATCATGATGGGTACTCATGATGAGGAATTGTGGCACTGGCTAATTTGTTGTCTGCACCCATGCGCTGCCCTTGTGGCCATCACAGATGCAGAATTTTCAAGGCCTCGCCTACCCACATGGGCAGACAATTGGGCACATGTGGGCAGGGTAGGCAGTGGGCGTCTGCCGGTCAGAATGCTTTCTCTCTCCTGATATTGAGCGTCGGTGATGGGTGCAGCATTCAAATCTGGAAAGATTATGATGAGAGACTTGTAGACAAGACATATTCGTGATAAGAGAAAGTGTTTTGGGTCAAGGACTCTCCGGATGGCTTTGAAAGGAACCTCCAGGAGGATCTCAAACACAGAAAAGTACTAAATTAGCGAGAATTAAGGATTCCTGCAGCAGGGGTGGGTCTTCGATGACTGAAGGTCTTGATCAACAGCCTAGATCAAGCGCAGATCCAGGACACCCTCAGCCAGAAAGTGGTGCTGGACAGCAGCAGAAAGAAATATCGAAGACAGATGTAGCTTTAGAAGAGTGCCTACAGCTTTTGAAGGGTCCTACAGACGAGAGGAGGTGAGAGCTGGGCTTTCTGTTTGCTTTTGGCTTCCGCTTGAAGTTGGACTGCAGCATTGTTGGATCCTCAAAGTGTTGCAAAGATTGATAAGCTTTCCCCTTGCAAACGTTCAGCTGCATGCATTGCAGATTTGTGGGACTGTTGCTGGTCACCAAACTGCTGCCAGCTGGGGATGCAGACACCATTCGGGCGGTGTATGGTTCCATTGGGCCGCAGTTCATATCTCGCCTGTTACTGCCATTGAGACAGCCAAAGGTAACGCACTTGTACAAGTGTACTGAGCTCATACATGCTCAGTCATGGACATTGAATAAATCTCATGACAGTGTCAGAATCTGCACATGCAGGTCCCTTATGCAGAGCTTGGCGAACAGAGCAGGCAGAAGGATGTCAGCGCATGTGTGCTCGCCCTGGCACTGCTGGCCAGCTCAAGCTGCTTGACTGACATTGGTGCTTCAGAGGAAATGGTCGAGAAAGTGCCTCTGTTCATCAAGGCAAAGCCTCAAGCCCTTGACTCAGTGTGAATTGTTGTCATATCAATCCGCGCATTATTGCAAGCTTTGTCGAGAGGACAGGCGCACTTCATGTGCGGCTCTGCCTGCCTTCCCTAGAATGCTTGCCAGAGTCAATGGGCACGGCTGTTTTAAATTAAGGAGATCAGCATCTGGCTGCTGTCTCCTTGCCAGCCTGGTGCCCGACACATATTCTGTGCTATCCCTTTTCATGAGAATGCACAGGAAGTGCTGTGAAGGCAGTCTGTGTGATGCTTGCAGGTGGTCAAGATTGCCGGTGTCAGCCGACTGCTGAGCTTGCCACAAGCTTCAGTGCAAGAACAGGTGTCCTTTCACGCAAAATATACGTTCAGACCCTCCGAAGCAAATCTAATCTCTTCCGAGTGAATTGAGCCTTCCCCGGTAGTTTATTCTTGCCTTACCTGAGGCAGTATAGTCTATTTCAGACAGACAGACACCTTTCTGCTGTGGCAGCAGGGTTGGGGCGGCACTGATGGGGAGGCAGTGAAGGATGCCCTGGAGTGCCTCCTTGCAGTTGCAGCGGCCAGCGCGGAAGGCCACACCGTGTGCATTGAATCTGGCGCACTCGCAGCAGCATGCACGGCAATTCAGGTGGGCTTTACAGACGCAAATGTCAGCATATTATGCTCGGACCCTTAATGGACCAATGCAGACAAAACGAAATTCCTTGCAGGGGCCGTCTCACCCCGGTAACATTTGCTTCCATGAAACCTGTATTGCAGTCATCAAACTGCAGAGGAAGACGGACTGAGGTGATTAAGCGCGTACTGTTGGGCAGGCCAAGGACAGAACAGCTGCTGGGGCTCGAGATGCTCTAGCGCTGCACCTTCTGGGCATCCTGCTGGAGCGAGCAGACCGCAGCACCGTTTTAGCGGAGAATGCGGCGGTTGTTGCAGCTGCTGTGCCTGCAATAGCCTCCTTCATGGTGCTACATGCACAAGCTGCCCCTGCAGCAGCTGCCGGCGACAAAGGCAAGCAGCCAGAGCAGGCGCAACCAACTGCGCCAGCTGCTCCGGACATGCTCGACCCTGCAGCGCTGCAGCTGCAGGCTCTCTACGTGCTGCTGCTCATCCTGTCATCACCCCTGCCCCAGGTCTGCCTCTCTTATGCCCTGCTCCAAGCACAAATATCTGCTATTTCTTCCCTGGTCATCAAAGCATTGATATATTACAAGTAACGTGATGCATGATGTCTAGAATGGAAGATCTTGAGGCATCTTCTCAGAAGTAATTTGCCTGTAATTGTGAATTAACACAGCATGTTTGATTGTCGGTCACCAGCTGTGGAGGTTGCTGTGCAGGTGGAGGAGCGGCTGCAGGACTCAGCAGGGGTTGCTGCCGGGACTGGATCGTGCTGGCCGGCTCAGGCGCGGTCCGGTATAGCCACGCTGCTGCGCGGCCGCCTGGCGCCAGCTCAGCGCCAGACAACGCTGCAGGTTGCAGCCTCCATCCTCGGCCTGGTCGGCGCCGAGTGGCTCCTGGCTCCCTCCCACGACGGGGTGCGACCTCCCTTGCTGGAAGCATCACAAAATTTCACAACGTCATGAAACAGGAACAGGAAATGAAATGCACGGCTGCGTCAGGAGCATGGGTCCGATTACGTTTGCAGACATGTGCAACGACCAGTCTGTGTTGCCATGCATCCCGGTGCTACAGCAGTAGCTTCCTGAGCAGATTGTCACAGATGTGACGACTGGATAGACCAGACTAGTACATTTTGGTTATTGGTGGTCTTTTTGGACCTGAGAGCTGTCCCTGGGGGCCGATCTGTAACACAAATGCTGAAGAGCAAGTGCTCCCTGAAAGTATGGGCATGGCGGTGCAGAGGGATGTGCCGGAGGACTTCTTCCAGCTGCTGGTGGAGGTGGTCAAGGTGGAGGCGCTGATCACGCTGCGGGACGCCCTGGCGCCAAAGGAGCGCATCCCCCTCGCGCGCGCATTCATCCCCGCACAGCCCAGTGCGAGCGCAAGGATGGAGGAGGAGCCGTCCTCGTCAGCGCCAGCTCAGATGGAGGATGACAGCGACGATGATGACACCCAAGGTGCTTTGGAGCTCCCCTAGACAACTCCAACCATCTCCTCAAAAGCACACAATGGGTTGCATTCTCTTTTAAATTGGACCCAAAAGGCAGTTATATTTTCATGTTGAAATGTAAGGGGCGTCATGGGTTCGAAATTGCAATTTCTGGACTTGGACCACACAAGAGTCTTGTGCGGCTGCTGCAGGCTTTGCACCAATGATGCCCCCGCTGGAGAGGCCGGCACCGCTCGTGGACGAGCAGGGCAATGATCTTGACCCTGGCACCGCTGGCGGCAGCAGCTCTGCGCCTGGAGACCAAGGGAAAGACACCAAGCGCTCTGCTGCAAACGGGTGAGAACGGCCTTTGATTTGACATTTGAAATTGAATTCAAGAAATATGTGCAATACATCTTTGGGATCTGTGTTGCAATCCTTTGCATGTTGACACGGGCGTACTGGAGCTCTTCTTGTGGCAGGAACAGCGTATCATCGTCGACAGTGACAACAAAGCAGCACAGCAGCGTCTATTGAGAGGGCTCATGTGGCTTGGGCAGGCACACAGAGCTGGCTGGAGAGCGGGCGGCGCGCGTTCTGCCGGCTGTGTTTGCGCTGGCCGAGGGCTGCGTTGAAGCGCTGGCCGCGGACTCGATGCGCGCCGAGGCCTACACTGATGTGTCCGCTAAAGATGATGACATGGTGGCGCCAGTCCTCAGCGACAGGCAAGCCTCAGATCCCTTGCGCAGAATTGAGGCGCTGTGGAGGGATATGGCCCTGTCAGACCAGGAAGGGAAGCTGCGTCCTCAGGGACGAGAGACCCAGGAAGCTGGGAGGTGTTGAGGCAGTGCATGTGCATGGCAGGGTTGCCATGCGGGCGATGTCCTCGCTCCAAGAAGCGCATGAGGCGATCCTGCAGTTTCTTGAAGCGGCCGGCCAGGGCGATGTGGACGCCAATGACCCCATCACCCTCGCTGCGATCAGATCCCTGGGCAGGTGCCTATTTCTGCTATCCGTGTGTCATCTTTGCTGACATCGTGATTCAAGATATGTTCTATTGAAAAAGCTATGTTTGGCCAGAGGCACTCTCACTCGCATCCTGAAGTGGCCCAGCTGCATCTGACACGTGCTCCATGAGCATGCAGGTTCCTCGCTGAAGCACCGGACGCCTTTGGACAGCGGATGCAGGCACTTCTGCCCTTCCTGCTGACAGTGCAGCAGGGGCAGGCAGTTGCCTTCATGCTGCCAGCACTGTCACAGGTTGTGCCACAAGCCACGGAGCAAGATGGAGGCGGACCCTCAAGCAGGGCCTGGCTCACAGCATTGCTTGACAAACAGGTAGCTCTTTGCGCGATCTGCACCCTCCTGGGGATACCCCATTTTTTGTGCGTTCCTGATCAAACTGTTCATGCTTTACTTCTGCCAAGTGGTGCATTTCCTCACGGCAGGTGCTGGAGTCTCTCGTGGACTACACATCAAACACTGCCAACGACGCGCGCAAGCTGTGGGCAGCAGCCATGCAGGGGGCCTCCCCAGCAGCCTGGGCCGCTTTGGCATCCGCTGAAGCCATGCTGCTGCCTGCCCTTGAGCTCCTGCGCGCGCTGTATGTCTTCTCCTCCCCCTCCATTGCAATTTCAATAAATCCTCTGCGCAGACACAAGTGCATTGTACCGGGCATGAAGCTCGGTAGCTAGTGAATTTGCATGAGCGGATGTCTGTGGGTGCAGCCAGGACAATGCAAGCCAGGCGGAGGGTGGCGCAGAGGAGAGTGCAGCAGTCACGCTGCTGGCTTTGGTGCCCCCGTTGGCTGAGTGGGCGCAGGAGCGCAGCAGAGCCTCCCCTCCTGCTGCACTGGGCACGCCGCCCGCAGGCCCTGACGGCATCGATTGCAGGTTTACGGCGAATCTAAAGATTGTAAAAAAAATCCTTGCCTTTAGATGTCTGCATCTCCTTGCTGTGGCGATGTGCTAGAGCACTGTGTTTATATCTATCTGCACATCTGATGCAAATCCCGGCCCTGAGATACATGCAGACTTCCTTGCATGACGTGAGGGTTTGATTGTGCCCAGTGCAGCACATGAAACGTTTCCTGATGAGTCTGGACTGAATACGGTCGGGTGTGTGTGACTGCAGGCTGCTAGTGACGGCTGGCAGCCTTGTGGCAAGCACCCTGCTTGCGGCAGCGCAGCAGGGGCAAGCAGCTGCCGGGGCTGTTCTCAACGCTGCAGCTGCGCTGGTGTCCCGCGCAATCGATGAGGGCTTTGTGCGCCTGGCTGTGGCCAAACGCAAGGCTGTGGAGCGCGCAGCGGAGCAGCTGAGTTCCACCAGCATCTCTCCTGACATTCCAGGGCCTCCCGCTGCTCCTGCAGGTAAATTTCCTGCGCACTGCATCTACAAGCCCCGCTGTCACATGTTACTGATTGCGTCTTATGAGGTGCATGAGGAACAGAGTACAATAAGTATTCAATGCCTGTGACATGTCTATATGAGCTTATCATTTGCACTGCAGGCCGCACATCGGATGATTGGCTGGAGGAGGTTAAAGATGAATGGACTCAAGTTGTCCGCACCACCGCACAGCTGGCGGAGGAGAGTGCAGATTTTGCAGGAGAGATAAGAAAGCTCAAACCGCTGTGGAGTGAAGATGGAGGCGTGCATAAGTGGGCAGATGTTGCATCTGACCTGCAGAACCTCCGCGATGCGGTTTCCAACAAGTAAATGCGTAACGCATGAACAGTGCTGCAAATATCTATTGTAGGATGACCTAGAATGCCCTGAAGTGTGCCCGCAAAGGAATGGAGATCCTGGAGTTATTTGTGTTGTGACTACATGGAGGGCTGGCCAGTTGTCATCTGTGTATGAGGTCAGTGCTTCACATACTGTGTGCACACATATGTATATTATATATATACTAGTAGTTGAAGGAATATTTACATCTGCAAACGCAAGTCATGTGGTGTGTGAATGAAATCCATTTGGGCGCTGAATATAGTCAGTGCAAATTCCTTTTCAAAGCGCGATCCAAAAGCTGAGCTTCAGAACGCCATTATTTTTCCTCGTCAGTTCAATAAACTTCCGGCCCAGCAGGGGACTATTGTACAAACCCGTACAGGCAAGTGGCAGCAAGGCTACGCACCGCCTTGGGTCTCACTATTAGCTGGAAAGCACACCTTATCTTGCACTAACCCACTCATGATAGCTCACCACCATGCCAAAACCCCAGCGCAGATTTATAGCAGCATTCAATTCCTTCTTTTGCGAGCCGATTGGCTACCCGGTCAAGTAGCAGCGTCAGGCACCGGCGACACCGCGGCAGGTGAGCTGCCAGAAGATGTAGGCATTCCAGAGGGAATGCAGCAGCACGCAGGGCGCCAGGTTGCGCGTGCGCACGAGCAGGCTGCCGAAGATCACGCCCAGCATGACAAGGGGCAGGAAGCGCTGCAGGCTGAAGTGCGCGGCCGCAAAGCCGAGCGCGCTGACCAGCACGGCGGCCGCCACCGGCATGTAGCGCGTCAGCGACGGCAGCAGGAATCCCCGGAAGATAGCCTCCTCCCAGATCGGCGCGCACACCGTCACCACCACAAAGTATATCGCATTGCTCACCTGCACAGATCCCCCGCAGCATTCTTGTCAAGCAAGTTGGTCAACCAACTGCCGTGCCACAGAGCGCCAAGGTTTTGTCCCTTGTTGACGACAAGCAGCAAGAGTTCGGTAGGGAATATCAAAGGCAGGAGCTTTGTTGTAAGGCATGCAAATGCAAGGGCGCACCAGATCGCCGGCAGCCAGGCTCTGCTCCAGCACGTTGGGCCCCCAGGCATCGATGTCGTGTGGGAACCAACCCTGCATCAGTGCAACCAACCCTTACTCAACTCAAATATCTCCAAGGCAACAACAAATCACCGCGTACAGCTGTGGTACTGCTTGTTGTTTAGCTCTGGTGCCGGGCCCAATAGAATCGACTTGCAACAAGCGCCTCACTGCTGAAGCCTTACTGCAGTCCCCTCACATGCTGCAGCTTCCTTGGCTCCGGCTGGGCCTTGCAACGCGATCAATCGCCCGTATTGCTCATTTACATGAAAGACCTATAGATTTCTTTCTATGCCAGTCAAGGCTGAATTTCGTGACTGGGGGTGCTCATGATATGAGAATCCTATTGACCCCTGTATGCCAGTCAAGGCTACGTTTTGTGACTGGGGGCGCCCACCTGGCTGCGGGCGGCTGCCAGGTCGACGAGCGGGAAGGCTGCGCAGGCCAGCACCATGTGGCCCAGCCAGGGGTGCGGCGGCCACAGCCGTGCGTGGAACCAGCCCAGCGCGCGCGGCCGGTACGCGCGCAGGCAACCCCACAGAATCCCCAGCGTCGCCCCCAGCTCCCCCACATCCAGCACCAGGTGCACCAGCGCCTACCGCCCACACAACAATTCCCTGTAAGGCTGATCCAGTGCCTGACCCTGATTTGACTCAACAAGCATATCCATGCCATGCAGTATCAGTGGGTCGTGGATAGTCAGACAGGCCCTTGGTGTGAATGGGGCTGGGGTGAGGATGCATGGATGCGCGCACCTGCCCACGCGCAGTGAGCTCCTCCCTCTCCAGCCCCAGCAGCTCCAGGCCTCCAGGAAGAGCGACGTAGCCCAGCAACCAGAAGGCCATCAGCCACAGGAACATCACCTGCGCACCCCGTGCAGCGTGCAAGTCAGGAGGAGCAAGGTGCAGCCACCAGTCTTGGAGACCTAAGAATTTGCCACATTTACAAGTTGGTCAAGAATGGGCATGGTCCACTCACCTGCACGATCTTGCCTGCGTTCCAGGGGACCGGAAGAAGAGGCTGCAGAGGGCCACACAGCAAGGTTCAGATGCCGTATCTTTCAGCGTAATCTGGTGCAAATAAGAGCAATGAAACATGCACCCGACAAGATGCATGGTTTGCTCACCTGAGCAGGGTCCCATTTCGGGCTTAGGCCAGCCTGGGATCCCTCTTGATGCTCGTGCTGGCCGCTGGTGCCTGCTGCTGAGCTTGCTGCATCTGACAAGCATGTGACTTCTGCACATTTTCTGCGGTCTAGAGGCTGCCATCTGAGCACCCCATAGCAGCTCCTCCCCAGCCTGCTGCGATGCCGCCATGTAGCTGTCTCGCAAACTTTGACATCACAATCGCCGTGATGATAGTACAGCCTGCTACTCCTGCAAGTCGAGCAAGCTCTTCTACCCCCGGCCCCTTGCTGATTCCCTGACTGCTGTCTCAGACAGATGGCCCGTTGTGGCGTGCTCTGTACACAATTTCTGCCGTATGGTTGGCAAAAACTGGCGCTATTCTCTCTATCATGACCTACATATGATTGGCTGGCCCGACAAGCGTGCTGTCGCCGCAAGGTGACAGAGGTGGACTGGATTCCAGACGATAAGGTTTTTAAACAAGCTCTCAAGCTGCCAGCACATGGCACAGAGCATTCATGCTCATAATTACGTATTTTCCAACTCATCGCTGCCAATGCATGAGCACAATCTCAAGTTACCGTGGGGCGTGTAGTGCATGTGGCTCTCATACAAAGTGCGAATTGCAAATGCAAGCACATAAAGAAGCAGTAATTCTCCCCATACAAGATCAGACCATCAAAGGCTTTTTAATGGAAATCTTTTCCACATCAAGAAAGAAAAGCTCGAATGCTTGCTAAACCCTATTGGGAAACCTTTTGAGCGGATACCCTCAAGCTTGGGCTCTCGGTTCCGCCTCCCGAGAAACAAGTAATGCTCTCGATGTCAAATTGAATTGACAAGTCCTCTTCCTTTGCGGAAAGGCAGTACTACATAGTACACCTTTTTCTGCATGCCGTAGCCCCTTTGCCGTTTCTGGGGCCGAAGAAATTCCAACTGGAAATGTACTACCTTCAGTTGCCAGGACAACTGGCCAGGGATCGTAAGCAGATCTGAAAGATATAAATAAATCATTTGAAAACAAATCACCACACCAGGTTTCTGGCCTTTGTGTGAGGTCAGGACCTATCGAGCGTCACAGGATCATAATCTTCCTGTTTTGCTGGAAGTGTCAGCTGTAAGACCCTCACGCTGGGATCTTCATGGTGCGTTTGTTCTAGGTTTGCTCTATATACACAGAGCTGTAAGTAGTTTGATACATACTCGTACGCGGATCCAAAGCAGACACCAAGACATCCTTCAAAGTCTGGGTTGAGCAAGCGAGCTGCAAGATGGTGGACGCGATGCGGTCCATGCTCGATGAGCTTATGGGAAAAGAAAGGGACGTTCCACTGGAGAAGCGTTCCGGCCGTGGCGTGCGCTACTACGACCCAGAAGTGTGCAAGTATGCGCTTGCAGGGCTCTGTCCCTATGGACTCTTCAAAAACACCAAGAGCGACCTTGGTGAGCAACGAGGCTCTGAGCATCTTACCCTGATTGCTGGAATCTTAGCATGCATAATTAGGATTGACCTGTTTATGTGTCAGGGTGATGACGTATGCCAAGTCTGACTCTTGTGACTGCTGGCCCACGCAGGTGTGTGCAAGTATGAGCTGCACGATGACGATTTGAAGTTTGAGGAGCTCAAAGCAGAGTACGACGCGCTCTCAGAGAAGGAGAAGGACAGGTCAGCACGACTGCAACGTCTGCGCATGTCCACTGAGCCAAACACACCCTTGTCATGGAGAGCTCTGTGAGCCAGACAAGCGCCCTTCTGACCAGCTTATCTAAATCAACTGCAGGACGGGATACCAGAAGGAGCTGCACGTGCTGCTGACGCAGCTGGTGCGCGACATGGACCGCAAGATCGAGCGGCAGCGCGACCGTGCGCTGAAGGAGTCCGAGCCCAAGCCCGTCTCGGCCTCGGAGCAGGTTGAGCTCGACGCCATCAAGGTGCTGCCCTTCACCTCCGCCCTGCAAGCACTTGCTTCTTTCACACCCCGGCACACCTCTACAAGCTCACACCTTTAATCTGGCGTTAAGCAAATCTGCAATTGGGGGAAGCATGCGATTCTGTTTTGTGCATGTCTGACTGACACATGTCGACAAGCTTTCCTGGGCTATTTATATGTCGCATGGTTACGATGAATTCGTTACACTGCTTGAAGAGGGAGAGACAATCACTCTGTAACAGAACGACCATGCACACAGTGGGATAGTCATTGCTTGCCCCCCTTTGCCCACGACATGGACGCATGCAACAACAGGCAAAGGAGAAGGAGGCGCTTGACAAGAGCGAGGCGCTGGCGGAGGAGGGTGACGTGGACGGCAGCATCCTGTTTGCCAACACGGCGGAGGGCTTCAAGACGCAATGGGATGCGCTGCACGCCAGCTTCACGCAGCCCGAGCGCACCATGAGCGTCTGCGACGTCTGCGGCGTCTTCATCAACTCCACCGACAACGAGCAGCGCCGCAAGGTGAGCCCTCTTCTCTGCTCTGCTCAACCCGGCCTCCCTTCTGGTAGTGAAGCCTCTGCTCTGCTCAACCCGGCCTTTTTTCTTGTAGTGAAGGCTAAGATAGTCTTGCTGCTGCTGCTGCTGCTGCTGTGAGCTGCTGTGAGGGCACCCAGTTTTAGGAGCATGATTTAGCCGGTTGGAGTCATTGGGCGCCCAAGAGTGATGGAGCTCTTGTGGCTGCTGATTTGAACCTGGCCTTCTTTTTGGTAATGGTGGCGCGCGGTGGAGATAGTCTTTCTACCGGCAATGCTGTGAGCTGCTGTAGGAGGCACCCAGTTTCAGGAGATTACGGTTGTCTGTTGAGAGTCATTGGGCGCCCAGGAGTGATAAGGCTTCGTGCAGCAGGAGTTGTGTTTGAAGGGGGAGCGCACCGTGCAGGACCATTTAGAAGGCAAGCAGTTTCGCGGGTGGCTAGCCATCAGAGAGAAGCTGGCGGAGGTGCAGGCGGCAGCGGCCGAGAAGGGCCGGCCCAAGGAACCGGACGTCCGGGAGCACAGGTCGGACCGCGAGCGAGATAGGGACAGGGACAGAGACAGGGGCCGCTCCAGCCGCAGCGATCGTGACAGGGAACGTGACAGAGACAGGGACAGAGATCACTCACGGCGGGACAGGGAGCGGTGCGTTGATTAAGCGGATAATACATGCTTGCATGCATGCTGATTACAACCTGTGCTGGCCGCTCGGCTCTTGCGCATGTCTGCACCTGTATTGCCTGACTCGTGCCGTCAATAAAATCCTGTGAAGGTGCATGCATCGTCATCATTATTGATAGTTTGTAGATGGGTTCCAAGGGGTCATATTTTGTGTGCGTAGGCGGCGCAGCAGGTCGCCGGTGCGGAGGCATGCGGAGGTGGCGCCACCTGGGGACCTGTATCATGGCGGCAGCGGATCGCGGCACGAGCCTCGTGAACGCGACAGGGAATATGGGCAGCCCTCAAGGCACCGCCGCTGACATGGGCGCCAGCACCGAGCATGTTTGATCTGGGTGTCGTGTCTTGTGGTGTGCTCTCTGACGGCGCTTCCTCTATCTGATTGTGACCCCTTCTATGATCTCAACTGCAAAGCATTGCTTGGGATTGTGTGCCCCATGGCACTGTGTGAATGCAAGTGTGAGATGCCAATTGCTTCCTAAATGTAAAACGAGTTGTACTTGCACAATAAAATATGCCTGAGGTATCTTGGTCGAGGGTTGTGATGTTCCAAAAGCGAAGGCATATCTGCAAGAGTAGAGTCTACGTTGCTACTCTACATGCTCTTGTGGCATATGTAGCACCCTATAAGCAGTCAGGCAAGATAACACCTGCAACGAAGCGCCATTTGGAAACCGCCCATTCCCTGTCTGAGCACCACCTCAATGAATCCAATTCTTGGCCCATATTTCAGAACTCCGTACAGCCACTGTACCCTTCCTTCCCTCTGTACAGGGCCTTCTACAACGCCCACTTAGGCCACAGCTGCTCTTTCTGTCTTGACCCCTTCCTTGCCCGCATCAGCTTTCTCCGGGTACACATACTTTCCCTCAGTTGGGTACTCCAGCTTCAAGGCAGTTTCACCTTTCCGGCACACCTTGAAGCCCCTGCGCACAGAACCCCACACACAATTGATCCTTCAGGCCGTCCCATCAGAACATCAAGCAGCACATTTTACACCAGCTACTGGCATGTTTGCTAGGAGGCTACGCTTGCATCTGATGAGTTCAGATTGGGGCAGGGCTTTACTACCAAAGATGCTGGCCAGAAAGAACGACACGAATGGGGCAGGAGACACAAGCATCTCATTATCTCCTCTCTTGTTGGTCCCTTGCTATCACCGCACCTCATTGCCTGCTCCTCTGTCATCTCCTTGTTTGGATTGAGCGCCTGCCACTTCCAGCCGCGGTTTTGCGCCTTGAGCCCGTCTAAGACCACCTCGGCCCCTGGGGCCGCGTCAATGACCAGAGTCCCATCCAGATCCAGGCTCTTGATGCGCACGCCGGCACCGTTGATGACAAGCACGGCGTCCTTGCTCAGCCGCACACTGGCCGCGTCAATCTTGGCCTGCGCACGCACCACACAAGCACTGACTTTCCGCCGCTACTAATTTTGCCGGCCTGCTCCAGAGCATTATGCACAGAGCTAGAGCCCTGCCTAGGCGTGACTTTGCATACAGTATCATAGACCATGAATTAGGTCTGCAAGACAGACATCATCGCATGCAGGCAGAATTTTTCCTGCAGCTGTAGTTGTTCTTGTAACTTCCTCTTTTCACAAATATAGCATGTGGTACTTATAATATTATTTCAAAGATTGGTGGACTGGGAAGGCTGTGTGCACACCTCCAGGTCAGAGAAGGTGAGCGCGAAGAATGGGGACCAGGAGACGCGCGGCCAGAGGTCCACGGAGAGGCCGTTGAACTCGCGCGGCTCGGGGCCCTCGATGCGCGCGCCGGCCATGCGCAGCGCGGCGCAGTTGGTGCGGTAGATGTCCACCTCGCCCGACGTGGCCGAGTGTGAGGGGTTCCCCCCGGCCGCCTTGGCGCGCGCGTCGTCCGGAGAGTTCTTGACCGGGCTGTACGCCGCCCACACCTGCATGGATGCCTCTTCTCATTTCCCACTTCCCTTGCATTTGTTTGCAAGAGGTTTGAGAAATTTTCCAGTTCCCTTGTAAGGTTCCTTTGCCTGTGCATTGTTCTGTGCTGTGCAGCAACTTTGCAGCAACGCTGCGGGATCTTGAATAGGCATAAGAGGTCCTGCCCCTCCTCTACTGCTGAAGGATGTGGGCTTGTGTTCCCTTCATGACAAAGCCAGGACTTGTCTGTGCATCCGTGCAAACAGTATCAATCGTCGCTTCTGGTAATGTGTGAACTGTGTTTATTCTTTGTAAATCATCATGCAAGCCAGTCCTCCCTCTATCTGTCAACAAGCGAATGCGCGCCTGGTTGACGACAGTAAAGCCGACGGCGGCGGTGGGCGGGAGGCCGTGGGGGAAGTCCTGCATCATGCACTCCAGGCGCGTGCTGGACTTGAACGCGGTGCGGCTGTCGTCCTTGTACTTGGGGTTGACAAACTCCGCGATGATCCCCTCCGTCTCCTCCAGCGCCGCCGCATAGCTGTCCGCCTTGAGCACCAGCTGGTTTATGTTGCCTGCGCGCCCAAACCACCCACCATGCCCTCAGAACCTTAACCACGATTCTTTTAAGCACCGACAGTTTTAGACAGGTCATGACTCCTTGATATCGTGCAGCTGCAGATTGAAGACCGCAGATTGGACCTCTTATCGGGAGCTCTCACCAGCTTTACAAGCTAGAGCTGATCACGAGACATGCCGGGGCACTCATGTGAAGCCCTTACATGGGGCTCATGACGGATTTCATATCATGTTCAGGACCTGCCATATATTGAAGCTATTTACCTGCTCTTAGAAATAGGGCTGCTATGAGGAGCAAGTGAATATATTGTGGGGTGCTGGCGTGCCTGGGAAGGGGGAGTAGCCGGAGGCGTCGTTGACATCGCCGTCGGCCCAGCCGTTGGCGCGCAGGAGGGGGTCGAGCAGGTTGTACTCCACGTTGATGGTCAGGTGGCCACCGTCCGGGCGCTGCAGCGACGCGATGCCGCCGATCGCCTCCTTGGCCTTGCGCGGCACCGCCAGGCTGTTCATGTCATACCCGTACCGCGCGCTCACGCCTGCATACAAACACCACTAGTTATGTCAATGCCAGGAAAAGGCCCGCAGTGGGGGTAAACTGGGCTAACCTGTGAAAGCATTCATCTCATGCTGAGGCGGATAGATAGCTGATAATGGACGCTGATAAATCCGTGATAGAGCTTGACTGATATTTGTAGCTGGCTGCGCCATCAACTCCTGGCTCTGCCCCTCCTATGCTGGGTCCCATACCCTGGCTGACAAGGGCATTTCTTGACCAAGTGAGGTACGCAAAGTAGCAAGTGCGCCGTGGGAGGGCAGCAGGACTGGTCAAGGGAAGCGTAAGCAACTGCTCGTCAAGCCAGCTACAGAGTCAGTGAAGTGCATTAGGTAGCAAGTGTACTGTGGAAGGGAGGGAGGGCAGCAGGGCACACCGAGGGCGGCTGGGATGCCGCGGAAGACGAGGGCGTTGGTGTCCTGGAAGAAGGCGACCCAGCGCACGCCAGCCGCCACCCAGCGCTTGAGCAGGCCCGACGAGTGCAGCAGCGCATGCACGTCACCATGCCCGTGCGGCTTTGTCTGTACCGCGAATGGGTTGTTCGCATCCAGCGCCAGGTGCGCTTCCCCGTCGCTCAGGCATGCCACCTGATGAATCACTCAAATGATCTTATCCCTTGATGTCACGGGATTGGACTCGTCACTACGGTACATGCGCGCCTGACGCATCAGGCCCTCTTCGCCCACTCAAGCTTCATCGAGTGCATTGCCCTGTATTGTTCAAGTCAAGCTCATCTGGTATCTTGGAGTCCAAAGAAATCAAATGGACTTGATAAGACCGATCCAACAAACGCTTGTTTCTAGGCGCTAGTGACATGAGCGTGGCCACAACCCAGGGACCGACAGATGCAGGATGTTTGCTGGGTGCACGGGGTGCGCCTGGCGCGCACCTTTTCCTGCTTGAGCAGGGTGACCTGGCCGGGCTGCATGCCAAAGTAGGCGTTGTCCTGCAGCAGCGCCTCGGTGCGCGCGTGCGTGTCGCCCGACGTCATGATCGCCAGCGGCAGCTGCGCGCTGCCGCCCGCCTTGGCTTGCAGCGCCCGAATAGACTCTATGTACACCTGCACAAGTGCAACTGTGAATACCTCCAGTGCCCTTGCAAATTCTTGCATGCTCTGGTGGATTGTAAGTTGACTGATGTTTAGAAGGGAGTGGTCTGGTGCAAGGTGCGAGCATGGCTGACCTGGAGAAAGCACTTTTCGCTGGCGAGTTCGGTGGGCAGAGCAACTTTGATGCCTTTGTAGCCCAGGCGCTCACCCAAGCCACCAGCCACCAGCACGAATGCAGCTTCCTTGCTGGCTGCAACACCTGTGTCACACAGGCCATGCCTACCTTTACAAAAAGCCGGCATAGGCCCCTTACCACAGACAGTGCATTGAATGTCTGTCAGTAGATGAGCTTGTGCCCCCTCACCGAGCTCCTCAAACTCCTTGAACTCCTCACTGCCAAAGTCGAGCTTCTTCCCCTTGGGCACGCTGGGCACAAAGCCCTCAAACGCATTCTTGCCTGCGCACAAAACAAGGGGCGTAATTGAGATTGACAGGGATTCTTTATTTGTGACAATTATTTCTGTCCTCACTCGTAACTGACCTGAGCGTGAGTCTTCGAGCAGCTGCTTGGCATTTTTTATGTAGGTGGCCAGGCCACCAGTGTAATTCTGGTCCAAGTGTTGCAGTTGCTCCAGCAACTGCTGCTTTTCGTTGTCTTTCTCCCCTGAGAGCAGGAACGAAAGGGTCATATGATGTCTCTTGGCCAAGTCAGAGCAGGGGTGAAGGAAAGGTAGCAAACATACTACCTGGAGGGGGCCATGACAGGAACAGGTGGCTTTGGTCAAGATCGAGTAGTTGCTGCACGAGCTCCTTATTCTGCGGGCAAAAGATTAGGCGTTTTGGCACGACCTTGGGAATATGGCGTGCAGATCGAGAGTTAGTAGTACTCTACTGCACAAGCCTACCTGTTCAGTCAGTAGCACTTCGTTTCCATTCAGAGCATCCATAGAGTCCGTTGGCGGGTCTATTACGATTTATGGCGATGGCCGCTGTGACAGAACCCAGCAATCTCAGATCAGACTGTAACTTGAGTCTGTAAGAGACATAGTCAAGAGCGAAAGGACATGATTGTGGGTCTGCTGGATTAAGCAGTCATATCATATATCCGAGAATCGATGGGTAATTACATGAGACGATGAAGGAATCCAGACCTGGCACAGTGGTGAAAGAATATCTATATGGCACCAGTGATCTCGTCGGCCCTGGAGAGGTCTCAATGAGAAGAGCACAGTCTGAGATCTTATGTTAAAGCATCTGATTCGATGTTGCGACGCACAGATTGCGCCAAAGGAGCTTGATTTGCAGAGCATCTGTCGTGAAGGGGGTTTGAAGTGGAAAGACATGGCCTGAATTGGCATGCTGGGGAGTTTCATCCATGCCAAGGCAAAATTATTCATCAATTTCAGCTCTGGCTACCCTCGAATGTCGTATATGTGTTGCGGTTGTGTTGTGGATGCTGCCCTACATAGCTAAGTTACCTCACTCCACGGCTTATTGTCCAGATGTCTGAATGACCTAAAGTATGGGAGTTTGATTCATTGATGTGGCCATCGCATCGCATGGAGCAATAGAAGAGTTCCTCAAAAAGAAATAGATCAGATGGCAGGAGCCAAGCCTGGGCAGGGAGTACCAGCAGAGGGCTCCCTCCTTGCTATCATCGGTGACGAGGTTCGTTTCAGCGTTTCTTGATGATCTAAAGCATGAGCCCTATTGAATCTCACATGAATGAAGATGCAAAATCCACACAATATAATATTGCGCTCTTAATCAAGACATGTTTGAGACAAATCTGGGTCTTCCTCTGCAGGATACTGTGACAGGTTTCCTCTTGGCAGGCGTTGGGAACGTTGACTTGAGGAAAAAGACCAACTTCCTCGTAGTGAACGAAAGTATGCCTTCTCACACTGCCACATTCTGTTCACGTAATGCTTTGTGGGGGTTGACTTGACCTGACTCGTCCTGACCTCGCCCTTTCTTGCCCTAATGTGTGGGACACTGTTCCCGCAGAGACTGCAGTGAAGAAGATTGAAGATTCCTTCAAGGAGTACACAAATCGCGATGACATTGCCATCGTGCTGATCAATCAGTTCATTGCCGACATGATCAGGCACCTCATTGCAAACTACACAAAGGTGAGGCGGATGCAGTAGAAGGAAATGTTCTCCTTCAGAATGTCTCTGATCCTTCCCATCTGCTGCTGCTCCTGCCTGTTACGTCAGCTCCCCACGTACACGTCCCCCTTGTAATTGGCTATCAGACCGTTGGTGCACAGACGCAGTATGGCGTTGAGTCTGGTATCACATTCGCCTGAATGAAGTGCATGCTCCCTGTGCAGCCTGTGCCAGCAATACTGGAGATACCGAGCAAGGAGCATCCATATGACCCCAGCAAGGACTCCATCCTGACGAGGGTGAAGATCATGTTTGGCGGAGACTGACTGCGCAACGCCCCTGCTGAGTTGGTGCATTATGTGGACATTGATGTGATGCTGGAGAGACAGAGCGCAAGTCCACAGCAGGAATGGAACAGGTGCTCTAGTAGTGTGGTAACAGAGGAACACATGCAATCTGTAGTGCAGCTTGAATCACCAGAATACGCACAGGTGAGGCGGCAGATGCTTGCAGCTTGCTGGCGCCGGCCTCTGTGGAAGATCGCTGCTTATCTGTGGTGTTATTGCCCATGTGGTGGGGTAGAACTTTGGTTGGTTGTATCTGCCTGCTTGATGTAACAACTTCCCGAAGAATACTTTTAAGCAAGGGGCCTTGTACGCAAGTTGAAGAAAGAAAGGAACCCAAAGGTTTCAATCTGAATGATGTTTCTGTGGTTACGAGTAATGGCTGGTAGAAATGCTGCTTCCCTCAGACACTCACACTTGGCCTAATAGTCTACTTGTTCCGCAGGCTGATATGCTGACTGCATATGTATACATGCATGAGTTCTCGATGGGTTCTCCCACACCTACCCGGCTGTGTGTCAACAAAATATCATAACAGATTCAAAGAGTTGACTCAGATCTGCACCTAGGTCTCAACGTCTTCCTGCATCTCTATCACTTCGGTGCTCGTTTTCTTCTTGTTCAACTACTCCACTACCTCATAAATTCCTACAAAATTCCTCCCTGGACCATCCTGAGCCTCACCAACCATTCTGAGATATAAGGGGAAGATCAACTCTGACACATTGAACGCCTTGTGCTGCTTAGGCATATTTTGCAACACCAAGAATGTCAATGCCACATGAATATGAAACCATACATCCATCTACTGATGCTTCAAGTGCCCTGATGCGGTACTACACCCCATGACCTCTACCAAAATACCAGATGTGCAAGGCATCTTCACAGCTGCTCACTCTCGCATGCAACTACCATCAGGCGGAGACTTCCTGCCTCCTCCTTTTGTGGGCAGCCTTGGGCGTTGTAGCGTGATAGCATGGGTAGTTGTGGTTCGCTCGCAAGACAGCAGGCTTGATTGCATAGAGTCCCTGTGCCTGCATGCCACAAACTATGCATCATGCCCATGGCCTCACAGAGCAACAAATTCCCACAGGGAGGCTGTAAAGACATCAACTAGAGTGGTACGCACATGGACCTTATATCCCGTTAAATGTCTCAATATTCCAGCCTACGTCACTATGTGGTTTTGCTCGTGCTCCGAATTGCCCAGCATCATATGCAACATTTCAATTTGGATTTGGGCAGGCTACAAATCACTGACACACTTTGGCGAGCACCTCTGTAGTATTGGGCGCTTTAATGAAATCCAAGCATACTCCCACTGAAAAGGGCGAAGGAGGCCACCTGTGCCCGCGTGATGAACTGCTTGTCGTTAGTGCAGAGCAGGACGTTGTGCCCCTTGGCTGCAAAGTGCAGCAGGCAGTCCAGGATCCCATCATCCTTCAGCCGCTCTATCACTCGGCCCGCCGGCAGCTCCGTTGGCCTGATTTGTACAACAGAGAACTTAGGAGGACGACTTTCCCTTGCTCTACTGCAAAGGAACCATGCATGGTAATATGGATCTAGCAGAAGATCCGAAAGTTGCCTCTTCCCTCCAGCATCACACATATCAGACATCAAGCATGCAAGAAAACTGATGCTTGGTAGTTAGGGAGAGAGTTAAAGATTGGGCTCACATCTGCACGCGGCAGATGGAGGAGTTGACCAGCAGGTCCAGCACCATGATGCCCAGCTTGGCATCGTGCTTTGCGCGCTGGTCCCTCGGGGCCATCGCTATGGTCTTCAGCTCATTCACCACAGTCTGCAGCAGCCAAGGCCGAAAATGCTGATATCACACTGACACACCTGACATCAACAATCACTACTACACGCATTCCCTGCCAAGGCAAGGTGCATACAAGCATATCAACATGTCTGACAGCACACATCAAAGGTCAACAGCCGCACAATAAGACTAGCAGCTTGGGCACTGTGTAATTGTATTTATATTAGGACCTGATAGGCTCTCACCCTGGGCAGGAGGATGTGGATCTGGGGGTCGTAGGTGCGCCATCTTCGCAGGCACTCCATGATGATGTTGCGGTCCTTGGCTGAGCCCATGAACACGTTTGTGTCAAAGGCCACCATCGTCCCGTGCTCCTCCCTGCATGCACCCTTGCAGCTTATTTTACCCAGCATCAGCCACTAGCAACTTGATTTCATCTTTATTATATGCATATCACTAGTGTGCATAGGCAGCCAGATCAATCAATACGCATGCAGCAAACAAAATTGTAGGACAGTTGCCAGAGCATTTCGGTGTGGTGGCGCACTCGTCAGCTTCACGCTTCCTCTTGGCGCCAGCAGGTCTGTGCTCCTCTTGCAGCTCTGCTCGTGCTGCGCTTCTGAGCTGGCGCGAGAGCGAGCCCCCTGCGGATGCCTTCCTTGCACTCCCTGCCTTCTTTGCGCTCCCTGCATGCACCACCTCAATGCACTCAGCCAGCCATTGACGGCCATCTCAACTGCGCTCTCCAGCATTGGCGTAAACACAGCGAATGAGAGCAAGGTAATTAAGGATGGTTCTGCAACTTGCACAGCACTGTCCAGCAAAGACATGCTCACCGCGAGCCTTCTTCATGGACTTTGGGGTGGCGCGGGGGGTTGCAACCACAGCAAGGTGCTCAGCTTCCGCCTGTTCGGCGGCCAGCCCCCGCAGCTCGTTCTTCAGTGCCTTCCTGGTGCTGCTGGGGGTCTGCGCGCCGACCGACTTGCGCCGCTGCGCCGCCTTCTTCTTACTCACTGTCTTGGGCCGACGAATGCGCATGCTCACACCCTTCCTGCCAGTTGCTGGCTGTTTCTCTTCATCTGCCGCGCCCATGCCAGAGACGTAGGATGGCATCTCCCCTGCATACTCCCCTCCCCGGAACATGAAAGCCTGGTCCTCTTCACTGGCCTGCTGCTGCTGCTGCCTCTGCTGGTGGCTGCTGCGCATCAAGGGAGAGCCAAGGGCGGGTGCAGCCGGCAGGTGGCCATGAGCGGGCCTCTCGAGGGGGCTGGGGTCAGAATGCGTGGGAGTGTAGGGGCTCCCATACGTCTGCGCTAAGCCTGCAGCAGACGGCGCTCTGCTCCTGTGCGCTTGCGCTGCGGCGAAGGGCACAGCCCCATTCTGTGTCATCGCTGCTGGCGGCCACTCTGGTGAGCCCATGACCTGGGGGTGAGAGGGCCCTGCTCTGGACGGGACAGCGCCAAGCCAGGGGGCCTGCTGTGGGTGCATGGGAGGAGTTTGGAAGCCTGTCCATGCCCCAGAAGGAGGCTGCGCCATCTGCTGCGGCTGCTGGTCAAAGGAGAACGCTGCAGGCGCCTGCAGGTGCAGAAAAGGGTCAGGCAAGGATATTCTGATTTCTATTCTAGCTTGCAGCCCACATCCTCCCGTTTGCCAGTTTCGACAGGAGACCCGCACAGGATTTGTGATGAGCGGAACGTAATGTTGGCTGTATGAGACAACAGGAGGAGAACTAGGGAAATATGAGATTGCAGATTACTCACAGGTGATGGCGTAGCATGCTGTGGAGATGGAGATGAGGCAACAGGTGCAGCTGGAACAGGTGAGGGCGCTTGCGCGCCGGGGGCCATGACAGGGGAAGAGACGGCCGGGGCAGGGGTAGGCGCGTGCGGTGTGGCGGCTGGAGCGGCGGTGGCTGGCGAGGCCTGCTGCGGCTCGAGGACCGCCAGGATGGCCTGCAGGGCGACCTGCAGCTGCGCGGTCGCTCCCAGGGCCGCCCTGATCACTGCTGCCAGCTGTGGCTCCTGCCCGGGAAGCAAACCGGAGAGGCCCCCCAGCACCTGCGGCAGCGCGTTGATGCTGTCCAGGGGTTTGCTGGCAGGCTGCTGCTTCTGCTGCTGCAGTGTAGGCGGCTCATTGTACTGCTGTTGCGGTCCAGGTGGCGCACTGTGATGAGGGGACTGCTCCTGTTGAGGCAGCGGGCCACTCTGCCCGCCGTTCTGCCCTGTCTGGGTCACTCCCGCTCGGCCCCTTTCGACAGTCGGGGACCAGGAGGGGGGAGGAGGAGGTAGAGGGCTCTGCTGGCTGGGCGTCTGGAAAATGGAAAGTTGCGGCGCGGCCGGGCGCTGCTGCGCTGCTGGCAGCGGCGTGCCGGCGATGGGAGGGAACAGCAAAGCGCCAGGGCTGGGCGGCTGCGCTGCCGCGTCGGCCCACGGCGCGGTTGCGCTCGGCTGAGCAAAGCCCGGGAAGGGCACCGGCGCAGGCTGGGCCGACGGCCTGTTCGCCTGAGCGAAGACCGCAAATGGCGACGTGGGCTGCGGCTGCAGGGGCCGCCCCGCGTCTCCGCCCGCTGCATGCGCACCGGGACCGCTGACAAGGCCCTGCGGCTGGGTTGGGGCCCACCCAGACCATCCAGACTGCGCAGACCCATTCTGGGCCGGGACTGACCGCTCTTCTGGACGAGCCCCGTTCTCCACTGGCCCGTCAGCTGCCAGCTCGTCTGGCCCCACCATGTTTGCCAGGCGGTGGCGCTTGGGCGGGGGCGTACCATTTGCCAGTCTTGAGATCTGCTGAGCGGCGCTGGGCGCCCACGCTGTGCCGTAGCCATGCACCTGCTGTGCTGGTGCCGGCTGCTCGCTGTGCAACTGCTGACGAGGCGCGAACAGCCCACCATTGGCTAGCTGACCGGCGCCGCCTCCAATCAGGCCGCCGAGGGAGCTGTGCGCAAAGCTGTTCAGCGCAAAGACCCCAGCAGCAAAGCCTTTCCCCTGCGTGCCCTGCGGATTGTCGGCAGCACGCTGCGGCTGCGGCGGTGGCAGGCGCACTGTCGGTGCCAGCCCGAATGGCTGCGCCTGACCTCCAAACCTGAACGGCTCGCCCACTGCGTCTGCAGGCGCTTGTGGGGGCGGCTGGACGGCGCTGACAGCTCCTTGCTGCCTGGGGACCAGCCACCCGTCCAGGGTGGACTGGCTCTGCGGCGGCTGCTGAGCGGCGGGCAGTGCATGGAAGTGTGAAGGTGCCCATGGAGGAGGGTTGAGAGGGTGGTAGCACAGGGGTGCCAGGAAGGGCAGGGTGGCCCCGAAGGGACGGCGCTGGGACAGGAGCTGCAGAAGGACGGTGACTTCCTGCCTGGTCAGGTCAAAGTGGAAGGCTGATGGGCCGTAGTACATGGTGCGCTCCAGCAGCGGCTTGTACTGCGTCTCCAAAATTGCAGCCACTGGCTCGTGGGGCACCACACGCACCTGCACCCCCATCGATGCCATCAATGTGATAGCATACACACAGACTCGTTCGTGCTTTGGCCTCGTGTCACGGTGAGGCATGCAGGCAGGCATGTGATTGCCTGGGAGGCCGGGGCGCACTTGGGCTGGGAAGGGGGTTGTGTGACCGCGGTGCCCCCATGCCAGCGGCTCGATGAGCATGCCGCCGTGCGAGGTCGCAGAGAACGGGCCCAGCATCACCCTGTGCGAGTGGTTGAACAGGAACACCTGCAAGGCAGCAGCATGGCATCGAGATATTTCACAATGGTATTCACAGTCATTGTACAACGCAGTGCAAGCGACACAAGCATGCTTGTACTGGTGCGATCACAAGCAACCTCATCTGCATGCAGTCATACAGTATCAAACCCTCATCTACAATCATGACATAACAAAATTCAACTCACATCGATCTGAAGTCAGGGCCGCAAAGCAAACAGGGACACACCGGGAGGCCTGGCCGGATGTGCTGCACGATGGGCACGAAGGCGTCCTGCATCATGCCAAACAGGTTGCGCTCCAGGCACTCGCGGATGGTGGCCTTGCTGCAGGTGAACACCACGCCGCCCAGCTCGGTGGCCAGGAACCGGTACGGCTGCGCGCGCATCGGCACCGCCGCCTTGGCGAACCGGCTCAGCAGCTCAGCCGCGTGAGGCCCGGTGATGTTGTAGCCCTGGTCCTTGCGCTGTGTGTCGTCTGGTGGCAGCACCTCCAGCAGCTCCCTTTCCTGCACCACCAGCGGCGGCTCCCTCTCCTCCACATCCACCTGCACGCCCAATCATTTTATTTCACAGTCGCACACATGCTCCACTCTGGGCATGCAGCGCCTCTTACCAGAAAGACTTTAAGAAGAGCGAGCTGAAGCCTATCACCCAAGCAACATAGGCCGTATTGCTTACAATAGTCCTGCTGTTGAATCAGGATCAGATATCGATAGGTAATACCCATGTGGCTGCAAACAACGCACCCACGCGTTGGTGAGGGGGGTCTCCTTGGCGTAGAAGGGACCCAGGAGGAGGCGGGCGTCGTTGTTGAACAGGAACACGGGCAGTCCCTGAGGAACGCGCGCGTGCGGGCTGGCCAGGCAGGGCGGCACATGGAAGCGGTGCTGGGCGAAGTACTCGTCCAGCTTCTCGCCGCTGCACGCGCAGATCAGCGCTCCCCCCATCGCTGCCGTCTCCTGCTGCCCCATGTCCAAATCCAGGCCTGGAATCCAAGTGGATCCATTCTGCACATCCGCGCTGCCCCCCACTGGCATTCCAGCAGATCCAGGCTGTGCATCCAGGCTGCCAGTTGCTGGTATTCCAGCGGGTGCAGACTGCAGATCCAAGCTGCCATTTGATGGCGTCCCTCCTCTCCGATTCTTCCTCTTGCGCATCTTCTTGGACCGGCTGGCGCTCGGCGTCTGCAGCACGTCCAGCAGGGCGTCCTCGAACACGCCGGCCAGCGACATGCTTTGCTCTAGCTGCTGCTGGGAGCCCCGTTCGCTCGCGTGCCCATTGTTGACAGCCACCGGTGTAATCGCCAGGCCAGATATATCCTGTGCGGCAGAGGCGCCGTCCGGGCGAGACGCCGGCCGGGGGGTCTCATAGATCTGCCCCTCTTCCAGGGGGCTCGGTGGGGGCCTGGCGCTGCTCTGTGGCCAAGACGCTGCCGCCGGTGCTGCCGCGCAGGGAGCAAGGGAGGCCTGTAGCCCCCTCACGGCTTCCATTGCTTGTGCGAGGCAGGCTGTGGACTCGCGCAGGCTGGTGTTCCCGGGAGTGCGGGGTTTGTCTGCGAGTGCTCTGGCCTTTTCCAGGTTCTCCTGCACCTGCAAGACCTTCTCTGCTGTGCCGCGCTGCAGCGCTGTCACGGTCGCTTCAGCGTCCGCCAGCAGGCCAACCACAGGGCTGCCAGCGGCGGTGCTGTCCTCTGCAGACGGGCTGACATCCACAGTGGGGCCCCCGTTCTGCTGTCGATGTTCGCCCTCCCTTAACAGCGCGCACAGGTCTGTGACCTGCATTAGATGGCATGGAGTCCATGAATTCACATGGATTGCAAGCCGCCTTAAATCTTGTCTGGTTCACAAATGAGCTTCACCACCTTAGCGACAGAGAAGGGGAGGAGATGGGTTGGATGATAGGCGGACCTGCTGCTTGGTGAGGAATGGCTCAAAGACCAGTGTCTGACTGCAGTTGAGGATTTTTGCAGCCTTGCCAGCCAAGGGGACGGGAGGGTAGTCGCATACTCGCTCAACCGGCAAATGGGCGGGGAACTGGCCGCCATAGATGGCCGATCCAGGGTTCCAGGACGGCTCCCCTCTACTGCGCCAGGTCCCATAGACCTGTTTGGTGCTGTAGTTGTACAGGAACAGGCACGTCTCTTCCGTGACATGCTGAAAATGTCTCAAAGAGGGGTTGCCGAAGAGGTTGAGCGTCAAACATTCATATGCTGTCTGATCATTGCACATAGAAATGACTCCATGTGTCTCTTGTCCAACTGCCATGCGTCAAAATTAGGGGTCCTTGCTCTGCCTGGAAGGAAGCACACACGTCATTCACTGTCTGCATTACATAGGAGTTCCTTATTGGGAATGTAATAACACTGAATTGGCAATGACCTGCCAGAAAACCAAACACCCAGGAGAAAGAAGACACCTATATATGCTGCTCGTCCCGCCAGTGGCGGCACGGCCTCAGGAGCTCTTTATCCAGAACGCTATGTTCTCTGATAACCCACTAAGTCCTTAGGAACGCACTATCTGCACAGGTCCCACAAGGATGCATGGCCATGGTGGAAAGAAAAGAAGAGTACGACTTTGGACCTAAACGGCGCCAGGTAAAGTCATGAATACCTAAATATATCCATTGAATAATTAGCGCTTTCCTCTTCGATTTAAGAGCTTGGCAACCAGCATAGTGAAATTTAATATTGGATACGTCAGCTGACGTCTTCGCTGTGGGAATGTGCATGCAAAGGAAATTTATCTCTTGGAGAATTTGGCGACGAAGCACATTCTTGCTGGTACTTCCACACATAGACAAAGAGACGATGGTGGCAGGGAAATTGGCATCAGCGGCCCTGGGGCTGGCTACCGGCATCCTCCTTCAACGCAGGTGATGCTGCAGAGCGAAGAGCCTGCAATGCCTTCATGCTGATGGCTATTAGAACTATATTAAGCTTACAGTGAATGGGCAATTAAGTGGAGGTTTGAGTGAACCGCAGAACTGAATCGTTGACTTGATCACTGAGATCGCTTGAAGCATGACTAAATAAATCACCCATTTGTGCAGGAGTGGCACACATAACGCAAAGAAAATTCTGAAGGGCAATTACAACCTGCTAAACCGCGAAGAAAAAAGGACAGTGTCTACCTTGCTGTCCCTTGGACATGGACACGTCTTCAGAGCCTGGCCCCCACCAGGTCTGCTTTTATATACACATACAGTGCAGCTTGCCCCTTGTACACTGTATGCGGATGTTTACATGGAAGGCTCTTTTGAAATTTCTGGAGTGTATTATATCTTCACATTGTGTCAAAGCCCCCTCTTCTGACGTGCAGGAGTAAATGATAGGCAGAAGAAGATTCTCCTGCAAAAGGCTGCTGCATACCTGACCACTGCTGGGCAGGACCTCGACGCAGCAAGGCTGCAGGTGCTGCAAGCTCCCAAGGTCCTCAAGCGGCCGAAGACCATTAAGGCGCCCAATGGCGATGAGCGCGAGGATCACTACTATTGGCTGAGGGACGATGACCGAGAGAACCCAGATGTCTTGGAGCACCTCAAGGTGAGTGAATGGCCACAGGCTCAGAGAGATTCACATTTGTCTCCTGTGCATGGACGCGGTATGCAGTTAGGTGGCAGCTGCTTGAAGCATGGGTGTGCTGCAACAGGCTGAGACAGCGTATGCCAAGCAAGTGCTGGCGGACACTGAGGGTCTCCAGGAGGATCTGTACAAGGAGCTGCGGGGGAGGATCCAGGAGGCCGACCAGAGCGTGCCCCTGAGGTATGCAGGGCTCCCTTGTTACATGCACACACCAGTCCAAGACAACTCTCGCTGGCTGGGATCCAGTGCTAATTGTGCTTGCTGTTGGCAGGGAGGATGGCTACTACTACTACACTCGCACTCTGGATGGGCAGCAGTACGCTGTGCATGCCAGGCGACGCGTGCCTGACACTGCTGGACCTCCATCAGGTGCAAATTGTGGGCTTTGGAATGTTGAAGAATGGCCAAATATTCGTGCCAATTTCTTGAATGTCATCTGAAAATTTATAAAGTATATCTCATTCTCTATGCTATCTTGACAGAGACGGATGTGATGGATGAGTCACTGCCGGAGGAGATCCTGCTGGATGAGAATGCAGAGGCGGAGAAGCACAGCTTCTACATGGTGGGCAGCTTCGAGGTCAGCCCCGACCAGCAGCTCTTAGCCTGGGCAGAAGACACTGTCGGAGGTGGGTGCTCCAGCACAAGTCTTTGTTTGCCTGCCCTACATAGAACTAAGCTAAGACAACATTCATGCGTGGAGGCTTTTGTCCAAGCAGCTCTGATGCTTTGGATATGCTGCAGGCGAGAAGTACACCCTGCATGTGAAGGAGATTGCAACGGGCAAGCGCCTGCTCAAGGAGCCCATACCGGTGAGACTTCCGCTGTTGTAGCTGTTCAGTCCGTCATATAGAGGCTGATTCAAATCCCTCTATAGCTTGTTTGCTGCTGCACAGGACACTGCAGGCAACGTGGCATGGGCCAATGACAACAAGACGCTCTTCTATGTCACCAAGGACAAGCTCGACCGCCCGTTCAAGGTGTGTCATTACCTTCCGCAATCTTCTTCGGGGGAGTTGCACGGCATGCAGCAGAGTGCGTGCTCATGCATGTTTGTCTGACTATTCCAAGCGTTGATATTCAATTTTACTATTGCAGATCTGGAGGCACACGATCGGCTCAGGAGAGGAGGATGCTCTGGTTTACCATGAGACGGACGACCAGTTCTACATCGGCATCGGCCTGACACGCAGCAAGAAGTTCCTCTACATCAGCGCAGGTGGGGCGGACAGCACCACTCATTGACAACCCATGTCACCATCAAGCTTGGCCACTGTTGTTCTGTAAACGGGCTCTACCTAGCCGAAAGGTCTTCAGCCAGACTTCATAAGGATGCAGCATTATTCAAGCATGTCATGAATGAACTGCTGTAAGTATGCCTCCACAGTGAAGTATTTGCAGCACTGTAGAGGGACAGATTACTTGGGATCAGACCCTTCATGATTGTGATTTTACTTACATTATCTGTTCCTGACATCATCCACTGATTAAGACAAGTGAGTGTAAGACGTGTGGGGCGCTGCAGGCTCGGCAATCACATCGGAGATGCGGATACTGGACGCGGACGCACCGCGCGGTGACTGGCGGGTGGTGCTGCCGCGGGTCAGCGACGTGGAGTATGACATCAGCCACCGGGGAGACCACCTCTTTGTGCTGCTGCGCGACGCCGAGCGCCAGAACTCCGAGCTGCTCGTCGCCCCCCTGGCAGACCCCACCGCCACCAAGGTCCACACCCTGCACTGTGTCCCTTGCCAACCCTGTGCATGCAATGTGCATGGCGGGAATGCTTGTGTCCTGTTGCAAATTTCGTATTCCATGGTGTGAGGACCTGTTCCCTCGCCAGCATCATGGAATTGTGCTGTGCAAGGGAGTGGTCTGGCGCGGTGCTAAAAATGGAAGTTTCTGTGTGTGTGGCCCAGGTGCTGCTGCCCCACAGGAAGGAAGTCAAGCTCGAGTCTGTGCTGGCCTGCCACAACTATGTGGTTGTTTTCCACCGCACCAACGGCCTCCAGGTAATTATTTGGCGCCCTCACCTCTGAGACTTGCATCGTCATCGCCTCATGCAGCTTGTCATGCACCCAAATTTGGTACTGTCTGGGCAATTCTGTGCAGCGCTGTGCACTCGCCTGTGTACATTGCTTAAAGCGGACTCTTGCTGCTGGCAGGGCGCCACTGTGTACCCGCTCGGAGGAGGGGCGCCGACGGAGCTGAGCAACGGGCAGGACATTGCCTTTGAGGAGGCAGCATACGAGCTGGGCCCGGGCGGGCAGGGCGACTATGATAGCGAGGTGCTGCGGCTGGGCTACTCCTCCCTCTCCACACCCTACTCCACCATCGACTACAACATGGCCACTGGCAAACGGTGACTCACTCTTACACATGCACGCTGCGTTTGGAACCGCAATGCAAGACTATCACGCCGCACTGGCACGCTCCAGAATGTTGTCCATGGATGAGGGAACTCTGCTGGAGACAGGAATGTGCTGGAGACAGCAGTGCAGCCGCCTTTGGGGTTATCAATTTATGGTGGGATCTGTGGATTCCTATAGGCTGTTGGGGTGTCTCGTGAATTCTGATCTTGAGCCAAGCAGCACCTGAGGTAAGTTTGTTTGGCAGGGCCACGAAGAAGGTGCAGCCGGTACTGGGCGGCTTCGACAGCAGTAACTATCGCACAGAGCGGCTGTGGGCCACGGCGCCGGACGGAGTGCGCGTGCCGGTCTCCCTTGTCTACCACAAGCGCCTGGCCAAGCTGGATGGCTCAGACCCCCTTCTGCTTGACGGGTGACCCCCCCCGTAACCCAGGGATTGCCCAGCTACTGTACTTCAAGCATCTGCTGCAGGATACTTCCCTCACCATTGCCCTACTGCATGTTGCTCCTGTACAGATTTGATAAGAAACCTTGACGCCGTTCTCGGATATCTTTAACTCACCACCTGCACACCCTACGGAACATTTTTGTCGCGCCGTCAAGCCTGATTATCTTCTTTGTGTTCTCAGATACGGTTCATATGAGATGTCGAATGATCCCGGCTTCAACCGCAACATGCTGAGCCTGGTCGACCGCGGCTTCATATTTGCGATAGCGCACATCCGCGGCGGCGGCGACATGGGCCGCGCCTGGTACGAGGATGGCAAGTTCCTGAAGAAGAAGAACACCTTCACCGACTTTATCGCCGTGGCAGAGCACCTCGTCGCCCACAAGTACACCAGCCCCTCCAAGCTCTGCATCGAGGCACGCATCACCTCTCTCCCTCTCTGCGCATGCGTTATTGCCGCTTTGCATGCATGCAAGCCTAGCGTGCACTGCAGTGGGATCAGGTGAGGATGCGTGGTGTTGGGTCTGTTCTCAAGGATGGAATTCTAAATTGCAGGGGCGATCGGCTGGAGGCCTGACAATGGGAGCGGTGGTGAACATGCGGCCAGACCTGTTCAATGCGGCCATCTTTGGCGTGCCATTCGTGGACTGCCTGACCACAATGCTGGACGAGACCATTCCCCTCACAGTCATCGAGGTGAGCTTAGTGCCCCCTAGTGTCTTGCTTTATGCTCGTCTAATGATGGATCAGGGCCATGCATACTCAGCATGTGGTTGTGCGCAGTACGATGAGTGGGGCAACCCACAGAAGCCAGAGTTCTACGAGTACATGAAGAGCTACTCGCCTGTTGACAACATACGCAGGACAGACTACCCCAATATCCTCGTCACAGCAGGTGGGCGCTTCTTTGCTGTGCCACAAAAGGGCTGATGTTCATGTCGGGGAATAAGGCTTGCTGCTTGAAAGATCCAATTGATACAAAATGCAATTGTATTTACTGCTGCAGGCCTTCATGATCCACGCGTCGGGTATTGGGAGCCTGCCAAGTATGTGGCAAAGCTGCGCGAGCACAAGACGGACCACAACATGCTGATCTTCAAGTGCGACATGGGAGCGGGTAAGCGCAACTTTTTCCTTGCTGACTGTTTGCTTCCTTGCTGACTTTTTGCAAGCCAATGTGAGAAGAATGGCTTATATGCCAGTCTTTGTCTCATCAAACATCTTGGTCAACATGCTACTATTTGCAGGTCACTTTTCACAGAGCGGCCGATTTGACCGCCTGAAGGACACAGCTCTGGAGATGGCATTCCTGCTGAAGTGCCAAGGCCTGTTAAACAGGGAATCTGCAGCATGATTTCAAAACATTCAGTCAGACCTAGACTACTGCAGACCAACTGGGATAGATAACGCATGCACAGTGGATTCATGGCCTCCCTGTTTTGATTTGAGTTCAGCAACCTTTTGTTGCGCATTTTTTGTTTTTCATCGCTCCAATCGTTTGCTAGAGGCCAGATCTGGCCGCATTTGGAATGATACCAGAAGTTGTGAATGGTCAAATTAACCCCAATGCTGATTGGATTTACAATTGTACTGCAAGCTCCAATCGTCCTTATAGTGCTTCCAAGTGCAGATGAAGACACATTCATTATGCCCTCTATCATACATCCGTGGGTCATAAGCTGTGTGCTACGCTTCCATTATACATGCACGCATGGTCAAATGACGACGAACATCATCACTCTAGAACAGCTGACACCGTTTGCTCATAGCGGGTTATCAAATGACATACAAGTCTACAGTGGGGTGGGGTCAAAAATGCGTCTGCAGACTGGTGCCCTGTGACCGTGTGTCTGTCATTGAACTTGCTGGCTTTGCCGGTGCGCATTGGACCTGGTACGTGTTCCCTCCCTTCTTCAGCAACTCACCTACAGCAGCCATGCGGCAGGTCACGCAGCTGTCCACATGCAAATAATTGGAAGGAGGGATAACTTGCATTATCCACAGTCTTGGCACAGACACATGTGGATCAACTTGGCATGCTTGTTACTGAGGCTGCTGAGCTGCACTCTGCAAGCAAAGGTGCAAGAAAACCGGACGGAATGCTGCTTCGCACTGTTCAAAGAATGATAGGATTCCCTTCCAAGAGACAGGAAGGCTCAGGTGGTTTGTGTGCAGCCCGCACCGGCCTCATTGAGCTCGCCGATGAAGGCTCCAGTGTCGGGGACGGCCAGGTCCAGGTCATCAGCCAGCGAGTACAGCTGCGCCGTGGTCACCAGGTTGCTGCCCGCCAGCTGGCACCGCTTTGCAAGCGCGCCCAGAAAACGCCTCGCCTCTTTCTGATCATACCAACGCAGACCAACAGCGCTGTCAGCATTAGGTTTCCCTCATGCAAAAACATGAGGCAGATCTCGCAAGGGACGCCTTTCCATCCCTGCCTTGCATATCAGGTGCCTGCATGTGTGGCGAGTCAGGTCGGTGTTAGGCTCAATTGCATTACACACTGGAGCAAGCCTGTGAGCCTGGGGTCTACTCTCATCCAACTTGCATTTTTACAATGACTAAGAGCAGCGCGCCTGCTTGCTCTTGCTGCCGGTGTTCCTGAAGTCAAGGAGGCCGGTGTCGTCCAGCAGCTTATCTAGCAGGCAGCCGCTCATTATGTCCACCACGTCCTCAGCATCCGCCCGCGTCACCTCCTGCACAGCAAAGCCGCTCCCTCGCTCCGCTTGTCCCGGACCCTGTATATATTGGAATGATATGCTTTCTGCTACCAGGAAACAGGTGCTAAGAACATCATGTTCTGCTGCAGAGCATGCACACGGCAGGAGGGAGAGCTGTGCAGCTGGCAGCCGCCATGCACACAGACAGAGCCAGGCCTATCTTTGCGTACACGTAGTAGTACGCCCCACGTGGGGGTCATGTTGGCCTTAGGGTCCAGTGGATTTCATGTAGTAAGAATAGAGACAGCATGCAGAGCGTGCTGACCTGGCGGAGGTCGGCGCGCGCTCGGGCTTCGGCCAGGCGCACGAGGGACTCCAGCTGGCGCGTCGTGATGGGAAGGCCCCCCTCCGACACCACCGCCTTCCTCCGCAGCTCCAGATAAAACTCCTTCAGCACCTGCGCCGCTCTGACCTCCTGAATGTCTCTCAAACTCTTTAGATACAATACAGGCAGCACCTGCCTGTCGTGAAGACGCGATGTGGCTTTCATTGGGCTATAGCTGCCCCTACACTTTTTCCATATGCCAGCTGGTACTGCATTCGCAGCCGCAGAGGATCTGCGCCAATACAAGACCCGCCAACACAAGTAAGTCGCTGTGCTTGGCAGGGCGGACCTGCTTGGCAGCGTTGGACAGAACCGGGTGCACGTGTGCACGTGCATACGCGATGTACTTGCGCAGCAGCTGCTGCGGCACGGGGTCAGCGTCGGCTGCAGTGTACACAAGCAGCTGCTCCTCCAGTGAGACGCGCTCCCCGTTGCTGGGGATTGCAGCGCCGCCTGGCTGCAGGCCCCTGGCCGCCCTGTGCCTCTTCAGCCGCTGCTTTGCCGCCTGTGCACGGTCCACCTCGCCTGTACCCGCAACCCCTACCACTGTTGATCAGACATTGACATCACCAAAAAATGCTGCTGAGCGCAAATGCATGATTTATTGAAGGGATTATTGTCGCAGCATAAATGCCTGTGCTAGGCTGGTCATCCTTCCTCTGCAGTGGTTCCTTAAATGCACAGATGTTTGCATGACATTGACAGATGGTTTTAACCCAGAAGAGGAGAGTTTGCATGCAACCTTGTGTCCCTCTCACCAGAATGCAGGGCCAGCACATGCTCGGACAGGCGTTGGTCTAGGGCGGCGTCCGGCGAGTCGCGCATCACAAAAACCAAATCGAAGCGCGACAGCATGGCGGCGCTGAGGCCCACGTTCTGCTGCACTGTCTTGGCGCGATTCCAGCTGCCGCCCACCGGATTCGCCGCGCCCAGCACCGCCGTCCTTGCCGGCAGCGCTGCGCAGATGCCTGCCCTCGCCACCGCCACCTCACCCTGCTCCATTGCTGCCAGCAGCGCCTGTTGAACAGCCGGCCTACATCACTAGTTGACAGTGGTGCATGCCAGTCAGACGGTGTATGCATGGTTATAAATACGTCCTAGAAACTGCCCTGCTTTGGCCTTTGAGGGCCATTTGCACAAAGGAGGCAGCAACCTTAGTAGCAAACCACAAGGAAGCATGCCAGGTTCATGTTGAGGGGGCAGAGGGGGAGTTTGCAGAGCAGAGGCATGCCTGGTGCTCAGAGGCCATTTTCTCGAATTCGTCGACGCAGCAGGCGCCGCGGTCGGCCAGCACGAGCGCGCCCGCCTCGAACACGTGGTCGCCCGTCACCGCGTCCTTCACCACCGACACCGTTAGCCCCGCGCTCGTGCTCGTGTTTCCGCACACGTACACGCCCCGCGGCGCCACCGCTGCCGCCGCCTGCACATTGGATACAGTGATTTTTTTTTACTCTGGCTATCCCTTGTACAACAATGCAACCATTCAGATGATGCACTTGGACCAGCAGACCATCAGTACTAGCTGTTGCTCCTGTACCGTGCCAGATGCAGCAGACCTTGTGTGCAGCTGGACAAGCTCCCACTGCATGTTACAACAAAGTCAAAGCTGCAATGACTGGGTGCTCATCACTCGATAATGTGCTCCCACTCAATCTAGGGAGTCGGTAATGTTGACTAGCAGCTTGAGGGGTGCGCACCTGCAGCAGCTGGCTCTTGCCCAGCCCAGGGTCCCCGCACATGAGGATGTGGATGTCGCCGCGGATGGGCACCGCGTCCAGAGCACCCACATTCTTGCGCACTCCGCCCAGCAACGCCAGCACCAGCCCAGCCTGCAGGGCACCAAGCAAACTTTATTAGCATTCTCGCAGTTCTGAAAGTGTTCTATAGCTAGTCACAGAGCCTCATAGGACTAGATACACATTCTGTAGCCTGGCAAACAGGGGCATTCTGCATTCCTTGAGGTGGAGTACCTTTCAATTTCCCGCATCAGGCATACGTGTATTTTGTCACGCAGGGTCGTGGTATCTTAGAGGCCAGTGCGGCTCCCACCTTGACAAGCTCATGGCCGTAGATGGAAGGGCACAGGGCATGCACCAGGTGGCGGAACTGCTGCCCTGAGAACTCTGTGTGGAACTTGACGATGAAGCTGAGGTCGCGCGTGCTGAAGGAGTCCATGTTGGGCGGCACTGACTCCTCCAATGGCTCCTGAGATAGCTGCTCTGCCCTGCAGTGTCCAGCTGACAATTAAAATACAGAGACGATCAAGAACCTGAGCTTGATTGTGTTATGACATGTGTATGTATTCCTCTGGTCATTAGTAACCAGATGACCTCTAGATGGGGCACCCTATTCCAGCATGCATAGCAGGGATCCGTATAAGGCAGGCCCTGCTCGGGCAGAGGGGCACTTAGACACTTGAGCTTTGACAAACAGGACATGGGCAGAAATACCATCACCTGCACCCGAGTACAGTATGTGCATACACTGCAGGGAGGCATGCAGGGTGGGTGTGCGCACTTCACAAAACCGTCGGTTGTTTGAACAGCCCTTGTCACAGAGCTGCGCTTGGCAACGATGGAGATTGCATCCAGGAAGAGCAGGAAGAGCGCCTTTGCATTCTTTGCCTTGTTCCCGCCTGGTCAGCAACGACATGCGATTGCACAATTACCCCTTCTCTGATGCACTTGGGGTTCCTTTTCATGTTGTCTCAAATGAGAAATTTTATCCCACACGGTCAGGTGGGATTTGCAGGATGCTGCGCTTGTTCCCTTGCACACAGAAGTGCAACGTGAACAAAAGTATCAGTGAATCTGGATGGCAACCCATCAACTAAGACACAGGACGCAGCACACCTGGCACAACTTCTGTGTTGACCACCTTCACAATGCCCACGACAGTGACCACATCGCCAGCTGTGCAGCTGTCCACCAAATCCTCCTTCAGCTCCACCTCTATTGTCCTGGGAATTTGGCCGCCGCTGTCTCTGTGCGCGTTTTGAAGCTCCTGCCAAATGGGACAGCTCCATGGCTTACAACTGGGCAAGGCATCACGCATTCGAGGATGAAAGACAGAGACATGCATGCTTGCAAGCAGATGGCCAGAGCGGCTCTCACCTGGACTCTGATTTTCTGCCAGTCGATGCTCTGGGCGGATGATCTCAGGGGCTCGAAGCTCTTGCTGCGGCAGCCTTCGGCAGGGCAGGACTGTGGGGGAGTGAACCTGCCCTCCTCAAACTGGCAAGTGCTGCTGGTGCTGCATTTGTTGCAGGTGAAGTCCATCTGGGTGATCTGGGGCCTCACAGCGCCGATGCGGACCACTGTCCCACATACAGTCACCAGCCTTCCAATTGCACTGGCTTTCATCAACCGGATCTGCATGGTCGATTCTGAGTGGTTGACAAGGCGGATCTTGGTCTTGGCCTCTGTCAGGATCCCCTTGGTCAGCTGCTGTGCCCTTTCCGGATGGGAGAAGAACAGCACCTGCATGATCGCGCAGGGCAACTGTTCAATGTCAAGTGCTTCTTGAAGGGGAGTTACGTAGCAATCTTTGCGAACAATAAGAGCCTTTCTACCTCTGAAACTGCTGCACTGAGGCAGGCCAGACACTCCACTGGCTGGCATTCCATGGCCGCCATGAGATCTGCACTGTTCGTCCTGCAAACATGCCATTTCACTGTGATGAACATGCAGCGATCACTGTAATCGCGTCCAAGGCTGTCAATTATTTCAGGCATCTTCGAAGGCATCAGGAGGGTTGGAGTGAGCCCAGTCCAGGTACACTTGTAGAAATGAAATAGATGATCTACTTTGTAGTATGCATATTCATTGAGGTGCTCACATTGCCCGAAGAACTTCAAAATCGATGTCTAAAGTGAGAAGCTGCCTGCACAGGTCCTGTCGCAATCCGTGAGCAAGCATTTCCCAGCCCATATCCTTGGTGAAGAAAGCAGCCATTTCTCTGATGAGCAAGGCTCTCCTGTCGTCATCTGTATATTGCTCTGCATCAAAGTACCACTCCCAGGTCTTGGGCTGAGCTGATTGGACTTGCCTCTGCTGAAGGTCTGTCATTTGCCCGAGATGCATATCTGTTGACATCAAGAGTCCGAGTCGCCAAGGACACCGTCTGATATGCTTTCTAAAGAGCCTGGTTATACATCTAGCTGCTAGAGAGCAAATTGAAACCTCGGCCACGTGGCGGTTCCTCCAAACACAACGAACGAATTAGAACCCGGGTTCAATTCTTCCGACCCGGGTTCGATTCTTGGGACTTCGAGAGAGACCCGGGTTCGGTTCGCAAAGAAACTGATCTGAGAAACGGACCCGGGTTCAATTGGGGTAAAATTTCGCGTAGACCCAGGTTCAATGCAATTTTGCCCGATGGAAAGGATGACAAATGTTGACATCAACACCTCAGGCCAGGAGGAAAGTGATGCTTCAGGTTGCTGCTAGCACTGCCAGAAGTCCAGAACATGCTTCTGGACTTCTGGCAGCAGGTATCCAGAATAAGGTCTTGTGAAATCCCAGTGAACAGCTGCTTGAAGAAAAAGCCATTTTTGCGCACCGGCCTCCATGCATCCAGGGTCAGCACAGGACACTTCATCAAAAAGCCAATATTTATTAATCGATTATTACACGCTTATTCCAGCCCTCAGGGCTAGGTGCGTTGCAGCAACATCTCAATAGTTTCCTTCCACCCTGCCCTGTCTTGGCTTTTTCTCCACCAATGGCATGTCAATCCCATGGAATCCAGGTCATCCCTCACGCAATCATTCCAGAATTTGACAGGCCTGCCTTTTCTCCCAGATCCTTTTATAGCACCAAACAACAAGTGTTTTAGTAGCCTGTCTTCCTTCATCCTTGCCACGTGACAAAGCCATCTGAGCCGCCTATACTTGAGCAGATCAGCAATTTTTGGGCATTCCACTCCAGTCTCTCATATCGTCATCTGAAATTCTATCTGGAAGTGTCACACCACAAATAGAACGGAGGCATTTCAACTGAAACACTTCCAACCTGTGGATGTCCTTTGCACTGCACTGCAAAGTTTGCAGTGATAGCCCATGTCTCACAAGCACACAACAGTGCAGACTGTACAATGACTCTATAAATTGTCAGCTTAATCCCTTTGCTCATATGGGGATCAGACCAGAGACGCAACCTTTTCAACTTGAAGAAAGCATGGCCAGCTTTGCATACCCTATTTGAGATCTCAGGAGTCAATGATAGGTCTGAACTACAGATACTGCCCAAGTACTTACACTGCTTCACCTCCTGAATGGCTTGGCCTCTAACATGGCAAGGCTGAGGGGACCGGTCAGGAACTTCAGAGGATCCCATCCACATTATTTCTGTCTTATCCAAATTCATCTGTAGCCCCCAGTCAGTAAAAGCACGTTTTAGAATATTGAGGTCTTCCTGCATCTGCTCCCTAGTCTCAGTGATCAGGGCAACAGACCTGCAAACATAATCAGCCAGGCCAGAGTGCTGCCAATATTTACATTGTCACAAAAGTCAGCCCCACGCCATATGATTGCAATTATTGAAACCTGCATAGCTGCTAGCTGAAACACGTGCAACCAATCATGTTCAATAGTGCTCAAGACCTGGGCCATGCTCTTCATATACTGTACAATGTTTCACATGCACAGAGAGAAAATATATGGACAATGTTTCGAGGGTGCGGCTGTTCCCATTGCCATGGGGTCCGTTAAAAAGCTATGCTGGTTCTGATCGCACACTTTGCCACATACTTCATGACCAGTCATCTGCATGCCTGTATGACGCTGGGTGCAAGAATATGCAAGACAGCGTCATTCTGCAACTGCAATTGCAGTGCCTGAACCCAGCCCTTCACTGAAGGACTGGCAGAAATCAGTACACACTCCTAGTTTACAGAAACACATTGAAGACAATTCACCTAACCTAGAACCTGTACAGTTGCACAGACCAGTGCTCACTGGGCATCAGGCCATGCCTTCTGGGGGCTCAGACTGAGCCAGAGCGCCCAGTAATGGCTCCGTGGGGGGCGTGCGTGAACCGTGCGAGTCATCGCTGCTGCTCAGCCAGTGGACCACATCAGGTGTGCCCTCCCCTGTCATCACAAATTCCCAAAATTGACCATTTGTGACTCACCATGTGCCTGCAAAAATATTCCCTCCTTTCTCCTTTTCTTCTTGCGGTCACTCTGCCTTGATGTCTGCATTCCTCCTTCTGAAAATTGACCACTGTAGCCTCTTGTTTTAGGCTGCACACGAACTCCCAGCAGAACAAAATGGGTTGAGGCAGTCAGGTGTGCGCACCATAGCTGAGAAAGTGCGCCAGCTCAGCGGCTGATCTGGAGGAGGTGGCGCGCTGGCCAAGCACTTGGCGCAGAGCCGTAAGCCGCACCAGAGCCCCACTCGACGCGCGGCTGGGGATGTCCAGACCTGCAGCAACACATGCAGCCGCTCACATATCCCAATCCCATGCCCCAACACCGAATTTGCAGATGCGCACTAGAATGCACTCAAGTTCGTGCTTCTGGACCGGCACATAGCCAACCTACGTCGATCATGGGGTGTTCAATGCGCAATTGGCCAGCATGGCCCTAATAGAAGCAGTGAAGGAGACTTATTTAGAGTGCACCTCTCTCGGCCGGCAAGTCGGGCGCGGGGGCCATCTTGTTGCGGCGCCAGGCGCCGTGGCCGGCGGCATAGTCCAGGTCACGGCGCGTGATGATGCCGCGCACTCGGCTGTTCTCATCCGTTACGCACAGGTGGCGCAGGCCTAGCGATACGAATGCCATGTGCGCGCGCTCTGCTGGCGTCTCCGGCCTGGACAGACATGCATGCACATAAGCTCCATTTGACGCTGGCCAAAGAAGTCCGCTCCTGCTTCCTGATCACTGTGACTGTGCATCTTTGGAGAATATACATGGAAATTTGCTGCTGTTGCTGCTGCTGCCACCAAAGAGCAAAGTCTGCATGCCTACTTCCTTCCTGCAGCAAGTGACAGTTGGCAGGGGCGCTTCCGCTGCAGTAACTCTCAAACCTGCAATGTGCTAAGGCATGCGATGGTGGGATGCATGCTCGCTGCATCAAACAAATGCAGTCATGGGGAAGGGTCGGGCCTCACCGCACGGTGATGGGCCCGCAGTCCAGGAAGGGGCGCAGGTCCATGTAGAGGCGCGGCTGGCGCAGGCTCTCGCCGTCCGCAGGAAAGGGATTATACGACTCCAGATCAGGGTGACTCCCAAAGCCCTTGTCCCCTGAGGGCTGCCGAGCCATGCACCACCTGCGCTCAACACACAAGAAAGCATCACCAAATGGCCTGCACAGTATGGAGACAATATGCTCCTCATGATGGCCACAAATGCCCAGTGGACATATCCACTTGTTGTGAAGATAGATAGATGAATGAGCTGCAGTGGAAGCATGGAGGTAGGCGGCGCACGTTTGGGTGTCGGAGTGGCGGTGGTACATCCTCATGCTGCGGTCCAGCTTGAGCTCCCGCGCCAACCGCTCCCCGGCCTGTTCCCGCGTCAGCGCAGCCCCCCTCTCGTCGCAGAACGCCTGTGTACACACACCCTCTGCTCAGGGCCTCCCAATCTCGCAGACCTCAGCGCGTGCAGCAGCAAGTAACTGGAGCAGTCTGCGGCCGCACGCATGGGCTATTTTGTAACCCTGGACCCAGGACTACCAGAAAGTCTACCCCATGCTGTAGCATGGCACAGTACCCCATCCTGTAGCATGACTAGGCCAGAGATACATGAAGACATGCTTGGCAAAGGGGGAAGGGAGGGAGAAGCGCACCCTGTTGGCAAGGAGCACCATGAGCTGGCTGCGCAGGATGACGCCTTCCAGGGGGCCCTCGCGGCTGGCACTCCCGCGGGTCGCATCGGGGCCGGGGCCGGAGTCGGACTCGTCCTCCATTTCGTTGTCATCGCAGTCGCCCGGCATACTGCGCACGACGGGGAAGCCGTTGTGCGAGCAGTGCCGCAGCACCCGCACCACATAGCCCACGCTCTCTATCGTCCGGAAGCTCCTGCCAGGGCAGAAGCTTCTCACATGCGTTCTTCACAGGCCAGAACGCGCATGTGAGAACACCCATCATACCACTTTATTGTCCGTCGCTGTCCCTCCTTTTCTCTTTCCTTTTGTAAGTCTGCTTTCCTGAAGAGCTTGCAACAGACGTGACATCAAGCTTGCATGCTCCACTCAGCGCTCACACGCCACTGCAAGCACGGTCTGTAAGCTTCCAAGTGGTCCCAGTGCAGCACCATTGTGAAGTGGGGGGCCTACCAGACGGCTCGGCTCGCTATCTGCCCCGCTGACTTGGCGTATAGACCCTGCGGCGGCGAGGGGCGCAGGAAGATGACCGAGCCGTCCGCCTCCAGGTCTGTCTCGTAGATGCCGTCGCTGTGGATGGCCTCCCCCACCCAGTTGCTGCAGATGACCGCTATAATGATGCCCACAATGTACTTGGTGCTCTGCACGCAACGGTGAAAGTCAGTCTGACTCTACAGAGACACATCGCTGATGTCCAATAATTACTTTACTTAGTACTGGCAATGCGCGTTTCGTCAAGTCACAAGCTTTTATGGGGAATCTAGATAGGCATGGAGGGGTAGGCAATGGTGCCTGACAAATACAAATTGCTGAGCCATCTGCTAAATAAAATTTCTTCTCTATTCTAGTCCTGAGCACTATCGGGGCTGTGAACACTATCAGGTGAATGAGGGCTGGGTTGCAGCTGACCTGACTGCCCTCCACAAAAATCACCACGAGACTGATGGACGCCCTGAAAACGCCGCCCAGCATGGCTGCGGCGCCACACATGGCATAAATGCCCGGCTGTATCTCCCACGTGGGCAGCCACTTCATGAGCAGCAGCCCGCAGGTCGCGCCAAAAGATGCGCCAACCTTCGGCAAGCAGCCACTTTTCGCTCATTATGTTTCTTGCGCTCTGATGATCAGCACAGCGACAAGCATGCCAAAGATCTATATTTCAGAATCTCAGGCACTCAGGAGGCATTTAACAGCGGATGGGGCCTTCATGATGGTCTCAAGCCTGATAATTTACCATGATGCTGGGCATAAAGAGGCCTCCGGGGACAGACAGACCCCCATTGAGGGCCATGAATAGAAGGTAACTGGGGCACAGAATCATCAAGCTCCGCAGCGTGAAGTAGCAATTCTCCCCTTGGCAGACCTCAAACTGTGAGCACCACAAAGCACTTGTCAGTTCAATGCATGCTGCGCCATGGCTCTGGTGCAGTCGGAGTTGGGGCTTACGCATGAGTAAATTCAAGGTAAACGTGTTAATTTAGTTTTCCCTTAAACTTGAAAAGTGTTTTCCCACCTGTGGTGTCAGACTTCCCAAGCTGAACAGATGGCTTATGGTCTTATCTGGAAAAGCCATAAACGCTGTTGCCAGGTCATTATACTTCCCTGCACATCCACAGGAAATGATGTCTTTAAGATTAAACCTGCTTCTACCATGTATACTTCAGGATATGTTTTGTTGCTTGATAAGAAAGGGAGGCAGTCATGCACCTTCAGGGCAGTGGAAGGTGAAGCCATAGTTCTTCTGCTGCCAGTCTGGCACCTCCACACAGGTGCCCAGAAAGTAGCTAAGTGCCAGCATCATCACCACTGTGATGGCTGCCAGAATGGCAGCTTCTGCCATGCGCTTCCAGTTTTCTGCCCTTGGAGCCCTCACCTGCAGTAAGTCACATCTTTTGTATTCATGCATATTCCATTCACTCAAATCCATTGTACACCCGTGAGGCGACAACTGCGATACAAGTAAGCCTGTGATGCAAGTAAAGATGAGACGCACAGAGAGGAGGGCCTTGTGCAGGGTGTTGAATAGCGCTCCCAACAGCCCAGAGCAGATAGAGACAGCTGCAAAGAGGGGCAGCTGCTCAAACCACTCCCTGGCGCCCATCTCCTTCACCCCATAGAAGGACAGCACTCCGCGCTTCCAACTGTGACACACACTTGCATGAACATTTGGCATTGACCTCTCAAACCAAAAGCAAGGCAGCCTCGTTGTAAATTTGGGTTCTAATGAAGCACAGGCGTTTCTAAACATCAAAGTGCACAATACTCACCCTGGGTTTAACTGCGCCACTGCAATCACAGCTACTGTGGTGCAGACGAAGCAACGCCAGGCGACCTGTGCAGGCAGTCAAATGTTGGCCAGATGGTGATTAAGTAATGGTGGAAACTTATCAGCTGCCTTGATCTGATGCACAAACTTTGTCAAGAAGCTGCCAGGTAAGAAGATAGGACCAGGGGTTCACCTTGCGTGACCAGTGCGTGCACGCCTCCTCCATGGAGAATAGGACGCCACCAATGGGAGCTCCAAATGCAGCCTGCAAAGGGTCGCCCACTTTGTCAATTATCCTTAGCTTGACGATCACTGCACCATGACATCCGTCGATCCGTGAACGCAGCAGGGCGCACCGCAAGGCCAGCAGCGGCGCCCGCAGATATGAACTCGCGCCGATCTGCATCGCTGTGCAGCAGTGCCGCCGGCCCGGGACACACATCTACGCCGCTGCCCTTGGTCCCACTCCCCTGACCCCTATCCTTCGGATGCCCATTATTGGCATTTTCAAGAGGGTTGTCACCCTTCCGCCGGCGCACCCCCACCCCTTGCGGGCAGCTGCACGGGCCCACCAGGCCATGATCAGCCACGCACGCACAGTGTCTGCCCTCGCCCAGCGAGGGCAGGCATGGGCACTCCACTGCTGCACTCCTTTCACTCCCTTCTGCCTCCAGGCCGCTCTCTGATCGGTCCCCAGCAAAATCGTGGTGATGCTGGTCCCCGTTTGAAATTTCGCTGCCGTGGGACCCCGCAAAGGCCGAGTCCCTCCCATGCCCCTGTGGACCCTCCTCCTGCCTGCTGTCTGCTCCCCCGGTAGGCTGCAGCAGGGGCGCGGTGATCCCATTCTGATGCTCAGCAGCTTTGGCGCTGCCCCTCCAGCACGGCAGCGTGTCCCACCTCTCGCACAACGCTGCGCCCACAAGCACAAGTACCCTTGAATGTCATTCACAGTGACTCATTGTTCAGTTCCTCCCCAGTGCATCCTACTTTAGAAAAAGGAGGCTTGATAGCTGCTGGAGGGGCTGAAGGGCTCACCGCAGGCTGCATGGGTGACACCATGGGCCACGCAAGCCCCCAAGTGCACCATGGGCGCCTCAGGGCCGAGGGCAATGTTGGCGCAGACGCCGCAGCAGGTGCCCACAAACTTGGTGACCATGCTGCGGAAGGACAGGAGGTCCGGAATGTTGTTGCCGTTCAAGTATCCCATGATCAGGGACACCCCGGCACCAGAAGCTGTCGGCGCCCAAAATTGGACCTGCATGCGCCATTCACAATGAAACAAATCACAGAATCCCATTGAGGAACTTTGATTTATCACAAGGCAAAGTATGAGCCATTGCTGCAGGCGGTTTGCACAGCCAAGAAAATGCTGAAGGTTCAAGAGGCCATGGGCATCCTCTCTTACCAGGCCACTGCCAATGACGACCAGGATGACGCTATGAGCCACATGCAGCAACGTAGCCAGGACAACCCCGGTCCCCAGATGATCTGTGGAGTGGATGACAAGCCGCAAGAGCGTGTTCTTGTAGTTGATTATGCCCTCTGTCAGCCTCGCAAGGCCCACGGCCAGCAGCCCCACCAGAAGCCCAATAAACACTGTGATCGACACAGCAAGACATGTGTATTGAGGAACATGCGCAGACAATCTTCGTTTATCTCTTCTTGTGCAGGCAGAGTACCACCAAATGTCACTATTTACCAAACTATTTGGTGCTGCAGGAAAAGGTGTCCTGGGGCAGTTTGACAACACCAGAGTATCTCGATCCCCTGGGAGGCGACATGAGAGCTGCTCACCTGTCACCAGACATTTCACAACTGTATATGGCTTGATCCTGCATTCACAACAGTTGCATTCAGAATAGGTCTCCAACACAGCCAGACAGAATTATGGCCACCCTCTTCAAGGACGAAGCTCTGAAGGGCAATACAGTATTCCTCGAGCACTGGAGCACTTGTCTTTCAATATTTGCACAAAAACTGTAATCATTCTGCCGATTCAGGTTGTCCTTTGTGCGTGTCTAGGGCTTGCTTGTCTAGGAGTACTATCTACCTTACTGTACAAAATCATTGCGATGGCAAGATGACTCACCCAAGAATCCTCCGTTGATTGTCAGCTGATCGCCCTCTCGCGGCATGGTAAAAAGATACCTTGTTGTAAACCAAATTGAAGTCGAATGAGTCATACCCTTGGCCATCGGGCCTCCAACCGTTTTGCCTCATTACTATGGAAGCCGTTGTAAATTCCCATTACCTTTATTGAGACCTAAAGGAATAGGAACCATCGAAATGAGTGCCAAGGCAGGACTGACAGATTCTGCATGACACAACTTTTCAATAGAAGCAGGAAGGAAGGACACAAGGCAACCTAATCGTCAGAAAGATTCCCAAACAAACAATCAAGAAGCTGTCGTGTGTTGATCGTCTTTCTCGGTCTGCGTTAGGGTCTGTAGCTATAGTCTGTAGTTTGCCCTCGTGCATCAAACCACGTGATCAGACCACGTGAAAATCTGACGCTCTGCACATGCAACACCGTGATGCTTTGGACCTTGTCCCCTGGACCACATGACCTCCAGTTGGGGTCCCTTCTTACATGGCAGGCAAAATTGCTTCCACGGGGAAGGTTTCAAACTTGCAATCATATGAATTGAAAGAAAAATTTCACAATATCGCAATTCGAATTTGGATTTTAGGTGTGATGCCAGGTTCAATATATAAGTACATCATGGTGTTTGACTCATCAATGATCACCCTGATATTTCATGACACCATCATTTGTACACGTCTCAAGGGCTCAGATTGTCAAGTGCTGCCGCATGACCTGCCGGGCCAGCGTCACCGCCCCAGTCGTTCGGTAAATTAACACGAGATTGTGCGCAGCTTCTCGGCGCAAATCAAAGCTCGACATGGATGGATCAGCCGCTACACCATTCGTGCGCGTAGCATCGCCAGCTGGAGGCTGAGCCGCCAGGGCCCGCTCATAGAACAGAGCGGCCAGGTGCAGCAGACCCAGCTGGTGTGCTGCACGGCCGATGTTGTATGCCGCCTCCTGCGGCATCCTTCTGCAGCTGGCATACTCCTGGACACATAAAGATCTCAACCTTTGCAACCCTGCATTGATCATGGCTTCCTGACAGATTGCCCCACCCAGCGGTTCCTGGCGGCTTGAGATGCAGTGGACAGCACCCATTCAGATGTATGATCCCCCATATCCCTGTCCAGGAGTGAATAAACCCGCCTCATGCAAGCTGGCAGCTGATGAGATCAGTGAGGCAACACCGCGCAGCATGTCAGACAGGAAGTAGAAAGGCTGACCTGGAGGAAGGCGAAGACTTGCAGCACGGCCCTGTCTCTGTCCGGGACCTTCTTGGACATGACCTGGTTCAGCAAGGCCACCGCGATGCACAGCAGCGTCAGCGGCTCCTGCCTGGCCTGCTTGTACGCATGGAAGTACTCGTTCAACGCCACCGCAGGACTGCCCTGCACCACGCCCCACACAACACCACCGTGAGCACCCACACAGACCCCTCTTTGGATAAGCTAACATGCTGCTCCACAAAATCCGAGTTAATTTATCAAGTGGCATATGGAATATGTAAGGTCACCAGGGATGAAAGCCTGACGATATAGATGACACACAAGCAGGGCACATGAAGCCACATTTCCAGGGCCTGCAGTAGAGGTATAGGACACAGAAGCATGAAATGCTGCTCGATTAGTGCAAAGCCGCCCCCGGAACAACAGCGAAACAGTGGCCGTTGGCTGCATGGGCGGCAGGGAGTCACCGTGAGGGAGTGGCTGTGGGCGGTGAGCAGCGCGAGGGGCAGGCAGGTGGGGTGCTTGGAGCGCAGGGGCGCGAAAAACTTGAGGTTGTGGCGCAGGCCGCCCAGGGCCGCAGCGACGCGCGCATATACGTTCCAGACGGCGGCCGAGTGCGGCCAGTGCGCGGACACCACGCGCATGAGGGTGTGCGCGCTTGCAGCGTTGCCCTGCGCCAGCGCCGCCTCTGCCACAACCAGCCGCAGCACGTCCTTCTTTCCCCGGCTGCGCCCAATAATTTAAGTCCATCGTTTGCTTTGATCATTGTCATCAACATCGCGAACCTTGGCCACAGTTCTGAGCTTGGACGCTCAGCTGCGTCCTGACCCTGCATTCCTGCTTGGATATATTGCTCTCTGCAAGTGGCCCGTCACAGCCATGCCGAGCTCATCGCACTCTAGAAGCGGCCTGCAACTTGCGCGCAGCAAAACATAAGATAATAAGCAGGATGGAAGGTGGCCGGGGCTCACTTCTCGGCGCCACGGTTGCTGAGCAGTGTCTGGACGTGCTCGGTAAGCTGCTGCGCCTCGGAGGCCTGCCCGCTGCGTGTGAGCGCGCGCATCGTGCGCACGAGCATCTCGAACTGCTCCGCATCGCTGACCAGGCCGTCCAGCATGACGCCGCCCCCCGGCTGCGCCGCGGCGCCCGCCTCGTCCTCGGCCTCAGACTCTGAGATTGTGCCTGCCTCCAGCGCTGCCGCCAGCTCCTCGTCCGCCTTGCGCACGTGTGGCTTGCGCCGGTCCTTGGTCACAAACCCCTGCACAGGTTCATGGTATCTCGGTAAGTGTCATAGGACGGTGCGTAAGACAAATGAAAGAATCCTGAAGAGAATTTTGCCTCGATGGTGATATTGCCTAAATTCACACAAATTTCCAAGCCCCCAGGTTTTGGGCTGATCTCAAAGAAGCGACATGTTGTGCTAAGACCACCTAAAGAACATTCTGCAAGTGCGGACAAGCCGAGGCAGACAGGAGGAGTGGACCTTGAAGACGACGCCCTGCTCGTGGGCGCCCCGGTGCTTGTTCAGCAGGCGCAGGCGGCGGCGCAGCACGGCCGGCATGCGGCTGCCGCCGGCAGAGGTCTGTGCGTCAAAGTGCCGCAGCGTGCGGTTTAGGATTGGCAGCATCAGGTCCAGGAACGCCTCCTGCCGGATGTCACACCGCCCCAGCTTCAGTCCGCAAGTCAACAGCTTCTGGTATACCAACACTACCATTTACATTCATACACATTTCGACCATTAGAGGCAACAGCCGCCTGCAGACAAGCTGCAGGCAAAGGCTGCCACTGGTATTGGGCACCAGAATCTGCTTGCATATTGCAGCAGGAGCCAGTGTGATGTGGCGTGGCCCCACCTGTTGGCCCAGTCGGAGCAGGAGGCAGGCCCTGCGGTCGAGCAGGGTGAGCGCGGCTGAGGGGGTGCCGGGGTAGTCGGCAGAGCCCAGGTCCTGCAGGCTGTCCATCACCTTGAGGGCGGCTGCACTCTGGCCCATGTCCGCGTACAGCTCTGCCAGCGCCAGAGCAGCCTCAAGCTGCATCTCGCTGCCCGCTGTCGCACCTGCGCAGCACACAGATGCTCAGTCAGCTTGCCATGACTTCAACACAATGATCTGGGATCCTCAACACCCAATTGCTTTGATGGGAACACTGAGTATCGCCAAGAACAGGCAGTATCAAAAGGACACATTAGAAAGAACCCTGTAAAATGCAAGGTTGCCACGTTGAGTGTTCGGGTGCGCAAGCAAGGGTGGCAGGTTCACCCTCGAGGATGTTGCAATAGATGTCTGCGGCGCCGTCATCGTTGCCCAGGGCCTGCTGGCAGGCCGCCAGCCTCCTCCACACCTCCGGGGTGTTGTACTCTGGCTGCTCCCGCAGCTTCTCAAAGAAACGCAGCGCCTGAGATGACAAAGCTTCACGTCATCAACATGCACATGCACAATTGATAAAGCAGCGCATTATGCACCATTTAAGATGTGATGATTGTGGTAATCATTTTAGCTTTTATCTTCAGCGCACACCCGATGATGCTCCTTTTGGTCGGCAAGCAGGTCCCCAACGTCCATGTAGAGGTCTGCATACTCAATAGGGCTCTCCAGGTGCAGCCCCTCAAACATGTCCAGAGCGGTGGGCATGTCGCCCAGATGCATCTGGCATGTGGCAGCCTTCACCTGTACTAGCATTGAACATAGCTGTTCAGCGCCCCTCACTACCAGACGGAGGGAACACCATAAATGCTGCCATGCAATGGCATCCAATGCGGCCCTCGCAAAATACTTGGGTTCTTGATGTAAGGGCATGAAGATGCTTGCCGTGAGGTCGATTGGGAGCCCGGTGGCGCAGAGCTGCTTCTGCGCGCTCCTGATGAGCGCAGCAGCGCGGTCGTACTGACCCCCTTCCATGTAGAGCTCCGACAGGATATTGATGTCTGTCAGGTCCATGGCCTCTGGGTACTTGCTGGTGTGCGCCTCTAGCAAATCTATCGCCTTCTGCCCCATGCCCACTCTGTGGTACAGCCTCGCAAGCATCTTGACCACCTGCCATGCACCCCACAGCCACCACTTATCTGACGGCATTCTGGAGTGCGCATGATGCAAGCTGCCGTGTCTGACAAGTGGTAAAGGGTGTCACTATGCTCTGCGGTTGGCATGGTAGGGATGGAAAGTTGGACAGGAGATGATGTGTTCACCTCGCTGTCACCCGGCCGCGCTGCCGCAATGGCCTCAAAGGCTTCGAGGGCCTTCCGCGGCTCGTTTATTTCTGCGTACAGCACAGCCCGGTCCCACCGCGCATCCAGGTCTTCTTTGTCCCTGGCAATCACCTGCAGCAGGAGATACGCTGCTTGCACGCAGACAACAGGCACCTGGAACAGTTGAGGAGGCCTCCTTCCTCCTGCATCTTCATGGGGCCTCCCATTGGTCTAAGCGCCTGCACTGAGGTGTACAGGTCTCTTTCATTCTGTGAATGTGCACAATCAATGCTCACCTTGGTCAGGCAGTAGATGGCCTGCCGCAGGAATCCCAGGTCTGTGGAGAGCGCTGCGAGGCGGCGCCAGAGGCTGATGTCACGCGGCGTGAGGTGCACGGCGATCATGTAGAAGTCCAGTGCCTTCCGCTGGTTGTTGCTGGCTTCGTGCAGCAGCCCCAGCGTGTGGTAGGGGTCCGGCAGGTTGGGCGCCAGCTTGATGACCTCCAGCAGCAGCCTGATCGCCTCCTCATACCTGCTTGCACAAATCCCTTTGCGGCTTAGAAATCAACCTGTTGGATACAGTGCACTGTGCTTTCTTTAATGCACGGCTGGAGAGGTGAACATATGAGGCAAGGCTTGCTACACGCAATCAATCATGCACTCAACATAATTGCCTTCAGACACCATGCAAAATTAGAAGCGTCTGCCACGATCTCAAGTTGCTGAGCTGAAGGATTACCTGTTGGTGGCATAGAAGAGGTTGGCCTCCCCCAGGCGCCGGGTGACCTCTTCTGGCAGCTCCTTGCTGCGGATGCCCTTGGCTGCTGCCTTGCGTCGGCGCCGCTCCTTCTCGCGCTGCTTTTTGCGGCTGCGCTGCTTGTCGCCCAGCATGCCCACCTTTTCTGCCATGTCCTCGTTCCTGCAAGAGACAAATGAGCAATGATGACACAGATTTGCTCTTTCTTACTGCAGGCAAAGTGAGCACCATGAATTACAAAGGCCCATGCAAGGCTTAGACAGCTTTAAAGATGTGCAGGTCTTCACACCATATGTCGTCCACTGTGGCTCCAAAGAGGTCGCGGCGGGCATGTGGCTGGTTGCTGCCAGAAGCAATCCCCTGTGGCAGTCACACATTGACCAGTCACAACAGCGTTCAGCAGAGCAGGCATGCAATCTGGAATATCAATCATGGAGTGGTCAGTGACCAAATATTGCTAACCTTCTCATCTTGGCATGTTGCAGCACTCGTGCTATGTTGCCTGGCCCGTTGAGACCGAGCCAGGACCTCATATGGCTGCTGCGCTGCATCGTTTCCCTCCAGTTGCCTTCCCATTCCCTCGAGGAGAGTAAGTGGGTCAATTGCATCATCGAACAAATCTTTCGGCTGTCCATCATCGTCATCGGCATCATCGTCTGTCCCTGTTGCATGCGTGACATCATTACAGCTCTCAACTTTACGTTTCACAGTACTCTGTGACCCTGTGCGTGTGTGTGCCAGCGTCGCTACAGCACCACTTCGGATCAAGGCACACCTTCATCACTGAAAGCTTTGTAACGACCAGTCTGCTGTGACGTGAGGTATTCAGCCTCGTCATCTACATCCTGAATATCTTCAAGTACCCCATCATCAATGTCTTCGCTCTCTTCCAATTCGTCCTCTTCGGGTACGTAGTCTTCGTCGGAATCCATTGTAGTTCAAGCACTGGAACCAAAATGCTTGCACAGATGACGGTGCTCGTTCCTTTTTGTTTATATAAGACGAGCGAAAATAAATCCAACGCATCGAAATTTTCAGGTGAGGTGAAACCTGCCTGAGAAATGTCGATGGCAACGTCTAAGATAGGTCCACAGATAAATTCATAAATTCTGGGGCACTTCTCGCCTTCCCGTTCTCAAGAAGCTTTCAGCATAAATGGGATGACGTGGGATCTGCAAAGGACGTGGCACACCCACGTGGGTGCACGAGAGATTCATAGAGATCTGGCAACTCTCCTTCAGGCATTGGCAGTAATATCTACACTCAGCAAGTGCTCTTCATTCGGAGCTCGTCCTCTCTGTCCTCCTGGCAGTGGCATCTTTGGAGTTGTCTCGCTCCGTCGATTGCCGATTACAAGTCCCACAGTGCCGCGATGCTTCATTGATGGGAACGCTCATCAGCTATAAAAGACGCAGTAGGCGAGGATGCGAGAAATCTAGGGTGTGATGCCATCACATTTGTTTCTCTTGTACTTCAAACACATAATTTGCCCTCAACTTGCTCAGGCCACGTTGCCGTTTTTCAAAGATTGTGCATGGTTGCAGGTGAATATCATCTTTACAGCTCTTTTGGCTGTTCTGATTCTGACGAAGAGCGGATGTCAGTCCGAATCTTCCGATCTGAACGCGACTTATTCTGGGGATGGTGAGTTGTGGATGTTTCCCCTTGATTGCACAGGCTTGGGTGTATACATGCCAGCATGTCGCGAGTTTCTAGGTTAGTGTCACCTTACTCCATTGTGATGCTGCAGTTGCTGCTCTGGTGGCCTTTCACAAGGCGGTCAGTGACCCTGGAGGCCGCCTGCGCTCGTGGCGTGCTGGCTTGGACCCATGTGGCTCGCCAACCTGCTCTCTTGGAGATGACTCGAATGCGCCTCAGGGCTGGCACACCAGTCCTGTGCCGAGAAAATATAACTCTACTGGCATGCCGGTGTGCAACTATTTTGGCATAGCCTGCCAGAATTGGCGCGTCGAAAGGCTTGTGCTGTCGTGCAACGGCGTGGAAGCTGCATGCGCAGCACTGCAGGGAAGCCTGCCTGAGGAAATTGGCAACCTCACAGAGCTCAGAGTGCTGGATCTCCAGGTGCGACTGCTGAGGAATTCTATTGTATATGGTTGCTGTTTGCTTTGAGGATCAGATTTATGTAGAGTAATTCAGTGTCGACAGTGTCTAACGTTTACTACCTGCATGTGCTCAGAGGAATCAACTGCGGAGCACGATTCCAGAAGCATTGGGGCGACTCACCAATTTGGAGGCATTGCGGCTGGCCTCCAACAGATTTTATGGATACATGTCCCCCAAATGGGTCAACATGACTGCTCTGCGCGTGCTGGACGTCCGCCAGAATGCACTGACTGGTGTTCTCCCTGTGGTGCGTCCTCAGATGCCTGAAACTGTCCATTGTATCCAACGCGTCTTGGCTCACACAGATATTGACATCTACTGTAGCATATTTCTCCACATATTATTTACCAGAATAGTTCTTATGTTGAATATTGATGCCTCGGTGTCTACATCGCCAATGTCTGCAATGTCCCTTCTCCTGTTCTCTTGCTGGAGCACTTATGAAGCATTTGACCGGATGTTGCAGGCCTGGGGAGCATTTGAGAACCTGATGGTGCTGCACGTGGATCACAATTCACTGAGCGGCTACCTGCCAGCCTCCTTTGGCAACCTCCGAGACCTTCGCATTCTGGCACTGGGTACAGCTGCCTATTCTCAGCTTCTTGGCACATGTAATGTGCTTTTTGCAGCTGTCCTTGCACTTGCAACAGCTGACTGCAGGTGACCAGCCATGAGTGTGGTTCCAGGGAACACTGCCATTGTGGGGCCGCTGCCTGTGTCATGGGCCAACATGACGAGCCTTCGGGCGCTGGATGTGAGCAGCAACTGTGGCATCTGTGGGAACCTCCCTACTTTCCCGCCATCGGTGCTGGCAAAGCTGCAGGTGGAGTCGCAGGGGTCCGGCCTCGGTTGGACATGCAACAAGAACGCATGCGCACAATTCCCCATTAGTATCCTTGCTCAGGCTGGTGCGCCACCCCTTATATCGTCAGCCAGCTTTTTACCACTTGTATGTCACATCAAGATCCTTGTGCATTGCTGGAAGGTCCACCTCACACAACAAGACCTTCAACAAGGGGGGAGAAGCTCTGCAAGGATCATGAGTTGGCTTGTGGTTGGGAGACTAGGAAATGGAGTTTTGTTGTTGCCTTTACATGGCTGCTGACATGTGAGCATGTGCACGCAGTAATTTGCATGTCCATCGTGGGCGGCTTGATCCTGCTGTGCTTGGTGCGGCGCGTCCTCTTCCACTACTACCCTGGGCTCATCATCCTGTCCCCGACCGCAATGTTACTGCATCGACAGAGAGGTGCGCAAGGCTTGCTTTCGTACTTGCAAGCCCTTCGCAATCCCTTGCTATCGGTTCCAGCAGGAGCCTCTGAACCACTAAATTTAGAGTTCCCTTGGTTTCAGAGCAGTAGACACCATGGGACCCCAGTTAGAGATACTTTCAATTTAGTTTTAAAGCTGTCATTTCTGCTTGCAGGAACTGCACAAGCAGCGCGCAATGCACAGGAGCTAGCTCAGCAGACCAGCAATATGGAAGCGGGGTGTGCGGCAGGGAACAAACGCTCCTCAGCTGTGTTTCTGAACCCAGACAGCACCTACAGCTATGCGTTGAAAGAGGAGGAGCCCCGCTCATCCGAGCAAAACGCACGGAATGCTCAGCAACCTGATAACATCAGTACTGTCGTGCCACAAAACGCACAGATACCTGTGGATGGGGTACCACCGCTAGAGGAGGTATCAAGAACGTCAAGTATCCCTGCCCAGATTATTCAGATGAGGGGCACTGGTCAGGGATGAGGTGTAGGATCACTGGTCACCAGTTTAGAACTGCAACCTGTATTAATATGTCCCTTGCGCCAACCATGCGGCAGCACTACTGTGCATTACTAGTGGTAAGCAACCACGCAGAATAAAAAGATGTGTGCATGTCATTCAGTTGCATGTCCTTGACAAGGTATATTTTTTGGAGGTGAATTCCGCTCTATCAGCGTGATGCCATTCTCCTTTTGGTGTGCTCAAAATAATTCTCAATTTCACCATGGAGGTATTAGCAATTAATTGGCTGCACTTTAACAGCTTACACGAGTTAGGACACATCCCCCAAATTCAAATGCATGCAGCTGGCAGCCTTGCAACCATTCCTGAAAGCTTGTCCGATTGACTCAGCTCTGGACCATGGCGCCGGCTCAGAAATGTGATTGACGTCAACCGCTGCTTCTGCATGCGCTGCATTTGCATGCAACTTGCATGATGCAAGATCATATGCTGAACGGTGAGTTGGCTGATTAGGTGCTGGCACCACCATTTGCCAAATGGTGCCAATTGTCATCATTTTCTTTGATCAGAACGGGAACCAATAGCACAACTTGTTGAACTTCTGCTGTACAGAGCACCGTAAGGAGTCAAACTCAGGAGGGGCGCACAGAGTGCCACAGTGGCCGAAAAATTGAGGCTTCACAAGTTTGGAATGAAGTTGAGACGGTCAAGATAAGATGGGGCCATGATCATGGCCCCATTGAAAGGGCCTAGGGTGCGCACTGACGGCCTGCACGTGATGCCATTAAGCGGGCACAGGTCGATTTGCACCTTGTGATCGGCACGTTTGGAGCTCCAATTCGTACGAATGCTGTTGAACTGAGGCTCTGTGCGCTCTATGTTGGCAGCTTTTCGTAGTCTTCCGGGGAACACGGTCAATGGGGTTTATTTTGTGAAGGGCACTGCCGGGAAGTTCAGAGCTGTTGTCGCTATTGATGGCCGTGACATCAAAGTTCAGATCCTTTTCCGGATTTCTGGAGCGTCTGTGGAAGCCTGCGACAGCCAACGAAACGCCTCAGCACTTCAGCGAGTCGCTAGACTATGGCCTTGTGCACAACCGGGCTCTTCAGTCTCGCAGAGAGGAGGAGGCACAGACAAAGAAGATACTCGGGTAAATCATCAACAGATAATCTCAATTGATCTATGCAAACAGTAATTGAATACGCAAGTTGTGCTGCTGTTAAGCCTGCCCCATCAAGACGAGGTCATTGGGTGATCTGGGACGTGTTTACATTTCATCTTGCTGCAAGCATCTACAAGCGTGGTGTCCTTTGGTGCTAATATGTAGATCTGAAGCCGTAGTACTGAAGGATCGCCGTTGTTTTGCAGTGTGAAACTGCATAGCTTTCTCAAGCTACTCGTCACCGTTTCCATCGGGGTGGTCATCGGCGTGCTTTCGGTGGGCTTGGCATCCGTTACAGAACATCTGCGACAATGGAAGAACTTGAAGTCACGCTCCATCATTCACGACGGACACCCACATGGCATCCTCAGAGCAGGATGTTTCCACATGGGCTACAGCACTGCCCTCATTCTACTTGGCTCTTCTCTGGTAGGTCTCTGTGGCCTGGAACCTGGTCCTCTGACACTTCTGCATGAAGACCTATTCAGTGCACACTTGTGCCTGTCTCTTCACCTAGTTATGAATGCTGGCCAATGTAATCATGCAGGCACAGTTCTGGGCTCCAGCTGCGGCCGCTGCTGGGGTCTCCCTTGTCATGGCATACCTTAATGGAGTCGCCATCCCCAATTTGTTGAGTGTGCAAACACTCATAGCAAAATGGGTTGGAACATGCTGCTCCGTCGGTGCCAATCTCGCCTTGGGACCCGAGGCTCCAATGGTAATGGGCTCAAAGAATCTGATTCCTCGCGATTTCTGTGCTTTTCATGAATGTCTGGGGTCATGTATATGCTAGACAATGCATGCGAGGCACGATGAAGCTGCTTTGCCCTGCGCATTGACATCAATTCTACCGCCTGCATGCTTCCTGTTGCCAGGCAACGCCAGACAGGAGGTTAAGCTGATGCTTGTGAGCTGCAGGTGCATCTTGGCGCTTGCGCCGCTCATGTGACTACGCACGCAGCCTGTGGTAAGGCAGCTCATGTGGGCAAGCACAGAGTAATGAATGCATCACACCGTCTTTCCCCATGCTCACCATCAATACCCCTCTGCGGCTCTTGTTCATCTGCTCAGCATCGTGCTTGTCGCAGTCCTGCTGGACAAATGGGCGATCCTGCAGCACGCATGGGCCAAAGATAAGGAGGGGGACTTGGAAGGGGTGTGTGATGTAGAGGCTGCCAATGGGCAGCCCCCCCTGAGGCAGAGCAGGAGCAGGGCCCCTGGTGCAGCTGTGGCGCTGCTGCACAGCGATGCAGAACGGCGCGAATTCATATCTGCAGGCGCAGCCGCCGGCCTCGCGGTGCGTCACACTCCTGCTCGGTCCACATGAGCAAACTCAAACTCATGCCCTGTACATCATAAGTGCTGCAAAGCGTGCCATCTGCCAGTACTTTCACAACAGCATGCTTTGGGGAGACAGCCGAATTGGCCAAACACCACAGTGCAAGCAAGGTCTCTCACGTATAGACCGATAATGCATGTGTGATAGTGCTCTGAACTGTTGATTTGTGGGTCTGCCTGAGCAGGCGGCGTTTGGCGCTCCCATTGGCGGCGTGCTGTTCTCACTGGAGGAAGCCACAACGCACTGGTCGCGCAAGGTTGCCTGGCGCTGCTTCGTGTGCTCCACCACTGCTGTCTTCACACTGGCCCAGCTGCACCCCAGGTTCTAACCTCACATGGGCACACTTACCTGCCAAGAAGCATGATGTTGCTATCGGAAACAGCCTGCCTGCCTGCCTAGACTTGATTTTCTGTGAGTTTCAGAAGACAGCAGTGGGCGTTTATGCAGGTGGAAGCATGGTGTGCTGTCCTTCCAAGGGCTGGCAGACCTGGAGAACAAGGAGTGGTTTGAGCAGCTCCCCTTCATTGTGGCTGTGTCTGTGGCGGCCGGGCTGCTTGGTGCCATCTTCAATAAGGCACACAAACGGATCTTCAAGGTGACTTTGCCGACACGCTGCCACTGGTGCCCTGCTTACCACATTCCACACCTCACTTCTGGAGCTATGTGGCAGCGATCTAGAAAATAAAAGGGAGCTCACACCCATTATTTGTTGCGTTTCCAGTGGCGGGCCCCTAGAACAAACAACACAGCGCGACTGCTGGAGGCTGTGGGGCTGGGCATGTTCACAATAGCCGCCATCTTCCTCCTCAGCTATCTGTTTGGGGAGTGCGTCGATGTGCCTGCCTGGCATGAGCAGGTGTGCCCTTGTAGCTGTCATCATGTTCAGCACATTTTCCTCCCACACACGTTACCACTTTCCATATGGTGCATGGTCATTATTCAAGTCTGTTACATGTTTGCAGGGTTTTGGATTCACCTTCCATTGCACAGGAGGTAAGCGAGACTCTCGATACATGCACTTAAGAGGTTGTGGTTTCTAAATGTCAATTCGGCTTGCGTAATCTTCAGCTACAAAGTTGCAGCATGGCCTCCATGGACTGTACAAACCTGTGTCATCTAACCCCCAGGCAAGTACAACGATCTGGCAACAGCATTCCTGGCCAACCCTGACGAGACCATAAAGCACATCTTCAGCCTGGGGCGGCTGTCCCCCAAGTTTGAGGTGTGCGAGGGGTCCAATTGCTACTTCACGCTGCGCTCCCTCTTCATCCTGACATCCTCCTACCTCGTCTTCATGGTCCTGCTCGGCGGCATCGTCATCCCTGGAGGCCTCTTCATGCCCTCAATCATGGTCGCAATCCACTTCATTCACCTTCTATGCACCTTGTGATCATGAATATCATTGCTACACGCTGTTCCTGCCAGAGGGAAGGTGCATCTGCAGAGAAGCCATGCACTGAATTGCCCCTGAATCACTCTGGAGTATTGTGTCCTTTCCTGGACGCTTGTGTTCCCTGCATGTCTTGCACACTAAGTTCTGTCACAGATCTGGATCCTCAGCGACCAGAAGTGTCTGTTCATCTTCATAGAAGGTATTTATAGACCACATCATGTCAGATATGTTGCAAGTTGCAGGTCTGAGGCAGGGGAGGATTGGTGGCATGCCAGCTGGACAAGCATGGCTGAGCAATTGTTTGGTGCAGGCGGACTAGCTCATGCTGGGGGTATGATGAACTGCAGGTGGGGTCCTCGTTTGGGGCGAGCATGGGCCTGCTGCTGATGAAGTGGCTGCCGGACTGGAACATCCAGCCGGGCGTGTATGCCATGTGCGCCGCGGCCGCCATGCTGGGCGGTGTCTTCAGGTCCTCCATCAGCCTCGTTGTCATTGTGGTGGAGGGCACCCAGGTCAGTAGCTGGCGCCCGAGCGATGTGTAGCATGCTTACACGCATTCAAATTTGCGTGAGATCAGACGATTGTGATCCCTTGCGCTGCCTGTTAGGTCCAAATTGGTCCTCGTAAAGTCTTTTCTTGGCACATGCTCTTTATTTGCATGCACGTCCAATGCTCCTCTCCTATCAGCTGCAGCATGATCCCAGATCACCCCGAGACAAGCTGCTCCTTGACATTCTCAAAGACTGCATAAGTCTTGCAAGGCTCAGTATACTTGCAACTGCCAAAATAGCATTGTTGACGGAATGTTGTGGTTATGGGGGCCAGAGCACCAAATTTATCATTGGAATCATCATAGCGGTCATCTGCAGCAATTGGGTGGGGGAGGCCATAAACTACGACGGCATCTATGAGACAGACCTGGAGGCGGACGGCTCTGTCATCTTCCTGCGCCCCTCTCCGCCGCAGGCCCTCTTCACAAAGACAGCCGGCGACATTGCAGCACCGGCCGTCTGGTACATAGCCACTGTTGCATTGTCACTGAATATATCTTTACCTGCGGCAGACAAACTAGAGCTTTCCGGTCGTGCCTGTGTACAATTTGCCATGCGGTGCCTGGTTCAACCTTTGTATGTCTTGATGCACCTTGAGAGCATTCACATTCAGAGCAGCCTTCTCAGAAGAAGAAGAACATTATACATCTATCTTTCACTACACATATTTCCACAGTCTTGACAGCCTGGACACCCAACATTCGCCAAACAACTTGTATGCTTGCAGGTGCTTCCGGGAGATAGAGCGGGCGGACTATGTGCTGGACGTGCTGACGCGCTACCGCCACAACGGCTTCCCAGTGGTGCGCGGCTGCGCAGGCGCGGCCGAGCGGGACAGCGGCGAGATTGACGCGGCCGGCCGCGGCGCGTCCCGGGGCGGCCCCCTGCAGGGCCTCATCCTGCGCAGCCAGATCCTGGTCGTGCTGCGGCACCAGGTGCTTTCCCCCCGTATTTTCAGCAATCATTGCTCTTATCCTGCCCGGCAGCGGCGAGCATGTGTCCCCACTTTGTTTGGATTGCTCAGTTGGTCAGAATGTGATGCCTTGGACTTGGAAGGGTGTCTGAGGCGTGCTGCTGCCATAGCTTGGGGACAATTGAAGGATACCTGAAGGTGTTCAGGAGTGCTCATGAGCGGGGTGGGCATGCAGGTCTTCTGTGATGAGGCGGGGGTCCCAGTGACGGCGCTCCCCGACGCGGATGTGTCACTGCATGAGCAGGCGCTGGACTCCCAGATGCGCGCCTTCTTCCGCCTCACCTCATTCTCCCACAGGTCCTCACTGCACCGTCTGCCTTGGTTGACACTCCCCAGCATTGCAGGGAAAAACCTCACATATGCAAGTCTGGCCATTTTGTAGCGCTTCCCGCGAAGCTAAAAATGCGAGAAATGAATATCAAAGGGAAGGCAGAAAGCCTGTCTCGAATTCCATGAACTTTGAGAAGATGCTTAAGGCCCATTCACCCTGCATCACGATCCTGCACCATCTGCACTCATTGCAAGTTGCAATTCATAGGCACGGCATGGTTGCATCTGGAGGTTGCCATTTTCTCAAGAGTGGTGCTGTGTCTGCAGGCGCAGCCTCGCATCCACTCCAAGTGCGTTGGCGGCAGCAAAGCAGGCGCTGAAGGAGAGGACCATGTCGCGCTCCCGCAGCTCTCCAGCGCTGCGGGGGTTGGCGATTGACGCCTCGGGTCTGAACGAGGACGGCGGCAGCAGCAACCCCAGCATGCACAGCGCGGACGACGTGCTAGTCGCGCGCAGCAGCTCGCCGCTGCCGGACAGCACCGCCCGCATCCCCTCCGTGGCCAATAATACAGGGGTGTATGATGTGGGGAATGGCGGCAGGAGGCTGAGCTGGCGCGCCAATGCAGCAGAGGCGGCTGTGGCAGGCTCGGGGGAGAACAGCTTGAGCGATGGGGAGCAGAGGGGTTTTAGGAACAGGGTCACGTTCACGAATGAGCCAGAGGCGTTATTGGAGGAGCAGGAGGCGCAGGTGTACCTGGACTTCCGGCCCTATATGGACCTGGCGCCCACCACTGTCAGGCAAGCACCGGCAAACTTGAACACTGGGCCAAATTTAATGCACTTTGTCCTCAATGCCCAGGCCATACTTGAGTGTCCTTTCATGCATCAAGCGGTAGATCTTGTCTGGAAAGTGGTGGGTCTCTTTGATGAACAGAAGCAAACGAGAAAGCGGTGCAGTATTTTGACCATCAAGGCGGCTGATGGCGCGCAGGCCTGAGACACCGGCGGAGCGGGCGCATGCAATGTTCACGCTGCTGGGCTTGCGGCACATGTGTGTGGTGGACGAGAACAGCCGAGTGCGAGGCATCATCACGCGCCGTGACCTGGACTATGCCGCCGGCCACGGCGCCTGGCGCCGCAACAAGATGGCCCCCGCACCCGACCCCGTGTCGCCCTCAGGCAAGGCTGCTGCCTCCAAAAGATCTAGCAAAGAATTGGCACAGATAAACGTCGCGCAGTGGAGTCAAGACATTGTCTTGCTTTACCTGAGTTGGGTGCCTGCATGCTGATGGGTGGAGAATAAATGAATATTGTGTTATGCTGACATTAGGTCTGCGCCTGCCACGGCGGCGGAGGTCCACCAGGGAGGTGCTTCTGGCTGCGCTCTACACCGTGGGCCTCAGGAGCTCACCGCATGAAGAGGAGAGGCTGCCACTGCTGCCAGACAATGGTGCGCAGCATCCCAATGTCATTATCAATGAGCATATGTCACCCAAAGTAGGTTCATGGGAAATGTGTCATGCATGCACTGATGTTCATGTGATAAGCTCAGGAGGGTGTGCGTGTAAGCAGCAGTCTTTGTACATGCAGGTGTTGAAAATGGGGAGTCCGATGCTACAATTGAGTCTTTCTCACGCGAAGCAGATCAGCTACAGCCCCGCATTTGATTGTGCCAGGTTTTTCTGACGGCACTGTTGAGAACTATTCTTTAAAGTCAATGCAGAATGACCAGAGGTCGTCATGATGGTGCAGATTTGTCATAGCTACCACGCACATGACGGATTGCAACAGAATTGCTGCAGAATGTACTGGAAGTTTCAGTCTCAGTCTGAAAAAATCACAGTGCAGTCCTCAAAAGGATTGTTTGTAAGATGTGGAATTTCCAATTCAGATATTAACTCCTAAAAATAACTCCCTTCCGGGCCCAACTTTGACATTCTGTCTGTTACCATGCGTGCAATTCTTGAGCTCAAATACCTTCAAAAGCAACAAGTGAGTACAAGACCTGCTAACATTGCGTACTGGCATGATCACTCGTTGCAGCCCTGAGCATAGGAGTCAGGCTGCCTGGTACCATCTCCTTGTGTGCTACTAGGTCTCACAGGACAGGGGTCAACATCTTTGTCGTCATGGGTCAAGTGCTCTCAATCTCCACATCCATGAGGCATTTCAGCAGAACAAGCAGTATTGATCCAGCTCTGTGACGGCCAGAAAGTGCGGGGCGCAGCAGGGTTCTTTCAGGTGTGCACATCTGCAGGGAGACTTTCTGGCTGGGATCTGCGAGCACACAACAAAATGTGATCAGGTGACAGGGCACAGACTCATGCTTCACACAACCCTTGATACGCATGCCACAATACAATTTATTATTGTTATTACCTTTATTACACGCTTTTCCTGCCAAGAGGCAAGCTGCATGTGAAGGCTGCCACAACACAATTTGCAAGGTGTAATCCTGTGAGGGGGCAATGCTAACTCGTCTCTGATCTGATCTCTGACCAAGCCAGGCCTATGATTGCATCCCCGCATTTCACACCAGATGCTCTCATCTTCAGCAGGTCTAGCTGGCACCTTAGCGCACAGTGTATTGCATATGCCAGGCTGGGTCTCAGCAATTCACAGCTGGATTTCAAGGTCTGGTCCAATGCAGAAACTAGTGTTGGACCAGACTCTTTCATTTCCTCCAAGATATGGCTAAGGGAACCTGTTCAGTATCCGTATCTCACATTAGAAAACGAGACTCCGACACTGCGATTGTAGTGTGATGATGGTTGTGATAGTAATAGTGTTGGACCGTTTTCTCCCTCTAGGAAGCCCTATAAGAATATGATATCGCAGCAGGGGCAGGCAGGCAGGCAGAGACCCACCCTTGGGGCTGTGTACCACCAATGTCTGCCGCCCGGGAGAGCTGGTCGGCCAAACGCGCATGCACCTCGCGCACAACAAAGCTGAGGCTGCGCGCGCCGCCCTCCGCAGCCGCTGCAATGTCAGAGATGTCCACGTCTGGCGGCTGCAGGCTGGCATTCGCCACGTCAGCCTTGCCGGGCTCCAGCATCAGCGCCAGCTCGTGCTCCCACCTCTGTGGCGGCGCATCTGCGGCAGCAATGCTGGTATTGTTATTATTACACCGTATGTCTGTCAAACGGCAAGGTGCCTCTGCAGGCAAGGTGCAGGTGAACGCTGCCACAAATTGCACCCCTGTTGATGGACTGGTCAGCACTGTGCCTTCAGAAATGTCAGTGCTTTTCCTACAAGGGCATGTCAACAGAGGAGCAATGGACTGCGCAAGCACCGTTACAGCACTGCATGCTGTGAGACGTGTCAGGTCTGCATGCATGCAGAGCTTCACCTAAGTTGGCGTCGCAGCCAGGGTCTGCATGCGTGATCAGGCCAATGGTGAGTTGATCCTCCTCAATGCGGCGGATGCTGACCCCGACGAGCGTGTTGATCAGTGCCGTCACCTCGCTGCACCACTCCAAAGCCTCTGCAAAGCGCTCTGGTGCGGCCTGCCCATCCTTCTTCTGCTGTGAACTTGAGCGCAGCATCTCGACCTTCCAATGAGCCCACAAAGCAACTGGTGAGATGATCAACGAAAGCAGTGCAAGTCACATCATACTGATAGATTTATGTGGCCACGATAAGAATCGGCATGGCAGTCATGCCTCAATTGAAATTTGGTGGGAGTGTCAGACCTGGACACGCAAGGCCTGCACCTCCTGCTGCTCAGAGTTGATGGCTGCTTGTAGCTCTGCCACTTCAGCCTGCGCCAGGAAAGATAAGCTAGTGCATTCTTCTGCTGCTTAAATAGACTGTGTAGATTGGACTCCAGTGTGTGCTTATGGCGTCCATTACCCACCTCATGTGCAGCGATGGCCGCCTCCATCTGCCTTCCAACTCCAGTCTCTGATGCAAGCTCTGCCTCACAGTCCTCTTCCTTCACCCCCTGTTTGGGCAGCAGACAGAGTATCATTAGCATTCTCCCCATTGCTGCCTCGCTGCTGCCGCTGCCTATCTACCTACCAAAAACCCTTCTTACTGGAAGTCTCTCTCAAACGTAGAAAAGAACGCAACGTTTTTGGATTCTTTTTGAACGTGACGTGCCTCTTCTATGGGAGGCAGGGACTGGTCGTACACAGCGCTGCCTGCTTCCACATGCTCCAGCTCTGCCAAGGCAGCTGTCTGCTCCTCCTCCAACTCCCTCACAGTGTCTGTGATCTCTGTGATCAACTGTGCGATCTCCGCCTGAGTCTGAACAGCGCAGGCATCCGTCAGCACTTGATACCAGATCGCAAAGGAGAAAGAATTTTGTGGCGCGGCTGCATTCTTTGGGCGCACCTTTGCGTTCTGCTGCTTGGAGCTCTTGACCTTTGCACCCTGGCTCTGCACTTGCTCCTCCAGCCCTTGCAGCTTTCTGTCCTCTGATCCATCGGGTAAGTCATCCAGCAGCCCTGCTCGCCACTCCTCAGGCTGTCAAACTGAATGTCACAGAACCTGATAACTGTGTACTTGCATGGTATCAGTTTCAGTAAAACTGTATGCCTGAAGGACAGTCACCGTCGATGAAGTGCTCCTTTGTGTGATACAGCATGAAGGTATTCTTCAGGCTGGAGAACTGGCGCCTCAACCGCCGCAGATCGCTTTCACCTGCCCCTGCCGCCTGTTCCTTGGCCATTTTCTCAACACCCGAGACCCTCTCCTGGCTGGAAGCTTTCACATTTTGCAAGGCCCTGCATAGCAAGTCACAACGTTGCAAGCCACAACTCAGTACCGTCCATGGCCCACAAAGCATGTCCATGCGCTCAGAGACAAGGTACATGCATGTAGCCTATGAGTTGAATAAATAAGTGCGATGGTACCTTTGCAATTCTATAATCTGTATGTTAGCATTTGCTGGATTATTCTCGTCAACAGCAAGCTCTCTTCCCACAGACAACGTCATGTTGCTGTGTCGCAGTGCAAAATACTCGTGAAATTGCCGTGGTAATTTTAAGTGCTTTTCACGGCACGTGATTTGCGTAGCGCGTCTTCAGGAGAATGTTCAAATGCCAGCAGGATGTGTCCTGACAATGACAGAATCCGTCAATCACGTTGTCTCCAGGACGATAGCACCAGGAAGAACTGGGAAACCAATTATTGACTTCGTAATAAGCTATATTCTGCTCTTCACAAGCTCCTATCTGGAGCTGTTGAGAAACGCTTTTGAATGCCATGTGCTGTTGAGCGGCGTTCCTGCTGCAGCCTCGCTGACTGCATGGCCGAGCCTCAATCCTCGTTCTATTCAAAGTCTATTTGTCACAAAGGCTCAGAATTCGAGTCTGTATTGGTACTGCTTCTGGCATGAACAAGCACTGATGTTCCATTGGCCTGATCGGTCTGGTTGGGTACGCCTGGTTAATAGTCATCGTGACCGTCATTCTCTCGCAAGTCTGGGGTGATCAATATGCTGACTGGCTAGTAATTACTTTTAGATCATCATGGTAGCGTTGACAACTTCTATCTCAGCCATGGCAGGGCCCACCGCAACAAGGGACGTGTGCATGATGCACGCTCCTCATCGCTTGCCAGGACAGGCATCAATTCTCCGCAATCACAGAAGTAGAGGTAGCAAGGCAGCTCATGTTAGACATCCGTTCAAGCGATTGCGAGTGCAGAGGTGTGTGGCACTGGAAGAGGCTGACTGGGAGGAAGAGATGAGCCTCTTCAGGAAGAGACTGCAGAAGCCCAATCAGCTGGAGACAATGCGAAAAATTGTCGAAGAGGTGGACATTGGAAAGGTACGTGACGCGCAATCAAGTGCACCCCATTGCTGGCATGAATCCTGCTGCAGACATGAGAAATCAGTCAACCCTTGCAGGTGCTCCTTGTCGGGGACGGCTTTGCCGTCATCCAAGGTCTCAACAACGATGCCCCAGTAGGATGCAGCCTCAGGTTTGTGAGCGGTGCATCCGGAGTGCTTCTCTGGCGGCGCAGCGACAATATTTGCCTTGCACTGCTCCTGGGCAGCACTGGCACAGTTGAGGTCGGTGAAGGAGTGGAATGCCGCATCAGAGCTATCCTTCAGGCACGCCCAGCATCACTGACAACCATCTCTGCCAGTAAATCAGCAAATCATCTCCAGCAATGTTGCCAATCTTCTTCTCTTCTCCTCCTTGAAACCTTCACTATCACAATGATTGAAGGACAGGGCACTTGCAAAAAATTGAAAATATGATGACATGATCTCGCTGCTGCAGGTGGTAGATGAGCAGCAGGGCCCGACAACAAAGAGGGAGTACGACGTGGCCAAGGTGCCTGTGGGGGAGGAGCTGGCAGGAAAGGTTGTAGATTTTCTGGGGAGAGCGCCGGGCACCCAGGTCCAGCTGGGCACCAGTGCATTCGCGCCGCTCCTTGCCGAGCAGCCAGACATGGAGTCCAGGGAACAGATTGCAGAGGCGTTGGTGACAGGAGTCAAAGTGCGTGTTCAATTGAGCCTCTGGAATACCTGGCATTGCTGCTTTCCATTCTCATGCAGGGGTTGCACGTTGCTGATAGAAATGTGGCAGGCAAGAATGTGTGGTCCAATTTCTGAGGAGGTGCTCTGCGCCGCAGGCGCTTGATGTGTTGACACCCTTGGGGAGGGGGCAGGCTCTGCTCGTGACGGGCCTGCGGCAAACTGGGAAGACATCACTGGTGCTGGACGCAATCCTGGGGCAATATCGCAGCGGCGTGCGCTGCATCTACGCAGCCATCGGCCAAAGGTTCCTTTTCGCTTATCAGAAACACGCCAAAACCCATGACAATTTGCCATTGTTCCAAATCTGCTAAGCTTAGGCTTTGCTTTGCCATGACCATGTGCATAGCTGTCACAGACACCCGTGAACCCATTCACTGCAGTTTCCATTGTTTTTTCTGTAGCTCCAGAACCATTATTATCTTTGTGCCCTGCAGCATGGAAGAGGTGACTAGCACAGTAGCACTGCTCAAGCGCAACGATGCGATGGCCTACACGACAGTGGTGGCGGCGCCCGAGGGTGCCAGCCTGGGCGAGCGCTATGCAGCCATCTCCAGCGCGCTCGCCATTGGAGAGCTCGTGCGGGACCGTGGCGGCCACTCCCTGGTCATCATTGATGACCTTGCCTGCATGGTGAGGGCCCAGCCGCTCCCCTGTCTTTAATCTGCCCACAAGGGGATTGCCAGCTTGCTGGACAAGCAGTGTAATGGGGCACTATCTTTTATGTGAGCCTCCTGAGGGTCCGACTTCTTGAATGGCAAAGCGGTGAGGCTGTGAAGCCACTGAGGGGGAAGTTAGTAGTGTTGCATGTGGTAGGATCCAGAAGTGAGGGCTGGCATGTTGGCGCGCAGGTGGAGGTCTGGGAAAGTATCACAAAGGCGCTCGCGACGTTGGGCCCTGTTGCTGAGCTGGAGGGCGACAAGCAGGAGGACAGCATGGATGAGGAGCAGCTGGTCGAGTATGAAGGCATGCTGGTGGCCGCCTCCGCCGCGCAGCGACGCAGGTGACCTTTCCCACCTCAACAACCCTCAGGACATCTGCAAGATCAGAGGCAGAAAGTGCGCAGTGCACCTCGAGAGTAGGCAGTGCTTGAGCATGTGTGTGCTCCGCGGCGCAGGTTCTTTTCGTCGCTGATCCAGCGCGCGGCGAAGCTGCACAAGCGGCTGGGCGGCGGGTCACTGACGCTGCTGCCGGTGCTGGCGGGGGCGCCGGCGCGCGGGGAGGGCCCGCGGCCGCCCAGCGCCGCGCAGTACAAGCACCTGTCTGAGGCGCAGCGCGAAAAGCTGCAGGCCGCGCTCGAGGCCGCCCACCAGCAGCAGCTTGGGCAGCAGCAGGAGGGCTGCGTTCGCACGGAGGTGCGCCGGACGCTCCCCATTTGGCATTGCTATTTTCCTGTTGTCGGATTGGCAACAGCAATAGCCTGCACAAAACAGACGCAAGACTCTGCAGATGACATGATTGGGAGCCGATTATGCAGGCAGAGGCCTCATGGTAGCATACAGGCAGAGAAGCACCAAAATGCTTCATGAATGGATGCACGCAGAGAAGCACACAAGAGAAGGAGAAGCAAGACCGAGGGGTTCAGGGAGCAAAGGGGTGCTGTGCAGGTGGTGGAGGAGTTCATGTCGATAGCGGATGGGCAGGTGGTGCTGCAGCGCGAGGATGGCGGCGCGGCGGTGGGCGTGGACCCGCAGGCCAGCGTCAGCCGCATCGGCAGCCGCGCCTACCCGCCCGCCCTCGCCGACCTTGCTGTACAGCTGCGCTTCGAGCTGGCGCAGGTGCGACTGGACTTGCTGACAGAAAACCTGCCTTGCATGAAAATACATATGGCCGCAACAATTTCTTTGCCACCAACATCCACCAAGTCCTGCTTATTGTACTCATGCTTGCTTGCATCTTCTGTGGGCAAACAAAGAATGTGCTTCTGAGTACTTGCCCGCTGGGGTGCTAGGATCTGGGGACTGCTGAAGACTTTTTGTGTGACTGGAAGAATGCTTCATTTCAGGGATTGGTGCACCAGCGTCTAAGAACAGAGGCTTCTGTGGGGCTGCAGGCCGTGGACGCTGCAAGGTTCGGCCATGATCCAGAGGCGGCAGCGGTTCGGCAGCAGGCGTGCTTTGCGGAGCAGGCACGGGCTGCCCTGGCGCAGACACCAGGGCATCCAGTGCCTTTAGAGGAGCAGGTGTGCTGCTCGTTGCTCTGGATCTCTTGCAGGTGACAGATTTCAGCACTAGCATAGTATCTCAGATCCAACTTCCTGCTAAGCGAGGAGTTCAATTTCGATGCACAGGTGGCGATTCTGTATGCTCTACAGAGCGGCTTCTTCCGAAATGTCAGCCCCAGCAGTGTGCCTCTGCGCCAGTCAATCTTCATCCAGTCCCTGAGGAGGTCAAAACCTGGCGTTCTGCGGGATATTGCCGCCACACAGCAACTGACAGAAGAAGCCAGGGCAGCCCTGGGTCAAGCCCTGGAAGAGATCAGTGCTGCTTTCAGCCCATCGACCTGATTGGCACCGTTGGCAACTTGGTTTGGGGCTCTTCCAGGTGTAAAACAGAACCTGTACAATACGTTGACTAGGTAGATTAATAGTCCTTGAGTTGCATTGCCTGACAGCACCATCCTTGCACATTTGGATTTGCCAAATTGGGAGGTTATGTCTTAGAATGTCTGGGTGGCTACTTTACAGGCTAGTTGAATGCGTCCCACAGAAATTGCGGACCTGCTGATTTGGCTTCTCATTGCCAATTGCAAAGGCAGTGCGTGAAAGTGTTCCATAGAACCTGTAAAGTTGCAGATCAGCATTTTTACAGTGTTACATTCGTACTTCTTCTGGCTTCAATGTCACCAACGCCATATGATCTATTTGCGCATATGAAGCCCTCTTCATCGAAGTCAGCCACCACTGAGCAGTTGCCACAGGCGCGCAAGCCTCCACAAATGGGGTCATGGACAAAGATGCGGCCGCTCGCATGCAACGCGCGCGCATGCGCCTCCTCGGCATCCATTTTGTGTCGCCTCCAATGTCGCTGTGACCAATTGAAACCAAACAGGTGAACCTTTGTCTCCGGCGAGGCGCACTCCATGGCCAGCATCATGCCTGGGCGGATGGTGCACAACAGAATCAGCACAACAAATCTGACTACATGCAGCACAGTTAGCCTGTGTCTAGACTACATGCAGCAGGTGATCATCAGATGATCTTGTACAAAGGTGGCCGAAATAAGCTGCGCAGCTGCATGCAACGTGGCCAACCAATTGTGTGCCATGATATCCATTCAACATCGTCAACTGAAGCGCAGTCGTGGTCACCTTGCCAGCCAGAGGACGGATTGCCAGGACCAACGAGCTGTGCATACAGGGCAGTCATTCTTTGCTGTGAAATCTGAGCGCTATGCTGCTGCTGTAAGAAGGGCCAACGCTTGTAGATGTCTTCTATTGCTGTCTGTCGCTGCTCCCCGATGCTGTCCAAAAACCAGATACTTTTCACCAGGCCCAAAGCCTCTTCTGTCTTGCAGTGCGCTACTTCTGTCAGACCGTGATACTTCAAAGGGGCATGTTCTGCAAAGCGAACAACCCAGACATCCATTTGTTCACCACAAAACCTGCGCACACCGAAAGGATCTTTGGTGCTGCTTGCATCACTCCACATCTCAACTGTTGTACTGCGAGTTCTCTTTGGGTGGTCATTCGCCACACCTGTTGTTCAGTTTGTTGAAACGGATGACCACGTCACTGATTTCAATCTGTGATCTTTGAAGGTCCGAAAGAGGACCATTTCCAACAACAGCTATGGTGCGGGGCTGGCTGCTGGCAATCTGTATGGCCTGCAAAGAATGTCAATGTCTTATCTAAAATTGCTACTTCTCATGAAAATTGCAAATACTGCCGGTCTGCGTCCATTACAATAATGGAATGGTCTGTGTGAACAAGGTCTTGAGATCGGCACACACTGTCCTGTGCACTGCAAGCACATACTGTTCATATAGGCCTTTTGCAGTATCACCTTGCATTCTGGCCTTCTCTCCCCTAGCCAAGAACGGCTCTGTCTAGCAAGGGCTTTTATTGGGGCCTGATCTGGGGTGTGAAGTAGAATTTGGCAGGCCACAAATAGCACGGCAAATACTGCCAGAATTTTACTCAAGTTCTGACAAGTACAAGGACTCGCCATGAGGTTTTGTGCTGAAAGGCAGTTGAACAACGAGGACTGTCCATCTGCCCCTTGCGGTGAGTCTTCCCCTTACATTATCTTGTCTTATTTGACAAGGAGGTTGCAAAATAATATGAGAAAAATTAGTGATGATATTATCTGAGTCTTGGCTGTTACTGGAACCAACATCAGCACAACGTCCAGATCATAGTTCTAGATTACAACAGTCCGTCGGCGTTGTCGAAGTCTCGTACAAATCAAGAAGCAAGAAAGACACAAGATATTGTTGTTACAGGTTTACAAATCCGCAAGGCAGATTTCAAGACACTTCTCTGTTCGACTGTTGACTCCAAGCTAGCAAACTCCGAGATAACGTAACCCAGTTAGTGCTTGGCTTCAAGTTACTCCTTTCCAGGATGGAACTACTTCGCAGCATTAAATTCAGCAGAATACTAGTTTGATCAACGAAGGGAAGGCTGAATCTGAAGTGAAATATTCGTTCAGCCCTTGTAGAAACATGACAGCTCTCAACTCCTTTCCCACTCTTTGCATGCACAGATCTGTGAGGCCCGTTGCCAGCAATGTATTCACCCAATACAGAGCGATTCCCATTGCATCAAAGGCGGCTGGCTCCAAGCCGTCTGCTCATGGGATCAAGCAGTTGCAGGTGATCTGTCACAAGACCACTGCTAGGGTGCTTAGGCCAGTTTGTCCTAGCTCGACTTTCAGGAGAGGATCTGCTTACAAGATATCTGACAGTCCATCTTGGGTGACAGGGTGCATCTACCAGCCGGAGAAGTCGAGGTGTATCTGCTGTCCAAGCCACTGCTGTGACTTCTGACTTACCTGTGGAGTTAAAGAAAATTGTGGATCTTTTCAATATGGTAAGTTTCCCTTGATGTGAGTGGGCTTGGAGGGTGCGGGTTCCTGGCAGTACAGAAGCAGACTCATGTGCCCATTTCCTGCTCAGGTGCCTGATCCAAAGCTGAAGTATCAACAGCTTCTGGCGTACGGCAAGAAGCTGCCTGCCATGCCTGCAGAAGACCACACTGAGGACAACAAAGTCAGGGGCTGCGTATCTCAGGTACTTGCAGCAAGTTTTTATCGCAGAAATGCTTCCGGCAGAAGTGTCCTCTGGACTGTCTTGCAATGGTGCACTGGCACGGCCAGTGAGCGAATGACTCCCTTTTGCAGGTGTGGGTGAAGCCAGAGCTGAGGGATAATAAAGTGTACTGGCGAGCTGATTCTGATTCTGTCCTTACCAAGGTACCTCGACCCCTTCTGACCAGCACTCTTTGCAGGGAAATATGCATTGTGTGGTATCCATGTTTGAATATATAATCGAAGGCATTCCATGCAACTTCATGTGCTGAATTTCTGGCGACATTGCGCTGCGACAGGGTCTGGCGGCTTTGTTGGTGCAAGGATTGAGTGGGTGCACGCTGGAGGAGGTGGTGTCGCTGTCTCCAGACTGGATCAGCAACATGGGGTTGCAGCAGAGCCTCACGCCCTCGCGCAACAATGGCTTCCTTAACATGTTTGCCTTGATGCGCCAGAAGGCCGCTGAGCTCTCCCAAGCGCAGCCAGTAAGCTTCTAGGCAGAAACCACATGTCGGCAATCACCCCTCTGTCTCTCACATGCCCTTCATTTGTTGGCCAAGTTTTTTGGATGTTCTGGAGTACAAGTATTGTGTTGCCCAAATGGCTCTTGAGGATGTTTTGTTATCTTGGCAGGCTTCAGAAGCTCCGGAAGCAGCGAGCAATTCGAGTGAGGGAGAAAGTGCGTCTGCATCCAATGGGAATGGTGCCACGAGCAGCGCACCAGAGAGCTCTGCAAAACCAGTGCGAGCAAGCATGGAGAGGAAGCTGAACGAAGCACTGCAGCCAGAATCTTTGACGATACTGGACGAGTCTTCTCAGCATGCAGGCCATGCTGGGTCGAGAATGCTGGCCAGCCCTTCAGGGGAGACACACTTCAAGGTCAGCGTTGTCTCATCAGCGTTTGAAGGGCTGAACACCGTGAAGAGGCATCGCCTGGTCTACAAGGTGAGCTAATTGCAAGCTTCTTGCCTGAATCCTTAGCCCTCATATGGTGGGCATACAGGTCCTTTTCTATTATAGCTTCATATGCTTTGGTGCCTTAAGGAAGCTTCAAGCAATACCTTGTCAGAGTCTGAAAAGTACTCGGTGCTGACGCAGATTCTTGAGGAAGAGTTGGCAGGACCTGTTCATGCACTGTCGCTGGACACCAAGTCTCTTCAAGAGACCCGATAAGCATACTGTACTTAGCAACATGCACAAATTTTGTAAAGAGTGATCTTGTGTGACAAATGCAGTGCTTAAGGGAGGTAAACCTTTGGAGGTTGCCAATCTTGTCAGCATTTTCTCAAGAGAAACGATGTTAGTCCGATTGCCTCCAGATGCAACCAAAAATATATGTAACAACACTTCCTGCATTAATGAGCTGTGCAAGAGTGATATCATTTTTGGTATCCCACTCGCCTAGCATCGAGTACTTGACAGCTTTAATAATCCTCATTGTCTGATCAGCTTGCTCTCACAGACATGCACGGAAAACCTCTGGAAGGTCAATGTGACCCTTTTGCATGCAAAATGCATGCAGCAAAGAAAGTTTCAGTATTTGCAAAATCAGCAATTGGATGAGCTACAGAAAAGTATCATACCGGAATCGCAGTCATGAACACTGTCAGATGCTCAGGCCAAGTTGCAATCCAAGGAATGCATGGACCACAAAAAGAGCCATGATGCTGCTCCCAAGCCACGCATGAGCTGTCCTGAGGCTCGGCTCTTCGTCAAAGAAGAGGCTCAGCATCCCCTGCAGTGACAGCAAGGCCAAGCCCCACAGACCAGTGGTCACATGTGGGCTGTCCCCGCAGCATCTGTCAGTTTCCTTGTTACAGCATTGAACGCACTTCCAATATAAAAAAAATAGCTGAGCAGTTCTGCAAAGATTTCATAAGGACATCAGATCTTTTGGACGAAGGACATAGGAACACACCTGGAGAAGATAGGCTTGCCCTGCATTATCAAGCTCATGATGCCACCCAGAGCGCCGAGAGCGAAGAAGATGGTCATGCCGGTCGCCAACTTGGGGTGCAGGTCACGGGCCTTGATGACAGTGGCAGTGTCATCCGAGAGCCGCAGCTGCCAGCCAAGATACACGGAACCATACAGCCCCATGGCCACCAGGACAACCGCCATGTTGCCTGTGAGCAGTTGTCTGCAGTTAGACCACCTGGGACAAGGCGATAAAGGGCAGCGGCAATAACAAAATTATTAGCGGAATTATTTTTCCAATATTCATGCCTTTTTTGGGAGAGCGATGGACACACGCCTGGATGGCCCCAGTGGATCAACCATTCTGGAAGGTTGAGACTTGAGAAGTATTCGGCCTGAGGCGTCAACAGGCGTCTAATTCCATCTGAAATGCCACCTCCAGCAGCCAAAGTGTACACTGCACGGCCACAAGGTCATCAAAGCAGCCAATAATTGAATGTCAAACCCATGCATCTGATGGATTCATGACATCACATCAGCAACCACCAAACAACAAGCCACCTACTTTTACTATTTGCAGAAAGAACAAGTAATTTAAAGTTGTCTACCCACCTGGGATGACAGCAGCGGGAGAGGAAAGTAAACGCGTTTCTTGCGCGAGTTTTCTAGCTCCTTTCTTTGCATCGCCGCTCTGGGCCCCTCTCCTGCATTTGATGATCGGCTTTGGCAGGAACCCCGCATTCACTACTCCCACCGACGCACGCATCATGATCGTTTGGACGCTGCAAATGCGCCGCTCGCACCTGCCAGGCTAAAGTTTGTGAACCGCGATGTCACAGACGTGGCAATACAGCATGCAAGGGCTATTTTTGGAAAGACGAAGGAAAGCATGCAGGCACATTTCCTTGCTGTTCTTACTGTTGTATTATTAAATGATGAAAGTGCATCTTCATCACGTTACAAAGTAAGGCGCTCCGGCCAATGCGGCAGACTGCAAATTCGCCACTAGCAAAGTGACTCTGGCAAACAGGTACCACCGTGACGGCCGCCGGTGCGGCCGGCGGGCGGCGGCCGCCCGCCGCGGGCCCCTGGCACCGGGTGCTTTAAAGGCCTAAGAATATACCATCACAATGCGTAGCCGACTATTCAACATGCTGGAGTACCCACATACTGAAGGGCCCAGGGGTTATTGAACACGGACACTGGGGAACAAGCAGTTGACTTCAGAATACTGTTACGCATCTGCACTTTGCACTGCACATGGCATGCTCTGAAGCAAGACTTCTTGCAGATTGGAAGCTCCTACGCGTGAGGCAGCTGACTGCCTGTGGCTAATGCCAAGTGCCGTTCCAATATCATTGTCAATACAAGGAGAGGCAAATATGGTACATGGTCACATACTCTAGATTGCTGCAGATGTACAGTTTCAGCAGTCCAGCCCCAAATCGTGCTCCTCATTTCAGTCAAGCAGTGCAAATGGACAGGAGGTCCATCCGCCGCTGCCGCCAAAAACTCTTTCTAATGGGATCTGTGGATTCAAGAAGCTTGAAGCATTGACTGCCCAGCGCTGCAGCAGCCGCTGCCTTCCCCTGATCCTTCAGCGCCTTTGACAAGCGGCTCTGCTCTGTGTATATGTCCGCCAAAAACGCCAGCGCAAGGCTGCATGAGCTCTTCTGCTGCAGTACCTGCAGTCGGATGACAATCTAAGGCCGAGCAACCACCTGACCCATCATCTGAATTGCTATCACCCTGTAACAATCCTGCACCTGTCCTTACCAGTCCACCAATCATACATGATAGTTGCACCGGGGATGAGATCGTGTTATGATTGGAGGGGCGCAAGTCAGCACACCTTCAAGCAGAGGCTTGAAAGTAAAGGCTCCAGGGCCATCTTGTGAGGGAGCCCCAAGGAGGTACACAGGCCGCGCAGGTAATTCCAGGAGCTCTCATTGTGGGGTGCCTTCAGAATCATTGACCTGGTATATGCCACCTCTCTCTGAAAAACCTGCTCGGGATCGCACCTGGGCACACCAGGAGAAAGGATCATTAAGCAATGTAAAGCGGCAATGGAGAGGTACAAAATGTGCCTGCATGGACATTGCAAGAGGCAGGCAGCATTATTGTGAGGACTGTTACCCTTTGGCCATGTGCTTGACAGCCACAAAGCGGTGGTTCCAGGCAGAATTGTTGCGCAGGTCTTCCTCCAGCAGCCGAGACAGGTCGACCATCTCTTGCTCCCACAGACCATAGCGCTCGGCAACTGCAACGCGGTGCGCCCAGGCATGGTAGTTCTTTGCATCCCCATCCAGGCACTGGTTCACATATGCAAACTCCTGCGCACAGCATGTGCAGAAAAGGTGTGTCAATTGACACTGCGACCTCTTTTGGATGGTCCCCCACAGGAGGCTTCAATGCAGGAAGTAATTCGAGAGGTTGTCGGAGGATAATGTTCATGGGGGAGTGATCAAAGCAAGTACCTCAGTGGCATGCAGAGCACCCCGGTGGAAAGCAAATCTGCGTCTGTAGTTCCAAAGCTGATAATTCTTGGGATTGTGCATCAGCATCTGATCCAGGAACTCAGCCTCCTTGTCCATGAAGCTGCTCGGCAAGAATTGCAAGCACCTCCATCGCACCTCCCAAGCATTGTAATTCGATGCATTGATCGCTATCACCTGCCCAAAGAATCAACGCAGGTCATTCAACCAGCCATTTAAAAATCAAGTGGAATGCGACAGAGCCACTGCATGACAGGGTGGACGTTGGTCATCAACTAGGCGCGGTCACCTCTTCTGTCAATGCAAGAACTCTTTCACTGAGCTCCCCGTTTCCGAGGACTGCATGGAAGAGGTCCATTGTAGCTGCATCTTCCCCACTACTTCGTATTCTGACAACAGGTGCTAGCCCCTCATCCTCATGGATTGGTGTGATGTCCTCCCAACCCTCCCTCAAGAGTGCGTCGTCTCCGATTTCTTGCATTGAGAATGTCTGCAAGATGCCAGCATACAAAGTAAGAGGGTAGAGTGGCCTGGCACTACACTGATGGTGTTGAGGCAGCAAAAACACATGAATGCAAGGTTGCAAACCCCTCACCTTACTCTGAAAATTTCGTGTCAGCGGTATGTGCAGCGAGGAGCCTCATGCATCCAGCTGCGGACATCCTTCCTCCTCAAGTTATGGATGTGGCAAATAGCAGACAACAAGCCGCGAAATGGATGGGGCTTTCGCAACTCACCTGTCTTGATCCAACTCTTTAGACTTCTGTCGAAGCTGTGCTAGCACATTCTCCAAAACAGCTACAAGGCAAGAAGCAATCCTCCTCTCATTTTTACAGCTGTGCGGACATCGATGACATAGACGAAAGAAAAAACGACAAGCTAACCTCGATCAACTTCTGCCTTCTTTTCGTCAATGACAGGTGCACCCTCAACCCCTGCAAGCGATACTGAGCGGTGAGCTTTACGTTGAACAAACGGGAAAGATGCTTTCAATGGCATTTTGAGTATTACCTGTGTTATTTGCTCCTAGGCTTCCCCCTTGCGTTCTGGCTTGCTCAGACATCGTCGATATCACATCACCTAGGAGCTACAGAAATCACAGCCTTCATAATGATCAGCTGAACCCATTTTGTCGATTGGGCAGCTGGGATGGGCAGGCGGGCTGCCCAAGTTGGGCAGGACCCCTGAAAGGCTCATGATCCCAGAGAAAATGTACAGACATACATTGTGATTCACATGCATGCTTATTCCAGGTGGACTGAAGCTCAAGGAATGCAATCACAGACCCAATCCTGCCACTGGCAAAAGGTCCATGCAGTTCCCGCTCTCAGCCTCCGAGTCAGAGTCTGCTCGGAGCTGCAGCCTGCAGGCTGCATATCATACAATTGTATGTGCACATGTGTACACTGCAGTCACTACACAGTGCAATAGTCACAGTCACAGCTGTGACAGTCCCTCGGGGCTATATACGAGCGAGAGCCCCTCTTAAAAATTATATGGAGGCACGCTGCGATGGGCGCCCATTTGTGACTCCAACTACAGTGACACAGGTGCATGCCGTAGACTAGTCTGCGATCTGTAAACTCTACAGAATAGAGTGCTGGCAAGAGAGGTTGGCTGGATGATTAATTATTGTAACTTGCATTAATGATGTCGATGTCAACAGGCCTCACCACCATAATGGCGCCAGCATGATTGTGCGCACGTGGCTTTGAAGCTCATTTTTGATTCGTGGCAGTACAAAGACTAACCCACTTCTTGGCTCTTAGAGAGACGCTCTTCCTAATCTTGTTGAGGAGACCAGTTGGCCTACATCATGGCCATGCATTGTAAGTGTTCTCTACAAATACAAGAGCAACCAACACGTTGTTCAGCTCCTTCCCTGCCACTGCAGTGCATGAAAATTCTAGCTACGCTGCAAAGTTCATCAGTAAGCATTGATCCGTTCTTGATGATATCAGGCACTTCTGTTATTCAGCTGTCTGACTGTAAACACATACTTAATAATGCCGCATGTTCTTTGTGCATCAATCAGATCTGAAGAAGTTGCTGTCTACAGTCTCGCTGTTGCACGGTCATGGTCCACCATGAGGCACCTGTCTGCCACAACGGTGATGCCTGCCTTTGCGATTCCCTCCTCAAATTGCCGGTCACTAATGCCAGACTGAAGCCACACGACCTGCAGGAAATGCAATATGCAGCCTGTCAAAGGGCTGCAACCAGAAAATCCCCCATGCTTCCCACAAGCTGCATCATTCATGAAACTTATCAGTGTGCAAATATAGAGCAAGTGGACATCACCTTTGGCTTGATTTCCAATATGTCATCCAGGTGACCGGCAAGGTCCTCTGCACGCCTGAAGACGTCTAGAATGTCCACAGGCTGTGGAACGTCTTGTAGCCTTCTAATCACCTTCTCTCCCAGGATCTCTTTGACATCAGGATAGTAGACTGGTACTGGAATGATCTTCACGCCTGCAGCTTGCAATGATTTGGCAACGTAGTGTGCTGGCCTGTCTGCCTGCGTGAGTCAGAGGGCCTTAATTACCTAGTGATCTCACTTCCACTAGTCAGGCGCATGTGCTATGGACCGAAATATATCTTTCAACACGATCTGCATATTCTGCTGGATGGATTGGCGTACTCTCGTTTCTGGGGCTATGCCCAGAACAGCGACACTTTTGGCCTCCCCAGCAATCTGCATATCCCGAGATAAGTTATCTTTGCCATTAAAAAATCGTCTTAGAGAAGGAGCAACATCATACCGATGTCGGAATGGCCTGAACTTATAAGACGACCCCTTTGTCAAGGAGCATCTTGCCTTAATAGCGTCGCTTGGTCTTGTAATTAATCTTGATCTCCACTCTTCAGCGGCTCCCGGGGACGCAGTATTACTCTGAAAGAGACCCATGACTGGGACGTTCCTAGCTTGCAAGGCCAATCTGTTTTTAGTACTGCTTCTGAACAATCGTGAACAGAGAACTTGCGGCAGGCTTCTGCACAGTAGCGGCATGCACAAGTAATTTGTTAAGACGGGAATTTTGTATAAAATAAGTGATCTTATTTGAAATTATTGATGACAGCAGCACTATCACCGTGAAGGTGAATTGATGCATTGCCATGCTGGCATCCATGCATACAGCTCAGCATGCACAAATGGCGCAGCAATCTCAATGGCATTTGCCATAAATGTCATTCAGTAAAAGAGCAATAGGCTACGTAAATTGCTTTGTCGAAGAACTACTGGCTGGGGCATGAACGGATCAGACATCATTCCTTCTACACTTGGTTGATCTGAAGACGATCCCGACAGAGAAATAGGCATCACGCGTCAATTCTGCCCATATGTTTTTACGAAAGATTAATTGGATATCGACAGGCTGGAACGCAAGGCAATTGTCTCAAGTGTCTCCCAAAACGCAACTAGTAAATGACGTCATCAAATATGTATATGACAGCACATTGGACCAAGACCAGGCCCTCGATGTCTTGAAAACTGGCCTAGCTGCCCAGCCTGATGCCTCAGAGGGTGTCCAGGCTGCCAGGTAAATATTGTCAAAATGCTGCTATCATCCTTGTGACTCCCCTACAACTAGCCAATGAGTATTCATGTTCTCTCTTGTTGCAGGATATATCTCACCATGTCAGAGCTTGAGAGGGATCGCAGCAATTGGGTGCGGCTATGACCTGATGCAGCACATTAATGTGACGTTGCCACTCGATTCCGAGTAGGCACTCTCTGATCACAATCGTTATGCTTCAGGCTGCTGCAGTTGACCTCGCTGCCTCCGCTTCCAAAGCGGCTCGCAGTCATGAACCTGACTCGCCGGACGCTGCCGTCGCGGCTGCGAATGTGGAGCTAGCAGCGTACACCTCGGGAACAGTGGCGTACTTGGCGCAAGGACACGATTTTGAGGCGCTTGATTTGGCCGAACATGTGCGCCTCCAGCCCCTCATTGCGAGCATTCCCGTAAGGTGGGTGGTAGAACAGATGTCAGGGCTGGAGGCGCACCTTACGGGAATGCTCGCAATGGCCTCACCAACCTCTGACTCTGTTCGTAGCCTAGGAGCCTTAAGGATGGCGCAATGTCTGGACCTTGAAAGATGGAAAACAGCGCAGGCACTGGACATTGCTCGCGCATCCTTCCACCAGAAAGGGGCCGAGCGGCACCGCTGGCGGGGGCTGGTGGCCGCCAACAGCCTTGTGGCTCTGGCTAGGCACGCCTCAGGAGACCTGCAGGCCGGCCTGACCGCAGCCGACTCCGCGCAGGCAATGGCCGACCACACTGACAAGCGCCGCAGCAGCCTGTCCGAGCAGCAGGATGCTGTCATCCCCTGTGCCCTCCAGCGCATTGCCGCCCTCCGTTTCGCAACGGTGTGACTTGGCACTCAATGCGCTGCTTTAGGCATCGTCTTGCAGCTAGCTCTGATCAGGGCACTGCGCCTGCAGTGTTCAAGCCTATGAACATTTCACGAATGACTGCAGGGGGATTATGAGGAGGCAACAGCTTTATTTCAGCGAGCCGTGGCAGGGGCCGAGGCTGCACAGGCACACTTTTGCGTATCGGACACTGCGCCCCACCAGTCGCCGTGGGCTCTGGGTGAGACTCGCGCCAGCGCCCTGGGAGGCTTGGGCCAAGTGGCAATGCTAAACAAGGATTGGGACAAGGCGGAGGAGATCTTGTCACAGGTCCTATCCCTGCACCCCTCATTGTCCGTGACATTTGCTCCAGGCTGAGGAAATCCCGGGAAGGAGATCCTGCTTCAGTACAAACGTGCAAGCATGCGTGTGTGCGTCCAAGACTGACTGGCACTTGTGTGCAGGCGGTCAGTGATGCGGATGCTGTCACCTCACCCAAGCACCCGCGTGCAGTTCCGCTGCTTGTGCCACTTGGCATCGTCTTTGCCCGCACCCAGCGGATCACCTATGCAGAGGGCATTTTTAGGTGCGGTGCATGAGGTTCTCTCTGGCAGTCACCAAAGGCAGGACCATGATATGTTACAACGCGCGGTCTTGTTATCAAACTGTGGTTTGTTTTGCGTGCAGGAGTGCAGCTAACATTGTGGGGTTGGACCCCAACAAATGCAGCATGCCGAATGCTGTGCATGCAAGCACAGCTGCCTGTCTTAGCTGGCGCTATGCACAGTTGCTGGCTGCCATGCCCAAACGTGAGACCGAGACACAGGCCTGGCAGAGCTGCGCGCAGAAGCTATTTGAGGAGGGTGGCAAGAATGAGCGCTCTCTGATGGATGCTTTTGGCGATCTGCACCACTTGCAAGGGAAGGGTTTGGCCGGAGCAGGGGCAGTGGCAGATGTGACAACACGGCGTATGTTGCCCTGCGGATAAGTCATGTACAAGTCAATTGATGATGCTGATCCACAGGGACCACAGGAGGAGTCTCTTGGAAATTGCCTTGTATCGTTAGCCCATGCTCCCAACACGTGACCGCATTCTGCATTCCGAGAGGTGCTCAACAGCTCGTTTCGTCGGATCACACCTCGCAAACGCACACTTGTAAAAAGCGTGGGATTCTCAAGGATAACTCCTGTAGTCCTCGACTGCGGGTGGTTGTATTACGATCCTGACTGTTGACATCAACGTCCGTGCGTGCTTGAGAGTCTAGAAGACGCATAGCTACGTCGAGATCTCAGGGAGAGTGGAAATCGATGTCGTCATCGATACATTTTGGGTTGCGTAAGAGGCAGAAAATAGAAGTGCCTCCACAGGCCTTTTCTGACCCAGACGAGGACAGCGATCTACCGGAATCTGAACAGGATGTTGAAGCTCAGGTCAAACAATTGCAGGTATATCAATCTTTGTTATATTTACTTTGCTTTCCTTACCATTTATGGTGTCAGATAGCTGAGAAGATAAGCTGCTACAGGAGGAGGGCAGCAGGTATGCTGAGGATGGCCAATATTCTGCTGCTATAAGGACATGGGACCGTGCCATCGCAATGAGGCCATCAAATGCTGTTCTACACGAGCTGAAAGCCCAGGTAGGCACTTCTGTCCAATGTGGCACAAAAGCACCGCAATGTGTAGACACCTAGTCAGTAAGGAAGGAGGGAGGTACAGAAACAATTAGCTTGTCAATAATCAATTTTATATGCTCGCTCATACTAATTGCTCTCTTTTATCATTGATCAGGTCTTGCTCGATGCTGGGCAACCGTGGGCAGCAGTACAGTCTGCATTGAAGGCCACGAGGTGAATCATAATATCGATTAACGCCTTGCCTGCACCTAACTCCTTTACAATGTTAGCCTGTAGGGTTCATGATGGTGTGTGTGTGTGTGTGGCAGCTTGGATGAGACATGGCCAGACGGCTTCCTCACGCTTTCCCGAGCCCAATTTAACTTCGGCGAGGTATGAACAAGCTCCGATACATCTTCAGCGAATGGCACATGCACTGTAGAAGTTTCCACGCTATTGACAAGTCCTGTGCTTGTGGCGCAGCCTGAGGAGGCTCTGATCAGCATAAATGAGGCACTGAGACTACAGGTTGGCATCAGTTTTATGAAATGCTCTTGTTGCTGGTCTTTTGGCAACCCCCCTGACTGCTGAACTTCCACTGTTCTGTAAATGAACCAGTGTCTGCCCAATATCATCACCGGCGCTCGAGCCCATTCAAGAAGCTCAATGCTATGTTTGCGGATTCGCAGCCTGACCACCCGGACGCCCTGAGGGAGATCACAGACATCAAGGCACAAGTCCAGCGCAGGATTGGGCAGCCCGTGCCCCTGCGAGCCCCCACAGAAGAGCCTGGAGGAGCGCTGGTCTAAACCGAGTCCAATGTTTGCTCCTCCTGCTCAAATATCTCGTCTTCAATGCTGGCCCAGAGCAGCTCCACTCGGTCTACATAGGCATGGAATTCTGGGTCTGCCAAGTAGGCCCTTATGGCGTCTCTGATGTCTGCATCTGTCTGCGTGTGATCACTGTCCGGCCCAGAGTGATTGCTTGGGGCATGCTGCATCTCTGCTTGGGTTGCATGATTGCCATCCGGGCTGCAGTCCTGCTGCCTGCAGGGCATGAGGCTACCTTTGCAAGAGATATAAATTCTTGTAATTTATAGATACTGCCGTTCATGCAGGCTGGAAGACATTTCACTGTTGTTTTCTGTCTGCAAGTTTACCTGTAATGTGGGCAACACTCTCCTTGCTGGCCAACCTGTGTGTCAGCATCTGGAAGCGACTCTGCCACCTGTGGCCCCAGACTTAGTCCGGAGGATCTGGCGAGGACGCTCTTTGTGTAAAGCTCCTGCAAGGAAGATTGGAACAGTCTCAGATTGTTGGCATGCACACACACTTTCAAGAGGGAATGCAGTCAGTGCATGGGGATATTTTTCAGGGCATCAAGAGCTCTGTACCTGCAGAGCAAGGTGACAGTGCTTTCCAGCCTCCAATGGTACGAAGTTGAAGGCAAATGATCGCATCTGCCAGGACACATTTGCTTCAATCCGGATGCTAGATCAATACCTGTCCACCTTGCTGTCCCATGCAAAAATGAAACAAGACACTTAAAGGCGAAGAGAGGTCCAATTCAAGTCCCAAATGCCTTCAAGTTGCTGTGAGGGCGTGAATGGGACAGGCACGCACCTGCACGCCTGCCTTGTTCCTCTCAGGACATGTCGCTGCAAAGATCCAGCCGCGTCCAGTTTCCTCTGGGGAGAGGAGGCTGCATGCCACTGCATTGCAAATGTGCAGCATCAGAACTCCCTTCAGGTGCACCTGCTGTGTACAGCTCTCTCTCAGTGGTCTTGCATAAAGTAGAGGAGCACCTGCATGGATCACTTCTTCTTTAAAGGTGGCACTTGCCTGCAGAGATAAATTGCCATAGTGCTGGACATCAAACGTGAGGGTGGCCAGGGTGCTGCTCTGGAGCCAGGTTGCAGTTGGTGCTTGCTTTATTTTAGATAATCGGCAGGTTGCTGACTGAGGCAAAGCGGTAAAACATAAGGCTAGTGTCCCCGAATATGAGAACATGCTATCGTATTGGCCTAATCTGCCGAATCTGTGCAGACATCCGTCGCCTAAGGCTTACTGTGTTAGATACGCAGGAGGACCGTTACAGCAAGACGCTTGCTGGCCACACCTGCAAGCGCTGCTGTAGTGCAGTATCCAGGATTGCGATTCCATTTATACGAATGAGACATGCGATTGCAGTGAAATTGTTCGAGCTCATATTGACGAAATTGCACGTGGCATGCATGCAGCATGCATGCATGAGTGTGGTCATTTCTATGTAAGATCATCTTACTAAGATGCACAAAAAAGGGTACTGCAAAATGTTGATTGGTTCAATGCCAGCCTGCTGCAGGCTATACTGAAGTCTTCAATGAAACCAAAAGTTTGTTACAAGGCTACTTCTTCCTCAGAGTGAGAGCACCACTGCCTAACAGCAGGTTGCGCCGAGTAAACTTCACAGCAAACACAGGAGTTGCCTTGGTGGGATAAGACTGCAGCTGCTTCAAGCCACTGGCACTGCTGGGCTGGCCATCCTGCCCAGCTGGGCTGCCACTCACGCTCCACAGCCTCAAGGTGTTGTCTGCACCACCTGCACAATAGTTTGTACACATCAGCATGCAAGGCGCTGAACACCAGCGCAGACAACATCACATCTGTGTAGACATCGTCAGAAACCAATCGCTCACTTATTACATCTTCAAAGCTGTACCCTTCTCATGGCAAGCACGCCGAGGGCGAGTTCACCAAACCTGCTAGCGGAACAATCTGCCAATAGTTGGTTTATGAGCAGCTGGTCCAAAAGCAAGGAGGTGCTCACCTGATGCGAGCAGAGCGCTGCTGCCGTGGCTGGTGGCGAGGGACCAGACTGGGCCGGAGTGCGCCGCTGGCACATGGTGCAGCCGCTTGGCCTGAGACAGATCCCAGGCAGACATGCAGCCATCCTCATCGCCAGAGTACAGCGTGCTCCCGTCAGAAGAAAACTCCAGAGACGTGATCTGAGCCACCAACACATGTGTGTTCACCAGACACGCATGACATGAGCACGCTGTACTTGATCATTCAAAGCTGGAACATGAGAGCTACTTCAGACTCATGCATGCATTCCTACAAGCAGTAGTGAAGCAGGAGAAAAGCACAAGAAATTTGAGAATGTGAGATGCAGACATCAAGGTAGAGCGCCAGATTGAGTAGAAAGGGCTGTCTTGTGACGTAGATGCAATGCATGCAAGATACACGTGCACAGCTTCGATTCCGGGAGCGCACGGCAGCGCGGTGGCCGACGAGGATGCGCTGGGAGCGGCCGTCGCGGACGTCCCAGAGGCGCACAGTGCGGTCGTGGGAGCCAGTGGCCACGTAGTGGCAGTTGGGGTGCCAGCGAGCCATCGACACGTCCGAGTGGTGGCCCACCAGCGTTCGCAGCGGCTGCGCGCGCTCCGTGCTCCACACGCGCGCCGTGCGGTCCGCCGACACGCTCGCAAAGTAGTGCCCCTGCCCACACATTGCCACGTCCCACACCGGGAACGTGTGCCCCCTGCACCCAGCATGCCACTTCCTCCTTCAATAATCGCCCCCTCCAGAAAAATGCTTGGAGGAATTCTCCTCGCACAAGGAGGGCAGCAGATCATGTTTGTGACACAGCATCTGTTCTGATGGGACCACTGCCGCTTTGCAGAATTTGTGAGCTTCTGATGTGCTCACCTGTAGGCAACCAGATTTGCAAAGAGGTCTGTGCTCCAGAGCCGCACAGTGCCGTCGCCGGAAGAAGACAGCAGCAGCCGGCTGTCCATGCTGAAGTCCAGACCATAGACTGGCCTGGAGTGGCCACGCAGCACTATCGCCTCATCCCCCTGCGGTTTTGCTCCATTTGCTGCACGCTTTGATGCATCGTACACCCGCACTGATGAGTCCGCAAAGCCGCCTGCAACCACTCCAATCATGACCATCAATATGCCTCTGAGCTAGGTCTGCATGCAGCGTGAACAGCGTCGATGCCACCGCTTAAAATGCACATTTATGGCCTGACCCTCTGACTGCATGCAAGAGAAAATGCCTGCACGCACCAGCAATCATGGCGCCATCGGAGGAGAAGCTGACGCAGTTGAGACTCTGGTGGGTGTTGACAAACGTGTAGAAGACTGCTGACGGCAGCGCAGCGTCCGACAGACTGATGCGGCTTTCCAGGTCCTCCAGAAGCTCCGCCTCCAATCCCTCAGGCATCGGCGGCAAAGGCACCTACAGGCAGCCGCCATCATCTGAGACAAGTCTTGGTCTCTACAGAGATACCCAAAGACTGGATGCCACGGCTGGATCCAGCCATTCTCATACAGCCATGGCTAATTCTAACAGTAAAAAAACTTTACAAGAGCGGTCACCTGGGGTTCGATCCTGTCGGAGGCAGCGCTGAGGCGCTTCTCCTTCTCCTTCTCTGCGGCCCGCAGCAGGGCTGTGCGCGCCTTCTTCGTCAGCGGCTTGCCGTCCTCGTCGACCTCTGGGATGTCCGGGCTCTCTTTGGCCGCTTGCAGCTCCTCAAACTTCTCCTCCACCATGCTCTGCCCATCACCAGGCATCAATTCACCTTCTAGAAATAAATAGAGAGAAAAACAACAGTTACACTGCTGTGAAGCTGGCAAGATTAGCACACCCTGAGGAGGCCAAGCAGCAGAGGCTTCTGGTTTGTGGCGGAGACGTCCTCCTGCATGTGCCCAGTCAGCAATGACACCTCCTCCTCCTCTGGCTCATGCTCCAGTTTTGCTGGCTTCCCTTGGACCACCTGCCAACAGCAGAACCGCCACAGTTGACCATCCCTGGAAGTTCATAGCGGCACCCAGATGCTCACTATCAAGGTGCAGCTTCAAAAAGGGCGGCAGACAGCAGCACAACCAGGTGCCTCCAAGGTCTATCGAAGGGTTGTCAGTGTGATGCTTGTTTTTTGTAGCTTGCATGCATTGCCATGCTGATGCATCTAATTGAGTTTTTGTGGCAGGACATCCAGGGTGCTGATGACTTATTTATGTGATGCAAGGGGGTCGCACCTGCAGATTTACATGTTCATTCATGATGCCCAGTGGCAGGGCAAGTCTGTGGGCCTGCATGAAGTGGGTCAGCAGCTCGAAGGAGTATGTGCTGAGCTTCACAGGGTATCGCATGGAACGAGCCGCCTGGGCCGTGCGGTTCGTGGCGATCTGGGGCTTCTGAGAGATGCCTTGCAGATCATCCAGCTCCTGATGCACAAGCACTAGACAGATTTACCGATATTCAGCGCCAAGAGTATGTGAGGAAGTGAGTAACAGGGCTATGGTGGAGGAACTCCATGACAATGTCAGCACCTGCTTGCGCATCTTGGATGGGTGCGCAGCATTATCCCCAAACTGCTTCTTGTACCGGTTCATGAGCTGCGCTGCCTCACCGGGCGCTCCCCTTTCCACTAGCTCCAGAAATGTGTGGATGAAGACGGGATATAGGATTCGCCTGAGTTCCGGCTGTCCCCAGGACCATGCAAACATCAGAATGTAACATGGTGAGAACTCTTTGTTGAGAGTGAAGAACAGAATTTGCTAATCTACTGCGCTCATCAGTCAAGAGCAGGGGACCGTCACCTTGTATTGGTCCAAAGAATTGTCCACCCAGGTAGCAAGGCGGTCAAAGCTCTTGGTGTACTTGGCAGGATCCTCTTCAGCTGTGAGGTAGTAGATCAGATCTTTAACTAGACCCTTCTTAGGATCAGGCTGGGGTGCAAGCGTCATGTCACTGCCTTGCAGCGCCCTTGAATCTTGCTTCAACGCGCGCGATGCTTGCGCGTACCTGTGAGTATATGCAAGGGTTATATTCATCAGCACGTAGTTATGCACAGCTTAGATAGATTTCCATGTCGTCCAATATGATGGCCATTGCAATGTCTGTCAGCAATGAGGCAGGTGCGATCTTACTTCTTCTTCTCGAGATACTGCAGAATAAGCTTTTCAACAGAAGCTTCTTTGCTCAAATCCGCATTCATTATTGACGAGGTGCAGGAGATCTCCAATTCAACCAATGGATTGAATTGGGGTCGTCAGACGATTGCTCGCTTCGATCTCTAAGCGGTATAATTTAAAGAGTTAAAGTTGCAAGGATGCGTTTTCAGGGCAACCTGCTCTTGTAATGTGCACTATATGAAGTTGGAGTCCCCCATTGGCACTCCAAAATCGACACAGATCTAACAGACTAAGTCTAACAGACTAAGACACCGAATGTCAAATTTCCTCTGCGAAAGTGACCTACATATCACTACTACTATCTGCGAAGCGAAGAAGGCCAGACCTTCGAAGTCTGTCTGGCTCACGTGCAAGCAGGCCTGCTCACGTCAGCATTTCTGCTGTGAGAGACTTCTCTTGAGACGCGTGAGAGCCACGCGTGAACAGCTGAACATCTTTGTGATCCGGTGGGGCCTGGGTCCTTCGGGATCCGGCTCCTCGACAATCATGGCAACATATATAATGGCTGGGCAAGGTGCTTCGATAGAGGCGGCCCTTTACAGTTAACGGCATCACCATAAACCACTGATCAACTGGGTCGGGCTTCAGCAGCCAGGCAACATCACAGGTTTCAATGAAAAGGATGTAATTTAACGACATAATCGCCGGGCACAAAGCGACGCTTCAACAGAGGCGGCCCTGACAGCAACAATGTGGGTATACAAAAGAGGAGCAGACAGAGGCCAGGCGATAGCGGCTGGAAAGCATAACAATAAATTGATCTTAATGACGCAGTAGTAAAAATATCTAGGACGGCCAAGCTTTGGTTGGGGCGGAAGAGGCAACAGCCGCCAGCCGCCATTACCAGTAAAAGAAGGATGCGACGGCTATTTGCATCATTGTCTGACGCGAAGAATCGACCGCAATAATAGAAATGGCCATGAGACCTTTTACAGAACAAGCAGATTTTGCAGTGTTGCGTTCTTGTGTGTGCCCTGCCAAACCCAGGCAGGATGTTCTGGGTCCTGGTCCAAACCTAGGACAAAGCGCGTACAAGCTGTATTGGGGCTTTTGAGGAGATCTCAGTCTAACCTCCTGCAGTTTTCACCTGATTGCAGCTCCTTGAACACCTGCCAGTCCAGGTGTGCCTTTGCAAACCACTCAGCTGTGGTGGTAGTAGCTTAGCAATACAGGTGGCGGCAAGCATTGTGGGGCATTGGGTACCCCCCTTGCTTGTTTCACCGAGAAGCGCTGTTATTGCAAGGATCTGGGCAGTCTTTACAATGACAGCAAATGGCTGGACCCACCCGCAGCACGCACAATCTGTTTGGCCTGTGATTTGCGTCCATGTCCTGCCCTTGACTTGTCGCTGATTTGGACCGACATACATCCACAAGCAGCCTTGCAGTCCTTTTTGGCAGTTGATACTTGTCTGCGTGCTGGGATGCATATTTTCGAGTATTCATGACGTGTGTGCCACTGATGGTTTGAGATATGTGGGACGCTTAATCAGCCCTGTGTGGCTGGAAAAAGTGTAATCTCTCTCTCTCTCTCTCTCTTTGGAGGCTGATAGATTTGTTGATCGTCCTAACCACCATTTGCTTTGTCCAAATAGCAGCTGCCAATTCCCATTGTATCAATTCCATGCCAACATATGCTAAGCGCATGCATGCACTGGCATGCAGACCACTGGTGGCACCAGCATGCGCATACGGCAGCGAGTGCAATCACTCTTGTCTTAATTGCAACCCAGTGCCATATGGTCGTGGATCCCACATAGGATCAATGGAATCTTGGACGGCTGTCTGCAAATAGCGCATACACCAGCATAGTTGCACGACACCTGACACGCGTGTCAGGTGTCGGAGTGTCGCGAACGTTCGCAAACGCGTGTCCAAATTTTGGCCATTTCCGACACCGCTCCGACACCGGGTTACGTAAGGGTTACGTTTGACCGTTTCTGACCGTTTTTGGCCGCTTGGACGCCGGGAAATGACCCAACAACACCCCAAACACATATAACATGCTTGTAAAGGTGTTTAGAGACATTTCCGATGTGTTTTGATGCGTTGTCGGGTCCGGAAACAGCTTTTTGAGGTTCCGTCAGCCTTAGTAACCTGTAGTCATCACCCAATTGCATGGTTACTAACGTCCTCAGGTCTGGACACGCGTGTCGCGGTGTCGCGGTGTCGCGAACGTTCGCAAATGCGTGTCCAAATTTTGACCAGCCGTGTCGTGCAACTATGTACACCAGCCCCCCAAAGATGTGGAAGGCAGCCACGGCTTGGAACATGATGAACCAAGACTGCGTCCTGTGCAGAATGATGCCTGTGGCTGCTATGCCTCCGGCTTCAAGCATGCTGGATATACCATTCGTGAGGCCGTACATTACAGCTGCGTAGCGCGCATTAATGTCCAGATGCTGGGACCCAGATCCGGCCGCATGGCATCCAGCGAAGAATGTTATGGCAGTAAACACTCCCATGGCATGCAAGGCACTCTTGCCCTGCGAGCAGGCTACATCAGAAAGCAACGCCAGCAATGACAACTTGATAGTAGAACTGGCACGACAGCATCAATACATTTCCCATATATATTCTCATAGAATGGATCAGAGTACTGTGTTTTCACCTGGACATCAAAGGATAACAGAATAAGACAGATAGCAGGTCCAAACGAGGCAATCCCCTACAGAAACAGAAGGCCTTCAGAGTGCTGCCCAGCTACCTCCTACGTACTACAAACAATCTATGCAATCCAGAAGGCTACCGATATGCACCAACCAATTGTACCTGCATGGTCTTTCTGATCGACGTCATGCCCATGTACTTGTGACTGGCCAATGCATCTGCAGTCCAGCCAGCCACATTTGTCGACACAGCTGCAGCGACAAAGGGTATGATGCTGTACAGCGATACATTCTGCAGGCTTTCACCGTAGACCTCGCTGTAATAGCTGGGCTGCCAGAAGAAACACATGTAATGCCCCACACCTGCACCATGAAATTCTGGTTGGCTCTCTGCTGACATTGCATGATCAGCAGAAGAATGACACATAGCTCTGAGGAATTTGGTGAGGAACCTGTAATTCCCAACGCATTGATGTTGCAGCACATACCTGAGGATGTTTCAACAATTATGATTGCCCACAAGGGTAAGCACCGGGCGAAAGATGTCCATGGAATATCTTTTGAGGTGTCTTCCTGCTCCTTTGTTGTTTCTTCCAAGGAGTCATGCACTTCCACCAAAGGCTTCTCCGTCACCAGCAGAGACCATAGAAGCGTCCAGACAAAACCCACAAGACCATAGATTGTGAAGACCGCAGGCCAATCATACTGCTCTGTAATGAAAGGGGCTGTAGCATATGCTGTAATCGTCCCCAGTGAGGCTCCTGTCCATCCAATGTCTCTGATGAGCCGCCGACAATCTTGCATGGCTTGACTTTCACAGTGTGCAACAGCAGGTCAAGGAGTGATTCCACAGTCAGTTGCCTCAAATGCAGAAATCTGACAGAACAAAATTTAAGCTGACCTGAGAATATAAAGCCAATCGCTGTGGAGCGCTGTGCATCTGGCACCTGCAATGATGAAGATCTCCTCAGCATGATTAAGATATATTGTTGGTAATGCTGAAATATAGCAGTGAATCTATAAAAAGGCCAAATCTTCACTCACCCAATTGCTGACCACCATTTGGAGGGCTGGAAAGGTGACACCTTCCCCAGCGCCTGTGAGGAACCTTGTGAACACCATGAGCCACCTGCTGGTTCTTGCAGCAGCAGGCGTCAACATTGTGAAGAGGCTCCAGCTCCACACCCCAATCTGAAGCACCGTCACCGCAGTGTGCCGCATGCAAAGCCAGCCAGCTGCCACATTTGTGATCGTGTAGCCCACAAAGAAAGCACTGCACGAAGCACAGCATCCTCAGCTTGTATGCAATTCATTGACTTGTGTGAGGAAACCCATCCGAATGCTGCACTTCTGCATGTACATCTTGAGAGTCTACCTGCTTATGGCGCCCTCAAAGGATTCATCCCAGCCCAATTCTGCTGCCATTGGAAGGATTGTAACGCCAAGAATTGCGCGATCCAGGTAAGATATGAAAGCAACCCCGCAACTGAGGAGCATGACCAGCACACATGCCCATGAGTATGTGACGCCCTTTGAAGTACTGCTTTCAGGTGTGCTGCACATCTTTTCCGGCTCTTCAAGGGTTCTCCTTCGTCTCTTTTGACAGCGTTTATTAGAAGTGTCCGGCCTTGCCAGGCTGGAGGAAGCTTCTGGTACAACCTGACTGCCTGTCTGATGGAGTCTCCCCTGCTTCTCCAGGTCTCTCCAGCTGGGCAATTGCGCTTTTACAACCGCCATGTCCCTCAGGGAGCCCAAATCACTCTCGGCACGCCCTGTGAAACGCGTGTAATGTCCAGGCTCCCTTGTTGACCAGAGGTAGCAGAAAGGGTGGCCTTTCTGGTCTGGGTCTGACTGAGGTTCCTGAGTCAAGCTGTCCAAGACCGTATGGTCCTTGTCTACCCCTTCATGGCTTGTGATATCAAGGGAGAACCACTTGGCTAACGTAGAGGTCCTTGCAGGTTGCTGTGAGCGAGCAGCTTCCTGGATTTTTTCCTTGAACTGTCGATAAACGTTTTCGCTTGGTTTCTTCATTGCTCAGTACATCTCTCTATATGTGTAAACGCAGAATTTATCAGAAGCAGGTCTCCAAGGTTCTGCAGATGCCGCATCGCTTTTCAGACGACCCGTCTAGTACAGGTCGCACTAGCGCCCCCGATGGAGTTCTAAACAATACTTATGAGCCCCAAACCTATTCTGGAACGTTTATGAGCGTGCCTTCACACGTTCCAATTCGTCCTATGCAATTTTGGTGATAACCTATACTGCCCCTCACTTCGAGGTTTTCAAGGGAGGGAATGAAGGATTGGAACAGATCAGCATCAGCAGGACAACGAGTCCTGAATTCTCTGATTGAAGTCTTCTTCAATAACGATTAAAGTTAAATAAAGATATTTCCTCATCGTGTACACTATGGCACACCTTACGGCAGCTTCTTGCAGCCACAGAGTTGTACAGTCAGCGCAGTCGGTGGGTGTGCGGCAAGCTTGCTCCCAGCGCGCGAGATGCTCCACAAATGCATCATGCAACAGCATATTTTTCAGCGGGACAGCTGTGCCCAGATGTAATCGACCGCAGCTTGCCATCTCCAGGCGGCAACAGAGGGTGAGTTGCGATGAAGCTGTCTTCTGTTGGTGTTTCTCTGCATGAAATGCTTAGTCAATATTTACAAGATGTTTATGTAAAATTCGCGGAGTCGGCGATCATCTGTGGCACCTGGGATACTATCCAATATTTTTTGTTTGCCTCACACATACACATGGCTTCTCAACTTGTCCAAATGTATTTGCAGATGGTTACACGCATGGGCCTCTTTGGTCTTGGAGTGCCAGAGATTGCAGTCATAGCTGGCGTTGCAGTTCTGATCTTCGGTGCGCACCACCAGCCCTCTCTGGGACCGACTGTTCTTCCCTTCTGCAGCATTGAGGAAAGTAAAGATGACAGCTGGAAGTAAGCAATAAGGAAGATTACTGGAGTTCAAGACGCATCTGACATGCAGGGCCAAGCAAATTGCCCGAACTTGGGAGGGAGCTCGGAAAGAGTGTGAAGAGCTTCCAGACTGCTGCAAAGGCATGCTACCCACCGTTCCTTGAACAGTATCAATGAGACTCTGTCTATTTATACTCTGCATGCCACAGACTCATTTTTGGTTTGTGAATATCCATGGCTTTCGTCAACAGGAGTTTGAGTCGGAGCTGAAGAGCGGGGCTGAAGATGCTGAGGAGGAGGGCAAGAAAATGGTGGACTCTGTGAAAGAAAGCGTGGACGAGAAGCTCAAGTAAAACAGGCTGAGACCACTACACTCTGTCAGCCAGCGCTCATGCGAGGACGATAGCGCTTTGGTGTTGTGAGGAACCATTCAGGGAGGTTGCCTTCAGCATGTTGAATCAATTTCTGGCACCGCTTCAAGCCAAGTCGCAACTTGATCTTTAAGAATTCTGCTATGACTTTTGGAGCGTCTCCAGCTGCAGAATATGATGCAGAGTTTTTGCAATTGTGGAGCTGCCTCATTTGACTGATTGGCCCTGCAACGGAGTCTACATGCAACCCCTGTGACTCTTGGATTTTTGTGACTGCATGCATTGCTGACTCGCGAGCTCAAACTGCAGTGACTGGTGTGTCGCAACTCACTGCATGATGCTGAGTTTATCTGCGATAGCTACACTGTGTATCATGTGCAATGACGGATCGCACAATTATTAATGTTATTCACACATTGCATGGATGGCCGTCCGATGGCATTCAGCTTGAATGTGTCACACTCGAGGCCGATGTTTTGTTGTCATGCAGAAACAGCTGTCTTGTATGGAATGCCTGATAAAAAAACACGGCATGTTCACTTGTACTCGCTGCTTCGTCGCTGCGCTGCCTTGGCAAGCACCTCCTCTCGGTGCTCCAAGCCTTCTGAGACGACTGTTCCCGGGCCCACGTGACAGTCCCTGAGAGTCACCCGCTCCTGCGCAGCAACCAAATATACCACACTTGTCACAAGACAGTTCCATGAGAAGGCGCAAAGCAGACCCTTCCCAAAGACAGAGTATGGAGAGGGCAAGACAGCATATGGGGAGGGCAAGGAGGGCTGACCTGCAGGTGTGCATTTGGGCAGATGATGGAGTTCTGCAGGTGGCAGCCATCTTGCACCTCCACGCCGTCCATCAGGACGCAGTTTATGATCTTGACATTGCTGCCCAGCTTGCACATGGCGCCCAGCACACTGCGCTTTATGGAGCACTTGTCCGCCATAGTGGTCCCCCGGCCAACCTGATCATATGACACAAATTATAGCATCCGTAAGCACCAATTGAAGGGAGTCTGACCATACCCAGGCCGTTGTCTAGCAGGCCTGGTCCTGTGCAACGAAAGGTGAGCATCGTGGATTTGTGCTGATGAGCATTGCGGTCGCACCATGCATCCCGCTGCAACAGTGGTCTTGTAGCCCATCTGGACAGAGTCATGCAGGAAGTTGTCAAACTTTGTGTTGGGCTGCGCTTTGACGCCCAGCCGCCCTGCCAGGTCCGTATTTATCACCTCCCTGCACCACACAACACCCTTATGGTTTGACAACATAACATGGCTTGACCTCCAAACAGCCACCTCTAAATCTCCATTCTACACTGCTCAAGAATCACAGAAATCTCCAAAGGGCCCACCTGTTGACCTCGCAGAAAGCCTGCAGTGTGGAGGTGCGCGCACAGTAATTGTCCTTGCCCACAACAAAGGCTCCGCAGTACCAATTGCCGCGCGACTGCTCCTCCTCTGCTGCTGCGCTGTGTGACAGCGCCATGAAGTCCTGGCCTGTGCGATGCAGAAGTGCTCTATCAAAATGCCTGTATGAGGCATGCATGCAGGCACCAGCACTTGTGCATAAATTCTCTGTTGTCCACGGTGCATGATTTGTGTTTTGAACAACAACATGTGGCTGCATAGAAGCTGCACCTGCGACAGTGGTCGGAGGCAGCAGGGAGTCGACGCGCTCGAGGTTGTCAGAGCTGCCCCGCTGCCCATTCTCTGCATTCTCATTGGCGCTGGCTGCTGTGGCCGGGAGCGCGTGCTGCACCCCCGGCCTGGGTTTCCTGGAGTGCTGATGGAGCACTAGGTAGGGGATGATGTCCTGCCACAGACATAACTACCCAATGAGCACGACAGGGGCAGACGAATGGAATATTTGTTATTTTCTTCTTTGGAACACGCCCATCCCGTTTCCCTATTATTCTTTAACTTTGCAAACTGTACAACAACATGGATGGCTGCAAGCAACCGAGAATGCAAAGGGCAGCAGCACCTGCTTGATGTTGGCAAGGTTTGGCTTGGCATGCAGGATTTCAAGCACAGCCCGATTGAAGATGTACAGGTGGTTGTCCTGCAGGTCTGTTCGCACGGTCAGCTGCTTGTGGCGCAGCAGAGCGTTCATGGGCAGCCGAATACTCCTGCGCGATTCGGGGGATGGCCTGAAGAACAGAAGCTGCTGCTGCTGCTCGTCCAAACCTGACAAGAATTGCATGCACCCATCATGTTCCATGCTTTCCAACAATCTCACGCGACGCATAGAGCCTACAGAGCCCACTTGTGGAGGGGATGCTTGCAAGTGCATGCTTGAGCTCGCTGTGGCCCTCTTTCTTGCATTCATATACTGGATCAACGAGGATGCATGCGACTCACCAACATATTCCACTTCCTTTGGAGCCTTGCCGGGCTTTGTTTCAGATGATGGAGATGTCCTCCTCTGCGATAAAAGAACTGTGGCCATAGCGCTCCGGATGAAGTGCACAGCCATGAGAGCCTGAAAGACAGAGTCAAAGAATCAGTACAAAGCTGTAGCGAGAGGCGACTATTGTACTTGGGCCTCTCTTGAAGTATGGGAGGCCATTGATAACACAAAGGTGCATTGTCGCCTACCTCCAACCTGACATCTGTGATCAGGTCAACACTCATGACAATGACGTTTTTGCCGGTGATGTATTCGGCGACTGCTCTCAAGGCTTCTGCGCTTTCGCTGTCTTCCGGTACGCTTTTCACCTGGATCAAAGGGATGCGAATTTACAGGGCTCTCCACTGGACTCTTAAATGCCAAGACCAGCATTCTTTGTGTCGTCAAAGGGCCATCCACAGTAATTCCTGTGAATGCCGCAACAAGGTTACTGTGCCTCCAAGCTACCATGGTTCTCTTCCTCACCTTCAACTGGAGCTTCCCACTGTAATTCTTGCTGATCCATGTGCTAACCTTTGCTGCTGTTGTCTCGCCAAGACACACCTGCGAAGGGAAATGGTCTCAGATCGGCCAAACATATGAGATCCTCACAAAAAGCAAATAATTGGACGACGCAACACGCGAAGTCAGACTCAGAGATGGTGCAAAACTGCAATCAGCCACCTATAAAATGACAGCAATGGGCACAAAGATAGATCCGAGTTCCATACCACCAGAACATCAACGATGCCTGCTCCTTCGAGCGTCTTCAGAGGATACGTGATAAGAGGCTGATTGGCAACGGGCAACAAAGAGAGTGGAAGGCCGGTTTGATTCAAGGGGAATAAATTTGTTCCTGATCCGCCAGCAAGCAACACAGCCTGATATCCCTGTGGCCCCATGGGGAGAAGGATTGGTTTGGATCGGTATTGCTCTGAGCAATTTATGCAGTAATAAGTCTAGAATGATCTGTGAAATGATATACCTGAATTGAGAATTGAAAAAGAAGTCTAGCAGAGCACTCCAGTGATCACTTTTTTGCTCGATGTGCTCTAAGAGATTCCATCAATGCGCATGCATGTGCATACATTAGTCATGATATAATAAGTATTAGTGCCGCCAGGTTTGCAGCTCCTCGGACATAGCACAACGGGCTGGCTTCATGGCTCTTGAGATTAATTAGAACAGAAACGACAAAATGGCAGCGGTACGTTTGTCCATCATACCTTGTTTTATGCTTGCACTCGACACTCTTCCATCTGACGATCTGACGTTTTATGTGCCCTGTCCCTGCAGACAGTGCCGGTCAACCCCAAGCCTTTTCTGAATGGCTTGACAGGAAAGCCTGTTATCATCAAGCTGAAGTGGGGAATGGAGTACAAAGGTGACTGAAATTTGTTGGCTTGGAATGGAATATCAGTGCAATCAGGGGTACTGTTGCAGCGAGATGATAAAATCTTTGGGTTGGTTTTCACAGGTTACCTGGTGTCAGTGGACTCTTACATGAACCTCCAGGTGAGCAACAGTCTTTGCGTCAATTATGATGAAGTGCTCTCCCTCCAAGACCTGATCTCTGAAAATTGCCTTGTTGTATGTGTAGTTGGCCAGCACAGAGGAGTACATCGATGGACAATTCACAGGCAACTTGGGAGAGGTGCTCATCAGGTGCGTGTCTTTGCTGGCACTCGAGCGGAAATATTTACACAGACTTTCCCTGCATATCAAAGATGTGTTGCACCTGGTCTTCATGCAACATGCAAATTGATGCAGAAGCTTGACACCCTCATGTTTGTCACCGTGGTAGGTGCAACAATGTGTTATACATGAGAGGAGTGCCAGAGGAAGATGAACCCATGACGTGACAAAGGCTCAGCTGCTACTCAACTCATATATTGGCAGGAAGAGAGACAGCCAGACTTGAGGCAGCACATGTGGCAGCAAATTGACCATGTTTCTGTATCAAAATTACCGCCTAGGCCCCTGCTGTCACAAGGAACGTGGGTTCGAGTGTCAGTCCTTGCTTGGACTGCGATTGTTCACTCTGCATTTAGTTCCAAGCAGACCTCTTTGAAGCTAGCATCCCAGAAGGGTGATTTCAGGCACTTCTGCGCGTTTTAAAAGCAGGATGCCAGGCTTAGTCCGGACTCCGTTGACCATAATCCAGCGTCATGACACTTCTCTGACACGTTTGTAACACAAAGCAGTGCAAGAAAAATTCCTGGCTTTAAGTTGGATTTGGCATAAGACGCGTCAAGCATTGGCAACTGCCAACTCAGCTGCACAACGCTGGCTCTTGATCTGCCTGCCGTACTTGGTCAGGCGTTCCTCCACTGGGGGCTCTGTGGCACGCTTGAGCAGCGGTATGTGTTTATTAGGCTTTAGTCTGGCAGCGCCAGCCAGTTCAGACCGGGCTTGAGAAGCAAGGTGGTCTGACACAGTTTGGAGCAGAGCCAGGGCGATGAGGTGGCGGTCCACATGGGACTGCACAACTGCTTGTGTGGCAGCATGGCTCTGTGCCGACCTCCTGAATGCCAGATCATTGAAGACGCAGGCAGAGAAAAGCAGGGGTTCCTGCATGGGCACCACAGAGAAAATTACGCTTCCCGCCTCTTTATCAATGCAAGGCAGCTGGTGGTTTTGGCCAGGGAGTGGCAGGCCACATTTGCAAAGTGAGCGGGCGGCACCTCAGGAGCCATGTTGTACTGGGGCTTGAGAGGGGTGACCTCCACATCCAGTAGCCTGCGCACTATATCTGGGCTCTCCAGGCCACGGCCCACCAACAGCAGCACCGCCGCCATGCACCTCACCTGCCCATCCAAACACCCTGATCTGATACAATCATACATGCTAATACAGGTCATATCTGCTTCAAAAGCAGCACATGATTAAGACTGAAATCAAAATACAGTTGATAGACAGCTACCGTGTCATGGAGGCATGCTGGCCTTTTTCTCTACCAGCCCATCATCCTTACACACTATTTTCACTCCACTTAAGATGGGGCAAACGCAAGCACAAGAAGCAAGATCACCTGGTGCCACAGGAATGCGGTGCCGCGCACATGCAGCGCACACACCTGCGCCGCCCCCTGCAGACCCACAGGCACGATCCTGAAGTCCAGTATGGTGCGGCGGAAGCTGCTGACGTGCTGCGCGTCAACCTTGCAGAAGTTGCGGAAGTCGTGGTCCCCCACAAAGTGCCCCGCCGCCTCCTGCATGGCCGCCAGGTCCAGATCCCCCCGCTGCACAATGAAGTACTTGTACTCGCGGTGCACCGCACTGAACCTAGCCAGAGCACACGCGCACAAGATGCCCTCATGCTGCCAAAGACATGAGAGAAGAACCATTCTCACTCTCAAGAAGGGAGCACGGCTTGTTTGCAGGAAGATTGACGGGAGCCTAGACATATTGTGATAACCTGCATCGTGAAAGACATGCACACCCTGCTACCCGCCGCTGGCTTGCCTTGAAGAGATCATCATATCGCAATTGCGGTGGGGGAATTTTCAGACTGACAATATGATTTCCCTCCTTGCTGTTTTTAGCATGCCAGGATATTTTGTAAAGCGTGCATCTCAAACAGCCAGAACCTCAAGGTCGGAACATGCACAGCCCCAGAGAAGGGTGTGAAGGTGAGAACAGAAGAGCACCTGGCGCTGAAGCCTTCAGGCACAGGCGTCCAGCCCAGCACGCGTATGTCATCAGGCAGAGCGCGGTTCAGGGTGACCGCATAATCCATCTCCTCATCCACGCCCAACGCTGGCTCATCTGCCTTCGCTCCAGACCTCAGCCACAGGGCCACCACCTGAAGAAGCATGCATCGCTTCATCCAGGCAGAGACATATCCAACTATCTGAGAAACGCGTCAAGGAGAGAGAGCTGGAGTTTTAGCAGCATGACAAGCATCTGGCTTGGCACAGGAGAGGATGATAACCTGCCCGAGTGCACTGACACCCTTGTCTGTGCGTCCACATCGAGAATATCCCAGGCCTTCCCATCCAAGTCCTTCTGGGATGAGCTTTGTTTTGCGCATGGCGCGGAATAGGTGACCCTGCACCAGCACAGGTGTGGTTTGAGCTTGGCTTTGCAAAATGGCATCACGAGAAAGCTTCTGTCTGGGCTCCTTAGCATGTTGGGCTCCTTTGCATGGATGATTCTTTGGAATGCCATGAGCGGGTTCTGACCTCCACAGTCTCCTCACTATCAGCCTGGGAAGCAAAGCCATGGTATCTCCAGCCCACATAGAAGACTCCAAGTGCAACGTAACGCCGTTGGTACGCACTCATGTCGAACTCCCGCTTCTCTGCAGCACCAGCATGCTAAGATCATGAAGCTGCTTCAAGGATTATGTAGATCACCAACGAGAAAAATGCCTACCTTTTCGTTTCTTCTTAGGCTGATTCAGTACGTCATCAGTGCCTGATATACCACCACCCACCAAAATCAGCCCCAAGCAGAATGACAAAGTCTTCCATTCGTTCCATCCTTTGTGATGAAACATACAGAGGTTAACGTGGCTACCTGAAGTCTGGGCGTCATGGGATGACGCTATCCTGGCCTCCAATCCTCTGTCACAGACCATTGGCTGCCCGTCGTGCAAATTGTCAAGAGGATAATCTGTGCCCTCTTCAACCAAGACAAACTCTATTTCATCTGCAAGGTGTCTGAGCCTTGCGACAAGCTGTTGTTGTTGTGATTTCTCTCCGAGGTATACAGCATCAGGAAACAAAACTTCATGCAACGGCTTACACAAGGAGGCCGCCGTCATTCTCTCGATACTTTCTGGCGTCAAAGTTGCACAGGGCATTACATACTTGTGTGTAGGATGTATGAATTCACTTCAGTTGGAATGATAGGATCTCATCCAATGCAATTGACGTGAGAAGCTGTGGGTAGCTGTTAGTCATCTCATGCAATCGCCTTGGGGAAGGAGCTATCCATGCTTCTCAGATTAATTTGAGTCGGCAATCTCCAAGAGCTCAGCTTGGAAGACGTTACTTGCATGAAAACTTCTGTCCAGCTGTGATGAATTTAACCAGCCTTGGCCGCCGCCTCCAGCCACGGCCTCAGGCTAGCTAGGCCTGGGACATGTCGCATATGAGGCTGCGGCAGCTGTGCAGCCTGAGTTGGCTAAAAGCCTGTATTTCTCGTCCAAGGGGTGTTCATACTATCAACTGATAAAATTTGCATGTGCCTACAGCCTTTAAGGCTGGGAATCGCCATATAGATGCTATGTGTATTGCAGAGCACTGCTGGCAATGCATGCAAATACAATACAGCACTCGAGGAACCTATCTTCGGGTTTCCTCTACACTTCTGTGGTGCACAGCTGCGCAGGGGTAGCAGCTGGTTCTACACAAAGTACAGTATCAATTTGATACGTGTAATGCAGTGTAATTACCAAGACTCCTCAGCAGGAACAAATACTGATCTCCTTATCCTTATGCTCATCAACACTAATGACAACTACAGTCAGAGGCAATACTTCCTTGCTACAGCACTCAGGCAGTTGAGGGCTTGATTGTGAGGCAGCGGATGCCCAAGAAGCTGCAAATCTCATTGATGATAGACGTGATGTACAGAAGATATCCAACAATCATCAGCGCTGCAAAGCCCCAAGCGGTGATGGCTGAGTCCAGCAGCTGCGCCCGGCTGTTGGCCAGCAACAGCACCAGCGCCAACACAGGCCACCACAGGATCTCAAAGGGCTCCTTGCACATGTGATCCATGATCAGCTTGGTTGCCTGCATCAGAACAGGCTCATTTTGAGACCACCGTCCTTCCAGATTTTCGATCTCATAGACGTGTCCAGAATGCTGATCCTCTCGAGAAAGAGCACAAATAATGGGAGGACTGAGTGGCATCAGGACAGAAATGGTGATCTGAGCTTGCCTGCAGCGCATACACAATGCCGAATCCTCCAAACACGGCTCGCCATTGGCCAGTGGTCGGCCATGGCTCTGCCATCACCAGAGTGCCAAGAACAAGGACCAGCGCCAGCTGGAACAGATGGCTGGCGGCATGTCCCCGGCCCAGCTGCTTGGCGCCACGCTCATCCGCTGGCATCTGCACATGCAGTGCAATGATGTCAATTTACAAATCAAAATTGCTGTGGAAACAGATATATGAGCGCGCTGGGTGATGAGTAGTCAAGCTCTGTGAGACCCACCTTCCCGGAGACACCAGTCACGAACATGCGCCAGGTCTGGCCGCTGAGCTGCTCCACCGCAAAGCAGGCCACAACAATGAGGACAGCGTGCTTGATCAACAGGCCATCATGCAGCGGCCAGGGCAAGCTCACATGCAGCAGTTTGCTGATGTTCACCTGCCAGACACCTGCAGCACAGAACACCTCAATAGTACAAACTAATCAACGCCACCTACATTGGCGCATACAACATCCTTGCATCACCAGCTGGTGCTTCTTAGCTGCTCAGCTATTTAAACCTCCTTTTAAGCGGCGCACCTGGGCCAACGGCAGCAGTGAAGAAGTGCAGGAGGACCATGAGGTAGTTGGCCTCCGTGACTCCCCAGTAGCCGTTGCCGTAGAGCATGACGCCGGAGTGGTACTCCTCCCAATGTGCCAGCAGCCAGGGGCCCATGATGGACATCACACCCAGCACCGTCCACTTTGTGAATCCCGCGCCGATGGACGTGCCTATGCACGTGACTGCCAGGTGCACTGACAGCGCATCGCAGCCTGCACCACGGAGTGGGAGTGTCACTGATGGCCTCCTATGTAGCTGCAAAGTGTGCTGATCTCCAGGACATGCTTGCAGGCTCACCATGGTCAAAGAGCTGGCCCAGAGGGGAGGAGCTGCCGGTGCGCCGCGCTTGCTTGCCATCAATGCAATCCAAGTGCAGATATATCAGTCCTGCTGCACCGTTCAGGAAGTACACCCACCTCGGGGCAATTTCTGCAAGCAGCAGACAAAGTCAGGTGCCTGGCACCAACAAAACATTACATCAGAAATGTTCAGCAGGTTTGTGTGTAGGGAGCAGCATAGTGATGCATGTTTGAGCCATACCTGAAAAACTGGGGACGTAGTAAAGAGAGACGAAGTATGCTAGGACAAGGCCAAACACGCCAGTCAGAGTGATCAGGTTGGGAGCCAACCATCTTGGCAAAATTTCAACCAACCCTGCAAGCACAGAACATAGTGTCAGAGATGCCCGAAGCTGTTGATGGTTGCAGCACATGCACAGCGCAGCTCCAGACTCACAATTCCAGAATGGCTGATGGATGTCATCAAGGAGCGTGTAGCCAGCGGAAACGTATTTGTAGCTTCTCAGGCCAGAGAGCGCCCGCTTGGATAGAATCGGCATGTCTGGAGCAGTGCACGACGGCACCAGATGCCAGGTGTTTACTTCTGCTGAAGGAAGAAACGCAGAACTATACACCAATTACAAACGCAGAAATGTTGGCACCAGAGAGATTATGACAACGCAATGGCAGAATGCAATGCGCCAGTCTGCCTTCATGCAGGGGCCTTTCATCCTGCTGACGTCAGAAGATACACACAAAGCCAGCATGGCAATGCATGCAGAAACTTCATTTCTGCATCTAGCAAATAGTTGCAATTTCTATGTTTACATCGGTTCAAAATTCACAATAAAATAGCAGGGTGAAATGTAGATATCATATGCCATATGGGCACAGCATGCTGTCCAGTGGCACACAAAATCTGGGTTCAACCAAATTGCGCCTATACACTCTATAGCTATAGCAGATAGACCATATGCATCATGCAGCACATCTGAAGCTTCTGCCAAAATACAACTCTCTTTAGATATTCCACGCCAATTGCTGTAAGATATCCCGGTAGCAAGTCGCGCAACGTCTGCTACACACTGGCTGCAGGACGTGTCCACCAAAGAACAGTCCAAAGCAGCCACTTGGAGACATGTTTTGCCACACACCAGCCCTCTGACGATATCATGTAAGATACCAGGCCGCACTTCAAGGTTTTGAGTAGAGCAGGCTGCTTGCAACAATGGTGTGCTGTCATTCGTCACTCGCCCTCCTTGGGAACTCTGCCATGGATGCGCACGCGATACAGACAGGTGTAGTCTGGGTGCCCATAATTGGACTCCACCTGCAAAAGTGACATCCCAACATCACCTCTGAATGCCGCCGCTGCACACATGATTGTGACCACTGCATGGCATGAGCAGCAAGCAATGTCAGCGTGAGTTGTGGTGCCCCAGCCTCACCTTCAGGCGGATCTGGTCGGCAGGGATTGTGCCATCCAGGGCGACGGTATTCAGCGCCCCTTGAGAGGGATCATACACAAATTCCCCCAGGTCGGTTGGGCCCACGCCCCTGCGCCTCTCCAGCAGGCTCAGCACCGGGCCCTTGCCCTTTGGAGAGAAGCGGAATGCCTCTGAGAGACTTCCCGTCTGCAGCAAAGGCAGTAGCACTCAGTAAATTTCCTTCTGTGTGCCTTAGTTGACAGGAGCAAAAGGAACACGCTAAGCGAATCTGCGGGTCTACAGGACAATTTGTGGGATATAGTGCAAAGCAAGAAGGCCAGTAAGGGCGCACTGACCGCAGACATGTCCTGCGGAGCGCTGCGGATGTCATAGGCAATGGATGTTGGCACATGCTCATAGGTGAGCGCTGTCGGCACGATGGTCTCCCTGAGCTTGATGTCCACGTAGCCCTTGCTGCCATTTAGCGCCAAGCACTCCCCGGGAATCGGCCCGCCTGGCGTCAACAGGTACTGCAAGCACAACACTTGGACTCCTCAGCTACCAAATAGAAGAGAAGCTCACTGCCATTTGCACCTTCACTGGCAGCAAGTTTCCAAGGTCAGCATGCCGCGGTGACCACCTTGTCTGCTTGTGGGTGCACTGCTGTTGCTGCACCAGGCAGTGCCGAGGACAGACGCCTCCACGACCGTGCAGACTCATCATATGGTGACAGCCTTGAGTGCCCCACCACCTTCCCACCAGCGGGATGCAGCGCATAATCCACCAATCCCTGCTCAGCACATGAAGGATCCCCTCAACTGGAGACGCTGCTGAAGTCAGCACATGGGCGCTTGAGAATGTCTTGGCACCAAGGCACTCCGAGTGCCGAGTCAGAGTCTACAGTGGCCGTCAGCTCACCGTCTTGTCTGCAGCGAAGCGAGCCAAGAGTTTCTCCATGCGCTGCTCGGCCATGTTCACGATGAGTGATGGTTCCACCTTCCCTGACAGCTTGGTGTCCTTGTCGCTGCCACCCTGGAAGCTCTGCTCCAGAGCATCCAGTTTTTTCTGTGTTGACTCCAGCCTGCATTTGACATCGTCCGTGAATGATACAACAATTACAAACGCCTGCAGGTGGCCCTTTTTTGTGAGCAACCAACAACATACCTGTCCTCTGTGGTGTGCACTTGACCTTGGGCCGAGTCCAGGGCCTTGACCAGAGCATTGTAGCGCCTGTCTGCCTGCTCAACGCTTGTGAGGATGGTAGAGAGCTGCCTCTTTGTGAGGTCAGGTTGGGAGAATCGAGAGGTCAGCCAAGATGTCAAGACTGCCAGCAAGAGCAGTCCTGCGAGCTGCAGGAGACATGTGTCAGTCTCCAACACTACGATAATTTACAAGCAGAAGCTCTTAATTGGACAGATTAGATAAGCCAGGTACCGTTTTCCAACTTGGCCATGCATGATTCCATGCAGAGCTGACGGTGTCGTGCAATTGCTCGCCCACATGGTTTGCAGCAGCCTTTAGACGCTCGCTCAGCGCTGGCTTTGCTTCATGCTCAAAGTGTCCCTCACCCTCCTCCTGATGGGGTACCTTTGGACGAACGACATCAAAGTCAAACCATGCCATCACGGCGACTTCATTACCTTTTAAATATTATAAATATGCTTCAAAGCCTCTCGTGACTATTGGATATTGGCTTTCTTTACATCTGCTTGGAAGTGACACAAAACAGCAATCGACAGAAGGCGATGAGTCACGGCACAGGTGCAGTGCCTAGAGATTCACAGGTGCTCACTTCTCTCTGCGGCTTGAAGTCTGTCTCAAGAAGACTTGTGGTCTCTGTCACTGCAACTGGCGATGCCGGTCCCAGGGTTGTGAGAGTTGTCCGCCTGGTGGCCCTTCTCGCAACGGTCTGGCCAGTCAAAACCTGGTCCGAGACGTCCTCCCCATCGCTGGCGCTTGCTCGTGTCTGTCTTCGCCGGGGTCTGCCGGCCTTTGTGGTTTCTTTCGAAGCCATCTGCTCAGCTGTCCAAATTCCGCTGCGATGTCAAAGCAGGACAAGAAGGTGATAATACCCTTGGACAAGAATGGCGAGCGCGACGCGTCTGAAGATGTTCTTACGTATCTAAACTCCAAGTTGAGCCTCAAACGACCGCCCACTCAATTAGCCGCTTAAACACACAGCTGCAACGTAGTCAAGAAACGTCCAATCTCACTTGGATATGTACTTGTCTTCGGTGAGGCACAGAGACACAAGCTGTCCGCACACAGTCACTAGGCTACAAATCTTCCCGATCGCACAACTCAAGCCAAGATTTCACGCAACACGGCATCCATAATACAATTGACTTCGATGGTGCGTGCCTGATCAGGCACTTTCAGGCTGCTGACTCGCCTTGGACTGAACTAGATTCCATGACATCCCTCTCAGATATCGGGCCAGAATCATGTGAAAAGGAGTCCATATTACTGTTCTTCTCTCTCTACACTGTACGATCACCAGCAAGCATCCTAAAAATTGAGCATCTACTTGAAGCACTCAATCCATGTACGGGGTTTTGATCTCCAACCCTTTAGATCATAGTGGGAATTGCATGGATTTTGTGGGCAGCAAGACACTCTAGCGCAAGATCATTGAAATCCGCTCAAGCGTGTCAAGTCGGAAAACGCATGCTGCAAAGTGTCCAATAGAAGAATATGCATACAGTCCTTTGGGAGCGAGTAAAGGGCGCTGTATCAACGCTCCCGATACCATTAATCGGGAGGGATGGAGTTTATCGATCACCTGCCGACGAAGAGGATCAGGTCGATCAGGCTTTCAGGCATGCACAGGAAAGGGAGGAAAATCTAGAGGAACCTCTCATACAGAGCACCAGCGCCGTCAGGTAGCCTGCGATCCTCAATGAGAATATCTCAAAGAGTTTTTGCTTGCAAAGCGCAATGACATGCTGGTCATGCTGGCATGACCTGTACCTAGGTCAAGTGCATCCTCCTGGGAGTGGTGGGACCTCCAGGGCAGTGGCGTGATCAAATATTCTCACATCTGTTCATTGCTCTTGTATGCAGCGGGGAGCCTGATATCGAAGAGGCTGCTGAGCCTGCAGAAAGTGCACCTGCCAAGGATGCTGGGTCCAGCATACCTTCAACTGTTTTCAACCTCACTAATACCATCATCGGAGCTGGTGAGGAAATTATGGTTGTCTTTGGGCTGAGGATGCTGAATCTTGTCAGTCCCTATATCTGTATTGTCGACCAAAGCACAGCCGCATCCGACAATGTGTCCCCTTTGCAGGCATCATGGCGCTCCCACAAGCTGTGGCTACACTGGGGGTCGTGCTGGGCAGTCTGCTTATTGTTCTTGTGTACATTCTTTCCTACGTCACCATTGACATCCTGGCCAGGTTGGTCCACCCTTCTCAAGCTTTGTCAACCTGTGCCTGCGTAATCTCCTCAAAAGCCCGTGCGGATGCTTGCGAAGTAATGATCTAATGAGGATCTGCTCTGCAGGGCAAGCGAGCGCTCTGGGAAATGGACTTTTGGCGAGCTGATCAACTCATACCTTGGCAGAGCAGGGTCCGAAACACTGCGATTTTTCATCATCATCAACAACGGAGGTGAGTGACAGGCTGCTCAATGTGCGTCTGTCTGCAGAGAACTCATCAACAGGGCATGTGTCTGCTGATATCTGCTTCCAGCCTGAGAGCATGGGGCTCACACCTGTTCTCAATGCAGGGCTGCTGATCACCTACACCATCATGCTGGGAGATGTCTTGGTGGGCAAGGCCCCTGAGTACAATGGAGTCATACCGAACCTGACTGGCATTCATACGGGCGACTTATGGTATCTGGATCGCCGCTTTGTGGCAAGTTTCTGCCTTGTCTCCCTTGTTCTTTACAAAGCAATCCACCGCTTTCTCCGTGTGCTGCTAGCTTCATCATCACATATTGAGAATTGCAGCTTCATGCAGGTGGCAATGGTTGTCGTCATTCTCCTGCTGCCCCTTACTCTGCAGAGGTGGGTCAACTTCACTTTTTTGCTGCATGCTGATGCTGAAGCCTACTGCTTGTGCAGTGAGCTCCACAAATTCAGCAGAGACTGCTGTATGATCAACTTTGTGGAATTTAGCTCAAGGGAATACTTCATGCCAAGCTGCTGAGCAGCAATGCATGCGTGCAGGTCTCTGAAGTCTCTGGCCTGGGCGGGTGCTGTCGGCCTGTTCCTGGCGTTAGGCTTCTCGTCGCTGACAGTCGCGCTGGTGGTCCTGGCCGGGCTGCAGGGCCGGCTGGGCAACATATCCTGGCTGCCTAACCCAGACCTCACCGGCCCAGACCTGAAGGACAAAGTCCTGGGCGTATTCTCCACTCTGCCTGTCATCGCCCTGGCCTACGTGTGCCACTACAACGTGCACCCGCTGGTGTGACACCCGCTGTCTTTGCCCTGCTACACTACTCCCAGCACAGCTTTTGAGATACCCTCCCCTGCAAAAGCTCATTTTTTCTACTTGTTTGCAAAAAGTCTTGTAGTACTCAGCTAAAGATGGGGCTGTGCAGCTGCGGGAGCTCAAGGCATACTCGCACAGGCGCTGGGCCATCGTCCTCCACTGGTCTCTGGGACTCTGCACGGTGCGCTCCTGCTGGGCTAGCATAATCAAGGTATACTTCTTGTCCTGACAATTGACAAGAAGCTTTTGGGCCCCATCATCGACTGATCTGATGCTGGGGTGCTGCCAGGTCTTCTACGTCATCATTGGCGTGGGCCTGTACCTGGTCTTCCAGGATGACACCCAGTCTGACGTCCTCCTGAACTTCAGTGTGGACTCTCTAGGGCCCCTCGTGGGCGACGGCGTGGCAGAGGCCATCACTTACATTGTGTGGCTGGGGTATGTGCCGCCCTTTGGTGGCATGGAACATGTGGAATCAAGCAGAGCTCTATCTTGTAGAGGATGTTTGCATACTTGAAGATGACGGGCTCTCTGTGCTTGCAGGTATGCTTTCAATCTGATTGTCACCTATCCCATGATCCAGTGGGGCCTGCGGGAGGTGTGTCCAGCCCCCCAGAAATTATTACAAAGTCAGCTCGCATCAATTTCACTGGGGTGCCATTTATTGCGGTCTGATGCACGCATTGCAGTGATTTCCTGTGCTCATCTTACAAGTGTCTGCGCAGGTCATTGCCGAGATCGTGTTTGGCGCTCCAACAGTCTCGACTGTCCCGTGGGCGCTGATCACCGTTGTAATACTGGTTGTAACATACGCCATCGCCATGGTCGTGCCCAACATTTGGCCAGTCATGGTGAGCATGCCTGCCATGCTGATTGCTGCTGTGCGCTGCTGCTGAAACACAAAGTTTCCCTTTCATATAGGCCTAAAGCCGATGACAAGCAATGCGAACTCTGTACCACTAGCAGTTGTGGGTCCCCCAGTGAAGAGAGGTCCTCAATGGGATATCCTCATGGCAACTGAGATCGGACTGATATTGCGCTGCAGACCATCACTGGCGCGACGGCTGCTGTGGCGATTGGCTGGATATACCCTGCCCTGATCCTCATGAAGACCGAGGGACCGAGGTCCTGGGCACGCAGGGCCGGCGCCACAATTGTCATCCTTCTGGGCCTCGTCACTGCTGTTGTGGCGGTGTGGAGCATCCTGGGGCCCTATGTCTCCAAGATGTGGGGTCACTAGCTCCTGACGGGTTGGGGGACTAGTAGGGCTGGAAAGTTTGTGTGTTCCTTTATGTACTTTGTGTATCTGTTATGAGCTGATCAGAGCTTGTGAGGGCTGTTGCATGTCACGAAGCTTGCCCAGTTGAATTGGGCCAGTCATCTCTGTCGCTCGCTCTGCCTTCATGTCTGGTTTTCTTTTACATGAGTTGGACAGTTTGCTGGAAGCTGGTCTCACCGGCAGACCTCTTCAGTATTCCCATCACAGAATTGAATCACATGCCTCATGATGCCATCATGGTATTGCCATGCACCTGCAATCACTCTTGACAAGTGGTTGTCACAAGTCATTGACTCGCGGACTCTTGAGCTCGCAGTGTGAATCATATTGGCAGGTGCGGCGGTACTACCGGTATACCGTACTGTGACGCAATTAATGACGAATATTCTGCATGCAGTCCAGCTGGCAGCTGCAATGATTTTGCGCGGGCAAACCGCCACCGTGTCACCCTATATAGTTGGGTGACCATATATGGGTTGCTGTTCACCACCAATAAGTTTCAGTAGTAATGTGATTGCCCATATCAGCAATTATGAACAATTTTTCTGTCGTCACCATCACCTTCACATTAGTTTTGTCTCAGACGGTGTTCACATCTGTGCAATGTCTTAGATTTCATATTTCCCCTGTGCATTCAAATTTTCCCTTCAGCTCGTAGCGAATCAACAGTCGGTATTGAATTCTCAACACTACTTGTCCTTGGATAAGGTGCTTCTCATTAAGTACTTTGGAAACGATTACAGTACTGTCATCAGTGGAGCTTATAGCTTCGAAACATGTACGCGCGTCCCCTCAGCTTGTCTGTCTGACATCTCAGCATCGAAGTGCTGTGCGCTAGAAACTTATTGGGGCAGATCCATGTCGCAAAAAGATTTAATGCTAGATAATATTAGTTTGCATTGGTTTTGACACCAGGGTCTTGTTGCTTGCACAGGGGAAAAGGTGGGTATGCAGTAGGAGAGGTATATTCGATCCAGCCGCTTGTCAATAACCGACAACCCATAGAGAAACCCCCCTTTACAATCGGCACACTCAGGAAGGCAATTCCGCAGCACTGTTTCAAAAGGTCACTTCTCACATCGTCTGCGTACTTGGCCGCAAATTTGGCAGCGGTTGCTCTTCTCTACGTTTGCAGCACTGCGATTGACACTCTGCCAACCTGGGCACGGCTGATATCGTGGCCTTTGTACTGGTTTTGCCAGGTAATGATAATTGCTGAGGTCTTTTGAATGCCTGCTGCTTGCATGGGATATCACGACGCGCCGATCACTTACCACTGGGAGTTGATCATCAGGGTTTCCTCAATTACTGATGGTTCCTGATTTGCTGCAACGTTAGGATTTTACAATGCGTATGTCTGTGGCAGGGAGCTGTATGTACGGGTGTCTGGGTGATTGCTCACGAGTGTGGGCACCAGGCCTTCAGCGAGTCACAGTTGGTGAACGATGCAGTGGGGCTGGTCTTACATTCGTGCCTGCTGGTCCCTTACTATTCATGGTGCGTTCATTTCAAAGGATATTTTCCCTTTCTGTTCTACACATTTCTGGACTTTGTGTGTCTTTTTGGAGTATAGGGTGGCAAGGTGCCTCTCTATTTTGTGCTGACTGGCCATCACGTTTTACCAAACAGATGGTGTCACGCAAACGATAGTGACATGTGATGATGACATGGCCTAATGCGCTGCAGGAAGCATTCACACAGGAGGCATCACTCCAACACTGGCAATGCAGCCAAGGATGAGGTGCGGGTCTTGTCCTCAGAATGTGTGGCAGACAGGGTCACTAGGCATATCAGCACCTGGCCGCTCTCCTCCATGTCACAGCTAACATGTGGCTGCTTTGCCAGGTGTTCGTTCCAGATGTCAGGCCTGTGGATCATGAGGAGATGAGCTTCAGAACGCTCGGCCCTGTCCGGCTGCTGGAGATCCTCTTTGTCTTGACAGCTGGCTGGTGCAGCCCCTCCTCCCTCTCCTAATACTGAAGAAACCACTTCTTTAATGCTGGCTATTTGCCTTGCATGTCCTTGATCATTAGGGTTGGTCCGTTTGCCCATATGAGTATCTGTGATTTGATTAAATTCCCTCAGGCCGTTGTACCTGCTCTTCAATATGTCTGGCCGCGAGTATGAGTCATGGGCAAACCACTTCAGCCCCTACTCGCCCATCTACAGCCGCCGCGAGCGCAGCGAGATTCTTATCAGCGACATTGCTCTGGGCCTGGCCTTCGCGGGCCTCTCTTGGCTGGGCAGCACCTTCGGCTGGCTCTGGCTCCTCAAGGTGCATTGCTTACCCAACAGACCAACGTCCTATGCATGCCGTGAACCTCCTGCCATGGAAGTCTTGAGAGCCTCCTTTCTCTGGTCATGCTCAAGTGGTTCTAATGCATCCATGTGCTCACAAGCAGCACTGGCACATTGGACCATCTTGAACATGGCAAAGTGCTTGAAAGAGTGCATGGGTCCAACGCATGCTATTCCTTGCCACGCTCCCCTGGGTCTGACAGAGATACACTGTAAGCACAGCAGCAGTCGCATCATAGATCAACGGGCCATGAATTTTTTTGAAGTCAAGTTTTGATCTAGAGCCAAATTTCAAATCTTGTAAATGTATTACGGAACAACTGCCATATGCCAGCCATATGTGTAAAAACTTGTTGGCAAATCCAAGGGGATTTTGCAGTGGAGTCTGCAATGAATTCAGTCTGGCATGGTGATGGCGCAGTGTGTGATCGCGAGCAGCAGTGGGCTCAACAGACTTGCGGAAAAGCCTCCAAATCAGACTCTGGATCTCAACCCAACATTAGAATTCGATGAGTGCTGGAAAATCCGGAAATGCATGACATTGTGCGGGGCTGGCGCAGGTGTATGTGGCGCCCTACCTGGTAGTGAACGCGTGGCTGGTGTGCATCACGCTGCTGCAGCACACGCACCCGGCGCTGCCGCACTACAGCGACACCGAGTGGGACTGGCTGCGCGGCGCCCTCTCCACCGTCGACAGATCCTATGGGCCCCTGGACGTCGTGTTCCACCACATTGCAGACACCCATGTAGCCCACCACCTCTTCTCCACCCTGCCCCACTACCATGCGCAGGTGCGTATCCCTCACTCACCTCATACATCGGTCATTTGATCCTTGGAACTCTGTCATGCTGCCAACTAGATTGGTCCGCATGTGGGCACTGGTCGACATACTTTCAAGTCTCTACTCTTCGTCCATCCATGCATTTGCTGTTGTTTCAAGCCCCAGGGCCCTGTTTTGCAGCTTGATTTGCATTTGGGTAGGCCATAACAAGCATGGGACACATAGCCTCTGGCGCTCCTCTAGATTGGGCGGACTAAATATATGTGCACCCTGTCTCTGCATCTTCGGTGCCTTCCACTCTGCCCAACTACCATATGCAGGCACGCCAGTCCTGCATGAGCCTCCTCTGCGTCTGCGAATCCTTTGTGCCTCCATGGAGGCTCCTGTGAAAGAAGACTTCTCCTACAGAGGAACATCTGTGTGAGATTTGGAGCTGGAAAAAAGTTGTTTCAAGGGATTATCACGATCGATTTGTTCGACTGATCTGCTCAGGGTTTCGTATAAGAAGCTTCAAGAAGTGTGTCATGTCTGCAGGAGGCGACAAGGGCGCTGATCCCTGTGCTTGGGAAGTACTACATGCACGACAGCCGCAGCGTGCCACGAGCCATCTGGGAGGACAGGCAGGCCTGCCGCTGGGTGGCGCCGGACAAGGACACCCCAGGCAGCGGAGTGTTCTGGTTCAAGCAGTTCAAGGAGCAGAAGAAGTCCGACTAGGTTCCCCTCATTCTAGGCAGGCTCTGTGTAGGCCAGTACGTCCTGTGAGGGCCCCTTGCTGAAGGCTGCAGCTTTCTTAAATGCAAGAATCGTGGATCTTCACGGTCAATTTCATACTGAAATTGTTAGATGTAGCTCAGAGGTGTCTCTCTGGAATTGGCGTTGAAGCGCTGCCGTTGTGCCCGGCTGCCAGCTTCTAGAGCTGTTTGTTGCCACATGGCATGTGCAACTGCATTGAAATGGCCTCGTTTGAAGGTATGGCATGGCAAGGTTTCTTGACATTGGAGAAAAAGGCATTGTTTCTTGATATTTAAGGAAAAGGCAGGAGGGCTCTGCACAAGCATACGTCTTGGAGACTCCTTCTTGTATATCAGGGTCTTAGTAGGCTTCATTGGTACATATCATGTCTGTGCTATAGGCACGAAAGAATGTGTGAACAGGGCTGGATAGGGCTTTTGTGGCTGCAATTCTTTCAGAGGTTGATTCCTCCATGGTAAGCACCAGTGTACATCAAACTCCTGATCAGCGGATGATGCTTGAGTCTACCCTTGTGCTTGAGAGCTGATAGCAGTACTGTTAGTGTAGTGCAATTGAACCATCCTTCTACTGTCAAGGTGACATGCATGGTGATGCAGAACGGTTATTCCATGTCTGCCTCAAGGCGCTAGCGCCCTCACCTGGACAAATGTGATGAGATCTCGAAGAAGACGATTCCAAGTATCCCAATGACCTAAAATTGAAGTGCCTGATTTATTTGAACAGTCCTACTGCATAGGAGTTGCGTCAGGATAGAAGGTGTCCATAGTGGCAAAGCAGGAATGTTTTCTGCAGTGTGATAAGTGTAAAGCCACAGTGAGAAATTTGTTTTACGCAGTATGGCTCGTCACTTGAAAATATTTCAATGTATTTATATAACCCAGTCTTGAGAGGTCTGAATTTGAGTGAGCTTCCTATATGCTGCAGGAATCACCCTGCATCAGTATGGACACTGTGCTACAGTGCATAAAATGACAAGCCTGGCTTCTTGCAGCCCCAGCACTTTCCAATTATGTGTTCCCTACAAGGCGTAGGCTAGCAGCATGTCTAAGAGCATTCACAAGTCACGGACTCTAATGCAAATCACTGATCTGCATGCAAGCAGTTAATTCTCCCCACGACAAATCTGCTCTAAATCACTTAATAAGATGTTGCAGCGGTGATTGAAGTTTTCTCCCACTGATGCAGCCGCCAATGCAACTTGCACTGAGCAAGAGCCTCATAAAATCAAAGGCGCTCATTTGGTGCTCTAATCCTCAAAGCGCAGGTGTGAGCCTGCAGGTGCCGGGAAGCCGCGCAGCAGAGTGCGACCGGCGCTGGGGCTCTCCACGGCCTCACCCTCCTCAGTGAAGTGCATGTGGCGGCCGGCAGCAACGGGAATGCCGCGCAGAGGCTCCTTCGACTCCACCTATCACATCAAACAAGCAGTCTCACCCTGTGCGCACCCTGGAGGTCTTTCCTTGTCTGCCAGGTTGATTGGCAGGAAAAAGGGGGCACAATTCATCCGTAAATCACTGGGCCTCAGGTACCGACATGATCTGCTACATGTTCCAACTCGAAGGGGCGCATCCAGCTTTCCATCCAGCGTATGTTTAGTGAGACCTTGTTCAGAATTACATGCTGTGGTCTGGGGTGTATTGAAACGTGTTCTTTTCATTCATTGCTGAGCATGTGAACAAATTACAAAGCCAGAGAACAGGTTCTGTACTAGGGATGCTGGTGCTTGCCTTGGGAGCAATCAGCAGGTCGTCAAGCGCCTTGCAGAGAGCAGAGCTGGCCTCCTCCGACTCTTCAGCATCTGCCACGCAGACGGCGCCAGTGTACATGGTTGTGTCGCTGGCCTTGCTGTCGCTGGAAAGGCCAGGCAGCACCTTTGGCTTGGCGGCCGCTGCCTTCAGCTCCTGCTTGATCTGGCGCAGCGACCTGCCGCGGCACCAATGACTCATGAGCAACTGTGCAGCCTTGCAGAGATACTTTGCTGCCTGGACTGCAAAAGTTACAGTTGCAATGCATGTTGCCCACCTGGGATCAAATGGCGTGGTGGGCTTGATCGCGGATTTGACAGCGTGCTTGGATGCCTTCGCCACAGGTTTTGCAGCCTGCGGCGCAAGTTCACTGCTTGCCTCAGCTGCTGCATCCCATATTCTATTCTACACAACGGCGTCCATGCCACAAATTTCCCATGTAATTGCGTTTACTCAGGCACACTCACCACCGGGACTGTCTCACTGATGTATGGTGACCCGTCCATCTGCCAGCGCTCATCATCCTTCTCAGTGGTCAGCATCGCCTCGTCTCCGTCCCCTTCCTGCACATCACCCACAAGACATGCATGGATGACAAATTAGAAAGGGAGGTGAAGCAAAGCCTGCCTTAATTCATGCCTTACTGTGCATTTCACGAAGTCCTGCTCACCTTGTCTGTGACAGTCTCAGTGAGAGCAATGGCATTGACCACCACCTCAGCGACAGGCGTGGGCACATGTGGGGTTGCAGGCTTGGGCTCTGCTTCAGGCACTGCGTTCTCCGTGGCCACAACGGACTGTGCGGGGGCAGTCTCGATGCGCTGTGGGGTGATGAGCATTTCCTCATGGATGCTCTGCTGGACTTTCTTGACGGCTGCGGCCACCTCAACAGGCTGTGGCACTGCATCTTCTGCCTTGGCAGCGACCGGCTCCTTGGAGACAGCAGAGACTGGCTGAGTGCGCATCGGTGTGATGTGCATCTCGGCCTCCATGTTCTCCTCAATGGTGGTGTACTCCTCCAGGAGCTGCTTGACAATGTTGTCCTCGTGTGGGATGTCAGCCGCTATGGCATCCAGTTTGACATCGTCGTTCACCACGGCCCCTGCTGATAATGAAAGAGCTTCTCGGTGCTTGTGTACGCAAAATTCATGGGTGAGAACCTGGACCAGTGCAGTGCTTGGCAAAATCACCTCCTGAGATTGTGGCTCCAATAGGATCGTCTTCGACGGTCACAGGATTGTCGGCATTCTCCTCCTTGTCCTGCCAGCATGCAAAGCATGAGCAAGCCAACTTCCAAAAGGGACGACTGTGCGGAGGCGAAAGAGATGCTGATTCTCAGATCTCACCTCTGAAGCATCATTTGTGCGGTCAAACAGGGCAACGCGAGGCAAAGGTGTTCCAAGGTCCTTTCCAAGACGGCTGCTGCGCGGCCTGATCTCTGTGCCGAAAGGCTTCACCAGGGCTGCATCGGACACAGCAAAAAATTGAAGCTTAGCTTAACTCAATTTTGTAGCATACGGTATGTAAGAAATCTGCACTATCCAGGTACTTCAGTGCAGTCAAATTTGGGCATGCATGGGAAGTCGCTCACGTGTACCAGTTGTCCTGGCCCGGCTTCTTGTCAATCTGCCTTCTGTGTTCATTGCAGGCTTCTCAGGTGAAATTTCAAGCGGAGATCTGATTACTTACACAAGGAGCTGCCCTGATGGAGTGGCAATAGGACTCAGCAGGACAGACAGGTGTAAGGAGGAGTACGTTCTGCAGGGGCCGATGTGCAGGCTCGGGAACTTTTCACTTTTGAAGTTGTTAAACAAAATCTATGCACTGTAAGAAAATCCTTTCTGACCTTCACAGATTCAAACCGGGGGCGCTGGCTGCCACGCTGGCAATGCCAGCATGGCATGTGCATGACGATGACGATCTCTCGATGGTTCTATTCAGAGAACATCGGCTAAAATTCTGATGATTTCTGCGTCTCTTAATTTATCTATCAAAGGCTTTTCAGATAGCCAGGCTATCTCCGTTCACCCTTGCGCAAATGGATGCAGAATAGCCTGCACCACCCCTCAGAACCCATTTCCTAGACGCATATAACATTTTACATGCGATGCGATACTAAACACATCTCGAAAATTTTCAAGATGCAATTTTATGCAGCGGGATCGATGGGGAGCTTGCTTGAGGCTGGCGTGCACCCTGCCGATGTTGTATTCTACAGAGAGGGGCAAGGCCCCAAGCTCTGTGCCTCGCTGGAAGAGTCGATCTCACAGATTTTAGCAGAAGATACACAATTCCTGGAGGACATGGAAGGTAGGACGTCCTTTCAATTCCACATGTATGTATCAAGATGCAGACGCGGTGTGGTGAGGGCTGTCTGTTGTGCACGTAGATGACAGAGGCTGCGATCTCACATTCAATGACTTCCCCGTTGTGAGGCACTCGACGAGCCCTCAGAGCTTGCATGAGGTACAGGTGAGCCAGGCCTGGCATTGGTCCCCTCGGATGGTTTCCATTGTCACTGTCAATTGTTATTACCTGCAGGCAAGGATACATTCTGAGACACTTTTGCCATGCAGACTGATTGCCTCACAGAGAGGGGGGAAGATCAGATCGACCCGAAATACAACAATTTCTCAGAAGAGGCAATCAGGCCAGCCGAAACAACAGGCCAGCATGAATCAGAGATCTCGGACGTTGCGCAGCATGCAAACGGGGCAATGCCTGCCATACACCCAGCAAATTCGACAGGTGAGCAGCCTTACAGCTGTGTGCAATCCATTAGCTGCAAGCGGACTTTGCTATTTTCGTTCAGATTTTTGAAGGTGTGCATTGGGCTTTCAGGCAGATTTCCTGCTCCTACAACTGCAGATGGACAGCGTGAGCCCGCTTACAGCCGTCGGGCAGCGCCAGGGCCTGCTCCCTTCCAGGTTCCCATCGCACCTGGCAGCAGACCGCGCCTCGGCAAGAAAGCAGCGCCAGAGAGGCAGAGAGCCGGCGGCTTTGTCGCCCCGCGCCCCCTCCAAAGGAAGCCCATGGCTGGTGGCAACCCGAGGGAGGCACCTGCCTTCAGTGTGCCAAGTGTGGCTGCGGACATGGGCCAAGCTGCCGGCCCTCCTGATGTGCCAGCGGGCGTCTTCTCCTTCCTGGGAGGCAAGCAGATCACCATCAGCAGCGCAGCACAGCAGAGGGCTGCAGCGCTGTTGCAGCAGATCCAGAATGACGCTGGGGATGACTATCTAGATGCTCCCTGCATGCAGCTCATCGCAGCGGAACCAGCACGGCAGGAGCAGATGCCAGTGCCTGCCGCAGAGGAATGCCCGAGCAGGCATCATGCCCCATATGAACCTGCACCAGCGGAGGAGAGCAGTCAGAAGCCCATGGAAGCCATTGGCAGCGAGGCTGGCCCAGACCACACCGTTGAGGCTGGCCGAGAGCCTGCCATAGCTGCAGGGCAGGACACCCTACGGCAGCAGATGGCAGAGGCTGCGGATGAGGATGCGCACAGGGCAAGTGATGCGACTCAGCTGGCGCCAGGGGCGCTCGAGGGCATCCCCATGTCGAGCTGGGAGGAGACCCAGCAAGTGTGCACCATGGCTGTTGTGCCAGACACACTGGTCATTGACCAGCCGGCAGGTGAAGGAGGCTGCGAGGCGCTCGGCGAATGCGAACCCAGCAACAGACAGAATGCGAGCCAGCACTCAGCTAATGACTCCCACGGTATGGCAGAGCACGCAGAATGGGGTCCTGTGGAGCAGACTCAGATCCTGGATCAGCCGTCCCCCGTCCAGCAAGGGGAGCCAGGCAGTGCAGATGCTGCAGATGGCCACCCGCGCGCTCCCTTGGAAGAGCCCAGAGGAGAGGAGGTTGCGCCCACTCAGCACCTCGACAACATGCCACAGATGGACAAACAGATCAGCCTTCATGCAGCAGCAGAACCATCCAGTGAGGCTGCTGGAAATGAAGGGGTGCAGAAGAAGCCCAGCGTGCCATGCTCGCCAATCGCGCATAGGACACCCTCAGCTGGTGCTGGCCTACAGGAGGTGGAAAAAAAGACAGCCTCCACACCGGCAGCAGATGTGGCGAAAAATGCCCCGGAGGCAGCCGCCAGCGATGCAGTATGTGGCAGCGGGGCGAGCCAGGAAGCAGGGGAGGTGGAAGCAGCACACCTGCTTCATGTGGCAGCGCAGTGTGGCGCTGGGGAGGGCAGTGGGAAGCATGAGAAAGAGAGGAATGCTGTAAGCTGTGGACTTAGTCCAGCACGCACAGCAGTGGTGGTGGGTGCAACTTCTTGCAGAGGCTCGCAGGCAGGCCTGGGGGAGCATGCTGGGGAGGAGGCTACCACTGACTCTGTGCCAGTGCCTATGGAGAGGCATAACACCGAACACCAGCCAGCACAAATGTCTCAGAATGGCCCAGCAGAGCCTACAGGAGAGGCGGACTGTGTGGCAGGGCTCATGGGGCACATGTCGCCAGACAATGACGAGAGGCAGCTCTCACCTCACCAGGGCCCACATCAACCGCCAGCCACCTTCTCGTTTGCCACGGCGTCAGGCAAAGCGGTGCCGGTGTCAGCCGCAGCTCTGGCACAAGCGGCAGCCTTGTTCGGGAGCAGTCCATTGCAGCAGAAGCACCAAGCCGGCGCACCCCGCATGTTTGCAACGGGCTCCGGAAAGCCGGTGCACATCGCCGCCGACAAGCTGGCCTGTGCTCAGGATTTCCTGGGCTTTGCTGAGGAGGATGCTGGCCCAGGGCAGGGGCCCGCTGCTCCTGCAGATGACTGCTCCATGGGCGTGGATGAAGCTGAGGCAGCCCCTTCTGGGTGGGCAACCGGCTCGGGCAAGAAGCTGCAGGTCGATGCCGCGAAGCTAGCTGCTGCTCGCGCGCTCCTGTCCGGTGCTGCTGGGGAAGCCTGCACCACGGGGGATCTCAGCAGCGCGTCAGCTGACAGGCAGGGAGAACAGCAAATCCTTGCGGATGCTCAGTCGCCTGAAAAGAAACGCTTCAAGCCGGCAGCACACAATGAGAATGACGCGGCTGTCTGCAAGAGATCCATGTCTCCTGTGCCAGGCAGGGTGCGCAGATCTCACACCTTCACTTTGCTGCCTCTATGCTTCTCCTGGCACCGACTGCTGCACTCTCCACATGATATTCAAACGACCCTTATGGTGTGATTCTGAGTGTATGCAATGTCATGCAGCTTCAGGCGGGGAATGTGCCAGCATCACCTCACACACCAGCAGGCCTCGCCGCAAGGCCCCCCGAACTGCAAGATCACCCGATGACAACGCCCGCTGCAGAGCAGAGTGGCCCAGGGCCTGCATTCACGAGCAAGGGGCCGGCAGAGCTGCCTGCACTGGGAAGCAGGAAAGCTTCCGGCAGCAGGATGGGGGCAGCACGGCCGCCCTCCTCGGGGCTCAGCAAGACCACAGCCCGCAGCGGCGGCGGCTTCAGGGCGCCACGCAGCAAGTTTGCGACTCCCATGCGCAAGCTCGCCCTGAAACAGGTGCGCCACACTCAGCAGAAATGTCCAATTCCAAGAGCCCGCAGTGCATTTGTCGTGAGTGAAGATTGAGAGTTGGGTGCCATAATCAATTGCCAGGTGTGGATAAGATGGGGATAGAGCCATGTGATGTGCCACAAAAATCGACAGTGACGTAAAATCTCTAGAGAAGGGGCAGGCTGCATGCCATGGACAAGCTGACTTAAGGGAAATCAGGAGGGGACTCCTTTATTTTTAAGAAGACAACTTGCATGTGTTGCAGGACATGGCAAAGGCGGGCACTCCCAGCCGCCTGCAGGCCGCGAGCGTGCCCGTGGCCCCCCGGGTGCCGCTGCACAGTTTAGAGGGGACCCTGGCTGGCAAGCTCCTGGCGTCGCTGCCGGTTGGGACCTCTATGTGCCCACAGGAGGACGCCAGTGCTGTTTCCGAGGCTGTGCTTGAGCTGGACAGCACCACTGCAACTGACCTCACACTCACAGCCTTCGAGGTTCTTTTCACTCCACCCCTCGATCGACACCGCCTGTTGCTTCAGCACCACAAGAAAGAAATGAAGCTCATTTCACAAAATCATGCTGCAGCCCCAGTGACATTTAGGAACCCAGTGACTCATAGGACAGATGTTGAGGAATTACAGTGATGACAGGGCGTGGGGAAGGATGGCGAGCGCTTGGGGCATGCTGAGTTTGCTGCGCTGCTGCATGCTGCCGGGGCTGAGCAGCAGTATGCCTCGGTAGCCTGGGTGACGAATCACTTCCGCTGGGTGGTGTGGAAGCTGGCCTGCTACGAGCGCCAGTTCCCCGCTCACCTGGCCGGCCGCATGCTCACTCCTTCTCTTGTGCTGGACCAGCTCAAGTACAGGTATTGCCCTGCTGCACTGCCTTTTGCTCTTTATGTGATTGTGACTCCCATCGTGTGCCGTTCTGATGCTACAAGTCCTCCTCTGCTCTAGCAATGTGAAGGATGCAACTGATGGTGCAAATTGCTGCAGAATAGCGCTGTGATGTTCCTGCAGGTATGAGCGTGAGTTTGGGCAGGGGCATCGGTCTGTGCTGAAGAAGGTCTTGGAGCAGGATGAGGCTCCCCAGCGCCCCATGGTGCTCTGCATGGCAGCTATCCTCCAGCGCCACCCAGGTAATAACCAACTCCTCAATGTCTTAAAATGATGTCTGCATTGCTTGTAATCACATGCATGCATGCACGCAGCACCAGCATGCGCAGAGGGTGTGCAAGTAGTAGTCGATATGACCGCGCTGTGCAAGTAGTGGTCATATCGACTACTACTTGCACCAGTTAGAACCAGTTAGAACCAGTTAGATATCGCACGTGTGCAGGGGAGGAAGGCAGGCAGGACAGCTCCGAGCAGAGGCAGGTGGAAGTGACAGATGGTTGGTACAGTGTGCGCGCCACGCTGGACGCGGGGCTGTCCAGGATGCTTACAGAGCAGAAGCTGCGCATCGGTGATCCCCAGTGCTCTCAGTGCAAACACAGCATTCACAGCACCTTCAGCAACAAGTGCTTGTCAAGGGCATCACAAGAACTCTGACCACCAAATATATGCAAACTGATGCAGGCACCAAGATGCGCGTGTCCGGGTCGGAGCTGACTGCCGGCTCGCCGTCAGAAGTGCTGGAGGCCTCTCGCAGCTGTTTCCTGCACCTTCACTACAACGGCTGCCACAGGTGGTTGCCCCAACAGTCTTACGCATATCACTGCTCTGTGTGGCCCCAGCTTCTTTATTAGCTTGGTGTTGAGTTGTGGAGATTATTCACAGCACCATGCCTTTCATGACAGCCTCCTCAGAGCACCTGAGCAGCTCATGAGGTTCTAGCAATCGTGGTACAGTGTAGGATGCAAACACTAGTGGGTGTAAAGGATCTTGAATGCAAAGATGGCGTGGCAGCAGCCGATCTGCTGGCTAGAGGTGTAACAGAGAGCCAAGAGTCATGGGATGCGCGCAGGGTGGCGGAGGCAATGCCGCTGGGCTGGACGGTCAGCCGCAGCGTGATAGTTCCCCTGGGGGCCGTGCGGCCGGGCGGCGGCACGGTGTCGCGCACATGCGTCGTGGTGCAGCGCATATTCCCGGCGCTGTACAGGGACCGCATGTCGGACGGCCGATACCTGCGCCGCACGCCCCGCGCCAAAGCCGTGGCCGACCGCCTCTCGGAGGGGGGCATACAACAGGTGCCGGATTCAAATTTGCAAAAAAATATGGACGAACGTATGGGTACTGCAGAGTTGTTCTTCTTGCGCTGGCTGCGCGCAGAGAGTGGTGAGCAAGAGGTGCTGGGGTGATGTGTTGCCAGGCGGAGGAAGCTTCGGCATCTGCCGTGGCTGCAGAAGAGAGGGAGCACTGCAGGCAGATCATTGCAGACGCTAAGGAGGGCTCCAGCCTGCCAAAGGGTGCGCTGAAATCTGCAAATACATGTAGCAGTCATTCAGATGCATCGATTTTAGAGACGCTGTCCGACTGCAGCCGACTGGATGAGGTGGTAAAGAGGTTGTGCTTCTCCAGGTGCCCTCGTGTATGCTCAAGCGCTCATGGCTGAGGAGGGCCACGCAGACTCAGCAAAGTCCTTCGGCAGTGACAGTCGCGCAGATCATGACAGGTACGGATACAGAGGATGCTTTTACAATGGCAATTCTCAGCTCTCAGAATTTATTGAGATTGGCTATAGCACCATTGGTTTCCCACAGGTACCAGAGCATGCGGCAGCAGGCAATGCAGGCACGGAGGGAAGCAATTCTGAACGCAGACCTGCCTGCACGAGGCCTGCATGTGGAGAGATCCATCCGCCAGATCTCCCTGCTGGTGTCCGCCGTTCTGCATAGGGTGAGACCAAATTGATAAGCTTCTAGCAAAACTGACAGCAATTTCTACAAATCGTAAGGGGCGTGCTCTGTGAGGAATAAATCTGCACTTGAGAAATTTAAATACTTGACCCCTGGGTAAGGCAGCTTTAGAGGGATCTGCATCCAGGTCTGACCTTCCAGATCAGATCTGCATCTGGCAGACAGAGTTTCTACTCAAAGGCGCAATGTGTTGTGGTGCAGGAGGCATGCAGTGATGTGGAGCGTGCGTGTCAGACAAGGGCAGTGATTGAGGTGAGCAACCCGGATGAGGATCTAGAGCGCATCACCGAGGGCAGCATGTGGGCAGTCTCCGACCTGGCCGCCCCTGACATGCACCGGGGCATTCTGCTGCTGCGCGCCTCTGCCCGCTCGCACTGGCAGCCTCTGGCCTCCCACACAGGGCCCCAACCGTACGTACTCCTCTCGAGAGCTCTGCGGATAGTGATGCTCAAGTTTGATTTTCAAGATTGTTTTTTTTTCAAGTTTGGTTTTCCAGGTTTTTCACTTTTTAAAGCTGTGAGCAGGGGAGTGTTGGGAGGATCGATTGTAAATGTTGTATTCTGACAGTGTGGCATTGCGCAGGCTGATGCATGCGTACAGCGCGCGTCAGACAGTGCAGCTGCATTCCTTGGGGCACCTGCAGCCTGGACATGATTTTGACTGCCATGGCATTGTGCTTGGTGCTGGTGAGAAGCAGCTTCTAGGTGAGTGCTCTGTTGCAACAATTGTCTTGGTGCCTAATGTGAGCAGGCTGCCATTTTAGGTCCAATATCTGCCAGTGATTAGCTGACGGACATTAGTATGAAGTTTACGCATGTGTTTGCTCGCATGCAGGCAAGCAGTCGAGCCAATGGGTGTTTGTGGCGGATGAGAGCTGCAGTCAGGGGAGCACCATCCTCGCCATACATCTGCAGGCTCAGCCTGAAGCCGTGGACTTCCTCGATGGCAGAACAGATACCAACAACATCATCACGCTCATGTGCGACTCTTACACACAAGCTCATCCTTGCTGCAGAACAAATAGTAATGCCTGCGTCTCACGCATGCACTTGCGCGCAGTACTGTGCATTGCAAGTCCCAAGTGCTCCCCTGGTTACAAGCTACAGTATCATACTGGATGATGCCTTGCATAGTGTGCGAACGTATCCTGAATGTGCTGCACTGGTGTGGGCAGGAATCTGCGCATGCGCGACTATGACAACACCAATTGCCTGTGGCGGGCAGACGGCGATGAAACGACGGGCATCAGCCTGCACCCTGCGCAGACCGCGGCCAGCATCTGCAAGCCCGGCAGCAGGCTGCACCAACTGGCAGCCTGGGCACAGGGCGCCTCTCCCCTGCTCTCATCACTGCGCCAACAGGTGGAGCGGCTTCTGGCAATCGGCTGATGTCTGCCCACTGTGTAGACCAAGCCTGGCATTCTTTGCAAGTGTACCATCAGAGGTCCAGAAAACTCAGAACTGAAGCAAATCCATAATATGTTGTCTATCGACAGATCGGTCTAGAATCAAATGGATTCCTAATTAAGCACCAGCCTGCGGTGCTGTATGTGTTGCAAAGTCTTGCTTCCTCACAAGCAGTCTCAGGCCTGATCTGCCAAAATGTTTGGTCTTGCGCTTGCCTTTACGTCGCGGTGAAACCACAGCCAGCATAATAATTGGCTCATTATGGATGGGGCATGGCCAAGATGAAGCCATCATAATTCGACCTCTGATTGTCGTCTCCTGTCAGATGTAACAGACATTACTCAGGAACCTTGCAAATGCATCGGAAGGTCAACGCACTCCAATACTGCAAGACCCTTACAAATTATGCGTGCCATGTGCCGAAAGATAGAAGCATACAAGACAGAGAGCAGCTGGCATATACCTGGTCGTGATCCAACCCCTAAGAAATTACACTGCCTGTGCACTCCTCCAGGTGAGCACAGTCCCTGTCATTTGTGGCACCTCAGCTACTTCCTTTGCATCTTCAGGCGCTGTTCCGCCAGTTTTGCAGCATATAACTCGTCGTCTCGTAAGACGCCTTTATGAAGATTCTGAGGCAACAGGGAGCACAGAATATTATAGAGCTTCTGCAACACCAACTATTATGCTTAATTTGGTCCTAGTGAATGCTACAAGAACCCACAGCATGATCCGATTGAGGTACATTCACAAGTCACCTCTCTTTCTATCCTCTGTCCCTCATGAATGAAGTAGACACCCCCCATGGTGACAGCTGATGCCAGCAATAACGTTGCCATGGCCCCTGACATCCTCATTGACGTCGGGAGTCAGGGGCTGCTGTGGGCAGCGACAAAGCCTCGAACCTGCTGAAGTTTATCTTGGATCTCTTCAAATTTTTTCCACCTGAAGCGGCTCAGGATCTGACCCACTGGTTTTCCACTTTAAATTTAATTCACGTTTGTTGGCTGTAGCTTCGGCGGCAGTGAGGCAGCCAGACTCCCAATATCATATCGTACCGCCTTTGGATTTGAACAAAAACTTCGCGCTTTCAATAAGAGATAGATACTACTGCATGATGTTAATGGCAGCAAAGGGTCTGCAGAGGGTCTGCAGGGTCTACAGGCTACAGCTGTTAAGGGTTTCAATCGGAGAAATTTGAACGTTTGATAAACCGGCTTAGCCGGCATCATTGGCATCAGTGAACATGTTGCTCTAAAGCAATTGTCGCTCAGCATGGGATCCAGGGTGAACAAAGTCGACCTGGCATCCCTTAACAGAGGTGGTGAGTTGCTGGGAATGCGAGAAAGAGAGCGTTCACGTTCACGTTCGCCGAGTCCTCAGAAGGCTCCTCCACAGGGGCCCCCAGTGTCCCCAGCTGAAATACGAGCCGTATGCAATTCTCTCGAGGCTAAGATTGCCAAATCACCAATCAAGATTCCCCCGCAAGTTTCTGCGTTGATCAGCCTGGTCAAGGATCTGCCTGACGACGACGGGATCCCCAAAAGGATGAAGGAACTTTCCGTGGCCCTTAAGCTGCAGCAGCTGAAAGCCGCAACCGAGTACCTCAACGGCATCAACGAGCTCTGCGCAAGACTGTACGACTGAGAACAGAGCCCAAGCAAAAGAAAATCCAGCAGATTCTGTGTGAAAGCACAGAGGCCCCAGCTTGTACTTTCTTGCTACCTGCTTTGCTATGAATGTAGAAGGCAAGTTGGTCAATAGTGAAACATCAGAATGCAACGGTACCCATGAGTCTCTGAGCTTCCCTTTTGTGACACCATTTTGGCATAGTGTGGTTGCCGATATATACAGGGAATACCCGCGGATTGGCACTGGCCAGCAGTGGAATGCCATGGCAGGCTCACTGTCAAGGGCTTATCTGATCTCTCCAAGTTGCCTGCCGAGATATAGTGCCGCCCTGTCCTATCCAGGGTTGAGAAGTCTGCAGGAAAATTTCCATATCATATAAACATGACTCATCGGATGTCTTCACAGTTTATTGGTGGAATGACTTGGTGGTTGAGAAGTGTCAGACCTTCTAGGCAGGACCAAGGCTGATCAGCACTGTGTGTCCGACACAAAGGGAGTCCCAGCTGCTAATGGAACGAACTCTCTCAAAAATGGTGGTGCTGTACTTTTATTTGTTGGTTTATAAGCTGGTGCTTGCATTGGATTGAAATTTCGGAATCCTGGACCATACTGCTGTGCATGGAACGTGACAATGATTGATGTGAGTTCCTAACAGCTCTGCTTGATGTTTACGCTTGTGTCCTTGCTGAGCGCGCGCATTGCATGCTTCTTACAAATTTGTAACAAAAACTAGTTGAATCCTGCTGGTGAAGAAGAGATGCATTTGGAGCAGGCCACATTGTACATGGTGTCCCTGCTGGGCCAAGCAGCGGCTGCTTGCGCTCTAATTGCCACAACAAACTGATGTCACAAATGCCTTGGTGGTGAAAGGGACTGCATGCGCAATTTGCAATATGCCACATTCTGCCTACCGCTGGGCCGCGCCGCGCGGCCCGCGCGGCACTTTGGGCTACACAAAGATCAGACCCAAGCTTGCCGTGCAGCTTGCAACTGTCCAGGTGCTTGTCTTCTGTCTCTTCGGTTACTCACTCCATTCAAAAGAAGGGGGAAAGAACCTTGGGCAACTGCTGGACTCACTTGGTACTGATGTTACTGATCCTTAGTACTGATGAGTCATGCTTGTCCAGGAGTCCAGACTCTGAATAACTAGAGCCTCTGGCAAAAGGTTGGAGCAATCTCGACTGGTCCTGGCTCTTTCGATTTGCTAATAATCTTACTTTTTCTAAGAATAGCACGAATCTCTTATATACATCAAGCATAGCGTCCTCAATTGGAGCCTAGTAAAAGTTGAAATTCTCTTGCATCATCAGCCTGATTGCATCTCAGTTTCTGCCCTATCGTGCCGATCTTAATAACAGTGTTGGATCTTGAAGGATTGCGCTATGCCCAAGCGCAAGCAGCGTGCCGAAGCTACTGCTGAAAAAGAGAGCAAAGGCCGCCAGAAGGAGCAAGCGCCGAAAAGGCAGAGAAAATTTTCGCGCAATCAGGTTGCCGAAAAGGAGGGCATCGAGGAGCGCAGGAAGCTGCTGTTGCAAGACCTTCCAGACAATGTGTTTGTGCAAATTCTCAGGCACATGGGTCTGCAACGCCTGAAAGCAGTGCAAGGTAGCCCCCTAGCAAGGCTTTTGCTACTTCTCTACTGTATCTGTGGCAAATTCTTGAGGTCTTAGTCGCTTGGGGGCGTTCGTCTCCACCACTGGCATACTTCACTTCACTACCTTGGCCTCACAGAGTTTCATGTGTGTCTTGCAGTCTGCAAGAGATGGCTGGCCCTGGGGCGGGACCCTTGCTTCACAACAGTGGTGCAAGGGCAGCGCTTGAACATGGCGATCAGCGCAGCCGGGCCTGGAGACACCATCTCCATACGGCCAGGGTTCTACCAGGAGATCTTGCTCGTTGAGAAGCCGCTGAAATTTGTGGGCCAGAGTGGCCAGGACATCCAAGGACGGGAGCGCCGTGGCGTTGTCATCCAGTCCAATCGCTCCATGTGCATCCTGTCCAATGCAAGGCGTGTACTTCTCAACCACCATTGTTTTCCTGCAGATGTGTATTGCTACTTGCCACGTTTGCATCATGTGCGACAGTTAGGTTTGTCAGATCCAGCTTGATTCACCGGAGCAGGGAAGGGATGCGGCTGTGTGGTGTCTCAGGACATGCTTCCAGAATATTGTCTTCCGGGCCATCATGCCCAGCACGGACCGCAGCATCATCAGTTTTGGGCCAGCATGCTCGTACATCCGATTGGAGAATTGCGAGCTCGGAGGCATCACTGGACTTCTGATACCTGACAGCAAGGTGCCTGCCTCCACAAGCCTATCGCACAATTAGCAGTCGGATGCACGGAGCTGAATGTGTGTTTCAGCATGTAAATATGCATTCTTCAAGAGGGTGGTTTGGATGTGCAGGGTCCAGACACCCAGCTGTTCCTGAAAGGCTGCTACTTGCATGGCGTGCCTCACAGCGCGGCAGTCTTTGCAGAAGCTGGCAAGGTCCACATGGAAGGCAGGACCCTTCGATCACAGTGGCTGTCGAGGTTGATGTCGTGCTCAGCTCACAGGTGATTGTCATTCTGCCTGTTTTTAAACCTCATCTGCTGTGCCCTGCAGGCTGCACGGTCACAAATTGCCAGATGGCAATGAACGCATGCCAGGGTGTGGAGGTGGACATAAAGAACAATGATTTGTCCTTCAACGAGGTGGCTCTGGTGGTGGATGGCCACGGCGTGATCCAGGACAACATCATGTGGGGCAACCTGCACCGCTCCACCATCGACGTCAGCCCAGAAGCCCTCGAGCGCCTGGAGGTGCATTCGTGCCGCTGTTCTGGACGATTTCATGGCAGGCTTCCCCATGCTGCTGCTGTCATACCAGGCTTCCCCAGATTCTTGGTTGTCTATATCTGTCCTACAGAACATCTGCTCCACCATTGCGAGGATGCTGACGGCGTGGTGTCATGTCGGCAGGCGCAGATGGCGACGGATGCAGCGGCAGGGCAACAGGCTGCGGATGCTGCTGCTGCTGCTGCTGCAGCGGCCCCTCAGGAGGGAGCGGCGGCGGCCGGCGCGGCGCCTGATGCAGGGCAGCCAGCGGAGGCTGCTGAGCCGGCCAGCCCGGAAGGCGGCTGTCGCGCGCGCGGCGCAGCACCGCGGCTGCCGTCCATCCGCTTCTCGGGCAACCACATCATGAAACCCCTGCGGCTGCGCCACCACGACGCCGACCAGCAGAAGATCCGGAAGAGGGTGCGGCCCATGTAATACCTTCAACAAGCACATCCTCTCTCTTTTTTGATCCAAGCTGGTTTATTAATTGCGCGAAGCGATTGCATTAATTGGTTTTATTTAAGTATCAGCTCAGGATAGGGCCATTCAAAAGGTCGGCTAAGGCCCTATATTTCCGGGAGGAGCCTCAGGACTTCCAGAAATTGACAGGCATCCAGAGGAGGACAGGACGGAGTGTGTTATTGTGTGTTGAGCGACATTCTGTGCTTGTTGACAGGCGAAGAAGCTGGCTGCGGAGGTGTATGGGGAGCACGAGCAGGGGGGCGACTGGGATGACGATGGGGAGTGGCACTTAGTGAATGATGGGGACCTGGACTCATCCGATGAGGATGACAATGCCAGTGTGCACTCCTCAGACCTCTCAGATCACATGCTGGGGGACCCCGAGGACTACTCCTCCTTTTCGGATGACAGCGATGATGAGTCGCTGCACAGCAGCGAGTTTGACACCAGCGATGAAGACTTGGACTCTTCCGACAGCGAGGATGATGGGGCTGCCTATGAGGGGTCTGACGTAGAGAATGAGGGCGGGCAGGAGCAGCCACTGCAGGACGGCAATGCACAGGAATGATGTCTTGCAGCACCTTTTTGACGTGCTGGCATGCGTGGGGAATTGCATGAGGTCTGTTTAAGGACCTGCCAGGTGTTGTACGTTTTGCTAGGGTTGTAGGATCAGTGAAAGCAATGAGGGAATAATCCGTAGGTGCTCAATTAGGGTAGAACCAAAAAGAGCTTGCTCCAGGATCCGGATATGTCGACAATTGGAAGTCAAAGAATGCTAGATAATCTCATTGCAATCTAAAAACTGTTGGATTTCCTTTGAAGGTTTGCCAGTGGTTGGTATAATTGCAATTGCAGTGCACTTTGGACTTGAATGTACAGTGAGGTTACTGGAAATTGCTGCATACTAGTACTGCACAAAAGCTGTTCATGCTGGTACTCGCAGCTGTCAATCGAGTAGGTGCTTCTCAGCATCCTGAGCTGAGTCATCACATCACCATGATGGCCTAACTTAGGTGACACGCAATAGCCGCTGTCAACGCCGGCGCCGCTCCATGGTGGCTCAGGGCAACATGAAAAATGCCCACATATGTACATATGAGCCTGACATTCCCAGGGTGCCTTCGAGACGACCTCAGGTCAGCTTGCAAGGCTGGGCATGCTGGAAGCAGGAATTTCAAGATGGCAAGGCAGTGCAGCTTGCGTGGCAATATAACCGTTATCGCCCCTGTCATCGATGGGATTGCATTGTCACCTGAACACCTTGCAATGGGCAGAATAAAGCCTGTGATAGTATGGTTTCCGATGATGAGGACTTTGTAGATTACACGACTGTGACTCCATGGGAACGGTACGTAAGCTTCACAAACACGAAGTGCCCATCGATTGTTCGCACAATACTAATTTGGTTCATGGCATCTATAATTCATATCTTCCATTTACGATCCACAATCGTGGCCCTTTGATACTTGTTTCTGCTGTTTTTTTGGTGTAGCCTTCTAAAATAGCCCAAATATCATCTCATGAGTTCCGTTGTTCCTTTATTTAAGACGATAAATGACCATCTGATGACAAACATGAATGTATCCAGGTTTGAGGCTGTGGTTGAGCGAGTCCTCTCGTGCTGGATCACCGCGGGTACGTCGCTTTAGCCTTGGAAAGTGCAAATCAAGATTGCTCTAAACCTTTGGCAATCCTTCAGTACCGATGCTGCGATACTTGAAATTATCTTGTTAATGCAGGTCTTGATGATCTAGATCAGCTCCCCGGTTCAAAGGTGGGCAGGAAGGAGGGGGTGCAGGAGGTGTGCATACTCTGATATGTTTTTTGCCCATGCTTTCATTCATGGGGGAAAAAAACTTTGTCTGTGATTTTCTGCACATTTCAGATGTAGCCAAGGAATACTGACAAAGCGTCGCCTTTTCTTTGCAGGTTCATGTCAGGCTACAGCACCAACTGCCCTTCCGCCAGGAGGCATACTTGCTTATTCTCCATCTTCCGGACGACAAGAAGGGGTCAAGAGACATCAGCAGGGAGCCACCTGTGACCACAGCCCAGGCAGCTACCATCCCCCACATCAGGACAGAGGCATGCATAGCGGACGATCACGCACCAGGCCCAAGCACACCAGAGAAGGCCCACTCGGACCCCTGCTTGAGTGGACTGGACAGCGGGCACACAGCAGCAGTGATCGACCTCAGCGGGTCTTCAGATGCAGACAGTGGAGACGTCATTCTGGTGTCGTCTTCAACCGATGACCAGGGCAGCCTGGGTGCGGAGGGCCAGGATCTGGGTAATGCCCCATCCAGGACGAGCTTACTCAGCAGAGCCTTCGGATCTGACGCAAGGGATGCTGGGGGGAAGCAAGCAGCTGCAGTCGCAGCGCTGCAGGACAGTGGATGGCAGGGAGTGCAGAGGCAGGCGCTGCAGGATCGGCCCCACAAGCTGCAAGCTTGGTTTGGGGTCGATGCCTTCCTCACACTCATCCCCTCCTCGTACTCGCGCCGCATCCTCAACGAGCAGGCGAGCCCCACTCACTGCCTTACATCATATCACCATTGATACAAAACAGGTGCTCACTGGAAGCATGTTCAGCCCAGCTTGATGGGTGCTCTTGTGAGTTGGTTGCCGCTGAGGGTAATCAGTGAGAGAAGTGCTCGTGTGTGCGACAGGAGGGTAGCACGCTGAGGAGTGCCCTGGCCGTGGCGCTGGCGGCGACAGGGTGTCCCTGGCCGGCATTTGTGCCGATGCATGACCCTCTGCGCGATGCGTACTGGGGCGTGGCGGCCACCGGACGGGGCGGCATTGTTTTCCTGGAGACCGACAGTGTGCACATCAGCCAGCTGCCCCCGCACCTGCTCAGGGTGCGCAGTCACCTTGTCATGAAGAAATAAGATCAGGATACCAAGATTCCCTGGGATCTTGCTCATTTTCATCTTTGCATCTGCAAGGAATCACCAGAGTCAAGTCGCAAGAGATGCTGCTAAGTGTTCAGTTGTAGTGGCCAAGCCAGTCACAGGGCACTCTGAAGTAATTTATCTGCGCCACTTAGAGGTCATCTGAGGCATTCGGGTCCAGGAATACACAAAGTAACTAAAAACCACCCTGTCAGTCATGCGGAAAGGGGATCAAGGGGGTGGGACACCAACTGTGCAGGTGGACGGGCTGCTGTCTCTGTTCTCACAGCGCCTGGCCGCGCATGCGCCGCTGGCCGCAGCCGCCGCCAAGGCCGTCGTGGATGACACATCGCTGGCGTCCATGGCGCTTACTGCTGCCGGCCGGCCGCCAGCCGCCTACGCGCGCCACGTGGCCGTCTCCGAACGGCGCACCTTCCGCGTTCCGCTCCCCCTCCTGGAAGGTAGCAGCAACAATTTGTAAACTTCTGTGCATATCTGCACCCTTGTCTGACTGTTGCTGGCATGAAATGCTGCTCCGAAGTTGCCTGGTGAATTGAAGGATCCAGCAATACATAAGCTGATGTCATATTGATTTGAGATTGTTGATTGTAGATGGGGACTCAGACGATGCTTCGGAGCCAGAGGCAGATTGGAGGGATGATTGGGATGCCGACTGCTGCTGGCGCCCATGGGCTGTTCATCCAGATCCAATAGGTATGTGCAACGCATTTGCACAACAGATGCTGTAGCTTGAGAGGTGAAGCCTTTTGCAGAGAGTCATGTTATGAGCTATCTGTGGGTGGTTTGGCAGGCCACCTGGAGATGGACCTTGTGTGGGAGAATATTTCTGCGGCAGCGGCTGTGCAAGGTCATGCCACAAGGACCGGCTCAGCCTCACACTGGCGACTGCATGTCCTGGACCCTGCGCAGGCTCCCTCCTATGGCCACCGACTGTTTTCTCTGAAGGTAGGGGACCCACATACATGTGACAGCAGAAAGCCCCTGAAATTTGAATCAAGTACAAGAATTGTCGGGCTCACAGGAGACTTGCCCAAGAGGACCACTGTAACCACCATCACTTATCACCCTGTGACCGCAGAGCAAAGAGCCCGAGAGGATCCACCTGCGCCTGTGCAAGGAGCACTGCCAGCGCAGCCAAGGGCCGGACAACTACGCCCCGAAGGACACGAGCTTTGCTGGGATGCTGCGCGCTCTCGCTGCAGGGGGCAGGGCTGCCAGGCTCGCCAAGTCCATGGGTATGTCCTTCCTTGTCAGGCACGCCTGCTATGAGTCTCATGAGATCGGGTGATTCTGTCTTAGGCCACGAGACCAGGTGCTGTGACAGCAGGTATGTCCTGTTGCTGGAGTGAGGTCGGTTCGTGGAACCAGGCAAAATATTGTAGGAGTCTGGCTTCGAGCTTGTCAGCGCACATGCAGCAAGGCTGTGTGCTGGGGTGCAGGGCAGCTGGCGTCGGAGGAGTGGTGGGGGCGGCAGGGGACGCATGTGCCGGGCATGCCGCCGCCGTCGGTGCTGCAGGACGTTCTGCGTGACCTCTTCCAGGCGCCCACTCTGCCCTCCTCCTTCACCCGCACCTTCCCCTCCCCAGGCACGCCCACGCCCTGCACTCTCTGACACCTGCAACACGTTATTCTTGCGCTTCTTGACCATTCTGACTCTGCCAGTGTGGCTCTTTATCCTGTTTGAGGTCTCAGTATTGCTGGGCTCGAATGCATGTATGTGCGAGGTGGGTGCTTGCGTACCAGCAGGGAATGTGAAGGATGCAGCTGATTTGGACGCGCTGCCCGGCACAGATCTGCTGCTCGTGCCCGGCAGTGCACCGGCATCTTCGCTGGCAGCCCGCCTAGCGCTGCATGCGCTGGTCTTCCAGAGCGCTCGCGCCGTGGCTGTGCTCTGGGTCAGGTAGCCTTCCTTCCTGAACAAAGAACACACAAGAACGATCTTGATGCATGCTGCCATGTTTGTCCTGGCATCTTGGCTACAACTTTGGGTGAGGGGCACAGCACACATCGCTGTGCAGGATGGTGCGGGAGCTGCGCTTCGCGCACTGGGAGGCGCAGGAGCAGCTGCCGCGCATGCGCAGGCGCAGGGCGCATGTGTCTCAGAGCGCGCCCGGCCAGCAACACAACCGCCATTGGGACGCCATCAAGCACCCGCAGGCCCCGGAGGCGCCTGATCTGGCGGCGGGCCTGCTGCACCAGAAGCTGCAGATGCTCAATTGCTGCGCCTTCCTGCGCCGGCACCCGGAGGCCGGCTTTGTCATCGCGCCAGCTGTCGCCAGACAGCAGAGTGCAGCAGTGACAGACAGGGCAAATGCGGGCAGCAGTGGCATATTAGGGCTGGCACAGGAGGTGAGGAGGCTTGTCGGGGAACGCAGAGCGCCCGGTCCGGGCGAGGAGGCCAGGGACGGCGGCTCCGCAGCAGCGTCGGATACGGACTATGCCAGCTGCTGCGACGACCTGGCTGCTGCAGCGGACCTCGATGCGGTGGCTGACAGCTTTGCAGAGCCCATGGAAGTTGACGCGGATGTGCAGTTCCCGTCGTTCGAGCTCCGGCTGCCGTCGCCCGTCACCTCGGACATGGTCGCCGAGCAAGAAGCAGCCCGGGCTGCGCTAGGTGTGTGCAGTCTCATCCATTTCTTGGAGACCACTTTGTGACACATATGATATGAACAATAGTGATAATTCTAGAGAATTTACCTCTCTGTCAAATCGTGTGTGCAGGCGAGGCGGGTGTGGCGGCCAAGGCGCGTATGCAAGGCTCGGTACTGCTGCAAGCCATGCAGGCCTTCAAGGATGCTGTGGCTGGGGCTGCCCTGGACGACTTCCTAGAGTGGCAGATGCGAGTTGGCGCCAGCGTCGGCGTCCCTTCAGACACCTTTGCAATGAAGGAGGTCGGTACCAATCCTCACTCAGGCACCAAGTCCACCGATTTGCAATGTGTGCAACAGTAACTGGCCCGGGCGTGGCACATGAGCAACTTCTTATGAATGTACCAAAGGGCCAGGAGCCTTTCCTTGGTGACAACGCATCATGCAAGACCGAACAAGCATACAGGTTCATGCAAAGTGCATCAATTTTGCAGATTGAGCAAAATCGGGTGTGCGCAGGCGTTGGAGGAGGTGTGGCAGAGGGCGCAGCCGTTGCGTGCGGCGGAGCAGAGGCCGCTGTGGAACGCTGAGCTGGAGGGGGAGCGCGCGCTGCACTGGCTGGAGACGCTGCAGCCCGACTGCGGCTGGCGGCAGCTGCTGCTGGCCGCCCTCAACGCCGCCGCCCTGCTGATCTCACGCTGTAAAGGAGCCACGCAGCCCGCCGCCTCTGCAACGCTTTCAAGGTGAGGAGCGGCTCTCCGCAGGGACCATTCCCTTGCACACAGCACCCAGTTGAATCCTGCAAATTTGTGTCCCTCAAGTCTCTCAGCACTGCTGTTCAAGATGGGTTGGAAATGTGCCTTTTGTGGATGCAGATTTTGGCAGGAGGCGCAGGAAGTGCTGGGCCAGGGGGATCCCAGTGAGGAGGCCTTGGTACGGGTGATTAACAGCTTTGCGTGGGCCGAGCGGGTGGTTGTCGTTGCAGAGGCGCTGATGGCCCGGCTGCCCGGCCGCCCCGGCCTGGCTGCTCGGCTCCTCGACGCCTGCCTGCAGCCTGGAGACGATCCCCCACAACCGCCTGTACATGCAGCAGCAACAATGCCAGTGCCACAAAGCGCTAGCAATGGCCCAGCAGATGGCAGACACAGCGCTGCGAGCAGGGAGGAGCCAGTGCATGCTGCTCCCCTGGCAACAGGCAGGAGCGGCTTGCAAGCAGAGGAAGAGATTTCAGCAGGGGTGCTTGTGAGGGACATTCGCGACAGAGCCCTGCTGGTGGCCCTCATTCAGAAGCAGCCGGTGTCGGCAGGGTTAGAGAGTGAGTCAGCGTCTTCGCAGCAGGAGAGCGCCTCAGAGGCCAGCAGCAGAGCCGCGTCCGGGCGCCGGAGGAGCTCCTCAGCTGATGAGGCTGGCACAGAGGACTGGGGCCCTCCCTTGCAGACAGTGAGGCTATTGCAGTGTGAGTACGGAGCTTCTGAAGGGCAAGCAGCATCAGCGGTGAAGACTGGAGAAGCAGGAATGAGTGGCAGCAAACATGAGCATGTGCACCAGTTGTATGCGCGAGTGCGGCCTGGCGAGTTGCGCATCGCATCCGTTGTTCTCATGGAGTCGTGATGAGAGATGTCACACGCTTGCACAAGTGTGTGTGTTTGTGTGTCTTCAGATACCAGTCATCAGGTCATTGTAATTTGGTTTCTGTACTTGCATTGTAAGATCATATTCATTCTGATTCTGCAATTGGTGAAAAGGTGATTGCTCTCATGAAATACAGACAACATGCATTGGCTACCTCATTCAAAAGCCTCTCAGATGCATCATGATCAGCAATGTCTTTTTGCATCATGCCTGCACTCTGCGCACTGTGCACTTTGACGTTCTCATTTCTTGGAACTCGCTTCTCAAACTAATTCTTCCCCTTTGTACAGAAGGAAGCTTGCCTTCTCTTGCCTTATTCTCTGCCAAGAGAAGATCACCTTGATAGGCAAAACATTTACCAAAGTTGAAGAGCGTGCACCACAGCTGCTCATCAAAAGCTGACTAACCAAAACCCACAAAATTGCCTAGAAGTCGTGCTGTTGGAGCTCCCTGGAGCTGAGGAAGGGCAGGACATCGTCGTTGAGGTAGGGGATGTCATCATCATAGGCGCCATGGTCTCCAATGAAAGAGTCCAGCGTGTCATCGTTGTCAAAGTCGAGCGGGTGCTGCAGCACGGCCGTCTGCGGCCGCACCATCGCCTCCCGCACTATCATCAGCGTCTCCTCCAAGCTCTGCACCCCACAGCAGCAGGCTCAGAACCATCTCAAAGCGGCCCCAGCATTTGCAACATTGAAGGCTCCCAAAACGCCTTTAGCAACCCATGAAAGTCCACTGCCTTGCTCACCCAGTGCCTTGTGAAAGGACTTCATATCTGCTTTGTTAGCAGTAGTCAAGGTACCATGAAGCATGTAACCAGAGCAACATGTTTCTTAGCACGGGTCTGGCTCTCAGGTGCAGCATGTGACAGAGGAGCACACATGCTGAGGAGCGGCAGGGGTGATTTTCCATACTAGCATAAGTGAACATGCCCTCACGGTGGCGAGGCAAACCAAACCATTGGCATGCTCGACTTCTGTCGCTTTGAACACGCCCCAGGCTTCATCAGGGCGTCTGTTTCTTGCCAATCAACTTCAAGTGGATTTGCCTTTGTGATCACTTGGCTTGGTGGAGTATGTAAAATCAACGCCTCTGAGGAATGGGGTGATGAATGAAACCAGGGTGATCAGCAACAAACCCATCAGGGTCGATTGGCCTTGCGGTCGCTGCGGGCGCCACTTGTTATGTACTAGCACTTACTATAATAGTAGCCCCTGGGCGCGGAACGTGCCTGGGTGGCGGAGGAGCGGTGGGAGGAGGGGTCGGCGAGGAGGCGGTCGTTCATGTCGGCGACCCCCGGGGGCAGGTCCCGGCGGAACCAGGGGTGGCGCTGCACGTCGGCCAGGCTGATGCGGCGCTCCGGGTCGGCCACCAGAATCTGGGCCAGCAGATCGCGGCACTCCGGCGTCACCACCGCATGCGCCGGCAGCTCGTACTGCACGTTCAGGATCCGCTGCGTATGGCACTCGGCTTTCAGCGCGCACAGCACATTCAGGATCTGGTTGCAGGCACTCTAAAATGCTACCTTGCGCTGAAAGCAAGATACAAGCGCATACAGCACGTTCAGGATCTGGTTGCAAGGATGCCGCGCTGCATTGCATGCTCTAATGATACATGCAAGAGGATAGCTAGAAGGGCTCGCTAAGTGGTGGCTCACAAAGCACTCCTGAGAAATCTAATCAAGGTCATTCATGTGTGGCTTGCTTGAAGACGCTTGCTTGAAGATGCATTCCAAGAATATGCTTGTCCATTTTCAAGAGAGGCAAGGCCCAATCGTCTCGCGTCAGGAACCCAGGACAGTCAAATTGTCAGTTCCAAGGGGGCCGCCAACAAATAGGCACCCAAGCTGCAGCACTAGGCGCATGGGGTATCATGGCATCACAAAAAGGGGCACTGCTGCAACAGATCAGGCCAAGCGCGAACAGGGGGACTGTTGCAATGGGCGGCACCTGCAGCATGACGTGCATGCGAGCGGAGGGCTTGATCTGCTCATCCTCCGGCCGCCCAAAGGGGTACGCGGCCGCCAGCATCACATACAGCATCACACCGCATGACCACACATCCGCCACCTGCCCCAAACAATTGCACCTCGCGCCCAGCGCACTTGAACAGCGACGTCTCTGATCAGTGGCAATGCTAAGTTGTCATGGTGCAGAAAGAGAGAAAGAAGGGCACAGCCCTACCTTGGCGTTGTAGGTCTTCCCCTTGGTGGTCAGGATGACCTCGGGAGCCAGGTAGGCTGGCGTCCCCACCCGAGACCCCGGCGCTGAGTTGTACACCTCGTGCTGCACGCACCAGGTACATATTGTTGAGCACCATATAGCCCTTGCATGTTGCCCGGTGCGACCATATAACAATGGATAGGTGCAGGGTGCAGGAGAAGTAGAGTGTACTGGCACCCATGGTCAGGAGGCCGCACCTTGGAATAGCCAAAATCGCAGATCTTGATGATGGGCCTGGCGGTGCCTTCCAGCAGCGTGTTCTCAAGCTTGATGTCCCTGTTAGCCACCCCCTGCAACATCACCCATTCGTCTCAATGCAGCCAGAGATACACTACTGCTGAGGCTAGCACGGGCATGCATGGCCCAGCAGTGACCATCTAGTTTTGTGTCGGTGGCCGTTGGCTTCACAGTCTTGCAATCTGAGCGTACCATTCTGTGGCAGTAGTCGACTGCGATGATGAGCTGCTGGAAATACCAGCGAGCGTCCTTCTCCAGCAAGCCCCGCCGCCGCACAACCAGCTGAAACATGTCGCCATCCGTCGCATACTCCATGGCAATGGCCAGGTACTCTGGCGTAAGAAATACCTGCCACAGCCAGCCACGTCAAATAGCAGGGCCTTCAAGGCATTGCGCAGTGTAGCAGCAAGACAGTGGCTTTCCACTGAGTAATTGCGCAGCAAGCTAGCTCGGGGTTGTGCACCTCTCTGAGTTCAACTATGTGTGGGTGCCGCAGCTGCTTGTGATTCATGATTTCCCGCTCCACATACTTGCTGATCTGCACATTGAATACACAAAGCTTAGCAATTCCTCAGCCGTTGCTCAGGGACCGTATGTTGGACAGGGTCGCAGAGCATGAGCAGCTGAGAGGGGGGGCATGCACCTTGTCGCCCCTCTCTATGAATTTTATCGCCACTTGCTCACCAGTTTCCAAGTTTTTTGCTAGTTGGACGAATCCAAATGCGCCTCTGTTCAAGTCAGCCACCTGCCAGGACAGGGGAGCACCCTTCAGTCATATATTGCCCAGATGGAGCATGAAGAATCCAAAATAATAAGTGCCGGTCACCTTCATATATTTCGGATGCCCAAGCAGTGGCTCGGTATTGATGGGACGTAGCCTCTGCGCGTCCATGATCAGTGGGAGCACGAACGTGCAGCCAGGTATCTAAATTCGTGTCTCTCGTACACTTTGCCAGGACTAACACATAGTGTGCGCTTTAGATGCCTCTGATCTATTGACTGAAAGATTTATGGAACATTCTTAACAGAGATCACTCGTATATGAAGGTAATTTTGTTTGCATTTCAGTAAGGAGATGATCTGATGTCACTCACTTCTTGCTCACTGACAAAATTTAAGTAGCCGCAGATCCATTAATTCATTCAATATGATATATAAGATACATCTGCAACGGATCAGGCTTGACAGCAGGTTCTAAGGGTTCCCATGCACATCAGCTGTACACCTTCCGCTTACTTCCCTGATCCTCAAGTAGACAACAGAGTGCGATGAACTTGTATCTAGCTTCAGGGCTGTATCGTTACATGCGGAATCATTGAAGGAATCATCAGCGAAAGGGAGTGCGAAATTGCTGTCTTTCCGGTTCATTTGCAAATGCCAACCTGGACACACGTGCGCAAGGTGTCGTCAGCAGTGCTGCAGAAGGATCCTGTAGTCGACGAGCATGAGCATTGCATCACACCTTTCCCTTACATGAAGAGGTCAGCAAGGCAAATGCCATACAACAGCAGCTCAAGCACGCAATCACCCGCAGTTCAGTGCATCACATTCAAGCCGGCGCCGGCCGCATGCGATCACAGTGTTCTAAGGGACCCCACAGCCTCAAAGTTGGCAAGAGCTTGTCCTTCCTTGTGAACAAGGCTGCAACTAAAACACTACTTCCTTTCATAAAAGGCATGGCATCGTCTGGCTTGCACCAGCTGCACACAGGCAAGCGATACAGAAATGCATATTCAAGTCCAGAACTGACCACGCGACAAGAGCCCACGAGACTGTAGGTGCCTGCAATCACACTAACTCACCAGCAACCTTATTTTACACATTGTCATTTGCTTCACCATGCATCCTTTCCAAGGACTTGCATCTCCCAATATGCTCAGCCCCGCGTTGAGAGACCGTGCCAGCAATCCATGTGCTATGCTGTGCCACATGTTGCCTGGCGCCCAACAGCGCGCGAGCCTGAAGGGGTTCAGCACAGCGCTCTCGGCGGGTCTGTCAATTAAGAGCAAGCCCTGGCAGCTCCCTGTCGTTTCTATACCAGCTGCCTGTGCCTGTCGAAGCAGCTGAGCGCCCTTGGACGATTGCCTGTCTTCCCCATCAGAGACCACCCCCCAACTCCCCCCAGCAGAGCGAATTCCACATGGATCCAGGCTGGGGCTACCATGCAACATCATGGCCGCTGGCGCGCCCACTTCTCAGCTGCACAATCGAGGCGCACTTGCCAGCAGCAGCCAAACCCCCACACCGGTCATCTAAACAGCCACGCGCTGCACAGTCTAAAACCCTTGCGCAGTACAGGCGCCCAGGGAAGAAAGAGATAGAGCTGGGCCAGAGCAGGAGCGCCCCTCGGAGCGCGGGAGGCGCCCCCATGGCGGGAGGGGCGGATCAGATGCTGGACCCCATGCCCCACTCGTCAAAAGACTCATACTGCTCCTGGTCCATCGCGTCATCGATGTATTCGTCGTTGTCCCAGCCGGCCGGCCCGGCCATCGGCTGCTGCGCCTCCCGCAGGATGCGGGTGATGTCCTCGACCGTCTGCGCCCAGCGGATCGGCAGAGTCAGGAGCCAGGAGCCAGGAGGGCACATCGGGGGAGGGGACCACAGCCAGCCCGCCTCTCGGGCTGGCTGTGGAAGGGAGCCCCCCTCTCAGCGGTAAAGGATGTCGATGTCCCTATCTGGTGGGAGCTGGGACCGCGAGGGCCCCGGCGGTGGCCGCGACGGCGTCATCGCCTTGCGCACGATCCGAGAGATCGCTTTTTCCGACTGCGCGCGCCCCAGGCAAAGCCCGGTCAGTCTCTCTCTCTCCCTCTCTGTCTCTGGCACTGTGTGCCACCTGCGGCAGGCGGCGACAAAAACCCCGGGGCCCTCGGCTCAACCCTCCTTGGAAGGGCCCACCCTCGATCCAAACCCCACACAATCCCACCGGCACCACCAAAAGGGTCTGCCCACTGTCTTAAACGCATGCATGCTACCACTGAAGACACACCCTAGGACATGGGGACGACATATCAAATATAGGTCAGAGAGGAGGGCCCACCTGCATGCCAGTGGTGGGCACTGGGAGGTTGTCATTCATCTCTGCTACGCCGGGCGGTAGGTCCTTGAGATACCAGGGATGCCGCTGGATCTCGGGGATGGTTATTCTGCTCGCCGGATCGGGCACCAGGATATTTGACAGCAGGTCGCGGCACTCCTTGGACACCTTGACATGCGCTGGGAACTCGTACTCCACCTTCAGTATCCGCTGCAGCCACAACACATCCCACCGTCATCATGATTGTTGAAACTCAACAGAAGACTTTGAATGCCAAATTTCAATAATTGTTCCCTTTTCTGTATCTGCTCCCATGGCTGCAGAATGGCTTGGCACGTTGGAAGCTCAGTCATGCAGGACTTCTCCTCCACCAAATGGCCTGCAAGCTGGCCTGACAGCGCAAGTTCAACCTCACCAGATACTAGATGCAGAGCCAGTGTGTGAGAGCATGCTGCGCACCTGGATCATTTTCTGCAGCTTTTGGTTGTCGTGCTTGTCCTCTGGCCGCTCGAAAGGATAGGCGCCCACCAGCATCACGTAGACCATGACTCCACATGACCATATGTCAGCAATCTGCGTGCACATGCACATGGTCATTAACAATTACGCGTGACCTTGTACACAGATACTAGAAAAGCAGGCCGGTTCCTCTGAACAGCACTTTCAAGCACTCACCTTGCCGTCATAGGTTTGGCCCTTTGTGGTCATGATGACTTCAGGAGCCAAGTATGCGGGTGTGCCCACTCTCGAACCTGGCGCTGACTGGAACTTCTCGTGCTGCATGCAATACACAAACCTGTCAGCAATGCAGGAGAAAAGCGGACAGCTGAATTGCAGGACAGAGCTACCATGCCACAACAGTGGGCCGCATCTCTGCTGAGGCGCACCTTTGAGTAGCCAAAGTCGCAGATTTTCAGCAGCGGCCTTGGACTGCCATCGAGCAAGGTGTTCTCCAGCTTGATGTCTCGGCTAGCAACACCCTGCAATGAGACAGCCAGCTAAAACGAGTGCTACTGAACACAAGTCATGAGAAGGGCCTTGCAGAAAACGCATTTGCTGGTGGTTCACTGGCCAGAGTGTGCGGAGCTCACCATCCGATGCAAGTAGTCGACACCGATGATCAGTTGCTGGAAAAACCACCTTGCTTCGCTCTCCTTCAGCCCCCCTTTTCGCACAACATACTCAAACATGTCCCCACCTGACACATATTCCATTGCGATGGCCAGGTATCTCGATGTGAGGAACACCTGGACAGACCATGAACAGTTCAGTTGAGCAATCTAGAAAACAAAAGGTACCCTGCAGCACTCCTGAAGCACAATTGATGCTTTGCACCTACCTCCTTAAACTGCACGATGTGTGGGTGCATCAAGAACCTGTGGTTGAGAATCTCACGCTCCACATATTTCGTCACCTGCAGGCCAAGACAAAGCATTTTGAAAGGCAAAAGCAATTGACCATCTCATCCGGCCAGACAACCAGGAAGGGCTCTCAGCATGAGTTCATTGCCTCTAGCTGTCAACCCTAGACAACGCCTAGATTGTGTTGACAAACACACAAACAAAGTGCCTAAATAGTTTGCAGAGAACCTAGCGCAGGTTCAGATCATGTTGCGACCTGCATGGTGCAGAATAATGTCATACAAGAGTCCCAAGGCATAAAAGCCCGTGGCCAGGCAGCAGTACAGACAGCACCTTATCGCCTCGCTCGATGAATTTGACTGCCACCTGCTGCCCAGTGGTCTTATCCAAGGCAAGCTCCACAAACCCGAAAGTGCCGCTATTCAGGTCCCGAATCTGCAGCACAATTTCCTCTGTAAAGCACTTAATCGCGACGACACTTTTTACTCAAAAGTAGCCGCTAGAGCCCCATAGTGAGCTCCAATGCTCGGCAAACACTGGGAGGTATCGTATGTTTGTCCAGAGATGCAGCAGACTGCAACAACAAAGGCTCCATAACACACCACACTCGGGCAACGCCAGGTGGGCTCTTTCCTGACCGCCTGACGCGCACCTAACCTCACCTTTTGGTATTTCGGGTGGGCCCCCAGCGTTTCCATGTTGTGCTTAGCTGACATCGTAATGCTGTCTCAAGGTGCCGGCTACAAGCCCGCTGCTGGACGGCTCACAGCGGCTCACCCGGCACTACGACGAGCTCTGCCCCCCCGGTCTCTCCCAATTTGCCTGAGTTTCAGCGCCATCGGGTGACAGCTGCGTTCACATAGTCATATGGAAATCTCATTAAGCCCTCACGCACGTAAGCGGCGCAGACCAAGCGAAATGAACGCGTTTTGAGCAGAATATTTGTCCCTTGTGTTTGTCAGTCCCAATGGAGTTGCCAAATTAGGATCCCTCACAACAGCCACAGCCACTGGTGGTGCATGGCCCCCAGCTGCGGCAGATTCCCAGTGCACTTTTTCGTCGTTTTGCGTCCCAATTTCCTTGGAAACTGTACTTTTTTTTATGCAGCTACAGAGAATGAGCAACTTGGATCAGCTAGACAGGCATGCTGCTCAATGTGTGCCTGAGGACGTCCACGTGGCGCCGTGCTTCAAGCCAAAGTTTACCACACGGTTACGTAAGCGCTCATGAGCTTGAGCTTTGATCAATGAAAGCTTGCAAGATCCCGGGCCGGCCCATCGTGGCAGGGGCAGCAGCGGCAGCGCGCTGTACAGTTGGGCTCAGAGGACAAGCTTGCTCTTAAGATCAGGAGGGCCCACTGACTGCCCTTAATGATGTGTGGGCTGCTGTCACAGGTGGCGTTACGGGTTAATAAGCGGATTTACGGTGTTTAACAGTGGTATCATGATAATGCCAGATGGCCGGACGTAAACGAGCCGCAACTCAATGGAGTTCTGAAGTCAGCACTAATCGGAGTAGCCTATATGTTGATGCCAACAACTTAGCTTTTAATATTTGGAAGAAAAATATTTAAAATCACTAAGAACAGCATGATGTATAACTTCAGGTGAGAACAGCAGCTCTGATTATAACCCAACGACCTTCGGCCTACCAGGCTCTAAAGGTACCACAGGCAGGCGCACAAGTGGTGCATGGCACATGGTACTGCAGCATTGCAATGCAGGCTGCTTTTTCAACACTCTTGAGTGTGTCATAGCCAGTGACAGAGCAAGTCTTTCGTGCATTCCAGTGGCCCTCAAGCCACGGAGTGGCATGCCCTGAGCGGCACTTCCCTGCATATCAGTTGGCTACGGCTGACCTCCTGTCCTTCCATGCCCCCGCAACTGAGAGAGCAAACAATAGCCCTGCCATTGGCCCAAGGAGCCTCAAGCTTCCACTCTGCACCTTCAGGAATCTGCCAATGGCCCAACACACGCCCGCAATGCCACCCAGCACCCAAGCTACGCTCCACCACTTCGTGGAGCTCTTTCCCACCTCCTCCATCCCTGCACCCCCATGTCCCTTCAAGAAAGTGTTCTAGGATATGGTGTCCTGTACATGTCTTGCCTGATAAGAACACCGTTTCAGTGCAGCAAGGCCTTCATTCTGCATGCAGGACAATTGAAGCAGCACTCTAATGCATCTGTGTCCACAGTATGAGTGTGGCAGCACCTGCAGTCTCTGCCTCCCCGCCCCTTACAAACACAAAGCTGGAGCCGCGACTGCCCTTCCCCAACCTCACGCTCTCATCCAAATAAGAAGTCTTCAGAACAACAGAGCTCTCGGGGCCAATCCGCAGGCTGAGGCCGCCCACACATAATTCTGGCTTTTCAAAAAGCACCTGCACAGCACATCGATGCTATGACCTGATGAGTGATCTGCATGGTCTCCCAGCTTCTATGACTGCTGGATCTTCAGTCTCACCTTGACAGTATCCCTCTCGCCGGTGTAATCTTCAAGCCTTCCGCGCAAGCCAACATGTCCCGGCAAGATACCAAGGAGGGAGAATTCCACCTGCCGATCAGGCCAACACATTGTAAGCGTTCATGCATACATGCACACCAGATGAGGGCAGCATAACCTATCAATGGGCTGATGCTTACCTTATTTGTCACAATGTCTGGTTGTATCACACTCTGGCATACTTTCACAGTGCGAAAAAGAGCGCGGCCAAGCCGAGAGCGAAAGCGCCCACCAGCAGCTGCAAGAGAATCACATTATTCAAGAACTTAAGCTGAGAATTGTAGGCCAATTACGAAGCAAGCTTCAAGAAGATCATGAGCAGGCACTCACGTTGGCCATCCTGCTTGGGAGCGTTCCTCGTGGAGACATAAGCAACGTCATAGTCACCAAAAATGAGCGGGTTGTCCAGGGGTCTTGGGACCTGGCACAGGAGATTTAGTCCCCATCTGCCAAATGCTTGCAAGAAATGTAGTCATCGGATCTGCTAGTGGCCACAGTATTCCGAGTAGGTGCATTCACCTGTGCCTGCCCAATATCCTCTAGTTCCTGTAGCCACCCCTGTACTCTATTCTGCAACTCTTCAGATGCATCGGCACCTCTGTCTGTCCCTTCTATATTCTCCAATATGCTGAGCACAAGCTGAGACGCGGCATCGCCAGCTGTCTTGTACCTTGATGGTGAGTAAGAGTGGCGTATATGCCCTTGGAAAGGTCGTATGCGTGGATATGATCTGCCTGAACTCAAGCAACACCGATCTAGGTGAGGACTGTGCGAAACTTTATGCGTGCATTGCCTCTTGAGTTGCGACGATCTAGGTGATTCTGTTGGTAACTTTGAAGGCGTCCACTGACAGCTAGACCAAAAATTCAACATTTATGCATCAGAATATCCTCCGTTACAAAGAGAAGCAATGATTCCAGTTACATTTTGTGATTAACAAAGAGGCATATCTATCTGCTTTGAACTCGAACGAGATTGGGTAGGATGCCACATCAGCACAAGCTTTGCATGCCCATGCTTCCTAATTCATACACCTGTCAATTGGCTGCAGGCAGAGTTATCAAAGAAAAGTGATTTGAAAAAGGTTTGCTGACCCCACACTCATAGATACGATTATCATGCGCTTCCGGTTGGAGCGCCCGGTCCCAATGCAAGGCCAGATCCCAGCACACCCCAGTTCTCATCATCCTGCACCACACCATACACTTATCATGCAGCAGCAGGCAGCACTGTCATGCGCATGCAACTTCCAAATTGCATGTTGAGCTTGATATATCAGGTATACAGATGATGCTATCAAAATCGAAAGCTATGATCCTAGTAGATCGCCTGCTTTTTGCATGCCAGAATGGCGGCTATCTGCCCCACCTGGACCTCTGAGGTACCTGCGCCTGCCATACCCAAGTCTCCTCCAACAAATCCGGGGCCAACACGGCTGTGGCTGCCAATGAGCGAGTCCGGCTTGCTGTGTTGCAGTCTGGTCCCTTGCATTGCTGTGTCGAAGCTGCTCGTTTTCCTGTGCGCAATGCCCTGCTTCGCTGCCACCATATCAAAGCTGCTGCTGCGTCTCTTCCTGCCTCTGCTTGGAGCAGGATTTGTTGCCGAATGAGATCCGCCAAAGTTGACTTTCTGCGGTTGCTGTGCTGTGCTCATCAAGCCAGTGCTAGTCACGGCTGACATGTCTGGCGCCCGACCATTCTGTTCCCCAGGCATGTTGCCTTCACCCTCCTGTGCGACCAGTGCCCCCAGCATGACAAAAATCCATAAAATTTCACATCAAATGCTAGACCGGGAAGAGCACTTGCAACCCGGGTAACGGAAGCTAGAAGGCTCATGGAACGAGGGCTCACCAAGTGTTTGATCTGCTGATCCCAGCTCTGCTTCAGCAATCTTATGCACTCAATCGCCCGAGCATTTTCACTCATGCATGCATTGAGCTGCGCCTGCATGCGCGCGGCTCTGTCTGCCTCTTGCTTTGCGTGGTGTAATGCGTTCTCCTTGTCCTTTTCTGCCTGCAAGCGTTGCAATGCTCTCGAGGGTGTTCACTGCTTTAGGATGACAGTACACATGCTCCACCTCCTCCTCTCGGAATTCAGCAGTGATAAAAAACAATGAAATTGGTCCTAGAACTTGCCTGAGAAAGGGTGCTTCTGATGCTGGACTGTCGTCGGGACAGGTTCCTCTTCAGCTCCTCAAATATTTTCTCAGAGTCTGCTGAGCCGCCACTCCTGCTGTCATTTGCACAGAAATTCTTGTTTGACCAAAGCTCAGTTCTTCGTTGCAATCAGCAGGACGTCCAGATCAATATTCACCATAAACTCTTGTATTGCAGAGCATATCCAAGAAGGTGCACACCTTGTCATCCCATCTCTGCTGGAAATTTGAATCTGTGAGCTGATGGCCTCTTCAATTCCTTCTCTTCCTCCAGAGAGGCTCCCACTTTCTGACGTGCTCTGGTCACACTGGGGTGTCGGTGCAAGACACGTTGAAGCGTCATCCTGCAAAGACAAAGAAGTTCGTTGCATGCATCCGCAGTTTTATCCCCGATGTGCATGGACATCATGTCTGATGTCAGATGATCTACTGCCATAAACACATATTTGTGCAATTCATGTGCATTTTACAAATATCGCGCATGTATTGAAGTCCACTCACCGCCCAGAGCCGGTAGGGGGTGAGCGACCGGGCATGGGAAGACCGCCGTCTGGCAGTCGTGAGGCAGGCGTGGCTGGCGTATGCTTTGAGGTAGGTACGCACAAAGACGAGGCCCATCACATCGTCCATGCATGGCCGCGCATTGGGGTCCTTTTGCAGCAGTGCATCCACCAGCAGGCGCATGTCATTGCTGTACTGCCCTGGTATGGGAGCGTACTTGCCACTGTGCAGGGCAGAAATGTCTTGACCAGTCTTGGAAATTGCCAGACAGAACCCATTAATTGGCTGGGTGGGCACTAACATAGCCAAAGAAACTCACACCACAAAAGAAGCGCAGGCATCTCACATGCATGCACAGCGCAATCCAAAGTGCATTATTGGTTATATGGAGCTTCTGCGCACCTCATGATCTTTATGGTGATGGCTCCCAGGTTTGGTGCCTCAAAAGCCTTGCGCAGGCAGCACATCTCATAGAGGATGCAGCCCAAGGCCCACACGTCTGTCTTGGGACCATATCCCTTCCCCTGTAATCACGAAAACTATGGCTTCTTTGCCAGCTCAGCAGCAATACAACCTCCTAAGGCATCACCTCGAAATTTGAGACAAGGACTAACATGCGCAACGACGTTGTGCACACCTTGAACATCTCTGGAGACATGTAGTATGGTGTGCCGACCATTGTCTGCGCGGCATTCTGTTCTGCTGAGATCACCTTGGAGATTCCAAAGTCTCCCAGCTTCACTATGCCACTATCCAGCAGCAGGTTGCATGTCTTCAGGTCTCTGTGAATCAGGCCCTGCATTTTCGTAATCTCCGCATCAGGCCTGCAAATGGTAGATTTCAACTGGCGCTTTGCAAGTGTGTTGTGCGTACCTTGCTGTGCACGTAATGGACCGATAGGCAGATCTGCACGAACTTGTGCATGATCTCGTCCTCAGAAATAGGCCGACCGCCTTGAGCTTTAAGGAAACCGTCCAGATCACCATCCTGCACCAAGCATGTTTTCCCACTTGCTTTTCCCAGCAGTGCTGCATTCTTGCAACAGGATCTCTTTTAAGAACAGCAGCTAATATAGATTGTTCTGGATCGCACCTCGCAGAGTTCCATGACGATCTTGACCTGTGTCCCACGCTCGGCAAAGCATTCATAGTACTTCACAACATTTGGATGGTCCAGGGATGCCAAGACAGCCACTTCATTTTGAGCCTGCACGCCATGCGGACATGATGAGAGAATCTAACATTGGTCTGCTGTGGTCTATACAGCAACTGAGCTTTACACGTTGAGGGCACGATATGGAAAAACACAGGGAGGAGTTGTTGCACCTCAATACGGGCCTTGTCTGTCATTCCCCTGTCATGCATGATCTTTGCAACAAACATGCGGCCATCCCTCCTGCGCCTCACTTTCACCACCCTCCCAAATGCGCCTTCCCCCAGCTCCTCTCGAACCTCATACTGGACAAAGAACGTCCCACTGCACCACAAGCATGCATCACCGTGTAAGGCACCCAGTCCCGCATGCAACTGACCAATCCTAGTGTGATGACCCAAAAAATAATGATGTCATGCAACTGAATTGCACATATCTGGAGCACACCCGGGCTGAAGCTCTGTGGAGGGCTTGAAAGAGGATTCATCTCCTGAGGGTATCTCAGAGGTGCCGACCATGGGATTAGTGGCGGACAAGAGTCCAGCTGCCTGCATGAGTACCGTGGGAGAGACTCCCTCCTGAAAAGTATTTGGATCCTCCTGATCTTCTGCAGCCTCATCCTCCTCCATTTCAGCCATCACCTGCACATTCATTGTCAAGCTCACACTGCAGTGCTCCGCTGACTGGAAACCTGCAAATGCATCAAAACAGGCAAAGCATGACACAAACTCGGGCTGTCATCAGTGATCTATCGTTACATATTGTGGTGCACAAGACATATGCTTTTGAACTTTGTGGGTATTCCAATGTGCTAGAACTTTCAGACCTGATCAGCAAGTGCCTGCCATCCAGTGAGGGAGCCCATCTCGGCACCATTGCAATCATCTGCATCATCATCCTCTGTCCATGTGCGCAGCACAGCCGCTGCCTCTCTTTCAATCACTGCAGACTTCTGCTCTTCTTCTGGTATTTTTGCATGTTTCGCCTCACTTGTGCAGCTTGCACCTGAATAGTCATCAACAGTGTGGCATTGAGTGATTTTGACATCAGCACCACACATGTAAAGCTTGTGTTACAGAAATAAACCTTTGAAGCACTTGCAGCACTCAAGCACCACTTAAAAATGTGCTTACCTTTGATTTGTGCCGCATGACTGATGGTTGATCCTCCATGACTGGTTGTCGCCATTCTGCTTGGTGTTCGCAGCTGCAGCGCAAAGGAGTTCCCTGCAGCAGCACAGCAGCGCAATAATAACTCCCGTGCTCAGAAATGTACAGCAGAGCAATTTTTGCATGGTCAACCGGGTTGAGTGTACCCGAAGAGTCATCATAGGAAGAAGTCTCGTCATCCTGAGCATCTCTGGAGTATGTGGGCCTTGTGTCACTGAAAGCTGGTAGGGGGGTCGAGTAAGATGAGCTGCGGAGCATGGCAGCCTTGGCAACAAAGCCATGCACCTGGCATCACAGAATGTTTTTTTGCCACACAAAGCTTCTGTCCATCTTTTCAAGTATGACGGTGAAGCCGCACGCCACGGATGTCAGAAGCATTTGATGCTCAACTTCAAGTGATTATTCTTTGTAAAGGCGCAGTCTACCTTAGATGCGCCAGTCTTTCGCACTGCACTGGTCTGCTGCATTAAGCGGCTGGTGCGCACTTCTGTGCTTGTGGACCCCCCAGCGCCAACAGCCTCTTTGGGATTGTTAAGCGTTTGAGTATGAGCCCGAGCTGAGGACCAGCCAGGCCCAATGGGAACTTGCCCGCTGGTGCCTCCTGTCCCTATCACAATTCCATTTCCAATGATCAACGTGTGACCCTCCAGAGCATCATGATGAAACTAGTGGTGACTCCATTTACGCACCTCTAAGAGTGGAAGGCACATGCTCGAGAACTGCATTTCCTTCCTGGAAAGGCTGCCCTGCAGACGGTGCTGCCCGTGAAGTCTCAACTGCTTTGCAAACGGCCGGAGCAACGGAGGAACTCCCTCTTGGATGTCTCTTCGTGCTTCCTGGCAATTCCGGCTCGGTGCTTTCCTCTCTTACATGAATGATTGCTTGAGGCACAGCTCCATCTTTCCCAATAGAGGCATAATCTGGTAGATGAAGGCCCTCAGTATGGGTGCTCTGTGCTTCTATTCCATCCTCAGCGCTCTTGATTGAGAGAGGGCTATATCTAGAGCCATCCCTTTCAGCTGGCTCTGTGGCTCTGACTGCCTCTGTTGCATGTCCCTGTCCTGCAATGCTCATGGCAGGATGCCTTCCCTCAACAGGCTCTTCTACCACAGTGGCTAGACTGCTGGCATTTGAGCATCCCTTGATGGTGCTGCCCTCTCTGGCACAGCTGTCACCCTCGGCACTCTCAACGGACTGCCTCCGCTCGTTGCTCCCTGATGTGGTGAGGGAGTTGTCGTCACCCCTGCGCTCCTGGATCGATGTTGCAATGGATAAATTTGATGAAATGGCTGAGTCCTGCGATGTCGGAGTCCTCTCGCTAGCATCAAAACTGATTTTTGATTGGTGATCGTCTGCGAGACATAGAGAGCTTAGCACAGCGAAGAGGTGTAGAACCTGTTGAGGGTGAGCGATATCGTGTGCAAGGAGTTCTTGGGGCTTGTTGATGTTTCTTTACCTTCGCTCTTGATGAGGAAGCTTGCGGTGGACTGTCCACTGCTCTGATCATCGTTGGTCCAATTGATTTGAGGAGACTCTGGCAGAGTGCTCGTTTCAACTCTGATGGCTCTCGATTTATTCTTCGTGAATACCTTGTCTTCGTCTCTAGTCTGTATATCAGTAGTTCTAGGAGCCGAAGCGCACACGCCCATCGTGTCCTTCCGCACTCCCTTGGTTACAAAGCCATACAAGTTCGATGTCGAATCAGTGATCGAACAGGCGTTGTTTTGACTGCAGATGCTGGGAGCGGATATTCCAAAACAAAATAATTTAGATTTATATAATCCATTTTTGTCCTACCCCATGCGCTGAGTTCACTCGAAATCGCAGCAAATCACTGTTCCAATGTGGAGCAAGTGCTATTTTTGGCAACTGGGAGATATGATATTATCCCCACGCAATGAAGCTGCTCCTGGGGCTTCCCTTTACTTCAAGATACCATCAGGCTTTCATGAAAGGATTGTCCTCCCTATATTCTAGAGAGACTCTTCCCAACTGGTGTGTATCCATCGATCGAAGTTGCACTGTGCATAGTGACTTTGCATAGCTTTTGTGACGGTCCAAATTATGAGCCTCTGGGGGCCAATGCCAGCTGGACGTCTGAGTCGACCCAGAACATGATAATACGCAGAAAATTAAGAGCTCCTAGGTCATGCAATGTCTTGCTGTGGCTTCCAAATCAATCAAGTGCAATTCAGCGTGTGTCCACATGTATGTACGAGAAATTATTGGTTTGGAGACCCAGCCACAACGCTAATTATAATAGCTTTGCCATGATAGATAGCTATTGCAAAATGGTGGCCGCTTCATGCTGCTTCATATCAAAGCTAATCTGCTTGCATCCCTTTTTCCTCAATATACAATTTAGCACAGACTGCTGCCAGTATGAAAGAATCGTACAGACGCTGGGTAAGCTCTACTCACAAAAGCCTTGTTTCACTGCATTACCCACATCTCTCCGGCCAGTATATGTCACAATATCTGTGCCTATCCTGAGCCAGCAACGCTCACAGGATTGCCAGCTTCTGAAAGCCGCTGGAACAGTGCAATCATGAAGCTGAGGAGATCACGCCCGAGTCCACCAGATGTGGAATCTCCGCTGCCATCCATGGAGCCAGCCCCAGGCACATGGCATGCCCAACGCCAAAGTGGGGGCTGCAAAGGACAGTTAGCAAACTTTTAGTCTCACACACCGGCTGTGACCACTCCGCCGAGTATCAAGATAAAGCCTGGACGGTGCAGCAGAGGATCTGGGATGGCTACAAATTTGCTGCAGTACCTGTTCTTTGCCCAGAGCGGCTTGAAGTGCACTGTGAGGCAGATGGCGCCACCGCGGTACATCTTCGCAGTCTTTCCATCCAGAGATGGTATCTTGATCTCGGGAGCTGTGGTGGGGTATGTTGCTGGGATGTCAAACTCGAAGTCAAACTCGTACTTGATCAGCTCGTGGATGTACCAGCACTTCCCGGACCAGTGCGTGCCCTCCTTATTGGATGTGATGGTGAACCAATCAGAGTCTGTACTCTTCTTTATTTGTATGTACTTGATGAGAGCCTGCAGCTCCTGCACAGTGAAATGAACACTGCAGTGAGTCTTGGGCCAAATAGAAATAAATAGAGATTGAGGCACGACACCTTAATGTGATTGTTCCATCAAGAATTCTGATAGCTGCAAGTTGCCAAGGACGTGCCTCTCTCAACCTTTTTGTCCACTGATCCTTATCGCGTGGACCCGCGTTGACCTGAATGACAATACCAAACAGTCAAGAGAGAGAGAGTACAATGTGGCGCAGATGCGAAATATCTCGAAATTGGGACAGGATTGATTGATCACACCGTCAACAGTGGTATCTTTCTGACTGTCTCCTTCGTGCCAGAGTCCCAGCCTTCCGCCATTGAAATTCCGAACTCTTCTCACTGTTGTTAATTCTGCATCTATTGTTTCAATGCCACTGCTTGCCTCCTCCCGCTGATGCTCATCAAAGCAATCTTCAGCAATCAGCTGCTGGCGGTAATCTGTTGTGACGAGCGCGATGGACGGTATTGGTCACCGATGCTAAGAGTCTAAACTGCGATTCCATCATGCTAGAAAGAAGGAGCTTCTTCAATAAGTTATGTTGGCTCTAATGACTCATATCTGAGGTGGCAACACGTGGTTTCAATCTGCCAGGTCAGCTGTGTGTCTATCTTGAAAATGTTCCGATGTACAGCTGTCTCCAATTTTAAAGAGGTCATCAAAAAGTCTTCTAGACGTTGTTACCATGCAGGGTACAAAATTGCCTTCTTGCACGTTAGAATTCTCAAGGTTCCTGCCTTGCCTCAACAGATCTCCCCAACGTCATACGTCTGCTCCGAGACTGTCGACCGTCAGGCATTGCCAAGGACAGACAGAAAAATTCGTGTCTATCTCGGACGCTCTGAAAGAGGTTGGTACACGCTGAAGGTTTTGATCGCTTTCCTGTCATCCACCCTGGGGCGAGAGCACTGAAGGACGTTGTTGCAGGCCAGAAGCCAAGGTTCAGACTTTGTGTTCGAAGACACAGAAGACGACGATGTATGGATGCACGAGAGACGGCTTGCAAAGGATCCCATAGATTTCGAGAGTAAGTGCTACACTAAAAGCTCTGCAAGGGTGACTTGGTGAAGAATTGCTCCAAGTCAATTGTAGCCAAAATAAATCATCACACATATGCGATTGATACTTGGTGGATGCCCTCACGGAATTGAAGACTAGATTCGGTTCCTGTGCAGGCCTGCAGCAACGTGCAGAGGTCAAAGGTGCTCTTGCTGCTGATGAGGTGGACATCCTCAGCGCTTACTCCAGTGAACAGGGTGAGAGACTGGTTCCACATCCTATAGATGTCGTCACAATCACCATTGATGTCCAACCCCCAGACCAGCATGCGATGACAAATCATGCTTGTTGCAGGCTTTAAAGAGACGACGGTGGAGAACTTGTACGAGTCATTGCGGGATAACAGCGGCAGCATTTTTGTGCTGGACGTGAGAACACCTCAGGAGTACAATGCAGGGCATGTGCCTCAGGCCTTGAACATTGCTCTGGATGGCCTGTCAGATGCAGTGAGGAATGGATGTTTAGAAAGTGTGAAGGCGCGCACCATAGCAGTGATCTGCGCTTCTGGAGGCCGTTCAGCTCAGGCCACAGTGAGGCTGTCCCGGGTCTTTGGGTTCAGCGATGTTGTCAATGTCGTTGGCGGAACCAGCAAGTGGATAGAAGCCGGCTATCCAATTGATCGCGCATGAGGAGCGCCAGGTTACTGTGGTGATTTTACGTTGCTGCCGGCACTTGCAATGGTGTGCAGTCGTAGCGCACTGTGCCACGATTTATGTGTGCAGACGATCCTCTGGGAGTGGTATTTCACTTGTAGGCGCGCCCCGGTCACTGGGGGGTGCAATTGCCAACTTGATCGTGAGGCAGTCGTGAAGTAATATTCATATCACATGCATGATGTTTACGCTTACACGTTCAGCTGCCCTGTCACCATGCCCTGACGAATCTTCAACATGACCCAAAGCACATGTCTGCTGCAATTGGTCCCTGCCACTGTGGCACTGTGACAGGGCCACCCCTCAGGGCTGCCGCCACTGCAGGCTGCATTTTTTGGCAAAGGCGCCCGTGGTCAGGAATATGCATTTGCAATGGGCATCCTGTTGCACATGCAACAAGGGAATGCTCACAGCTAAGTGATTACATTGCAGAATTTTGCAATTGGCGGTGTGCCATACATGGGATTAGTATGCATTACTGATGCACAGGATTGGCTTCTTTTGCTTGTCAATTTTTCCCTTCATAACGATTATTGGCGCGGCATGCATCTCCTTACTTTGTGAGACCTTCTGGAGATGGAATGTAATCGTTTGCTCTGTTGGAATCGACATTTAGCATTTTTGGTTCCGGAAGCGTGGACCATCCTGTGACTGCAGCCCGACCTAGTTGCTTGATGGCTGGCATATAGCCATGCCGCGTCGCTTAAAAGCACTACGACCTCTCTTGACCGACCCAGGAATGTCAGCAGCAGGGCTTTTCGGTACCTTGACAGGACCTCTTTCTCGAACTGCTTTACCCACTGCTTCTGGCGCCTATGGCGCCAATAGCTTCAGCAGCTCCCAAAGCCACTCAATTGATGGACCATCACCATCGGTTGGAGGGCCGGTCCATAAAAGGCGACCAACATCGGGCAGCACAAGTGAGTCCCTAAGAAGAGATCTGGACAGATCCTTAACATTTCAGTCCTCGATGGGCGGTCCTATTGTGCACAGGAAACCGCTTTGAGAACCACATAGTCTCTGCGTTCATTTGAACCTGACAGGAGCATATGTGGGGGCCAGGCTGTGCAAGTCCACTCGGTCGTAGCCGAGGATACAACTCCTGTGCCAGCTACTCATCTGTGGCGTATCCATCTGCTGTCCAAGGGCTGCCTGAAGCTGTGCAGTCACGCCAGCTCAGCGCCAATGCGCCAGAGTTCATCCCCCGTGGCCCCACACACCTCAGGAGCATGCGCAGGCTTTGGGAACCCAGGTGAACACCTCTCCTGACCCCTCCCCTTCACTCCATGTCCACTAGCGCTGCATCACTGTTTCTGTGCGGGCTTGCTGCTTTCAACACCTCAAGACATACTTGTGTATCAGCAGGGAAGCTCCCACGGCTGTGCGGCCGGTGCCAAGCAGCAGCTGCCGCATGTACAGCAGTAGCTCTGGGAGGCAGTCTGCAGCAGCAGCAGCAGTGGCTGCGCCCTCGGCAGACGAGCCAGCGGAGGGCCGCCTGATCGAGTTCCAGAAAGACAGCAAGTCTGGGCTGGCGCTGCTGTTGAAGAAGGACGGCAAACGCAACTGGAGTGCGGTGGACACCAGGTACGCCCGGCTTGGTCGAGTGCAGAGCCGCTTGTGTGCTTTACCCCAGCAGCAAAGCAGTGAGGCAGATTTTTGGTGTACCTTTCAGAAACAAGCCATGATCCGCAGGGGGACTGTTTACTCCTTGCGGCCGCAACAAGTGGCATACGTGCTCCCTGGAGAGGGATACACGCAGCAGGATCTGGAGACGATCTCCACTGCAGCGCAGGCTGCGTGCAGTGATGACAAGCTGATGGAACTTGCTTGGGAGGTGTGTTTCAATCATGATGCTCAAATGTGGTCATCTGGTGGGCCGTATTATCGTGGAATTGTAGCTTGAGCATTTGTCATCATTTCCAAGGTCATGTATTAAGGTGGGCTCGACTATCGCAGGTGGTGACCGGGAGTGATGAGACATATGATGTGCCTGGCATGGCGGAGCTGCTGTTTGGGGAAGTGACGGTGTCGAACGCGTACGCGGCCCATCGGCTGCTGAATGAGGACCGCACCTATTTCAAGCAGGTCAACCGGGGGCCCCCGCGTTTCCAGCCACGTTCACAGACAGAAGTCAAGAGCATACAGGCCAAGACGGCTGCGGACGCCAAGGTGCGAAGGGCGACTTCTTTTGTAGATGCTGATGAAGGGCAGGGGGTCATCCTGTCTGTAAAAATCCGTCTGGAAGTCTACCCAAGCAAGAGAACGAAGTTCAGACACTGGACCACCTTGTTTTCAACCTTTGATTTGGCAAAGGTGATGACGTGATGGAGGGGAGCATATCCCGGCAAAGTATTGAGCTTCCAAGGGTGCACTTCAGGCAGCGCAAGAGTTGGCAGAGTGTGGAGCAGCTCTGAGGGCAGCCAAGGCTGAGGCAGCGACCGATGAATCGGCGGCTGCCTGGCTGTCCGGCCCATTTGCACACCGCATCCGAGCGGTAGAGGCTTTTGCGCTGGAGCGAGCGGACGCGAAGGAGACCCAGCTGGCATTGGAGACTCTGCAGGTGGGCATGCGCAGTCCTCGCACTTTCGTGGCTCTTGTCTGGTAAATAGCTGTGATGCTGGACCCCCAAAAAGTGCTTGGGGGTACGACTCCAGACTGTACATGTGCGTTTTTATTGTACTTGAAAGCTTGCGTGGATGTGCAGGCAGCGGGTTTGATGCCTGGGAATGGAGGCGCAGCCGCGCTGCTGGGCAGGATTGGGGTGTGGGGACCCCATGACAACATTGGCCTCAGGCAGCTCAACCTCACCAGAGAATTCCCTGCCGCTCTCCAGGCACGCCCCCTGCCCACCCACCTTTGCCGCCATTTCTGCCATTCCCACCTCAGCTTTTGCCACATCCAGTGATGCTCAAGCCCTCACGCCAGGCTTGAGTGTCTATTGTGCAGCCTTGCCTGGCTGCCATAATTGTGATCACTTATGCTGTTGCATTAAGTGTTGTGCAGCCTTGATTGGTGATGTCATTGTAATTGGTGGTGTCTGTCGTGAGCAGGAGGCTGCGGCGGCTCTGCTGGCGAGCCCGCCGCTCGATGTGGACGAGGCAAACCGGCTGGATCTGACGCACCTCCCAGTGGTGACCATCGATGACGCTGGGACGACCGAGGTGGACGACGGTCTCTCGGTGGAGTTCCTGGAGGGCGGCCGCGCGCGCCTGTGGGTGCATGTGGCTGACCCCACCCGCTACATCCGCCCAGAGGACACCCTCGACTTGGAGGCACGCCGACGCGGCTCCACCATGTACCTGCCCACAGGTGGCACTTTGCCATGCTCGTAAATTACAATGTTGAAAAAGGTGTCAACACTCCAAAACTGCACGGCTGTTGAGGCTGGGAAGATGATGAAGGCGGGAAGTTTGCGCAGGCGCCATTTTCATGTTCCCGGGGCAGCTGGCGACAGGCCCCTTCAGCCTGCGCCAGGGCGAGCCCTGCTGCGCGCTCAGCATCAGCGCAGAGCTTTCCCCCGACGGCGAGCTCAGCGCACACAGCGTGGCAGCCACCCGCATCACACCCACCCACCGCATGACCTACGACCAGGTCGACGCCGCCATTGCCAGCGGCGAGCTCCCACCAGACCTGTGCGCCCTCCTGCAGGTGCCTAGCCTCCCCGGCTCTCTCCCTTTTACCATCTCCAACCCTTCCCCCATTGCTGCACGCCCAGCTGCACGCAGTTCTCAAACATGTGCATATCGTGACACAGCAGGGCGTTTGGCGCAGCCAAAGATGTTTGCCATGACATTGAACAGAAGCCAGCAACAAATGGTGTGTCCTGCCACCAACACCACCATTTCTGTCACTGTTGCCAGTGTATTGCTACAAGTTTTGGAAAATCAGTGCCGTGAGTGCGGCGGGTGGTGGTGCAGGCGAGTGAGGCGCGGGCGGCATGGCGGACGCGGCAGGGCGCGGCCAGCATAACGCTGGACGAGTGCGAGGTGCGCGTGGCCGACCCTCGCGCGCCGAACCCGCGTGTGACGCTGGAACGGCTGCAGACCGGCACCTCCGCCGCGCGCACGCTCGTCTCCGAGATGATGATCATGGCCGGCCAGGTCGCCGCCACCGTTGGTGAGTTTCTCCTCTCAGAGCACAGCGAGCCTTCTTGCCCAAATTGTTCTGACGCACACATGTAAACACGTTGGCCCGCCGCACAGTGGAGTCTAGGCTGGGCGTATGGCCCAGCGAGGCTGAGGGCCTCCGGCATCATGCCACTGCATTATGCCACTGGATCACGTCTTGGGATGAGCCAAATGTCATTGATTTTCATTGAGAGCAGAGCCGATTCATGGTCCATGCAAGCAGAGTGTGAGTGAGAGGGCGTGACTGACTCACAAAAACAAAAAACTTGAAGCATGGGTGGGCGCGCAGGGCAAGAGGCGGGCCTGCCGCTGCCATACAGGGGCCAGGCCAAGGCGGTGCTGCCAACAGAGGAGGAGCTGAAGGGCGTTCCCGAGGGCCCCTGCCGGGCGGTGCTGCTGCGCAGCCGCATGGTGCGCGGAATCGCCACCACTCACGATGCGCTGCCGCATGCGGGCCTCGGCCTGCCGGCGTACGTGCAGGTCACCTCGCCCATCCGCCGCTACTCCGACATGCTCGCGCACTGGCAGCTCAAGGCGCGCTTGCACAGCCCCCTGCCCTTGCATCCGCTGACCTTGAACTCCATAGATCAAAATTTTGGCCCTGCCATGATGCGTAAATTGCTAGGGCGCAAGATACGGCCTCCGTTCCTGCTCTGCCCTGCTGATCATCAAGGGTAGGGTTCTCCAGACACCTTCAGCATATGAGAGACAGTTGCAGCTTCAAGACTGTCTGGTTGCCATCCCGTTACTGATGTGGTGTTCCCTGCATCCGTGACAGTCAGCCTGCATCCATGGCGGAGGCTGCTGATAAGCAACCCCTAGGGACAGTTGAATGGTTGTGTGGCTGCGTTGGTAGCATGTTGACTGAGCGGGGTTTGCATTGTTTTGACAGGCGCATCTGCGTGGGGAGCAGCCGCATTGGGGTGTGCACACGCTGAGCGTGGTGCTGGACGATGTGACATCCAACGTGCGCGAGCATATCACGCTGGAGCGCGAGATCAACAACTACTGGCTCGCCAAGTACTTTGAGGCCGAGAAGGCCGCCGACCCAACCCGCACCTGGCCCGCGCTGCTCCTACACTGGATCCGACAGGTCAGCGCGCCCATCCCAGAAGTACCATACCGCCTTCCTTTTCTTGACCTGTTCAAACAACAAGTACGACAGTGACTACAGCATTCAATGGGATGCCTGGATGACAGCCTCTGAAGTCAGGAACAGTGCCTGACATGAAGCAGAGCGATTGCCAGTCTGCGACTCTACTAGCGCCTCTCTGGGCAGGAACCAACATGCTTGTGACGCTGTGGGTATGTTTATCTTTTGAATCACTTGGAGGGCTTTGTTGAGGCGAGTCTGATATCTCGGTGGGGCACCCTTTCACATGACTTCCAGAGCATGGAGGCACAGATCGGTCCAATTCAGTCAGTTCGTCTGATCAACGCTTTGCTTGTGCAGGACACGGGGTTGGCGCAGGTGCAGCTGGAGGAGAGCGCGCTGGAGACAGTGGTGCGCATCGACCGCCCGGCGCGCGTCGGCGAGCGCCTGCTGCTGTCCTGCGTGGCCGCAGATCCGCCCGCCGGCATGTACCGGCTGGAAGAGGCCTACCAGCTGCCCTTTCAGGCCGAAGACGGCACCCTGGCATACCTCGGCGAGCCAGGGGAGGGGGACGAGGAGGCTGGTTCCACTGCTGAGGTTGTGGGAGAAGAGGAGGTTGTTTCCCTGGGTGTGGCGCACGTCTGAGAGCAGGTTGCTGCCCCTGCGCTGACTGTGCTTGCTGGGGAGTGTGAGCGAGCCTTGGTGTATGCTGGTGTCTCAGCTTGTTTTATCTCCTGCCGAGGGGGCCCAATTGAGTTCTGCCAGGGACGCGGCTGCCGTTTGGAGGCCAAGCAGCAGGCATGCACATGGCAGGTGCTAGCAGGCAAGGGGCGGGGCTTGCACGATTTGAGAATTGCAATTGAGAAAGTTGAGTAGAGTAAATCGAGCAGAATTCATCCTATGTGGATAGGATGTTGGCCCTCTTCGGCTATGGTGCACCATGTGAGCATGCATCCTGGCCGGCATTTGCATGCAAGTGTGCCACAGTGGGCATGAATCCAACCCCTGAGGTGCTGTGAGAAGATCTTTGAAGGAGCTTGAATTGAAGAGTCCTCTTGTGGCCATCAAATTGGCCTCTGAGCACATTTTAGTGTACTACATAGGAAAACTCAGTTCAGCCTTGCAGGTTCACCACAAATAAACTTGAATTACAGGCGGTACATGTGATCGTGCAGGAATAGGAAAAGAAGCTAGGCAATTGCAACAAAATTTGAATCAAGCGCATGCCATTGATCGCAAGTCATAACATCCACCAATGACAAGCCAACTTTCATATACTTGGCAAAGGCATTGAAAATCAAAGCAATTCCCTTAGCAGTCCTATTGCAAGGGACTTTAATTCAATTTGAATTGATTTAGAGTCCCCTGCCTTTCGAGGGTCATATTGGTACAAGTGTTCTCCTCTTGAAGGACAAGCATTTTACCCGAAGAATCATAGCTCCAGCTCTCCGATGTAGGCTCCCCTCGGGTATTCACAACTGAATTTGCCACAAATGATTATCTCTAGTAATCAGCTTCAGACTGGTGAGGTGCATCTGGCTTACTGATGCAGACCTCAATGAAAAGTACCCACCCTCCTTCCGATTCAAAAACCATTCCCATGCAGCGTGGTGCCAGCTCTGAAGCACTCTGGTGCTCGAAGAGTCGCAGCATGTTTGCAGGGGCTGTTGTGCTTAGGACGGCATCGCACGCGCTGTCTCATGGGCAATGGAATTTGGCAAGGGGTGTGATGCTCATGCCACGGTGACCGCAACAGGAGCATCCAGAATTGCACTGCAACCACAAAGGCTATCGCACAGCCCAAGTGGTTGCAGGTACCCTCCAGAAAGTGAAACCGCGACAAGCGCTGTGCCGCTGACTGCTATGTCATTAGCTGACAGCTCTAGACAACAAGCCTAAAGGATGACACTCAAGTGCCCCAATTGAAAATTTCCTCTCCAGCCTGGTTGCTGTGTTGTGGGAGGAGCACTGCTTCTCAAACAGCGCCCCCTTCCACACTTAAAAGCTCGTCTGGGAAAATGGGAACGGCCCGCGGGGCACAGTCACCACAGCATGTCACAGGCAGACAGTTGGCACAGCACACTGCTCCTCGTGACATGCTGCAGGATCTGTGCCCCACGCTGCAGTGTCCCGCCGAAGGAATAAAAATAAAAAGGACGGCGTGCAAGGACGTATCAGGAACTAAGTGCGCAAAATAACCCCCCAGCAAAAGCTGCCTGTTTCTCCAGGATGGATACTTCACAGGATCACTTTGACAGCGTCACCCTGACGCGCGGCAGAGTGCGGCCGATTGAGTGCAGGTCCTGGAGGTCCGACTCGTTGCCAGCTGGCTTGGCGCCGGCATCATAGGCCAGCGCCGCCCCTCGACTCCCCGCCTTGGGACTGTCTAGCAACGAGAGACGCAGCGCATCGAAGCCCTCCTCTAAGTCACCCTTCTTGCCGCCGCCGAAGCTCACTTTCTTGGCCGGCTTCGCTGGAGCTGCCTCGTTCTTGGTGGAGGGGGGCGACCCCCCTGTCGATGGCGACCCGCCCGCCGGTGGCGACCCGATGGGGGACTCTTCCTCCGGCAGCGGCACGCTCACGGACTGCTTGAAGCCGCGGCCGCAGCCGGACACGCGCTCGGCCGCCCCGGTGCGGATGCCACGGCCGGCCATCGACCGGCGACAGTCTATTGAGCGCCGCGCGGCCCACGGCTTGTTGTAGTCCTGGGCCACCGGGGGCGCCGCCGGCTGCGGCTGCTGCTGCTCCACGGCATTGATCTTGGCCGCATTGATTAGGTGCTTCATGTGTGGCGGCGGCTCGCAGAGGCTCATGCGCGCCCAATCGCCGTGCGCGGCCGGGTCCAGCGAGCGCACACCTCCCGGGAACTGCCACAGGTTCGCGGCGGCCGACTTGTGGTCGGCCGGCAGCGGCGGCGGCTGCGGTGGCGACTGCGCGGCGTCAGCCTCCTTCTGGCGCAGGGCTTCCTCCATGAGCGCCGACGCGCTGAGCCGCGGCTTGGGCCCCGACATCGACGGCCGTGGCATCGGCGCGCCACGTGCGTCCTTGAGCGACACCTTACGTGGCCCCGCCGGACGGTCGCAGTCCAGCAGCATGTCGCTGCCGTGATGTGCCGTCAGGCCGCCGCCCGGTGTGTTCCGGGTGGGAGTCACTCCCTGCGCAAGCAGTGTCTCTACCTTGAGCCACAATGTCCCTTTGACAGCAGCGGGGCTGCAAAGTGTAATTTTCACGATTGCCTAGGCATCACAGCGAGGGAAGAGAGCTGCTAATGAAGCCAGCAGAGGCAGGTCTAGGTATGGAGTGATAGAGGCGGCGCACCCTGCGGCCGCCGTCAACAGAAGCACGGCTCTTGACGCGGGCGCCGCCGAGTCCCAGGGAGATGAGTTGGTCGTTGCGCATCTCCTCGCAGCTCAGGTCCACCTTCTGCAGCAGCCGCATGTCGGCCGCCGCACTCTCGCTGGAGCACCCCGTTCGCATCGCCCGCGCTATGCTCTTCACCTGCAGTACAACCCACCCCTCAGTCAAATACACACCCGCTCACCTAGGGGTGCCTGAATGATTGGCCATGCCAGCTGCAGGCCATGGTAACAGTGGACTGGCGCCAGCAAGTGACAGAAGACATGCAGGGAATCGGAGCAGGTACAACACACGAGCACGCAAGGTGTTCCTGGGCTGTGCTGGAGAAAGGCAGGGACGGGTGACAAAGGGGCGTACCTCCTCGAAGGAGGGGCGGTTCTCGGGGTCGAAGGCCATGCAGAGGCGGGCGAGGGACTCGAGGGCGGCCGGCGTGCAGCGGTGGCGCGGAGTGCGCGGCCGGGCGTGGCGCAGCGTGGCGGCTGCCATTGCCTGCGGCCAGGCCAGGCCGGCCCACAGCCGCTGCCCCGCCGACATCTCCCACACCAGCGCCCCAAACGAGTACACATCCGCCGCCTGCTCATGCAATCAACACACACCTCAGCCACTCAGCAGCCTGATTGCAGCCTCTATCAATAGAGGCCCTTCATTTCACACCAATAGATCTGCAGCCAGTGTGGCCTCTTTGGAGGCAGAGACTTGCTGGCTTGACATGTTCAGGCCGTGCCAAGGTCAGGTGTCCAGCGTGGATTGCGCAAGGTGGGGTGGATGGTGAGGGGTGGATGGTGAGGGAGGAGCGTCACCTTGGACATGGTGCCCTTGAGGAGGACCTCAGGAGCGAGGTGGTTGAGGGAGGGGTACTTCTGCTGGCTGGCAAATCCGCGCGTGTCCAGCTCCCGCAGCATCCCCCAGTCCGACACCTTGGCCTTGAAGCCGTGCGCATCCTTCTGCACAGACCACACAGCCACCCTTCAGCCAATGCTGTACCGTGCTTGCCAATCCATGAAATCAAACTCAAGCATGCACCTGCCTTCCCTACTTGCCTGACGCAACATGCACTCCTGTGCGTCACATGGAAGGCAACAGAGGCCCGAGGCACATGAATCCAAGCGTCTTTTGAACCCGGCTGTGGCATCCTTCTGAGGTGGGTGTCAATTATTTGGCGTTCTTCCTGATCTCTATGCATTGAACCATTCATAGGGAGATAAGGGCGCACCTGGGAGTGGGCGAGGAGGACGGAGGCGGCGGAGAGGTTGCCGTGGAGGATGCCGTGGCTGTGCAGGAATGTCATCCCGCTCGAGACGTCGTCCGCCACCGCCAGGATCGCCATCGCGTCCACGCGCCCGCTGCTGCGGTGGAACTTCCCCTTGGCTATCGCGCCCTGCGCACAGCAATCGCGCATCTCAGACCCTCGCTCTCTCGTGGGGCGCTGCAGAATCTTTATGGGCACCCGGCATTTGGATGCAGGCGACAGGCGCTGGCAGCATGTGTGCTTGGAGATACTGAGAAGGTGCTTGGCGGAAGGAATTATGCATGACAGGGCTGGAGACACCACACTACAGAGCCACATGACCCCAGGAGGCCCTAATGGCATGATCCGTGAGAGACGACGGATGCAGCTGTTGTTGCTTGCATGGAAGGGCAGGAGGGGGCAGGGCACCTGGAGGGTGCCGAGGCCGCAGTACTCCTGGAGGAGCCAGGTCTCGTGGCTGGAGGCGGCCGCTGAGTCGCCGTCCTGCAGGCTGCATGCGCTGTCGCTCATCTCGCACAGCGACCGCCCGTCCTCCTCGCGGCACCCGCACGTCTCCGCGTCCCCAAAGCACACCTCGCAGTCCGCGCCGCCCTTGTCCTGCGCAGCCAACACCATAAAGTCAGCACCGCAGCTTTGCCTGATGGACCATGTGCATGCCTGGTCTGAGGGTGCATGGATGCCTTCAGTGACTTTTCTTTTTGCCTTAACCGCAGCGGAACGTATGTTATATGCAGTGAACGGTCTTGTTCAGAAAATGCCTTTGTTTCAGGGAGGGCATCAGGCCACTGGCGCCAAAGTCAGCACACGCGCAACAGGGCCGGAGCAGTCACTGCGGCGTCACAGCAGAGTTGTTTGCACCTGAGCGGCTTTGTGGAGGACGACGGGGCGGGAGCGGGAGTAGTGGCAGGCATGGCCCAGCGTGCGCACGATGGGGGCGCTGGTGCTCTTCAGGCCCTCGCACAGCACCGCACACAGCGGCTTGCCGTCCCGGTACCGCAGGTTGCGCCGCCCGTTCGACACCACCTGCGCACAAGCATCCTTGTTTTGGGTTCTAATTTCAAGCGCGGCTTGTTGTCAGTTGTCATATGAGCATAAGACCGCTGGCAGAATCCCTGAGCTACTCATACATTCTGCAAATTGATCTGCCAATACATTCTACAACTATAAGAAAGTACTTGCGGGCAATCCCTTGACTTTCATGCCAGCATCTGCGCAGTGTCTGTCTGAGGCAGACTAGTTGCATGACAGAATTTGCAGCTGCAAATCAGCTGGAAGGGCTGAGCAGTGCGCTGACCTTGACAGCAACAGGAATGCCATTGTGGAAGCCACGGTAGGTACGGCCGTAGGCGCTCTGTCCCAGCAGGGGGCCAAGCTCGAGGCCGGGCAGCGGCAGCGCGCCCGCAGCGGGCAGGCCGTGCGGGCAGGCGGCCGGCGCGGGAGCGTCCGCCTCTGGCTGCAGCCGCACGAAGAAGTAGCGGTGGCTGTTGGGCTGCAGCGCTGCGGTCACGGGGATGCCGATCGGCACCGCGTCCTCGTCCATCGGGCTCGTGACCGGCCTGCATTGCGAGAAGCCCCACTGTGAGTCAGAACATATGCAGTGCGACTTTCCCTGATCTCCGCTGACCCGAAATAACTGCTGAGTGTCCCCGGCAATTCTAAGGCCTGACTCAATTTAAAGGGGAAGGGATCCGTCGCTGCATGGAAGCGAGACACCGGATCTCCAAACCCCCCGGGGCATGCAGGGGTGAGATGTACAGCAGTTGTGTGCTGCATGGGAGGGTGGAGGGAGGGTGAGAGTTGCGCACGTGAATCTGAGGAGGAAGGAGGTGTGGATGGAGGAGCCGCGGCGCTGGGCCTTGCGAACGGTGAAGGGCCGCGCGGCCTCAATCGGCTCTGCAAAGGCGGCCCAGGGGTGCTCGCCCGCCACCTCCCCGCAGCTGAACAGCGCCCAGAAGCTGCTAGCGCCCGCGATGTGCGCCGACACGCCTGCACAACACTCTTCAGTATTAGCTGATTTCTAGTGAAGCTGATCGAGCAGACATTTACCACTGCAGCCCTCCCTTCATTGTACTCCCTTCTGCATTCTAATCTGAGAGCAATCTTCACCACTTCCAGGGGATTGCTCAGGAAAGCACGTGGATCAGTTCTGATGCTTCATCTCACATGATGAAGAGCAGAGTGACAAGGGAAGGGCTCTGGAGTGACAAGCACATTGAGGCAAGGTGTGCACCAGTCATGGCTGAGACGGCCGCGTTGAGGTGCAGCACGCGCCAGGCACGCTGCGAGGCATCCACCAGCATGGTGGCAGCCGAGAATGCGGTGGGCGGGCGCAGCAGGCCGCTGATGTGGCTGTGCTGCTGCATCCAGGCTGCCTCCAGCTGGCGCATGGCCGCCTCTGCCATTCCCGCCAGCACCGACGCCTCCACCGCGTCGCACGCACGCGGCTTGTTGTCAAACACGCACCTGCGCGCATGCCGCATCTCCCCAATCAGCCTTGTCCTACCATTTGTTCAGAGGTACCAGAATGCGTCCTTGTGGACGCGAAGTACCAAATGACATCTTGATGGGACAGCCTCCAGACATTCACAATGGCTGTGCTCCCAGCAGGTGCACAATGGGAAGGTGAGAATCCCCCTCCTTTGCAAGCAGAGCAGCAGGGCTTCTTCTGCGACATTCATGCTTTGTGATTTCTGCCAAAGGAGTGGGAGCAGCTCACAGTGCGCCGATGCAGTTGCCGTTCGAGGCGACCAGAGGCGCCGCTGCAAAGAAGCGGACGCCGTCATCTGGGCAGACCATCGGGGAGTCCTTGACCCTGCATATGATCGCCCGGTATCAGTCTATCAACTCAGCTGCCCCCTTTGCCATCGACGGTCATTGCATCATCTTTGCACCCATCCATACTGCATGCTGCCTGGGGCCCAAACCTGGCATCAGTGGAGGCATCCTCCACAATTGCAACCTCATGGTTGTTTGAGGCCAGCGCCCAGGTGACAAACTGCTGCGCCCACACTGAGTGGGTGCCGGTCGTGCAGATGCCTCTGCCAGCCCAGAAGAACACCTTCTCCTGGCCTTCCGTCACTGCAACGCATGCAGATTCCACGCCAAAGGTGCTGCAGGCCACCTCCAAGATTGCTTCTGCAGCAGCACAGAAATATACTTGTTGCCGTGTGCCAGGCTTCTGCACTCCAATCAACTAGTCATTTTTCCCGAGTGAAAATGACCAATCTGCTGTACGGTTCGCACCACCAGCGGGCCCTGACTCGCTGTCAACGATCTGCAGCTGCCGCACGGTCAAAGGCCCAGCCTCCTCAGCACTGGGTTTCGGACAGCTCAACCTCCCAGGGAGCTCCTTCGCTGGCTGCTCACTGACATCCTCGCTTGAGCTACCACTCTTCCTGTCGTCGGCCTGCAAGGAATGCAGATCGCGGTGAGTCCCTTGCGATCCCTTGGGATGCTTCGTCAAGGTCTTGAAAGCTTGAATAAGGCAGGTGGTTGCCATATGACATTGTCGGGTCACCCATAGCTCACAGCACCTAAGCAAGGTAACAGATTTTTTTTAAATCAATCTGCGGCGATATTTAGGGTGTCTCTCGTCAACGGGGATGCCCGAAAACCACACCCGCACATACAACTGGCTCGGTCGTGGAGGAATAAATTCGCTATCGCTTCTCTCAACCTTACATATCTCGTCTGCCGCTGTCTTCGGTATGCTATGAGCACACCCCATTTCGATATCAACAAATAGCTCCCGAGCCCCGAACGCTAGAACTTCGGGCAGACTCCGCGAACTGTGACATGCGGCACATAGAGCTAGTGATATCGGCCATTGTTTTCATTCTGTGGCTCAATTCCTGTGGTCTGTGTGCGTCTTTGCCAGGATCGACTGTTGCTTACGAGCAAGAACTAAGGAAGTTTAGGACAATCCGAGAGGAGGGCGCCCAGGACGGCGTTCCTGCAGCATTGCGTTTAAGTACAGCGAGCACGCAGAGCCGAACGCGCAGGATCTTCGGAGGAATCCCATGATTCCTGGTTAGGAGATACCCAGAGATTTGCGCTAGGTGTCGTTTCCTGTGGACACCAAAGAGATGTGACAACAGGCTCACGGGGATAATGTGTCCCAATTGGTCCCCTTGCAAGGTCCATGTCCAAAGGTCATCATTCACCTCGAGGAAGGGAGAGCTCTGAATGGCCTGCTAATTCACACTGCAAGTGAAATTCCTCACGAAAGCTGGCTCGTGGCTCCCAAATTGGGCTTGAAGCTGGGCCTCCGGCTGTGCACACTGATGTCAGCAGCTGCGACACCGCAGCCACCAATTTGCTGACTTGGAAGTGGCCACGGACAATCCTTAATTAAAAGTCCAACACTTCACACTCAGTGCAGTACAAAATCACTCGAAGGAATCTGACATGCACAATGGAAAGCAATTTGTCGGCAGATAGCGTGACATATGCGACTGACATTACTGTCACTAGTCACCACGGCGGTCCTTCATGTCACACTGTAGCTTGCCAGGAGCTGCTGGCCGAGGCAGCGGCAAGGCACGCAGCCGTCAGGGCAGCATGGACAATGGGGCAGCGCAATGCCGTCACAGTAACCGGTACCTAAAGCGCCCCTCTCTCACGTTCCAAGGAGGCTCATCGCCGCCACGACAGGCTTCTTCCATGAGAATGCCAATGAGTGCCAATGGTGACGCACGGAAAAAATTGAGCATGTCCACCAACTCCAAGCAGCGCGGCCTTCATTGCCCTTCAGGGGGGCAGAGCCATGCCGACTCACTAGATGGCACTTTAAGTGTTCCTGTCTGTTGTTCCTCATGGCTGTCATGTGTGTAGTGCGGGCGGTCAGGTGGCGGCGCTCTGGAGGCGGTTGAGGGAGTGGAAGGTGTGCTGGGAGACGCGCTGAGGCAGGCTGCCGGCGAATGAGGCGAGCACGCGCAGCGGCCCGGCCTGCCGCGTGGCCGACAGCGCGCGGCCGCCTGCCGCCAGCACGGCCTCCAGCCGCTCGGCCAGCGCCGGCGGCAGCGCGGCCGCCTGCTCCACGCAGCGCTGCAGCCGGAATGCGTCCTGCGGCACAAACTCCAGCTGCCCCAGCACCTGCACCACCCGCCCATGGTCCTCCCTGCGCGCCACACATCATTGCCTCTCAGCATAACCTCACACACACATGCACATAACGTTGCTCAGAGGATTATCATAAGTTAGACAGGGCTGTCACTCTGGAATGTAGATCAAATAGCCGCGCAGTACTGTACATGGGATTGCAGCCAGAAAAGTAACACCTAATACCTTGTGGCGCACGATGTCACAGAGTGGCCCCGACGGCTGTCTTCCAGGTCCAAAAAGGAGCACAGGTAACCGAAATGTGCCTCTCTAGCCTATATATCAGGTCACTTGTGGCTCAAGAGGCGCATGAAAATGTTGGACTTCACACAATCCTTTGCTGAACCAGCCAATTACATGTTCTCTTGCAACAGAAGGGGAATGGAGGCGGGTGCAGGGCGGAGGGGCGGCAGAGAGCGCGCACCGCTTGTCGGCTTTGAGCAGCTGGCGCACGAGCTTGAGCATGTGGAAGGTGCCTTTCTGGGCCTCGTCGTCCGCCTGCGTGGCCGCTGCCAGCCGCGCCGCCGCGTCCGCCCCCCTCCTTATCAGCTGCTCCACCTCCTCCTCTGCACACCAGACATTCTGCTGTCACTCATGCACCTCAGCTAGGCTGCATGATCCATTATACTATTGCCCACCTTTCCAACCCATCAGGATCAGGTTTATTTCTCTGATAGCCTTGCAACCCATTATCATCATGCTCCATTAAACTCTGTTAAAGGCTTTGTGTGCACTCTGCGCCGCATGCTCCACCATGTGCTTCCTCAAGCATTTCAGTAAGCAAGCATCAGGCAATAGGGCCCCCTCACATTAAGACATGCATAGTGAAAGCTCTTCATAGTCACAGGGTCAATGATCAGGAAACTTATGACTATAGCAAGGATGTGCCTGCAAGAACCGTGAGTCTATGAGGCATCACTGTGCAAGGGGATGGTTTGGGTGTGGGCCCACCTTTGCGTGGGTCCGTGAGGGCCGGCTGCAGGGCGTTGGAGAGCTGCTGGTTGATGAGGGACAGGGCTGGCCTGGCAGCCCCAGCGTACAGGTACAGCTCAACGGCCCAGTCCATCTGCGCGGCTCGCTCGCACTCGCGCGCCACTGCCGCCACCAGCGCATCCCTCTCCTGCGCGTCGCCCACAAACCGCTCCAATGCCCCTGCGCGCACACGCCCCATCCTTGATCACGCCAGAGCCCTTTCCAAGGCTGCACACGACCTCAGATAGGGATCTACCCAGTCGAGACAGATCCTAAACTTAATTGATGCTCAGGAAGGACTTCCGCAAGGGTGAGATCTTTATTTGTGTGGCAGCATGATGAATCAGTACTGCCAGATCACATGCCATTATTATTGTGTCCGCCTTCTAAACAATCTCCTTGGACAACCGGGCCTTCTGCAAAAGAAAACCCCAAGCCTTCGGCAGATAGCAAATTTCTTTTTGCTGTAAGCGTTTATGACAAAGGCTCGCCTGCTTCTGCACCGGGCCCGCCGCTGCCCATGAGGTAGCCGAAGGCGTTGGACTCTGTCAGCAGCTCCCGCAGCAGCTGCCCCTTCACCTCCAGCGTGTCCCCTCTGATGCCTGCCGCCTACGCATGGGAAGAAGCAACACAAAACTCCTCACAATTGGCTCTCCATTGAACCTCCTTCTTCAGGCAAAATTTGCCCCTTTAGTCCTTCTTGGCATGCTCACTCAGAGGTAGGGAGCGAGTGATGAGCTGGAGGAATTCAGCGCTGCAGCTACCTGCATGTAGTACTCCAGGGCCACGTCTGGGCTGGAGTGCACGAAAGATTTGCCGTAGCGGTGCACGAGGGCGGCAATGTCCAGGCCCTTGGCGCGGCCAGCATCCCCGTCTCCTCCAGCGTCAATCAACTGCACCCAAAGCACATGCATGAGCTCAACCACTCCAAAAAGCTCGCTTTTGCCTTTGCACATCCCTTCACACCACCGCACTGTGGGCTCGGCTGTGAGCGACACTCGAGATGCATGTGAAGACACTAAATTCCATTAGGTATCGTGGACCCTCGTCTCATGCTTGAAGGTGAGCCACTCACAGCGGAGCCCAAACACTGATGCGAATTGCGATTTGCTCTCATGCTGCTTTGAGCAGATGTTTGCAGTAGAAGACTCTGTACTGGCCTCCTCTGACCAGTCCATGGGACTGTAACTCAATCCTATCAAGTCCACATTGGACGTCATAAATTGTTCCACTTTGAGGTCATCTGAGGCCTTAGGGCCCTGAGAATTGCATCAATACAGTCTAGATATCAGTCCCCTGCCAGTATACAGGGGTGAATCACCTGGTGGTGGGTGAGCGCGATGGCAAGATGGGGGGCGTCGACGCGGTAGTTGCGCGTGGACGGATCCTGCGCCAGGAAAGCAACGGCCGCGCGGAACTGCAGCGACAGCAGCAGCACCGTCGTGTACAGCAGCGGCTCTCGCCCGCCGTGGCTGTAGTGGCCCGCTGGGAACTGGCTCAGGTAGCTCTGCAGGTCTGACAGCGTGTACGCCCACGACTCGCCCGCCCCTTCGCACATGCACAAGCACATTCTCACATGATCTCGATGTGACAAGCTCCATCCCAGCTGGAGTGGAGCATTGCCTGCCAGCAGAACTCGATATTTGAATGCGAGTATTCATCGCAAGTTGTAACGCTCTTCACACTGCCACAAGAGCGCTGGCTGCAGGGACACCTTAGGCACCTTGTATGACTGTCACAAATAACATGACAGGGTTGCTGGCACTTCATGTCGCATGAGTGAGGAGTGGATCTGAGCAGAGCGCACCGGATGCAAAGTAGCCGCTGGAGGTAGCGGTCTCGCCGCGGCTGGGCCGCACCAGCGCCAGCTTGAACCACATGAAGTCCTCAATCGTCTGCAGCAGCCCCGGCGCTTCCTGCATATGCACGACTGAATAGCTTACTACACATCGAACAGAAGCGTCGCATTGCATTCTGACGGACCAATTAGTCACTATAATTCCAAAGTAATGCATCTATGGAGGATTCAACTGCACCCAGCACTGCCAGTGTCCTGGGTCAATACTCTTCCAGGTTCTCAAACTACAAGCATCCAAGCAGGTCTCTGCCCTAAGAGGTGGCAGCGAGGAAGGTATTGGGATTCACCCGCAGCAGGTGCTCGGCCACGCGGCGGTCGCCGGAGAGCAGGACGTAGAGGGCGGCCTTGTAGCGGAAGCTGGAGCGCAGCCACGCGCCGCGGTCGGCAGAGCGCAGCAGCCGCTCCGCCTCGCTGGCCATGGCCTGCCCCGACTGGGGGGCCAGGCCCCCCTCTCCCGCCACCCACTCCCCCAACATTGCCCCAAAGCTGCCCCCTCTCAGCAAGCCTGCATCTCTCAGCCCCTTCGCTTCCTGCACCAGCAAACTTACCCGATCATGAACATGCAATTGCTCCAGCACAAGATTTTGCTGTGGGGAACTGGTGACGCACAACAGGAGGGTTGTGGACATCATGGGACCTGAAATGACAGAGGGGGAGAAGGAGCAGCTCACCTCCACAGCCTCCTTGTGAAAGCCGGACCGCAGGCAAAGGTAGATGCGGTGCCAGGTGGTGTCGGCGCCCCCCGGCGAGTCAAAGTCCAGCGGGCCTGCGTCCTTCTCGCGCACCCTCAGGAACGCCTGCACTTGGCTCTGCCGCGTTGGTGCACCCCCGAGACTAGCCTGCGCACAGGCAAAACCTCCTCTTCCTACCCTGGTACAGACATTGTTCACCATCATGTAGCAATAAAATAACAAGCCAGGGTAAAGTCTTGCACTGCAGGCTTAAAATTTAAGTAGGGGACAATGGAGCTCATCGGGGTCGAGGGTGATGTTGGACCTGTGCGCGGTTGGCCTGGATGGTATTTTGCAAGTAGGTGACGTGGCCCTCTTCCAGGTAATTCCTGGCCCCGCGCAGCAGCGCCTGCGTGCGCGCAGCCCCGGCCCCCGTCCTTGCCTCAGCCGCCTTGGCGATGCGCGCCAGCACATCCCACACCATCCGCATCGTCGACCGCCGCTCCCCATCTGCACCCAACCAATGCATGATGAGTCAACCGGCAAGCCTGTAGACTCCCACAGTCGTGAAACCCAAGGAACAGTATGTTGCCTGCACCATTTTCTTCGCTTTTGGTCCTGGCACTTCTATCCCATGTGTGGCGACCGTGCCGCAATGCTGCGAAGTGATCAAACGCAATACTGTGGTATAGGAGGATCAAGGGCATACCGTCCGGGTCCTTTGCAGCAGCTGCAGCAAAGCTAGGGATGGCCTGGAACGGCTGTCGTGCTGCGGTGGCGTTGTTGAGGCTGCGCACAATCTCGTAGTAGCTCTTCATCCGCCCTGATAGCGTTCCGGCTCCGTTTGGAATGCTGGACGCACCCAGCATGCCCCCTGCATTCCAGCCCGGCCCTGAGACTTGTACACATGGCCTGTGATGAACATGTACCTCGTGCAGAGGTTGTCCGTCAGCTGCACTACATGATTTTGCGTCCAGGCCATTGCATAGCGGCCTCTTCTTGAGAGTGCGAAGCGGTACCTGGCGCAAGGGGTGAGCGGAATTGTGCGCTGGTGAATGAGGAGGTCAGGTCGCCTCCGGCCAGCTGACTGGCAGGCCCGGGCATGGCGGTGTCTGGCAGAGCGGCATCGAATAATGCGCGCTTGTCGGCCGCCCAGTCTGCTGTCATGCACGCGTCCATGTACTCCTCAAATGCACTGATGGTATCCCTTTGCGCTTCCTGTAACAGCATCCTGATCAACATTGGCCACATGAGACATCCAGAGTGCATGCACATGCATTTACTCATGCGCGCGCATGCACAAAATCCAGGTTAAGTGCACCTGAATGGCTGTGATGGTAGTCATCTCATGCATCTGCTCAAGATATTCCTCGACGCTGGTGGACTCCACAGGCAGGACATCCTCGTATGTGGGCCGCAGCTCAAACGTTTGCAGTGCGCGTGTCAACCTGTACAGTTGCAGAACATATGAAGCTGCGAATGATCGCCTGCAAGTGATCGCCTTCCAAACAGCATCAGCAAGGGCTGCATGTTCAGAGGATGTTTGTAAAACAGCTCCAGACATAATTGATGGCTGCTTGGCTATAGGCACGCACTTCCGAGAGTTCAGACCCTCCTGAGCCAACAGGCGCGTTGCTGCAAGCGTCTGGGAGCCCGAGTCAATGCGCGCAGTCCTGGCCTTGAGCTTTTGAGACAACTGTTCCACTTGCAACAGGTCCCGCTCCACTTGGGGGATGCCTTGGCTGTCCTGCACATCCAGGAAGTTCTCTTTCTTGCTGCAAGGGTGCTTAAGGGTCAATCAACACAATGTTGGTAGTGGTAGGTAAGAATCAGGCTGAGATAATGAGTGACTTCGCGCAGCACTTATCTCTGATGGGAGCAGGTGGTGGCATTGGTATAGAATGACTCACTCTAGCTGCAAGGTCTTCGCTTTGCTGTAGAAGCTGATCCCAATCGGGAGCATTGACAGGTGGCATGATGATGCTGTATTGCTCCAAGCGACAAGCGTTGTTGGGAATCACCAAGAATCAGATGTCAATCTGCAAAAATGGATTCCAGCACTTAATGTTCCTGTATGACAGCATCTATCACATAAAGAACGAAACCATCGCAATTGAGTTGGTGAAGACAAACAACTGCGGCAATTTAAGCAGCGGCGACAAGAGCTTTCCCTTCTTTCAGTAGTGGCCTGATCAGGCTGTCCATAGGGAGCTTCCTCCCAACATGCAGCTGCATGTGACTTGATGTCAAAGTAAATACAGCAACCTGCAGTTGTAAGGAGCCAGAGGATGGCTACATGCACGCCCAGCTGTTCTATGCTAAGCGTTGGGAAAGCTGCAGATTAAGGTTTCCCAGTACTGGTGCATGCATGGGGCGACAATCGTACGACTCGTCGGACGCGTCATCATGATCGCTGATACCATTGATGGCATGCACCGGTGCTGCAGGGGACCCCGGGTGTCATGGCCGCAATCATTGCCATTGAAGCTCGCTTTTATACAGACTTACTTTGCAGAAGGGGTTAGTCACTCTTGCTATCTTGCGGTCACGTTGGCCATCATGGCAGCCCTGAGGGCCTGCTGGCAGCCACAGGCAGTGACGCTCAGTGTCTTATATTCTAAGTTTTGGAGTCTCGTGCTGTAATGCTTCAGCATCGCTAATCTCAGAGGGCGAAAAATGTAGCTCTCAACTGCAGGAGCTCCACAGTAACAGGCCAAAGTTCAAGTGAATTGTGCACCCTGCCCTGAATACGGCGAGGACAGCCTTGGAAAGTCATCAACAGAAAATGATGAGACAGACTGATGCCAATGCTGGTGCCAGCACTCAGGGCACGGGTCATAGGGCAGCCTTCCAAGTCTCCACAAGGCAACCTCTCGTGGGTTCAGATGTACAGAGTGCCTCACATTCTCCCCTTCACGCACTTCAACAGCCAATTTGGCTGGGGTCCAGCCGGCCATTATCTCCTGAGAGATCGGGACAGCCTCTGCAAGTGATAGTTGGTGGTATGTCTTGCCTTCGTCTTTTGTGCCTGCACAATGAACCAGGTTGAGATGTGCAAGTCACCAATGATGTGCATCATTGTCCAATTATGGGCAGCTCTGTGGTGCTTTGCACTTCAAGGAACAGCAGAAGATGACCCACCGCAGCTGAAGCACATTGTGACAGAGCCTTCTTCTCCATGTCACAGTTTCCATCAATGTTAAAGCGATGCCGCTGCAAAGTCACCCCAACAGGTTAGTCCTGTCACCTCCAGGGACACCACTGTGAAGCCATTCGTGTCAAAAAACAGACCTACCGCCATGCAGGAGAAGAAACTTTGCAGCTCTGTCATACACTCCATCTTGGCATTTTTATTCAGGGTCTTCGTATTGATCTTCAAGGGCTGCTCCTTTGACTTTCCCATCCTCTGGGAGAGCTCCCTCGGTGTGACAGCAATCTAGTGATCAGGTCTTATTGCATTAATGTGTACTTGTTGTAAGATAGATGTAACTTACAGCTGTTGTCTTGTGAGAATTTGAGAGACAAGGTGACTCCCACAGAAGGCGATCAACTAGATCACTATTGCGAGACAAATCTGTCTGACACTTCAAACTATATTGCAGTTTGAGTGAGATGGGAAGTCTTCACTTCAGACGTACGGTATTATAGAATTTAAATTTGTCGTAAATTCTGCGACTCGCAATGAACAGCGGCATGTGCCTCTGGATGACTAATTGACTTTCGTAATTGGGGTGAGAGAGACACGAAAGGACACAGAGTTGATACTTGTCTGCGTGCTGGGATGCATATTCTCGAGTATTCATGATGTGCGTGCTACTGATGGTTTGAGATATGTGGGACGCTTTAATCAGCCCTGTGTGCCTGGTGGAAAACGTGTTGTCTCTTCCTCTCTCTCTCTCTCTCTGACTCTTGTAAAGGCTACTTGAAACTCTGCTGTGTTCCTTAACCCGGAAGATGTATGAATTGTTAGGTGTCATCACTAGATCCGACTCAATTTATATTGCCGGAGTGGCGGCCGCGGCCGTGGCCACCGTCACGGCACCTTGGTCCACCAATGACTGGCAGATTGAAGTCCAATCGGCAATGCCGCGGCGGCCTGCGCGGTAGCCGCCCAATAGACGGGTCCTTTTCATTTCAATATTACAGGTGGTCCTAAACAGGCGTCTCATCTGCAGCATTCTGCTCGACAGCCTCAAAGTATATTATTTGAGCTCAACCTTTATTTAGATCTAGAGAGTAGCTAGTCATTGGAAATTCCCCAGAAAGACTCGGGAAGACTGTTGCTGGGTGCCTGACAAATTGAACGTATCAATGTCAAAATCCAACTGAAATAAGGCGACAAAACAATGTCACATCCGAATCACTCTGACATCAAACAGCCTGAAGCTTTCCTTGGCTCTGTTTCTTGAACGCCAGCGCACTTCGATAGGCAGGGGCTGTGGGCGGCTGCACGGGGTCCAGGGACTGGTAGTTGTCATCTGGGAGGTCATAGGACTGGTCTGCATCGTAGCCACTCAAGTCTCCACATGCCAGGAAGGGCACTAAAAGCCGCTCCTCCAAGGTCTGTTCCCCTCTATCATCCTGCGCAGCATATCTCTAATTGAAGGGGTGTGCCAGCATTAGGTACAGTGGGAAGCAGGGATGATGCCCTTACACTGGATGTACTTGCATGCTCGGCAGCCTGAGCTGGGAAGAGTGTGGTTCACCTGAGCACTGGTTGTGCGATCCAGGAGGCCCTGGAGGGCTTCTGGTCTGAAGTTTGGCGGCGGTGTGTAGTTTCTGCAGACTACGAACGCCTCTATGGACGAGTTGCGGCTGCTTTTGGGCTTGGCAATCGTCACATCCGGAAACAGGATTTTCAACTGCGCGCCAATGAGAGCCGCAATCAATAGGGTGAGGTGACCCAGTAATTGTAGATATGTTACTCGATTCCAAAGCCAACATCAGTAGCTTGAACAACGAGGAGGTAGATAGACCTGGGAGTAGAGGAGTGCAGCTTCCTTGCCCCGGAAAACTTTGGCAACGAAAGAACCTCCAGGACGCAGGACATGAGTAACAATTGTCAAGGCGGCCAGTATGAGCTGGGCTTGCACAAACTCGTCCATGTCATGCAAGCCAGTAACTGCGCGCAGAGACACGTGCCGATTATAAGTCTGAAGCATACTAGCTCAAGGTCTTCACAGGCAACCATCCTTTTCCTATTAGGGGGCACTAGGGTCCATTGTCATAAACAAGAGCATACCATCAGGGGCGCCGTCTGACACAACCAGATCTGCCTTCTCCCCATGAAAATGCGAGATGACCTGATTGGCTGTCAATGTACTGGTGATGTCCCCTTGTATCTGAGTCACGCCCTCAATGGGCGCCATTGGTTGTAGATCCACTGCCACTATCTTTGGAGCATCCTCAGGCCTACACCAGAGTCTTATTCGGTACCATACATGACATTGACATTCCTGTTCATATATTGCACAACTTTGACGCGCTCATCTATTATGCGCAAATTGCAAAAACTGCTGTGGCAGCGTCGTGCGCACAGCATCAAGCTTTGATTCTGTTCAAGCAACAGCGCAGCCACACCTGCCAGCTTGCAAGGCAGGCAGGTACAGCCTGCGACTCAAGACCTGCACAAACGAAGTGCATGCTCAGTTCACTTTCCAGAGGCACAGGCTGTATTGTTTAATATTATCAATGGTGATCTTTTTCCCTGATCTCACTAAGATGCAGCACCAGCTGCAGATCAGACTACCTGGCTCCAGCTGCCGGGTGCTGCACACAGGTCCACAACATGGCGCACACCCTCTAGGATTGAGAAGGCCTCATCGATCTGGAGGAGCTTGAAAGCACTGCGAGCGCGCCACCCCTCTTCCTTGGCTTTGCGGTAGTATATGTCACGTTTATCCTGGGAGTCACCAGGCCATGATCTTTGTAAGGAGCTGTGGGAAGGATGTAATACACGATATCCTTGAAAATTTGCAAGGAAGTAGTGCATTAAAGATTTGCAGAGATCGTAGAGCTTTCATACGAGAGCAGATAAGCCAGTAGAGATGGAAACACGGTGAAAGATTGTCTGATCAGACCGCACCTTGCTTGCTTTCCCCATCAAAACACATTGATCAGATACAACGGCACAATTTTACACCCATGGATACAAGGAACGATACTAGAGCCGGTCGAAGGCTGGATCACCGCACCAGTCTGCGATGGGAAGGTACGTGCCAAGCGGTTGGAAGCTAACCATGAGCAGGCACGCCATCTTACGGGTCACACCGGCCCGAGCATTGGAAGTGGCACTGCAAGTGCCACTGCTCCCAATCATTGGTCGAGAGAATGAGTACTAGCTTGAGTAAATCCTTGGAGTTCTTGGGATTCGCAGAGGGCTGTGCATGACGGCTTGAGAATGGTTTTCGTGAGAAATGGTGAGCCTTGTGAGCCCGAGTTGACCGTGCACACTTGTGTAATGATTGCATTGCTGCGCTATTAAATTCACATCAGTCATTCAATTGGCTGAAGTGCACTTACTTATCACAGGTGAGGTCATAGACAGAGGGCAGGACTGGGGAATCAGCAGACTTATAGATGTCTTCTGGAGTGTAATCAACGGCCTCGGTTTCTTGTGAGTATAATCACACTCCTCAACATGATGAAACGCTTACCAGGATTCTTCCCTAATTTTCTGTATTACCATTGCTGTTTCTAGCCTACAGTAATGACCTAGTTGAGGTCTTTTTGAGTGTGTCTTTTTGACCTGGACAGCTTGCAAACACTGCTGTCTCCCGATGGCGTGGACAAGTACAAGGACTTTGGAAGGAAGAAAAGGTGGAATGGCGGTGGTTCGGGCTATGGGAATGGGAATGGAGGTCCTGGGGGTGGCGGTGGTGGAGGAGGAGGGGGAGGTCCTCCAGGGCCTCGGATAACGAGCATGGACAACTACAGAGGCACCAGCAGCTGTAAGGACCTGTCCGTTGCGCCTATAGCTGACCAATATTAGTGAAGCTTTGTCATAATGTACACCGGTCAATTGTGCCTAGCTAGACTGAACCATACCAGTAAAACTTTATCACAGTGCACTACTTCCTGCCTCTCATAAGGAATCTGATGCCTGCAGGCTCGACATGCTGTGGCGGCGGATGTGGGTGAAGCATCACTCGCTGTTTGCGACAGGGAAAGTAAGGGTTTTGCTTCAGCATCGTCGCATTAGACGTGATGGATACAAACTCCAGGCTAGGATATCCCATAATTAGAACTCGGACTTGAAGGAGTTGCACATAATTGCCAGTCATGTGGGACTCCTTTTTATCGCCCTCTGCGAAGGCGACTATTAGAATGCATGCAATGTAGCCTCACAGGATTTTAACAACGCGTGATTTTCATTACAGTGGTGTGATCAAAGCAGCGCATCGATGATAGTGCGGCGAGCCAACAAAACATGATTGCAACACAGAAGATGTCATCTGCTGAATAAAAGCCTGTAATATTTATTCAAGCAGTGCCTTGCGTCAGCTTTCGCTGCTCTATGACTCGCACAAATGCAGCTCCTCCGAGGTACAGCCCAATCAGTGGGACAGCCAGCAGGGTCTGTGTGAAGGGGTCTGTCGAGGGTGTCAGCACTGCTGCTGCCACAGTGGCACCCACGACCACATAGCGCCACTGCTTTAACATCTGTGCTGATGTCACGATGCCAGCCTGGCCCAGAAGCACTTGAATCACTGGCACCTGCATATTGTTTCAGCAACTACTCATAGCTCTGCTTGCTACCAATTGCCCAGGCCATCAATGAAATACAAGCCAATGTCCACACACAACGAAAAGGGACTGCTTATTCTTGTGAACAAAATCAGAAATTGCAGGTTCAAGACCCCACCTGGAATGACAGGCCAGTGCTGAGCATGAGGACAAGGACAAACTCGAAGTACTGGTCAATAGACCACAGGGATTCCACAGCACCGTCAGCGTATGTCACAAAGAAGTTCAGTGCTGCCGGCGCCAAAACTTCATAAGAAAAGAATAGCCTGCAGCACAGCAGGTTGAAGAGATCAAGTCGGCATAAAGCCGGTGCTGGACACATCAGCTAAAGGCATTTCCCAAAGGGCGCACCCGAGGTAGAAAAGGATAGAGGAGCCAAAGACGATGGGAGCCAGCAAATCCTTCTCTGACTTTGTCAAACCCGGCACAACGTAAGCCACAATCTGATAGAGCACCGTGGGTGTGGCCACCAGAATTCCTGCGTAGCCTGCCACCTGCACGGCACAGACACTCAACTTGCTCCCAGTCACAGGTGAAAACAGAAATGGGAATCCTAGCTTTGCAGACAGTCACTGTCACGGTGACTGGATTACCTTGAGCGTTGTGAAGAAGAACTCCCCAGGAGACAGCTGCAGGAAGCGGACACCCTGACTTGCAACAGGGGCCTCTAAGAACACCACAAGCTCCTTGGAGAAAGCGAAGCAGGTCAGCACAGCAACCGCAGCTGCCAAGGCCCCCAGCAGCACACGCTCTCGCAGCTCCTCCAGATGATCCCATATCGGCATCTGCAAGTGCACCACTGGTCCCTCAGACAGGTTGTGTGCCATGGCGTATATGCCATGGCTCATTCACCTTCACTAGTGCGCCGTCAATGATGGTAAACATGACTTGCACATGAAGCACTAACGCACTTCGAAATCGTCTGGCAGCTCTGCTTCATCTGGATAAAGGAATTTCTGCACTGCTGTCTTCTCCAGGTCAGGGCTGTCCCAGTCTTCAGGCAGGTCCAGCTGGCTTGGCAGCTCTGGCTTATACTCTGCGTGGTCACAAACAAGCATAAACGACATGATGTGCCTGTAATGTAACTTTATTCACAAAATGCTGGCACCAAGTGTCCCTGTGCACCGTGTACACCAACAAGAGCCAATGTGATCGTTCAGCTGTAGACACATGCGAAATACATAGTGTAAGCAGACGAACGCACCCTTTCTCCCTGAAGACTGGGCCTGCTGCTGCAGATCCTGCTCCTGCTCCTCTCCAGTGCTTGCCTGAATGCGACTTCTTTGCCTGTTCCAGCTCCTGCACGCATGCTTGCCTGCCGCCGAATTCCGGTTGAGGACATGTGAAGGAGATCTAATTGATCCTGCTAAGCGCCCTTGGCACGATTTGCAAGACAGTCCTGCCATTTGCCAATTGTTTTGATGTTTCTTGAAGGACGCGACTGCCTCGCCGATCAGACGAACCAGATCTAGATCAACGGTAATTCAGGGTGTCTTTCACTATCAGATCTGATCAATGCATCATAGAGTTCCCACAGGCAAATGCCACCTCATCCAGCCATTGGTGCTGGGAAAATTGGTAATCTGGGAGGATCTGGACAATAGCAAGAGGTTGCTTCCTCAAAAGAAACTTTCATGCTCCACTCGCCTCCCGCAAATTTCAAGCAAGAACGTAAAGGACTTCTGCGGCTAAAAGGACTCCTGTTCGAGGTCATTCCTGCGCCTGACACCCACAGACATCTGCTTTCCCAAAGCTAAGGGCAGTGACAAGATTTTTATGGCTCAGCCTGCACAAGCCATGGAGGCCCCTCCAGCCCCTCAAAACTGGAAGTCCGCGCTGAAGTTACCACCGAAGGACGCCAGGATCCGCACGGAGGTGAGCTGTTCTGAAAGAGCCACTTCTGCATCATGGCTGCTGATGGCGTGCCAACCTGCCTCAAAAGTTTCTTAGCTCTTCAGACAAGTGTCTTTGTATTATCACAGTGTTTTGCGTGCGTTAATGCTCTTCAACGGCGCTGTAATGCTTCTGGTTTTTGGCAGGATGTGACAAACACCAAAGGCAACGAGTTTGAGGACTACGTGCTCAAGAGGGAGCTTCTTATGGGAATATATGAGAAGGGTTTTGAGAAGCCAAGTCCCATCCAGGAGGAGAGCATCCCAATTGCATTGACTGGCAGGGACATTCTCGCTCGAGCGAAGAACGGCACGGGTACGAGATTGAGCCTCCGCCCCTGTGCCTTGTGTCTGCGGCTGCGTGCCCGACTCACTTGCCGGCTTGACTTAATTGTTCTTGTGGTGCTGCAGGCAAGACCGCTGCATTCACCATACCACTGCTGGAAAGGATTGATACGAGCAAGAACGAGATACAGGGTATGGTCACCTCTGGTGCCTGATACCGTTCGCCATGATCGCCTTGCTCAATTCACACGTGCTTTCGAACGCATATTGAAGGCAAATATCGAAGCCTCTCCTTTGCACGAGGAGCTACTGCGAAACCCTAAAGAGGTTCATGTCTGCAGCTATGATCCTCGTCCCGACGCGAGAGTTGGCACTCCAAACGAGCCAGGTCTGCAAGGAATTGGGAAAGCATCTCGGAGTGGAGGTCATGGTCACCACGGGCGGAACCAGCCTCAGAGACGACATCATGCGCTTGCACGCTGTGGTGCACATCATGGTCGCCACCCCGGGCCGCATATTGGACCTCTCATCCAAGGGCGTTGCCAAGCTGAACAAGTGCAAAATGCTCGTCATGGACGAGGTGATTTTTCTTTCTCTTGACCAAGGAATTTCTGTCTTGTCCGTAAGTTCATCAAGCTCAACTTTCAAAAGAATTAGAAGCAGTCTTTGACAGGGGTCTATGTGCAGGCTGATAAGCTCCTGTCTCCAGAGTTCCAGCCGATCATCGAGCAGCTGATCTCTTTCCTAGCAGCGGAGCGCCAGATCTGCTTGTACTCCGCTACCTTTCCTGTGACTGTGAAGCAGTTCAAGGAGAAATTCTTGAAGAAGCCCTACATTATCAATCTGATGGAAGAGCTGACCCTGAAGGGTATCACACAGGTATGCTCACGCTTTGAGAAGCTTGCATCCATCCTGTCTCTTATTTGAGACACAGCACCTGACCTGGGGAGTTTGATGTGCGCAGTACTATGCCTTTGTCGAGGAGAAGCAGAAGGTGCACTGCCTGAACACCCTCTTCTCCAAGGTATGGTTCCCACTCCAGTCACTTTGTTTCCTGTGCTTGCAAAGGCAGTCGCATTTCTACATGCAAGTATTCCCCCATTGACGCGCTCTGTTCGAGGGGGCTGTGCTTCAGTCTTGGTAAGTGTTCCTGTGGTGCTGCAGCTGCAAATCAACCAGTCTATCATCTTCTGCAACTCTGTCAACCGCGTGGAGCTGCTGGCCAAGAAGATCACTGAGCTGGGCTACTCCTGCTTCTACATCCACGCCAAGATGTTGCAGAGCCACCGCAACCGCGTCTTCCACGACTTCCGCAACGGAAACTGCCGCAACCTCGTCTCGTCAGGTGTGTTTGTCAGCCCATGTCTTCCAGTAAACGACAATGCAGTATGCAAAGTTCTTCGCTTTTCCACAACCTGCTGGCTGGGCCATGGGCTTTGTCAACGTCTTGTCAAGCATATGACCTGTGGAGCATGCATGAGGTGTTCAGTGCAAATGGAATGTTATTTTATCCATGCAGCATATATATATGGATCCGCAGGTTCCACCTCAGGGCATGAACGGGTGCATTGTCTGTCTCGCAGATCTCTTCACTCGCGGTATCGACATCCAGGCGGTGAATGTGGTGATCAACTTCGACTTCCCCAAGAACTCCGAGACCTACCTGCACCGTGTCGGCCGCTCCGGTCGTTTTGGCCACCTCGGCCTGGCCGTCAACCTGATCACCTATGAGGACCGCTTCAACCTGTTCCGCATCGAGCAGGAGCTGGGCACCGAGATCAAGCCCATCCCCCCCGTCATCGAGAAGACCCTCTACTGCGTCTGAGCGCCGGCGCAGCCGCCGACATCAGCCACGGCAATGTGGAGACGGGCCACACTGTGCTACGCGCGTTGCTTGCAAGTTGGAAAGCAGCAGCGTGCCCGCCCGTGGACCCAGCAAAATCTGATTAGAGACTCTGTGAAGGAGTGGAGACGCCGCCAGATGCATGCACGACAAACAACCCAAAAACTGCTGGCTGTCCTTTGAGAGGCAGCTGCATCTGGCATGAGGCGGCGGCCCCTGGAGGCGAATGAAGTTGAGCCGTCTGGAAATGCTTGTGCGTGGCAGATGTGTTGCCGCGCAGCCAGCATTGCATTCTACGTCAGGAGAGGTAGTGTGGGATCCTCAAAAGAGGGGGGCTCACTCGCCCCCCTGGCAAGCAGCACCCTTGGGAAGATGCAATTGGCGCAGCAACCCCTGGTGCAGCGCAGCGGAACCACATACCCACCCACAAATCAAGGGGCGGAAGTGCCACAAATATGACGTAGCACACTGCTGTGTTCCCGCCGCAGAGCAGCGCACTCACTGGTCTCGGTGCACGCTCGGCGTGTGTGAACAAAGCTAGCACATTCTTTTTGGTAGGATGGCAGAGAGTTCCGGAGATTTTTTCAGATGGCGTTTCTCATTTTGCAGCGGAGCCCAGTGTCGGCCCAGGCTGCCTTGCCCAGCACTTCACCGTGCCACCCCGTGCCGCTGCCTGGTGGCATCACCAGGGACACTGCTGGGGTGTGTACTGCTGAAGCTCTGCATGATTTCTGGCTTGACTTTAGAAGGCAGTGCCCTGGTCTGCACAGACGGGTACCCCAGCAGCACTTGTGACGGTCCGCCTCGCGGCTGGCGCATGTCTTGTGACGTTGGTGAAGAGTTACTTCTCTGCTGGAATCCCCCCCCGATATGTGCTGCTCTGGACAGGAAGCCCAAAGTTCCTGGCAATGAGTGACTTGCGGTGTGGGGCGCATGTGCCGACACTTGCGGTGTGGGGCGCATGTGCCGACACTTGCGGCTGCTGCTGCTTATTTGTTGTGTATATCATGCACTTGCCATGTGTGCGTTGGGGATGGGGGGATTGTTTGAGAGCGAGAGAGGTTTCAAACGTGTTTTGTGTGAGCGTCTTGAGTGAGAAGTCCCGTGAGTTTTCTACCTTTCTGTTTTTGTAGGCTAGGAGCACTGACTGACTTGACTATTAGCTAGGGTATGGTGTGAGAACTGCGGAGCGTAGGACCTCACCAGATTGCTCAAGCGGTCAAAAAATCCAGAGGGGACGCTTGCCCGCACCCACGAGCTGTCTTGGACTGCTCCCATGGGTGCGGGCTGTGATGTGTTCAACGCATTGCAGTTTTGGCATTTTGCTGTCTGTCGATCTGGCCTGTGCAACGGCTGGGTCCTAGTGAACGCTTCTGTCTGAACTCGTCAACTGCTGCACCACAGTGTTGCCCTGCCCTTGGACGGGGCGTCAGCTGTCTGTGCCGAGGCCTGTGAAGGTCTGGCGCCATTTATTGCTGTACATCAGAGGCCCGCTTTTACCAATGGGCCTGCAAGGAATGTGGTTCAGGGGAGGGTGAAAGGCAGTCACCAAGGGTGATGATGGGGTGACTCATTGCAACATGCCCGGATGATGCAATCTTCCTGACTAATCCGGGCGTAACATTCATTATGTCCCGATTCCCTGTGGCATTAGAGAGGGAGGCGGTGTTTGCACTGACCAGTTGATTGAAATCACCACAAGCGTTTGATGAAGCTGTCGCTGGCAGTTTGAAGCAAAGTATGGTTTACCTGCAACAGTCAGCTTTTGACAGCATAGGAGTTTGTGAGCAAGCAAAATGTGCCCGCACTCAGATATACCCAAGCAAGAGTGTACCCAAGCTATAAGGAACCTATCAAGACGCTTGGGGCATACATGGATGCAGCCTGATAGAAAAGCTGCTGAGATTTGTGTGATGTGGGCAGCGAAAATGAAGTGGTACAGTGGTATAGTACCCTTTTTCAAGGTGATCGTTGGAGTAGTCATCTGCTTGGACCAAGTGCTTTGTGATACAGCGCCAATAATTCTGCTGGAAGATGCTGCGTGATTACCAATGGCTATGGAAGCCAGAGATGGATTTGTCTGGACCAATAGGAATCAATCTGCCCTGTGAGCAACAAACACGAGGGCGTATGCTAGGACTTTAAAGGCCTGACCATGTGTCTATGAAATCTTGCAAGTTGCTGTGCTGTGAAAAACACCCAATAAGAAGCTTCGCCTAGGACGTTGCTGTGCTTGTATTCTTGTGAACATGCTTAAGAATGTGCAAAGGACATGTGCAGGGCTCGTGTAACGGATCTTTCTGTGTCAAACAAAAAATTCTCAGCACAGTGAGTCTCCTGTGATCTGCTGCGCCCAGGTTTGCTTCATATCATTTGTTCTTCGAGATCTTTGTGAAGTGAAAAAGTAAGTCGGAGTCTATTGTCTCAACGTCTCAATGATTACAACCGCTCTCTCATGGGTTCTTATGCCTACCCTCACCACATGACAAGAAAGTAGTGCAGGACACCTAGGGTCATTTGCAACATTCTATGCCGCCTTGTCCTGTCACATACCCCTCTCAGCCAGCAGGCTGACCTGCGGGTTCGCATCCTTTGCCAGAGACTCTAATGCTTGCCTGACTCCAGGAAATTTCAACCTCACCAGCCATCCAGTCATGTCACTGTAATCGCAGGTGTTTGCCTTGATTGCTGAGGCTCGCTGGTCACCACTACTATGGCCCTCTCTTCCTGAGATCTGGCATTCATCTACTTCTTCTGGGGAGCCATGGCTGGCACTGCAATGTCTGCTCGCACACACAACATTGCGCTGTTCTGACTTATCAGCCGACCAGTGTTGATCCTCCGCTGTGCTGGGTAGCCCAGAGCTTGACGCAGCTTCACAGGCCCCACTGCCCTTGCTGCTATCTGTTTGACAGCTTGCAGCACCTGCAGCTGCCCTGCTCTTGGCCTGGGGCGAGTGCTCTCTTAATGCGGACACAGCACTGCCGAGGCTGTTCAAGGGGCCTTCATCATGCAGCAACAGCCGGCACAGCGCCAGTCTCACATCCACCACAGGATCCTGTGCCAGCTTCAGCAGCTCTGGCAGCAGCTCCTGCTGGAAGAGATCCACCGCTTGCATGCCTGTGAGCAAGCAAACTAAGCACATCATACACCGACACTGCCTCGGTCGTATTGTAGGCTGCCATGTACTGACAGCCTAGCACATGTCATCACTCCACAAAACATCAAACGCATGACAAAGTTTATCACCAAGTATGATTCTTACAAGGGCCGCACAAAACGATCACAGTTACTATCTGAGGGCAGCCCATCAGATACAGCTACAAAAACACCCATTTCATGAATAAGGCTATATTTCAACAATCGGGATGGGCGTTGGGGATTTGCCAAGCGCACCCAAGATGTGCTGGCAGACCAGCACGAAGGAGTGGCGGGAGCGGAAGCTGCGGCTGCGCGCCAGGCCACACTTCAGCTGCTGCAGGAGTGACTCAAGCACCTCTCTCCACCGGTCCCTGTCAGCCTCCCCAGGAGCACCCGCCCGGGCGCTGCCTGAAGAAGGCAAAGCATGATCCCACTCCCGTGTATCACCTCTCTCACCAACAGCTGGCGGCAGCACTTGATGATCTGCGGTGCTTGCACTGGCCGCCTCTGCTGCAGCTTCTGGTCTGCTCAACGAGGCTGACGGCTCCGCCGGAGCGCTGCCTGCACTGGATGCCGTGCCAGTGAGGCCTGAGGGACCCGTGGGGGCGACAACAAGGCTAAAGAGATGCGCGGCCATGGCGGCGCACTCTGCCGCGGCCGCGTGGCGCACGGCGGCCACCGGATCCTGGCACAGTTGGACTGCACTTGGCACCAGGGACTGCTCCACCACCTGCAGTCATGCAGCACCCGGGCTTGTGTGTGTGTTCTTACTGACAGCACTGCTGAATAACAAGACAAGACAATCACACAATATAGGAAGATGTGATGTGGCGCATGGCCATACCTGAATGTCCTGATAAATAAAACAAGGACAACCTTTTAAGAAGGACAGCTTGCACTCTAAGCGGCACCACAACCTCCTCAGCATGGAACTCCATGTTGTATCCGGGATGTGAAGCTGATGAAAGAAATCACAAAGGCAGGGTGAGACCCAGAGGGAAGATGCGCAAACCTGCGCCAGAGAGGAGCGGGCGAGCTGACTCAGCTGTCCAGTCAGCTCAGTGCGCACGCGCCAGCTGGCGCTGCCCCTCAGCACGGCCACAAGCGGCTGCAGCACATCTCCGCGCCGCTCCGGCGGCAGCAGCTCTGCAAACTGCGCCAGCTGCGGCGCCAGGCCCGCCAGCGCCTCCGCGCCCCCATGCCGCTGTATTTCCTGTGCATTTGGGGGCTGTCATAGCACTGGAATCTACTTGTGCAAGAATCTTGCGTTCACAATAGCCGTGTGCGCATCCTGTCGCTCAGACCATACTGTCTCGTCCAGCCCTGGCGTTGCATTGCTCAAGAGCATTACTTTCATGACTTCCCACTACATTTCAATTTACATTCTGATGACAATGAGCATTGTAGCGACGAGTGCCACATGCGCAAATCGAAGCTGAGACTTCAAGAGAGCAGAAGCTAGCGCACCTTGAGGGCGGGCAGCCAGTCGGAGGCGGCCCTGTCGGGGCCGAGGGCGCGCGCGAGGCGGGGGAGGTCGCGAGCCAGGCAATGCAGGACCTCCTTGTCAGCCGACGCTGCCAGCGCCGACAGCACCGGCTTCACCGCGGCCCAGCGGGGCGCGCCCACCGCCTCGGCCACCGCCGGCAGCGCCCCTGCCGCCGCCATAAGGCAGTCTGTGCCCGCGGTGCCCCTCTGCACTGCCTTGTGAAGCTGCTGCAGCAGCCCTGCACCAGAACATTTGGGACTTGAGGTGCGCCAGTCGCATAATGTGGAATTCCACATTTCAAAAAATCAGGTTTCATTATATTCTCTCCTTGGCGTTCGGACTGCCTTGCATGTCTTGCATTCTATGTTGGATAACATTCTAAATCGGGGGCCTCAGCGCCCACTTGAAAGCTGCGGTACAAAATCCAATGCATTGCTGCACACCTACATGATGCCTGCTACTGCACAACATCGCATGTAAATCGATAACAGAAGAACACATTTAAGAGAGCAATGTGCCGTGGGAGCCATGGCACGCACCGTCTGACAGGCTATCTGCCGGCAGCTGCGCAAGGAACGGCCCCAGGGCCGTCAGCGCGGAGCTCACCACCCACCTCGATGTGTCACCCGCCAGGTCATCCCATAGATCTACAAGCCCCGCCCTAGCTTCGCCTGCAGCACAGCCCAGTCAAGTCACGTAATTACTGATCAGATGAAACAGGCTTGCTGCACCGCCAGTGCGTGCACTGCTAGTCTTGTACAGACGATTGTGAAAGAAGACGTTTGGGGATGCCACCTTCAGGGAGGAGGCCAGCGATGGCGGGCAGAGCGGATGCAGCGGCTGCGCGCACGAGCCACACGCGGTCGGCTGCCAGCTTCCTGAAGGCGGGCATCAGCTGCGAGTTCACCTCCTCCTGTGGCAGCCTGGGCGCCAGCCTGGGCAGCCCAAAAACCACCTCCTGCAAGCCACACAGCGCACACCTCACCACACTTCAAAACTGCAACTCAGCCTAACCTCAGCTCATTTGCAGTGCAACGGTTGCCATGTTCATGTCAGTGCTGAGCTGACTCACGATGGTAAAGAAGCGGTTCTTTGCCACATTTAAAAATTGCTACTTTACCACAGGAACTCAGCTTCTTCTGCGCAGAGCAAGCAACACATTTGTCAAAGGGCATGCACCCAACGCGCAGAGTTTTGATACCCCTGCAGGCAGCTCAGCCCGGTCATCAAGACAAGGAGCTCCATTTTTGGCGCCCTGACTCTCCGGCCCACCCTATAGGGCTCCTTTGCGCATCAGAACCCAATATTCCAAACGTTCATTCACACGATTCACAGAGTGGCTGGACAAAAGCAGTCCTACCTTCCGCACAAGATGGCAGCTCAACCCGCAGATCTTTCCAAGGAATTGCACCACCTTGGGCGCCCTGACTGTCCGTTCTACTTCAAGGGGCTCCTCGCTCCTCTTTCCTGAGTAATCACTATTCCAAATGCGTTCACATGATTCACAAGTGGCTGGACAAAAAGGTGGGTCTAACCTTACGCACGAGGTAGGCGGTGTCGGTGGCGAGACGCAGGAGGCGCGGCAGCAGATCGGCTTCGGCAGGAACGCTCTCGGCGTCGGCGGCCAGGGTGGCCACCAGCTCGGCCAGGATGCAGCGCACCTCGTCGTCCGGGTGGCGCTCCAGTGCGTCCAGCGAGGCCAGCATGTGCGGCTGCAGCTCCTCCGGCGCCAGCAGCCGCACTATGCCCAGCACCGCCGCCTGCCCCGCTGAGGTCACCTGCGCGCACACCGCCATGCACTGCTGAATACTTGCGCGAAGATCTCCAGCAGTCCAGTGTCATCCTTGGTTGCCTAGCATTCTTGATTGTCTAACAAATAAAGTTTTGATCGAAGCACACAGCATGATTTACTCAAGTAGTATCCCTACAGCATCTCTCTGCCATGGTCCTGGCCAAGCCGGGTGTGGAGCTGCTCAAAAGAGCCCATTACAGGGTCCTTGGGAACAGAGTCGGATTGTCCCAAAGGTGTGTCAGGGCTGATCGGGCACTTTCCCATGCAACGATGGAGGTGCCCATCTGTGCTGCATAACTGGCAAAGGTACTGTGCTCCAATATCTCATTTGGTCAATGTCAATTGCACACATGTGACGAAGTTGTCAGACAAGAAGTAAGTACCTCCTCGACATCATCCTCCAGACTGTCCAGAGCTGTCTGCATCAGCTTTAGGACCTCTGCATGGCCCTGTGCCCCGCCGTCCTTGTCCCATGCTCTCGCTGCATTGCAGTATGCAGGTATGAGACTATTCACAGCAATACTTGTTTCGCTTGGATATAAGGCGTTGGATTGAGTGAGTAGTATCGGTCATGGCAGGGATGCCGCACCTAGTGGGATCAGCTGCGATATGAATGCACAGCGCACTATTGGCTCTGGCGCATTTGGCAGTACCTCCACTGCCTGTTTGAAGGCCTCGGAACTTGCATGGAAGCCTGCCTTCTCCGCTGCTGCTGCCATTCCATATATATGTGCAACACGAGCGGGGTGTCGGAAAGCGCATGAGAAAGTCGCAATCGCTTGCAGAGCACCCTCGTCATCATCCTCTTTCGTCAACAGGTTGAGCTCCTGCAGGGATAGCTTGACACGTTTGGATCACCACCTGATTCGAGACTTGGATGGATTTGACACTCAAAGGATTTTTGCATGGTCTTTTAGTCTCCAAATTCACAATACGGACTTGCATGTGAGAACATCCTTTCTACTAGTCTCTTGCTCCTTGTGCCAAGTGTACTGGACTCAGCTGTGCCATGTCACTCGATTGGTCGCAATACAATGGCAGCCAAGACTTTGGAATGCGAAATCTGTGAGAGAATGAATGGCATGCCGACCTGCATTGGAAAGACAACATCCGATGGGAATGATTCATCTGGGTTGTCAGGCTTGACATCAGTACCTGCCATGCACCTCGACGAGAGGTACAAGACTAGAGAATGGATGGTACAAGGAAAGAACAATGCAAACACCGATGATGAGTCCACAATTTTAGTTGGCCATCGCTTCCTTCTCATGCTCCGACACCGTGCTTTATTAGGGCCTTCCCAATATCGGCAGATCTTCGCGTGTTTGACATGCACATGTTGATGTCAACATCAGACATCGCACTGTTTAATTAAGCGGACCTTTGAAGTCTAACAGCATATTGTACTGAACTGTTGTGTGCAATGCGGTGTGTCAGCACACTTGCGAGCCCTTCAGCGGTCTCGACCTCATATGCAGCATCCTCAGATCGGTCTCGCCTTTGCAAGCCAGCTCCCGGATGCAGAGCACCGGTGCTTTCCTTGAAATATCGCCAGGATTGCCGTCAGAAGGTGGCACAGATCAGGCGCATTGTTGCGAGTAAGTTGGGCTGAGCACAGTGATAGTTTTGTTGTGAAATGCTTTTTCTTCTTCAAAGAAGTGAGGCTTGTGATGGATGGTGGTGTTGGTTGGTGGTTATGAGTGCTCCCAGTGATGGTAAGAATGGGAGGTACGTTGTATGCTGAAAACATGTGCTTTTCCTCTTCAGATGCAGCAGGTTCAACTGTAGCTCCAGCGCCTCCTGCAATCACCCTGACGGAGGCAGCCCTGAAGAATCTCAAGCGCTTGCGTGAGGACACTGGGGATGAGAAAGTTATACTGCGGATGGGTGTCAAGTCTGGTGGTTGTTCAGGTGAGAGATTGTTGTGTGTCTTGAGGCCTTCTAGAAATAGCAAGATGATCTGCTCACTGCCTACTGTAGAGGACCTTCAGAAAGTTGGTATCTGCTGTTGCAATGCACATCTGCACCGCAAAAGCTGGCTTGCTACAATGCGCAGGCATGAGCTACCACATGGATTTCGAGAAGGAGGAGAACGTGCGCGCCGAGGATGCTGTTATGGAATATGAGGATGGCTTCAAATTGGTCTGTGACCCCAAGTCTCTTCTGTATCTCTTTGGGATGCGGCTGGACTACTCTGCAGCCCTGATTGGGGGAGGCTTTCAGTTCCATAATCCTAATGCTGAGAGCAGCTGCGGGTGTGGCAAGTCATTTGGTGTGTAGATGTGTGACTCACATCTAGCAAGCATTTTTCGCATCTTGAATGCCCAAGATAGCAGATAAGGTTGTCCCTGAGCGAAAGTAGGGTGATCTGTTGCAGTTGGATTCATTTCGACCCATAAATTGTGCATTGCATGTATTATATCTTCTGGCTGGGCTGGGTTTGTTTCCAGAATTTGGAGCTCGGCTGGATGCATACGCACTCTTGATGTTGATGTGCGGTGAGAATGCTTCTAAAGTGTGAGATGGCTGCCATTGTTCTTCTGTATTGGGATGTTGTAGACTGGTGTTCGGCGCAAAGATTAAGGTCAAGACGCTGTCTACATTACCGTTTTTCTGGATGATCATTGTGCATAGATCTACAGAGCACATGCAATCAAATATGATACAAAAGTTTATGAGAAGCTGCATGATACACCATATTCAACAGTACAACCTTCTCAACACTGTAGTATTCATAGGACTCACAACGTTGACGGGCTCAAGCCACAACCTGGTATTCACCGTTCTTGAGAGAGAACCAGTGACCAGAAGCTGCATCCCCAAACAGGCGGTTGTAAGGGTCATAGTATGCGCCAATCAGGGAATTGTAATAGTACCCTGAGTCTGCATCATATTCAAAGCCCTCCATAGGCGCGCTTTTATCCGCCTCTGCACTCGGCGGCTCTGCAAACACCATGTTGGTATCGGCACTTGTGCACGACGGGCTGGGATGCTGCGCACTGTCTGCTGTCGCCGCCGCTTCTGCATCCATGCCCTCAAGCGCTGACTGAGCACCGGCCTGCTCTGATGGCACAGACGTGATTTCATCTGGCAAGGCGCCATGCTGCCGCGCTGCTGCCTGCGGGGATGTCCCATCCGGGCGTTTCTCGACAGTAGGTCCTGATTGGCCTCTCTCTGGCACGGCAGCTGCGAACTGATCTGGCTCCATGACAGCTTCCTGGCTGGCAGCACCGCTCTTGAAAGCTGAGGCTGCCTCCGGCGGTGCAGCCCCTTCAAAGATGTCCTCCTCGGGGTCAACCGGGGCAGCTGGCGGCTCCCCTGCATCTGCTGCTTCTGCCGCAGCACCGCCGTCCTGCACAACACCTGTGCTGCTGGGGGCCTCAAGCCTGGCTGCAAATGCGCGCCAGCCGTGCACGTCGGGTGCGCCCTCCTGCGGCGGTTGGATTGCAGGGCTGCCGCTGGCTGCAGGCTGCTCCGGTGCGGCCACGTGTGGCGGCCGGCTGGAGGGGATGCCCGAGGCGTGCAGCAGCAGGTCTGCCTGCAAAAGCTCGCGGCTATTGCCGTGCACGTGGTAGTCGCCGTTGACCAGGAGGGCGTTGGAGAGCGCTGTCAACCGATCAAACGCATTCCTGCATAGGGCCGCTCTGTTCAGATCAAGCCACGCAGGCACAATTCACTCTGTCTGGCAATTTTGAAGATGAATTTCACATTTGAAGTTGTAAGCGGCTGGGGAACTTCACCTGTTCTCGGGTGGCACCATTCTGCCTTTTGACAAGGACGGCGCGCCCGTTGAACCAGCTGCTGGTGCTCCTGATCTGCCCTTCCAGATATCGCCTATGCGCTTTCGTCCCTGCAGCAAACACAGATTATTAATCAAAATAGACTCACCAAATCAGAGGTGTCAACAGTAATTCATTGGCACTTTCCCTGCAGAAAATGCCTCACCTCGAGGCCCCCAAGGCGTCTCAGAGCTCCAAATACCGACTCGCCTGGCTGCAACAACTCCACAATGCCCTCCTTATAGCCCCTGAGGGTGTCAGCGCTCAGCTGTGGCTCCTGATCGTGAGCGCTGACCTGACGCACTGTCGCTTCCATGTCTTCCCAATCTTCGCCCATCTCCGGCCCTGACATCATTAAAGACCTCAGCATCATGGCTCACCAACACAAAATTGCACATGGGAGCAGACCCTCACATGCCTGATCCATCAGGGCTTTTTCTCATGGTGCTACAGTAAATTCATGCTGGTCAACATCTTTTGGATTCGGTTAGAATTTAGTGATCATGAGACCATGGGAAGCGCAGCACAGCTCGGATGTTTACCTTGTGGTAATGACTCAAGCCAGGCATCATCTGGCTCTGCTTCACAGTAGGCGACGTAGTTGCCATCCTCGTCAAAGTGTCCAGTTTCGCGCTCGCGATTCAAATTGAAGGGCTCCAAGGGAACACCGCTGTTGTCCCAGTTCTGGGCATGCACCTCATAATCCACCTCTGCTGCCGCGACATCCTCGAGAAAGCTGCCAGTTTCGACGCATGCCAGCCTATTGATCTCTTTCCGGCGCGCTGCTCGGTTCGCCGCAGAGAACAGTGGGTTGGTTGTCTTTATTGGGCCTGTGCAGGTAAGGCTGAACGTGATACAGCGCTGCCAGCAATTTTTCAAACCAACTGACACCACTGACTTGACAGATGTAGACTGGCAGTGCCCAGAGGTCGTTTGATAAAACAACACTGTCAGCAGTACAGTCTGCCCAATCCGCATTACACGCAGCAATGGCTGATCCTCACCCTGCTGTGAACCATCATCCAGTAGATCCTCGATATCAGCCGCTCCTCTGTATCCCTCGGTTAGTTCACCCTCAAGATCGTCATCGTCTGCAAAACAGCCAGATTTGTAAGGAAGCGATCAGGAAACTTTGAGACTGGCATAAACAATTTGTAATGCAATTCAACAGTAAAATTTATTTGCCTGACTCGAATATACCTTGCTCGGGGCCAGGAAGTAGGGTTCGAGGACGACGTGTCTTCGGATGGACATGCCTCCCTTCCTCGTCTATAGCATCCGCAAAGCGCACTCTCTTCATCTTTACTGCTTATAATGTCTTCAAAAAGGATTTCAACAGTAATGTTGGGATTGCAGGACCATCTCTATCTTCAGAACCAGCCTTTGCCTCTTCACCGTACTGACAAACGTATTACAAATGATCACGTTATGCCATCTTGCCTTGACCTTTGGGCAAGGCTGTTTCAGCCATATATTCCACGTGTACTTATCTGATCTGCCGAGATTCGATCCAATGTTGCTGTCTTTGCCCTCCTCGTTGCAGTCGTACGTTGGACTTCACCGGGTGTACGGAGCTTTTCAGCTCTTCTCAGCTGTTCATCATGTTAGATCCAAAGGTCTCAGGAACTTGCATGTGAAAATGCATCATTCTCGGAGGCACGCACTGCATTGCAACGCTGTTCAGGCAGATGTACGACAAGTTGCAGATCGACCTGATCTCACAGGTACGGCTAGGGTGCATGACATTCATCTCGCGTGTGCACATCTGGCAATTCACAGCTTACAGTTCCTAGACTTTGTACCCAATGCTCGAGGAAGAATGGATGCTTTCTGCAGAGTACATAGCCTCTGGATCACTGTTGTCCCTCTGTGGCCTGGATGAGGCCACTGTGCTCGGCAACATCGATGAATGGCTCCGCCTTGGTGATTTTATCAGCAATTACCTTGGATTCCCAACAAGGGAAAAGCTGGACGCCATCCAGAGGTGGGTAAGACCAGCAAGTCTCGCTAGAATCATAACAATCGCAGATAATTCATATTGCTGCTTTGCTGAGAGTCATCTGAAAAGCACAGCATGGACGTGATGAGAGACCGTGATGGCATGCAAGGGCAGAATGCGAGTGTACCAGTACTACCTTCCGGTGTACTTCTGGTGCTGTCAACAAATGGAGCAGCACAGACAGAAGGGCATCCAGCAGCCACTTGTGATCGGCATGCAGGCGCCTCAGGTACCCACTCCCACTCTGTTTCTTGATTCGCTTCCCTGGGGCAGCACATCATCATACGGCACTGTTTGAGTGATTTGGAATGGGAATCTTGGTGCTTGCACAGGGTTGTGGTAAGACCACCTTGGTGGATATCCTGGAGAGGCTCTTCACTCATGTCGGTATCAGAGCAGCCAGTGTGTCCATAGATGACTTCTACCTCACCTTTGCAGACCAGCAGCAGCTAGCCAAGGTGACCCCATCTTTACACAGTCTGAAAGCAACGCATTTCCAGAGACTGCCTCGCAGAGTGTCAGCTTTCCCATGATGCCTTGATGCAGAATTGTCATGCTGAGGAATTACTCTCTTTTGTGGTGGTCAGGACAACGCCACGAACAGGCTGCTGCAAGTGAGAGGCAACGCTGGCACGCATGATCTGCAGCTGGGCACAGACATACTGGCTGCCCTGAAGTCAGCCAGCAGCCAGGGCAGCCAGGTGTCAGTGCCCCGCTATGACAAGTCTCAGAATGGCGGTCGCGGCGACAGGGCAGACACCTCCACATGGCCATCTGTGCAGGGCCCACTGGACATCATCCTGTTTGAAGGCTGGATGCTTGGGTTCCGGCCCAGCTCAGATGTGCAAGAGGTAGACTCTTACCGCCGTTTCAAGACAGAAGACACTGCATGCATGCATTTTTACTTTGTAGGCCATAGCTGCGGAAAGTGTACTGATGGATTAGCTACAGCTTGTTGCCTTGCTGCTGCGAGGACCTTGACAAACAAGAGATTTGTTGGATTCTGTGCAGATTGATGGTGATCTGGTGAGCATAAATGAGAAGTTGAGGGAGTATGAGGCTGCATGGGATGCTTGGGTGGATGCCTGGCTGGTGGTCAAGGTGGGCGCGCCAGACTGGGTGTACAAGTGGCGGCTGCAAGCAGAGCACGCCATGCTTGCTGCAGGCAAGCCAGGGATGTCGGATGAGCAGGTGCAAAGCAGCCACTGCATCACTGCATCACAGCCTCACAACACACTTTTGACTTTTTGCCCAACTGCTTAGGCGATTTGCCATTTTAAATCGTCATAAGCACCTTGAATTGCACACTCAGGTGGCTGATTTTGTGGATCGGTACATGCCGGCATATAAGGCATATCTGCCAAGCATGTACGCAGAAGGACCCACAACTGCAAAAACCGGGCATCTGCTAATGTTGGAGATCGATCAGAACAGGGGCCTGACAGCGGAGCAGCCTGCTTGCCCCTTGTGAGAGAGTGAGCACTGTGTGGTACTGTGTGGAGCACTGTATTTGGACTTTGGTTCAAGCATTACAATTGTGTACACAAAGGCTGTGTTGGTGTGTCTGCACCAGTGATGACCCAGTGGCAATTACGTAAGTCGCTCTTGGATCCAGTGCCCCTGATAGCTATGGTCTACACTTCTTGAGTAGACCATCAGAAGTTGTGCCTCACCCTTTGTGGAAAGAGTGAAGAACATATAGTCTACTGAACAAAAGCAATACTTGAGCCTCGCGCATGCTGACTTAGATGATATATCATCCCTGAAGTCTGAAGAGAAGTGTAATTAGGCATGCACAGACCATAGTAGAGTCACAAGTTCTGTCATGAATTCATTACAATAATGCCACATCAGTCCCATCTATGCATAGCTGATAAAAGCCTTTTCAGGGTCATCCTCGTCAATATCTTTGTGTGATGGGAAGTCGTCAGGAAGATTCTCTGCCCTGCAAAGCACATGCAACCCAGTGGGTGGAATGCCTAATCAGAGTTGAACAATGCGCGGTGCATGCGCATTGCCAGTCAAGGGTGAAGATAGTACACTGCAAATTTTGTAAGACATGAAGCACGTCCCTGCTTACCTGAGGTGTGGGAAGGCTCCTCTCAAGGTCTCCAGCAAAAGGTCAAACACGGCTTTGTTGCCAGCGGGTGTGAAATGCAAGCCGTCCTCCAGGTATCTAGACTGCCATGACTCATGCTTCTGAATCGCTGTCCACAGGTCTAGCACTGGCAGGCCCAGGTCTCCTGCCAGCTGCTTTGCTGCTGCAGCATACTGGCCAGTGATGCTGTTTGTCCGCTCAGCGATGCTGGTCGCCTCGCTCACCTCATTGTTCTGCTGCGCTCAGGGTCAGGCATGATCAGCCCTCGTGACAGAGACTGTCAGAGGGTGCAGATGGCTCAAAATCAATAAATAGTGGGTGTACAGTATGCGGAGGTGCAGGCTACCTGCTGGTTGTGGCGGATGCGGGCAGCCTCATCGAGGGGTGGCGGGGTGATGAGCAGAATGTTCTTTGTGCCGATCTTCTGGATGCGCTCAATCAAAGACTGAAGATTACTCCTGTACTCCTCCACCGGGACGTGCTGCCTTGCACTGTCCGCAAAGGCCTTCGTTGATAGATTGTACGGACGATGAGTGTCATCATATATACTTTGGGCTGATATCATAAAGTCAGAAGACTGATATTTTACAGTACCTGAGACGGTCAGGGAGGGCAGCGTCGTTAGCCCCAAAAAACACCGTCACCAGCTGTGGCGGCACCTTCTGAGATCCAGGGAATATCAAGGGTGCTATGTACTTTGCCCATCTCGTATTATATCCACTGTAACCCCTGCTGAAGATGTCCACCTGCTTGGCAAAGGAACAAGTTGAGGTGCTTGACCCATTAGTATGAGAGCGGCTTCTTATACTTTCTTGACGAGTAGCAGCATCTGTGAGCAGGATAACACCATTGATGCCTGTTGATGCCTGTGGACAGCTTGACGGGATCCCTTCCTCACCTTTCGTTGGTACTCGTTCGCCAGGCGACCTCCCCATCCTCCCTCGTCGAATGACTTCTGTGTCAAGCTGTCACCAAAAAGAATGAATTGAGAACGTAACATTGCAGTCTCGGGAACAGGACAAAAATCCTGATCTTGATCAGTTCGGACAAGACAGTATTTCGAGGACACCAGGACGATCAAGTAAACGAGCAGGTTCAAATATCTCTGCATGTATCATAACTTTCTCATCTCAAGGAAGATCCAGCTTCAGAAAGAGAAAGGTAGTAGTGCATGCCGGCACATGCTGGCACATGCTGGAGGACTGACTAATTATAATCCTCTGCTCAGCGCGTCTTGTGCGCAAGAAGACAAGGCTTGCGGCAAAGGCAACCTTGACGATAAGCATCTTGTCTTGGTGATTATGGAACAGGAGTTGAATTTATTTAACGCGCGTGCATGAATTCAGCAGACATATAGCTTGTCCAGAAACGCACAGAATCACATACATCTATCTCTTGGTGCTTTCTTTCAAAGAGCATCAGGACAGCAATAAGAAATCATGACTGATGCAGAGAGAAGAGAGCAAGCCCTGCAGGAGTATCGAAAGAAACTCCTTCAGCACAAAGAGATAGATGCAAAAGTCAGGACGCTGCGTGAACAAGTCAAGGCAGCAAAGAAGGATTACGACAAAACAGAAGATGATCTTAAAGCGCTGCAAAGTGTTGGGCAGATCATCGCCGAGGTTCTCCGACAGCTGGACGAGGAGCGCTGTAAGCTTCACCCCACTTCTGATTGCTCTGATTGAGAAAGTCAGTAGAAAAGCATTTCGGAACATTCAGACATAATGCATTGCTCATATGGAATTACGTTTGCTTTGCAGTCATCGTGAAGGCGAGCAGTGGCCCTCGGTATGTGGTGGGCTGCCGCAGCAAGGTGGACAAAGCCAAGCTCACTGCTGGCACCCGCGTAGCTCTGGACATGACCACCCTGACCATCATGCGATACCTGCCGCGTGAGGTGTGCTCTCCCATTGACCAGCTCGATCATTTCATTGGAAGCATCAGGCTCTCTTCTGAAGGGAGCATCATATGTCGCTGTCACCTGTCAATTCCATGTACAGCAGAGCACAATTTGACTTGGCTGCCAGTGCATTTATGTTTGTGGTGCAGGTGGACCCGGTGGTGTACAACATGCTGCAGGAGGACCCGGGCAAGGTGGACTACTCCATGATTGGCGGCCTGTCGGAGCAGATCCGCGAGCTGCGCGAGTCCATCGAGTTGCCCCTCATGAACCCTGAGCTCTTCCAGCGCGTCGGCATCAAGCCCCCCAAGGGCGTGCTCCTCTACGGGCCCCCCGGCACAGGCACGCCCTCTGGCATGCTGTTTTACTTATGCTTTTTATTCTTCCTTCTTCACGCTGCGAGGCAGCCCTTCCTCCCTTCTCGGCGCTTGCATTCGACTACGTTCCAGTGCGTCTGCCTTAAGTGCCTTGCATCCTGTCTTGTTGCCACACGGATTCGCACTACCGCTCTTGCAACTACCTTTCTTATGTCTACGAAGAGTGCAGCCAAATGTGCGGAGGTATTTCCTATGTGTCCATGCTGTCTGCGGTTGGTTTGGATCTGGCCAGTCCGACAAGGGGTAGGGGTAGGACATGTGGCAGCCTTCACCTGCAGCTTGTCCGCGGTTGCGCCATGCCTCTGACAGAAACATCATTTGATATTAATAAGAGGAACGCTGTGCGCAGGCAAGACGCTGCTGGCGCGTGCGATCGCATCCAACATCGACGCCAACTTCCTCAAGGTGGTCTCGTCGGCCATCGTGGACAAATACATCGGGGAGAGCGCGCGGCTGATCCGTGAGATGTTTGGGTACGCGAAGGAGCACCAGCCCTGCATCATCTTCATGGACGAGATCGATGCCATCGGCGGCCGGCGCTTCAGCGAGGGCACCTCCGCCGACCGCGAGATCCAGCGCACCCTCATGGAACTCCTCTCCCAGCTTGATGGCTTCGACGTCATTGGCAAAGTGCGCCCCATATCAGCGGGTTTTTTCTTTTCTCCTAGGGCTAATCGGTCCCTTGTGCGACTTAGGACACCCTTTCCCTAGCCGCACTTTACCTGAATAAATGTAAATCGCAAAATATTCCTGATTCCTCGGTGGTTGCCCCCTGCATTCCAAACTTGTACAGTACCCACCATCCTGCTCAGACAAGCTGCCTGCATGTCATGCTTCGCGCACAATGTCCTGTAAAATGTGCTGCATTCTGAGCACACTGTTCTTGCTGGCCTAGCGGTAATTCCGTTCTGGGCTTATCAGATGGGGCCTTTCATGTGCACGGTATTGTTGCAGGGGAGTTGGTTATTGAATGGATTGTGCAATGCGTGCGCAGGTGAAGATGATCATGGCCACGAACCGGCCAGATGTGCTGGATCCGGCGCTGCTGCGGCCGGGGCGGCTGGACCGCAAAATTGAGATCCCGCTGCCCAACGAGCAGGCCCGCTCGGAAATCCTGAAGATCCACGCCTCTGGCATCACCAAGCACGGTGACATCGACTATGAGGTCAGCACTTTACCAGCTTCAGACATGCACGTTAGTTGCCACCTTTCTTTGAATGGGATTTTGATGTTCAGACTTTTGAGAAAGGAGAGCAGAGGTGCTTGTGCTGGTTGGCTGCAGGCAATTGTGAAGCTGGCAGAGAACTTCAACGGCGCGGATCTGCGCAACATCTGCACGGAGGCCGGCATGTTTGCCATTCGGGACGAGCGCGATTATGTGGTGCACGAGGACTTCATGAAGGCTGCGCGCAAGCTGAACGAAGCCAAGAAGCTTGAGTCCTCAGCCACATACGACTCATCGTTTGGTGACGGCGGCAAGTCCTAGTTTGATTCTTGCGTTTGAAAGCGGCAGCTTGGGTGATTGCGAGAGAGTGGGCGGAGTTGAGTGGCCAGTAATACTGTCAATGTTAGTCAGGATATCCTCGATACAGACGATTATTATCCCGCACGTGCCTTGTAACAATGACTTTGCCATACTTTGGGCAAGACTTTGTTCAACACCAACATGTAGCTGGCCTGCTACATGTGAAGATTGACAAGTCGACTCTAGAAGGCAAAGACTATGGCAAATACAACTACAAATGCATGGCAATCCCATTGAAGTTTTAATATTAAAGTCGTATCTGAAAGCAGCATGCTGGTACCGTACATTGTGACAAGCATTCATGTAATCCAAGAGACACCCCTGTCAGCACCCTGATCTTCCAGGTCCCAGGCATCCCAGTCACCGTCAGCATCCTTCCCTCGCCAAGTTGCAGTGAAGCCGCAGTGCCGCACTTCATACACCATGGCCCAAGGCAGCTGCAAGCAAACGTCAGCAATCAGATCCCTCAGATGACTTTGCGCAATTCCAGCTCTTTGTGCTGGCCTTGTGAAAAGCTCCTGTTACTGGGGTGGCTTGTGGTTGAGCAGGAATAAATCCTGCTCAACACAGGTACAGAAATATCGATACCCATTTCAGACCAGTCTCTTTTTGGGTGGAATTGCGCCAGGAATTCTCACCAGGCGCGCCACAGAGCGCCTGACAGCCTCGCCGTGGGTCACTACCAGCACATTCTGCCCCGCATGCCTGTCTGCAATCGCCTCCAGGGCGGCTGTGTATCGAGCGTGGGCCTGCTCGGTGCTCTCTGGATAGGCAGGGGGGTTGCCAGATGCGCTGTTCCATTGTACACCCGCCAACTGCTTCAATGTCACCTCCTGATGCGAAGCAGCTGAAGCCTCTGCCATGCCTCCATTGTCAGGAGAAGCTGCAGACACAGCAAGAGTCAGTCAGTCTGTACAGAGCATCGCCAGTGCATGTAAGATGGCGGCATGTAAGGTGCCAGGCAATGCTCACGTGCTTGGCTTGATGCAGCAGACTGATAAGGCCGAGCTCCACTCTGAATGCTGGACCACATCCAGTCTGCGATGCTGCCAGGGGGCGCCTCCCAGAGATCCCCAGCAAGAAATCTTTTTGTGAGCACCTGCACCCCGCCAGCACGATCATGGGAAGGCTTTGCAGGAGAAATCCATATGCATACAAAAGCTTAATAGCCCTTACCTCGCATATCTGCCAGTCGATCTCTAGCGCAGTTTTAGGAAGCTGCAGCACTTCTTGCAATGTCCTGGCTGTCTGGTAGCAGCGCAAAAAAGGAGAGGAGACAATCCTCTGTACTCCGAATTCTTCTATCCTGCCAGCTGCAGCCCTGGCCTTGGAGCAGCCAAGAGTCAGCCCAAGTACTTAGTTACGTTGAGAAGCGTCCCAAGATTGTGCAAGGTCATGCAAGCGAGACTCACCATCTCTAATCCATCTGCACTGAGGGGTGGGTCCCAAGGCCGCAAAGATGTGCTGGCCCAATCGCTTTGCACTTCATCTTGTCTTAGACCATGTCTCATAACCACAAGACATTGCCTGTCAAGCGATCGCTGGCCATTTTCGATCTCAGAAGAACTGTCCACTGCAGCCATCCAGGATGCAGGTTCGGGATAGTGGCTTAATATATATCCCGCACAGGCACTATATAAGGCTGCAATCTTATATTTCAATAGCAGATTTACGATAACCATCAATAGAAAGCATTTGCTCGAAGGAGACATTGAGGGCATCACGTGGTCTGGCGACGGTTACATATCATTAATGATGGTTGGGCAGTTACACTCAGTCAAAGCCAGACACAGACACAGACACAGACACAAACACAGACACAGACACAGACACAGACACAGACACAGACAGGAACAGGAGAACTCTATCCATATGCATCAGCACTAGCCAAAGTAGTCACCGCAATTCGTCCTGATAACATGAGGGCCTGTGCTGCCCGGGCCCCGAAGCCGCGCTGCCTGGATGGCAACATCCTGCTGCCATGTCAAACACCTCTCATGGACTTCTCCAATCACATGCCTGCACGGGGCTTGAACTTCAGATGACATCCACCCTTCAGCGAGAGGGTGAAGGCGTTAATCTGACGTGCCAGCAGGCCCTTGTATCCACCCATCTGATCAGCCAACTCCACCTCAAATCTCCCCAGCACCATTGCCAGGATAGTGGGCACCTGACACAAAATCTCCCTCTCAGATAGAGTGATATAAGCATGCATGCAGAATTACGAATTTAGATGCAGCCCCTGTTCACATCACTTCAACATCAACAACACATGTGGCCATAATACTAGCAGAGGAAATGAGAAAAGATCCACGTTGCGCCAGTGCAAAGTGACAGCAAAGTACCTCCATCTGTGCGAGGGGCTGCCCGATGCAGCTGCGCGGCCCAGCACTGTAGGGCAGGAATGCGCGCGCGAGGGGGTCCGTTTCCACGGAGCCGTCGGCGCTTGCATCCCCCGAAGATGCCCCCGCCGCCGCCCTGGGACGCCCCAGCCAGCGCTCCGGCATGAAACGCTCCGGCTGCGGGAAGGTGGCCTCCACATTTTGCATTGCATAGTAGTTGATCTGCAACACTGCAGCCTGTCAGGGGCGTGCATGGTGACGGCACCAAAACCGTTTTTTGAACTCCTCTGAGCAAGTCTGATTTGTTTCTGGAATGTCAAATTTCAATTGCCTGCTGACAATTGCACCTCATATGAATTTGTCTAAGCTTCAAGTGGTTTCCATTGATTGTAAAACACTGATTCTGCTTTGCCGATCTCTGCAACGGTAGTGGCAGGCACCTGGACATCTGTCCCAGCAGGAACGAGGTATCCGCCCAGGACAGTGGGCTCGTTCGTGTATCGACCCAGGCCTGAAGCTGACACCGGGAATATGCGCATGCTCTCCCGGATCACCTGTCACACAGACCAACGTTTTGGACTTTTGTCTGATCTCACTAGGAATCACTACTAGGAATAGGAATAATAGAAGATTGATCTTACTTTATGCTTGCTCTAACGTGCAGCCCTGCCCTCTGCTATTGGTGACCTCTGCATCCTGCGTGTAGGCAATAAATGGTGCGCATGACATTTGTGCAGACCCTGATCAGGGGTTGTCAAAGGGTGTGCGCACCGCGTCCAAGTAGGGCAAGCGGCTCAGGTCGGAGTGTGTCAGTACGTTGGGCAATCTCTTTGTCGCAGTGGACAGTAAGCTGGCAGAATGGAGCTCTGCAGCCACAGCCTTCTGGGCCTCAGGATGAACCGCCAGCAGCGCCCTGCCACAGACAAATTGGACACCTGATGGGACACACTGAGAAATGCAAGATCCAGCATGAGCACGCCCTCTGAATGAGAAATTAGAATGATTGAAATCCAGGGCTTACAGTGTAAAGGAGCACGTTTGGGCAGTGGTGTCCAGGCCGCCGACTATGAGGCTGGCCACCTCCGCCTGCAGCTTGTCCCCTTCCATCGGCTTTCCTGGAGCATCAAAAGCTTCTCCTTCACATCTGCTGCCTTGAGCATGAGCAGCCCCCGAAAAATGGTTGAAGCTGCACATCTATATACAGTCCAGCATGTGCCAGCTGCCAGCATGTGCGCACGCGGTCATCATGCATGCAAGCGTGAGGCACCACACAAACAAGCCCAGACATACACCTGTGCTGGGATCGCGCACACGGGCGAGGCATGCCCACATGCTGTCGTCTGCCTCTGCCACAGACCCCCTGGCTTGCATCTCCTCCACCCAGCCCTCCCAAATGCCATACAGGCGCGCAAAGTGGGCCTCGCGCTGTTTTGCAGCCGGCAGGAAGGGGAGCAGCTTAAGCAGCACTGCCCTCACCGGCTCGCTAAATGTCCTGCACCATACCATATCTACATAAGTACCTGGGAGCTGGCGGCGTGCATATGAGTGCATGCGCGCAAAGATGATGGGTGCGTGAAACATTTTGAAACCTTTTGATCAAGCTTCCCCGGTATAAGATATGCAGCCTTCAAATCTCATGAAAGTTCCACATCTCTGTGCAGAGGGTGAGTGTCTGCTTTTGAGGGCCACGAATGCATGGCGTTACAGGGAATTTCTCCTGATATAGGGCATGACGGGACTGCAGCGAAGCAGGAGCAATGCCATGGTGCCAGGGGACGCGCCTGAAGGATTCGTCCATGGCGTAGTGCAGCTCAGTGAGCAGGGGCACCGGCCGGGGGTCGGCAAGGGTGTTTGACGCGATGCCAAAGCCGGCCATCAGCACGACGTCCAGCGTGAGGCGTGCCATCACGTCCTGAGCCTCCACGTCAGCGCCAGGGCCCCTCTGCTCCAGCCACTCGCACAGCGCCAGGCACTTCTCCACCACCAGCCCAAACTTGCCCCTGCCAGGCACAGGAGCAGCCTGAAACAGAAGTGCGCAAGGTGAGCAAACACCCCACAACAGCCAAGGCTGGAAAACCAAAGTAGTATCTGGACATTAAGAAGAAAATCGCCTTGGTGTGGGCTCAGCCATTTCCCTATGGATTTTTGGGCTCTGTTATTTGCTTACCAATCATCAGAATCAAATTGAAACCATTGGTCACCACTTCAAATTTGAAGGTTGGCTCCAAGACCTAAAGAGTCTAATGGATGCCAATACTATGAGGAACAAATGAGTTTCAAGGGCAAACAGCACAGAACACTTGAGGCGCATGGAGGGGGCCTGACCTAATGGCAGCTGCGGAGAAGGCGGGATTCAGCGCCTTTCTGACAGCCTTCCACATGGGGTCGCTGGAGTGGGGGGTCGTGAACAGCGTCTCCACCTTGCTTCTGGCCACCAGCTGCATTTCGGCACACACATGGCAACTGACTGAATTAGTGTCAGTTCACTTGCTCCAGAAGTCACTGACACTTGGCAAGCCTCTGAGCAAATTATCAGGGTGGAGACAAGAAGGAGCAGTGAGTACTGTTGCTCACCGGCACAACGTTCTGGTAGGCTGCCCATTTGGGCAGGCCCGGCCGGCCTATGATTGCAGGCAGGACGGCAGGATCACTGACGACCACAAAGCGGTGACCTGGGATCTCAAGCCTGTGCCACCAAGACAGTATGCAGAGTGTGCAGTGTGCAATGATGCTTAGCCTCTTGGCAATAATGCCGGTGACACTAATTTACTCGTAAGGCTCGCAGAAGGGCAGTGCTGCAGGACGTACCTGTAGATGCCTCCATACTTGTTGGCAAACTGTGTCCAGATCACGTGGTGTGCGTGGGCCTCCTGCTTCAAGAAGGCTAGAGTCTGAGGCATGTTGCCAAGCACTGGCCACAGAGGGGGCCCAGGCATAGAGCTGTAAGGTCGGACACCCTCTGCGGATGCGATGAACTTATCAACGATAAGAATCGAATTCTAAGGGTCAATACACCTAGTCTAGAGGTGTTGTGAGAGAGCCGAACTCGCCTGGAAGCTTTGCTTGCCGACGAGGTAGGGCAAGGAAAGCAGCTATTGGAATGCCAATAAGGAATCCGATGAATAGTGTGTACAGAATCAACATATTATCCTCCATCGAAGTGGTAAAACAATGCACTGAATTGAAACGGAACACAGACAAAAAAACCGGACACGGTAGCTGAGGTTGCTGCGTTGCGCAAGAAAAGCTGGTAAGTGAATTTAAAACATGCTTGCTACAATGAAGGAGAGGGAATGACACAAATCGCTGAAGCTGAGTATGCAATAGATTGTGGAAGACGAACAGTCTGTCGTCTTGGTCATTTTGCACCTCGTTGTTTTTCTTCGTCACCCCCTAGGGTTAAAGGGGTTTTCAGTGTCATGATTCACTTGCTCCACCAGGTGCAAAGCTTGATATATTACCCTTTCAGGTGAGGTAGTGGGCAACATCACTTGCACGGAAAGCTCTTCGTCTGGCACTGTCTGAATCTGCCTCATGCTTGATACACAGGGCAACACTAAGGCTTGCACTGACTCACTGACTGGCAGTCGGACTGATTTCGGAAATGCACCGCGCCGAGCATCCTCACCTTAGCAGTCCAAATGAATCATTCACAGGAGGTACTCCCGACTTCTATCTAGAGCCCTTCAGGTGCAGCCGGCCATGGAGGTGGCATCGGCACAACCCGCGCCACCGTGGGCTTCCCATCTCCGAGGTGGGTGTATAAGTCATACACCCCGCTGGGAGCAGATGCAGGGGACTCTAAATTAACTAGACTAAACTAAAGACAGTTAGACTCCCCTGGCAGATGGCTCCCCCCAAATCACCCTCTGCCCCACCCGGTATCTCATCTCAATCATCTTTGGTGGCACCGTAAGTGGAAGGCAGTCCACCACATGCAGCAACTTCTCTTGTCAAATCTTGCAGAAACCCAGGCGAATTGGGACAGCAGGGCCCCTCCGGGAGTAAAACTCATTCAACAGCTTATTAAAAAATATAAGGTACAGGAGATTCGCACCACCAAACTTGCGCTTGTTGTCAGCACTGGCCAGGAACTAAGTAGTCCATGGAACTAAGACATAGTTCCATCTTGTCATCAAGAAAAATTCAGCGTCCTTCTGTAGACCTGAAAAGGCGTGTACGCCTTTGGTTCATGCTTTTATTAGTCTGCATCTACACAATGGTGATTATGCTGAATTTAGCTTCGAAGTCAATTGAGCACTTGCAAGCACTTGGTGTCGCAACAATAGTGATGCAGCATGGAGGTAAGATGCTTGAAGGATCGCACGGTCAGCCCCTCAAGATTCCTGAAATATTTCATCTCCAACTTTCGAATGCCTTGTGTCTTTGCTTTGAAGTGTTCGGCCAGTTCGTTCGCTTCAAATCGAGCGTATCCGAAGCTAAGAGGGAAATCTAGCCAGCTAGGTTTTCTGATTAGGTTTTCTAATTTCTTGCCCTCTATTTAATCTATATTGCCAAATGTCAGGTAATTCGATCTTCCTTTACAAATTTCAAGACATCTGAAAAGCAATGTGCATATCAGATAGAAGAGTGATCAGGCTTTTGATCGCGCACAAGCAACGCCTGACCCGAGGTGGCGCCTGTTATTTTTATTATTAGTACATGCTTTTTCTGCCAAGAGGCAAGGCGCGTCTGCAGACAAACTGCACTTGAAGGCTGCCAGAATCCTACCCCTTCAAGTTGAAGGACTCGCCAAATCCCAGAAGACCCAAGAAACCATGATACGGTGCTCATTATCTATACCCAATGGTGGCGCCAGTGCTAGATAGTGTATGATGAGTGCCAGTGCCACTGGGAGAGGGGCACGCTGTCTTGGTCCATGATTCTGTCCATGGTTCTCATGATGGGGCCTCTAGGACTCTAGTGTCACATCAAACCACAGAATAAACTGTAGATGCCAATAAACCAGAGATCGAATTTTCGCAGCATGCTGTATTGTAGAATGAAAGCCTGCCTTGGCAAGGGCTCATCAGATGGCTGGCTACTTCTGTCACGATGCTGGTCAGACTAGGGCGCCGTAAGTTCTGAGACTAGCCCTACGCTTGAGCTCTCTAGCTTGAAGATGCGCGGGCTGTTAGACACAGTGATGAGCTGACCAGCACGAAATGACTTGAATGACATAGAATGTGAAGCCTTGTTACTGGGAAGCCGTCTCTGAAGTTTCTCATCTTTTCCTCAGAGAACACCTTCTCTTCCTGGCTTCTATATATGCTTTCGTGGCTTCTCTTCATTGCAGTCCTACAGCTGCAGCACTACTCACTGAGCCATAATGTTGGTGGCATGTTGCTCCTGGTAGATGTTAATATTCCACATTTACATATTGTTGCCACAGAATCCAACCCCACTAGAATAGACAGGGATGATGATGTCATGACCATCAGTCATCACAGTTGAACTTCAGTAACTGAAGGATTAGTCCCCTCCGCCTCCGCCACCATCGCCCCCTCCCCCAAAGTCCCCACTGCCGCCCCAGCAGTTGGTGCTCCCTGTGCCAGCGCCCGTGCTGCCAAACACATAAGCATTGGTAGCACTGCTCTGCGGCTGGCCGCCACCTACAATGAGGTGCACAATAAATTCCCTTAATTAACAGCAGTGTAGGGGGGATTGCAAGCTTCCAGGGACAGAATCAATCTCAGGCAGCACAGTGAACCAGAACGAAGTAAGAGTTTCTGCAATAGACAGCTGAGTGCATTAGAGGTGCACCAGCGTATGAGCGCTTCTGGCCAGAGGTGGAACTGTAGCAAGATCCCATCGTTTTCCGTTCAATGTTGCAGCGCTTGTACAGGAAACCTGCAGCAACATGGACCTATTATGTGGTGCTTGAATCTGAGAGCAAATGCACAATATTGACTAGGCAAAGATGGAGTCGTTAGGCTAAAAGAATCCTGAGCAGAATGCTGAGCAGAGACACCCTCTAGGTGGAACGGCAGGCCAATAGCATTTTCGCTGTGTGAGAGAATCAAACATTTCTTAATAAATAATTTCTTATTATTCTTACTTGCCTGATATCTAGAATCTGTCCGTTGATATTAAAAAATATTTGACATTCTGAAGGCGAACGACGAGCGTCGCCAGCCGTTTTCCGATTATCACCTCTGCCAGGGGAAGTAACTCAAGGAAGTTCTCCTTGAGTTACTCCCCCTGCCTCTGCCTTATGTCATCATCCAGAAACATTTGTAAACATGTGAGGTTCAGGATGCAACTTACAGCAGGAACACCCGCCACATCATAGCAACGAGTGCAGGGTAATCATCATGAAGCTATGCTGCTTACTTTGCATGCTGCTGTGCTGCAGGAGAACTGCTTGCAATAACAATCCATGGATGGAGGTATAATAATGATTGGAGTGCCCAACAATTACATAACTGCAGACACACACCTCATCAACCCAGTACATGAGGTTGTGCGTTCATGCTCTGAACAAATAAGGCATTTTGAAAATGACACTTACACCTGGCTTATTGCTTGGTGCTCGGCTCAAATGGGGCCCAAAATCCCAAGCATCAACAGCTGGAGCTTTGAAGGTGACAAAGCTCTCGGGCTGCTGAACAATGAAATATCCTATAAACAAATATAAACAATGATGCCCCACATGGGGACTACAGCCCCTCAAGAGCATCTCCTGAGGAGCAAAGCCACCCTGCCCTTAAGTCTTCCCATCATGCCCAATCTGTGGGGTCTAGGTTAGTGCGCAGTCCGACACCTTAAGCCGGCTTTCGGTGCCTACTGCATGGTCCTGGACAACCACTGTCCATGATCCTCTGAACGTTCCTGAAGTAAGCCTGAATCACTGAAAGAGTGTCTTAGTCACCATGCCACAACAGAAAATGGCATGCTGTCCCTACGCCTCTCAGCTTCCTGACCTCAGACAGAATGGCATAGCATGTTCCAGCAATGCCATTGCTCCCATATCAATCTGGTGAGAAGACCTCCCTGCCTAGCTCTGCTGTGGCACAGCTCTGACCACAAGGGGCTCCCATCGATGACAATCATCAATGAGAGCCTGCTTGTCTTTCCACACGCCTACGTGCGGAGAATGAATGTACAAGTCAATTTACACAGATGCCAAGATGACACTCTGAACGATACTGCTAAAGCCTTCAAGGTAATTTATTCTAGCTGATGACAGCATGGCTCGCTGGCAGCGCGTCCGCCTGCTGCGCCTTGTGCTGCTTGTCCAGGTTCTGCATGGCTGAGTCATCGCGAGTCAGCGCCTTGCGCGCGGACGCCTCGCAGCGAGCAGCATACTCCGCCCACGTGTCCACATCAGCCACCACTGTCAGCTCTGCGCAGGAGTCGGCCCCGGCGTCTTTGACGGCCGGGCGCGCCATGCAGGCGGGCAGCCACCGCTTGGGCCCTGTCGCGAGGGAGGCTCGCACGGCCGGCCAGTCCTGCGCGCCGGAGCCCGGGAGCATGTCCGCGACGATCACCGACACATCGTCCTTCATGTCACTCCCCTGCACGCACACCGCAGCACACCCTCTGTTCAGCCATGTCCCATTGAGAGGTCACACACACTCACGTGGCAACGAGAAGGCCTGCCCATGCCAGGTTTGCATATGACAATGCCACAACATGGGGCAGGTCAAGACAGCACCCAAGGCACACAAGAATGGATGTCAGGCAGTGTGCACGTGTGTTGTTGTCAGTAGAAGCCAGGCACACCTGCGCTCTGTAGGCGGCGTTGCAGAGGCACCGCGCTGCGGCCTGCAGGGGCAGCTTCTGGCACAGCGAGAAGACCTTGCTGGTGGCCAGGGGGTCCCACAATCCGTCGCTGCCTAGAATCAAGCGCGCGCCCGCTGCCGGGACAACAATCTGGCGTATGTGTGGGTGCGGTACAATACACCGCCCAATCTCCGCATTGCCTGCGCACAATGACACATTTCTGTCAACGCCAGCCCATGCACCTTCAAGATTGAGGGTCCAGGGATACAAGCCTGGTACCTTGGCAGGACTTCTGCATAGTGACACCCACTGCGAAGCTCCGCAGTGCTCCCACAATTTTGCGCAACAAAACTTGCACATCGGTATTCATATAAACCCTGTGCTGTTCTCAACGAAACTTTGGCATGTAATCTTGGCCCCATCACAGCTGTTTTATGTAGGGAAAAGGTGCTCACCTATGGCGCGCCCAACGCGCAGTCCCCCCAGCCCGCTTTTGGCCCACACCCTCAGTTTCCCGATGCCCTTCTCGCCCTCCGCTGTGGGGCCATTCAAGGCCGCGCAGCTGCGCCCCACCAGAGCTCCCGCCATCTGCAGCCGCCTCTGCTCCCCTGTCAGTGACAATGCAAAGTCAGAAAGCTGCCCAAATCTCACCAGCTCCAGGGACCCATTTGGTCGTGCATTCCCATGCACAAATGTGTGTCACCTGGGATTAGAGTTACCGTATCAGGAGAGCGCTTGCATCAACACAATAGGACCAAGTGGGAGGAGACAGTGTCAGTAGAGTCAAATTGCTGACCTGCATTCTCCTCAATGCGGTGGCTGCTTGTCAGCTCCACAATCTCACGGCCGGTGTCGAGGAAAGCCTTGCAGTCGCCAATGTTGGCGACCGTCAAAAGGTCTCCAGTAAGGATTGCCACGGTGAGGGTAGTGCCTACAGTAGCCATATGCACGTACTTAGACATCCATCACAATGCATTCTAGTGTGGGCGTGATCAAGTCTCCATCGCTTAGCCAGGGTATGCAGTTGTAGAGTGCCCTCACCTGAAATCTTCTTAGAGCGCTCAAATCGCTCAGCAAGCGTCACAAATGTTCCTGTCACCGCCTCTCTGAGCTCAGCAGCTGCGCTGTCTCTATCTGCGGAGAGCAGCAACCAGTTTCAAACGAGTGTGTGTTCTCTGATAATGCAGATTACCCAATGCTAGAGCTCTTTAATCATAAAGCCATGGAGGTTCGAGGGCCAGGCTTACCAGCATGACAGTCCATTGACAGCCTTTGTTGGAGTTCTGTGAAGAAAGATGAGGAGACATAGGCTGCTGCACCCTTGCCATAGTGACCGTCACACACCCCAAGCATTCTCAAGTTTCCATCATCAACCCCACTGTCGAAGAAGACATCCTACGCGCCAGCACCATCGTGACTTCAGTATGTCCATTCAAAGGGGTGTCAGGGAATGGTGCCAGTCTCATAGGGACTGCATGGCGTTTTAGCCACGCAGGCAGCAGTGACAGAACAACGAATTGATGGGCATGCGCAGAAGGCTCATTGCTTACCTCTCCAAGCTTTTGCCGAGTCGAAAGGGAGTACTGTAAAGTGAGGTCACTGTCGTAATATGTTGGTGGCTCAGCCATCTTTTTGGGGCGGCCCAAACGCGACTCAACGGTGCGATTCACGTGGTACCAGCAACGCCGAACAGAAACCGACCTTGAAAGGTAGTGTATTGCTCAGGAATGTCGCTCTCTGATAAAGTACCGTCACGAAACGGAGGTACGTAAACCGTCCGAGGCAGTGCGCGCCGCCGTCCTGTCAACCAATCTCAGAGCAGGAAGGGCAGTTACAAACGCAGCAAATCGACATGCATTGTTTTGTGTCGTGTTGGGAGTTCAGCAGCTGCAACAAGCCACCAAGTGGTGAGGTGCCGAGATCTTTGGCTCTCCATGGTCACATGGGGCAATCACGTGGCTCCAGCTAGGAAAATGACCCCTGGAAGCGGAGGGTTTGAGGCTCAAATTTTGAGCTGCCCTAAGCCTCCATTGTTGCTTGCTTCTTTCATGCATGTTCCATACTTCTGAAGAAAGTTTTGAATTCCTTATTATTCATTATACTTCAGGCAAGGCCAGAACTTAAAATGTGGAATGATAGTGCTAATCAGCAGACTCCAAGCTATGAATTGTAAGCAGCTTCCAAGTTGCAACTGAAGCTGAAGCCAAGTTGAAGCCTTCAAACAGCTTGATAAGTTGCAACTTCTAATTTAGTTTGAAAACCCTTAGACGGATAGGCCAGCAACAGCGACTGCTATCTGCAAACATTGAAAATTAATACCGTGAGGGTACAAACCTCATTACGGCAACTGACTGGCAGCATGCCAACTTGGAGTGGTATATACCATAATCATACAAGTTGCGGCAACAACAGGCTTTCGCGCACAGTGTCCGAGGAGTCCTTGACGGCAGCCTCGACGTCAAAATCATTTGACACAGCGATTGCACTACACACATAGAAAGGTATCAGACGAGGTGCGGTTGCTGGGCGCGCGCCGGCGGCCCCGAGGCTGGGTTGCGGGCGCGGCTGCCGCAGTCATGGTCGCCGCGCAGGGAAGGGAAGTGCATGGCGTCGCTCAGCAGCTTGGCCGCGCACACGTTCTTGTAGCGCTTGGCCACGTCGATGGGCGTCTCTCCGCTGCCGTCTTGCGCCTGCCCACACACCCCACCCACACCTTTACAAGCCGCTGACTGCTGTCTTCAAGCACCACCTTGACTATCCCTGACAAGACCAACCCGCCAGACACCACTCCATGAACGATATAGCCCACTGCTGCACCATGTTGTGTGCGGGGAGGAGCACAGCTGCAAAGATGATATGACAGGGCAAGGGGAAGCAGCATGCCTTGGCAATGGAGCCGCCGCCAGCTTCCAGGAGGGAGCGCAGGAGGGGGACGTTGCCGCTGCGCGCGGCGATGTGGGCGGCAGTTAGGCCGTAGCGGTTGGCGGCCTGCACCAGGTCGGTGGCGGAGGCGCCAGCCCTCTGCAACAGCACCATTGCAATGTGCTGCCGCCCCGCCACCGCCGCTGCCATCAGCGGCGTCCAGCCGTCCCCATACAGCTCCGGCTCCTGATCACCCGCCACACACCACTGTCAGTCCCAACACCCTGACCACCCCTATTTCATAAAAGGTTTCTTGCTCCTAAAAGACTGCGATCCGACATGGTTCTGACAGTCTAGGCTCTACAGCAATGCATAATGGGCTGCGATGCAGACATTTGCTTGCAAAAAGAAGCAGGCTGTATGATGATGTGGGCGCACCGTCCAGGAGATGCCATGGCGCTCGTGGAACTGCAGCAGCACCTGCACCACTGCAGCGTGCCCACGCAGGCTGGCAATGTACATGGGAGCCTCTCCTGCAGCATTCTTCGCCCTCACATCCGCCCCAGCTGCCAGCAGAGCAGCGGCTGCGCCAGTGCGGCCGGCCTCCTCTGCAGTTACGCTCAGGGGTGTGCTGCCACTACGGTCGCGCGGATCCACAGCTGCTCCCAAGCTCAATAACGCCTGAACCCCAAGTAAGAATACACTTGGTACTCCAGTAATTAATATCCATTGATGCCTTGAACAATCCCAGCCAGAGTTCCACGAGGTCCTCTGTCCATGTGACAGCAATATGTGTGAAGGCTGCACGCACCTTGACCATGACAGCATTGCCCGCCTCCGCAGCGGCATGCAGTGGGGTCTGACGAGCGATGGAGCTGCAGTTGACAGCCTCCTGGAGGGCCAGGGCGACATCCCCGGCCATTCCCCGCCCCTCGGCGCTCTGCTGCTCCTCCCTCAAGAAGCACTGCGCTGCCTGGATCGACTGAGGCCGGCACAAGTCCCACACCTCCAGCGCCGGTGAAGCTGCATCAAGAAGACAGGCATATTTTCAAGGATGTTTCCTTCATTTCTGTTCACTTGACGCAGGATGACCAGGATTGTCACGTGGACGCCAAAAAGCAATGGCTCTCTTACTTCTGTGCCCCTAAAATTTCTTGCAAAGTAGCAGATACAGCGGGGGTACGCCTCACCGGAAGGGGAGAGCAGGGCGCGCACGCCGTCGACGACGGCCGCAGAGAAGTGGGTGAGCTCCAGGACGCGCAGGCGGGGCAGGGCGCACACGAGGCCCCACAGCAGCGCCACTGAACCCGCGCTGGCCGCACCCCCGGCCCAGCCGGCGCCGCCGCCCTCCACCGCCTCGCGCAGCATCTGCAGGCCGCTCTGTGCGCCGCCCGCTATGTACTGCCCCTGCTCCACGACACCAATCACGCGTAGGGGACCGGTGGCCGCCGGCATAGGGGGGTCCTCGGGGCCGGCCGGGGGGTGCGCGGCGGCCGGCGCCGGCGGGAGGCAGGGCGCCAGCGTGCAGCCGCCCAGAAGCAGCATGCGCAGCTGTGGGCAGGCCCGCCCAAGCGCCGCCAGACCCGACGCGCTGATCTTGGCGCAGTTGTGCAGGCTGAGGATCTGCGCAGCAGGCAGCATGCGTGTAGTGAGCTACACACGTTTGACCGCAAGCATCACCACGCACCAGAACACCGTAAATGGAGGTGGGAAAACTGGGTCTGGACATCAAGCAGAGCACACCTGCAGGCGGCCAATTGGGGGAAAGCAGTCGAGCGGTTGGCGTGCATGCAGTGGCTGGGTTGCTGAAGCGTGCTCATCCTGAGGCTCCGTCAAGTCTACGACAGGGGAGGCAGGCGGCCAGGAGGCCAGGTCCAGGTGGGACAAGGCAATCGTCCTCAGGCGCGACAGTGGGCAGGCTGCTGCCCTCAGGGCGTCCGACAGCGCCTCGCTGGTCAGCTGAAAGCAGCGCGCCAGGCTCGCTGCCTGTATCTGGCCAGAGCTGCTCGCTGCAAACACAGAAACCAGTACTTTGAGCACTTGTGCCCGTCAGTTGGGTGAGCATGGTACAGGATGCGATTGAACATTTCACGCAGTTGCAGATGCTCTCACCTTGGGCCTGCCCAGGTGAGGTTGAGAAGAGAGCAGAGACACTGGGAGGCAGCTTCTGTGCACCGGAGAGGTGGATGACACACAGACTTGGCAGATGCTGGACCACCAGCATCAGATCATCCAGCTCAACAGGCAGCCCCCGCAGATTCAGCTCCCGGATACCTGCTAGGGCACAACAACTCTCGGAGGAAGGCACTCACATACAGACTTTTCACAATGCTCGTAGAACGCATTCACAATGCTGGACAGTGCTGTTGACTTATAAAAGCAGAGATCACCTCGGAAAGTGCGGCTCAGGCCAAGTATGAAGGAGCGCAGCTTATCCCTGGTCCCTTCCTCAATGAAGCGCTTGGGGCCCACTCGCAGACGGAGTGGGGCTGCTCCAGACAGAGAGCGCAGGCGACTGCAGGTGCTGGCCGTCGCGGCCACATCGGTGGGATCATCAAGCCTGAGGAGAATGGTGGTCAAAATCTGCACATAGCACACATAACCCCAGGTCAGCGCACAATGTCCTACAGTGCTCGCCAAGTGATGGGGATCAAACCCAGTTTCTCGGAGTCTCACCGACCTGGTTGCATGATGGTTTCACTTCCACTCAGGTAAAGACATTCAGAGGATTACACGGAATGAATTGACTCGTTTAGATCCAGGCCAGACCACATAGAAGAATCTTCAAGTGCCAGGCAAACAGTAGGTCTCGACCCACCTCGTCTGGGAGAATCTCAAACAATTCCTTCGACTCGTTGTTTTGATCACATGACGCCCACGGATGATTCTGCTCCGCCCCTCCAAGGGCAAATTTCGTGACATGGGTATTTGGCACAGAGCTCCGAGGCACGAACACAGGCGCGTGAGGATTCAGCCTTCTTGACATTGCAACCCTGTGCATCACTGGTGTCATTCACCCGGCACAAGGCCGCGTTCCAGCGGAGGTTCTCTTCTCCTGCGCCAATCCCAACTTTGCCAGGGATTTTGGAAATCCCGGGACAAAGGGCCTGCCGACTGCTGATGGGACGACGCTGATATCTCGATAAGCAGCATTTATCGTTTTTGAGGCAAGATGTATCCTGGAATGGATAATGAGCAGAGTTTGGACTTCTCACTGAGGACGTGGTGCAAACCCGTAGTTGACCGTGATCCGTATCATCCATGTCTACATGCAAGTGGCCTACAGGAGAATGGGAATTGGCTTCAAATATTTCACAAGCAAATGGTGCACATTGTTGGTAAGCCCTTCGCGGTGCTATTACATATATTCCACTACTTCTTGCCCATCAGGACTTCAGTCCACAAAATGTCACAAGGGACAGTTACTTGCGCAATTTGGCGTTCTCCAAAGAAAGTTTAGCATCCATCACCCAAGTGTACCACCATCCCTGACAGCACTCCCAAGCAAATGGCAAGTGGAGATTACCACTGATCATCTAGACTGCCCAAGCATGCGGCTACATCATGATAAAGTCTACACATGTGATACAGCTGCAGCACAATTGCATACAACGGCACTGTTGACAAAAGACGTCTACAAATGCCGCAAATCATTTGGGTCCCAACGCAGGAAATGCATCCCACTCACCAATCTGGACCACCCATGCAGCTCGTGGGACACACAGAAAATTGCCCCATAGCACACATGATCTCAAGCTGCCTACCAAGCCGGTTGGCTAACCATGCAGAGCAAAACGTCACAGCTTGCAAAGAAAGACAACATACAAGAGGGGAGAAATGCGCAGGACAGGCAGAGGGGCTCAGCGCCTCCTGCGGCCGCCCTTGCGCTTGTTGTTGCTGCGGCGGGGGTCGGCGGGGGCCTCCTGCTGCCTGTAAGCAGCGAAGCACTCCTCGCGAATGGGCAGCTCGCCCTGGAACTTCAGCGCGCTAAGGCAACTGGGGCCGGTGGCTTTGCGCGCCAGCCAGCTCCAGAACTCGCAGCTGTCCGTGATGTCTGTGATGTCCAGTGTCAGCCCTAGCGCGTACAGATACACCTGTGCCACACTCATCAGTCAGCTACATCATCATCAGTCAGCTACCACCATCATCATCATCATCATCATCATCATCATCATTATTACACGCTTTTCCTGCCAAGAGGCAAGGTGCGTCTGCAGACAAGCTGCAGTGAAAGGCTGCCAAAATCCTACCCCTTGATAGACTCGCCAAATCGAAGCAACACCCAATCAACCGTGGGCACGGTGCTCAGTATATATACGGCCCCCGCCAGCCGGGGCCACAGCTTAAAAATGCTAAAGCTCAAAAATGTGGAGGTTTCCGGGCAAAGGCAGAAGGCACTGCTGGCTGTCATGGCAGCAGGGAGGGCACATGCAGATTTGTTTGCAGTGCACTTAAGGTGAAAGAAGTGTGCACGAGAAAAAAGTGGGTCACCTTTGTGGTGCCTGTGCTGAAGAAGCCTGCAGAGGTGGTCTCCTTCCAAACGTGCTTGTTGATGCCGGGGTGAGACCTGCATGAGTCAGAACAATGAATATAGCAGGTCTGAGTACAATCTGAAGCCTCCCAAATCCAGAGATGGTACCAGTCAAGCAGGGACATTTCATGGCAAGCGACAGTCATCCGACTGGGCGGGCGCGGTACCTGCTGCAGGAGTTGCACCAGTAGGCGGACGTGCGCGCGCGGGTGGTCACATAGACGTGGTGCCACTGGGAGCAGGCCTTGCAGGGCATGCAGACGCAGTCGTGGCTGTGCTCTGACGCGCGGCCGCAGGGCTCCCGGCGGCCGCTGAATTCGGTAAAGAAGCCCGGGGCGTCGCCGCTGCTGTGCCCCGGGGGCGACTGCGGCGGCGGTGCATTCCTCAGCGAGGCCGCAGCCGTCGCGCGCAGCTCTGCATCGTACGCCGCTCGCTTCTGTGCATCCGCCAACACGTCCCGCGCCTGGTGCCACACGCCACATACATCCGCACTCCCTCACTTTGCCTCTGACGCTTGGTAAATCTAAACGCATGGACACTCACGCAGTATGCCTGCAGACATCGCAGACTGGCAGAATGGCGCAAAGGAATTCACAGTTCACGCATCCCACATGGCAGGTGCTACACGCCAAGAGTGCATAGGCGGCAAAGAGGGCAATTCCTGTGAAGGACCACGCTCTGTAGGCAGAGTAAAGTAGAAGCCAAGGCAGCTCAATCAAGATGCGTCGGCGGGGCGCACCGTATTGACGCGGACGGAGGCCTCGTGGGCGCCGCTGTTCTGGGCTCCGAGCTTGTCGGGGTGGGTGACCAGGGACTTGGCCTTGTGGGCCTTGCGGACTTCCTCAGTGCTCGCGCTCTGCGCCACATCCAGCACAGCATACCAGCTGGACGCCTGCAGCACGCGCGCCACCTCTGGGGCCGCCCCCTTGGGCACCGCCTCCGGCCTGCACGACTCCGACCCGGCCGCCATGCCTGCGCGCCCCAGACACCACATCCTTCGCAATCAGCATGTGATGTGTTGGACCTCAAGGCCTCAGGTGGCCTGTGAAAATTGACCCTCTCTATACATGCAAAGCAAGGCATGCACAGCAGGAATGCTGGAAGACAGTCCTGGCTCGGCTTATACATTTCGAACAAGAAGAATTCCTCCAAGTGGGTAGTAGTCGAGGTTCCATAAGGCTTTGCCCCAGCATCACCGTGCTGCTGACTGCTGCAGGGCAACCTGCTGAGAGAACACATAGCTGCAGTGGTGACAAATTTGGCAGCAGGACGCACCGGTGTCGTCATCGGCGCTGCTGGGACTGGTGAAGGCACTGTAGACCCAGGCATCAATCCCCAAGAAGACCAGCAGCTCGAGCCAGCCGCGCAGGGACAGCACCGCGCGCGCGTACAACAGCGGGCTAGCCAGCCTGTATGCGAAGGAGAATTTGCGCACGAGCGGGGGAGTTCCCTCCAGCCAGCCGTCCACGTGGACCACGAAGAGGAAACAGGCCACGGTGCCGTGCATCGCCGAGAAGCCGCCGCCCACCCAGTGCCACATCATCGGCACCCCTATCAGCGATGACAATCCCGGCATGATGCAGCACAGCAGCCCTGCAAGCACGCACAAAATAAAATAATGACCACGTCGCCCTGAGCTGTGCGCACAAAGCACCCCTCTGTTCTTTTCCACATGAATTTGCCACGGCTCCATACATCCTAGCGTAGGCCTTCAGGCCAGACAGGTAATGATGGCAGTGATGGCCCGAGCTCTGGCTTCTGCATGGTATTGAATGGCAGGCTCTGTGAGGCAGAAGCAGGTGCAGGGATGCGTACGCTCACCAAATATGCAGGTCTCGATGATGGCGGCCGTGAGGGGCGGTCGCCAGAAAATGAAGCACCAGCAACTCCAGATGCACCGCAAGCAGAAGGGGCCGTATGCGAACAGTGTGTAGATGGCCAGCGCCCAGGCACCAAGAACCAGGCATCCGATGCTAGTGCGCTGCCGTCTGCTGCCATGGCGCTTTTTCTGCATCAACATCATGCCCGCCGAATGTCAGATCTGAGTACACTTGGTCCCTTGGTGATGATCCATAGCAGGAATAATTCAGCAAAGGTCTAGGATAGAAATGCGGAGTGTCAGAGGTGAGCAGATCTGTACTCTTGCTGAATATCTTGCCTGTGCAATTGAGTAGGAGGCAAGGCTGGATCACCTGCATCCAGTAGACGGCCCCAGGTGCTCCAAGCCTGCACAGCACGTAGCCGAGGAGCGCGTACAGAATGCTGATGCAAACCTTGAAGTAGTAGCCGAACTGGAGGTAGCCCCAGTTGTAGTCCTCCTCATAGATGGGGTCCTCGTCATCCTCTGACTCCCCCCTGGACGATGTCCTCCCCTGCCCACAACCCAGAAAGCCTCAGTATAGCCTTTTCCAGGCTAAAAACGGACCAGGCTCAACAGGGCATTATTACTCAACATTTGCTGGGTCTTACATGTAAGGAGCACCAATGCACCTTGATAGCGCGTCAACGCTTCCACAGCAAGTCACACTGCAAGACAACGGACACCACTTGTGCTGCATTGCCCCTTAACAGCAGGCCTAGCACTAATGCACCCCTTATGGCGCAAAGATTCTGTGGCACTGAGCTTGACAGTGGATGGTGCTGTTCATCACCTGCCGGCGAGCTGCCTCCTCTGCGGCTGCTGCGCGCGCAGCGTCCGCCTTCCTCTTCTGCTCCTCTGACAGCCGCCTCCTCAGCTCCTCCTGCGCCCTCTCCTGCTGCTGCTCCTCCATCTGCCTCTTCTGCTGCTCCTCTTTCTTCCTCCGTTCTTCCTCCCGCTTCCTCCTCTTCGCTGCTTCGCGCTCCTCCCTCTTCTGCACAAGTCAATGACCGTGCAAGTAACTTTGACAGCTGCCCTTGCAAAGCAAAATCAACTCAACTGAAGAAAATGCACTTGCTGTGTCGACCTGCAAAGTGTTTGCAGATTAATGCCTGCATCTCTCGAGCTATGCTGAATTGAGGGCTGGAGATGTACAAAGGTGACACAGAAAGCAGCATGCAGTGTGTCCAATACGCCTGTCAGAGCAAGATAAGACTGAGCACCTTTGCCGCTTTCTGGGCTTCGTGAGCTATCCTCTCCTGCTCCACTGTCTGCGTCACGTCCGAATACAAGTCGGGCGCCAGCCGCTCAGCCTTCTGGAATAGCCTCTCCTGCACGCCATGCACAAGATTCAAAGCTTGTCTAGCAAGGACTGGGTGGCGGCAGTGCAAATTGTTTCCCATGCACAGCTCCTTCACACAGTGCAAAAATATTTCTCGGAGCCGCACCGCCTTGTCAAAGTCTGCTCCTGCCAAGGCCTCCTCTGCCTTGCTGATGCACTCCGCTGCGGCCTCCCGATTTGACAACAGCTTGGCAGTCTCGTACAGATTGCTGCCAGCATCTTCACGGCCAGGTCGTGCTTCTTCCTGCATCAGCACATATCTGTAAGAACAAGGGCATTCTTTCCGGCAGAGTTTCCTCCAATGCTCTGTACCGATAAGTCGTGGTAGAAGCTTCACTGCAAGGAATTCATCGTGAGCTCGGCAGCACCTGGTCTGCTGCAGAAGGTCCGTCTGGCTCCCATTGCTCACTGCTGCTGTCCCCGCTGCTGTGGGCCTGGCTGTGTTTTGGCACCGCGTATCTGGCGGCTGCGCCAGAGCCATCGGCCTCGTCGCCATTGCTGGAGGAGGTCCGGTTCAGGAACCCACGCTGCCAGCCGTTCGCCTGCGGAGTCTTGTGCCCGTTCAGCCTAGGCTCCTCTTGCTCCGCAGCCCCATCGTTGCCAGACCTCGCCGACGGCCGTGCGCGGCCGCTGTGCTTGGCTGCCCCTGGCCCATTATGGCTTTTCGAACCCTGGCACCACCAGCCACACGTGTCACTCGTAAAGCTCCCCTCATCCCTCAACACATCTCTCTGAGCTCCAGCTGTCTGCACCATGAGTACTGAGCAGTCATGAGCTTGCAGAAGTTTCTACTGTTTGTTTGCTGTTGCTGTTTATTGTCCAAACAGCGCGGGAGCGCCTCAGGGAGGGAGCAAGCGCTGCTGACCTGAGCGTTGGACCTCCAAGCATCGCGCAGCTTCACAGCGTCAGCCATGAAAGAGTTGTGCAGGCCATTGGGGGTGGTTCTCGGGGAGCACGCATCGCCGGACTGAGCATGTGTCAAAGGAGGCGACGGCGTCCGCGGAGGCTTGGGCCTTTGGGGCGCCGCGCTTGGGGCCGGGACACTCCGTTCCAACACCTTGTACTCCGCCTGTGACGCCACCGCACATGACAGGCGTCGAATGACTTTTTACAACGCAAACGAGTGCCATGATAACAGTGCAGTGCCAAGCGAGGATTGATGCAGAGTGCTCGGAAGAGTGGCTTCACCTTCAGGTACTGCCGGTTCTTCACAAACTTCAACGTGATGGCAGTGTCTGCGACGGTGACCCCCAGAGGCACATCCTGGCAGGCAGTGCGATAAATGATGTTGAGGTTGTTTCCTAGCAACAGTGGATTTATTGGTAATGATTGCCAGGAGATAGGAGTGTAAGTGCAAGGATGCATTTCTCACCAGGCGGTATTTGCCCGGTAGGTGGACAAATGCCCTGCTGCCTTCGATCTCAACGTGTAAGCCGGCTGAGCTCTCCACACCTGCGATCTCACAGCAGATTGATAAATGGAAATCCAAGTGCTGTTTTAGAAAAGAGGTGACTCAACAGTCGAGACCTTCCGTAGCAATATCAATGATGGGGTCATAGCATACCAGGCAATTCGACGATGAGCCGAAGCCTTTCGAATGAACCGTCATCAAGTATAGCCACAGTATAGTGCGGCACCTGTTTCCGCAGCCAATGGTGATCAGATTTACAATAAGTCAACGACAGTCCCAGAGTACCACATCTTCAAGGCAAATGCACCACACAGAGTGAATTCAATTTTCTCAACACCTGTTCGATTAGATCATTGTCGGTGCTAGAAAATCTCTCCATCACGAAAGGACAGCCGCTCCGAGTATCAGGAACGGGTTGTAAAGGACTGGTACAACCTCTGGTTTGTGTGAATAGATCTGTCACATGTTGATGTATTTTTCAGATGACTTCAAGCAAGTGCCACGCGTTCATAAGGCTTAAACTTTATAAACCTGTCAGAAATCTGGATCGTTTCTGACGCAATTCGTCGCGAGCACCGAAGTATAGAAACCGTACTGCTATCTACAAGTCCACATTTAAACAATCATTTAGAGAGAAATGTTCCTTATGCTGCCTTATGTTGGAGGAAACGATGAGGTCTGCATGCGCACGTGCCGAGCTTTAGCTGACCTTGACCTGCGTCTGGTCGTCTAACTGTATTTTTTTTCGTGAATCAGGGAATTTTGCAATCGATTGGTGACTCCTTTTCACATTCATCCGCGCAAGTCAAGAAACAATGGCGGTTCTGAGTGATACATCAAAACTTTTAGATCAACTAAAGGCGAGTGGATTTCGTTCTGTTCTCTTTGTTTCGCGGTCCAATCAATGACAAGTGGAGCTTTGGGTACAAAATGTTGCTTTGTGATGCAGGGAGCTGTCAGCAGGAATGATCTTTCTACTGCAACACGCATTCTGAACACCCTGAAGGTGATTGTTTGTGTTTGTCTGCATCGATGTTTCATTACGTTCCGAATGTCTTGCAATTATGCGCTGTGCACGTCCGTGCAGTTGAAGTTGACAGAGCTCCCGGCGTTGCCGCCCCTCCTGCAGCAGACTCCCACGGCACAGAAGGAATTGCTCGTAGCTCGTGAGTACTGCTTCATCCCTAAACAGAGAGAAAATGTTTCAATGCATTACTTACAAGCGGTTCGAGCACACCGAATATCGCTTCGGTTGATGTGCATTTCGGGTTTCAGGTGACGTCCTGGAGCAGGCAGTGTCTTTGAGTGTGAAGCTGCAAGATGAGGCTGCGTTTGAGCGCAACTATCTGCAATTGAAGACATATTACACTGACACGAGGTAAGGAAACAGTACCAAATGATTGCACATCGAGGAACCTGCAATATACTTGAAAGTGAACAATGCAAAGATAGTGTCATATCCTTGGCATCAACTGTTTGACTCAAGCCGTGTGATGCCTCTTGCAGAGCATTGCTGCCTCCATCCCAGCAGGAGAATCTGATTGTGGGGCTGGATCTGCTGAGGCTGCTTGTGCAGAATCGCATTGCCGAATTTCACACAGAGCTGGAGCTGCTGTCTCCTCAGGTCAGTATACTGCTGCGCATGCTGCCACACCATGTCTGTGCTGCACATCACAAACACATCTGTTTCTTGTGGAGAGGCCCATTATGCAAAGACTTTTTTTGCCTCATTGTGAAACAACTGGCTGGAAGGGCTGTCGCGGAAAAGTGTATGTGGGTGGGATGGGGTGCAGGCTTTGCAGAGCCAGGGCATCTCTCATGTGGTGCAGCTTGAGCAGTGGTTAATGGAGGGGGCTTACAACAAGGTGCTGGATGCACGGCCAAACCTGCCAGACCTCTCTTATGGCTACTTCATGGAGAAGCTCCTCTCCACAGTCAGGTCTGTGCTACTCACCGCTGAAGCATTGGGCAAGCTGCTCTTCCATCTGTGCCCGCTTAATGAGTCCTCAGACTTGGTGCAGCCCATGATCATGGGCTGGTGTGTTGCCCCAGGGATGAGATTGCAGACTGCAGCGAGCGCGCATATAACACCCTGTCCCTCAGCGATGCGAAGAAGCTCATGCTGTTCAAGTCCGACAACGAGGCAGCAGAGTATGCCGCACAGGTGAACCACAAAGACATCCTGGTGCCTGTGTTGTGCTGATCGCGAGCATGAAGCTTCAATTGCGCACGTGACTATGCAGATCATTTTCTGTGATGCGCTCGCAGAGAAATTGGGATGTGCGAGATGGGTCCATCCATTTCCAGGGTGGCCAGGAGAAGACAACCACCAACCATCAGCCTGTGGAGCTAATCGACAATGCACTCACCTATGCGCGAGAAATCGAGCGTATTGTGTGATGAGTCATAGTGTATTTGGCGCTCCACACGTACCCATTATGAACAATGTGTGCCCATTTGGCTGCAGAGCAATGCTCAGCACACTGAGCATGCTTGTGGTGCCAGAGGGTGCCAGTTCTCTTAATACAAACACATCCAAAGACTGCATGCTGATGAATGCGCTAAGATTGGTTGCTGGCAAAGCAAGCGTTATGGCAACCGTGGTGCTCAGCATGCCTTGCTAGTGCTCCTCAGTTGCATGCACGATGATGCAATTGATGCGAATTATGCGAATGACAAAAAGCACCCAAAGAACTGAACGTATAGCATCGCTTTACAATCACATGAGACAAAACAAATTGCCAAAGCGAGATGGTGCGGAAACTTGCATGCTCCTGCGCACTTGTACATGAAATTGCGCGGCAAGACCATGCCGTTCATAAATATTCAGATATTGCAAATATGACCACAGAAGTTCAGCTCGCTGTACACATACAAGCATGCAGGGCAAAGATGGCGCAGTCCCTTTAACAGAGCGGCTTGTTCGATGGAATCAAACTGTTTGCCATTCAAAATCCGACAGCTAAAGGGTAGGTGAACGACAGTTTTGGGTACAAGTCATCCCTCTCCCAGGCTCATTCCAAAAACATTGACCAGATCGGAGCACATAATGTGTGCTCCAAGCCCGGCACTGTACACATGTCCATCAAAATCCCTCTTCTTTACTTCAAAAATCCTCCTTCAAATCCCACATCCCTCAAAGTTCTCTATGTGGCTTAGAGATCACGATCTGCAATATACTTCGAAGGATAGTGTTGGCAGCAAGGATCCTCTAGCAGCAGGTGTCCTTCAGCACGATAGCAAGCTCTTTGCCTACTGCTCGGCCCTCTTGGCCCCTCAGCAAGGAGCAGCCTCTTTCAGCTGTTGCTACGTATTCCCCTCTATACAAAGGTGCAAAATGCAGCAAGGCCTCGCTGCCCATTCAGACTTTAGCATTGGCCCTGTCCTCAGCGGGCGCTGTGGTCTTGGCGGGTGGCGGAATGTCGGCCTCGTGCACAGTCAGGATCTCCGGGTAAGCCTTTGGCCAGAACCAGTGGTCGCGGAACACTGTGTGGGTGGTCTCCACAGGGATGCCGGTGGTCTCAGGGAAGAAGAAGTACACCACGAGGCCAGCAATCACCAGGCACCCTGCGCATCATGTCATGTTTCATGCACACCTTACCCTCATGCTGAGTCTTGGTGTCTAAGTGCTTGGTGGGTGTGGTCCGTCCTTGGGCTTTGGATCATGGACAAGCTGCTGCCCAGCAATTTGCACTTTGGCACGGATAACATGATGACCTCAAACCATCCCAGCCTCCGTACTTGTGGGAGGCACATTTGGCCCCATATTTTGTATAATTTTTCATGCTGTGTGGTGCTGCATGGGCAGGACAGGGAGGAATCTCACCAGCAAAGAAAAGGAAGACTCCATATCGCATGGAGCAAAGCATGGTGGTGAAGCTCTGGCCGATCACAAAGGTGAAGAGCATGTTGCTGGAGACGTTGATGGCGGATCCGGCAGCGCGCGTCTCAAGAGGCTGAATCTCGCTGCGCGGCACAACACACCACAGAATAAGCAAGCGTGTTGCAGGCGCAGAGAAAACCAGATAATCAGGCTGCCTGATGCATTGGAAGGTGTCAGGAGCCGAGCTCACCAGGGGTACAGCCAACCGATCGGGCCCCATCCATAGGCATGCCCGCAGATGTAAATGCAAATGATCTGCAAACATTCGAACCATGTCATAAACGCATATTTGAATCTATGCCAAGAATGACTCATGCCACCTTTTCGAGCATCGCTGCATGCAGTGCCTGATTAATAAGCAGGATAGTGAGGTATTGGTGGGCAAACATACCACAAGGATAGCAATGGAGATGCTCTGAGGCAGCCCGGAGCCGAACTTCTCGAACTCGGCACCCAGCAGGCCGGCCACAATGATTTGCGTCACAAACATGTGAACTGAGGCAATCAGCAGCATATTCCTGCGGCCCAGCCTGTCCACAAAAGCAATGGCCCCAAACGTGGCAAACACGTTCACTGCGCACCAGCAAACCATGGTCTCAGAAACTTCAACATGTCCCTCTGACTCATCAGACTGGTACATGCATGCGAAAGTCGTTTGAACATATCATGGGCTGGGATGCTTCTGTGCACAGGCATGTCATATAAGTACATGCAAGCAACAATGGATTGAACATGTAATGGGCTGGAATGCTTCTGCGCACCCAGGTTGACGACCACAGTGTTGAGGAGTGCGCCTGTGCTGCCGCCGGCAATGCCCTCAAAGAGCACTGGCGCATAGAAGATGATAGCATTGATGCCCTGCCCAACAGCGCTACATCATTAGATCAAGGTGGCTGAAACGTTCCAAACAGAAGTACACAGCAAAGGAGCAAATCACGCATTAGGTGCTCATGACTATCGTGGAGTGACAGGCTACTTACGTCAAACTGCTGGAAGATCATGAAGATGCAGGCGATGATGAGCTGAGGCCGGTACTTCCTCTTCAAGATGTTGTAGTAGGGGGACTTGATCAGATTGGACTGGCGAGCAGCCTCCATGATGTCCTCGTACTCGATGTCCACATTCTGGACGCCGCGACACCTCTCCAAGACCTGCAAAGGGGTGCATCAAGCCAGTCTAAGGTCCATCAAAACTTGAGCATAAGTTGTATAGCAAAGCAGCTGCTATAAGCTGGAGTCAACAAATGGTAAATTGCTTACATGGCGAGCCTTGTCAAAACGACCCCGCTCAGCAAGACTGCTGGGGGAGTCCGGCAGCACAAGCCCTGCAAGGAAGATGATGATGCCAGGCACACCTGCACACCATGCTTGCATCATACATGGTCATCTTGATGATTCTTCTTCTACATGTGACAAGGCCTCGCCAAAATAAAGATCATCCAGGGTGCCTTCAAGCAGTGAAGGAGGCATGAAGAGTGACGCACCTGCAATGCCAAGCGACAGCCGCCAGCCCCATGGGTGGATGTACTGGGCTCCCAGGTTGATCAGACCTGCAAAGCAGAACAGCCGGGTCAAGAAACAGGATTACAAGACAACATGATCAATGCCAACGTGGACAGCCATCTTATAGAGCCACCAAACAATTCACACTCTGGTACACCGTCCCCACCTGCAGCCAGGATGCCGATGGTGATGAGCAGCTGGAAGATGACATTGAGCGTGCCGCGCAGCTTGGGAGGCGCAATCTCGGACAGATAGACTGGTCCCACTGTGGTGCCCACGCCGACGCCCAGTCCGAGGACCAGGCGCCCAATCACCAGCATTCCCATGTTGACTGCCGCGGCCAACAGGACGGCGCCAGCTGTGAAGAAGATCCCAGAAATCACCATCGTCACCTGATGCATCCACAAGAAGTGGCTCTCATCTCTGACAGGCCCTGATGGGACAGGGATTGCTTTTCTTGGACATGTGCCTGCGTTGCTGTGTTGCCGCCAAACATTGTTGCTTAGTATTGTGCCTCACCCTACGTCCGTACTTGCGGGAGGTCACTTCTGAGCCAAGGGCTCCCACGATTGCCGCAAGGTACAGGCATGAGACAACGAGCTCCAGCATGTGATCATTGTACCTGCAAAAACAGCACAGTAAGGTGAGCTCTGCAGCAGATCTTTCCGATCTGGTGACCTAGAATAGTGCCTCCACGCTTGACAGAAATGCTTTAGGACATTGGGAGTTTTCTCACTTGCAGTACGGATCGGAAGCGCCCCCTGTCTCGCCGTCACCGTGATTAGCAACGCTTGGGAAAAACTTGTCCTGGAAGTCCTGATGACACCACCATCCCAACGGCCATCAGCATGCAACGCAAACTCCCGAGGTGGTGTACGACAAGAGCACATGAAGAAGATTGAAGAGGATAGCAGGGCAATGGGGGTTGTCAATGGCTTCGAAACTGAGTGTACAGCTGGCAGACAGTACACGGGCCGCTCTCGTTAACATCACAGGTCACGTCGTGAGGAGACCTACCCTCATAGTGACCACGCCACCCATGATTCCTGCAAACAAAGGAAAGTGGATCAAGCAACACAATGGAGCGCTGCTTGGTTGTTTCCACTAAACAACGTGATCGGCGTCTTGAAGCATGGCGATCCGGCTCTTGTCCAAACAAGACGCGGAGTGGCAAATATGGCTTCAGATATTCATGGCTGTTTGTATTTTTCAAGCTCACCATTATCGTAGCCCAGCAGCAAGCCCGTCAACGCTGCGGTGATGACCACAAGGAAAGTGTACACGGTATTCCGTCCCTCATAATCCTTGCGCACTGTGCCCTTCACTGGTTCCACCATTTTGAAACACCCAAAATCTTGGCTCTGCACCAAGCCTCGATCCTCTGCAATTGAAGTGGCACAATAATTGCAACTGGCAAGATTTGGTGGAGATGTGGTGACTGGGACTTTCGTGTGATATCGTCGCCAGTTTTGGACTCAGCTGGGTTTCGGGGGGACCGCCGTCTGAGAGCGGGGGGACCCACAGCCTGGAGCTTCCACGGAAATGCTCTTTGATGTGGAGATCTGACGACGTTGAATAGGCATACAGAAGCATCCAAGAGAAATTGGTGCACTTCCGTCGACGCTTGCGGAAAGAGCGATCCTTGTCGTGCGGGCCTATTCGCGTCATGCTCAGACGCTGCTGCCGAGAGGGCCTCAGGCTGCTCAGACAGTCTGAAGCTGCATTTGTCGCGCCGAAAAATCCTTCGACGGCACCTCTTGCTACAGCAATTGCCCGCCATGAAGCATCAATGGTACATTCACATTTCCACCACTCGAATTGAGATTTGTACTAGATATTGGACTAGCAGGAGTTCTCATCTTAATGTGTTGCTTGCCTATTCCGTATTCCTGGATGTTCAAGATCTTTGTTCTGCAAGAAATTGAATTGCCTCACATTCATAGCTTTGCTGAGGCAAATTGCCCGATGCCCGATATGTAGGAACGAGCAACTCCGAGCTCCCTGACCAGATGCATGCTGGACATTCCCGCGCGGCATATGTCCGCAGGACCTGCAAAGCCACCTGACACAGACAAAGAAGGCGCTGCAACAGGCCTTGATTATGCTGAACAGGAGGCTGCACAGGCAGCAGCCAAGGTGACCCCCCATCACAGTGCAATTTGATGATGCATTAGCTATCCATGCCAAAACAATCAAGCGTAGGATGATTGTGTCACCTGCGCAGGCTGAAGGCACTGCACCTGGGGTGGATGAGCTGAAGGCCCATGATCCTGAGACCTTGGCACAGGCACTCGCAGAGAAAATCCAGGAGGTGAGGCTGAGCAATATGCAATGGCTGCGCACAAAGCGTTGGATTTCAATTGCATGAAAATCAATGCAATTTTTTGGTGCATTTGGATATCCACCAAAATCAGATTGTGGAGCCCCACCTACCACCGAGCATGCTTAATTCTCTTGCTCATTTGACCAGGCATTGACCTTAATTGCTCTTTTGCAGGTACAGGAGTGCAAAGACAGGCTGGCAAGGGCCCTGGCGGACATGGAGAACATGCGGGAGCGCACCATGCGGCAGGCTGAGCGCGAGAAGCAGTTTGCCATTTCTGTGAGTCCCTCGGCACTTTCCTAGCTTGGCACTGCAGGCTCTGATGGCAGGATGCATGTGCATGTGGAAGGCGCTTGAACAGGCATGCATGGACACCAGGTGTACCTGTGTGCTTGACACAGAAGAACAAGAAGAAGGAGAAGGGGATTACACATTATGTCAAACTACAGACACAACCACTTTGCAGCCAGTTCAACGCGATGTGATGCTGCGCAGCAATTCGCGACAGGGCTGCTGGACGTGGTGGACAATTTGGAGCGCGCGATTGAGAGCGTGCCCGAGGAGGTGCTGGCGCAGGGGGTGGACCCAGAGACCGGCAAGCCCATCACGGCTGACCGCGCGCTCACCACCCTGCGCAGCTTTGTGGACGGCATCAGGCTCACCTTCAACATCTTCGTCAAGGTGCGTCAAGTGCTGTGCCTCTGCATGCCTCACCCTGCTGCGATGATTTCCATGGGGCTTGATTCTCCGCCCACACATACATATTGGACATGTTGTTGATGCATGCTTTCTACAGCCGTGGCATCATTTGGTTCTGCTCTAAAAGGAACCTGTGCATGTTCTGGTCATTGTCATGCTGACTGTGGTGCATGTTGGGCATGGTGCAGTATCTGGAGGCCAATGGCGTCCAGAGGATTGACCCCACACTGGGAGAGAAGCTGGACCCCAACAAGCATGAGGCGGTGTACCAGGTCTCTGACCCCACCAAGGAGCCCGGCACCATTGCAGCTGTGCTCAAGGTGTGCAGCTTTGCCCATCAAACCACACAAAGAAGAAAGAACGATGCACTAATGCTTATCCTGAATGGGGGGTGAATTGTGGCTCACGAAAAAGGGGGCATGTGGTCCGCTGACAGATTATGTTTGAAACTGTTTCGCAGAAAGGATACACTCTCAATGGACGCGTGCTGCGGCCTGCTGAGGTCGGCGCTGTCCGCCGAGGCACGGCTTCGGCATGATTTTGGACCGCTGTACATGTTCCCCTGGTGCATGTATGGAACAATGCATGAAGATCAGTCGAGGACATCACTTGCTGTCAGTTGATTTGCCAAGCCTTCAACGTGTTTGTGCTACTTGTTGTAGAAATCTATCAAATGAACTGCAGGGAATTGGTGTGATTCCTGGTTGACAATTTTGAATGGGCATGGTATGGCCAATGATTTGGCCCAACGAATGCAGCATTGTATTACTGCACATCGCAGGCACATGCAAAGCATGATTGTGATTGCAAATTGCAGTGCATTTTAGACCACATAAATAATTTCACCATCATTACGAGAGTATGTGCGATATGATGCTCTTGAGAATATCGCTATTGTTCCAGATATTGGACCAGTGCCGTACTGCATAGGATCCTGCATGTGCCTTCTTCAATCTGCCAGGTCACAGGAAGGAACAGAGATGCAAATTCTCATGTGCTCACACATGCCCAAGACCAGAGCAGGCATCTAGTTCTCTTTCGAGATGACGTGCAGGACCATTTATTGCAAACACGTTTCCGGAAGAACTTCCACAAGACGTGTGCTTCAGAATAAAAAAACGCTGCTGCCCTGATCACAAACGGGACATAGCCCCTCACAATAAAATGCATTGGTCTCCTCTGGCAATCTTGTTCTCACGCCAACAAGCTCAAACACTCAATGGTGTCAACTACCACTCAAAGAGAGCACTCTTGACAGGCTACAGCAAGTCTCTCACGAAGCTGCAGTTCCATGTTCTCTGCAGAACAGTGTCCAATACATCAATAGCTCAGCTCGAAGAGCAAACCTCTATTACGCTGTGACTTGTACTCAGCGCTTTTGCTAATTGGCAACGCCTGTCGCGCCTGTCCTTAATGCTTCCTGCAGTGCTGCAAATAAAAATGCAGCGACCCCGCTCTTGAGCAGTTGAAGCTCCCACTGCTGCACTCCAAGACCCAAGCACTCTCTGAACCAGTCTTAAGATATTGAACCTGCCAAAATCCCTGGCGGAACCTCCACTCCGTCAGGCACGCTAGCCCCTTTCCCTGCACTCTTGCATTCGCCAGCACACTCCCCAGGGAAGGGCTGGGGTAAGTGGATCTGCCGGTATCGCCCGTGTCAGTCTCCTGCCAAAGTTAGAGACCTGCCAAGATTAGAGACACTCAGAGGCGGGCAGTCCAGCCATTCTGGAGGAGAGCGACGCTGTCCTTCTTTCGGCCGAGCAGCGTGAGCGCGGTGGCGGCAATGTGGGAGGCGGAGAGGCCGGCCTCAGCCAGCTGGTCGGTCTGGCTGCCGTGCTCGATGAATCGGTCCGGCAGCGTCATGGGCCGAAACTTGAGGTTGCCGTCCAGCAGACCCTCCAGCGCCAGGTTGTGCATCACTGCACACGCACACAACCCCACAACTCAGCACACACCGCAAGCCAGGGCATATCTGATGCACGCGGAGTCTACAGCTGGGAAGACAAGCCAAATCATCCTAGTGCATGTATCAGGGAGGAGCAGATCAAGAGGTCCACATAAGCAGCTACCATATTCCAACTTCATCCTTACTGACTCCTGCCTTCCAGTGACGTGTGGGCAAGCTGCTGGGTGCATGCAAGGACTGGCATGTCAATGCACTACAGAAGGCAAGACGCAGGCATGGTTGGGGGTGTGGATGGGTGTACCGTGGGAGCCAAAGCCGCCGATGCCGTTCTCCTCAACGGTGATCATGACCGGGTGCTCGCGCGCCATCTGCCGCAGCAGCGGCATGTCCAACGGCTTGCAGAACCTGCACATCAGCGCCACGTCACTCTACGCCAGTCTCCCTCCCTCCCCCTTACAGCTCAAATTCCTGGCAGCACGACGGTGTCTACAATCCCCTGGCGCTTCTGACTGGGCTCCAGACACCGCTGGTTCGTAAGGCAGGCTGAGAGAGCGCACCGCATGTCTGCGACGGTGGCGGTGACGCCGCTCTTTTCCAGCATCTCAGCGGCTGCCAGGCCGTTGTTGGTCATGGTCCCATAGCACACCAAGGCCACGTCCTTGCCGCCCTTCCTTACCACTCCCTTGCCGATCTGCGCACCCCACAATTCCTTCAAAACTTCAAAATCTCCAGATTAGCGCTGCATGCAGGACATGGCAGAGGTGAGCATAGCAAAGAATTTCTTCTGCATGCATGCAATGGGGATGTTCTGGTGCATTACCTGCCAGGGGGTTCCCTTCAGCTTCTCGGACACGCCATAGGCGGCAAAGTCCACTCCCAGGCCGTTGCCACGCGGGAAGCGCAGGCAGGACGGCTGGTCGTCAATCGCCACCGAAGTTGCCACTGCATTGCACAGCTCCGCCTCGTTCGAGGGCTGCGCACACGCACCCCACAAACTTCAATCCAATGCAGGCTTGTCACCCTCATTGTGCAATTTCCTGACCATGCAATCCCATGGCGCTCATGACATGCAAGGCACGAGAGACATTGCAGTGGGTTAGATCTCCCAATCGACACCTCTGGACCCTGGTGACACATGGACCTAGAAGCTGTTGCATGGCATTCAGACATGTTCCAAAAGACGAGCCTGGCTCAGTCCATTGGGCAGATCATGATTAGAATTTTACCCTTACTTTAACATTCTATGCATGGGAGGCAGAGGAGGGAACGCACAGCCATGATGATCATGTTGGGCAAGACGCCCATGTAAGTGACGTCAGCGAAGCCGCTGTGGGTGGCGCCGTCGGCGCCCACGAGGCCGGCGCGGTCCATGGCGAAGCGGACGGGGAGCTTCTGCAGCGCCACGTCGTGCACGATCTGGTCGTAGCCGCGCTGCAGGAAGGAGGAGTAGATGGCGCACATGGGGATCATGCCTTCCGCCGCCAGACCCGCCGCAAACGTCACTGCGTGCTGCGCAACGTGTCATAACAAGCGTCAGACCAAAGCCATTGTTGCACGTAGATCAGGACCTGCACTCCCAGGTTCTCATGCACGTCGCCATGCTATGCACTGGCCAGTAGAACAGCTGCACAGAGACACCAGTGGCTAGCTCATGGGGTGTGGCGGAAGTCTCTAGCACCAATTGTACAAGGTATCTAAACCATGATTCAGAGAACATGGTGCTCATTGATGGGTACCTTTGATCACTGGAAAGGGGCAGGAGGAATGGGAGGGGCACCTGCTCGGCGATGCCGACGTCGAAGGTGCGCTCGGGGTAGCGCTGCTCGAAGCGGTTCATGCCAGTGCCGCCGCCCATGGCAGCGTGGATGCCCACCACGCGGCTGTCCAGCTCAGCCTCCGCGATCAGCGCGTCCGCAAAGTAATTTGTGTAGCTGCCAGACTGCAGCAGCACCAGCACATGTCTTGGAACCGGCGCACACGCATTCAATGGTGCTTTCATTGTAATGTGCCCATGATGGATGATATTGACTGAGAAATTGCAGACAGAGATTTCATTCCCCCACATGCACCCCCACTCTCCTCGAGGGTGACCACGCATGTCCTACATATGATTGTCTAAAGCTTGAAAAGGTGGGCTCTGGCCCTTTCATAATTACATAAGCCACACGCCGCAATGGCTGAGAGACAGGCGGGGCACCTTGGCCTTGGGCTTGCTCTGCTTTCCGGTGGCGATGTCGTACTTTGCCACGCCATGCATCTTGTCCGATGCGAGCACTGCCGGCTCGTAGCCGTGGCCCTTCTCGGTGATGATGTGGATCAGCACAGGCCCCACCGTCTCTGTCGACTTCACCTCTGCAGACAAGAACAAGAAAGACTAGTTCAGGTACAGCAAATTTGCACATGCATTTACCCAGGAACAGCAAGGTAATTCTGCATGCATATACCAGTGAGCGAGATTTTCAGCCCTCGTGTTTCCATGCAGCAGGACAACAGATTGGAGATATGGCAAACAGCTCTCTGTGCACCTTGCAACATGGTAATGAGGAGTTCCAGGTTGTGGCCGTCAATGGGACCAATGTAGTACAGGCCCAGCTCCTCGAATAGGGTCGAGCCTGACCCACTGATCATGCCGCGCGCATACTCATCAATCTTTGCCGTGGCTTCCTGTGAACCACCACAAAACAACCTCAATACGCTGTCCCACCTCATGCAGTCGAATCAAACGAGGACGAGCTAGGAGTGCTTCAATGCACCAATAGGACAGACATTAGGAGAAAAGCATGCCGGGCTAGACAGGGTGGAGCCACCGCACACCTGGATGGGCTCTGGCAGCTGCTTTGTGACGCCCTTGGCGATCTCACGCAGCTCGCGCAGGGGCCGGTTGGCCTGCAAACGGGCCAGCGCTCCTGACAGCGCACCCACGGGGTCCTGATTCTTCCCATTGTACTGCGTGGGCAGCGACACCTGCCGCACAGCCCTGTGTCATGACCGCTTCACAGGAGAATGCAATAAATGGGCACATGCATGCGTCATGGTTGCATCAGAGGAAACTCAATTACATCGCAAGAAGTGCAGATCAGAGCAGAGGGTGCCTCACTGCGGTTCGGCAAAGGGAAGTCAGGGGGTGCACACCTGCTGGTTGTCATTCAGGACAACGATCATGTTCTTGTCCAGGAAACCCGCGTGGTTCATGGCCTCGTATGCCATGCCGCCTGTGATGGCGCCATCGCCGATCACTGCCACACAGTGGTTCTTCCGACCCTGCACTCAGAGAGAAGGCCTTTCAGATGACATTCATGTCTGGCCATGCATGCATGCAAGCTCTGGACACACAGATACTTGTTGGAGTCGTGAGATGTTGTGCTTGCCTTGAAGTCGCGAGCCACTGCCATTCCAAGAGCTGCTGAGATGGAAGTGGACGAGTGGCCAGCTCCAAAGGGGTCGTACTCGCTCTCAGCGCGGTTTGTGAACCCTGTCAAGAACGCGTGGCATAGTCAGTGGTGGACCAAACAATCACGATTTTAACAAGAGGGCGCTGTCCCCAGAAAAGTTGGGTATATTAAGGGTGGAGGCTTCACCTGAGAGGCCACCAGTTTGGCGGATGGTGGGCATCCTGCTTCGCCGTCCCGTCAAGATCTTGTGGCCATAAGCCTGGTGGCCCACATCCCACACAATCTGCACACCACACCATTGACAGCTCAGCATACAAGTAGTAATGCCTGAGAATGTTGAACAGGCATTGAAATAATCCAGGCAAGACCCACCTTGTCATCGGGAGTGTTCATCACATAGTGCAATGCCACTGTGAGCTCCACCACACCCAATGATGCCCCCAAGTGCCCTGTTCAGGCCCCCAAACGAAGTTTAAGGTTTTATCAATCTCGCTGTTCTGATAGGCGACATGCAAATTGGAAGCGAGACACGCGGTGTCATAGCTAGCTCCATGGCTTGGTTTGCGCACCTCCGGTTTTCGACACTGTGTGCACAATGTCTGACCGGAGCTCCTTGCACAGCTGCCGCAACTGCCCCATGTTGAAGTTCTTCAGGTGCACAGGGAAGTTCACAGTGTCCTGCAAGAAACAATGCCACTTTCGAAGATTGGGGCCAGGGGCAGATTCAGAAAAATACACATATGCATGCTCGATATACTGCCTCGTTGCAGCCACAGCAGACAGCACAGTAGACGGCTGCTCATGAATATGGTTCATTTGCACAAAGGCAACAACTCACCAGGAGTGGTGTTGGCGGACTGCCATTGTCCATCCATGTCTCAATGTCATCTGAGCTGAGCTTGTCCCACTCAACCTCTGCTGCCACTCTCAAACTCCTTCTGCCAGCACCCTGCTTTGCCCTTAAATCAGCCTTCCGGGCCTTCGATGCATTCCTCCTGAATCCTGAATATCCTGCCAAACCTGCAAGCATCAACAAATCATTCTTCAAAAGAAATAATCTTGCAAATTGACTCTCTTTGTCTATAACCTGCTATAGGACTTTAGGGCATAGATTGGAAAATATGAAACTTCAGGCAAATAAGCAAAAGTTTCCTGACAGTTGTGAGTTCTGGAAGCAAGTTTTCTCCTCAAAGCACACCTGGACCAGTCGAAGCGTGTGCTCCAGTTGCCTGCAAAAGAAATATAGGCAATTTGCTCGACACCAAACATAAAAGATCAAAAGAAGTCGCATCAAATGGATCTGACTTATATGATGGAGTAATGTGAAGGAAAGAAACGCACCCGCCGTGTGAGATTACAATGGTCTCCTCCACAGGTGGGCAATAGTGAAGGCTGAGCCATGCTTATTCCTCAAACTCGCATGTTCCGATTTATATTTTATCTTCAATCAATTGAAGGCTCCTCCCACTCGCTCTTCAGTCGCCCAGATTGATGTACAGGAAGTGCTGGCACGATGTGGTTCAGCACCGACCAATGAGGGCCTCCTAAATCTCTATCTAAATTCGATACCCCCAGGATCAGGGACATGAGGTCTTAAGAGGGTTTCAACATGAGCGACATGTTCTAGCCATGTTATAAAGAACATGTGATATTTCTTAAAGCACATTAGCACAAAGCGACGAGAAGGGCAAGCATTTTGCAGTGTTTGATAAAGAATCGAGTGGGGCACTCTGTTGACAGGACGCCATGAGCGGTGCAGAAGCACAGCACAATGACTCTGAAGGAGAGACTGAGCACACTTCTTCTGCTTGGCCTGTCATACAGATGTTTCCCGTGCGGCACTGCAAGGTAGGATGCAGCAGATCTCGAGTACTCGTAACTTCTCTATCAGCCTTTGTGGAACGAAATTTATCCTTGGACCAATGTTTCCAGGTTGTCCATTTCGTCAGACATGGGGAGGGATACCATAACGTAGCAGGCAAGAAGGACTACTCGCAGTACAAGAGATGGGACCTTGAGGACGCCCACCTGACTGCACATGGTTGGGAGCAGGTCAGCCCTGGCTGCCCTGCAGCTGCTTTCAGCATTTTGCATGCTACACTACTCATGATGTGCCTCACAAAAGACAGTGGGAGAAGTGCTGCCATCTGCATGCAGGCGCATGCACTGCGGAAGCACTTGGCGCAGCTTCCAGAGCCCCTGAATGTAGAGGCGGTGATCATGTCGCCTCTGTCCCGTGCGCTGCAAACAGCGGTGGGTGCCTTCGGAGGCGATGCATGCCAGTCAGGTGATCCAGGGAAAGTCCTGATGGTGGCCCAGGACGCAGTGCCTGAGAAGCAGGTGCAGCATGAAGCTGTCTCATCTGCTGGCTGCCCTCCTTTCATCGCATGGGAGGTGAGGATGCATGTCATGCAGCATGTTGCTCCCTTCCAGCTAACGGCAAATGCTCTGAAGCTCTTGTGCAATTTGAAGATCCAAAGCAAAGTATTCAAGGGTATGTGTGCGGTCCGCAGTACTGCAGAGAGCATCTTGGCCTGCACCCATGCGATAGGAGAGGGAAGGTTTCAATGCTCCAGAAGACCTACCCGGCTGTGGATTTCTCGCTGGTAATATTTCACAGTCTTTGTTTGGGGCACAATAATTTAATGGTTGTGCACGTCTGCTAATTGAATGATTTCACAAGGCTTCTGACGTCCAGGAAACTGACCTTGTTGGGCAGATAGAGACAGAGGAAGATGAGTTGTGGAAGCCTGACTCCAGGGAGACGCACGCAGAGATCCGTGCAAGGGGTGCAGCATTCATCAAATGGCTGCTGGCTAGGCCAGAGCGTCGCCTGGCTGTCGTGTCCCACTCTTCCTTCTTGTTCTACCTGATGCAAAATTATGGCCACCAGATATCGACAACAGTGCAAGGGGAGCTCAGACGCTGGTGAGGCCCACCATGGACTGAATTCTCTCAGTCGTTGATGCTGTATAAACTTGCTTGACTGAGGCTATCTTTTCTGTAATGTTTGTAGGATGTTTGGCTGCAAGCAAGCGCTTTCTGATCTTCAAGTTTGCCCAACGTAGGTATGAGAATTGCGAGATGCGGACAGTGATAATCTCAGATGGGGGCGGCGACTCAGGAGGTCTGGACCCACTCTGGTTCCCAGGCGGACACAAGCTTGACGGTTATACTGATAAGTCCTAGACAGCTGTCTATTGCAGTGGGAATACAGCAAGGCACGTCCTTTGTGAGCCTTTAAGAATGACATTTGTGGATGCAAACATGTCATCAGAATTGACATGAATGGGCATGTCGGAGCAGAATGGGCTAGGAATTCATTGAGGAATTCTTACATCCTTCTACCATAAAAACGATTCGCAAATTGATCAAAGACAAATGGCCACAGCCATTCACAAAGTATCCAGCCAATTTCTAAGGGCGTCTGCTGCCTCCCTCCAGCGAGTGTCCTGAAGAGCCAACAAGTTGTCAACAGGGCTCTTTCCCATGTTGAAGAGGTCAGCATTTGCAACATGAAACAATCCCATGCGGTAAAGAAGACTGCAACCTACAACACTGCACAAGCTAAAGGCCTCACACGGTACTACAGTCACCAGGAAAATGCGTACCAGCATGACGTCGTGTGCGCCATCATGGAGGATATGAGGCTGCACATTGTACAGTGCAGCTGTCTCCTCGACAGCTTGCACATCCACAATGAGGTCTGCATCCGCGCCCAACACAAATGCTGGAGGATGGTCTGCTGGTGGAGCAGCCAAAGGAACCTCACTCTTCATTGTTGACACCTGCAACATATGCCCCTTAATGAAATAACTGATCAGGAAGACATTCTATGTACCATACTGCTTTGGGAGATGCAGCTGAAAGCTTTGCATGACAGTTTAAAGTACCACTTGGACGAGGGTTTTAGTGGTCATATGCGCCTGTGCAACAGTCTCACAGCTGAGCAAATTTGCCATAAAGAGATACTGCTCACGTCTATAACAGGTATCGTGGAGGCATTCTCGCGCAGCAAGCTCTGGAATCGCCCCAGATCAGCTTCAGGTAGATCCTCTGAGAAGAACAGCTCCCGACAGGCTGCAGCACTGTTCAAGAAGTTCTTTGAGATCATGCCCCTGCGCAGTTGCAAGTAATCTCATGAATTAGCAGCTTGTCAGTTCACAAATAATTTCCAAATGATGGACTCAGTGGCAACCCTCAGCATCTTTGACATCCCTTGTGAAAATTATAGAATCTTACCACGTCAATCTTGCTGCCATCAAAAAGGACTTCTTTGCAACGCGCTTGACGAGTGCATCATTCCCTGCGTTTGAGAGTTACACTTTACCAACAGCAACTGGTAGCATTGAAGGACATGAAATGCTCATGTAGCACATCAACCTTCTCAGACCAGCCAAGAAGATGGGCAAGAGTTACCACTGGCTGGCGCAGCACACAGGAGACCAAATCCTGCCAGAGAAGGTAGCGCTTCAGTAGCGTCAGGGGCTGATGGTCCTGTGACATATCTGCAAGGGAAGAAGACATGCTTCAGGTAAGGCAACATGGCCCAGCATGAACCACCAGATTCCAATCGTTTAAACAAGAGTCTCGACATTACTGTTGAGGCAGAAGAGTGCACGGCATACCGCTGCACCACCAGACCTCCGAAGCTGTGCCCAATGACCACAGGCGGCCGGGGTAAGCTAGATACTATGTGACTCAAATCTTGCACATGCCCTGCTAGACTGCATGCTTTCATGTCATCCTGCCGCATGCTTTTCCCTTGACCGCGCAAGCTGACTGCATAGCTCTCGTAACCAGCTTCGGCAAAAAACGGCTGAAAGTGCTCCTGCAGGTTTAGGAGGGTGCAGAACTCAGTCAGATGCAAGATCCCAGGTGAACAGTGAGCACTTGAAACCATATGAGAGTGTCAGACATCAGACTCCACACCTGCCAACACCAAGCAGCATGGAAGGATCCATGCACAAAGAGCAGGGGCGGCCTATCTGTTTCCTTTCCCTGGCACAAGGAATAGATTTACGGTCACTATTGGAAGGCCCATACAGTGACTGTAAATTTGGTGTTAATGAATGCAATGCTTGGAAACAGAGCATGGGAGAAATAGAACCTTGGCTGGTTGATAAACAAGTTCCATCTTGTAATCATCAGGCTGAATAAAAGTAGAGTCCTCAGCGTGAAAGGCGCCTGTGGCACTGCAGTAATAGGAGGTAAGCCATTGACGCATTTCAAGGCGATTAAAGTCCTGATGGTCGCAGTGCGAGTAAGCAGATCACCGGTGTACCTGGACACATCCAATTGCTCCTGTTGCAAGGAATTCTGCGCACAAAACGGGCGGAACCTCCTTGCATGCCCCGATCTGAGACATTGCAATCGTAATGGATGTATTTGATTGCAGATGCTGCTACCGGTGAGACTTCGCACAGAAGAGATATATCGATGTCTGGTCACCAGGCAATCTGTTGTATGGGACAGGGCCTGCATAGTTGGGAATCTTATGATCCTCTGATACCAAATAAACGGGTAAGGATTGATCCAGATTTATGGTATGTGCTGCAGATGAGTTTGACCACCAGTCTGCCCATTGTTCCGGAACTTGGTTTCGGAAACTTGGTCGACCGCAATCACTGTCCAGGATTCTCAATTTCTCTTCACAGGGCTCTTGACATAAGTGTGTTGACATCCTAAATATACCTGTTGCCTGCGTGGTGCTGACGAGGGAATCATCGCCCACCTGATTTGCTGCACTTGATTGCATCTCCTTGTCCTGCGACACCCTTCTTGGGTACAAATGCACAGATTTGTGAGTGGGCCACTGATGGTTTATTAAATCTTCTGAATGGGCTTTGAAACACTCGCATGCTGAGGACACCAGTGTGTCAATCATTCAAAGAGCTCTTCAAGTACCAGAAGAGTAAAGCAACTCAGTCAACAGCGGCAGAAGGGCAATCACAGGTCTCCTCTCTCAGCGATGTTCGGCAGAGGAAGAGGCAGGGGCAGAGGCAGAGGGGGCCGATCCATGACCCCTACTGCACTGCGCAGTGAAGTTGGGGACGCTGCAGCGGCCGAGCTTGAGAAACCACCACAGCTCTTTCCGGTGATCACGACCTGCAGTCTCTCTCCATTTGGGCACCAATATATAGATATTGCTGGCCTTCACAGCTGTAGTCTTAGATGGTGCCCTCTGGCCCATACGCTATTCTGACACGGGAGCTACTGGCTTGCTGTGCAGGAGATTGATTTGCCAATCGTCCCAGATTTGGACAAGGAGGGATCACAGCTCCTGGTAGGCCCTGATGATCAGGCAGTTGTGAATTGGGGACATCAGCTTTGGCATGCAGGTCTGAAAGACGTGTGCCTTTGCCAGGGCTACTGGAGGCATCTTGGGCACTTTTACAAAACCTCCTGCTACAATCTGCAGTCAACTGAGGCAAAGAAACGTGAGTTGTGGCTGCTAATGACATTCTCTATCTTGCACAGCGGCTCTGACATTTATAACATTATTGCAGTGCATTAGAAGAAACTGTTCCATGCTCTCTACAGGGTCTGTAGAGGACGATCCATATGCGTCTCTGTCACGCAAAAAAGCTGTTGACAGAGCGCCCCTTTCCTCTGTCCTCACGCTGGACAGTAGATACTTCCCAGAGGAGTTATTCAGCGCAACAGAGAAAAGGTGCGACCGCGAAATATCTTTAAATAGATCAAAGTACACTTACCTCAGCTATGCAACATTTTGAGAACGGCAGCTGATGCCGGTGTGCTTTGTTTGCAGAGCATCTGTGCGTGCGGCAACGACAAAGGCATTCGCGCCTGTTGGCAGGAAAGATGCAGGTGTGAAGTCCATCTCATGCGCTCCAACCAATTGTATACCAGGATGCCATCTGCACAGGCAGGCAATGTAACTGCACTGGACTCGCAGGTGCAGATATCTTTGACCGCTTTGCCAAGCTGGAGAGTGGGGAGGGTGCTGAGGAAGATGGGGGCAGCAAGCGGAAGGCAGGGGGCGGGGCAGGGGCCAGGGAAGAGGGGCGGAAGGAGCAGGGTGCAGAAGGCCCTGAAGATGAGGAGCTATTGGAAGAAGAGGAAGATGCAGATTTCCAGGATGATGACGACTACCTCATAGTAAGCACTGTGACCTGGAGTTACATTCCAAGTGTCAGAATGAGATATGCATCGAACACCATCTCCTGGCATGTGCGGGCAGCTCAAGTCTGCTGTATCTTTCGCCACCAGACTTGCTTTGCTGTGCACATATCTGAAGGAGGCTTTCATGCATGCAGGGGGAAACCTTTGATGACGACGAAGGCTATGATGACCCATACAATGACGGGGACGATGAAGGACCAACATATTGATGTTCCTGGAACAGGACTTTAGAACTTCATTGCAACTTACACACAGGTCCTATAATAATTGAGGGGCAGTGTGTTCACAGTAATTGTGTTATGGTGGTCTATTGGATGGGGAGCACTCTCCTGTAAATGCTCGAGTCATTAAATACCAGTGCAACCTGAACTGTCTGTGCCAAAACCACAACACAGCTTTGCACAGAGATAATCTATTTGGCTTTCTTCTTCTTGCTGCTCGGTTTGCGCTGCTTCATAGCTGTCTTATTTGGAAGTTTGCTCTGCACCTTCTTGCCCTTTGCTTTTGATGCAGTCCTTTTGCGGGGCTTTGGATCTGGGATGCCCTCAGCGCTGAAGGCAGCTTCATCAGAGTCACTTTCCAGACCAAAGGTTCCTGTGAATAAGCACAGCATGCCTCACTAAGTTTCCATATCTCTTGTAGCAGCCTTCAGAGAGAGCAAATGCCAGTATGCAGACCTCGTGTGCAATGGTCTGCTAAGGCAGAGACGCGAAGGAAGTTTGGGAAAAGCGCCTCTACACTGCAAACGCCATCGTTCCTGCCTGAGCTCGGCATATGAACCAAGAGCAGTGTACTCGCTCCTTGAACCAATTCTGTGCTGTATTGTGTACCTGCGCAGGAGTACGAGCGTTGCAAGAAAAAGACAACAGACAGGCCATCATGCTTCCCCGTTAACCTGACTGCAGTTGTTCATTGCCTCTGACAGGTAATCTCCTCATCTTTATTTGTCAGAGCTTCCAGCAATTGGGCTCTAATTTACCTCTTAGGTCTATGCATGCGCCTTCATGGTCGTCTGTCTCTGTATCTCCTGGCGAGTCACTCCTGGCACGGTGCTTTGTGAGATGCCTGCAGAGCCGTCCCACCACCCCACTGCAGGCAATGGCAACTTTATGGGCTGCAGCACTTTAGTGCTCAGTTTGGAATTGACAACCCCTTGGGCAGAGGTTGAGGCAATTGCAATGCGCTCACCTGTCCCCATGCATGTCCATCATGCCAGGCATCTCACACAATACATGCATGGCAGCTGATTTGCATGCTTGAGCTGAGACTATAAGAGGAATCTCCTGCAGGTGCATCACCAAATGAAATGATGTCTTGCAGTTGCATTATTCGTCCATGACAATAAGACATCAAAAGTGCTAGCAGTGCCAGAATTCTGGAACAGACTGCTGCAGTGAGAAGTATCACCTCCTGTACCGCATTGCAAGCAGCACCACCAAAGCATGCATTTGCCGCTGGGACAGTCCTCAAAGGAGCTTGGTCCTGCTGAGCAAGGATCTCGTTGTGCATATCATGGTGATCAGCAATATTGGTCTGCACAGCTCCATTCCAGTGGCTGTCATGATCATCTGCATATGCAGGAAGGACTCAGGTGCTGACAAGGCGCAAAATGGTGAGCAAGCAGACTTGAAGATGCGCCATGCAATTGATTTGGACACGTTTTGTATGCAACACAGCCGTTTGGTGTGGACAGGGCTAGAATTCTCTGCTCACCAATCGTGAGAATATCCTTGGGCTTTTTTAAGTCGCCAACTCTCTCCTTCCACTTCGCCTGTTCTCGCAGGGACTGTTCTGCAGGTATCCTAGGCAATGGAGACGTGGGGTGGGGCACAGGAGAGAGAGAACGTATTCTTGCACGTCCTGCACACGCCTGCTTCAGACTGTCGTCAGGTGTAGTCCAGCCTGCGTTCTCTTGCTGGAAGCATTGCAAGCTCTGACGTTTTGCACGCCCACGAGAGAACGTGATCATCTCCCCTGTTGAAATTAGCATCAGCAAGGAGAGCGTCTGAAAACACAGGGGAGAATGCCTTGAGATGAGTGCCCACCGTCCAGTGCCTAATCAGGAGGGAACTCTGAACACATGCATGTAAATTCCCGAGAAGAAGTAAGCGCAGGCTTTGGATGGGATGCTTGGATGAAGTACAGTGGCAAAGCATGCGCTGCTCTCAAAGGTTTGTCAAAGGCAGAAAGCCGGATAGGAAAAGATGGCTTTATGCAGCATCATGCGATTATAGTACATTCTCACACCTTCATAAAAGAAATCAACCTGGCAGAGCAAAGCCTCTATTGTAACCACAGCTGCAGATGTCTGTAGTCCCAAGAGCAGGCCGCTAGTCTATTGTGACCTGGCGCGCATACCTGAGGTATGATTGCCCAACAAACCCCTGGTTTTCCAGGCAACCATTGCATGCTCCACAACCATCGCACCCTGTCTGGATGGCTGGCGCTCCACCAAATGCTGTGAATTGCCAAGCACATTCGTCAGGGCCAGGATAGGGAAGCCCAGTCCATGGCGCCAGCTGGTCAATCAATACCGGGTGGCAGTTGACATTCTCCCAACGAAAGCGCAAGTTCTCAAGATCTGCCATGAAGTCTGCTACATTCCGCACTTATACTGCCAAGGGCAGCGCAGGTGACATCGCGCGGATGCACGCCTTCCTCAAAGATCAAGTACACATCTGTGGCGTCCACCGTGAGCACCTCAAGGTTGCGCAAGGATGCCTCAATGACTAAAGGTCCCCCGGCTGTCCCCACATCAGAGGAAGCATTTGGGCGGTCAGAGTGCGCCATTATGATGTTCAGTCGCGTCAGCGACAAGAAAGGCAAGTGCAACGTTTCTATCATTCTGGCACATCTGGTGGGGGCACATGCGCAGCATGGAGCAATCAAGAAGTAAGTCATCCCATTCCTTGAGCAGCGAGTCCAGATCGGCCTCCAGAGGAAGGGTCTGCAGGGCAGGCAGCTCCAGACCCCATGGGAGAACGTTCACAAGCTCTAGAAGGTGCAAGTATTCAAGGCCCTCTAATTGTATCAACAGTGCCTGTTGACACCGATTGAATGTGATCGACACAGTCTCCAAGTTGCTGAGGGCCGTAATGGACTGACAGCATTTAAGTGGCAGATAAGTTGTCGCTGTCAGGCAGAGGTGCCTCAGATTGTCCAACACCGGCAACGGTGGGACCGAGGCTGTTCTCAGCGACAAAAACTGCAGATTGGGCATGGCAGCCAAGAGATCCCCTAGATATGGTATGCTAGCATTCTTCTTTGGGCAGCATGACAAGGTAAGCTGCTGTACAGATGGCATCGGTTTGATATTCCTGGCCAGCAAATACACCACCTCGTTATTGGAGGCACCAACCTCTTGCAAGTTGAGCACATGTATCTCCATTCCTGTCCAGGAATTGAAGAACCATTGCAGGTCTTTGGGGCTCCTGGGCACATCGATGAGGAACCACCGCTTAACACCAGCAGACGCCTTGCTAATGCCACAAGCCTGGGCCCAATCCTCTATGTTCAGGTGATACAATATCTGCTCCCATACTTCTTGTGGCAGCTCCAGGACCTTTCTTTGACGCAATTCGATCTCCACGGTGTCACTCACGAGGCACCAGCCACTTGAAGGAAAAAGACCTTTGGTCTTCCAGATAAATCCTTTACACACAGATGCCCGCAATGCCTTCTAATTAAGGACATGCATGTGAGAGCACCTAAGGCAAGTGCGGTGCACCGGATGCTCCGTGCAGGACCAGATTATCTAGGAATCACTAAAGCCCTTCTCATGCGAGGAGCTCCTGATATTCCACAAGACGGCAAGCTGGTGTGTGGGCAACCCACCGCAAGCATCGCCTCAGCAGCACAGCCGCATCATGCAATCACAAATCTTCTGAATAGGCAAACCTGTACATCAGATAGCATCTTCGCCGAGCTACAAGTGATGTCTGACGATCAAATCTGGGGCAGTAAGTGCTTCTGCGTATTCGCAGCAAGACCTGTTGTTCTGTAGACCAAGACAAGGAGTGCTATGCCATCAAGGCTGGCAAGACAGTGCTATCAATAGAGATCACTGCTCCATCAGGGCAGTTTTTCTATCATTTGCTGAGCACATGCCGGCGCATCGACGCCAGCACACATGGGCAACACAGAAGGCTGCCCTCACAAATTCTTGGCCTGCCATTTTAGACGCATCATTAAACAGTCTGCAGAAGCAATCACACACGGGGGCATCCCATGTTTCACCAAGGACTGCAGTGATGCACGAGGGACCCGAGCATTCATATCCCAGAGTGCTGATTCATCCACAGATTATTCACAGCTGCCAGGCACGCCATCGACGGCGCATTGAGAGCGCGCATGTACGGCTGCTGCCAACAAGCCTCTCGCGGGCGCACTGTGCGCGCACGTGCGGCTGCTGCCCCCGTGCGCGTTGCGGGGCTCAGCTGTAGTTGCGCTGCAGGAAGGGGTCCAGCGGCTTGCCGAGTGCGTACACGATGAACCCCATGGAGCGCAGGTGGGCGTGGTCCAGGATGTTGCGCCCGTCAAAGACAAACGCCGGCTTCATCATGGAGTCGTAGATCTTCTGGTAGTTCAGGCGCTTGAACTCGTCCCACTCTGTCAGCACTGCCAGCGCGTGCGAGTCCTTGCACGCCTGCACCAGGCCAGAGCCAACCCTTCAATATCCCCACCCTCATCTTTACACCAGACTGGTGAGAATTACCGGCACCTCCTCCACACTTGTGCAACTCAATCCCACCGCCCCGCATCTTGCCTTTGTACAATACCTTATGTATACCGACCCCATGTTGGCGCTGCATGCATTATTATTCTTATTACACGTTATTCCTGCCAAGAGGCAAGGTGCGTCCTGCAGGCACGGTGCTCAGTGTTGATACCGCCCCCTGCCAGCCGGGGTCCATGCATTAGCACATCTAAAAGGGAACTTGCCAAGAGGAGAGGGGGGTATGAGGAGGGAGGGCTGACCTCGTAGGCGTCCTTGAAGACGGAGACGGAGTTTTGGCGGGGGGACTTGGTGCCGGCGGTGGTGGGGTGGTCCCACATGAACTTGCCCAGCGACAGGTCATTGTGGATCTGGGCCTCCGTGACCTTGGGGTCGTAGATGTTGATCAGGGCATTGTCTGCCATCAGCCCCTTGCACACATCGATCGCCGGCGTCTCGCGCGTGTCACCCGTGTCCTGCATGCATGCGTCGTTTTTTTTAATTAGTTTAAGGGGTGCAACCCGCCGTGTCATGGTCATGCATGCATGACATCAGGATGCGCTGTGATCCGTGCATGCATGCAATCAGGCAGGGGTTGCCAGTGGGCACCTTCTTGAAGGCAAAGCCCAGCACGGCGATCTTCTTGCCAGAGATGGTGTTGAACATGGCGTCGATCATGCGCTCCACAAAGCGCTGCTTTTGGTAGTCGTTGATCTGGACCACCTGCGCCCACCATTGCAAAGCATTGAGCGCAACCCCCTGTGAAATGAGAAGGGTCCTGTACGTGATCAAAGGGCTGATATAATTTAGGGCGCACCTCATAGAGCGGACAACAATACAATTGCAACGGCAGAGCATGCCATGCAGGGTAGGATAGAAGACTGACCGAATTCCAGTAGTCTGCCACGGTCTTGAGGCCGACGGTCTCGCAGATGTAGACCAGGTTGAGAATGTCCTTCTGGAAGCAGGATCCGCCAAAGCCCACGCTGGCGTTCAGGAACTTGGGGCCGATGCGGCTGTCAGTTCCGATGGAGTGCGCCACCTGTTGCGCCAACCAAATTGGCTCAGTCTGACCGTTCACTCACTCAGAGAATCCTTCCTTTGTGCATGCACCAAATGCCTGTGCATGGCACATGACATGCATTAGTGATCAGCAGCAGCCTAGGATTTTGTGTCAGCCCAAAGCAGAGAGATTCATTTTCAGGTCGCCAAGCACCTGCTGCACGTCTGCGCCGGTGGCCTCACAGAGGGCGGAGATGGAGTTGATGGAGGAGATGCGCTGGGCCAGGAAGGCGTTGGCGGTCAGCTTGGACAGCTCGGCAGACCACAGGTTGGCGCACAGGATGCGCTCAGTCGGGATCCAGTGCTCGTACACGCTCTTGAGCACGCCGATCGCGCGCTGCCCGCTCTCTGTCTCCTTTCCACCGATCAGCACCTTCACAGGAGCAACAGAAACTGCGTGAGCAACATCAGACTTTGGCTAAATTGAGGGCATGCATGCATGCAGCACAAGAGACAGGGCAGGGCAGGGCATGCGCATGTGCTGCGGTTTGTGGGCGCACCCTGTCAGGCTTTGCCAGGTCCTCCATGGCTGTGCCCTCTGCCAGAAACTCGGGGTTGCTCAGGATCTCAAACGCAACGTTGGGATCCGCACAATTCCTCCGCAGCACCTGTTCATGACCAGCATGCATGTCAGTGCCTTTGCCTAGGTTCCCACATTGTCCATCTCTTCCACTTCGTTCAGCAAACAACGGGCTTTCTCATGCTCCTGGGCATTCTCACGCGGCGAGAGCACATTCTACCTTCTCAATAGCCTCAGCAGTCTTGACGGGCACGGTGGACTTCTCGACCACAATCTTTGAGGTGGTTGAGACAGACGCAATCAGACGAGCTGCCCCCTCCCAGTATGTGAGGTCTGCTGCCTTGCCAGCGCCTACTCCCCTTGTCTTTGTGGGAGTGTTGACACTGCAGGGCACAAGCATGGTTCAGCATTGAATTACATGCATGGCAGAAATTTTGCAACAGCATAACATGCAGGTCATGATGCATGGCCAAAGGGCCACCCTGTGCATGATCGGTGACTGAATGTTCCCACAAGCAGAAAGGAGTAGCTTGCATGCATTGGCCAGGGGCATGAGGCACCTGACAAATATGATGTCACCCTCTGCCACATGCTTTTGGGTGTCTGTCGAGAAGAACAGATTGCGGCCCCTCGCAGCCTTGACGATCTCGAACAGGCCAGGCTCGTAGATGGGCAACTCCTGTTCAAAAGCATCAGAACACAATTTTGTCAGGGACCTGACATCTGAAAGATACCTGTAGAGAGACCTAGAGGAGGAGAAGGTTCATTCTCGACATTGTCGATACAAGTGTCGCTAAGCAGTGACATCCTTGTCGTGTCCTTGGAGGTTGATTGGGAGTGGTTACCTCAGAGTTCCATGCAGCAATCCGTGCAGCATTGATGTCCACAACCACGACCTGGATATCTGGACATTTGTAGGCAATCATAGCCATGGTTGGCCCTGCGTCATAAACCAGGAAGATCGGTTCTCTTGAAGTTCACTGAGGAACTCCACATCGTCCCAGATCTGCCATCGTTCACTTGCGCAGTAATTCTCTGTAAGTAGAAGCTGGACAAAAATAAATTTAAATAATAGTGAACCAACTAATGCAGCCATGACCAACAACACGAATGATCTTGGGCATTTTTTGGCGGGGATGAAGATTCAGGACAGCACAAACTACAGAAGGTTGATATTCGTTGAGGAAATCATGTGCATGTCACTTGTTATTTATAGACATACCGCCGACATAGCCAGCACCGATGCATGTGATCTTCATTGCGATGCGAATCCCAGCCTCTCAACTCCCACGGTCGGGATTTGGATTGGTGCTCACTCTTCCGTCGATTGCAGCCAGCTCCGTCTTCAAGTCACTGTGTTACTGCTTCGGAGCCGTAAAAAAGTGAAATCTCTATATGGAAGCGGAGCGATCTCTAAATGCCTTTCAGAGCAAGTTTGAACAAGGACGGTTTGCAGGACGCCCTCAAAATTATAGACTGCCAAGTTGACGCTCGTGTTCTCTGGCGTTGGACTTGTGGTGCAAGCTTTTTTTAAAGGCACAAGAACATGCATGCCCCAGCAAAATGCCCTGTGAACTCATGTTCACAAGTTAGGGTTCCGGCCGCCACTATTGCAGCTGCAGCCCTTTAATCAAGGCTTGGGCCACTGGCAGCTACAGTCCTGCCAGGCAGTGCCAACACGGTGTATATCTACTAGATAGTATCTGGATCTGTCAACTTCCTTGCAGCGGCGAAGCTACATGAAGGTTCACCTTGACCATTGCTTGAGAATCTTTGACAGGGCACCGGTGCGCAGCATGCGCCGCATGCCATGCCATGCAATGCGGGCTGGCCGTGCTCAACAAGTGATTGGAATGCTGTAGCTAGCGCTGTACGGCAACAATCCGTGCATGCCAAACATAGAGAGCAGCAACACCGCAATCAGTGGCAGCGAACTGCCTCTTAAGCGTTCCCTGAAATTGATGTTCCAGCAGATATCTGCTTATCGATAAGCACTAGATGCACACAATAGCAGTGGCGGATCTCAGCAGTCTTGGGGACTTGCAGCGCCCACACTGAGATGCTACAGCTCCTGCTCATTCTCAATGGCGCCTGCTCGTTGACTGAAGAAAACATGCAAAACCATAGTAACTATTGGCCACAGCACTCCATTCACTTCAAGACGCGAACTCCTTTGTCAGCACAGACTGGGCCTCCTTCTTCAGGATCCAGATCTCATTGTGCCTGTCAAATACACAACCCAAATCAATCAATTGACAACATTGCACTTGCAAGTAGCAATCTTCACCAAAACGGCCGGTGAACAAATTGCACATCCTTGTGATAGGATGACCTGAAATACACATCAAATTGGAAGCTGCGTCAGAGCTGGTGGGAATACCTGTTCTGCAGACGGAACGGCGGGTCATAGCCAGCTGTGAAGAAGACACCCTCCTGGAAGCTCTCACCCTTTGCCAGCAGCTTCTTTGCAAGGGCTGCAGCCTGATGCAGAGACCACAGCGATTCAGAGAAAGAGGTATGCAGACATCAATTGTATATGGTGCAATCTTCCAGCCCTTTGGGAAAAAAACAGTGCAACACGTCATCAGGATGCAAAAGGCACACCTTTGCTGAAATGGTGATGTCATCCATGCCGAAACCTCCATATTGAGATACAAAGAAGGTTGCGCTTGGCGTGCTCTGAATGAACACATCCTTGCTTGACGGCTTTGGTGTGTCGTCCTGCTCGAAAATGGTGCCCAATTCATTCACAGCAGTAAAAAGAGTTCTAGTCAGGCACGATGAAGGTACTTCTTCTAGTTCCATTGGCTTGATGATGCTGTCGACCATGTCGCTGCTCAAGAATCGAATACACTGCATGCAGATCAACGGCAACACGCGCCTGCTCAGAGAACGGCACGAAGAACGAAATTGTGAAGTTGTTCTTGCAGAAAGGCCCGTCGCCGTGCTCCACCTTTGTGACCACAGGTGCTGTCATGTTGATCTTCACCTGGGGCTCGTTCTCGCCGCTGATGTAATCGAAAAGGCGCTGCAACCACACACTACCGGAATCAAGCACTGCAACTCAGGACCTGTACTATGTCAGGGAGGACACACCTGGGACACCTAGGCAACTAGACATGTGACCAACCCAGGCTTACCTTGAATCCTTGGACGATGCTAGCGGAGTAAAGGTAGCCCTCAATCTTAGTGGAGGCCCATTTGCCTGTGTGATCGCCGAGGTCAGCAGGCGTACCAAGGTGAGAACTAGACACTCCTGACTGCCATCAAGAAGCAAACATGGTATTCAGCAATGGCTGCAGCCTCACCTTTGCTGTACTCACGCACTTCGTAATCATCGTTCTTTTCTACCACATCGTATTCGGGACAATCAAGATCATGGCAGAACCAGGGCTTGGAACTCTTCGCGGAGGTGATCGTGAATGTAGTGCCAAGCAAGAGCAGAATCGGCAGGGCACACGACTTCATCTTGGACTGCAACTTTCTTTGATTTTCGTTGGCAGTGTTCACTCTTCTGTTGGAGGAAAAGGCACAACGTGACGCATTTCGATGCTCCAGTTGCTCATGAGCTTCCGGTACCGTTGCCTACTCAGGCTTGGCTTAAAACCCTGGAGCCAACAGCTAGCTGTTTGACACACTCTGAGCCGCTCAGCTACTTCTTTTCCATTAAATAGATATTTGGGTCTCAGGAAAATTGCTCTGTCGCAGTGTGAGCCTGTACAAGCCCGCCTCTGGAACCACCAAAGGCATGGGACTTAATCGGAGGACCACCCAACTGACTAGAAAAGCGGATGACTGTGCTCAGACAAAGCTGTTTGGCAAGAAAAGATTGATAAATGCCAGCGTGTCCAGCAGAGACGTTGGTGACAGTCTGCCTGTTCTAGGACTATTAGCATGTGCAGTACTAGCTGTGCTGCTGCCCAGATTGCACAATATACCATTGGAAGTGGTAAAGGATGGGATCTGTAATGCTGAAACCGCTGGAGGACACCCTGCAAGCGACGCCAATATCGATAGGGTTGCAGACTGGACAAGGAGAGACTCTCAGCAGAGGAACGACAATGCCACAGTTGAAGCCACTCTAGAAGCTGCAGTCATGGGGGCGTTCCTCGCAGATGCTGCCAGCTTGGGGTTCCAGGGGTATGTTCCAGTGGCCCAACAACGCAAAAGGAACCTATAATGACCTCTTGCTAAAAGAGTTTTGTCTGCCAGATTGTATGATGCAGACCGAATGCAGAAGCTGCTGCACAAGGATGATGGAAAGTCAGTGCCGCCAGAATTTCACAGGCATCTGGAAATCGAGTACAAGGTGCGTGCAACTTATGAAACTCCCGTCACAGCAAAGTGGCCTGGTCCTGTCATATATAAACCTTGATGTTAATTGGCACTTACATCACAGGCAGCCAAGGGCTCCTTCTCAGCGTATGCATATGAGGTGCTGCCGCTAATGCACACCCTGCTCAGCAAAAACCACTTGGAGGCAGAGCAGTTCAGAAACGACTCCCTGGCCTTCCTCAGCGGCTACCGTGGGCACAGCGGCCCCCTGATGCAAGAGTTTGCCAGCAAGTCTAGGCGGGGGCTGAAGGGGGCGGACGCGGCTGGCGACACTGACCACGCACACAGCCTTGTCAAGGTCAGCGCACCCACTGGTGACAGCAGAGCATAGCCCTTCACCCACCAGCTTCCTTGACCCAGCAACAGGGATGCAGTCATTTGTCGGCTTGAGATTGCCACAGTCCCGGAGTGTTCTGCGCTGTGACGGATACGGCTGGGCGCTGCACAGGTGCCACTGGTGGTTGCCAGATACGCGGGTGACGATGAGCTGGCTGACAGGCTGGCGGCCGTCATAGCGGTGCATCAGGCCAACGAGGAGGCCACGGCTGCAGCCCTTGTGTTCTCGGCCATCCTGGAGCGCATGGCCCTCCATGGTGCCACCATGCAGGTACATACTACCCAACTTAAGATTGTCAAGCCATTTTATCTTCAAGATGGGTCTTGCTGAACTATGTGACCCAACGCACCAAATATATCCGCACGCAGCAACTGCTAGGCATCCAACCCGAGAGGGAACCAAGATGCCCTGTGAACTAGGCAGGGAAAGGTGCTGAGAGTTTTCCAAAAACCTAAGCAGGAAGCAGCAGAGTGGGCAGCAGGAGAGGGCAGCTCGCTGGAGAGGGGGAGAGGGTGGGTGAGGGAGGTGCTTGAGCAGCAGCAGATGGGCGCGGTTGAGGGGGTGCAGCACTTTGGGAGTGGCCCCAAGGCAGTCAGTGTGCTGCAGAGCAGCCTCCACCTGGCCCTCTCAGCAGGCAGCTATGTGGACGGCGTGCGCAACAACATCATGGCCGGCGGCGACACAACAAGCAGGTACAACATCTGCCACTCAGGATGGCATGCTTTTTGACAAGTACTGTAACTTGTGCTGCCGAGTAGATGAAAATTCAACACTTACCAAAGTCCTTTCTGGACCCCAGCATTGCGCCAGCAACCCAGCAATGCAGGTGCAACGAGCCATGCGGAAAGTTTGATTGCTTCTGCATGGGAAGCATATTGAATGCTCCAAGAGGGTGGGAGGTGGCATGAAGTGATCGTATCTGACTTGCAGCGTGGGATCGTGATCAAGAAATTGAAGGTGGTTGTCTCTGGCCATGCAGGGCGCATGTCGTGGGAGCGCTGCTGGCTGCTCAGCATGGGGACTCCAGCCTGCCAAAGAAGTGGAGGAAGAAGGCCACCAAGTTCATGGACGTGAAGCAGATGGTGCATGTGATCATTGTGCAGCGCACACAGTTTGTGCCTTTCTTCATCAACCGTGACCCCAGGCAGAACCCTGATGCACCCAGAAATGCAACTCTTGTTTGATTGGAGGAATCAGTGCTTGACATTTAAAAAACTATCGTCTTGGCAAGGGAGAGGTCACTACACAGGATGGGTGAAAGGTTGCTGTACACCACAGAATTGCTTGATTGACACCTTCAAGGTTTTTAACAAATTTGCACAGGGTGCAAATGCAAAACGATTTGCAAGTCGTTGCCTACATGATAATTCGCCAAGGAAAAAGAACTTATTCCTGAACCTCCCACACAGCTGCACGCTCAATGAAATACCCAGCACTGCACTGCAATTGCAATCTCAGGCGGTATAAACAGATTAAACACGCCGCTCGCTAAAAGCACACCAAGGCTGATGCGTGCAAACACAATGCTTAATATAGATCTCCATGGTCAGATGCATTGTCCGAGCTGCTGCTGCTTGCCAGTGCACCTATGCCACACTCGTCGTTCGTAAGCCTGTTTCAGCCTCAGCAAGGCGGTCAAAGCTAATCAAGTGCCAGAATATCACAGAGAGACACTCGATAGACTGATGTCCCTTCAAAGAGATGAGGCCTCACAAAGATCCTTTTAAGGACCACCAAAGAAGGAAAGAGCCAGGTACCACCTCAGCCATTATCAGATGGAGTAAATCTTAAATGGTAAAGATAATGAAACATTGCGAGAGCTGTTGGTGTGACTGCCCTGCCTGAGCGTTTCTAGCACGCCCGGCACTCATGGGACAATACCTCTTACTGAATAGGACAGCTTGACAACCTCCGTCACCCTGCCTCACAGCGCTGGGGCGATGGCAGCCCCCGACACAGGAGGGGCCATGCCGGCCTGGGTCGCGAGCATCTGATCCACGTCAAAGTCGGCCGCAGCGAATTCTGCCGCCTCTGCCGCCCCTTCGGTGCCACTCTCCTGCTCCGCGCCTGCCGGTCCATTGGCGCATGCCGCGCCGAACGGCAGGCCCTGCAATGCCGGCTGCTTGTTGAAGCTGTCCGGCACGCCGGCCGTGATGGCGGAGGCCGTGCTGATTGACATCGCCCCCGGCTGGCTGGCGGTAAAGCCGGCCGGGACGCCGGTCAGGCCGCCGAAGCCCACGGCAGACGCGGCGGCCGCTAGGGCGGCACTCGCCGGGGTGCCGGCGGCGGCGGCCGCCGCGGCGGCTGCATGCGCCATGTTCTGGGAGACGATGATTGCAGCATTGATGATCTGTGCGGGAGTGGCGCCCGGCTGCGAGGCGGCGATGGCTGCCACAGCGGCCTGGGCGTCCGCCATCTCCTTGGACTGCGGCGGTGTCGCCATGAAGGCCGCGGCCGCATCTGCCGGCAACAGGCCGTCGCTCGGCAGCTCCATCGGAATCGCCACGAGCCCTGCACAACCCCAGCAACCCACTCAGTAAATCTCCTGCCACACTGTGTCCGCTACACGACAGATGTACCTGAATTCCAGAACGGTAATGCGCGCGTTCTGGCAAATTTAAAGGTCTGTCATGCATGCACAAGCGCTGGGCCTGAGGTATACCGGGGGCCGCGGAGGAGGGGCTGGGGTCGGGGGAGATGTCATCTTCGGCGCGTTTGCGCTTGTGGGTGTCCTCGCCCGTCGGCGTCACGATGGCGCCGGAGCTGGAGGCCGGTGTGCCTTGCGCGGTCGAGGGCCTGGACTGCTTGGCCGGCTGCTGCGGCGACTGCTGCGTCTGGGCAGCGGTTGGTGCCTGGCTTGCTGCTGCGGCTGCGGCCGGGGCGCTCTTGTTGGGTGTAGTGCTGTTGGGGGGTGTGTGGCTGCCCTCGCGGCCGGTCAGCGCCAGCAGTACTGCCGCCTTCTCTGGGCTGGCCTGGCTTGGCTGCTTCTCACCTGCACACGAATTGTTAGCATGCCTTCAAGCCTGAATACTGCAATATGTCACCTTGAAGCACTGTTGCTGCCGATCATGTCTTCATGTGAAAACTGGAGTTTAGGAGCATTGAATGGTGAGAAATGCGAGTGGCATAGGGAGGCTTTGGCCTCACCGTTGGACATGTTGGAGGTGGGGTTGGCATTGCGGTGGGGCTGCGGGGTGAGCGGGGCCGGCTGCAGCGACATGGACACGGCCGGCAGCGCGGCAGAGGTCGACACGGATGTCACCGCAAGGCACTCTTCCAGCGCCGACCGCTCCGCCTCCACGCGCCGCAGCGCCGCCCTCGCCTCCTGCACCAAACCCCAGCACCGCCCTGTCAGCTCACCACACCCTGGAGACATGAACAAATATTTGCAAGATCCGGAAACTGCTGAAGCAACTACTGGATCATACCCAGGCCCAGCCCCCAGCAAGGAGATGGGTACTCATATTGGCCCTATTGTCATGCTGCGACCAACGTCTTTTCCGAGTGTACACACTCTACACTCTACTACTACACTCTAGAGAGTGGCAGTCATTCCTGCCAGGCAGGGTACAGACAGAAAGAGGCCCCTCACCTCGAGCTGCTGGCGCAGGCGGGCGTTGTCGGCGTCGACGGCTGCGCGGGCCTGGTGCGCGTGGGGCCCGTCGCTGGCGGCCAGCACCTTGGCGAGCTCGCGCTGCAGCGCCTCTGCGACGGCCTGGCTGCCGGCCGCGCGCTCCTCGGCCGCCTGGCGCGCCGTCTCGGCCTGCGACCGCGCCACGTTCAGCCGCTGCACCTCCAGCCGCAGCACCGACACCTGCGCACGTCGCAAGATGTCTCATATATCGCACACAGTGTCACACTCCTACAGGCTTCAAGAGACAAGAGAGTGTATTGAAGTGTATCCCAATGAAATGATGGATGCTCAGCTGCAATATATCGCAAAGTGCCTCATGTGGGCAGACTTAGGGTCCATGCTTCGGAGACACATCGCCTGGGCATTACACAATGTGCTGCAGTTTGGGGAGCTGGCGTGGAGAGCACACCATGCGGGGCACGGACACCTGTGCACGCTGTGCCAGCCGCTCCTTGGCCAGCTCCCACGTCTGCTGCCCCAGCACCTGCCGCAACATCGCCACATCAGCATCTGTGACCATAAACTCAACCCAGCCATCGCAGATGAGGCGTGACCACGGCATGTCCGCTGGCAGAACAGGCAGCATGAAGGATATAAGAGCGACAAAACATTTAACTGAAAGCACAGCACACCTTCTTCTCTTCGGCCTGAGCGGCCGTGCTGGGAGGGTCTGCGGGTCCGAGGTCGGCGCGCAGCGTTTGGGCGGCGACTGCCGCGGCGTGCTCCCTCTGGCGCGCGTCTTCCAGCCTCGCCTCCATCTCCAGCCGGTTTGTCCTCATGATGTTCACCTGCGCGCCCAACTGCCTCAGCGGCCGTGTTGGGATCTCACAAGCTGCTGCAAGGCAGGGGTTGTCTCCAGGAGCAGACACTCTTCTTCGCAGAGGAGCGCAACTAGGCATCATGTACCTGATGAAAAGGTACCTTGGGGCAATCATCAGAAGGGCATTCTTGTGGTTCACAAGGATTCCTGCATAAAACATAGGGGGCACATGAAAGGGTCGGCGCCGGCGGCACTCACCTCTTCATCAAGGCGCATGAGCTCGGCGTCCTTGAAGGCGCGGGACATGCCGGCCAGATTGACGGAGCCGTTGGCCGGTGCGGTGCCGCCGTTGGCCGCGCGCAGGCTGGCCCTGATGCCTTCCGCATCCTGACCATCCAGATCTCCCAAATCCATCGCATCCAGGGAACCCTGCAGCCACCGAGCTCAGCTCAGCTGCTGTCCATATTGTATGTATCAAATCACGTACTGTATCACAGATGACAGGCATGATACAAGTCTTGATGGTGCAATATTCAATCACACTATTATGGGTTGCTGGGGACGCTACCTGGTCGATGCCCTCCATGATGCTCTGCACCAGCGTATCGTTGTTGCCATTCAGCCCGTTCTCGCCGCTCCTCTCCTTTGCGAGCGCCATCGGAGCAGTCTTTGTCGCATCTGCAGGCGGCACGGCAACCGGTTCTCAGTGCTGAGCACGAATGTACCTCAGCATCGAGATGGTGCGGCGGAGGAAGCAGGCAGCTCAGCTCTGTAGTATTGCCGGGTGTAGAGCATACCTGGGGCATTGCTGACGGCGTTGAGAGCATTGGATGAGCCCTTGCGAGTGCTCTGCAACGGCCTGGCCCCAGCGCCAGCCTCCTGCATGCCACACTTGCCCTTCAATTTTTTGTGCTACCACCAGGATTCGACACATGTCTGTGAGCTGGTATTGCAGGTAATCATCCTAGCTAGTTTCTGAGTGTGCAGGATGCGCACTGCAGCCGTGGGAGATGCCGACTGGTTGATGGCAGGGGCGTTGGGGTTGGGGGACTGGTACAGGCGCGACCGCTGGCGCTTGACTGCCGGCTGCGGCACCGGCCACACCGCCGGCTTGCTGCTCACCTGCCCCTCCTCCACCGCAGCCGCCGCTGCGGCCGCTGCTGCTGCAGCCGCTGCCTGCCCCTTGTTGCCACCTGAGCAAACCCCAGTCTGCATGATGACCTTGAAGATGAATAGCTTTTGACACAATCGCAAACAAATTTAGACAATGCCCAGATCAAGGCAGGTCGCAGGCACACCTCCGGTGGCTGCCATCAGCAGTGCATCGAACAGATCCGAGCCGCCGGCCGACTTGGCAGCCGCGTTCGGATCGGCGCGCGCAGCAGAGATCGCTGCCGCCAAGGCTGGGTCCCCCAGCATGGGCGGCCGCGCGCCGCCGGCCGCCGCAGCAGCCGCCGCCACCGCTGCTGCGGCGGCCGCGGCCTGGCCTCGCACGCCTTGCTGCCCCCTTGCAGCCTCGGCCGTGGGCCAAGGCACCACTGACGCGCTCTGCTGCGCCCTGGCCTGCAGGCCCTCCTCACCCTCCTTGCCCTGCACCCAATGGGAGCCATGTTGCTGTTCAGCACCTCCTAAATCTCTAATACTTGCCTGCTGCCTGTTCAGCCACGCAGTGATCAGTTGGAATGCCCTTTACTTCTCCAGGCAGCGCGATATGTACTCAGAAAGGATTAAGTTTCAGACCTTGCGCGCAGGGTCCTTGGCGCAGATGCAGAAATCATCTCCAGCAGAGACCAGGATGGTGCCGCTGCCGTTCTTGGCATCGATGATCTCCACGTCCACCAGGCATGGGCACAGGCGCAGGAACTCCAGATCATAGCGGATGACAGTGGACAGATACTGGTCATCTGCCCCATAGCGGTTGCGGTCCAAGTTGGTGCTGTACTGGCCCCCCACGCCGTCTGACAACGAATGCCGCCGCAGCTCATCTGGCACCCTGTAGAGAGCAACATTACTCAAGAACCTTTGTGGCATCGTGTTATGGTTCGGCCCTTACGCTCCTGTTCCTGGGTGACCATGAGGGGAGAATAGCCAAGATCAGAAGCAGAGAGTATACCTGTGTGTCCCGCTAGAAAGCTCCACGACTTTGGTGCGCCTCGTGTTTGTTGACAGCATCTGCAGAAGAACACAATAGGGATCGATCAGTAGTTACGTTGAGAGGTCCCGCAGGCTAGATAAAGCAGGTATCCGTGGGGCTGTCTAGCAATTGTACAAAAGGCTGCATTGAACGTTGTAAAACGACATCTGCTCACCTGCAGAATGTTCCGAGGGTTCTCCACGCGCAAGCTCTCCACCTCAAAAAGTATCGACATCACCTGGTACGTAACGCAGGTGTCAGTGCCAAAAGCGACGAAAGCGTGCTGCGGTGACCACTCCTAGCCACTATAATGACAAGTGCACACACACACCTGCAAGAACGCCGAGGTGACGGACGCGCAGGCCTCTGTTTCGGCTGGCAACTGTGGATTTCCGTGGAGTTTGTGGCTGCAATGGAACAACACACAAAACTCAGTGATCACTCGAAAGCACATGCAGTATTGATCAAGGCCAGAACGAGCACTTATCTGTACACAACAGCTAAGCAAGCGCAAGAAGAGCAGCAGCATGATCCTTTCCAGGCAGGCACGTACCTGTAATGGTCCCATCGGAGGTAAGCCTTGTACCTGCATGGACAACACATACGCCCTTGAGTACATCTGTGCAACCATCGGGAGTTTCAGCTTGAATGTGGCTGTCCCGACCAGACCAATGTCTCGAAGTGACGGAAGAATCCCGCTCGTTTCGGAATATTTCGCAGGGTGGCAAACTGATCCCGAGCATGGCATGAGAGCGCACAGAAGCTGATTGTTGGTAGGACGGGATCTTCCCGAGCCGCCCTTAGCTTCGGAGTTGGTCAGCCGTTGGCTGGACATCCTGTGGCTGTTTGGTACTTTCCACCTGCCTGCCGCAGTGCTGATCTGGTTGCTTTTCGAGAACTGCAGATAAATGCTGCCGTAGCTCCCTCAGTACTGTGCTGCCTGGCTTCCTGTGAAGAACATTCTTCTGCCCTTGCCTTCTAGCCAGCCCTTTACTCTGTTCAGCCTTTGGCAAGGCAGTTTCAGATGGCCCTGCAAATACTCGTCAATATCCTAAGACATCTCAGAGCATCTGTCGTGATAGTCAGATTCTGACTCTTGGCACAGCTGATGACGAGTAAGGGCTTTTCTGCTGCAATTGCTGATGCCTTGTGTCAGCGCCACTGTGCTCCTTCCTCTTCCCTCGCTCTACCGATGGCACGAAGAAACCATGAACCTCAGATCACCACTGCTGCTGACTGAAGCTCATCGGAATGATGACGATCTGTGGCGGAAGCCCGAAGCTGAGCTGCCGGTCCGAAACGATAATCCCCCAACCCTCTTGTCACCACGTGGCCTGCAAACCCTATTACTTATTGGGAGCTCTGTCAGAGACTCTGACTCAGAATTTGCTGCTTTGCATGCAAGTCAATCTGTTACTCACTTATTGCAGATCTACATCGTTGGCATCACTAGGACGATGACTCGGGGTCATCGCTCGGGGTCAAGCTAGCATGCATATGCATATGCCCACAGGGCAGCTGGCAGCTGGGAGTGCCTGGGAGGCACGCCATCCACATGCTCGTTGCCATGGGACATTAGAATCTAGTAGATGCCGACTCTGTCATATCGTCAGTGCACTCAGATGGCATATTTGCTGCTGTCCTCAAGGTCTCAATCTTTGCTTGATTTATTCATATAGCCATAAATGGCTGTTTATGCAAGAGAAAATGACAAGGACTCTGATATGCTGATTCAGGATGAGAGTCTGACGACAATGACCGTGTCGGCCACAACATCATAATCAACATGAAGGACTGTTCGGCTGGCCTGGCCTCAAAATGACACATTGACCTGCAGAGCTCAGAGCGACACCCCATTGCGGGTGAATCTAAAGCGGAGCCCGGAACTTGCCCTGCCGGGCAGGTTCTGTGACTCCTCTGCACCCTCGCCTGGGTCCTGCTGCGGCCCACCCGCGCTGCCCTCTGCCTTCTGAAGCTCTTCCAGGCTGCGCTGCCGGCCCCTTTTCAGCCTCCCCTGGCCGGGCCCCCTGTCGTCATCCTGATCCTCCTCGCTGTGATCAGCCTTCTTCTCCGCCGACCTGGTGCCCTGCCGCCTGGGCCATCTCCCGCTGGCTGCCGCAACTGCATCGCCATTCTCAAGAGCCGCGCCGCCGCCGCCTCTGCACGGGAGCACTGGCGTCGTGGACGCCGCACGCCGCCGCGTACTGCGCGCCGGAGACGGCAGCGCGCCGTCCTCCGCCGGTGCGCCACGGTCGGGCGTGCCCATTAGTTCCCCTGCCGCCAATCCGTTCGGAAGGATGGGCGCAGACAGCTCCCGGCCGCTGCGCAGGGAGTGCCTCGAGATGGAACGGCGGCTCGCCTCCGGCTCGGGGCTGGCGGCCGCCGGCGGCGGCTGCGCAGCGGCTGCTGCGGCGGCGCGCCGGGGTGGCCGGGCCGGCCCGTCGGCGGAGGCTGGGGGCGGCAGCGGCGGCGGTGGGGCGGACCTCAGCAGCTGCCCGATGGGCGGCGATTCCAGGCCGTGGACCCGGCTGCTCACGCGCAGGCGCACCACCGGAAATCTGCCCGGTGCGCTAGCCGCCGCTGCATCGTCGCTGCCACTGGCGCCAGCGGTTGCCGGCTCCCGGGAGCGCAGGCCCCATCGTACGCTGCGTGCGTCCTGGCCGTGGGCGGGTGCGGAATGGTGCCCGTCCCTGTCTAGCCGCCGGGTGTGCCTGTGTGAGAAAGCTGCGCCGTCTGCTTCGGGCGAGTACCTGCTGACCATCTGGCGCAGCCGCGAGGGGAACCTGCTGTGACCGCCTAGAGGAATGCCGTTGGCCTCTCTGTGGTCCAGTGTGCCAGCATGCCTGTGCAAGGACCGGCGCCTGGTGTGCCTCGAAGGAGCCGCCTCCTCCTCATCGTCCTCATCTGGCACATCAGAGCACAACGCCGTCAACATCACAAGGCTAAGAGACTCGCACAACAGCTTTCAAGGCAAGCCCTCACAGTTACGCGCAACTCAATTAGTTGAGGCGACAGGACAGCAGTGCAGCATGACCCCAACTGTTCAGCTGTCATGCATGCCCTTGCACACAGTGCCCCAGCTGAGAATACGGCCAAAGTGACCAGACTGCTTGGGCACAGGAGCTGTTGCGGCGCACCATCTGATGTGGCCTCAATGGCGCCGAGTGCGTTGTTGTGCCCGCGTCTGCGCAGGCTACGCGGCCGCCTGGCAAAGTGGTGAAAGCCTGCGCTGTCCTCGTCATCTTGGCCATCTTCGTCCTCTGAAATCTCCACCTCCTCATCATCATCGTCATCATCCACCCCTGTGGCCTCATTGATGACTACCTCCTGCCCTTGCACTGCCGCAATGATGCACCCGGCCAGCTCTGCACACCACAACCATAAGATCTGCTCAGCCTCCATGCTGAGCACAGAGCCATGTGCCTCCTGCTCCTCAACGCCAAATGCAGAGCTCAACGCCAAAACTGCAGAGCTGAAGAGTCCGTGCACAACATGCCAACAGCTGCCATGCAAACATCTCAGATTATGGATAATCACAACAGCATGCAACTATGGTTCCTATGAGCTGCCGAGTAGAAACACTTGCACCCTCATGGAAGTGCTCTCTCATTTCCCCTTCCCCGTCAACAATATGGCAATCTGGAGATAGTACAAAGGAGTGTCTACGCACCCTCTGCAAGTTGAGCGACCTCGGAGCCCTCCCCGTTGAAGAGCACGGCATTGGAAGAGATGGTGCGCGCATCGTGCTGCAGCGCCTGCGGCTGCCGGTAGTAGCCGCTCTTCACCCGCTCCAGCACGTCAGGAATGGCCAGCGGCAGGGGAACCACCGCAGTGTACCACACCGGCGTGTCTGCCCACCACAACGCCATTCAGTCTTCTATGCGCACCTCCTCCTTGCAGCTTAGCAGGTCATGACAGACTGATGTATCCATAGCTGATGACTAAGTGTGAAAGTCCTGGGTGCATTGCTGGAGGACATGGAGGAGAGCGGCTGGAACACCATCCATAGCAAGGTGAGACTGCTCAAAATGGACGCCAAACCAGCTGGGTTGTGACACCAGGCGTGAAGTGCAGGCTCGCATGACCAACAGGGTGGTCGCAAACTTGACCTTGCCAAGAATGTCTCTGAAGGAGGCGGACGACACTCAAAGCAGTGGTCAACAAGGTCATGAATTTCTTTACTGCAATTTGATCTTAAAGATCTTAGGGATAACTGTACCATTGCTGTTGGCGTGGCGGCACTTCAGGGACTCACCGCCATCGCCGGTGCTGTAGACGGCGTCGGGCGTGGGTGTCTCAGCGAACAGCTGGAAGCGTGGGGCGCGCGAGAGGCGCTCCAGGGCGGCTTGAGCGCGCTGCTGCAGGCTGGGCTCCAGCGCCGGTGCCTCCGCCAGCACCTCCTCTGGCTGCACGTCCTCGTTGAACATCTCCCAGGGGCTCTGCTGCGACGGGTCCGCTCCCTGCCACATCATGCGCCTCTTACTAGCATGTTGTCTTTCCTGGCACTTGATCTGCGCACTGTTGTCATTGTATTTGTTTTGATCCCCCAACTTGACACAGATCAAATGCTTGGATCTAGAGTCAGCTCCTGCTTGAGGCCGTTAACTGATTATGTGCGAAACAATGATAGACACAGAGGGCACACTGGTTGTTTGTGTGGACAAATAGAAAGGCTGCTGTGATGGGTGCTGGGCTGGGTGCGCACCACAGGCTCGTCCCAGTGGATGGTGAAGCGCTCCCAGAGGCTCTCGCTGCCCCAAGGGTTCTCCAGCAGCTGGCGCGCCTCATCAGGCCCCAGGAATTCCTGCTGGTCACACACCACCTGCCCCGACCACCACTGCCCCCGCCCCGGCTCCTCATCCGGATAGTACACCTGAGCAACAGCCCACCCTCTTCACAACGCGGTCTCAAATTCAAGCCACCCAACCCAACACACCATCCTGCATGTGCTGTGTCCTTATGACTTCACCGAGGGACATGGCTCTCTCAAATAAATATCAGCCATGTGCATTCAGCCTCAATCCCTGGTTGCTATTGGAGACCAAGCCCCGGTGATATAATCAAATGACCAACACTACAAAAGCCCAGGAGTATTTAATTGGACTGACAATATAACCCCCATTCCAACAGAGCTGAACAAAAACAGGGATGGAAATAAAATGGAGGCCTGGGCACCTGGCACTTGTCGAGCTCGTGCCAGTCGCGCTGCACGGAGACGTCGAAGCGCGAGCGCAGGACGATGAACTCGGCCTGCCCGTGGTGCGGCGGCGGCATCTCCAGCTCGAACTCGCGTCCGGCCAGCGGCGACCCCTCGTCCGTCAGCGCCAGCCGCAGCACTGCCATCGTGTCGTGGTGCGCGTCGGCACTGATCTCGTACCGCAACGCCACCACGCGCGCCGGCTCCGCCTGCCGCATCCGCGCCCCCCGACTGCCCGCCTGCATTTAGTAAAATGCAGATCTTGGTGACACCTGTGCCGAAGGGTATTGCCATACATTTTAAATGAGATCCTTCTAAGATATAGACTTCCCTGCCTCTGCAGCACAAGCTGAACATATCGGCATACAGCTTCTTGTGCATGGCAACAAGCACCCTGCGCATGCTCCAGCAATTCTGTCCTGTTTTGGGCGGCCCCTTGAACATCCTTGGAGTATTTGTGGGGTTACTTAGGAAAATTGCTCAAGCGCCCAGAAGAGACCATCCATCAAAATCAGACGAGAAGCAGAGCCATCTCTGTCACATGGCCAGATGACAGATCCACAAGAGAGCTTCGTGAAGGGGAGGATGGGGCCTCACGGCGGTGGAGACGACTGTGTCCCAGGGGCCGCGGCGCTTGTCGTTCATCTTCTCAAAGTACAAGCGGTGCCCATGCTGCAGGTACACCACGTCGTCGCCCAGCTGCGGCACATACACGCCTGGCGTCTGGGCCAGGACCTGCGCACCCGCCATGCACCTTCTCAATGCACCTGCAATCTCACCGAAAAGCCCCGCGCAAAGGACGCATGGACGCATTGCAGATGACAGCTGATTTGCTATCCTCTGGACCCTAATAAACAGATCACCTGCTCACCTAAAGGTACCTTCGTAAACAAGCGAACAAGCAGGAATACCAGGAAAAGCCTGCCCCAGTCTCGGGGACAACAAGACAGTGAACCTGTGAAACACAATATATTTACTGGCAATAGCATGCTTGCAAAAGGGGGCCAGCATATGCACCTGGAGCCAGGAGTACGCCTTGAAGGAGCGGCCCTCAGCGGCGGCGCCCTCGGCATGCACGGCCTGCGCGCGCAGCCGGCTGCGGTTGCGATTCTGCAGCCGCGCCTCCCGCTGCCGCCGGCGCGACTCCTGCCGCTCCCGCTCCCTCTCACGCTCGCGCTGCCGCTGCGATCCGCCCGGCGCCGCACCCGTCCGCCTCCGCAGCAGCCTCCGCGTCCCGGGCCCGCTGCCGCCCTGCCAGCCAGTATTCTCTCTTCAGTGCACACCGCATTGTGACAATCATTGGCAAAAATCAGGCCCGAATGTCAGGGTATTGCTGACAATACCAGAAAATGGCATTTCTTCTCTACCTTAGAATGGTGATGCTGAATGGGAACGTGCACAGAGAAGATATGCCCATTGCTGGGTGAGGCAGGGGTAGTCTTCGTTGTATGTGTGAAGAGGCGCTTCAAAGGATCATCTAAGGCCCACAGTGGACAGATGGGACTGCAGAATATTTGTAATTAGGCGCACCTCGCTGGCGTTGTCCTCTTCCTCGCCAGAGCTGTACTCCGACCCGCTGGTGCCGGGGGCCTCATCGGCAACGTCCGCTGTGGCGCCCCGGCGCGGCCGTTTGCTGGCGCGCGACGGCCGCGCGGAGCCCTCTTCCATCATCAGCTCCACCTGCCTCCGCTCGCGCATCTCCGCGCGCCGCGTTGCCCGCCGCTCCCTGTTGTCCTCGCTCTCCTCATGCTCACCCGCCTCTCCGCCCCCCCTGAACGCACATCAATCTCTACACTCAGAAACGCATGCTTAGCCTGAGATGTTTCTCTACCCCTTGTGTTTCCCCTTTGTGTAACAATCTGTGCCCCTTGTGGTTTCCCTTGTGTTCACAAACTCCTTCATTCTGTCCTTGTGATCTCCCTTGTGTCACAAACGTTTCCCCTGGTATTTTCCCTTGTGTTACACAGGCCATTGTGTAAAATTGGCTGCAATACTTGCCCCCCTGTGTAACACAAGGGAGAGCACAGGAGAAACAAATCATAACACAGGACCTGCAGTTTGCCTTGTGTTCGCCTTTACATGCCACCTTCTGATCATAACTGGCGATTCATGCAAGCAGTTTGCATCATGCAGCCCTTTACTGGCAACAGCACCTGCACTCCATTCACTCTTCCACGGTTTTTTCCTGGTTATACTGTGCTGCATGGTCAAGACAACAAGCAGGAACATAAAGGTCAGTCGCTAGAACGGTGGGGCCGGCAGGAAAACACCGGTTCCTGCTGCGTAGCTGGCGAGCCTGCTGGCGTGCAGAGGCTCTTGTGGGCCGCGCCTCCGCATGGAGCCACCCGTCGCTGTCCTCATCGCTGGTGAAGGCAAAGTCATTCAGCGAGTCCGCATCGTCCTGCGGCGCACAAGGCGCTGCCAATTTACATGTGCACCCCTTCTGCCGCCCTCTAAGGAGCAGGACACATGCTGCTCACAAGCACCACAGTAGGCAAAAAAATTAAGATTGCCTTCCCATCAAGCATGCAAAGCAGGAAGAACAGACCTTGCACTGGAGGCACCGTAGAGACAAAAATGAATGTACAGAAAGGCTTTCTCACCTCCAGCCGGTTGAGCGCCCTGACCTGCTCGGCCTGCCGCGAGCTGGCGGCGCGGCTGCCGTCCGGCGGGGCGCGGCCGGCGCGCGCCGGCTGCTGCTGCTGCTGTGGCTCGGAGGGGCCGGCCTGCGCTGCTGGCACCTGTGACTCCACAAGCTCGGCCTGCAGCATGCGCTCATGCGCCCGCGCCACCGCCAGCTGAATCTCCTCCTCTGAGCCTCCCGCTTCCTGCAGTGCACGAATCTCACGTTTGTGACGTCTTGCCTCCCATGAGCTTGTATAGTTGTCAGCTCCAGGCCTTCAAGAAGGGGTTCCCAAGATAGGCATTCTGCTGCAAGTGAAGTGCGAGAAACACGGTGTGTTCTTTTGAGGGAGTCAATTATGAGTCAGTGGCTAATCTGTGGCGTATTTCTCTGTTCTTTTGGACTGAGTGAGGCCAGACCTGGCTCTGCCAGGCAGCGGCGGTGAGGGTGGGGCCGGCTTGGATGAGGGCGTTGGGCAGCATGCCCGGCTGCGCGCGCAGATCCACGGCCACCTCCGCCTCCGACATGCGCCCCAGCCGGCCCTCTCGCCGCGCCGCCTGGATGCTGGGCGGGTACGGCTCCCCCAGGAAATCCACCAACGTGTCACTGCAGCACAATAAAAATGACCCTTTAGATTGTGGTCCACCTCTCATGCCTACAGATACCAATTAGCCAAGAGAGAATGCAAACAACCCTAAGACAGAACAAGCGCCAATTATGGGGGTACGGGCTGCCTCACAGGTGCGACAGAGTGCTGCTTCTGGTGCCTTTTACATTCAGCAGCCCCACTTACAACTTTTCAATGCAGGCAGAGGAACTTGACACCCCATCATGCATGCCCTAATTTAGTCAGAAGTGAATACGAGCAGAAACGCACTTGTGCTGGCTGATGTGCGGCGGCTGCTGCGAGTCGACATCGAGCACAAACTGGTTGGCATCGCGCACGAGGGGAGCATAGTCGCCGGAGAGGAAGTGGTCGTAGAGGGCGCGCGCGGGGAAGGAGAAGTTGCCGCAGCTGTACAGGTGCCACTGCCCCGCCACGTCCGCCACCACTACGGATGCGCCGTCCGCCGACCAGTGGCCGTCCACCAGCTGGATGGGGTCGCACCAGCGGTCCCCCACCGGCCGCGTGTCCTGCGTCGAGAACCTGCAGGCACCAGCTCGATCCAATTTAATTTCTATTACTTTTCTGTAGGTGAGCTGGACATGATTGAGGCCCTTGAGTAGGGCCGCCAGAGCACTCCTTTCTGTTGCCTGCTATGTTCGCTAATTCTGAGTGGAAAAAATAAAGCAGAAGATCAGCTGCCTGATGAAGAAATTGGCCGGTGGCATGCTCATTTATAGGCGATAGCCATCAGGGACCAACGGGGACATCACAACGCAGGGGAAGCCTAGGTTGCCGCAGCTGCAGGTCCAGCCCCAGAACATGTGTGGGAATCTGTGCAGGCCCCACCTGGCAAGGGCACGGCCGGCGAGTATGTCCCAGATAATGGTGAGGCCGTCGTAGCCGGCGGACATGGCCAGGCGGTGGTCCAGCGGGTGGCATTCCAGCACATGCGCGCGCCCGGCATGCCCCTCCAGCCGCTGCAGCAGCTGCCCGCCCCACGCATCCCACACGCGCACGCTGTCATCCGTCAGCGCCGCCAGGATCTGCCCACGCACAAGGTTGATCAAGACCTCACACAAACACTGTCCTTACTTGATGGCTGGCATGCCTTTCAAAACAAGCCACTCCCTCAAAGAAGGAAGAATACTAAAAGTCTTTTCACAGATGCCTACCAGAAATCAGAGGCCACTGCTGTGCTACTCATCAATTGCCCAGGTTGCCCCTTCTGGCAGAGCATGAGGGTGGGGGATCAGGGCAACCCAGAAGGGTAGCTGATGGCACATTTTTGCATGCAGGGACTGGGATGCGAAAAAGGACGCACCATGGAGTCGTCGCGGGTCCAGGCGACCTGGTTGATGGAATTGGTGGGGGGCGCTCGCCGCCGTCTGCGCGCATTTGCCGCGGCCGCGTCGTCCACTGGGCACGACAGCACCAGGGAGTTCACCCACATGTTGCTGATTGCACGGCCCTTCCGCTGCCTCCTCCATATCTGCACATGCCCAGGAAAACTTCCTGTAATGGCTCGTGATGGCTACCTCTTGACTGCTGGCAGCTCTCAAAAGGCATTCAGAGAAAGGGGACGCTGCGCACCCTGACGCTGCCATCCTTTGCGCCGGTGGCGACGCCCTTGCTATTGTGGCTGAACTGCAGCAGAAGCACATCGTGCCGATGCCCTTGCAGCCGACAGAGCTCTGTGGGAGATGGCAGGCTCGCAAGTGAATTGTCTTCCTCCCTGATATTGGCATGGAATTCAATTTGTCAGTCTTTGTCACGAGATTCCTTTTTTAAAGCTAAGGCATGTGTGCCAAAAAGGTATTCAGAGCATGAAATCAATAAGAAAGAGGCACCCACTTCAGCAAGTCTCCAGTCTCTGGTGTGTCATCATCATCATCTGGAGGCGCATAAACCCCCCGCGTGTTTTTCTGCCGGGTTTTGTGGCCAACGTCCCAGTGCCACACATATGTACAGCAGTCGTTGGCTCCAGCCACAATGTAGCTGGCATCTTTGGAAAAACTGCAGACCAGCAGACCTGGCGTCTCCTGCAGCCGCCACACTCTGTCAGAACAGTTATCCTTGACCTCTTCAGGCAACCCAAAATGGCAACAGTTCATGTCATATCAACCGCAGCCAGTGTCATGCAACAAAATGACCGCCCAGTCCAGGCGGGACTCACATTCTGGGGCAGCAAGCCTTGCTGCGACTCGTCCCCAGACGCAGGCGCAGATCCGTTTGCGGCGGCGGCCGCAGCCGCCGCCGCGAGGCGCAGCGAGCTGGGGCCGGGCCCTGCCGGAGTTGAAGCGCCGCGCCCATTGGAGCCGGACGGCCCGGCCGCCCCCAAAGGCGCGCCTGTGGAGGGGCCAGCGGCCGAACGGGTGTGCCGGCCAGAGTCGCTCAGGCCGCCGCCGAAGCGCGTGAGACCGCGCGTCGGCCCGAACAGCAGGGCGGCCGTGAGCACGTGCACGGCCGCGCCGCCATCCCTGGCGGACCAGATGCGGCAGGTGCCGTCCAGGGAGGAGGACAGCAGCGCGTCTGGGATGCAGGCGCAGAAATCGATGAAGGTCACCGGCGCTGTGTGGCCCAGCAGCACTGACACAGGCACCCCCAGCTGGCCATCCTGCAGACGCCAATTACATCTGCTCAGCTGCCGGATTATTAGAAAACACCAATGGCAATGCTAGAGCTGCTGCTCATGGACTGCCTGCACTTGTTGATTGATTGCAACAGGTTCTCACCGTCATGTCCCAGCAACGGATGGTGGTGTCGTTGGAGGAGGAGGCAACAATGCCATTGTCTGAGCTCAGCGCCAGATCCGTGACCTCCCCCTCGTGCCCGCGGCAGGACATGAGCAGCAGTGCTGTCTCCACGCTCCAGATCTGCATGCACGCTTCATCAGCGCTATGCACTGATACCCTCGCAAGTATTGTGGGTGCCAGCTTAGAAAGTCTTCCACTGTGCTGCGCAAGACAGTGTTGCCACTAGATAGCAGGCCACCTTGACCAGGCGGTCATCAGAGCCGGTGATGATGCGGCGGCCGCTCCGGTCAAAAGCGATGCAGTACACAGCAAAGTGGTGGCCCCGCACTGTCCGCTGGTAGCGCAGCTGCTTTATGAACTGCTCAGGCGGCAGCAGGTTCCCAGGCGCTCTCACAGAGGGGCTCCAGCCGAGCTCTCTGAGGAGAGCCTTCTGCAGGACAGATGGCACGCTGCTGTGTGGCCGCAGCCAGGGTGCCACATGGCTAGCTTCCTCCGCTGGCTCTGACTTTCCATCTTGCAACGCAAGGATGGATGTCAGGGCACCTGCACGCGCCATCAGCTTTTGAAGGGCACCATAAGTGCACCCCCACGCCTCTAGTATGCTGGCAGCATGTCTGCCTTGTCAGGCAATTCGGCATGCACCCCAGATCACGCCAGTGGGGAGGGTCTGGCAGACCTGCGTCCAACAGGCTGGTGAGGCCCTGGCTGCTGCTGTTGCCGCTGCTCTGCCTGACATGGGAGAGCACAGCCAGGAGCTGCTGAAGCCATGTCTGTGGCACATGGGAAAAGCGCTCCTTCAATTCCTCGTATGTGAGCCCATGCCTAGCCCCTGCAAAGCATTCCAACACCTCGCAAATGCTGCCATGCGCCAGTAGGAGAGCTGAGACCCCGTCTGCATATCCACTGCTGGAAAGCAGCAAGGAACTTGGACAGCTTACCATATATGTCTGTGCGTGAAGGTAGCAACTGGTGCTTCAAAGCTTCTTCTTGAAAAACAGCGGCAGCCTGTCGGCAAGGTCCAAGAGAGAGGTAGTGCAGGATCAGGAAGTGGAGCTCAGACGCATCCACCTGATACAACACTCATGATACCGGATGTCAGACGTGTACAGGGTACTGCAGCTCAGCTTTTCGCGGTAATGGCTGGTTCTTGAAATATTGTTTATTTTTTCAATAATTGCAATCACACAATTGCTCGTTAGAGTCAAGGGACCGAGCTCCCACAAGCCGAGTCTCAGTGAACAAGATGTTTTCCAGGTACCTCGGACATTATATATGAAGCATAGTCATTCCAATCACTGTGAATTTAAAGCGTCCATGTCGGTGCCCAATGATGCGAAAATGCGCATATATCGTCCTTCGAAGTGTTATGCTCTTCACCAATGAGAAGCCAAGATCTGAACCTCACACTTGAAGCGATACTATTTTCAAGGAAGCAATTGTGCAAAATAAGAAAAGTAGCACACTACAGAATTTAGCTTGGTACAATCTGCACTCTCAGTGAGTATCTCACTCAGTGAGTCTTGGTGTGACTCAGAACATGCATGTGCAGTGCACGTGCCAATTTCTCACCAGCAACCCAAATTGTACTCAATTCTGTGGTTACCTGCATGTGTTTTACCAATGGCCAATTGCAATCTGCCATATGATCATTTTACACCTCTGATCTTGAATTCACTGGCTCGAAGACCATGCATCATGCCCCGCCGGCCGCCCTGCCTGAAGCGTGGATTGTATGAATGTAAAGGTGATGATATTTTTCATTGCCGTATTCTTACATGATACGGTAGAGTCCAATGTTAAAGTTGATTCGTTCCATCATGTGTGTAGACTGGAAGCTATCCACGTCCAACTTGGTGCTCTCACATGCACTCAATGTTTGAGGTTCATTGACATGCGCATGCCAGTGCGCGCATGCAGTTCATTCACAGCATTCAGAAAGTGTTCAGCTGACCCGCTCCTGCCACTCCCAGCAAAGCATGCAACACAGTGCACGACCAATGACAATCTGTCCCTACAAAATGTCACGGTCTGCACTCGCGCACCTCCGGCATGAAATAGCTCAGCAGACTGTGCGCACAAAATTGTAGATGTACAGGTTGCAACACAGACATTGCCAGCTGGTGTGCTCATGCTAGGGCCAGCTTCAGAAGAGCCATGCGGATGTACAAGCCGTTCTTTGTCTGGCGGAAATATGCTGCACGTGGGTCAGAGTCCACCTCAGGCTTGATCTGCAGGTGCGCACAGAGGCGAGCGTCAGTCCCAATAGCAGCAGGAAGTGCGGTTATAGAGCAGGCAGCAAGGGGGACTCACCTCATCAACACGAGGAAGAGGGTGCATGATGACAGCATCCTTCCGCAGAATCTTCATCGTGTCCTTGTCGATGATGTACTTCCCTCGCGCCTCCTCATAATCTTGTGGTCTGTCCTGCACAGCAGGAAGGCCCGAAACTCTTGGCACACTGTACCTTGCATACCACATCTGTGCGAACACACTTTACAGGACCCCTGCTGGACACGACTACATAGCTGGACAAGAGAGGCTTGCCTGGAAGCGCTCTTTCTGGATGCGAGTCTGGTACAGCACATCCACATCGCCTGCCACTTGGGCCAGGTCATCCACCTCCTCCCATTCCACATTCCTACCTGTCAGAAATTCCTTGATATCCTCCTGCAAGACACTGACGATTCATGAGACCTTTCAAAGCAGTGGCATTTTGACTTGAGCATGCAGAAAGTTTTGGAGAGGCAGCTGGGCAAAGTGAGAAGGGGCATGCCTGCATCCGGACGACGTCAGGGGCCACAAAGTAGAACTTGATGCCCTTGTACATGGAGAGCAGGTAAGCCAAGGAGCGGACAGTCCGCCCGTTTGCCAGGTCGCCAACCAAGCCGATGCGCAGGTTTTCCAGACGTCCGATCTCTCGCTGGATGGTGTACACATCCAAGAGGGCCTGCGCAGAGGTGGCTCCGTATTAGCAGCATGATGGATCTAAACCATCCAATCACTCTGGTCTCTGATTGATTGTGTGTGGAGATTCTGTTGACACTATCCTCAGGGTCAGGAGAGCAGCACCACAACAGTGAGCTGTAGGTGGAGTCCACACCTGTGTGGGGTGCTGACCCGGACCATCGCCAGCGTTGATGATGGGAATGGATGCCACTGAGGCCGCCGTTCTGGATGAGCCCGCCTGGAAGTGCCTCAGCACTATGCAGTCTGCGTACCCCTCTACTGTCCGGATGGTGTCTGCAACAGACACAAAATCCTTGCTGTGATGCTTTGATGAGTGAGAGAAGCGGCAAAGGCAAAGGGGGGCAAGAAATGCAGCAGAAGCCTCGTGAGTGGGCTGGCTGGTGCACCCTCAAGTGTTTCTCCTTTGGCTGCTGAAGAAAATTCCCCTGCGCTCTCAGTGGAGAGCACAGTGCCCCCAAGGCGGGCCATGGCACTTTCAAAGCTCAGCCGGGTGCGCGTGGAGGGCTCATAGAAGAGGGTTGACATGATGCGGCCCTCCAGCTGCCTTGACTCTGGCGTGGCTGGGCGTATGTCCTCCATCTCCCTCGCTGTGCGGAAGATGACGCCCAAGGCATCCTGCAAGAAAGGAGCACCGGGTCACTGGCCCTCCTCCACCTGGCGAGCGTGATCACCCTGATGGCTTGATGCAAGCAATTGGTGTCTTCGAAGAATGACAGCGGTGTCACTTGACTGAACGGGAAAACACTCCTAAAATGTCCTGGAATTTTCTGGTACCTTATCAAATTGCTGAGACTCGATGACATGCTTCACTGGCAAGGTGTGCCATGGTGGTCTCACAACATCATCAACAACGTTCGAGAAGCAGATTACGTCCGCACGCCTACTGTTCGATCTTACTGCTCTGTGTGTGCTTACAGACTTTCTGATTGTCAGATTCTGGAAGAGGATCGGGCTTCCAAGAGCATGGCAACTGTGCAACATCCTGCACTCTGTCCACAACGGTGGGTCAGCTCTAAAATTTCACTGCCATCAGTTTCGACTCCCGATGTCCTGCAACTTACTCTAGTGCAAATGCTCAAATGCACATTGGGAAATATCTAAATCCAGCTGCTCTGAAACACCTTCATAATAGGTTGGTCGGCGGGCCTACTCAGCATTTCACGTCATACTTACTATTTGGTCCATGCAGCAGCATAATGCTCAAATCTGGCAATCATAAACTTCATCTGAACGCATAAGATTTCTTAAATATATCCTCAGTTTTACTGCAAGAGATCTTGCGTTGGATATCGAGAAATCGATACCGTCAATCACCAACCTGTCACAGATCTGCAACGCAGTTTGTCGCAGGTTTGCGGTAGTAGTCTGTGAAAATAATTGCTGAGTAAATCTAGAGCAATATGGGAGATACTACTCAATGGCACCTACGATCACAGCAGCCTGGAAATCCTGTAGTATTCTTCGGTGAGGCATCAATACTTACCTGTGGATGCTGTTGAGTGCCAGATAAACCAGGCATACTAATTGCCTGCAGCCTGCTGCCTGCAGACATCACGCTTGGGGGGCAGCCAGCAGGCAGAATCCAGATGGAACTCTTTGCAGACATCTGTCCAAAGACATGTGAAAATTTCAGGCAACTTTGCACTGGAGAATTCAGGTGAGCCGGGCGTCAGTATTTTCTAGTGAAAAGGATCTTCTGCCCTAGTGATTTCCTCCATGTATGCTTTCGTGCCTACAGGAAGAATGGGCTGGCAACTGGATACAAGGGCTGCGCCTTTCACCGTGTGATCAAGGGGTTCATGATCCAGGTAATTCGTTAAATTGGTCCTTGTTTGCCTGTTGAGAAAGTAATTAGTTACTTTACTTTACTATTTACTCTGGTAATCAGATTCATATGAAGGTGTAGGCATTTGATAAAAATTAGTTATTGTCCGCAGGGAGGTGACTTTCTGAAGGTAAGTCCTTTAGATCTTGGATGGGTGCAGTCGTGGTCATGCTACAGCTTCCCTCAGAGCATGCATCTTGTGCTGATGCATTTTGTGCTCGACAGGGTGACGGGACAGGCTGCGTATCCATCTATGGGTCAAGATTTGCCGATGAAAACTTTGTGGCAAAGCATACAGGCCCTGGCCTTTTGTCCATGGTAATCCCATGCAGCCAACCTGATCCCCTCATATTCATGCTCGCCAATCTCCCTTCACTCGAGTGCCAGTTTATCCAGCTGGGTTAATTTACGGGTGATCTGTTGCAGGCAAATAGCGGGAAGGACACCAACGGGTGCCAGTTCTTCATGACAGTCGGAAAAGCAGACTGGCTGGACAATAAGCACGTGGTGTTTGGAAGAGTTCTTGGCGAGGGCCTGTTGGTGTTGCGAAAGATAGAGAATGTGCAGACAGGGCCACAGGATAAGCCGAAGCTGCAGGTCCTCGTTGCAGAGTGTGGGGAGATGTGAGAGGCGACAAACAGAATATCACCCCCATCAGTTGTTTCGGCTTACAGCACATTTCTCACAATGAGGACATCCAAGGGCCTGCAATCTATTGAGTCATGCTATGGGTTACTCATTTTATGCGAGTTATGAGTAATCTTGTTGACTGATTGACCGTAATCTGAATTGCATGCGCTTCCTAATACTTCAGAGAGAAACCTACTGCTGAGCATCATGCATGCATGCAAGATTTTCTGGACATCCTCTGAATAATTGTGGGTGATCTTGCTGAGGATGTTGAGACTCTACCTAAAAGAAAAAACCCGGTTGCAACAATTTCAAATTATTCTGAAATGGAACATGTACTTTGCACAATTCAATGGATGAAACTTGTCCCAAATGATGCCGCTTGGAGCGGTAGGTCGATGGCAGCATTCAGCGTTTCCCATGCGCTTCACAATCCCCAATTGTGGCCAGCTGGCCGCGGCACGGCCATTGCCACCGTCACGGTGCCAGGGGACCTCAGGTCCCCCGCTAGCCCGAGGCAGGCTGCCTCGGGCTAGCGCTGGGCTAGGCTGTGGCTTTGATCTTGTTGACATCACTGGGCCAGAAGCTGCCAAACCTGTTGACAGGTCATGTCATGTTGGCTAGCAAAAGGGCCCAAGTAAGCGGAGCCAAAATTTTGCCCGTCCAATGCCACATGCATGGGAGATAATGGGGTGGTGCCTGCCAGCTGGCCGTCTGCAACGCCAGCCTTGTCCAAGGTCCCTGCAATCTATCTGGCGTTTCCTCATGCACAGCGTCTTTTGACTTGCCAAAAATTTCAATCGTTGAACTACCTGTCGCGACGTTTGCCAAGGCATGCAGACGTTTAGTTTGTGTACATCCATAGAGTGAAGGCTGACCATAATGGGCCACCCTGTGGTTCCCAGCAGCTTGGAGGATGAGCTCGACATTGTTATACCCACAATTCGCAACCTGGATTTCCTGGAGATGTGGAGGCCATTTTTCCAGAAATACCACCTCATAGTCATCCAGGATGGAGACCCCAACCGCGTTGTGCAAGTGCCCGACGGGTTCGACTATGAGCTGTACACGCGGCGGGATATTGAGCGGATTCTGGGAGATAAGGCCTGGTGCATATCCTTCAAGGACTCGGCCTGCCGGTGCTTCGGCTACATGGTGCGCCTAGTACTGCTTTGCCTGTTCTTGTACAGGAACCTTGAACTGGTCTGCCTGCTTGTGTGGTTGGTACAAGTGGTTCGAAAATTTTCTATGTGATGCAGGTGTCCAAGAAAAAGTATATCTACACAATTGATGATGACTGCTTTGTGGCCAACACGCCCACTGGTGAGAGCATAAATGCTCTGGAGCAGCACGTCCGCAACCTGCTCACCCCCTCCACCCCTTTATTCTTCAACACACTCTACGACCCCTTTGCAGAGGGTGCAGATTTCGTGCGCGGCTACCCCTTCTCCTGGCGACAAGGGACTCCCACTGCTGTCTCCCATGGTGAGCCTTCCAACCTACATATCTATGTGACCCGCAACGCAGAGCAATTCTCAGGGTGGTGCTTCTATATTTAGTAAGGAATATTGCATGAAGGGGTCTTTTTAGCTTTTTCAGCGTGGTCTCACTGGGCCTGAGGCACACCGCGGACTGTGCAGGGCTGTGGCTGAATATTCCTGACTACGATGCGCCCACCCAGATGGTAAAGCCTCATGAGCGCAACACCTGCTATGTGGACGCCGTGCTCACCATACCCAAGGTGCTCATGCAACTCATTCACATCTATTCCCCCGTGCTCCCATGCACCGTCGTGCTCAAGAACAACACGCTGGAAATTAAATGTGCTTGTGCATTTCATTGGCTAGCCTTGTTAGCTTGGGCTTCTGCTGGAAGAGTCTTGTGTAATGTTCCACTGGTGGTGTGCGTTGCAGGGGAGCCTGTTCCCCATGTGCGGCATGAACCTGGCCTTCAACCGGGACCTGATCGGCCCGTCCATGTACTTTGGCCTCATGGGAGATGGGCAGCCATTGGGGCGCTATGATGACATGTGGGCTGGCTGGTGCTCTAAGGTGCCTCTTTTCTCCATCAAAGCTCTTGCAAATGAGCCCAAAAGAGAAGGCTGCAAAGCCATGCCTTGGGGGTGATTCTTGAGAACATGTTCCAAATGCATGGCTGCTTGAAGGGGCATGAAGTGAATATGCTGGTCCACAGGTCATATGCGACCACCTGCTGCTGGGAGTGAAGACAGGCAAGCCCTACATCTGGCACTCCAAGGCATCCAACCCCTTTGTGAACCTGAAGAAGGAGTACAAGGGCATCTTCTGGCAAGAAGACATCATCCCCTTCTTCCAGGAGGTCACCCTGTCCAAAGAGGCCACCACGCCAGAGGCTTGCTACTTGGAACTCGCCGAAAAGGTGATCTTCTCGCCCTCTCAAAAGTACATTTTCTTTTTTGCAGTACAGGGTGGGCCACTTAGGTTTACACAAGGTGTCTGTTCATTTTCCTGGGGTGCTCCTGTGCAGCCAGATCATGTGGGCACGCAGCGGCTGGCCAACTGAGAGTGTGGGAATTCAATTTTGAGCTGGTGCGCAGGTGGCGGAGAAGTTGGGGCCCCTGGATCCTTACTTCACCAAACTGGCAAAGGCCATGGTGGTCTGGATTGAGGCATGGCGGGAACTCAACCCAAAGAAGGCGTCAGAGGAGCTTAGCAAAGCTGGTGTTGCCAAGGAGAATGGTGTAGCAAAGGCATCTGTCACACTGCCCAATGGTGCAGTCAAGGCATGAGTAGAGTGCCTCATATGAGTGTTAGTGGACTTCTTTGTACCACATCTTTCTGTGTGGGCCTTAAGAGAGGTCCCTTGCATTGTATTTGTTTTGTAGAGTGTCAAGATTGGCCCTAGAAAACCTGCAGATCCTGAACTCTGGACTTCTTGAACTTGAGCCGGTTGAACCTGGGTGAAATTTTATAGCTGGAGTGATAAACATGCCATCTCTGAGAATAAATGCATATACATGTGGGCTCTGGAATTGCAGTTTAAAGTCCTGCCTGATTAGCCTGCAGCAGGGTTGGGCAATAAAGCAGTGGGTTGGTTGGTTTGAGATCTAAAAATGCAGCAGAGCTTCCGGTTGAATTGCCAGTGACGTTTGTTGGCGCTTAATAAGTTCCATCATGGCGGAAAGTACAAAGCAGTCTACCATTTGATCCGATCAGTCATGACACAGCCACATATTGAAGTGCTGTGATGGCCTTGGCATTGATTATGCTGCTGCTTTGTTTAGACGCACTTTCATAATACGCAATCGTCCCGCTTGAGAAAAAGACTGAGATTAGGCCTTGCAGCACATAGTGTTGTAAAGTGTACATACACAGCAAACGATGCGATGATCTGTGCTACCTGCAAGCAATGATATTCTGCATCTTCACCTCTTTCTATGAGACCTAACCTTTTTGATAAACAACTCCAGTCGAAAGAGACTGGAAAGGAAGGAATAAAAGGAAATCATGGGCACTGAAGGGTTTCATTAGTCAGTGGCTCCTGCATTCTCTATCCATGCCGTGCTATAGTACACACAATACGGCTCCCTCAGCTGCCGGATGCGATTCGGCGGCCGAGGTAGCGCCGGACTGCTTCCTCCACCCATTTCCCATGGAACATCTCTGACCGTCGCATGGCCTGCGGCGCGCCTGCATTGCCCGGGCCGCCAGCATCCGCCGACAGCGCATTGCGCAGGTCCCTCGCCTGCAGCACCAGCTCACCCAATGAGGATTTATCTTCTCGTCTTGCGCCCAGTTTACATCTTAGGGGGGAATGGCCAAAGACGTCTGGGCCTGGGATGCACTTCTGGTCCACCCAGAACATTGCCAACTAGATGTGCCAGGCAGAGGTCACACAATGAAACGCTTAGTCATAAGACCCTGTCAAACCATGCTCATACTTCTGCCTGCAGACAGGTCAAGAGGTCTTATGGTTCGCGGCGTCGACCTCTGAGTGGCACAGAACATGTCTAGTTTTGAACAACGAAGTTCAAGGGGGTCCGGCAGGGGGGGAGCCGCACCTGGCTGGCGATGAGGGCATTGATGAAGTCGACGGGCGACTGCGAGAAAGCCAGGAAGAAGTTGCGCCTTCGCGACGTCTCCTCTATCCTCTGCAGGAGCCCGGCTATCTTGCGGTCCAGCTGCATGCACACAAGGAACCCCGTCAGGTCTCCTCTGGATATCCACATGCATGCATAGCCAGAGCAGGCACATGCTGGACTGACGCTTGTCAAGTGCACATTCTCCGATGACAGGAAGATAGGGCCGCGTATGAGAGCGCAGCCTGAGCATATGGAGGGCCTGACCACATCGATCTCAGGATCATGCACGGGCGGCGGAGCGCGGTCCTCCCCCAGCCGCAGCGGCACCTCAATGTCAATATCAAAGCACTCCCTCCGCGCCTTTCCTTGTGTCCTGCACAATGACCTCGACCATCAATCCCCTTACCCGATCGCATGCTGCCCATCCATTCTGATGTGGAACACCATGTTGAAATCGATGTGACGGGTTGTGCATGTGCACTGAAAATGCAGGATGATGAAAGGGACGCTATGTTACACAAAGTGCATGCCTCACAAGTTTACTCCAAGAATGAAGTGGCATGTGTTGGACCTGATGGTGTACTCCAGCTTTGGGGTGGGAACGCGTGTCAGCATGTGCCCGATGCGCTCAGAGAGCGAAGAAAGCTTGACCACCTTGTCCCCCAACAGGGCGCCCAGCCGCTCGTCGCAGTTCACCAGATCCGCCTGATTGGGCATCTGCACCCAGTGTGGACAGCCTCTATTCATATGCAAGGCACCCCTTCAGCTTGTGAACAAGCCTGCGTTCATACGCATTGTGCAGATGCTCATGTTCTCCAAGGTTACAGATGGCCTTCCAGGCTAGTTGAGCCCTGCACAGGTGGGGGCTAGTACCTGCAGCTTGTTGAGGCTGATGTAGTGCCAGAGGGCATGCAGGATGCGCTGGCGGCTGCCGTGCTGCATGCCTGTCAGGTCCGCCAGGGCCGGGCTCAGCGTGAACAGCTCCGGCGCATGCTCTGCATCCACCTCTATCTGCACCGCCACGTCCTGCTGCCCTCGCCGCCTGCACCAGCAGCCTCGACTCAGCGCTTGGCTGCTCTCAATTGGCCAGGGAAGAGTATCCCAGCTTGAGCACGGCATCCTTTCATACATGCTCCCTGCAGCCGGCTGTGGAATAAGCAATCCCTGGGCTGCTGAATATGCAATCCTTGGGCTGCAGATGGTGCACAATATATTGGCTGTTACAAAGAACAACAATAATAATTATAATTGCATGCCTTTCCTGCAAGAGGCAAGGTGCGTCTGCAGAAACGCTGCAGGTAAAGGCTGTTGCAGAGATTTAGGGCTTCGACAACATGCTGCACGATTGCAAAGACGTCGGCAACACAAAGCTAATGACAGATATGCCCACCTGATGCTGAAACTTCCCTTATGGGGACCCTCGTGGACAGCCTTGGTCCACGTGATCTCGCCATCGCTGGGGTACAGCTGCGGGTCCAGCCGGATGGAGAGCCTCCGCAGGTAGGACGACATGGGCGGCCCCTTGCTAGCTGGCGCTGATGCCACAACTACGGCTGGCTGGCCCGGAGCCGAGGGTGCGGCCGGTGCGGCTGTTCCCTCCGCCTCTGCCAGATCTAGTACCCTGCCGGATATATCAAACTCCCAGGAGGGCGGCTCCGCTGCATTGCCAGAACAGGACATTCAATTCTTGTTGATCCAGATTAGAATTTGGCTAGTTGATTTAGTAGCTGCGATCATACAGAGGAACACGCAGCCACATTTGTACCTGTAGCTGACGGGGTGCTGCCGCGGTTGCCTTGGTGGAAGTGCCGGCTCTGCAGGTAGAGGCGCAGCTTCTTGGGCACCCTTTTTTGATTGCCCACGAGCGCTGTGATATATGCTCTGTGGGAGGCCATGATCGCGTCCAGCTGGCGCTCCAGATCTGCTGCTGCGCTGAACAGCGCCGACTGTGGCAGCTCTGGCACCACCTGCACATGCACAATTGACACTTCAGGAGTGCAACGGCCTTTTGGTGGAAAAATAAAATGAGAAATCTTGAGATCGTGTGAACACTGTGGGTGCTACGACAATGCAAATGGTGGTGCCGCACCCTGTCGGACGCCGCTTTTTCTGGCCCCTTCTTCTTCTTTTGCCGCTTCAATGCAGGCAGTAACTCAGCCGACTTCATGGCAGCTGCGGGCTGCTTTGCAGCCACCGCAGGCTTGATGAGCACCGGCGCTTGTTGCTGTCCGGATGGCCCTGGAGTGCTGCCAGGCAGCGTCTGCCCAGCTTGCAGGACTGGCAGCTGCGGTCTGGGCTGCTGCTGCTGTATGTGCTGCATCATAGCATGCTGCTGCGCTTGTTGGTATTGCATCGGCGGGCGCTGCTGCTGAGGATACAGAGGAAGCTGCTGCTGTGCCTGCTGCTGTGGAGGGGTAGGCTGCATGTTGACCAGAGCTCTTGGCAATCCAGGTCCCTACTCCGCGCAGGGCTTCAAACTACTGGTGTCTCCTATCCTCCCCTATTGTATCTCATAAGGATTGCATTGCGAGGATCCACTTTTCGTAACTCCAATAGCAGCTACCAGCAAGTGCAACAGCAATGGATCGTAATATTGACAGAGCCTTATGGGCTTGCTACGTGCAACGCACACGTGCTACTCTGGGCGAAATACATCGATGATGGTGGCAACACTTATACGTGTGTGAGATTTCGCAGAGCACCACTGTGGAGAGCATGAAAGTGGCCTTCTGTCGATGCTTTCTTTTGAGTGCAATAGTACCACGCACGATGAATAAAGATCCTTCAATACTTTTGCGATTATTTGCGATTTGTTGCAACTGTGCATCTTCGATGTCATGTTCCTCATGTTGAGTGCCCGATGCTGGCCCTGTGGGCAATGCTGGGCAGGTGTTGCTTGAACAGGAACAGCGGCCCATCTGATACATGCCCTGCTGACTCCTACACTTTGAGGCATCGATCTACATACTGGACGGTTGATTGCGCCCGCAAATGGGAATTTGTCTGGAATCAAAGTCATCTGAACAAGAGCTGCAGTCCGAGATCTCCCTCAGATCACTCTTTGAGGCTTCAGTGGTAGCAACTTCTACAACAGCACAACAGAGTATATTTGGAATAACAGACAAACCATTTGAGGATGGTGTGCGAAAATAGGGAAGGCACCTCGACAAGTAAGAGTATATTTGAAGATCCCATCATAGACCTGCAAACTTGTCAGCTTGTAAGTCAGGGAGCCGAAGCGGTATGTCACAAGATTTCATTCCCAAAAACTTGCTGCATGTCCTGCACCTCCCATGCAAGCAATTGGTTTGTCATATCTAGTGTTGCTGTTGCTGTGTAGAAATTATGGAAGGGTGTGTACCTCGGGCGTCCCACAATCGTCAAGCAGAGATTCAACAAAAAATACCGCCATTCCACCCTGGACACCAAGCTGACGTTGTCACGTCTCAAGCAGGCAGGTTCCCAGCCAGCAATGCTGCTACCCTGTATTATGACACAGCGCTGCATGCCTCTCAACACATGCCACAGCTAGAGAGGTAGACCTACATGCCTTGCAGGAGGTAAGGAGCATTTTGCGGGCTCGCAAGCTTGGGGTGCCCACACCAGTGCTCTATTTTGTGGAGCATGAAGCCAGTGCCATCTACATGGAGCTGGTCCAGGGCTGCTCTGTGAAGGCTGCACTGCTGGAAGGGAAGCTCAGTGAGGAAGGTAGACCTCTGATGCCTGGTTTCAACGTCACAATCTCCCTGCTGCCTAAGGTTAACAGCAATGCAGGGCATGTAGAGATTGTTCACCGGTCCTGCATGTGTTCCGCAGAGAGGCATGCTCTACTCAGGGAGATCGGGCGAGTGGTGGCTCTCTTGCATGATGGGGGCATGGTCCATGGGGATCTGACGACTTCCAACATGCTGCTGAAGGGGAACAGCTCTCTGGTACGGCAGACTATCTCTGTGATGTCTTTTTCAAACCAGAACCTGTAATTATGCAGCACTGAGCAAGATGCTGTCCGAACCTTGCAGGTGCTCATAGATTTTGGTCTGAGCTCCAACACCACACTGCCAGAGGACAAAGCTGTGGATCTGTATGTCTTGGAAAGGGCATTCACAAGCGCTCATGCGGCCAGTGGGAACTTGGTAAGTCCCCACAGGGGAGATCGTTGATCTTTCTATGTGAAGGTGTCAGAATTGATGTGTGATTGCTTATGAGCATAAGCTCAGGTTTCAATTCATTCTGTCAGTCGCATGCTCTTGCATAAGCGCCTTAATTCTGGTTCTAAATTAAGTGTTTTCTCTGCACACAGTTCAAAGACATCCTTGCGTCATACCGGCAACACTCTCGCATGTGGTGCCCAACACTAAATAAGTTTGCAGAAGGTAAGTTGATGCAGCATCTATATTTTGTGACATGCTTTGTGCTGTATCATGCACTCTTTGGATATGCTTTCGTTTGTATTGTGTTGCATGTGAAGGGACTCGCTCAGAACAAGGCGCATTGATCGAGTCAGCCATGCGACACCACAGTCTGACATTGTTTCTGGCCTGACAGTTCGAATGCGCGGGCGCAAGCGGACCATGGTGGGCTGACAGGGCGTCATTCCGAAATGATGTTGACATCAGAAGAGTCTTGCTAGGCCTAGGCTTGGTGACAAGCACGTTTAGGTCCATCCGGGGACTCTCTTTTGTAGGCTGTGTCGCTACATTGGTACAAATGTGCATACGTGACTCCGAGTGAGGCTGCTGCCGCGGCCAGAGCACTGACGGTCGCGGCGGCCATGTGGGATACTGATGTCAACACTAGCAGTCCCCATGATGGGTACCCAGACCCGTCAGCCAGGATCTGTTCCGGACCGGCCGTGACACATTTAGGTCTCTGGCTTTTCCTGACTTCAGGATCATCCACGTGACTATGTGCATGAGGTCATTGAGCACCATGAAGAAGAAGTGTGGGCCCTGTAATCCAGAATTGCCGAGTCAGGAAAGCCGGCATGCATGCAAAACCATGTGAGTCATCAGTCACAAAGCTCACGTGAACCACAACGGAATAATAGGTGCGAGATGGAGAGCATCTGTGAAAAGGCGACTTTTAACGACATCTGGGTTTGTCTCGCATCGCCAATAACCCTCCACAATCGAATGACCATGCGCTTTGGGCACGATCAGCAATTGATCAGCGCGATGCCGCCCCTCCGTTCGTCATGTCGATGCCTCTGTTGTTGTCCTTGTTGCAACTCCATTCGTTGTGGCGCTTGTTAGATCCAATATCCGCTATTCGAAAATTATCAAGGTAGGTCAAGGTAGGATAGTGTGTATGGGATGGAATTACTCATGCATTCATGGTGACCTGAGTTAACAAAGACCTACCTGCTGAATCGTGTTGTTGACCTGATGACAGCACCATTTCAGATTTGATGCTGTTCTAACTTTGATTTTGGCTAGCAGATGCCGTTTCATGTGCTGAAACTCTCCCATATTTAGCACCTCAGTTGTGCTCCACATCTTTGCAGGCGCTTGGCATTGCGTCCTTGGAACATCATCAGAGGGTGAAGCACAGTTGAAGGTGCAAAACCCGTCGATATGACGTCCAAGAGGGTTGCTGAGGAGAATGTGGCGCGCACCACCCCCAAGGAATCGTTGTCAGATAGCTTTCAGAGCTTGCAAGTCGACAAGGCTTCAGCTCAGAATCCTACGGGTACTTTGCCGTACCGACACATGCTCCTGAATACTTTGCACTTGGAATTGCAATCATCTGAATGTTCACATCTGAGGACATGCATGAAAGATGTGTTCACTTGCACACATCTGAGTGGGGAGGCATAAATTGCTTGACACAACTTGCCATGCTTGTCTGTCACAAAATTCTGCCTGAGAATCCTTGTCTGTGTAGAAAATGGCAAGGCAGGCAAGGGCCATGCGCGCATGGGCTGCATGCAGCTGATAATCAAGCTCTGCACCGAAGGTCACACAGCTTGGGACTGCCTGCTCACGGTGGCATGCGCACAGGTGATCACATAGTTATAGCGATCTGTCAACCAGCACATTAACATGACGAGGCTTGTGAGGAGAAATTCAAGCAGTCATTGGGACCCGATCTAATCCAGTGTTCATGATGTGCAGATTGGGCAGGTCATGCTGGTGATGCCACACAGGTATGTGCTGTCAATTTTGCATGTCAAGCTCGGATCCCAGATTTGTGAGAGGGTGGCCTCATCCTTCCGATCCTGCCATGACTGCTCTTCGTCTGTTCTTTGTCTGCAGCATGGCCCTCCTTGGAATCAAGGTTGGCATTGTGGTGGCCTTGGTGGCTGCCATTGGAGGTTTATGGTGAGCCATGTGAAAATTGATGACCTCGATTCAGAATGGCAAAGTCACTCCCCTGTGGAGTGGTGTTACCTGATACATGGTGATCCTCAAGGAGATGATTGGCTGCTTGTTACCTGACTACTCTTGCTGTGCTTGTACAGGACCATGTTCTTACTGGCATCTTTGTTTCTTGAGATGAAGACCAGATTGATCAAATCAGGTGGGAAAAGGACCCACAAGACCCCTTTCTGATGTTGTGGGTAGGTAGCTTGCAATCAAAAATTCACTGTGTGCAAATGATAAACGTTTTGCGAGCAGGTGGGTGGTATGATGCAAGCGGGAAGCGAAAACAAGTCACTCAATATCACGAGGTGAGAAGGAGCCTCACCTCCAAGCTGCTTTAATAAGTCATGCACTGCTTGCCTGCACGGCAGGGATGGTGCTAAGAGCTTGCATGCGTCATGCAGGTAATGGGCTTTCATGCCGGTCCCACAATGAAGTATGTCTCCCAAGTTGTCATTGCTGTGCATCTGGTGGGCACATGCACAGCTCAAATAGTGGCGTGTGCCGGAAACAACTACAGCATCACGATGACTCACGACAAACGGTGAGTCATGGGTGCTCCTCTTCAGAGTTGCTGCAGGGTTGGTCTGCTGCAATGCTGCGTGCCTTTTGTCTGGTGGCACTTCTACAGAAAAAAAACATCATGGTTGCGCTCATCCTGTGTCAGGTTTTATACGCTGGTCTGGGGAGCTGTGCTCATGTGCTTCTCCTTTGTGCCAACTTTTCGCCACTTCCGTGCGCCCTCTTCCTATATTGCAAGATTGAGCCTGCCATTTCTCAGAGAAGTGTCCTGTCAGAAACAAAAGAATATACTAAACACAATGTTTGTCGTTGACACAGGTATTATCAACATCGTCGCTCTCATTGGTGAGACCTGGTCTTCATGCTTTTCAGTCATTTGAATCCTGATTTATGCAAACTGCTCTGTCCTGATCAGGCCTAAATTTACGCATGCGAATGCAGGGACTTGTTACACAGGCAAGGGACGCAGGACTCAGCATGCTTCAGAATTCTGGTCTTATGTCCTTATTCTTTCATATGGAATTTAGTATCACTGTGTAAGGGTGATTTAGAATGCTTGCCTGATCTAAATGGTGGTTTGCAGAGTGGTTCCTTGTGGCAGTGTCCGCTCAGAAGGGCATCACACCTGGAGCAATTGACAGGTGACTTGAACGTGCTGCCGTACTGATAGGACATAGCAGGGGTTGCTTCATGCCAACCCTTGCTGTGCCCCAAATGTGATATTGTGAACAAGTGGTCTGCATGCAGGTCATACAGGAATGCGCAGGACTTCTTCATTGGCGCCGCTGTTCTTGGGCAGTTTGGTCACAGTATAGCTCTTGAAATGGCAGGTCCGGCAATTCATTAACTGATTACCTCAAACCTGTCTTTATGCTACTCAAATCCAGTCAGATGCTGAAGCAGAGTGACTTAAATGTGCTGTCCTCTGGTTACCGTCATATTTCTGAATACTGCAATAAACCTACAAAAGTTCTAATGGGTTCTCTTGTGTGCACCAGATGCCATGCGCAATGCCTTCCATTTCCAGGCTGCTTACACTGCTGGATGGTAAGCACGTGACCAATTGAAGCGTATCTAGATTATTGCACATACAAATCCAAGATCGAAACATGAGTGTGCATGCAGGCTGTGGGTACTCACTCTGATTTTGCCGCACTCCATTGCAGCAAATTTGGCCTGGCCAGATGAGGTGTATGAGCAAGGTAAGGAGCAAGAAAGGTCCCTGATTTACCACTTCAAATGGTCCAATGTTTATTTGCCATCTAGCATCCGTGATGACAGGGGATGAGTAGTGTCTGCTGTGCAGATAACATCTTCAATGTCATTCCCAACTCTCCTGGGAAGTATCTCTCGGTGTGGCTCATGAACATCCACCAGGTGGTGGCCTTTGGTCTCTACAGCGGTGAGACCCTGCGAGGCCTACTTTTCTCCCGCAAATCTAGACGGGCTTCCTTTCATGCATATATAAGTAGGCTTTCATTGACCCTGAGTGACTCTGCTGTTGCAGTGCCCCTCATGTTCATGTGGGAGAAGCTGATCCGCGTGCACAGCAAGCCCTGGTACATCCGATTGCCACTGCGGCTGCCGATCTGTGAGCATCTCTACCGATGTGTTTTTGCTCTGTCCTGGACATTTGCTGCGTGCCAGAATTGGTGACGTGTGACCATTACCTGCAAGAAAGTTCCACTGCAAAGATTTCCTGCTTCTACAGTCTATGTCTCACTCTGTTTGACTGACATTCTGGATTGAGGGTGCAGCTGGGCTTCTGTATGTCATCAGCATTGCATTCCCGGTGAGCATTTGAAGACTATCACCTCAAGTTTTTTCACAGTCAAACTCTTGCAACCTGCCCTTTGACGACGTGTGGCTGCCCGCAGTTCTATGGCACAATCAACTCGCTTTATTCCAGCTTGTCGGAGCCCCTCACCGCATTTGTGTTCCCATGCGCGGTGTACATATGGGTCTACCATACAAGGGCAGCTCGTGAGCAAGCAGCCATGAAACCTTTCAAGTAAGACCCCCTCAGCAATGCCTGTCTTTCTTTATGGCTCTGAGCAAGAAGGCACAGTGGTCTTGCAGAGCTGATGACCGCAGGCTGGTGCATCACATTGCCATTGATTTGTCTTGTTCACTCGCATGCGAATCTGTCGCCACTTAGAAAGAGAATTGAAAGTGTTGTGCATGGTGCTGCAGATGCTTGCGCGTGTGGAATTGGTCCCCAGTCTTTGCCCTGAATGTCGGCATCATTCTTGTGTGGACAGTCGCACAATTCGGGTTTGGCACGTACTTCAGCATCCGTCGGATGATCCAGAATGTCAACAGTACGTTATACGGCCCTCGTTTCTTTGGCCATATTGCGCGCTGAGCTCATGTCTGGGATATGTGAAGTTGCAGGACAAAGCTGACTTGTACTGTGTGATCTGCAGCATTTGGAGTGTTTGCATCGTGCTATCAATGCAAGGCGCCAAAGTTCGTGGCGTCACCTGCACTTGTGACAAATTCTACTTACCGACTCTACTGATCTGCACATGTCAGCTATTTTAACAAAGACAGGCAGTATATGCTGATGGTCACATGAATTCTACCAGAACAGTTATGTGTTGTGGGGACATTGAATGTCTCAAAAATTGTTCAAGCTTGTGTTTATATATATTTTTCGTCGAAACCCTTAAGGGTCTCGACCTCAATGAGATCTCAATGAAGGTGTTGCTTCTATGAAGGCTCCTATGTTTGCCGGGGCCTCCGAGGTCAGTCTTCATTGGCTGCAGCATGTCATGTGGTGCATGTGGTGTTTAGTCTTTGTGAGCAATGTGAAAGTTTAGCATTTACTTTCTGAAGGAGTCATGACAACCTCAAGACAAGCTTGGGAACCTAAGTATTGTTGTGGGTGCAGCTTAGAACTTACACTCTACAGCTGCGAGTAAACAATCTGTGCACATCTTGTGATGATATCGATGTCATGCGCATGTAGCATGCTTCCCACTTAAAAAGGGGTATTGTCCAGGTGAGTCACACCTGGGAATTGCGTATAGGGCGCTGAGCCGGGTTGCTCCTCAGATGAGCGTTCAGCGTGTTGAGCCTATATAGGCTCGTCATATATATATGATGAATTAGGAGCCAACTAGAGCTTTATGTTGAAGGCCCTCCATTTTTTTCTGATTTTTTGCAATTGAGCATGACATGCTCATTTGGTTTAGGGATAGCTACATGTACAATATGCCACGCCACAGGCCTTCAGGGTCTGCCAGGAATAATAAATAAGCAGAGAGCACTCGAAGGTAACATTTAAACTTGCAAGAAGCTTCTGAAAGGGTGTTTTTGAACACCATAGTATTTTTTTCTCCATGACAATTCCATTGTAATATTGATGTGTAAGTTCCTTTGTCATGTTTCAGTTGATGCAAGTGCTCTTAGCATCCCTTGAAGAAGATCCCAACTGTCATGCAAATGAGCGTCATCCTGCGCATCCGTCAGCGCAAATATGCACTGTCCCCGAAGCTGCCGCCCTGAAGGTAATGGGACCCTGCAGAATAACCGCAGAGATGGTGAGAAAACGTAACGGCCAACATCAAGATCACTTTATGATAAAGAACCTGCAAAATCTCTTGTGAGCTGTCACACATGTGCACAGATGAGAACACACCTGGGAAGCTCCCACAGAAGTTATTGACACACTCTGCATGTTTCTGACACCCAGTAGCCTGACAGCTGTCCCTACTCCGAAGGAGGTGAATTATTCCTACGTCTCTTCTTGCGGCTGACTGTGTCCGGCTCCTGTGGGACTTCTCTGTTGGCCTGGCGCTCTATCAGAGCCCGGCACAGCTCCATGCCTTCTTCCAGCTGCTGGCACACCTCTTGCGCCTCCGCTGCCTGTAGCGCAGTGATGGCCCGCTGGCAGAAGGTGCCTGCATTGCTGGTCTGCATGAAAGCAGCCGCCAGCGCCATTGCGGCTACAGTCTCATGAGCGCCGCTGCTGGTGAGACGGTCAATGCATGCTGGCTTGAGCGTGTGCGCGCCCCACCACCAGGCTCTGGTCTGCAGCACTGGCTGCAGTGCTGCCCAGTCACTGCTTGAGCTTGCGCACTGACTGCTGGCGTCCTCTCCTGACTGGTCCAAATGCTCTAAGCTGTCATCATCTCCCTGGCTTTGGGCGTTGTCAGATGCTTGCAGCGCCTGCTGCGCACTGCTTCTGAGCAAGGCTGCGAGCGCTGCCCAAGTGGCTGCGGCGCACTCAATTGCACTCTGTGTATCCGGAGCTGTTGACTGCATACTGATTTTCTGCCGATTTTGGATCCTTTCTGCGTGAGGCTGTTCGGGCAGGGTGTAGCCTCCTTGTGGGCGGTCCATAGTGCTGCAGACATCCAGGTGCAGCATGAGGGCATCCGCGAAAGGTGCTGGAGGAATTGGTCTCAGTGCTGCCAGGCGCACAAGGAGCTGCGCTGCACTGCAACAGAAGCACAAGAAAGTTCAGCCGATCGGGTGCAATCCAGAACCAAAACAGACAGCACATTGCCTGATCGTCGCTTAACCACCCACTGGCACTAATAGGGAATTTACACTGCCACCATAATCAAATGGTGGAGAAGAGCACCTGTGTGCGCCAGGGTCACATCTGAGCAGCTGGCAGCAGGTGTTGCCAGCGCGGCTGGCTTGCTCGTGACCGTCAATGCCCTGCGCCTGCAGCAGTAGCAGGTGCAATGCATGCGCGTCCGCATCATGCGGCGCCAATTCGCACAGCCGACTAGCAGCCTCCAGCGCTTGGGAGTGCTTCCCCAGTGCGCAGTACATCTGCCCACAGCGCAGACCTTTCAGTCTCGGCATAATTGTCCATACCGAACAAGCAAAGAACCTGGCCAGGCAAGGGAATCTGCAGTGGTTGATTGTGAGCAAGGAAGGCCACTTGTGGGGCCGCCACAGGGCAGATATCCACCTGTGCTAGTGTCAACGCGAGGTTCGACGCTGCCGGTTGAATTGCGAGGGCTGCTTTCAAGTGCTTCTCGGCGTCCCTCCAAAACTCCGAAGCAGACCTCCCAGCCGCGGCCACCAGTGCTGGATCGTGCGAAAACCATTCCATATCTCCACTCGCAATGGCCTCAGCTTTCCTGCGTCCTGCAAGCACACGGAACACCTCAAACGCCATCCATGGCTCGTCTTCCTAGCATGGCAATACCGTGAGCATACCAGTAACAACAGCGCACTCTAGAGACAAGCATGCCAGAGTGAACACCTGGGCTGGGCTTTGCCTTCGTCTGTGCAGTAGCAGCTTGCATTGCGTGCGCCCATTGGGCATGGCGGACGAGACCGCAGAAGGCCTGTGCTGCAAATCTGTCACCATCTTCTGCACTTCCTGTCAGCACTCCTGCCAGAGTGTCGTAGGCGTCGCTGAGATTGTCTGCCAGCAGGAATGCAAAGGCCTGCTCCAGCTGCAGCGACACCCGATGTCCTGGCATCACTTGGAGCGCCTGTGCACAAAATATCTCACACACTTTCCCCAGCCTTGATTTTGCTCATAGGCTGCTCTGGAGCCCAACGTAGAGTGATAATAATAGTAAGAGTGGCCAAATCGCACACCTGCACTTGGCGCAAGAGGCGCATGAGCTGCTGGTTGTTCACCGCCTGTGGTGGGTGCAGCAAGCACTCCAGGCCGGCCTCTACAGCATGCAACTGTCTCATCGTCCTCTGCGTCTCACTCGGGCGGTATTTCCGTTCTCCTGTCTTCACTGCCTGTACATTGCGGTGGAAATCTTCGGGGCGTGTGTTGAAAGGCAACGTGCGGATGGTACTTGTGCTGAGGGTACATGCAAATCCACTCACCAGATGAGGTATGAGCAAAGAAGAAGCTCCAGCCACTCGAGGTAGCTGGTTCTGCTGGATACCTTCCTCGATGATCGCTGTTAAATTGTCCACGTGTTGCAGGCTGGCCTGAGACCACACTGGACACCTTAATGGCTGACACCGTGAGATCTGGACAAATGTGTAGTATCATGGTAATAGAACAAATTCTCATTGTGTGAGGAGAGCCTGTATGTGGAGGTTCACCAACTTTGATGGACCAAAAGCATAAACTGCTCCTGCATTTTGTCCGTTCTTGTAACGCACAGAATGAAGGTATCGCTCATGCATTTGATCTTCTGGGTTTGTGTCATCATCCTGATCATTGCCATGAGCACCTTCGCGCTTCATTTGGGCATCATAAACGATGTATGATCCTTACAGCTCCAAAATTATCTACATCCTGCGCAAGAAAAGGAAACACAAACATAGCGTTTTTATGACTTCGTATTCTTGGTCTATGAAGGATACTTAAGGAGGCTTGATCACTCCCTGGCGAGCTGCGCGGAAAATAAGCGGAAAACCTTTGAAGTGGAAGCCTGACTTGGCAATGCCATGTGATCCCTCATGCTTGTCATGATCCATCATGGGCGGTTGCCAAGCGCTCGGTTGTCCGTGATGCAGACTGCTTAACACTGCGTTCTAGGTAGATCACATACTGACAGATAGTGCAGGACCAGGCCTGGATTTACTCTGACGGTCGTGCCTGCATCTGCGATTGTTTACGGGCTTGCCTGCAAAATAAGCTCCTGCACGGAACTCCGAAGAGACTGTTAACTTCGATCGTGGTTAACTGATCACAGCTGGCACAAAGTGTGAGATCCTCCTCTGTGACGAGGTACAATTTCCAAGGTCAATGTCAACATCCTGTTCAGTACGATGACACCACTTGCAGTGTGGGAGATTGTCGTTCAGATCGTGCTTCAGTGCATTCATGCGAATCAGTCAATTACTGTTGAATGAAACATCATCGCTCTAGCCAGATCACTTGTATGATGCCTTGACTTTCTTAGGCCTCCAGGCATACGATTCGTTTTGGAGTGGACGACGGCAAGAAGGTGTCGAGGAGGCTGGGCTGCGATCTACTATAAGAGATCCCATTCTGTGCCATGGCTAAACTAAATAAGGTGGAGAAGGACTTGCTGGACCAGTTAGTGAAAAAAAAGGTAACTGCTGCCGCTCTTTTCCACAACTTGTCTCCTTCCCACCACTCCTTCACGGTCACCTTATACGAATGAAATCAACATGTGGCATCACGAAACGGTGTCAATGATCCCCAGGAACAGTCCAAGCGAGGTTTCCTTGGGGCGAAGAAGCTAAAGCTGAAGAGGAAAACACCGGGTCCAAAAAAGCGAGCCCGTGATCTTGTAGAGGAGTTCGGGTAAGCAAGTCGCTTACATTGGAGCATGAATGGACGAAAATTGATGCATGCACGTTTGACCACTCCTGAAACTGACTGTAAACGCATGTCAAAACGCGCAGGCTGTGCCCCATCTCTTTACAGCCAATGCGCAGACCCGTGCTGCCATCATCAGGGCAGGCCTATGATGAAATCAACATAGTGCGGTTCTGCTCAAGCGGCAAGAAGCAGTGCCCAGTCTCAGGCGCCGCCCTGGAATGCTATCGGAAGGGCACTGACAAGGGGAAAGTCATGCTCACACCGGACTATGCTCTGCGCAATGTCATCCGCCACCAGGCTGTGCAGGCAAAGGTGGAATCACCTCCCCCACGCCCTGAGTCATATCCTTTTCGCTAGCACTTGTGACATCGTGCACAATTTTTTAGCGAGCAGTGTCACACCACCCTCAATAATTCTTTACGCTACTCTTCCTCAGGTGTACATCCCACCAATTGACAAGGATGAGCTGCTCAAGGAGATGCGCATCTTCCTGACGCTGGAGACGCCAGGCGATGACTTCACCACGGTCATGCCGGCTCTCGCCAAGGTGTGAAAATAACCGCTTGCGGGATGGGCAACACCCCCTAAGCAGTGTCCCTTTTCTTCACATGAATGTCATAATATGTACAGGAACACTGGCTATGGCGCCATGTGGCCTGAGCGCTAACAAATGGCATGCAGGCGGTTGTGGATGACACGAATCTGGGCTACATCAAGCCCAAGGAGCTGCAGGAGCTGCTGGGCAGCATGCGGGAAGCTGCCGAGAGCTGCCCCGGCGGCTGTGCAGCGGAGGCGTTCCCTGCGCTAGTGGCGGAGTGCTTCGCGTGCCGCGTGCCTCACATCGTGGACATGGGCGTCGACATGCTGCCGTCCGAGGCCGCCTGGGGCTGCCCCCGAGTCATGCGCGAGGCCCTCTCCGTCGGCCAGGACCCCGACTGCCGCGGCCAGGTGCCCTTGTCTGACCTGCTCACCATTCTCCTGCTGGGCTGGCCTTCTTTCCGATTATTGGCATGCCCTGCGCTGTTCTGCCTGTCCAGATCATCTACATTATGGAGAGTTGCCAAGGCACAAATTCTGCAGGCCATGCGGTTCTTTGACAAAAAGGAAGATGCTTCTGTTGTCGTGTTCCCCAAATTTCCACACTAGTGTTTGGTGTGGGGTGTTGTGTAGCAAAGGGAGGTTGCAATTGACGGGTGCTGGGTGGGCAGGTGCTGGTGGCGATAGAGAGGAAGTTCAAGGAGCGGGCGTACGCCGCGGCGCAGGCGCGCGCGGTGCTCAGCTATGATACCGAATCCGTGCCCGTGCAGCAGTTCCAGGCGCGCTGCGCGGACCTTCTCCTCTTCGCCCCCAACCTGCAGCTCTCCAAGGCGCGTTCCTGAGCCCTACCAGTCCGACCCGCACCTTGCAGCAAGATGAAGCAAGATGAAACACTTGTGCTGTTTGTCATGTTTACTTGCTGCACCATGGACAAACACACAGGACAGCAAGCATGCTTGTGGCATCGTTGTCACCCAAACAGAATAGCAAGAAGGCAGTTGTGCAGGCGTGGCAGACCTGTGTCTGTGTTTAAGTTCATGGCGTGGCAAGGTAATCACTCACAAGCTGGCACTGACATTGAGTAGGGCACCCATCTCCCAAGTATTTTGATTTAATGAGGCTGGTTGTGCGAGCAGGCTGAGACGGAGGAGGTGATGAATGCGGCGCTGCGAGTGGCGGAGGAGCTGAGCGGCTGCGACAGCGATCGCGCCTGCGGCTACGCGCTGTGGGCCCCCGCGCTCATGGCTCTCAAGCAGCGCGGCCGAACGCTTGACGCCGAAAACATGGAGCGCCTGTTCTGGAGCGAGAACCGCCACGTGCGCTTCATCCTATAACCCCTCACGCGATGCTCCTTTTCTTCCTCTCGCACTCAGAGTACCGGGTTGCATGATTATTCTTGTGATTGCATGGGTGGCTGGTAAGGCTTGTCTTGACACAATCTCAAGAGGGACATCGAATGTAGTTGTCTCCACGCTCATACAATGAAATCTTCCTCGTTTCACGTCATTGCTGAGCCAGTGGCAAAGCATGTGCCAAGGCATGTGAGATGGTGAGCTGTATGGCCCTGGTGCAGGTGCTGACGACCATGGCGGGGTCTGACCCGGAGGTCCTGCAGTGGCACCTCAGCCGCCAACCCAGCAAGGCGCTGTCCCTCTGCATCGAGGCGCTGGCCTGCGCTGGTGCGCTCATCCCACACTCATTGCTCCTGTGAACACCGATTCAACATGTGCAGGTCCTACAAATCTGGACCCCTTGTCTGGCTCTCTATGGCCCTTTCTGACCAAAGATCTGTGACAATGCAGAATTCGGCAGCAGCTTCCACCATGGGGGCGACTCCTACTCCGATGAGGAGGACTTCCTGGGCTCTGATGAGGATGAGGAGCCAGAGGCATTCGCTCACGGCCTCCCCCGCATGCGCACCCTGACAGTGCACAACTACAGCTAGGCGCTGCGGCAATTCCTGCCAGCCTGTAGCTTGCCCCTCGCATCGGCTGCTGATCTGAAGTTCTGCTTCAATACTCAAGACTGGACGGCACAGTGTTCTGTCGCCTGTCCGTGTACACATATCTTGGGGTACCATGACTTGCCTGCCAGGGGACGTTCCTCGCGCGCTCCTTTCTGACGGGCCCCATTGCCGGTGTCAGAGCGATGGGACTGTGTACTCCTAGCGGTGGCTGTTCGGCACAATGCCGACGCGCGCCTTCAGAGTGTATTCTTTGTGCAAGCGCCTCTGGCCCCAAGCGCTAAAGCCCAGTCGTCGGCGTTGCCTGATTGGCGGGTGCGGCTGCTCTGGGGAGTGTGAAGGTGCACTATTGAGAATCGTGTTTTTGGGGTGTGTGCGAGCCTTTCATACCGCGCTGAGTGTGCAGGGTCATGGCTTGAGTGCAAGCATCACTGCATAATTGTGTACTTGTACAAATGAGTCTGTGATTGTTTTTGCATGCTGTACTTGATGATATCATTCTCTGCGGGTGCACACGCGCCATTTCATTGCAGGGGTTCTGTGACAATCAGTCTGCCTGTCCTTCTGAAGCAGCTGGCAAAAGACCAAACAGGTCCTTCTGGTGCTGATGAGCTCAATGCAGACCCTCTGTCTTTACCAGATTTCCGCAAGAAATCTGCGTTTAGGTTGCAGCTTGTAAAATGCCCTCATTCCTATTCGGCCATTGGCCCAAATCGACCCTAGTGAACCACTTCTCATGAAGTCCGTATCAGTCGTCCTGAGGCAACTCTTCACTCACGACAAGTGCGTGCGCATGCATGCATGAAGAACAGCTTGCAGCACTTCTGCCATGTTGCAACGACATTCCTCCTGATGTATGCTACATATCAATGGCGTTTCACTTTGCACCAGCACTTTGAAAGGGGTTCTTTTAGGTGCTTGCTTGTGGTAGAATTCAGAACAGATCAAGTTGATGTGGTCTGAGATTACAGCCCTTGAAGAGGCAATATCACTGTGTCGTGTCAATTGCAATTGAGTTATTCCCTCAACAGATGTTCCTAGTGCTCCTACTTTACAACAGAAGTGATTCTGAATGATGTGATTTCTATCAAATGGGATCTGAATAGGTATCCTAAATCGCTCAAGACTGCTTTGAAGGGAAGACAAGATGAGTTTGTCAGCAGAATGGGAAGATATGCCCGTTCTTTGCACTGCTAGATCTGGCAGTGCAAAGAAGCCTTCCTTCTGGAAGGAACGCTTCTGGTGCCTCCTGGAGCTCGTAGCTCCGTGACATGCCACGACTTCACAGCAGTGCAAACCCTCTTATCTGCCCCAGCTCAAGCTGCCTCAATGCCTGCTCGCAAAATCCTGCAGCCAACGCATAGCTAAGTTAGTCAACACATGCGAGGGGCCACCTCCCAGCCAGCACATCAGCTTCCAGTACCAATCACAAGAGACAGGTGATCATGCAGCGCACCTGCATGAAGGCGGCGAGGGCCTTTGCACCCTCCAGTGGCATGGAATTGTAGACGGACGCGCGCATGCCGCCCACCGAACGGTGCCCCTTCAGCTGAACCTGCAGCAGCATCAAAACGCCTGTCTCAACATGCTTGAATGAACCGCATCCGGCACTATCAGATAATACCCTGGGCCAGCCTGCTGCACCCTGATCCAAGTAAGCTGGACTTCTTGGGACTTGATGGCTATGTCCTATTGCTGCAGCCAGGTCAAATATGGACGCAAGAAATATGATTTTGAGGATGGCGCAGGGGCGCACCATGTTCTGCTCGGAGGCCTCGCTGACAAAGGCCTTCTCCAAGTTGGGGCTGGAGGGGATGGTGAAGGGGATGTTCATGTTGGAGCGCACGCTCGGCTCCACCGGGCTGGCGTAGAAGCCGTTGGACCCCTCAATAGCGTCGTACACCAGCTTGGCCTTGGTGTCATTGTTGGCCTTGACTCCCGGGAGCCCCCCCGCGGCCAGTAGGTGCTTGAAGACCAGCCCGCACACGTAGATGCTCCAGCAGGGTGGCGTATTGTACATCGACCCCTCCATCTCCTTGAAGTCCAGCGTTACGGGAGTCTCCGGCCTGCGCGCAGACAGGCCCTCAGCTCCACACAGTACATCTCTGCCTCCTTGGAAGTTCCACAACTCCCGTCTGTACTGCTGGAACTATGACCTGTCCCTCTTGGAATATCCAAAAACAATCCAAAATGGCGCACTGTCCTGCTGTCATCATGTTCTGTCCCACTGTGGCTGCCATTGACATTGCACAGGCAGCGGGTGCACCACCCACATCCACAGACTCATGGCATGGCTGCTGGTCGGCAGGGACCCAAGCAAGACAGGGATATAAGATGTTTGCCATGCAGACAGCAATACACAAGCCAGCATCAGGGTGCAATCATGACTTTGCGCACCTGGCGCTGCCAACAAGGTCCTCGCGCACGATGACCACGACGACTCCGGCCGGGCCGATGTTCTTCTGCGCGCCGGCATAGATAAGCCCGTACTTGGACACGTCCACGGGCTTGGAGCAGAAGTTGGAGGACATGTCGGCCACCAGGATGGCATCCCCCACGTCCGGCGCACCCTTGAACTCCACGCCCTGGATGGTCTCGTTGTCGCAGTAGTGCACGTATCGCGCCCCCGGGGTCAGCTTCCAGGTGTCACGCGCCGGGACCGACTTGTTGTCGCCCTTGGCCACGATGTTCACGTTGGCGTACTTGCCGGCCTCCTCCGCCGCTTTCTTGCTCCACGACCCCGTCACCAACTGCTCCCAGGCAAAAGTCCCCCTCAGTGCACTGCAACTGATGGTGACTTGGGCATAGCAGCGTGAGAAAATCCTTCAGCTGCTTGCATAGGCTGCTGGCAATAGCACAAATATGGGCCCACGCGCGTGATAATGCTCAACCAGCTGCCGCCAAATGGAGCTAGGAAAGAGATGAAGAGTGTGTTGTATGGCAGGGTGAAGGGTCACAGGGAGCGCACATAGTCGACGGTGTCGCCGGGCTGCGACAGGTTCAGGGGGAGGGCGGCGAACTGCTGGGTGGCGCCGCCCTGCAGGAAGAGGACCTTGTAGTTGTCTGGGATGCTGAGCAGGGCGCGCAGGTCGGCCTCGGCCTCCTCAATGATGCGCATGAACTCTGGCCCCCTGTGTGACATCTCCATCACGCTGATGCCGCTGCCCTTCCAGCTCAGCAGATCCGCCTGCGCCTCCTCCAGCACCGGCAGAGGAAGCACAGCTGGGCCAGCTGAGAAGTTGAACACTCTGCCATACGGCTCCTGCGATACCATCAAGAGGCAGTCTCAGCGGGGGAAGAGTAGCTTTCAAGTACATATCAAAGTTTCTAAGAAGGGCATCAAGCCGCAATTCTGCAGGAATCTCAAGCAATTTCGCAGCGGAAGTCGATGGAAACTGACCTGCGTCTTGCTGGCGCTCTGAGCAGGAGCTTCCATGATTGCAGCCCTGGTTACAAGTCTTTGAGAAGGTCTCAACAATGAAGCTCTAGGTGTCTGCAGCAGCTGATTTGTGCGGTAGTGTGGGCTGCTAATTTGCTCAGGGCCGACAACAGTCTTGAACAGCATCTTCAAATCCAGTGCTCTTCCCGATACTCAAAATTGCAGCGATCACAGTCCGACTGGATGACGATATTTAAATCCCGGTTTTGCGATGCGTTACGAAGGTGTGCCACCATTGAAAGTCAAAGAAAGTATCTCAGAAAGTCAACACGACGGCCATTAGTAAAGTTGCAATAAAGAGATAGTAAGGGTGACTGATTGCTGGCTCCATGGCCGCTGCCACACCGAAACCAAGAATACCAAGAAGGAATAGTCAATACCATATCAAAGTATGTGTGGTATGAGGATCTGAGCCTGCACTGTTCTTTCCTGCATCGTTAAGAATACTTATTAGACGATGGCAAACCCAGAAAAACGCAAGAAGAGGCCAAATGGGCAGGTCGTGACAGATCCTCGGTTTGCAAAACTTCATACAGATGCTCGTTTCCAAATTTTCCCGAACAAGCATCGCAAGGTGGAGATCGATGATCGCTTTAAAGGTAGGCGGTGCGCCCAGTACTAGCTAGCTTCAACAGCTCTATCGAATTTATATAACTCGATCGATAGCTTGAGACGATGATTACTTTGATGGCGCAGGAATGCTCACGGAAGAGCGCTTCCAGAATAAAGCACCTGTTGACAAGCGGGGAAGGAAGGTGAGGCTGGCTAGCACCACCGAACAAAATATATTCTGCCGAAACTCCTGTCATTGAGCCACACTGATATGCCATTGACTGTGGCCTGATAGGTGAAGAGGGAGAGGAAGAATGAAGACCTGAACAGATACTACCGGCTTCAAGACCAGGTCTGTCCTCGCTTCTCTGTCAGATCTAAAAATTAACCTGCCGTCATCATGTAGGTTCAGTGCATCTGGCCTTCTCGTTGACCTATGTCCTGCTGTTTCCAGGATGGGGCCGAAGAAGTGTCCCCAGACACCGGAACAGAGAAGAGCGCCCTCCCACCAGACACAAAGAAGAAGGCCAAGTTGCCGGATCAAGAAGAGCATGCATCTGACAGTGAAGCAGAGGAGCCCAGCGAAGGAGAGGATGCAGAGGCTGCCGAGGAAGAGAGCAGCGAAGAGGAGGAGTCTGACAGGGACGCAGAGGCAAAAGCACGGTGGGCGCGCATGCGGGGGCTGGCCGGCCCGGACAGCAGCAGCGATGATGATGCTGGCAGCGAGGATGAGGATGCATCAGTCTCCGATATGGCCTCTCTTCAAGACGAGGATGAGGTGCGCCTGCAATCCCAGTCCTGGCACCGAGTAGTTAAATATCTGACAGCCAAATACAGGTGGTCAGTGTTGAGGCTTTTATTGACACCTTAAGCTGTGACTCCGATGTCTTATTAACTTGATCATCTGGGATTTGAATAGTGGACTGGCAGCCAGTCAAGGGAATCTGATGCAGGAGGCATGAAGTACCGAGTGGATCTGGCGCAGGTGGGCGATCTGTCAGAGTGGGGAGTGGGAGCGATGGCGGCCAATCCGGACGAGGCCATTCCCGAGGCGGAGGAGACCTCCAGGCTGGCAGTTCTGGACTTGGATTGGGAGCGCATCCGCGCCACCGATATCCTGGTTGTCCTGCGCTCCTTCCTCGACAAGGTGGGGCCTTTTAAGAGTCCCTTAATCCGGGCTTTGAAGCCTTTTCAAGCCCAATACTTGACAAATCTTTTGTGTAATGAGAAGTGAGAATGGGGCCGATCAAGGGCAAAGTAGAGATCCAGTGGCCAGAGATCAGCAAAGACATTGTTGTTGGCGTGCTGCTGTCGGCGTATCTTGACCTCAGTGAGGGGCGCTGGCATGAGGGCGCATTCTGGGGTCTGTGCAGGGGCAACGCATCGAGCGGGTGACAGTGTATCCGTCGGACTTTGGCCTGGCCCAGATGGCTGAGGAGGCGGTCATGGGGCCGCGTCCCATCTTTGGCTTAAAGGCACTGCGGGAGAGCTCCGCCAAAGAAGCACATGGCAGCGACTCAGATGACGACGATGATGACAGCGACGCTGCAAAGAGGCCCGGTGCAGAAGAGGAGTCTGAGGAGTCAGATGCGGAGGTCGACCAGCGCCGCCTGCGCATGTACGAGCGGTCAAAGCTGCGCTACTACTACGCAGTTGTGGAGTGTGACAGCGTCGCCACCGGCGCCCACCTGTACAGCCAGTGCGACGGCCTCGAGTTTGAGCTGACTGCCAACCGGTGAGCACATTGACTGCTTTCTTCTGTTCGCCATGATGATCGCCTGCCACCTGCAACCTGTGGTTGTATATTTTGCTTCTGGCGTGCTGGAAGCGTGCTCCATATTAGAGCTGGCACAGCTTAAATCCACCTGCTGTTTCTGGTGTGCCTCTTGTGTGGTGCATGGCCTGTTGGGTTGGTCTTGATTGTCAACATCAATTTTGAGCTGTGTGGTGGCGACACAGGCTGGACCTGCGCTTTGTGCCGGAGGAGCAGAGCTTTGAGGGGCGGAAGGTGCGGGACAGCGCGACGGGCGCGCCGGCCGAGTACCAGCCGCCGCCCTTCTTCGCGACGGCCGCGCTGCAGCACACCAACGTGAAGCTGACCTGGGACGGCGACGATGAGCAGCGCAAGCGCACCATGTCCAAGCGCGTCACCGCCGACGAGCTGCGCGAAGACGACTTCAAGGCGCGCCCCCTGCAGCCTACTTTACACCTTTCTCTGCAGCTGACCAAAAATTCCTCGATTCTTTCATTTGCAGAGATGGACAAACAGGGTTGGGGCTGGTGTCATAGTGTGCACATGCACAGCGTAAAGCAAAAGATCCTGCTCGAGGATGACTGTATCACTTTTTTGACTGGAAGAAGCGGCGGCAGCCTTTCTCGCCAGACGCCGCAGGCACCTGTCAGTGCACTTATGCATATATCCAATGGATGCTTTGGGTGTGCGCTGGGTGAAAATGATAGCAGAGGCTGACAGTTGTTGGTGCTGTACATGAAGGCGTACCTGGCGACAGGAAGTGATGAGGATGAGGAAGAAGCCGAGGTGCCAGATGCGGACCGCTACCGGAAGCTGCTGTTGGCGGGCGCCGATGCGCAGCAGCCGCTGCACCGCAAGGGTGGCAAGGACTGGGGCGCTGCAGCAAATGGGACCGCCGACGAGGAAGACCAGGCATGCTGTCTCTCCTTCAACTACCAATGTCATGGCTGCTTCCTGTGTCATGGCTTGCCATGTGTTGTTGGCAGTGTGCGCCTGCTGCTTATCCCATGGCCGAGGCTTCTAGACGGCCAGGCAATGAAATGTGAAGAATTACAGCAACTTCTGAGTACATTGCAAAATTTCACCTGGCCGCATGCAGTGCTTTGCCTGCTTGCAACAGTGGATTCCAGCTAAATGCTAAGGATGAGCGCATGTTGCAGGGCGAAGAGGAGGCAGCGAAGAGGAAGACCAAGAAACGGGGGGATGTGGACATGGAGGTCACCTTTGGTCCTGCGCTGGAGGGCCTCTCGCAGCGCCTGGCTGACAAGGCAAAGTCCAAGGAGGCCAAGACCCTTTGGGAGCAGATTGAATTGCGGCGCAGGTGTGATCCTGACTGCTACCTTCCCTTCCTATATTCTTCAAACTTGTTCAATATGTTTGATTGTGTGTGTGTGTGTGTGGAGGGCATTCTAGTGGTGCTTTTTGAGTCTCATGGCTCATGTCTTGGGGCAGTTGTGCACCTGTTGAAGCAGAAGGTGTGGCATGACAGGGAGAAGAAGATGGCAGCAAAGAAGAAGGGGAGGCACTACGCCAGCTCAGACGATGATGGAGATGGCGCCATCAGCGATGACGTGCAGCCAGCATACGTGCAGGAGGATGCCTTCCTCCAGCATGATGACAACACCTTCGATGACCCTTTCTTCCAGGTGCGGGACCTGAAGGATGTATAACATTATTGTACGATCTTTGCTGTCGATCAATCAAGCAGCGCAGACTGCGTTGACTCTGTGTGTACCTCTTTGGCCATGTCATTATATCTGTTCTGCTGAAAGGTGTGTAGGTAAGAACATGCATGGATTTGATCCTGCCATCATGCTTTGTGCACCAGGGCGGGGATGAGGAGCCGTCCAAGCCTCAGAAGGAGGAGGAGAGGGCGGCCAAGAGGGAGAAGATGCGCAAGAAGAAGACAGAGCGGGTGGCGGCCGAGCAAGCAAAGGAGCAGGAGGAGCGGAGGAGGCAGGCTGAGCTGGAGCTGCTGCTCATGGATGAGCATGCCCTGCATGATCAGGCCGTGCTGGGTGAGCCTTTGCAGCTGCTCGATGTCTTTTTCAAGAATGGACTCAAGGTTGATGTGTGTGAAATCGACAAGCATGTTATACTCATCAATGATCTGCTCTATGCAGGTGCCAAGGCAGACAAGGCGGCAGAAGCTAAGGCAAGCCAGCTGTCACGCAAGGAGCGCATCAAGCTGAAGAAGGCTCAAAAGCGCATGGAGAGGGCCACGGGCAGCGATGATGAGGACTTGGGCACAGCAGGACAGAAGCTGAAGGTACCTTTCCGCTCCTCCACCTAGGTGGACCTGCCTCAAATTTCTGGATGGCAGAGAGAAGCACAAGGCTTGAAAAAGGCACAGTTGGTTGGATTGAACGTATGTGGGGGACATCTGCACAAGTCTTAAAGCTTCACATTGCGGCTTGAGCACCAGTGTCAGAGCTTGGCTGCAGTGTCGCTGTGAGTGGCAGACCACAGACCCCCCAATCAAATATCTGGCTGTGCAGGAGGCCGACCTGGAGGATCCTAGGTTCTCAGCAATCTTCACCAACCCCGATTATGCCCTGGATCCGACCAACCCTCGCTTCACGCACACGGCTGGCTCCGCCAAGCTGGCAGCAGCCGTGGCAAAGCGCAAGGGGCGCAAGGTGCCAGCTGGAATCGATGCTGCTCCGGAGGCTGCCGTGGCACCCTCAGGTACCGGTGCCGCTCGTCTTCTTCTCTGTCCTGTTCTTCTGCATTCTTTCTTCTGCCGCTGTGTGCATCATGTTTGATGATGATCTGAACGTTCTTTCCTGCCCGCTGTCTGCATCATGTTTGATGATGATCTGAACGTTCTATCCTGCCCGCTGTCTGCATCATATTGGATGATGATCTGAATATTCTTTCCTGCCCGCTGTCTGCATCATGTCTGATGTAAATATTGAAAAGGACATCATGCTTGAATCCAAGTGGGCATCCTTGTGTGATTTGTGTTCAGCTAGTTCTTCTGCTGCAGATGCAGGGAAGCCCTCATCTGATGCCCAGCTGAAGGCCATGGTAATGTCGCTGAAGAAGAAGAAGGCAAGTGCAAAGAAGGCCGAGCAGCTGAAGAGCAAGTGACTGAGATTGCATCTGCAGAAGTTGTATTGATCATGAGCTCCTGTTTCACATTGAGGGTCCCGCATAGTTATTGTTCTCTGGAGTACCTAGCTAGGCCTAGGCATCCGCCCAGTAGATGAGATATATAGATGATTGCGTACGGTTGTGAGAACTGGTGCAGCGACATTGACTGTCAATTGGGAGAAATCAATAGATGAAAGTGTGTTGTACCTTTATTTGCTCACCAGGCTTCGTGTTGAATCATCACTGCGGCCAAACCTTAGCCTGGCTGGCTGGTCATGCATTTGCTCATGCATATCTTGGAATTTGTCATGTTGGGGTCCTAAGCGTTTGCATGCCATGAATACAGTAGCGAGGCAGGTGGGACAAATTGTCTCTCCCTACTCCAACTGCAGTGGCATGCAAGTTGTCGGTTCCACCTGCACGTGATCGCACTGCACGAATAGTTGCTGCAAATTTGTGTGCAAGCAAATACCATTGGAATCAGTGGAAAGGATATCATCACGACAAGAAGAGTTGTCTGCTGTGAGATAGATCTTGCATTTAGACCCGCATGTGTTCGTAGCATTGCAGCATGGCAAAGGGAGCACTTGACACTCTTGGAGAGGAAGTCACAGGCACGGCTGCTCATTAATCGTGACTCATTTTGTGAAGCATACTTGAATACTCATTACTGAGATGTTTTGTCTGTTGCAGGTATTGTAGCTCCGGTCTCAATATGCATGGCACTAACAGTTTTTCTCGTTCGGGTCTTGAACCCCAACGGCGATTCTGACACATCTGCCCTTTTGATAGCTTCAGCATACTATGCAGAAAAGGTAAGTCAGATACAGGTTGTTCAAGGCTGAAGATTGATAGCAAACATCCTTGATGGTATCACCTGTCAAACGGAGCTTCTTTAGACATGATCGCAGCATAGCTACCGTCAAATTGTTTGAAAAATTTTTCCTGAGATTGCAGGCAGATGATTCCACCGGAACAAAGCTGGCGGGTTCCGTCATTAACGCTCTCATCTTTGTGGTCATAGTTGGACTCATGACCTTTGTTCTCGTTCTCCTCTTCAAATATGGGGTAAAATACACTGGCATAATTATCAATAGTACAAGTGTTGACCAGTGTGATCAAAATTCGATTTCACTGCACCTGCATTAAGTGGTAAGCGCTGAACCTGTGTTATCCCTTCCACATGCAGTGTGTGCGCTTCATATATGGCTACATGGCATTTGCCGGCTTCAGCATCTTCTTCTTCCTCACTGGAGTCATTGCGCTGCAACTCATTGAGAAGGCGTCCCTGCGGCTGGATGCCTTCTCTTTCCTGTATATACTCTTCAACTTTGCGGTGAGACACTCCTCACTAAGACTTAAGCTCGTTCACCTCGCACTGCGTCTCATTTGGAAGTCATGCTTCACACTCTGTAGTCCATTCATCGGCGCATTGGAGGGCAACTTTTTGCGCCTAGGCGGCATATTCATGCCTACCATGGCATTTGTTGTGGAGCGCAGGTGGTGGGAGTGGGCAGCGTATTCTTCTGGCCAGCGCCAGTGCTGCTTAAGCAGGGATATCTGGTCGTGACCGGGGTGGTGACGGCCTACATGTTCACGTTCATTCCAGAATGGACAACCTGGACCCTGCTGATTGCCATGGCGCTCTATGACTTGTATGCAGTCCTCACTCCTGGAGGACCCCTGAAGGTGGCCCTCCTGCATCATGCCCCTGCCAGCCAGACATGTGCAGACATCAGGCAGCATCAGCTCCTTTTTGCACTCCAAGTCTTGCAACGGACTCAAAATCTCTCAATGACTTTGTGCAGGTCTTGGTGGAGCTGGCCATTGAGCGGGATCAGGACATTCCGGCACTCATCTATGAGGGCCGCTCAACGGTGCGTTCACTGTCTGAGCATCCCAAGGTCAGCACAGGGCATACTGCAGTTAAGTCTTGATCCACCGTGAGAACCCTGCTTGCTGGAAATAATCTAGTCCCTTGTTGCAGGCTCCCAGACGGCGACCGGTGGCGGTTTCTGGCAGTGCGGGGCAGAGTCAGCGGGAGCAGGATGGAGCGGTGTCTGCAGCCACACCAGGAAGTGGTGACGAGCTGGCAGTGCTGCCACTGGGGACACAGCCAGACATCACCTCTGAAGATGAGGGCAGCACGGCGCACAGGGATGGAGAGAGGGTGGGTGACCAGCTCTGTTGCATGCTGGCAAAGGCCTATTCATCTGTGCATGTGTGAGGATGCGGCAGTTGAGCTAGCCCGAGCTGCTTCTTAGTGAGAATGTGAAGGCTCGGTATAATTCAAGCTCTGCATGCAGGGTGTCAGGCAGCCCAAGAATGAAGCGGATGGCACCCAGATCTTGGGAGATGAGATAATTGCAGATGCTTCAGAGAACGGGGATGGAGTTGGGAGCTCTGGTAGAGCGGCAGCAGGTACGTTCAGTTCACCTGCTCATACAAAGCTTGTCTGTGCTGGTGTGAAAACATGCAAACAGTAAGTCTACGGGAATCAGGACTGTACATTAAATGCATTGGCTTCAGGGACAGATGACCCTACAGCAGCTGCGGAGAGCGAACCCAGTACTGCTCCAGATGAAGAGGCAGAGGACGGTGACGGGTCCCTGCAGCCATTGCTGAGCCGATCTGGCGAAGCAGCGCCCAGCTCTGCTGCAGCAGATGCCACACAAGGTGCGAAGCGTTCCCTGCATATGCTTCAGCCACCAAAGGGCCTTTCCCGCTGAGCAACGAAGTCCACACCCACCCCCTTCCCACCCATCCGTAATGTGCACTGCTTTGGAGATGGCAGCTGACCTCATTGGCAGGACATGATGGAGTCTCTCACAGAGGCAAGATGATGGGGGCAGGTGGTTCTGTGCCACTGCCACTGCCGACGGCGCCCCTGAACCCTCAGAGGCACGTTGGCCACACTCACGAAAGCGAGGACGACGAGATGTGGGGCCTGCCGGACTCCATAAAGCTGGGCCTTGGCGACTTCATCTTCTACAGTGTGCTGGTCGGCCGCGCCGCCATGTATGACATGCTCACCGTCTTCGCCGCCTACCTCGCCATCATCGCCGGCCTGGGTGCGTGCAATTTGTATATTTATTGCATTCTGCCTTGCTTAAAGTTCTGTCAGAGCATCTGTGCATTCCACACGATGTGGGTGTATGACGGGGGACGGTTACGGGAGTCGCCTAAGTGCACAATTTACTTGAAGGGGCAATGATTCTTTATTTTCTTGCCTTGATACCAGCTGGTCTCTCACATGCCTTGTGCTGCTGAGTCTGGCTGGGTGCATTGGTGCCACAAAGTGGACAGTGGCATGCAAATGCAACAAGGTGGAAAGGGACAAGCTGAGGGTGTGTTGGGTATCTTACAGGCATGACGCTGCTGCTGCTGGCGGTTGCCCAGAAGGCGCTGCCTGCGCTGCCCATCTCCATAGCCCTGGGCGTCAGCTTCTACTTCACCACACGGCTACTGCTGGAGCCCTTCATTCTGCCTCTCAGCACCAACCTGCTCATGTTCTGATGCTGGAATGGGCGGCAAGAATTAAAATAGCTCACCAAGGCTGAAGACTGTGCTTTGCAATCACGGTCATAATACTGCACTTACAGTATATATAGGATTCCATCACTGGCATTCCTGTGCTTGCGCATTTCTTGCTGGCATTGTAGGAACTGGCTCACCATCGACATTGAGAAGACTGCCAAAGCAATGCAAGTTCATCTAGATTCCAAATATGTCAAGTATTGCTGCGCTGCCTCTTGGACTGTAAAAATGCCTGTCAGCTTGCGCTAGTCTTTGGTTACTGTTAGACAAAGCCGTCATAGCATGATACTGCCTTCCTTAGCCCTCCACCGGATTGATTGCACAAACAGCATCCCAGATCACGGGAGGATAAAATGTCTCCAGTGTGATTGGGGGTCTTCAGCAGTAAGTGCAGACAATCAGTCAAACTCCAAGAAGTCCATCCGGGCCTTCATGGTCTTTTTGATCTTTTCTTGCTCCTTCTCATCCCGCTGTATCTGCCTAATCTCTGCCAAGCTCACCTGCACAGCAGATCCGCAACATATGAAAACTCAGATGGCCAACTCCATGCACATGTTAAGCACTTGGACAGATGCCTGCAAGCGATTGAATACCTTTTGAAGGATTGCTGGGGGATCATGTGATGCATCAATGTCCCCAAGCAGGACCACATTCTCGCCTCTGACAACATAGAGGCCCAGGGGGTCCTCAGCATAGAGTATCCCCACGATGATACGCTCCACAGCTCCTTCCAATACTAGATTGGCAAATTGATCGAAAGATCTGCGCACATACATGATAATTTTGCAAACGGTCCAAGGCATCTGGCAAATACAGTGTAGCAATTTGAGCCCAGACCGCTCAAAATGTGGATTCATGTCTGCGCTGTATTGTACTACACAATTAGAGAGTATGAGTGATGTGATTACCTGAGAATGCCAACTATCTTACGCCCGTCCCTGAGCTGTACCAGTAAGCGTTTGTCGAGTTCCTCAACAAGCGCTGCTCCTGGCGGTGGTACTTCATCCAAACTCATGCTACAAATCTTCTTGATCTTGATTCTATTGTCAGCATGCTCCAATGAGGCAAGGATCCAATACACTGTGGAGAACAGTCGCTCCACACAGCAGAAAGGCAGATGTGAGTGTTCGCTGAAAGTACTCTGTTGATTGCTCTGTGACTTGTTGCCTTTCTCACGGAGAAATGTCCAAGAACAATTATTTCTCTGATCATGCCATGAAACTTCTATGTAAAACCCTTTACAAGAGGGTCCATCCCCTGGCAATGAGAAATAATGAAGTAAAATGCACCACCGTGGCAGCTCCGAATTTGAAAAGAAACGACAGGTCGTGGCTGCCTCCAGCAACCTTCTCCGCTGCTTCGCTTCCTTTTCAGCACTTTCAGATTGGCACAGTACAATCACACACCCGAAAAGACAGTCGCAAGAAAGTGCCCAAGATCATTGGGAATAACGGGGCGGCTTTCTTCTACTTCAACCTTTCACGAGGTCCGACGATGTTCAGTCCGGTTGGACAAGTAGCCGGTATCCAAACTAGCCCTGCCCCAGTGCAGCGAGCCTTTGACGCTTTCCTGAAGGTAAAGCCTCCGCCTTTCAGGTGGTGTGCCATAAGATCCCTCCTGCTTCACTGAAAATTGTCGACGTCGACACTGTGATAGCGAGGAGGAAGACGCCTATCGAATACCAGGGCATTTCCATGCCTGCGAGCGGCCAATGATAAAACATGGACGCTATTGAATCAATTATTGTGCCACTCATGCAGGCTGTGGGGAAGAAACCACACCTCCTACGGAACTATAGTAAGGAACAACATCTTATAGAGTGGGTCAGGAGGCAAGGGGGGCAGGTGTGTCACACCCACTGATCCTGTCCACATCTGAAACTTTCCTTGTTTCTTAATTTACAGTGATCTGGCCTTGCTACGGTCTTAGCCATCCTCATGACAAGCACTGATGCGCAGGCTGATGTCATGATAGACAGCCCAGCAGCTGGGGGGCCAAGAGGGGTCCTGGCAAAACGCTCCTTTTCTCCTGATGAAGTCATCTTGTCCATCCCTGGGAGCATGGCCATCCCCTTCGAGGGGTCCCCCGAAGAGGCCACGGTGCTGCTGCTACACATAAAGCACGACAGGAGGAGACGGGCGCAGTACCAGCCATGGCTGAATGCGCTGCCTGGGCCACAGGATTTTATAGCATGGGACTCGGTGGATGACCAGTCCCTGAGCATGCTGCAGTGTTCTGAAATGGTGAGCCTGCCTCTTTTGATTGTCCACGTGCAGACTATCCTGAACGAATTGATTGATTCCTAGGTGGCACACTCGAAGTATGATTGTTGGTGTGATGGCTTCGTGTGAACAGGAAGGTGCAGTGAGGGAGAGGAGGGAGCGTCTGGAGACAGTATGGCAAACAGAGCAGGACCAGGATCTTGTTTATTCAAAGCAGAACCTTCTGCCCTCTCGGGACATCCATTGGGACGAGGTGCAGTGGGCAGCAAACGTCGTGCGGAGCAGGTTTGCTTTAGATCCTAGGGATGGGCCATCCCTAAAGTTTAGAATCCCCACATTGTGCTCTTATGTACAGTACTACCCTTGAATACCGCACACGAATCCTAAATGTTGCCCTAGACATTGCCTGCTATTTGTCTGACTCATTTCACATGGCTGCATTCAGGAATTGGACCATGGGACAGTCAGGTACCGGTGAGCATGTATGTGTCATGATGCCCTTGTTCGACATGGTCAACCATGACCGGGCATCAGACAACAGGATCCGTTTTCGTGGAGGAGCCTTTCAGCTAGTCCATGAAGGAGACGGCATCAAGGCTGGTGAGGAGGTGAGCACTGCATGGGCTTATTCCATTCTGTGAGGCCAAATGCCGCAAGCTTACCGTTACTTACTTGCTCTGTAGATGTATGCAGCAATCTTGCTACCATGGAAATTAGCATTAGGCCGTGTGAAGCGCAGATCACCTACAATTACGAAGGCGAGGGGCATGAGCTACGAAATGATCAGGCTGCCCTGGACTACTCTTTCATGCTGCCCCACTCGGATGACAGCCGGCTGTTCCATGTTGATGCCTTGGCATCCATGACATCATCCAGCGAGGTCTAATTCCTTTTGAACTACATCAAATAGTACTGCGCTGATGCTTTGTTATCCAGAGGGTTCCAAAGTTGCTTTCTTTCTAATGGTACTAGAAGTGCACAAATGGCTTCAGCGGTGATTTCACTGAGTCTCTCCTGGCTTGCATTGCAGAGCGCTTTGGGAGAATTGACCATAAAGGAGCTTGAATCAGAGCTTGCACAGATGCAGGCTCGGTTGGATCAGTTCCCCACAACCCTCAAGCAGGACCGAGAGATCTTGAATCGCTTGCACAGAGCAGGTATGCACTGCCTGGCACATTTGCTAGTTAACTTGCACTTGGAGGTATGGCAGTTTTCAATTTGAAGCGATGAGCTGCCACAGGGACCCTGTGACAGGGTACTGCATCAAGCACTGCGAGACGATGAGTCTTATTTCTGTGTAGAGCTATTTACCCAAACCTTTGTGTTTCCCTGCAGATGCGCCCGTCGCAGCAGAAAGGTCATTCTTGGTCGAGGTCAGAGCCGCCCGGAAAGCAGCACTTGGAGTTCATATAGAGTCTCTGGAAAAGTGCTTGCAAAGGCTGTCATAGCATAGCAGAAAGGAAGTATGATGTATGAGCCTGCAATTTGCGTGAAATATACATGTTGTGAGATGACAATTGAAGCAAAAATTACAAGGACTGATACGTAGTATGGATGAAACTGTTGAGCTTCAAAGATGAGCTATACATTTTTAGCTGTACACACTGTGCTGAAAGTTGTGCAGTGTCTCCTCAATGACCAATCTGTCTTTCTATGCGACTTGTAGACCCACAAGTCCCCCCATGCAAACGCAGGCACTCGCTGTCTTGATAATTTCAGTCCTCCAGTACCTTCTCCTGCTCTTTCTGCATAAGCAGCTTTTGCTGCTCTTCCTCAGACATAGCCAGAAACCTGCAAGCAAGAGCACATTTAATGTACCATCTTTACTTCTGAAGGCAATGAGTCATAACTGGTGTGGCACTACCAAGACTGACTCACGTGAAGACGCTCTTGTCTCCTATGTCATCTTTGATGGGCTGTGTCCATTTTCTCCCTGCAAAAATCAGCGACGTTCCAAGGAATGCCAACAGCAGCACACGCTCCGCTGACTCTGGTACAGCGCCACTGAGGTGCCCTGCAAGGCAACCCCTCACGAGTGAGACTATATGCCCGATATAAGGGCAACTTCCCTCACCAGGCTTTGCACAGAAGGACCAGCAGTCACAGCAAACGAAGGCACTCACCCAAGAGGAGTGCAGGTGTGAGGAAGAAGAGAACAGCGCATTCCGGTTTCCCATAGCACACCCCTTCCTTGAAGGCCACTCCAGTGACGGCAGCAAAGAAGGGGCCGACAGCCCAAACGGCGCCCGGGTTGCTTGCCACAAAATCCGTGACTGGCTGCGGCTGCAACACCATCGCAACAGTAAGTATGGCTGCACCAAAGCTTAAACACAGGCTGGGTTACCTTCCAAAAAGTTCATTGGAAGCATGAGGTTTGAAATCAAAGAGGGTCCCCTGGGGTACATTGTACCTGCGATGCCATGATGCTGAGGCTGCCTATGACACCAGAAGCCCATAGGAGCTGGATGAAGCGTTTCAAGGGGGCCACATATATGTGGATCAGGACAAGGGATACCCCCAGGCCGCCTGCCCCAATGAGGCAGATGGCATTCTGCCATTCCCTGCACAGCAAATTACACAATGAACACCAGGGCATCAAAGCAGGTGACACCATAAGGTCGGACAAACAAAGGATAAGTCTCCGCTGAGCACGGCATGCGTACCTCAGGAACTGTAATGGTGATCCATTTTGAATTCCGAGGGCAATGATGGTGTCCAATAGGAGGGCTGCAAGGCAAAGAATGGAAATGATTTATATTAAGGCTTATGGGAGCATAACCATGATGCTTTGAGAGTGCTTGCCCATACATGATCACCTGCTGCAGCCACTGAGATGCCAGCACGGTATCCCAGCACTTCCCTAACGTCGCTCTCTTCAACCTGCCAGTCCCCATACACTCCCCTGAACACCTCTTGACCTACACAGTCCAGAGAGATCTAAGAAATGCTTTGCAACGGGTAATAAAACTCTTCCACTCAAATAAGGACTTTTGTATTAATGATACCTTGCGACGCAGTGGCGTCGCACATGAGAAAGCTCCTCCTAGTACTGTGGCCAGGTCTTCCTATCATGCGGCATTGAAGAGCAATTCTTGCACTGCAATGAAGTCTGCTTGGTAGAATTATGGGACTGGCAGGCCATGACCGGCCTGATGTGCACGTAACACGAGAGCTTCTGGCATTCATTAGCATGTTTGGACAGATCTGCGATGCCAACGGACGACGCGCTAGGTGCCGCCTTTCAATCCGTTTGTTCGATCTGAAAAGGTTTGTTAATTTGCTGCATGCGATGTTAATCCATTTTGCCTGATGGGTGGCACAGGACCCAATTTGTAGAGCATTGCAGCACGTGACAATAACATGTAATCACGTGCTGCTCCTTTTCAAATTTGCCAGACCAGGCCAGACCAGATTTGTCTGAACCACAAGGAACAAAGATCATTGACTTTAGAACTAATCTGATTTTGTGATGTTGCATTTGTCACCTTGAAACTTTGCCATCTGTGGAGTTTGCAACGATCCTCAGAGCATCAACTTGAAGGACTTGCAGGAGTCACAGACAAGGATGGCCGCAGCAGCGGAACAGCTCACATTTCAGATTGTCGTGGCTGCGACAAGGAAGCTTGGGATCGGAAAGGGAGGGACGATGCCTTGGAAATTGCCAGGTGACATGGCATACTTCAAGGAGCTCACAACCAGAACGGCGGACCCCAACAACCAGAATGCAGTCGTGATGGGACGAAAAACATGGGAGTCCATCCCTCCAAAGTTCAGACCACTGCCAGGAAGGGTGAATGTAGTGCTGAGCCGAGGCTCGGTTGGTGATGAGAACCAGGCAGCACAGGGCAACACGCAGGGAGACAGTCGTCCAAATGCCACTTCATATAAGGTGAAAGTTTGCAATGAGTTTCAAAGCTATATAATGACAAGGGTGACTTGATGGGTATTAGTTCAACACGAACAAAACAGCTCCATCAACTAAGAGACAAACGGTTGTGGCAGGTTTCTGAGCTTAGAATTTTCATTCAGGGTGCTCACCTGACCAGCAGCCTGGAGGCTGCCATGGCGTTGCTGGGTGAGACCTCGTTCAAGGAGCGCATAGAGACGGTCTTTGTCATTGGCGGTGGCAAAGTGTACGAGGAGGCATTGCCCTCCCCACTCTGCTCAGCCGTGCACTTCACTGCGGTGAGCCTCACCCACCCACCCACCCACCAGTACCTTGCATTCAAAAACGAAACGCACAACACTATATATTTCCTGTTCTTTTTACAAGGCCTAAATGGGCTGTTCCCTGCCCGTGTTGAAAAATTGAGGGGGGCACAGATTGAGGCGGACATAGAGTGCGATACCTTCTTCCCGGAGATGAGTTTGGACAAGTGGCGGCTGTGGTCTGAGTCAGCGCCGCGCCGCAACGGGGACATGCGCTACTCCTTCCAGTGCTACGTGCCCGCCTCTGCCTCCAGCAGCAGCAGCCCCCCAGCCCTGCCCCCTGCAGTGGCAGCCCAGCATGAAGAGCTGCAGGCACGTCAGCCACTCTCTTTCTGTTAATTTGTATGCCTCACGCATGGCAAATTGCATGTCATGGGTACTTTAAGAGGCGTGTTGGGGGACTGAGCTGGTGCCCTGTGCTGTGTGCTCAGTATCTGAACATGGTGGATGACATCATCCGCAACGGGGTATTCCGCGGAGACAGGACGGGCACGGGCACCTTCACCAAATTTGGCTGCCAGATGCGCTTCAACCTGCGGCACACCTTCCCGCTGCTCACCACCAAACGCACCTTCTGGAGAGGTGCCCTCTCGCCTCCCTTGTCCACGCCTGTCAATCTAACCATTGTGAACGCCGTAAAGAGTATCGCTGCGGCCCAAGATATTTTGTCTGGTTGTATTCATTTAGTACAGTACCATCAATATGGCCTGGTAGAGGGTAAAAACTTAGTAAGATCCAGGCAAAATCTGTCGTGTTGGTGGCAGGCGTGGTGGAGGAGCTGCTCTGGTTCATCAGCGGCAGCACGAATGCCAACGTGCTCAAGGCAAAAGGCGTGGGCATCTGGGATGGCAATGGCTCCAGGGAGTACCTGGACAGCATCGGCCTCAACCACAGGTGCCGCTTCTTGCCCTTTTCGGGCAGAGGTCTTGCAAGACTGCAGCCACTCTGAAGACCCAGCATTGTGACAGCATGCCAGTGATGCTCATGATTCTGATCTCTTTTCATCTGCTCACCCTCCCCATCCCACGCCAGGTCTGTCTGTGCATCCCTGCTTGAGCACTCAGTTTTACAGCGTCCTGAATGTGAGGCTGGAGGGCGGTGGGGGTATTGTGATGTATCTCTTGAGTCGCACGCGAAGGCTGGCAGACGGACCCCCCGGTGTGGCGTGCTGGCGTGCAGAGAGGAGGGGGATCTGGGTCCGGTGTACGGCTTCCAATGGCGTCACTTTGGCGCAGAGTACACCGACATGCACGCGGACTACACCGGCAAGGGCGTGGACCAGCTGGCAGCACTGATTGCAGGGATCAAGGCCAAGCCATACGACCGGCGCCACGTGCTGACCGCCTGGAACCCGGCCGCGCTCCCAGACATGGCCCTGCCCCCCTGCCACCTCTTCTGCCAGGCACAGCAGACTACCCCCGACACATGCGTATTAACTCATGTGGTTTTTCAATTTAACCTTGAAAAATTGTTTTGGAACACATGTATTTTCTCACACCCCTCATCTTGCCCCTTATGTTGCCCTACGTGTCTCGGGCGATTCCTGAGCTGAAGGTGTAAGCTTGGCAATGCTGAGAGTTGAATGGCAGGTGTCAGGATGCGCTGATTCAGTGGCTGATGTGGGTTGGCAATGTGATGCCGAGCAGTTCTTTGTGGCGGAGGGCGAGCTGAGCTGCCAGATGTACCAGCGCTCCTGCGACCTGGGCCTCGGCGTCCCCTTCAACATCGCCTCCTACGCCCTCCTCACCCGCATCATCGCCCAGGCACGCTGCTGCACCCTCTCCTTGAAGAGGCCCAACTCTGCTGGCGTGCTACAAATTTAAACTTTTCCGCTGAGTTTCATTGCTGCATCCGTCACGAAGGCCAATGCCAAATGCACAGTTCAGGGGGGTCTGTGCGCTGCAATTCAGTTGGGTTTGGCGGGTGTAGCCAAGCTTGAACTGCCTTGCGCCAACCTGGGACATCAGGTGGATGATGCAGAGTGCAAAGATGTCTTTTATAACGGGCAAATGTGGAGTGCAGGTGTGCGGGCTGCAGCCTGGGGAGCTGGTGCATGTGCTGGGTGATGCGCACGTGTATGCCAACCACGTGGACCCGCTCAAGGAGCAGCTCAAAAATGCTCCCAGGGCCTTTCCGGTGGGTTCCTGATATTGGCGCAGATGGGTCAATTTCAAGTGTCTGATATGATTACAATTTCCTTGGCGATCAGATGCGTGCCATCAGTGACCGATTGATTGTGCCGTGCAGGTGCTCAAAGTCAACCCTGCCAAATCAGACATTGACAATTTCGTTTATGAAGACTTTGAGCTACTGCACTACGAGCCCCACAAGAAGATCGCCATGAAGATGGCTGTCTGACATATAAAGGCAGCCCTCTTTCAAATTTTATGTGCTAATAGTGGGTGCATTGAAAGGACTGCACTTTGTTGTTGACCCTGCAAATGCGCCAAGCAGGTTCCAGCATTAACTTAAACGGTGTAACAGGATCTGAGCAAGAAAATTTGAGTATGCACTTTTTGATGATCAGTAGATGAGCACACTTGTTTTTATCATTATCATTATTATCACACGCTTTTCCTGCAAAGAGGCAAGGCGCGTCCTGCAGACAAGCTGCAGTTGAAGGCTGCCATAATCCTACCCCTTGTTGGACTTGCCAGATCCAAGCAAGACCCAATCAACCGTGGGCACGGTGCTCAGTATTTATATCGCCCCCCGCCAGCGGGGGCACTTGTTTTTAAGACTGAGTAAAACTTAAAAATTGAAAGATGTTACAGTATCGGCTAGCTTGGCAGTGTTGGCCAAGCTTGGTACGCCCTCACTGTAGAGCTACATTCCTGCGCGGCAATGGAGGACTGCAGGAAAAACCAGTACAACGACCCAGAAGTATTGATCAATACACAAGGCACCTCTCTGCTGTAGGTCCTATGAACACTCTCTCATGATCACATCTTACTGTTGGACTTGTGTTGTGTGACAGTTCAGAGCACCTCCTATCTCACCACCTGCATGTGTCAGGCGCCCTCATCCTGCATTGTAGTCAATGAGACTGTCCTGACCAGTGATGCCTCCAGCCACCTCCAAATCCTCCTTGTCAATATCATCCTCCCCCACCCACTCCTCACTGTCCTCCTCAGCTGTGAATCCCGCCACCCCAGCAATCCCCTGTCCCTCCTCTGGCTGCTGCAGGCGCACACTCACATCACGTGTCGACTCAACACTCGGTACTCCAACACATGCGTTTGCACTGCCACAATGTCATGTCAACGACACCGCGCCACATGACATACGCATCGCATCCTGAGTGCGCATGTCCAGGCAGGTCTGACAGAGCGAGGCAGGCGGTGGCACAATTTTAGCTTCAGTTCAACAGAATGAGGCATTACAGATATACGAGTACTTAAAAAAAAAGACAAAAACCTGCTCAATTTCAACAGCATGTTCGCAAGTGTTTTACCGATGAATTGCACAAACAAGTGCTGCCCCTAGTACACCAGCAACACCGTCTTCAGATGGTGTCTACTGATCAAAGCTCACCTGCTCCATCTGCTGGCCGCCGCCGTGGAGTTTGTCAAAGGCTTCGTTGGCGCCAGCAAGGACCATGTCCTGGACAGTCGCCGGCTGCTGCAGGTCCAGCGGATTGCCTGCCACGCCCGGCACCGCACGGTGGATGCCGGCCGTCAGGCCGAACCACCCCGAGTCCGCCGCGTCTGCGCCCCCTGGCGCCGCCGCAGCGAGGGGCCCCGCCGCCGGGTCGCCCGCTGACGGGGCCACCGTTCCAAACCAGGCCGCCAGAGCTTCAGGACCCATGGCCGGCACCTGTTGCACACAACGCAAACATGAGTCGCCATAATTGCCTGCCGCAAGTTGGCGACCTTCTCAAGCAATCAGAGGCTAAGTGAAGGTTGGTGATGATCGAGCTGGCCAAGACAATTTCAGACTTTGGCAGACTTCAGACACAGCTCATGATTTGATGTGATATGCTGTGGTCAGGTGAGTGGCGGTGAAATTTGTAGCTCTTGACGGTGCAATTGCACGTGCAAATGTTTCGACGCTGAATACTCCTGAACCATTGAACAAGCAGGTTGAGCCTAGGTGCGCACATTGCTTGGCGGCAGCGCTGCGCCGGTCGTGGGGGAAGCGGCCAGCAAGGGAGCTGGCGCGAGCTTGTGCGGGGCCAGCGCATGCGCAGGGTGCTGCCCCGGGTGCGCGTGGTTCTTTGGGTGCTGCTTGTGCATGTGCTTGTGGTGCCCCACCTCTGCAGCGCCGACCTCCCCAGCAGCCCCAGGCGCAGACAGCAGCGAATCTGCAGAAGCACGTCAGTCCTTAAGCCCAGTGACATCGTATCGGCCACACATGCAAGTGCAGGCCGGTGGACACTGCTAGGGGCATGTCACATGACACTCAAGACTGGTGCACGCAACCTCGACACAGGGAGGATTGCCCAGACCTGGCTCCGGTGAATTCAAGAGGCTGTGATCCGCTGCTGCCGCCACCTTCTCTTCCACGATGGGATGCTGCATCGATTTTGTTTTCTGTTTCTCATTTGCTGCTTCCCCCAAATCGCTCCCGACCGGGGAGCCTGCCACCAAGGGCTCTGTCGCTGCCTCATTCCCTGCATTACCAGCTGTCATGCGGTCAGTCATTGCACAAACAAAGTGCCTGCAGGACTTCACAGACATAATTTGTGAAAACTTGCAGGATCAGTGCAGAAGGCTGAAGACTTACGTTGCGAAAATCCTGCAACGTCGGTGTGATGTATTTTGCTGCTCGGATGTGAGAATGCCACAACGAGGGCGATGACGATGGCTACAACTATGAAGACCGCCACACCAATGCGCCACTTTGTCCACTGAAATCCCTGTCCATCCGTGACCCAGCTGTGCCCGCTTGGTACTGGCACTGATGTACCCGCAATGGAAGGTGGTGAGGGCTGCTCCTTTGACAATTTTACGATGCCAGGGCTGCCCTTACTGTTCTTCTTCCCAGGTGATGTCTGCGTGAACAAGTATCACGTTCAGGGGACCCCCTCGAATAGAAGGCGTACCAGTAAAGTCTTCACAATTGGCTTGATGATGACCACAGAACACTTAGACAGCCTAACATAAGATTGCCCCTCGGACAGCCCCTCGGACATAGTAAGGTGGAGATGCATGTTGCACTCATGCTGCATAGTAATTCTCCCCAATCACTGACAGTAAAATGCTTCTGGGTCGCTGTGATGGCGATGTTCTCCACCATCAACCACAAGCAACCTAGGGACCCAGATGACATACAGTCACAGACAAAATCAAGGAAGTATGTTGTTACGAAATGTGTCACACAAGAGATAATTATGAAGGCACCTTAATGCGAAGAGAAGAGGACAGAAGGCGCTGCTTCTCCGTTGGAGAAGGGAGTTGGTTCTCTTCGTCAACCTTTTGAAGTTGATCTTCGATGAGCTTGGAAAGTTCGCTTGCCATCTGCACGAGGTTTTATATAGGCACCAATGCTTGATTCTAAAAACTTAGATACAAGGTCTTCCTTCGGAATCGCTAAGTGAAGGAGCCCGTCCCTGATTTGCACTTACGATGCCAAAACTGTCGGCAGATCTTGTCTTTGCCTCTTCAACCACTTGCTGGCGGGTCCCAACAGGCGCAAAACAACACAGATCACTGTTCTTGCGCCGAGAAAGCGCGCATCTCTGATCTGGGCCAGGGTTAGTCATGCTAGGGTTGTCTAAACCCCTCTTGCCACAAGCGCTTAAGCCCTGCATTCATTGTTTTCCCAGAAATACTTCAACCATAGACAAGCATGCTGTAACAGGTACTTTACTCGTGACGACTGCCAAATCAGAGATGGCACCACGGTCAGCGCGCCTAGCCGGCCGGCCGCGGCACCAACCTGAGGTACCAACCGGCTGCAGCGCAGTCAATAGTTTAAGCGCTAAAAACTTCTTAGTCTTGAAGACATCACGTCGAACTCGGAATTTCCTGCAACAAGTACTTTGCTAGGACCGGCCAACCGATATTTCGACTGGGCGCTGCGCAAATGCCCCCAGTGCCGGGCATGCATGCGCATAAATCAATGGCTCGCATGCACACGGCATGCCGCGGCCTACTAATAGTATTAATCGTTATTATTATAATATGGCCCCGGCTGGCGGGTGGCGGTACAGATACTGAGCACCGTGCCCACGGTTGATTGGGTCTTGCTTGGATGTGGCGAGTCCAACACGGGGTAGGATTGTGGCAGCCTTTAAAGAAATTTCACTGCAGCTTGTCTGCAGGATGCACCTTGCCCGGGAGGGCCTCTTGGCAGGAAAAGCGTGTAATGCTAATAATAATAATGATAATGTTATGATGACCTGTAACCCTAAAACCAAAAAAACTGGATTTTCACTCTATTGTATACGTATACATGCGCTTGCCACCAGTTCACTGGATTGGCGCATAGCACATCATGTGCTGTGGCACACATCATGTACATATGCATAATCATGCCATCAGTGAGTGTAGGAAGACTCCTAGGACTCCAGGCCTAGCTATAGATTTGCAATGCAAAGAATACAATTGCAAAGTGAAAGCTACTAGCTCACTGCTGTAACTCTTTGCCTTCATAATGCATTTTATGTAAGATAGCATGGTAACAATGCATAATCGATTATATCATGATGACCAAGAAACTTAAAAACAGACCAGACTTAGTTCCGAAATAGAGTAAGATTTCCGAGACAGTCTGTCTCGGCCGCCTAGCGGCAGCCGAGACAGAAGTGCCTAGCACACATCCAATACACAAAAGCTACTTGATGATGGTACATATAATGTCACCACTAGCTGAATAAAAATAGCGGCTCCCGCGCGGAGAAATCACTGATTCACACATGTGATCAGCTCATATGACCGCAGCCGCTCCGTATCAAAGAGATGAGGCAGCAAGTAGATCTGCCCAGGAACCCTTCAAATGGCACTGAAGGATGCGTACAAAGGGACACAGTGCTGCACGCAAAAATGTATAAAGCAGAAAGCAGGGATGTGTAGGCACAGTAACTGGCCTGACCAATTAGCATCAATGTGAGAGGTTTAATGCAAAGGTCACAAGCCTGTCCAGAGCCTCTGAGAATGCCATCCAATCTAGGTTTGTGACTGACTGTCCGCTGCTGCAGACCTGTACATAGTAATGGCTACTGGGGGCAAGAGGCCATTAACAATACCTGCGCATCCAGCAACATTGTTAATACTGTGTCTCAAGGTATGTGTCCGTGCAGTATCTCAGCAAATTGATCGAAGGTCTGTACTACACGACAAAAGTGCGCACCATTCACAGTGGTAAACAGCGGATACTCTGGTTCCCATCCCCTTATCTGCAGGATGGATTGGACTTCATCTGATGTCAGCACACCCTGGAGCTTCTGGCCTGCCAGAAGCTCTGCCTGCACAACAGCCGCAGCGGTCATCAGGGATAAATTCAGTCAGTCTGATATATTAAACACCAAATAGCAGATCTTGTACCAGCCAGCCTGACATGACATCCATGAGACGCAGCTGTAAAAGGCAGGAACTCACCTCCAGGGTGTCAAAGGACTTGGGAGAGCCGCCCTGGTATGCACGCACATACGCCTCAGCGACCAGCCTGTTCCTGCCCCCTGCAGTTGAGCAATTTCAGTAGTTTATCACCCCACTCCGTGCTTCTGCAGCCTCACCAGAAACAGAGCTATCACTGTAGAGAGTAGCCAACTTGCAGTGCAGAGCCTGAGCCCACCATAGCACGTGGCGATGAGATCGGCAACGCCGCAGCTCTCAAAGAATGTGTCATTGCGCACTGTGGGGTAGATCCTCTCAGCTAGTGACCGCATCTCATTCAGCCCAGCCCGCATGATTGCTGCCTGTGTCGCACAACCCACAGAATCTTTGTGTGGGACATTTCTGTCTGATACAACACATCCTTGGAGGCTGGCGCATGCATTTTGCAACACAGGATAAAAGGCAACACACTTGCAGCATAAGTGAGCACTATAGGTCATACCTTGGTGTTTGGGCCTTTACCGAGGCCGTCCACAAAACCAGCAGCAAGAGCCACAATGTTTTTCAAGGTTCCAGCCATCTCAGCGCCAGCAATGTCCGGCACCAGCTGCACGTAGAAGTAGGGCGCCTCAAACAGGCGCTTGAAGAGCTCGCCGTTGGAGGGCACTGCGCACCCAATCGTGGCCTCTGAAAGCTCCTCATTGCCAATGTCCTGCGCACACACACCTGCCTCATTCGTAGCCCCAAAATGACACCAAGCACATCTTCTGCACATCTTCTAATAATAATAATAATAATGATAATGATAATAATAACGAGAGGTTGCTGCAACGCACCTAGCCCTGAGGGCTGGAACAAGCGTGCAACAATAACAACAACAACAACAACAACAACAACAACAACAAACAACAACAACAATGACAACAATAATGACAATAATAATAATAACAATAATGATAATAATAATAATAACAATAATAATTCCTTTCCAGCCTTCTCTGTCTAGGCACTTTCTCCACCAATGGCCATCCTACTCTGTCGGGCAAAATCCACTACTTTGGTGGACATGCACTCCACTACATTAGTGGATTTGGCTCTCTTTCTGAGCACGCCCCTTCGGGGCGTGCAATAACAAAAGCAATGCTGCACATCCTTCAGATTTACCTACAACAATCTCAGCATTGCATAGTACCTCCGTCAAGCTAATTATTTCGGTCAAGCCTGTATCTATAGGATCGTGCGCTACTCGTTTCTGCGAAGACAGCAATGCCATTTGCCAGGTTACCGTTGCAAAGTAGGATTTGAAAGGGGGGTGGGACGGCCGCAAATGTTTATGGGAGTAATTTAAACGAATTCTTGAAGTCTTCTGTCGCTGGCCATGTGAGGTTCGCACTTTTGCCGGTTTTTTGGCATCCCCATCCTTGACTTGTTTGGACTCAGCTAATCGAATGTCACGACCATCGACGTGCATGTCTACTTCTTTCGTAGTGACTGCATGCCCTGCCAAGCCAATTCCTTGAAATGAAATGCGTGCAGGCAACACAGAGCGTTCACCTGAATTGAGCACTGATGCACCGGACAGACACTGAAGTCGTCTACAATCTAAACCAACATCAAGTTCAATTGTTCTGGTGAGCGTTACGATCCCTCTGCTGCTGTGAGTAGCCGTGGGTGTCTGCCCTGACCTGGCTTTGCTTGGAATGCCAATCTGATGAGGAGCATCTGGAGAGGACTGTGCACCCCAAAGAGTAGCAAGTAGCCCAGGTGCTTGTAAGGATAGTTGTATCACTTGTACTAGAAGGCATGCTGCTGATGTACTTCTCATTCCTTTAATGTCCTGGTGGATCACTTGCAGAAACCGTTGTGTGATGACTTCATGCAGGACGAATGGTCAGGAACAAGAGGTGGAGGGTCAGTGTCAAGGTGATACCATCAGCCGACACTCCTGCTCTGCTGCAGCCAGGCCGCAGATTTGGGAGGAACCTAGGCAGCACTGTGGCAACATCTGCACCGAGGGGACCCCGGAGGCCGGCCAGCGCCCTTCCATCCTGGCGGATCCCTGCAAGAAACACAGCTCAGCAGGAAGAACAGCAGGATGGCTTTGCAGATGGAGATGGAGAAGCCGCTGCTGCCTATTATCAGCCTCCGCCCTCACGCCGGCGTCTGCGGAAACAGGCAGCTCAAGAGGATAATAGACGGCTGCACCAAGCATGGGATGCGTGCTTTGATGACAATGTATTCAGGAACACATGTTTCCAAGCTGGTCAGCCTGCACGCCAAGCAGCACTGAAGCAGCAGCTGCAGGCAGAGTTTTTGACAGCTGCCAGAGCAGCCCTGCCCGCTTGCAGTCCATGCAGTCAGGCTGGGAGGGTGGGATCAGTGTGGGAGCAGGTGGAGACGATCAGCAGGCTTGTGTATGTCTCGATCAGCGGCAGGACAGAGGTCAGCCCCCCAGCATTCAGGTGTGGCGGGTGCAGTGCCGCCTTCACAGTCGATCCTGTGAGCATGGGATGCTTTCCTGCAACGCCACAGAGGCCGCTGGTTTACTACTCTGGAGCGCTCATGTTGCAGACGCATGAGCTCAGCCTCGCCAGCCCAACCTCAATGGTCGCCTGGACTAGCGCCCTGGAGGAGGTGCACGTCAGGAACGGCTGTGTGCCGTACGGGCAACTGAGTGGCCTGCCCAAAAATATCTGGAGGAACCTCCCAGTGGCGGTCAGACAGTGGCGCAGAATGGACATCGCCACACATGACCTCAACAGGCTTGGCGTGCAGCCCATCTGTTCGGAGGCAGGGCTCAGCGGTGACTCAGACTTGCAGCTCGGCCAGCCGCCGCCGCCCCAGGAGAACACTCAGAGGGAAGCAGCAGCGTCGTCATCGCCACCAGAAATGGAAGCAGGCAGCCTCGCGGCTCAAACTGGCAGAGATGCAGCTGAGGTGGGCCCGGCGACCCAGGAATCTCTGGACAGTCGTGCCTCCGGGGGCCCCACTGTGCAGTGTCCTTGCTGCTTTCGCACTTGCGTGGCAGCCATTGCTGACGCCTGCCTGGGACTCACGCAGCTCAGGGCGGCGGGCAAAGCCTCTGATTTCCTGCAGCCGAAGCTGCCCTATAGCCCCTTCATTGCTGATGAAGAGGTGAAGGCCTTGCTCGCTCAACGGAAGGCCTTGGACCCGGCGGCGCTGGAGCGGCCGGTCTGCTCTCAGTTCGTTGCTGCCACGCCAACCGCCTCAGACACGCAGCTGCGCCTATATGTGCAAGTGAGTCTCCTCGCATTTTTCTGGGATCTTGTTGCGCTTACTGATGTTGGCATGCATCTCATATATCCATGATTTTTTTCTCTTTTTTTCCTGGCCCCGGCTGGCAAGGGTAATACTTGGCAGCACCCTAGCGTGCCTTGCTTCAGGTGGTAAAAATACTGAATACCATGCCCACGGTTGATTGGGTCTTGCTTGGATCTGGCGAGTTCAACAAGGGGTAGGGTTATGGCAGCCTTAAATTGCAGCTCTGCAGGATGTACCTTGCTTGGCAGGAAAGCGTGTAACAAGAAGATGTGCTGGTGCTTTGGAGCCGGTCTGACACTCCCGCATGTGCTTGTGCGTAGGGCGTGGCAGCAGCAGTTTGCCGCCACGGGTATGTTCTCGTGGCGGCAAACCTGTTCACACCGGAGTGCTTTGTTTACTACGAGTTGCTCCTGCAGCGTCTGCTGAAGGAGTTCAAGCCTGAGGAGGGCAAGGATCTGAAGTACTTCTTCATTGACATTGCTTGCCAGTTTGACCCATATTGGCGAAGGTATAATCTTTCGTCCATCATGCCTGGCGTTTACGTCAAGATGTGCCCTGTACAATTATTGCATGGAACAATTTCACTCCTAGTGTCTAGTACTAGTCATGCTATGAGTGTGTGGATTCGTCGGAGTGCACAGCAGCGTCCCCTTTGAATGGTGATGTGTTGTGCTGGCAGGATGGTTCAAGGAAACGTGGAGGGTATGCCTGGCCTGGCAGTGGGGCCGTGGCATGTGAAGGCTCACATTCCGGCATGCCAAGAAAAGTATGGCGCCCGCCGCATGCTAGCGGCAGGAAACTCCTTTGGTGACAACATTGAACAGGCTTGGGCACATTACAGGAAATTTGCACACATCTTGAAGCGCATGGCGACTGCCACGCGGGAGGACTACATGACGGACCTGGTGAGTTCTCCTTTCATATGATGCAAGCTCTTGTAGCCTTGCTCGATGTTGCAGTTTGTAACCCTGTAGGTGCGAGAAGTGACAATGTTGGTCCATGTGCAGGCGATGGCTTGGCAGCGAAAAAAGGAGCGCAGGTTGCCCAAGCAGCTGCTTGAGTGGCATAGGAGGGCTGCTCGACTGCTGGCACAACTGCGGCAGTCCACGGGGGCCCTCAAGCAGGAGATTGCCCAAATCAAAGCCCCCGAGTTGCAGGTAAAATGCACCCCTCCTAGTTGCTGCACCTGTCTCTACTGATTCTCTGGGGAGATGCCATCTTGATATATCCTGCAGTCTGCAATGCTTTGCATGCTCGCTTATTGGCTGATGAATCAGGTGCAGGGTGGCGGTGGCTCAGGAGGCGTCCCATCACCGGCAGGCCAGGATCCTCTCCAAGGCGGCGCTGGTGCAGGCGCAAGTGACGAAGCAGAGGTGTGTTGGTCCTTTTTGAAGGCTCTTCTCTAGCATGGAATAAGTATCAATGGGTATGCTAGTGAGAAGGAGGTGCTCAGAGGACTCAGAGTAAAGAGCTGCCTCAGAAGAAAGTATGCAAGCAGATTGTTTGTTTTGCACGCAGGGGTCTGCCCGGGAGCAGCGGCAGACATCGTCTGAGGGGGCATCAACAAGCGCGCCCACCATCCCGGTGCTGCTCCACTCTGCACCTTCAGTTGGCTGTACTGGTGCTTGTTCATATGACATGATAGGACATTTGACATGTGACTTATGACATGACAGGACAAGACATGACAGGATGTGCATACTGGTGGAGTTTTTGTAAAGAGCAAATGGGATGCACACCTTTGGAAGATACATAAAGATGCATGAATCACTGATGTCAGGATTCTTACTCGCAGGCCCGTCTTACATGGGAGCACCACTACCAAGGCTGCTTGGAGGAGTTGTACGCGCTGGGTGGCAGTGTGACTCTCGCAGCTGAGGGGCAGCAATCGCTCTCCGAGCAAATGCGGCATGAGCACCGCCGAGTCCTTGAGGGCAAGCTGGCAGCGTGGGAGCGCAGGCACCGGGTACAGCTGCGGTGGGTGGAGGCAGACCGGTTGTACCAGGAGATAGGGGGTCAGCGGAAGAGGTTCATGATTCAGCAGCTACATGCTTCCATTGCAGCCAGGTTCGTGGATTACTACGCCCTACAGAGACAGCTGGAGACAGCGGCATATCGTGAGCGCACTAGCCTGAAGCGGTTGCGGCGCCAGATGGAAGCCATCGTGTCCAAAGTCAGCGATGACATCCTTCAGCTGCGGCGCTGGCATGCCGCCCCTGGGGACTATCAGGGAGCGCAGTATGACTGCCAGCGCTTGACCGCCCCTGGCTTGCTCGCGGTAGACACATTGCCGTGGCAGCGACAATCTGCTCAGGCAGGGTTGCTGGCTAGGAAACTGGCCGCGCTGGCGGAGCAGCAGGAGCGCTTGAAGCGGTGCTCCGAAGAGATGACCATCGTGCGGCGTGAGGCCAGGGATATGGTAGTGTTTTATGAGCACTACGCCCAGCAAGTGCAGCAAGCCGCTGGGAGGGGAGAGCGCCGCCTGCCCAGCGCCCGACAAGTTCCCCATGCGGCGGAGCTGGGGGAGGCGGGTGTGCATGCAGCCCTTGAAGCTTTCCAGCTCGGGCAGCAGGTGGTGCTCCTCTCCAAGCTTGAACAGTATCAGCACTTGGGCGGCATGGCAGGCAATGCTGTGGAAGCGCTGCACGCCGACCTCACAAACCTGGACAGCGGCACCAGCTCCGACTCGGACTGGCAGGATGCGCGGTCCGATGCCTCCTCAGACAGCAGCGGCGGCGATGATGAGGACACATAAATATTGGCACATTTGAAAATTTGGCAATGAGCATCTCGCCTTGTCTGCCAATTTTGATGTTCTCGATGCTGTTTCAAACTTTGAAAGTCAGTAGCTTCTATATAGAGTACAGTAATCTTCTATAGAGTACAGTAATCTGATTGTTCTACAATTCATCAGATCCTTTTTGGGAAGGGAGTGCGCTGTGGAATCATCTGCCAATTGGCTCAAAAATCTCAAGATCTCTTAGCAGCTTGTTCTCTCCACACACTTAAAGCAAATAATTAACACAGAGTGCCAGCTTCTTATGTTGTTAATGTAAATATGCATTGCTGTTAAAAATTATCAGTTGTTCAAGCGAAAGGCAGCCTATTGAAACTTCCTGCAACTCTTGCAATTCATGTAGCTCTGAGCAGTGCCTCTCTCTATCTCATATAAGTGTCAAAATGTGATCAATGCCTGTCGTGAATGGAGGTGTCCCTGTCATGTTTTTAAAACTTTGATGAAGGTCCACCAAATTAAATTCGTTGAATTTTATTTTTGGCAGCATATCATAATATTATGATAAAATTATACGGCTAATACTACAAATTAATATTAGTATTAATACTTAAAATTTGTATATATGTACAGGTGTCCACGTTGTTAATAGTTAATAGCATGTTGACTGCCAGCAGCCAAAAAATGAACAGTATGAACCTTGACAAGAATTGCTACTTAGAAAGATTGCCTGCCAGGTTGTGAAGCTTCCTTAGTTAGAGGAAGGCCATGACCCACTGCCCACCATTAATGACAATAAAGACCTTCAGTCTTCAAAAGATTTGTATTGGTTCTAAGAAGATATGTCTGTCATAATGTGATTTTTTGATGACTCTTGGAGAGGTCATGTCAACAGTCGGCAACATGCGCCCATATGGCATGCATGTGACTCTGGACCAGATCCTCAAGGTGTAATTATAGTAAATATCTGGTTAGCTACCTATAGGCTGAGCATGTTGCAGTACCGTCATTGGCTTCACTTTCTACCAAAACCTGGGGGGACTTTAGTGTCCATGCAAGCCTGTGAGTGATCATTCTCATGTCGACAGCTTGTTTGGACCATCCAAATAAATGACCATGATATTAAAATATTTATCAGAAGCCAATTAGCCCTTCAGCTTCAATTAATGTTTAACGAGTCACCCATTGCATGGACTTTATCTCCACATTGTGAATTCGAGTTTCAAGCCTTAATATTTGCAGTGGCTTTAATTCTGCTTTGCAAGAATTATCAGATAAAAAAGAATAATGCATATATTTGACCAATTGGAGCAACAAGGCTTGAAGCCTTGCGAGCCGAGCTTGTTCAATATAATTAAATATAAAATAAATGAATGCAACAATAATATCAATCTGATCTATTGACAACAATATTACACTGTAGAGGCGCCTTCTAGTTATAATTGAGTGATTGCTTTTTAAGAGTACACTGAGGGCAATGGTGTGGCAAATAACTAGTGGGTACCCACTATTCACTTGCTACCAACACCGGTGTTGGGTAGCCATTGTGGCAACTTGCAATTGCCTGAAACGTTGATGCACATGTGTACGTGCCCACTGGCCACGGGCATGGCATGGGTTGCACCTGCAGCACAAGACATGCGTTGCTCATGAGCACATCTCGAGATGCTTGATGCTTTAAAGAAATTTCTCTCAGGTTATAATGTTCGACGGTGGTCCCACTGGAATCTCTTAATGGGTAGCCTTACGCCATTTATACTAGTACTGACCCGATGGCATCATTATGATCATCAGCATGATGCTTAAGGCTCCAAGGCTTTGGCCCGCGGCTTCAACCCGATTTCTACAGCACTTCTACACTTGGATCATACTCTTGCTTTCCTGAGATCTCACCTGTACATGACCAGTGCCCAGTGAATGAGGGCGGTGTGTGCATGCATGGCTCCCGCCTTCAAGGAAGTTCAGTGGTTGAAGATTACTAGGTTTCCTGCACACACAGCCGTGGTGCTTGAAGGAATTTCGAAAACCACACTCTTCGAGAAGGCATTTCAGGGTTTCGTTTGAGCAAGATTACAAAGGTGGCAGGTCCTATGTTCAGAGGTGTGCTGCCCCAACCCTGGACTGCAAAAGCCTCTTCATAGCGTGCGATACCTACAGGGCCGGTCAAGAGACTCTTTCACAAGAATACCATCAATAATCAATATTGAAAGAGTCTAAATATTGACGCTGAGTGCGTGCTGCACGGACAGCACGTCCTCAACCCTGGCGATCTCAGATGGCTGCTCGATGTAAAGAGATGTGCCCATCAAGGAGGGGCACCCACGCTGTGCAGCAAATTGACACCCCAATTCTGTCGCTTGTGGCACATTTGATTGATACACATCGCGTGCGTGTACCATAGCGTGGGTGCCGGCAAGATAAGGGCATCACCTTTGCGCCATCTGATGTGACATGCCGTGTGTCTTTATGCAGCGACCAAGAAGTGCGATGATGCTGAGAAGAATCTTGTAGCAATTCTTCCACGTTCAACATTCTATGTGAGTGGATTTCGACACCGACATCGTAGAGAAACAGCAAGAACGAGCCAGGCTGCTCAATGACAGATGGGGTTAATAATATTATAAGATAGGCTCAGGGGATTTATTTTCTTGCCCTCCACCGCCACTACCTTGTGGCGGTCAGCAGCAGTGCTCTGTCTTCAAGCAGAAGTGCTCCATCCCACTGGCCACTTCAGATTCGAAGGTTGAGCATGTGAGGCAACCGGGAGCAGAATTACCTTACAGATTGTTACATGCATGATATCTGGTTACCGTCATGATTGTTGCGCACATGTGCAGAGAGGGACAAGTGAGTGACTAATATTAGTTGCGTAGAGCGCATGGATGTGCAACGCCTTGTAGTGAGGCAGACTTGGTCACAACCTACTACAGTCCTCATTGCAATATCAAATTTAGGACATAAAAAAAATTGATGCTACATTTGCGTCATGCTCACACGCCAATTCTGACTAAGCTTGAAACTGACTTAGCTTGAAAGTGCAAAGATCACATTGCAAGTCACTCTCCAGCCGCCGGTGGGCGCCTCAGAAAGCGAAGGCACCTCTCGGGAACTGCCACCATCTGATTGCCCCCAATTGCTTCCAAGGGTGTTCTGCCTGCTCTGACTTCATCTGTGTCGCTCAACCATGCCTTCTGGTGTCCAGCCCCAGTTGCGTCTGTGATGGTGAGCCCGCAAATAACACCAAACCCCTCAAGCTCAGCACCGTGGAACCGTGTGCCAGGCCCAATATGCACCACCTCTGCCGTCCCCACTATCCTCCTGTCATCTGTTAGGACATAGACTGTGTCATCTGGCAGAATCTGCACGTCACTGTGCGCGCTCGAATGGCCTCTGGCTTGCGGCGAGGGGTTCAGCTGACATGCCAGCCCTGCGATGACACCCATTGCAGCTTCCATGTTGATCCCAGGGGAGGAAACTTCCAGGGACGGTCGACCTGCGCGCACCAACACACAGCTGCTTACAATCCGCGATTATTACCGCATTCAAGCAATATCTTCCCTAGTGTCTTGCTAGGATGTCAAGCTCAAATTTATTCCTGTTGTTAGTATTACCCAGATGACCCTTAGGTGCGGCACTCTACCACATCATATGTAGCAGGGTGCGTGAGTGACAGGCATGACTCAGGCAAAGGGGCAAGCACAGCATGTGGAGCAGGGTGCGTGAAAGACAGGCATGGCTCAGGCAAAGGGGCAAGCAGACACTTCAGCATTGAGAGACAAGACATGAACAAATCAACTACACCAGCGTATGAGAGCAGTCAGTTGACAAGTTCACAGGAATGACAGAGCAGGATTTTGTACATGCCTGCTGGGCCATCTGCAGAGCGGTAGGAGGAAGCTGGCTCCTCATCGGCAGCGAGCTCCAGAGCAGGATCAAAGAAGACCATGGCGCCAGACAGCGGTGACTGCTCCAAGGCTGACTGCGACTGCTCCGCTGCCGTAGCACTCCCACCTAGACAACACATGCCTGTCGTCAGCTTATTGCTGACAATTACCTGTCGATAAACCTTCGGGGTATGATTCGCATGGCATTATAACTTAGAAACTCACTGTGAGTGGAATCATATAAGCCAGGACAAAGAGAGCCATGATGGCTCCTCACCTTCTCCGGCGCGCGCCGCATTCTGCTCCTCAGCCAGCAACATTGCCAGCGCCACACCAGTTGCAGCCTCTTCGACGTTCATGGGCGAGCTCCCGGCAGCGCCTCCGAGAGCCACCTTCAGCCGTTTTGGATGACAGAGGGCCGCTGCAATGTGCCGGTAGTCGATCACCAGCACAGCCATTTTGGCCGGCGATGCGGCATGCCCCTGCATGCTCAGCCGCACGTTGGGGACTGGCACAGGCTGCGGCGACTCATCTGCCAGCAAGCAGCCGTGCAACGGCGACTGGCTCGCACAAGCTGTGGGCTGCGGCGGCACTTCGCTGGCCTCAGGCAGGACACCCTCTGCCTGCCCTTCTGGCTCTGCTGGGTCACTGTGCTGCTGCGCTGGCTGGTCATCCGCATCTGACTCAGAGAAGAGGTTCCCAACCTCGTCTTCGTCGCCCTCAGTGGGGGGACCCCAAAACTCTGCGGCTCTGGCGGTTGGGCGCCTGAGCCTGCCTCGGCTGCCCCTTCTGGGCCGATTGCTGCCACGCGCCCCGCCTGTGCCGCGGCGGCCACGCTTCCTGCCCCGACCCCGCCCATGCCCTTCCTGCACGCCCCCACCGGTGGCTGCCTCTCCTGCACCCCGTCCCTCCACATCTGCGCGTGCCCCACCGCCTTCCCCTGCCACCGCTGCCTCGGGCTCCCCCTGGCTATCTGTCTGCACGCGCGCCTCGAGGAACCATATCTCCATATGCAGCTGGGTGCCATCGCTGCCTGGCTGCACAGCGCGCACCAAACCAACAGGAGCCTTGGCAGCACGACCCAACTGGGACAAGTTGCGTGCTGGGAACTCCCCGTCGCGGTGCAGCGTGCTTGTGACGGCCCAGAGAGCGACACCAATCGAGGGAGTGCTCTCCCCCAACTGCGGCAGGTAGTGGCACTTGTCGAAGGTCCAGAGCAACTCGTCAATCTGCTTGAGTTTGACCACGGGCAGGCCGCTGCTCACTCCTGCAAACATGTGAGCGCCTCAATTGACTGGCTATCATTCCCTTCCATCAAATCTGCAGAAGTTAAAGCCTTCTCGGGTGTGCAACAGTCACCAGGTGATCAGAGCTTCCAGCTGAGAGCGCCCACTCACCCTTGTTAACAATGGACTTGGCCGCTTCCATCTGAAGCTGTGACTTCTTCGGCGCCTGTAACAACAATAACTTACAATCAGTGTGTTCAGCCAAACTCGCTTTCACTGCACCAGCAGCTTGACAGATGAGAGGCGTTCACAAAGCACATGCAAACATAAGGATCCTCAACAAGATGCCCACCTTCTGCCTTGCTGGTCTTTGCCGTGCCGGTTGGGCTGCGGCCTCAACAGCGGCTGTGATCTCTTCAACCGCCGCCGCACTCGGCTCCAGTCCACCTGCATGACAGCATCCATTAGCTGCCAGCGCATAAGATGTCCAGAGGAAATGGTGAGGACATGTTATTAATTTGCCAGGCATAAGATGTGTAGGCGCTGATCGTTACAGCCATCATGGATAGCTACCTTCTGGATGCTCAAATCTAAGCAGCCCTTCCACCCTGGCGAGCAGCGCGCTTCTGGTGAAGATCACTGGCCGCTGGCCTCTGTCAAGCAGGAACCGCTTCAGCTCTGCAACGGTGGATGAGGCCTTGAGGCTGAACGCAAGCCACCGTTGGACGATGTCCTGCTCGGCTCCCTGAGCGCTGAGCTGCCTGCGGCTGATCCCTGGCTGTGGCGCTTGCGAAGGTCCTGCAGCTTCTGCCTCTGGGGCTGCGGGACCCTGCATGCCGCCTGCTGCAGCTGTGGCGCCCCTCTGCGCCTGTCCTTGGGCTGTCTGGCCTGCCTGAAGTCCACTGGCCTGGAGATACGAGGCTGCCATCACTGTCCTGTTCAGGTTGGGCACTGCTGCCAGCAATCTGCTGGCGCTCTTGCTGAAGCTGACTTTCTGATTGAGGTGTCTCGTTGCAAAGATGGCGGTCGAAGTCGTCCCATTGTCTTCGAGGCGAGCCTGCTGACCACCAATGATGCCTCGAATCTTGCTTGATCGCCTATCGGCTCTCTTCCTCTCCAAGTCGCCGGTCTCTGCCTCTGAACGCAACGCAAAAGTCAGAGTTAGTTACTCTGTGTCAAGGTCATGGGGAGATTCAAAACATAGGTGTTCCCAACCTTCAAAGATGGAGTGCTTATTGAGACCTACCAATCACTCCTTGATGCATGATAAAATTCAACTTATCCTCATTGAGATCCTTGCCCCTGGTTTGGGCTGCAATGACGCAGTCCTCACAGCATTTGTGGGTAATATTTCTGAGCTCTGGATACTTTTCGCTCTCAATCTTCCCGCGAATAGAATAGTAGCCATTAGCTCTGGACAATGCTGAAGGTTCATCTCGGCCAAGGCAGCTCTGATGGAAATATCTGACCCCTGAGTCCACGGCATTGCAACGTTGCAATGGCACCCTTGCCTCTTGTTTGAAGACCCAGTCGGCAACAGCGTCGTGGCCGTATTCGTCCTTTGTCAGACCTTCTGAATAGAATCTGATAATATAATCACAACCTACACAGCGAGTCAAGCGTTCTGAACTTGCGCAGTTCGGATGAAGCTTCTCCTTGTCACTGCCACACTTGTAACACGGGATCCTAGCAATAATAAGTGACATGCTCGGTACAGAAACACATCACTGATCATTCTCCATGCTTACTGACGAAAGGCCTAATTTTTATTACCAAAATGGCATGCTATGGAATGTGTTACCAGGTGGCATGGCCCCTGATTGCCAATAATCCACCACATTAGTAGCGTTTACATCCACTAAAGTAGTGGATTTTGATTACTCGGGTGCCCTGCAATGGCATGTGAATCCAATGGAGCCCAGGTCATCCCTAACACAGTCATTCCAGGATTTGACAGGCCTGCCCCTTCTCCCTGACCCTTCTGAAGATAGAGGTCATAAATGCACTGGTGGTCAGCTGGCTCCCACCTTGGCAATGTTGGCGCCCATGAGTACGCTGCAGTCGATGTTCAGGGTCTTACGCACCATCTCGCTGATCAGCTGTGGGCCCTCGGCCCTCACGCGCATGCCCTGCCACACACCTCAGATGAGCAACAGGACACTCCCTCTCTTTGGAAGATTCCCCTTGCACCTACTCTCTCTGCAAACTAAAATGGCATGCAAGTCAGGGCCGTAAGGAAACTGACCGACCTTTGTGAGGGAGATGGCGACGGCTGAAGGGTCGACCTTGCCACGCAGCTGCCTGCAGATGTCCCGCGTGAACTGGTGAGGCGTGCAGAACACCAGCACACCTGCGCCCTCCACTGTGTCCTGCAACATTCCCAGGCAGACAACCCTCAACGCACCACCGGCATAAGGGGCATGCTTGCCGTTGTTGGGATGCAATTTGGTCAGATGTGGTGAGATGTGCAAGGACAGAGCAGCACCAGGAGGTCAGGACAGGCAACAACGTTGTCCCCAATGTTGACGCCCGGCAAATACTTCACATTCTCGTGCGTCTCGTTGATAATGTCTGTGAGCTTCCGGTCCCCGATCTGCTCCTCATGGACCCACATGCGCACGGTCTCTGCAAACTCCCCGGTGCCCTCACTGGACAGCTTGCAGTTCCGCGCAACCAGCTTGGCTGCTGCACAGGCCCAAGCACCTGCATGGAGCAACACAAACAAGCATCGTTGACCGCAGCACGGCGCGACTTGCCTGTAAGTGAGCATTTTTTAGAGGTAAAGCAGAGCATCGCAGGAATAATTCAAGCAGGTGTATCGAATTTGCTTGCCTGAGCCAATGAAGGCCACTTGGTGTCGTTTGAGAGCCTGACTCAGGATATCAAAATGATCCACAAACCAATCAGCACCATCCCTCACTGCATCGCGCACCACCACTCCTCCATACCTGCCATGCAGCAGGACATGAAGACTCAGCAAGCTTGAGAGAGCATTACAAGAAAGCAGTACATCCTTTAAACAACAAAAACTCTCCTGGGCAGTAAGTAGCCTCACCCAATGAACACATCTGCACCGCCTGTGATCTGGACAGCCTCCAGATCAGTGATGCCATCTCCAACCATGGCAATTGTCTCATAAGGGTACATTTCTGCAGTTCAGCACACGATGCATCTTGGAAAGGTGGTGCAGCCTCATAGCCTGGTGAGCACGCTGTTTTTCTGACACATATTATATGGCATGATATAAGGTAGCTGATCCCCGCACCTCGCAAGAGGCCAATAGCGGCTGGCTTGCCTCCCTGCCTAGAAGTGAGCTCACGCTCATCAAAGCCCACCATTCTTGTCACAAAACCTGTATCATCATCAACCTGCATGCATTCATGCGCGCTTGTATCCTGGGGTGTAGCTCTTCCAGCTTTGTAGCATCAGAGGACCAATCAATTGCTTTGACAAGGGAACTCACCTGCCAGTTGATGCGGTTTGCAAAGACATTGGTTGCAGGAATGCCAAGCTCCCGTGCAATTGGTAGTATCAATTCCCTGGTGTATCCATGAGGATACCACTTAGCAGCTGCGATCCAAAGCAGCTGATCGTTGTGCTCATCGCAATGCATGCTGATAATTGCTGCCTACCTGAACCCTCCTGAGATGAGGTAGACAGCCTTTCCGCGGGCTTGCAGGCCACTGATCAGCTCCCGGATTCCCTACAAGCCCATCACCATGATTGACGGTACAGGAGGAATGCCCTTCAACTTTGTAGATGTCTTGAAGGGACATATACCTGGGTCAGGCGACTGATGGGCGGGTGAGCTTGGCTGAACATAGTGAGGTCCTCTGGAGTGCAGTCAATGATGCTCAAGCGATCTCTTAAAGCCTCCTCCAGGGACACCTCGCCATTCATTGCCTGAGGCCCGAAGTCATTATCAGGGTGGACTAGCTTGCAAAGGTGTGTAGTGTAGAATAGGGCAAGGCCCATCATCAGCACGTACCTTGTTGGTGAGACTGGCAACCTGCTCACCACGACCCAAGAATTCGGCCAGGAGGTCTAAAGAGTCTTGCAGAGTGACAGTACAGTCGACATCAAAGCACACAGCTTGTGCTTCGCGCCACTGTGCCAGGACAGTCCGCTCTGGGATGACGTCGCCCATGGGTGGTCTTGGCACTGCAGGGGCCTGAACTTGATCCCTGAGATCTGAGCGTGTTCTTCCAGGTTTGCATGTCGACCTTCTGTTATCACTTGTGCTGATCCTTTTCTGTCTGAAAACCCTGGTTAAGCCATTATGGGCTAAGTGACATGCATACATGCCCGACGGAACTGCTTCCGTCAATATTCTTTTCATCGCACGGGAGCACCAGAAACTTTGGTGGCGCGTATGTCTCTCTAATTCCGTGCAAGCCCGTGATCCGGTCTGATCTGATTTGTTTACTGGGACATCGCCGAGAGCTTTGTGACAAGATGATTTTCATGACTCTCCCATCATTAGTATCTATCACGATCTGCATTCATATTCAATGATTGAAGGATTTTGATGATGGGTCAAACCTTGTTTGACCAAATTCCCGGCCTAGAAGGCGTTCCCTCCGTAGAAATTTTGGCAACCTCCTTGATTCTCTGTCAGGACATGAATTTGAGTTTATCATTCCTTGTTGAGTCTGTGTGATTACATATTGATTAAATTCTAGAGTTCAGGCCGTGCAACGATGTTCACAAATTTTAACTTTTCCGCGCTTGCAGATCTCAATATAAACGAGAGACTTCAGCAGATTAAAAATGATCTGGAGGCGAACATAGAGAGTTCTCTTGGAATTGATCATGCCGCTCTAGCAGCTTTAACTGGCGAAGGTGACAAGGGTGAGTTCGTGAGGTGGCACTATTTGCTGTTAGGTGCAGCTAGCAGTACAAGCAATTAAGGAACCCCTTTCCAACAGAATTTCGTTCATTGCTCTTGTAATTAAATTGACAAGGCAATAAAGGGCCCTGTGCTCCTCAAACCTACTGCTTTACTGCTTGAAGTTTTCCGTCGAGTCTCCCAATGCACTGCTCATAAATGCCTGAATGCTTCCCAATTTCGAGTCTTTGTATGCCCTGGGATCCTTATTAAATCCCTACGTCATCATCTCATAGGTCATATAGAACTCTTGAAGGGCTCTGGCCAAGTGTAACCTGTGTCACAAACACCCCCTCTTGTATATACCCTGATATACTCACAATGCGCACCTCATCATCCCTGTGTGCTTTGCAGGCATCGAGGCTGCGGCAGGAAGTGGTTCAAAGACCAATGCTGAGGTGGACCAGTTGCCAGCACTATCCTCACCAATTCTTCAGAACGGGGGCGCATCCAGTGGCTGGGGCCCTAGCAGCGACAGCGCTGGCGAGCAGCCGATGGAAGCGGTTTCTCAGCACAGCCAGGATCCCAGCCAGGCCTCACCAAAAGCCCTGAAATCCCCCAGATCATCCAGTGGCGCAGCGCAGAGGCAGACCAGCTTCCGGCCCAAACAGGAGCATGCCAGGAAGGGGGTGCGGCGGTTGTGGGCCGAGCCCTTAAGGAGGGCCAGTCCGAGGGTGTCAGCTTCAGCAGAAGCCACGACTCCAAAAGATGCCAGTGCTGACACGTCTGGCCCTTCCAGCAGCAAGGAGCCGGCACTTGTGCAGCCCAGTGAGACACCCAGGTCCAACCGCAGCTCCTCCCGGTCACCACGCAGCGCCCGAGCAGCAGGGCAGTGGCAGGAGAAAGCACCCATCACGCCGCGACAGGCCGGCTCCGCTCAGGCACTGCAGAGCAGCGCTGATGTCAGGTGACCTCCGCCTCCTGACAGCCGCTAGTGCTCCAATGCTCTGCGAGGATGACACTTTATTTAGTGTCTGCATGGTGCGTGATGTGCAATGATGCTCAGGAGTCTTCTGACTGCCACGCTTTTCTTGTTGCGCAGGCATACCATCCCTGCAGAACCTGAAAATGGAGCCGTATCGGATAAGGATGAGGCCACAGCTGGCTGGGAAGGCGACGATGAACAGGACTCAGAAGACCTGCAGGGGCTGGAGGGCACCCAGCAGCACACTGACACCGAGGCAGGGGAAGCCCCACCGAAGACGCAAGGGCCCGACCAGCGAGCAGCCGGTGAATCGTCAGCCTCAGCAGCTGAGCATGCAGAACCGGAGGAGCCGTCAGACACTGGTACTGCACATGCGGCAGCCGCTTCATCTGCAATATCACGCCCTTCTGCAGCCGCTGGGGATGAACAAAAAGACGGCGCGCCTCCTGAGCAGCCAGGGGAAGCCTTACAACAACCGACAGAGCTGCACACAGACGGGGTCCCAGGGGCCACAGAGCGCGCATCCTCACTGGACCGGCAGCCGGACACGCCGCCGCTGTCACCGCCGTGCTCGCCGCTGCCGGCAGCTTCTGCCGAGCCCGCGTTTCCAGAGGCCGGCAGCCTGGAGGAAGCTTCCATAGAGCTGCCGGAGCCTGGCGCGGCACACCAACGGCGGCCGTCGGATGACGTGGAGAGCACCGCGTCCACCAGCCACGCCAGAGATGTGGCAGCAGCGCTGCAGGAGGCTGACGCCGTCAGCGGCCCCGTCAAAGGCACGACTATACTGTCTCTCTGTCTCTCAAGTGCATGCCTTTATGTTCTTGCACCTGCCCTGCCTCTCTGTTTCAGACTTCCTCAGGTCATGTCAAAAATGTGGCTTAAGGGCTGACATTAGTGGTGGAGGGGTGGGGAAGGTGGCACGAGGTGTGAAAAATGCGTTGCAGGCATTCTGGCGGTGGATGTGGGTGCGCTGGAGGGTGAGGAGGTGCGATCGCTGGCGGCGGAGCTGCAGGGGGCGCTGCAGGCCCGCGAGGTGCAACTGGAGCGCAAGTTCCAGGAGGTCGCCGCCATGCAGGACCTTACCCAGCAGCTCATGGTGCGCTAAATTTCCCCTCACCTCCCGTGATCATACCCATACAACCTCATGAAATCTCACGCCTGCAAGGTGCATTATGATTCACATGTGTGCAATGGAACCCGGCTCGAGGAATTTTTTGCCACACGTGTACTGGGGAAGCATTGTTCGGACTGTTGAGCAGGAGTGGTGAGGTGCATTGTAATTTATTTGTGTGCACTGCTCTGCTCTGCTCTGCAACGCACCGTCCTGCACCTGTGTGCAATGCAACTCAGCTTTGAGGGGCATCTGGTGCATGGGAAAGGGCTGAATGTTGTGTTGTCTGGATGCAGGCGCGCAATGAGGAGCTGGCGCGCAAGTCGGCGGCGATAAGCGAGGAGGACCTGGAGGCGATGCGGGGCGAGTTTGAGGCGCGGCTGGGCGCGGCTGAGCGCAAGGTGTACGCGCTCACCAAGGAGCGCGACGCGTTGCGCCGGGGCGCTGACAAGCTCAACTCCGCCAACGACCTGGTCAAGGAGAAGGACGCCATCATCCAGCAGGTGAGCCCTCCCCTCCCTTGTCCCTTCTCTCCCCCCCCTTGTCTTTCCTGTCTACTCCCAGCTGCGTGAGCTTCATCCCTACTGCTAGTCACTGCTGATTACCACGAGCCGAAGTAGGCCGATTTGCAAGACGTGATTGTCGATGTAATGGAGCAAGGAGGACCTTAGCACCCTTGCGATTCATTGGATAGTGCTGTAATATTAGCTACTACTTCTTTTGTGATTGGAGCCCATCTTCATCTTGAAGTTTACAGGCCCTATCACAGAAAAGGTTGAAGGCAATTGATCAGCACATTCCATCAGATTGCCAGGGGGTTTGACACACAGGACATGTTGGTCGCCGTCTTGAGCTTGCAATGCTGGCAATGCGTGTGTGCCGTTGGGGAAGGATGCAGTGCGGGGCGGAGGCGCCAAGTGAGGGGCTGTGCGCAGGTGATGGAGGAGGGGGAGCGGCTGAGCAAGAAGCAGCTAGCGCAGGAGAACACCATCAAGAAGCTGCGCTCGCAGCTGGAGGAGGTGAAGGCCGAGAAGGGCGCTACCGCCGGTACCCTCGCCGCCGAGCGCGCCAAGGTCAGCAAGCTTTATCCTGCATCTGCTCTGTGACCTTTGTAAGACATGTGGTTGTTCCGATCCTTCGCAATCAGACCCCACCACACCATCAACCCCACCCATTTGCCTCCTGTCATTGTAGAGTAAGTACAATAAGCCGTTTTTTGACTCATGCTGTGCTGCACTGATGTGGCTGAGGCGGGTGGGGCTGCAGGTGGAGGCAGCGCTGGCGGCCAAGGCGAAGGCGGAGGAGGGAACAGCGGCGCTGCGGCAGGCGCACAAGGCGGAGCTGGAGGCCGAGAAGGCGCACTATGAAGGCCTCCTGCAATGCGCCCGCGCCGCCCAGGCACGCTCCGCATTCCTTGTATTACTCTTTCCTGCTCTCGGACATGCCTCTGGTCTGGGATTTGAGGCAAGGAGGCGGCACAAGGTCATCTTCCTCTTGTTGAGCCATGTCCAATAAGGTGCAGTCAAGGCAATCTGTAGGAGGACCGTGCTGCTGCAATAGAAGATGCTGACTGTGCGCATGCACAGGTGGAGGCAGAGGAGGCGGCGCGGGCAGCGGCCAAGGAGGGGCTGGGGCGGCGGCTGCGCGAGGCGGAGGCACGCGCCGAGTCGCTGGCCGAGACCGTGGACGAGCTGCGCGCCGGACTTGACCGCCAACGGGCCGCCGCCGACATGCGGTGCAATCCTTTGTCCTCGTAATCCCTTCCATGGCCTGCTTCCCTGGTGCACAAGTTGACCACAGCACAGCTCATGACCATCTAAATTTGCTTGGTGGAAGCACGGCTTGGAGACTGAATTGCTCCTGACAGAAGCTCCTTCCTTGCCGAAAATCATACCCTTCCGCCTAATGAGCGTTGTCTTGCTGCAAGCAAAATGATGGAGGGTATAGTCCCCGGGATGTGAGCGGTGTTTGCCAACTGAACAGGGAGGATGCGCTGAAGCGGGAGCTGGCGGACATAACGCGGCGCAGCCAGGCGGCGGAGGCGCGGCACGAGGAGCTCGCGACGGCGCTACCGGAAGCCACGCGGCCGCTGCTGCGCCAGATCGAGGCCATGCAGGCCGCCAACGCCGCCAATGCGCAGGCCTGGGCCGCTGCCGAGCGCACCCTCCACGACCGCCTCAGCGCCGCAGAAGCCCACGCCGCTGCCTGCGGTGCGCAGCCGATGTTGCATTTAAGGAACTCGATTAGTCACGAGAAGGGCAGCAAGCACGCTTCAACCCCAACACTTGTCAAGCAGGTTCTAAATTGCACCACAACTAGCTATGAAAAGGCTTTTGGCCTACCGGGGTAGGGCAGGCGCTTGCATCCGAGGACAGCATGTCCACAGGCGAGTGAGGGTCACCCGGCAGGTTTGGCAGGCGATTCAGCATTGGCTGACGTTGCGTGTTGTGTGTGGTTGGCTGCAGGGGAGAGAGAGCGGGGCGCGAACGAAAAAGCCCAGAACGCGAGCGCGCGGCAGGCGGCGCTGGTGGCCGCGCTGGAGGCTGCGCGGGAAGAGGCCTCGGCCTCGCGCCACGACGCGGATGCCGCCAACCACGCCCTCATGGACGCCCAGTCGCAGCTGCGCCGCCTAGAAGACCAGCTGAAGCAGGTGTGCCCCCAAAATCCTGGAGAGTGCACTGCAGCCGCGGCTTGCAGAGAGTGTGGGCAGTCGAGGAAGAGGAATGTCTCAAATTGATATGGACACCGTCAGCTTGCCGCTGCCCCGGTAGCATCCTGTCAAGCTGCACCATGGCTGTATGTCATTGGCTTTTGAGCAGTGCATGCAGCACGACTTGACTTGAGGGCATGGCCGAGGGCGCAGGCGACAAAGCGGGTGACGGAGGAAGCCGTGGCGCGGGAGGAGGCGCAGGGGGCGGCGCTGCAGCGGGGGGAGGCAAGCGCGGAAGCCGCAATGGCCGCGCTAGCTGCGGCCGAGGCGCGCGCTGCCGCCGCGGAGGAGCGCCTCCGGGCCGCGTCGCAGCCGCAGCCGTCCTCTTCCGGCGCGCCCGGCGACGGCGCTGGGCCGCCCGCGCTGGCCGGGCCAGGTGCTTGCGCCCCTGCCTTGCTGCTCTGGGTGCATGGTGTCTTCTCTTTGCATGCCCAAACAGTTGCGCAAGGCAGTGTGGCTCGCTGGCTCATTTTCCTTTGGAGGCCAATAAAATTTAGGGCACAGATACTCTGCATGCAGTTCCTGTCAATTAAAGTTTGTTTGGGGAATTGCTCTGATGGTCAGCCCACCTGCATCTTGTTCCAGTGCGACAGGTTAATTTTGAGGTGAGGCAATGGGGACTGTCTGGGTGCAGGCTACAAGTGGGTGCTGGTGAAGGAGGGCGAGGAGGCGCCCATGAGCACAGCCGGGGATGCGAGGGGTGCTGCAGTCGACGACACCGATCTGGGCACCACCACATTGCTGGACAGGTTCTATGGCAGCTCCGTGAGAGGCCCGGGCGGTGCCCCCGCCGACTCGGAGCGCCTCAGAGACTCGGTGGGCCCCAGCTTGCCTTGTTGTGTTACTTTTGCTACTGCAAAGAATCCCACCTCCCCCGCATAGAAGCTTGATGGAGAGAGCACGCCTGCCCTGAATAGTTGTCATGTATAAGCGCATGGGAAAAAGAGCGCATGCGCCGAGATTGAGTAGATTAAGTGTGCTGCTTTGTTCTGCGCAGCTGCGGCATAAGGAGGAGCAGGTGAAGGCGCTGCAGCAGCAGCTGCTGGGGCTGGAACAGACGTGGGACAGGTGCCTCCTCTCTGCCTGCTTACTTTCCCTTTGCTCCCGACAGGACTGTCTTCGTCTCCACAACGGTGCTGGTGTTTCCTGGCTGACATGACACTGTCTTTCTGGTGCGCGCAGCCTTGCGGAGGAGCTGGTGATGGCGGCGCAGGCAGTCGAGGCCGGCAAGGGCCTGCAGCGGGAGCTGACCAGCCTGCAGGACAACTACGAGCAGGCATGCCCCAGCATCCTATTGCACGCTCTCATTCCACCCTCAATAGAGTCGCTGCGCATCCCCACCTGACTGTGCCATCTTAATGGCAATGTCATGTCTGAAATAATTTGGTGGGTGCGGCAGGTGTCGACGCGGCTGCGGTCGGCCACGGAGCTGCTGGGGGAAAAGGACGAGCGCCTGGCTGAGCTGGAGGCTGACGTGGCCGACATGCGCCAGTTGTACCAGCAGCAGGTGCTTGTTTTTATGGACCAGCTCGCGCATGCCAGCCAGCAGAACAGCCCCAGCCCCTCCCCTGGCCCCTCACCCCAGCCATCCATGTGAGCACGGCAGGCGATGACGCGGCCGAGCAAGGGGCCAAACACCGTATCCTTTGTTATTCTCTGGCCTAGACCTCCAGGTGGGGTCACATATTATAGCATGCGTAGCAGGCACATGCAAAAGCCTGGCTCGGGCAACCTTAGCAGAAAAGGGGCCAGGAAAATGGCCCTGGATGCATGAAGCGCCTGTGTGTGCCTGGCGTTGATTGTAGGGGACTCGGAATTAACTTGGTGGAGAGTCTCCTGTCTGCTGTATCAGTACTGTTTTGTAGGCCCCTTCCTTGCCTGTAGGCACGATACGCATAGTAGCACAGCACTTGTCAATGTACCACGTCCGAGTGCAGTCGTGCACTGGTCCAATATGCATGGATGCTCCTGGGTTTTCTACTACAAGTATAAACAGGCCCAGAGAACATATCGTCAGGGCAATGCGTGATGTGCTTGCTTCCAGACAGAAAAGGCTTTGCTTCCAATTGTTATGGCCACGCAACGATTAATAGGTTGAGAGATAATCCAATGCTGTCAGGCAGAAGAGACCCAGATGTGTTCATTACATACTCATGGCAACCAACTGGCATTATATCCCCTTCATGATCATGTTCTTATTGTGACTCTCCATCCCTCTCCGGATCACCATTGATGCACATGCCAATTACACTACCACTTGCGCCTGTGACTAATCTATAAATACTGGCGCTTGTATAAAAAGATCCGGATCTCACTCACACACACACACATACATATATGCCTAGGTGCAGCATGTCAGCTACAGTTGAACTTAGCAAAGCAGCAACACATGGATGCATTTTGTCCGTATTGAGTAAGTAAATCTGCGTTTTGTCAGCAGGACACGTAAAGTAATTGAACTGAAAATTGAGGGGTGCCAGACACAGATTGGTCTTTTAGTAGGCGCAAAGGATGCCACCTGCATGCTTCAGCACAGACGGATGTCTGTCCGTACCATAAAAGAACACTATGACACCTGTGCGTTTTCTGACTTGGGCATCAAAGCGGCTTTATTCGCATGATACCGCAACTCGCCAGTCAAAGCAAGTGCCATGCAGCAGACTGCACCCAGCAGGGCACAGAGGGCTGCTGGAATCTGCGCAAATGCATGCGCACCCCTTTCTTGATGTACAGAAGGTGCTGTCAACTACCCAAAGAATTTCATTGTACACTACTGTAGATGAAATCAAGTACACGCTGTGGCGTTGGCCTATGTCGGAACATCTTGAATTTGTTTGTCTCCAATGTGTCGGCTGATGCTCAGCTGCCCCAAACAGCAGACCCGCCGAACGGGTCATCCTTCGCCGCTGCAGAGCCAAGATGCATGGAAGCCATCTGCTGGTACAGCCCCTGCAGCACATCAGAACCACACCTTTTCTTTTCAATACATTCTGATGATGCACCCCTTTCAGATCTTCCATGCCCCAATGCACGCATCAACATTTCTGAATCCCTCAGCTCATCAAAGAAAGGACATAGAAGCAGAGCAAGCGCCAAATATAAGGAAAGGAAGGACTGCCTCGCCATGTAAATGCAATGCGCGCAACATTGCATGTTAACATGCAAGACTCATTGTCAGCTTCAGGGCACCCAGCACATCGACAGTGACAAAGTGAGTTTCCAAGCGCACCTCATGACGCGGCGAGCAGGCCTGCGCAGCATAGCCGTGCTGTGGAGCGGTGTAGGCCTGAACAGGCGGCGGGGAGCCGTACAGGTGGCCGGACCCGGCAGGAGACATGGCGCCGAACGCTGCCGCGCCGCTCACAGCCGTCGCGATGAGGTGTCCAGAGTTGGAGTGGGACATGGCGGGAGACAGGGCCCCGGAGGAAGCCGCCTGAAGCTGCCCCAAGCTGACCGGGGATGACGGCGTCGTTGAAGCCACCGAGGCAGCTGCCGCAAAGCTGGACGCGAACGTGCCGGAGTAGGGAACGGCGGATCCGGTGCGCAGCGGTGACGGCGCCGAGAGAGATCCCAGAGACCCCCGGCGCACGTGACCTGCTGCATCAGTAGGAGCTATCCAGCAAGTATTGTATATTGTTATTCTTAAAAGTTACCCTGGTCAATGATGCTGTCCTCACAAGTCAGAAAGCGTATTTGGACCACAGCGACATGTTTTAGATTCTGCATGCATGCCCAGGAGGTAGTTACAGCAGTATGTAACCTTGGTGCCATGCCCCATGGTAAAGACATGCACTGCTTCAGCAAACCGGATCTGGGGTCTTTGATGTGATAGAAGCTTCTATCGGAGTGAATTGTCAAGCTGGTGGACGATGAGAGCATGTGATGAGAAGCACCTGAAGGCACAGGTGATCCAGCCGAGAAAGCAGGCGACCCAGGGAAGTGCGGGGACGAGACGGAATGCTGCTGCTGCACGGCCCTGACCGGGGACAGCACTTGAGGAGACGCCGTTGGAGACAGCGCGCCATTGCCCTGCACCATCAAAACCCCTTTTTCTTCACCTTCCCTTGGTCAGACCCCTGTCATCCCCCCATCCTTCCCAATCAATGTCCCAGCTGCTGCAGTTGCAGAGCTCAATACCTCCTCTCATAAGGCAGTTGCAAGCTGAGGCAGAGTACCCAGATAAGAGCTGCGAGATTGCCACATCAGGCAGAAGCAGCACCTGTGCCGCGTGTTGGGCTACGGGATAGACATGGTACATGACGCGGCCGTCCGGGTAGCGCACAGGGACGGCCACCATCGGCACAGCGCCAGCCAGCGCGTAGCCGACAGGCGCCGCACCAGCAGCCGCCGCCGCCACCGGAGGGGCCTCCTCCAGGAACAGGACCTCCTCCGCCGCCTGCTTGCCTGCACCCCGCGCAACCCCAAACTCACTCCCTGTGCTGCACCGCCGTGTGCACTTGCCAGGTGATTGGCACGGCAGAAATCTTCCATATGCGTTCCAAAGCAGTCGAGGGCGAACAAGTCTACTTCACAGCCGCCAAGCAAATCGCCGGCCTTGCGGGAAGGTTACAAAATGTGATGCGGCTCTGCCTTGCTGAGATCTGCAAATGGTGTGTTTGGATGGGGCGGACGGATGGGTACGTACCTGGTGCGGCCTTGACCAGGGCTTGGCGGCCGTCGGCAGTGGTAACAGCCTCGTACACATCTTTCTGTGCTTCCACCTCATCCCAGCTGATCAGCTCCGGCTCAGTTGCGCCCCCCGGCGCGGTCACCTTGACCTGCTCAGGACAAACCAAGAAGTCTCATCGCAGCACGAGTACTTCATCTTTCTCGAGGTGCCCAGCGGCGCCCTGTACCACGCAGCACGCCTGATTGTCTAGCCTGGCATTGCTCAGACGATGCTCCGTCGCTGGCAAGGTTCACCGCTTGGCTTTTGCAAAAGCGGCACCAAGCGATGCCAGCGACAGCGCAAGAACTAAGCAATGCCAGCAATTGTCCTGATGCAAGGTGTCCGAGGACGTGCGTGGCGCACCTGCAAGGGCAAGCGCGAGCGGTCGGCTGTGGTGGCCAGCTTGAGGGGCGAGGGCAGGGAGGGCCTGCGCTGACTGGTCCCACCTGCAGGCGCATCCGCCGGCGGCACCGACACAGACACTCGCCGGGGAGTGGACGCCTTGCTGCATATATTTAACAGCCCATGTCAGCTCTAAGCGCACACTCAACCTTGCCACTCTGCCGTGCAATACACTTGTACGTGTCAATGACTCCTGCTGCATACCAATCGCGCAAGTGGAGACAGCGGTAAAAGACAGTGTGCCTGTGTAAGTGGTGGCAGCAGACCTGCCGGTGTCGGAGTTTCTGTCCATGGATCCGATGCGCTCCAGCTGCATTCGGTATGCTTCGCGCGCATCGCCGCCCGGCCCCAGCGTCTCAATCGAGCGGCTGCGGCGGTGAGGCTGCCTCCCTGCTTCCCCAACACACAGCGCCATCTCACACCCACCCTATACCTTCAATATTACCTAATCCTAGTCCCGCAAGGGAGGGTGCATGGGTGACCATGAGAAGAGTAGATGAAAGTGACATGGCAGCGCTGACATTGCAGCGCTCAGAGTTGCTGCTGAGCTGGTTAGGAAGGCAGGGGGAGTAGTCAGCGCCGGGGGCACCTGAGGCGGTGGGGCTGCCCCCCCAGGAGGTGGTCCTGCGGTGGGAGCTGCCACCGGCGGAGGGGGGCGCCGTCAGCGAGTCCTGCCGCTCCGTGGCGACCTCTGGCGTCGTCTCGCTGGCGGCTGATGGCGGCGGCGGCGGCAGCCGCGGCGTCCTGGGCGTGGCCGCCGCCTGCCCAATTATTCAGGAAGCCATCATATGCGCGTCCATGAAGTGTATTGTACTTGATCAGATGAGAGAAATTATCGCCGCATCATGAAAGGAGTTCACAATTGGCATCTTTTCCAAGTCAGCTTTGCCACCTTTGACAAGACAACAACATACAATACAGGCATCTATGAAGCGCCTCAGCCATTTGATACCCGAGGCAGGCAATCCTCATGCATGTCTTGGATGCGGGGCGGGCTTGGATTGAGGTGCAGGCTTGCCTGCATGCTGTCATCACGTGCGTTCTTGACTGGAGAGGTTGGCGGCGTGGAATTCTGCCTGGCCATGGGTTCTTGGGGAGGCGATTGCAGGTGTGGCACCTTCACTGTGGCTCGAGGGGAGGTCAGCCGGCCTGCATGAAATCAACACCACTCTTGAGACATTGATCAAGTCAGCATGCTGAACGGTGGGCCATTAAACTCGAGGTGTAGTCTGGTGACTGCTGCTGAGAAGACAGGCAGAGAGGGCCCTGGAGAGACTCTCACCGGTACCGAGAGCAAGGAGCTGTGAATCCCCGTCAGGAGAGGAGCCAGTGTCCGCGCTCACTTTGATGTACGATGTTGCTCGCTTCCTGCGAGGCACAGCCAGGGTGAGTGCTGTAGGAGCTGTGGCGTAAAGGTCAGCATCTCAGAGGACAATTTGCCCGAATCTTGGTTGACGGTGTTCCAGGCAAAAGAAGTTCCAGTGCTGCTGAACGGACCCACTCAGGAGACTGTGCTCCCAAATGTGATCCCAGGGCGGTACTAAGATAGCGCCAGAGGGACCCTGGATGAGCTAAACGCTAGGATAAGCTAGCAATTTTCAAGTTTCCTTGAGCAAACTTATCAAAAAGCAAAGCCCTACTTGAGGCATGTTCTGTGCAATCGGCCCAGGGTACACACCTCAAAATTACCTGCTATCAAGCCGATGGTACAGAAAATCACAAGCTACTCTTGTCAGAGCAGCTATCTTATCCAGATATGGTTAGTCGTGATCCCGAGCATATGCCAGGATGTTTCCCGTAATATCAGGGGAGAAGCCCAAAACGCAGCTCTACACGAGCCCAATTTGAAGCTAACCGATCGCAAACTCTTCAATCATAATAGAGTATGCAGGATAGCTGGGATCGAGTGTAGATGCACCCATCAATTCATCAGCGTGAGAGGAAGCCCACCACGAAGGCGGAGGCTTGTCAGCAATGAGGCCATCATGCCTCACTGAAGTTGACGCCATGTCTCTGGTGACCAGATCGGGACCTACAGGCACTCACAAGGAACCCTCGGGCCTTGCTGAACGCTTGCACAACGCGGTTTCTACGTTATTCTTCAAAGCTCACTGCTGGGTCCTGGCAGATGCCCTGAGAGTCTGCTTTGACACTAACATACCTCCTGAATGTTGCAGTGATGGGGCAGGGAAGACGCCTTACGTGCACCCAGCGGCGAGGGCGTCGTGATGGGCAGCACGGGAATGACAAATCGTCCACGTCGGCTTCTGTGTCCAAGAGTGGCACCTGCCAGTGCCCCTCTTGTCCCTAAAGTAGCCTTGTAACTCATCGGATAGATGCAGATGATGGAGTGCAATATGTGTTGTCAAAGGCAGTACAGCAGACAAAAAGTTACTTAGGCCATGTCACTGAATGGCATCGACTTATGAAAGCCATCGCGGCCGTGATCCTTTTAGATGATCATGCCTTGGTTCAAGAAGGTGTCATATGCTGGCAAGAATGTTCTCATTACAGGAGGGTCGACAGGCATCGGTTTTGCATTGGCAGCAGAACTGGTGCAACGAGGTGCTCACGTCACGCTTGTTGCTCGGACTCAGAGCAGACTCGATTCTGCTATTGAAGACTTGAGATCAATGGCAGAGGGGGGCCCATTACCAGTACGTGTCCAGGGCTTCGCTGCAGATGTCTGTGACAGCAGACAGGTGTGAGCATCACTCCTGAAGATCCACCAGGCTTGGTAAAATTAAATGTCTATCATGATTCAGGTGATCCCTTTTTTGCCATAGTAAGCAAGTGTGTGCTCTCTTAGGTCAAAGATGCACTAAAAATCGCTGGAGCTATCGACGTGCTCATCTGCTGTGCTGGGGCTGCATTTCCTGGTAGGGACATTGCTCGGAAATACAGCATTTGTTCTCGTGAACTTCCCAAAGCCATGGGCTGCCCTGCCCTGAAAAGAGCTGCTCTCCGGGCCATTGCGTGTCAGGTTGCTTTGACAAGCACACGTCTCTGATATTGCTGGGGATAACCTGCTTTGTGCTCAGGCTATTTTGTAAAGCAGGACATGGGTGACTTTGAGACCACGATGCAGCTCAATTACTTTGGCACCCTGCGTGTCATCAAGGCAGCCCTGCCAGACATGATGGAACGGAGACAGGGCGAGATTGTGCTTGTTAGCTCTGCAGCGGCAGTGGTTGGTGCGACATCTCCCGTGCCATTATCTCAGCTCTTGTACTTAGATGCGTCTGTTGAAGCTGGCTACGTGGCTCAGATCTGCCCGTTAATCTGGGTTGGCTCTGTCCAGGCGTGGCAGGGTACACCTCCTATGCCCCGACAAAAGCTGCAGTGCGCAGTCTCGCGGATACATTGCGGAATGAGGTGAGAGTTGCATGCAATGCTTTTTCTGCTGTGTGTCGGTCCCTAGCAGCTGATTTAAAGCTGATCTTCTTATCCACCTTGACTATACTGGGATGCCATGCAGCTGCTGTCCAGTGGGGTGCGAGTCATGGTTGCATATCCACCTGACACAGACACTCCCGGATACGCAAAGGAGAACTTATCAAAGGTACAGCCACTCCAATGCAACGAAAGAAATCTAGAAAAACAAGAAGATGGCTTGCCCTTGGTACCTGTTGCGCGTTGCATACAGCATGGTCTCAAGCTCTTGGTGGTCCCCTGCAGCCGCAAGTGTGCCATGACATCAGCAGAGCAGCTGGCGATGTGCTGTTCACACCTGAGCAGGTGGGCCACCTCACAATGACCGCTGTCTTATTTAATCGTTGCACTTGATCTGCTAGAGTGCTGTACAATGGCAATTTTGGCTCATTTTTCTTGGAGTGCCATGCAGGTGGCAAAGTGCATGATTAAGGGCATGGAGCGGGGTGTATACCATCTGCCCTCGCCTGACTTTGGCCAGAACCTGATGATCGCAGCGAGTGCTGGGCTGTCACCACACATGTTTCCAGCCGTCTTGGAGTTCCTTTTGGCGCCCCTGGTTGTGCTTGCTCTCTGGATCTTCGGTTACAGGATTGACAATGCTGTGAGAAACCATGCAGACGTGTAAATAGAGTCTCTGTGACTGAATTTTGACCCTTTCCATCTGGTACATTGCCATAATGCCGGAACCCCTCCCAAGTGACGTGGCTAACCTGAGTTCCAAGGCGCGGAATGACAGGGATACTTTGTGTTCTTCGTCTTCTCTCTGTGTAGCTCCTTCCCATCCATTAAAGATGATCGCGAATAAGATGAATGGGTGCAACACCCACAAAGTTGAAGGTGCAACCTCTGGCTGGAAATGCTTGGTCCGACACTTGGCACGGCCAGTGTCCTGCAGAGGCGCCCAGTGCAGGCAATCGCGCAATGTTGTACGAGCTCTTGATCGCACTTTAGTGGCATCCGCTGCTACAGCGAGCAAAGAGATCACGCAGGACGCACCTCGGATTGTGGTGCGTCACTTACTGGACAGCAAGGCAGAGTGATAAAGCCACATATACAAAAAAAATCTCGAAATGGAGTAACTTGAGTTTAATACCTTTCACGATGGTGCAGGAAGCAGGATCAGAGCGGGATGCAAACGGCGTTCCACGCTTGCCATTGCGAAGAGATGGATGGAATTTCTGGAACTTTGAAGGAAATAAAGTACACTATATCCAGTCAGGTACGGATGTAGCAATAAAACTGACTTCTTGATCAACGCTGTAAGCAAGGTCATCTCCAAGGTATATGGAGAATATCCAAGGTGAAATAAATGATCTGGTTTCAGATCAAGAAAGCCTCGACCTCTTCCTATCTTGGCCAGATATCTTGGAAGGCGGACCAAATGCATTGCCTTTCTCACTGTTGCCTGTGAACAGGGACGTCGGGTACACCTGTGCTGTTTCTGCATGGCTTTGGCGCATCTGCATACCACTGGCGGTACAACATCCCGGTGCTAGCAGAGAACCACCGCGTTTTTGCGATGGATCTGCTGGGTATGGGCTGGAGTGACAAGCCGACAGGGGAAGACATCTACCAAGTGTGGCCCAGACAGATTGCTGCCTTCATCAAAGAGGTGCGGCCCGACCTTGCCTCCTGACTTGCATGCAGCCCCTCATTGGCTTACGGCTTCGAACAGCAATGTGGTCACTGATGGCCACGTGGGTCAAAGAATTGCATGGACAGTCCAGACTGTGCTTTGCAGGTGGTTGGTGGAGAGCCGGTGGTGTTGGTGGGGAACTCTCTGGGGGGCTACAACTGTTTAAAGGCAGGTGTGACGAGCCCAGACCTGGTGCGAGGGGTTGTCCTCCTGAATTCGGCCGGTCGGTTTGAGGAGGTAAAGGCAGAGGTGGAGGCACAGGTGGAGGCTGCCCTCCCAGACACCGAGGAGGCAGAGGGCCTCAAGGAAGCCTTGCGGGAGGTGAGCTGCTCCTACAAGGACAGCATGTGTCACACTGCATGTGAACACTCCTCTGCTCGCGATCTGGAAGGGTGATGTAAAAGGTGCAACACTGCTATTGTGTTCTGCTTGTGGGTATATCACAGGCAGTAGGAAGAGAACTGATGCATGCGCTTGCAAGCTTGCTAGGGAGGCTGCAGCGTGCCCTGATAAGGGGGTGGATGCATGCAGGCTGTAAAGGTTGAGCCGGTAGGGTCTGGGACTGAGGAGAGGGCAGGCAGCAATGGGCGAGCGAGCGTTTCCAAGGTGCCTGCAGAGGAGCAGCCCACGCTGGTGGCCAGCCTGATGGACCAGCTCAAGTCCATGGCCTTGCGTGGCAGCATCTATGCCTCTTTCTTCATGGCTAAGCAGCCCAAGCGTATCCGGCAGGCAAGCTTTGTCTTCATCAGTGCCTTCATTTACATGCATGCCGCCACCCAGTTTGGGACAGACATTTCAGTCAACAGCGCAGCTACCGCGCATCTGCACTTTTATGCGCTTATGAACATTTGGTCATGTCTGCAGGTGCTGGAGCAAGTGTACATCAGCCAGCACAACGTGGACGAGGACCTGGTGAACTCCATAGTGTGGCCCGCAGAGAGCGCCAACGCCGCCGAGAGCTTCTACCGCATCATCAGCGGCAAGGGCACCCCCGTCAATGTCCTGCTCAGCAAACTGGACAAGGTGCGCAGCCTCCCCCATGAATTCCCCCTATTATGTTTGAGCACCCAATATCAAAAAAATATCAATTTCCACACGCACCTGCACGGCAACTGGAAAAATTCACAGAAGTATTCGTGACAGTTCTAACACTGCCAAGCAGAGGCATGAGGTTGGAGATTCAGTTGGGGAATTGATTTGTGATTTGGTGGTGCAGCCGATGCTGCTGTTGTGGGGTGCGGATGACCCCTGGATTGGACCGGGGAGTGCCGCGCGCATTGAGAGCCTGTACCCGCGCGCGCAGAAGGTGCTGCTCAGCGGAGTGGGCCACTGCCCCCAGGACGATGCTCCAGAGCGTGTGAACGCCGAGCTGCTGAGATGGCTGGATGCACTCTAGAGGTGCCGGGAGTGGAAAGTGTTATGACTAATTAGGAATATGCGCTAGGTTCCGCGAGAGCTTGTGGCTGACTGACCAATGCAAGGTCCAGAACACTGAGTCAGCCAGACACAGACCTGGTCAAACCTTATTCGCCTGTACAACATGTTGTTGGGAGAATCGGAGCAGGCTCCACCATTGATGAGAGCAGCAGGATTGTAAGATGCTCAATTTTTCTGATGAAGTGCTGATGCCTTTATGATAATGGTCAAGATTAGTCTAGTATAAGTGCACCGCCATCCCAGTGCTGCAGCTGTCCACTAACAAATGTCACCGACCGCAGAGTGTGCCTATATAGCATGCATGTTACAGTTTCATGGGACACCTCAGCAACAAGCGTGATCCTCAACAGCTTGAATTTGGTCATTCAGGTCTCATCTCAAGAAAAGAATTTTGCCATCTAGAAGTCTCTGCACCAACACACCACAGCACCTGCATCTTTACAATCAATACTTGACACATCTTCAGCCTGGTCTGAGACAGTTGCAATAAAAGGTGCGCGTGACATACTGTGGCCGAAAAAAGACTGCATAAGTTCTTTGCTTACTGAGGGACCTGGGTTTCCCCTACAAGTACACAATATAAAATAATAGAATTGGCCCAGCCTTTGGCGACAGGTCAACAAAATCATGCTAAATCAAGCTGAATCTCTGCAAAGTACTGCCTCCGTTCCATAAGAAGATGTTCAACAGGGCACCCAGGTCACATCCTCAACTTCCGCCCTGCTGCGCCACCCACACTGAGGGTATTTGCTGGGGGGGCTGCAACAGCTGCTGCTGCAGGTTTGGTATTGAGGCAAGCCTGGACGCTCACGCAGAGCTGTGTGGCAGGGTCGTAGTACTGGCAAGGGGGGCACGACGGGAAAGCAGGGTCGTTGACGATTGTGATCTGGGCATTGTTATTGCCGTTGCCGTTCCCATTGCCATTTCCAGTGGCCTTGTTCCCATTGTTGTTCCCGCTGCCTGCCGCTGTGTTCCCATTCCCTGCAGAAACACCACTTGCATGTCAGCATCAAGTCGAGCAGCTAGCTGCAGTCTGCCTCTGGGTCTCCTGCCCTTGAAGCTGATAACTATTCCAAGATGGTGCGCAGAATTCCAGGATTTCCTGGAGTGAAGGTGCGTTTACCAGTTCCATCGCCAGTTGTGTCTGCAAAGGCTGCAGAGCCTCCGATCTTGACCAGGAACTTTCCATTGCCCTCGCCATTGCGTGTGCCGTTCTGAGGAATGTCTGCCAAGGGTGCTGCCTTGACCTTTGCTGCAGCACTATCATCGCTCCCGGCCGCTGCTGTTTCACCTGTGGGACAGCAGATTGGATTGTTCTTCATGGTGATAATTGGAAGGACACTTGTCATCTCAGGTCTACAGGATTGGCAGGACAGCACAGGGCTACTTTGATCCAGATGCCGAGTCAGAGCTTCTTCGACACAAAAGGTGTCACGACGATCTGGGCTGACATTACATCCGAGTATTCAAGCTTTATGAAAAACCATGAAATAAATATTAGCATCTCTCACGTCTTGTCGCTTCTCGTCTTGAGCTCAACAAACTAGACTTCAAGATGCGCTTTACGGGATCTGACTTCCTCGACTTCCCACATCAACCTACCTCGGGTACTAGCGACAAGAATGAAGCAACACACGAACAGGAGAGCCCGCGTAGTCATCGTATTCTTGTTCGATAAAGCTCCCGTGACGGATGTATCCCCCTTCCCGCAGAAAGTTGTGTACGGATTCCTGCTCCTCGTTGTCGGACGTCCGATGATATCTTAGCCTTTAATGGCTAGAATTGATCCTTCTGAACAAGCAAAGACCGATGTTTCATGAGAAGAAGCCGACGACATCTGGCAGGAACCTTAAACTTTCTAATTACTATATTATCATATGACCCCCCTCAAGTGGCTCATGGTTGCTCCTGCTTACTGGCAACAGAACCAATGGAAGGCACTCACCCCACAAGAATGATCGCTCAGGGATGAGCACTGCCACTGGTCACTACGGCTCATTCTGCAAGCGCTGCAGAGCCTCCTCCACAGCCAGCTCTTCAGAGGACGGTGCGTCTCTGCGGAACTCCAGCCTCGGCACATGCCTGGACTTCAGCGCATGGGCCAAGCTTCGCCTCAGCCTGGACACCCTGCGCCAAAGTTAAAGACTCACTGCCTCCGCGCATGTTTGATGGACTTGCATGCTTATGTTCCCCACAGGTCATTCCTCTCTTCACAGACAACTCTAGACTGGTACATGCATGCATTGAGACGCATTCTTCCCCTCAGGCTGATGTTCTGAGGTCCTGCAGTCACCTCTGGTTCAGCTCCCTCTCGGCAGCATCATGCCGCTCTGGGAAAGCATCCCACAGTATGTACGCTGTGGAATTGTCAGGTGACATGCGTACCTGCACAGCACCACAAAATTCTTCACTGGCTTTGCATCTAAAGGGCTTGCAGTGCCACACATGCGGTCTAGCAGATCTGCTCTGCCGGTAGACAAGCGCACCTCAACCACGGTGAAGCCATACCGCCCAGTGAGGTCGCTGTACGTGTTGGTGTCAGTGAACATCATGACCGTCTGAAGGGCGTCCCTCACTCGTCCAGCAACTGCATCACGTTGCGGTTCTTTTTCAGTACATCCGCAGATACAGTGTGCGGGCTTGCACCTTGCCAAAAAAGATCAGGCGCTGCAACATACTTACACTTCTGTTGATGCCGCGAGGCAGGCCACACCTGCTCAGTTGGCGACCTACACAAAGCACCCTGGTCATACTCCTTCTACATTAGCATTTACAAGTGACATAAAGCTTCAGTCTCCTGGTGTCTGGGTGGTGGCCACCTGTAGGCTAGATCCACACGAAAGCCTGAATCGAGCTGATATCCTGGTGGCTCTTCTGAGGAGTTGATTTCAGGTTCTACTTCCTCATCATGGTGAGCTTCAGTCTCTGTCACACGGTCTTGGGCATGGCGTCTGTGTCGCGCAAAGCTGCGGACACTTTGAAAGCATGCATCGCCAGACTTGATCAAGGAAATAGAGTAAGATGTGGTACAGATTGCATCACAAGAGTGGGGCCGGCACATGGCACGTATGGCTGTACTTCTGAGCCACGCGGCTTTGATGATGCATGTCATGCTTGTAAGACTCGTTTGTATGCTCCCCACAAGGTCGATTTTATTGATCCAGTCGACGTCAACCAATATTCTAAAGAGTGCAAATACTAGTGAACGCATTGGATATTTGATCGCTGAGCAAGACGAGCAGGAGCATTGCACTGAGGTAAGCATCACGTCACCTTGAATTGCCATCGCAAATTGCAATTTGCAATCTTGTTTGTCTTTCTTGTCTTCTGAGGAATGTGAACAACACGCCGATGTGCAACGAAGGGAATGCTTGTATCGTTATTCCTATTAACTCCAGACAAGTTGGACTTGCTAAAGGGACACCTAGGAAGTTGCGGTGCAATTTTGAGGGTCAAGTTGCAACGGTCTGCCTCACTTTCAGAAGCCCTTTGTGGTAGTGCCTATCTTGTTTCAGAAGGGAGAAGCTTTCTGTGCAAGTAGGTAATCAAGATATGCTGATGAAAAGATAATACCTTTGAACAAAGCTCACTTCAATTGATTTCAACAGTAAGCTGCTGAAGGGAGCATCGTAGAAGGGCGGTCAGCCATATACATAATTACTTCACCACAGCGGCATCTATCTCGAAGAGCACAGGCAGGGCTGTATAAAACTTGCTCAGGCTGGACCCTCCAAGCCGCAGAAGGAGGGCCAGGGACATGAGCCGCGCGGGGGGATCTTCATCGGGGGCAGCGCTTGCCGTTGGAGCTGCTCTGGGCCTGGGAGCTGCAGCGGCAGGAGCCCTTGCCGTGGCCCTCCTGTCCAGCCAGAAAAGCAACAAGTGCGCGCACAGTTTTGAAGAGGCAGATGCAGGCTTCATCTCAACTGCTGTCATCCACCGCCTTGTCAAGTGGAAGCAATCCGATATTGCTTCCGCCAAGGACCCTCCTTTACCTGCATGTGCGAGCAAACACCTCTTCTGCTTGCAGGGCTCAGCCCCTGACGAAGGAGGCTTGGAAGCAGGCCCATGATGAGGGAGGGAGGGTGGTGGACTTTGCTGGCATCCTGGAGCAGATCCGAATGGGGGTCCGCTCCTGATCACTCACCCACATGCCTGGACTGATGGGGCCGTCTGGCAGGCTGTGATCACTCCTTGACGTAGTCTCTGAGGTCTGCACGCTGTGAGAACATCAAGCCGGTTTCCAAGGAGTGCGCTGAAAAGTGGAGGGTGCTGCAGGGGTGTGACCCCGATGTAAGGGAGGAGGTGTGGCCCTACTTGCTGCGGCTGGTGAGCCCCAGCAGCACAGCGGAGCAGCGCAGCACCCTCAGAGCCGACCTTGCGCGCCGCTACAGCGACCTGCTGCAGCGCTGCCAGGTCCGCACCTCACCCCAGCAGCTCTGACTCATTAGCCCCTCATCCTCCCATTTCTGCCGAACCCGTGCCAATCTTCTTGCACATGCTGCTCTCCCTGAAGCTGTGTGCCACTCCACAGCAAATGTACCTCACTAAGGGCATTGCATTAACCCCATTAATTGTTCATAGCGGAAATTCCCCCAGTGCAACACTTCCAACTGCATTGTCCCAAGGTGTAACCTAAGGAAATAAGTAAAGCAGATCAAGCCAAAGGACGCATCTCCTGCGTGCAGGACCTGGAGACGTTGCTGGACAGTGCGGTGGTGCGCACCGGCAGCAGCGTGGCAGTCGCGGAGAACACCGGCGCGGCGCGTTCCGTGCCGGCGCACCTTGCGCAATTTGCAGAGGCGCAGCGCATCATCGTTCTGGACGCCATCCGTACAGATCTGCTGCAGCCGGACGCCGCCTCCGAATCCTCCCACAGAACCAATGGCGCCATGAATGGTGAGGCTGCCTCTCTAAAAGACATTCCAATTAGCTTCAGAAGAATGACAGTCTTACTAATGTTGCTCAAGAACAATGTACCATGCAGAGCCTTCAGCACTCATGCAGAACACTGCTGGGCGGGGGAGCTTAGCATGAGGCTGGGCTCAGTGACACAAGCGCCGGAAGGTATATGACGGATCTTTTGGGGTGTGCAGGCCTGGTGCCCTCAGCGGACAGGAGAGGGGGAGGGCCCTGGCTGGGCAGGGTGGCCGAAGAGACGCTTTTCAATGCCACACACCTGTCACCGGCGTCCAGGAAGGCTGCCGCGCGCTTGATACACCTCCTCTCCGCTTACGCCGTGCACGACCCGGAGACCGGCTACTGTCAAGGGTGTGTGAATCCATTCTTCCCACACATGTATACTTGGCATGAAAGTCATTTGTGTTTGCCGAATCTGTGCAAGTTCCCTGCTGAGTGTTTCACAGCTTGAAATACACGTTTGCTCTGGGTGGGTGCTAGAATGTCGGATCTGGCTGCGCCATTTCTGACGATCTTTGAGGACGACTACATGGCCTACTGGTGCTTTGAGAGGCTCCTGCAGCGCACCAGCAAGAACTTCCGCCATGACGAGGTCGGCATGAGGTGCGCTCTAGCAGTTCCCCCTTTGCCGCGCTTCCACCCTTGTGTTTCATCACTCTCGTGTCCATGCACATTGCTGTAAAGGACGAGGGGCACACATACCTGGTCTGCTGTGCCGCCCTTGCAAGTCCCTGCAATCTTGACCAACGCGACCAAAGTTATCGGGACTGTGTGACGTCCTGCGGACCGTGTGCAGGGAGCAGCTGAGGGGGCTGGCCAGGATATTGGAGCAGGCGGATCCGGTCGTGTTCCACCACTTGCGCCAGATTGGCGCGGGCGAGTGCTTCTTTGCATACCGCATGGTCATCGTGCAGCTGCGCCGCGAGCTCCCCGTGGCCCAGGCAGGCTTCCCCCTGCAGCCTGCCTTTCAGCAGCGCCTTACCTTCTTGAACATGATGCCTACAGATACTGAACTGCCAAATGACTGTCCAGCATGCACATCTCCGTGATGCCGGCTATGACAGCTTTTGATTTTGGCGATCAGCGTCAGCAACTGTGGCCAGCTACTGCATTTGGTGTTATCAAAGAGGTTTGGTTGCTGGGCCCTCATGACTGGCATCACAACACAGTTGCTAGAACAGCATTGTATTCTCATTGACGGGGTGCCGTATGGCTCACAGGCGGTGACCCTGTGGGAGATTCTTTGGGCGGATGACTACTGGCAACGGCTTGGCAGCTGGACCCCTCCAAGCTTGAGCAGGCCCTCCTCGGGCTCGGTGGGCACTCTGAGTCCCCTGCATGTCTCTTTTGAGCACGAGTGTCTTTTAAGCGCCAGGCCTGCATCTGCTAAGAAACCTAATCTGCTCAGCTGCTCGCAAGAAGTAGAACTTTGCTGCCTATCGTAAAGTGTACATAGCAACGCCACCATGCCTTTTGTGATTCGTGGCAGTTATAGGCTGACTGCGGATGTGTGGGGGCTCAGTTTGGGTCTTTTGATAAATTATCGACGCTGGGTGGGCGAGAGGAGCAGCCCTCAGTCCCAGGGACGGCCCCTGACCTGCTGCTGTTCTTCATTGCTGCCGTGGCCCTGCGCCAGAGGAGGCGCCTGATTGACGAGTGCCGGGATCAGGTGCGCGCTGCTCTCTCCTTTTCCTTCTTGCATGTATCTCTTTCAGGTGCAATTTGAAGCTGTTGCTGGAGATTGCTGTATGGAAAGTAGTGCTGCCTTCTTGCATCTGTCAAAGTCAGCAACATGTCCGAATAGCTACAGCAGTGGTGCTGATGTTGTGCATGCATGGATGCGGACAGGATGACACTCTGCGGCTCTTCAACAGTCTCAGGATCGACCTGTGGGGGTCTCTGCGCTCGGCTCGTGGCCTCCAGCGCTCCCTGGCAGCGCAGTATCAGCCCAGCAGCAGTGTCTACTGAAGTTGTTGGTGTCCTGTATTAATGCGTGCTGGTCTGATGAGAGCAAGTCTGCTTGCATCAGCGAGTGTTGTCCAGTCTTTTAATAGGGAACTGGTGAGGCTGCAAGAGCAGGACGGAGCTTTGAAGGACCTGCTATAGGGATTGTTGCCCAGGTTGCAGAGCAAAGCCTCTGCAGTGTACTATCAGGGATCAGGTTTTAAATTTGCTTGCAGAGGCCCACATGCATCATATATGCTGTTGTGTACCATGCCATTCAAGACTTCTTTGAACAAGTAGCAGAGTGACTCACGGTACCAGTGATGATTGAATTATTGCAATCGCCATCAGGCGCCTGCCGCCACATCCAGGAATGCTCTGTTGCAAAGATGTAAATGATTTTACCGTTGGTGCAGCGGCTGATGTTAAAATCAACAACACTGTTTATATGGAGCTCACTCGTACATGACACATTGCATGCACCAGATCCTGGGTAGCTGCCTTCACTCTAACGTGCTGGAAACATTTTGATTCATTGATTTGACAGTGGTAGTTATTTGACAGAGCTGTCTTCAAGTTGAAGAAAGTTGCAACAGGCGCTGTAGCGTGCTCTTCAACTTCCGTGGCAGCAGTGCTTCCAGATACATGAGACATACCCGATGACCTCCCTCCACTGTCCGTATTGGATGTTGTGAATGTGAGACAGAGCCCAGGTGATGCCTGATCATGCATGCTTTCTCCCAGCTGTTTGTCTCCTTTCCTTGTAAACATTGGGTGGTTCCCTATTACCTCATCAATCCCTCTATTCCTATTCATGAAAGAGGAAATTCATTGCTTGCACCGCTTAGGCTGCAGAGGTGACTTCAGGACATGAATCTTTTACAGACACAGCTATTTAGCAAAGGTGTACTTACCAAGAAGGACTCGGTTGGCAATGCACCACCCCTTCTGCAACTCTATGCAAACATCTGCAGTCCGAGATATCTCTGACGCATTGGCCTGCCCTGCAAACCGCGGACGCGAATGTTCATCATGTTGCTGCTAAAGGTAGCATCTGTTGCGTGCGTTGTGGTCGGATATCGAACATGGCGTTGGTGCTCTCGGAGGGCTCATCAGGGCTTACAAACCGAAGAGCAGGAGGTGCGGGTTTCTATCGTTGAAGCGCTTCTGCATATGCGGAGTTTCGTAAATACGACTGTGCTTCGTTCCTGAGATAATGATCATTCAGAACTGCCCAGTCGAAGGCTAGTAAGCAGCTGTGAAGTTGTTTTACGCTGGAAGAATGTTTACTCGCCACATTTGTTTCTTCTGTTGGACGATATGTGCCTTTGATATTTGGGGTGTGGCCGTAAGTGGACACAGAGCGCTGAGTTTTCATGCACTATCAAGCTCGTGCTCTTGTCCTCAAGGAGCCAAGAATGGTTGTACCTGGTGCTGATCAATTTACGCATTCTTCTGCTCTCACACCGTTATTTCTTGGATGCAGGCTTCGAAGAAACTTGCAGAACCAGAGGACCAGGGGGATATAGACGCTGCAGGAACAGACAGCAGTGCAGATGCCCCATCCTACCCAAGTGGTGCACCAGGGCAAGCTTTGCCATCAAGACCGATTGTCAGTGCCAGCATCAGGTCGACAGCCACGCCAGCAGACAATGCAGTTTCAAAGACTAGCGACAGCGCTGAATGCATGCACAAAGGGGCGCCACTCAAAAGCGAGGATGTAAGCTTGAGGGGTTTTCTATCTCAGCAAGACAAAAGGGGCCAGCAAGCGAGCGACATCTCCAAGAGCAGAGAGGCACTTGCCCCACAGCCATTGTTTCACACCAGCACACTGCCTTCCCGCACGCCGCGTCCACCAAGGAACCCCCAGCCAGTGGATCTCGCCCCATCGATATCAATCCTGACCGCTTCGCACGACAGCACAGAGCTGGACGCTCCATGGCCGGGCTTGTCTGCCAGCCCACGTGTGCACGAGGAGGAAGTCAGCATGCAGTGGCCAGGCCTGGACGTGTCGCAGCACAGCACAGCCGAGGCAGAGGCAGTGGTGTTCATCGGCAGCAGCGCGGCAGCCGCGCAGCCTTTGCCCCGCTGGGCGCGGGACGAGGATTCTGGGGGCAGCCCCAGCCCGGACTCGCCCCTGTCGCTGAAGCAGTGCTCGCCTGCCAAAGCACGACGCTCCAAGCGCGGCCTCGGCCGCACCTACTTCAACAGCAGTCGCTCCATCAGCAGCCAGGAGTCGTCGCCGCTCGCCACCACGGCCGCCGCCGTGGCCGCGTCGGCCAGCTCGCCGTTCGACCACGGCCTGCACACCTTTGTGCGCAGCCCGCGCTGGGCCGACCAGCAGGCGGGCGCGCATCGGGCCGCCAGGGCCGCGCACCAGAGCGTCTTTGTGCAGTCCAGCGTCAACAGCGTCGCCGGCGTCCAAGGCAGCGCAGTTGACGGCGATGCCTCCCCGCTCGCTTCCACCCCGGTCAGGTCAGGCGCCGCACTGAGAGCCACTGAAGCCTCTGTCCGTACCCGTCTGAGTTGCCGGCAAGTGCCATATGCTGCAGGTCTGGTGCCGCACTGTTCAATGCTCTGGCTGGCGCTGATCAGACACTGAGAATGATGTGTGAACCAGGTCCCCGCACGTGCCGCTGGTGCAGCACAAGAAGGACGCAACTGCGAGCTGGGTGGCGGCAGCCGGGAATGCAGCGGTGGCCGGAGCCGCGCAGGTGCGGCTGCTGCCGTCGCCATTTGCAACGGTCGACGCGGCCGCGGTGCGCTTGCCCACCGTGACCGACAGCAGTGCATCCCCCTCTGCCTCGTCGGGCCTGTTCGGGCGCATGCGTACGCTGTCCGCGCCGGAGCGCCGGACGGTTGAGGCAGCCCGGCCGCAGGCCAGCCCAACCAAGAGCGGCGCGGACGGCAGCCCCGGAGAGGCGCGCCTGCTCTCCGCGCAGGCCGCCTGGGCCGCCCTCGGCGGCAGCACAAGTCCCCAGCGCTGCTCCGCGGTCAACAGCCCCCGCGAAGCCTTCCAGAGGTGCCTCCAGCCGCCTGCTCTCTGGCTCCCTTGTTACCGTGCGTGCTCTTGTACCGGGCAATGCAGACCCATAAAAAGCCATGGACATCAATGCCCACTAAAACCTGTGACATGAGGGTTTGTTGTCCAGCTAAGTCACTCTCCTAAGGCCGGCAGGCGTGCATTGAGTTTAGAAATATCTGAGGTGCGTGCGTGCAGCATGGAGTCGCTGGAGCCGGCGCCCACGGAGGAGGGCTTCTACCTGGGCGGCCAGATCGAGAAGGTGCTGAGCGAGCTGAAGGACGAGGCGCAGCCCCTGCAGCTGCGGCGCTACTCGCGCAGCTTCAGCGAGCCCAACCTTTTCCAGCACTTCATGAAGGTGCCCCCAGAGCACCCTGCCAGCTTCTGGGCTGCATTCTGGCGCTTTTGTGCAGTATGAGATGTGCACTAGGGAGGTTGAAGGAGGTGGCTGTACATTTAAGTGCTTCCCTGGCTGAAATGCACTGCCCGGTGCTGCAGCAAATGCAGGGCATGGACGCGGAAGCTGCCGGCCAGGAGGCGGACAAATCCGAGGAGGAGGATGAAGATGAGGAGGGCGTCATGATGCGATTGCAGAGCACTGTGGAAATTATGCAGGTGAGAGCTTGCCCGTGTGCTCTCCTGCCATGCCTGTCATGTCATGCCGGATGAGTGGCTTCTTGCCACAACATATTGGGCCAATCTAATGAGAAGAGAGATGCATGACATACAAGGCAGTACGAGCGCCAAGTAGGGAGAAAGGGCTGCATCGCAGTGTATCTGCGTGTGTGGTATTGTGTTGAGCATTGGGGGTGTCAAGTTGTGGGGATGTGGTGCAGGAGAAGCACAGCGAAGCGTCGACGACTGCGCGGCTGCTGTCTGCCGAGCTGCGGGAGAGGATGCAGTCCGGCGCTGAGGCCTCCACGGCGGACAGCAGCGCGCACAGCGGCCAGAACGGGTGCGCGGCCGGGGCCTGCTTCGACAACCGCAGCCGCTCCAACTCCCTGAAGCGGTCGCGCGAGGAGTTCTCCGTGCCTGCAGCGCCCATCAGGCTGGATGTCACTGCTGGCCCCTCCTCCGGCCACTCCTACACCCTGGATGAGGGCCTCACTGAGGTGAGGCAGCCTTCACCCTGTACAGCAATATATTATGAGGTAGCTAACTGTTTTTATCTGATTCACCACGGTACGAGGAAGCCGGTCTCATGACCATAGCACAGGTTGTGCGCTGTGGTGGATCTCGGGCTAACATTGGAACACAATTGCTGTTGCAGGTGACATTGGGGCGGCTGGGTGGCAACACAATGGCAGTCAACGACAACGAGGTCTCTGGAAAACATGTGGCCATCCGCTGGGATCCCTCATGCAGATGCTGGCAGGTGCTGAGTCTGCAAGTTCAAACTTTGCGCCCTTCACGTCAGCAATGTAGATATCGCACCAAAGACTTTCACTTTGGGACCCTTTTTGCGCGTTCTACCCAGTGTGACGGGCTGATGCATATTCCGAGTTTCTGGTGCACAGGTCATGGATTTGGGAAGCTTGAACGGAACGACGCTGAACGGACGAATCATAAGCACCAGCAACAGGAGGCGAGGGAGGTTGTGGCGGCTGAATGATGGCGACCAGCTGCAGCTGGGCGTCCAATCTGGCGTGATGATCACATATCTGCCACTGGCCGATGCACCGGTGAGCCTCTGAGCAATCACATGCCCTGCCTTTCTTTCTCATATGTACCAGGACGCGAAGACAGGCACTTGTAAATCTCCTTTGCTCCTCACCAACAGCGCTGAAAATTTTTTGCGCTGCAGTACATCTGAGTGTATGCCTGACATCATGATTCTCCTCTGGGCAATGACTTCTCTGAAGCCACTTCTTTTTGCGCCGACTCTGTTTGTCTGCAAATGTGCAGAGTGGACTGTCCCTGGCGCCGAAGCCGGTGCTGGCGCCAACCAACTCGCTGCTAACGCTGCCGACGCTGCGCAGCGACGCGCTGATCGCGCTCACATCCCAGCCGGACTCCGAGCGCACCTCGCGCCTGCTCACACGCCAGCCGCGGCTCCACCTCGAGGCCTGGCTCGCCTCCTGCACCGGCCGAGAACACGCTCGCATGGGCCAGGTCCGCCTTCCCATCAAGGCCCCACAGTCACTCACGTCGCTCCTGCCTTGCCTTGCAGCTGCTGGTCCTGGAAGGAGAGGGGCCCGCGTGGTCACTGGCGGCAAGGAGGAATTACAATCTAATTAATGTTGAGCATGTTGGCAGGGTATGGAGGATGTGGGGGGCTGCGAGGAGGCGCTGCTGGGGGCATCGCAGCCGGCGGTGCTGTGCAGCATCTTTGACGGCCACTGCGGGCGCGGTGCTGCGGACGAGGCGGCCAGCGCGCTGCCGGCCCTGCTGGCCGGGCGGCTGCGCGCGGCCGTAGCGGGCCTGGCCGACGGCTCCGGCGTGGCTGCTGCCTGGCAGGACGCCTTCCGGGAGGCCGATGAGGGCCTGTGCGCCGAGGAGGGCTGCACCGCAACCGCTGTCCTCGCCTGGCACAATGCACAGGGGTCGGTCTGCTTGCAGGTGCGACTGTGGCCAATTCACACGATCATAGAAGTCTCAGAAGGCTAAGGTTGTTCTTCTAGCAGAGTGTGAAGGAACAAATCTCTTGCTGCATTGCGGCCTTTTGTGCATGGCTGCTTCGGTCTGCTGTGCAGTGCTCCTGCACTACGGGGTACAAAGCAGAGCTGGAAGGGGTCAATTGCCACGTTGCAGGCAGCAAACGTAGGTGACTCTGCGGCGTACTTTGCTCGCGTGCCCAAGAAGCGAAGCTGCGAGCCGGACGTCCTGCGGCTGACCGGGGACCATCGGTACACCAACCCCCTCGAGAGGGAACGCCTGGCTGGTGCGCCCCATGCAGTTCTCAATTCATTCACTGTCAACATGGATCGGCTGACTGTGTAGGAGCTGTGACACCTGTCTTGGTCCCTACTGAGGAGCAGTCCAGGAGAGTACTATCATGAAGCTCCCAAGGCCGGAGGGCTGCTTGTGGAGAGGGCTTCTTTAGCAAACGCGCAAGCAAGGTGAGGTGAGCATGGCATCGACTTGCTGCAGGCATGGGCGTCCGCATGGGCGCCAATCGCACGCGGCTGTATGGGCTCAACCTGTCGCGCTGCCTGGGCGACAAGTTCCTGAAGGACCAGGATCTGGGCCTGAGCGCGGTGCCCCACGTGAGCGAGGTGGTCTGCCTGGAGCCGGGCGCCGCCGCTGTCGTGGTGCTGGCTTCCGACGGCCTCTGGGACGTCGCCGACGGCGCAGATGCCCTCAAGGCATGCCCCTCCCATGCTCTTCTCATAACCAGCACTGGCTGTGAGCCGCGGATGCCCTTGCCGTGCTATTTGCAGAAGGAAGATGCTTTCCCGTGAGAGTGTTGGTTGCAGAATACCTTTTGAAAAGCACGTGCTGCCAAGTGGAATCTGCAGAAAGCTCCCCATCACTGCCACCGGAACCTGTCAGGCAGGCACCTAAACAAGGACGAAGATGACGAATTAAATGAGCTGGCCCCAGTGTTCAGAGCAAGCCTCGACGGTTATTGTGAAGGGTGCTTTGTCTCTACTATATTTTCTAATCATCTCTACATGGTCTGCACAGGTGGCGCTTGCGGCGCATGCGGACTCGGGCGGGTCTGCGCAGGCGATGGCGGAGTCCTTGCTGGCACACGCGCAGAAGCAGCGCAGCAAGGACGACATCTCCGTCATAGCCATCACGCTGGCTGCAGACTGACTGGCCGCGACGGCAGCGGCTGACGGTCTCAGCATCATGCTCTTGTTATTGCCTGTGATGAACCTTACGTTGAGAGCTGATGCTCAGCGCCGTTTCTGGCAGATGCTTGCTGGCAGCGCATGCATGCACCAAGTGACTTTTGGAGGACTGCTACGCAGTGACTGCTTGCAATGTTTTGATCGCAAAACGGCTGTCTCGCAGAATAATGATTGCTTGAATGTGTCCCCCTACCAAGAGTTTCGAATGCAAGTGACCACAAGGTGTGCCTTAAAGGAACGCATGTGGGCAGATCGGGTTGTGCGCATTAGAGGTTAACATAATCTCTTGGATGGTAGCTGTTATGAGGAATGAAGTTGCAGGTACAGATCTTCAGAGCGTTGTAAATGTAATTTCTAACGCTCTGAAGATCTGTACCTGCAACAATAAGTGATGCCATTCCATTCCTCATGCCACCCACTCCGAAGAAGTGGTGCTGTCAAAAATCTTGTTTATGGCGTCGGAAGCATAAAACTGCCAGAACAGACTTGTGGTCCTTCTGGAGTTCAACATTTTCAACATTCACAGTATGAGAATTCTCATACTTCGAAGATCAAACAGGGATCCTGTGTGATTGTGCTGCATCAAACAAGTGCCCTCTATGGACGTGTAGATACAGAAGTTTGTAGAAAATTTGCAGAAACAATGCACGCATCCCAACCCGGTGTTGCCATGAAGATGGTGAATGTACCGAATTTGGATGAGGAAGCTGTCGAGCCAGCGCCTTCCTGATCAGGCAACCGTGCCAGGTTGCCAAGTCCATCCACGTTTGTGCCACCTCATATCGGATCCCTCGCTTTGCAGGCAGAATTGAGTGCAGAGATGGACGATGCCGAGGGGCAGAGCGCCGTGCCGGCCAGCTCGGGGGCTCCGGCAGCCTCGGGCGCTCCTGACGCTCTGCAGTGGACCCAAGCCGTGCAGCAATGGCAAGCGCAGGCCCAGGCCATGCAGGGAGGCCAGCAGAGGAAGAACGGGGCTCAGGCAGCCCCGCCTTTTTATCCTTTGGGCGCGGCGCACCCGTACAGCTTGTACCAGGTACATCTTGCGTGGTTTTTGTTGGGAGCACGCGAGATTCCGCGGGATGGTTCGATTGCCCGGCTTTCTGACGCTGTTTGTGGCTCCGCGCAGCCCTTGATGGCGTATCCGCCCTTCTACAACATGCCCTTCCCATACCCACCTGCCGCTTCAGCCGCCCAGGTCCCGAGTGAGCACGCGGCCGGGGCATCAGTGGCTGAGAAGAAGCCTGGAGACACAAACGGGCAGAGCAAGAGCGGGGACGACTCTTCTAACCCGGTGGGCGTCCTTGAAACTGTCGTCTACATGCCCATGTGTCTGATGGTGCTGGAAAACTGCGGGCGTGGATAACATCGCGTTCCCAGTCCAGCCCGTCCAGCTCGGATCGCGACTTATCTCCAGAGTGGCAGCGTGACGTGGACTGGGTAATTTTCACTCATGCACTCCCCTGTGCGCGCAGAACTCGAACGCTGAGGGCGAGCAGCCAGCCAGGACAGCCAGTGGGGGCGTGAAGCCCGAGCTGCACGCCCAGAGCCAGCCAGATGCCGCCCCCTACCAGGGCCTGGTGCCCACAGACGCCACCGTCAACAGCACTGCTGCCCTGGCCGCGCTGGCTGCAGCGCAGGCGGCAGCCGCGAGCGGACCTGACGCCGTAGAGTTCTGGAGGCAGCGCGCCGGGCAGCTCGCAGGATCCGGCGTGGACCTCACCCAGCTCGCCGCCAGCGCCGCAGGCCAGGCACATGTTGTGCAGGTGGGTCATTTCTTCGAACGATCTTTTACAACTTTCCACAGTCACATGGCCTTCGCACTCGAGCCGCCCATGCTACAGACTGCTCTGTCACGTTGCTGTAGTCTCTCTCCGTAGTCTCTGTAATCTCTGTGTCTGCCAGAGGATAGCTTTCTTCCCACCAAAAATCTGAAAGTACTTACCAACGAAAATTTGCGCTTGCAGCTACAACGTCAGTGAGGTTCAGCCCCTGACAGTGGTGTTTGCATCACCAAAACAGGATGAGAGGGAGGTGAAGCGGCAGCGGCGCAAGCAGTCCAACCGGGAGTCGGCGCGGCGGTCGCGGCTGCGCAAGCAGGCAGAGTGCGAGGGACTGGGGCAGAAGGTGCTGGACCTGGAGACGGAGAACGCCAAGCTGAAGGAGACCGTCACCATCCTGCAGGCGCAGCTGGATGCCGCGCTCGGCAAGACAGCCGCTGCGGCCCCGGCAGCCGCCCCAGTCGGATGAGGCTCGCGAACAGGTCGATAAGGATCGCCGCCAAAATTCTGGGGAGCGAGCTCGCAGACAGAGGGGCAGCATGCGCTGCGATGACAGTGCTTTTGTGCTTGAGAGATGTGACAGATGCGGTGATGGGATCAGGTCAGGGTCGCTGCTGATCGGGGGTGGCGCCAGATATCATTTGAGCGGAACAAGCACCCCACCATGTGCGAAGAATGCAGCTGTTGGGTGCGGGAGATGGTGCACAGATCAGGCGCGCCTGGCAGCAATGCAGCGGCTGCGTATTGGTTGCAGGCCGCTGCTGGCCGCTGGGACCACAGGCCGAGGAGTGTTTGCGTTGCAGCAAAAGAGAGACTGTCAAGGAGATCTGCAGGGGTTGTTCTGACCCCTGGGCTCCTGTGGGTGCCCATGTCGTGCAGTGGATGATAGAGTGCAAGAGCCTGGTTCTGAGAAAGGGGCCAGTTGGAAGAGGTTTGAAGTTTCTGCGAGCAGCACAGAGGAGGTGCTGGTGAATGAGAGCAAGATTTTATGCGAGGTTTCCCATGTTTCAAGCGGACGATTTGCCTTTCTGTCTGTTTGAGAGAGGGGGAGAAGACAAGCGACTTCGTGACTTTGATCAAGGTTTCAGTGCTTTGTTGAGAGGGTGCCCTGCCCGCGCAAGGCATGAGGAATATCCAGAGGGTGCTGAAACCCGCAGCACCTCGAGATGAGTGAGAGACGCTAAGGGCCGCGCAGAGCCACGTTGTACAACAACTTGAGTGAGCGTAGGGCAGAATTGACCTTGACATGCAGCACCCATGACAGTATGCAGCTGGAGTGCTGTGAACATGTGCATGCACCCAGTCTTGCGCAGTATGGCAGCTCTTGTTGAACATGTAGCAGATTTCCTGTGAGAGCCATGTACCAGGAACACGTCGCAGAGTCAACAATTCTTTGGTCACAGGAGCTGCTGCCAGTGTCTCTATTTTGACCTAATAGTGGATTGGCAACAACATTTTTAAAGTGCGATGTGGCCATGCTGTTCATATGCCACATAACATGATGGTTGATATCGATGGCCCGGATTACTGTTGCTGGTTGTCACCTAATGCTGTGATGAGTGCATGCAGCATTTACTTGTTATTTGCTTTTGTACCCCGCCATGTAGTCAATTGTCATGATGATGATGATGATGGGTCACTGCTCAATTGAGAGTGCAATGCGTAACAGAAACGTTTGCTGGTAGCAAAGTTGCTGACACAGGCTGTACAGTGGTGCAATGTCAGCTGCACAGCCAGAAATCCATACAGCAACACTGCTTTGAGTCCAAGTCCTGCAACAGCCGGCCTGTACACATCTCAAAATGGTCCACAGAACCCCGCGATTGAAGTTGCCGCTCTCAAGGACACCAGGTCTCCACAACGGCATCACCTAGACCGAGTGTAGGCTTCAGTATGAGCTTCTGAATATCTCTGATGATGGAAGAATTAAGCACGAGATGATTACTCATCTATGTACAACTTGGGCCATCTCGACATGCATGACACCCGGACAGCAGAGTTGCTCTCATGGTAGTAAAGAGTTTCCATCATAGGAAGCTCAGGAGCTCATTCATGGCCTATGGCAATATCACCTGATGGGCTCCAACTCAACGTCCTGCCTTGCAATGGGCATGAAATAGCCTCATTGCATACCGGCAAATCCTAGTCAAACTCTGACCAGCTGCCTGCAGTGCCCACGTCCAAGCACAGCCGGGCAGCATCTTGCACTGACACAGCAAAGGCATACTGGTTCTTCCGTTACTCGACCCCATAAGAGCGTGCATCAGTTAGAGAACAAAATCGTCCAGCAGCTGTACCATAAAAAGACCCAATCATCTCGTTCGTTCTCATGAGTCTTTCAACCACCAACTGTACATCCTCAACAGCCAATGCAAAAGCTGTGTCACTGCGTTGCAACCGACTGCACAGCAGCCTGATAGCAGACATGTGGCAGAGCTCGGAACACCTAAGAGATGGCAACCCATTAAGGGCCTCACAGAACTGCGCAAAGCTGTGGAGCGCAGGCCCTGCCTGACCCCTTATCAGCTGCAGATCAGTCACACTGTAAGCACAACATCGTGCTGCCCGCAGCCCCGCTGCCCTTGTAAGGCACCTGCTATTATCATTGCTGTGGAGGTGCAGAGACACGCTCGGCACACTTTCACCCTGCAAGATTTCCTGAGATATGTATCGTGCCTTTCCTACCAGGTGCTTTCATGTTTAGCAGGTCAAGCTGGCACCTCAGGGTCCAGTGGATTTTTTGTGTGTCGTCGGCCCCTGAGACCCTTAGCAATTCCCCTCAGGAGTCGGTGGCCTTGAGGGAGCCGGTGCGTGGGGAGGCGCGCGTGACGCTCTGCTCGCTGAAGCTGTTGAAGCGGCCGTTGACGGCGCCGTTGGTGTCTGCGGCCGGCACCGCTGTATACACCGGCAGCTTCTCGCGCGCCGTCCCGGCCGCAGCAGCCGACAGCTTCAGCTGCAACAGCGCAACAGCCCCACACCGTCAGCACTGCCTGATTCTTTGCAATTTCTCTTCTTGTGTGGGGCCAGACCTCTCTCTTGTGTCGGGCCAGACAATCTGGATCTAAAATTGATCTCCTGTCAAATCCTTGTTAGTCGCAGCTGTTACCCCTTCAGGATGACGAGAGTGTGCATTGAGTTCACAAAGAAGCCCGGGAAATGGACAGGCTCGTCATGAAGCCTGTGCATCATCCATTCTTCCTGAAGGGGTGACCAGGGAGCAGCAGTAATGGATGGTCAGGGACAGAAATACTGACCTGCGAGTACCAGATGATGCCGGACATGGCGACGCTGATGCCGGCCAGCTTCTTGAGGGGCATCTCGTCGCCGAAGAACATGCAGCCGCCCATCAAGATGATCACTGTCTTTATGTGGCCCACCACGTTGTATGTCAGCGATGACGTCGCCCCGATCACCAGAAACGTCGACAGGCTCACCTGCACACCCCGCCGCTCAAAGCTCAGCAGACACCCTGACACCGTTCTCAAGACCCCGGCATCGGTCAGCCACCCATCAACACATTGTCAAGAGCAGCTGAGGTGTGGTGGTGCTCCTGATCAGTGCTGCCGCTCCCAGGAAGGTCACATGCTGATTATCAAGCGCATCTTTTTCTGGTCCTCAAAAGAGTCGTTGTCTGAAAAGACACTGGGCACAAGTGTGCGGGTGTAGGGCACCAGGAGGCCGAGTGCGGCGGAGATGGCAATGGCGGCGATGGCTGCGAAGGAGTATTGGTAGCCCAGCAGTGTGCCAGGGATGGGGTCCGCCCAGCCCAGCGGCTCAAAGATTGGAATGAGCACTCCCAGAAAGCCCGCCGCTATCGGCGAGTACTCGTTCAGCAGCTGCGCACAGCCACGCGAAAAAAACCCGTCAGCACACCGTGTCAGAACACATCCAGCAGAACTGCAGCAACAACCTCACAATATGACTTCTGATCCTATCAACCATCCAAATTGGCCACCTCACAAAGTGATCTTTCATCCTGGTAACGGTCTCTTCCCAGACTGCCTACTGTGGGGCCCTTGGGGGAACAGAAGTGGGGATGAAGTATGAGGTGGTCAGCCATATCAAGCGGTTGTGGGGGCACCTGCATGCTGCCGGCCCCCAGCTCCTTCTGCTTAGTGCCCGCCCAGATCTGGTACAGGGCAGTGGACGCGACTGCCCCACCGCCCACTCCCCAGCCCACCCAGTTTGAACCCATCTGCGTACAAGTAGGATAAGCTCAGCGACTTGTGGCTCAAGAAGTGTCAGCTTACAATGCAAGTCAATAAGTACTCGCACAAAGAGACAAGCAACAGGCAACAGTGGACAATTGTTTCATCTTGCTTCCGGCAGAGGCAGAAAGCATGCGCGCACCTGTGCGTCTGTCACTGTGGACAGCCCCACGCCACAGCAGACAACTACAATGGCCGCAACCACCTTTCGCGATGCCCTCTTCCCGAAAAACACTGCCTCTGCCAAAAGTACCTGTGCGCATGCGCAGTGGCCTGGTCATGAGACCCTGCTCTCTGTGCAGGTCTTCTATGACACAGGGAACTCCCGATGCATGAAGGGGTGCCAATGCTGCCGGGACCTTAAGCACAGCTTGATGCACATTATCGAATGCAATTGATCATTCGATTGCAGGCTGTCTTACAAGGAGCCTTAGCAGGATCAACTCACCGCCGGTGCCACAGCAATCTTGCTGATCTGGTAGAAGCCCACTGTGTTCAATTGGAGGTTCAGATTGTTGAGGACGATGTACCCAACATAAGCGCCCGCCAGTGGTGCGATGGCTATCTTTGGCAGCTTTTTGGCCTCATACAGGCCCATGTAACAGAAAACCTTCATGCCTAGGAGTGTGGTGATGGTGTGTATTAGCGTCAAGGCGTAAATGAAATGGAACCCAAACGTAGTCATGACCGCCTTGTTGGCAAAAACAATGCCAGAAGCGCTGACAATGTTGAGCAATCCATAGGCAACAGGCTTGTAGAACTCGGACACTCCTTTGCCAGCCATCCTCACGCTGCTGCCACCTGTCGGTGGCTCGCTTTGGGGGATCGAAATTTGATTGATTGCCTAGCCAATTTTCCTAATTACAGTGGCCATCGTTTCTCCTCTATTAGAATTTCCAAACCTACCTGACAGTTCGCAACAGTATTTTTCAACGTGTTCTGGATGCAACCTACGACCCACCCAAAAGATCCCGCAACGTATGATTGTTTAGAAGAGCAATTCTGATCAGCAAGACTCTAATGGTCGGGTATAAAATTTGCACCACGAATCTGGCCATTCGGCTGCGAGGTTCCGGTTGATCGATGCGTTGCCTCTCTAGGCTCTGCCCTTTTCTTTCTTCGACTCTCAGTAGTAGAGCAGGCAGACTGATGGATCTGGTTTTGATATGTACGCTTCAAGACATTTGAGATCACTGTGCCAGCGGGCTATAGATGTTTAATACAGAGGAGAATAATTTCACGGGGGGAAATTGGATGAAATCTATGGAATGATTGCGGCGGCCGCCGCATTCAACGGAATTTCATGTCCGCATCATGCGATGATCTCTGCATGCGGCAGAGCCATGGATCGCCATGATGCTCAGCCTCTCAGGTTTTAGTGACACTGCTCAAGCCTTTTGGAATGAGGGGTGGATGGTTGCCGCACAATTTCTTCAAACTTTGGGAATGACTCCTCCATGCAAGCATGCAGGAAAATAGCAAGCATCAGTTAGGGGGCTAATACACAGCCTTTTGTTCTATCTGCATTTCTCATATTTTGGCCTCAGGCAGCAGTGCATTGGATGTGAGACAGCCAATGAATGTGGCGAACATCAAGAAAACATCATTACGAAAACACCACAGGGAAGAGTCAATCTCCAATTGTAAGAAGCCAACAAGTACTTGAAAGAAATAGCAGCAAGTTTTCGCACCCACAAGTAATCTCCACACATTTACGTGCAATGGCTCAATAGGAGAGGGCACACTCAGCTAGTACGTCAGAGCGAGACTTCCTTCCTGGTCACTCATAACGCCCATCTTCAAAGCAATAACAGACCTCATTAAGAAAGCAACACAACTCTGTTTGGAATTGATGCAGAGCGCGCTCCTCTCTGGGTGCTGGCAGGTACATTAACCAAAGCAACAATGCACGGTGCAAAGCGAATCCCTTTTCAAACGTAGTACATCTTGCAGCGGAGGTTGGCGTGCGCTTTTGCACACTCAACCTGCAGGACATCCCACAGCATCCTCAGGTCATAATCTGTAATCTGCATTTTGGCTTTCTGCAGGAACAGCTCGCAAACAATGGTTTTATCAAAAGTTGAGAAGAATGGCGAATTAGTGTACAGGAGGCATTCATGGCTATGGACGCCAATGCTGATCAAACAGTGAGATGGGAAACCTCCCTTCAAGTCAAGCACTGTCCCTTCAGTAAGGCTGACTGTGTTCTTGTGCGGCACCGAAGGCGTTGCGAGCTGCGCGGGGTGACAAAGAAGGAGACGCACGTTTGTGGGTCCGGTGGAGCCCGAAGAGACAGAGGTCTCCGTGTCTGACATGCCCTCGCTGACAAGGATGCGGCCGCGGAAGGCAGCCAGGTGGGCGTAGTAGCAGGGTGGCACGATCGACACAGAGCGCGTGCAGCGGCAGAATAGGTAGCACATGCTGTGCACACACCATCCACTCGATCAGCCAAAATAATTGCCACTATCTGGGTGACTGCTGTGAGATGGTGCTCCCATCGCCACTGCGAAACGCATCAGGAAAGAGCCTTGGTAAAATGTTCAAAACGCATTGCACGAAGTGAAGGGATTTGGGTAGGGCCATACTCATAGGTGAAGCTCTGCAGCTGGTCTGGGCCGAGGTTGTTCTGGTCCAGCAGGACGTGGTAGTGCACGGGGCGGCTGGTGCCCTGGATGGAGGCGTGCGCATTCAGGTAGAAGTCATACTCCTTGGGGTGCACGATCGCCCTGTCCACAACAGTCCCTGCAGCATGCACATACTTTTCAGAGACATTGAGAAGTTGCAACCCACAGCCATAACCTTTACTCTACACATTCATCCTTCTTTGCATGATGCAATACTTGCATTTCAGCACAGGCCATATGAGGTAGCCGTGGCTGGCAAGGGGCGGTACAAATACTGAGCACCGTGCCACGGTTGAGATGGGTCTTGCTTGGATCTGGCAAGTCCATCAAGGGATATCTGGCACCCTTTACAGCGCCGTGTCTGCAGACAAACCTTGCCTTTGGCAAGAAACTGTGTGATAATACAACAACAGAGTTGCAATTTCTTTCCTTCAGAGCCATGCCGCCTCGTTATGGCAGAAGTCCAGACCCAGGTTGACTTAAGGAATGTCTCCATAAAAGGAAGGCTGGGCTTGCCTGGGAACACATTGCCGTTCCTGTCACCGTCCCTGGGACTCGCAGGGAAGAGGCGGGTGTGGTGGCCCTTGGAGACTACCACGTAGGTGATGGGGATGTCACAGTCTCTGACATCGCATTTTCTCTGCTCGCAGATCGCCTCCACAATCTGAGGGATCTCCAAGCGCTGCACCTGCACAGCCCATGCCCCCTACCTCAGTCCTGTGCAGCCATCTGGCACACTACCACAGCTGGTGCAGCAGGGTTCTTTAAGTGGTTAAGAGCTCTTCAGGCTATTCAATTAATAAAATTACTTTAATGGTCATTTTGCTGTGGAGGGGGCCGTGGAGACTTGCACCTGGGGGTACTGGCCCTCTGACACGCCATCCCTGCAAGCAACGCAGAGTCAGCAGAGGGGCCATTTCTGACTGCGGCATTCGTTCTTGCAAGTATCAACACACTCCATGCAGGCATGACACTTCGCAATAGAGCCCATTCTGACACCCTGTATGGTGCTGCTGTTGGAAGAATGAATATGGCAGGGGATGATCACCTGTACGCAATGATGCGCCTTGGATTGGCACCGGTCGTCTTCTCGTAGAGCAGCAGCAGAGTCCTCACCGCTTGCTTCAGGTTCTGCACAACACAGCAAACACTTCAATGGACTCCATAGAGAGTTCTTTTGCATGGCTTTCCCGTATATCAATTAAAGCAGCCTTAATCTTGGCCCCGGCTGGCGGGGGGCGGTACAAATACTGAGCACCGTGCCCACGGTTGATTGGGTCTTGCTTGGATCTGGCGAGTCCGACAAGGGTAGGATTGTGGCAGCCCTTAACTGCAGCTTGTCTGCAGGACGCACCTTGCCTTTTGCAGGAAAAGCGTGTAATAACAATAATAATAATAATAATAATAATAATAATAATAATAATAATAATAATAATAATAATAATAATAATAATAATCTTGTCAGGGTGAAGAAGAGATGCTGCAGGCAGGTCTGAGCCAAACGTACCAGGATGACCTCGACGCGGTGCCCCTGAAGCACGATCTCTGTGCCAAAAGAAGACAGAGAGTTGTCCAGCGAGCCAACAACTGCCGCAACAGAGGGGCTGCTCTTGTTGAAGCCCACAGGGTGTGAAACATCCACGCCTGCGCGCCACCACCGAGCCTCAAGGAATGCAGACCACAGACTGCAGCATTCTAGCGCCTATGACCGCCCAGCGCACTAAGGATGATGCAAAGTCCAAGCGTTCCATGCATTTGAGGCAACAAGGCTCCAGGGAAAGTCTCACCCAGCACCATGAAGGGCTCCTCCATCCACTTGACAGGCCTTGAGATCAGATTGACATTGATGCCGCCCAGCTTTGCGTTGATCTTCATGGCCTGCAAGCAGCAGAGGCAGCAGTGAAAAACTCCCGCAGGATTGCAGCATCAGCAGCACTGCTCACAGATGGATCTTCTCACTCTTCATCATTTTGTGCAATGTCAGCAGCAGTGCATCTGACTAGCTCTTGCCCACTGGCAAAGAAGGACTTCCCTTTCCGAGATGATGACATAAAAAGGTGGACAGCCAATAAGCAAAGCATGCAAAGCGCACCACATTTGCGACGTACTGGTCGCGGCCGCGCCTCGGAGGCGTGCAGATGCCACCCTTCTGCGGATTGAAGCACTGGCTTGGGACCCCCAGGAAAGAGTCAGACGCTCTTTTGATTGCCTTGTACACCTCCGTCTGATCTGCACTTGGCAAGCTAGTTGTAAGGAACATTGAACACATCTCTAGCGCTCAGCTAAGGCGATCCCTTGCTGTGCTCTTAGCAACCCACGCCCATTTGACAGATTTGAACGGAAGCTGTGCGGTTGTAAAGTGCGCACTCCTTTCTGGCAGGACGACAAATATGATGTCTGGGTCCCTCTTGAAGAAACCCTTTGCAGCCTCAAATGCGGCCACCATTGTCTCCCCAGGGAAGTTGGAGTTGGGGTTGTGCCAGACAATGAGGGAGTCTGGCACAGGGGTCATCCTGGGCACCTGTATGCCCAGCTTGGTGCAGCCCCTCACCAGATCCCACATGAAATTCTGCAAGCACCAGTGTGCATCGTTCAGCCTCTGTGGCATGTGCGGAATGTAACAGATGAGTCAGGCTGCTGACAATATCTGGCAGCACTTTCCTTGAGCAACGGGAAAATTTACGACCATAGGAGTCACAGCTTATGTGTAAGCCAGATTTCTATTTTAGGATACACGCCAGAGCCACATGACCCAGGTGCACAAGCAGCATGCATTGGGAGAATCAATGGATGCAGCTACTGGGGCTTTGATGCATGGCGATAGCATGAATAATGACTGCAGCTTGATAATTGCGTGCATATGGCAGACATGCAGGCTGCAGAGTCACCTGGAGTGAGACAGGGTCATCAGGGGGCCCTGCAGCGTTGCGCTGGCTGCAGAAGGCGGCAATGGCGAATGAGGTGATGGTGCCAGGCTTGAAGAAGCCGGTGCCGCGCATGTCCCAGGAGCCGCGGTCAGGCTCGGGCGTCACATTGCGGTTGTTGTACTGCAGCTCTGGCGGGGGCAACTGGCGCCCAATCACCTGCGCATGCAACCTGCATCTCAGTGCCGCACACTAAAACCAACACCAAAACCTTTCAGACGTTTTGGGCTGTTAATTTTGCCCAGGTCTATCAATGTTCATTCAGGAGAAGCTGATCTCATGCAGCATGCTCAGATAAGAAGGGGAGGGATGTGCTGTATATTCCAGCAGTCAACAGCTTCCAGGGTTCACCTTGAGCAGGTTTGGGTCCACATCCATGCCAAACGCCTGGACAATAGGATCATGCGGCAGATCTGCAAAGTTCCTGAGGCATCTCTGTAGGTACTCCTTGCGCTCCTGGGGCCTCTGCGCAGATGTCTTGATCATCTCTGCAGTCTGGCGCCTGCCACAAACAGCGGTTCGTGTCAGTGATGCAATCTATTTGCTCATATTTAAAACTTGCCAGTTTGTTACAGTTCAGGCATCATGCAATACTTGAAAGAGGTCTGGTTGGGATAAAAGAGCATTACTCATCCAGCTTGAGGCGCCTCTGGCCTGAAGCAATCCAGCAGACCTCTGGTGGCAGCCACACCGGCTTGGTGGGTGTCCCCACGTTGATGCAGGGGACCTCAGGGTTCTTGACGCTGCACGCACACTCCACTTCCTCAGCTATTGCATTACGAAAAGCGATGCATTGCAATGCATCGTCTGTGAGAAGATGTTGGCAGATAATTCTCGACCCATTAAAAGTACACCTCCTCTTACATGCCATGTTCTGAACTCTTTCAGGGGTTATACCTGATGTGATAATGCTCTTCGTAATACTGTGCCACTGTCATCTCCTTGCCATCCGCCTCATTGTGGAATGTCAGATCTGCCGGCCCCTTTGGCATCAGCCCTTTGGCGCGGTACTTGCGATTGAAAGTGCCACCCAAGCGCACTTCAACCTGCAGCACAATCCTCAACTGAACATCTGGCCTTCCTCCACGCGACACCCCAAACAAGTGGCATCAACTTTGGGTCAGGGCTAAGGAATTCTACTAGGGACATTTTATTTCTGCTGCAAGGTGCTTTGGGAATGTGCAGCTGGGGTGACAACACAACCATCTAAGGACACAAAAGACTGGTCACCTTGAGTCCTGTGATGGCCTTGCTGGCGGTGCGGTGCTGCTGGGGAGTCAATCGATTAAAGTCCCTGGGGCTGCGCAGGCCTGTTGCCCTCATCAGGAAGTCGATGACAGGCTGGGGCTGCAGGAAGGCGGTCGCTGCCAAGTCGACATTAAGTGTCAGGCCGCCCTGAGAGGGGCGCAGCGACTGCTGGTAGCCCAACCACACCTGCACGGCAGCACTGAGACTCAGATAGTCTAAGGTAGAGACAGCAGCATGACATGCATGCACAAAAATGTGCATGTGCTTGCGTGCTGACGGTGATGCATGCGTGCTGGTATGGAACAGATAAGTCAAGGTCCACAGTGCTGCTCTATTTTTTGGATTGTTTGGCAGTCACAAGGGGATTGGATGATAAGCACAGCTTTGGTGGGAATGGTGCATGCCTCGGCGCCGTTGCCCAGAGGCTTGACTTTGGTGGGGTCGTGCCAGAAGATGGCACGCGCAAAGGTCTTGACATCGTCGCGGTAGCTCACAGAGTGCTTCAAAGCGATGTCCAGGGCCTGCACAGCGTCCTGGGGTATCTCCTCGCCTTCCCCTCCACTGCAACACAGCCACATGGTCTATTACTTGTCGTTGAAATGGTCAACGAGCCTGCTAAAGCCAACAGTCTGCATTGGCAAGCATGCTGATGAGCAGATGGCAGATGGCATGACGGAGCAAAAGTGCAAGGTGAGCACCATGAGAGGGCGAAGGAATTTGCATCAATACATCCATCTTCTGCCCTGCAAGAATGTTGCATGGTCCAGCCCTGACCACCTAGAAGGGTGACGTGAAGGGGAGCCAACCTGACAAAGTCATGGAGGGTCCTGATGTTGATGGTCTGCGCCCACTTGATGGTCACTTTGAAGCGTCGTGGGCGGTCAGACTCACCATCTGTTGCCTTGACCTGGCAGGCAATCATGTGGGTGGATCGGCTCGGCAACACTCGGCAGACTGATGACGATTTCATATATGTTCAGCATCAGTACGTATGAGGACAATGCACGAAAACATCATTGTGTGCAGTGACATTTCTGTTAATGAAGTGGAATATATTGCACTAAAGGTAGAAGGTCTCGCACCTCAAAGATGTTCTCATGCTGCGGGAGGAACAGCTTGGCAGCATAGATGCTTTTGCGCCCGTCAAAAGCCCACACCTTGGGCCAGTCCTCTTGCTCGGCAAGCGCTGCTATCACTCGCCTGAGAGCACACCATTGTGCCCGTCTATGATACATGCTTTTAATGCACGAATGCATGATACCGCCAGCAGTAAACCGATGTACTGGAATGCTCCACAGTGCCTTCTGGCCTTGTAAAATGCTGGGTTGCATGTGCTCCAGATGCAAGGTAAAAGCTTTGTCTAGCTTTTCTACAAGGTTGCAGGGGTGCTCATACCTTGACAGCTCAGCTGTCATGGGTTTGGCTGGGGCCTTGGCAGGGAGGTTGGGCGGGGGACGGGGAGGGGGGCCGAGAGGGGGGCCGGGGAGTTCAGAGATGTCTCCAGTCTCCACTGTTGACACAGATCTTGTCTTGCTGTCTGCCTCAGATCGGTTTACAGAGGCGATGGAAACGTCGTAGTGGAAAGCCTGGGACACAACCACCCGTTGTTGAGACTTCAAGATGTTTTACAATGCTATCAGTTCACATCAATGTGCATGGTTCAACAAATGCTTTGATTACAAAGGGGTGAAGGCTTGCCTCCTTCAGCTTGCAGGAAATTGGGAAGTGGTTGGCAACGAGCTGTATGGTGCGGTGAGACATTGTGCCAAACCCGGGCCTCTTTGCGCGAGGCTGGATCCCATATGCCTGCATGCCATGCCATAATATTGGCAATGACTGGATCCCATGATGCTCAGCTCAAAGGTGACAGACCACTTCTCCTATCAGCTCTGCTAATAAAAGATTGGTCATTGCCACCAAGAAGAAACAGAAGAAGAATAAGAAGAAAAACTTAAAGAAGGCGATTACATGGCAAAGCTGTGCTGCAGCAGAGCAGGCTTCAGTGATTTGCACCTGGAGGGCTTTGGGGAATTCAGTGAAAGCCCGCTCGGCGTTTTGAGCACTCGCATGCCGCCCCTGCAGGGGGACCATCTCGCCCGGCCTGGCAGCGGAGCCCAGCTGCGCCTCTCTGTCCGGGCCAAACCTTGGTGGGGGACGATCGTCGAAATCTCCACGCCCGCGGCCGCCTGCATGCATGCATGTCTTCAGTGCATGCTGCAGATCCACAGGAAATGACGGCAACAATTCTCTGTGAAATTACTCTGTAAAGCGCAAAGAAAGCCGCTCTGCAACAGTCGGTGAGAAGGCACGACGCAACCTGCATGCAATTGCAGTCTTTGAAGGGGCTGCATAGGGATGCGGAGCCGAGAGAGAGAGTGGTTACGGACCTCCGCGGCCCCCGCCGCGGCCGCCACCACGGAAATTGCCACCATAGCCGCCGCCGCGAAAATCGCCGCCGCCGCCGCCGCGATAGTTGCCACCGCCGCCGCCGCCGCCGCGATAATTGCCACCGCCGCCGCCGCCGCCGCGGTAATTGCCACCGCCGCCGCCGCCTCCACCTTGGCCATAGTCTGTGTCAGCACATGCACATCCTCTTGAATTTATCAAAATCTGCCAACTTCAAGCACAGCAAACACAGAGCTCACGCATGCCATGCCACAGTGTGCAGGAAGGAAGGTATCATTGGCTTGCAGGATATTCTCTGCATGCATGCTGTACAAAACAACCGTCATGGGATAGAAGTTACATGCATACAGCCAGTCAGAAGCTCCATTAGATCGTTCATGCATCACGGTCATGCATCAGTACAAAACACTGCGCAGATGTGAGACATGCATGCTCAAGGGAGAGATATCCAGAAGAGGTTGGTGCTCACCGCCTCTGCTATAAAACTGATCACCTCCACCTGAAAGCAAACAAAGATGATCAGCATATATGCAAATTCCTTAGGCTCAGGGCAGCCCAACCACAGTCGGTTCATGCATGAAGGCAACTTGTTGCATGCAGGCTGCAGGGTCGGTCGAGACATGACTCGAAGATCATGCGACAAAGCAGAGGACATCGAGGGACAGGAAATGTTGCTTACCACGGTCACGATCCCTATCTCGGTAGCTCATGTTGCGAAGTCACCTTTCCGCACAGGCCGCCTGCACGACGAGGTAGTAAAAATTTGCGCGAATATAGCTGCGTTCTTGAGGTATAATCAAAGCACTATCATACATTGCAATCACTTCGTGAATGGCAGTGTGCAAGCGGTGCAATCCTGGCGGACTTTTGTGCAGACCTACCTCGGACGAATCTCACCTGGAGGCGCCAAGCGTAGTGAGCTGAATGACTCGTTGCTCTTCAGATCTACATGGAGTGTACTTCTGCTTCAAGGCACAGTTGTCGAATGGATTGTCTCGAGACAACTTTGGTTGCTTTCAGATCTCTGTCTTCACGCTTGAAGCTCCGCAAGGTTGTGATGAGGTACAGCATGCTGTGCTAGCGCTGCGCTGCATGACATGCATCCTTGCATCAAAGATATGCTGCCTCTCTTTTTAGCCCACAAGGCTGTTGTTCAAAATTTAGCGAATTTGCAAAGGGCTCTCATGTTCAGGTGGTACTGTGCAGCCGCAGAGTCACAGAATGCCAAGAATGTCGTCTCTGTCATGGCAGATCATGATCTGTGCCAACGCAAATGGGATGTCTTTGTTCAGGTAAGTTTAGCAGGACATCGCATTCAGTGGGGAACCATGGCGTGCGCCAGGTGGGACATGAGCAATCCACCATCCTGGTTCACTGTGTTTTCACCATGAAGGAGTGCCTCTAGAGATCACAAGAAGGAGTGCCTCTAGAGATCACACTTGAATATTACATGAAAATACAAGCCACCGAACATCGCTATCTCAGTACCGTTAAAAACACGCCGATCTGGAGGTAACGAACTGGGATACTCATGCATATCAAATCGTGCAGGGAGGAATGCAAATGGGCCGATCTAAGGGCTGTCACAGGCGATGAACATCACAACAAAATAATTGAAAGGCTAGAACAACCTCCAGAATGAGCATTCCGCTTGCAGAGACTACTCGATCGATAAATACAGAGTCTTGAAACTACTCTGTCTCACGCATTGGTTAGCAAAGTGGCTCCTTTCGATTGGGCAACAATGCAACCTTGAGGCGCGCGTCAAGATGTCCTCTTCACACGTAGAACATCCTGTTGAGGAGATTCTTGTGTGTCTCGGCAAAGTCGACCTGCATGAAGGCACAGAAGCAGGACTCAACTCTAGCCATCCAAATGCGCTTCTTGGTGCCAAATCTTGTGGCATGCACTTCCAATGCCACGATCTTCCGACAGCTCATAATTGCTACAAGAGAGACGTTAAGCCATAGACAGGCTGTCCGTACAGCCGCTGAGGACACACTGCCAAAGATATGCTGCAGAGAAGTTTGCTGGCGTGCTGGACCGTTGCTTATTGAGCTGAAACAGCAGAGCAGATTGTCGCTGGGGACAGGGGAGGGTGCGCACATTGGTGGGGCCGGCGCCGGAAGAGACAGAGCTCTCCGTGTCTGACAGGCTCTCGCTCAGCAGGATGCGGCCGCGGAAGGCAGCCAGGTGGGCGTAGTAGCAGGGTGGCACGATTGACACAGAGCGCGTGCAGCGGCAGAACAGGTAGCACATGCTGCGCACACACCAGCCACTGATCAGCAGGCGTCATTGAGTCAGACATGCTGAATTCTGTCAGCTGCTGTGAGTAAGACCCTCTGTGTCCTGATTAATAGAGGGCTGCAATGAGGTCATCACAATGCAATGCGTGCAGAGCAGAGGACATGAGATTTTTCTCTGCAGCCCATTCTGGATGCACGGCCAACTTGTAGGGGCATACTCATAGGTGAAGCTCTGCAGCTGGTCTGGGCCAAGGTTGTTCTGGTCCAGCAGGACGTGGTAGTGCACGGGGCGGCTGGTGCCCTGGATGGAGGCGTGCGCATTCAGGTAGAAGTCATACTCCTTGGGGTGCACGATCGCCCTGTCCACAACAGTCCCTGCAGCATGCGCATGCTTTTTGGAGACGTTGAGAAGTTGCAACCCACAGCCATATCCTCCATTCCACATATTCATCCTTCTTTGCGTGATGCAATACTTGCATTTCTGCACAGGACATATGAGGGAGTCATGGCTGGCCGGGGGCGGTACAAATACTGAGCACCGTGCCCACGGTTGAAATGGGTCTTGCTTGGATCTAGCAAGTCCATTAAAGGGTAGGACATCTGGCACCCTTTACTGCACCTTGTCTGCAGACAAACCTTGCCTTTGGCAGGAATTTGTGTGATGATATGACAACAGAGTTGCATTTCCTTTCCTTCAGAGCCATGACGCCTCATTATGGCATAAGTCCAGACGCAGGTTGACTTAAGGAATGTCTCCGCTGGGCTTGCCTGGGAATACATTGCCATTCCGATCCCCGTCCCTGGGAGTGGCAGGGAACAGGCGGGTGTGGTGGCCCTTGGAAACCACCACGTAGGTGATGGGGATGTTGCAGTCTCTGACGTCGCAGTCGTTCAGCTCGCAGATCGCCTCCACAATCTGAGGGATCTCCAGGCGCTGCACCTGCGCAGCCACAGTGCTTCGAACTTCAGTCAGCTCCTCAGTTCCATGTTTGCCGGGCTGCATGGTGCTTGCGCCTGCTCACTCTTATGCGCTAGACAGACAGCAATGATGATTTCAATTTTTTTTCTAATGCCATGGACGTGGCATGACAATGTACCTGCGGGTACTGGCCCTCCGACACACCATCCCTGCACACCATTGCAGTGATCAGACTAAATCTACGAGCACAACAGTGCATGCAAATTTAGAAGAAAAATCCAAGCACAATCCTTTCATTGCAGTTTATGATGGCATACCTGTACATGATGATGCGTCTTGGCTTGATTCCATTGTTCCTCCTCCAGAACTCTTTCAGCAGCTTGATTGTCGCCCCCTTCAAGTCCTGCACAGCCCCGACAGAACACCCAACATATAACGCAGCTGAAATGTGAGAAAGTTTTGCTTAGTAATGAGGCACATGCCGTACTTGTGAGATCATGTGAGCCATGCCCATTATGTAAAGGAGCGGCAGGCACGCTTTGATTTGAGCAGTGTGCAAGCAGGTATGGAGTAGAGCGAGCTGCAGCTATGCATGGCTCACTGAGACGCACCCCCAGAATCACAACACGGTGCGCCTGTGGCATGATGTGTGCGCCAAAGCAGGACAGAGATTTGTCCAGTGAGCCAACAACAGCTGCCACGGATGGGCTGCTCTGACTGAAACCAACAGGGTGAGTCACGTCCGCGCCTGCATATGCCCAAACAAATCATGCGACTTCCATCAGGGCATTATGCAAGCAACACAGCACTGTGATATTTGGTGGCCAACCATGAAGCTTAGAAAGGGACTCACCCAGAATCATGAAGGGCTCATTCATCCACGAGACAGGCTTTGAGATGAGGTTGACATTCACACCGCCCAGCTTTGCATTGATCTTCATGGCCTGCAAAACACAGAGAGCAGTCATGTTGGTGTCACCTTCAAGATGCAGGAAAAAAAAACCCAAACATATTTTTAAGGGCAAGCGTGCATCTGGTCCAGCCTTCAGAAAAGTAATGCGTTGAGCAGTGTTTCATACATCAAACAGATTGAATCACTTACCACATTGCCAATGTACTGATCGCGTCCACGCTTTGGTGGGACGCCAATACTGCCCTTCTGCGGATTGAAGCATTGGCTTGGGACTCCCAGATGAGAGTCAGATGCGCGCTTGACCTGCTTGTACACCTCTGTCTGGCCTGCAGTGCGCCACAGGTCCTGAGTTACTCAAAAGTCAATAATTGGTGCTTGGCGCTGCTTCAGGCAAATTGTCTTGGTGTTGCTTGGCAGAGATCTGTATGGGAGATGTTTCTGCAAATGGGCGCACCCCTCTCTGGCAGGACGACAAAGATGATGTCTGGGTCTCTCTTGAAGAAACCCTTTGCAGCCTCGAATGCGGCCACCATTGTCTCCCCAGGATATGTGTACATGCCGTCGTGCCAGACAATGACGGGGTCTGGCACAGTCGTCATCCTGGGCACCTGTATGCCCAGCTTGCTGCAGCCCCTGAACAGCTCCCGCATGAAGGTCTGCAAATGCACAACATGATCCCTCAATCAGGTGTTTGCGTCAGTAATTTGCTGAGCTGGTGGTCTTCATCAACACGCTGCAAAACATTCTTGACATACACTTTTGACTGAGCAAGCATGCAAGGCTACCTGCAGCGATGCAGGATCGTCGGGCGGGCCGCCAGCGAAGCGCTGGTTGCAGAAGCAGACGACTGCAAAGGAGGTGATGACACCAGGTTTGAAGAAGCCGCTGCCCCGCATGTCCCAGGAGCCACGGTCAGCTTCTGGCACAATCTTCCGGTTGTTGGAGTACTGCAGCTCAGGTGGGGGCAGCTGGCGCCCAGTCACCTGCGCATGCATGCAACAAGGGCACCTTACATCTGCTGCAGCCAATTGGGCCATTGAGCCCTGTAGTATGGACAGCGGCAGAGATGCTACTGCTCACTCTGTAATATTCAGCAGCAGATGATGAATGTCTTGAGGCTCACCTTCAGGAAGGCTGGGTCCACAGTCATGCCGAATGCCTTCACCACCGGGTCATTTGGTAGGTCTGCAAGCTCCCTGATGCACTTCTGGAGATACTCCTTGCGCTCCTGGGGCCTTTGTGCAGCTGTCTTGATCATCTCTGCAGTCTGCCTCCTGCACCATGCAACACATGTCAGCATGCATGGTTGGTGCTCAGGTTGTCAAATGAAACTCCCTTTGCTCTAAGGGTTATCGGTGATCAATGTGCCAGGCCATGTCAAGGGTAGCAGAAGAGCATTACTCATCCAGCTTGAGGCGCCTCTGGCCCGGGGCAATCCAGCAGACCTCGGGGGGCAGCCATACCGGCTTGGTGGGCGTCCCCACATTGATGCAGGGCACCTCAGGGAACTTGACGCTGCAAGCACAAATCCCAAAGTCAGTTGATTTTGCATGCAGAGGATTGCTTGGCATGTTACCAGTAGGCACATTGACAGCCAGAAGAGAGCAGATACTGGTGGGTATAAATGCCAGAAGACATGCAAACCTGATGTGGTAGTGCTCTTCGTAGTACTCAGCCACCGTCATGTCCCTGCCATCTTGCTGATTGTGGAATGTCAGGTCAGCCGGGCCCTTTGGCATCAGGCCCTTGGCGCGGTACTTGCGTGAGAAAGCCCCTCCCAAGCGCACTTCCACCTGCCTCACAGTGCCATGTGAGCTCCTGACATCAAAGGACATGTCCAGGTTGTCAAAGGAGGCATGCCTCATTGTTATTGCACATTTTGCAGGCCAGATGAATGAGCTGTAGAATCATTAAGCTGTAGAGTCTCACCCGGATGCCTGTGATGGCCTTGCTGGCGGTGCGGAGCTGCTGGGGAGTCAGGCGCGCAAAGTCCTTGGGGCTGCGCAGGCCCACAGCGCGGCAGAGGAAGTCGATGACAGGCTGGGGCTCCAGGAAGGCGGTCGCTGCCAAGTCGACATTCAGTGTCAGGCCGCCCTGAGAGGGACGCAGCGATTGCTGGTAGCCCAGCCACACCTACATGGCCGAGCCCACAGCCAGAGAGCATAAGAGTAGAAGCCTACATCGATGTGAATGCAGAGATGAAGGGCAACAACGTCATAACATGTCACACTCTGTTCTGAACGTTTGGCAGCGAAATCAGCTGCATCAAAGTCATGATGTTGGTGGGAATGGTGCATGCCTCGGCGCCGTTGCCCAGAGGCCTGACTTTGTCCGGGTCATTCCAGAAGATGGCGCGCGCAAAGGTCTTGACCTCATCGCGGTAGCTGATGGAGTGCTTCAGGGCAATATCCAGGGCCTGCACAGCGTCCTGCGGTATCTCGTCCCCATCCTGGCCCCTGCATGACATTCATGTGTTAACCCAAAGCCATATCTCAGCGAGAGCGGCCCGTTTCCTATTATTTCTGGGTTGTCAAGATTCATAAAAGACAGCATGCCCAGGATTAAATGATGGGTATGGCAGACAAGCCAGGAGAGGTCCTGTTCGGCACCAGGCAGCCACATGCCTGATCTCCAGGTGGGCCCAATGCAGCAAGTATAAGGGAGCATGATGATCCAAACGGGACAAACCTGACAAATTCGAGGAGGCTTGTGATGCTGATGGTCTGCGCCCATTTGATGCTGACTTTAAAGAGCCGCTCGCGTTCAGACTCCCCGTCTGTGGTCTCCACCTGCAAGCGATGTAAGACATCCCATCACCCCACATCTGAGGCTTGTCATCAATGTGTTTACATGGAATATTGCCATGCGCTGTTCTTCGCTGACCATGTGCTTTCATCTTTGGTGTTCGTGGATCATGCTGACTCTGCATGCATGGACCCACTACTCATGTCGCAATCATTCAGGATGTCATGCGTCAGTTGGCATGCCAGAAATTAAGCATCCTTGCCGGACATTACCCTGAATATGCTCTCGTGCTGCGGGAGGAACAGCTTGGCAGCATAGATGTTCTTGCGCCCATCATACGCCCACACGTTTGACCACCTCTCCTGTTCTGCAAGAGCCTTAACAACCCGCCTGCATGCACACAGGCTTCACATGAAACACACTGCATCAGATCCAACACATGGAAAGGTCTTGAGCCTCTAGTTCAGTGTGCCCACAAAAAATGCCATCAGTAGCTAGGGGACAGGAAGATTCACCAGCAGTTGCATCCTGAGCTTAGATCCAAACCTTCCAATACAGTGGCCAGTGATGCATGCTGAAGAGAGTGAGCACTCTTGACATGAACATGTCAAATGATGAGCTCACCTGGACAGCTCAGATGTCAGTGGCTTCTCCGGGGCAGGAGGAGGGTTGTCCCTCTCAGCAATTGCCAATGTCTCCATCTCCTCCTCTGGCCGGGGGCGGCGCATAGAGGTTACAGTAACATCATAGTGGAATGCCTGGCAACACATGCAGAGTGTCACTCCCAACCTTCTTCAAGGCCACTCTCTCACTGTGAACAAGTATGTGCAACTCATCAGGCAGCAATGTGACGCTTGGCACATGTACATGCCCTTCATTTCACAAGCATTTGAAGCGGGGAGGAAATTGGTGCCTGCTCCAGCTTGCAAGACACTGGGAAATGATTGGCAACGAGCTGCAGCGTGCGGTGGGCAAGCTTGCCAAATCCAGGCCTTTTTGGACGAGGCTGCATCCCGGTCGCCTGCATGCATGACACAGGTTACGCAGGTCTTGACAATATCGCAACAGTGTGTTTTTTTGGTCTGCCAGGTAGCTATAGCGTGAGCTGCGGTGCTTTGGAAGCTTGATCAAAGTACTGCTGTACCTGCACGGCTTGGGGGAAGCTGCCAAATGTCTCCTCAATTTTAGAGACGCTCGATTCTGCACTGGGAAGGGTCAGCTGCGCGCCGGGACGGGCTGCAGAGCCCAACTCCGGCTCTCTGTCTGGGCCAAAGCTTGGAGGAGGGCGGTCGTCAAAGTCGCCACGCCCACGGCCCCCTGCATCCAGGCATGCATGCGAGACATGCTCAAGGCAGGCTGTACAGTTCTGCAGGCCTGCCTGCATGTGAGACATGCAAAGGCAGGTCAAACCCTGTACAGCAACACCTGTATGGGGAGAGGTGAATTGACATGCATGCATGTCCCCGTCTGTGCTTGTCAGCCCACAGTTATGAAGCAAGTGCCTGACTCACTTCCCCCCCGGCCGCCTCCGCGGGAGTCACCCCCACGGCCGCCACCGCCGCGACCAACACCTTCCCTTGGCCCACGGCCGCCACCACCGCCCCTGCCAAAGTCTGCACCAGAAAACAAGGATGATCATGAACTCAACAATCTCAACACATGCATGCAGCTTGTTGTGGTTCATTCTCTGGTTTCTCTGCAGGCACACATCAGTGTAGACATGGCCAAACAAATGAGTGCAGGTGATGAGCAAAGCCGTATGTCAGTGGCCTCACCCCTGCTGCCTCCTCCCCTGCCTCCTCCAGGCTCTCCGCTGCCTGCAAACCCAAGGCAGACAAGTAGGAAACGGGTGATGCCCTGACTGCAAGCAGGAGATGCAAAGCAGCGGAACAAATCCATTGCAACGAGAGAGTGCGAGGTGTCCAGGGCAGCAACAGGGGAGCGATTCGAGATCTGACCTCTGCCACCGAAGTGCTCACCTCCACCTACGCACAGACCTTTAGTATTACCATCAAAGTGATCTCAAGGTCCAGCATTCTTGGCAGACGAGTACTTCGACGAAAAGCAGTGCGGCCGTCTGAGTTTTTAGAATCCCTCGTGCTTGTGTAGTGGTTTGTAGACTGAAGCGTCTTGTCAAACAGAGGACAGATCTTACGCTCACTGAGACAGGGGCAATACAGGGTGCTCACCACGACCCCTGGTGCTCATCCTGATGCTTTCGAGACGCTAGTACCCCTCAAGCCCTAGAGACCACCTGCAACGATCGCAACGGTCTGGCCGTGAACGCTAAGCGACAAGAACAGATCATATTTGTGCAAAAAGAGGACAGAGCAGGGGATCACTGGGTGCTTGTTTGCAAGCTTGCTCTGAAGCTCTTAAGAGTACCTGTAGAGAATTAACACACGCAGCGAACGCAAGGATCGGTTCTGCACGGTCTTGTATTCGCTGCTCACGGCTTCTGAGAGCTGCTATGACCCTCACAAGAGCATATTCTGTGGAATTCACAACTTGATATGCAATATGGGACTCGAAGGTCTGTGCCCTGTGAGGTGAGTCTGACGCGTCGGGCGTAATGAGGTAGAGCAGTTGCATGTCTCATTTTCCTGGGATGGGCCAAGGCATCAATTTGCAATGAGAAGAGCCAATGTAAGTTGCTATAGATAGTCACACATGAGCTCAACCTTTTTGTGTGTGAACTTGTGCATTCTGAACTTGATCACTCATGTGTACAGGTGCATTTCTGCCGACTAACTTCAACACTCGTGCATGCACTGAAACGTCTGCATGCTTAAGCCTCTAGGATGGTCAACCTAGTCACTGTGCCCCAACAAGCTGCAACTGCATCATCGCGGACAGGACAACGCCCCAGCCTTCTGGGATGCTGGCCTGCAGACGTAGCTGCAGCGAATGCCTCCGACTGGAGCCATCCTGGAGACCGGGGCAATGAGCTTTCGGAGCGGTCATCTGCAGCTGACACTGGTGCTGCTCCAGCCGCATGGTGGCACCTGCAACCAACCATCCAATCAAAAATGGTTGAGAACTGCTTTGTTGGGTTCTTCTCTAAGGAGGCAGGCGGGCACATCCCTCAAGGGATATCGATACCATCGCAAAGGCGGTGCTTGCTGTCTAGAAAGGCAGGTACTTCAAAGAGTCTTCTGGCAATGTCAAACAATGCTGGATAAAGCTAGAGGCAAAGGAGTCTTGCCCTACCTTCTAGGTGCAGCACAGCTGCCACATGTGAGCCTTCATCTGCCAGGACCACCAGAGCGAAGTCTGCCAGGACCAGAAGAGGCCGGTTCACAGCCAGCGCACCCAGCACGCCCCCCCCTGACTCCCCAAGCAGGGTGGCCTCTGCAGCCCTGCAGTGCAGCCTGTACCCACCTGCCTCTGCCAGCTGTGGCAGTGCAGACAGCAGCCGCCTGCACAGCGCTGGGGAGGCACTGCTGTCGCCCTCGCCTGCATGCATGACATGCATGCCAGTCAAAAATTTCACATGCAGCATTTCTGCAGCAGAGCCCTCATGCATTATGACCGAGTGTCCTCTGCTCCCCGGCCAAACTAAGATTCCACTTGTTTGAAGACACTCACGCAGAATTCTTGTCAGGGAATGACCTGCAAGGTGTTGGGCACGCCGAACCGATGCCTGGCGAGCAACTCCAGTTGAAGAGGCAATGCCGGCAGTCACGCCTGACACCAGATCCAGAGCCCCAGTCAGGGGCAGCCCAACTGCTCCCAGGAGGCCCCGGCTGACGCCCGCCACAAGGCTGCTGCTCTTCTCCGCGCCTGCGCATATAGAGCTGCATTAAGGCAGAGCATCATGCAGTTCGCAGCGACAATGCATGGCGCCTGAGCAGAAATTGACGATCATGCACGAGCAAACGAGCCTGTCCTCAGAGCCTCCCCTTGGGGTGGTTGATTACCTTCTTCTTCCCCAAGACGCTGAATGCCGTGTGCAACTCCGTTCCCCGCACCCAGGGCCGTCCTGTTAAAAAGGGACTCCTTTTGATACACGTTCACACATGTATGTTGCCCCTTGATGCTGCCAAACTATCAGATTCGCAGTCAAACGGTCGTTAGATGCAGATCGGAGGGATGAGACCGGTGTCTGTACCGGCTTGATGGGCGGACAACCATTGAGCGCTTGAGCACATGTGACGCGGCTGTGGAGAAGCCTGAGATGGAGGTCAGGGTCCAACCGCTGACATACCACAGCAGAGAAGCTGGGCCTCTGCCCAGGCTCGCCAGAAACTGCATACAAAAAGAACTCACTCAACTTTACCGCAATTCCCACTTCAATAAAACTTGTATAGAAGCTTATTCTTAGCGTACGTATTTGCTAATGGTCAATATCAATCAGTGCAAACATGCATGCTTGTCCTTCTGTTTGCCTGCATTACTGCTCCCACTGATCTGCACACCCAGGGTACACCCTGAGAGTCCAGATCCCACATGACAAGCAACGCCCAGCAAAAGCAGTGGAAGATCTCCCACCTGGGCTGGGGAGCCGGCCATGAGGGCGGCCAGGGGCAGGCCCAGGAGATCCGCCAGGCCGGCAGACATGCTGGACAGGAGGCCAGTCGGGTTGAGCAGCAGCTCCAGAGAGCCCAGCACGCCTGGCGCACTCAGCAGCGCCTCTGCTGTGTAGTGCGCCAGCGCCCCCTGCAGCACCACGCCCGGCCGGAACACCAGCCGCCGCCCGCGCAGCGCCGACAGAGTCACCGGGGCCCTGCAAGCGCGCACGACACTGAGCAACCATCACAAAAGTGCAGTTTTGGGTAGAAGATATCAGTTCTCCGACAGGCCATGCTGGCGTGTGCTGCGCTGTCAGCTTGCAGAGTTGAGCACTCTTCAGGAGACTCAACTCTCCGATCCCTTTTCTGCTGCCTGTCACCTCCCATAATCATAGCATGGACAGTATATATATTTTAAGAACGAGGCAATTACAAGGTATATGGGATTTTATTCTCACCGGTGGGTGTCAATGGGGTAGGGGATGCGCTGGCTGGTGCCGGCCACGTGGATGTCCACCAGGAAGTGCAGCGGCCCGAAGTCCAGGTGCTCTATCAGCAGCCTGCGCGCGGCGGCGATCTGTGCCTCGACCGCCAGCTCCTCCCGCCAGGCCTGCTCTTCCGACTGCCCTGTACCCCGCCCTCCGCTGCCCGCGCCATCAGGCTGACTCCCACTGCCTCCAGCAGAGGGGGCTGTGAGTGCGGTGACAGTGGTGCTGGCCGCCTTAGGCTGGATGAGGGTGGCTGCGCGCTCTGCAAATGCGAGGAGGGCGTCGTCCAGAGCCAACGCGAGTGCAGGCAGTCTCAGGCTCAGGCTGCGGACCCAGCTGTTTTGCAGTGATGCCACCTGGGTGCTGCAGCCATCTGACGCCTGGATGACCTGACAGAACACAGAAGTCTTGGTTGAAAAAAGTACAGAACCCACATGCCATGCGATCAAAATCTCAGTGCCACAAGGAGGTTGGCTTAAGTGCAAAAGAATTCATCCTGAGCATGGCAATGGCTCAGAATGTCAATGGCTGCTCTCACGTTCTCACAGGAGATCATTTGAATTAGGATCACTAACCTGCAAGTCGAGCAGCAATGGCGGGCTGCTTGCAGCTGTTCCTGACGCCTCTCTCCTGGGAGCTTCCGTGCAACAGATCACTGGATGGGTGCTCCCTGGCAGATAAGAATCGCACTGAATACCCCTGGCTGCCAGCCTGGCGTTCATCCGGACGGCAGAGTCATTGCCAGCACCTGCATGTCACAAAGGGATTAATCGCATTACTTGCCTGCATGCGAGCAAAAAGTTGTCCACAGCAAGCAGGCAATGCTTTATTACACTGTAAGGCAACTGCAGTATCATGTAAAGCAGCATCGAACAAAGAAAAGCATCTCACCCCTGTGTTCACTCCTGCAGAGCAGCACGCTCAAGGCATCCGCACAAAAGCAGAAAGCCTCTCTGGCGGATGGCTGCGTTGCGACCTGCTGTTTCCTGGATTCTGCCTTCACAGAAGGGCCAGTCCCCAGCAGACGCCTGCGCTCGTCGTCCCAGAGACTGATCTGCAGGCACTGCAGCTTCACAAAGAGCTGCAGCGGCTGCCTGCCCGTTGCAGCAGTCTGGTTGTCTTTGCTGGCAGAGATGCTGCTGGTGCTCGACTGCTCAGTGCTGCTAGCATCTTCTAGCTTGACATGAACCGTAGCTCCCAGCTGCCAGACTGTGGCCTTGACCCATCCTGCATCAGCAAGGCCATAGATATGAGACGACCTGCTGCAGCAAACAAAAACAACAACAGGTTCAGAAAGAGAGGCTCACCTTCTGAGACTTCGGTCCCGGGAAGCAGGACAAAGCTTGCATCCCAAACATCTGACCCTGCCCTCCTGATCCGCATCAGGGGCCCGTGCCCTACTGCCAAGTCCCTGCTGGAGCGCTGACCAGCCACAGACTCCAGGAAAGCCTCTTCCTCCTCGGCATCGTCAGCGCTGGCTTCTCTGGTGGAGTGCCTTTCTGCTGAGGAAGGAGCCGAGGCACTGTCAAAATGCTGAGACGTGCCGGCTGCAACACGCCACGTGCGCTGCCGCTCCTCATATACTACATTACCCTCTTCCGCCACGATTGGCAGTGAGATGCCAATCTGTCACAGAAATGCCACAGCAAACCTGAAGTCCCAATGCAGTACGGTCCAAAAATAAAAATCTGTCTGGTCAATATATATGTAGCATAATTTGATGCATGATACTCACCTCTACATCAGCATGGCTGTTGTTGGAGATGAATACCGGCGGCTGAGAATCCACAAAGAAAACAAAATGAAGGCGGCCACTCTTAGAGAGCACTCTGCAGGTCAGGAGAGCTTCCTGCATGCCACACAAATATCAGACTCGCTCCAATGCTGTAAAGGAACGTTACAAACTAGAAATTGAATGAGCCCAGTGCCCAGCTCCATAATACGGGCGTTCACCCCGGAGGCATTCATAAGGCCTGTTACCTGGCCTTGCTCATCTTTGAGCCGGAAGCGAGTCCGAGCGCCTGCGCCCTTAAAGAGCTGCAAGCTCCGCTGCATGCCATCTGTGTCATGCACGCCTGGCGGTGGGTTTGGTGCAGCATGCTGCTTCCTCTCCACTCCAGCAGCCTCCTCAAGGAATGTTGCAAAGCTGTCCACAAAGGATGGCGCGGGCTTCTGAGCTCGTGCTCTCTGCTGCTCACCCCGTGTGCTGCTGTGGGTTGCGCTGCTGCCTGCTATGCTCGGTGTGAGGGCCACAAGAAGAGCATGCTGCTGGACATCAGCGCCGCGCCAGGTGTCCAGCAGCGGCTGCATGCTGCCTGCGGGTATGGCTGTGGACTGACTGCCAGTCTCAGGGCTGCTGGGCAGCACATAAAGGGCCCAGGGAGTGAGGTTGCTCACGACCAAGCCTGGGGAGACGGATATGTGCGCGCTCTCGCAGGGGTCTCTGAAGCCGCCAGTTGCTGTGACTCCCCGATGCTCGCTGACTTGCATGCTTGCTGAGATGTAACGCACCCGCTGAGCGGCACCTGCAGGACACAATCTCTCTTCTGAGCGGAGATTATGCAGGCAAATTCAAGATTCCATAGATCCCGTCAATAGGAGTGCGGAATGCAGCCAATCTGAAAGCCAATGTGGTATGCCATGTACCTGTCTCGCTGGATCGCAGTGCAACAAGGCTCTGCTTGTCATCTTCCAGGTCGAAAGCTGAGGAGCGTAGACAGGTGTCGCCCTCGCCCTGGGCAGGAATTCACAGCCAAGCATATCAGAATTTTGCTGCATATCTGCTCACAAGAGGTCATGAGCCATAAAGTTACGGATGGCGACTAAGTCTTCAAGACAGTTCTCTACCTGCAGCTGTGAAGCTGCACAGCTGCTCTGTGCCAGGATGAGCTGGCTGGGCCTCTGGCCCGATGGCTGCCAGTCAAGCATTGAATGGCCCAGCCCATCAATTGTAATTGATGGAGCGCCCGGCAACTCCAAGGTCACAGGGAGCTCTGTCCTGTTGTGCAGCTCAGATTGGGGCATCACTCTCAGGCGCACCACTGGCTGACCCTGCCACATGAGCACCAAGATGAGCTTCACTATTTGGTCAAACTACGGCCCAGATGAACAGCCACTTTCCAGTATAACGAAAGGTACCCTCTGGTTGGTCTGATACATTTAATCAAAAGACACGAAGGCTTCAGATACCTGTATGACAGGTTCTGCCAGCAGCAGCAACAAAAGACGCCCTTTCCCATGCCCAACTTCCACACCCCTGAATTGACCAGCCTTTGGGAGAGCCACATTCTGGCTGCCTTGACTGCCCTTCTCCTGCACCTCACATGACCAAGAAGCTGACAATGCTGAGACTTACTTGGCCATGCAACAACCACTGTGCTGCATAATAGAATGCCTCATACCTTCCACACTCCTGGAAAGACAAGGGGCTCAGACCAGTCTTGAACATGTGGTGGACCTGCTTCCCCGTCGTCACCTGGAGCATGCAAGAACACTCCTCCTGAGCGCCTTACACTGAAAAGATAAAGGGTGTTCTCTTCAGCATGTGACACATGTTTTAAGCGTACTGTCCGTATCACATGCACAGCATGCGCAACAAAATTTGAATCTAAAGAACTGCGTACCAGGCGTGGCAAGGCACAGAGCAAGCCCTTCACCGCCCTCACTTGCTATTGGCAGTGGAATCTCCGCCCCAGGCTGCACAATTGCTCCTACAGGACTGCCTGCACAAATTCAAAGACCCGATAATACTTGAACTTTTGCAGATATCTGAATGAGAGAAAAAGCGCCTTTCATGCATCGCGACAGAGTAGGAGGAACATAATTAGAGATGGAACGCACCTGAATGCATTGCATCGTCAGCAGCATGCAGGCGCCAATGCAGGCCGCGGGAGAGCCCATTGTGGAGCAGCATTGGTGGCCAGAAGATGACATGTACAAGCCCACTCGCATCAGCATGAGTGACCTGGCAGAACAGGCCTGCTGGCGAGGTGGCATTGGGTCCCTTCGGTGTCTCAGGGGCGTCAGCACTCAGACCTCCTGCTTGGAGGCGAATCACCTGTCACAAAATATTCAAGGGGAATGTCACTGATCTAGGATATGGAGAATCGGTGGAAATAAGGCAGCAGAGTTTGTTATCTAATGCGTGGTGATTTGAAGCTTTGATATACCTGTGGGGTGATGTGGCCGAGAGGAATCTCCAGGGACCAGCCGTAGCCTCTGCCTAACCAGATCCTGAGCGCTGTCTGATCGCTGGAAGGCACAGCACTGCTGCCGGAAATAGCGTAGCTGACCATGAGCGGCTGAATCACACTGGAATGCTCGTCCTGCTGCACACGAACCCGCATTACTTCACCTTAATACTAGTAAAGGACTGACTTCCCACATATTCTCCGCAAAGAACTCTATGCTGCTCACATAACGATCAGTGAGAAAAGCAGGTAAGGTCCTCTCACCTGCGGGGGGCCCAACTCAATGGTGTTGTTGATTGGTGAGCACTGCAGCGGACTGCTGATGACTTGCAGCTGCAGGGCTGTAGCAGTCCTGTTGACCAGAGCATGGCTTGGCCGCAGCACAATGTGCCATGTGCCATCCACCTGTGAGGTTGCCAAGATATCAAGTTTGTTATCAATGAATCATTAAGATATCATATCGCTGTGTTTCATGCATCCTGGCTTTCAGGGCACTGTAATAAGCGAAAGGTCTGAAACTTACCTGGGTGGTCAGCACGGACAGGAGAGCACGCACACCAGCTTGCACTGGGATGCAAACTACGGTGGCAGACTCTGCCAGGCCTTCAAATGCCTCACTCCACTGCAGCGGCACGTCACAACCATCCACTGAGGAATGCCCCGCCTGCTGCATCTTTGAACAGCTGGTTCCCGTGTGCCGGACCTGCTCCCCTGTCAGCACTGCGGGTGCTGCGCTGGATGCTGCTGAGCTTACACGAAGCTGCCTCCTTGCGTTCTGGTCCAGCCCGGGAGCAGAATGCCAGGTGTATCCCTTGCTGGCGCCACTGGGCAGGAAAACTCGCTCATGTGTACCCACCTGCCCGATAAAGAGGTCTATGGGGCTGCTATTCTCCAAGTGCATGCAAGCCTTGCCGCTGCTGCCTGCCCTGCTGGTGAGGCCAGTTGCCTGCTGTGCAGTTCCATCTCTGGTGCCTTCCCTGTGGGGTGCGTCTGCTGAGGAAAGCTCGCCATTGTGAGGCAAAGGAGGCATGTCTGGCTGGCTGTGGGCCTGCAGCTTCTCAATGCTCCCTGCTGCAGATGCCATCAGGCGGCGCAGCTGCTGCATTCCCAACTCGCTGAGGCGCACAATGAGAGGCCCATCTTCCACACTGTGAAGCAAAAAAATTCTGTCTCGAATTGCCAAATTCGTTTATCCGACAACGCATGCTTTGTAATCTTGCAGACGATAATATCAGGTCCACAAACTCTGATTTCATGGCGCACCAAATTCTGATGGAGATGCCGGCGCTCTGAGGCAGGGGCCTTGCATGCAGCATTGAATCTTGAGGTGACATGCTTCCCGCCACGCCTGCCACACTTGCCGTGCCTGGCTCTGGCTCGCCAGAGACCTCTGCTGAGGCGCTCATGCTGAAAGGCTCCAACAGCAGCTCTTGTGTGAGGGTGGACTCATCCAGGTAGGACACCTGAACAGAGCCCGAGAGCTGCACAGCTTGCGCCAAAGGCCATCGGCTGACGCCCACCTGCACGCCATTTACAAGGGAACTAATGCAGCACCGCAGGGATGCCTTTCACAGAAGAACTTGATGGCCTCATCCTTAAGGAGACATTCTGCATCACTGAGGAGAGAGATTGAGAAGTCATCACCTGCAGGTCCCGGACATCCACCAGGACACTGTCTTCTTGCAGCAGAGAGCTTGTTCCGTACGTTGACGAGCTGTCATTCAGGCAGACCCCGAGGCGCAAATGTTTCGCGCAGAGGATGAGCGTGAAGGGGACGAGGCACAGCGGAGGACTGTGGGGCACATCAGGAAGGCCGGCTCCTGCAGGATTGATGTACAAGCTGCGCAGCATGCTTGCAGCGCCACACCAGGAGCCCTTAGTGGGCCGACCTTCCCAGGAAAGCTCCCACTCTTCCGCTGCTGGCACATCACCCTGCAGCAACATTTTCAAAGTCCTGATCCGAGTCGACCCCAAGACATACTACGTGTCTCCATACTACACGTTCATGGAAATCTACGTTGCAACGTTGCATACGCATGCATTGAGTGGGCACACCCAGACCTGCGCGGTGAGGAGCCAGTGGGATCCAGGAGGAGCGTCAGCGCTCAGGCTCCCTTGCCATGTGTCCAGCACAAGCGGTACAGTCACCGAACCGCCAGAGCCCTGATCGATCCCGGACAGCTGCACGCTCACGCCCGCCAACCCTTCGTGCGGAGCTGCGATGAGGACGCGGTGCACTTGTCGCGGGTAAGGTAACCTCCAGGAGACAAAGCTGCGGGCTGCCTGGCTCCAGACCCCTGAGGTGGCGGCCTGATCCCCACAGCTGATCTGCAGTGGCCCTGCAGTAGTGCGCATTCGCACAGCGTCACCATCTAGAAAAAGACATCATTTGGTGAATGTGACAAGTAAGCAAATTTTGGTGTGTATCAGCGATTGGTTCTTCCGATACCTGGTCTTGCACCAAGGTTGTCTATTGGCTCGAAAAGCCCACAGCGCAGGTCATCCGCTACAAAGCCTGGCGTGTCATGGCCATCATCGATCTGGCCCGGAATGGGCTGCATGCTTAGCGCCATCTGCATTATACATCACCCTTCAACTTTCAAATGATAATCCATGGATTTGGTTTTTTGGCACTCTAAGACCTCTTCTTGTTGTTCAGGTGATTGTTCAGGTAATTGTTGACAGGTACCACCAGCATGACCAGAAACCACCTACCTGCGGCTTGCTGAAGCACTCTGCCAGCGATTTCAGTGCCAAGAGCACTGGCACTGAGGATTGCAGGAGGAGGAACTCTCCATCAATGTTCAGACACAAGGAATCGTTTCTGCATGTCGCACTCATGTGAATGGCCGCGGGCAACAACAGGGGGGCACCCCTGTATGGCAATCCTGCAGCGCTCCATACTCAGCTCAGATCATGACCATTCCAGGAATGTTTCAAGTAAATTAAGCAAAAAAATCTGTCTTGCAGCAACGGCACACCTGGACCAAAGAGAGTCAGGGCTGCTGACACCATGCTCACTTCCACATGCGTGCTGAGCGCGGTGGGGAGTGGCCACTCGCGCATTCTCTGCCGTCCTGCATCGTGCATGAGCAGAACCACATCCTCTGCGCGCCCCACAGCGCTGGTGGCACCCTTGGGCAGATCGCTGGCAGACATGCTCGACTGCTCATGACTCGCCATGCAGTCAGATGCAGCTTCCAGGGTGATGCTGCGCACAGCCAAGCGGGTCATCCTTTCTGGCTGCGCTGCAGTACTGCTCCTCTCTAGAGCCCTCTCATCTGCACCCCATAAATATACCGCTCGTCACTCATGCGCTGCCAAAGGGAAAAGTTGGGGCACAAGCATGATTGGTTGTTAGCAGGTGCACAGAAACACACCTTTTGAGGATGCTGGACGAGCAGGCACTGCGCAGAGGACAGCCAGTAGTAGGGCCTGTGCTTCACTTGTCACTGCTGGGGTGACTCGGGTCTCCACCGTGTGCACATTGATGGAGACGTCCTGGGTCTGCTCATCTACAGCACCGCTGCCAGCCTTGACTCTCGAAGTCACTACAACTCCAGGCTGGCTGCTGCTAGGACCTTGACACCTGCAGCTAGCACGCAACAATTCTGCAGCGACACTACAACTAAAAATGCGAGCTCACGCCTATAGGACAGGTGCATGTGGAGAAGCTGCAGAATTAGAACAAGTACCAAAAGTAGGTCCATACAAACTTCTCTGATTTGTCACCTCAATGTCGAGATCAGCTGCACGTCCTGGTCTGACACAGGGCACAGTGTGCAGATGTCAATGAGTCCCAGCTGCATCTGCATTAATTGCATCAAGCTCCTCGACTTGTCAGTAACATGCGCAGAAGCCTGCAAGCCAGAAAGAATCCAAGTCAATCACATGTGCATCCAGATGCATGCATGAAATCTGGACAGAACCATTGAGCGTTCATGATCAAGCTCATCAATATTCAGCTTTTTCAGAACCGCTCTCTTTCCTGGACCATTATATCGCACCTGTGAAGATGTGGTCTCCAGCTGCAAGGCAAAATTGTGAAGGCCCACAGCAAATCCTCTGGTGCAAGCAGAGAGCTGATTTGTCTCTGGAGGCAAGGCGTCCACAGTGGCCAGCTGCCCAGAGATAATGGCAATGCTGGCCTGCATGCTCCTGCCTCCATGACCGCTTGCAAGCTCTGCTGCAGGATATTGCGGCAGCACAGGTAGGAGTGGAGCCCGCACGAGGCTCACCATCCAAGAGACCTGTGCAGAATGCCCAGTCAGCATTGCTGCGGATGTGAACCACCTTTGTACATACCGCTATTGTAGTATTGGGAGGGAGGGAGGGTTGCCGAGGAACTGCAATTTCCGTACCAGCAATGTGAGCTGCCGCAGTGCCAGTGAGAAGGATATGCTCTGAACGCTCAAACCCAGCGGGCCTGCCTCCCCTCCACCTTCTGGCTGGGAAGGACCCTCCAAGCGGATGTCATGCACCAGCAGGATTGGTGGGCCGCATGCTGACAAGCCAGAGGTATGCTGGCTGGCCTCCTGGCTGATATCACCGCCCCCAGGGAATTTGCCGACGCTGACCTCACAGGCTGGCACCGTCACAGACAGACCGGGCCCCGCCATGAGCACCAGTCGCACGGCTGTGCATGAGACGCCCTTCCCCACCGACGCACCATCACCATGCTGATCATACTGAGCTGCTGCCGCATCAAGGCAGAGAGCCGCAGAAACTGAGGGGCAGGAGAGCCTGAGCGCATGGTGCGCATTTGTGTTTGCCTCCTCTGTAGCCATGAAGTGGCCTGCGCCGGCCGTTGCGTACAGCATCTGCATGCGGCTCGTCTGCAGTGTCAGGGTTGCTGAGGATCCTGCTGAGCCTGCCTCATCGGTCGGTGGGCACCTCTGCGGAATTGGACCCCTGAATTCCCTGGACGTCTCTGCGACCGCTCCCTCTGCGACTGCCTGTAGGGCAGCCACCTCGCCGCCGCCCATGCGAAGCAGCAATGGGCTCACCGCCATCGCCGCTACCCAGGTCTCACCGCCGGCAGGAGACGTCTGCCCGGTGTCTGGCTGAAGCGCCTGACCGCTGTGAGCACCGACTGGTTGCCCCTCCCTCGGCTGAGCGGTGCCGGCTGACGCTGAGGCATCGGGTGAGATACTGGCGGCAAATTCCGCCTCGTGCACTATGGCTTGCACCTCAATGGCGTCTGATATGCATCGCACGCCCGCGGCGGCAAGCGCATCCTCGCCGCCGCTCCTGCTTGCGGCGTGCAGCCATCGCTCTGCAACTCCAAGGCGAGCCCCAACAACGGCCACTCGCAGCGCGCTCCCCGGCAGGGGCCGCCTCTGCAGCCCGAAGAGCTCGGCCGTGAGGCTGCCTGGGCGCGCCGTGGGCCGGAAAGGCCCCAGGTGCACGCTGACCCGCTGCACGCACAGCGCCGCGGCTTCCGCGCGCAGGGAAGGTGCCGACAGCGCCACCAGCTGCAGCGACATCACCGAGCAGCCGATCACTGCGCCCCCTGTCAGCCACGCGGGCGGCGCGAGTCTCTGCGCTGGATTCTGTTGCGAGTCTCCAGAGTCTGCTGCATCGCTGTGGCCATTTACAGATCCGGCCATCTCCTGATCGCCAGGTGCGTTCCTGCTCGATGCAGGATCCCCCATCTGCGGCGGCAGCAGCCCCCTGAAGAAGTCGAGGAGGTTCATTGCCAGGCCAGGCACGTACGCAGCAAAGAAGTGGCCCACGTGGACGGAAGCCAGATGGGGCACTGGCGCCGCCGGGTCCCTGTCAGGCTGCCAGCGGATCCGCAGTGCCAAGCTTTGTCCATCGCTGTCAATGAGGGCAGAGCTCTCCACGCCCTCCACAGGATACAGACCAAGCACCTGCAAGACATGCGCGTATCACCGAGATGCACAAGTGAATTCACGCCGGTGACATATCACAACTGAATGATGACCAGTGCAATCTGTCCTAATACTACTGCTTCACATGGCAGCAGAATAGCACTAAAAATTGTCCAAATTCTCCCCAGAAACTATTGCCAAGGGTGATCTCGCAGGTGTCCTCACCACGTCCTGCACGACTGATTGTTCGGGCTCTTCAAGGGTGCGCAGCACGCTGCAGCTCCGGAGCTGGACATCAAGTGACGTCAACTGCTCATTTGCTACTGCGAGGCCCACTTGCAGGAAGGTGAACTCTGCTGACAAGAAGGCTGCTGTTGAAGGAATCCTGCAGCACCAGGATATGTCAAAACACCTTTAAGCATGACAAGCTCTTCAACTGAAAAGATTCCAAGCAGCAGGCATGTCGAATCATAATTACCTGGATGCCAGCTGGGTGCGAATTTTGGATGTGAAATCCGCTGCTGCCTGCGCGCCGACCTGGACATGCACAGCTCAAATCAGCAAGCATGCAGAGTGCAGTGCCCGTACTTGAGCACCAAAATGTGCACCTCTCTGGGGCCTTCTATACCTGCTCTGGCAGCGAGGCGGCTGGCGAGAGCGGCAGGGAGGCGGCAGCTTCCTCCAGCTCCTCCAGGAAGGACGGGGAAGCTGCAGGTATTGCTTTACCCTTCAGCGACGCTCCTGGGAGCGGATTGCCGGGGCCAGCCTTGTCCCAAATGGCTGTGGAAGTGCGGGGGGTAAGAGGAGGGCTCAGTGTCTGTCCTCCTGCTGTCCCTCCTTCAACCACAGAGTCGTGCAACAGCAGCACAGTCCCGCCTGCAGAAACGCTCAAGTCAGGTGCCACATGTCGTGAAGTCATGTTGATGTGCCACAAGGTTGTGGGACCATGTAAAATAAGAGTGGCACCTGTCAGGCTGCACGTGAGTGCGACGCGGATGTTGGACTTGGATATCTTTGGCACAGGCGGCCCTTCGTGTGCCGTCTGAGCGCTCTCCGCTGCAGCGTCGTTCACAATGAAGCTCCAGACCGATCCAACTGTGCCCATAGCGCCGGCTGCTGCAGAAGAGACCCCGGAGGTTGCGCTGCCTCCGTCGCCTCTGAAGATGGCCTCTGCTGCGCGCCGCCGCCTCTGCATCTCGCGCCTGCCTGAGTCACAGACATACATGCTCTACCCGAGGGCCTAGCGAAGCAAAGGCATGTGAGGTATGTGCAAAGAACTATAAAGCTGCAAGAAAGGCAGGCGGCAAATACCCACCCACAGCCTTGCGGGGAGAAAATGTGGACGGGAGGGATCTTGTTTGGGTCTCGGCCAGTTCCTGTCCCTGCTCTGCTTGGCTTCCTGCATGTTAAGTGTACACAAATGAATTAGCAAGTTCAAAGAATGTATTTATTGACATGTAAGAACCATTATGCTTTTTCTATTGGTTGCTGGGAATCTGAAGATTGAAGAAGCAGATGCTCTGCAAGTCATCACTACCTTCTGAGTGGCCAGCAACCCTGGGCAATGCAGCAATGAAGGCAGCCAACGTTGACAGCCGCGACTCGTTCAGAGCAACAGCTGTTGATTCAATCTTGACATCAACAGATCCATTGTACACTCCCTGATCCTGCTTCTCCAGGACGGCAAATACTGGAAACTGTGCTGATATCTGCAACAAAGGAACAAACCTGTTTGAGCTATTTTGGTCATGTCATGTATGACTTATACTGAATATTACACGGCCACAGGATGAGGACACACAAATCAATACTTACCAGGGCTCCAGCAGATACAAATAGGGGCTGCTGAGGTGACCAAGCGCTGCCCCTTGCTGCCAGGCTCTCCAGAGATATGACAAGGCTTGAGAACTCTGCATCCTTCCTCAGCCAGCTCCTGGAGTCCTGAAGAGCACCCGCCCAATCTCAGCTGCTGATCTGCTCCAAAGATTCTATCTTCACATTTTCGCAAACCCTGAGCAGCCATCTGCAGTGGTGACCAACCTCCAAGTTCTCCAGCCGCAGGTCATCGGCGGTCTTGACATGCAGATATTTGCAGGTCAGCGTTGCCAAAGTGGCAGGCGTCTTGTATTTCACGACGATGTTTTTCACGTTGATGGTCACGTTCAAGAGCGTGCGCATGAGCATGTTCGCCAGAGATCCCATCCAGCCCCCGCCCAGAAAAGGCTCATCGCTGCCCTTGGCCTCTGTTGACAGGCACAGATGCTTCGGTGCAAAACAATTGTCTGAGCATGTGCACTCACGTCAATGCATGCATGAGATTGTCTTCCCTTAAATTGGGGATGCTACCTTTGGCAACTGCAGAGGCATCCATGCTGTCACCCCACGTCTGCTCACCAGCACCTTCTGCTTTGACAGACCCCGACAAGACCACCTCCACAGTATCCAGAGTGATCTGCAGCCATGCATGCATTCAGCGCTCAACAGTCCATGCATGCGGTGCCTTGTCATGCTGAATGCTGCCACCACCGCATTCAAGGATAGAAAGCAGAACCTGGATGGGCTGCGAGGTCAAGCTTGTCCAGGGAATCGATACTGTGAGCTGCATGGCAAATGCACGCTCCACAGCAACGGGCAGCTTGTGCAGCAGCGTGTCCAAGTTTAGCTCCAGGTTGTGCAGGGTAACATTGCCCCCTTGAAGTGACGCACGTAGGTCTGCTCCGTCACTGCCAGCCGCACTCTTCACAAATTTGCTCAGGAGTCTCCCCACGAGAGGCGTGAGAAGAGACTCCATTAGAAGGAGCCACAAGACCTACAGCTTCAGGGGGCTGTTGTGTTCTCAAAACCTGGGAAATAGAGCAGAGACATTCTTATAGAACAAAGCAGTACACGAAGCTGGAAATTGGCACCCCCTTTGCGTTTTGTACCATCGATGCCAGATAGAAATGACTAAGAAAAAATTTCAAGGGAAGCTGCACAAATACCAGCACAAGTGCAACTAAAACTATCCAGACGCTCAACAAAATCCCGTGGTTTATGGAAGGGAATTTTGTGCTGACCTGCATGAAGATGGTGATGTCAACATCTGCAAAAAAGCTTCTGACCGCACAATTATTGTGCCGGGCAAATTGATGCGCATCTCACTGTCTGAACTTTTTGATGGTGACTTTCAATATGCTGATGTTGTATAAAAATTCTCTCTCTTGCTGTTGCATGTCGTCCAAGGATAGACGCGATGACTCACCATCCCAGCTGCAGCATACATCTTGCCAAACCTTTTCGGAACGGAATTATCATCGTCTTAATTGCTCAGCTGACTTGCATATCGATTACAGAATTGCCAATACATAGATGCTTTGTTTTCTCGCCTGATGAATTCTTCCTGATCAGATCCCCTTCAGAGATCTGGTTTGGTTTTTGAGTGGCCGAGCCCAATATGGTGATAGGACCTCTTCAAAATAATCCATGATCCTCTCCGCTGCGTCTGCAAGGGCCTCCGTGTCTTTGTTTGCTCACCACAGAGCAAGGTGATTACTGCTTATCGGCACACTTTATGTACCCAAGGAGATGTCATTAATTACCACAGCGCCTCACAAATCGAGCTGACATGCGTGCTGTGGGTCAGGAGGCTCATCACCAATGCGATGGGTGGAGAGGATTTCTTGCAGAGCTTCATAAACCACGAGAAGAAAGGAGTGCCTGCTGGAGCTGGTAAAGATGATAAGGGAGGGTTTGATATGGTGAGATTGCACAGAGTTGAACATTCCTGCATCCCAAAGCACCACGGATGTCAGGCAGTCTGCCTACATGTGCTTGCTCACCAGGCCCTGGTTTTGTTGCCCGTCAAACCTGGTTGATTAATTCCAGGACATCAAGCATTCCCTTGCATGCAGGGCCGTATGCACCGCCTTCTACACGCCATTGGGGATCCACACCACGAATTGAAAGTGGTGCACGTGGCCGGCACAAAGGGAAAGGGCTCCACAACTGCGATGCTGGCGTCTGTTTTGCAGGCAGCGCAGTACAGTGTGGGCACATACACCAGGTGTGAATTTTCTACTTATCAACTTCAGATTTCACATTTGTGCTCTGTTGCCGTTGCCATGTCGTACTTTCTGGTTCCTAGTGCATACGAGGCATTTGCCTGGATCACTGAGGCTTGACGACAAATGTTCTGCAGTCCTCATGTGACCACCCTACGGGAGCGCATCTCCATCGATGGCAAGGCCATCTCAGAGGCGTCCTTTGATGGGCTCATCAGCAAATTGGAGGCTGGTCTGGTCAGAGCACGGGATGAGGAAGGGTCTGCTCTGTCACACTTTGAGGTCATGACAGCCCTCGCCTTCAAGTATTTTCAAAATCAGCAGGTGATGCTTTCTGCAATGCAGTATAGCCCTTCCTTGACCCGAGACGGATGAAAGTTTCTGTCATGCCTGCTGGGGCTTCCATGACCCTCTGCAACAAGAATGTTTGCTGAGTCATGGATGAGCTCTGCATGAAGCTATTATTTGTGATTGCCAGGTTGACATTGCCATAGTAGAGGCTGGCCTTGGAGGGGCACGTGACGCAACAAATGTCTTCTCATCTGACACTCTGAAGCTGGCCATTATCACTGCCATTGGCCTTGAACACCAGAAAGCTCTGGGGGACAGCATTCAGGAGATAGCATCCGCCAAAGCAGGCATTTTCAACCCCTTATACAGTATTGTCAAAACGTTTAATGACACTGCGGTTCTGCTTGAAGCACCTTTATTGCAATAGCTGACCTCTGAAGTCAATGACAAGAACGGTTGGTTGAGGATCGTCCTTTTGACTGGCGCCGCAGGCATCATGAAGCAGGGGCGGCCAGTAGTCATTGCGCGGCAGCCAGAAGCAGAAGCGCTCCAGGAGCTCCAGAGAGCTGCAGCAGAGAAGGAGTGTGAGATTGTGCAGGCGTCAGATGTGGTGAACCTCGTGTTCAAGGTAAGAGTACAGTGTGAAGAGAGTAATTGCAATTCCTTTGATCCTGATGGCTCTGCTAATAGTGTGTGTCTTGTGCAAGAAGGGTCTTGATGATGTGGAGGGGCAGAGGCGACAGAGGGCTTCGATGAGCTTTTCTGCAGAAATATCCGGAGAATTGACAGGTAAGGCCCGTTTGCCTGCACCTGATGTGGAAGCTGCAAGTTTTGCCATCTGTCCGCCTGATCACCATTCCCTGGTCGCGCATTTGTGGCGGTGATAGAATGGTATATTGTCTTGCAGATGCACAGGTAGACTTGCAGCTCATGGGGTCCCATCAGCTAGACAATGCAGCAACAGCAGTGGCGGCTGCTCGCTGCTTACAGCAAGATGGCTTTCCGGACATAAGCGCTGATTCCATAGTGAAGGGATTGTCCGCAGCAACCCTGCCTGGGCGCTTCCAGGTACCTGATTTATCTTTTTTTAGCAACTTTCTCTACTCACACCTTCTCGCATAAGGGCAAAAGACAGGATGTTTCTGTGGAAAATTTGCTGAGTTGCAAAAATTTAGTTCAGGTGATAAATGCTGTGGTTTGCATGCCAGGTGGTGCGGCTCCCAAGCACTTCAGAGCAGGAGCCTCCATGGCTTGTCCTAGATGGTGCACACACCCCTGCATCCGCTGGGGCGCTGGTGAAGACCCTGGCTCAGGTCTTCCCTGATCAGCCGCTGGCATTTGTGGTCGGCATGGCAGATGACAAGGACCACAGGGGCTTCTTGGCCCAACTGAGGGAAGCAGGCCCCAAAGCTGTCGTCTTCACTTCAGTCCCAATAGCGGGCGCACAGCAACGGTGAGCAATGTAGCATAGTGAACTGCACAACGGAGCTGTGGTCATGACATGCAGCACAGGTGAAATTTGCACCCTATGTGGATGTTGTTGCACTGAGTGCTTGAGCAGATGATGCTTTGACCTGCATGCAGGAGTGCCGCTCCTGGAATGTTGGCGGCAAACTGGCAAGCAGTGGGCATGCAGCTTAGACGGCCTCAGCGGTGCAGAGAACTGATTAAGGTGACGATTGATACCCAACAGACATGATGCATGTGTCTGTCTTTCTGCTGTGTTCGCACTTCTAAGGTGACATGGTATGAAGCATTCTTGCTTTGCATACATAAACAGGAATTAAATGTTGAAAACTTTGCTTGTGCGCAGGCATCTCTGGCGTCTGCTGTGGAGGCAGCGAGGAGGGAGCTGATGGCGACAAGGCAGCAAGGAGCTGGTGTTGTGTGTGTCTGTGGTTCACTGCATGCAGTTTCTGAGGCATTGTGTACACTTCCCTTTGAAGGATGAAAAGCGTGCTGGCTACCAACCTTGTAAAGAGCAAGCTCTGAAGACCACTTTCAAGAGGACAAGTTGAACCGGACTGCGGTACATGATATCAGTTTCTGTATGTCTGCAGGCTACAGTCCTGATTACAACTTCTCTACTTACTATCTCACAGGATAGCTTGCTGCATGACATTGCATGACATCTTGATACTTGAATTTCACTTCCCCTGAACATTCAAACTGGTAACTAGAAACAGTTCATGAAGAGCTCGATCCAGCAAAACTGCATACTGTAGTATTTACAGCTCTTCCTTGGAAGCGTCTGCTCCTGTGCTGGGCGGCAGCAGGCTGTAGGCGGTCTTTTCCCGCTCCCTGAGGCGCTCAATGGTAAGTCGAATGACCCTTTTGCGCTCCCGCCTGAAGTCAATGATCCTGTGGCTGATCCAATCCAGCTTGCTACCCTCCTTTGCCAGCATTTTCTCGTCTTCCTCCTCTGTTGTTGGGAATGTGGTGAGCCTGGCCTCAAATTGTGAAATCAGTTCCTGCACACCCATGCCACACATGACACTTCAGCTTTGTCATGACAGGAAATTTCAAGCTGTCAGGGACATCCTGAAATCCCCAAGCAATAGGAGGCAGGAAATTTACTAATGCAACAGTCTTATGGTGCCCATACACAGCCTACCTGAATGGCTCCCTTCTCATGGGGCAGGTAGCGGTCGTCGGGCTCTGTGAACCCGCCATCCAGGTTGCCATCGGGCAGGTCTAGAGCGCACAGCCGAGGCGGGTCCAAGGTCTGAAAGAAGAAGTAGTTTATGAGAGCGTAGTCGTTGCGCTCATTGTCCCAGTTGTAGCAGTGTGTCACCTCCTCTCCCTCCCTGCACAAGCACCCGTGAGATGAACTTCAGTGTATGGTCTTGACTGCCCAGAATCTGTGCTTATCAGCACCTCGACAGCATGCTCAGATGGCAGAGAAGAGTATGAGACTTACTTTATGTCCTTTGAGGCAATGAGGTGATAGGAACCCGTGGTGGAATCCTTGCCCACATAGCTGTTGGCCCCCTCGCCCTTGTGATTGATCAGATCAAATAATGGCAGCATGACGCGCATGTACTGGCCTTCTTTATTGGGGAACACAAAGCTGTATGTAGCCGTCTGCAAGCATGAGACAATCATAAGCCTGCCTGCCATCTCTGTGGGAGTAATTGCTACACAACTTGAATTTGGTCAGTGTAGTCAAGAATGCTCTGGACTTACTAGCGATGCGGCATGCTTAAATTCCTCAAAGGTGACCTTGTCTGCGCCAGACAGCTTCTCTGCAAGCAAGGAAGGGAACATCTTTCCTGGCTCTAGTGACGCATTGCCTGCAAACACATCTCTGGTCCAATTTGCATTGACTTCAGCGTACGCAGCCTGTTCACAAAGCACCCCCACAAGTCATACTGACCCAAAGATTCACTCTGTTTTCCGACAAATACATGTGTACATGCTCGTCATGATCTCCGGCGTCTGAAAGACATTTTTTGCGCACCAGGTACTCGTTCTGGAGCAGCTCTCTGTGCTTTGGATTCTCAAAGACTTCCTTGCTGTGCAGGCTTCCCGATTCTGGCAAGCTCTTCCAATAAGGCTCGAATGATGCATTCCACTTGGGGTCTGTCAGCTGGCGCCGGAATAGATGGACCGCAAGCTCCTGGAAAACCCCATGCAGGCTCACTCACGCACAGGTTCAAGAGTCCAGATCCGGCAAACTGCTCATCTGCTTTACCTCTGAATTGCCATCGCAAAGGTAGCAGTGACTTACTGCACCGGGGAGAGAGTAGTCGCCGACATCTATGGTGGCTGAATTAGGGATCTGCAGTATGAGCTCCCCTGAGGCAATATCTTTGGTGGCCACTGTGCCCCTCAGCCCGGCTTCATTCACAGGCCCAACAACAAGGTGTACCTGCGGTTGTGTGGTCCTGCTGTGAGACATATGGTGACAAGTTTTTTGCATGCAGGCGATAAAATTGCCTAAGTCAATCGGGGTTGTACTTTCACGAATATTCAAGTCAGACAGTGAGCGACTGGCGTGAAAATGCAGTTGATTTGCTCAGAATCTATGAATAAAGATTCCATGCTTGGACTTGAAAATACCATGACCGGCTGATCTTGCAAAATTTGAGCTCGAGTACTGCAATATGCTGGCCAGAATTAGGTAGCATTATTGGGCGCACCGTTGCTCCCAACGTATCCAGCCAGGTGTAGAGATCAGGACTTGGTGTTGGGTGCTCGTGATTCGGCACAGCATTCTTACCCAAGACGAAGGACGACGTCAAGCACAACATCAGCACAAAAGTAATTGTCACCGTGCCAACAGCAGTGGCCCTGGCAAAAGCATATTTGGAGCCCATTGCACAATGAAATTGCAGAAATTACACAGCCAAAAACATCAGTGGAGCCGTCAACAATGGCATACTATCACAGATGCTTCATGTGGCATCAGCATATGTCATCGCATCTTTGGACGCTTTTCAGATCTGAATCAGAGCACAATGCACGGTTCCTCCAAGAAAGTCAATGGAACGCCGCTGTACATAATCTGCACAAAACACTTCATCAATTTCTCCTCAAGAACAAGAAGAAGAAGAACCCTAAATTGGTTCCTTTGCAGCTTTCAATGAGTTGGATTGTTATCCTTGAGATAGGCGATTGGATGATTTAGATCAAGCTTGGACACGAGAGCTACACAAATATTTCAAAGCTTGATCTTGCTATATTGTTTATGATGCTTGACTATATCCTCACAATAATTTGCTCAACAAAAATCAAGAAAAGTTGAGCGCGTGATCGAGATACAAATGGTGAGTTGAAAGAAGAAGCGCAAGGCGCACTTATGGTGAGCAGATCGAAATTATAGTATTTTGGTGGGCTTTTTTTGAGATCCATCTGGATGTCTTACTGCAGATTGTCGTTTTATCACGAATTGCTCATGTGAATGTCGTGATTACTTGAGCAGGTCGCGAATGCATTCTTGTTGGCCGTCACTTTTCTACATGTCTTCCTCTGCCCGTACACGAAAGTAGAGGAAAGCTTCAATCTGCAAGCCGTCCACGATCTGCTATTTCATGGCACTTATTTAGCAGAGTATGACCACAAGTCGTTTCCAGGCGTTGTACCGCGCACATTCGTTGGTAAGCATAACACCACCTCTCTGTCTTGAGCATGGAACCGTTCATCTTGTACGCAGTCATACCAGCTTGCGATCTGTAATCCAAGGAAGATAGTTCACTGGTCTTGGTGCAGGTTCAGCAGCAATAGCTGCAATCTGTGCGGCGCCTTGCAGAGCATCGGTTGCATTGGGCTTTTCAAGGCTTGCATGCCTTTACATTGCTAGGCTTACCCTGGTACGTGGCCCTCCCCAGACACCTCACCATGGGACTTATCTTCCTGACTCTGGTTCTCACTCACTATGGAGAGGCGTTCACTCCATCTCTGGACACAGGCAGTCCTAGTGGTCGCAGCTTTGTTCTACCTTGGGAAGGCAGTCCAGGCTGAATTGGGACGGCCAGTGGGTACTGCCTTCATCCTGATCACTGCACTGCAGTTCCACCTGCCATTTTATGCAAGCCGTACCCTGCCCAACACCTTTGCGCTCGCTTGTGCCAGCGTTGCACATGCAGAGTGGCTCGCTGGCCGGCGAACTCACAGGACCATCCTGCTTCTTGCCTTCTCTGTGGTAAGCACTGACGACTCTCAAGATGACATTGTCTGCATGACTGAATGTCCACATACCCAACAATTTTTGCATGCAGCTGCGTAGAAATAAGCAGTGACCTGACCTTCAATTGGCTGCTGTGGCCCAGATTGTGCTGCGGTGCGATCTGTTGCCATGGGCGGGCCTGGTGGGGCTGCACATGGTGGCCTCAAGGCAGATCTCCCTGGTGAGGGGCCTGCTGATTGGGATAGCGGCTGCAGCTGCCAGCTTGGCGCTGACTGTATCCGTTGACTCAGTCTTCTGGGGCCGCTGGCTGTGGCCGGAGGGAGAGGTGCTGTGGTTCAACACAGCTGAGAACAGGTGCACCACCCTATTGACTATTCACCAAGCCCTGTGAAATCCTTCTTTACCTTGGCAGGAGAAGATGCTGCTCGATGGGGAAGTGATCAGTTGTGTGGGCGTGCAGGAGTTCAGAGTGGGGTGTGATGCCGCTGCATTGGTACTGGACGTCCGCCCTGCCGAGGGCCCTGCTGGGAGCTCTGCCGCTGGCTGCGCTGGGGGTCCTGCTAGAACGGCGCTTGAGGCCTCACCTCGCATGCGTGGCGTTATATATTGCTCTCTACTCCTTCCTCCCACACAAGGAGGTACAATCAATCTGCTCCAAATTGATGACGAGATCCTTTTTCTGCTTTGCCAAGCATCATATGGAACTATCACCAGAGCAGGATATCTGAAACATGACTAATTGCCCATGCAGGTGAGGTTTCTTCTACCTGTGCTGCCGCTTTTCAACGTTGCGGCAGCAGCTGCAGCGTGGCGGCTCTGGATCAACCGGAGAAAGTCGATAGTTTGGCGATTCGGGTGCTGGTGTGCTGTGGCGCTTCTGGCGGCAACGCTGGCAGCAACTGTGCTGATGACGGCTGTTTCACTGCAAAATTATCCGGGCGGCTATGCTCTGGCCAAGCTGCACAGACTGGAGAGCAGTGAGGCATTGGCAGCGCAGCAAACAGGTGTGGGCAAATTGCCTGCTGGTCGCCCTCTAGCATATTAACAGTCCCTACTTGCACATTGATTTCGCAAAAATCAACAACCTTAACGCTGACAATCTTGCATGATCATGGAATGTATTTCTGATGTCATGCAGGGCGGAATCTGACAGTCCATATTGATGTGAGCGCAGCGATGACTGGTGTCTCAAGGTTTGGGGAACAGGGTGTGCCCTGGGTGTACTCCAAGGTGATTGCGCTGCCATTGCCCACAGACAATATTTAGCTTTGTCCCTGTTGTGCTCCAATGATAGTCACAGTAACACTGCTCAGCCCCGCAGGCAGAGGGACTGAGCCAGGAAGAATTAAAGGAGCAGAATTTTGAATATTTGATATCTTCAGAGCAAAGTGTTGGAGGGTGAGCGAGATCTGCTTGGCCCAATTCTATTTTCATGATATCCATGTTCTGTACGATTGAAATTTTTAAAAGCTGATTTATCGCGACACAGAAGCACAAGGTGGTGTTGTCTCTGAAATAAGAATGGCATGCACAGGTACACTGTGATAGGGATGCAAGAAGGCTACATGGGGCTACGATTACATCGGGACCCTAGAGCAATTCTAGAGCGCCTCAATAAATATTGGCAAAGCCCAGTAGAAGTCTTGCTAGAGCCAAAACTATACATGCACAAGCATCTATAGGCAGCTCTCTGCTGCACTTGTGTGGATGACTTTCACGGAGCGATTTGTTCTGCGAACAAATTTCTAAGGATGGAGGAAAGTGCACTACATTCAATGAAAGTTTCTGCCAGTGTGGAAACAATGTTCCTAGCTAGCTACAGGCTTTATGGTAATAACAAACTTCAGGAGCTCAGGAATAAATTTTGAATGACAACAATTGCACATCTATAATTAAAAAACACAGCTACATCTATATCTACACTACTTCAACATACAAACAAATTGCAGTGCTGGCCAGGACTGCTGTCACAGTTCACTAATTGTGTCAGACAACACATTGGTGCGGCCTGGAGGGGTGCTGCCTACACTGGATGCCACATTGAGGGCTCTTGCAGGTTTGCCCAAAGCCTCCTGCATGGAATGAACTGTCACCCGTAAAGCTTCCTTCCGCAGGACTCTGTATTTCACCAGCATCTGCTCTCGCCAGTCTTTCAGGGTGTTTCTGTCCAACAGAGCCCTGTCTTCAGCCTCACTGGTGGGAAAGCTCGCCAAAATTTGCTCAAGGCGTTGCAGCTCCTCCTGTCCAGCAGATACAGATCAAGACATGAGTTTGCAGTTAAATGCATGTCAATCGCATATTTGGCAGGCAAGAGTGGACACGTAGTTTGCAGTTAAATGCATGTCAATCGCATATTTGGCAGGCAAGAGTGGACACGTCAGATACAGCCAAGCTCGCCTTGTTTGAGTACATTGAGGCCACCCAATAGACATACAGTACCTGTGTGCACAGAGAGCCTCCGGGGGAATAATCTGAGTCATCAGGGGGCTCTTCAATATCTTCCCAGAGCGTCCTGTACCCCACTGGCAGATCCACAGCACACAGCAGGGGTGGCCGCCGATCGTGGACAAAGAAATAGTTCAGCAGGGCTTTGTCATTGCGATTTATGCTCCAGCTGTATCTATATGTCACCTCTTGGCCCTTCCTGCCGAGCAGCAGTGTTTGCCTCATTGAAATTTTAGGTTTATGTGAGTCTATCGAGCTGTTCTGTTTGCAAGCATCAAAAACAATTCCAAACGCACTCAATGCATGCACGCTGGCTGGAAAGTTCTAGTAAAGCTTCTTGTTGGTAGTCTGGTACCAAATTTGCTCACCTAATGTCTGTGAGAGCCACCGCGACAAAGGACTGGGTCTTGTCGTCCTTGATGACGTTGACATTGCCATTGCTCTCATGGTTTAACATGTCCATCAGGGGCAAGAGCCACCGTCGAGGCTGCCCTGTCTCATCTGGGAACCCAAAGGAATAGGAGTCCATCTGCAGGATAGTCAGAGCATGTTAGGGCAAAGGGCGCCAGTCTCTTTGTGTCTATTCAAAGCCATGAAAGATTTCCTTGTTACCCACCAGAGCTGCATAGTGTGAGAAGTCCTCGAGCATGACCAACTTGGATTGAGGAAACTGCCGCAAAGAGGCAAATGTGCGATCAGCCTCCACGGGTGCAGTGCCATTGAACACGTGCTCTGTCCAATCAAGCACCCGTGTCACAAAAGCCTCCTGTCGCCCCAGAAGCATCTACTTCAGCCAGATGCAATGCCAACGTAGTGTGCAAGGCACACTATGTATATCAGCATCATCAATGTGAGCTCATCTCAACATTTTAAAGGGAGTCTAATCTAACCATCTGTTTGTCCTGCAAGAGCGGCACATGCTTGCGTTTGAAGAGATATTTGCTGTACAGCTCGCTTTTAGTGGGTATGTTCCTCAGGTACGGCGCCCAAAACTGCAGCTTCTTTGGGTTCTGAAAAAAGATGCCCAGTAGCTGCGCGGACAGTTCCTGCGTGTGTACAGGGCACACCCCGCTTGGAGAATATCTCACGAGCGCACTGTGAAAGCTTTCCAGCCTTATGTAAAATGGTGGCCTAGACAATGCTGTGCTGTAGTCACTTATGCGTCACTGAATAGAACATGCACATACCGCAGCAGTATAATGCGCAGGTCCCACATTGATGGCAACTTTCAGCGGTACTGATGTGACACTTTCACCCTGCTTAAAGTCACGCAAGGCCAGGCCTCCCCGTAGTCCCTCGACATTTACGCTCCCAACTTCAAATCCCACCTGTTGCAAATCCATACTTTGTCAGGTTTGTGGTATAACTTGGCATTTCCCTGCCTCTTTTGAGTGGCAATTTGCACTGACCTGACCCCCATTTGTCAAGATCCAGGGTGTGAGATCTTGTGCCGGTGAAAGTACGGGAACATCGATCGCAAAGCTGCGGTCACTGGCGTTCAACAAAATGGTGAGAGCAAGTCCAATGAGGAGCTTTCTGGGCCCGTTTAAATGTCTCTCCATGCCAGTCTGACCTCACATAGACCAGAAATCTTGCATCAGATCGACATATATATATATATATATATATTTATATATATAAGTTGGAAGGCACAAGTTTGAATGGATCTGGACCAAACTTCCTAGTGGCATACGTTTACAACCCTTTGCGTACTGCATCAAAATCGCACAATCACACTTATGCTGCAATTCTTATATCTGTGGTTATCTGAGATTATCGTCATCACATTAATTTGTCAGGATCGCACTTTGCAGCTGCTGTGTTGTGTTTCAAAAATTGCGACCACGTGCATGCACATGCACTTTATTCAGGTCCCACCAGCGATCAACAACAATAAATATTGAAGAGATCGTCAGGAATGACTAGCAATGATGCCTGGAATATGTCATGAAGTTTAAAGCGACCTTCACCGATCGTGGACTTCGAACGCTAGAAAAAGGTCAGTGTGCATCTTGTCCTGCCAATGATCAAGACAGACAGACAGAGCTACATTAATGTGTATGTAATTTTTGCAGGGATCTGTCCAGCCCTAGAACGCCATGGGAAGGCGTGCCACATGCTCCTCAGTCGTGAGGATGTGCACTTGATCCAGACAACCTTGGATGCTGATGGCATGCTGATATGCGCTCGCTGGGCAATTGTACGCCTATAAAACCTCGTAAAGAATCTCGTTATGCCAAGTTTCTGATGTCACCATTTTCAATGTCTCCTGGAGCTGATCAACCAAGCATCCCGCTGCAGGAAGTTCTATTTGAGCCAAGCACATACACTTGTGACAGTCGACACCACAACCTTATTGCTTTCCAGCTGGAGGTGGGGCTCTTGCGGCGCGTGCTGCAAGCAGCTGGAGCAAATGATGCAGATAGCTTGGAGGTATGCAGCCTGCTCTACTGCACTAGACTCCAGTCATCCAGACACTCACAGTACATGCTACTCAACTCAGTATTCGACGAATATTGCCAGTGGTACACCACGTTTGAATGCTGCTGCCATGCGCAGGTCAAGCTCGCAATGCGCGCTGTGCCGACTGGGACGAACACGCCGCCAGTCTCAAAGCCCTTCCTGACATTCACATGCAGAGGATTGAATCTGAACATGGTCCAAGACTTGCCCATCAGCAAGCCTCACCTTCCAGCAGGTTATTCTGCTTGTGCCAACAACACCCAGCATTTTGTTGAGCAAATTGTAGCCTTGGACCCGTGTTGAGTCAGGCTAGATGGTGAATGCCGGTGTTCCCATGTGTACAGAGATCGATCGCCTGGTGATGGACAAGGACATCACCCAAGTCTGCCCCTTCTACCTGGACCTCCAGGGGGAGGGCCAGCGCCTCCAGGTAAATCTCCTTACCATCCCAGGGCTGAACAGAATCAGCTGCAGTCTTCACAAGGACTCAATCTGCTCCCTGACCGCAGACCTTGCATTTTCCAACGTCGACTGATGTGGCCCGTCAGGCAGGCTTTGGGTCTTGCTCCTCACTGCTCTTTGCTAAACCCTTGATGCTTTCCTGTGAAAGCCAGATCTGGCTGTTTCGCACTCCCAGGCGTACATTCAATGTCACCGGACCATATCGAGGGGTGGCTGCAGCTTGTCTGCAGACGCACCTTGCCTGTGGCAGGAACAGTGTGTCACAACAGCTCTGAAAATAGCGGGTGGTTGTGCGCAGGCCATAGTGGACAAGCTGCGCAGCATCAGCGCCACGATGACGCTGGTGACGACCAAGCACGGGCACCTGCACCTGCAGGTGGCTGCCGAGCAGCTGCAGCTGGCCACCGAGGTGCAGAGCCTCGAAGTGCTGCCTGCAGCCGTCGCGCGCGATGCGCAGCCCCTCAGGCGCGCCACCACCTTCTGCCCTGACGGCCCTCCCTACTGCTCTGATGTTGCACTGAGAAAGGCTTTGGAGCTGCAGCATTCCTGGCCATGAAGATCTCCGTTTTCGGGGCACCAGATATGCTATATGGACTACTAGTGTAGACCGTGCAAACAATGAAAACTTAGTACAACTTACTAAGTAGGCTGCTGAGTTGGATGGATTCTGATGTGCAGTGAGGCGGCTCCAGAGGGGAGGCTGCGGGAGGCGGCGAGGAATGGGGATGCTGCCTCCGCCATAGTGCAAGTGAAGCACTTCACAAAGAGCCTGCACAGCAGCCAGCTCACCCAGCCCGCACAGGTCTGCACCACCATCTGCACAACAAGGGAAGATTGTGCTGATTGTGCCTACCAAGCCTGAAGCGATAGGGTGCTGATGTGCATGCTTGTGCGGGCAGGTGTTGTGTGGGATTGGGGAGACAGGGGGCCATGTCCATTTCATGTTTGTGTACCGGGACCCCTTCAGCGAGGCTGGCTACGATGATAAGATATCCCTCAGTTACAAGCTGCCGGTTCTCCAAGACAACGATCTATAGCAGCCACTCAATGTGATGAACGTTGTTCATTCCGATGGCCTTGGACCTGCAAATTAGGACTTCCATGCGATCCTTCAATCTGTCATATTGATAGCGTCCGCTCATGCCCTCAGCTCAGCCCCAAACACCTTTTTGACTGCACCTTCATGGCCGACAAACATTCCAGCTCCTATGCAGCCACTGTGTAAGATCACTGGCCTGGGCTGGGAATTATGAGGTATCTCAGAAGCCAGTCAGCTCTCCACTGTCAGCTATGGTGACAGGTACGCGTGGTTTGCCGCTGCTGTCGCCCACAGACTCAATCTCATGCACCAAGTCCATTCCCTCTATGACACGCCCAAACACCACATGCTTGCCATCCAGATGGGGCGTCGCCACAGTTGTGATGAAGAACTGTGAGCCTGCACAGAAGAGTACCAACCGCACGTGTCAGATTAAAGCTCGTGAATTCCCAGGCCAAGTGCATGTGCCGACATGTGCAAGTTCATCTCAAATCTTCCAACAATTTACCGTTGGTGTTTTTGCCGGCATTTGCCATGCTCAGGGTGCCAGGCTCTGTGTGCTTCATCTTGAAGTTCTCGTCATCAAACTTTGAGCCGTATATGCTCTCTCCGCCCGTGCCATCCCCCTTTGTGAAGTCCCCTCCTGCAAGTAAGAAATCCATTGATGTGTCAAGAGCGCACCACACACTTCAGAGGCCAATGGTCCTGGCAGACGAACATCTGTAGATTGACAGGCATGGGGGTTTCCCGAACAAGCACGGGGTTACCTTGGATCATGAAATTGGGAATGATGCGGTGGAATGTGCTTCCTGCACAGAAACAGAGCTGAATCAACTCACTTCAAAGCAGTCTGACTCCGATTCATGTTGTGAAGGTAAGGAAGTTTACATACCCTTGTAGCAAAGAGGCTTTCCATTGGTCCCAACGCCATGCTCACAAGTGGCCAGCTGCCTAAAGTTCTCCGCAGTGGCTGCTGTGATATCATTGTATAGCTCAAATACAATCCTTCCGCCCTGGTGATCGCCGAAAGGCGCAATATCAAAGAAGACCCTTGCGCGTTTGACGCCAGCCACTGTGCTTTCACTGTCCTGTGCATGCAGCCCTGCCTGTCAGAACTCGCCGAAGGAGAGCTCAAATGAGCAGCAATGCAGGAGGTTTAATTAACGGTCATTGTATGGCAACAAAGGCTGGTACTTGTGTTCACCCCTTGCATCTGAGAGAGCACTTTCAATAGGGGAGCAGTGCTTTTACCTTGGTTGCTGTTTTCAGGGGTGCGGGTTGTCCCCCAACTTGCTGAGCCTGCTGCGACGGGCCATCTTTGGTCGTGAGCTGGTCAGTCTCTCCAAAGTTACCTGCACCTCATAATATCTTACTCAGCATCTGGGTTCATCGGGACAGTGCGCTGCTCTGCACAAACGCATCCTGCCATGCGTGCGCACCTGTGAGGCTCGTTTCTCTGATGCTGGGTTTACTCGTCAGCTTGTTGTAGCTGAAGATCTGTGTACCTATCAGGATGCAAGCTAGCACACCGAAAAAAATGAGGAGGTTTCTCTTCTCGGTTTCTAGAGCCATTGTGCTGGGAATTGCTCAGACCAAGGATTTAGTCAGGAAAAGCGTATTAATTTTGGGGCAGTAAATCTGGAATCTTTTCGTCTGAAAATTTGCGTTCATGCGAGTTTTGTCTCACAGCAACAGCAACTTATTGCCTGATCATTTTACAGCATCCCCACTCCACGTCTGACATTGTAGTGAAACAACAGATACTGTCAAGCAATCTGCAGCAAACTTCGTTTTATTTCCGCGTGTCTTTTCTTGGGCCTTTGTGGCAACAGCATTCTCAAAAATTTTCGAGAGATCAAAATTTGGAAGGGTGTGACTCAGCAATGATGACATCAGCGGATGTCATGTGCATGCCACAAGGGCAGAATGGGTTGGCATGAAGCCTGAAGCGCACTGACTGATTCAAAATGAAGTGCATAAGACATGGTTGCCATGAAGAAGTCATGCAGCACATCCTGGGGCACTCACGTGCATGCGGAGCTTAAATTTCTTTTACACATAAATTCATCGAATGAATGTATCCATCAATCCCAGTGGGATGTGCCTGGCTGAGCGAAGGGTCACCAGCAACGACTAAGCATTAGACATACAGCCTCACCTTCCAAGAATGCAAACCAGAATGCAGATTGACAACTCATTATCAATATTTCAATCAGTGTCTTCCTATTTCTGGCACTCCAAGCTTGCCTCTAAATTTGCAGTATTAAATGTCCTCAGTCCAATTCATCCAGTACAATCTACTTCCTGAAGCATACCGCTGACTTCCGATGCACCCAAAATGAAAGTGAGCTGCCATAGACACAAGGAAATATCCTTCAAGCATGTTGGTACATTTGTTCACGCCTATTGCATGCACAACGTGCAAAGAAAATAGATAACACATTGCAGACATGCAGGATGCCGCATGATACTTCAAGCGGAAATCCCTTCCAAGACCAGGATCCCATAATAATGCACTCATCTTAGTGGCGCATTCGTTCAATTGGCCACAGAAACTTTCGACGGCATGATTTTTGGCCCGACTGACAGGCACACAATACACGATACAAAGCAACTGCTTGCCAGCTTCAATGTTGGCACAAAAAAATGATGCTGCATGCCAGTAGCTCCTCATCTGCATCCGCCGTTGGAGACATACAGTCTTCTTCAAAATTATGAGTTGATTGCAGTGATCACCTCCAGCTTGTGCAGCTGGAAAGAAAACTTCTACCAGCAGTTGTGAGGGACAAAGTCCACCCCAGCATAGGCCTGCAGAGCCGTCCCACCGCCCCACTGCAGGCAATGGCAAGTTTATGGGCTGCAGCACTTGCCGCTCCAGAGGAAGCATAAGTTGGTTTCTCACTCCGGAGTATGGACACACCGGCAGTGTCAAACTCACTGCTCGGCCCTGCGCATCTCAATCTCATTGATTGCGTCGCCATCCACTCCATTGCTGGCGCCCTGTAGTCATCAGCACAGAAACCAGCTCAACGATTGTCCATGTCAATATGTACTTGCTAATGATGGGCTTATTATTTAACACACAGGCAAGCATTCAGAGGGAGACACTCACATTCTCGGCAGTGACTCCCCTTTCGGCGGCTCTCTTCTGCTCGAGAATTCGCTCCTGAAGGGAGTGGGGATCCTTGATGTTGGCAAACCTGCATCAACAAGTGGACGATGTCATTCTCCACAGGTGCAAGTAAGTCCATGTCCTTAGACACTTTCTTGAAGCAAAATATTGTAAAATTTGGCACAGCCAGGTGGCAGCACGTACTTCTTCCAGTACCAATGCTTCTTGAAGACAAAGGGGCAGTCCTCAATTGGGACCCCCTGCACCGGTAACACAAGGTTAGCAGCTTCAATACAGCGCCAGAAAGGTCATGTGATGGATGCTTGCAAATGTTACACCTGCATGAGGCTTTGGGAGACTGACACCATGCATTTACTCATGAATAGTTGCAAGCTAACCTTGGTTTCTGGGAAGAAGAGGGCCACAGAAATAGTCATTGCCAGGACACAGAAGGCAAAGAGGAGGAACACGCCCCACTGCGCACACAGCACATGCAGAGTTTGAGGCTTGCGCATCTGAACATTCATGCAATGCTCCCATGTTAACATCAAAACACTTTATATTGATATTATTTGCAGCCGTGCCAAATGCTCCTTTTCAGCCAGTCAATTCTTGCAGGCAGGCAGTGGGAGGATAACACCTTCATGGTGCAGAGCATGCTGAGGTAGGTCTGCCCAATGACAAAGGAGAATAGCAGGTTCATGAGGGATGCCACTGCTCCGCCGGCTGGGCGAGTCTCAAGAGGCTGGATCTCTGGGCAGAGCACACAAACATTTGGTCAGATTCTCAGCCTTGCATGCAGCCACCGTGCTACATGGATGACAGTATGAAGACTAATGCTGCAAGGTGGACCTGCCTTGCAGGTCATCATTTCGATGCCAATGGAAAACTTAATTGATTGAATTTAGTGAATCAATGGAAGAGCACCGAGCCCTGAGGGCTGGAACAAGTGTGTATGCAATAATGGTTATTAAAAAAAAATGGAAGAGCGAAGGCGCACCAAAGGGATAGACCCAACCCAGAGGGCCCCAGGACCAGGCATAGGCGGAGTCAAAGAGCAGGATGAAGGCCATTATGTACCAGCCAAGCCAGCTGGGCGCTGGGTTCATGAGGGCTAGCGAGATCGCTATCACAAGAAGGGCAATGAGCATCTGAACACCCGCCTGCACACACAAGATACAGGTCACAAGAAGTGCCACGCATTCAATATTGGCACGATTTGAAGATGAGGATTGCATGCAGCATTGTATGCTGTACATGAGGGGAATGGGAAATTTGAGAATTCCTGCCTGCAGGAAGAGGAAGCGCCGGCCAAATTTGTCGGCCGACCAGAAGCTCACGTACGTGCTGAAGTGATTGCAGAGGCCAACAACCACCGTGGCGATCAGCGCGTCGGTCCTTGAGCCCTGCATGAGAAAAGGAGTGTTCTGATCAGCACTTTGACGAGCTTGCTGCCGCTCCAGGAGAAACTAGCAGATGAAGATGAACGTACCCCAAGGGACAGGAAGAGCTGTGGCGCATAGAAAATGATGGTGTTGATACCGGTCCACTGCTGGAAGAGAGTGCTGCATGCTGCACACACCAGCTGTGGCCTGCACACCAACACCACTAAGGGAATTGACTGAGATCATCAGGGTGAGATGTGAGCATTGTGTTACGAGACAACTCTTAACATATATATGGAGCTGAGCTGGAGCGTGGGCTCACCTGTACTTCTTGTGGAACAGGAGCAGAGTCCATGGGTTGGTGACCTGCTTGGCCAGCTCGGCCTTCTCAAAAATGTCTGCATACTCTTCGTCCACATCAGTTGTGCCTCTGATCTTCTCCAGCACCCGCCTCGCCTGTCACACAATCCCATTCCTGCTGCTCAGCTTGCTTTGCACGACCAGAACACCCAGCAAACCTCACATAAAAGGAACCAGAAGCACATTCTGGCTTCTTTGGAACACTTTTGTTGGAAGCCAGGAAGCCTTCACAACAACACTGGAACACAGAGAAGGGTTTGAGATTTGCTGGATATGAATAACAGTTAGTCACCGAGTGAATAGCCATCTTCTGCGCACCTTCTCTGGGTGCCCGCGCTCAATGAGACTGTTGGGAGTATCATCCAGGAAGATGCCTCCCAGCAGCAGGGTGGTGGCTGGCACAGCAGCCAAGCCCAAAGACAGGCGCCACCCCCACGGATACAGCTTTTCCGTGCCAATGTTGATCACCTGCCACACACCCACATCCTCTCACTGCTGACTCATCCACAGAGCTCAATGTGCATGCATGAGGCTATGCATGTAGCATGAAGCCCTCAGAGACATCCTCTCACTCCTAATTCATCCACAGAGCTCAATGTGCATGCTTGAAGCCACTGTATTACGCATTTTAAAATCTCACTTCATACATTATGAGCCTGCGGTATGGCTTAGAAATAGTTTTCCGGCGGGAAGACTGCGGGAATTTTTTTTAAAACCAGTTCTTGAAAAGTGTGGGTTTCAGAATGAGTACCACTGTATATATTTGGCATACAGCGAGCAGAGGCAGGGGTTGGGACCTGGGCGGCGAAGATAGCAAAGGTGAGGACTACTTGGAAGAGCTGACTCAGCCTGCCACGCAGCTGAGGAGGCGCCATCTCAGAGTTGTACATCGGCACCGACACACTGGCAAATGAAATCTGCATCCCACACGCAGCGCTCAGCCCCCTCCACACACATTGAAATCTAATGACATTCTGCCCAAACTCAAACTCGCATGCTCCCTGTGAAACATGCAGAAGTGGATTTGGGATGCAACGCACCGCAATGCCTAGGAAGACGCGCCCCAAGATGAGCATGACATAGTGCTCTGCGGCTGCCAGCAGAATTGCTCCGATCTCAAACATGATGCCGGAGGCAAACATGGTGAACTTCCTTCCGTAGTTCCTGTTGAGGCGAGCTGCGGCACCAAAGCATTCCAATCACACCCGATGCAGCGCTCACATTCAATGTCACCAGACATCCTTGCAGCACTGCCAAAGAAAAGAGCTGACTGCATGCCGGAGGACACACCTGTAGTGCCTGAGATTTCAGTGACAGCCCCAGCAAGGAAGAGGCTGGAGGTGAACCACTGGATCCTCTGATCATCATAGGTGCAGTACAGATCGCCAACCTGTCATGCCAACCAGGGCAGAAATGAGAACCCGTTCTTCCTCTGCATGATCCTCATCAATTGAGGAATGTCAACGACATCCATTACCTTGGCCGCTAGAGCACTGCACCCTTTGTGCAAACACCTACCTGCGTTGATTCCCTGGTCAGAATGTCCGGGAAGAATTTCTCCAGGAAGCCCTTCATTGATACAACTCCCCCCGTGACACCCTGCAGCCAATTACCAAGGCAGCTGTAGGTCAGCCATTGCTGCAATGTTGCTACCTGGGAATATGAAAGCAATGCTAAGACTTATTACTGTCAAGAGGAGCCTCACATTGTCCCATCCGAAGAGCGCTCCTCCGCTGGCTGCAAAAGGCGACAACATGCATGCGGTCAGATCTTCTCATAAAAACTACCTTACAATATATTTGTGCAGGTCCTGTTAACAGGGGCGGACGACTATCCAGGGACGCAGTCGCACCTGCAACAGTGCAGCTGAAAAACATGTACCATGTGAAGTTAGCTGTGTAAGTCTTCTCAGACTCGCCGCCTACCACTGCACCCCCCATCGCTCCTGCACAAACCGCATGGTGCGATCAATCCAATGCAATAAGGGTGTTGCAATGTGCATGCAGAATGCTACTCAAGCCTGATAGTGGAAGCAGGATTGCATCTACTGGCCAAGCCTGTAAGTTCGTCCTGTCTGGCCGTACCTTGCTTCTAGAAAAGGCAGGGTGCTGGCTCAGCTATGTGTGACAGCCCCAAATCACCTGCAAGCAAATAATAAGGTGATCTCTATCAGTTCGTCATACTGGTGCAGTGTATCGTCTAACGTCAACTCGTCCAATGCTGGTCTGTGTACCGCCTCATGGGCTTTAGAGTCTGCCATTTCAAGTAAATCGATGATAAGATATTCATGCTGCGCTGTAAAATTGAGATGCTTAGATTTGTATGCAGCAGTAGTGTTTCTAGGGCGTTGCGAGACTCGGTGGACGATACGGGATTGCATCGGATGGGGTGCACCATTCGACATGGAGTGTATCGGAATGCATTCCAATGCTATGGCCTATCACATATGATTTTGAGCTTGTATCCACATAACAAGTTTGCAAACTTTGGGGCCCTGGCTATGAGCCCGATCCTGTGGCTGCAGTACAATCCCGCCTCCACTTCAAAGAAAAGGGGCGATCCACGCAGTTTCAAACATCCACTGCGAGAATCCAACTCCAATATCCTATGGAACATAAGATGTTCGCCCCGATCAATCCATACAACCACCTGTCATTTTGAAGCCTCCGATGGAGCACGTACCGGGGTGCCTTTCGCGAAAGGCGCTTCGAACGCTATTTACTTGGCACCGTTGCCCTTCAGACTGCAGGCAGCTCCTGCAGCGGGCACAGCTCCTCCTGTCGCAGATCTTCAAAGAGTAAAATACTTAGATGAAAGAGCATGTTTTGGACAGCTTCCGACGTTGTACCAAAAGCAGAGCAACTGCGCACAAGGGGGAAGCTGAGGATCTCTGGAGGAGCTTTTCCTTCGTGTCGGGCTTTGAAGGAAAAAATTGCCCTCCAATGCTTTTGAGATCAACATCATTGTACATTTGCCCGAGCATTGCCAGGTCATTGACCTGCCTATGAGCTTTGATACCACATTGGCTTGATGAGTTCCTTGGTGGACATCTGCATCGAGGTATGTATGTACGAGTCCCTGGCAATTCTACATGCCGCAAACTAGAATTTAGTTGCTAATGATTGCAAAATTATTCAATGCTTGAGTTGCTTTTGCTGTGCCTGTCTTTCTTATGCACCCAACTGTCTTGCTCAGGCTGTTTTGGCTGATGAATTTTGGCGCATCCAACGCAAGCAGATCATGGTGAGTTTTACAAGGAAAAATTTACATCCTGAGACCGTTCCCCTCCTTGAGTACCTGCAAGAGGTCAGTGCTTGTTGTTCTTTGACTGCTAGAGAGTTTTCCAAACTCTGATCGCCCTCTGACTATGGATATGTGCCATGGGCAGCTGCTTCCAGAGCACCTCGCCAACATACTGCTGGACAGCCTCCTGCAGCAGAAGAGAGTCAACCATGTTCAGCTGGGCACATTCGCTCCATGTGCTACCTCCATCCGGTTGGCAGATCAACATCATGTTGGAGATGGAGGTGCCTGGCTTGCTGCCATCTCACGCTTCAGGTCAGCAATATCCAAGTTTTCTTATGCCGTTCATCAAGCAGTTCGAGTGGTCATGTCAGGGGTAGTCCAACAATCTCTTAGCTTTCTTGGCAAGATTGGGTGATTCACTTTTGCGGCTTGTGACTGGCAGGGCCGTGCACACACTGCACTTGCAGCAGTGCAAACGTCTCCGTGATGACAGGCTCGCGTTACTTGCGCCATTTTCATCGACACTTTGCGACCTAAACCTCAATGCATGCACGCGACTCACCCCCAGAGCTGGCCAGCACTTGTCCGTTCTCACCTGCCTCACCAGCCTTGACCTGTCAGGTCCTCTTCCTCACTCTGCAACAGCCCACTCAGTCCCTGTTTCTAATGACTTGCTGTTGAGCAATGGCCAAGGTTTAATACATCTCAAATATTGCTGGAGGATCTTTTCTGGATTGGTGCAGGGACTGCTTTGGAGGTGGGGCCGCTGCTGTCCCTCACCAGGCTGGCCTCTCTCAGGCTTGTCGACATGAAAGTGGGGGACAGAGACTGCGCCGGCATTGCAGCCCTGACACAGCTGACCGAGCTGGACCTGCGCGCCACAAGTGTGAGTGACACCGGCGTGCAGGGGCTGTCTCGCCTGCTGAGGCTGCATCGGCTGGACGTGACCTGGACGCAGGCAACGGCCCCGCCAGCTCTCAGCTCGCTCACAAACCTCCACATGGAAAACTGCTGGGTGCGCGCTCCATGCTTTTGCATGCCATCTGCCTTGAGCACTTCTTTGCTCAAGATGACTGCGCTCTGATCCCTTGTCAGACTGCACCAATTCAGATGGAAGTTGACGTGACTCCAGGCTGATCCTTTGCCAAATTGCACCAGCGCAGATGGCATTGGTACACGCATACTTCGGCATAACTGTGACATGCAACTTGATTTTCTGTTCAGAAATTGTGAAACTTTCCGGCAGGTGGGTGGCGAGGTGGCATTGCGAGTGCTGCACAGCACGCGCTTTCCAAATCTGCGCGAGCTGCACATGTCTATGACGCAGTTTGATGATGCTGGCATCGAGCTGCTGAGGGCCTTCTGCATCGACTCTGCCCCGGTGTTGCACACTCTGATCCTGTCCAATGCCTCTCTTCGCACGGCAAGCTTTGTTGCTCCGGCTACGGCGCTGTGCAGGCTTGATTTGAGTGGTGAGCCCCAAATATGAAAGGAGTGGGGGCTTGCATAACAGTATATGTATTATAAATATATACTTCCCCTTGTCCTGTGCAGGTAGTATTGCAAAATGTCTGTTTTCAGATCTGCCTTCCATGCAAAATGAGGGCGAGCTCAGCTTTCGATAATCTTTAGATGGGTTCCTGGTGTTGCAGGCGTGCAATTTGAAGAGAGGTCCTGGGAGATGTTGTCGGCGCTGAGCAGCCTCCGATCACTGGTTTTGCAGGATTCGAGTGCAAACAACGATGTTGTCAAGTGCCTCACAGACTTGACCAATCTGCGGATGCTATCCTTGAAGAGCACAGAGATAGATGATGCGGCCCTGCCATTATTACAGAGCCTGAAGGGCAGTCTCACCAGTCTTGACATAAGCGGCAACAACATAACTGGGGAGCAAGCACCCGAGCAATCCTGGGGTAGGTCAAGGCTGCATCACTTGAGACACAAGTGAACAGCCAACAGCAGGGAGTTCAAGTGCCTTATCACAGAGTGACATGTCTGATACGCTTTTGCTGGAACTTGACAAGAAGGCCTGTTTCTGCAGGGATGCTGCATCAATTACACACCCTCAAACTGCTTAACACTCGACTCTCAGATGTTGGCAGCCAAGCGTTGGGCCAGCTTGGAACCTCTTTGACAGCTCTGCACATTGGCAGCAATCGTCTCACCAACTTAAATTTCTTGAGGTGCGCCCATACTTGCAATTCTTGTAAACATGTGGTTCCAGCTGGATCAATTACCTGCAACTCTGCTGTTGTCATGCATCTTGAAGCAGACAGCCTTTGTGTCCCTTACAGGTCATGTCGGCAGCTTCATGCTTTGGAATTGGATAAGTGCACTTTGCTCACAGCCCCACATTTTCGAGGTGATGTCATATGTCTGAGAGACTTGGAAGCATTGATAGTGAATGACTGCGCGTTTGTGGGCAAAGAGGCCGTTGTATTCATGGCAAAATCTCTGCCAAATCTGCGTCATGCTAGATGGAACAATGAAGTCCTGTTCAACGCCATGAGCAGACACTCAAAGAGCAGAACAGGCAGAGCAGCTCTGAGCGCAAGAATGCATGAGCTTGCAATTTATGACGAGCGCTATTGCTATACCAATGAGGAATTATTTGAGGTGCGGTCCAGCAAGTCTGTGCCAGGGCTTGATCAGAATGGGGCACTCGCAGCAATCTTGAGTGAGTTAGAGCTGATGCCTGTACAAGAAATTAGAGCTTGATAGCCTTGGTCAATAAGTTTTCTAGCTAATATAATGGCAATAATCAAAGAATACTATGGCAAGTAGTAGTGTTGCCAACCAGGCATTTGATCAGGGGTTGGCACCACTCTCACCTATGCAATTGCATAATGCTCTTTAGCACAATTCCCATGCTACGCTACCAAGCATACACTACTGCTGCCTTCACTACAGCTGTCTTCACTCCTGGCAACAAGACCATCGACATACTATTATCAAAGTCCTGCCTGCTGTCCGACAAATGAACACTCAATATGACTTATACGCTCGCACCTAAGCTGCCCTCAAGAATAAGCTGCTCCTACTTTCACATAGACAGTGCAGCACACCAGACGTGCAGGTGATCCACCCTGTTTATGTCAAACCCATAAAGAATGCCTATTGACCCAAAGTTGCTGCATTAATATTTGTTTCCCGTTGGAGCACTACTGCACTGGAGTAGCTAATTACAAATGTCAAGATCCCATGAAGATGAGGCGCTGGCCCGAAGCCTTTCTGATAGATATTTGATGCGCGCCAAGCACTACTGGCATTTCACATTTCCCCAGCAACCCTTCTGTGCTCCCGTGACACTGGCACTTCATGAGGCTAGTAACGGCCGGGCCAGTTCCCATTCTCGCGGGCCTCGTTCCACCTGCAAAACAACCAGGCCACTGAGTGTGGGACATTCCTTGACCTGCAACATGTACAAGCTCTTCCACACGCCCCAATGAAGTGCCACAATATGCCACTGTAGTGCCCGCTGCGAGTGTTTCTTTTGCATCCTAGCTAAGCTGGATATCAAGACAAACCTCATGGTGCAGCAAGGCATGCTGGTGAGGACATACACTTAGATTAGTCATTAGGTGTCAGCTGAGAAGAGAGTATGGACACGCACCTTTCCAGCCACTCGCCGGGGCAGATGGAGCGGTAGGCTCTCTGGAACACGCTGCACTCTGGATCCTCCTCCCCCTTCTGGGCCACGCAGCGGTGGTACTCGTTGTAGCGCGTGTAGCAGTGCCGTGCCTGGCCAGCCAGCAAAACAACTGTAAAGAATTTGATATCTTCCACTTTCTGTTAAACATGCTCTTCCTGCCAGGAAACAAGCGCGTCTGCAGACAAGCAGTTGGTTATAAGGAGAATGTCATCACCCCCTTTATCAAAACGAAGCTAACAAAACGAATTCTTGGATCTGTGCTTCCTGAAGTCATCAATTTCTACGTGAGCAAGAATCTACCTGGTTTGTGGATGGGAAGCGAGGGTCATGAGAGGCCGTCTTCAGCTCAATTACCGGCTTGGGCTCCTCTTCCTCCTCTGCCTCCTCCTCTTTCCCTTCACCTTCCTTCCCTTCCTCTTCTGCCTCACCACCACCCTCGCCCTCCTTTATTTCATCTCCATCCCCATCTTCCGAGCTAGTCTCAGTCTCCCCTGCGGCCTCGTCCTTGGCCTTGAACTCTCCATCAAGACCGCTCAGGACTCTGTCTGCTGGAGGCAGCGGCTCATCCACATCTGCAACACCATTCAAGGGATGCTCAGTACTGACAACAAACCCTTGTCAATAGCAAGTCGCAACACAGTTTGGCGGATGCTCTGGGCGAGTAAGGTATTCAAAGATTGCTTTGAAGGACTGTACGGTATATTACCCTGGTCAGCGGAAGCCATGTGTGCAAATACAGGTCCCTCAGACTCCTCCATGGTGTCTGTCACCTTGTCTGTCACCGCCTCCACAGCATCCTGAAATTACAAGGCATGCATGTCACCTAAAGGGCATGTGCGTACGCATTATACAAGAGTTTGTTGTAAAACAAGTCTGCAGAGCATATGACAGGGCTGGCAGGTGTATTCTTGCCTGTGCAGCATTTGCTGCGGACGCTGCAGCGTCCTTTGTGGCTTCCACCGGCCCCTTGCCTTCCTCCGAGTCTCCAGGCGCATCCTCTGACTTCTCTCCTTCTGTGACTGCACAACAAAGGAAAGCAAATGTCATTAGACCAGCACTAATTGGACAGGTTCTTGACTTCAATCATGTGCCCGACTGATTATATTCCTGTCGGCACTCCATCTGTAGCCTGGCATGGTGCACGTATGGGAGGCAAATGCCTACCTGGCTTTTCAGGCTCGTCGCTAGGGGCGGTGTCTGCCTCAGGAGTGCTGCCCTCATCTGGGCCCTGGTTAGGCTCACTGTCCAGCATGAAGTCCTTGTAGTAGTCTCTGTGTTCCTCCATGCATTTCTGCAGGTCTAGTGTGGCATCCCTGCACTCCTCTGTGAAGTTGTGGCCCTCGCCCCTGTTGGTGTCCACGCATGCACTCCAAGCCTGCATATGGAGGGGTCATTATTAGCATACTTTCACTGCAACTTCCAGAACCTGATCCAGGGCGCTCTTCACTCGGCATAACTAGTACAACATGGTCAGGTCCAGCACCGTGAACTCCGTCTTGCAGCCTCCAGCCTTCATAAAGCGGCAGAAGCCACATGTTTCGTCGTCATCGTCGTCATCATCCTCTCCATTAGCACCTGCAGTATTATGCCAATGAATGTTTTGATCTTGTTGCTTACTAGCAAGTGTCCTTGGAGTACCCAGCCATTCTTGCACTGGCTCAATTTGGAAGTGGGTTGTTAAAAGAATGTTACAATGACAGAATGTTAATTTCTGCTTGCCTTTGGCACCGCCTTCATCAGATATGATTTCCCGCAGGCTCTGGAAGTCATCCTTCAACGCCTTCTCCTCCTCAGAGTGGACGTCTTTAGACTCTGCAGCTTCCCAAGAAATACATCAGATCGAAGCTTCGACATAACATGATTTGAGATCGCACCATTTAGCAGGATTCATTCAGATTTAAACTTCGTGATCAGCAGCATTGAGGCAGTTCAGTTTGACCTACCATCCTCGGCAGCCATCTTCCTAGATATTCTTTCGGTAAAACCAAGATTTGGAGCAATCAGTTCTAATTCAGATCTCCAGATTCACCTCAGGAAACAGTCGTAAGACTAATTTCTCGTGGTCTAAGTTGCATTTTGGGCCGAGCCCACCTTCCAGTTCCGACATCGCCTTGGTGGAGTGTATCTGCAGTGGTATCTGCTCCTATGCCTTGTAAAAAAAATCCATTTTTACCTGGTGGAGACTCCCAAAGTGTACTGGGCATCCAAGTAAGGATAGAGACTGCAGCCCTCAACGTCATGCAGGCTGCATGCAACGTGAGGTACCACCGGCATCCCACGGGCCGGGAAGTCCTGGAAATCCAGAGCGCGCCCTATATACTTAGCTCTGTAGTGGGGCTGCACTTCATGATCATGTTTCCATCACCAGGAACAATATAATGCATTGCCTTTAAAGCCTCTCAAGTCATGCAACCTACAGAACTGCTGGAATTACAATTCAAATTTGATACATCACCGTGACATCAGATGCTAGCATGCTGTTGGTCGACCATGCTCTGCTACTGTACCTGCTGCACACATGTGCCATGCATGACCATATGGGCCTGCTTTCTCTTCTTCGACTGTGTGACATACTGTCCCCATGTGACATGCCTGGAACGCTAATCCAAAATATGTTGCATCCAACCACAGCCCTCCTCTCCCTCAGCAGACACATAAATCGCTCATTTACACAGAAACTGTACAACACCGCGAGGCATTCTTGCCATGAGGCAGCTGCAGCAGCTGCCCAACAACAAACACCCAGCCAGCTTTACTTGAGCAGCCGCGCCCCAAGCTTGACCCCCACAAGCACCAGGGGAGCCATCATGACGGCAGTGGCCACCACTGTCGCCACGGTGAGCGAGCCGTCGTCCGGCTCTCCCTCTGCGCTGTACATGTTGTTCCACTGCCCCGTCAGCTTTGTGAAGTACTCGTCGTACGCGCCGCGCTGCACGCTGTAGGAGATGGTGTGAGTCTTCAGGTAGTCCATGGAGGTGAAGCCGAACAGCATCTGCTTTGCCTTCTTCGACACGCCCGGCGCTGAGTGCCGCGAAATCTGTTTGTACAAAGCCATGGCTTCATCTTGGCGCCCCTGCAAGCCCAGAACGGTCAAATATCGCACAGAACAAGACATCCCTTTCCATGACCAAGTAAAAAAGTGCACCTCAAAGGCAAGTGCACGGTGGGGTGTGCAGGTGCGCACCAAGGAGTCAAGGCAGATGGCCTTTTGCAGAGTAGTCTCGCCGCCCACTCGAGTCCTCATGGATACGAAGGTGAGGACCTCATCAAAGGGCACTAGAGCCGCAGCCAGCTGCCCCTGCAAGCATGCCAATAGCATGTCAGCCTCCGCATCCAGCGATGCATGCTGGCAGCGCACGCAAAATACAACAAGATTTATTATACCCTGCTCCCATGTGCACAGTCAGTGTGCATGGAAGCACACAGTTAGGCTGCAGGATGTGACCCACCCTCTGCATGAGCTGTACACCGCGGTCATAGGCCTCTTTGGCAGAGGCCTCTGCGGCAGGGTCGACCTCGAGGCCCGCATTCTTCTTGTAGCTGGACAGCGCCTCGGCCACCCGCTTCTTCCGCGCCAGCGTTTCTGCCTCTGACTCCAGCGCCTGAGCATACGCACAACATTAGATTAGGTACAGTGGTGCTCTAGAGAGGGTCATTCAGTACCAATACGCCCCCCATACACAGAGCCACATGTATGCATGCCTGATGCAACTGCCGAGCATCATTCACCAAACTCGGGTGAGGCCACCAGCACTTGCAGTGGGAGTTGATGGTTACCTCGCCAGGCCGGATGGTGCGGCCGCCCCCATACTCTCGACTGATGTTCGACGGCCTCGGAAAGACTCCCCAAGTGGCCACCTTGGGCCTGTATGCCCCCTCTGCACCGCCGCCAGCGTCCCTGCTGTCGATGGTGATGAGATCTGCTCCACGCTCACGCTGCTCCGCCTCCTTGGCCAGCGTGAATTGCTCTGCACTGAGATCCTGGCTGATGCTGCTGCTGCTCGCCTCCCTCTGTATTATCTCCCTTATGAATGGGGCGGCCTGTTGCACATGTGGGACCACTCAGCCTTTAACATTAGTCAACCTTCCGGGCTGCATGCAGGCGCCTTTGTAGAAGCAACAAAACAGCGCCTATTGGCAACCTATTGAAAGGCGGAGGGCATCTGTGCACCTGCGCAGCGCTGCCAACACTGCTCTGCACCCACTCTGCAGGTCCCTCTGGTTGCGCAGAGGGGCTGGCAGGGCTGGAGACTGCAGGAGGAGTGCTGGTCACCCCGGAAGGCTGTTCCACTGGTTTTAAGGCAGAATACTTGCGTGCTGCATCAATCCTCTTCATTGCTGCTAATCGCAAGCTCGCTGCATCAGTGGCGGCCTTCTTTTGATTACCGAGCTGCAGCTGTGCAGCCGAAGGCTGGCCTTTCTGCTGTGCTTCCTGCAAGCGGCCTTCCTGCTGCTGCAGGTCCGCCATTGCTGAGCTTAAAACTTGCTGTTCTCTCGCAGCAGCACTCTGTGCGAAGGAAGCCACCTTCTCGTCCAATAGCTGCCGATCATCACTGGGCTGTGCTGTCAAAATGGGATCTGTCACTGGTGAGGCGCTTGGCTGCAACAGCAACATCAAGCGGTGAGTCGATTCACAATATTGAAAGATGCATGAATCTCTACACAAAGTGACATTGGTTAGATTGGCACCTGACTGTCTCTCTCGCGTTTGTACTCATTGGCTTCCTTAATCCTTTTCAAGATCTCATTAGCATCGCCCGTAGCATGTGTGCAGATTCGTCTCCGATGGTTCGATCTCCAAAATGTATTTCTTTTGCACCCAGGTGCGAGAGGAACATGAGGAAATCGCCTAAAAACCTGACCTCCACCTGCAGCTGTGCTGGAGTTTGGGAGAGCAAAGCGCTCAGGCATTTGGAAACAGTTTGGAACCAAAAACCCGACACAACTGTTGTTGAAGTGATTGAAGGCACACAATTGTAGGCAAATCGGCCCTGAGACGAAAGAGCGGTCGTGGCTCGAGGTCATAAAGTCACGTGCCAGCAGGCTGGAGCCCACGTGCTGTTTGTACTCACAACTGTCCTTCTCGTGTCCTTCTCGTGTCGAGAGCATATATGAGCGATTAATCTATCTGGAAACGGGAGGACTGGTCCTCTGATCAACACCTGTTATGCGCCAAGAATGCGATTTCTGACTTTTTTGTGGTTTGGCTTAGCTGACGACCTGAAGCCGTGATGGCACCATTCGTCAGGGCGAACGTAAGCATAAAATCTCAGTATGACTTGTTCGTTTCATAATCATTGTCTGCCATATACCAGAGCATTTGCATGTTTTCCAATAGTTCCCTCTAGATGACGCACAGGAGCCGTCAGGCGGTTTCCAACTGTATTCGTTGACCCATGGATCATTGTACAACCCCTTTCATGTACTTTCTGTTCTGTCATGAACATCGTACCCAATTTCTTAATTATGCACCTACGTCCTAAATTCCTTTGTGCGCACATCACAGAACTGGCATTGAACTCGCTGTGTGGTCGTGCAGGTGTACAGCCATATGCCAGCTCAGTGCCAAGCAGGGGCTGGCTTTCCCACTTGCCGAACCCTCCAGCTAGGTGCTGACAGGAGGAGGCCTGCAGCAGCGTTCTCTGCTGTTCGGCGGAGGTCACTCACTGCGCTCAGAGCTGTCTGCGCATCAGCGGTCCAGGATGGACGCTTAGATGCACAAGTTGCGGTGGTGCTGGGAACACAGTGGGGAGACGAGGGCAAGGGGAAGCTGGTGGACATTCTCGCCCAGCAATACGACATTGTTGCCAGGGCGCAGGTCTGCATGTGCACCTTCTGTTTCCTGTTTGTTTGCACGGATCTCTGTGGCACAACTGCATATTCACTTAGATGGTGTCGTTCTGAAGATTCCCATGAAGCTTCAGGTTGTTTGTCTTGCACACAGGTGTGAAGTGTGTATCTCAAGAGATTGGCTCGGCAATAAATGCACTAGGGGCAATGCCAAATGTGAGACCTTGCATGTTCTTGGCGATGCCAAGGCCTGGCAAATTGCACAGCAGATGTGCATGACGATAATGTAGAGCTGGTCTTTCCACAGGGTGGGGCCAATGCGGGGCACACCATCTATGACAGCTCGGGCAAGAAGTATGCGCTGCACCTGGTGCCCTCGGGCATCCTGAACGAGAATGCGCAGTGCGTCGTGGGCAACGGCGTCGTCATCCACCTGCCGTCCCTGTTTGAGGAGCTCGCCACACTCAAAGAGCAGGGCGCCTCCACCGAGGGCCGCCTCATCGTGTCAGACCGCGCCCATCTCCTCTTCGACCTGCACAAGGTGGGCAGATCCATCTGGATCACTCCTGCTTACAGACCTGACTTCCCTCCTCAGACTTCCAGCTACTGAGGTAGCATTTTTTGTCCACTGGTCACATGCAAAGATGGGCTACTCATTCTCTGCGCCATTTTCCTCTTGATTCTGCTCACTCAGAAAACTCTCTTGGTGCCGGTGACCTACAGGCAGTGCTAGTCCTCACAGGGCTCACAGGGCCTCGGGAGTCTGACAAATGAGTTTGGCGTTTTTCCTGCAAGAGTACACCAGGAGGATTTCAGGCATTGAGGCTTGGCGGTGGCGCATGCTCGAACAGGAGATTGACGGGCTGCGAGAGGCGGAGCTGGCGGGCAAGCAGATCGGCACGACCAAGCGCGGCATCGGGCCGGCGTACGCGTCCAAGGCCACGCGCAACGGCATCCGCGTCGGCGACCTGCGCGACCTGGACGCCTTTGCCGCCAAGCTGCGCGTGCTCGCGCTCGACGGCCAGAAGCGCTTCCAGGGTTTCCAGTACGACGTCGAGGTGCGCCTCAACTCCCACGTGTCAGGGTTTGCAGAAACACAAGGCATCGCTAACTGAGCCTGCCTATTCAGAATGGTGCTAGCAGCCTTCCTAAGCAACTCAGCAGCAGCCCTTGATCTGCACGACATTCTAGTCTCACAGATTGGCTACTGGAGCCGATGATTTTTGGAGGAATGCTTGTGCAGACACTGCGCGCTCTTCTGATCCACACGCCAAAGTATGTCACTTCAAGGAGCTAGGATAAACATCTACCACGTCTAGGGCAGTCAGGGATGGGTGCCCTGAAGGGGAGAGTGTGCTGCAGGCGGACATAGAGCGGTACAAAGACATCGCACGGCAGGTGCTGCCGTTTGTGGGGGACACCGTGGAGCTGGTGAACGATGCATGGGAGGCCGGCAAGCGCATCCTGGTGGAAGGCGCCAACGCGACCATGCTGGATCTGGATTTTGGCACCTACCCCTTTGTCACCTCCAGCAACCCCTCCATCGGGGGCGTTGCCTCCGGCCTCGGCCTCGCGCCCACCAAGTTCCAGGCCATCATCGGCGTGGTGCGCCTCAACCCCATTCCAGGGGTGTTGTAGGCCCAATTGTTAAGCGTTTATTCAATATGGGAATGAATAGATGAAGCAAGCATTTTGGATGACAAGGTGCATACCCTTCTTGAAATCCAGGCCTTTTGAGTGCCAAGAAATGCTTCCACGCATGTGAGAGAACATGCTCGCTACAAGATCACAATTCCCGAGCAGCCGACTGAAGCATGACAATTTCCTGCTGCGCAGGCCAAGGCGTACACGACGAGGGTGGGTGCAGGCCCCTACCCGACGGAGATCTTTGGGGATCTGGGCGAGGACATCCGCCGCATCGGCGCCGAGTACGGGACCACCACCGGCCGCCCGCGCCGCGTCGGCTGGCTCGACATCCCCGCCCTCAAATATGCCACCCGGTGTGCCGCCGACCCACTCCTTTCAAAACTTATTTCTTAATGTTTCAGGGCTGAATGGTATATGTGAAGGAGAGAAGGGGCGTATGCATGGCAGCTAAGCAGAGCCCCCAAAAGGGTGAAATATTTTTCTGACAAGGAGGAGGGGCCCAAGCATAGATGCTAAAGAGGGCCCCTACCAGGTCCAGGGAGGAAGGTATTCCTTGAAAGAAGAAGGGCACCTTCATTGAAAATGATGAGAGCCGCCGATGCACTGCTGAGCTTGAGGTCAGCGGCTGGCTTGCAGGATCAATGGGCTGACGCACATCAACCTGACGAAGCTGGACGTGCTGTCAGACCTGGCCACCATCCGGCTGGGCGTCGGCTACAAGCTCAACGGCGCGGCCGTCAGGGGCATGCCCTCAGAGATCGCCGAGCTTGAAAAGGTGGAGGTGGTGTACGAGGACATACCCGGCTGGGAAACCGACATCTCCAAGGTACACCTCTCAGAAGTCCTGAATCAGAATGCCATATCCGCAAGCAATGTTGCACGCGCGGTGGATGCCTGATATTTGTGAGACTTTTGGCAATGTACCTCTGATGTGCAAGAATGCGCTTGGTCCAATGACGAGATCTTGATAGGCTGCAGTTAGATTGACATGCGCTGCATGAGCAGGTGAGGACGTGGGACGACCTGCCGGAGAATGCGCGAAAATACGTTGCGCGGATTGAGGAGCTTATCGGGGTCAAGATAGAGTGGATTGGGGTGGGCCCTGGGCGGGATGCCCTTGTGGTGCAGCCTTGACATGCATGGCCTCGCATGCATACTGCGTGGCATGATGCAGCATTTCTGCTGCATGTGTCCAACAGTGCCTCATAAAAACGATGACATGCAAGGTGGTTTCACGCCTAACCCTCACTAGCATTTTGCTAGACTGGGGACTCTACCACTAGCGTGCATTACGCTGCAGACGAGCTTCTGCCACAGTATAATGCAGCAACTGAATTCTGCCCAATTAGTGGTGATAGCATTCCTTCTAGCACCATGCTTTCAAGGCTGCCAACAGGCGCCCACGTAGAATAAACGAGTTTAGAGGTTCAAATGTAAGCCTCAGCAAAGCGCGTCAAAATTAAACCAAGATGCCTAAGTTCAAAGCAGTTTCAACAACTTAAATTTATTAGCTGCCAACGCATTGTTGAACTTGCAGCTGGGTCTGAGCCACCAACTGCGCGTTCCCCAGAGCATCTCTGCCGACATTTAGATGCACAACCGGCAGAATATCCTCCTCAGCAGGAGCATCCTGGCCTCCCTTAGCCTTTGCCTTCACCTTCTGTAAGGCGCTGACGACCTTGCTGTTGAAGCCCCCGTGCTCCCGGCTTGGCTTCTCACCTTCCGTTACTGCCAGCTGCTTCCTGGCCGCCTGCTGACTGCTCCACGCCCGCAGTGCTCGCGACACATATCGTGTCATGAGCGTGCCCACCTCCTTTGCCCCTTCTATCGGGTACGGCCCCTCAAAATCAACCTGCACCCCCAACAATGGAGATCTTATGCATGCATACCCATCAACACTTTCAGCATCCTGTACAGGGCCCTCCTGACCTCCACATCATAACAAGCACCATCTCTCTGGACCTCTCTGGAGCGTGCACTGTACTGAGCTCTGTTACTTGCACATATACAGTAGAAGACTCTCGTTAAAAGTCGCTGAACCAAAACAGAGACGCTGAACCAAACAAAACTGCTTGGATCCATTATGGCACCTTTGACGGAGAAACCATGAACCGCACCCTGTCTGTCAGAAACTTGACGACGTCCTCATCCCAGGTGAGCCCCGCGGCCTGCTTGGACTCGGCCAGCGAAGCGCCGCGCTCCTTTAACTTCATGCAGAACAATTGCTCGATGTGCGGCCGCTCCAGGGGCAGGAAGGGCAGGTAGAAGTCCACCAGCGCCAGCATCTTTAGCGTGTCTGAGCGCTCCTCGCAGCCGTCGGACCGCCACAGGTCAAACACCAGGTCCTTCAGCACGCGCTGCGCGTCCTCCGCGCGCACCTTGCCCCTGTGCCCCGCCGCCTGCAGCAGCTCGTGCAGCTGCAGGTAGCCGCTGTTCGACTCCAGTATGATCACCGACCTGCATCATGATACGGCTCAAATGCCGACTCTTCTCGATGTCATCATTCCCCCAGCACCGCATCATCTATGTACTCATGGGACTGAAGAGCAACGGTATTGTGGCGCTGTCAGAGCTTGAGCGCACCTGTCCAGGGTGACGTTGGCGGCTCTGGCGTTCTCAAAGAGCTGCCGCATGAAGCCGCGTGTGCAGCAGTCCAGCTTGTCGTACTCCTCCACCACAATGAGCGCCTCGGGGTAGCGGCTGCAGTGCTCCAGCAGCGAGGCCCGCAGCAGCGCGTGCTGCTGATCCCTCTCGCTGGCTATGTAGTCCATGCCGTACAGCACCTGCATGCCCAATGCTTCATGCGCCAGAGGATTCATTTGTCTCAAAGCCACCAGGGCCGTCTCAGGGGGTTCCAGCAATTGGCCCAACTAAGAAACAACCGAGGTCTGACTCCAGGCGGGTGTTACAAGAAACTCTCAATCAAGTAGACTGCAGGGTACTATGTTGGTGGGAGTGGTGGGATTTCTCACCTTGTACCCAGGGCAGTCCTGGCCGGGGCATTGAGTCTGTGGGGAGGGGTCCTGGTTGTACAGCGCACGTGCTGCCAGCAGGTGGGACATGGATTTGCCCACGCCCGGGGGCCCATGGACTGATACGATGAGGGGTTTGAGCGGGTTCTCATTGCTGAAATGATCGCAGATCGCGTCACTGAGCTGAGACACTGCGAGCTCCTGCCCCACCACCTCAGAAAGCAGGTATGGTTCCAGGCGCTCGCACACTCCAGGAACGAAGGAATTTGGGCCTGCACAATCTTAGAAATTTTAAGAGCAATGACACATTAGTGCCGTGTCTTGAGGGAGGAAGGTCAATGGTTGCTGAAGTCGATGTCACCTTGATGGATGAGGGCAACGAAGCCTGCAATAATTCCCACTACCGCATAACCAACAGCAGCTGGGACTGGCATTTTTTAAAGCTAGTGATTACATCATTGCGTTGTCAATCTTCAATGCAGATCAACGTTGAAGTGATCGACAATTCTGAATTTACTTTTCACAACTTCAGCTAAAGAATGATTCGATGTTTTAATTTAATATTGACATCTTATTGTATTCGACCAAATTAGAGCTTCGTTACTTTGATCAATGACTTCTTGATATATTTGCAGTCCAGTAATGACGTCAGCTTCGGCACCGCTGCTTCACAGTGAAGTTTCACTGAAGGCTTCATGTGTATCTTACCTGAAAGACAGAATCGCACTTACTTAACATGATCTTGTGATCTAAATTGAATGTCGCACAATACACTGGCAAAGATAGTAGCATAGCAGTGCAAGCGCATTATGTCAGCATAGGATTCTTTCTATAAACATGCCTGTGCTCCACCAAGTTTACACAAGATTCTTAATCTTTCAAGTGAACTAACTGGATTGCGTGTTGCCTTCGAGTTGTACAAAATCAGAGTCTGAAGTATAGCATATTGGCAGCTTCTGGTAGTGTCAGAGCGGCAATGCAGTCTTCCTTGCGGATGAGATTCTATTCAAAATATTGTTGAAGAACAGGAAAATTCATTTGCAATATTTATGACGAGATCACTTTGCTTATATATGGCCCTTCTCGCGCTGTTCACCATCTTTGTGGCCAGCACCTGCCAAGCCGCTGGGGGTGTCCTCACGGGACAAGGGGCAGTCAAGGTTCCAAGCCAGGCGCCTCGAATCAGTCCTCGAGGCTGGCAAGCGGCACTGGCTTCAGAAAGAGCACTGCACAAGGGCCCAAGAGTCCAGAAACCGACACCGGTAAAATTAGCAGAAGAGCAGCCTGTGGTTACCCATGAGCCCCATATAGCTGGATCAGATGCATCAGATGAGCACCAGACATTGCTTGAACAGCTCATTCCCCAGCTCGCTCTGGCAGCTGTCTGCTTTGCTGCTGGTGGAATGGTCGGCTACCAGTATGGTGTGAATCGCCAGCCCGAGCAGCCCAGACTGGCAGCCTCGGACAGCAGATCAGCTGAGGAGGACGATGCTGTGCCGGACACAGACTGGGTCGATAACAGAAACTTTGCAGCAATTGAGCTGCGCACGAGCGGAGCTGCAGCGGCCGGGGCCATACAGCGGGAGGCCGAATCACACAGCCAGGGGAGGCTCTATGCATCCGGTGACGCTGCGCCTGCAGCAACACCCGCTAGCGCAGCCAGTAATGCAACTCAGCTGCCTGCCAGCAACACAGCTGTCTGCGCAGCTAGCCAGGATAAGCCGATCGAGCGCTCCTCTGAGGGAGTGGGTGCGTCAGGACAGCAGGGTGCCGAGGAGGAGTTGCCCTTCGTCCATGTGCTGACGCCGCGAGGTGAAGGCAGCGATGAGGAGCCAACAGAAGCTAGCCCATGCACGCCAGCTTCGAGCAGTCCTGGCAGCGTGGCAGACGGGGCGGGGAGCAGCGATGCAGGCACCGCTGCAGAAGCCGCCAGCAGGAGGGATCCGGACACAGGCGCGGGGGAGTGCTTTGGGAGTCCCATGGAGGAGCGCGTGGCGGGGTCAGCGGAGTGTAGCAGCAGCGGGCGCGGCACGGTGGGCTTTGTGCAGAGCATGGATGAGACGCCCGGGCTGCAGCGGCTGCGGTGGGCCATGGGCGGCGACGGCGGGCAGTGGCCGCAGCTGGACCACTGGGACGAGGCCACCGCCTTCTGGGCCGCCTTCAGCCGCCAGCTTAATGTGCGCCACCCTCTCGGCCCTGTGGCACTCTGTTTGACCTCCCAGGCTCAGCCTATATGGGCCTCTATTGAATGATTCCCCATCTGCACCCGTAGAGTGACCAGGCAAGGCTGGGGAAAGAGGAGTGACGGCTGGATTGTCTTGTGTGCGCAGATCAATCCAGAGGCATTGAGCGCTGGGGAGCGCGTGCAGCTGGCAGGGGTCCTGCTGCAGGCCTGGACTGCCTTCCAGCAGAAGGGCCACCACGAAGTGACCAGCCAGTGAGCACCTGCGATCCATTCTCTTTCAACATGACTAGATGACATCCTTGCAGAGTGACTATTAGTTGATCCACTCAGTCTCTGCTCGACCCCGTGTCATCCTTAAAAGATTGGCTCATGGTCAGAATGCGCTCTGTCTTGGCTTGACTAATGTTACTCCTGTGCGGATTAGCCCTCAATTGTTTTTCTTGCAATACATGACCAAATTATATTTGAATGGTGGTGATGCGTGGCGTTGCAGGCTGCGCGCTGAGGCGAACGTGCACCACGCGGTTCAGGCGACGGCGGCGCAGCAGGCGAGCGCGGTCAAGCAGGCGCGCTTCCAGCACGACCTGCACTCCAAGCAGCTCGCGCACTTCCGCTCGGCCCTCGGCGACGGCCTGCTGTTCGGCATGGTACGCCAATTTCCAGCTCCTGCATCAGCCTCCTTCCATTCACAGCTCTGATCCTGAACCTCCTTCTCAGTGGAATAAGTTTCCTTTGCCTCCATCCCGCTCTGATCCTGGCTCTGCCTCACGCATGGGATGATCCATCATGCCTCGTTGATAGGCTACCTCTCACCCTGTGTAATCTGTCATGCAGGCAAAGTCTGTGCGCATGATCGATGTGCATGCATGGTAACTATGCGAAGTTGAGTGCTCTGCATGGCCTCCTGTGGTGCAGGTGGTGATGTTGGCGTCTGCAGGGGTGTGCGGCTATTGGAGCGGGGTGGGCGACCTGCTGTTCGGCCACTGCCGCCCAATGTCCAGTGTTGGCGCCTTTTCGATCCTGCGCCCCTGGGCTGCCCTAGATTTCGGCGGCGTTCTTGGTGAGAATGTGTCTTATAGGCTTTGGGCTGCCGCTGAACCTGTAATAAGATCTCTGCTGCAACTCTATGCTTCAAGGTCGTCACCGATGTTATCTTCTGTTTCACGTCGACGGCCATGCCTCGTTGAGTCCATGTCACAAGAGTGTGAAGGGCAGCAGTGTCCAAGGCACATGATCTGCATTTCAAGTAACACACTTAAATCTGATGTCACCCTGTGCTGCAGTGTGCTGGGCGGGGGCGCTGAGCGATGTGTTGGTGGCGGCGGTGGTGATGCTGCTGGTCGGCCGGCACATGGCGGCAACTGGCGCGCTCGTGGGCGCACACGGCGCCCCCCTGCGCAAGCTCGCGCTCGGCCTGGGCGCCGGCTGCGGCGCGGCCGGCTACTTTGTCATACACCGCCTCCACGGCGACGCTCGAAGGTCCGCCCTGCTCAGCCTGCACTTTCAGCTCCAACTTGCCTGCTCACTCTGCACTGCAGAGCTTGCACCCCAGCATTGCTGTACTGTTTGGATGTCGTGCAGCACAGTTAGAAGCAAGCCTCATGTGCAGCAGCGACGAATCCAAAGTGATGGTGGGCTACCCTGGAGCCCAGTGGCGACTAGGTGTGGGGGACAGGGCCTGCAGAAACGCTGCAGCCAATATGCCTGTAGGTGAGCTGTTACATCATGGCACGCTGTCCGCACCCTGTCTGAAGAGATGTGTCATGTTGCGCAGGTGGCTGCTGGGATGGGAGGCGTGGGTGGCGCTGCATGTGCTGGTGGCCTGGTTCATGCCGTCTGTGCTGCGCGCACTGGCGGCGCAGCCACAGGCCGGTGGGGTGCCTGGGCTGGGCTCTCATCTCAGGAGCACAAAGGGTCAGAAATGGGTGGATTGCCTGGGATTGCCCGGCTACCATGTGATGATGGTGGCGCTCATTCCGGCCCTGGTGGGCTATGCTCCCTTCAGCAGGCGGCTGTCTGCGCTGCAGCTGTTGAGGTCACTCGTGGCCTCCCTGTGACTGCCACTGCTCTTGTGGCAGTAGTGGCAGAGATAGCTGAGGGTTCTGTCAGCAGACACCCCATTGAATGAATGTTTTCTCGTGATGTTGTCTCCTACATATATGCCGTTGACAATTTTGATATAAACCCAGCATTGACTGGAGAAGATCTCCTAGAACTGGCAAAGCAGATGCAGATGGCCATCCTGGCATGACCAATGCATTCCACTGCATACCTGAAATCTTGAAAGCCAAAAGTTACAGGAAGCCTCGATTTATTTGTCATTGTCCCTTAGGGCTTAAGCGTCTGCTTTTGGTACCACTCGACCGGTACATGTACAGAAGCAGCTGAATTCATATCTGCCACAGTCTAGGATTAGTCCATTTGGCCCATGGGAAGTCTGAATACCGTCTCACAGACACACTGCACATGCTCACATGTGCTCGAGACCTCACACAACTTAACAATACGTCTGACACAGCTGACTGCATATGGACCTGACAACCCGCCGCCAGGGCACCACAACAGTATGATCCAACTCGGCTCACGGAATACCCCAAACACCATCATCTGTCACAGTCATTCAACATACAAATGGACCTTAGCAGAAGATGCAGAAGACCATGCTACACACTATGATTGCACATATGGGTGCTCTCAAGCGGTTGGGGCGCAGAAAAGACTCCGTAAACCTCTCACTGGATGTGCCAGGTTTGCCGAGACCTTTATAGCAAGGCGACAACATCCAGCCCACATGAACCATAATAAATTCGTTATGACATTTATCAACCAGATTGCCATGCATGCAGCTAAGTTGTCACCAGCCACAGCCATGGCGCTACCAGACATTGATAATATATGATATTTCAGTATTGTTCAGCAACATGAAATTTTGCGGCTAGCCAGATTGGGTTGCGAGCGTGGCTTCGTGGTGCAGATCCCCGTGCAGGCTCGCTAGGCGCTCCAGTGTCTCCAACTTCAGCAGCTCTCCCTTCCGCTGCGCCATGGCTGCACAATAGCCCAGCAAATGTGTGTCAAACCACAAAGTTTTGCATCCATCCATGCCGATGCTACTACCAGGTTGCTAGTGCCTTGAACGGATTACAGCTGAGTGGTCGAGGGCACGACATGCGAGGAAGCCAGTCATTGCCGGGCTGGTAAAGGACTGAAGCCTTGTATGTTGTCCAAATCATAGGAGGCCTCTTTGGGATTGCCAGGAATCAAACGCCTCTGCAATGCCTTCAAGGTCCCCGTCAGACCTCCCAAAAAGACACGTCCTGCCTCGGCCACCTGCTGATTACATTCACTGTCCCAGCAAACCCGCAAGCTATCTTGTGCGATCATGCAGCAGCAGCAACAGGGAGGAAGGGAAAGGGCCGCACCTGCGCGCACGGCGGCCTCGGCTTCGGGGCGGGCCTGCAGCAGGGTGCGCAGGTGCGCGCGCGTCAGCAGCAGCGCTTTGAGAGAACCACGCGCGCGCACGGATGTCTTCCACTGCGCGTCGCCCGTGTGGCCCTCGAACAGCGACACCTCGCCTATGAACTGCCCCGGGCCCCGCGTTGTCACCACCACTCGCTCCGACCCGCACGCCCTGCGCAGCCGCCAACAGCTCATCTCCCTCTGCTCTGCCGTGTGCCGGCCGTGGTTGCCTCGATTTTGCTCGATGACATCATCACTAGTGCAGAGTATCACGTCGTGAAGGGCACAGAGAGAATCTGTTCTGCTCGACAAAGCAACCACAAGGACCAAGGGATGGAGCTCTTGAAAGCACAAGTACTCCAGAAGAAAGCTCTTGAGTAGAAACCATCATATAGGCTGCATCAACGCGCAAGGCACAGGCCCGCACCGCGCTGAGATGACGGTGTCGGAGGCGCGGGCGGCGGCGCGCAGCATGGTCGGCAGCAGGCCATCGTGGCGGCGCAGGCGTGGCTGCCCATGATGCCGATGGTGGCCGTGCAGCTGCGGCTCGCTGCCGGCATGCATGATCTCGCTGGCGCGCGAGTCCATGGCCGCCTCGAAGGCCGACCCCCGGCCCTCCCAGTCGGCCGGAGCGGGTGCGGACGGCGAGTGCAGTATCCGGTGCGCGTGCGGCGACGCCATTACCGTTGGCGCCATCTCCACGTCGCTGTCGCTACTTTCCTGCACTCGCGCATGTGCCGTTTCAGCCATTTGTTGCCATTTATGCTCCTTGCCAGCTAATTGCGCTTCCTCAATGCCAGGCTTTCAATGGCACGAGGCTTACAAATATAAAAGCTTCAAAGATCTGAAGGGCACGAATCTGAGAGTACAAGATTGGAAGGCGAGGGGTGCATGCCTCGCTGTCGACCAGGTCCTCGTCAGCGCGCTGCTTGATGCTGAAGCAGATCTCGGCCTCGCCCTCCTCCACATAGAAGAGGGTATCCGCCGGCTCCCCCTCGCGCGCCAGCAGGCCACCCTTGGTGTAGCAGCGCTCTTCGAACAGCGGGCTCAGCAGCGCCACCAGCGAGTCCAGCCCGTCATTGGCATCCCCTGACGCCGGGATTGATACTTTGCTCTGCACCACACACCACCCGCCCAGTGCATCAGAACAATCACAACCCCCAAATTCCCTTGTTCAGAAAAACCGCATCAATGGGAAGAAAGGGATGTCAAACATTGCTCCACCTACTGCTTACACAGGCAAGTCAAACAGCAGCGGTGTAGAAGCAGAATTCATGCTAGTGGGAATAATATAGGCATGCAAGCAGGCCTTACAATGGAGAGGAACAATGAAGTGGCTAGGGTGTAGATGAGAGTGCCAGGCACAACCTGCAGGCAGCGCATGGGGGCGGCGCCGCCATGAGTGACCCAGGGGTGGGCCATGATCTGGGGCATGGTGGGCCGCTGGGCAGGGTCCTTGGCCAGCAGCGCGTACAGCAGCTCTGCCAGCTGCGGCGATAGGGGCGTGCTCCGGGGGAAGCGCAGCGGCGCATCCCGGATCTCGTCGTACAGCCGCATCATCGCGTCCGCCCGGAACGGCAGCACTCCTGCACACACACTACTTTGTTGAGCATGCCGAAAGGAATAGCGAATTGAGCTGAGGTGCTCCTGTGATGTTGAGTGGATCAGATGAGCCCAGAGATCAGGCAAGCAAATCAAGCTCGAGAGAAACCCTGGGTCTGATGCTGCCCAGTGCACAGCAGGCCTCTTCCGCCAATACTTCCTCATGGGAGAACATCAAGACGGCCGAGCAATGGACGAAAGCAATGGACTTGCGTTGTTTTCTGCCACAGCCAAGTTCCAGGCCAGTGGGAAGCGCATTATACAATGTCATTCAGACGTGGCAATCGCAACAAAAGGACGCTGCAAGAGGCGCGCTCACCGAAGACAAAGATGTAGAGGCAGACGCCGAGGGCCCACAGGTCGGCGGCGCGCAGCGAGAAGGGGCCGCCGTGGCACATCTCTGGCGTGAAGAAGGCCGGCGTGCCCACCGTGCGCAGCGCAGTGTCCGTGGCACCGCAGAGCTGCGCGGAGCCAAAGTCGCAGATGCGCACGCGGCCGTCCGCCCCCAGCAGCAGGTTGTCTGGCTTTATGTCGCCGTGCGCCACACCCATGCTGTGCAGGTAGTCCACCCCCTGCAGCCGCCCACGAAAGCATTCGAACTTTGGACAATATGTGGGTGCCAAGCTTTGGGGGAAATATTATCTGTTAACGCAGCAAAGCTGCAAAACAAAGATATTGTCTTTTCCTCCCCCTGCTCACTGTGCGATCCCTGACACCTGGTGAATGCCACATGGGCCAGTGCCAGGGACTGAAGGAGCCACCATCTTCTCCACTTCCCAGAATCCAGAGCAGGCAAAGAGGGAGCCGTCAGCATTTCACTGCAGGACAGGAGAAACCCAAGAGGTTGCCAGCTTGATGAAGAAAATGAGTCTGCATGCTCAGTGATATAACCATGACGCAGCCAGGTGGACCAAATACAAATGTAACAGATTAGTCATAGCGTGGAGTCGAGCTGAGGCGCACCTGGATGGCATCTCGGAAGAATTTGCGCGCGATGGCCTCGGACATGCGCGACTGGCCGTCGCGGCCCTCGCCCAGCACCACAGGGCCGCCCTCCAGGTACTCCATCACCAGCAGCACCTTGTTGCTGCGCGCATCGTCTGCACCCACCCCAGCCGCACCCGCTCAACATTCCCTCTCTGTTAAGAATTGATCCCCATTCCAATCACTTACCCGATTTCCATCTCCGATAGGAGATTGCGGATCCCATATGTCAGTCCATGTTCCCTTGCAAATTTTGCAATCACGCGGGCGTTTCAAGAGCGCACACAGGAGACAGCGAGGTGAAGGACTAGGGATGCATGACACCAGGGGGCATGTGTCAGGAGCTGGGGTGGCTCACCTATGACCTCCATGAGGCGCACGATGTTGGGATGGCACAGGTTGCGCAAGATGCTGATCTCGCACACCGGCTCGCCCGCGTCGGGGCAGCCGCCGGACGCCGTCGCCGAGCCGCCGGACGCGGCCGCCCCGGCACCCGAGGTGCCGGTGCGGATGGACAGGGATCGCCGCGGGAGACGCCCGCGCCGGGAGTCCGCCTGTCGCACAGCCCCATACAGTCAGCTGAGCTGACTGACTCAGCTCTTCTGCAATGACGCAGGGCGCCAGCTGCAATTTAAACGACTGTTTTCTCTCTCTCTTTCTGTCAACACTGTCTGTGCCAATGTGATTTCACTATTTGTGGGTCTATAAATTGCTTGATGGAGCAGTGCTGACATCAAAAAGGAGAACGACATGGCATGCGAAGGAAATATCGCAGTTGTTCAGAAAGCAGTACGCAGATGCTCACCTTGGTGACCAGCTTCAGGGCATAGAGGCTGTGGTCCTCGCTGTTGAGGCACAGCTTCACCTTGCCGTACGCGCCCTCACCCAACGTCTTGATCACCACGTACTGGTTCACAAACGTGCAGCCCTGCAACACAACAGCAAGCCAGTGCTGACTGACATGCTCGCTGTTGCCGTGCATGCAGCAATATCGAGATGGCTTTCTGCTCTACAACAAGGTGACCTTACGAGTAAGGTAGAGAGCCCCTAGCAGGAGCATCTTGCGCCTGCACAGCCATGTCACGAAGGAAAGCATTGGTGGTTCTAGCAAGACTGGTGTCTAGATATGAAGGCATGCCTTGAAGCTGTCGACCAGCATGACGCGGGTGTCAATCACGTCCCCGCACTCAAAGCAGAAGCCCTCGTCTGTGGCCGCCCCCGACAGCGGCCGGGACAGACCGCCACTCTCCAGCGAGCCGAAGCCACTGCGCGAGCGCATGCTGCTGCTGACAGAGCTCTCCCTGGACAGCCCCAGCGAACCCCAGCCGCCCGAGCTCCTGCACGTGTGCACACCCCAAGTCTGCTCCAGAAATCGCAATTTCTGCTCGTCCCCGGGGCGATTTATCTGAAGAATACCATTACTCCCTAATGGTTTGTTGCACAGGCAACATTGCCAGCACCAACTTCTTGGCATAGCTGCTCAAGCTGGTTTCTTTTTTGGCCCACTGCACAAGCAGTATCGCCAGCACCAGCATATGTGTCAGGGGACCGTACCCGGATCGGTGCAGGGGGTCGCTGCTGCGCTGGGCCTCCAGGCGGCGCAGGTCCTCCTGGGAGGAGCGCAGCCGCGCGGACACCTCTATCAAGTTGCGCGGCGTCGCCAGGCCGGCCCAGTCCGGGGTCGCCACGCTTGGCAGGCTCCGGCTGTGCCGCATCGCCATCGCAGCCGCAGAGCCCATCCCATTCGAATCGCCTGCCAAAGAGCAGCGCAGCACATTGTGAGTTTACCGAACAATTGTTCGGTAAACTCACCAACAGAGCACATGCCAACCATTTGAAGGGTTTGGCGACTTTGGCAAGAAGAGGTGAGTTGGTATTAGTGACATATTCTACACCATAGTAACAGTACCTCCCCATAGACATCCTTCAAAAGACGTCTACAACCAGCAGATACTCACCTTGCCAGCGTTTGCACTGGCAGGCAACTGGGTTAAACAGGGTGCTGAGAGGCAGGCACACAGCAGACCCACCCGACTGGAACATCTTGGCGCTGTCGTCATGGAAGACGTGGGCGCCGCTGGTGCGCGACTTGAGAGGCGTGTCGGCGGTGCAGCCAAGGCTGGCGCGCAAAGCAACGGTGCGTGCGCTGTCCGGCGACTGCGGCGCGCTGTTGCTGCGGGTCTCCAGGAAGGAAAGCCGCGTCGTCATGTCCACCTCAGCGATGCTCGGCAGCGGCATGCCCGCGTCCGGCAGCACGCTGAGCGGCTGGCTCCCCATGTACGCGTGCCCCTCGTCCGCCACCGACGCAAAGGGGGTGGGGATGTTGAGCAGCGCCGACCCCTGCATGCCCTGGATGGGCTTGCTGCTCTGCTGATCTGCAGGCTGAGAGCTGGGGGAGCTGCTCTTTGCGTACTCTGCATGGGGCCGGCTCGGGGAAGGCCGGTGGTACCCGAAGGTGCCATTCTCGGAGTTGTGGCCGTTGGTTGCTAGGGAGTCCAGCTCGGCGCCGCTGTCCGGCTGGCTGAGGGAATTGGGCGCATCTGGTGAGCGCAACAGAGCTCTGCCCTCATCCCATCTGCTGAGCTCCTGCTCTGCAGTCTTCCTGCTGACAACTCGCTTCACAGTCCCCAACCCCAGCGATACCCTCGAGAGGTCGCTGATGGACACCCCTGTAGCAGGCATAAGCGACCCATCGAGTCTGATGAGATTGCAACAGCCAGAATAAGCAGGTATGTGAGGCCAGCATATGTGGTACCCACCTGACTTGTGGCTAGCTCTGCCAGTGGATGTCGCTGCTACCAGGTCAGGCCCGGAGGCCTTTGACCGGAGCTCGACGCTAGTGGGGCCCTCGGTCACGTTCCCATCGGATCTGCGGTGGAGAAGGGGCTGCTTGCTTCTATTGAAGGAGGATGTTCTTGGCTTGGAAGGAAAGCACCCAATTGTGCCTCCTTCTCTTGGGAAAGCAATGTCCAGGAAGGTGCGACACTAATCGCAGTCCCTCCAAAAGCTAAGTACTTCCTCCAACTAGCAGCCCTAGGTATGAAATCCTTCGATGTCTAAATCGTGTAACTGCGAGAACTCTTACAGCAATGGTATATCCAACCCTTTACGCCTCTCAAATAGTGCAATATATGGGCAGAGGGCCCTTTGACCCTTGAAATCGAATAAAGTGGGGCTAGAACAAGTTTGGGCATAACGAAAGGAAACAGGAAATTTTCGTCACGGGAGCTCTCGAGCGTATCTTTGGTCTGAAACACATGCACCGCCAGGTGTAAAGCGCTCCTTCTTGTTGGCATCAAATTCTGACGAAAGAGCAAACGAACAGAAAATATTGAACATGTTTGCAACCTTGCAATCTTGTAGAGTGCTTTTAGATTGACGAAAGCTGTGATTGTCTTGCACATCATCACCGAACTTTTCTTGAAATCACTCAGTTTGGGGGTTGCGATCGTCCTGAATAACTCTCAAAATCCTTCATAAGCACACGAGAAACTGCAGAAAGACATTCAGCGTACCATGACGTGAAAAGTATCGGCCATCGAGCGAAGCATGGGATCGAAAGGGAAGGCGCCAAGCATCATTGATGACGCTCCGTGGGTGGAGAAGTACAGGCCTAAGACGCTCGATGATGTAGCAGCACACAAGGAAATCATAGACACAAGTGAGGGACACACAAAGCAGTGTCTGCCAAGATCCCAAACTTTCAGCTTTGGCCTGCTTATGTTCATATCAGCAGATGCTGTAAGATACTCAGTGCAGCTCAATCAAACCTCGACGTCTAACGGTATTTTCCTACGATGCAGTAAAGCGGCTGGTCAAGGAGGATCGGTTCCCACACGTGCTCTTCTATGGGCCCCCTGGAACTGGGAAAACCTCCACCATTCTGGCAGTGGCACGGCAGATGTATGGCGCATCATTGAGGAGTATGGTGCTGGAGCTGAACGCCTCAGATGACCGTGGCATAGGCATCGTCAGGGAACAGATTGTGGATTTTGCCAGCACAAAGACCATGTTCAGGTCAGCTTCTATTTATGCACAGGGAGAAACTTCAAACGTAACGAAGACCCTCCTGTGAAGGATTGCACATAAAACAGCACCATGCAGTCCAGTGAACCTGTCAGAATTGAGCTTAGATATTCTTGTGCCTCTGCAGCAACAAGTTCAAACTTGTGATCCTGGATGAGTGTGATGCGATGACCAAGGATGCTCAGGCGGCGCTTAGACGAGGTATGGCCATTGACATCCACCATCAAGGCCAGAAGGCTGCTTCCAAATGACCAGCATGTCAAGGATTTCCAATGGTTAAAAGAAGTGAACGACATCAGTTTAATTGATGTGCGCAGTGATCGAGAAGTACACGCGAAACACGCGGTTCTGCCTCATCTGCAACTATGTCAACAAGATCATCCCAGCGCTGCAGTCGAGGTGCACGCGCTTCCGCTTCCCGCCGCTGGCAGACAGCTATGTCAGGAGCCGCCTGCAATTTGTCATCGACAGTGAGAGGTGCGCTCAGCTGGCCCATCCTCCCTTTGCTGTCCCGCCGTTTAGTCTTACTGTGTTGACGCGCAAATGACGATAAGGCACCAGGAGTTACGCCCAAGTTGGGGGTGGCTGCAGGGTAAATATGGGGGACGGTGGCCTGGATGCTGTGGTGACCCTTGGGGCAGGGGACATGAGGCGAACCCTCAATATCCTCCAGGTGTGCGGTCCTTGATCCCACAGGTTGATGCAGATTGAGCACTCTTTACATGTCGCAAACAGGCAGGACCTGCTCCATAGATTGATGCAGAGAGCACAATCAGATTTCAGAAAACATGCATGACCTCCTCATGCACCCTGGTACAGAGAGGCTGCTGTGCTCTCACTTCTCAACTCTCTGACCCTGCTTTTTTGCAAGCAATTGTTGCAGCATACTACCGTATGTTCCCTAGCCTTTCAATCTCGTGGAATACAGACTTCCCTAGCTCTTTGAAATCACATGAAAACATACACTTCCTAGTTCTCGGTAAACAATCCTTACATCCACTCAAGCCGATTCGAATGCTCGGGCAGGCGACGCACATGTCGGCGGATGTGGTGAGCGAGGAGGCGGTGTACCAGTGCACAGGCAACCCGCTGCCCAAGGACATCGAGGCGATAGTGCAGGCGCTGTTCAACGAGGACTTTGTGGACGTGTTTGCCAAGGTGCAGGACATGCAGATCAACAAGGGCCTCGCTCTCACCGACATTGTCCAGCAGCTGCACCCGTGCGCGCCTGCCTCTCCTGCTGCTATATATCATCCATGTTACACCAAAGTCTTGAGTAATGTTGCGAGGAAGGGAGATCTGAGAAATTGTGCATGCAGTGCAGCAGTCTAGATGCCAGCCATGTTGCGGAAGCCCCCTGGTGGGTGTTGTGATTGCATGATAGGCAAATATGCCTGCCTTAATCGCAGCTTTGTAATTCCAGGACACCTTTGTTGGCTCCATGGAAGACATCTTCCAGGGCTCAGTGTCCTCATCGTCTTTGACTGCATGGACCTGAGGAGGAGATTTCTGTGCACAGTGCTGAAGGGGTCTTGCTGGTGGCATGCATGCAGGTGGGTGTTCCGGGTGAACATGCCGGCGTCTGTGCGCATAAAGCTGGTGGATGCGCTGGCCGACACGGAGCACCGGCTGGCCTTTGGCACCAGCGAGCGCCTGCAGCTGGGCGCCCTTGTGGGGGCATTCTCCGTGGCCAGAGAAGGCATCGTGGCAGCTGCCAAATGATTCACAAAGCTGCTTTGGGGGTCGTGTATATCCTGAAACTACCTTGGGAATGAATATTGCCTGGAAGACTTCTTGGATAAGTTCGAAGTTTTATAAAGTCCCCAAGGGACTGCCCGGCTCTGGCATACCGCGGCCGCTTGGTTGCAATTTGAATTTGTTAGAGGCAAATATTTGATTGCACGGTCAGTTTGAGCTTTTCCCAGCATGGTGATTGATTGGCACGAGTTGTGAAGTTGCCACGCTCTGCTCTGGGAAACGTGAGAGGGCTCCAGCTGGCTCTGGCAATTTTGGAAGTGGTCAACAAGTTCCAGTTTTGGCTCGGTCAACGGGCTTCCGGAGCACATCCCGAATTATGAAGTCTTGGAAGCTGTGTTTGCGAAGTTTTCACATCCTCCAACAAAACGCCATCTCCACTGTGTAATACCTATCTCAGAACACAATCTATTAGGATGACTCGATCAGTTTGATAGCGCGGGCGTCGATATCCCGACTCTACTACTGGTCTGCTGGCGGGGATCTGGTTGATCTTTCCCACACGGTGCGTGGTTGGGTACTTAGAAGCGTCATTTCCATATCTTGTATCTATGTGTGATACGTTGAGTCGCTTGGTGTCTCTCCGGAAGCTAAACACAGACCTGCGGCACATGCAACATTGCCACCATCACCGTTCCTGCTGACGAGGACCGTAAAACCATCAAGAACATCGCTATGATGCCTGACACCCGATAAGCACACCTACTTAACTGCCGTAGGTGACGTATCAATACATTCTGCGGAGTTCACACAGCAGCCGGGCGCAATGGCTGTCGGCGGACTCAATGTGTCAAGCGGTGCAAGGGCTGCAGAATACGAGGGACGAATGACATGGCGGGTGTTCATCACCTGTGCCATGGCAGCATGCGGTGGCCTGCTGTTCGGCTATGATCTTGGTAAGCACAGCCAGCCTGCAGGCACTTCTCAGGAGGCTCACCTCATGTCGTTGCCATACTCAAGTTCCCAATTCCTTGCATTGCATAGATCTCAAAATGTCGACTTTCTTGCCCGGCAGGTGTCACTGGAGGTGTGACGGGCATGCCAGCGTTCTTGGAGGCGTTCTTTCCCAATGTCATTGCAGCAAAGGAGCGCGCCGCCAATCAAGTATCCAGCCCCTACTGCCAGTTTGATGACATGGTACTGCAGCTGTGGACGAGCAGCATGTTCCTAGCAGGCGCCTTTGCAGGTACGAGGAGATAACACCTGCACACTCCCCTGCATGGCAGACAAGCTCTGTGATCATCTGCGAGCGAAGCTTACAGGCATCCCTATTAATACGCCTGAAGATTGCAGGGATAGAGCAGGTGCAGTGTAGCCAAATCACATCAGCTCAATGGGCTCTTTGGCCACAACATACAGAGACAGTCAAAGCAGCAGAATACAATGACGCATGCACATAAGTGGAAGCAGCAGCGAGGCTCTGATGCGCATGATGTGCCGCAGGAATCGCGACGATCATATTCAAGCCGTTCTTCCAGCGCATCGGGCGCAAGGGAGTCATGATCAGCGGCGGCATCGCATTCGTGGTGGGTGCTGCGCTGCAGGCAGGCGCTGTCAACATGGCCATGCTCATCATCGGCAGGCTCTTTCTGGGCCTGGGCATCGGATTTGCAAACCAGGTGAGCCAGGAGTCAGCTGACTCTGCTGCAGATTGCCTGTCTACGATGAGTCAGGGCCCCTGAGAATCGACCAAGTGGCAGCGGAAAAGCATTGTAGGTTTGGGAGGCATTCCAGACCATCAGCTCATGCACTCAATAAGTCCGAGTTCCAGAGCTTCTTTTTTTTGCAATCCGCTTGCAAAGAAATACACTTTGGTGTATAAGTTGCTTGAGCAGGTGATGTGATGTGCAGGCGGTGCCCATCTACATTTCCGAGATGGCGCCCCACAAGTACCGCGGCGCCCTCAACATCATCTTCCAGCTCATGACCACTCTAGGAATCGTGCTGGCCAGCCTCATCAACTACTGTGATCCCCTCCCTCTAACAATTGTTTCTAACGCTCAGCTGTTCTTTATTTTAATATCCATTTTCACGTTAGTGGTTAGTCAAAGTCGCTAAAGACGACTGCAACTCTGCTGGAAATTGAGAGACCTCTTTATCAGGCGTCTCGATTGGGCTTTGATGTCATGTCTGCTAAGTAGGTTTCTCATTGTGCACAAGACGTATGGTTAAGATGTCAGATGATGCAGAAAGATACCAGGTACCAGGGGATCAGCACCCCTAGCAGGCAATTACGCCTGGCAAGAATTGCAAACTGAGCAAGATAGGCTGCTATGCACGCAGTGACGCAGGACCATGTGTGGGGATGGCGTGTGTCCATTGGCCTGGCGGGTGTGCCGGCGGTGGTGTTTCTGGTGGGCAGCTGCATCCTGGACGACTCCCCCAACAGCCTCCTGCTCAACTACAAGGAGGCCAAGGGCCGCCAGGCACGCCCCACCAGACTGTCTCCCTGCACCTATGCAAGAATCCCTCAAGATCTGTGGTGGTCTAGTGCTACTTCAAGCGCATATGTAGCATGCAGGAGTGTTGCATTAACAGCCCTGGCATACAGGCCTGGTATGCCGCCCTGAGCTGTGGAGCCATCAGAGCCTTTTGTGCATGCCATGTTTGTGCAGCGGCCGATCCCACATCAAGGCTACTTCCGACAACTTCTTTCTATCAGAGCCCTCTTTGCAATGGCAGCACAACTCTGCACCGCCAATCCCAGCCTGGCGCTTCATCCATCACTAGACTGCTCCCACAGAGCACATGCTGACATGGCGCTGATGTGATGCTGACGTGGCGCTGGTGTGGCACTGACATAGCAAGCTGACGTGGCATGCGCATGCGCGCGCAGGTGCTGGTGCGCATGCGCGGGACGGAGAACGTGGGCGCGGAGTGGGCGGACATCTGCGCGGCAGTGGAGGAGGTGAAGGCGCATGAGGTGCAGTTCTGGAAGTCCCTGGCCGTCCTCTTCAGTCCGCGCTTTTGGAAACTGGCGCTCGCATCCGTCGCCATCCCCCTCTTCCAGCAGTTCACCGGAATGAACGCCATCATGTTCTACGGTGCGTTGTTCCCTCTCTCCCCATGTTGTTCCTGCCAGCTGTTGAGGGGTCAATGCATGAGCGGGTGCAGGACCATGTTCTACGGTGGGCTGCCATCTTCCTCCCTGTATTTCTTGCAGATCCAAAGCTGGATGCCAGAGGGTCCCTGCAAGCTTCTGGGATGCAGTGCATGGGTCTTTTGCAGCTGCTGCTGCTTTGACCGATTGTAACATTGCAACTGCGTGACAGGAGGTCACCCAGCAGCCCCCTGGACATGATGTTCAGGGGTTACATCTGGGGTTGAGCCTGGATGTAATCCCTAAAAAACATTAGCCAAAAATTTTCAACCGTAGGGTACCTGGTAGGAGATCTTCGAATAAAAGAACGCCTAAATTAGCAGAAAGCGGGAAATTTGGCTGAAGTGTTCTGCTTGTTTGTGTGCGCTGCAGCGCCCCAGATATTCCAGGTGATGGGCATGGGTGTGCGCGCGTCGCTGATGTCGTCCATGATCACCAACTGCGTCAACTTCTGCGCCACCTTTGTCGCCATCCTCACCGTTGACAGGTGCCCCCCTGCAAATCAGCTCCCTGCATTGTGCATGTCATGGCAGTCTTTCGTCTTAGTCTCAATGCACTCCATCGGGCTTCTGAGTAGGTGGAGGAGAGTCCTACGGAATAGCTCAAGCCTGTAATTATGGCATCCAGAATTTGGATCAACTCAATTTCCATCAGCATGGTGCATGCACCACTCACGCCAGGACAAATACAGAGACAAGAATATCTGGCCTGAATGCAAAATTTACCGTAGACTCACACTGTCTCCTGTGCCGGTACAAGTGTCCTGGTTGCTGAAGAGGCAGAGCATGTTGTGTATGTGCCAGGTTCGGGCGTAAGCCGCTGTTCTATGTGGCGGGAGTGACCATGTTCATCATGCAGACTGCTACCGCAGCGCTGACTGGACTGACCTTCACCGGAGCCGCCATCCCCAAGGAGCCCGCCGACGCCCTGATCGTGTTCATCTGCATCTTCGTCGCCTGCTTCGCCTTCTCCTGGGGGCCCCTCGGCTGGCTGGTGCGCCCTCTGCCCACTCTCGTCTGTGTACCAGCTCACCTGCAAGCTTGAGCGTTGCAGACTTCCTGATTGATTGATCGTGGGGCGGACCAGTGCCCCACACCCCTATTGTTTTCCCGGGAGTCCACCAGCACTTTGAATATTGGCTGTTGTTGTCTGACGCCTGGTGGCTTTTGTTGACGCACTTGAGCCAGCAAAGGAATGCATGCATGCACAGGCAAATGCAGGATGGGAACTCGCACGTGCCGTCTGGCGGAGTTCCCTTCAGCTGGAGCAAGGGTTGCCTGAGTGTGTATGTGGTGTTGGGGTCAGGTGCCCTCTGAGATCCACCCCCTGGAGACGCGCGCGACAGGGCAAGCTGTGACTGTGTTCACCAACTTCATGGCCAGCTTCATCATCGGCCAGTTCTTCAACAGCATGCTCTGCAGGATGCAGGTCGGCTTGCCTTGCCTTTCCCAGCAACAGACATGCAGACCAAACTTTCCACTGAAAAGATAGCTCAGTCTGAGGGACAGTTGTGTCATGTGAAGCAGAGTTAACGTACAACTGAGTTTGATGTGTGCTGCGCAGTTTGGCGTGTTCTTGTTCTTTGCGGCCTTTGTGGCAATTATGACAGTGTACGTCTGGATACTGCTGCCGGAGACTAAGGGAGTCCCCATTGAGGAGATCATGAATGAGTGGGCCAAGTAAGTACTCTGCATGCAGACCTCTTCGCCTTTGAGATCCGTAATCATGATGTCCGTGAAATCTGGGCTTCACAGCAGCACTTAAGGAGAGGAATTCGAATAATTTTAAATGCTGATGAGATTTTTTCAAATTGCAGGATCCCAATCAACCCCTTAAGGAGCAAGGCAAAGGTGTCTGCAGACGGCAAGGCCCTGAAGCAGAGGAATGTTTCCAGCCCTCCCCACGGCGAGAAAGATGGAAACTCTGATGCATATGACAATGTCGACCTGCGTGCATGATGGCGCATGCAAGGATCTGAATGACCTGTACAAGGCTTTTATTTGATGTGCTACAATTTTGATGACGTCATTGAATTTTGGAACATACCGCGGAAGTACGCAAGCTGCAAAGGATCCCATGCTGTTGGCCCATCATGAAGAGTTTTTGACACTGTAAGAAGTTGAAGTGCATCTTTGAGACGTTACAGAATCCTGCACAGTGCAAGGTAGAGGGTGATTCAGACCAGCACTGCAACAAGCTCATTCCCAAACGTCTTCTGACTTTTCTAAAACACTAAATTGCCGCATTCACTTTAAACACCTGAGTCCAGGCAGGTATGGATAGAAGGCCTTGAAATTTGCATGCACACTGTACAACCAGCGCTGGTCATGGCAGCGAAAGAACAAAGCAGGGTCCCTCCAAGGATGTAGCACACTTCTCATGCTTAGATACTCACACACAGTCTCTCTTAAAGTTTGAACAGGTTCACATCCTCACGTCCCGCCCACCTCTCCAGCAAAAGTGTCGGGTGTGTCCAATTTGGGCCTCACCAATCAAAATTTTGAGCATAGACTTTGCTCCCTAGGACATCACAGGAATCTTACATGAATCTAAGATATTACTTCAAAATTGCTTTCCAGGTGTGATTCACTTGAAAGGGCTACGCAGGATGCATCCTCATCCGCTGCAAGCTTGCGCAGTGCTCATGCAAAGCTCAGCTAGCGCTATGCTCTCACGGCACCAAGGCTGCATTGGATGATGGTTGCAATGCCGCTGCCCTGATGAATTGAAATGAAAAGATATGAGCATAAAAAAGGCCACCCGTCCTGGGATATCTACCCGGCTGTACAAGCCTCCCAAGGGCCTCTGATGAGCAGGTTGCACCTGTCACTCTCTTGGAGGCTGTGTGATTGTGCATTTGTCTGCAGCACTCAGCTGTCACTCTTTTCCTCAGAACCTTTGTCTCTGAGGCCAATATCAAGTCCGCTCAACCTCTCTCCATGGTCTATGCTGCGTGGTCATTGCTGCCGTCCTTGCGACCGGTGCCCTCGTCAACACTGTTGATTGGGGAGCGGTCCTTGACTGGCAGCTGGGTCATCTCTGCCTCCTTCCCATCCACCTGCGCAGCAGCAAATGCCTGGTTATGGATTGCTTGTGACCTGAAAGTGTGGCACTGTAATGCCTGGCAACACGCACCACTGGCCCTCAATTTCGCAAGCTTCTCTGTTCACAACAAGCAAAGGGCTCCTTCATACATGCGCCTCATGCCACCCATGCTGAGGCCAGGGCCTTATTCTTTAAATTTTCAATTTTGGCACACAGCTGCTCACAGACGTGTCTACACGAAACTCATCAGAGCAGCATGAAACAGTGTGTACTGCATCAATCACTGTGCTAGGCTGCTGAATGCTTGCAGAAACCCTCACATGTGGCTGCAGACGCCCCTGCGAGTATCCACCTCGGCCCTTTCCTTTGGACTTGCCGGCCTTGTATGACGGATACAGTATTCTGGGGATGAAGCTGCTCACCGTGTAGGGGGCGTGGTCGGCGCAGCGCTCCTGCTTGGTGGTCACAAAACGGCGCCAGAACCAGTGCGTCCGCCACATCAGCTGCATCTCCTCAATCGGCACTCCCTGGTAAGCAAGGCCACCACTCCTCAATATCTTTTGAGGCAGCAGGTCAGTGCCTGCGATGCGCTGCGTCCAGAAGTTTGTTCCCCTTGATCTTCACGAGTGCCACCAGAACATGTGCTCTCACGCAAATAAAAAATAGTAACATGACAAATCAACAGCCCTTGCTGGCACAGCCATTGGAGGTCGAAGTAAAATGTGAAGCATGCATAAGATGGGGCAATATTCTCTCCCCGTGGACATGCCAAGGTCAGAAATTATTTGTGTACCTTGGTCTCGGGCAGCAGGAAGATAGTGTAGATCGTCGCGAGACACACCCAGAACGCGAAGAAGAAATAGACCCCAAACTGCGGACTCCACACCCAAGTCAGCGGACTTCACCCCACAGCTGACAGCGGTTGAGTTCAGTACAGAGAGGCCTGACTGCGCTGTGCACTGTCATGGTGCATGTCACAGATTAGCTTTAGGTGAGCGGTAGAGTTTACGAGGACAGTTGCTGCGAGCGGTGAGAGGCGCACGCACCCGCATTTTGCAGAGCATGGATAGGAAGGCCTGCCCGATGACAAAGGAGAACAGGAAATTCACGGAGACCGTGATGGCCTGCCCGGCACTCCTGGTCTCGATGGTGTGGATCTCAGATGGCACCTGTGATATTGCACATTCCACATTTAAGACCCTTGGAGCTCAGTGCAAGCAGGAAGATGGCAGAGCAGCTATCTCAGATGCTTGGGCATCAGACAGAGGAGGGGAATTACCAGCCATCCAAGAGGACCCCATGACCATGCAAACCTGCGATGCATACAGGTAAAATGCTCAAACAACACTCCAAGAATGTCATATTTCTTAGCCAAGTGTAAAGAGCGAAAACACACTTGATGCACTACTCACCCCGACACAAAGATGCAGATAAGGACCAGGACTCCCACAGCGGCGGTGTTGGTGATCTTAGCCTGATCTGTCACACGACAGCAGCATGTCAATGCTTGCATGCGCCTTTTGCAACAGAGAAAGTCGTGCCATCTCACAGATCTGAATTGAAGGCAATCAAAAAGAGCTGACATAAACTGTGGCGCCCAAAAGTTGCAGAGATGGTGGCTGATGGTTACACAGTGATGGTGACTGATGGTCATGTGATGGTCCTAGACAACGCTGTGCTGTTTGAAGCTGCCAGAAAGCCTGAGAGGTTGCTTACTGGTGTGGAAGGTTGCTGCCATGACAATGCCGGTGGCAATCTCAGCCACAATCATCTGAATGCCGCCCTCCAGAAACAACTTCTTGCGCCCAAACCTGCACACCCATCACCTGATCGCAGTCTGCACCAGCTTTTGGTTATACCCATGAAGCTTGGCGGATTCATGGGAGGCACAAAAAACCAGTGGATCGGGTCTTTGGAGTCTTGGTTCTCGAATGCAGGCTAGGGTCATCCAGGAGGCAGCAAGCAAGCACCTGTCGACAGTGAAAATGGCAATGAGTGTGGCCACGCAATTGATGGCACCGATGATGACAGCTGACAGCAGCGAAGAAGACTTGCCCGAGCCCAGGGAGTTGAAAATCTGGGGCGCTGCGACACACATGGGCGCTAGTTTAGGCAACATGCTCTCAGCACATCGAGTGTCATAGTCAAGACAACATAAGCTTCCAGGCAACATCAGACAGGCACTTGTTCAAATAGACAGATGTTCAGCACCCGACAGAGCTGCCACCTTTAGGGTGAAGACTGTCTCCAGCCAGCTGCGCAGAAGGTGTCAGAACAGAATAGGAAAGATCCGCCCACCGTAGAACATGATGGCGTTGATGCCGGTGAATTGCTGGAAGAAGGGAATGAGCACGGCGGCTGTCAGCTGCGGCCGGTGCGTGCGCGTGAACAGCTTGCGCCAGTTGCCCTGCTTGGACAGCTCCACAGCGTCATGCATGTCCAGGAACTCCGCATCCACATTCTTCGTCCCTCGGATGCGCTCCAACACCTGCATGGTTGCAAATTGCACTTAGGACATTCTCCCGAACAGCCGTCTATCTTGCAAGGACCCATGATCCAAGAATTTGCATGACATCATCGTTGGAAGGCAAGGGATTTTTTGTCCTCACAGGATGCTGTGACGCCGCTGTGATTCCTGGAATGCTTGAAAAGGGCTCGTGCAGATCAGCAGAGTGTATCTATGGGGTACTGATAAGCCCTGCCTACTCGTCACATGGAGAACGATTTCTGTCGATCTGAGACAGAAACCCTTGACCATTTTCGGTTGCACAGAGTTATTCACTAGTATTGTAGAGACTGACCTTGCGGCCCACGTCTGGGTGGCCTCGCTGTATGAGGGAGACAGGGGTGTCTGGCAGGCACAGGCCGCCCAGGAACAGCATCGACGCAGGCACGCCAGCCAGACCCAGTGACAGCCGCCAGCCCCACGGCGTGATAAACGATGTGCCTGCAGCACAAAGGCGCTGATTCTCACAATAATTATGAATATCACATGCTTGTTCCAGCCGTCAGGGACGGTTACGCCCCTCAGATGTGCTGTCACTGTTCTACTATATTCCTGCCAGGAGGCAAGTTTCGTGTCCAGACAAGCTGAACTTGAAGGCGCAGCAAGTCCTGCCCCTTGTTGAGCTCGCCAGATCCAAGCACCATGGGCACGGTGCTCAGTATTTGTATCGCCTCACACCAGCCGGGGCAGATGTTGGCTCAAATAAAACGGGATTCTCAGAAGGGTTTAAATACCATTCACCCTTTGGGGAGCACTTTGGGAATTGGTTCAAAGAAAGCTCACCATAGTTGATGCACTGGGCTGCCAGGATGCCAATAGTAGTCTGCGGTAAATGGCCACCTTCCTTAGTGTCTGGTGCAGTCGCCAAGCACATGATGAAGTTGACACCAAACAGAAAGCAAAGGGTGTGCATGGTACAACAAAGTCATTGAGACACGTACCGCCAGCTGAAAGCAGATGTTCAGGGCTCCTCGGATGGAGTGGGGTGCCATCTCGCACAGGTAAAGGGGCACAGCCTGCGAAAATGGCAAGTCATATTATTTGGAATCAAGGATGCATTTGATTTGCAAGCCCTGCCATGCACAAGTGCGGAATTGATTTGGAAGAGAGAGGCTCAGGAGCTGACCTGGTTTGCAAATCCAACTCCGATTCCCAGGAACACACGGCCCAGAAACAGCATGCTGATGTGCACAGCTCCGGCCAGAAGCCCAGTTCCAATGAGAAATGCCAGGCCACCTGCGCCAGTCAGGCGAATGCACATCAACAATGCTGTGCTATTCTCTCTGGATCAAAGTTGAGATGCCTAGCACAGCTGCACAGCTGCATGCATGCGCGCACCAACGACCATGGTAAGACGCCTGCCGTAGCGTCTGGTGACCAGCGCAGCAATTAGACCTGCAGCACCAAATAAAGTCTCAGCCATCACTGCTGCACACACAGCAGCAACCCGAGGCAAAGCAGGTAAATATTTTGGCGAATCCATAAGGGAGGGGAACTTCAGGCTTGAACTGGACTGCAAGGGAAGAGGCATGCGCACCGGCTACAGCGCCGGCAATGAACATCGTCGAAGTCCAAAGCTGCAGCAGCTGTGAGTCATACTGACAGTAGGGGTTCTGGGCGGCATTGGCCTTGCCCCTCACCACACTTGGGAAGAAGTCCTGCAGGGCATGCGTGGGTCAAAAGTTCCCCTTGTGTTCTTTCAGAGAGAGCATGTTGTCAACTGTGCAGAAAAACTTCCCCCATGATTTCAGGCCGATAGGTGCATGCAGCACCCACTCACGCTGAGGAAGTCGTCAAGGGACGCCACTCCTCCAGTGACACCTGGCAAGCACAGTGCAATGATCAGCTGATCTAGCAAGGTTTCCACCGGCACATAAGCTTGAATTTGAATTCAAACTGAGGCAAAATGGATGGCTCACCAAGGTCATACCCAAACAGCAGGCCGCCCGAAGCTGCAATAAGGCAGATCAGAATGACGGCTGGCGTGATCTTTGCCTCATACTGGGTTGCACGAGCCCCAGCAACACCTACAGCAATGCCTCCACCAGCCATGCTCTCTGGGCACAGGCCACAAAACCATTCAGCACAATGGTCAAAGACACCGACGTTGTAGCCTTGCAAAATGACCCTGCAGCCTTTTCTAATTTTCAAAGAGTCACCATCAAAACAAGAGATACGAGAAACTGGTGAGTATGTGATGAAGAGAAATCGACAAATTGTGCACGTGACTATTGAGCTCGAAAGAGAAGTTCTCCTCGGTAGAAAACACTGTTCCGGGACGTATATAGATTGGAAATGACGATCGGCTCGCTTTGTAGCCTCCCAACAGGTCGGCTATCACCAGACGATGGCGGCTCACAGCTGACAAGATGAATGGCTGAAGCCACAATTTAACACAGCAAAGACATCTATAAGGGTCTAAAGAATCTTGATGTAAGCAGAAACGTGCACCTCAGCACGACGATCGAAGGGAGGCGTCCACGGAGACGTATGACGGCTGAACGGATCCTTATTCACCACTGCAAGAGGACTTGAAATCCGGCGCGTCTCAGTCACAATATATAAGTTTAATATATATTCAAATTGTTCAGAAACAATTTTGGCGGCCGTTGCGGCCAAGGCGCTCCGATATCGGACACAATAAAGTGTCCAAGGTTACACTTCGTCAAGCTTCCTGGCAGGTGGGGTTTGGCTGAGTCATGCATTGGGAAGATTTGGGAGATCTGCAATGAAAAGGATGCCGCTTTGTTGATCCAACCATTAGCATGGGATCCCAGCTGACATAAATGTTTGCATGTGGCATGCAGCAATGTTGCTGTTTTCATGCTGATCGGGTCAATGCTTGTCAAACTATCATCATGATTTGAGGCATGCACTGCAGTGACTGCTCATTGTGATTGGCGCAGCTGTGCAGCAGCAGCATCACAGAAATGTTTGACGTTTAGAAGAGCACTCCAGAAGCCAGTGAGGGAATCTTTGCAAGGCCTTGGAAGTGTAAAAGTCCTACTGCTGGCATGCCGGCTGGTGTGCCCGCGCCACCGATGTACCTTGAATGAAGCTAGCACCGCCGGGCAATCCGCAGAGCGCACATGCTTGACCACCATCCTGATACACCACCTTTCCCACATCAAAGGAGCATGTCCCATAGGATACCACTCCATCATAATACCATTGCTGCTGGCACAAATTTAGCACTGTATTGAGCTGGCCGATTAGTAAGCGTTTCATTGTCGACCTGGACAAGTGCATTTGCGAACTTACCTGGAATTGTCAATGTATACAGGGATTGATTTTGATACTTGCTCGATGAAATGTCTCAAAGAGAGGAAATGAATAAACAAATCTTCACGCAACACCTCCCAGCAAAGCCTGTATTTTGTTGAAGGTTGAAGTGATGGGCATCGAAAGTTCTCGTGCCTTTTGTCTGCAATAATGCGACTCGATTTATTCAGTTACTAGATCGTTTGATATGATTTTTGATGGATGAGGACTCGGAACAAGGCGTGTTGCTCTACTACAAGTATGTGGATCTGACGGAGGAGCAAGGGGCAGTCAAGGAATGGATGCAGAATCTGTGCCAAAATCTAGGACTTCGAGGGCGTATCAGGGTGGCACGGGATGGCATCAACACCACGGTATCCCTGCAGATTATTAATCTCATCACCAATGCAAGAGCTGGCAACCCTGTGCAGACTGTGTCTAAAGTCTGTGCGTTGGCTCCCTGCACAGGTTGGAGGGACCATGGCTGCACTCAGAGACCACATTGCGGGGGTTGAGCGCCACCCACTGCTGGGCAGCGGTATTGATTTCAAGCTGGCGAGCTCTCCGGGACCCAGCAGCAGCCAGGCAGCCCGTGAGACAGGATTTGACTCACTTGCTGTTACCGTCTGCCAGGTCACTTCCCTGCTCACTTCCAGTGGATGCTTTTGAGCCAGTTCAAAGCCTGCAGAGTTTGTGCAAGAGAATAGCAGGCAATGTATTTCTAAGAGCTGTAGAATGAGGTCTGTCCTTCGCAATGAGCAGGAGGTTGTGGCACTTGGTGGGAGCACGCAAATGGACTTGGAGGAGCTAAAGGAAGCCACGGCGCTTCACGTCTCACCACAGCAGTTCCACAGCTTGCTAGACCAGTCAGTGGAAGACAGCACAAAGGAGACTGTCCTTCTGGACGTGCGCAATCTGTACGAGACGCGCGTCGGCCACTTTGACAAGGTGTGCTCATCCAGCACACGTTTAAGTCTGTATTTTTATAGCAAGAGGATAGAGGCCAACATCGCCTGCAGCACAGGCAGTCACACACGGAGTAAGCTCTCCATTGTACGCTGCTGGCTGATCTTAGTTCTCTGCATGTCTCATGCCAACAATTACATTTACAGGATGGTGTGCGCCTTGTGGACCCTCAGCTGCGCAGCTTCAACGAGCTACGCGCATGGCTGGACTGTCAGGCCGCTGCGCTGGCCGATCGCCGGGTGCTCATGTACTGCACCGGCGGCGTCAGATGCGAGCGGGCCTCCGCCTACCTGCGCTCCAAGGGGCCGGCCTTCCAGGACGTGTACCAGCTGGAAGGTGCTGAGTCACTCTGACTCTGTCATGGTCCACATCATAATCGGTTCCTACTGCAATGGCTGCACCTTGATGCCTTGGTTTGAACATTTTGAATAGCCATCAATATCACATCTGCTAGGGTCTAGATTGAATACTGCCAAGCCAGCCTATCTCAGACCACTGCTGATCTGCATGACAGTGCAGCTCAAGTGGCGCACCCCTGACTGGCTCTTACTACAAAGTACCTAAATTAGAGGATCCCCTTGAGATGGTCTCACTAAATTCCTATGTTTCTTATATTGTCGTGGACCAGGTGGCATCCAGCGTTACATGGAGGCGTTCCCTTTGGGCGGCTACTTCGCTGGCAGGAACTTCGTCTTCGATGAGCGTGTGACAGTGGCGGGCGGCAGCGGGCGCGTGGTGGGCAGCTGCTGCATGTGCGCGGCCCCCCACGACACCTACGAGCCGCGCTGCCGCTGCGGCCACTGCCGCATGCTCGTCCTCGTCTGCCCAACGTGCGCGTCACATGTGCGCGCGCATCCCCTTGTACTGGTAATAGGAAATACCAACTTAAGTCAGTGCTTTTGTTACCCCTACCCCTTGCAGCCAAGGGGTTGTAAAAATTCGCGAGTAGCGACCTTGTGCAGCCCGCTACAAGCTTGTTTGACCTTTGGGCACCACTACCTGATGTGCTCAGTGTCAGAAAGCTCTCAATGGTCTAGCAGTTAGAGGAGAGCCATATGGCAAAGCACTTCGGGGCCAGCCACAAGTGGATTGCATTGGTTTTGACAGCAGTCTTGCTTGCGCAGGGGCTTGACGGCATAGAGATTCTCTGTGAACTTTGCCGGCGGCGTGCTCAGTGTGAGGTCGTCCACAACGGGTGCACAGCATCATGCAGAAACTGTCAGCAGCAGGACAGTGGGGGGCCTGCCCATTCTTCACAGTGCAGATGCGTGACATCTGGCAGTCCCCCACGGCAGCCGGATTTGCACACCAAGCAGCCAGATTTGCAGCCGCAGCCAGGCAGTCGGTTGCGGATACTCTGCCTGCACGGGTTCAGGCAGAACGCACATGTATTCAGGGGCCGCAATGCCGGGTTGATCAGACGTCTGAACAGCATAGCCGAGCTGGTTTGTGTGGACGCCCCTCACACACTGCCCTTTCTAGTGAAGGGATCCCCACAGCAGCCCAGCCCATTAGTGAGCGCTCGTGAAGGCTCCCAATCAGAGCATGAGGCAGAACCACATCTGCGAGGTAGCGAATCAGATGCATACCAAGAACGGAAGCGAACCTCGGGTGAGAATGGCGCGGAACGAGCTGACAGCTGCGGAGGGTGCCAGCGGCAGAGGCATCCCCGGCGGGGGTGGCTGGTGGAGCCTGGACAGCTGGCAGCAGACAGGGTGAGATGCATTCACCATTGCCTGCGAGTTCTGCAACCGCCTGCTGTGCCATACTGCCTTGAGCAACCAGGATATGGAACAATCAGTTTTAGACTGTGGTGGACATTGCAGGCACGCGTGGAGGGCCAATCCTGCACCTTCGTGCCGACCATGGACGACAACCAGTACCTGCGGCAGACGGCAGGCTGGGCAGAGTCCTGGGCATATCTGCAGCAAGTGCTGCGTACAGACGGCCCCTTTGAAGGCGTGTTGGGATACTCCCAGGTGGGCTGAGACATGCTTCCAGCAGATTTGCAGCAGATGATGCCTTCAATGCGGTAATCCCCATCCCCAGCATGAGGCTGGACAAATGGAGTCTGCATATATCCCGCGCAAGTTGCTGAGGTGTTTGATGCTGTGGCGATATCTCTCAGGGAGCATCTGTTGCAGCAGCTCTGTGCGCGCACCAGCAACTTTGCAAAGGCAGCGCAGATGCTGGTGGCTTGGGATGGCAGCCGCTGCGCTTTGCCATCCTGTGTTCCGGCTATGCATCGCCCGCTGCAGAGCACCGGCAGCTGCATGCGGATGCGGGCGGCATAAGCCTGCCATCACTGCACGTGTTTGGGAGCAAGAGCGAGGATGGAGGCATCAGTGCCGTGGATAGCAGGTCTCTGGCGGATCACTTTAACCCGAGCTGTAGACTTGTGGTGGAGCACAGTGGCGGTCACTACATCCCTGTCAGCAAGGCTGTTGTAACGCGCTTCAATAGTTTTCTCAGACAGTTTGAGACTTGATATCAGGATATTGAAGGTGTGGTGTGACCCATTCCAGAGGAAGCATCCTGCATGTGAAATGGATGATGCAATTGCTAGGTCAGCTTCCAGGCTTTACTAATGCGAAGCTAGCTGAACTGGACAGAATGTGCTGTGGACTCGTCCAATCTGAGACATTCCACTGGATGTTTCCAGGCAGTGTAGAAGGGATGTTGTGAAACCTTTGAATTCTTCCTTATTGACAATTCGCGGAGCAAGCATTTCTGTGAATGCTAGGTTCGGCTTGAGATCCCTTGTGTTTGATTCCAACGCCTTGCTTTCACATTAAATATCCTTTATGTAAGAGTATTATTTCTGAGCGAAGACTATACTAAAGTGAAGCGAAGGTGGCGGCCCCCTGGATGCGGCGAGCAGCACGTGTTTTGTGTCACTTTTACACCAGGGCGGCGCTGCCAGATTTGCAACCTACTGCATCTGCTGCCTATATCGTTTCACAAACAACTGCGCAAACAACCACCTCTAGCACCGGGGTCCACAAGCAGAACTTCAACACTGTCACGGGTGAGAATCGGATAAGGCACATGTCGACCAGCTTCCTTGAGGTATTTATGCAGACGAAGATGCCCCTTTGCACCTTGATGGTATGTGAGTGCTATGAAGTCCTAAAGGGGTGACCTTGAAGCTGGTCTCGCAGGGTCATTCCTGCCTTGGCTTCTAGGCAATACCAGGGCTTCCCAGGAGGATCTTCCTCAGCAGAGCTGCCACCTTCACAGCAGTGAAGCCCGCAGCAGCAATGGACAGCCACAGCTTGCAGGTAGGGTCATGGCAGAGCCGCTTGCCCGTCAATGTTGTCAACTATGATCGTCAGGGGATGTCTGAAAGAAAGCTGTTCTTCTTGCAGAAGAAGACGCAGATCAAACGCAGAACAGCACTGGCTCGGGGCCGCCTGAAGATCCTTTCCTGCAGAACATCACTGCAGATGAAGGGCCGATGGCTCTGTACAAGGAGAACAGGCTGTCAGGCTTCTATCGGAGGGTACGTATCTCCCATTTTACCTGAAGTGCTGGCCTTCTACAAACATGCTACCTCTGCTCACATGTACTGGGACGTTCCATTGGGCTTATGGACGGTACCGAGAGGATGTGATCTGCGCAGGATCCAAAACAGGAGGTGACGATCGTTGCCCTTCAACGACTGTACGATGAGCTGGCTGCAGCGCTGCGGCCGAGAAGACCCAGCGGACTGACCGTTGTGGAGCATGTGGGCCGCACCAAAAAACGCGCCTCCTGGTCTGTCACCACCCCTGCAGCAGCCTGCAGGACAGAAAATGATTTCCTGCTTATCAACCTGCATTGAACAGATTAGAGTGTTCTCTCCTTTGGGGTAATGAGATTATCACTGCAGGTGGGAGGGCTTGGAGCGAATGCTGGATGGGGGCAGCAGCAGGGATGAGCGGGGCCAGCCAGCTCCGCCAAAGGGCCTGTACATGCATGGCGGAGTTGGAACCGGCAAGACCATGCTCATGGATCTGCTTGTTGGATCGGCGCCGCCTGATTTCAAGGTGGGGAACCTGATGATTTACAGCGGAATTGGATGCTCTTGGCACCTACAGGGAGCACAGGGCATGCACTTCAGGCCAAAAAGGCTGTACTTACCACAGGCAGTCATGCACAGGCAGCCATGTTGCTATGATGAAATGCAAATCCAATCCAATTGCTGTTCATTCCGATTGACCATGGAGGAGATTGCAAAATCTGAGCAATATTTGTCGAGCTACTTTATCTTCTGCCCCACGCTGGAGCCATACATTGGAATGTCATGACATCACCTGTGTGTCCAGCATTCACTCTAAAGGCATCTGCAGAAACGCGTTGCAGTCAATAATTCTGCTCGTTGTAATATCATCTTCTGCACTTTCCCACACCTCTTTTATAGGGACCTGCCCAGCCAGGCATATTCCTGCTCACATAGATCTCCATGTGCTGGTCTGTTGGTCCACATCACCATGACATCCCTTGCTATCCGCCATGTGCAGCTGCGGCGGTCGACGTTCCATGACTTCATGCTGGACGTGCACTCGCGGCTGCACCGGAACGAGCGCGCGGCCGACCCGCTGTCCTACGTGGCAGTGCAGCTGATGGCGGACATGCGCGTGCTGTGCTTGGACGAATTCTTCGTGACCGACGTTGCCGACGCCACCATGCTCAGCCGGCTGTTCGGCCAGATGTGGGACCGCGGCCTCGTCCTGGTCGCCACCTCCAACAGGTGCGCTCCTGGCACCCTGAGTCCCAGCTGGAGATGCGCCACCTGTGTGCTGGACACTGCTTCAGGGAGGGTGCTGCCAATGATGGCATGCACTGCAGAATTCAGCTTCACTCTCCTCATTCTTCGTGTCAACATGTTTTGCTTTGCTCTACGGCGGAGATGCAGAGATGCTGATCCGTTGTGAGAAGCAGAGCAGACAACTTGAGAGGCAGTCCAATTTGCACGTGACATCTGAGTTTATACTTTGAGGTAATTCTGACCATGATAACGCATGCTGCAGGGCACCTGACGGGCTGTACGAGAACGGGCTGCAGCGGGACCTCTTCCTGCCCTTCATCGCGCGCCTGAAGGAGCAGACGATCGTGCACAACATAAGCTCCGTTACGGACTACCGCCGTCTGGCGCAGCACACCAACGGCCTCTTCTACACGCCGCAGGAGTTTGCCGACCCGGACGCGGAAGCGGCCGCGCATTTTGAGGCGCTCGCCGCGGCCTGCCACACGCCCATCGGCCCTGCGGAGATAGAGGTCATGATGGGCCGCCACCTGCACGTGCCCACTGCAGGTGCGCTCTCTGCACCCTTGCAGCTGGCTTGTGCAAGCATTGCGCTATTCTGACCTGCGATGTCCTGTTGTGGACTTCAGCTCTCGCTAGCATTCGCAGTGATTATATCACCTTCTGACAGCTGCATCGATGACACAGATTGTAACGCGCGGCTCACCCCGCAGCTGCATCGATGGCACACGTCCTTTCATGCATTCAAGGCAGCACACGTCATTTCACGAATTCAAGGCAGCTAGCAAGAACAAATGAGAACTTGATGTTGAGATGGTACTGAGATGAGGAGGGCGGCTGCGCAGGCGGCGGCATCTGCATGTTCTCCTTTGAGGACCTGTGCGGCAGGCCAGTAGCGGCGGCAGACTACATCGCGCTCGCGAAGAAGTACCACACGCTGGTCTTGCGAGGCGTTCCTGTTTTCACCGGCGCGAATCGCAACGAGGCCTACCGGTTTCTGACCCTGGTGGACGTCCTGTATGAGCACCACATCCGCCTGGTGTGCTCGGCCCAGGACGACCCCATCGACCTGTTCCAGCACATCCTCACGCGCGAGCAGCTGCGCGAGTCGCAATCATCTCAGGTACACAGCCCATTATTAGGTTGTTCCTTCATGTCAAACAGCTGTCAATGGACAAATAGAGCCTACTGCAAACTTTGCGCTATTCTATACTGTGCTTTCTCCCCTAGTAGCTGGGATCTCGCGAGCAGCTGCGCAATTCACAGTCTTCGCAGGTGCACAGCGCACCAGATCTTGTCTTCACATGACATGCCTGTCCTTTGACATGTGGGACCTCTGCAGACTTTGCGCTGCTCTGTCCTGCACTTTCTTAGCTTGAGCTGGAGCTCTCGCCAGCAGCTGCAGTTGTCAGTGGTGGAAGTGGCTATTGGCAAACCGCTCTTCGAGGTGCAGCTGAAGTTGCTTGATCTCTGCAGACCACATGGGGTCGCTCTTCCTGGCATGGACAGATCCTTTGGGGCGGTCATGCTACAATAAGATGCTATGCTGAAATGAGGTGCTGTGGGGACTGAGACGAGTGGGTTGTGCGCTGTGCTGCAGGATGAGGTCATTGTGGATGACAACCTGGGATTCTCCAAGGACCGCTGCATCAGCAGGCTGACGGAGATGCAGAGCTTTGAGTACTTGATGGCCCACGCCAAGAAGCACGCCCCAGAGCTGCTGCTGGCCCTGCAGGAGGCTGCCGCCAAGGGTGGCGAGGCCCAGCAAGCTCAATTGGGCAAGTGAAGGCGGTTCAAGCCTTGGACTTGCAATGATGACGTCAGGCTTTCCAGGAGACCAGGAATGTGTTTTCAGTGTATAGGAAGTGTATAGGAAGTGTAAATTAAAAACATGGCTGGCAGCTTGTCCGCGTATGTTGAGCAAGGTTGCTCCAGACTTACCAGGACATGCAGCTCATGGTTATGTCGATGCTACTATAGGACACAAGACATTTTTATGCCAGAAATATGATTCTATATAACAGAGGTGTATTTTGCACATGCTACTCATAGAGTTGACCGATTTGCTGCCTTGTGGAAATCAGAACAGACCACACTGTGGGCCATCATTCCGAATGAGGAATCCAAGAAAGACCGCGCCTGGAGTATTTATCCGCAGTGGCATGAATCTCCAAATATGCAATCAAAGAAATTGTTGTTAGATGTGCCCAAGTGTGTAAGATTGTAATAACAGAGCGGTCCCCTCCAAGCATGAATTTCAGTGTAGTTAGTCGTGTCGTAACCGGTCAAGATTGTACCACAGCTTTTAGCTTCTCAACCCTACTCATCATCATTAAGCTGGCTGGGCTGGCTTCTTTGCCACCCTGGCATGTCAGTGTGGCCAGTGCTTTTCTACTTCCAGAACAACCAGTTGTGCAGATAAAGATTTGCGGTCAGGAGGCCCTTGAAATATGCACGTTTAATCCATGTAAACCTAGCTCAGCTCCCACTGATGTGCTGCAATATGCTTGTTACTGAAGCATCAGACCCTGAATTCAGGCATTCGAATGGTTATGAAGGCAGCTTCAGAATTGTGCAATCACGTCATACTTTGACAGCGGATATATGTAGCTAAGACTTTGCTACATCCAGCGAGCACTGTAGAGTGCATTGCAAATTACCTTAAACAGTCAATGTTCCTGGCAGGTGCTCTTTGATGAAAGAACTAGAGTATTCTGGGAAAGATTATCGGTTTGCAACTTTTTCAAATAAAATCATCTCTGCTGCCTGGACACCCCCAAGGTTCTGTGGTACCCCTTGCCCAGCACCTGCATGCGGCAAACATAATTCAAGCCAGTGCATATCTCCCTGTCATCAACATCTGAACATGGCAAATGACTGCTGACGTGGAGCCCAAGATGGTGCATCTGCAAGTATCATCCTGCAGTACACGGTCCAGTGCAATGAAACAATTGCTCGACTCATATGAATGCTCGCATGCTTAGAGCAGAATGCACACCGGATTCCAAACTGCCATCCGCTGCTTTGAGTTGGCCCTTCAGCGACTCCAGCTCGGCATAGAGGGGCTCATAGGCCTCCTCGCAGGCCTGAGCTCTGCTGAGAGCCGCTGCCAGGTCCTCCTGAGCGTTCGCCAATGCATTGTCGGCTCCACGGCTGTCGGTCTTTGTCCTCAGCAGCTGCTCCCTCAATATGAGAGTCTCCGACGCCAGCTGTGCCACAAGCACAAAGACTGAAATGAAGCTCCAAACTGGCATCATCCGCCAACAGCGCCAGAACAATACAGATGCCACCCCTTGATTCATGCAATCGACCTGTTGCAGAATGTCCGCGCATGTGCACGATTGCATGTGCACCGGACAGGACAGGTGCATTACCTGGTCCTTCAGCCTTCCAAGTGCACGGTCCTGCTGCTGCACGATAACGTGCTGGGCATCTGCACTTATACTGAAAATTCAGACATACAAGAGATACCACCAGCAGAGATGCTGGCATGGCCATGCGATGCATTAGGTGGCCATCAACGGACATTGTCAGCCATTCTGACATTTGAAATAAGCCTTTTCATCAGAAGCACACATTCACTATACTTTTAGGCTTCGTGCCAGATTCAATGACTCGGGCATGTCACCTTCGAGTTCACGCTTCAGGTACAGGTTGTTGCGGAAGCATCCGCCAAGGAGGAGCAGGGAGGTAACAATTGCTACTGCAAAGGCACTGAAGGCAGCGACTGTTTTGCGCGGTAGCTTTTCTTTCGTATCCACAGTGCCGAAGTACAATCCGCTAGTGCCTCTGTTACCATCGACAGCCTCCTTCCCCAAGGCCAACATAACGGCTGTCAAACAAAGTCCACCTTTCCTCCGCGATTGACGATGGACCTGCAAATGGAATGGAGTTGCTGGCATGGAAGAGATCGTGACAGATCGAACGTGCGAGGTTTCTCGCCTAGCTGCTGGTTTCCAGGAAGCTGCGAAGCTGCCCCGTTTGAAATCGGAGAAGGAACGCCGCATTGGCGAGATTTGGTCCGAAAGTGTCGGAGACATGTCTCGAGGACACGATGTTGTACCCTTCCAAGTGGATATCGGCTTCTCAAGCCAAAGAAGATTTCCAGATTCCTGTGTCGCTTGTCAATATGAGCATAGACCGTGTCATATAGCGTGCTGAGCAGTCAAGCCGGAGCTTGATCTTGATTCCTGGTATCCTCTGCTTTGTGTAAGAGCAGGTAATCGAAACAAATCTTGTGGTTCATTTTTTATGCTTGCACTTGCAAACTAGCACACAAACAGTGCAGGGCACACATCACTAAATCTGTACAGCAAGTTTTGACAGGAATTTTCCGAGACCAGCATTGGATACAGGTTCCTACCCAGAGCTTTGGACTAGCAGTTGCATAAACTATTTATGTGATCGATTTCGTTTGTCTTGCAGGAGGTTGGACGCACCATTGGCTAGGCTGGCAACTTTTCTGACTGCAGTAGTTGCCAGGCAATTGATGCGCAACATCCACTGCTGCAGCACTTTGCACACATCAGCACGCCTACATTCTCACGTGAGTTCATCAGCTGCAATCGTACAGGCCAGACTGTCACCCCAGAGTCTGGCCAGCCTTGGCCGCTTTGACAGGCTCTCAGTGTTGAGAGAACTGGCACTTAATCGAAGGGTACACTCTACCACAGAGAGGAGATTTGCCCTTGCATCAGCGCAGAAGCCTCTGGCACACAATTCGATGAAGCAGGGATCTAGCAAGCAGGCAATAGTGCCCACCGTTACAGCTCTTCCACGCAGCAAGGGTAGAAAACCTGCAGCAGCAGCCGCCCCTGACGCTGCCAGAGACGCTGGAAGCGCACAGATAAGCAGCCTCATACTAGAGCAGCATCACATCAGCGAGAGTGCTGAACCCCCACAGCCAGAGATCGTTGTGGAGACGGCAGGGCTGGCCAAAGCTCTCGAGCTGACAGGCAGTGCAGAGCCGAAGAAGAAGCGCGCTAGAAAGGGCGCTGACACTGTCACAGTTTCCGCCCCAGCAACACCTGCTCTGGAGCGGGCGCGCAGCCGGCCTGTGGGCGATGCAGGCTCTCCCCAGCAAGCCAAGGCAGAGGCGCATGCTGCGCTGGCAAGTGCTATTAGGGCTATGCAGGTCGCACCCAGGAAAGGCAGCAAGCAGCAGCAGGAGCAGGGGACAGCTGTGGCATCAGAGGACATGCCGCTTATCCCCCTGGCAGAGAGGGTGAAAGGCAGGGCCAGGCGAGCCAAGACAGCTCCCTTGGCTCTGGAGGCTGCTGTGAGGCCCGAGGAGGAGGGAAAGGCTGTGCCAATTGGTGCAGCTGAAGAAGCAGCGCCAAAGAAAGCCAGGAAGAGGGCAGTCAAGGGCGCTGCTGCTGCAACAGCCACGGAGGCAGAAGTGGCGCCGGCTGCTTCGGGCGTGGCATCGCCTGCGAAGAAGCCGCGCGCACCCAGGAAGAAGCCCGCAGCAAACGGAGACGCTGCACAGCAGACAGAAGGAACGGTGAGCTTGTTGGGATGGGCTTTTTGACTCTTTCTGACTCTGACAGCATGTTCTGGAGGTATCGGGATTGTTGGCTTACGATCCATCCCTGTCGCATGTCAGGCTATTGATACATGCAGACGCATCAGCTGAGGCTAAGAAAGGGCTACTGCATGTGGCAGGCTGTGGATGAGGTGAGGCCGAAGAGGGCGAGGCGAGCCAAGACAGCGCAGGTAGAGTCGCCTGCTGAGGTGGATGGCGGCCAGGATGAGGACGTGGCAGAGGTTGTGGAGAAGCCCAAGAAGAGGCGCAGCAAACAGCTGGACCCCAACGCGCCCCCTCCCTTCGGTGAGTCATTATTACTGCCTCGCGTTCGCAGTCCCACAACGTTGAGCAAGTGTCTGCAGGCCAAGGACAAAGAAGGGCAAAGAAAGTCCGAGCAGCGCATATATCGCTGTCATGTAAGACCAGAGTGCTGCCATGTACTCAGTGACGGCATGAGTCAACCACTGAGTGTCTGATGATTGTCAGGGACCAAGAATTGATCAGTTGAGATTGTGCGCAGAGATTCCTGGCCGGGACATTCTGGAGAAGGCTCTTGCTAGCACGCCTGGCCCGCGTCCTGTCCCGAACCTGGGGTAAGATCCTCATAGAATTCTAATTCATGTGTCTCCCATGCATGCCCTTTCCTTTTCCATACATTTTGGGCACATTGCCTCATGTATGGAAGACATTCATCAGTGGCACTCTCGTCCACGGCTATATTTTTGCCAGTCATCTGCGTCAGTGGCCTCCAAAGACTTGCATGCAATGTGAGGTGAAATATCGCAGGTATTGCTGCTTGAACATGGAGCTGCGGGAGCAGAAGCCACCGATCTTCACAAACCGCGACTGCATCCAGAAGACCTTCCTGGACAAGGGGCTGCCCTACATCAGCAGCCTCGCCCTCGAAAACACCCGCGCCCTCGCCGGCATCATTCACTGGAACCACCAGCACGGCATCCGCTTCTTCCGGTGCACTGCTCTTTCTCCCCTGAGCTTTGCTGTATTTTGCCTGATCTCTGAGTTTTTATCTGTGCTGGAGTAGTGCGTTGGTGCGTGACCACTATGTTGGCTTCAGATGGCCAGCATCATCAATTGTTGAGCATTGGCGGATGAGATTTCAGCTGCTTAATTATAAATACTGGCTTCTGTGTGACCTTGATGTAATGTCTGCTGTCTTATACACTGCAAAGATTTTCTGGAGGTCCTGGATTGTCTGCGGCATGTTTTACTGCGTTGTGGGCGTCCTGAGACACCCACTCATGTTTCATTATTACAGGCTGTCGTCCAACATTTTGCCCTGGTGCACGGAGTATGATCTGGAGCAGTTGCCGGACTATGCCGCCATAGCCGATGAGCTGGCGTTTGCGGGGAAGCTCGCGCGCGCGTACGATCAGCGGCTGACATTCCACCCTCCCCACTTCATCAAGCTGGGCGCAGAGGACGGGCCCCTGGTGGACAGAAGCATCAAGGAGCTCGAAGTGCACTCACAGGTGCTGACGGCCCTTCATGGGAGCTGGGCAACATGCTGTGCAGTGAAATTGATGTCCACTGCAGCTTTCATTTTATACGCCAGGCAGCTGCAAAGGCTTTGCATGTAGCTGAAGTGTGTGAAACTCTTGGTCCATCGTGTGCAGAACCATCATTGGAGGTGGCCTGCTGCTAGTGTATTGCATTTGAGCCTCTATAAGACAGCCAATTGCAAGGCACAATGCCTGATAAGTTCTCTAGAGAGCTTGTTGCCAGCTCCCTGTTATATACCATTGTGGGCAATGCTTGCATGCATGCCCTAATGACTCTAGCTGTTTAAAGGGCTACGCACCATTGCATGAGAACCTGTTGGGGTCTGTGCAGGTCTCAAAGGAACATTCCCTGAGAACCTGTTTATAATGCGCAGGTGTTGGATTTGATGGGCTACACGCCGTCGCATGAGAACAAGGTGAACATCCACGTCGGCGGAGTGTACGGCGACAAGGAGGCCACGCTGCAGCGCTTTGCTGCCAACTTCCGGCGGCTGAGCCCCGGCTGCCAGAAGCGGCTGACGGTGGAGAACGATGACATTCCCAACTCCTACTCCATGCAGGACCTCCTGCCGCTGCATGATAAGACTGGCATCCCCTTGGTGTGTTTCTTACCGGCACCTGCACATCATGAGATGTTTGTTGTAGGGTCTGTCTGCACAATCAAAATTGGGTTGTAAGGAGGTGCATCAACTGGGACGGCCTTGGTTGACTTGCGCGCTGCATATTTACCCTGACCTGCACTTTGTCTTCTGCACCATGTAATTTGTTGCTGGATTTGTTTATGTGGCGCCATGCTGGAGGGAAGTTTGTCAGATGGGAATGCTGCCTAGATTGGCTGCTTCATGAAGATGACATGTGTCTGGTCTCCTGGCTTCATAAAGAAGACCTTAAAAGTGCTGCACAGCGGTGAGCAGAGTGTTTTTGTGGATTTGCAGGTGTTCGACTTCCATCATCAGAAGTTCTGTCCGGGGACGTGGACAACAAAGGAGGCTGTGCATGCTGCGATAGCGACATGGCCAGAAGGCGTCCGCCCTGTGGTGCACTGGAGCGAGTCACAGGAGGGCCGCAAGCCGCATGCACACTCCGACTACGTTTCTGTGAGTGTCCTGACATTCATATTCTTGCAGCAACCTCACAGGGGCCTCAGTTTGTATTGTTTTGACAGGGCTGCTGCATGCATGCTTTGAGCAGACCGCGCAAGACACTTGGATCATTGAACGGTGCAGCAACAAATTGAGTTCATGAGAAGGTGCAAGACGTTCTCCCTTGGACAGTGCAGCAGCACAGTGAGTTAATGATATGATGCAAGATATGGAATCAATGGGGTGTGCAGCAGCAGCAGTTAATGAGACATTACAGCAGCACAATATGCTAATGCGATGGGCTTTGTTGTGAGCAGGGTCCCATGGAGCTGTATGGGCTGGAGGACAAGGTGGATGTGATGATAGAGGCCAAGTGCAAGGAACGAGCCCTACTGCGCTTCAGAGAGGCACAAGCAGCCGGGCCCACGCCAGACATGCAGTTGGCAGTCAAGTTTCTGTGAGCCTGCGCAGGCATGCAGCCTGATAGCACTGATATTTGTTGGTGGGACTGCTGTTTGATGAGGGACTCTGAGTTCAGCTGGTAGCATTTCTGTTAGAATGACTTACTGGAGTGACAATTGATCCCTGAGTGTGCCTGTATGGTGCAATTGACTTGAGTAATAATGGACCTGGTCTAGAAGGCCTACAGATCTCCAGAGATTACAAGCTTCCCCTTCATGCTCTGCGCTGCTCATGCATGCGTGGTGTGTCACGCCTGTTAAGGTCTGCCTGCTAGCAGCGCTGTAAAGATTGTTGTCATATCATGTGGAAGGGGTAAAGCAATTCACACTGCGCACACTTTGAAACAACTGTACACAAGTCACCTTCCATGTATATTGCCAAAAATACATCTGACTGTGCCTCATTACCCCAGGGGCCACTAGGTAAAAAGAATGTCTTGATGGGGAGCACGTTCATTTTGCTGTGAGAGCGTCATTGCTAGACATCAAATGGCAGCCCTCTTTGAGTTTCAGCAGCCATTCAATGGGGGCCTCAGGCCACCTGGGTACCTGCTGTCGACATGAACAGGAAGGGACGTCCAGTCGCTCAGGTAAGAAAGACAGAGCTGATCATATTGAAGAGATCTAGATTAGTGCCTCAAACCATGTATAGACTTCACACACATGCAGGATGGGCACTGCTCCAGCTAGCGCTAGGCGCACCATGTTGGCCAACAACAACGGGAAGAAAAGGAAGAGCGTCAAGAGCTCCTCGGGCAGGGACGCAGGACCTGCAGTTTATTCAAGAATACAGATCGTGGAATCGGATGCTGAGACTCCCCAAACAGAGTGCGAACTACTTGCTTTCTCAAATGCAGCTTGTCGTTTCCCCTTAGATTGCAACCAAGATGGCATGCATGCAAGGTGATGTGGTGCATGCTCATGCCTATCTCTTTTCCATGTGGCTCAGCTCTGTGCCTGTGCAGGGAATTTGTTGAGCTGGTCTACTTCACTATGCCGGGTTCCGATGTAGCTGACTTTCAGCTACAAGCGAAGACACTAAAGGGAAAGCCTCGATTTCAATGCCACACAGTGCCATTAGGTGAGGCATTTTGCTTCCAAGTCACTGCCTGCATGCATGCATCCCTGTGCAGCAGCAGAATGGATCATGTGATGGTCACACCGCCCAATACTACAGAGCCTGACGCTGCAGGGAGATTTTAAGGCAACCATGCCCTGAAGTGCTTGTGCATGCGCATGCGCAGAGGACTTGGTTGACCACAAGGACATGAAGAAGTTGGTGGAGCATCTGACAGCCGCGATGAGCTCTTACCTGGCTGGCGACCCGGCACACAGATTGAAGCTGATGGGCGACCATGTGGACGTGTTCGAGATTGAGGACCCAGATCATCCTGCCAAGCGGTGCACTGCCAACCTGCAGTGGCTGGGCCTGCGTCCCCAGGAGCGTGGCTTGCGCGCCAAAAAGGTCAGCCATCCCTTATCCAGGCTCCTTCACCACTGCTTCCGAGAGAGGTCTACATGAATATATTAAGACCAGCCCAATGACTGAAACATATATTTTAGTTTCTGCATTCTGTGGTGGCCCTGGCTGGCGGGAGGCGGTATAAATTCTGAGCACCGTGCCCACGGTTGAATGGGCCTTGCTTGGATCTGGCGAGTCCAACAAGGGGTAAGATTGCCGCAGCCTTCATTTGCAGCTTGTCTGCAGTGCGTACCTTGCCTTTTGGCAGGAAGAGCGTGTAATCCTCTGGTATAGCATGCAGCCCTGATTGTGGCGAAGATGGACGGAAGCAGCCCTTTTAGCATGAGTCACAGAATAATTTTCAAAAACTTTGAAGAGCTTCGCTGCAAATGCACATGCGTATGCAGGATCTGGCGCAGTGGCACGTGCTTGGGGAGTACTGTGGAGTGGTCAAGACTGGCGCGCAACTCGAGTTGGATGCCATTGCCGCCTGCGCCAGCGATGAGCGGGTCACGGGCTACATCATCAAAGACAAGGTCGAGGCATTCGACACCGACGTGGCGCTGCCAGGTGTGCACAGCTTGGGCCTTCATCACTTGGTCATATCAGGCCTAGGAAAAACTGTGAGAAGCCCCTGATCTGTCAAGGCATTATGGAGTTACAACACGATATACGACCGGACAACAAGCAATGCTGCAGCCTGCCAGAGCAGGAGTTGTCACGCGTGTACACGCAGCTATAATGCTTGAATTCCAGGTTGTAGATGGATGCATCATTGAAAATATCATGTCAAGAGCGCATTGGACATCACGCATTGTATGGCTGATGTGAAGCCTTGTACCCAGCATGAAATCGTGGCTGCCCAATGCAGGGGACCATTGGGCCATCGGCAGGGAGATCGTAATTGACGCATCCAGAGCGCGCAATTGCCTGGCACTTATCAATGACCCGAGGGGCTTCCCTGGAGGGAAGATGGCCAATGTAATGTCGGTCCAGGTCCTCGACTGCGCGACCGGCCAGCTCCACCTGTTTATCATCACCAAGCGTCCAGTCAAGGCAGGGGAAGAACTGCTGTTGGACTATGGAAAGGTGCGCATGCATGCATGCATGCATGCTCGCAGAAGCGATGATTAAATTTCATACATGACTATGCGCAAGGCACCGCTGTGTCAGCTAAGTCCTGACTGTTCCAGCTGTGCCATTCCTTGGCGGTTGCTGATGAGTGTTGCAGAGTTGGCATGCAGCTTCATGTGAGCTTACAATTGGCAATCAGCATTGATGCTCACATCAAGCTGCGCAAACACTATAGGACCAGAGCCAGGCATTTCTCAAACAGTTTATCATGCTGCAGAATTACTGGGAGAACATGGATGCGAAGGTGGCCTGCGCAAAAAGAGCTGCGGTGCGCCACAAGAACTATGACAATCAATGTTCCTGCTTTTGTGCTCTGAATCATTGATACAGTCAGATGCATGGTTCCTTGTTCTCAATTCAGGCCACTTATTGACTGATTGTCTGTCAGTCAAAATCATGCTAAGACTCCACATGTCTCTATCCTGGTGCTGCAGGCGGACAAACAGAGATTCGCAGCTCTGGAGGTAAGGTGTGCAATTTACAATTTCCCCAACTCCTCCAATTATGCATGTTGTGTGCCGTATGATCTAGAGCGCAGAAGACCGGAAGGCCATGTGCAGCTGGGGTAAATGAAATGATTGGACCCAATTTCTTGCATCATCCATCCTGTGCTCTTGTAGTATATACGTCTTTGGGTGCATTCACACCTCAGGGATTGTTTGATCCAAAACGCGAGCCATGAGGATTCTCACATGCAGGCTGCCCTGGGAGACGCCAAGAAGCTGGCGGATTCTGAGAACAAGCGCTGCCTGGAGGCACATGGCCGCCTGAAGCAGCGGGAAGAAGAGGTGCAGCGTTGTGGGGGAGAGTTGAAGAAAAAGGAAGAAGAGCTGAAGCATCGTGGTGGAGAGGTGAAGCTGCGTGAAGGCGAGTTGAGGCAGTGCAGAGAGGAGCTGAAGCGGCGCGGAGAAGAGCTGATGCATTGCATAGAGGAGCTGAGGCTGTCTGGAGGGAAGCTGAGGCAGCGTGAGGAGGAGCTGAGGTGCATGTGGCACGCACGAGAAGCTCAGGTGAACATTTCACTGTACTAGCTTTGGGGGCTTGTTGGGCGTTGGCCTGTGCTAGTCCACACAGATGATCTGTAAACACTCCTGCTGAGTAAGTCTCTGTGGTGCTCACCTTCATGTTAGCTCTGCACTTTGCTTGACATGGCCCATGGATCCAGGTGTGCTAGGCATGATGTTTTGAAGGAGTCCTGCACATGTCCAGGTGACGGAGGTGCAGGGGAGTAGGCATGCGCAGGAGAAGAGCAACGCTGCACTGCAGGACTGCATGCATGTGCTGCATGAGAAGCAGGTAGAACTGACCCGCCTGCAAGCATCCAACTGCAGCGCCAACCTCCTACGGCAGGACATAATCGCTGCTGAGACAAAGGTAACTTCCTTCTCGGCAGTCGATAAAGATGCATTGTTGTGTGGGCAGCTGTGTGGTTGATTGGTTTACATTGCATAGTCTCTGATTTTTTTGTGGTGGTTGCCAGTCGATCGCCCTGAAATTCCTGCCAGCAAGCAGAGTCCTCACCCTGTGTGGCAAGCTTGTCGGAGTGGTATGCGGCACTTGCAGCACTTGCAAAAAAAATGTACTCCCTCGTTCCAAGACTTGATACTCCATAAAAATGCACTGTCCTCTGTCCAAAAAGTGTTCGTAGCCCAGAAGAACTCCATTTCTGTGTTGCTGCAGCTCCGCGCACTGGAGCAACGGCACAAGGCCGAGTCCGAGGCGCGCATGCATAAGGAGGCTGAGCTGGAACGCCAGGTGGCGCACTACCACAGTGCAGCGGAGACCGCAGAGCGCCAGGCCGCCAGTCTTGCATCGGCCCACGCACAGGACGTTGAGACCATCGCAACACTGCAAGCCGCCAATAAAAGCCTCATGCAAGAGCTGGCCCGTCCACAGAAGCGCGCATTCTGTCCGCCGCCGCTGCAGCTGCCGCCGATTGCGGCTGCTGTCGGACAGGTTGTAAATGCGCGCTGTCTTGATCAGCCTGCAGCACCGGAGCCAGGGATCCCAGCCGTTGATGAAGCCACCAAGCATGGTGAGCCTTGAGCTGACATGATGCTCGTGAGCTGTCTTGTTCATAATAGCTGCAGAAGTGCACAGTAAAAAGACTATGGATGAATTTTTTATTACTCATCCCAGGAGCAGCGGGGGACTCCACGGCAGAGACTGGAGAGAAGCAGCCTGACCTGGATGATCTTCTCGCGCGGATGAACATCGGCAAGGGGCTGCGCACGGGCCAGGAGTCTTCCATATTTGAGAAGCCTATCAAGGGAATACCTTCGAATCAGCCAGCCTTTGTCACCCAAGTGTGACCCTCAACACTGTGTACACACTGCGCTGACACATGGATTATCTTAAAAACCTGACCAAGATGTGCGCCCTTCCGTATGGTGGGCATGGGAGTCACTGTGTTCAAAAAAAGCACGACGTCCATCTTGTGCATTTCTTTTCAGAAGCAGCCTTATGCCCCAACATGGCCGAGATTCTTTTTTGGCCCTTGCCAGGTCGCTTCTTCTGCGAATTAGTCACATTGCCTTTTCGCATATTGCTGACAAGCCAGAACAAACATACAGCCAGACAACTGAGGGTCTCAGGGCACTGCAGGCCGCGCTTGAGAGGGGCCTGGAGCTTATCGCCCCATCGCTGCCCACGTCAGCCGGCCTGCCCAATGACCGTACCAATGAGCTGCCCGGAGCAGCAGCCGCACACAATCAGCAGGTGGCACACGCCAGGCAGGCAGAGGTCAACCAGAGGGATGAGGAAGAGGGCGCAGAAGTTTCGAAAAGGAGCTGCTACGACTGCTGCTCCAAGATGAGCATGCGCAAGATCAATGCAGCGGAGGGGCGCAGCCCAGCCGCCGAAAGCAAAGCGCACAAAGCGCACACCGGACGCGCAAGCTCGGGGCATGAGCCCCGCAGCGGCCGTGACAGGCGCGAAATTCATGCCGGGAATGAAAAGCGCCGTGCCGACGGCCGCGGCGGAGATTACTGCAGGCACTACTCCCCTGATGAAAGGGCCATCTATCGGGGCGGCTACCGCGGCCGCAGCCGCTTCCGCAAACGCAGTCGCGGCCGCAGCCCGGGCGTCAGCCGCAGCCGCAGCCGCACCGGTGAGATATCGACACCTGTCTCATCTCATGCCTGTCGATTGGGGGAGCATTGCAGGGGACAAATGCCGTCGTGGAGGCTGATCTGGTCTGGCGTGCACTGCAGGAGGCCGGACAAGGAACTGAGGGCCGGGCAGGCCCCCTTGAGCATATTACCCTGGCGTGCGCATCAAGGCCGCCGTCACAGATGGTCTCATGGCACGGCAGCAGGAGGAGTCCCGAGATCGGCAATGTTGTAAACGCTAATCCGATCAACTCTCTCTCAGAGGCTTATAAAGGGGCTCGCATGGCTTGCACCCCCGGTGCTGGACCCATGCAGGCGCTTGAGCTTGTTGAAAGTCAGGTGTTGAATATCCAACGCCACTTGGACATTTTCAAATTTGAACTGTCATAAAAGTGTTGACCTGCAGTGATTCAGTGTCATTGATAGGGCATCCTCACTGGAGGATTGAAAATTAGTTAGCAGTGATGTGCCTCCGTGCAATATGGCGGCTTTCCAAAGCTTGGCAGCAGCTTCATATATTGTGCACTGTGGATTGTATCCAATTTAGTGCACCGCTGCGGTGACTGTGTGACTTGGACGCACACCAGTGAGCTAATAACATGTTGTACAGGGTGTGAAGCTGCAATAATTGCTGGAAAGACTGATCAAAGTGGATAAGTGGACAGTTGGGTGCTCATGTGAGCACCTTTGATGCGATCCTTCAGTCTTGTTGCATGTGCAGATTGAGTGAGGGCACTGCGAGATGATTGCCATGGGTGCAGTACTAGATTTGCTTGCTTGATACACCGAATAATACAGTCAATATCATCGTGTTTGTGCTTTTTCAAAAATTTGTGGAAGTTCACTTCCCATGCATGTGATCATGCATGGTGGGATCATGGGGCGTTGTCCTCTTCATAGACGTTACACATGAGATGGTTTGCGAAGGCCTGTTTGAGACATCTTCAGCATATTGAACGCTTTGGGAATGATGGAAGCACAGCTTCGCACGAGACGAAACGCTCAAGAAGCACAAGATTACCTTGCTGACCTCTTGAAATGGCAGGATGTGCAAAAAGGAAAGGATGACGAGTTGAGAAGTAAAGCAAGCGTAAATACAGTTGCACCCAGTAGAGAGGCCCTAAATCTTCCTGAGACTCATCCCGATCCTGTTGGAGTCAGGTGCACCTCCCACAAGCCATCGCTTTCATAGTTTGATAGTCAGATCAAGAAGGATCTGAGACTCTCCATCCAACGGACGTCTTGCTCGATACTAGTGGACGGATTTATACAATCATCGGCAATTGTTACGAGATAATGACGCATTTCCAGCATTCTGCAGGGATTCAATAGGCAGAAGGAGCACCCTGGCAAATCTGCCTGCAGAGGATGATCGTCCTCCAAAATCTCCTTCAGCAGGCGAAGAGAAGTCAGCAGCTGCTCACACATATGATCGGGCGTCAAGAAAATGGGACAACTTTGATGCAGACTCTGCCCTGTCTGAGCTGTCTGATGATGGTGGTGGTGGTGGTGGTGGTGGTGGTGGTGGTGGTGGTGGTGGTGCAGAACACCAGAATGGCAGCAAAGCCTCCCTGCCATCCAAGGTGTTTTCTCCCACTCATGGTCTTGCAGGCATCGCTTCTAATTCTATTCAACACGCCAAATTGTTTCTGAGCCTCATCTGTGTGATGTTCATGGTGTAAATGCATCTGTGCAGATCAGGACAAATGGCTCAAGTGGTACCTTGAATGGGACCGCCGATGAATCTCCTCGACAGCCAGAGTCCGAGAAGCAGATGACAGCTGTGCAAACACGCCGCCTTGACCAGAAAGAGCAGGCATTTAAAAGCACAATTGCACCTATCAGACAGATGCCCGCCAAGCCAGCTGAGCCCACCACTGCGGAGGGGTGGAAGGACAGGGGCAATGCCCTCTTCAGGAAGGGCGACTGGACCGCTGCCAAGCGAGCATACACAAAGTGAGCCCTTATAAATTAGTTTGGCTCATGCTTTCAACTGATCCAAATTCCACTGAGTGCCTAACAAAAGTTGAGATGGTGCAGTCATGCGCTAATACCGGTACAGGAAGACGGTCTTAATGCAGTCTGAGCGATCCTGGGTTTGCCGTGCCGCTGCACTGACCAACGTGTGTCTGCACAGGGGCATAGAGGCAGGGCCGAGCAGCGTGGGGTACGCGAATCGCGCGATGGCGAGCCTGAAGCTGGGGGAAGCTGCCGAGGCTGAGCAGGACTGCACGAGCGCTCTCGCCCTGGACCCGAGCTACCTCAAGGCCTGGCAGCGCCGTGCGGCCGCGCGCGTTGCATTGGGCCGCCACCTGGACGCGATCGATGACCTAGAGTCTGCTCTGCGGTGCGTGCCCTGTAGTACTGTTGGCCGCCATCCTGCTATGGTACTTTCCTTTTTTATTCCAGGGAACACTGCTTAGCAAGCCTCAAGGGAGCTGTGCCCTGCCATGCCACTGTCTTTCATATGCTGTGTGAGTGATTTTGCCCGAAGGACAAGAACACTGGGGGGTTGGATGGGGTAGAGTTGCCTTCAGAGACTAGTTTGTTCCACCGCAGGCTGGAGCCGACAAGCAAGGCGCTGGCAGCCGAGCGGCGGGATTTGGTGGCAAAGTATGAGGCAGCTGAGAAGCCACAGGCATCACCCAGGATTCAGATGAAGATTCGACCAGGCTCCTTGACTTCTGCAGTGCCAGCTGTAGACCCGGCCCCATTTCAGCCGCCCACAGAAAGCCGTCCTGCAAAAGCCGCCCTGCAAGAAGCGGTCGTTAGCAGCAATGCTGCAACATCTCCAACAAGGGCTCCGCAGCAAAAGCAGGAAAGCGCTCCTGGAGTAGATGCTGCAGATGCTGCGACTGCTGAGCGTACCCCATCACCAAAATTACAGAAGGGCTCTGGAGAATTGGGGCAAGCTGCGAGCAGCAAGGAGAACGTCAAAGTGCTTGTGCCGAAGGCATCAACCAGGAGCAAGGCAGAGGGAGCTCTGGATGCCGTCTCAGGACAGCATGCACAGGCCAAAATTACAGCCGCGTCACAAAAGGAACCCGATGCATCATTAGCACCGAGGAGTGCTAAGGGGGCCGACCTGAGGGGAGGCTTTCTGGGCTCTGCCCTCGCAGGGAAGTTATCAAAGCAAGTTGTTCCCTCAGAGGCTCAGCCTGCAGCGCAGACAGACACAGGGCAGCAGCAGAGCAGTGCAGCTTCCAGCCACACCCAGATTGGCTCGACAACAGCTGAAGAGAAGTCAAACCTTCAAGGAGGCTTTCTCGGCAGGGCTCTGGCAGGCAAGTCCAAGCCGGCGGCTGCTGCTATAGCTCCAATTGCAGCAAAGACAGAGGCCACTCAGGCCATGGGTCAGTCTCCGGACACTTCCACCCCCCAGGGGCCAGCCAGCCATGGAACACTGAATGGCACTGCCGCACCATCAAACAGCGAGCAAAATGGTGCAGGCAAAGCAGACACGAGCAGCAGTGAGGCAGCTGTAAAGACTGCACTGCCCTCCCCTGCACTGCCATCCACAGCGGAGAATGCTGATGAAGTGCCTGCAGAGAAGAGCACTGCTGCCGCACTGGAGGTCGCCCAGAGGGCGCTGGCAGCCAGGCAGGCCACCCTGCGAACGCCCACCTCAGGTATTTCCCCGCAGATCCTTAATGCGGCAGAACCCACGCAGCGCCCAGCACGTAGCCTTTGCAGAGTAATGTGGGGAAGTTATACCATTGCAGATTGCCCTTCTGTGGGTGTGACTCATGCTTAGGCACGTCTTGAGGTATAAAGATTCGTGTCAAATTCGCCCTCACTCTTTCAAATACAATTATTCTCAGGCAGGACTTGAAGCTGTGGGCTGAGGTTTGAGACGTCCTTATTTGCAGGCATGGAGTTTGAGAAGGTGTGGAAGTCACTGGGGGCGGACAGTGAGCGCCAGGCGGCCTTCCTGCGCATGCTGCAGCCGGCCACGCTGCCCTCGCTGTTCAAGCACGCGCTGACCGGACCGCTGCTGTCATCCATGCTGGCAGTCCTGCTGTCCCAGGTCATCAGTGAGGACCCGGGCTTCAGTGTGCAGTTCCTGTCAGCGCTGAGCGGGGTGCCCCGGTTTGAGCTGACCGCTATGTGCCTGCCGGCGCGCGAGAGGCAGCAGCTGAAGGGGCTCTGGAACGGCGCTGCAGCGGCCATGAATGAAGCTGACGCAGCTGCCTTTGTGGGGCTGAGGAAGTCCTTCAGGCTGTAGCTGTGCTAGATCCCCCTTATGTGTATGTGGGCACGTTCATAACAAGGAAATTAGTGGCACTGTCAGTTGCGCCTGCCATGAATGAGACAAGATGATGAGGTGATGATGTGGCATTGAATGAGAAAGTGCAAATATGAAAGAGGAAGTTGATGGATTAATTAATTCCTACTGCAATCTACTATCTACTATTAAGTCCATCTCATGTCCGCCAGCAGCCCCAAAAGCAGTGTCCTGTCAGACCTCCTTGTGCCGAGGAGTATGATCAGCAATGACTTATGGTATAAGCCGCTGCTCGACGATTAAGTTTAGAAGTGGAATTTTAAAATTCTGATTGGTCCCCAATTCGGCAAGCACATGATTCACACGTTTTAGGTTTTGCAAAGGATGGCAAAATTACCTTTGGGTGCACATACAGCTGGCACCTGCCACTTCATAAAGATCTACAACAATTTCTGGATCTGCGCTCTCTATGCTGTCATGCCAAAGTCACCGCAAATCGATTTCTCATTGAGTCTAGTAATAGCGCCAGTTGTAGCTTCAGAAGTCTTGGCATCATTCCCATGAAAGGTTGCTACGTTCACCACACAGGCGTTCAATCTGATACTGGCGGCAAAAAAATGCAGCGGCAAAAAATTTAAAACAAAGAAGAAGCTCCGCCGCTGAAGACAGCTAGATAGGGCAGTTTATATCAGGAGATCTGTCATACCCAAGCCCGCCAGTGAATTCATCATGGCAGGATCTGGTGTACATGGTCATCCCAAGCCCACAAATTGCAACTTCATTTGTCAACATGAAAGTGCCATATCGAGCAAAGTTAAATCCGTTGCAACAATCGCCCAGTATAGAATCCACTGGTCTGATCATCAGCGCAATTGAAGGGGTTCAAAATGTCAGATGAGTTCAACCTCCACAGCAGGCCCATCGGTAAATGTTCTCTCATGCATGCCAGTCTCATCATTGTACACCTCACCTACGGTGCAGCAGAGCGGATTTGGGTGCAACCACCCTCTTCAAGAATCGTCATCAGCAACATTAACGCCATCAAGTGATCTCATCAACGTGCAAAAGTATGTGAGCACTCACCTTCCACAACATGCTTTCCCTTCTTGCTCTCTTGTTCTATTCTGTCTTTGATCTGCTTTACTCTCTCGGCGGCCTGCTCCTCCTGGTTGGGCAGGCAGGTAAGTGTTTCATATGCAAGCAGACAGAGTACTGCAGTTACATTGCGTGTTGAGAATTCTTCCATAAATGCACAAAGACACAGCGGTACCTTGCGCGAGTCTTCCTTCCGTTTTGTGACACGCTTCTCAACTTTCGCGCTCAACTGAGTCCTTCTCTGTTCCTCGAGCCCTTCAGGACCACCATGCTTCTTGTGCGCTGCCTCCTCGACCTGCGTGAAACGGTCTCGGACAACTTGATGGCTGGGTTTTCACAGCTGACATGGTCTCAAGCAAGTACCTAAGGGTGACTGACCTGGGAGAGTAGAAAGAGCCGCATGGGACTCCAATTTCTGCATGACATCCACTTCAGTGTCGAAAAGGCCTCTGTAGTTGAGTAACCATGCAAAAATCATCCAGGAAAGCACTGCAACTTTGGAGGGGATGGTGTGACGTACTTCTTTTGAGGATTTGATTTCGAAATGCTTCCAAGTTTCTTCAGATCAGTGTCGGTCAGAAGGTACAACGTTTTGGCGTTGCCCTGAACGTAGCATTTCAGTCAGGACCTCCAAATGTAGGCTTTACCAAGCAGAGCAGGTCGACGTTGATCTGCATGATGCACCTTTGATATGAGATCATCATGACCCTTGCAGCTATTACATATCAAGACCTGCAACACCACAATTTAATCAACAATTTCTGTGTCCCTGCAGACGGTTGTAACGAGAAAGAACTTGTAAAAATGGAAGGATGAAACCTCGTTGCTGTAGCCACAGGACCAAGGCCCTACCTTGAAGGCATTATAATACTCATTGCTAAATGTTAATGAGCCGCAGTGCATGCAGCCACTTCTCGTGTCATAGCTGACACGCTCGTCTTCCATGCGATGTTCTGCAGGTGCAAGGGTGCGTATGCTACACGAGGTTGCTGTGCAGAAAACATCTGTCAGTCACACACGTCCCATATCGAGTCTCGCGCCAATACTCACCTGATTGATCTTGAGATCACCAGCTGAAGTAAGGAGCTCTACATTTAGCTAACAGCTTCCAACAGCTTCACCTGCAGGCGGGTAACCGCACGATCTACTCGTCAATACACCCATGCTGTGATGCGTTCCCTGTGTAGCATGCACGCCATCGCGGTACACTCCGTAATAATATCGCTGAGGCAATCATATAAGAATGAGTGAAGCCGGTGTCGACGGGCTTCTAGCAATTCTTGGGGACTCAGGCTTGACCAGGGGAGCAGGTGCACATGTCCCTCTTGCCCGTGTCTGTGAAATGCATGTGCCCAGCTGATCGTCGATGACGTAGCGTTAGTCGATCCATCGCAGTCATATACGTTTGTTTGAACAGAAGTGCTGCCTTGTGTCCATTGTGCAAGCATCACCTGTAGTGAATTGTGATGCCCTTCTCTGCACTGTAGTGTATAGTGTCACTAGTAACCTCCCCTGACACGTTCGAGTGCGCTTGCAGCTGAAAGGCTTTTGCAGCAAGCTGAAGGTTCTGTGGAGACGGCTGTTGCTCTTTACTTTAGCTCTGATCACGCTGCGATCGTGCAAGAGGAGTCTGAATCTCCTCTGAACACTTTACGAGGAATCCTCGGGCCTGCGGTCACTAGTCATCAGGCTGAGCAGCTGCTAGCAAGAGCTCACAATTCCGTGCATCAGGCTGTCGAGCTCTACTACAACACAGCAGGTGAGAAGGCACCCTCTGTACTACTCTCGCAGGGAGGCCCTGTTCCATGAAAGCCCTTCCTTCATACTTCTTGAAGTCCTTTTGAGTGAGATCGCATTACCCTTTCGAAAGCTGTACAGATGGGACTGCAGTACAACTTGCAAAAATTGCATGCTTTGCATGGTATGCAGGTGGTGCTGCTCCGGGGTCTGGGGCATCCAGTGAGGCAGAGGATGCAGGGGTAGGGCCTTCATCTGGCGCGGAGTCTCTGGTGTCAAGCAGGGAGGGGTCACCAGCAGAACCAGAGATGGCAGAGGGCGCTGGCCAGGCAGGGCCGAGCAGTGACCCCAGTCCAGGCTCTGCAGGGCCCAGCGGCGCAGAGCCTGTGCGCAGACCGCGCACTGCCACGCGGAGACAACCCAGGAGCGGCGCTCCTCGTGGCTTGGATGCCATAACTGGAGTGCCGGGCCCGAGCAACCCAAGAAGAGACAGGGCCTGGGAGCCCCCTCGCGCGCGCGACCTCACATTCCTTGCCGCTGCTGCTGGTGCCGACCCTGCTCCTGCAAATGGTGAGAGGCACATCACGTCAAAGAGTTGGACACATGTGTTTGATGAGCATGAAACGTGTACTATTGTGGAGTACCTGTAGACGTTGTGCTGAAAAGTGTGGAACGCTGTCCAGGCTCAGGCAGGAGGAGGAGGCCTTCTCGCAGGAGTGCTGGCAGGCTACCACCAAGGTTTGCAGATGCGGCCAATGGCGGGGAGCCAGGAGACGACGATGATGACAGCGATGAGGATGAGGATGACGACGATGATGTCATGGTCCTCGACGAGAGCGAAGGCATGCCCTCGTTGGACTCACAGCTTGCACTCAAATGCCATGGTTGACTGGCTAACTCAAGGTTCCTTGAGGCAGGTTCTGTCAGAAGAATAAGGGAGGCTGAGCTGGCAGTGGTGTGCAGATCCGTCCGTGCTAGCAGTGACAGAGGACGAGCCAGAGGCTGAGGCTGGCGCTGAGGCTCACGAAGACGATGATGAAGAGTCAGTGCCATTCCACATAGCCCGGCGTCAGAGGCGTGAGATGCGTGAACTGGGCACCCGACCCCAGATCGGTGTCCTCTTGCGGCTGAAGGTGATCCTTTGCTTTGCTCGGGGATTGGAGCCTTCAGCATGTCTGATTGACTCTGTTCTATTACAAAGGGTGTGAACCTGAAGTCTTGCCAAGCTGCTCAGAATTGCAATACATGGGAGGTCCCCACCACATCTACGACATGTGGGACAGTCACAGCCAATGCATGTCTGATGGGCTAGTATTAGACACGTTGGGTTGTTATCCTCTGCAGGAGCAGGCTCTGCAGGAGGGCAGACAAGGGCAGTCAAGACGGGGCCTGCCCTTTGCAAAGCACAGGGACGCCAGCGGCCGCATTTTTGCAGCAGAGGCTGAGAAAGTCCCGCCTATGATGCCCCCCAGCAAGGCGCTGGGGTTCCCCTTGCATCTGGGCGGCCTGGATGTGGACCTGCAGCTGCAAAATGTGAGTTCCCAACTTCCATAAGAAACGTTGACCTGCATATCTGCCAAATGCAAAAATTCATGTGTGCGCATGCATTGTGAGCGAGAGAGCATTCATTTTGCTGTTCAGGCTGAGACAGACGGACAGATCGCTGTGGATGTTCTGGAAGGGAGGCGGAAGCTTCTGGATGACAAATTTACATTCGAAAAGCATGGGTGAGCACATTTATCTGACGTCTGCCACACCTTCTGGTATTTGTTCAAAGTTCCTGCCCTTATGCTCTTTTGTTTTGGTGCTTAAAACTGCAGATCCCTGAATATCTTTATAGAAGAAAATGACATGTTCCTGTGGTTTTGGACAGGCAGAATGGGTGGCTGCTACAGCAAGCAGTCACTGACGAAGCTGAGGAGGAGCAGCTCAGCTGCGTCACAGATAGCCAGGATTATCGCCTGTTCTCTGTATTGGACAACCTGGAAAGTGCAGATGACATTGAGGTCCAGTATGAACTGAGGGTGGAGTCAAAGTCAGGTACTCACTCGCCTGCGCTGATGTTCTCGAATTGCTCATGCTTAGTTTCCAACACACGGATTTTGTCCTTGGGGCAGACGTTCTGAGAGTGTTGACACTTTGTAGCAGGTGAAATCAAGAAAGCAAAGAAGAAGAAGAGCAAGGCGAAAGATGCGCAGGTCAAGCTGAGAGCCCAAGTCTACCTGAAAGAGAAAGCCATCTCCAAAGATGTGCTGCAAGCCACAGAGCAGAAGAACAAAAACAACAAAAACAAGGTGTGCTTACTTCATTGCTCCTGCAACGTCATTCTTCCTTCAAACTGTGCAGACAGGCCCATGTGCTGTGCCATGATGACACCTCAGTCAATCTAATACATCACAGAAGTATGAATGAGTATCGTGCCTCTGACTTCTGTTGATGGGTGCTTGCAGCACATGCGCTTGTATGCGCTCATTCTGCAGCTGCTGGAGCGAGGAAGCGGCTTGTCACTGGGGCCAGATTCTGACGGGCTGCTCAACTTTTGTGATCCTGTGGAGTCCCAGACGCCCGAGCAGAGGCTGCTGGAGGCTGGCGAACAGAAGGCCGAGGACAAAGGCAAACAGAGGGCCGAAGAGCCCCTCGACGAGCAGTCCTCAGAGGTGCCATGCTCTACATCCGCTGCTGCCGTTTCTTTATCCTTGATGCATGTCTCTGAAGTAAGCAAGCTTCTGGCAGGGGTTTAAGAGCAACGTTGGTGCACTGTAGGTGGAGGAGGTTCCGAAGCCAAAGTGGCAGACAGACATCGAGAAGCTGCTAACCTCTGGGAGACTCCCCAAGGATGCCCCTCTGGAGTCGGTGCCTGCGCAGCTCCAGTCCCACCCCAAGCGCTTCCAGCTGCAGGTGCTATATGTGCTCACCTGCCAGCATGCACCTCCACCTTCAAGTGCCTGTCTGCCCCTTCATACCCTCATAATGGACAGACGACTCTCTGGCATCAGCAAGTTTGCACCATACTGTCCTCAAGCCAGGACTGTCTTCAAGCACCCCTGCTTTGCATGTCATACATGGGACATCCGGGATTAGAAGTCATCTGAGGCCTAAGGGGTTTACAGAGATTCAGATCATGCTGGGATCATGGAGGGGCAAGATAGGGAGTTTTTTGGGGTCCAGGGGTTGCGGTGGATGGTGGCGCGGGAGAGGAATGGCGATGCGGTGGGGCGGGGTCACCTGCACCTGCACCCAGCATGGCTGCAGCTGCTGACAGCAGACGGGCAGCTCATCTACGTCCACCTCATGCCGCCCCACCAGGTCACTGCCGACTTCATCACCTCTCCCACAGGTGGCACCTGCGGAGGTACTACTCTCTCCCATATATTCCCTGCCCTTGTTGTTCAATCTAAGTCTCTTGGAGCTCTTAAGTGTTGGAGCAAGCCACACCTCAGCAGCCTATGAGCAGAGCTTTGTGGAGCATCTCGCTTCCCGGATGTCAGTTGCATCATTTTTGTGTGCACGCGTGATTGTGCTGGCCTCTTTCGACCCTTCTGCCATGTCTCTCATGCCGTACAGGTAACGAGAATGCGCAGCAAGGCTATCCTTATTAAAAATTAATTTGGGCCCACTTTGACAACGACGCCGTGCTGAATCACTGTTCAATGCATGCTTATTACCAATCTAATGACGTGTGTGCTGCTCAGGCTTCCTGTGCGACATGATGGGGTTGGGCAAGACGCTGGAGACGCTGATGCTGGTGCTGGCGCACCCGGCGCCGAGCGACTGGGCTGTGGCAGAGTTGGACGGCCGCAGCCGCGCCAGCGACGCCGACCCGGTGCCCATCAAGACCACGCTGATCGTCATGCCTGCCAACCTGCTGACCCAGTGGCAGGAGGAGCTCCAGCTGCACGTCAACCCCGGCGCCCTCACCTGGTGCGCCCTGCTCCCCTGGGAGTTTCTCCTCAAATACTGCTGGTTGTCCACTTGCAAATGCGGTTTGATTCCGCAGATTCCTTGCTGGACATGTAGCAGATGAATGGCATGTGAAGTCAAGGCAGAGAAGGCTGCTTCACTGGTGCGATGGATAGTTCTGCAAGAAGTCGCGCTGCAGGAATGCATCGACACCTGATTGTCCTTGCCCAGCATTAAATTGACCAAATGATGTGCACAATGCATGGTGATATTGGTGGATGTGCAGGGGCGTGTACCAGGGGCAGGAGGCGTCATTGAGCATGCACATGCGGCGACAGGAATCTCATAATTCCATCGCAGACACGCGCATCTCGGGGCGACCGCGCACAAAGATGAACCCGGCCAGCAACACCTGGACGCTCATGGTCACCGAGCTGTTCTGCGCCGGCCCCGAAGGCCAGCCGCTGCCGCTGCACCAGTGCGACGTCGCCTTCATGAGCTACGAGAATCTGCGCAAGGAGCTCGGCTATGCCGACAAGTGCGCGCCTCTCTCCTTGGAATATGTTCGCCTGGAGCAAAGATTGCGCATGGACAGATTGCATCAGAGGTGGGGCAAGTGGTCAGGTCTGTTGGAGAGCTGAAGAGGGGTGATCGTGGCATGATCCTCTTCATCTTTCTTGCATATGTGACCATGTATCCTCTCAAAGGTGCAGCCTGCCTGTAGCAGGGCCAGCCTTGACACTACACATGCAGCATGCTGCACTTCCCGGAGATCTTTATTTATAACAAATAGGATATGCTGTATATGAGGAAGTATTGCTGTTCTTTATACTGAAGCCTTAGTCACTCAAATTTTGGCGATTGATTGGAGGGTGCACGCGCGCAGGTCGCTGCTGCTGCAGTACGGCTTCTGGCGGCTGGTGCTGGACGAGGCACAGCTTGTGGCGTCCTCCTCCAGCGTGGCTGCGCTCATGACCTCTGCGCTCTGGCGCAGGCACGCCTGGGTTGTCACCGGCACGCCCATCACCAGCCGCGTCGAGGAAATCCAGGTGCCACCTCATACTTACGCTGCTTCTCAAAGGAACATGCGTATGCCAGGTTGCATGCACTGATTTTGCTCCCACCTGTCCTGGGGAGAACATTATGTCTGCGTCATATTACCGAGCCCGCTCGAGGAGATCTAGTTCCTGCCTCACACTCTTATAAAAGTCTGAAGGAACTTCCTTATAATAGGTTGCATGCATTTGTCTCGCTCACCTCTGGTGTTGGCTGCTTATTTAATTTATTATGTATTGTAGCCTGCACGAGCCTGTGATGCAGCTGAAGAGGAGAAGGGAGAGACTAACAGTGAGGAGGAATTTTGCAGAGTGCTGATACTGTGACTGGGATTGCGCAGGGGCTGCTGGAGTTTTTGGCATACGAGCCCTTCTACGACAACAAGTCGTGGAGCTCGCTGGTGCTGCGCAGGTACGAGACCGGCTCTGAGCGCCTGCTGCCCCTCTGCAGCCTGCTCAAGGGCGTCATGCTGCGCCGCACCAAGGAGGACGTCGGTACGCATCTACTCCCTCCATGCATACATCCTCCGTGCATCCTCTGTGCTGGCACCATCGTCTCTTCTTGACCAGACAAGGTTGATTAGACATGAGGGTCATCTGCGTGATGGCATCCTTTGTATCTTAAATCAGAGGAGCCCAGAGTATTCTTGGCTGCACTGCAGCCACAGGGACTCTAGGCAGGCACTGTTTCGGAAAATTGCATGACGTATTATTATCAGTGCTAAGAGTACATGCTTTACCTGCCAGAGGCAGGATGTGTCTGCAGACAAGCTCCATCTAAATGCCAAATAGTGTTAGGAATGATACGATCAACTTGTGTGTTGGCAGAGGGTGAGCTGGAGCTGCTGCCGTGCACGCACGAGGACGTTTGGGTGGCGCTGTCGTCGGTGGAACGCGCGATGTACGAGCGCACGCGACAGGCCGTCGACCAGGGCCTCCGCCATTCCGCCGCCCGCCGACGCGCCAGAGCCTTCAGCTCCGCTTACAAGAAGTGAGCCCCTGCCGCATGCTACCCTCCAGAACATACTCATTGCAATCTCTTGCCTTGCTATGCTCCTGCTTTGCCTTGCTCAATCAAACAATCCTATATATCTGGATCTGCCTGGGACCTTTGGCCATTGACACAATCACCGCATTTCCCACTTTGCGAGAGAGCCGAAGGGCTTTGTGAGAGATTGGGTTTTCCAAGGGAGCATGGATGACGATCCATTTCTCAGCCCGCGGAAGTGTCGAAAGAAAAAGAAGAAGACAGTTTCTGGAACGCGTTTCACCGGGAGATACCAAGAGGAGGCTTGTGTTTTGGTGGAGCATGTGCTCTTGGCTGGCCGTCATCCGATCTGTACAGGACGTGCTCCCTGCTAAAGACAGGGTTCACTCCTGTGATAATTTAGTACCAAGAGGAACTTAATGTGTGCGGCGGCAGGGTGACGGCGAAGGTGGTGGGGCAGTTCACGCAGCTCCGGCAGCAGTGCTGCCACCCGCAGATCGTGCGACGCGACGTGTGGCTGGGCAAGACGCGCCTGAGCATGCGCCAGATCCTCACCCGCCTCGTCACCCGCGCATTCGGCGAGTACGACGCCGCCCTGCGCGCAGAGTACAACGCGCGCCTCCTGCTGGCCGCCGTGCAGCTCGATGACGAGCTGTGCAGGCCAGACTCCAATGGTGAGTGCACGTTCCATGCCTAGCCGTACGTGCCCCTGCTTCTGATTCACAAGCCTTGAGAGATTTTATTCTAACCAGGGTTTATAAGGCTTTTGCTTTTGACAGTTGATCAATGCTTTGCTCAGGTGTATTTTGCATAACACTCCTAGGAATTTAGTGGAAAGGTAGCATATGCTTGAAGTGCGGTTGTGCTCCAAATCCAAAGGAGCTCGAATTCGAGCGCTCGTGTCTTGAGCAGACATATCATTGCTGCGGCAGGGGACGCGTTTGAGCTGGTGCTGCGCCAGATTGAGCTCGGCATGGATCTGAGCGCGACGACAGACCTGCAGCAGCTGCTTGGCAGCCGTGACCAGGAGGGAGGCCTGCCGGCCCCCGACCTCTCCGCGCCCCACCCCTTCCGCGGCTCTGGCCCAGGTCTGCTTTTCAGCCATCTCATGCCAACTCTCTCACAATGTCCAGCTCAGAGATGATGAAACGCTGCTCCAATCATAAGTATGTCCACCACAGCAGACTTCTTGCGTTCCACATGGGCCAGAAAGATCACAGGGATCTCAACCATTTAATGTGCCGGGTGGCCATCTGAGTAGGTGTGTCATGGAGCTGCCTGATCTGGAACTGCTTGCAGGGACTGGGCCAGGAGAAGATCAAGGTGACAGAGGACTGAAGCGCAAGGCTGACGAGGCTGTGGGACCCAGCGAGGGCCGTGCTGAGGCTGCCAACAAGCGCAGCGGCACGCTTGCAGCGGTCACTGCATGCGCAGCAGGCAGGATAGAAGCCCAGCGACAGGGTGCTTCTGCGGTTGGCGGTGCAGGTGCCGCCACTGCCTCGGCGAGCGGCAGCCCTACAGCTGTGCAGCCAGGCTCGGACCATGGGGCGCCTGTAGAGGAGGCTGCACCCAGCTCCCTCCGAAATGGCAGCTCGAATGCCCAGGCGGCCGCAACTGCTCCAGGTGACCTTTCTCAACAATTGCAGTAATTAGCGCCACTCAAGCTGTCACGATGTCAAATGTTCCTTCCTGGCTTGTCACTTGGAATTTTGTCAGACTGTATAGTCTGAAATGCCGTTGCCATGAGTAATGGGTAGATGTGGTAATCACAGGGCCGGAGGACAAGGGCAAAGGCAAGGCTGTTGAGGAGCTGGAGGCAGCAGCGGAGGGTGCAGAGGCGCAGCAGCCGGCGCTGGACAGCGAGGCTGCGCAGGCGGCCAAGGCGGCGCGGGACCGAGTGCGCGCGTGGCAGCGGCTGCGGCTGGAGGGGCTCGCGCTGCTGGCGGACGTGCTGGAGACGTCCGAGGAGGCGCTCGGCCGCAAGCGCAGCAAAAAGCCGGAAGATGCTGCCGACGCCGACGCCCGGCTGGTCGCCATCCGCGATGACCTGCAGCAGGTCTGTCTCCCCTTTCTCCTCGTGCTCAAGGGTACCAGCCCATTAATTACCTCAGTTGCTTGTAGCCATCCCTTCAAGGGTGCCAGATTCTTCATATCCACATTGCTGTGTTCTGACCGCATGCATGATAAATTAATGCTATCGCAAATTTCAGGCAAGTGACTTCAGGAGCCGGGTACTATCCAACATCAAAACCCTGCCTGGTCACATGCCTCTCACCTGCAAGCTTGGCTCTTGAGGGGTGATGATTTTATTGCAGATGCTGCAGAGAGCTAACAGAACGAGGAATGCATGCTGACATCTGGGGCTCCGATGGGGTTTTTAATGACTCTAATGGCGGGTGCAGGTGCGGCTCGCGGCCGAGAGCCTGAGGCTGGTGCTGGGAGACGAGGAGGTTGAGGCGACGGCGCTGGCTGCGGTGATGCGGTTCAGCCGGCGGCAGCGCAAGATGGAGGTGGACGAGGACCTGGAAGCCGGCCGCGAACTCGAGATGCAGGAGGAGCGCGCCGCTCAGCAGAGGTGGCCTTATTGGGTTTTATTTTGGTGCCTCTCAGGAGAATTCAAAGAGGTCTCTTATGCAACTACGAAGGGTTAGTCAAGGGCAATTGGGGCCCTGCAGATTATAAGTACAGGTACCTTCCGTCCTGCATGCATGGCGGCTTCTGGTCTGTGTCTGCCTATGGCAGCCTTCTGTAAGCTTGGAAGCTTTTGCAGCTGGCCTATTGTCCTGAGAGAGATATTTGTTGTGCCAGGTCGACACAGCAGATGCTGCGGACGTACAGCCACCTGCGGGCGCGCGCGCACCCCATCAAGGCCGCCGAGAAGGGCGTCGCGTCTGCGGCCGACGCCACCACCGAGCGCTGGCACGCCCTGCAGCATCTCGCCCACAAGCTGGCCAGCCTGGACGCCTCCAAAGAGCACCCCGCCATCCTCGACGCCGACGCGGCCGGCCCCAGCAGCGGCGCTGGGCCCAGCACCGGTCCGCACACTATTCTTACTCCCTGCTGTACCCTTAATTAGGTCCCATGATCCTCTTTTATGGGTTGTATATACTTCATTCATCTACTGACAACTTCCTAGAGTGACAACAATGTGCAGTGATCATGCTTTGCCGGAGACTTGTGGGCCTCCAGACCTGCCCTGTAGCTATGCTGCGGTTGCAAAGTACAGATTGAATTGGTGGAGCGCTGAGCAGCGGATGGGGCGGTGCAGGGCCAGCGGAGGCTGAGGCGGATGAGATTGGCAGCTGCCCGATCTGCCTAGATGTGTGCGAGCGCCGCACTGTGACCTCCTGCGGCCACCACTTCTGCTCCGACTGCATCCACGAGTGCGCACCCATCCCTTCTCAATAGAAACATTCCTCCCAATATCAGGCTGATGTCCCACATGCAATGGGCTGCTAAGACACGGATCCTGTGGGCATGTTTACCTGTGCGCACTCTGGCATTCGCACCGGCCTCGGTCCTGAAAAGCTGCTCTGCCTGGCTGGAGCTTCTGTCATGGACATTGTATTGAACAGTCAGAGCATGTGACCAATTCATTCTGGTGCTGGTGCATCGCACACCGTCTTTGGAAGTTTTCTGCACAGTCACACATGCACTTTGGGCATGCTGAGTGGAATGCATGGCTGGTGCAGGTCGGTGCACAATCGGGCGGAGTGCCCGATCTGTCGCGCGCCGCTGCGGCCAGAGGATCTCTACGACGCGGCCACGGAGGAGGAGGAGGAGACTGCGCGCCTGCACCACGAGCACGTCGGCCAATACGGCGCCAAGGTGGGCCCCTACCATTCTTATATCTTCAAGGCCAGAGTAGCTTGGTCATGGATGACTGTGCCGTAGCTCCTGTGGGATGTGCAAGCCATGAACGGAAGCGTCAAGAAGTATGAGACATGCTTTACCATGCTGCGGGCAATGGAGTATTTTGCAGTGGCGTCGCGCACAAAGCGTCATTGTCCGATAAGTGGTCGTCCGATGAGTTCTCCGAGGCTACCTTTTTGCAGAGCTTGCATGCTTTTTGGGAGGCACTTGCTCCTTTTGCAGGCAGGTGTGTTCAGGATGATTTAACAATAGGTGTACCTAGAGAAATCTTGAGTGCATCTACCTGGCGAGGAGGTAAGTGCCTTACTGGACAGTCTTTTCTCCCTGGATAGCCCAGGGTCATGCAGGTGTTGCCTAATATGGTTGCTAGAATGAGTCAGAAAGGAATCTGAGGGAAGCTGTGGTCCCCCGTGCAGGTGACGGCGCTGCTGACTCAGCTGGCGGAGATGCGGAGCGCGGACCCCACGGCCAAGGCGGTGGTGTTCAGCGCATGGGGGCGCCTGCTTAAGCTGGTGGGCGACGCGCTGGCTTCGAACGGGCTGCAGTACGTGAGCCTGGCGGGTGCACAGCCGCCTGCGCGCGCAGAGGCGCTGCGCCGGTTCATCCACGACCCGGACTGCGCCGTCATCCTCATCGTGCTCTCCACAGGCGGTGAGATATCTTCTGCTGCCCAAGTTCAATTTCAAAAGAGAGGTAAAACCAAGAGATACGGCTCCCTGTGCTGGAGACTGAGGTGTGCACATAGATGATGCTTGCAGAGCCTGCCATTGTGATTGTATGCCCGACATGCTGCCCCTGCTACAACATCAGCGCGTGTGAAGCCTGTGCCAAGAGCGGTTTTCCCAAAGCAAAGCCTCGAGCGCTGTGTGAAGCAAGCAATGCACGTGCAGTCAATGGCTCCCTCCCGCTGTATGCCGGCATTGAGCGTCATTTTTTGCCTTTTGGGTGAAAATTCTTGCATGCCTCAGAATCATTGCTGAGGGACAGTTGTGGGATGTGGGGCGCAGGCGGTGCTGCGGGGCTGACGCTGACGGTGGCCAACACGGTGTTCCTGATGGAGCCCGCGCTCAACCCGGGGCTGGAAGCCCAGGCAGCCGCGCGCATCTACCGCCTCGGTGAGTACCTCTTGTCCAAAAAAAGTTGCTGAGAGTGTCAGGGCCCCTGCCCCTGTCAGGGCTTTTCCAGGAGTGATCCCCAACCCTAATTGTCTCCTGCTTGAAAGTGCCATCGCAGAGGCAGGAGCCCTGACCCAATGCCGTTACTGATGGAATAGAACATCAAGCGGTGCAAGCCGCTCCTCCAAGCCAAATGGAACACCAAACAGTTCAGCCTGCTTTATTATATTATGTTGACACATGCTTGCCAAACGAAGGCTAGGCTGCTACACGTGGTATGTATGGGCTTTTGCGTTGTCATCCTGCTATTCTGGACGAGTGGTAAGCACGCACGCCCTTGTGTGCTGAGTGCAGGCCAGACAAAGGCGACGCGCGTGGTGAGGCTGCTGGCGGAGGACACCATTGAGTCATCCATTCTCAAATACCAGCAGCGCAAGCTCAACGCCGGCGGCGGCGTCAGCGAGGAGGAATCCCTGCTGCCGGCGCATGACGTGGACGCCAGCACGCTAGCCACGCTCATGCGAGAGCACCCGCCGCCGCCCGCGCCCGTCAAATAGACCGGCCGCCGCATGTTTTCAAGCACTTTTTAGGGAGCTGGCATCTGTTTGTACAATTCTGATTTGCAATGCACGCCGTTGTGCTTTTACGCAATATTATCTTGCGTTTATGATTCAAGCAGTCGAGTCAGGGGCTTGAGAGACGTTCTGTCGGCAGGGATCTTGTGCCACGTGCTGGCAGAGCAAGAGAGCAATGCAAGAACGTGCACAGAAGCGCCAATTGCACAGAAAACATCTGTAGGCCTGCAATTTTAGAGCTTGAAACTCCCTGCCATGTTATGCGGGACATATGCCGATGTCAGTTGACGTGCGTGCACGTGTGCTTTGTGCATATTGTCTTGTACAGAACTCAGCACGTTAGGGTGCACTACTGGCAGGAGCTAAAGCAATGAGGGAATTAAAAAAAAACTTTTAAAGAAAGCTTTTACAGCGTACATGAGGCAGCAATGCCTGTAGCAATGTCAAACCCAACTTTGCATTCTGGCAAGATTCCCTTTAGGAAACCCCTGCAACTTTGACACAGTAGACAATCATGCTCTGCCGGGCATGTGCAGGCAAGCCAACATCCAACTGGTGTTCACACCGCTATCATTTCTTAATTTCTGCCGTTTGGAACTTCACCCTAATTATAACAGGTACTAAAGCTACTGTAGGTGCTACTGTAGATGACAATTTGGCTGACATCTGCTTGTAGTCCTGCAGTCCAACTGACTCAGAGCTGTAACTATATAGGTTTATCTGATTTGCAGGCCAAAAATGCGCAGGACTACAAGCTTGAGCTTCTGAAATGATTTGAGGGACGCTCTGATCTGCAGGACCTTCCAAGTGCTCAACAATCTTTCATTGCAGTCATCTTGGAACTCCAGAATTGAGGCCAACCTGTTATGTTATATGCGTGGACAATGTCCGCTGGACATCAGGGGAAAGCCCAGAATGCAAGACAGGGCCACCGCCTTCATCAGCAGGCACCAAAGTGCTGGATACATTCCAGAACACTTTCCAACAAAGAAGTGGTACTCTTATGGAAAAAGCCAAGCCCCTTCCCATCTGCCATGCAGCAATTGCCAGCACGTCCTTCCAGGGGTGGCAATTCCAGCATGTCCTGCCAGGGGCATCTGTCCATATCACTGGGGCAGGGCAGAATCTCTTGCAGCGTTCACACTGCTGGGGGTTGGGGATCGTCGGCAACGCGCGAAATGGAGTTGATGCGCCAGTCCGGCACATGCTCCTCGCGCATGTCTGCCGCGTCCTGCTTGGGATCGTAGTTCTGCACCCATAAATTACAACGTCAATTGAATGCAAGCAGCCCAGACAGCCCCCAAGCCAGCCCCCAAGGTTGTCTGCTGGAGGCCTATTGAGGCCAGTTGTGACAACCCATCATTCTCAGAGCGCTAGCCACCGAGCCTCGACTGCTCAATCCCAAGGCACGGCAGCAGCAGTCTTTGGGAGCAGCAGAACACATCTTGCAGATTGCGAGTCAATCACTCTTGCACGCTGGAAAGCCCAAGCCAGCAGCAGGATGAGAGAGCGGCTGGTATTGGCATTCAAGGCAAGGTGAAACATGGCGCACAAGGCAGTGCGAGCGCCAAGAACGGAGAAAGGGCTGCCTCGCGGCGTGAAGGGAAAGCATCAACAAAGTGTGAGCAATAGTCACCTTGCCGACGCCGGTCATTTTCTCCCAGATGGAGAGGTTCTTGGGGTTGATGGCCTCGCCGTGGTAGACGCGCCCGCTCAGGATGTCACTCCAGCGCCTGTCCAGCTCCGACAGAGACAGCCGCAGCTGCGCACACCACAACCCATCTCACTCTGCTGATGCACTGTGGGTCCGGCACATTTTATCCATGCTGCCTCTCACTCACTGTACTCACAAAACCCATTTGAACCTCTGCAATAGCAGATTGAAAAGGCAAATCATGCTGCATCACAAGTCACAACAGGGGGCCGCTGCCCGAGAATTCGCAGTGATACATGCTAAAGCAGCCATACATCTTCCCACGACGATCAGGAAAAGAAAGGAATGAGCCTTTCTTGGCCACACAATTCATGGCAGGAAAGGCTGCAGCGCGCTTGTGGATGAGCATACGCACCGGGTCGGGCATGAAGAGGGCCGTGAGCAAGAGGCCGCCGAAGTTGAAGGAGGAGGTGGTCCAGAACTTGGTGCGCGATGGCAGGTAGTTGAACCAGACCGACGCCCACAGCGCCCCCACCTTGGCCACCCCCGCACTGATGCCGTGCGCAGAAGTGCGCACCCCCGTTGGATACAGCTCGCCTGGTGCACAGGGCAGTGAAGGCGCTCAGTGATTTGACTCTGTGCATTGCTGGAGATGTTTTGAGACCAGCGGTGTTAAGGAATATTTCTAGGGAAGAAAAATTCAGATGTTCCTCCCATCGAATCTGGAGTGACAGTACCTGCCAGTAGAAAAGTGGTGCAGTTGGGCCCAAACTGGCCCCAGAAGCTGGAGAAGAAGTAGATGAACTGGAAGGTGCCTGCGCAGACTTTCAAGGCAACGTGTCAGTGAAGCAAGAGGGACCTGCATGCAGCCTTCCAAGCTGTAACTTGTTTATCGTGCAGCTCGTCTGCAAAAGAGTGCCAATGGCATTAGCTGTGAGTGTATGCTGGTGGTGGAGAATTCGCACCGAGGCCTCCCCTGGTGGTGAGTGGGTGGTACCAGATGGCGCTGATCATAAACAGAGTGCCCACCATCGCAAACCCAAATATCTGGATGCGCAGACGCCCTACCTGCCACACCATACCACCCATATCATCAACCTTGCCAATACCTCAACTCACACGTCACACCATTGACAGTTCTCCACTCCCATCTTCAGGCAGAAGCTTGCCAATCCCTTTTTTTCACACATGTCACAGCGTTCCCAACTTTTTATAAAAAAAACCTGAATGTGATGCGTGGGCGCTTGCATGAGGCCGAGCTTCAAAGATTGCATCCTGCCCGGTTCCTCATTAGACGAAGAGCCAGTAGCCTATATCTGCAGGCCCTTCAGCAAGACACATGGATGGAGCTTGGGCAGGGAATACTTAGCAGCACCTTGGGATTGTCGACGAGGGCGGCAGAGACATAGTAGCCGACGAGGGCGCAGCCAGAGTTGAGCAGGGTCCACAGCAGGGTGGTGAGGATGGAGGCGCCCGGGGACAGGATATTGATGAAGGTACTCTGGAACACCTTGTTGCCGTAGAAGCTGAAATCCCACAGGAACCAGGACCCAGCCGTCGCAAAGAGCCTGTTCCAGCCCAGGTTCTTTTCAATAATGTTATTGTCTAAAATCTGAAGCAAGACTTTTATATGTTGTATACCATGCTGTTTCTGTCAGAGGCAAGGTGCGTCTGCACGCAAGCTGCACAAAAGGCGGCCACATGCACTACCCTTCCATGGACTTGCCAGGGCCATACAGGACCTATCAACCGTGGGCATGGTGCCCAGTTGCTAGCCGGGGCTGATCTGCAACATTTGCTGCAGATATGAATATTGCAAAGACAGGCACTGATGGACAGTAGATTGCACCTGGGCCAGAACATCTTGAAGAGGAGGCCGAGGTTCCTGCTGCGGTTGCCGCCTGCGCGCTTGTCGGCCTTCCACACAGCCGACTCGCGCAACTTGTACACACGCCAGAAGATGATGAAGAGCAGCACGCCGATGCCCAGGCCAAAGCCTGTGCGCCACACGCTGTCCAGCCTGCAGACATCACTTTAGTCATATTACGTCGCTTGCAGCCAGCTTCGGGCTGATTCAATGTGTAATTCTACTATTCTAAATGTAATTGTAAGTGTCACCGCCCACCATGACATCCAAAAACTTGGATATAGATTTGGCGACATCAACAAGATCAGCCTGCCAGAAGAAGATATACGAGTGTGCGTGGACCAGAGGCAACCATCAAGCTGGCCCGGGTGCTGTGTTGAGATCATGCAGCTTGATGAACAATCACAGTCGTCCTTATGGTGACTGGCAGCGCATGACGCGCAAGATAGACGGCACCTGTGAGGCGCGTAGGGGTAGGCCTTGTTCTTGTAGTTTGGGATGGCGACCCTGTAGATGACCACGAGGATGCAGAGGACGGCCGTGTTGACAAAGTTGCCCACGCCCTGCATGGAGAACGTCAGCACCACCTGCACATCCATATTTGTGCCATCCTTTTCTGCCATATTTGTTTGACGTGTTTCCCCACAGCGTTACAGAAAGCTGCCCTCAGAGGAAGAAAGAGTTCTCAGAGTAGTGTGTCATAGATTCCCGAAATGCTAGCATGCATGAGGTAGAATCTTTTCTGCGCACTCTTGTCAAGACTCAATCCAATGATGTCCAATGATCAGACTGCAAGAAGCGCCAGTGAAGCACACCTCCCGGCCGCGCTTCTTGGCATGTGCGAGGCCGCCGGCTTCGGCGCGCTCGGCCGCAGAGCCGGCCGCCATCGGGTACTCGCCGCCCACGCCAAATCTGCAAATAAAGGAAAAATAACAATTCACAATTTCACCGACCCTGAACCCCATGCACGTCACGGCTGTCTGGTCTTGCATGCATGCGCACAAGCAAAGGTATGTGGCTTTGCACCCCTGGAAGGTGCAACCCCCTGGGAGAACATATATAGATTGGGTGGGCACCCGAAGACGAGTTGGGAGATGAGGTACATGACGGTGAAGCCCTTGGTGTTGACGCCAAAGGTGCAGGTCAGCATGATGGCGCCCAGCAGCATCAGGCAGGCAGTTGTCACACTGCCCCACTTGCGCCCGATCCTGTCGCCAATCACGCCTGCAAACTTTGCATTAATTATGTATGGAAAGTTCTATTAGTAACCATGTAGTAATGAGTAATAAGCCACAGGCCACAATGTTGCTCAGATGCCTCGCTCTTCAACGTCAAGCATTCCAACAGGATGCTTCATTGGGCCTCACAGGGCTCTGCCAGCAGCAGAGCCTGGACAGGTGACGGTGTCATCATATCATAGAAGCATCAGTAACATGCGAATGACAAATGACAGGTGCATTGGACAAGGGCAAGCTAGCCAGCTCTTTTTAGACAAGTAACAATTTGCAGGTGCACATTTGTGAGGGTAAAGATGGTGCTGGTTTGTGCGTACCCAAGAGGCACATGCCCAAGATGATGCCTGCGAAGCACAAGACACCAGCCATCAAGAAATAAATTTCCAGGGGACGAAATAATAAGTTTCTACTGCTGAAAGCTCCTGTAGCACAGCTTAATTTGCTCTGATCTTTGCAAATTGAGTCAGGCCAGGCTCGGGTCAGGACGCACCGATGATCTGGGTATAGTCTGGTGCCTGGGTGAGTGTCTTTTGGCACTCCTTGTAGGTCTTCCAGCAGTTGGGGTACTCCGCTGTGATGATGGGCCGCACATTGCCAATGCTGAAAATGAAGTAAGCCTGCAGAAAATTGATCCCTTGTTTCCTAAGACCTACAGTAATCTGCTGATGCATCTCCATGATGGCCTGCCCTATGATAATGCAAGCTGTGCACATCAATGGTGAAGGTGTTCACCAAACAATAGTAGTGTGGTGGAATTTGCACACGAGTAAGAAGTAGTACCTCACAGAACATGCCCAGCCCAGGGATCGCCCACTGAATGAGCCAGAACTGCACACACAGAAAGCAGCAGGTGTCAGGCAGGGTCGAGACTGCAGCATCGATTCGCAGCTTGTACACAGCGCAGCGTGCATGCATGCAGGAATGATATCTTGTCCTTCTGAAAGGCCAGGACAAGGTGTGCAGCTGAGAGGGAGGCTGAAGCTACCCAGGCCTCATTAAAGGAGTGGAACCAGAAGAAGGGCACATCCTCATCCTCGTACTTCTGCAGCAGTGTGCCAACCTGCCAGCATCCCAAAGTGGTATGTAAGTGTGCCTTCAGAGCAATTCTCATTGAATGTGTCATCAACAGGCAAGGGGATAGCAGGACGTCCTGTAAATCGTTAGAGGTGACAGCTAGCAGAAGCCTGAGGATTAGGCATCAGCTTCTCAATGGCACGACACAGCAAATGCAAAGTTCAGATGTACTTGTCCCAAATCCGTATTGGCGAGAGAGTTGGACTGTTCACCATGCTGTTGCGGTCAAAGACTGGCTGGCCGTCCACATCCCTCTTCAAGGGGGTCTCCACAGACAAGGGCTGAGCAGGCCTGCCATGCCCATCCGCATTGGCCACTTCAACATACGTGTCCCCCATTCTGAGGCCAGCAGCTGCACCTGCACAGCCGGCAAGGGCAGTCTAAGGCACAGGCCTGGCTGACACGGAGATCTGCATTCGAGGGTACAAGAAAGAACATCAATAATGTCAATGGTCGTGGTCATACACGAATCTGCTGTGGCTGCTCAGGTAAAGAGCCAACGTGACCTAACACGTCGAAGCTTTGCCTCCTGAAACAAAGCGAGAAGTTCCTGAGGACCACTGCTGGCAATAAAGGATCCTTTTGGAGAGCTCTATGGGAATAGAGATGCATGATCCCCACGGTTCCCTGGATCAGCCGACGGTCGTCGTCAAGACAGCAGCCTCTGGTCATGTCTGCCATGCATCCAGGGCCAGCAGAGTGCTCTTGCTCGCATTAGCTTCTTCTAGAGATACAAGAATATACCATTGCATGCCATCCCGTCCGTGATGCTGGGAGGCCGCACCTGCAGGCTATCACGCCGTCCCGTCGGCTGCTTCCACAGACGCCCTTGCCTTGGTAGAAGAACGACTACCAGACAGGGCTGCAATTTCCTTGCTGGGTGAAAGATTACACGCGTTTCGAGATCATTCTTACCGACTTGGCATCTCCAACGCCATCCATGTTGCGATTGCTCAGAAAGCATATTCCCTCCGTGACCTCGAGAATATTGGGGCATGCCACCAAATTTGGAGGGCCATGCATGGTAGGGAGTTGGACAAGGGGTTTGAGGGTCGCTTGAGATGGGTGAGTGCATTATTTCTCTACAGCTTATACTTCAACTCCCCCGGGACCGGACTCCAAATCTGGCGACGGCCCCCATATGAAACTGAATGGATCAGCGTGAACAGGAAATATCCGCCTTCTCCTCCAATTCTCCGAGAAGTACTCTCTCGTTTCATATTACGCAAGTGTTTCACTCGGTGATGGCCGCGATAGTGCTTCCCTACTTCAGCCCTGGCTTGTTTGACTTTACCGATTGTCAGTGGGACAAGCTTTCGTGGGGGAGGAAGGCATACCTGAGAACGTATATTCCGGCAAACCGATGGAAGGACTTTAGAGACGGGGAAGGGCTGCGGACAAAATGTGAGTTCTACCACAGAGGAGGTGGCAAAGAGAATGCCAAGGCCAACAAAACAAACAGCCTGTTGACGAGGGTGAGCGATAGCGCTACAAATTAAGACAATATTATATATTTCATTGCATGCATGCCAGTGAGCTTTCGGAACAACTCACCAGCTGGCCCAACTTTATGATGTGCAATCCAGGAGGTCAGGGAGGATGCTTGCTTATTGCGCATAGTACAGCACTGCAATTTTGGACCTGGCAATGCAACGGGCAAGCAGGCAGCTGCAGAGGCTTTGGCTCCAGGGAAGCGCTTGAAGCCAGCAGCGCAGGGAAAGGGTGTGAAGCGCGGTTGCATGGCCACCTTCACTGTCAGGATCTTGGCAGCCAACCCACAGGTTGCTGAGATCCGGTACTACTGCGTCGATCATGTCAACCATGGCGACGCAGCAGAGGTGCAGCTTCTTCAAAGGCCGCTCATTTCAAAGCTGATGAATATACACACAATGCCAGAGCTCAAGTCCAGCTGGGTTTGCACATCTGTCTCACTAGTGTGCTGTATGATCCAGGGGCCTGGAAGGCATCACACCAACAACCACATCTCAGCTGGCCTACGGCAGCTTGTGCAGACGCAGCTTAGGCTGCAGGTGCCAGCGTCGCGTATTGTTCAACAGAACAAAGACGAGATTCTGCAGAGGTACATGGTCGATGAGGGCATCCCAGCCAGTGACAAGGAAGCAGCTCTCGAGAGGTTGTTGGCGAGCCTCCCACCGCGTGACTATTTCCTGAACGTGGGGGACGTCAACAACATTGCTGCCACCTTGCAAACAGCATGGAAGCGCCACCCAGATCAGCAGAAAAGTGTGGAGCTCTACGTTCAGCACATGGGCGCAGACGTCTTGCTACACCAGAGGCAAGCGCCGCTGCCAGGAACACCTGATGCTGCTCACTTCGCCGCAATGGCGGCATCTCGGCCGCCCGGCGCAGCACCGCAGCCAAGCGTGGCGCCCCAGCCCGGCCCGGCGCCGCAGCCGAGCGTTGCGCCCCGGGCCGGCACGGCACCGCAGCCGAGCGTGGCGCACCGGGCCGGCCCCGCAACGCAGCTGACAGGCCCGGCGCCGCAGCCGCCCGGCCCCGCACCGCAGCCGACAGTCCCGGCGCCGCAGCCGCCCGGCACGGCACCGCAGCCGAGCGTGGCGTCCCGGGCCGGCCCGGCGCCGCAGCCGAGCGTGGTGTGTGATGCGGACCCAACAGACAACAGCTTGAAGCGCAAGCGCGATATCCTTGACCCCAAAAGGACAGCCCAGCAGTCCTATCGCTCAGTGAAGAGACCACAGGCGCAGCGAGCAGAAGCAGGCGATGCCCCCTCATTCTTGAGGCCACAGCCAGGAAGGCAAAAGACATCTGTAAATGCTGAACTGTCGAGCGCAGCGGAGGCGGAGGTGGTTGAAAAACGCAGGGCTGCCGAGACAGCAGCACAACACGCCTCAGCTGCCAGCCCAGGACGTGTTGCACAACCTGTGGCAGCCACTGCCGCTGAAAATGCGCCGTGCGTCCACCCACTGGCCTCCGCCGCTGCGGGCAACCCGGCCAACCAGATTCCACCAGCACTGTCTTCCCAGCGTGCTACAAGAGAACGGCGGCCACCCACTTCCCACCGGGACTATGCATCATAGAAGCATCTCGTGTATATCTGACCTGCAGTGTTTGCGACAGTACAGTTCCGTTTGTGAACAAGTAGTAATCATGTACTACTATACATTGGGAAAAAATTACTGTTGTATGGTCCATGGTACTGATGACTGTAACCTGTTGTCCAAGATTAGGTTCTGATTGTCTTCTTGAGAGAGAGACACACCGTACTTGAGGCATCCTGCATGTAATATTTCCTCTGTAAACACACCAGAGATCTTGCTGTGCCTGAAGGGTTGGACAGGACCTGCAAACTGGGAAACGCCCTTTGCATTGGCATTATAATAATCGATATCACTCCTGAAGAGTAAGGACGTGTGATGAATGATGGTGCTAATGTACCGCCGAGAATGGCTTGGGCAGATGAGGCATCAAGTAAGTCTCTGCAATGCGTCAGGCTTTGTCCTGCACGAAGTAGCACCCTTCGGAAGAGTCCGGTCACATCGTGTGATGCTTGTGAAATATTTCAGGCCTTGTGCAGCTGCTACGCCTCCCGTTGGCAGCTTCTACGACCTGGCAACGTCCAGATCAACCTCGGAAGACCCACCTGTCTGATGATGCCGAGAATCCCAAAAACTGAAACCATTAACGGAGAAAAGTTTTCTTGTCGCGGCAGAAATGGTGAGGTTGCGGGGCCCAGAGAGCTTCACAGGGTGCCCTCCTCCAGCACTTAGCCAAATTTCGGAACTTGAAGCCGTCGCCAGATTTGGATTCTGGTCCCGGGGTAGTTGAAGTATAAGCTGTAGAGAAATAGTGGACTGGGAGATGGGCGCTCATGCAGACGATCCCACGGAAAAGCACGATAGATTACTTGCAGAAAAGTGTGGTAAATTTCAGCTTCAATCACTCAATCATTGATCGAACCCAATCTTGCTATTTGTTCGAAGGTCTTTGCTTATAGTAAAGACAAGGATCACCGACCTTGCACACGCAGATCGTTTCAATCTTGAGGGGCAGACATGTGATATGATTATTGTTCCAAGCAATCTAAATTGTATAAAATAAATGTTGAGGACACGAAAAGTAGCTGAGAGCCTGCTGAACGCTTCTGCAGCATATCTCAAGCAGTCTGTCAGGGAGGCAAAATCCCACGTTCAGAAGCCCAACAGAGATCGATATACAGTTGTGCTTAAAAAGGTCAGAAATGAGATTGGCAGATCTCAAAACTCGAATAATTCTATAAAAGTTCGAATAATTCAAGCACGCTAACTCTGGGTGGTGCTCTTTTTCAGGATGTGGAAGGTGTAGGGCAGGAGGGTGATGTGCTTCGAGTACGGCATGGCTACGCAAGGAATATCCTCATACCGTCAAAGAAGGCAGTGCCTGGCACAACGAAAAACATTGAGTTGTATGGGAAACGAGTAATGGTAACCACCTCCCCATCCCCCTGCTTTCCACTCAAATCTGCTCACTTGAGGGCGCAGACAATAACATAGTGTGCTGCCATGGCAGAGTTCAGACATCGAGCAGGCGCATGGGGTGGTGGAGGTTGCTGCAGAAGCGCTGGACCGGGAGGTTGAGCTCGTCCTGAAGCGCCTGGCAACCAACCCGGTGGTGCGTCCCTACTTGCCATGCTGCCCCTCAGATCAGCAAGCTGCGATACCAAGCTCTGCTGCAGTTGACCCTCAGGTTGGCAAGCGGCGAGAGCAAGCTCTACTGGTCTTGTGCACAATCTTCTGATTTGTAGTCTTCAATGTAGTCTCCAGCAAGATGATTGCTGCAGGCAAACAAACAATCGCACAATCCCCGTCAGAGCGACAAAGACCCTACCAGTCAAGTCATCTGCAGGCATCAACATTCAACCGCCTGTTGATGCTTTGTGCTTGTAGTGTCCAGCAAGATCTCATGAAGGGGGAGGAATGATTGGTATGTGCTGGGGCAGGAGATGAAGCGGGCGGTGGTGAGCAAGGAGAGGGATGGCAAGTCCCAGCGCACGAATGATCTGGTGGAGGCAGTCACGAGCGCGCATGTGGTGGAAGCCGTGGCAAAGCAGAAGCGAGTCGACCTCGTTGAGCAGCTGCTCTACATGGACCCCATCCGAGAGATAGGTACGCTGCAGACGGCACAGTCTTGACTAACTGCCTTGTAATTTGCACGCATTGCATTTACACGGCGAGGCAGCCCTTACTCTTAACACCCTGGCGCTCACACTGCTTTGATGTTTGTATTCCTCTTTATCTAAATGCCAGCAATTGTCAGCAAGGAAGGAGTCTGTCATAACCCGTGGCAGCTGACATGCTGGACTTGTGAATGTTGCAGATTCCCATTTGATCAAGTTGCAAACAGCAGTGACATTTTCGTGGGCTTGCAGGGGAGTTTGATGTGCCACTGCGGATGACATATGCGGATGGCAGAGCGCCTACTTTTAGGCTCAAAATCGTGCCTACTGCCTCATCGTGATGATGTTGGCTTTACTGGAGTATGGAGTTGTGAGCTGCTCCTGTAGGACGTGGCAGAAATGCATCACAGCACTCATTGTTTGTAGAACTGAGGCATTGGCAGACACTGTTGGGCTCTCAGCTGGAAGTGCTTGACTGTGTAGCGCTAAAATTTTATTCACGATTGTTACACACTCACGTTCAAGGTATATACTTGGATATGCATGTTTCCTACCACGCATATACATATCTTGCACCACTCCAACATAATCACACTTTAGTGAAACGTCAAACAGGGACAATTTTCTGCGCACAATAAAATAGCCTGCCTAAGTAGAAGCACACCTGGTATGTGCACAATTTGCAACAAACATGGCACCCTTCTTGACGCCTTCAGTGCCGGAAATGCATTACAGCATGATACTTTATGGCCCACCGCTCATGTGCATGGTTCACTCATGACAATACCACGGCAATTGCAGTGAGCGCCTGAGAAAGTTTTGATCAATCATTCAAGCCTGACCACGTAAGTTCAGTTGTCTTAAAGGCCAGATCTGGAACCATCAAATATTTCCGTTTGACGAACGTCAATACACAGCTTGTCTGGCGACAGCTTAAAAAGCCGCCTATATGTTGTCGACATAGAGGACCCCCGGGGAGCGGGGGGTCCGGACGGGGGTGGTGCGCGCTGTGTCTTTGGGGGTCTGCCCCTCGCTCGGACGCCGGCCCGTCTGCGGCAGGCTCAGCTTGGGAAGCTTTGCTCGGCGCGCCTCCAACGGCGACACTGGCTCCGATTCCGCGGCGGCCGGGGCTGCCGGCCGGGCCGCAGCCGCCGCAGCCGCCTTCTTTTTCTTCTCGGCCTCCTTGGCTGCCCGCTCGGCCTCCTTGGCAACGCGGGCATCGGCCCGTTTAGCCGTGCGCGCCTCGGCGCGCTGCTTGCGGGCCGCGGGGGAGAAGGCGTTGCGCCAGAACTGGCCGGTGAAGAACGCCAGGCTGGCCTTGGGCTTCTCTCCCCTGCTGGCGCGCAGGTCGCCCTCCTTCTCCAGGTGCAGGAAGAACAGCGTGCCGAAGAAGGCGAAGATCGCCAGCACAGCCAGCACGGGGCCCACGATATAGCCAACAGTGTAGTTGAGTGAGATTGGCACTGGCACGATTGGCACCGTGGCCAGGAGCACCACACTCTGCACGTCCAGGCCCATGGACTGGCACGACTCCTGCTCCACCCCAGACAATAAGCCTCAACACAACAGCATCAAGATTAAAAGATGTTCTGACAGTCATCACAGTCAACAGGCATTCAAGATAAGAAGGAATGCAGGTGTCAAGGCAGAGCGCGCGCCGCAGTCTTTGCCGAGGCCAGGGAAAGCAGGCATCTGCAAGAGATGCAAATGATCATATCTCAGGGGCAAAGGTGATGGAATGTGGGAGAAGGCAGCCTACCGCAAGGGTGCTGGTGAGCATTGTGATGTTGGTGACGTTGCTGATGACCGGCTGCAGGTACTCCGCAGAGCCGGGGTCCAGCTGCACATTGGTCAGCACCGTCTGCGCCGCCGTGTTGTTCGCGTCCTGCAGCGCACACCCCATATGTCACGCTCACACCCTGCAGTCTTCCTCTGACATTGGCTATGGTGGGGCCTAATCACTTTTTTCCATATCTCCTGCTCTCAAATCTGCTGAATTAGCGATGCTGGGCTCATTATCGTCTTACAGAGCTTGAGTGGTGTGGCCGCAGCGCACCTGCAGCAGCTGGCGGCTACGGCGGCGGGAGTTGTTCTCCAGGGAGGCCTTGGTCACGCGGATGTCGATGGGCTTGACCTGGATGTCATCGTACAGCGCATTGACAAGGATCTGCTTCTTCGCGTCCGTGAAGGGCCACAGGTCCTTGCCGGTCAGGTACATCGTGGCGTCAACCGCCGTCAGCGACGAGTCCTGCACCAACCCGATCTTCATCAGGCTAGGAACGACCTCTCTGACTTAGAGCAAATCCTACCAGGCATCCGCCGTTCTTGCATGCTCACACATCCTCCCCTCATGCACTATAGTAGACACTGCTCGTCTTGGCGCTGGCCCCATCATCGGAAAATTGGCGAGAGATATGCAGACATCAAGAAAATGTCACACATTGAATCGGAGAAAACCGGAGGCTGCAGCGCACCACTGTCTGAGAGTTGCTAGAGGAAGACCCAGATGAGGATGAGCCGCTGCCGCTGGCGGTGCTGCTGCCGCCGTTGTTGCCGGAGCCGGAGGAGCCGCTGGAATAGAAGCCGTCGCCCGAGGCGGGGGCGACCGCGCCGCCGGCAACCGTCTCGGCCGGGCCGGGCGCGCCCGCAAAAGGTGCGGGTGCCGGGGCTTGAACCGGCGCGCTGGCTCCCGACGAGGGAGAAGATGCGAGCGTGCGCGTGGCGCTCGATGTGATCAGCGGCACAATCTGCGCAGATTGCATGCAAGCCGTCAGCTGTGTGCTCTGAGCTTTCACAGAGCTCTAAGATATCGGCATTGTTGTTGTGCACTGGCATAAAGACGAGTATAGGTGGTCTGGGGGGTGCCCACCTCAGGGGCTGGCGCTGGGGAGGGCGTCACAGAGTAGGAGCTCACTGGCTTGCTGCCCTGCTGGCTGGTCTCCTGCGCACGGGGCACGAGAAAATTTCAAGACCCTGGAGGCTCAGCTGAAGCAGGACTTTCTATTGTGGAGAGCACACAGTATCCACAAATATCAGGAACGATATCTTTTCTTCTTTCTACAGGAGAAAGCACGAAAGGCACCTGGGGTGCTGGAGCTGCGGCGGGAGTTGCTGCAGGCGTCACAGCAGGAGTGGCAGCAGGGGTCGCCGCAGGCGTGGCCTCAGGCGTGGCCGCAGCTGTTGCAGCGGGTGTTGCAACCGGAGTTGCAACCGGTGTTGCTGCTGCAGTTGCTGCCGGTGTGGGGGCAGGGGTGGCAGCCACAGTTGCAGCGGGGGTTGCTGCAGGAGTTGCTGCAGGAGTTGCTGCAGGAGTTGCTGCAGGAGTTGCAGCTGGGGTTGCAGCTGGGGTTGCAGCTGGCGTGGCTGCAGGCGTTTGCGCAGGTGAGGATGGAGCCTGTGGGGGCGCAGCTGACCCAAACAGGGCTGAGTTTGAGAGTGTTCCAGCGCTGCTGGATGGTGAAGCTGAGTTTGTGCCGCTGTTTCCTAGGGTGCCTGACGCTGGTGTGGGGGTGGGCGTGTTCCACAGCCCAGTGCCCCATCCTGAGTCTCCCACTACATACTGGCCTGGACTCCTGGGCGATGGAGACTGCGCTGCTGTGAGCCCCGAAAACAGAAGGAGGCTTGCTGCTAGTGAGAGTGCGAGATGCTGGCGCTGCACTCCAGTCCTCCTTCTGCTGTCAGACTGGCACTGGTGAGCCTGTAATCAATCAGCACCCCTGCTCACTACATCGATCATCCAAACCAGGCGCTGAACACCCATAAGCAAATCCCAATATGCAAAAATTGTGTCTTCAGAACATATGAGAGCCGTTAGTAGAAGGCACTGCTGGGTGCACTCACTAAAGCAGCTAGGTAGTAGGGTTGACTTGGCTCGAAATTACTACTGATGTTCCCATCGATCGTGCATACGGCAAAAATATCAACAAATGCGATATGATATGATCGACGAAGTACGATTGCAGATCCGACTACTTGAGGTGCACCTGCTTCATCACGATTACGAATGGCGGCAAGGCTGTCGACGATCCGCCAGCGCAGGATGAGTTTCTACAGCCCCTGCTGGGCTACTCCTCATCTACTTGTCATGCGGTGGAAGGCGCAAATTCTCCTGGATCAGAGCGGTACTGGGGAAAGAAGGTGGGTTCGAGGCCGAGACGCTGCGCTCGAAGCCAGCTGTCGGGCTCATGTCACCCCTCAAACCCTATCACGCACAAGGGTCCCATGTGGTGTGGCATTCCTGTAGATTTTTGCGATGAGCAGGCCCTGGGACGCGACTGGTCCTCTCCCTGTTTCACTACAGGAGATGCGCTGCAGGCAGTGCTACAGCTCTATGTGTTCCAGCCACAGAGCACCATAACAAATAGGCAACTCATGCATGCATGCATGCCATTGGATGGCTGGTGCCAGCGCTGGTGCTAGCAGCTAGTACTGGACACTGTCTACCCTCAACTTGAATGGTATGATCGATCAGAGCGTGCCTCTGATTTTGCCTTCACTTTGAAGGCCCTACTACAGATGATCACGGTCGCATGCATATGCTATCGCGCCAGCCGGCTGCGACACCTTGAATTCAGGGGGTTGGCATCAGCTAGACAGAAGGGCCCAGTGTTTCGTAGAGCACACGAAACGCATGCGCATGCATGGCCATGCTGCAGCTGCTTACTATCTGGTGGCTCGTCAGACTGCCAGTGTGCCCAGATGTCATAGAGCAACGCATGCATGCACATATGTGATGCAGGAATTACTTTTTGTAAAGTGTTTGCGCTGCAACATACAAGTGCCTGGTCGGATCTCCATTTTCACATCAGTCCATCGTAGCAGTTACCAGTTTATTTGGAGGGATCTTAACGGCGGTCAGATCACTGATTCAATGGAAATTCTTTGGAGGCTCGGTTCTGGTGAAATTGTCCTCATGATCATTCTCTAGCATGGAGTACTATGTATGCCAAATTACAGTACTGTACTTCAGATAGCTGTGTCAAAGCCCACCCCTCTAAAATGGTTAAATTGGTCAAATATCTCAACTGCAGTCGTTCCACAACATGGGAGACCCACTGCAAAGAGTTCTCAAGTGTTTGGGTTCTATAAAACACATTCAAATTGAATGAGTCATGCAAAACTGGCTGTGCAAGCGCACCAGCATGAAATGTGCACAAATCAAATGAAAAAGCAATGTTCTCAAGTAACCCTGCTCCGATTTCTTGCTTCTCAATGCAAAGACTGCCCTAACGTCTTCTCCGCACACCTCCAAGTTGCTCGGCATGCCTCACATTCTCATCCATAGAGTGACGGCTATTTAGCCGGAGTTGCACCTTGCACGCGCGTGGGCTGTGATAGCTGCTAACACTTGACGCCATCACAAGTGGCTCCGTCTGCAGCCCTCGGCTCTTGCATGAATCTGACCACACAGTGCTGTTTTTACCGGTTCCCAGTGACAAACCAGGCCTACCAGGCCTGCAATTACTGCTGCCTAATCTGGCCATCATCTCAGAGACGGTCTTCAGAGATGATTCTACTCAAACTCAGCCCTGCCAACTTTGGCCGCAGTCTCAGGAGCCTCTCTTGTCAGAGGCATTCCCCGCCTACTTCATCCCCGCCTGATCTGGCATCTGTTTCAGGAGTCAGTCTCCAGAGGCGTCCCTCGCCATTTCAGCCCTGCCTGATCTGGCCGCCGCGGCCGCCGTCGGCGCGCGCGCGGTGCATGGCCGGGGGCAGCGGGGGCCGCTGCTGCACGAGGCTGGGTGTGCGCGCGTATGTCTGCGCAAACTGCGGCGCCTCGTAGAAGGGCTTCACTCGCGTCCCCTCCTTCGGAGTCGTCGCCCCCTTCGGCTGTTCCGCGTCCGCCGCCGCCGCGACCTGTGTTTTTCACCCATGGCACGCGTCAGGAGACATGCTTTGAGACATAGGAACACCTTGAAGTTCACTGAGCAGATACCAAGGCAGCAAAGCAGCGGAACGGTCACTGAGCAGGAAGCCACTGCACTGCGCACAATATGGCCTTACGGCGAGCATATGAGTGCCTTCAGGGTGGTGCGGCTAATATAGGAGGAGTCCAAGGAACCATCATTGCAGATTGAGCTACAGCAAGGCAGAACCAACTCAGTTGATGAGGTCAGTGTGCTGTCACATGCAAGCGGGCAATGCAACGCACCCGGTTGGACCAGGACAGGCACTGCTTGTGCACGCAGACATAGTACGCGCCGGCAGCCAACAAGACGGCCACAAACGCCGCGACTGACAGCCCGACGATTGTGCTGGTCATCATGCCTCCACTGCTGTCCTTTGGTGCTGGAACAACTGCTGTTGCCGCCTGCAGCTGCACGCCTGTCACTCCCAGTCCCGCCGCCCTCAGCGCTCCCTACACCCGCGCACGATGCCCATGAGAGACACATAAGGCACAGACACTTGCGGGTCCTGGACATTGGTTTCTTTGTTGATTTCCACTTGAAGTCAATCAGAGAGAGAAGATCGATATCTGAGTCGTGCATGGAGTCATCCCAGTGAGGCAGAGGGTACAACAAGACAGGGAAAAGGCAAGGATTCCTGCGCTCTTCTTGCATGGGCTGTCATTTCTTATAGATCCAGGAGCAAAGAGGCGCCACATGTTACTGCATTGGCCAGGGCATGTGCGGCTTGCCTGCAGCTGGCCGCTGGATGTGGCGTTCTGCAGCTGCTCGCGCACAAGAGGCACCCGGTCCGCAGAGCCTGCATCGATCTGAGTGTCCACCAGCGCACTCTCCTGTAAAAGTGCAACGCCCTTCAGAGCTTCTCAGGAGCTCTACACCCCTTGTACCTCTGATGCTGCGCTGAATCTGGACGCAGCGATTTGTTCTCACTGGGCATCAAGAGATGTCCAAAGCATGGAGGCACCGCAGCTGCATCTCCTACTTGCCGCGGCTGTATTTTTGTTTTGCCTTGCTGTTTTGCTTTCAGAATCGCTATGCTTAGTCTTGCTGATCAGACTGTGAGCCACATACCAGGAGACAAATTTTGCACCACAGCACAGCGGGATAATCACCTGGAGCAGGCGTCTGCGGAAAGGCGCGCCACTGCCGGTGATGGACACTGCGCCGGGGCCGATGCCGGGCAGCACTGACGCAATAGCGCTCACGAGCAGCGCCTGCTTCGCGCTGTCAAAGGGCCATACGCCTGGCCCCTGCAGCAACAACTCTGCCGCCAGCGCTGTCGCCGCCGGGTCGCGCACCACCTGAGCGCCGGCACACAGTACAGTTATCACAAGATCGGAAAATTCGATGCTGAATGCCATACGATACGCAGATAAAGTAAATATGGTGGATTGCGCCGTCGGCTCACAGCCAGACTGGTTGTCACCTGCCCTGTGCAGCATTCATCTGGGGTTCCCAATGAATACAGTAAACCGAATTCTTAATTAACGGCAATGCAGATATAGCTCAAGGCAAACAGCTGGCTCATTGCAAGATGAGGGCAGCAGCACCACAGTAGAAGCCCCAAAAAAATTGTTATTTGGAAGGCGGATGAGAGAGGCAGGTGCGCACATAGGGGGCGGGCGGGGAGGGCGATGGGGAGCGGGCGGTGGCCTTGGAGGAGGGACTGAGCAGGGGGGCCAGCGCGGCCGGCAGCGGCACCATCGCCAGCGGTGGCGGTGGAGGGGGCTGCGCAGGGGGAGGACTTGCCTGCAAACACAGTCAGCTGCCACATCAACCGCCGTGTCAGGCCACATGGCGCTGGCCAATGACCGGCAAAACAATTGGAATAGCTTGAATCACATTCACATGATTTAGATGAGTTTCGTAGTAAGAGGGGAGTTTCACACCACTGGAGGGGGAGGACTGGCGGCGGTGGGGATGGGGGGCCTGAGCGGGGGGATCTGCGGGGGCATGGGCACCATTCGGGTCCCAGCAGGAGTGATCACCACCGTAGACCCTGCACAGCAGCACACACCTCGGCATCCCTTCATAACCGCCACAAAATCGTGCACTGTCAGAGACAAATCTTGTGTGAGCACACAAGAGAAGGCAGAAGTTTCCTGCAGCACCTCTGAGAGAAGGGACCTGTGAAAAAAAACCCTGGGCGTAGGAGGAGATACCTGCAGGTGTGGGTACAGGCGTGGGGACAGCCTGGGGCAGCGGGACAGCCGCAGCAGCAGCCGGCAGCGTAGCTGCAGGGGTGGCTACTGGAAGCGCATTCGCAGGAGCCACAGTCGCCACTGGGGCAGCCGCCGCCGGCTTCACAGTGGCAGCTGGCACAGCCACCGCCGCTGGTGTGACCGGCACCGCTGCTGGGGCGGTTGTGACTGCAGGCACAAATGTCCCAACCGCCACCGGGGCCGGTGTTGTGGCCGGCTTGGCGGCAGCTGTGCTGACAGGGACCGGGGTGGCAGCGGCTGCGGCGGCGGGTGTGCGCAGGGGCGCGAGGTCGGAGGAGGTTGCTATGGTTGCTTGGGGTGAGGTTACTGCAGAGGCTGTGGCTGGGGTCATTGTGCGGGTGGCTGGTGGCGGAGAGGGGCTGTCAGTGCTGCTGCCGATGCCAAATGTGTCCAAGAGACCTCCGAAGAAGCCCAGTGGAGGCATGGGCGGTATGAAGCCTGGCTGCGCGCTGATGTGCGACGTGGAGAGCAGGATGCTGAGCAGACAGAGGAGCAGGGCTGGCTGTGAACGCTGCCCCATCCACCATTGCTGGCTCCTCCTTCCTTTTTCTTTGCTGCATATGGCCGACGGTCCTCCTATTTCAATCCCTTGATTGCTGAAGTGTGGTTTTTGGGCAACTTGATGGACCATCCTGCGCAAGGAAACAACGCGAAGGTGACTCCTCAGCTCGGCATCGTGATAACCCTACTACCCATTGCGTCCACGGATTCTCTTAGCATTGATAATCTTTTAAGAGATTTCAGTCTCAATTACAATCTGAATGACTACCAACAATGGATGATGCACCAGAACGCGCATTTAATATTGCATATGACACAGATCGACCAGCGCTCTCACAGCTGGATAAAAAAAAATCGGACGTGCGATGGTTCGCGACACTGCGCCAGTACACTGGTCTTTATATTTCATCAGTTATAGCAGGCTTTATGATAAATTTGAGGCCCTCGATCATCCAAATTTGAGGAGCGGATTGGACGGCATCTGGGTCACGGCGATCGCTCACCTAGTGGAATATCGGTGTCCTACTCTTTGTCGCCATTACAATCAGATGCATGTCCCATCTTGCGATGGGCCTGGCAAGTCCAGGTTCCCAGGCCTTGATCCAACAATCGCTTTGAAACTGTCGCTGTCTTGGAGGGCCTGCCAAGTGGCGACGTGCACTGTGACACCTGCGATGACGTCAGTGATGCCAGTTCTCAGAAATGCATGCAAGGTTGTGGCAGTGGATTGATCCCTCGATTATGTTTTGGTATGTAATTCGCAATTTGCCTTGGATGCAGTGCACTGCCAGAGCACCATCAGCATGCTGATACCCGTCTATATAGATATCAACTTTTACAACTCTGTGCGGCGCCCGCCCGCAGCCGAGTTTCACATGCTTCTAGCACCGACAGCAGCTCTCTGTCACACTCCTCATCGTCCTGCATACCCTCAAAGATCCCGAGGCCACTGCCACATGCCACACTGGCTACCAGCTTGTCAATGCCTACACTTGCACTACTTGGCTGCACACTCGTGCGAGCTCTATCACAAGGCTTTAATGTGTTTCCCGAGTGACAGGTCCTTGCTTGAAGAAGCGCCACGTCATTGCATGTCCCTTGCTCGGCTGCGCCAGCTGATTCAGGGTGGGCGACTGCTGCTTGATGCTCTGACTGCAGCCGAGCCACAATTTCCTTCGGCAGCGGCATCATGTCAGAACGGTAGCCCCTGCACTCCGGGTCATAGCACTTCTGGTACCACGCGCCCTCCTGCAGCAAAACCACTGCCCTTTTAAAACTGACACACGATGCTACTTGCCCATTCTGACATCCCCAGCAGGAGTTGAAAATGTCCTCAGTCTGCCTTGGCTCACTTTGCCTTTGCCAAGGGAGCTCCTTTAGTGCTCCTCAGCAGGGAATCATTGCATTGTGGCTGTATCATGTTCACATGCGAGTCAGTTCTTGCTCTCATTTCTGTCCCTCGGTCTGCCTTGATGTCCGCATCTTTCTTTAACTAATTTGCCAAGGGAGCAATGTGGGCGGCAGGGGATGAGCGCGTGCCTGCAGGGAGATGACATAGAAGATACCGTTGCTCCGGTGGGGCCGGCCGATGTTGGCGCACCAGCGGTTGCGCTTCATGTTGAGCAGCAGCAGACCCGCCTCCGGCCACTCCACCCACGACCTCACCTCCCCCTGAACTCCCCCCTGCGCCCAGCCAGCAACATCTCTTCCTCTGCCCCTCAGTGTATGCCGGTATGTAGCCTGCCCAGTACCATGTGATGCAGCCGAAAGTACTGCGCCGGGAACTTCATAGGGACTCAGGCAATATCTGCTGCATTTTTATTAAGATATGGCCCGCCCAAACAAGATCGAGCTGCAGAATCTGCAGCTGGAGAGCTTGAAACAACAGCATATTCATATACAAATCTGAAAAGGAGACTTACGTGCTGTCAAGCAAGTGCCTAAATCCGGACAATCTTTTGTGTCTGCTCTGAGCTGCTGCAGCACATTACTGGGTGCAGCATGATTCCGGAAAGGGGCTGTATGGAGAAGAAAAGGGGTTGCACCATGTTGCACACAGAGGTGATGAAAAGCTCAATGTCCGGGTGGCGGGATGGCCCAATCCGCGGCTGTGCGCATCTCCCAATTGCCGCCTCGCTGTCTATCAAGCGGCCTCCAACCTGTCCATGCCTGACGCAACAAGGAAAATGGCTTGGAGCAGATCTTTTGTTCCTGTAAGTGATACTGGCAGTCCAATGAGAGAGCATCCACGGGTCAAAATGAGCACTATCTGTGCGTGTTGATATGCAAGGATATGCGGTGCACAAGAGGGACACTAGGGCAAAAGCAGGAGAGCACCTGGCCCAGGAGAAAGGAACTCCATCCGCTTCCTCATAGCAGCGCAGCAGGCGGCAACCCTCAGACACATTGCAGATGAGGGACGCGAAGAATGTGTCTCTGTGCGAGAGCTTGGCACCCTGGAACCGTGCTGCACCCACAAAGACAATGCTGCCATCACAAATTGTGAGAGTGAAACCATCAACTCGCAGAAGAGTCTCACTCCCCTAATTGGTATCTTTATGCCAACACAGATAAAGACACACATTCTTCTGTGCTTGCCACCGAACAGCGAGCAGTGGGATGGTTGTATACCTGTGGGCTGGAGGATCCACTGCTTGCCAGCCTTCGAAGACAGGAAGAGCCGAAAAGCCCTGTTGCGCGTGTACACTCCACCATCGATGAAGAGTGTTCTGCTGCCGTCAGCATCCTGCAAATAACACTCACACTTGGCCTGCCACTGCATGAAGCCTCTTCACACATGCATCTGCATCCAGGCAGTCAGGTCATGGTAGTCCATGCATGTCATGTGGCCATCCAGAAAGCGCTGGTTGAGGTTTCACCTTGTTGATAAGTAATTGCTGGACAGGACTCTCTGGGTCTGTGCCCTCCTGGGCAGCGCACATGTCCTTGACAAAGGCGCCAACGTGGAAGTTGTTCTGGAAGGCTGCGCCGGGGATTTTCACAATGACATGGCGCGAGAACTTGTGCGGCGAGGATGAGTCCATCTCCAGCACCCACGAGTCTTCCATCTCTAGCTGAAACTTCTCCTGCATCCGGCACACAAGCATCAGGATATTGCCACGAGTACAAACTAGCTTCAAGGCAAAGTGGGTAGCGGCTGCATGCATATTGCAGGGAGGATGGCAGAGCTGATTCAACCTGGAGTTGCTCTGCACAGAGCTTGAGCACGATGCCCACAAGGCTGTCCCCATCCACACCCGCATTGAAATCCTTCTGATACTCCAGGTCTATCAGCAGCAGCAGCAACACAGGTCAATCTAGGGGTCCCTGGCAATACAGGCCTCATAGCAATTCCTGGTCAAATGGTCTCTTGGCAACACAGACCTCATGGCCAACTCTTGGTATGAACTTGTACAGAGGTGCAGCAGAAAAGGTGCAAGTGCGAGATGCACCAAAGTAGAGGTGGTAAAGCTTGACATTGTCCTTGTATAAAGGTGCAGCAGAAAAGGTGCAAGTGTTTAACACACCGAAGTAGAGGTGGCAAGGGTATCCCTGGCGGATGATCTCATAGCAGTGGCGGTGCTGGGGCAGCATGTCCCTGTAGCGCTTCCAAAACCCCTCGAGGGTGGTTGCTATAAATGAACGCTTGCCCTCTGGGCCCCTCTCTGAAGAGAAGATCCTGTGCAACAGCACGATGCGGTCTGACCAGGCACACACAAGAGCCCCGATACACAGAATATCAAGTGTTGGTGGGACCAGGTGTGTTGGAAAGGTGTCCACCTGACATCTGGAGCATCTGGGTGGTTGTCTGCCCATTGAAAGGCTGGCTCTTGCAGCGGAAACACCTGCATCAAGGCACTAAAAGTAATGTCCAATAATTTGACCGCGAATGGAATGTTCCAGTGACGTTGTCTGCTGTCAGGTGCTGTGTGCAGTGCTGAGGCTAGGATCGCAGACCCACTTTGTATGGATCAGAGGCGCCTCCATGCAGCTTCTGTCTGACTGCAGCCAGCAGCCGCAGGACACAGCGCTCCACTTCCCCCAGCCGCCACTTGCTGTAAAAGATCCTCTCCCCAAGGCTCTGCAAGCCTGCACAAAAGAGAAGCACGGTCATCTTAACAGAAGCGGGGGCGATTGAATTGGCTTTTCTGTGTCAGATGCGTTGCATGAATAGGTAAAGGTTGAGCAGGGTTGAAAACGCTTGTCATGAAGCTGCTGGTTGAAGTAGGAGCTTGCCTGGTCGTCCTGATGTCGAAGCATCTTCGCCCCGACTTCTGCGCCCTGGATCTGCACCTTGCTCCTCGGCCGCACTGATGTGCTGTTCAGAAGCTGTGTCCTGCAGTGCCTGTCCTGTGCAAGACTGGCCTGTATTGTTGCACTCTGCTGGCAGCGCTGCTGACTTTTCTTGCGCATCGTCTTTTAAACGGATTTTTTTGCTGCTGGATCGTTGAGGTTTCAACACTGTGCCTGGCGTTCTTTTGCTGGGCAAGACTCGGTCTGCAACAAATCAGTGGCTTACTTCAACATTGATCTCATGGGGTGCAGAAGGTCAGAAAGAGATCAACTCTACATGCAACATACCTGGTATTTTTGAAGTGCAGTTTCTAGTATAATTCGTCACACACTGCAATAGAGATATGTTTTTGGAATCTCCATCTGCCATCCTGCTCAGCCCTGCTCTCTGGTCCTCACTTGGTATCCTGGAGAGAGCGCATCGGGATCAATGCAGAGAAATGATACAAGGTAAGCTAATACAGCAGATTAGTGCTTTGCGGAAGGAGGAAAGGCTGTCCTTTGCGATCCAAGGAAGTGCGTTTGAAAATGAGGTAGCGCATCTGACGAAGCAGCTGTTGTGGCTCAGCCGATTCACAACTTTAAATTATTGATATCACTGCCCTCAAAATTCACCTCGATCGATTCATTGGTAGCAATGCATATGTTGTGGAAGGACTGAACGGCGCTTATTTATCACGCGAATAATTATTTACAAAATCTCCATCCCAAACCAACAGCAGATGGTCAAATTTGACCTGTCTCGATGCTCAGAGATTTTCAATAGTCAATCATAATGGGGAAAAAGAAGATCCAATATGATGGAGGTCACTACTCACGGGGCCCATACCACAAAGACCAACTCAGACCTCCTTCAGCAGGTAAGTGTTTGAAAGGCAGTTGCTGCACACATCGAAAGCACAATGCCTGGTATTGATGTCACAATGTCGATGTGACAGTGGGGCATTTAACCTCTCTTGAGGCCCCAATGTCTGAATCTCTAAGACTGCCCCTGCACTGCCAGGACCTGGAGAGTATGGCGGGTTGGAGCGCCACGCCCTGTATGAGAGCGCGGTGCAGAGCCCCCAGGGGGACATCTCATACCTGCTGCGCTTCTACAAGCTCTACGTGGGCATGCGGGTACAGCTTCTCATGCAAATTACCCACCACGGTTTCCAACAGTTTTATGCACCTCTGCTTGGCCTTCCTTTTGGCTATCACTTTGCCATCGATGGCTAACAGCTGCATGTCACGGCGCAGGTACCAGAGCATCTACGCGAGGACTTCTGCGGCACAGCGCTGATCTCAGCAACCTGGTGCCGGGGGGATGTTAGGCGGACAGCCATCGGGCTGGACATTGACCACCAGGCGCTCCAATGGGGACTCTCACACCACGGCGACGGCCTAACAGAGGATCCCCGGCCGCGGCTGAGCCTCTTCCAGGGGGATGTGCGTGAACCTCTGGATGCTGGGCAACTGGTCACGCCGCCATCTGCGCCCACGGATGCAGCTGAAGCCGTGGCTCGCATGACAGTCACAGCGAAGGTCGACGAAGAAGCTAATGGGAGCAGTAGCGGCGGTGGAGCGCAGGAGGCAAGTGCTGCTGAGGTGCAGCATGGGAGTGAGTCAGAGGATGACGGAGAGGAAGCAGAAGGCAGCGGCAGCTGCGCAGCAAAGCCGGTTGATATAAGCTGCGCCCTGAACTTCAGCGTCTGCCTCTTACACCTGCGCTCAGATGTCGTGGTGGGGCCACTTCCCAACATTTTCACCACCCTTTCATGACCAACATCAGCCATGTGAATTTACCACTTGTCACATCTAGCTTCTTCCCTCCCCGTGCCAGCATCGCTGGGAGCAATGCGTGAGAGATGTGATGTGATGCGCAGAGGTATTTCCGGCATGCGCGGCAGGCGATGAATCCGCAGGGGGGCATCTTTGTAATGGATTTGCTGGGCGGCCACGCGGCAGAGTCGACGGTGTCTACCCCTCGCCACAACGAGATTACGGGCGCGCACTTTGTGTGGGAGCAGGAAGGATACAACCCCTGCACGCGCCACATCCGCTGCTACATCCACCTCAGAGACCCCGCCACGCGCAAGGTACCCTGCTTGCCCACTCTTGCCCCTGCTTGGGATCCGTGTGTCTCTGTGAAGCTCTGGATAGAAGGGTCTCAGTGCTGATACTAGGATGGTGAGCGGGCGGATTTGCTGCAGATGTTGCGGCGGGCGTTCAGGTACGACTGGCGGCTGTGGACGATCCCTGAGCTAGCTGAGATGCTGGAGGAGGCAGGCTTCGACGGCATGAGAGCCTGGCTGCGGCCGATGAAGGTGCAAGCTCTGACTGCTCCAGACCTTCCTTTCTTTACATTCTCTGTCAATATAGCTAGCTAAGTTGAGCGCTCGACCTGGAGGATTACATTCGCAGTGATGACAGCTGATAGAGTGCAACCCGGCAGATGTTTTCATATTTCAATACAGGAACTGCGAAGTGAAGAGTTGGATGTGTGCTTGGCAGGAGGGACCTGATGATGACAGCGAAGGAGGCAGCTGCAGCTCTGAGTCTAGCGAGGATGGAGAAGCAGACTTTGTGGAGTACACAAGCAAGGCATTTGATAGCAGACAGATGGATATGCTGAGCAAGGGTTGGACAGCTTTCATTGTGGGCATTGTTGCCCCTTGAGTTTCTGGCGACGTGTGCTTGCTCGAGAATATTGGTGTCCTCTTTAAATGGCAGGAGCAACAAGGAGTGTGCTCAAACAAAACAGACCGAAGCAGCAGTCCGTGCCATGCAGGACCTACATCATTCACAACATCTCTGGATATATTCCCTCCAAAATTGGGTTCCGTCTGCGCACGATCACAAAAGGCGCCTGCATGTGTAATGCAATAGTTCATGAGCATAGATGCAAAATTCTTACTGATCCTGGTCCATGCCTCCTGACGTCTATCGACAGTCTGGGAGAATTTCCAGAACAAGAGCTGCTCCCAGCTCAACTACCTCTTCCTGCCCCCCAGGAAGCACATCCGAGGCTCCAAATACAACTCTTTCACAACGCCAAGGCATCGGCAGGTCAACTTGGCGCAAACCCACACCATGCAACTACATCCCATCAGCGCATGCCTCGTAGGCAGCAGCTTTGGCAGCATCCCAGCAGGGGACTCCAACCTAATCGGAGAGTCCCCTTTCCCCAGCAGGATCAGGGACGGCCTGCAGGGGTCTGGGAGGTGACTCATCGGCGGCCAGTGCGCGCTCGGTTCTTGACCTCGATGTCCTGGGGCTTGTGCAGCAGGATGTGGTGCTGCGCGTTGCTGGGGTTGTATTCTGCGTAGCCGCGCGACCAGTCGTAGCTGACCGCGTACGCGTAGATGGTGCCGTCGCGATTGAAGGTGCTGCAGGGAATTGGCTGGCTGCACTTGAGCATCGCCTTCAGCCGCTGCTTGCTGTCCTTGTCCCAGAAGTTGAACGCGCCGTCCGAGCCCGCCGTCACAAATGTGCCATACCTGCATGCGATCGAAGCAAGTGAATCCATGCACATTACAGTCCTGCGCCTTGGTTTTGCTGGCATAACACAGGTTCCATGGATTTGAACAGGCAACGGAGAGATTTTCAAGGCGAAGATGGGGCACACTGGGGATGGAAAGCGATGGAGTTGACTGCGTAGATGTCGTTGCCGTCTCGATGGCACTTGAACGTGAAGTTCTTGGACTGCATGTTGTCTTCCACATGATGTACTGCCACACGCCCCTCAATGGAGCCCACCTGCGTCGAGACAACTGCTTCAGATGACATCACTCATGTACCGGCAAAGGTCCATTGAAGTATGCATGCGCACATGTTCACTACTGTGAGATTGCATCGAGTTCACTGAGAGGGAGTTGGCCCTCACCAAGTAGCCTGTGGAGTCTGGGAAGCAGGTTACGCAGCGCGTCTGGAACTTTAGGGGCGACTCAAGGTCCTTGTACACCGTCTGAGGGTTGCTCATGTTGAAGACCTGCGCACAGAAACACGGCAAGGTTGCCTCCTTGGGCTGCGCCAAAACTATCATGAAATACTTCCATCTCTCTCCGTTGATTTGTTGGAGCTATTTGACCAAGGGATCACAGCATCTCTGTATGCAGGTAGTTGAGCACAGGTGGCCGATGGCAGCATGCCATGCAAGGTATACCTGTATCCGCCTGTTGGCCATGCCAACCACCAGCAGCGGGTGTGTGACATCCATGGCATAGACCCGCTCCGGCAATTGTTGTGTGTGCACTGGGTTGGGCTGGCGCAAGTCCCAGTAACGGATGGTTTTGTCCCAGCTGCCTGTCACCAGCATGTTGTTCATCTCCTTCACGGAGAAGAGGTGCCGGATGGGCGCGTCATGCTTGGCCACCACCTGGGTCTGGTTTGTCTGCAGATTCCACATCTTTGCAACATTGTCGCAGCCACCTGCACAACAGCAACTCCCTGAACCTGAGGAAAATCTCAACCTCTGGGAATTTGTTTGAGCAGAATTCGTTCATGTTGTCAAACAGGATCTGGCATTTTTACCTGTGAAGACGGTGGATCCATCGGCGCTCCAATCAGAACACAGCACAGGCTGGTCATGGCTGATTGCTGCCTTCCCTGCTGACTGCCCATTGGCTTGTACCTCGTAGCAACGTACTTGATTATCCCAAGATGTTGCTATCAGATAATTTGCTGCAGGGCTGAAGCTCAGGCTGCTGATGCTGTCCGATGGTGGAGAGGCAACTTCGGTGTCTTTGTTTGCGTTGTAATTAGATGATGCTACGGCTAACCCGCTGCCAAAGGAAGCCCCGAAAGCGGTCATGAATTCACTAGAATCAGTCACTACCAGCAATATGCAGACGAGCCCTCGACAAATCACACTCAGATGATCCTACACTTCTAAATACAATCCAAATGTAGGAGCCGTTGAGAGAAATATGTTGTGTCTGCTGCAATGAGCAGTTTGCCCAGAAAGGGATGCTGAGCCCTCGCCCCAAAAAATATGATGGATGGGTCCCAATCTGTCAAGATTCACTTTCATCCTTTAGACTATAATTGCTGCAATTGTCTAGTAACAATTTTCCTCCTCCTTCTTATTCCAAACCCTACAGACATATCCCTGTAAGATCACACTCTGAAAGGGAGAAATTTATCTACACCGAAGCTCTGTGAATTCCAGGGGCTCGTCTCCTGAACCCCGAAAATATCATGCTGTTAAGGAGCAACTTTGACTTGTAATTCTTTTAAAAGTTCTATAGCGACCACCGAAGTTGCACGATCGGTTGCTGGGCTCGAATTATGAGCATATAAAACACTTGTTTCCCACTCTTTTCCCTGGGGAACACGTTCTATTCTCAATAGGAAATTCTTGGAATGCATTATAACTCACAGGCGGTTATTATTTATGTAAATGCACATTGAGACCTGAACGGACACTTGGCATACCTCTTTCCGAGACAGCTGTTCCAGGCTTCCCCGAAGTCGGAAGGAGACCTTAGAGTGAATATAGCGGGAAAGAAAGCTAAATTATGTTCGGCACTCTAAAGAAAGCAAGATAACAAAACAAATAAAGCACGGCCCTTGGTATGAACGACCGCTCATCGAGGGAGCATGGAGACAAAGAACTGCAGCCAATACTGGAAGAAGAGGAGGAAGAGGAGGAAGCAAAGCCACAATCACCTCATGAAACAACCAGCAGTCGTCTTAGAAATCTAGCACACAACTCGCTTGTCCGCACAGCAGCAAAAAACCTGGCCTTGATCTGCACTTGGTGAGCTGCCTTCTCTGTCTGATCGCAGCTGAGTGGGGACAATATTTGATGGCCATTTCAGGCCGTCCTAAATACTAAAAATACAGCCTTGCTTCTTGCTCACATATTTTCCTCCTATATCCCAGTTTTCCTCATTTGCAGTCTCTGCTGCAGGTACTTCTTCAGCACTCTACTGAGCCTTTGGAATCGCACACTCCTGGGAAAAGGGCATGGCGTGTTGGGCAAAGGAGCGTTTCCAGGTGTGCTATACCATGTGACACTCTTAATGATTTGATGAGAGCTGCATTTATTACAGGATGCCGAGAAACAAACTGCTAATCGCTGTGTGTGCTTGCAGCTCCTATGCTCATGAGCAGTTTGCAGTTTGCAGCACAGATCGTCATGGCTAAAGCAGTCCTGAGCTTTGGTATAGTCAAAAGGCGGAAACCAGCTGAGCTGACATGGCGGGATTACTTTGTGCATGGTATGTCCTGGAGCTGGATTCCCGTTGAAAATTGCTGGGTTACATCGGCTTTTGTAGCGCAGATCTCATGAGTGGTCAAGATTATGAGCAGTCAGCACATGTTTGTTTTGGGGATGCAGTTGTGCCCAATGGTGCCGCCACTGGCTTAGACATCGGGCTGTCCAATTTCTCCCTGTCTCTCATCACCCTTTCTTTTTACACAATGTGCAAATCGACCACGCCAGTCTTCCTGCTGGGGTTCTGCTTCCTCTGGGGCATTGAAAGGTGCGCATCTCCTTGCCACAGTCCAGTAGCAATGTAGACAGCATGCTTTCTTACGTCTCCAGTTGACGATCTGGTTTCCACTGGATTTCCTGGCCACTGTCATCATTCATGGACCAGTTGAGGGACACTCAAATGAGGTCAACTCTTCGTTTCCTGGGTGCAGGCCGAGCTGGAACCTGGCAGCAGTTGTGCTGGTCATCAGCTGCGGCCTCGGCCTGCTAGTGGCTGGAGAGACAGATTTTAATCTGGCTGGGTTTGTCATTGTTATGGTGGCCTCAGCGCTGTCAGGCCTGCGCTGGACAATCACTCAGGTGCTGCTGCAGGGCAATGATGCCCATGGGACAGGTGAGAGCACCCTGCCTCTCATATACCGCCAAGTAAGTTTCTGCAAATCACAGAGATATCTGCCAGAAACTTTCTGCGGTATATGTATGAGATGAAACATCTGGTATCTTGCAGGGGCTTCTGGGGGTCCTGTGGAGGTGCTACTAGCACTGATGCCAGGTAAGATGTCTGAGCACTTCTTATTAAAACATAAGAAGTGTCTCCCTCAAAAGAGAACATTCTGGGACCTGGAGAGCTTCCAAGCTGTGAAGGACCCCATATTGCTTGATGACTGACAGCTCTCTCTTGTGGTGCAGTGATGTCGATCACAGTGGCATTCATGTCGCTTGTGATAGAGCGCTTGTGGATTGTGCTGCCGGGGTCGCCATACTTTGACTCCCTCCAGTCCCTGGCGACCACAACGATGCTGATGCTATTCGGCGGGACCATTGCCTTCTTCATGGTCTGGACGGAGTTCACCGTCATTGCCGAGACTTCTGCGCTGACCTTCATGGTAGCGGGCACATTTAAGGAGATCGTCACAGGTAACATCCTCCATTCTCTGACCTGGAGTAATCTCCGATTACCTTGTTCGTGCATGCATGCGTCTTTCCTTGCTCAGCTCCCAAGTCTGACATCATGTTGACCATGGAATTGGGCAAGACGTGAGAGCAGCGGCAGCGGGCATTTCATATTCTTATTGCATGTGTGCTTGGTGTTGCAGTGATGGCGGCGGTGACGTTTCTGGGGGAGAGCTTTTCGTTCATCAACGGGGTGGGCCTGGTGGTGCTGATCATGGGGGTGGCGCTGTTCAACTACAACAAGTACCAGAAGATCCTGACAGGGAAGGCCCCGGGCGGCAGGAAGCCTGCGCCGGCCGCCGCCAAGGAGAGCCCGGACGACGAGGAGAGCGCCCGTCTTGTCAACGGGGGTGTGCGCTTGCCCGTAGGTGCAGCCTGTACATTCACACCCTGCCACATGCTGCGCTGCACACCTTCCCAGATACAGGATTACTGTGAAATTCTATTCATCTTCCCTACCCATCACTGCAGCACATGATGTAACGTGCTGTCACAAGCGCAGCCTCGCATCACTGCTAGACATGGATTCTTTCGTCCCTGTCATGCTGGTTGAGGAGTATTGTGCAATCATGCGAAGTTCCTTGCTGACACAGCAGTGTTGGCGATCATGAATGCGCCTATTATATTCTCCTTGCAGGAGCAAGTCCGAGGGCCTCTCCCCGCGCCGGCCTGAGCGCAGCGCTGGAGCTGAGCAGCCATCGCAGCCTGCAGCACCAGGGAGGGCACGCACATGCACCCAACCCCCGCTCTGGCCTGGGCGGCCCTGGTCCTGTGAAGTGAGAAAGGACCGCAATCTGCCTAGGGGATTTGATCAGATATCCGGTCTGAATCAGCATGTAATGTCGCATAGGACGGCGGAGTGGTTGTCTTCAGACGTTTTTACAGCCTCGGGGTGAGCTCAGTGAGTAGCAACATGTGTAGGAATCTAGACGTGTGAGACCTGATCTGGTATAATGGCTGTGCCTGTATCCCTGGAGCATGACAAAGATTTGTAAAAGCAAGTTACATGGAACCAGAAGTCCTCTGTGCAAACCCACATTGAATTATCCATGCTTCGACTCGCAAGCGACGAATGATGCAGGCAATGACAACATCCACAACGATGCTGACAGCAAAGCAATAGCATGCTAAGTTCGGTGTTTTTGCCCAGGAAAATGCTGTTGCCATAAATTTATCAGTTACGATGGACACGACAGCCGAGTCTTGGAAGGCAACTACTTCGGCATCAGTACTAGCCGATTAGTTGAACAGTTCGCTGTGCTCTGTCATTTCTTTGCCTTGTAGGATCCATGGGATCTGCAGGAGGATCCAACACTGATCTGTGCGCCCTTCAAGTGTCATTCCGGAGCGCTTGTCAAGAAACCAGTGGGGATGGAGAGAGGTGCCTCTACGCAGAAAAGCTTGCCGAACTTGCCATGGATGCAGCTAGATCAGGGAACAGCAAGAATTGCGAAGCTCTTCTGGACTTTGTGATCTCGTGCTTTGACTCGCCTGAGGGCTTCACAGTCATGGACAGCATCCTGTTCGAGGTCTTCAGCCCTCTCCTAAACTGCTCTCACGTCTCACAGACGTGCCACGAGAGCTTCCAGCGTCTTGCTGGGATCATCACGGAAAGGTGCACCGCGCGGGAGGTCATTGTGCTTCTCCTGGCTGCTCTGGACGACAGGCCCCGGTACTTCTCCCATCAATGGTGTTCTACACTCGCTGGCCATTGCCAATCTTCCTGAAGGACCCTCAAGGAAAACCAAGTTGGGTGCACATTGAGTTTGGCTGCTTTGCAGGGATGAGGAGCATGACTGGCAGAGGAGTGATGCCATGCTCATGGGGGCGCTGGTGGATGCACTGGGAGGTCTGCAGCGGTCGCAGTGTCAGATGCTGGAGGATTGCTTGGTGCTGGTGCTCAAGCTGGCCAGGCGCGCACACAGTGACGCAGTGCCAGCCCCGAGCGAGGCACCGGTGATTTCAGCATCAGCAACTCACAACAGTGGCTCTGGCGGGGGCAACAGCCAAACGGCAGCTGACACAATCGCGCCTGAACTTCCTGCTGATGTGGCGGAGAGACATGGCAGCCAATCTAGCAGTGATCGTCAAGAGCATGGCAGCCATGCAGCACAGGGCGCACACGTGCAGTTCGCCAACAGCCTGGCAGCCTTTGCTTTGGCGCTTCCACCGGTCATCAAAAAGTGGCCAGGAACAGTGCAGAGCAGAGCTACAGCGATGCTGTGCACCTTCTTGCACCGTTGCTGCGCCTGCATGGCTCAGATCAGTATCCCCGCGGACGCCTTTGCCCTCTCCACCCTGGCGTCGCACCAAAGGCGGGCCATCTTTGGGGACACGGCCCCAGCAGCAGAGCCGGCGGCAGCTGCACTGCGCGTCCTTGAGGCCGCGGCTGCAGCATTGAGGGAGCTCAGCAGTGAGGGCAACCAGGATAATGTTGGAAGCGAGAACGAAGCGGAGACAAGTGCCTTGTGGGAGGCGGAGGAGGTGGCTTTGGGAGAGCATCTGCTCACGCATGCAGCGCTGGTTCGGGAAGGGATCACGACGCGATTGCAGGTGTTGGATGATCCGGCCAGTCTGCTGTCCCAGGCTGAGCGCTCCACTCCGTTTCTTCTTGACGCAGCTGGTCAAATCAGGGTGTGTCGCGTCCCCCAGCCCGTGCTAATTAATTGTGGCACACGTCGTTTGCTCCCTCCTGCTGCACTCAAGCCCTCTGGGAAAGCTGGCTATGCAGATTACCAGTGTCTTGTGGTTGATGCTTGCGGAAGAAGCTCGGTCCATTGAATCGGTCTTGTACAGCCAAAGTAAGTTCACTGTGAACCCACTGCAGGGATGCTGAGAGAATATGTGATGGTATGTTGCGCAGTCGGAGGCGCTGGCCATGAAAGGGCTGCAGATTGCAGCGGCGGCAGCATGCCGGGCGGGGACGGCCAGCGCGGGATTCGGCGGCGGCGTGCGGCAGCTGCTGCAGGCGTTGACCACCACCATGGCCGGCAACCCGCTGCAGCCCGTGCGCAATGCTGCGCACTACTCCGCCGACGCAGTGCTCAGTGCTCTCACAGTCAGTCTTCCTGCCCCCTGCCCCCTTTCTCTGCTCACCGCTACAATAGAGCACTCAGTATTCAGGCATATATTACAAGTGTTTTGTCGGGAAATTTGTGGCAGCATTCTACTTGAAGCAACCAGAGGGGCATATAAGACAGCGCCTAACATCGCAGGTGACAGCGCGGCTGGCGGCTGCGGAGACATTGTTCGAAGAGGGCCACCCTGGAGTGTCTGCACTGGTCATCAACAGGGTGGCCCACGACGCGCAGGCGCTCTGGCCAAAGCCTGACGAGGATGCACCCTCACTGGGTGAGCTTTAAACCACTGTTTTGTCAGTCTCGCTTTCTGATCAGTGCATCCTGTGACAAATCTTGTGATACCTGCGGCAAAGATCTTGCAGAAAAGCTGTCCATGTGGTGTGTGTGCGAACAGCGCTGATTGTGAAATTGCTAGGACAGAGATGCAGCAAGGGTGGCGAGAGCTGGAGCCTGCACTGCTGCCGCTCATCCGCGGCTGGCTGGAGCCGCATGGGTCCCACGGCTGGCACGAGCCCTCAGGCCTCATGCGCAACGCAGAGCCCATCTCCGCCGCCCTCAACCTCTACATGCTGCTGCTGCTCCGCGCCAGCAACAGTGGGTGCATGCCAGGTAATTTTTTGCTGCCACTGTGAAGCTGTAACGCCGCCTGTCTGCCAAATTGGGTGTCAAAAGCTCTCAAATGAGTCCAAAGAGTCCATTACAAGTTTCCAGATGGAACATTCTTGGAGGTCTTGTAGGATTACACTGGCCTAGAAAGGACAGCCGATTGTGAGGGGTGGACACTGATGGAGCAGGGATAATGGAGAAGGGAGCGCTGAAAGGAGTGATGGAGGATTGCCTGAAGCCACTCAGAGTGGCAGGGTTGCAAACTGTGGGGTCCCTCAAGGGAGCAGAGGATGCAGGCAGCAGCGGGAACACTGATGCCATGCTTGCAATTGAGAGAGTGCTGCTTGTCCTAACATGGATTATGGGCACTGTAGAAAAGAAGCTAGCAAGGTAGATGCGTTGAGGTTTCCTTTCCTGCACTTTTCATTAAATGAAATTGTACAAGGGTAAAGAAATCATGTTGGCTTACATTGCAATTGGCTGGGATTCTATACACAATTAGCCAGGACTCAGCGACTATTGTGCACAAAGGCCTGACGCTGTCACACTTCATTGTGTCATTGTTTCGTCCTTGCAACTGCTCTCCAACCAATGTCACGCCTGCAGAAGCCTTCAGGCCAGTCGATTGCATCCACAGCCTGCGAAACAAAATTGTTTGAATGCCAACTTTCTCACTCCTTTGAAGACCCCCCTTTGAATGCTAGTTGTCTCCCTGTGTCCTCCCTCTCTCCGGACAAGGCTTTTACGCACAACGGTCACAATACAAAAGGAAGACACTCTGCAGACAGCGCATTTGACAGAATGTACCTGGTAGGCTTTCTTTTGGGCCTCTTCCACATCAGCACTCGTGGCAGTCACCCCCAGCACTCGGCCGCCAGTGGCCACCACCTCGCCAGCATCATTGCTGCTCGTCCCAGCATGGAACACCTGCATGGTGTCATCATCCCCTTTGCTGCCAGCATTTGCTCTGAGGACCCCCATCCGCCATCAACTTGAAGATAAGTGAAACGCCACAATGCCAAGCATGTTCTGGGAATGCTTGCCTTTGCAGTGCTGACATTGTCCAGGTTGCGGATGGCAGTGCCCTTTGTGTAGCTGCCTGGGTACCCACGAGCCGCCATGACAACCTGCAACGCACCCATCCTTGCCTTCAATTCATGGCGTCACATGCACCCGTCAACGGTGCTTGCCTCCTGTCTCGAGCAAACCACCTAAGCATCAGACACCAGCTGAAGGAAGGGATCTGTATCGCCCATGCTGGGCTATTGACGGCAATCTTCTGCCAATCACTTTTTCCTGAGATAAGAGATGGAATGAAGGCCCCAAATTCCTCAAGTTACGACAATTGCAGTGCTGCTCACCGTGAGGGCAGTCTCGGGTGACCACTGCAAATGAGTGCCTGCCAGCTTGCCCTCAGCCGCAGCCAGCAGCACTTCCAGCAGATCACTCTGCAGCCGCATCATCAGGCACTGGCACTCCGGGTCTCCAAACCGCACATTGTGCTCCAGTAACCTCGCCTGCATGACATCTTTCACTTGTGAGTGCCCCGGCAACTTTTCGCTGCCATCCTGTAGTGGTGCTGCTTCTCATTGTCGCACTTTTGGGGATATAGGATGTGGTGCAGCATCCTGCGCTCACCCGGCCGTCTTTGATCATGAGCCCCGCAAAGAGAACACCGGTGAAGGGAACCCCCTTCTTGACCATGGCACTCGCAGTCCTCTGCACAATCTCATCCATGACCTGGAAAACCCCACGATTTCATTAGCTGAAGACCACTTCTGAAAATGCGCACAGTTTATGTTATGTGTCCATGCAACACAGTGTAGCTTCAAGAGTGCAAAGGGGAAAGATGCAAAGCTACTTGCGACTCTACAGAGGACGTGACAACAGGTGCCGGTGAGTAAGCTCCCATGCCGCCTGTGTTGGGCCCTGTGTCTCCCTCCCCTACCGCTTTGTGATCCTGTACAGCTTTTCCTCAATTAGTACCTTGCTCGAGATACACGCATCGAATGAACGGCCAATCAATAACATGCAAATACTGCATATGTCATCATGGCTGGCAGGCAGCTTCACCTGTGCAGACGCCAGTGCAATGCATGTCTCGCCATCCACAAGAGCAAAGAACGAGGCCTCCTCCCCGTCCAGGAATTCCTCCACAACAATCTCATTCCCTGTGCCATCAACCGAGTTTAATGAGCAACAAGGGTAGTTCAAATCCAAAAAATGCAACGGCTCCCAAAACTTATTAAGTACCCATGCTGCTGGAGCATTGTTGACCAAGACCACCACGTCTTCAATTCGCAAGCAGATAAGCAGGAGCGATCCACGCACCGGCCTCGCCAAATTTCCTGTTGACGAGCATGTCATCAACGGCTGCCAGCGCCTCATCCACACTTTGCGCCACAACAACCCCCTTGCCTGCAGCCAGACCGTCTGCTTTCACCACAATGGGCGCCCCCCTTGCCCTGATGTACTCCTTGGCTGCCTCTGGCTCTGTGAAGGCCTCATAGCTGCCCGTGGGGATGTCAAAATCTCTGCATAAGTCCTGCAGGCAGCAAAACAAGCAGTTGACATGCGTCACTTCTGAAGGGCCGTTCTAAAGAGGCATCCTCTCTTGGACGGCAGCAGACAAGCCTTGTGAACATAGTCATACCTTTAGAAACTTCTTTGACCCCTCAAGCTGGGCTGCTGCAGCGCTGGGCCCAAATGCCCTGATCAAACCACACCTTTCATTCAATATCAAAAGCGACATTTTTTTTCAGCTTGCATGCAGCTGCCTTGACAATATATGGAGTGCCGCTGGGTTCCAAAGAAGTTGCATGCAGGGCTTGCCTGATCCCCCCCGCTTTGAGTGCATCGATCAGTCCGCTGACCAGTGGTGCTTCTGGGCCAACCAACACCAAGCCAATGTCCTGGTCTTTGCACCATCTCACAACCTGGATCACCGATGTGAGTCATCAGGACAGGTATAAACGGCCAGATTGTCCCAGTCATTGAGGACATGCTGAACATTCAACATTCTGCATGGAAATGGCCTATTCATGCAGTTGGGGGCATGCATCTCTACCTCTTCCTGGTTCTCTACGTCCAATGCCAGAGATGTCACGCTCTGTTCCCTGGAAATGCCAGGATTGCCCGGGGCACAGAAAAGGGTGTCACACAGGGGTGACTGTGTCAGCTTCCAAGCCAGAGCATGCTCCCTTCCACCCCCTCCCACTAGAAGGACATCGACCTGTACGAGCCTTGATCTCAGATAGCTATCGAAAAATTAAGGTGGTCTCACACTTGATTTCGGTGTTCTGAGCCCACCTTTCCAGGAGCAGCCGCTACCACGCCTGACTTGTATATGCGAGCCCTTTGAGGAGCTACGGTCTCAGCTATATGTAGTCGAGTTCCTTTCAGGACGCATAGGAAACGGCTGTGAAAAATTGCACTGGAATGGACTCTTTGCATTCCAGTGAATGTGCAAATGGGGGCCATCGTTTCCTTGGGCGTGAAAGTATTTGATGCTCGTGAGCGTGATGATACACCAGCTGCTCTTCAATTTATTCGAACATCGAATTAGATGACCCCCCCTCAACTTCAGTGACTGCACCTTTAATCCAACAGCTAGATGGAAGTGTTCATTCTCTAATCTTTTGGCTAGAGATACCGCTACAGGCAATTTGTACGATGCGTATCCACCAATTGCAGATTCGTGAAATTCAACTAAAACATCAAGTCGTTGGACGCTGAAAGAGAAGAAGGAAGATCCATCGCATGCATTGAAGGAACCAAGGAACGCCGCCGTCTGGCGATGCGTTACTATTTATAGGTCACACGGCTGCAGCACATTTCAACAGGCAACTTGTGTCCACCACGCTGCAAGGAGCTCTTATAACACTTAATCTTCGATATCAATTGAATATGGCAACCGAGTTTTATCTCAACGCAGCGACTGGTGTGTTTTCTCTCCTGGTCAGAGTCAAGGGATGGACGTGCGACAGCCCTGTCAATATGTTTCAAATCGATTGTCACTTCGTATACAATGATATATTAGACCTTTGAATCCATCCGAGTCAGATGCTCGAAATAGATGCTTTCTGGACGCTCCTGGATCTTTTAGTGTACCAGAAATTGAGCTCATATGAGGGAGCAATGCACTGCAGGTCGACCAGACACACCATGCTATGACAGATGGTACAAATGGACGAAACTCGGACTGAACATTGGTACTACAGTACTGGGCGTGGGGCTTCTAATCATCACTGGAGGAGACATGTCATCTAGAGAATCGGTGGAGGGATTATATGCGTTCATAGTGGTCCTCAGGATCCTGGAAGTTATTGCAGACACCGTGCCCCTGGTGAGAGGCCTTTGGGCTATCTTACAACCTGCCCAGATGGGAGAAAGCACTGCTCACATCATAACATTGATGTCAGAGCAGGGAGGCAAAATTTGTAAGCATCACGCAGGTCAGGAGGAGAAAAGATCCCTCAGCCTTGCAAGAGGGCTATGTGAAGGTCCTGTGGTTCACCAGATGCTGCGCTCGACATGAGAAAGCTGAGAAGGTTGACAAATGGATGAAGTACTTCAGCAGTGTGGTCATGTCCCTGACCCTCACTGTCCTCTGCTTTTACATAATGGCCCATGAGGTGGGCTTTTCTGACACATGACACCCACTCACAGAAATCACATGTTGGGAACAATGAAAAGGTTCATTGCTATACTCTAAATGTCTGTTTGTGACAGATGGTCTTCTGTGCTATGACTGCAGTTCCACATAGGGGCATTGGTGCTTGCGTTTGTGGCTGCCGCGGACTTCTTTGTGGGTTCGTACTGCCTAGTCCTTGATGAAATCGTCAAGGACCGGCGCCTCGTGCGGACAAAACCATACCAGATGGATTTGGACGATGCCTTGGCTCTGACGGATGACGATGCACTTGCGAGAGACATGTTTGCTAGGAGCAGCAATAGGGATGGAAAGAGCTTTTATATGGAGGTAAGCCAGCCATGGAGTGCTCAACTTCGCCAGGACCAGAGCATTCAAGCATTGATATTCGTGTGCGCTAAATGCTCTCTTTCCAGAGATAGAAGTCAGATTCTGATCATCAACATGCAACACGTGCAGGAGTCGTCATCACCGCATGCACAGGTGCAGCTGCATGATGTGAAAGTAGAGGGTCAGTGGAGGAGAGTCAAGGAGGACATGTATAATCCTGTGCCAGTCTCAGCCCTGCCCAGCGGCCCCATATATGGCCAAATGAAATAAAGACCCACGTGATGCTGCGGTGATGATGCTGCTCATACCCACAGATGCAAAAAGCTGTAAGCTTAATTCAGAGAAGGGAAAATGCAACACATTTAGGCATTGCAAGCGCCAAAGCAGGAGAAATGGCTGCCTCACGGTGTGAACATAGATGCAGATATAGAATTGGATTCCCAGTAGCGATGGAATGAATGGCACACCAAATTTTGAATTTCACAGCTCTTACATGTAGAGGCAACGATTGATACTGGGATTACATTGCCACAACATTCAATCTGAATATATACCATGCAGATTTATTCATAGATACCGAATAGCAGAACTGCTCGCAATAGAATGACATCTAGAGATCTCTAGCAATATGTGCGCATGCACTCGCAATCTTTCAGCCCGAATCTCCTGTGGATATTGCTGCATATCACTGCAGAGCCTCAACAGCTTCTGCAAGGTGCTGCAGAGCCTGCTCCGTGTCCCTCTTAGCCTTCTGATTTGCCTGCGGTTCTGCCTGGCGGCTCAGCTTTGCTGCCGCTGCCTTCACCGCCTCACACGCCAACCTCACACCCCTGCAATTCGCCCATACTCCATTAGCTTGCCAGAAACTGATGCCCCACTGCTTCAGAACACTTATGCTGGCAGCTGGTAGCAGCTGACGCCTGAGACGGTTCCATATTCTCCACAGCACAAGAGTAAATCTGCTACAGGGAAGGAAAATTTGCTCAAGATGATCTGAAGAGTGCAGCAGCTTCGGTACCATTAATGCCAGTCAGGTAGCAATTGAAGCCAGTCAGAATGACCCAACAGGGGCGCATGTCAGGCTGTCTCGTGATCATCAGAGTGCAACAAGACATTCTGGCTCACGTCGCAAAATATTACAGAACGCAAGCATTGTAGCATCTAGAGCCACTCGGAAAGATGCAGACAGGGGCGCACGGCAGGGCGGCCGTGTCGAGCCCGGCGGCGGCCAGGCGCGCCAGGGTTCCCTCCACAGCCTGCCCGCACACATGGGCCACACGCCGCTGCTTGCTCGCCGCCAGCCGCCCCTTCTGCCGCGCCAGAAACGACACCGCCATCCCTGCGCACAATATAAACGCCTCTCAACTTTGCTCGCTGCACCCCTTGCCCCCACACATGATTCTTTGCATGTCACTGGACCTTACAGCATCACTCGGCCCCACGCACATCTCTGTGTAGCCCTTTGGGCCTCAAGGCAGCAAATGAGCTCTGTATGGGGCAGCTACCTCCATAACATGCTAGGATGTGCAGACAGGCCTGGCTCAATTTCCTTTTGAATTCCCATCCCTCTGCAGCATGGGGAACTAGTTTGAAAGGGAGAAAGATGATTCCAATGCAATACTGATGGAGAAAGATGGCATGAGGGTCGCACCCATGGGGCCTGCCACGCCGTCCTCCTCGAAGTCGGCCTCTCCCTCGGAGTCCTCGCCGTCGTCGGAGGTCCCCCACTCGTTGTCATCGCTATCATCATCGCTCGTCAAGCCCAACTCCTTCAGCTCCCCGCCGCTGCCGCGCTTACGCTTCTTCCTCCTCGACCCCTCCGACGGCCCCGCCCCATCCTGCCACCACAAACGGTGTTACTTGCTTACTCTCCAAACAACATGCTAACTCCACACTTCCTGTACTTAGCAAGCCTAAGCAAGTGACAGACTGCCTTGTACACATGCAGCAGATTGGAACCAGCTGAGAACCTACCGTCAGGAAGCTGTCAGAGGAAGCAAAAGGCGGCTTCCTGCTATGCACGTGCGCTGCCAGATAAAAGTGTTTAAGGCTGTGGGTTTCCTCAGCAAGGCTGATCAGGAGGGGCGGGGGACATGAGAGAGGCACCTTGGGGCCAGCGACGCGCTGCCGCGCAGTGCCGCTGACTTTGATGGAGGGACCAGCGTCGGGGGGCGCTGGTGCGGCAGCGTGCCCTCCCGTCGTCATGCGCAGCCGGCTGCCGCCGCGGTTGGACCAAGGCGCGCTCGCCCTCTCCGTTACTACACCAGGCGCCTGCACAGCATCATTGTGTTCAGGTAGCAGACACGGCCACTGATGCGCGATGCATGCATGCCATGTACAGCAAATGCTCTGCGCAAGCACATCCCTTGCTCTCCAAGTTTTTTTATGAAAATTTTCGAGCTGACTGCCAGAGACTGCGCTGATGCGCGCACCTGATTGGCGGGCACATCCACATCCATGGGCACTGCCTGCGCGATCTCGGCAGCAACTGCATCCGCCGCGCTGTCCGGCACGATTGCAGCAGAAGGGCCTGCGACGCCTCTGACACCGGCCCCCGGTGACAGCAGGTTCTGCGAAAGCGCTTGAAGGGCGCCTGAAGCACAACACACACTCATAAATCATCCATGCCACACACACAGCCTTTACAAATCCGAAGGTGATGGAACCAATTATGTTCATTACAGTGCATTAGATATAAACTAAAAAGACGACTGCTGCATTGCCCTTGAATGCTGTGTAAATCCAGTGAGAAGTGAGCAGGTAGAACAGACTGGCAGTGCTCATGTACCGAGGGAGATGCCGGCAGGAGTGGGGAACTCCAGACGGCGACGCTCATTGTCATTCGCCGAGAGAGGAGGCGTGAAGGCAGGGTTGTTTGCCAGCACATGGCTCAGCAGCGCGCCCGGTGTGATGGGCTGATTCGATTGGCTCCCTCCTGCCAACCGCTCTGCAAACAAAGCATCCATTATATTCAGCACTGGCCAGAAGTTTCACAGTACCACAATGCATTACGAGCGACAAGAAGGTGAAGTGGCAGAGCAGATGCAGCAGTGGAGGAGCAAGGAAGACACACCGGCATGTTCCTGCAGCAAGGCGAGGATGTGTTGCGGGGCAGAGCCGCTAGGCGGCGGGCCCTCGGGCATGCTCAGCGCAGGCAGGCTCAGAGCGCTCGGCAGCGCTATCGGGGCGGTGACACTTGCGCCAGCAGCCTCGTTCGTGGGGCCAGCGATCGACTCCCCTGCAGCAGAAGCCTCTGGGAGGCTGGAAGGCATATCCTGCGCAGCAACGGCTGGTGCCGGCTGCAGATGGGTGCCGAGGCTGGGAGTGGCAGAGCTGGCCGGCTTTTCGCGGCCGCGCCGGGCCGCGCCGATGCGGTCGGCAGCCGCCTTGAGCACGGCCTGCGCCTCGCGCCGGGGGTCCTCCACAAAGTGGGGGTCCAGCAGGACGCGCAGCTGGTGCCCGCACACCCGCACCCAGTTCTGCAGCGCCGTCCTTGCCATGCTCCCTAGCGCCGGCTCCTGCGTCAGCGGCCACTGCATATCACTTTGTATTCAAGTGGTATGTATGCACCATCAATATCCACTACCTTGCAAGATTGTGAGGTGAGAGTCCCGCATGTAACACATCTTAAAGGCAAGAGTAAGGACGAAGACATAAGGACGAGGACATACCGGGTGGGCAGCAAGGCGTTTCAGGGTCGGCAGGATCTCTGTCGAAGCCAGCAGGGGCAGCGTGACATGCAGGGAGGTCAGCTCCCGGAGCGCATCCAGGGCCTCTGCCAGAGCAGCCGGGTCCGCCCTGCGCAGCGGCCCAACTGCCAAACCGCCGCCATCCTCGGCCGGCGCAGCTGGAGCAAGGCCGCCGTTCGCCAGAGTCGAGTCTCCAAGCGCCGCTCCGATCGGAGGCACCTCGCCCGCAAGGGTGATCACGCTGCCGGCACCGTCGTCATCTGACGGGTAGCCATCCGCGATGCTGGCGAGCGCAGGATCCAGCGCCTGATCAGGCGCCATGCCAGGTGGCACCGCAGCGGCAGCCGGCGCGCCCTGCCCGTCTGGTGGGGCGGCCGCGCCCGGCAGGTTCCCGGCCGCCGCGGCACCGTTGCCGCCGCCGGGATCGGCGGCAGGCGGGTGGAGGGCAGTGAGTGCGTCATGCAGGACGGCCAGCCACTCGTTGACAAACTCGGCAGTGCCGGCGGGCACCGGGTGGCGCAGCCAGTCGAGCGCCGAGCGCCGCGCCGCCGCCTGCCAGGACGCGCGCGCAGCCGCTCGCTTCTGCAGCTCGGCCGTCACCGCGTCCTGCGCAGCCGCCTCGATAGCTTCCTCCTCCTGCATATTCGCACTACACATGTCAGGTACTCCGGCTTAGATGTCATGACCACCTAAACCCCTTTCAGAAAAGCTCACAAGAAGTGCCATCATATCTGCCAGCAGCCTAGTGAGGGCCCGAGCAAGCACTCTGTCAAAGTATGCAGCTCAATGACAAGGAGCGCACGTTGAGTGAGCGTCGCCGACCGCTGACGCCGTCGTCTCCCGGCTGGAAGGAGAAGCTGGCGTTGCGCTTCATGCCGCCCTTGCCGGACTTGGAGCCCTTGCCGCCCTTGGATGTCTTGCCCCGCAGGCTGCTGCGCATGGCCTTGGACTGGCTGCCCCACCCGGTCTTCTTCCCAGGCGCGCTAGTGCCCTGCCAACCCCGGCAGATACTTGGTTGGACAATTACACAGCATCAATGAGCCATGGAGATTCAGGAGAATGCAGTAATGCGTTGAAACGTGGGCTCAGGCCATAATGTGGTATATTTATAGGTGGCACAGACTCACTGCCTCATTTGTGCTGCCGGGCTGCGAAGGGGCAGGTGTGGAGGCGACAGGTAGCGGGGGGCGCACGGCTGGCGGCTGGGAAGTGCTGTCCCCGTCAGCAGGTACTGCACCAAGCACACACTCGATATCAATCACTCGGTCGTTGCAGGTAACCCACGAAGACATTTCCAAGATTTGCAAGTACAAGTTACATGCAAAGAGGGGTCCCTGACAGGACCAAGCACACACCTGTGGTGATATACGTCCTTGGCTGCGAGCGGGTGGGCGATGCGACTGGGCCACTGTCATGGACATTCTGCTGGGGATGCGTGATCCACTGCAGACGCAATGATCAGAAATTCAGAAAATGCTCGGCAGCCAGCCCAGTGGCATGCATCGAGTGATACAGGCAAAGTTCAAGTCGCATTCAACAGCATTTTGACAGGACGGTCATAGCAGGAGCAAGCAGCGGCAAAGTTGGGAGCAGGCACCTCCTCTAGGTAGCTGGTGACCCTGGCCTGGTTCTGGCAGGCGAGAGGCCGGATCAGTGAGAAGGGCTTCTCAGCTATGTAGCTGTAGTGGCCATCTCTGGGCTCCCTCTCATCCCCCACCACTGCCAGGTGCTCGTGGCCATTGTCATCCACCAGCCACCACTTCTGGTGCCTGCACCCATTCTCATCCTGCACCTTCTGCTGCCTGCACCAGACATGCATCAACCTCATTCTTCCTTGCTGGTGCGCCTAGGGCTTGCTTCAAATCTGGCTTTATGGCTTGGATTCAGCTTCAAAATCCAGCCCCCAATAAAGAAGATATGACCTTCAATACCTTCTTTGTATGCAAGTCCATAGTGATGAGAAGTACAGTGCACCAGTGACAGGATCAGCAGGTAGGTGAGTGGTGTGGGAGATATACCTGAAGGTGATGAAGGTGGGCAGTTGGACAGGTGAGCCTGGCGCCACGCCAGCGCTGAGCACGTCCTCATCATCGCTGACCAGGTGGAAGTTGTGCGCGCGCTGCGTGTCCTCGATGATCTTGTCCAGCCACGACAGCAGCTCCTTCCGGTTGTGCACCGACATCTCGCCGTACCTGTCGAAGGTGGCCACGTTCCGGTACGTGTAGTGCGCATCACCTGCTACATGCACAACCGTGGTGAGTCTTCCAATCCGCTGTGCCTAGCTGTGGCTCTGCTTTATTTAGTAGAACCACCCCATACAAAAGTGTATCCTAGCTTTTACGATAAAAACTGAGTACACACGTGTATGCATTGACCCTTTATGGCCAGCAAATTATTTTCATGGGTGCAGATGGCACGTATCCCAGTGAGGCGGCAATGCTAGGCGCGACAACGCCATACAAGAAGGCATTAGCAGTGCGTCGCTGCTCAGTGTGATGCACACCTTGGTCCTCCCCGGTGGCCGCAAGCGTTTCATAGCCATGGTTGTCGACCAGGTAGAACTCCAGGAAGTACATGGACTTCTTGCTGGTGCCCTTGCCCGCATTCTTGCGCACCTCCCGCTTGCTCACATAGATTGGATCATCGGCTGCAGCCCCTGCCACTGGCTCTGGCGCCTGATTACCCTCTGCTGCAGCACTGGGCAACTCTGCAGCAGGTTCTGTCAGCGGAGCAGGCCCGGGTGGTGGGGCAGGGCCTGGCTCTGGAGCAGGGCCTGGCTGCTCGTCAGCCATGCTCAAATGGCCCGAGCTGTCATCAACATGCAGGTTGTGGCTGGGATCCTGCGTCCTAAGAGCTCTGTGATGCCTGTGTGGGCGGCTTCAGGGTCACGTACGCCTGCAAGCCCCATCACATCAGTTTGCCCAGCATCCACGACCAGCACAAAGGCTCCAACCTGTAGTGTACCACCGAAGGCAGGTGCAATTTTAAAAGAGCTTGGGAGCAATCTCGCAGATCGTGGATGGGATTGCAGGGCTGTACCTTTTTGTATCCTGGTCGCAGGAAGTAGCCTGTCTTTCGGCGTTTCTTCTTGCCCTCGTAGTTGACAGTTTGGATGGCAGCTACCTTCAACCCGTACACTCTCTCCAGGAATTGCTTGATTTCCAGCTGCATGAGACCATCATCAGAATTCAAGTTGCTGGATTTTGGTATGGCACCCGGAGCGACTTTCAGAACCTCTCTTCTGACAGAATAACTTGAAAGAACAAACGAGGGTGCCGCAACCAGATTACCTTGCCCACTCTAGGGGTTGTCTTGAAAGCTACTTCGCTGACGTGACCTGTTGCTTCGAATGCTTTCTGCTGCTGTTCGGTGAAGGGCATCAATCTAAGGGGCAAATTGGCAAGAAAGGTTGGCAACCTCTTCCAGCTCATTGGTTGCGCCGGAAAAAAATGCCAACTCCAACCAAGGATTCGTCGGATGTTTCAGATTAAATAAGACGAAATTCTTTACATGCACCGTCCTCCTTGGAAAAGCTGTTCTGGCCTAATTCCCTGCCTGCATGTGCTGATGGATGTTTCAAATCACTTTGCAGACAGGGGCATTGATGCAGATGCTCTCTCCATTAAAGATTCCTTGTCGTCCTGACCTATTACGTAAATAGAATAGAAATTGGGCTACGGAGGACGACTTACAAAATCTGGGCATGCAGTGGTGCGATTGAGGTGCGCGTGCAAGGCGTTCCCTCCTGGGCGGTCGCCTTCATGTTGATCGCCAGATCTGGGAAGGAAGACAAAGTGCTCCTTTTTTGTATAATTCTGAACCTTTGAAATAGTATTTGAGACTTTGTTTGTGTCTGTGATCTTCAGCCCTTAGAGCTGACTGGTGCTGGGCGTCTTGGCAGCCGCACTGATCTGGAAGGAGAGCATTGGTCTTGGGGAATAATCTCTTGTTGTGACATCACCAAGGTTTCAAGCTTGATATAGGTCCTGAAAAACGCGGTGATTATTTAAACCGTGGCAATGTCTGCTTTGGAGAGACTCATCTTGCAGACACTAGACAAGGATGGAGAAATCGGTGATTCGAAAGATTTCGCGAGCACATCAGGCTATGATCACAAGGAAGTCGTTGGAAGCATCAAGAGCCTCCAATCTTACGAGATGATAATATCAAAGGCAAGAGTGCTTTTCCCAGGTTGTGCTCTGTGCAAAGTGGTCAAAAGTGTCACATTATAGCTTAAGGCGTCAAAAAATGCGCAGGAAATCCCCCACTCTAGAAATGTGCTGACGGAGGAGGCACAGGGCTATAGGGATCACGGATCTCCCGAGGCAAAATTGTTTGCAGCACTTCCGCCTGAAGGGATTTTAATGAAGGATCTGACGGTGAACTTTGCATTCCCATGCTTTGTAGCTCGACTGATTATCGCTGGAGGAATTCACAACCCTAGGTGCTTGCCTGCAAATAAATCACCTCCACTTCTTGGTGCTGAACGCAGGCCAACTTCGGAGACAAAGCCTTCGCGCCAGCAAGGAAGTATGGATGGGTAGGCATGCAAAAGGTGGAAGATGGACAACAAGTGGTTGTGCGCGAGGTGCAGCCTGTGCTAGTCCAAACTTTGTAAGGTCAAATCAGTCGTGATGTCCTGCCGGCTCCCAAGTGCCTCCTTGTGACCAGGAGATGGCTCGGGTCTTTTATGCTGCAGAGATACCTGATGGCAATGTTTGTCTTCTGTACAGACAGAGGCAATTGAGGACACCACACAGAACCTTCTGAAACAGATCTCAGAGGGTCAGGTGAGAATGTTATGCTGGAGACTGTAGGAAATTTCAATGATGATTCCGAGCAAACCTCTCACAGGAATTATGGCAGCCCACTAACAAGTCCAGCATGGCACTGATGCCCAGGCGGTGAACCGGAAAGACTTGGAGGCCCTGGGAAAGAGGAAGCTAGTGAAGGCAGAAACATGGAAGACGTATGCCTTGAAGAAGGGTGTAAAGTTTGCTTTGGAAAAAAAGAAGCCAGCCACAGAGCTAACACATGAGATGCTCCAAAAGTGAGTTGGTTGCTAACCTCCAGGGATGTTTCACTCAACAATTGGAAGCGCGTGATGCACACTCCCAATATCTTGAATTTATACACATTGTGCACTTTTGCAGCATTGCTGCTGTTTGCATGAGTTTGCTGCTGCTCAGGGGCTCCTGGAAGGATGCCGACTTCAAGCCATATAACTTCAATGCTCTTGGGCAGCCCACCAACGGAGGCCACTTGCATCCACTGCTGAAGGTAGATTCTTAACATTTTATCCAGGGCGTAATTGTACTTTGCTGAGTCTGGCGATATCCAAGACACAATTACGCCATTTCGTCCTGTTTCAAAATGTTTTCATGCTTGCAGGTGCGGACCCAGATCAGAAAGGCCTTCACCAGCATGGGCTTCGAGGAAATGCCCACCAATAATTATGTTGAGAGCAGGTGCTGTGCCCACTTGGACCCTATGAACTCCTTCATGCGAAGCACATGGGGACAGTAATCCAGCTCATATTCTTCTGCTACGCCTGCAACCTCTCCTTTGAAATAGGAGCACTGGATCAACCACTGAACTGATTGGTGGGGTGTTCTGCAGCTTCTGGAATTTTGATGCGCTATTCCAGCCACAGCAGCACCCAGCTCGAGATGCCCATGACACCTTCTTCCTCACAAGTAAGCCCAGAAACTTCCTCGGCTTTGAAAAGGCCTCCTGCTGTACTGCCCTCACCGCCCGAGGATTCTTGATGAGTTTCTCTCCGCTACTGCAGATCCAGCAGCCACGCCGCTTTCAAAGCAGCCACAGGACTATGTGCAGCGCGTCAGGGAGACCCACGAGAATGGCGGCTTTGGCTCCATTGGGTGTGCATGAGGCCCCCATATCCAGTATCCTTACATTGCAATTCCGCACTATCAAGCTCACTGCACTGCCCATTGCATCGCAAGGTTCATTCACTCACAATGCATCACGAGTAAGTCAAGCTCTGTGTGCACTGTGAAGGTACGGGTCGCACTGGAAGGAGTCAGAGGCGGAGAAGAACCTGCTGCGCACGCACACGACGGCAGTGTCTAGCCGCATGCTGTACAAGCTGGCGCAGGAGGGCTTCAAGCCCGCCAAGTACTTCTCCATTGACCGCGTGTTCCGCAATGAGGCCATCGACCGCACCCACCTCGCTGAATTCCACCAGATCGAAGGTAGGTCTCGGAATCTGGGCCGCTGATGCCCTGCCTGTCACTGCCTTTTTTGCTGAAAGGCTTCTCCACCAGGGTAGTGAATACCATAGCAACAGAAAAGACCCTGCCTCACATCTTGCTCCTCTGCCCTTTTGGCTGCGCCGCAAAGCTGCTTTTGGTGAGATTTATGCGGTGCAGTTATTGTCTCTGGTCAAGGTTGCTAAAATATGGTAGCAGGCAGGCTGTCTCACTGATGAGTGCTTTTGTGTTAAGACATGCATGCGTTATTGCTGGTACGCACATTTGTCAGGCAGCAGCACGTCAGCGAGCAATGACATATCATGTGCATGCGTGCAGGCGTGGTGTGCGACAAGGGGTTGACGCTGGGGGACCTGATAGGCACGCTGCACCTGTTCTTCAGCCGCCTGGGCCTGCCCAAGTTGCGCTTCAAGCCCGCCTTCAACCCCTACACGGAGCCCTCCATGGAGATCTTCTCCTACAGCGAGCAGCTGGGCAAGTGGGTGGAGGTGGGCAACTCCGGCATGTTCCGCCCAGAGATGCTGCGCCCCATGGGCCTCCCAGAAGACGTCAATGTCATCGCCTGGGGCCTCGGCCTGGAGAGGTGTGCACCAGCACTTCCTTGTTTGGGCACATGCTAGCAGCACAGTCATCTCCGCTCTGCTGTGCTCTTCGGCTCAAGTCATGTATGTTGACGACTGGTCTGACAGCACCCCACCTGCCCCCTGCCCATTGGCGTTTGTGCAGGCAGGACGTTTCTATCGAGTGTTGCTGGCGGCTGCAATGTATTTAACAGTGCTGAGGACGTCAGCTATGTTTAATTTGCAGGCCCACCATGATCCTGTACGGCATTGACAACATCAGGGACCTGTTCGGCCACAAGGTGCGCTGGGACAGGGCTACTTATATTTCTTGTCTCCTGAAGATGCTCTGAGCAACATTGGATCTTTTCTGGACGATGTCGGCTGATGCATCTTGCTGTGCTGTCCAGGTCAGCTTGTCAGTGGTGAAGAAGAACCCCATCTGTCGGCTGAATCTGTAGGCCTCAGATGCTGCTCATCAAAAAATTCATCATTCCATTGTTTATAGTGGTCTTTTGCTAGGAGCGCTGTTAAGCAAGGAAGTGCTTTAGTTGTGCTTCTGCATTGCTTTTGACAGATAGATAGATTGCATGTTGATTGACATGTTGGAACTGTACAGACACGTTAATTCTGCTGTACAGAAGGACTCGGCTTGTAAACTCACTGAGCGGCATGTTGTGCTCGGTGAGCAAGTTTTCTCTGTGTCGCCATGATTACACAGTTTCAATTTTTCAATGCACTCCCAGACGGGCTCTTTCAACCTATATGTTGGGCTTATTGGACCTGGTTCAAAATTCCGGTTGCTCAAGCTTATGAAGAGTTCATGAAGCTTTTTGAGAGAGTTAAAAGATCATATTCATGAGTTCATACTCGTGGCACCAGACCGGTTTGCTAGCGCTGCGCTGAGTTTAAGCAGGATAAGTGATTTATCCTACTAGGATGAATCTAATAAATCTAAAAACCTTAGTAAGTCACCCTGCTACTCTCCATCAACACACTCAGCCACTACTTGCTCATCTCAAAATTCAGGATGCTGCCTGATAACAACAGTCTTGCCTGCCTCCCTGGAGTGTGAAGAGTATGGCACAGGCTGCAAAGAAGGCAGCTGGCAAGACTACAGTATATCATACAGGCGGCTTCAGCACATGTCTGATTGACTCTGGCAAGGGAAAGTGATGATTATACACTGCCCTCACGCTCTCTAAGCCGCCGTCGATGTAGATAGCTCCAAGGGTCTGCAAGCACAAAATCACTCCATCACTGACATCATCCGAAGTGATCACAAGATATTAGAGCTGCTCATGCTTGTACTTCCATCATCAAAGTGAATCGAAGGAAGAGGCTTACCGCTTCAAACATCTCAGCGATCATGGCATCACTCATCCCCGTATTTGACAGCACTGATTTGCCAACCTTCATGTATTTATGTAGCTGCATTGCTTTGGCCCTCCTGCAAGCAGAAGACCTATTAAAACCAGCAAGGTCAACCTGCTAATCGACAAAGCCAGGCTATTGAGCAGCGCGGGGTGCGATGCAAAAAATACTCACTCTGTGCATGTCTCCCGTGATATCAGTCGTGCACGGGCCATTGTGAGATCTCCCACATCTGCAGTGGAGTAGGTGGCTGTGAGCTGCTCAGTGACCACCATATGGAGGGCTGCATCTCCCATCCATGCCAGACTGCTTGCAGCGCTGTTTGAGTACAAAGAGCAGTGCGTGAGAGCTAGCCGCAGAAGCCACTGGCTGTTTTGAAAGGTGTACCTGCAATGAGCACCAGTGTCAGCGGTGGTGCGACTCACTTACTAGGCTTACACAATAGTGTCAGCTGTGAAGAGTGTGAGCTGTGAAGAACGAAGCAGCAGGAGTCTTGCTCACCCCAGAATGACTTCCACCTCGTCCAAGTTCTCCTTGCTTGGGAAGTGTGTATTGGAGGCCTCTGCGTCCCTTGCACACTTGGCAAGGTTCTGCTGCAGGACATATCGCGGGTGTGCTATACTCTGGGCCCTCTTCATTGCAGGAGAATTGGACTGACTGCGACAAGAGCTGGAATACCCTGAAGAGTAGTTGAAGCTGAAAGGCCGCCTACTGCTATGGAATGATGGTCGGGCATGGTATGTCAGCACCATTTTGCTGGTTGGTGTAAGGCATACATGCCCTCCTTTCCAGCCCCCTTCTATCATATACGGTGCATGTGTGCCCCTCAGATGTGATTGTCTGTGTGGTGCACTGGCAATAAGGGTGCAGTCCAGCAGCTGCCGCTTCAATCCTTTTAGAAGAGCAGCTCTTGGTGCCCAGGTCGACATACGACATTCAAGATAGCTGGTGCTACAGCAGTGTTACAGATCTTCCAGATCTTGATGTTCTGTCAATACATTCATTTCGTTTCCTTGGAAAATGCCTGAAGCAACATGACATCGGCGGAGTCAGCCGCGTTCCTTATCGGGGGGTCCGCATGCAGTGGGGAAGGGCTAGGGATCCTCCGATAAAAGACAAGAGTCAGGTTGGAGAGTATCGTGCACTGCTCAGGGGGCACCAGAACATTCGAAATCGGGCATAGTGCTCTGCAAGCTGCGGAATACTTGTCCAGCCTCTTGTTCAAGAGCGCTCTGGGGCATATTCCTTTTGTGAGGTTGACTGAATAAAGCGATTTGAGCCTATAAAATCTTTCCCTAAAAGGAAGCAACATTTGATGATGTGGGTTCGCACTCCATGAGGTCAGATGAGTAAAGATCAGGAACAAAAGCTATGCAGCAATGCTCAGGGCTGACAAGCAGGCAGACCAAGCCTCTTGCCCCTTTTTATTCACCGATGTCCTTTCTGATCAGATCTGGACGAAAAGCAACTGCTATCCACCGGGGAATAGAGGCACTTCCCATCTTGTTTCTGCCTAGTCTCAGGTGTGGATGCGGTCAAGCCAGGACGTGCTCTTCACTCTTCCAGGCTGTACAGCCAGAGCTGCCTGCGTTTTGTTCTAGCTCTACCATGAGGTGCAACCTGAGTTCGCAACGAACAACATGTGTGCGCAGAGCTGAGGGCACGTCACCATCGAGGAAATTTGTCCAAGGAACTAGGTGCATGACGTCTCTAGGGGGCAATGTACAGCAGACGCAGGACAAACCTGCAGGCGGCCCGCAAGCCATTCTGAAGGTGACCCATCCTAGCATTGCATGCGCACCCCGCACCACCCTCGCATTCTGGGTGATCATGGCTATCAGGATGCATGTGACATGAATTATGCAAGTCTGGAGGAGCGCATGCGCCTACAGTCCAGTGAGATCTTCTCCTGTGTTGTGTGTCCAGCCATTGCACCCGGGATCTGGGCACATGCTGCCGCCGCCGCCGCCACCAGTGTCGGAGGACTATCCAGCCTGGTGGGATGAGGTGTGGGCCAGCCCGCTGGATGTGCGCCGCAGGATCTTCTGCAACCGCTCCCTCAACATGGCCCACATCAAGGCAGGCTTTGTACTCATCCACTGGCGGTGAAATGAACTCTTCGATGGAGGAGACTTGACATGCGACACATGGTGTGAGCGGTGCCCTTTTAGGAGTGTAAAGTGCAATTTATCTTGTTGCCTGCAGGCCATTGGATTTGACATGGACTACACCTTGTCACAGTACCGACCAGAGACCTTCGAGGTGCTCGCCTACAATCTGACCATCAACAAACTCATACACAATTTTGACTACCCAAAGGTGCGCAGCACTGCTCTTTCCCTTCTTCTTCTGCACCTGATCAGCCCATGTACAGGCTTCCATGCGGACACAACTACCCCTGTTGTCCTCTGCGCTCTTGTTCTGCAGCTGGCGTTGCAGAATGCAAACCTAGAGTCATTCCTGCAGGAGCTGCTGGACTTTGAATTTGACTTCCGGTACATGATGCGCGGCCTGATCATCGACAAGAAGCGCGGCAACATCTTGAAGATGGACCGGCACAAGTATGTTAAAGTTGCCTTTCATGGCTTCCGCAAACTGACCAGGGAGGAGCGCTTGAACACATATGCCCACGCACGGGTGAGGCAGCTCCTTCTGAACCTCAACAACTGCATACTTTTCTGGGTAGTCCAGCTTCTATCAATTTCCATGCTTGCGTGCCATGCCCATGATCAGCCCTCCAGGAGCACCAGCAAATACCATCATGTGTGAGAAGGGGCCATGACAATCTGTCGCCTTCAGGTACCTCATCTGCTTGTTGTGCTCATAGGTTCAGAACAGAAACAAGATGAAGGCTACAGTGAGATCGTGTTGCATGGTGCAGGAGAGGACAGAATTTGACGAGCCGGACTATGCGCTGATAGACACGCTGTTCAGCCTGGCAGAGGCGCATCTATTCATGCAGATCATCGAGCTCATGGAGTCCAAGCCTGGCATCATGCCGCCCAACAAAACCTTTGCTGACATCTACAGGTGACCCAAACGCTTTTGAAAAATGCCTGCTCAAAAGCACGGCATGCACATGTTTGTCTGAGCAGAGAATCTGTAAAGGTTGTTGGGCTGTGCAGGGATGTCAGGGCGGCTGTGGACTTGTGCCACAGGGACGGCAGCCTCAAGCGCAGCGTCGCGGAAAACCCAGCAAAGTACATTCACGAGGTGCATTTCCATCCCTGAGGCCATTATTCTTTGGACCTGCACTGAAAGTGGCTTGCTCATGATGATAAGTAACATGTTCTGTGGAGGCGTGCGTCCTCTGGGTCAATTCTGGCTGTGGCTTGTGTCTTCTTCAAGTTGTGACCAAGAGCACAACCACTGTGGTCCAGAGAATGCACTCACAGGGTACGACTATGCAATAATGAGCACAGAGCTTTGCATTATATTTCTTGATGTCAGGAGAGATGATTCACTTGAATGTGGCGCAGGACCCGCGGCTGCCCAAGCTGCTGGAGGAGCTGCGCGCGAGTGGGCGCAAGCTGTTCCTGGCCACCAACAGCCTGTGGGACTACACCCACGTCGTCATGAACTTCCTGCTCGCCGGCCGCACCGGCGCCGACAAAAACTTCGAATGGCTCGAGTACTTCGACGTCGTCATCACAGGTTTCCCATGCTGAATCCCGGTCCTGCTTTCGTGATGCTGCTGCCAATACACCCCTCATGTCACCACATCCGACTCTCGAAGAGTCGTTTCATGCTGATTCTGCCATACACCTCTGAAGTGCATTCAGGGGTTCATTACGGTAATCACATGCGCTGAAAGGTGCCCCTACTGCAGGCTGCGGCAAGCCGGAGTTCTTCATAAAGAAGAAGGCGCTGTTTGAGGTGCACACGGAGACAGGGATGCTGTGCAACACAGACGGTGGGACGCCCATGGTGCCAATTGGCGAGGAGGTAATTCCTTGCAATGGCCTTGCAAGTCATCACTGATGCATCATCCAACGTCATTGCCAGCCTTTTCTTTGCATAAGCTGCCACTCTTTGGGCCTCTGCTTGGCATCCAAGCAGGCATTGACTCCTCTGGCCTTGTCCCCAAAGGGGATGATGTTATGGTGCACGACGTGATATATGAAGCTCTTTCTGCAATGCAATCAGGACCTGCCCGCGCCGGGGTTCATGTCGAGTGCGCCGGGGGGTCTGGGGGAGCACGAGGCGGGAGCACAGTGCCGCGTGTTCCAGGGCGGCTTCTACCAGGACCTCCACAAAATGCTCGACATCTCCTCCGGCGGCGAGGCGCGCCCCACCCGCCTGATGCACCCGTGCTACTGCCCATACCGTCTTTTACTGCGAATGACGCAAGCTTGTGCCAGAAGCTTAGCTTGAGAGGGTTAAAGGTTGACCATGTATTCGAACCTACCACACTGGGCGCAAGCCATCAAAGCCGCAAATTGTTGTTATTTCCAGCATTATGTTTCTTCATTCTCGAGCAAAAAGCAGGAGCGTTTGTTTTCGAGGGATGTCCCAACTGCAATTTTGGTCAATGACCCAGTGTAGACCAGTTCTTTCAAGGAGCTGCAATTTTATGGAGGGCTACCCAGTCTGATTACATATGCGAAGCTGACGGGGCGGCATGTGCGCGCAGGTGCTGTACGTGGGGGATCACATCTACGGGGACATCCTGCGCAGCAAGAAGACGCTGGGCTGGCGCACCATGCTGGTCGTGCCCGAGCTGGAGACAGAGCTCGAGATCCAGGCCGCCAGTGTCGGCGTCGGCTGCGAGCTCAAGACGCTGCGTCAGCAACGCGATGGCCTCGAAGACCAGATACAGCGCCTGGAGGCCACCATTGCCCGCTCCCGCGGTGCGCTACCCCTATGTATAATGCGCACCCCTTTCATTAAGTAGCCGGAGCTCTTTGTGGGAAGTAATGTCGCAAGGCGGTGGAACATACCATTTTGACATAAAGAGATTTGACATCCAGCTCTTAGAATAGAGCTGCATGCTGCTGCCCTGAGTGAGGACCTTCTGCCAAGCACCCAAGAAGTAGTCCACTTTGGGGAGGCGGTCACAATCTCCACAGCTGATATACTGTGGCACTGTGTTGGGATGTGGTACCTCACTGCATTGTGGAGAATGATCATTCGAGTACTGTATTTGCGGGGACAAATCTGTCCCTTGAGGCCGGGAAGTATACGCATGCCCATGTTGTGGTCATGGGTGCTAGTGACGGCTGCTCTGCGATTAGTAGAAGGGCGCTTAGGTGCCGGGTGTGTGTGCCTGCAGCTGCGGGTCTGTTGGATGGCGATCCTGATGAGGAGGACCTGGAAGAGGTGGTGGCCAACCTGAGGGAGCAGCGGGACAAGGTGTGTGCCTTGGACAGGTCTCACAATTCTAAAACAATTGCCCCGCTGGCAGTGCATGTGCCTTTCTCAGACCCGGGCTCGAGCTGGGATGGGGCTGCTGACATGCACGTGATTGCCTTCCTTGACAGTCAAGACACCCTTCAGCGTGGGGGGCAGCATGGCACTCTGTAGGCAACCATGGTGGTTTCCTGCTTCAGTGCTACAATATCCCTTTAGAGCAGGGGCCAGCAGGCACTTTGCAGGAAATATTGGCGATGGCGTGCTTAAAACTGACATGTGACTGAGTGCGCTGTGGATCTATTGCAGGTGCGGGAGAGGCACAGCGCGCTGCTGCAGGAGCACCACGAGCGCTTCCACAAGGTGTGGGGCCAGCTGCTCAAGACGGGGTACCAGAACAGCCGGTTCGCGCACCAGGTCGAGCGCTTTGCCTGCCTCTACACCTCCCACGTCTCCAACCTCTGCTTCTACTCCCCAGACAAGTCCTACAGGTGCGCCCAGCCGTTCTGCGGCCTTGTGCATGTGTTTGCATGATCAGGCATGCTGTCAAGGGGGGACATGCCTCGTAAATACCTTCCTGAAGGTCCCTGTCAAGGGGTGGCCGGAAGATATCATAGGCGTGCCCAACAGGGGTCAAATAGAGGTGACAGTCATGGGTAGATGTGGAGGTGCAGGTTGCCCCCTGGTCTCGGCCTTGCTTTGGCTTTGGGCGGCAGATGTGCCACCGTGAGGCTTCACAGCAATGTGATGGTTCTGTGCGTGAGCATCTGCCCCTGTCGCACAAGCTCTGGCCTGACCAGGGGGTGATGCTGCTCTCTGTTTGTTGCGCAGGTATTGGGGTTCCCTTACTGACAGTCCGGGCAGAGAGCAAGCATTCCTAGGCGCAGCTCGCATCAAGTACTCCAACTGATGTCGCCGGACTGTTTTTGTGCAAAAGTCTTAGGGATCGTGCACAGTATGTATCATTTGTCTGTGAGCAGTTAGTCCCTGCTGGGAGTGTGCAAATGCTGCTGTAAAAGCCAGTCGCTGTATGTAACACTAGTGGCTTCATGCCGATTTTTGGGAAATCTTCTTGCTGTTGGAAGGGTCAGTCGGTGCTTGGGAAATACGTGGAAGTATGGGATGCCCCTCACACCTGTAGGGCAGCAGGGAGATGTGAAATTGTACATGCACTATTGTTAAAATGTGAGGGAGGGAACGCGCGTGGACAGGGGCCGGATGGACCACATGGCGCATGAGGAGGAGCCTGCCTTTGTGGAGCCCCCTGCTTGTCCCCTGCCCAACCCACGGCGGTCTCAGACTGCTGACTCATGAGCTCAGGCTGGGGTGGCCATGAGCGGCGCTGTCAACGCAGCGCATTTGCGATGGTGTCTTGGCTTGGCATCTTTGAGCAGTGATCACCCATGACGCAAGAGATTTGTTGCGGTTGGAAAAGTTGTATTTGGAATGACAGCTGTCGCGCTGCTCACCAGGGCACGGCCAGGCAATTATTGCTACGGGTGATGTGCTGATGGGAGCAGCTTCGAATACTGCTTGAAAGAGAAACAAATGAAAGACAAAAATTTAACCGCATGGACAAGCACTTGGACTGTTACAGTGTGTGTGAAAGATAGGACATGACTGTATTGTGATAAATTTGCTGATGAGATGGGACTTGCAGCTCCCTCATAAGGTGAGGTATATGGCAATTGCAAGCCTTACGATCTTTGTGACCAGGGCTCATGGTCACCTGTAACAGCAATTGCAGTGCAGGTAATTTGTCCACAATCAATATCCGGTCATCAACACAGGTTTGCCTTCACAGCTTGCACATGGAAGTTCAAGAATTTGTCACGAATTGTCCGGCTTGATCAACTCAATCCAGAAAAGCAGGTCTGCAATGTAGCTAATCTCAAGTCTTCGGTTCAGCATACGCTTTCAATTCCCAGACACTGACTATCGCTAAGTACATCAAATCTTGGGAAGCTCCCGAGCTTGCAGCAACCAAAGCCCTGCGCTGGTATCCGCCTCCTCATCTGCCTGAACCACCAGGAAGTGAAGGCCCCTGCGCAGCAGCATAATAATCAGGCCACCCATGCCCCCCTCCTCTGATTGCCACATTTTTATGCTTACCTTGCCGGCTAAATAAGCCACCACTTGAGCGTGTCATGCATGCTATTCCCACTTTCACTCCCGCACGTAAATCTTATGATGGGCATCCTTTGCGCCGAGGATACCAGCCAAACACTCATGGTGTTATCTCCCCCACACAGCAGCACGCAGGCGGCATGTCGGCATGTGCGCACACCTGGCGGCTATCTTGGCGGCCTCCCATGCGCGCGCATCGGCGGTGTTTTCCGGGGTGCGCTGGTAGTTGCCATATCTCCACCTCTGGTTGACGCCCGTCTCCAACACCAGGCATGCCCGGTCAGCGTCTGCCGCCACATTGGCCACCTCTAACCCCGACGTCCACGCTGCCAGCGGCACCGCCCTCCGGCTGTACACCGCCACACCTGCAATCCAGTAACAGCTGATGTACACGCGCCACCTTTCTAAGAAGACATTCTGGAGGCCCGTTCAACCAAGAACCTCTCCCCTGCCATCCCAACAGCAAAATAACTTGCTCAATAGCTGTCCTCAAGAGTAGAACTGCTCATGGCAGGACGGCTGCACATGCATATATGCACACTTCCACAGCTTGAAAACTGAAGAAAATCAAAGCAGACTCAGGAAGCAACAAGGGCCTGTAGAGCATAGAGACAGGCAAAGCACCGGGGATGGGTGTGTCATCGGGCAGGTCGGCGAGGCCAGCGCTGGCGAGCGCAAAGTTGGCGCCAAAAGTCTGCCGAGTGTCAACGGCGCGCAGCTCCTCGCGCAGCAGCCCGAGCGGCAGCTGCACGAAGAGCCAGGACTCGCCGCGCAGCGCGTCCGGCAGATCCTGCGGCGGCCCCAGGTCCAGCGTAAAGAGGCTGGTCGCCTTGTCGCTGTAGCCCGCTGCCCGCTTGTATACCGTCTCCAGCCGCTCCTCCAGCAGCCCTGCAGCACGGCAGGTACCACAATTGAGCCCCGGCCTACAATGTTCCCTTGCATCTTCACAATACATCCATAGGTGCAGGATGAAAGTGTCTCGTCGTTCCCCTATAGCATGATATGATACAGTTTTGCACTAGGCGGTGACCCCATGAAGAAGCCAGGCGAGCCTGGCTTTGATTGCATGGCCAGACAGATCAGCCGGGAGGCGAAGCAGCAACAGGTAAAGAGGTTCATCTCGAATACTGCTGGAACTTGATACAAGTCTTTGAGGCATTGACAAGGTCATGCGCGGACCTATCAAGCTGAAGCAGCGTCTGCTGGGCACGGGCTTGATGTCCAGGTCAGCCAGCGCTCGTGAGATGATGGTCTGCATCTGGCCCCTGAAAAATCTGACTGTCTGTGGCTTTACCGCCCCTTCCGCCTCGATGATCTCCTGAAGGGCTGCTTTGAGCTGCAGGAATGCACACACAGGCCTCACATGAGCAACTCGACATGCATGAACGTATGCTTGAGCAGTGTGCACTGGGCCACATGTGCAGCATGTATTGCATTTCACCTGCGTGCTGTTGATTCTGTTGTTTGGGAACCACTTGGAGTACACCCAGCTGCGATCCGGGCTGCAAATGAGCAGTTCCCAGCGTTTCTTGCCACGGGCGTCCAGGATAGGTCTGGACGAGAAGTCGAGCTCCCAAGTGCTGAATGTGGGCACAGATGTAGATGGTGCCTCTTCCTCTTCTGGCAGCTGTGCAGATCGGGCCTCTGCTGCCGTGGAAGGACCAACATCAGTATCGATGGCTTCACATCTCAGTCTTGAGGCCCTCCTGAATGGTTGGCGGTTTGAGCTCCTGACAGCGGCCGACACGCGACTTTGTGACGATGCAATATTCAAGTTTGTGCTCGCTGGTCTCCTGTGATCGTCTGTATGTGTTCTGAAAAGCGCACGAGTCTCATTTCCTAAAGAAAGCATAGCTGCACAGGAATTTGCACACTGTGAACACCCAACAACAATCCCTGGCAGTGTTTCACAAGCAGTAGTCTTGCAAATGAACACTTATAATGTCCAAGAACATCATCTACGCTGCCGCAGAAGTGATAGGATAGGCAGTCAGGAGGGAACGCCGGGTTCTCGGTTCTCCGATACAAAATTTTGGGCGTTCTACTGAGAGATGTCAAAGGTCAACATTGCGGTTGGATTTGGTCCCAGATTTCGTGCAGAGGAAGTAGATTTTGAGTAATATTTAGAAGCTGAGGCCGTCGAGGCGTTCGGCATCAGACCACTCGGCAGATCGGATGCTCGACTTTTGTCTCTTCCGAGTAAGGTTAGCACCTCTCGAAGCAGGAGTTGCACGATGCGACTCATAACTTCACAGTAGGAACATCAATCACATGTTGGACGGTGAAGTCGACCTATAGAACGGGGCGGAACCCTTGCCATTGAGCCAAACCTTAGGTGTCGATGGACCTCATTGTCCGCAATTGGGTGTAGTGATGGGCGTCCGCTGCAGCTTGAACAAGTAAAATGAATACTTTACAATTATTTTAAGGGTTAGTTCTTTCATCATGCTGCAAAGCTGGGAAAGAGGCACCCCCTAGTACAAGACCCCGCCGAACAGTCAGCACAAATAATGCCGAGCTCTGTTGGAAGTAGACGAACTTTGGTAGGCAATCTTGACATTTTTTCATTGCTTGGGACGCAGGAATGATGCACTGCAGCGAGGAAGGATGGACTTGAGGAGTTATAAGCCTTAACGGTGCAAACAGACAAGGTGGAGCCTAGGATGAATATGATGCCCCATGGGACGTTTGTGGGACTTTCTGAAACTGACATCCCATGTGCACCTCCCATTGGGGTTAGGCCCATCATACCATGGGATGCACTGGGATGGTGTCGGGACATGTGGGAGGAGGGTGGGATGGAACGCCCGTTCCCGGAGTGCCAGCTAGGAATAGGTGATTGGGAGAGCCTGCCACCAGAGCTCGTGGCGCAGATCTACACCCACCTGCCTCTGAGGGAGCGCAAACTTGGTGAGATGCACATCCATTTTTGCAGGGTCATCTGGATGCAGTCAGGCATCTAGCTTCCTTCTGAATTGCTTTGAAGGATGCACAGTCATGGCTGCTCATGTCCCAACGTGTGCTGTATTATCCTGCAGGTCGGAAGATATGCAAGGGGTGGAAAAGGGGCTTGGATACGATGGTGAGCAAGTTGCGCGTGGGGCCGCACAACCGAGAACCGAATGTGTGGAATCGTCAGCTGCTCATGATGAAGCGGCTGCAGCATCTCTTCCCCTGCCTACAGGAGATCGACTTTGACCAGGTGCATCATCTATGACCCCTTCATGCCCCTTTACTGAAGCTTTCACTGCATGCTGAGCATTTTCAAGTCCCCCCTTTATTGTTGGTAGTGTTGGGCTGTGGTAGTATTAGCTGTAATTTGGGGCTGAGAAAGACAACGAAACATATTTTGCTGTCACTGTGACGTTGACACACCTTGCAGCCATCATACTGGACCGAGCGCCACGTGAAGTCCTCAATTTGAAGCAACTCATTTGTGCAAGCTTTCATGATGGCATACCTTGACGGTCTTTCTGGGGCTTCCAGGGCGTGGGTAGCGACCTGTTGGTGCGCGATCCGGGCCTGCCGCACAACCTTAACATAATTCCGCGAGTGTCGCGCATTGGGGTGACATCATCGCGCACCGCGCTGCATCTGGCGGCTGTGCATGCGCTGGCCGCGCGGCCCGAGGTGGCCTCTTTTTCGCTGAGTTTGCCGTCGCCCATCACCAATGCGGACCTGTGCGAACTGCTCTCCGTGCTCGGGCCCAAGCTCACCTCGCTTGAGGTGCAGCAGGTGAGACATCAGCTAACTGTATACCTTGCCACGTGATCCATGGAGCACAGAAGTCTTGCCCAGTAGTACTATCGTACCCCCTGCTGCTTGATCCAGCTCAGTACACATGGTGCCAATCTCACCATTGCAAAATGTTGAGAAGGACTTTCAGCAGCCTGCTCTCCTTTGCAGATGAATGGGGACCCCACTCCCCAAGTTGACTGATACTGCAAGTAACATAATAGTCCTGAGTGGCAACCTGACAAGAGAACAACAGATCAAGGCTCGTGCATTGCAAAGGAAGAGACGCTGCCGGCAGCGCACAAAGCAGGAGTGCAAGGTGTTGCGCTGAGTATTGAAATATTTACTCCTGTGCAGGCGCACGAGCTGAGCAGCGCGGCGTTGAAGGGCCTGGCGGCCAGCAGCCGGCTGGGGGCGCTGAGCCTGGAGGGCATACCGCGGATGGGGAAGGAGGGCTGGCGCGCGCTCTCCTCCCTCACCGCACTCACGCGCCTGGCTGTCCGATCGCGCGGCGATAATGCCGGCCTCGCGCAGGCAACACCCCCTCCCGCATGCCTCAAGCAAACCTCCTTGCTGTATCTGACCAAGTGCACAGGCTTGTTTGTTGTGCTCATTCATGCTGGGAGGCTGTAGAGCAGACCACACCGGGATGTGCATCATGGGCGGGCGAGGGACTCACATTTTCTTTGCCAGCTCATGTAGTAAAATCTTGAGTAGTCTGCTCTTCAGTCTTGAATTTGTGTAATACAAATATGAACGAACAAAAGTTTGGTATCATCAGGTAGAGGAAGAGAATTGCTGACAGCAGTGACTTGACTGAACCCTAAAGTCTCTTTACTCTGCTGTGGGAGCAACTGCTGGCAACTTTGAGGCCAGAAATTTGACAGTGTGTATGGAGTTGCAGATCAGCACGCTGACGCGGCTGCAGGACCTGCGGCTGAAGGTGCGCGAGATTGACGCTGATGGCGTTGCAGCGCTGCAGACGCTCAGAGACCTGCGCTCCCTGGACCTTGAGGTACCTCCCAAGCTGCACATCTACCTCAGGGCTTGCTCTTACCAGTCATTCTTCCCTTCAATACTATTCCATGCCAGGAATGCTTGGGTTGCCCGCATGCGTAGATGGGGCTTTCCAGCCAACGTTCCGATCTGTGAGCAGCAACTCGTGATTTGAATTTGAAAATCGGTGTGTCAACAGCAATTTTATTTGATTTTTAGACAAGTGAAGAGGGGCGCGCCGAGCGCAGGTGTGGGTGTCGCCAGTGCGGCCGCGGGTGATTGAGGCGCTGCTCAGCTTCACCCGGCTGGAGGCGGTGCGGCTGGAGGCATATTCCTCTTTAGAGACGGCGCGCTGTTTTTGTGCGCTGCGGCACCTGCCGCGGCTGGCGCACCTCGACCTGCGCCTGTCCGGCTCCTCATTTGCCCTCGATGACAACCTCGAGGCTCTGGCATCCCTCTCCGCCTGCTCGAAGCTGGTGGGCTGATTTCCTGCTCCTTGGGGCGTGCTCATTGCTGCAGGAACATGTGGCAGCGGCTTGTGATGTGCAGGCTGAATGGAATTCGAAGGCAGTTTGATGATTGAAGCTGGAAGTAGCAGGGCAGGGAGGCATGTTTAAGAGACTTAAAACGTGGTGGGAGGGGAATTGATGAGCTGTGCTGTTGTAAATAGCCTTGGGAGGTTGCGTGCGGTCCCAATGTCATGTTTATTGTTTGCTGTGATGTGGGCCCTGGGTGGAGGCAGTGTGTACAGCTCCTGTCAGGAAGAATTCTCTAGTATTGGCCTGCTTGAGAGTTGCAACCTCAGGGGAGCAATGGGCTGAGGGGCATCCCCTGATAGAGAGTATACTGTGTTGCTGCAGGCGTCCCTGTCACTGGCGGCGCCTGCTCCGGCGCTGTCGGCACTGTCGGCGTGCAGCGGCATCCAGAAGCTGCGACTCAGCGACGCATCGATGCTCAGCAACCGCATCACAGGTGCGCCCACAATTCCATCGCTGCTCTACATGTCTTTGTCCTCCTCTGCTGCCCAGGCCATCTGGCACACTGGTGAAACATGACAGACAGCTGCAATCAGGCTGCATGAACAATCGCTGCAGTCTGCAGGCTACAGTGGATCAAGAAGTTCACGTTTGCCTACCAGCTTGAATGCTGGGATGGAGACAGGGAGTCATGGCGCTCATATAGTCTCACCCTTGAAGAGCAGAAGGGGCGGAGCTTAGCATGCAGTGTTGCGGGTGATTATCTGGCAGTCCAGTCCTGAGCACAGCATGCTGAGGGTGTGTCAATTGTCATGTGCAGGCACGGAGCTGCCGCGGCTGCCGGAATTGCGCCACTTGAACCTGCTGCACTGTAGCGCGCTGACAGACGCCGGCCTGGCAGCTGTGGCGGCACAGTATCCAGTGCTGACAGGCCTACAGCTCAAGTCGGGCTCTCTTTCCGACGCCGGCTTGACTGCAATCGCTACTCTGACGTCCCTGGAGCGACTGGACCTGGTAGACTGTGAGGCCCTCAAGGGTGAGGGCCTGCGAGCCATCCTGGCCTCTCTGCCATACCTCCAGGTGAGACCTCCTTTTCCCAAGCTGCCTGCACACTCCATTCATACGAGCAGCTGTGGTCGTTCGGCAGAAGATTTGGTCCTGAGCCTGGCTGAAATGTCAGGTGCATGCACGCATGGCACCTGATGTGCAGCCGATTGCTGTGTGCAGCGCGCTGCCGTGGCATGCGAGGGCTTGTAGCCAGCACCACTTCTCTTCAAGAACTCAAGAGGTGTAGAGACCCGAAGCTACATGTGTGAGAGGGTTGTTGTGTGGGTGCAGGCAGTCACAATCACAGGGAATGATACCGCCCTGGAGGAGGCGCGGATAATTACCCGGACGACCTCGCCCCACGTGGAGGTGGCTAAGGGTAGATACCCCTTTGAGTTGGAGAGTTCGTTGAGACCGCTGCAGGACCGAATCTACTCCTGAGTCCCCAACAATAAAGTTTTGCCGAAGTGCGTGTTGAGAATTATTGAGCACAGGGTCTGCTCGGGGGTTTGCTCCTGTTGGCATGAATGAGAGAGTGTTGAGATGAACGCAGAAACGAGCTCGGTTGTTGGCGGCAGGAGAATGATGAATTGCTCAGTTTTCTGGACTCTGCGCACCAGGTTTTGTTTTATTTTCCTGCTGAGTCTCCAAACGGTTGTCAGATCAGCTCTGGAACATGTTCTACAAATAGGTCAGTATTTACCCAAACACTGTGGCAACATCTGCCTCTTGATGGCCATGTTTAGCTACAGGAAGGGAGGCAGCTACCAGTACCACAGATTGCAGAAAGAATTGCAAACACAGATTCTAACAGATTTTTAGCCCTGTTTTCCTTGCAAGTGCCCTAGGGGCCATTCCCCTTCCAACAGGTATATATTTAAGTTCTCCACCATGAATTGCTTTGCGGCTGCTGTAATGCAAGATAAGGCCATCTATGTAACAGGAACGTCCTACCGATAAGATATGTCTACATGCAATCTTTGAGATTCACAAGTGTACAGGTATGTACTCAGTCCCTCCCACGTGAAGCCACGCTGCTCTACATGTGCGACACAGCTATTCTAGCATAAAATCAAGTGTTCAGAGACATTGGTGCATGCATCATTGATCAGGCCGGCAATCAGCGGAAGCAAGGGTCATCCACCATCTTCCCAGACTCCATCAAGCAGCTCAAGCACGCACCACATATGCACCTGGGGTCCTCAGAGTACAGGTTGGCGCCCTTCACAAGGCACTTCCTGCCATTGCACAGCTTCTTGCTCTTGCTGCATGCCCTTGCAGTGGATGACTGCGATCCCTCAAGGGAGCTGTACTCAAGGTAGAAGTCCGAGCAGTACTCCAGTCTAGGGTGCTGCCAGCTGTCAAGGAACAGGTGATTGGTGACGAGTGACATGTGGCGCCATGTGCCACCCCAAAGATCCATGCAAGCAACCCAGCAGCGGATGCTGACTTTGACGTTTGGCTGAAACACCTGGAACACCTGCAGGGGGCGTCTGTCGTCCCCAATACACTGCAGGTTGAGCTCAATATTGGTGATGTTGCCAGCCCTTTCCACAAGATCAGGCATCTCCCGCATGTCACCATCAGGATCGTCCCACGTGAAGCTGCGCAGCATTGGCAGAACGCTGTGCCACACGCTGTCATGCGCGGCCTCCCAATGAGTCACCGTGACATGCAGGGCTGCGCCAGGTGGCAGCGTCAGCCTCGAGGGCACCAGGCCAATCAGATTCACATGGCGCAGGTAACGAAGAGTGGCAAGCGCTAACTCTGGGCAATCCGCATATGCTGCACATGACTTGTCCTCATCCTCGGTGTCGCATTTGATGTACAAGGTCTCCAGAGCCGTGAGTTCCAGCAGGCTGCGCGCGATTGCTGTGATTGGCATTGAGCCCTGGTCCAGGATGAGGTGCTTCAGGCTTGGCAGCTGCGGCAGGGTGGGCAGCTTGCTGCTGGTCAAGCAGAGCAAGCGGAGGCCCTCAGCGCGATGAGCCAGGTGCGCAAGCAGTCTGCCTATAGGTTCTAATGAATCTGCATCCGTCTCAGTGTATTCGCAGACCATCTGCAGCTGCAACAGCTCCTGGGGCCTGTCGGTGCCTCCATCCTCATGCAGGAGGGCAGCAAGGAAGTCTGCCATTGCCTTGCTGTCCATCTCAATGCACATGCTTTGAGCGTGGCCCCATCGAGCGGAGATCCACTGCAGGCCTGTAACAGTTTTGGGCTTTGTCAGCAGTTCGTGATGAACATGCCCGATATCGCCTTTCAAAAATGAATCTTGTTTGCGTTGCTGCCTTTCAGCGATCGTCAGCTGTTTTTTACCAACACCACTAAAGAGGTTGATGCAATTAAATGACACTGTGGAGCACGTGAAATCCTCGCCATACTATGGGAATTGGGGATGCAAGCAAGGAACAGACGTCAGGCTGCGATGCTCACCTGACAAGCTGAAGCCTTCATAATCTGATAATTTGATTGACTGCAGCTGCATTCCCCAGGTTGTCTTGCACAATCCTGATGCCCTTGCCCAATCTCGCACATCCATGCAAGACGCTACCTTCTTCCATATTTCCTCCGGGAGGCTCAACGGGGGGCTAGTCTGCAAACAAGCACGCGTCGAATAAATTAAATCCAGGAAATATAATACAGAATCAGTTGAAAGTACCACATTTGGCCGCACTTACCCTTCGCCTGCGAGTCATGGTGGCACTCTTCTTTCGTAATTATTGTCTGATCAGGATATCTATCACGAGCACTGCAAAGAGGTTCAGCGCAGTAGTGGATTCACGATTGATGGAGATTTGTTTGAGAAGCAAAACCATTGAACTTCTCGTTTCGAAAAACTCATAACGTTATTACCATCCACGTGCTACTAGGAGTCCGCTTTCCTCCTCCCTTAAAATTGCTATCTTAACACACGAACTTCTTGCTTGCCTCGTGGTTGCGCATTCAAGACACAGAAGGTGTGCTGTCCGCGCCAAGTTGCTTCCAAAGCCTCTGCAGTTGACTTTTACATTCGTTCGTCATCTGCTGTATGAGGCATCAAAATTACTAGAAGTTTTCCTAGACTTACTCCCCCTGTATGAAGAAATCAATCCACTTTTCAAAATATGGTTAATTTCATTAATATGATAACATGGCCCTGCCCAGCGGGTGACCATCATGAAGTCTCCAATTACTTCCCCAAGGACTTATATCTCCAAGGACTAAGAATTCTCAGAATACTAATTAGCTTGTATCTTTAAGATGAAGTCTACTATAATAAGGTAGCAATATCGATGGACATCTCCACTGTACAGTGCATCTTCGTAAGAACTAATAGAAACTAATGCGACTGGTCAATATGGAATCTGGCACCCCTTCATGATATAGCACATTTGAAATATTCAAGAGCATATGAGTGACTGCATTTTTTTACCATGTATACGACGAGGCTCACATGCCAAACATGTAAACAGAGTACTCTCCCCAGCTAGCTGCAGTCGCCAATCTTAAGAGACTCTCAGACTATAACGCCAATTGTTTATATGCACTTTTTTAGCACCCAACAATGGTCTACTCAGTGATCATCCCGAAATAAATCAATACTTGTGCATCCCCGAACCAACGGCGGCCAACCAGAGAAAACTCTGAAGCACACAACCTAATCAACATTGAAGACAATCAGATGAGTCCCCTCAACTTCGACAGGCAGGTTGGATGGACACAATTGCACACAGATCGGAGCGCAGCATGCAGCACGCCAGCGCGCAAAAGTCAGTAATCCTCGTCATCGCCGTCCACTGACAGCCACAGCGGCCGCGCAGGCAGCTCCCCGGGCGCCCAGGGCTGCAGGGATCCGCAGGAAACCAGCTTGCTGCTGCCGGTGCGCACCAGGTCCACGCTGCGCGATGCCTGCGGCGATTGCCCCAGCTGGCGCGCGCGCGGCGAGAGCAGGATCAGTTGCGTTGAGCCGTCGTTCCACACCCTGCAGCCGCGCGGAGATCCACTCACTTGAATACCAATCAGAACACCCTGGAGCTGAAAGCAATCATGCGCATGACCTCCTGCATGCTCACAAGCACAGGCAGGCAGTCCACAGAGAAGAAACATACTGCAGCACCGAAGAGGGAAAGAAAGCACTCCATGTGAGAAACAGTTTTAATTGCTTACATGCACAGGCTTGAGAAATGACAAGTCCGCAGAGAAGGGAGGTTCTACAGCACCAAAGGAGGAAAGCTGCGAACTTGCAGAGAAGCCGATATAAAAGCAGGCATTTGAAAGCAGACAGGAGTGGGCACCTTTTGGCTGAGCGCAGCTCCTCGCCCTCCAGGTTGACTGTGAAGTCGATGGGCTCCGAGGCAGAGTCTGGCACGCGGTAATAGCCGAACAGGATGCGCCCGACAGACATTGCCCGCGCCTGCGCACAGCAGAGAAACGTTTCGTGTAAGCTGCCTTGAAATCGTTGCACCGCTGCAGAAGCAAACAAGTACGCAGGCCAACTGTTAACTATAGTGTGTTGATGTGTACAACAGTACGGTGTGGTGATGATGTCTTACAGAGCCTGGTTTCGAAAATGGTCTTACCTGGAGCTGCCAGTAGGACAGGACCTCCCCCGGCTTTGCGAAGGCAGCGGCTGACTGGACGTCCAGCTCATTCCCATCACCCATCTGCACCCATACTAAACCCCATTTAGTACAGGTGCCTCATTTGACTGGACGTGACTCTTGTGAACACTGATCAGAGATACTAGCAAACATCCAGTGACTGCATACCTGGCAGCCATTTCTGCTGCATTAGATTCCATGCTGTCATGCATGGAAGGCAACACTGCACTAGCTGTGACACTGTCAAGAGTCCAAATCCATATCAAGTTTTCACTTTCCTGGAAGAGGACTGAGCAAGCTGTTCAAGGGGAACAGAAACAGCTGCGCATGTTTGCCAATGTCTGTGCGGGAACATGTGGAACCTGCAAATCAAAGCTCAATGAAATTGACTACTGAAGAGATGGGGCCACCTGTGCAAAGACAAGGACGTTGCGCGGATTGTAGAGGGTGGAGGTGAGCAGCTTGGCGGAGAAGGAGGTCATGTTGACAGATATGCCGATGGGCAGCCGGTACCGGTCCTCAAACCGCGTCTCGCCCTCCGCCGCTACCTTCTCGCAGATTATGTTTATGTCCGGGTAGCCCGCCTCCTGCTCAAACGCCCCACAGCATTATCAGACTAGCAGTTGCTTCCAAGAGTACAAATTGCCTAAGTGGGCTGTTGCAATAATTTCTACCCTGCAGTCAGCAGGCCTGCTGTTATGCTCGTGTCTTCTGCCACCAAGCTGTTGCTGATATGTTATGGACATGCAATTCCTTCCCATCAATCATGTGACCAAAGCTGGCATCCCTGCATGCTGACGCCAGCGTAGGGTCACATCAGAAACAGGACTGTCTTCAAGCATCCCTGCCTCGCCTGTCATCTGAGATATTGCCCCACTTCAATGTCACGTGCAGCCTTAGGCTCCGGAGAAGCACAAAGTGCACAATGCCACAGCCAGGTGGCAGAGACGAGCCTAACATGTGAGAGAAGAGGAAATAAGGGTGCAGGGCGCACCATGAGGGATTTGCGGATGTGAAGTTGGACGAGGAGGATCTGGGATTCGAGGCGCAGCATGTCGCGCTGCTCGCGCACCTGGATCCCATTCGTGTCGTCCAGGTCAGGGTCCACCCAGCTCTGGTCGCACAGCACTATCGCCGTCGTGTACCTGCGCATTGTGGCAGCGCGTCAAAAAATGTCCAATAAATGAGGACTCTACAATGACAATGAAAGTGAGTGGACGACTGCGGATCCATTCAGTACCTCAGAGGCAATGTCTGAGCTCAATGGCATAATTTTCATGAATTCTTGCTGCCTCTTGACAAGGAAGACAGTTTGCAGAATGCTGTTGGCAGATTCTGAGAAGAGCTGATGGGCAGGCCAGATCCAACTCAGTGCAGCAATCTTGCTGCATGTTCATGCATGCAAGAGTAGGATTGCATTCCACGACGGCAATGTAAAGGCACCTGTATTAGACATAAGACTGAGTGGATCACCTGGTGACGTCTATCTTGGCCGTCAGCTCTACATAGTCCAGGGGGTTGCCGCTCACATACTGCACATCCAAGTTGCGCAACCTGCCCACACATGCTGCTATCGTCAGCACAAAAGATGGTGCTGGCAACAGCTCCACAACTCTTCAATGTCAAACAGCTGCAGATTTCTGCAGCAATGCAATCATTGAGCTCCGGTTGACCTAGACTTTTGCAACAATGCAGGTAGCATATGAAGTTGCGCATAGAAGCAGTAAGGGCTTCTGCGACTATGGGCCTGTTTGAGCGGTGACTCCACAGGTGGGGCCCTTTCTCCATTGCTCTAAATAATCACAGGCATTGGCTTATTTAACAAGTTCTGCAGCAGGGTTAGCACCGGTTGCGCTTCTTGACACGGGCAATGACTTCGTCTGTGGAGGTGCTATTGAAGAGCGTGATCGAGCTGCCAGCAGGCAGAGCCGAGGGCCCGTGGTCCATCTCCCTCAGCAAATCGCTCATGAATGCCTCCTCCCGCCACCCACATATCAGCACAATCTGCAGCATGCCACAATGCAAGCTTTGACCACTTCAATAAAGATCTTTGGCAGAGCACGGAAGCGATCTGACTTGCTCCGCTTGCCATTCACCAACCAAAGCGTCACCAACCAACCTACCAACCAACCAAACCGTGTTCTGAAGCACCCATGCTCTCAGTCAAGCAGGGGGCCGCTCATCGCAAGTAGTAATTTTATCCTCCTAAGTCATGCATGCACATGCCAAGGCAGGGCCGCACCTCCTGGGACTCGCGGTAGGAGGAGTGCTCCTGGGGCATGATGTACATGTAGGAGGTCTGCCGCTCCTGGGCCAGCTGCGCAGAGGCGGCGTTCGCGCGCACGCGGCCGCTGAAGCCCACCATCTGCAGCTGCCGCTCGTCTATCCCCATCTCACTCCAGTCCTCGTCGGTGCCGCTCATGCTCATCCCCGCGCGCGACCGGTACGCCTCCGGGTCCCACTCCCCTGCCCACAGTGTGCCAGGCTGTGCATTCAGAACTATGCAGAATTTGTGCCGAGGGACTGTTTCAAGCTTGACAAATGTGTATGTTGCACTCATTGAACATGGGTGTCTTCAGTCACCAGTAGTGCATACGACGTGCACTGAACACTGCACTTGACGCAGTGGAAGGCACACCGGGGTCGACGGCGACGGGCTGCGGCAGGGGCAGGACCTGGTCCTCGCGCAGGTCGGTGGATCGGATGAGAATGATCTCGTCCAGGTCGGCCACGCTCGTGCCTGGGGGCGGGTTGAGCACGCAACGCCGCGTCGCGTGCTGCACCAGCCCGTATACTGTGGCGCGCGGCAGGTAGAATTGCAGCTCCCCGAACGTCTTGCCCACCAGCTGCGGCAGCCGCTGCAGGTACACCTGCGCAGACGCGCCCCGCCGAGCCGCTCAGCATTATTTATTGTGAGCCGTTTAAGGCCTTGCAAGATCTATTGCCAAGTGGCATTTACGACAGCCTCTGTCAGCCCAAGTGCTGTCCAGGCCCCCACAGAGACTGGCTCAGATATTTGTCTTTGAATGATGTCAGGTTCAGGCAAACATGCAGACATCCCTGGCGGGGAGGCAATGCCAGCAGCAACTCATGTCACGCTGTGCGAGCGGTGGCAGAGCGGCAGGTAGGACCATAGGAAGTGGTGATGCAGGATAATAAGAGGCTGGGGTGCACCTGTGGGCGGCATGCGAAGTTCCACACCATGTAGGATATGGCCGCCACGATGGGGGACCTGACCATGCGCGACAGCCTGTACACAGCACACCCCAGGATATTGTTGCCAATTCTCTGTCTCGCTCTGTCGCTCTATCAATCACCTGAACTCACACATTCTTCCTGCTTGACAGTATCGATGTAAAGATGCTCAAAATGCCTGATGACTTCACAGAACGCCAGCAGTGGGGGTGCATGCATGATACAGGGCGGCCGGGAACACTTCAGCTGATGAATACAGCATGCATGCCTCCTATGCAGGGGGCACAGGCAAGCCATCAAAAATAGAGACAGTAAGCCGCTTTAAGATTCCCTTCAAACTTCACAGATTGCATGCTGGCTATGCGGCTGCCACAGGCAAGCTTATGTGGGAGACAGTTGGCCACATAGCAAAGATGGTCATACGATGTTCAGGATGCATGCCGGTAGTACAGCTGCAATAATATTACATGAAAGGGAGGCAGGTGGGTGCGCACCTGCGGGCGTTCATTTCGCCGGTGTGCAGGGCCATGACGCGCACGGAGCAGGAGTACTGCAGCACGGCCAGCGCGTTGAGCGTCTTGACCTCCACGATAATGCGGCCCCCGCGCGACGCAGCCGGCGCCTCCATCTCGTCCAGCAGAATCGCGGCCCGGATCGCCTCCGCGTCAGCCTCCACCGGCGACCTGTCCGAGCCGGGACTGGCCTAAGCTCTTTCATCGATCCAGAAACTCAACAGAGATCAAAAGTTTAAGATGCTCATTGGCGTCATCTGGGGGCCACGGCGCCAGCAATCTGTGCCAACCTGAATCTCTATGTAGTGATATGCCCGTTTGCTTGATGCTTTAATTCCCAAAATTAGCTTGAATGGTATCTGCACAAGGAGGCAATGACCTTCCCCAGCAGCAGCCTACTATACGCTTGTCATGAGATCAGGATAGATGTTCCTTACCTTGAGGAGTCGGAGACAATGACTGTTGCGGCTGCACTGGACGCAGCAACCATCTTCAGGTCCGAAGGTACCAACGGGGATCCCTGCCATACATCAGGCATCAGACATCATTGAGCCTAAGCCATGCATGCAGGGAAGGAGCACCAGTTGTCTTCTCATGTAAGGACCCCCGGAGTCAAAAATCACCTGGCGGAAAACAAAGTTGCAGCCGCAGCGCTTGTGCGGGGGAATGATGCGACGAAAGAGGGTCTCCATCCCGATCTTCTCTCTCTGAGTCATCACCACAATCACGCGGCCGCCATCCGAAGCATATGCCTGACACGTCTGCAGGAGCAGCACAATGTTTATTAAGCAGGATACGTTACTCACATTCAGTATTATGTCATTTGTAAACAAGCTTGATTGTGAATCCTGTGGTGGGACAATGCATGCTTATGATCCCCATGCATGAGCACATGCTGACGTAGACAACATTTACAATCAACCATGTGCTGACCGAGGGTCATTGATTCACAGTCAATGCAAAGCATGTTCCTGACCTGTGACAGAATCTTCTGCACCACCTCCAGGTCACGCTGGCTGTCACAGAAGCCGAGCACCAGGATCTGCGCACAGCCAACAGTCGATTAGTCAATGGCGGTGCCCGTGCATCAGCGCATTACTGTATTATCAGCACAGCAACAGTATAGATACAGCAATTTGATGAGACTGCAGAAGGGGCGCACATGCCCTGTCTCAAACACCCTCGAGCCGCGCGCAACATTCTCGTCCACCACCTGCAAAGCCTCTGGCCTTCGGTAACCAGGTGACCTCTGGGTAGGGCACCCACTTACAGCATGCAGAGCAGGGATGCATGTAAAAGACAGGCCTGGACCAAGCAGAGGAGGAATACAGCAGAGTGAGTATTGAGATCACCTGCAGCACGACCTGCTCCACCAGAGCCAGGACCAGCGCAAATGCTGCCAGCCCAATGGCCGCCACGCTCACTGCGAAGGACTGCTGCGCGAAGCTGGTCGCCTCGTCTGGAAGCTGCTGCCCAAATATCACTTGCAGGATCTGCCCAAGGAGACCAACATCATCGTTTTCAGCAGTACACATGTAATTTCACAAGCATGCCACTGCAGCTGCCATTGTGAGTTGATGGTGGGTGTGCAGCAGCCCTGCCAGGGAGCAAGCAGTGCCATGGTGGCATCCCAAGGAGCTTACCTGGTAGATGCTCAGCCAGAAGGGTTTAGCGTCGAGCTCTTCCGCGGAGATGCTGTCAGATGCATCTACGAGGTGGGTTTTGAGCCACCCGAACAGAAATATGACGCCCAGGTTGACCACCGCAAAGAGCTGCAGATCGCTCCATGTGTCTTGCCTGCACACGCAAGATAGATGCTCAACTCATCAACAGCCAGGCATAAATTTTGCTGTTCAACCTGCACCGTGTGTGTGCTGGTTGACAATGTGCACCTCCAGCAGAAGTACTTGTATGCGATCCGCTCCCCAAGGTCCTTCCAGTGCCAAGAGCCCCAGTTGATCAGCTGGGACCGTGACTGCCGCTCTGAAGTTGGCAGATCAAAGGCGTCCACCCACTCATCGACATCATACTGCCTTCGTTTAGCAGCCCTGCAAAGGGAACACGTCAATACAGGCCCGGTTTCCCAGGTGGGTCAATTGTGCTGTGATGCACAGACCAAGAGAGCTGCAAAGGCAGTGCCCCATACCAGTCGTTTTCGGCATTGGGTGTGCTGGCTGCGTTGTCAGACCCTCCTGATTCAGGTCCTGTGCTCGTGCCATTTGAGGTGTGACCACCTCCTGACCCGTTAGGGCTTGAGGGGCAAGATGTCTGTCTTGGACGCCTTCTGGTGAAAGCCCTTATGACAAGAGGATCCGAGCTCTTATGAACTCGATAAATCTTATGAAAAGCCCTTCCCAGAGTAAGATATCGTAGATTATGCTTAATAGCTGGGTTGGCCTGGCTGGTAGGTTTTCCCGCAGCACCCAAGAAAGATACTCCGGAAGACAATTTATCAGTTCGCGATTGCATCTGTGTCATTCCATCTCTGACAGAGTGACATCCTCCGTACCCCCTTCAGTGTTTTGATCTCATTTGGACAACACAATCCGCCATCTGAACATCACGGACATTCTCCCTAATTATTCAATGCCTGGCAACGTTTCCATTGACGTTTCATTAGATCCTCTCAGTATGGTTTAGAGGAGTTATATGTGAATTTTAGGTCACTTTTGGTGCATCCAAAGCTGGGCATTGACCTTGGATCTTGACCCCATGGCCCACGTGGCACGTGGCTGACGTGCTACACATCAGTCATCCTACCATAATGCTTCTTCCTCCGAAAGTGTGCTGGACCCCTCTCGGCTAGGCAATGCAGAGAAGGCTACACCAATTGCAGGGGCTGCTGAAGGCCTACATGCCCTAGGAAGTGCTGTACTGAACGCTTGATCGCTTTTAACACTTAGAAATCGGCAAAGGCATGGGGGCTGGAAGGAAGACATTCACATACGATGCAGACCACCGTGTAGAACCATTTCCTCTTTACGCTTTCGAGAGTTCCCAGCGAAACTTAGGCGAGGAGCTGGGCGGCTGCATCTTCGGTGCGAAGTGTAACTCTTACTGGTGGATGGAGTCCTGCACGCTTGGAATATTAGAAATTTTACGTATGCAATGCATATCTTTGTTTCTATACTTAGTTTATCGTCAATTGCATGCGCTCTCCTTGATGCCGTTCACATCTCGGTGTTGCTGGTCAACAGGGTGCACGCATGAAACCTATGAAGAGTGCGTTACTGGACTTGTTTTTGGGCTGCCACGTCCTCACTGGTGCTATGTACAATACATAAAGAAAGGGTGCGTGCCGCTAGATATTGTCTGCATGCTTGCCAAGGTTCATCACATATACCCTTCCAGAAATTTCCAGGCTGGATCTCATCAACTGCCTCGATCAACATGTCGTGCCTTGTTTCAGGATGCCCATCTTCTTGTTCAACTACAACAGCCGCCAGCTTCACGGCATCTTCCGGGCGGTATCTGATGGCGACTGGAAGATCAACCCACACGGTGGCTCACGCACCTGCTCTGATGCATCTGTAATGATTTCAGACAGAGCTTGTTCCGCGGTGGCCACAATGGACAATCACATGAAGTAGCAGATGCGCTGGCATCTATTGCTCAACAGCGGAACACTGTGCGCTTGCAGGCTGGGTCGGAAACACTAGCCGCGAGACACTGTACCCTTCTCAGGTGCAGGTGGAGGTCTACAGCAAGTGCCCTCCCCTCGACCACGCGTACGTCTTTCCCTTCGTGAGATGCTTGACCATCAGGGCATGCATGCACAGTCTTGTTCTTGCTTGACCATGGATGAGAGGGTCTCTGTTAAATAGTGACTATCCCCGTCACCACCCTTAAGATGGTCATTATTAGCACTTAAACCCTGGGGGTGCAAGCAGCGCTGACCACTCATTGCAAGGATGATCGCCTTCCACTACACCTGGCAGGAGCTGCTGTTGAATTCATCATGAGAAATGTCATAGGATTTGACTCTGGACAATTTCGATCAGGTTCGGGAGGGTGTGCTTGATCTGTGTGCGCTGGTGCTCCCACAGGGACTACAACCAGATCATCAAGAACTGCTACCACCAGGAGGGTACCGGCCACCGCAACAAGATGATGTTTGAGCTGAAGAAGGTGGAGGCACAGAACCTGTGCCGCGCATTCGACCGTGCAGCCGGAGTAGTCAATGCCAACAGCCGCCCTCAGCCTGTCCCGCGCAGTATGCCCCCTGCAGGGGTCGCGGGTGCCAGCAGCTCTGCAGCCCCTGCGCTCAAGCCTCCGGCAGCTGCTGCTCCAAAGGCTGCACCTGCCGCCGCTGCTCCTAGACCTGCTCCTGCTGCTGCTGCTGCCTCTGCCGCTGCCGCCAAACCCATGGAGAATGGCACAGCACCGGTGAGTAATAGTAATAGCAAGCAATGCTACCATCTCACCATCAAATTGCTATCTGCAGCATCAAGCCTGGTCTCAATTTAAGCGTCATTGTATTGGACATGTAGAGCTGAGCCGGGTCTGTGCTGACTTGCAGGGCGCCTGGGAAGTCATGGCAGGAGGCAAAAACCCCAAAGCACCTGTCTGGGGTGCCGGCGCAGAGGAGGTGCTAAACTTTCACGATCTGTGTTGTGCTGTTGCACATACCAATGACTGAAAGCTTGCACTGTTTTGCTCGAACCCTTGAGAGATGTTGCCTTGGAGTGATCAATCTACTCCGTCTAAGATAAAAAGCAAAGCTGTTTTGATCGGCTGTGTTTGCGGTGTCAGGCAGCAGCTGAGCCTGTCAACAATGCAGCGCCAGCTACCAGCAAGGCTGCAGCTGCGAAGGAGCCGGCGGGCCCTTCCACTCCCCCAGCCACACCAAAGGCATCCATATCTGATCCAGTCTACAATGAGGAGGTAGGCAAATATGTCACTGATTGTTTTTTCAATCAGTAGCCCTCCAGCTAACCTTGACAGCGTGGCATTTCCTTTGTCAGCAGCCTTCTTGTTCGTTGTATTGAGGACGTTCCCACAGAAAATGCTTAGCTGTGGTATGCCTGCTGTCTGTGCAAGTGCTTAAGTGATATCTGTGGAAGTGCACAAGTGTGTGACACATGGTGTGGCTGGTGCAGAGCAACTCAAATGAGGTGACGTCAAAGGCATCAACTGGGTCTCAGTCAGGTGCTACTCCCGGGGCATCATCGCAGCGCACATCATCGACACCCCCGGTGAGTCCCCGATGCTTTCGCACTTGAAGGCACCTTGTTTCCAGGGTACAAGGTGCATGCAGACTAGTCCAGGCTGGGATTTGTAATGCTTTACTAAGGCAAGGTGCAAGCCCTAAAACGACGCCAGGATTTCTCCCAGATATGCGCAAGCAATGGCCAATTTGGAGAATGTGAGGCTGTGTTGAGAATTTCTGGGAAATGGGTATTTTGGATCGTATTTATTGTCTCTATTCTATTGCGTTTGTGAGCGTTGGCCGCTCCTGATCTGGCCGGGCCGTGCCCGACCCTTGGCAACGTATTGCTGTATCTCAATAGGCAATTTGTTTAGTTTTCCATCAGACTTGATGGCGACAGCGAGAGAAGAGGAGGTTTACTATTGTGATCCTGGGAGCATCGAGGTTGGTTCTCGAAGTGTCGGCTTCCCTTATTGCTTCCGGACAAATCTAATCGTTAGCAGGATGCTCCTACCTTAATAAGTTTCATAGCAGTGAAATGATTGGATGGACCTTGTGAGAAGCGTTGAAGATGGGCTGCACCATCTCCTAAACCTCATCATCTGGTGATGTTATGGACGATCTTCTGATCTCTTCGGTTGTGCGCATCAGGTTGCACACCAGGTGAATGGAGCGTCAGCAGACTTAGAGGGCAAGCTGTCAGCCGTCCATGCTGCAGTGTCCGCAGTTGACACAGCTGCTGCAGATGCCCTCTGGAACTGCCTGACTTCCATGACCAACCAGATGCAGAGCTGCATGAGGGAGAACGCCATGCTGCTGCACGGCATGCGAGCTCTGAAGGTGTGTCTTGTTGCTTCCCATCACACGGGTGATCCTTACTGATACATACCATGCAAGAGCGTCTTGTTCCAAGCCTGTTTGCAGGTTGAAATTAGTTGAAAATTGAGTAATGGCTGTTTCTTCAGGTGGAGAACTCCATATTGAAGAGTGAGATAGCAAATGTACGGCGGGATACATCGCGGGTGGGTGCGGCAATCAATCTAGAGATCGCCGCAGAGTCCCCTGCTCTCAGCAATATCCCCCACACATTCATGGGGAAAAGGATCCAGGTAAATACCAGCACACTTCCTGCAATGCATGCGTATATTGCCTGCAATTAAATGCAGAGCTGGGTTTGCCATCCTGGGGCCTCCTTGCATGCATGCATGCATACAATGGCTTGATTTACCAGCTTGTGCTTGGAGAGGGAGAGCTGCATGCAACTATTGCACTGTTGCTGTTCGGATCATAGAAACATGTCATCTTCTGTAGACTGGCAAAGACAAGAATTCTGCTCAAGTGCAGACCATGTTGCAATTGTCAATTGTCAATTGCAGGACATCTTTCTGCTGGGAGGCCACAATGGTGGTGCCTGGCTGGACTCCATGCACCTGTACACGCCGGCCTACAGGTCGATCTCGGACGTGGGCAAGATGCCATTTGCGCGCGGCTACGGCGGCGCGGCCATCATCGGCCGCTCCATCTACATCGTGGGCGGCGGCGACGGCGCCTCCTGGCTGCAGACCGCCGTGCGCTACGACATCGACACCAAGGAGTGGTTCCAGGTGCGCCGAGCTCCCCTCCACCACCCCTACTGTCCCAATCCTCCTCACGTGCATGCAGCCATGGTCCCCTGTTCTGCTTGGCAATGCGGGTGCCCATTTGGGGCAGCCCCGATCTGCTGACATTCATTGCTTTTTCTCGCACGTGTGCATTGCACTAGACATGATATCTTCAGCCCATGTTCCTTAATCGTCCCAGTGTTAAACAAATGGGGCCATGAGATTGTCAAGCTTGGCGGCTGGGCCTGACATGCGCTGATGATGCAAAGCCCATGTTTTTTTACTGTCCCAGTGTGGACAAACTGGGCCATGAAAGAATTCGCTCACCAATAGGGCCTGACATGCGCTGAGGGGGTATATGGCATGCAGATCCCAATTGTTCTAGTGTGAAAAAAGAAATGAATCTGTCGGCTTAGCGTCCGGCCCTGACATGTGCTGACGTGTCGCGCAGATCTCGGACATGGAGAACGTGCGGGGGTCGCTGGCGGTGGCTGCGCTGGACGGGCGTATCTACGCGATGGGCGGCGGCCAGCCGGGCATCAACCATGACTCCATTGAGATCTTCTCCCCCGACGTCAACACGTGGGCACCAGGGCCCAAGATGGCCGCCTCGCGCTTCACCACGGCCGGCGCCACTCTCGGCTCTGCCATCTACATCACCGGCGGCTTTGACGGCTCCTACCTCAACTCTGTAGAAATGCTGGACCCCCGCGTCGGCCGGTGGCAGCCGGTGCGCCCTCACCCCTCAATCCCGTGAGGGCACTGGTACAAGATATGGCGGTTCCCTGGCACATGCCTCGGGCATTCCACTTCTGTGACATTCTGTGGTATGCAGTTTTCGCTTAGCTGTTGTCCTTTAGCTCCAAGCTATCTGCAGGAGATCATGGAACTGGTGTCCCCAAAGTCTGTGAAGGGGGCCCCACTTCTAATCAGGATGCATGGGATCGTCTTCCAAGTCTTGATCGCTGCTTTGAGTTCGGACAGCTCCATGCGGCATTTTGTCAGTGTTGCAGGCCATGACGGGGTGTGCCTTGGATGTATGCAGGACCCCAGACCCTCTAGCACTTGCATTGCTCAGGAGGTGGGTGGAAAGAGGCTTGCATGTTACAAACTGAGGCATGCTTGACATGTTGTTGCGCGGGTTTGGTGCAGGTGGCGCCAATGGCGCACAAGCGCGGCAGCCACGTGTGCACGGTGGCGGACCAGGACCTGTATGTGATCGGCGGCTGGGACGCCAAGGACTACCTGGCGGGAGTGGAAATATTTGATGTGCGCTCCGGGGGCTGGCGCACCGCGGCGCCGATGGCGGCACCTCGCGCGTACGGCGCAGCCGCCACCGTCGACGGCTCAGTCTTCACGCTGGGCGGCATGCAGAGCCAGGTGCCCGCAGCCTCTCCAAAGGACTGCATGGTTCGGTTTCTTTTCTTCTGTTTCTCCTCTCCTCTTGCTTCCCCTTTCTCTTTTCTCTCTTCTGTCTTGCTTCCATTCTGTATTCTGTATTCTTTGCAGTTACAGTCATTATTCTTCGCAACTAAGCATCTGTGGAGGATGCCGGATTTGTCAAGCGCCGCTCCTACCATTTTGCCAGGGAGGCAAGAATGTTGCTGGTGGTGTGCCACTGTTCTTCCCGAAGCCTTCAATGGATATGGTCAGATTGCGCCAGATCTTGGTGCTTATCCCAATGCGTGCAAGCAGGTGCACAACGAGACTGTGGAGCGGTATGATGCGGCCAATAACAAGTGGGAGATGCAGACTGTGCCGGTGCCTGATGCTGTCAAGCGCGCATTCCTGTCGGCCTGCGTGGCGGATGCGTACTGAGAGCAGCCCCTGCTTCCCCAAGTCTTTTTAAGTGCACCGCTTTCTAGAGGAGCGCTGCTTTTGTGCTGTCAATGTCATTTTGGTGAGTGGTTTGGGCTCCTCCCGTTCATCCTTTGGGTCAGGTGGGGTCTGGAGTCTGACAGACTGTGGGTCTGAGTTCTGGGTACCTGTACAAGTGATTGCCTGTATTGATCAAGAGCCTGCAAATGGTGCATCATCTGAGAGGGCAATTCTCTGTGGGTTTCCTCTGACAATTTTGCGGCGGCATGCTTCTGTCTGTTGTGTTCATACGTGAAATTGGCCTCTCATGTTCTTCCAATCTGACCTTGCTGTGCAATATGTGTAACGCAGTGCTGGACGAAATTTTACCAGTATCATGCCCTCACATCTCAGTATTGCAGACAATGTCCTTGCATACATTTCAGGCTGTGATTGTCACTTCACAATAGAATTGGTTCAAAATGGTCAGAACCTTCTACGTTTAGCTCATCCCAGGCCAGTAGCCACAGCCGTTCAAGCTCCTTTAGACTGCAGACAGCCTGACCACCCCTCAAGTGCAATCTGGCCTCACAAATGCCCTCACAAATAGAGACACACAGAGCACAAATACTGGAATGTCTTCAACAAAGCCGCCCTGGTGTAGCACACGTGTCGATAAAGTAGACAAGACATAAAGGTACAGCTGCAGCAGATATGAAGACGCATAGAATTAAGGCGGAATGTGTCTTTGCAGCATCTGACTGATCATGGAGCTTAGACATGCAGGCGGCTCAGCAACCCTCCACACAAATCCATGAACAGGAATAGCTCTCCGATTAATCTCTGCGCAGCATCCACAAAACTTGTCAGCAATATTCCAGGAGCCGATGAATGACCGGTTTTAGTTTAGGCCGTGTAGGAAGGCGAGCAAAGCCACTGACCTGGATGTCTATGCAGTACTCGCCGTCTCGCATCTTGTACATTTGCAGCTCAAACTTCAGGATGCGCTCTGTGCTGCCGGGCAGGCTGCTGGTGCTGCCGTGATCGCTCTGCACCCCGTTGTGGTTCTCCCGCGCCAGCGCATCCAGCCGCACTTCAGCTGCGCAACCACACCCTCGAAAGTCAGCTCACACCAACTGCGCTGATTTGCACACATGGGAACAGTGTTCTTCTAGCACCTGTGAACCTGGTGGCATCCGTGTGGACTATGACGCCAGAGCATGCAGATCACTAATGCACACCAGCCTGCTGGACCTCAAGATGATGGTGCAGTGCAGCAAGGCATCTTGTTCCAGCAATTGTTGATAAATTGGCATGTGTATTTATGACAATGATGCCACAGCATGCAGCCCTTGCCATACATACCAGCCTACTACACCTCAGGATGACAGCGCAAACCGTGCATCCACCAGCATTGAGATTAAAGTCTGTGCCGTCCAATGCCGAGGCGGTGCACAGGGCAGGGTGGGGTGCAAGGGAGCAGGGGCGGCACCGAGGGCGGGGTAGACTTTGCGGCACTTGTAGTTGTAGGGCGCCATCTTCTTGTAGGCGACGCTGTGGGCGGCCAGCGCGCGCAGCAGGTCCTCGATGATGCGGTGCGGGTGGCCGCGCGAGTGCACGCCCAGACGCCACCGCCGCTCTGCCACCACCCGCTGCGCCGGCGCCGGGCCCCCCGGCGTATTCCCCGACATCATCCCCGCTGCAGCATCAAAACACGAAAATTTGATCCTTTTTTTCCCCAAAAACACTCTACGATCTCTCCCAGGCCTTGACTCATCACCAGCGGCCTGGCAAGGCAGGGTGTGGCTCCCTTGCCAAGTCGGGCTGCATTGCCTCCCAGGCCACGACTGCCCAGATCCGGCACGGCAGGACCTGTGCTGCTATTGTGTCACCAAGTGATGCAGGTGCTACAATGCCCTGGCATGCCACAGGCTCTGAGCATGAAGCTGCATGAAGCTGCGCTCTGCTCAGAGAAGTCTGCATGCGAGGCCGATGTCCTCAAAAAGGCAACAATGCTTCTTGTGGCAGACAAGGGCGAGGGTTGAGCATTTTGCAAGATTGTCACAGGTGGGGTGCACCTGAGGGGTAGGCGTGGGGCGGCGTGTGGGCCTCTGTGAGCTCGGCGCGCAGGTAGGCGCTGCTGGGCATGCGCCGCCTGTTGTCCGACATAAGGTAGTACGCCACAGTCGCCTGCAAAAGACACAGGGCCCCAAGCTGGCTCTGAGCAGCCGCAGATCTCAAAAACATGGGACACCCATTCCCAAGGAAAGAAGGGCATTCGACCCCAAATCACGCAGTATTGCGGCAGTATCAGGGGTTCCTCTCCAGACTTCCGGCGGTGCTTTGATGCCAGGTAGACTGATATTGAAGAGTCGCTGAATTGCTGAAATTGCAGATATTGGTGGGTAAATACGATGCACAAGTCTTGTGAAATATTCAACCACCATTCTGTGGCCCACCTTGTTCTGGGCCCTGGACCTGATGGAGTCGACCACCTCGTGGCGCCTGAAGCCCAGCTTGACCACCTCGTGCACGATCTCCTCGTCGATCATGGCCGTGCTGGCGATGGTGTCCGCCTGCATCACCGCCAGGTAGCGCGGCAGGTGCAGCGTGAACCAGGGATGCTGCCTGCCCCACACCAGCAAACCCCCACTGTCAGTGACTCGCCGAAGACTCTGCCTATTGTCCGATGCGACGCAAAAGCGGTAGAATAGAGAACTGCTATCATCCTGTTCCCAGGGACCACAAAATGTGCACAGCCTCATGACATGTGCAAGACGTGCGACCTAGCACTACTTCAGCATGATGGGGAACAAGTGAAGTGAGCATGCAAGGCAATAAGGCATCTTCCAGCGCAAAAGGAGTAAGACTTCTGGGTTCTTTTCAGCGTCAGTGGCAGCATAGGGCTGGGATTGGGTGGACCCAATAGATGAGGCGCACCTGATCTCAGGAATGGTGATGCGTTTTAGGGGGTCAACGACGAGCATGCGCGGTATGAGATCGCGCGCGCCGTGGGACAGGTGGGTGGGCAGGTTGTAGATGCCTCCCTGTGAAGCGCCACATCAAACAACCATCAGCTGTGCGCTTGCGCGTGGTGGGCACAGACTGACACCAACAAGGCGGCATTGTGTAGCACGTGAAATTGATGATCTGTAAAGTGTGATGCTGGAAAGTGGTTCCTGAACGCAGGCTGTTATGGCCTGGAGGGAAGGTATGTATATGCAGGAACAAACCTTGATCTTCCTGAACAGATTGGGGATGTTCTCGTCATCGAACGGCAGGCTGCCGCACAGCAGCGCATAGAGGATGACGCCGCAGCTCCACACATCCACCTCTGGTCCTGAATAGAGCTTCCCTGAGATCACCTGCCACAGCACAACCCGACTTCCGTTTCATTTCAAGACTTGCAAAGGGACCCATTACGCAAGAAGCATGGCACATAACTGCAATCACCTTTGCAGCTGATTGGTCAACTTTTGGACACTGTCATGGGGAGTGAAACAAAGAGCAGCAGCAGTGAGAGGGACAGTGTCAAAATGTGCGTTTGGCTGAAACGATGGAAGAACTCACCTCTGGAGCGGCGTAGTTGGGGGAGCCGCAGGAGGTTTTGAGGAAGTGGCCGTCGCGCATAACGTTGGAGAGGCCAAAGTCGGCGATCTTGATGTTCATCTTGGAGTCGAGCAGCAGGTTCTCGGGCTTCAGATCGCGGTGCACCACCATGTTGCGGTGGCAGTACTCCACCCCTGAAATGATCTGCTGGAAGAAGTGCCTCGCCTCGTCCTCCAACAGCCGCCCCTTCTCCACTATGTAGTCAAAGAGCTCCCCAGCCTGCGCCATGGCATGATCCCTGTTTTCGCCCATCGCCCAGCTAGCACTTGCCCAACAGAAATGCCTCTTCTGTAATACATCTCCCAAATTGGAATCTCCTCCAGCTCTTGCACTCCCCTCGCATCTGCCGTGACAGCAAGGACGGTGCTGGGAAATCCCCAAGATGAGTACCAGCCATATACAGCGCGGGCTAGTACCTTGACAAACTCCATCACGACGTAGATGTCATTGTCCGTCTCGATGACCTCATAGAGACGGATGATGTGGGGGTGCATGAACAGCCGCAAGATCTTGATCTCCCGCCGCACTGCATCATTGCTAGGTCAACAATATGGGTACTACAACAGAATGTCTTAATGTACTAGACAGCTGCACAGTGCTATAGAGGAGGAATACGAGGAAGGGCTTGTCAACAGGCCTATTATAGAGCCTGTGCTCACCTTTCTCCTCCATATCCTGCTGCTTTATTTTCCTCTTGTTCAGAATTTTGATGGCCACCTTGTGCTGCGTGAGCACATGCTCTGCTATTTTCACCTGTACAGAGACACCAGTATCAACTGTCAATTGATTGGGAGTCTGACTCCATTTGCATTAAATTTTCGAAGCTACTCGTTCTACTTACTGAAGGGCAACCTGGCCAGGTAAAAGGTTGTGTAGCTGGTGGAAAAGAGACACACCTTCCCAAAAGAACCATTGCCCAGCGTTTTGCCCAATCTGTAATTCGACAGGAAGAATGCTGGGGTCTGGTTCCCACTCGGCTGTCCTTCTGCCACTCCATCTTGAGTTGCATACGACATTGGCTGCGGCGGGGTCGCCATGTCAACCCCAGGCTACCTCAACTGCTTTAGTTTGCTGTGGCTCATGAAGGATCACATAGCGGCTTCCTTTCGTATGTGAATCCTAGCCCTCAACACCGAGGTGTGGTTGATTTGAGCAAATTGATGGCTACGCCAGAAATTTGGTCTGATATTCTGCTTATTTTAAAGCAAAAATTCCCTTCAGGACGCTGCCGATTCCACCTGACTTCAAGATCGCTCAGGAACACGATCCCTTCACCAAATTCCTGAAGCCACAAATGGGGTGCTTGGTATGCCTTCGCGCAGATCCAGATTTTGCTAGACTACCACTGTGTCTCTGAAAGTGTTTCGCTATTCTTCCAGGTACATTTGCCGACTCAGCTCCTCCCGTGATCCAGCAGGAAGCCAATACTGGCCCTTCATGAGCAGAAGGGCCCACCATAATGCATGAAGCTTCCATTCCTCTCCTGGAATGCATTTGCGAAATTTGGTTCGGCATTCATTCAGCAGACTGCTGATTGTCCTTTGCTCTGCACTTAAATCGCCCATGAGGGCGGTGCGATCATTGTGTAGGTGACCCCTGCATGGCATGCATGTGCACCTTAGCATGCATGCATGCATGTGGCCATGAAGGATGCCAGTATGCAAATTCCCAACATTGGTAGTCATCACCTGGGCTTTGTGACACAGCTTGATGCTGCATCTGCGATGGGGGACGCGGTGTGCTGCGCCCACAGGGAATACTAGTATACGTCACCAGCCTGGCCAGGCTGAGCAGCACCTTAAAAGTGGTTGATTGCATGCGATTGCCGGATATTGCATATGCATGGCAGCCTGGATTCATGGCATGCGCAGGAGGATTCAATCTGAATGAAACAGCGTGCTGACAGTCCTGTCAGTCATTCACGTTATTGATAAATTAGGATGGGAACTTCCCTTGAAGGCCCAAGGGACTCTTAAGAGCCCATGAGTCTACACGTAGATGGCCGGCATGCCCTGCACACTCGGCTCCTCAACTGACCCCTTGGCCTGTCTGCGTGCAGCTGCAGCATCAGAGGGTCCGCAGCAATTCTTGTAGCGTTTTCTACTGCCGCACGGACACTCTCGGTTCCTGGCAGGCTTCTTTCCCACAGCAACCTGCAGCTTGGACTTCTTCTCCTTTGCATTCTGCGGCCCTGCTTGCTGTTGTGCATTACTGTGAATATCAGCAGTATTGCATGCATCCAGTGGTGACGTTTGACTGTTGCTATACGCTCTCTCCCCGTCCACTTCTGAGCTGCATCGCAGACGGTCAAACTGTGCTGTGATGCCCTCCAGATCTGAGGCAACTCCAGTGAGGCTTTCACAACCGCACACTATCTGCATGTTATCAATTCCAGGTACTAACTGTGAATCTGCAGGTTCCACGCTGCTCTGTGCCACTGCGCCTTGACCGTCCTTGTTTATTCCAGACTGGCTGCTGCTCAGATTGATTCCTTCTGCTTCACTGAATCCTGAGCATGCTTCTCCAGCACTGGAGGGCTGCTCTGTCTGTGCTGGCACCTCAGTGGCGGCAGCAGACGTGCTGTTCACAGTGTTGATGCAGCACACCTCGATTCTACGCCCTTGGCCCTCCGAGCTTGGAACTGCCGCTGAAGCCAATTGCTCGATCAGGATCTCGATTGCCTGCAAGAATAGAACGATTCATTTATTTAAAAAATTGGACTACCCCACAGTTCCTTCTGCTCTGGACCATGCACCATGTCCCAGTTTGACTGAAACAATGCCAACAAAAAAAAGCCACCAATCAGCCTTGCAGTTCTGTAGCGCCTTCCAAGTATCCAGGAACACTGCGCGCACCTGGTCTGGGTTTCCATGCGCGGCCTCCAAGGCCTGCTGCACGGCTGCAGGGTCATCATAGCAGCCAGTCCCCCGCATTACCAGCTCCTCCTGCGCCGGGCCCCAGCTGCGCGCAGCCGCCTTCTCCGCGCTCGTCGGGAGCCGTTCTGCGATGGCGATAGGCAGCGGCGGCCCGCTGGTGTGGTCATCCGCGCGCCGCACAGAGTTGTAGTGCTCGCCGTCGTGGTAGCTCACGTGGATTGCCGGCGAGTCCTGCTCAGCCAAGCTCCCCTGAAAATTCATCACCAGGCGTATGTCCACATGGGAGTGGGTGCTGCAAGCGTCAGGATGACAGCAATGATGGGGTATATAAGTGCGCACCTGCGGGAAGTCGGGGTACTCTGGCTTGATGGTCCAGACCGGCTGTCCTGCCTGGTAGACCCGGATTGCAACACTGCATAGCCGAGCTAGCGCAACCTGCTCCTGATACCCTGCCCACGTCCCGTCCTGGTCCAAGCAAGTTGGCAAGCTGACTGTGGTGTGCGGATATGATTGTGTGGTTTTCTCAAGTGTGAGAGGAAATGCAGGAAGAAGATGTCACCTCTGACATGCGTTTGCAATAGCGGTCTAAGGTCTCGCCGTCCTCCATATACGGCTCAAAATCGTCGACATGGCTTCTAATGAAGGTGACAACCTTCTGTCTCAACGCCATATGATCTCCACTTGCACCCTCAAGCTGATCAGCTGCAGCTCGGAAGAAACAATTCCCGTCATCTTTCACCTGTGCGATCCTCAGATTCCATCTTTGTAACTCAGCAACAATGTCTCCACTGCTGTAAGAAGATCGCTTTCTCTCCTTCTGATCAGATTTCGGTCGCTGAGAAGCAACTGATGTGGGCTTTGCAGATTTCTTTCCCATCAACGCTTGGAATGTTAAAATTAGCCTCCCTGTCTTTTGTGACTGTCGACTGTGATCTTTTGTATCATATGTATGTTGAAATATGCTCGAAGCTGCAGGAGCAGGCCCGAGCGTCTTCCAGAGTAACGGCACGTGCATATCACGTTCGTCCACGTGAAACTTGGATCGTCTTTCCGCAATCCAAAGAAGGGATCCTCGCCATTTACATCGGTGCTTGCGAAAAATGTGTCGAAACTGTGGTCTGTTGTGAACACAATCTACAAGATGCTCGATGCATCACGCCTAGCGACTTTTCTACTCGTCTTAGTATATACGTCTTCTCTCGCAACGTTCTGCGCAGGGACTGGCGGATCATTCCTCAGAAGCGTAAAGGAAGAAGCTGCCAGTATTCAGCCATGGCTTGTTGGCTTGAGGAGGCAATTTCATCAGGTCCCTGAGCTGATGTATGAGGAGATTGAGACAGGGAAACTTATCAGGCAGACGCTTGATGATCTGGGAATCACTTACAGGCAAATATATGATTCTTTTGTGCAAAAATTCTTCGCTATACTGAAGCGTCTTGCGAAACAAAGACTCTAGTCCTAGCCCATGGAGCTAAACAGGGTTGAATAAAAATGTGGCCATGCAGGCACCCTGTCGCAAAGACAGGCATTGTAGCCAGTATTGGGCCTAAGTCACCCTCCGTGCTTGTTGCACTGCGGGCGGACATGGATGCGCTTCCCATCAACGAGCAGACTGGGCTTGCATTCTCGTATGCACTTCTCCTAAGCCCAAATCTTCTGATCCCACCACATGCTGGCCATCAGAATGTCCCCCCAATGACCACTCTTCCTCCATCGTCCACACACCAGAGGGAATCGATAACTCATGTAAGACGCCTGCAATAAACTGAGCAGGATGCATGCACCCCAGCAATTGTTTGGCATGTGCATGCAGGAGCAAAGTGCCGGGCAAAATGCATGCTTGCGGGCACGACTCCCATGTCACCATGTTGCTCGGCGCAGCCAAGCTCTTGAAGGCCCATGAGAAAGATCTTCCTGGCGGAGTGCGCCTCATTTTCCAGCCAGCCGAAGAGGGGGGCGCCGGTGGTGATCTGATGGTGAAAGAAGGTGCATCTCAGCGCTCATATCTATGGGATGACAGCTGCAAGTTTTCATTGATGCATCTCAGGACACTAGTAAATACTATCATAAGACACAGTCAGACGATTTGTTGTGCTTGCAGGTGCTGTGAAGGATGTGGCAGCCATCTTTGGTCTGCATGTGTACCCCTTTCTGCAGTCGGGGGCTTTGGCCTCGCGCGCAGGACCCCTTATGGGAGCCTGTCAGCAGTTTGAAATTCGCATCACCGGCGCCGGCGGCCATGCAGCCATGCCCCACTTCACTGTGGACCCAATTGTAGCAGCTGCCAACACAATCTCGGCACTGCAGGTCTGCTGGACACACATCCCACAGAGACACTCTCAGCACCATAGGCAGCAACTGGCTGCATGCAAAATTTATCTTTGAAGCAGGATTGCAGGATGGCGCCCTGATAGGCCCCATGGACACTGCAGGTACTGGTGTCCAGGGAAACGTCGCCCTTGGGAACGGCGGTTGTGAGCGTTACTAAGATAGCAGCCGGAGAGGGCGCCTACAATGTCATCCCAGACAGCGCCACTTTTGGAGGCACTCTTCGCTCCCTGGCACACGAGCACCTGATGTACCTGAAGCAGCGCATGGAGGAGGTGAGACTTCCACACTACTGGAATCTGCTTGTATGTGCTGCTCTAGGAGACATGTCCACAATTTCTGATTTGCAACAATTGTTCTGCAGTGTTTTCAGCAAATTCTCAAAGGCGACCAGAGTTATTCAAGATGAGGCTTGGACATCTTGCAGGTGGTGAAAGCACAAGCACAGTCGCACAAGTGCTCTGCGACTGTAGACTGGCTGGAGAAGAAGGAGCCTTACTACCCTCCCACAGTCAACGACAGAGCCATGTACAATTTTGCAGTCGACGTTGGAAAAAGGTATATACTTATTCGCTGCCTGTCCTACTGGAGAAGTGAGGATGCAATCTTGTCTGACTTAAAAGCAAGGCCGGATCGATATCTGTGTTGGGGATGGACTGCTTACAGTTGATTATGGCACAGGTTGCAGGGGGACTTCTTGGAGGACTTTGAGCCCACACTGGGCGGCGAGGACTTTTCATTTTACGGGCATGCGGGTGTTCCGGCGGCCTTCACATTCCTGGGGATTCAGAATGAGACAGCTGGGTCGGTGCATGGCCTGCATACCCCGCGGTTCATGCTGGATGAGGAGGTCCTGCAGACAGGGGCAGCCTACCTGGCGAGTTTGGCGTCAGAGTATTTGGTGCAGCACCAGGCGCCTGCAGGGAATGAAGAGCTCTAGAGTGTCGACAGGCATGCAATGCCGATTGAGGCCTCAGATTACTTTTTGACATGAAATATTTGGAGACCGCCTCAATTCAACTTTTTCTCCTGAAAATTTCTCCTGAATGTAACATAGTATGTAAGCAAATGTGAAAACTGAGGGATGGGTGTAGAATTGGGGATGCTTTGTAGAAAAGGCATACTATAATGCATGTGCTGTGGAGCAACTTCTGGTCCATGTTACGGTTTCTTCCGCTTGAGTGGGACATTATAGAAAGTTCTCCATCATTGAGCTCGAGCGACACGAGATAATTGTATTTACAGCACTGAGCTAACAAATGTCTTTCAGATGTGGTGTCCAGGACTGAAACTGGTACTGAAGCTTGGGGTGTCATTGCTGTTCCGCAGTGCAAAACACAGACTGTGCACGTGCTGCTGCACTCTCTTCAGGCTCGAGTTCCCAGTACGTACTGTAGTATTCCGTATGTGATATTCTTGCTTCCTGTAATCTAAATCAAACTCATATCAATTCCAGTCAATGCTGGGTCGTCCCAAGAACTCAAAACTCTGATCAGAGTAACTTTAGGTGGATTCCCCCAAAATTTGCACGGTCAGCTGACACTGAAGCCACAGTCTCGTTGCAGAGACGTCTTGAGGGAAAAATTCTTTGCCGCTCAAGACTGAATGCAGTGACTCATTCTTGATAACCCACTAGAACATAGCTTGGTCGGCGCTGACTGAAGGCAAAGGCTCATCGCGAAGATGATGTCAGGCCGGGCTGTTCCTCGTCCGGCTGCATGCGTGCAGCTGCCATCATGGCGTTGGCCGCGCGCCGCCAGCGCCGCCGGTGGATGTTGTGCAGCCCGTAGCGCGAGATGGTGTGGTTGGGCCTGCGAGGTGCCAACATTGCTCTTCAGATAAATCCAGATTAAGCTGAGCAGCTGGGCAGCAAAACTACTATGGCTGAAATGTGTGTGTAAATATGGCATATGAAATCAAATATCAACATACCAAACATACAATATACGGTAATCCAGATACCGCTGTATATGGAAACATTGAGCATGAAGACCATTGTGAGCATGAAAACTGCCAAATAATTTGTAATGCATGAAAGGCATTGACACAATGGCATCTCACCTGAAGGTGGGCCGCCTGGCAGGCCTGGCGTCCGGCTCCTGGTGCTCCTCCTTCTCTTGGTCCTCCTCCAGCTGGTCCCCCCGGCTGTAGATCAGCGTGCCCACCACCAGCACTGCAAAGCCCGCCGCCTAAACATACACACACACACACACACACACACACATGACACATCAAGAATTTACAGTACCCTTGACCTTACAGTCTCTGCTATAAGTTTATTGACAGGTTAATTTCCTGAATTGCAGGAGGGTGCATTGTTGGGCATGATCAAGCTTACATGTACTTTTTTACTCAGTTGAGCCAAAAGATCTGCCGGATATCAAGAGCGGGGGATTCATTGAACTCTTCAAAGAGTTGCACCCACGAATTGTCTATGTCCTTGAATATTTGAGGCAGCTTTTCAAATTTATACTTGAATGGCAGCCCACCTGCAGGTAGCTGCTGCGGTCCCAGCCCTCGCCCAGCCGCCCAAAGCCGAGTGGGGTGTAGAAGAGCAGCAGGTCGCCCAGCCACACAAACAGCGTCCGCGCGCTCTCAAACACCGTCCGCGACACCGCCCCCAGCTCCTCCGTCACAAACATGCCTGCAAGCATTGTCAGCAGTATGTCATTGACCTTTCTAACCCAAGGCATGTAAGGGCTATAAAAGGTTTAATGAATGCAAAGCACGTACTGGGACACTGAAGGGCCAACATTGAGTTGAGAAACCATCATGCGGGATCGTGCAAGCTTACCAGCAACGTTGTAGAGGAGAAGGGAAAGGCTGTTGGCCACCAGAACTGCCGGAATGGCCCAGAAGGGAATCGAATGTGCAATCTGCGCAGCAGATTACAGATCAAACCACCAAATTCACACATGACATATTGCATCGCCATTCACAGGATGTCCCAATGTGGAACAAATCATGCCAGCTCACTTACCATGTGGAATGACTCGATGGTGTCTTCGTGGATGCCTTCACCATCTTTCCCTGGGAGGAACTGAACTATGGTGAGCAGGATCGCCAAAGCAATCACACCCAGCACACCCTCGTACCCAACGACCTGCATGCACATATACAGCTCAGTCAGACCTAGCCAACAGAGTCGGGCATGTTTTGCAACACAGAACAGGTAGATGAAATGGAACGCACCTGGAGAGGTGCCAGGCCCACATTTGACATGGCATAGTCTTCCATCACCACCTGCGCTGCCTGGACTGCCTGTGCAATTCACAATAAAAAATTAATAAATATGCCTAATGCAATCTGAGCCAGCAGCACTGCACAAGTTGATGGATGGCCTTCCCACAAATTGCCAAGAGGGTCTTCTGAATAATTACCAAGAGGGTCTTCTGAATACGTGAGCACTGGAATCAGCAGTCGTGAGCAATGGAATCAGACGGGTCTGCTGTAATTGATGAGCAGCCTTGCAGCAGATGACAAAATGAGCTCCAAAATCTTGAATCAGGCATAACAGAAATGCGGAGAGGTTTTGGGTGTGCTGGCGTGCCTGAGCAACGACGATGAGAGTCATGCCCAGCAGGACCTTGCCAGCATCGCCAGATCCGCCCTCAGTCGGCTTGAGCAGGCTGGAAGCGCCGACCATGCTGATGCCCACCAGGCAGAAGGCTATGCCGATGTAGTGGCGCCTGTTCAGGCTGCGCTTCAGGAACGCCACAGCAAAGATGGCCGAGAACAGGATCTCAGCACCTCGCAGCATCTGGTACACTGAGGCTGTCACGTACCTGCCACACAGAGAAAATTTCAGAGGTGAACAACTACTGACATCTTGCCAATTCGTTGACATGTGAAGGAGACGTGCAGCAGGAACGAATGGAACTTACAGGAGCCCAACGCTCATCAGCAGTGTTGCAGTGAGATCGAAAGCCATGGGCAGGCCCAGGATCATGATCTCCTTGAAGGAGGCTGACTTTGCGGCCAGCTTTGATGCGACTCCTGTGTGCACAGGACACGCGATACAAGTGTGCTTTGAAGGGCTTGCAAAGTACTATGGTAAGAAAAGACAATCTGATCCTTACCAGCTCCCGAAGTCTCCCCCTCGTCACTGAGCAGTGGCTTATGTTCGCTGCTTGCAGCTGACTTTTTACGTCGTGACTCGATCAAGCTTGCGCCCCAAGCGATGGGCAGGCACATTACCATAGCAACAAACATAAGAGCTGTGGAAGCCCAAGGCTTCTTGAAAAACTTGACATGCCCACTGAGGTCCTCCCCTTCGGTCTGATATACTGCACAGACATGCACACGAGTCAGGCTTAATGGTGTTTATACTTGAAATATAAGTCCAAGGACAACACCACGGCGGCCGTCCATCAGTCTGGTATGTACATCAAAAAGGACGGATGACGCACTCACCGACTTTGGAGAGGATGGAGGAAATAGTCCCAAAGAGGAGCAATCCAATCACGCTCACTGTCACAGAGCTTTGAACCATCTTGCTCAGATGCTGAGTCACAAAACGATCCAAGGGCACGGATGCAATCAACAAACCCCGATCCCTCACAATACAAGCAAGTTCACAATGCAAGAATATACAATATTTGATCCCGAATGGAAGATTCCAGAATCCCTCACTACATGTTCTTCTGAGCTTAGATCCTTTAATTCGGTAAGGAACGTGACGCGTATAGATTGTTCGTTCCCTTGCATGCTAGGATTCAAGGGGAAACGACATTCAAGGGTTTGAAAGGATTCTTGTGCTTGCATGCACACTGTGAGATCCGTAGAATGGCACGATCCCTCGAATGCGAAACTGTATAGCATGAAAGTTGATCGTTATAGCTGCTGTGACTTGCGACAACATTGACGCTCCTGCGCATTAAAATTGAAGCTTATGGGAACGATCTCTACAGTCATAATTCATTCAGATCTTTCGCAGGCAGCGATGTGATTGATTTCGTTTTCTTTATAATGTGAAGATGTCATTTGTCGATGACAGTCAAGAAAATAGCCGAGACCAGAGCTGCACACCGATGCCATTGATTTTAGCACAGAACCGATTGCCTGCTGTCTGATTACCCCATGGCTGCAGCGCTTCCTAACTACAATGAGGGTCCCTTGGCTCTTGGACAACTCAGGTATGTCGTCCTGCAGAGCTTCGCTGGTGCCAAATCACTCGTTTGATCTGGCCACACTTAGACTGTAGTCAACGGTGTTTACAGCAGTGGTGCAACTTAAGAAATTCTATATGATTAGGGAGGAAGCCAGGCGTCTACTGATCGAGCTTCTCGATTCGGTGCGTGCACATGCTTGGTAGCAGCAAGGCCTCATACGTCTTCGGGACTTCCCAATGCATAAACCTGTAGATGTTGCAGAGTCAAATCAGAGCCAGATAATGCTTTTGCTGTGCAGCGGCGGGGCAAAAAGGTCCTTGTGCTCGATCCCAAAGTCTCAGGCTTTCTGGGCCTGCTTGCGGAGGTGTCTCTGCTGAAAGAGCACGGCATAGAACAGTGAGTTTCATGTGCAATCTCTCGTGCTTTGCCAACGTAAGTCAAAAACACTGCGTTAATGCATACCGGTATATGACCGTGCGCGAGATAAGTTGACTATATTGCTTGCACAGGCTCCTGCACCTCTCTACAGAGCCCCTCGGCGATCTGGGAGTGCGAAATGTCATCTACCTCGTGAGGGCGAGTATTGAAAATGCAAAGCAAATAGCTGAGCAGATAAAGGAAACTAACAGGTCTGCAGCTCTTTTACGGGACAGTGGATCATGCAAATATGTCATGTATCACTCGGTCTTCCCTGGACCCCTCTAATTGTGTGCAGGCAAATTCACGGACAGAACGCTTGGTTTGCAGGCTTAGGGCAGCAGCAGGCTTTGAGTATGCTGTGTATTTCCTGCCACGGAGGACAATTGCGTGCGAACGCATCTTTCAGGAGGAGGGTGTCTATGGGGACATTGTAGCGGGCGAATTTCCACTTGGATTCATCCCCTTCGACTATGATGTGCTGTCCCTGGAGCTTGGCACTGCCTACAGGGTGAGCACACGTTTTGCAAGCCCTCATGTTGGATCAAATTTGGGAAAGTACATAGGGATCCTTGGGATGTCCAACCCCAAGAGGAAGCACATGCATGCTTGTGCCTTGTGCTTTTGCAGGCCGCGTAGTTCTGCAGCAAGGCATCAGTGCTGTCAAGATGCTATCCAGAGTGGAAGGACAAGTGTGTAAGTCATACAAGACGCATGCAAGTGATAAGACTCATGCACTTCATATAAGACTCTGAAGCATGCGCTGACTCACTGGCTGCAAGCAGGAACTGGTGGCGGATGGGGATCGCAGCAGCCTGTATGGAGTGGCGCGAGCTTTGACGCGGCTGCAGGCGCTGTACGGGGGCGCAGCCGTTCTCAAGGGCAAGGGCCCCGCGGCCGCTGCTGTGCGCTCGCTGCTGCTGCGCATGCGCCAGGAGCTGGGAATGGAGGCTCCCATCACCGGTGCTGCTCGCTGTCCCGCCATGGATTCTCTGTTTGTATTTGAGACCGAGGCACAGCCAAACCTTGCCGGTCATTTGCTGCACCTATAACTGCTACTTTTTCAGTTTTCCAAAAGGCTACTCTCGATAAAATGCTGGCCAAATGACATGTGCCACTTATGCACAGAGTCTCATGGTGGTGGTTGTGTGGGGCATTGCAGGCGGGGGACCCATAGATGAGATCATCCTGCTGGACAGGGAAGTGGATGCTGTGACGCCCATGTGCACCCAGCTCACTTATGAGGGGCTGGTGGACGAGACCATGCAGATCAAACACGGCGCCGTCAGCATCGACAACCCCTCAGGCACGCCCTTGGCACAGGCCTTCACGGTTGCAACGTTTTGCTCACTTGCAGAAGGCAGGCAGTCTTCAAGAGGTAGCAGGCATCTGTGAATGCTGGTGGCTGAAATGTAAGGGAACGCACATCCAGGTGGGCGGCAGAGGATAGCGCTGAATAGTGCGGACAAGGTCTTCCGAGACCTTAGAGACCTGAGCTTTGCGGCCGTGGGCCCGCAGCTGGGCCAGCGGGCCAAGTCCATCCAGTCCGACTACAAAACCTCCAAGGTCGCCCTCCCATCCACACAACATTTTTCTGAGAGTACGGCAAATGCTGAACACCATGCCAATTCAGTAATATTAGTGTGTTTGCATGCCTGCCACACCCTTGACACGACTACGTATCGGGCTGAACCAAATATAGGAGAATGCAAGGAAAACCAGCGCTGAAAGGTGTCCTTGCAGTTTGAAAAATCCGTAGTAATATTAGCAGTAAAGTCATAAATTTGAATCTGGGCGCTGGCGTGCAGGCGGCGGAGAGGAGCCTGGCGGAGCTGAAGGAGTTTGCGGCGCAGCTGAAGGCGCTGCCCAACATCCAGCGCCACATCGGCCTGGCTGAGGCCGTCAACCGCGCCATTGCCGCCCCGGCATTCCGCGCGCGCGTCTCCGTCGAACAGTCCCTCCTCGACGGCCACGGCCTCGACGCCTCCGCTGAGTCCATCGAGGCAAGCCCGATATGCCGAGCCAGGACTGTCCTCAAATTGTTTTGCATGTCATGTTGTAAATTGACCCACTTCAATTCCAGAGAAAGACAACAAGAGAATCTTTGCTCCATTCGAACCTTCTGCACCTGCGTCCCATCCTGCTGGCTGCATGTTTCTGTGGCTGTGGAACAATGTAAAGCTGCTGCATGGTGCCGGATGTAATGTTGCGCAAGGTGCTGTAAAAGTGCAGCTCGAATGCGGAGCAAGCCTGATCGTGACAACAATGTTTGTATGATGCGCAGGAGATGATGTGCAATGAGGAGGACTTGTTCGTGGTGCTGCGCCTGATGTGCCTGTTGTCGCTGACCCAAGGCGGCGTCCCCAAGAAGTACTTTGACGCTTTGCGCAAGGAAATCCTGCACAGCTACGGGCACGAGTACATGCTAATGCTGTCAAAGTTGCAGGATGCAGGTGTGCACTCATTTTCACACCCCACTCACATGAACGACCTCTGTACGCGCTGCCATGCCCTATGCCTTGCCTGTTCAGCAGTTGTGACAGGAGCGTGCTGCACTGTGCAGGTCTCTTGGTGAGGCATGAGGGTGGCAAGGGGAACTTTCCGACGCTAAAGCGAGCCTTCCGGCTGCTGGTGGACGACATAGACGACAAAATTCCCACAGACGTCGCCTACGTCTTCTCTGGCTATGCTCCCCTGAGCGTGAGCACAGCTGCCTCATGCACTTCGGCTGCTTGCAGACTTGTTTGCACCCTCAAATTTGTAGGCTCTCTATACATTCAGCTCGTGAGTTCTCTTCTCTAATGACAAAGACACATCAAAGCATGACTCTTTCAATACCAGGGCCTGTATGTGTAGTTGCTGTGATGTAGGTGCGGCTGGTGGAGGCGGCAGTGAAGGCGCCCGGTTGGGGTGTGGGCGAGGAGGTGCTCCGGCTGCTGCCAGGGCCAGCTTTTGAGGTGGAGCAGACGTCTGATGACAAGGGCCTGCCTATTGAGAGGCCGGTCCAGGACAGGAAGCTTACAGGTCTGCGCCGAAGTATTTTGCCATCTGCTACTCCAGCTGCTGATTCACTGAGTGCAGGGTGGTCCCTTCGTTGAACAGCATCCATAAAGGGAATGTTTTGTTTCACAAACTTGAGATCGTGTGACATGGTGCAGGTGTCAGTAAGAAGCGGAGAATTGTACTTGTTGTGTTCATTGGGGGCGTCACCTTTGCAGAGATTGCTGCGCTCAGATTCCTTGGGACCCGGCCAGAGGTCAATTGCTCATTTGTCATTGCCACCACAAAGCTGATCAACGGGACCACGCTGCTGGAAAGCATCGTGGACGACAGCATAAGGACTGCGAAGGAGACTGCTGCATTGTAGTGGGCTGTGCGCTGTAGCATGCATGCAGATATATGTTGATGGTTGTGTGACACAGATCACTAAGTAGGCCACTGAAAAAGCCGTGGGGGTCATGCAAAGCGATTGCACTGTGCCTTTGACATGCTTGTATAGTAGCTTGTGACCTGACCGCAGTGACCCACCAAACGTTCCCCCCACCAACTTGGTAGTACCAACTTGAAGTTGGTACCGTACGAGTCCGAGCGCATCTGCTATAGCTAGTCATTGTGCATGCATGCAAAATTTGCAGATGCAGATGTGTAGGGGGGAAGGACCTCTTTGGCAATCTCGCTCACGACTTTCCTGATCTTCTGGCCAGGTGTGCCGTTCTGTGTAAGGGAGGGCAACAGCATGACCAAAATCGCCCAGCTGGCCAGCTGTTGATGGATCGCCGTTGAATGAACGACACATCATTAATTGCACATCATGCACATTGCATCGGAGTAAGGTGCAAACCATTGTCAATACAAGGTCCCTGTGCTCGTTCATTGGTTGAGTTTAGCTCCGCACAGGATAGGCTGAGTGGCATTCGCAAGTGTGACAGCTGTTATTTGACACTGGGGATGACCTGAACCTTGGTAGTCCTCACCAAACCTCGCGATTATATTCGGAAATAGCACCTTAAAGTCGTAGATCAATCTTCAAGATGGGAGAATCTCAGGTCTGTTGTCCTGGCGTTCTTGGACATTGTTCGATTGCGTTGGATGTCCGCTGATGGCCTGCCAACAGTTACTGAATTCAGAAGGTTCTCTTGCAAAAGATCCAAACATTGAACATCAGATGATCACGATGGGTAACACTGTACCGTGTGCGCTTATCTGCAGTATTCTTTCTCCCTGACAACCTTCAGTCCCAGTGGAAAGCTGGTGCAGATTGAGTATGCCCTCAATGCGGTTGCTGCTGGGGCAACCTCGCTTGGAATCAAGGTAAGTCATGTCTTGATGGTGACGCAAAGTGCTCAGCAGATCTTGCTATCATTAGCTTTGATCTTCGTGAAACGTCATCAGGATCACCTAGAAGAAACTGCTGTTGAGCAGGCTACCAATGGAGTTGTGTTGGCAACGGAGAAGAAGTTGCGGTCCACGTTGATAGATGATTCAACCGTCAAGAGAATATCTGTCGTCTCGCCAAATATTGGACTGGCTTACAGCGGCATGGGTCCAGACTCAAGGCTGCTGGTGAGGAGAGCACGAAAACAAGCACAGGTGCGGTTGATGCTACTCATTGCAGCTATCTAGACATGATCAGCTCTTCCAAATAGCTTTGTGCTTATTTATGTGCTCTCTGAGCAGTATCCGATGTGTCCTCTGCCCTTTATTGCTGTGCACTGATGCAGGCATACTATCGCGTGTACAAGGAGCATATCCCTGTAGCCCAGCTGTGCCGAGAGACAGCAGCAGTCATGCAGGAGTTCACACGTATGTCGCATCCTCCCTTGCTTCATTCATGTCGCACGTGACCACTAGCAGGCAGAGAGGTGGGACTTGGGACTAACAACACTTATGCAGATGCAGTTTGCCTCAGCTTGACACATGTGCTGCTTTGTGCAGAGTCTGGAGGTGTGCGGCCCTTTGGCGTGTCACTGCTGATGGCGGGGTATGATGACAATGGCCCGCAGCTGTACCAGATCGACCCCTCTGGCTCCTACTTTGCGTGGAAGGCCAGCGCCATTGGCAAGAACATGACCAACGCCAAAACCTTCCTGGAGAAGCGCTACAGCGAGGTGCAATTTTTTTGCAGATGCTTCTCTCCCCGTTGTGAGACCGCGCAATGAACTGTTCATCCCCGCTGACTGAGTGCCAGTATGAGTTTTCAGCGTTTTGCCTGGAGGACAAGCAGCAAAATCTCTGTGTCACACCTTGCTGCGAATTTCTGCATGTATGCAAGTGGTTGTGATGTGTGCAGGACATGGAGCTGGAGGATGCTGTGCATACAGCATTGCTGACGCTTAAGGAGGGCTTTGAGGGGCAGATCTCAGGTCACAACATCGAGGTCGCCATTGTGGGAGAGGACCAGAAGTTCAGGGTGCTGACGCCTGCTGAGGTGTCCGACTACCTGGAGGAGGTCGAGTGAAGTGCAGCGACCATCGGAGATGCCTGATGGGATCGAGAGGTGGTGCTGCCAAGCAGTGCCATGATTGCTTGTTCCTGCGAACCTGAGGCAGGATGCTTGCTTACAAAAGATAAATCACTTCCTCAGTTAACTGAAGCCACAGCAATCGTAACCAAAAAATGTGTATGGTATCTTTTAAATGTGATTGTTACCTTCCATGCTGGAATCTCTGTGAGTCAATCGTCACGAACAAAATCCTCAGCAGCTTCCATCCCAGCAAATTTGGGAACACAAAAACAGTTCACAATGTCTCTCTCGTTTGGCAGCTCAAGCTGTCTTATACAGCGAATGGCTGCGATGCCAAGGCAGCTTCCTGTACCCGGCTCAGGTTTTCCTACAGCGTCCTATAGCAGTGGCCTCCTGTTGTACCAAGTTGTGGCACAATTCCCTGGTCCAAGACTCTCATATGCATGGATTGATCCAGCTGGCGTATTCCTCATGATTCGTTGGCTTCCTCACAGGCATCAATCCATTCGCTGTACACGTCTATAGCCTCGCTCAGCTTGTGGATCTTTGTGTTGAACCGCTCGCCACAGATGTTGCAGGAAACAGAGCCCACCTGAGCACCCCAAAAAATTGCGATAAAGCCATCCAGACATCATTAGGCCATTTCCATCGGAGCAGGACTTCATGACACGCCAGACAAGGTGACATCTGCACTTGGCAACCAAGGTGATATCAATGGGTGATAGGCTCACGTCACTGTCCCAGTCCATGATGGCACTGACGCTCTTGTTCGAGTTGCAAAATGGACAATTGAATGCGACATCAAGCTTTGGTTTCAATTTCTTTGGGGGAGGTTTGGATGACTTTCGTTTCCCCATCCTGCCTTTGTTTCCTGATCTCTTCAACCCAGCATTCCCTTGAAGTTTATCACCGAATTAAAGTGCTTCAGACTTAACAATCAGCCCAACAATAGTGGATATTATCTGCCTCCTTGTCCGCAAGCGACAAGTCTAGATTATGGCTCCTAGTGTGTCAGGCCAGGTAGCTTTTCAAGGACTTGGACAGATCTTGCGTGTGCGACAGCTTTACAGAGCGTTGTCAATGTTCGATCCATTCCGAATGTGCAGAGTGCATGTTCACCGCTGCAGAATGCGATCGAACGGTGCACGTGATGGCAGCATGCAGATCATGACCCTTCCTTCAGGGCAGAGACCGAGCTTGCAAATTCACAGGCACTCTCCTCATAAGAAAGGCGTGCTTCTGAACTGCCTCAATGACGCACTGCACCAGTAACTTGCATGCACGTGTACATGCACGCAGTCCAGCAGGTTGCCTTACCGGTACAATGCATATGCCTGGCCGTACGGACAGAAGCGCAAAAAACTAGCCAGTAGCTTCAGCCTTTCAGCTGCAACAAAATTCACATCACTAATCCCAGCTTAAATTGTCGATATATCTTTAATCGAAACTGCTCTTACGTTTCAATAATCAGAGCTGCTTGATAGTATAGGCGCGCAAAATGGCAGGATTGTCACAATCTTTGGATTTAATCTCTTGCTGTATTGACTAGTAAGCTTGGCATTTTCAGATATCCAGGCTGTGCAAGTATGCAGCCCAGCAGCAGGCGCCGCCACAGTGTCAGCTGGCATATGGTTTTCGGGGGTTGCCCAGAGGATTAGGCCTGCACGGCAGTCATTCTGTATCAGCACATGTTCTTACCCTTGGGCATGCTGCAGCAACAAGCGGCCACACTCAAATGCAAAGAGCAAGGAGACTACTTCGTGAAAAGAACAAAATTAGATGCAGCAGGCTCCCTGAAAACAGGATGCGAAACTTGATGCAGCCTGCCACGTGTACCTGTGCTTGTAGCCAAGCATCATCCGCTTCCTGTACACCTCGAACTCATCATCGCCCTCTTGGACATCATGCTGCCCCTGCAAAAAGTAAATATCACAGTGAATAACAATCCCCCTTCCTCCCACCCCTCGCCTCCTAATTGCTGATAGCCTTTCATGCATCAGCGTACAGTCCATACAATCATGGCCAGAGTCAGATCAGTCAGCATGCAAACATTAGCAGGTTCTCGAGGGACTGCCACAGTCACAGTGGAGCTGCTCACTACGCGGGACCTTTCCTGGTCACTAAGCGGCAGGAGCACCCCTACTATGGAGCCCAAACGGTCTCATTTCGACACCATCGTGTGCTGTGAGTGAATTCTAAGGGCAGTCGTGTGGAGGGAAGGCATGCCTTGGTGCCGAGGCCGCCCTTGTCAACGGGCTGCTTGGCGCCGGCGGCTGCGATGGGCGCGGCAATGCCGGAGGCGTTGGCTCCGAGGCCCTGCCCTTCGCGCCAGCCCATGGCCTGCAGCATGCGGTGGCCCACGTTGTCCGCCTGAATCTTCTGCGCCTCTTCAAGTGCCGCCGCCTGCGCCTTGCCCGTCTCGCTACCGCTCTTCGACAGCAGCTTCGCCAGCTCCTCCGGCGGTATGAAGTCCTGCAGAGACCGTTAAAGCTGTCAGCTTGAGTGAGCACCATGCATCAGCAGTGATGATGACTACCTCTCCATCCCAAAAAACATCAAGCTCAATGCGCCGCAAGTCGTTGCTTTGAAGTTCACTTCCAATCTAGGTACACAAACGGCTCAAACATAAATTGTCTCCATTGTTTCACACGTCAATGGACCCACACCCATGTCTCAAAGGCCCTTGCTACAACTGAGAAACAAACATCTCTGCCTCTTCTGCTTGCAAAGAATTGTCTAAGCTCCCGGCCTCGGGACCTCGACGCTACGGCATTGACAAGGAGACAGGCTTACGTGCCTGCATGTGGTGGCCGCGCTTGCCGTCAGTCTTGTAGACTGCGAGCTGCCGTCGCCGGTCGAAGGAGGTCTCGTTGAGCAGCGCGACGCGCGGTTTCTCCTCCTCCTCTTCAGCATCCTTCGGCCGCGCCTGCTCCTTCCGTGCCGCCAGTTTGGCATACGCCTCCATGGCCACCAGGCTGTCGCCCTTGTCCAGTGCCGCCTTTGCCCTTGCAGCCTCATGCGCGTCTGCCGCAGCCCACAACAACAATCAAATTCCAATCGAGTGGATCATGCTGAAGTTCAATATGTGCAGTGAACCAGCAAACTGGTCCCATGACAACGTAAGTCTGGAGAAAATCCTCAACATGCCCTGTCAGGTACATGCCCTGGAGAAACCATGTGGACGGCTGGAAAAAAATCCAGGACTTCCAAGACCTTCAATCCGTCCAGACAAAGTCTTCAAGGAGCTCTGCTGGACACACTGATTGCAGAGAGGATCTTGTGGACAGCTGAAGTATGGCATCAAGGGAGGCAGGCCGCTCACCGTCAGGCTTGCTTTCGCTGAAGCGGTTCACCCTCGGCAGGGGCTGCGATGGCTGCTGAGCAGGGGCCGGCGGTGGTCTGAGGTGCGGCTGAGAGAGCGGGGGCCCAGGCGCTGAGGCAACCTTACTTCCTCCTTCCAACGCCCGGACCCGAGACTCATAGTACAGGTACTCTGGCGATGTCTTGTGATACAAGAACCTGCCAGGCACCACACCTCCCCCGTCAATGCTGCTCTGCACCGGCCTATATGAAGTGAGGGAGAACAAGCAATGAGATCTGCAGGACGCGCGCCTGAATGAGCTGTCCTCTGGGTTGCGCTGGCGCGTGACATCTTCAAAGTTGCGCCCGTTCTTCGCCACAAACTCAGCCAGCTTCTCCACAACCTTCCTGACGTCGGGGTCTTGCGGGGGCGAGGGGCCGGCAGAAACTGGAGGGCAACGACTCAATGGATGGGTTAGCCCAGAGCAAAGATATCATGTTGTCCAGAGGATACAGTGCAGAGCTGCCTGTTCACTGGCTTTCTTTGTCTTAAGCAGCTGTGCCATCATGGAGGGGAAACGACCCCACGATGGTGGACATTAAGCATGCCATAAAAACTGAGCGCATCAGCTAGTCCAGCCAAATGAGAACCTGAAGACTCCAAGCGTTGTCGTTTTGCACTGTGATCCACGACCTCCTGCTCTTCGGTATCGCTGTCATCTACCCCAAACACGGCTGAGATTGGGGTGACTTTCTTCGGAGCCTTTATACCGAAGCCAACCTTTGCAGCTGGGGTGCCCTTGGCCCCACCTCCCAGTGAGAAGGAAATACTATTTGTTCCCATCTTCAAGATATCCCACTCGATTAAGGTCTTTTCAGTCACGTCACAGATCTGTTGTGAAGTAGCACTACAGCAGCATCAAGCTGTGCCAGACAGGGAAAATACTTTAAGACCTGCGGCAAAGAAGAAGCTCCAAAGGGCATCTGGGATGGAACGCCGCCAAGCGGGCCTGTCCAAGCTTTCGAGCACGTCTCGAACGACAGATGAGAATCCAGTAGCCTCTCATCGTCATACTTAACATTTAAGTTACCAAGCACCTAAGATGACAGCCATCAAGGCAATTACCGCTCCTCCATCGGACGTTGATCTGGAGAAAGCGGTGCAGGTGGAAGAGAAGCTATCTAGGGCACTTGCTGCTTGCGAAAATCTCACGCAGCGCTTGAAACAGAAAAAGGAAGCAGGTACACGCGCTCAATATATCAATTTCTGGGCAGTCTTGCTTCTCATGTAGCAGACCAGGCATGCCTTTGTGGTATTGGCAGAGCTCGGTTTCACATGCCGCAGTGTGTTTGTGGGGTGGCAGGGGAAGAGCTGACAGACGAGGACAGATATGAGATGCAAAGCTTGCTTGACAGACTGAAATATGTGGAGAAACGACAAAACACATTGAAAGGAGCAGTCGACGCTGACCTGAAGAGGGTAGGAAGCAGTGATCACTCTCACAGAAGGCTTCCTGGTGAACAATGAGATGTTCACCGGCACATGAGAAGCAAAGGAAGGACATTAGATGCTCTTGTTCTGCGCAGAAACGTGAATTGAAGCAGAAGCTTGAGGCGGAAGCAGAGGCGCGTCGCTTAGAGGCCATGAAGATTACAAAGGAGAAGCCGGCCGCAAAGCTGCGCATGCAAGAGCTGAGGGACATGAACCAGATAGAACTCACCCAGGACGACAGAGACAAACGCTTGAAAGATGCCAATGCTGTTACCAAGGTACCCTCCACATTCACCGTGGCAGAAGTCCAGGGTCACACTATTTGCATCATCTTCCATTCAAATTGTGAGGTGCCTTCACCAGCTCAATTGGCATGCTGTGTCTGTTGCAGATTGTACCATCTGGAGGCCTCGTTGGTTTCCAGGTGGCTGAAGATCTGCTCGTCAAGGACTATGACTATCAGAATGATGATACCAAAAACCCATGGGACGGAACGAACAGAGACGACTGAGCTTGCATTGAGCTTGCACTGTAGCAAAATGCAGAGTCATTGTCCCTGACTGACTGACATCCACAGTGAACTCGTTGTCTGCTGTCCACATCCTGTTCTTACTTCCTCTGGCAATAAAAATATATACCCCTGTGAGGAGGTTTGTCCTTTTGCAAACAAATGCTGCTAGCTGAACATCAGGGCTCCAGATCGATGCTGTGAGCTGTCAGCCCACAAACACAGCCTTGCCGGCCTGGGTCATTCTGAACCGCTGGTCAATGATGAGGCCCCTGGGAATGATGGTGTCTCTGTAATATGCGCTGCATTGGTACCCCACCCGCGCTGGGATGTGCGAGGCAAACAGGCCCCACTTGTCGCCCACGCCGTGCGCTCTGGCAGTCTCCAGGAACAGCTCATGCTCCTCCTCTGTCCAGTCACCCTGCGCCTGCTCAGGAGACACCAGACACCCTTTATCGGTTACCCTCTATCAGACACCCTTAATTAGATACATACCAAAGACTATCAACAAGCCCTGAGAACACAAGTGGAGATGGTCCACACGCAGGCACTTGCTTGCAGTTGTTCTGTTCTTCATCTGTCTGTGAGTTTCCCCCTGATTCGAGCTCCTTGGCTTCTGTTTCTGCAGCTCAATTTGGATTTGGGCATTCGGCAAAAACTTCCTCAGGATTATGCAGACTAGAATTGCAGGGTCACAAGCGGCTGGTTAGTGTGTAATTACCTGTTCCTCGTCAGGTTCCACATGCCGGTAGAAGTATGCGTTTGGGTTGGTCCTCAGCTGCGTGGCAGAGAACGCGCGCGCATTGCTCCAGCCATGCATCTTGCCTGCTGACAAACCCACCCAGGTCCTTAACCCTGATGCCCACACGGATGAACAATGCAAAGCATGTCACACATTCTCTGGCAGATGTAGAAGACTGGTGGTGCATGCACCTGACTTGGCACCCTTTGCGCCAGCTTTGGAGCCTCCTGCACTTGCGAATGCCTCCTCCTCCGATTCCACAATGCCATACTTCTTGCAGACGGCGGGGGACACCCACCTGCAGGACAGACCTCGCTCACCACATATCATACTGGTGCTGAGAGCTGCACATAATTTGAGCATGGAGACAATCCAGACGGTCTACAGTGCAGTTGGCCTTACCCATGATAATGCCCATCAACAACAAAGCCCGTGACCACCTCCCCTTTCCATTTGAAATATTCCCTCAGAATCATCAGCTCATTGTGCTCTGCAAGAAGCAAGTCTACATGTCAGCTCCATAAATCAAGGAGCTGTAGGAAGCAAGGTTTTTGCCAGGCAAACGCCAATGCAACTATACACAGAGATGCAGGGTCACAAGGAGGTGTACTCCAGCAGCATAATGTCTCTTGTCACCTGAGTCCAGGGCTTTCAGACTCTCTGTCTGCGGCGCTGGCTGAGTGTCTCTGCGCAGTCGAGTGCACTTTCGCACAGCGCCCTTGGCAGCCACCTTGCGCTTGTGCCGCTGAGGAAGCCTCCTGCCGTGGCTCGCTGCCACTGCCTGGGCTGCAGTGTGCACTCCCAGCTGTTCCAGGATAGCGTTGTTGCGTTTGATCCTCTCCTCACGCTGCACAGATGCGAACATACAAAAACCTTCACTTATGGACAAGAGCCCATTCTGTCTGCCTCATGGAGGCCCTGTTAACCTCTCAAATACGCTGATGGCCTTGTTTGAGCCAGGGAAGGCACACCTGGCGCTCATAATCATTCAGAGGTGCTGTAGGAGGCTCATGTGGTACTCGCGATCGTCCTGTCATCATAAGGACCAGCAGTGCTGCAGGGACGTTACGAGTATGTCAGCATCAGAAGATTATATGAACTGGAAAATTGTAAACTATGCCTGGTGAGCCCACTGGATAGGTGCGTTGATGGATGCTTTACCGTTGCAGATGACAGTGAGTATCGATTTGTCTATGCTTCGACGTTTGTAATTACAGTAATTCCATCTCAGGCAGCTTGAAAATTTTTCCGTGGAAACTGCGGAGAATGCATCGCTCAATCTTGCTCTTACAGCTTCAGCTGTCGTCTTCCGGTTCATAGCCGTTAGGCTGAGTCACCTACCTCAATTTCGTTTCCATTTGCTTGATCTGCCGCGATCCTGATTCATCGAGTTTCTTGATCCCATGCAACAACTTGAAAGATGATACTGTAATCATCGGTTCAAGTACCGGCCATCCGAAGCTTGTTTTCCAAGCGATTTGCGCATGAGCCTGGTGCATCGGAATTCACCATTGCAAATCACCAGTTTCGGTACCGTAGCTACACTTCAAAATACTGTGCTCCATAGGAAGGTGTCAAGATGCGTCGCTAATAAGACAGTTACCGGAGAGAAGAGTCAAAAGTTAGTTCTTGTGAAGGATTATAGTGGCCACCTCACACCTTACGAAGAGGTGAGATCTGATCATCAAAGTAAGGAATTCCTATTTCAAGTCAGTCATCCATGCCAAGATCCAGCATCTGAATTTTGCAGGCATGGAGACTGCAGAAACAGCTTGTGAGAGATCTTGCTCCTGGAGGTGACGCTCTTGAGGACGTAGCAGGCTTTTTGCTGCTTGTACAGCACCCTCCAGTATACACCTTGGGATCTGGGAGCTCCTTGGCTCACCTTGCCTTCGATCCGGCCTCCCCGCCACACCCCCTCTTCCGCACAGAGCGAGGTGGAGAAGTCACTTTTCATGGTCCAGGCCAGCTAGTCGTTTATCCCATCATCAACCTGCGGCGCTTTCAGACTGACCTCCACTGGTACCTGCGCAGCCTGGAAGATGTCATCATCAGGTGGGCACGGCCCTGTTCAGCACTCTTGTATCCGTGCCTCCCTGCATTCGACGCTGATGCTCTCGGCTTCAAATTGGTGCTAATTAGGGGTGTTATGGGATGGCAGGGCATTGGATGAGGTGTCTGGGCTGACCGGGGAAAGGATACCTGGCCTTACAGGGGTTTGGGTGGGTGGCCAAAAGGTGGCAGCCATAGGCGTGCGCGCACAGAAGTGGGTGACATACCATGGACTGGCAGTCAATATAACGACAGATCTCACCCCATTCCGGTATATCACGCCGTGTGGGATTGCTGATCGCCCCGTGGCAAGTGTGCAGGTGCGCACGCGTGTACTGGCTGATGTTCCTGCACCTGTCCATGCTGTGGGTTTCTTAAGAGTGTGCAGCCTGTACATTGCTGATTTCTTGGCTTCCGCGGACAGACGCTGCTGAAAAGAGGTCCTGAGGGCTCATGCTCGCCAGAAGCATTGGAGAACACATGGTCTGGAGCGCAAGGAGAACAAGCAAGCCCAGAGGAGGAATCACATGAAGCAACACTGCTCATGCAAGAGTATGCTTTTGCAATGAAGTCTGCTTTCGCTGATGTTTTTGCGGCCTCTCTTGAGGAAGACACAATAGAAATGCTTCCGCGGTGAGCTAAACGATGTATACCAAGGTCCTTTGGGGCAAGCTTTGGGAATGGGAAAAACTGATCTCACATTGGCAGCAAGCCCTGGTTGAGTACACATCGAGGTCACATGCTCATGCAAGAGTCTGACTTGCAAAGCTGAATTGCTGGAGACCCACCAAAAACAGAGTGAGCAAGCATATGCTTTGCTGTGGCTGTAGGGGAAAAGACTGCCCAAAATCAGTGACTACATGCAGGCACAGGTATTAACTTCTCTAGGCAAGCGTGCTGACACTGTCGGCTGGCAGCGCATGCGTGCTGCTGGCATCGTGCATGCATGACAACTTAAGACAAGCTTGTTGAACAATTGTATACATTACGTAATGATAATAGTTGACACATTATCTGAACACACAAATCAACCGAAATGCTTACCGACACTCATTGATCCCAGACTCTGACGTGAAATTGATATTAGAGTGAGAGCGTACTAGGTAAGCGGCCGCCGCGGTGACCCGGCCGCCTTCAGAAGCTTCACCAGAAGGTACATACTAGTACTTAGGTAGCAACCGCTGCAGGCGGGCTGATGGATGGCGCAGTCATTTGTGATCCATGTTGTTTCCTGTGTTTCTACTTCTCCCTTCAAGAACCGGGCCTCGTCTCAAGACAAAGGATGTGCAATGTGCAGGAGCAAAAACGAGGGGTCGGCCAAATTAGGCAACTGCATGTCGCTAGGAACGCCTCCGCGCAGCCGAACACGAGAGAGGAGGGGCAGCCGCCTGCTTCTCAGATCTGCCTCACAAGCGGTGTGGCAGAGGAGAGAGAGGTCATTCAAGGTGCGAGATAGTTTACGATAATGAATGTGCATCCTTCTGTGCCCATGGCACGTAGATTGAGAAGGGAGGAGTTTAGAGGCGGTGCAACCAGCAATTCTCATCTTCTATCAGCATGCCAGAGTTGATATCATTTTAATCACCCAGACGGCTGAAATGGATAGATTATTAAACGAAGAGCAGTCGGTGCAAGCAGACCTCCCCAGAGCCTGCGTGTCTGTCGGTGGCTACTGAATCGTACTGAGTTACTTTATTTGTTTTGGAACAGATGGGTCGCGTGATCCGCTCCCAGCGTAAAGGTAGGGGGAGCATCTTCACGTCCCACACCAGAACACGCAAGGGACCTGCACGTCATCGCACACTTGACGCAGCAGAGCGAAATGGCTACATCAGGGGAGTTGTGACAGAGATCATCCACGATCCTGGTCGTGGCGCACCTCTGGCGAGGGTGCGTAATCCAATTTGCTTGGGAGAAGCGTTAATCGCCTGAAAAGCTCATCCAATGCTTTCCAGGAACTCTGTTAACTGGGAAGTAAGCAGGTCATCAACAGTGAGCTTTACCTGCGCAGGTGACGTTCCGCAACCCCATCCGGTATGGGCTGAAGAAGGAGCTCTTCATTGCCCCGGAGGGTCTCTACTCAGGCCAGGTGAGGAAATCTCTCATTCTGGCATATGACACAGCAAGGTTCCTGAAAGTGAAGATGGTGTTTCCCAGAGCTCCACAACTGAGACATCTCTGTTGCGCGCTGCAGGCTGTGTACGCCGGCAAGAAGGCAACTCTGTCCATCGGCAACATCAAGCCCGTTGGAGAGATGCCTGAGGGTGCCATCATCTGCAATGTTGAGGAGGTGGGTCTGCAGTCTCAAGAGCACCCAGTCCCAGGCTACTGAAAAAATGACCTGCCTGAACCGATGCATGTGATCAGTGGAGATGCTGGTCCAAGCTTGTCTGCAACCGCTTTACCTGCGCTCAGCCTGGCAGATATGACCCAGAAGCATGCCGGAAAGCTGGGTTCATGTGATGGCGGATATACCGTGCTGACATGGCTGCGCATGGCGTGTGAGCAGAAGGCGGGCGACCGCGGCGCACTGGCGCGCGCATCAGGGGACTACGCCATTGTGGTGGCGCACAACCCAGAGGCAGGCATCACCCGCATCAAGCTGCCTTCCGGCTCCAAGAAGGTCAGCCGCTGGCCTCCCACTGCCAGAGCTTCTCTCCCTGCACCGCCTTGATTCTTCTCCCTGAATGTCACTGTGGGCACCAGGAATGTCACTGGGCATGACTGGCGCATAAGTCAGCACTGGAGTAGTAAAAGACAGCACAGCAGGATGTGATCAAGCAGTGGCAAGCGCGGCGATTTACAGGTCTGCAGGGATTGATGGGTGGGTGTGGTGCGCAGGTGATCCCCAGCACATGCCGTGCGATGGTGGGACAGGTGGCAGGCGGCGGCCGTACAGAGAAGCCCATGCTGAAGGCCGGTAACGCCTACCACAAGTACAAGGCCAAGAGGAACAGCTGGCCCAAGGTTTGCACCGTACCTTTTCCCTCTGCATCTTGCATTCAGTTTTTTGCATGGTGGCCAGCAGCTATATATATCTGGACCTCGACGAATGTATTGACATTGTCTTCCTGTTCCAGCAATCTTGGGTCCACCCGTTGTGCTCTTGTCTGAGGGAGATGATAATGGATGCCGAGATTAGGTTGCATGTCTAGTGTCTCATCGGTGGTAACTGTGTGTGTCAGGTGCGTGGTGTGGCCATGAACCCTGTAGAACATCCCCACGGTGGTGGTAACCACCAGCATATTGGTCATGCCTCCACTGTGCGGAGGGACGCGCCCCCCGGCCAGAAGGTTGGTCTCATTGCCGCCCGCCGCACCGGTCGCCTCAAGGGTACCGCCAAGGTCCTCGACAAGGAGTGAGAAGCCTGTCGCGCTGTGCACCAGCGTGCCTGTGCGCCTCAGTACAGGGATTTTGGCGCACGCACTCTTTGCTTCAGGCTGTGCGAGAGCACTGCATTGCTTTGTGGTCGATGTGGGGAAGAGCAGGGCACCCGACAAGGAAGTCAGAGGGCTGTTCGGCATAGCTTCATGTGTACACTGTCCAAGACTGTCTCGCTTGATCTGTGTGCTGCGGTGCTGTGTGGAGAGTTTTTTGCACCAGACATCCGTTCAGGGCACTCGAGCAGACTGCTGATCGATCTCACAGTAGCATAAATGTAATGCGCGAGCAACGCAGTTTATTCCCCAGGGTTGCCCTCTACAGGAGGCCAAGTCATGTCCAACGAACATTTGCAGTGCTCTTTCTTGCAAGCACGTAGCAGCTCTGCCTGATTCTTAATAAGAAAATATTCTTCTGCACTGGCTCCAGCCCACATGTGACTTTGCATGTGCACATACTATTAAAATTGGCAATTGTCTTGAGCATACTTGCATACTTCTTAATCATGCATAGCACATCATGGTACTGCAGTGCCTTCAAGGCACTATCTTTGCTTCATGCAGATCAGGTCTTCACTCCACGGGCATCAGCAGGTGTGCGGTCGCAAAGGGCCGACAGATCTCCGGTTCCATCAACATTTGTGGGTCCGCCCTTCGCATAGACTCCAGTGTATGTAGACTGCATGCAGAACGGATGCAAATTTGAGAACCAATATGCGCAGCGATCTGTGAGAGGATGTCGGGGCTAACCTCTAGTGGCCACTGGGTTGGTTTCCCTCCTTCTCTACTTAATGACTAGATGGAGCAAGGAATGTGATGTCAACACTAAGGCTTCAACTTTATACTCTCAAGGCTGTGCCAGAGGAAGTCTTGCTTATCTCAGCAGCTGGCAATGGCTGAAACAGTACCTTGTCATCATGAAACTTAACAAAATCAGCCTTTGTAGCCTGTGTCTTAGGCCCCTCGCTCGCCAGAAGCCTCTTCTCCAGCTCGTCCCTATCTATCGCCTGTGCAGTGTATTAGGCAGCCGTCCTCATGCTGTTGATGTCTTGAAAATACTGTAGCCTCACAGCAGTATGTGTGTTCAATTGCTGCTCAAGCAGTTTTTGAGTGCTCGCAGATCTTACCTTTTTGGTTGCCACCAGGTCCAGAGCCTTCTCAAACTCGGCGAACTGGATCTTGCGTGCACCCTTGGTTTTCACCTGCAGCAAGCACTGGCTTAGCCTATTGGTATCGTCATGCTGATGTCATGTTGTGTGTCTCAAGAACAATTTTATGATTTGCACATCGTCAAAGGGGATGACCACCTTGGAGTAGATGATGTCAAGGTCTGTAGCAATGAGGCCGTTGCCCACCAGTCCTGTGTCCTTGAAGAGTTTCACAAACTTTGCGCCATCCAATTCGGTGGTCTTGGTCCTGGTCCCGTAGTTGCAGTAGGCCAGGAAGAGCTCATTGAGAGACTGCAGAGCAGCAAATGTAACTCAATCCACGTTTCCCATACTGGACGGGTATGGGTGGGGATGTCGGCAACTAATGGCGTCTATTTTTAGATCGCCAGAAATTTGCAATCTTAGAGAACAATAGGGGCTTCAGGAGATTTATTTCGACCTCATTAATAATATCCAGCATACACCCGAGATTTTAATTCAGACTTGGCCGAGCAGCCGAGCACAACATGTGAGCAACCCCCCGAACGTGTGTGGACGATACAGGAAGGAGCCGAACAACACAAAATCATCATACTACAAAGATATATAGGCCTTTCGTTGGCTTTCTAAACACTTGCATTAGACTCTTCTGCAGATTGCTGACGGTGTGAAAGCTCCTAGACTGCAAGATGGAAATGGCTTGCGCACGTACCTGCACCATCTGTGGCAAGCGTTTCTGGGAGAGGACCCGAGATGTCTAAGAATTGTCGGTAGCTGCAATGCAAAAAATAATTCTGATCGTTTCCGCGTGCACCAGCTCCTCAAGATTGCCGACCACACAGACACGGTGGGAGGCGTTCCTGTTCAGAGGAGAACACGCAGTTGGACAATGTTCACCTATAGGAAGCCTTTGAGTGCCCGTTGCTTGCGTATATTGTTGAAGTTCAGGATGGGTTGTCATAGTCTGCCCAATGTCTCGGGCCGCTGGGCCAGGGTTCCCCGGCCCCAGCGTTTGTGCATGCGTTGTGCCCAGCAGGTTATTGGGGATGAGCGCCACCTTGTGTTTGAGTGCCCTGCCTTGCAATCTGTTCGGGACAGATATCCTGGGCTGTTTGGTGCAGACATTGTGACGATGCAGCAATTCATGTGGCAGTTGGACATTGTTGGTGTTGCACATTTTGTGATGGATTGTTTTGATTATTTGGATGCTGCCAGTTCATCAAATCAGCCCTAGGCGGCTGGGAGTGATGTAATCTTCCTTCCTTCCTTCCTAGGAAGAGGACCCGGTGCAGCCCCAAAACATTTCCCTGCATGCTAAAGGGATGCTTAGGATGACTTTCAAGTCCGGTCAGGCGCACTCCATCAGGAACAGGGTCCGGCAGGCAGCTGTATTTGAATGAATTCACTGGCACCCACTGGGTGTGGCACACTATGTGTACACTGATCACTGATGGCAGCAGTAAGCAATTTACCGTATGTGATACGCAAGAGGCTGCTCATAATGAGGCACTGTTGGCACCTATTGTGACACCAACACACCGATACATCTGCTCCGATTTCCACCCATCAATTATCTCGAATGAGCAGCATATCATACCTTTTGGCTGACTGAAAATTGTGCCACGAGGCACTCTACAATTAATTCTAGATAGATGGCATAGCACGTGCTTCACAAGACTCAAGGAAAGCATATGCAGCACCAATCAAGCTCACACAAGATGTCCACCAACTGCAGCACAGAATGTCCTATCACCGGTACCTCCTTGAGCCTTGAGCTGCTTCACGGCTGCCCCTGCAGAGTCCGGTCCATGTTGCATGATGGTCCCAAAAGATAGTACATAATGATACAAGGCCCAATACAATGCTGCTAGCACCAGCATGGCACGCCTGGCGAGGCCCTCTGCAAGCACACTACGCAGGGACAGGCGCAGCGCTTGCATCCACAATGCTTGCCAGCCTGCCTGCCTACATCATCTTGCAGCAGGAATTTGTCTTGCGAGCCTGCTTGTAGAACATCTGGCTGGCCATGGACAGGTCCGAGGACTTGTCGACTAGCGTGTCCAGCTTCTCTCCACGTTCCAGCATGCTCTCAATCGTCTTATGCAGCACCACCTTGGTCTCGTCCAAATCGCGCTGAATCTTTGTGAGCTTGTCCGCCTGGGCTGGATCCTGGGCACCACCACAAGAAAAGCTGTCAGCACTTCCTTCTCAGCTAGTGCACTCTCTTCTGCCACCCATGCAGAAGCAGGCCTTTCCCTCAGGTGGGTCCCTGTTGCTGCATCAGATGGCACCCCTTGGATGGAATGCTATGTCATGTATCTGTAGGAAGCATGCAGGCACAACAAGAGTATGTGCCAGAGCCTTGCCTGGTACTTGGACACAGCTGCTTCGAGCATGGAAACAGCATCGTTCGTGTCCGCTGTCGCTGTTCGCCAGGCATCCCTCGACTGGTCTGAGTACTCGTCCAGCACCCTGGTCACTATCCCAAACGCTGCCCGAGCTGGGTAGTCCTTATCCACAAATGCTATGCCAACCTGCAGTGTCACCGTAGGTGAGAGACAGAACCTGTCTGACTGAGTTAAGGCACAGAGGAGTGCGCAGTTGAATCTGCTGCAAAAACTTCCAAGCTCAACTTCAGGAACAGGTGGAAAGTGAATCTGATCCCTGTCAAGAGGGTCAAGATATAGTGAAAGGTGGTACATTAGCATATTGACACTCACCAGGCCGTCTCTGTTGTAGGCATGGCAGTAGTACTCCTCGTTTTGGACTGTCTGGCGCTGTCCGACAAGGGTGCGCTTTGATACAGTTCTGGAGACAAAGGTCAGCATTTCCTTGACGCTGCCACGCTGGAAAAATCCGAAGTTGGACAGGTCTGCTGCAATGCCGAACAGGTATGGTTCCCTCTCTCCATTCCACTTTAGGAGGGCTATTGCAGTCAACTTCATCGCCAGTGCCTTTGCGCTGCGTTTGTTTCAATACAAAATCCAGAAAAAATTCTAAGATTCTGATCAATACAAGGTATCGAGGATCTGACGCTGGCAGCACAGTAGCCTTCAGATCTAGAGAAGGGCGTCGTGACAAGGAAGTTGTCGAGCTCTAGACAGTCTCGCAAAGCTCCAATCCAGTGACATGCAATAAAAACCTCCAACCTTACTCTTTTATATGGATGAGTCACACCATTTCCACCAATTCATGCCTGAAGAATTTTCACCAAGTAGCAATGCCAGACTTGGCAATGGCAGGGATGTGCATGCAGAAATGGCTTCATGAGTGCAGCGCACCGGACTGAAGAAGAAATTACATCCCAGCATATGTGTATTAGGAGATTGCGGTTCATTTAACCCAAATTTATTATTACATACACTATTGAAGTACCGACCGCTACACAATTCTTTCCGATCTGTTGCTGATTGACGAGACAGTGGCAAGCTGATAGATCATTGAACAGGCCACATTCGATATACATAAGTCCTTTATTGCTTTACACCCAGAGATCATGAGGACGAAGTCCAAGGGTGGCAGCTCAGCATTGCTGTTCAACGAAATACAGCAGAGAGCTGGACAGCACGTTGCATCTAGTGGGCCAAAGCCCATGGTTGAGGGGCCAAGCATCCCTATGAGTGTCACTCTGGATAGAGAAAACGCCAACAGCATCCGTGAAGACTTCCTCTGGAGGCTGAAGGGTATGCTCCTAGCACGGTGGGGCAGAGACAAGTTTACAACTGGGATCCGCATTGATACCATGGCCTGTTGAATAGTTGAGCACATCTGAACTGGTGATGACCATGAACCTTGCTGTTTGTCTTGACAGAAACAGCTGGGCGGAGCAGTGCAGCTGCAGCAAAGATCTGTCATGATAATGGCTTGCTTCCAGCGGCATATGAAAGGCATGTCGATCTGAACTTTATGTTGCTCACCACAGGCTAATTGCCAAAAAAAGAAACCACTGACTGGGCACGGGTGTCAGCTCCCCACAAATCATCCGTCTTTACATCTCACTAGTTTTGATGCTCCCCTGAAGCTCCCAATGCCGTGTGCTGCAGAGATATTGCACACATGATCGACAGGAGTCTCCAGGTCTGTTCGGTGGGGAGATCTGACTCCCCTGCTGGGAGCCACACAAAGGTTCTTGAGGTGTGCTACATGATCGACTTTAGTGAACATGCTGGACATGCTTGAGCACAGCTGATATCAGATGAACAACCTGTGATGCAGACATTGCTGTAACCAGGTCAGCGTGACACTCGGCGACAGGCTTTTCCAAGATAAGGTGGAGTGGGCCATTGCATTGCCGCAGAACTTGCCAGAGCGCTACGCCGCCAGCGTTTGCAGCGAGATGGGCCTTGACTGGCAGCATGCCCAGGCCATCGCTGGCGCTTTGCGAGAGCAGATAACCTTGCATCTTCAGGTGAGCGGGCTCCTCCAGTGTTGTTTCCCAGTTTGTGAGGTTCTGTGGCTGTTGGAATTGTTTCCCTGTTTCGCATTGCACAGGTGGTAGCACTTTATTGCATTTCTCAGGTGAACAGTACTGCTGGTTTTCAGGACTCTGGAGATGTCAGGCACAATGAGCCGTCCCCACCCAAGGGGATCCACAGGCATCAAATTCGGAGAGAGGAGGAGGCGTGTTGTTTCGCTGGCTATCCGCGGCTGGTTGCAAGAACTGAATGAGTCGTTTGAGCAAATCCCAAGGGATCATCTTATAAGTGTTGACTTTGTAGATGCTGATGTGTCCAATGACAGCAGTTGCATCACAATGTGCATGTGCCAGGACCGTGACAAATGCAGGTTGTATGTGTGCCAGTCTGTGCGCTTGTGCTAAATGGTGGATAAAGTTTGTGCAATAGCATGATCTGCCCAAGTGCATGAAGCTACTTGATGTGACGCTTGTAGTATTCGTGGCGTAGATCTTTGATGATCACAAGTGGGGCACTATGCTGACTGATTGTGTCAATTGTTACTGCCATTACATAAGCAGACCTTCAATAGATATCCACTTGCAGTTACCGCAGTCTGAACACCCGGAAATTCACCAGTCTTCCTTGACATCCTGAGCTTTGACTTTTCCACAATTGAGGCAAAAGCAATTCACATCATTTAAACAACTCTGGCATTACCGATAGGTCTGATGTACACGGCCCTGAGGTAGGCACTGCTGGACAAACTCATCACTATGGAAACTCACCGTCCCTCAAATGGATAGAAGTACACGAGGATCACACTTGAAATTGAGTAGGTCGCCAAAGGGCACTCTTGTCTTGGTTGTGGCTTATCATGCTATTCTGGAATATTCCTGGCAACACTCAATGTTGTTCTCTCAATTCCGCTCTCACACACAGTCGGGTAAGACAGTCAACTCCTCTCATTAAAGCTCTGCCGGATGAGCGTTTCGATTAGCAGCAGAGCTTTTCTGCTCAACACTGTGCTACAGTGCCACTGTCAACCCTCCCTATTCCCAATACCCTTGTGAAAATTGGCTTGCTGGACAAAATTTTATTCCTACAGCTGCCGTCAGCAAGCCAACTTTCAGCGAAGACCATATTTGCAACGGCGATCACCACACTCCTTGAATTATGTAATACCATAAATGGTGCCTATGCTGCAACTTTGGGAAGGAGCCAGCAACTTGAAAGAAAAGGGGATGCTGCTAGCATCCTGAAAAGAGAGGAGCCAAAAACATTATGGGATCAGGTGCGCAGCCTCATCAGAGGAGTATTGCACCTCTGCGGTGAGCACTTGCCACCAATAGCACTTCTGCTATTTTACACTACCAACCTTGCGGTGGGCTGTTTACCACCGGATATATTAGCCATCTTGAGGCTTCAGTAGTCACCCTGAGCCGTGACATCAGATGTTGGTCGGCTTGATCATCTGCATCCTAATAAGGGAACCGGCAGGCCAGTCACGCATGCATGCGCAGCTGAATTGGGTGGACGGTGTTAGGCATCATGTGATGCGGCAGGCACACTTGGAACCAGGCATCAGCTGCCTGCAGCAAAAGGAGTGCCTCATCAATTTAGCTTCTTGGTAAGTATGCAAGTAAAAATTTGAGCATTGCAAAGGAGCAGGGTTTGGAAATGTGTTGTACATACCTGCATAGAGTTGTTCAGCAGCCAGGATAAGTCCTTGCCAAGCCCAGTGGAGGGCTCCGCTGTCGAATTGTTGGAAATGAATTCACAGGACTTCCTCTGTCGTTTAGATGGCGGCTGCGTGCACTCGCCAATCTCCTCATCGCACTGCAGTGAATTGCAAGCTCCTCTTAGGTCTAGAAAGTCAAAGGAGGTGGATCCCCCTAGTACAGGTTGGCTCTTCAGAGCTCGTGCTGCCACGAATTTGACTGCGCCGAGCTTATATGATCTCGTAGATGAGTGAAGCACGTCTAAATTGAGCCAGGTGCGCACCATCAGAGACTCCTCGGCCGTGGGAGAGGCGCATCGAGCCGCCTTCGAGCTGGCACTGTTGGAGCTCGCGGTGTCTTCATCATCCTCTGTCGAGGCAACCCAATGACCAAAGGAAAGATCGGCAGCCTGGATCGGGGCATCACATGTTTCCACGGCTTCTTCCTGCAAAGCTTAACCGTTTCAGCATCAGCAATACATAACCCCATGAGCAATACAGAACCCCTGACAAATTGCTAAAATCGCACCATTTCGTGACAAATTTGGGTGCAAATTACCTTCGCAGAGAGTGATCTTTGCGCAAATCGGTTGTGGCGTTTCGCGTTCTGACGTTGGGCACTCATTTCGGATCGTTGTGGGACACGTAAGGCTGGTGGTGGCAGTGTCCTCGGTCAATACGCGACCGTGCGTATAAGCCTCTCTTAGACTAGAGTTATTCTTATTTACAAACAGCAAGAGTCTGACTTGCAACGCCTCAATTGCTGAAGACTCACTGAAACAGCACACTGTGACAAGCGAGCGTTCGCCTTGGCGTGGCTCTAGGGTAGCAGGACTGGAGACGATCAGGTATTCCAAGGTCGGATCGAGAGTCCCCAGCGATAGCTAGCAAGATAAACAGCAGATCACTGTCGGGGTGAGATCACCTCGAGAAGAAAAGTGAAGAAAGAAGACTTTTCGTGTGCCTTTATCCTGAGTCTGGCGGTTTCCCGCCGAAGTTTCAGTGCAATACCTCCCTTCCCTTTCTTATCCACCCTTTTGGCTTGACACTACCAGAAATGCATGAGGTACACTAGGTGCCCCGCCAAAATGTAATGCTGACTATTCGGATCATCCTCAATTTTTGCCTACTTCCTAGCTGCGCCAATCCCATGTCCAGCTCATAAAAGGATGGATAAGAAGCCGCGTGAAGCCGCTCCGCTGGAGCTAATAGGAAGAGCCACGGTGCATACTATAGTATACGGTGAGATATATGCACCGTGGCGGTGGCTTATATCTCCGAGTCGGTTGATGCCCCATGCGCATACACTGATGGCATGCTACTGGATCCCTCATGGAGGGTGGGATGTGATAAGCTATGCAAGGAGTGAATATCTGCGGGTAAGGCCTGAACTCTGACAGATCTGTACAGATCTGTGATGATCATGATCATCACAGGCTGAGCCGTCGCGGTACCGGCCATTGCAACTCAGCAGGCTGCCCACCGGGTGCGACCCTTTGGGTGCAATGCTGAGCCTCATTGATGCGGCTGCAGACACCCTGTGTGGGATTGTTTTGGCCTTGGCTTGAACTTTGCACATCTTGTATATAAATAAGCGATCCGATGAGTCATTTCGGGCCATATATGATGATGGCTGCCCAGGCTGACTGCGCGGTGCAGCCATTATGATGCCACAGCTGCATGGGATGATAAAAATGCCCTGCCAATGGACATCTTGTGAGAGAATATCTGACTGGCAGAAGCATGCTTGTGCATGCAACAAGCCAAACTTGTCCAATTCTGGCCAACTGGCTTACTAAGCATGTAGAACCTCAGTAGAAAGTCGAGACTTTAACCAGTCTTGAAGCACTTTATTCTTCTGGTAATTTCGAACGTGAACGAATTTGTCAGAAAACACTATCAGTGCACGATCTGAGGGACGATACACAAGTGCTTCGTCACCATTGGATTTGACTACTGCAGAAATTTTCCAGCAGCTTGCGACCCCAGTGTTATTAGACATCCTCAGGAATGGGAAAAGATTACTACAAAATTCTTGGCGTCTCAAGAACTGCCTCTGATGATGATATAAAGAAAGGTTTGTCTGGTCTAGCAAGACATGTATGGGTTGCTCGCAGTTCTTTCGTATATTAAAATCTGTACTAAGTACTTGGTACATTGTCGCAGCTTACCGGAAATTGGCTGTGAAGCATCATCCGGTGTGCTCTCTCGCCAATCTCCTGTGTCACCAACTTTTGCCTACCCAGTGCAAGCTATGCCCCAGTGTCAGCTACCTAGACCAAGGATTTACCTCTTGTATGCTGGATCCCCAGGACAAAAACCCCGACAACCAGGAGGTTGCAGCAGAGAAGTTCAAGGAAATCAGCGAGGCCTTTGAGGTGCTGTCAGATACGGACAAGCGTCAGGTGTATGATCAGTTTGGGGAGCAGGGCCTCAAGGGAGGGATGCCCGGAAACATGCCAGGAGGTGGAGGCGGCACGCCAGGCGGCATGCACTTTAATGCCACAAATCCTGAGGAAATCTTTGCCAGGGTGCGGCGCGTGTTGCATTGCATTTGTGGGTGCAAATGCCTGGCTGATCCGCCTATGCACATGGACACAATAAAGAGGAATGCAGACATCAAGGCAGTGCATGTTCCAGGGAGAAAGGGCAGTTACACGTATGGACATGATGTGTCCCACACAGTAGAAGTGACGATGGTTATAATGGTTCATTGCAGTTCTTCGGCAGCAGCAATCCATTTGGCGGCGGCGGCGGCGGCATGGATGATGCTTTCAGCAGCTTCTTTGGAGGCATGGGAGGTATAGGCCATCCTGACAGCTCAGAACTAGCTAAGTTCCATATCCTGCCATAAAGAGTGCAGCTCTTGGAACGCTTCTGATAGTTGCTAAGGATGGATGAATACTGTGGCAACCTTTGAGCCATTAGAAGAGTACAGGAGTGTCCGGGATTGCCTGATTTGTGTTAATATGTAGGGGGAGGCCGCGGTGGGATGCCAGGGATGCATTCTGGCATGGGAGGCATGCCAGGAGGAGGCTTGTTTGGGGGCGTGGGTGCGCACCCAGCTTCTACCTGCCCAGCAAAATTGTTGGTTCAGTCCGTACTTCTCCCTGCAAATCTTGTGCAGCAGGCGGTCTTTGTTGTTAGGCAGTGCAGAGACTAGGTCTCAGCGGGCCCGGCCGATGCATGCAGGGGGAATGCCGGGAGGGATGCCTGGAGGCATGAATGGGAGGGCGGGCGCCAGGCAGGACCCACCTTTAGAGCATGAGCTGCCCTGCTCACTGGAGGAGCTGTACAGGGGCACCACAAAGCGCATGAAGATCTCACGCAGCGTGACAGACATGTCTGGGCGGACAGAGCGCATGACAGAGACGCTGTCCATTGAGATTAAGCCCGGATGGAAGAAGGGCACAAAAGTCACATTTCCCAAGAAAGGCATGCTTTCTGCCTCAATTGGCTCGTTCCCTGTCATATGGCTGGCAGCTGTTTGCTGGATGACTCACGATGCAAAATGCCTGCAATAGCGGGGCGTGGGTGTCTGTCAGAACTGATATATGAGGATTTGCACATTGCAGGTGACGAGCGGCCTGGGACGATACCTGCTGACATAGTCTTTGTCATCAGCGAGAAGAAGCACCCGGTGTTTGAGAGGGAAGGCAATGATCTGACACACACGGCAAGGCTGCCTCTTGTGGATGCTCTCTGCGGGGCTACCATAAAGCTGACCACCCTGGATGGCAGGCCGCTCACGGTGCGCTCCGATGCTACAATGACATGCGTAGGGGGAGAGTCACATTTCGTTGTTCTCCAGACTTTTAGATTTTGGACTGCCCTGGACTGCCAGATTGTCGCGCATGTGTGTGTTGACTGTCAATGCAGTGCTTTAGGAAGGCACAACAGGATCAGCAAGTGAGCTTTATGCAATGCAGGTGTCAGTCAGCGATGTGGCCAGGCCAGGAGCAGAGAAGAGGGTCAAGGGCGAAGGAATGCCCCAGTCCAAGGTACCAGGCACAAAGGGCGACCTTAGAGTGCGATTTGATGTTATTTTCCCACGCACCCTGTCCGACCAGCAGAAGGCAGGCCTGAGGCAGCTTCTGCCCTCCGGGTGAATTGATGAAAGGTGCCGAATAGGAGTTTAGTACTGGTCCCACAGGAGTGACTTTTCTACTCTAGGAACAACGAATAGATTGTATATTTGTCACCAGGACAGCTGTATGATAAAGCCTGTATTTTCAAATTTGTACAGAATCATACAAGACGTTATATTGAGAGCCCTCACACAGGACTTCAAATTCCGTTTGATCATAATCATGGCTGCATTGGCGGCAACACCTTGCCACATGTTGTTTGTTTGTATGCTGTCTATTTGCAGCACGTAAAATCCTCCATCAGTCCCATCATGTGCAACACTTCCCATCACCTCAAGTACATGCACACTTGCTGAGTCCATAAACATCTACCAAAATCCATCTTTGCACAAGCGCAACAGTCGGCAATTAAGGAAACTGCAAGACACTTCAGCACGGTCTGATGTACAATGCGATGCTCTGCCAGATCGCGAGGGTTTTCAACAACTGACAAGGAACACCTGAGCAGTGCAGGAATCTGCAAGAAAGTTCAGCACGTTTTGCTGTACAAGGCAATCTCTGCCAGATCTCGATGGTTTTGAACAACTTACAGGAAACACCTGATGTCAACAACCACTCCAGTGCAAGTGCACTGTCAGATCACATGCATGTGGCCGAACACAGGGATGCCTGTTGCCTGAAACGGCGATTCACACGCTGCACTGCAAGTTCTGAAGAGCATGCTGGGTTTTGACATGCCCGCTGCTCACTCTGTGCTCCGCCTGCCGATATCCACTGATGGCCGCCGCTTCGTGCGGCGAAGCAGCACAGCAACTTCGATATTCTTGAACGCATACTTGCTCGGATCCGCCCTGACCATCTCCTCTGCTCTCTCAAACAGCTCCTGCAGGCCCACACAGCAGGCATCACAGAAATGCACCGCCGAGCCACAACCAACACTCTGCAAAGTAGTTGCCAGCTACCGGAAAAGCTGTCTTGCTGGCTTGGTCAGCCTAAGGTCTCTTGACATGCGCTGACAGCGAGAGGAAGTAGCAATTGGGAGAAAGGCAACCTGGAGGGTCTCTTCGCTGAGGGCTAGGCACTTCCGTACAAGGGGGGCACACACGCCGCGAATGAGTAAGATCAGGGTGCTGGCATAGGCCTTGGAAGCGGACGGGTCTTCTGATGCCCGGTACCCATCCCACATCTGCGTCAGTGAAGCCCCGCCCTGCTGCATCACCTCCCAACTGCCAGCCTTGTACACAATGCTCTCCAGCTCCTACCACAGTCGGCATCTAGTCAGTTGATGTCACGCCATACAAAAACCGCAGTATGATCCATGTGATCCAGATGATCCATGTATGCGGTACAGAATGCATCAAACAGAGTGAATCGCAGACAGAACCCGCAGAACGATCCATGTGAGACAGAACACCGGGATGCTACAAAATCAGCACAAACGTATGGAGACCGTCAGAGCAGTAGCGCATCGAGCAAGAACTGCATTGGACAATGGAAACGCACATCCTCTGTGGGCATGTAGACAGGGTAGAGGAAGTCTTCCAGCAGAGAGGCGTCGATCTTCCCCTGTGCGCTCAGCTCCGCCGCTGCGTCGCTCAGGGCAGAGAAGGACCCTTCACCGAGGTATCGATCCCCCAGTGTCCCGGGCAGCACCAGCAACAGCAGGCCACCAGGCACAAACTCATTTGCTCTGAGACGCAAAAAGTGCTCTGCATCTGACTCAAACTGTCGCCTGAAAGCCTCCACATGTGATTGGCCTGCACAGGCACCGTCTGATCCTCAAAATTCACTCCAAGACAGCCCAGCAAACGCAAGATAACCATCAGGAGGCCGCAATGTTGAAGGGATACACGCTGTTTCTGTCATGGAACTCAGGTGTCTGAAAAATTAACACAGGCTAGAAATTCTTCAAGCATGTGTCCTCCAGGAAATTAGATGACCGAGACATGCCTCCTCTTTGATAATTAAAGCTGTCCTTCAGGCTGACAGGCGGTGTGTGCGACAGCCAATGTAGGGCAACCACACTGATGCCGATGTGCAGAGAGGCTGGCGGGGCAACTTCTCCAGCATAGAAGCTCTTCGGGACCATAGTAGGCAAGATTGCCTCAGCACAGCCCACAGCCCCCGGCCTGAAGAAGGCGGCTGAGACCTGGTTCCAATCATTGCTGGGCACGTCTATCAAGGTCACTTGGAGCTGCGAGGAACCGTCCTGTGAGTGAAGAAGAAGGGTGCACGTCAACTTGATAGCAGAACCAAGGAAAGCACCACGGATGAAGAGGCAGCCAGCGTTGCAACAGCACAGCCTGTCCCCACATAAAAAGAGATAGACATCAAGAGAGATTTGAGCATCCTGGCATGGGCTAAACGCTGCATTACTGCAGACTGTAGTACAACTGTGCAAATAGCCAGAACTTACTCCGCCCAAAAATCCAGCTCGCTCGAGCGCAGATTTAACTTGAGCAAAGTAAGCCGCTGAGTTGGCGCCCCCAGCACAGCCATAGTCGGCATAGCTGATGGTGCTGCAGTTCTGGAAGGGCAAAAGGGTAGAGCTTTGAGTCACAGCATCCTCAAGCCACGGCCAGAAATGCTCAAAAGCCTGCCTTTGCATGTCTGAGAGATCGTTATACGAAGAATCCATGCCCGATACAGTAGAATGTGGTCCAAGGTGCGACATGACTGTGTGCTGAATACTGTTTTGCAATTCGATAGTGAATATGCGAATCGTCGGATTTTCTTTTGTGTGATCTAGTACTCATGTTATGATCCCACGCATACGAAAGATGATACAGCTCTGCATTGTCTCGATCAGCTGAGGAAGATTTGCACTTTCACAGGAACGCCGGTTAAGTGATGCTTCTGACGGTGCACAACTTCCGCTCCGTGCGCATTGCCCTACAATGTAGCAGAAACTCACTGCTTTCATGGAGACAATGTAGTGAAGAAAACGTGACCGGCCGCTCGCAGCAATGCTGTACTGAGGAGTGCAAAGTTGTCTGTGCAGGGCAAAACTAGAAAGAGAAAGAAAGAGCAGGGGACTGAGGTAGTAGCTCATATGCTCCGGGTGAAGGCTCTGCGGAGTGCAGAGCTGCGAGAAGGCCAGAGGATAACAAAGGTGCGGGCGCGCTGTGGTTGTACCAGAGATTGGCGTGCAGGGTTCTCAACCCTGGCTTCTGAAGCGAAGGGCTTCGCGTTCCTAAGGTATTTGTTTTCAGTGAGATTTGGAAAACGTTCTGACACATGATATTCTGTCATTGCTGTTATCAACAGGAGCTGCACGGTCGGCCTGTCACGGTTATCCGACACCATGGGAAGCTGTATGCACTGGACGCAAACTGCTACCATTTTGGTGGACCTCTGGGCGAGGAAGGAGACATAGAAGATATTGCTACTGGCACGCATCGCGGTGCCTGCATAACATGCCCGTGGCACAAACATAAGGTGTGTACAGATCTTCAGTTTTTATAAAACAAGATGTCTGGAACTCTTGTTTGGTAGAGGAATACAACCGTACTCCACGCAAAAGAACTCTAGTATGTCGTGTTAAGCTCTCTTATTTGACAGTATTAAATGTGATGCACTTGCCCATTGCTGAGCTGCACAGGAGAGGAGAAGACAAACTGCTGAAATTATGCTTTTGCCTCTCCTGCAAAAGCATGTACGGGTCTAAGCTCCACCATAAGGCAGGTATACTCACTGCAATCTGATGCTCACAGATCAGCCTGGAGACTGGCGGCCGCATTGACAAAGATTCCTGCGGAGATTTGTGCACCACTGCCCCAAAGCAGCGCATTCATCAGGTCATTGATGACAGCGAGCACCTCTGGTATGTACTGTATTGAGTCCCCTTGCTCATGTGACATGCACTGACAGCGCAGACAGTGAAGGACACTCGGCGGAGATATGAGACATCTTGCCAAGTGGAGGTGATGGCCAGATGCAGGCAACTATCCCATGCAATTGATCCCTGTTGGGGTTGCAGGGTGATGTTGAACATGGAGGGCGAGCGGCTCAGCGACAAGTACAACATCAGCAGCAGTGGGAACGACCTCAGATTCGGCAACGGGTTCACGTCAGGATATGGCTTGGGAGCACCAGCATTCAGCGCGAGCGGGGGCATGAGTAGCTCTGAAGCCAGGGGGCTGGGCAGCCTGCAGCCAGTGTCAGAGCGGCAGGCAGCACCCAGTGCTCTGCCTGCCCAGCAGGGCTTCCTCATCCCCTATGGCGGCGTGGACAAATACTACCCTCCACCCTCGCCAGTGAAGCCTTCCGCTGTGAGTACTCCTTTCAAGGCTCCTGATCTTGCAAGTAATTTAAGGCTTCTCTGCCCTGAATGTACCTCTTATGTATGTCCTTAAGGGATTGTCAAGTAGTGCAGGGCATCAAATACCTGTTGCTGTGCTCAGGGGACTCTGCCTTTCAGAGGAGTGAGGACCAACATGAGGGGCGCAGCGGCGCGAGAGGCAGTGAAGAAGAATTACAGGCCGCCCCCCAGCAAGATTGGGGATGCAGAGGAGCGGCCGAGCGCGCAGCGCAAGATCACAGAGCTCTTCAGCCGCCAGATGAATGCGCCTCAGCACCAGTGGGAGCCTTCCGCTGCGTCTGGAGTAGCCGTCCACACTGGCGTCCAGGACATGGAGTTCTGACCTTTGAACATCCTTGCAGCATGAATATTGACTCGGAACGGGCGCACTGTAGGGGTTCGCTTGGCCATCGGGAGCTGCATCTGACATGTATGTGTGTGGTCCTAACCAAATCTTTGTGAATCTTCTCCTCCAAGACTTTTTGAATCGCCATCGAATAATCAACAGGAACCAGGACTGAGCACATGAATGTATGACCAAACCAAGGTCTTTTTGGGACCGTCTCAAACAAAGAATTCGACTGAAACTTTCTGCTAAGTGGTTGAGGGATTTACTTTAATGTATGAGACGCATTGGATACGTTGAAAAATTGAAGGGTGGGACTCTGAGAGTCTGTGCAGGCTGTGCAATGCTTGGATGTAGCTTCAGTGGAGCAGAAAGAACTTTTGCTATTGGCCATGTGCATGCACGTTGAAGGATCTCGCCTCTTGACACCCCAACAAAATGGGTAATTTTACTAGTGCTTTCTTACAGTCACCATTGTCCCATACTCAAATCAGAACTACTTGCGCACTGCAATAGCTCATACAAATACAAGGAGAAAAGCCCCTTCCCGCTGCTCAGGCCTTGGCATCCGCCTTGAGCCTGCCCAGGGTCTTGAACTTCTCGTCCGAGGTCTGGAAGCGGCCGTGGCCGAACTTGGAGGATGTGTCAATGAACTTAAGCTTGATCTCCTCCAGCGCTGTCCGCGAGGTCTGCGCCACCAGCGACCGCCGCAGAGTGATGCACCGCTTCTTGGTGCCTGGCACGGCTCCCTGTGACAACAGCATGCCACTCGTCAAGCCAAAGCACCTTTGGGGTCGGACACAAACCCAATACATCTCCCACACTTTCCACTAGCAACCGTAATACCTAGCGCGCTCTCAATAATTGCCGAGGCATTCAATAGGGTAGACTGCAGCATCAGCGCCGGCCAAATTTGAAATCACTAGGATTGACTGAGACATTAGCAAGGTGACAAGGGAGGGCTGCACCTTGAGCATGATGTAGTCCTCGTTGATCATGCCATAGTGGGGGAAGCCGCCCATGGGGGTGATCTCCTTGTTGGTGACATCGTACTCGGTGGTGGCCTTGTGGCTCTCCTCGCCCTTCTTGCCGATCTTGTACACCTTCTTGTTCATCTCTGTCCGGTGGTGGAAGCCGTGCTGTCCAGCACGCGCCACTGTCCACGACACACGGGCCGGATGCCATGCGCCGATGCAGGCAACCTGCGCGCAAGCGCTCAATCTTGTCATGACCCCTCCAAACATGCATGCAGACAGCCTGCTGCAGTCATCACATTTAAACCAACAAAAAGACTCGCAGGTGGCATCTTGGAGCATCTCTGTTGCTACAATCACAGCAGTGTGACAGCAGTTGTGCATGCGTGCGGCAATTCGGTATTTCTGTGGTTACTGATTAGGTGTCAGTCAAGATCACCTTGCGCAGGCCTCTGTGGGTCTTGCGCGGGAGGCGGGTGACGCCCCAGCGAGTGACGACGCCCTCTGTTCCGCGACCCTTGGTGATGGCGATGGTGTCGATCATCTCGTTGGCCTGGAAGATGGAGTCCACAGTCACCGGCTTCTCAAAGAGCTGGTACGCAAAGTCCACCTTGTCCTCGATGCTGCCACCGTTGATCTGCCATATGCACAGTCCCAGTCAACAACAAGTGCAGGGTGCGTATTCATGAGAGACAGCACAGAATAGAAACAGAAGCAGGCCATGAGACACATCAGAACCCATTTGAGGGCGATAGCACGATGCACTTATTACATATCAGAGGGTGTACAGGCGAGCAAGGTTACAGGCTGACCTGGATCTCGGACATGTGGGCCTTCTTCTGGCCATAGCCGATCTTGGTGATCTGGGTGTGGGCCAGCACGCGGATGACAGAGCAGTTCTTCTTCAGCTGGTTCAGCTCCTCCTCGATGGTCTTCTTGCCATCCGTGTACTTCTTTGCGTACCGGTGGAAGGCCTTCTTCTTGGCCTTGAACCTGCACAGAGCCACTTGAAAATCAGACCACCTCTGCAGCAATGGACATTAACATATTGACGACATATATATGTATATGTATAATACAATATACAGAAAGCTGTGTCGCCCACAGGTGCTCATATATGCAAGGCATATCGTGCCAGTGCTTGACCAGGTACTCACCAGTTCTTGTAGAACTTCCTCTTGACCTCATTGCTGAGGTGCTCTGCCCACACTGTGTTCAACGACCTGAGGCCGGTGGCAGTTATGACGTAGCCGACAACACCCACCACGATCATAGGGGGTGTCTCAATGATGGTCACAGCCTGCGCACAGCATTTGCATCAGTCCAGAGCCCTGCAGTCTGTTGTGTTGCACGCAGGAACGATCTCAGGGGCTCACAACAGGCGCAACAGCACTAGAAATGGCTCACCTCGGCTGTTTCCTTCTTGTGCAGCTTGGAGCCTGGCTTCTCCACCTCGCGCACAATGTGTGTCATGCCTGCCTTGTAGCCCATGAAGGCAGTCAGGTGGCAAGGCTTTGACGGGTCATCTCTGGGGAAGGACTTGATCTTCCCCTTTCCACGTCTGCACCGCTTCTTGGGCAGGAAGCCCAAAGACCCGTGTCGAGGGTCTGCAACAGACAGGCAGATGTCAGTGAGCCCCAACGCTAGAATGATGCGACTTGCAGTTACGATCGTCTAGTACAGAGGAATACTGTACAGAAGAGAAACAGCACAGAAGACACAATAGATCAAATCTACGAGGAAGCTGAACTTTCATCAGAAACAACAATTCTACACCCGGCTGCAATTGGTCAGTACCCCAGCGCCGCTCCGCAATCTCCTTAAAGACTTCTTAATCATAGATATACAGCAGGGTGATGCCTAACAAAGTGCAACACAAACAGTGTTGTCCACTATCAGCAGCCGCCAAGTCCATCTAAATGAGAGCTGCTCCTTCACTCTACACGCCAACCTTCCCCAGGAAGAGATCAGTAGGGTGGAGAGACTTACGCTCGAACTTCCTGTGCGACATGATGGCCCACTTTCCCCCTTGTCTCCTACTGTCCTACTTTGTTTCCAGGAGAGCAGAGATCCGAAGGAAAGCGGCTGGCGACGCCGTTCGGAGGCGTTCCAGCGAGTTATGAGATGATTACTAATGGCTTCAACCTCCTTCGTTGTTTGCGCAGCCATTCCCTTAGAAGTGCAATTCGATCTGAAAAATATGGAAGAAGTAAAGGAGGGGAAGGAGTACAGCTTCCCCAAGGAGGAGCTGAAAATCCTTCAGTTCTGGGACGACATCGACGCCTTTCAGGAGCAGCTCAGGCGCAGCGAGGGGAAGAAGCCCTTTGTTTTCTATGACGGGCCACCATTTGCCACTGGACTGCCTCATTATGGTCATTTGTTGGCTGGGACACTGAAGGTATGGGGTGTGCCAGTGCGAGATCACGAGCGACTCCATCAGCAAGACATCGGTCCTGCTCGAACAAGCTCGATCAATCCAGCACTAAACTATGAATTTGCTGCTTGCAGGACATCGTTACCCGCTATGCAACAGCAACTGGACACTTTTGTCCCAGACGATTTGGGTAAGGCCACAGCTCTGCCCAACCTTTTGCAGATGGAAGATGTGTCATTAATAAATCCTGATTCTTGATGAAAGGTGCAACATATGATTGACTAAGTACATGATGCAGGTGGGACTGCCATGGCTTGCCAGTCGAGCACGAGATTGACAAGAAACTGGGTGAGCAGCTTGTCACAAGAACTCGCATTGATTTGAGTCTGTCGTGCTCATTGAGCTACAACGCAGGCGGTTGCGTAGTTGCTCTGAAGTTCATGCCCAAATGTGACAGGAATCAAAACTCGTGGCGATGTGCTGAAGCTGGGAATTGACAAGTACAATGAGGAATGCCGAAGCATCGTCATGCGGTGAGCATGCTTGTGCTTGCACATCTTCTTCAATTCCTGCATGATGCGAACGTTTCTGCACGAGGTCTCCTTCAGCTCAACACTATACAGCAGAGGTGTGTGACTTGACAATGGAAAGTGCAGGTACTCGAAGGAGTGGGAGAAGACTGTCAAGCGCATTGGCAGATGGATTGATTTCGAGAATGACTACAAGACACTGGATCCCACATTCATGGAGAGTGTGTGGTGGGTCTTTGGTCAGCTATTCGAGAAGAAGCTGGTCTACCGCGGGTACAAGGTAGGCATGTGCGATGACATTACATTGCCTTGCTGGTCTCCCTGACATGCCTGACAAGGCCGAAGACTTATCCTAAACGTTAGTTCTGTATGCCAGGTCATGCCGTACTCGACAGGTCTTTCAACGGCCCTGGCAAACTTTGAAGCAAACCAGAATTACAAGGACACAGTGGACCCAAGCGTCATGGTGAGCTCCCCTCTGCAAGACTTCAAAGCGCTGTAAACGCAGTCCCTCGCGACGAAGCATAGCATAACTCTGGTGATTTCTGGTTTGACAGGTGGCATTCTCACTTGACAACGATCCCGATGAGGCCTGCATGATTGCTTGGACCACTACGCCCTGGTGCGCCTCTCCTGCTGGGCTTATTGACACGTAGTGCAACATCATGCATGCACTGCCCTGCAGCTGTCTGACTCATAATATAGCGCCAAACTGTGCAAATGCACCGTTTCACGCAGTGCATCGAGGGGGAGCAGCAAACCATTCTTACTTGACTTCCATCATGCATGACATTACACATGCTGCCGGCCATCAAGGATCAAGATGTGCCCTCGGCATGTTTGCAGGACGTTGCCCAGCAACCTGGCGCTCTGTGTTAACCCTGCATTCGAGTATGTGCGGGTGCGCAACCCGGCCACCGGCAAGGTGTACATCGTGGCGGACTCTCGGCTGTCAGCGGTGCCCGGCGCCGTGCCCAAGCCCAAGAAGGAGAAGGGGAAGAAGGGTGGCAAGGGAGGCGATGCCAAAGAGGCTGATGCAGCCGAGCCCAAGGGCTGGGAGGTGAGAACAGCCCTGCTGCTTATTTACACAAGAGGGTTCCTGCATGACAGGCGCCTGGAATGATCATATTTGCTGGAGGAAATATGGCTATGACGCTTCAATTGCTATGAGGAAGGATCATATTCTTTGCTCGAGTGCTTTGACTTCATCTTAAGGGCTTTCGTCATTGATTCTGCCTTGGCACTGCGCAGGTGCTGAGCAAGATGCTGGGCAGTGAGCTGGTGGGAACAAGGTACCAGCCGCTCTTCCCATACTTTTCCAGCTTGAAAACGGACAGCAGCTTGACCAACGGCAATGCCGCGGCTTCTGGAGCCTTCAGGGTGGTTGGGGATGGCTATGTGACCGCTGACAATGGTACCGGCATTGTGCACTGCGCGCCAGCTTTTGGAGAGGACGACATGCGCGTCTGCCTGGCCAATGGTAGGGTGAATCAAAAATGCCGTTCTCTGTTTTTGAAGCTATCTTCCCCTATGTTGTGGGTCTTAATGGCCCACATGTCCATGATTTTCATTCAAGTCTAGTAGAAAGAACTCCTTCTGAGGTACTTTTTGATGGACAACAGGCATTATTGAGCTTGGAGGGGATGTGCCATGCCCTGTGGATGGAGATGGCAACTTCACAGCAGAGGTGGCAGAGTTCTCTGGAAGGTGACCACAAGTCCTAGAAGACACATAACATGCCTACAAAGTGTTGCATACTTCATCATTGCCGTTGCCTATATTAACATGCTGACTGATCTGTCTGGTCGGCTGCAGGTATGTGAAGGACGCAGACAAGGCCATCATCGCGCACCTGAAGGCTGCCGGACGAATGATTGATGTGTCCTCCTACACTCACAGCTACCCCTTCTGCTGGCGCTCCGACACCCCTCTGATCTACAAGGTGCTGCATCTCCTCGTGGGCTATTATCGGACTGGAGCAGGGAGTGCAGCCAGTATTCGTGCATGTAGAAAGAACTTCAAATCAATGCAAGTTTCAAGTGACACCATGCTGTGGTTTGGGCAGGCCGTTCCGAGTTGGTTTGTCAAGGTGACAGACTTCAGAGACAGGCTGCTGGCGGCCAATTCAAGCACCTACTGGGTGCCAAGCCATGTGAAGGACGGCCGCTTCCAGAACTGGCTCGAAAACGCACGCGACTGGTGCGTCCGTTGCTGCGCTCTCTGTGCTCACCCATGTGCCAGAAATGCACAGCCCCACCTGACAAGGTTGTGCATGTCTGGAAGAGGACCCCAGACTACCACAGATGTATTCTACTCTGATTACTTCTCTATTACAGCAAGTGAAAATAGAAGGAATATCTGACTTCAGGTGTGTGAGCCGCTCACGCTTCTGGGGCACTCCTCTGCCCATTTGGGCCAGCCAGGATATGGAGGAGCTTGTGGTGGTCAGCTCCATTGCCCAGCTGGAGGAGCTCACAGGAGAGAAGGTGACATCCAGACTGTTGACTGGCATTGACTATTGACTGGCAACTCCTGAATGGCCTCCCATTTGCATTGCCGAGAAAGAGGGCATGATGCAGATGGGGGGGCTGTGAAGATTGTGTGTCCTGACATTCTGGTTTGATTTTTGCATGCTTTGATTACTTATTTTGTGGGCAGGTGACGGACCTGCACAGGCATTTCATTGACCACCTGGAGATCCCCAGCAAGAAAGGGAAGGGCATGCTGCGGCGAGTGGACGAGGTCTTTGACTGCTGGTTCGAGTCTGGCAGCATGCCCTACGCCCAGCTGCACTACCCCTTCGAGAACAGAGAATTCTTCGAGGAGAACTTCCCAGCCGACTTTGTGGCTGAGGGTGCGTCGTTCCTACACTTATGTTCTCATTGTTGATCTGATTTATGCTCTGGGGTATGATTCTGTCAAGCATTATGCTGCTATCTTTGGTGTTGCTGCAATGTCACCAGAACTGAAAGCTTTCCAATCATCTGCATGCAGGCCAGGACCAGACCAGGGGCTGGTTCTACACGCTCATGGTGCTCTCAACCGCACTCTTTGACAAGCCGGCATTCAAAAACCTGGTTTGCAACGGGCTCGTCCTCGCCGACGATGGCAAGAAGATGAGCAAGCGGCTGAAAAATTACCCTGTGAGCCATCCTTGTGCCAATGCTCTACCACGCATGTCCTGCCAGCTCTTACGTTTGATTGCATGGCATCTCCCTGCATGTCATGCATGTCTGCCCCTTTCCTCCCTTCCTGCAATGCCACAATGTCTCTAAAGCTCTCTGCAGCCAGCAAGGTCATGCATGTGCAACTCAATGCAAGCCTGCATTTATGTACCGCGCCCAATGTACTGCTCAAGGACCTTCAGACCACCAAGCAAGGTCTGCAACGCCGCAGGACATAACCAAATGATGAGGTTGTGCTGGCGCAGGACCCTTCTGACATTCTGGAGCAGTACGGCGCAGACGCGCTGCGGCTGTATTTGGTCAACTCGCCGGTCGTGCACGCGGAGACGCTTAAGTTCAAGAAGGAGGGCGTCTTCGGCGTGGTCAAGGATGTGTTCCTGCCCTGGTACAACGCCTACCGCTTCCTTGTCCAGAACGTTCTGCGCCTGGAGGCCGAGTCTGGCGAGCGCTTCTACCCCACCCAGGTGCGCTGCACCCGCCCGGCCCAGAAGCCACCAAGCGTGGTTTTAGCTGATGCTGCATCCTTTGCTGCGGTTCTGTGCTTAGAATTGAGGTTCAATGCCATATGGGTACTTTAAGAAAACCTCGAAAGATCTTAGAAATGCATCCCTGGGTGCCATGTGCATTCGCATGCACGGGGTGGACTCTGAAGAGCGGGACGGAGCATTTGGTTCTGCCACAAAATGCATGCACTATATGATTTTTTTCATTTAAGGATCTGTTGCCATATCCAAAATTTAGTCAAGAGCTTGATTTGGCAGCAAACGTCATCCCTGCGCAGGTGGACCTGTCAGGCGCGACGAATGTGCTGGACCGCTGGATCGGCGCGGCAACACGTTCGCTGACGGCGTTCGTGCGCGAGGAGATGGGCGCGTACCGGCTGTACACAGTTGTGCCCTTCCTGGTGCAGTTCATTGAGTCACTGACCAATGTGTACGTGCGCTACAACCGCACCCGCCTCAAGGGCCGCGGCGGCGCCAGCGACTGCCAGTTCGCCCTCGCCTCCCTCTTCGACGTCCTGCTTACCGTCTCCAAGGTGCGCAGTGCAGTGCACCCCTCCTGCTCTGTACCCTTCCAGCATTTTTTGAACATATCACGCATTCCCGCTGCTCGTTGAAACCATGAGACTCGAGTGATTCAACCATGGTCTTTCATAGTTCAGAAAGCCACCGCCGCCATCTGTGGAGAAGCCTGAAGGGCTATATGTCTCTGCCGCTGTTGAGCCGAGTGAGGGGCTCTTTGCCAGGCCTCACTTGTGAATGGTGGCCTTCATTGCTCCAGCTCTTGATGGCAAGCTGGTCTGACTGCTCTCCAGCCTTTGCTCTGCATGCTGCCACATGTGGTGGCATGCGCTGAAATCTCAATCTTCAATTTCATGGGCAGGGACTAGGTTAGGCCGGTTTGGAGCAGCGTGTAGCTGGAACGATCGTGTTGAAGGCGTCCTGGTGTGCCAGGTGATGGCGCCATTCACGCCGTTCTTCTGCGAGGCGATGTACCAGAACCTGCGGAGAGCGCTGCCCGAGGACGCGCCGCAGTCCGTACACTGGTGCGACTTCCCCGAAGCCGCGCAGGCGCAGGTGCGCATCTCAGCCCCTTCACGTCATTATTTTTGCATCAACACTGTCCTCTTCTAATCCATCATGTTGAATCCAAACCTCCAGGAATTGTGCGCCCCGCAGCTGCAGCAGAGAAGCTCTGATTGGAAGTCTGCAGGCTCATTTTGGCGGGCTTCTCCTGAGCCAGGGCTGCACAGATCAGAAATGGCGTTGAGGTTGTCAGATGCATGTGGTGTCATTGCACGCATTGTGCGCCATAAACTAGAGTGGTCCGCACATATGCACTTGCTGAAAGAATTCCCAGTCTCTACTCACAGTCATCTGTGAAGTTGCTGTTGTTTTGAGGTCCCCAGCCCTCCTTTTGGAGCTTGATTTGGATTTCAGCAGGCCATACCTCTCTGGCCCCAATATATCAGGTGCTCCTCTAGATTGGGCGGACAAACCAACACAGACATGGCCTTGTGCAGGCGGGCCACGAGCACATTCTTTCCTTCTCGTCCATCATGTACAACCCTTGCAATCATCCAGCACCTGCCTGCCCCTTGGCCGCAGCAAAGCAGCTCAGGGTGGAAGTCTGCAGGCTGTGCTTTTGCTGAGCAAGGACTGCACCTGAAGCAATAATCCTGACGGCGTTGGTTGTATTGGCTTGTGCAGGCGGGCGATGAGCACATCCAGGCGAGTGTGGGGCGCATGCAGGCGGTGATAGAGCTGGGGCGAATCATCCGGGAGCAGAACGGAAGGCCCACGAGGCAGCCGTTGCCCTCGCTGGTGGTAGTCCACCCCGACGCCTCCTTCCTGGCCGACCTGGACGGCGAGCTCAAGCAGTATGTGCTTGAGGAGGTGCGTGAGAAGTTCCCTCATTATCTCTGGTGGCACAGACCTCTCTCTAGTCTCTGTATCCCTACTGGCAGCCATCTTTTGTAGAGCGCAAATTCCCTCTATCTGTAGTAGCACCTATTGACAGTGAATGCATGAGCTAGTGGCACCTATCTTTAGTAAATGCATGGCATTTCTCTATACTAGCGGCACCCAGCCTTGCAGCAGTGTGAGCATTTTTACAGGCATGAGATTTTTGGCGGGGAAATGATGGTTGCACATGTGCTGGCATGACTCATACCCACCTGGCAAGCTGCTGCGTCCATGCACCTGCAGGTGAATGTGCGGGAGCTGACGACGTGCAGTGATCCAAACCAGTATGCCACGCCATCAGCCAGGGCAGACTTCAAGGTGCTTGCTCTTGCTGCTGCTCCTGTCAGATCTTATATTACTTTTGTCCAAGGGAAAGCTCTGCAGTAGAACACCTGATGTTGGCACAAAGTGCGCGACAGCCCTGCTGATTGGATTTTGCATATGTGCGCAGGTCCTTGGCAAGCGGCTGGGCGGCAGGATGAAGGACATTGCAGACGCAGTCACAAAGATGGGACCAGAGCAGATTGCCGAGTATGAGGCCACAGGCAGCACCCAGGTCGAGTACAAGGCGAAGGGCAGCGGGGCTGTGGAGCGCGAGACCCTCCAAGCTGGCGAGCTGCAGGCAAGCCACTGAAATGCTGCTCTTCCTGACCTGGCTCTGCTCTTGCATGCCGAGCTGATCTGGCAAACGCAAGCATCACCTGGCAAGGCAACTGGGTATGCGACCTGCACCCTCTTGCGTGTGAGAGGTGGCACGCATGTCTTAGGGGATTTGTGCGAGTTTCTGCACAGGTGACATGGGACGCCAAGCAGCTGGAGGGCACATCGGAGGGGGACATGGGAACCAAGGGAGCTGGCGGTGTGCTTGCAGTGCTGGACCTGCGTGCAGACGAGGGCCTGCAGGAGGCAGGCTTTGCTCGAGAGGTGCTCTCCTTGCAGCTACCCATGCATAGAGCTCATCCTGAAGCTGCTATTGGGCCTTTGTCTTGGGGACACACAATCTCACCTTGATGGTTGTTGGTCTATATTTGGGACATGTGGCAGAGAAAAAGGGATGGAGCCTCATGGGTGCTGCAATGGCTGTGGCAGGTGGTTAACCGGGTGCAGAAGCTGCGGAAGAAGGCCGGCCTCGTGTCCACGGATGCAGTGGATGTGTTTGTGGGAGCTGCTGATTCTGCCGCACCGTCCACCTTCACCTCACTGCTCAATCGCGTGCTCGAAACCCAGGTAAGGCAGGGATGCTGCATGCTTTACCATGGCTGTTTCCAGTAAGGCCTGTAAGTTGTTAGAGGATAAGTAGAGCGCGAGAAAAATCACGGTGACTTGGCTTGCTTTGATTCGCTCGAGACAGTGATGCAGCAATGTGTGGTGCAGAGCGAGTACATCAGTGGAGTGCTGGGGCGGCCAGCACAGCCGTTGGCAGACATGCCGGCTCATGCAGTTGTCATTGCACGGGAGCAGCAGACGATTGGCGCAGATGACTCTCTGTGTGAGTTTGATGTTGTGCTAACGCCCCCCATTCTTGCTTCTTAGGCCCATCTGTGAGCCCTTGAATTTTCGCAGTCGACTGAAGACAGGCATGAAGGCAAATACTAAATAACATGATCGATGGAAAGTGTGCTTTTGCTAAAAGTACTTCGTCTGCATTCGTTTCAATTCTTACCAAGTAACAGGGCGATCCCATCTGGGATTGGGCTCATGTCTCTGGGTGCTGGGACGCGGTTCTAGCAAGACAGAGAACTCGCCCAAGACATACACCCATATCAACCGCCAAAAGTACTGGGCAGATCAATAACCCCTGAGGTTGCCACATACGGCGATGAAAAATGCCCGCTGCCATCCCTGGGTCTCTGTTGAGGCACTATCGAATCATGCAGAGCAATGTATTTTCAAATGAAACGTACTACAGGACTGAAGGCATCCTTATCCTGAACATCAGAGAACAGAGGCTCTCAAAGCATCGCTATCCATTTAAAAATGCCCCCAATTGGAAGTTCTATCGCGCCTTCAAGAGGTGCACTGGGGAGTTTGATACTCTCTGCGATAGAAAATGTGGTCCCTAGACTGGCACCTTTATGAATTTGGCTCACGCATTTGTGGACATGCAACTCATGCCATGCAGGACGACACATCGCTGGCCAGGACTCTAACTTCAGAGCACCCACACTTCAGCTCATCCCACTCGCTACATCCATAGATAATAAGGAAAACACTGCCAATCACAAGCATCAGGCTATCAAATTCATCCCCTGCGTCCGCCCCTCCTGCCTTCCCTGCCGCCAGGCCCGCCTTGCCCTCGGCTCTGCCCGCGGCCACGCCCTCGTCCGCCCCGGCCCCGGCCCCGACCTCGTCCACGCGTGCCCCCGCTGTTCTCCCCAGACTGCATAACATGCATGACCGTTTAAAGAACATCGCACAAGCACTGCCACCAGCGTTGCACACATCCTGAGCGCCCAGTAAGATGCTGACAGATAAGAGCACAAAGGCACGCTATTTGACCATTATGGTCCCTCGCGCTGCTGATTAGTTACATTTCTGCCCTCACAGGAGCCTGCTCGGAGAATCATCCTGAGACAAGACTAGGAAGCTGCTCAGAGTGTCCAGGATGCAAAGGCAGGCATTGATGCTCACCATGGATCCCCTCCCCTTGCCGAAGGCGGGGAAGAGGCGGTTGATGCACTTGAAGACAGAGAAGTCGTCCATGGAGCCGTCCGTGCGAAGTAGGAAGAAGCAGTTGCTGTCCTCAGTCTGGTGCTTGCGGACTATTATGGCCTTAACTCCACTCCCCATCTGTGTAACGTGCAGACTCAGCGCATCATTCTGTTTGGTATGCACCACGCGCAGCAAAGCCTGCCAGGCACCTCAAATGACAGTACAATGCATTGCCTTGGTAAGCAATACTGAGGGAACAGCATAAAACATTGGCCTTCGCAGAGTTGCATCCTACCTTCTTCTCAGGCTCTGGGTGACCATTCTTGAGCAGCTCCAGCACCATGTGGAATTCATACTGCAGCCAACACAGAAATTGGGGTGACAACCTTCCAAGGCACACCATAAAGAGAACACCAACAGTGGACTAGTCAATGTTGTACCTCATTCAGAGGCTGCCTCTGCGTCAGAGCATTCAGCAGGGTGCGGAAGTAGGTGGCTGCCTCCTTGCCATCCTTGAACAGCTTGTACCCAATCTTCTTTGGCTCATCTGCAGACAAATTCTCTTCCTCGTTTGCTACCTGGACAAGCAAACCAATCCTTTCATTGCCAGGGAGCATCGGCGCTTCTGAACGCGATCATCACAACAGATGTAGAAGGGATTCTCGACATCTTTCAACACAAATTGGATGCCTGCAGGCAGGTGGTTACCTTAACATCACCAGCGCCAGTCTCTGCTGCTTCTGTAGGTCCAGCTTCAGTCGCATCTGCAGCATCAGTGGGTATTGAAGGGCCTCTGTTCGTTGCTGCATCTCCTACCTCTGCACCTGTAGGTGGAATCCCTTTCATAGTCTACATACCTTTGGCACAGACGACACGGCACAGAGGCAATGTGGTCTGCAAGATCATACCTGCAGCATTCTCTGTCCTGGCTTTCTTGGAAGGTCCTGCGTCTGCAGCAAGATGAGAGTCATCAAGCAACACTGTATCACTAGCCAGCAACCAAGGCTTGACAGCACTCCAAAGCAGATTGTGCTTGCCGTTGCGGTAAAGTATTCAATGCAAATAAAATTTCTCAAAGAATTACTTGTCCCTGTACAGTACGTCATAATCCAATGAACAATGCTTACCACTAGAGCCTCCATCAGCCTGCTCTTCCTTTTCATCCCGTTGAGGTTTCTTTGCGGCGCCGTCCTGATCTTCTCCTGCGTTTCGACATGATGCTTCCAGACAATGAAACAAAGTTTGCTCAGCGAGCTCCTTCAAATTGCAAGAGACTTCCTGAACGCCAACTGCTGCCCTGCCTTGCCTAGTCTACACCTGTAAGCGAACACGGCACTGCTCACAGCCAATCTGGCCGCCATATCATACCTGCGGCATCCTCCTCTGTCCTGGCTTTCTTGGCTGGTCCTGCATCTGCACCAGATGAGAGTCGTTAGGCAAAGCTGTATCGCTAGACAGCACTCAAGGCTTGGGAGATCTTTAGTGCAGGTTGCATTTGCTATTGCAACACGGTGTCAACTCAAAGAAGAGAGATAAACTTTCAATGAACGATTCTTGTGCACACATTACGTGGCAATGAAGAATGCTCACCAGCAGAGCCACCATCGCCCAACTCTTCCTCTTCACCCCGCGCACGCTTCTTTGCGGCGCCGTCCTGATCCTCATCCGGCATGTTGAACAATGCAATCTCAAAACATATAGTATCGAACCTATAGGCAAGATTTAAAGCGATTGCTGGAAGAGAATTTTGATGCGGGCCCGCGGTCGTTGACCCTTCATAAATTCTAATTAACCCCGCTCTTGGAATGTTCATACTGTCATTTCGAGGCTCATGCCACACACCATCACGAATGCAGGAAAGATCTTTCGTGTAAAAAATGAATTATACGCTATTGATGCATCACGTCGGCCTCTGGAGATTTCAGCAGCCCGCCTGAACAAGCATCGTAGCTCTCTACTGCATTTTTCAATCTGTGGGACTGATGAGGACAGGGCACGAATTGTGATAACTTGCTTTACTCTTGCATATGTAGCTAGTAATGACTCCAATGTCAGCCATCGGCTACACATTCGATGCTTTCATGGTGCTTGTCTTCGTTGTGTTTCTACTACTAGTAGTGTTACGACCAAAGCCGGCCATTGTTCAGAAAAAGTCCCAGAGTGGGGCGCTTGACTTGAAAAATGAGCTCTATGAACCATTCGAGAGGGATGATCAGTACGGCCAACTGGGCGCAAAGCCGCAACCCCTTCTGGAGTACATGAGGCTGGCAGTGCTCTTGGTTACCGTTGCGCCCATCAAATTCGTGAGCGCATCACTATGCATGCTTTCCGTGCATCTCATGTGCAGGTAGGGCGTTGTAATCATCCCAGCTAAAAGATCCCGTGGAAGATTAAATAGCTTGATCTCAAGTGGTATTATATTTTGTGCCTGTTGATCCATACAAATCATGGTTGATCAGCCCCTTTTTTATTTTGCACAGGGCTTCTGTCATACTGCCCAAGGGATTGCAGGCTCAGACGGTTGCTTCTCTTGGCAAGGTCTTGTGCCGGCTGTGCCTGTTCTGCTGGGGCTTTGTGAAATTCACTTGGATCATTGTGGAGCCAGGGCAGCTGCCAAAGGGGGTCGAGCCAGGTGAGAAAACGACTGTATGACAGATCTTACACAGTCCTTCTGTGTACAGCATTCTGACACTAATAAATATAATTGCAATCTGACACACCCTGTGAATTGCAGCGGCAATTGTTTCAAACCACATCAGCTACCTGGACATCATTGTGCACTGCGCAAATTCTTTTCCCTCCTTTGTTGCACGCGGCAACACAAAAGATCTGCCACTGGTTGGCTTGATCAGGTGCGTGCCGTTCGGTGATGTGGTTCATTTGATCCTACTAAAGTCACAAGGCCAGAACTCCATTGCGGGATCTAATTGATCCTGACGTGTCTGGTATGTATCCACTAAAACATTGTTGTGTTTGTGTGTGTAGCAAGCACCTGCAGTGCATTTACGTCAATCGCGATTTCAAAAAGGGCAACGTTGCGGTGAGCGCCTTCTTGTATCTCTGCACTGCTATTTATGCACATGCTCGAAACTCCATTGTCTTTGAGTGTGGTGACACACTGCTGTTGCTGTGTTGAGTTGGTGTCTGCATGCGACTGTCAGGGAGTCTCAGGGCAGGTGAAGGACAGGATGGAGATGGCAGCTGCTGGACAGCTGCCTGCCTCTACTCGGCCTCTGCTTCTATTCCCAGAGGTACTCAGTGGCACTACCTCAGAGAGGAGTGCATGCAATCTTGCCGGAAAGAAGTAATGCGCTATCTTTGTGCCTGTGAGAGTACCATGCTAATGCTCTTGCCTGGTGCGGTGTCCAGGGGACGACAACGAATGGGAAGTGCCTGTTGCCCTTCAAGTCGGGGGCATTCCTGGCCGGCGCGCCGGTGCAGCCGATGATCCTGCGCTATGGCGAGGACCGTGTCTCGCCGGCCTGGGAGAGTATTGAACCCCTGTGGCACAGCATCCTCATGCTCGCCAACCCCTTCCACAGCGTCACAGCTCGCCAGGTGTGTGTGCCATCTGATCAACCGGAAATTAAAGTCTCCTTCACAGCACCACAGGCTGCTACTACTGTCACAGCCCTTACCATTGCTTCCATTGAGTAGTGAGGCAGATGCATTCCCATGCATCAAGTATATAGCTGATTGAGCAGGCTGTGCCTGGTGCAGCTGCCCATCTACTACCCCAGCGAGGAAGAGAAGGCGGATCCAAAGCTGTATGCAGCCAACGTGCGCGATCTGATGCTGCGAGAGGGCGGCTTCAAGCCGTCCGAGTCCACGCTGGCAGAGAGCAGGGCCTACATCGCCTTGATGGAGGGCAGGAAGCCCCCAGCCAACAGCCTGGCCGGCCAGGCACTGGGCATTGAGGCCAATGGAGCGAAGCCCAATGGCAAGCCTGCCAAAGATGATGCAGGCATTGCCGATGTGCCCGGGGCCTCTGGTGCGAAGAAGCTTGAGTGATGTGCATGCATCTTGGACACTGTTTGGCAGCTGTGCAAGAAGCAGGGTGGCCGTTCGCATGTCTTGAGCGATTGCGACGTTTTGGCACAGCATTGATCCACTGAGACACCCAACACAATTGTTGGGTACAGTATTCTCCTATTTATGTGCTAGCTATCATCATGCATTGGCTCACAAGCTCCCAGACATCTGATGATGATCACATTTTTACATCCAGGCAGATTTGGGCCAAAGCCGTAGCCGTGTCATGGTCGCAAGTTTGCCCTCAGTTTAAAACACAGACTTTGTTGCTGGCCGTATTAATTGCAGCGCGCAAGCTGTTATGTCAAGAGAGGGAATGGTGTGTCATTGAGGCTGATTAGAATCAGTCCAAGTCCATGGAAATGAGACAGGTCAAGGGGAGGAAGGGATGAGTGTACATGCTGTATAATATCAGAGTTCCTTCTTGCGCAGCGCCTAATACTAGTTGGCGGTGCATATTTAGGCGTGTCGTGCATCAATCTGCATTTCTGTAGAGAGTTGGAGTGAAGCTGTCTTGAAGAAGAAATATAGGCGGCTTTGTCCTAGGGCTGAACGCCCCTACTGAGGCCAGGTACTTTGAATGAGCTCTCACACATGTTACATGATGTCACATAAAGATGGTCTGCATGTCTAAGGACACCACAGAGCAACATCAAGCAAAGAGGTTTTCTCACTTATTTGTCAACAAATCAGGTCTCCCTGCGCTCTTCAGGCATTGGGCTTTGGCTCCGACTTGATAGTGGCTGTGCTGCTTGGCGGAGGTCCCTCTGTGTGGGCATCTTTGTCCCTCCTCTTTTTCTTCTTCTTCTTTTTTTCCAAGGATTCTGATCCGGGTGCAGCCGCCTCCGTCTTAATGTACGGAACAGCGTTGCTTCTGGGTACTTCCTCAGGCTCCTTCTTCACTGCTGGACCTGTGAGACATCAAAGAGTCCTGTTTATGCTCCTGAGTTCCTCATCATGTTGGCTGAGGCCTGACATCAACAATTTAGGATGGCTTCAGGTTACTTGGTAAACAAAAGGCATCTTGTGACGAGTATGAGAGAGGCAGGTGCACCTGCATCAGACGTCCGGGTAGGTCCTGCAGCCACAGCGTCATGCACGCCATTCCCATACACCTTGTGCTTCTTCTCCTTCTTTGGCCTTTCAGCGCTGCTGACAGCTGCGGCAGCAGCAACTGCGGCTGCAGGCTGTGCGGGCTTTGCGGCAGATGCAGACTTAGCGCCCTTGTGCCTCTTCATGTTGTTGGCAGGCTGTTGCTGGGCCTGAGGCGTGGCATCAGCCCTGCATGACATTCTGGAACCATCACACCACGAGCACTCCCAAGTGCTCATGTGGCCCTGAAGTATGGCAGAGACATTGATGGGGTCATTGCTCTTTCTAGCAATGAAGGATAGCACAGGCATGGCAAGGGACGCCCACCGCAGCTGTGCAGCATCAGCCTTTCTCTTCTTCTTCTTGCGGTGCTCCTCATCAGGTATCTGGGGTGCAGTGTGCCCCACTGCGCCCGTCCATGCCCCATCCAACTTCCCCGTCAAGCTGAAGAAGTCCCCTTCATTCTGCACCCTGCGACAGATCAATTGCACTTGAGCACAGCATCAGCGAGTGCCCTGATCTGCAACCAGACTTGTTTTAAGTCAAATAATAAAGATTGAAATGCTCCTTACGTATGCACAGTGAAGATGACATTTGTCCCCTCTTCGATGCGATGGCTGGTCTCCCTTCTGCTCACCCAGCTGTTATCCTGCAAACCAACAGGCAACCCTGAGATGTCAATCTTCACTTTAAGAACTTGAAAACTACTGATACTGGCTAGATCAGGTCCACAAAGCCTGCAAGAGATATGGCACAAACAGAGGCCCCACCGCAGCGCTGTGCTGGAACTCTGCTCTGATGTTCTGGTGGCCGATGGCTGCATTGAAGATGCCCAGCACCAAGAGCCCAATGTAGTCCGCCCCAATCTTGTTCACCTGGCCAGCTGCCGCAAACAAAAGCTCCCCATTATAATGCAAGCAGAACCATGAAAATATGGCGATAATTGAGATAGCAATGTCTTCAATCTTGGTGTTGGATGCCGGAATTCCGGTGAGCGCACTTATTAGCTGGCCCGGCGCAGGAGAAAATAGATCCACATTTGCCGCCACATCCACATGGAAGTAAGGAAAGTAGGGGTGGATGCGAGCCTGCATAGAACACACGTTATGATCAAAAGAATGCGCATGGCATGAATATGGTGGATGATCTCGTGGTGATGTAAGCACCTACCTGAGTGGACTCCAGGATTGGACTGGAGTACGACAGCATCACCCCATCAAGATCATGATTCCACCTGCCAGAGCAAGGCAGTCGTCAGGACGTTTGCACTACCTTACATACATCTGTCCAATTCCTCAGTCACCTGGCGTTCAACCTTCTCATCCCAGAAGCGACACATGGCATAGATATAGAAAGTTGGCCTCACTGTACAAAGAAGATGGGAGGCAGACCTGAGCAGCCACGCGTTCAGTTGCTCCTTCACCCCAGTCATTGCATCCGAACAATGGCTCGGATGCAAATCTATTGCAAATCGGGCTTTGCAACGACGCAAAGCCCTCTTATCCATCAGAGGCTGCCAGTTGTGCAGAGCATTAGCTGCAAAGCAGCCAGTCAACTACCGTGGGATCTGAGCTGCCCTGCACTTCTCTGACAAATGGCAATGTCTGGTGTTCATTCCTTAAATAAAACAAAGTCACAAAAGATACCCCCAAGGGATTTCACTGAACATCAGTGGCTTTCCGAAAGGTGGTCTCGACACAAGATCAACTTGCAGCGAAAAGCCTCACACAGTAAGGTTTGAGGTTAGCACCAGGGAAGGTCCAGGCTCTCTTCCTATTTTGCTTAGGTATTCAGTTTCAGGAAGTCCTCAAGACACAAGCTTCACTCTGCAGGCTGGCTGCAGCATGCATCGGCACGGAGCCTATTCAGGTTCATGCGTTTCTGTAGTAAGACTCCCTGCAAAGCTGTTGCTTGCTTGCTAATCTTCACAGAGAATTGGCAAAATCTATGCTATGGTCACAATCGAGAAGAACAAGGTGGGTTCAAATGGCATATCTCTGACTTAGTCAGTTTCACCCTTGGCAGATGCGAAACAATGATACGTTTCATACTGCTGCAAAATCGGGCTGGCAAGACGCGCCTTGCGAAGTACTATGTTCCCCTTGATGACAGCGAGAAGCGCAATCTGGAGTACGACGTGCACCGTCTCATAGCAACAAGAGATGCTAAGTTCACCAACTTTGTTGAGGTGAGCCATGAGCTCAAGAATTGTTTCTTGTAGGAGAATATGGCATTAAATGAGTTCTGTTGCCCTAACTACATTGATCTCTTCAGCCTCGAGGAGAATTGTGAGTCAACGTCGATTTCTAAAGTGATGCTTGATTGTGACTCTTGACTGCTCAGCCAATAAGTAAGAGCTTGCTAAGCCAAGCGGACTGTCTAACTCAAAAATTGGCTCTACTTGCGCAGTTCAAAACGAACAAGGTTATCTACAGGCGGTATGCTGGGCTTTACTTCAGTGTGTGTGTTGACGTGACTGACAACGAGCTGGCGTATCTCGAGTCGATCCACTTGTTTGTGGAGATTCTGGACCATTACTTCAGCAATGTCTGCGAGCTGGATCTGGTGTTCAATTTTCACAAGGTAATTGTTGTCACACAGATGCTAAATCATCCTATGCCTTCCAGCAGCTTCTTGTTCTAAGTCAACCTGGCTGGGATCTGTGCTAATGTGGCTGAAGAGTTCTGATATTGTTTTGGCAGCCTTGCCGGGCTAACCACCTGCTGGCATGTGCAGGTGTACTTGATCCTCGATGAATTTATTATGGGTGGCGAGATTCAGGAAACGAGCAAAAAGGTGTGAACTTTTATCTCTCAAGAGTCTCACCTCGTAATGACACTGATCCTGAACATGAATTGCAGGATCTCTTGCGCAGCACCAATGCAGCAGGACTGTAAGTGATCACACAGTGAGCATGGGCTCTGTATCTGGGTTTGCAGGTGATTTTGGAGCGGTTGGCAGAGCTTGACAGGATAGAGACCTGATAGCAACAGGCGGAGGACTGCAATATTTTGCTTCAAACTTTCAATGAACGTGATACTGTCGGTATCAATCCCACATGGCATAGGCCAGAGTCGGTAGCACGATAGCATGGGCATTGTGGATGCCTTCAGGAGCATGGACTGTTGTGGCAAAATGTTGTGAAAGGCAGTAAGGAACATACGTAAGAGTCAACATAGTGAAATGCATTTTCCACTCCAGCGAGGCAAAGGCAATGCAATCTAATGGATTCCTCCCCACAGATCTCAAACAATGCATGATATAATGGTGCTGTCAGCAATAAACGCAGTTAATTGGATTAAACTCTGCAGCTGCAGTGATGATCCTGACACTCACAAGTACTACATATGTCTCTTACGCGAAAAACTGATGTGCAAGCGTCCGTAAGACGACATTGAGCACTCACAGGCTGTGCTATGAATCACATTTGAGATCGTAGAATTTCAAACATCTGCAATGCTGTACAGAAAACCATGATGGCAACATCTACTACATCATGTCATAGCATGATGCTGTTTACTATAGAGTCAAACGCACTAGTACAAAGCAAGGTAACAATCTAGACTCTCATCTTCCTTGAACGCTCTATAAACACTTCTCGTCACATATTCCAACTTGTGCTCAAGGTGATCCGGAATCTTTTCCTTAACAACGCCTTGTACTACAGAAGCTTGGCAGCAGCACAACTGTGGTCTCTGAGCTTGATTCTGATCATTGTAATCTCATTGGGAAACATCAGCATCATATCCTGCTGGGCAACACGAAATGAAGGCAACACAGGAAAAAATTTACTCTCATCCTTGTAACCTCATGCAGGCATCTGGAGGCTCTTGCACGGATGGTGGTCACCAAGTCCAGTCAATTTGAAGGCTTTGAAGACCCCTCTCAGGCAGTGACAGACCTGGGCAGGGCATGCATCCACATGCCATCGCGCTGGGCCACTGTGATGCGTGCCATCTCTGAGGCAATCACCCCCTCCGGTCCCCCCATCTGGCAACACATGCAAGCCTCAGCCCCTGCTACTGTCCACGCATGCAAGCATGCGCCCACCGCCAATGCTTGCAGGCCACACAGCACCAAGGTAGTCCCATATAGAGACCACCAGGAAGAGGGATATGGTTATTGGTTGAGCAGCAGTATATTGAAAGAGAGCTCCAACCTTGCATTGATTGTCACGTGTCAAATCAATTTAGAAGAACCATGCCTCCATACAAGCACACATGAGGGTGAGCTGTGCAGCGCACCCTGTCTGCCAGGCGGAAGGAGAAGTGCGAGAGGAGGAGCGCCGTTGCAGCAGTGTAGTTCATCTTGGCCAGCGACTGGCCCACGCAGGCCCTCATGCCCTCCCCAAAGGGCATGTACTTCTTGAAGCGCGGCGGCGCTCCGTCCTCAAACTTGCGCGCGGCAGCCGAGCCGGCCTCAGAGTCTGTGGTGGACGGCTGAGGACTCCAGTACTCTGCACTCTCTTCAAGCCACCGCTCCTACATACCACAGGATGCCGTAAGTCCTTCCACTAAGGAATCTCCTTACACAGGGCAAGACACTTGGAGAACCTGCCTGCCCAATGGCGGCTGCTTGCATAGGCTTGCAGATTGCCACATTTAAGTCTGAGATCCAAAACAGTCAGCTTCCGCTTCAGCTGCCTTGAGGCAGGGTTGATGCTGCGCTCACCGGCATGTATGTGTCGGGCTGGGTCCAGAGGGCGGGGCTGGTCTGGAGCGCCTGGAGGGGCACCCAGAGGAGGGTGTTCTTGGGGATGGTGTAGGGGCCCATCTGCATCTGCTCATTCGCCACGCGCGCCACGCCAGCCCCCACCACCGCCATCAGCCGCATCGACTCCTGCATGCATACCCGCTAATCAGTACATGCTGATCCTGCCAGAGGCAAGGTGCGTCTGCAGACAAGCTGCGAGGGTAGGATACGTGGCAGCCTCCACCTGCAGCTCCCAATTTTCCACCATGTGATCCTCATTCGGACATTCAATCAAGCTGCAAAAGCATAGCCGGACGGTGGCAGAGCAAGCAGTGTGGCGCAAAGGAGGATTGGCTACCTTGATAGCTGCGCTGAGGTAGGTGAGCTTGGAGAGGTCAGAGTACTCCATCTGCCTGGGCACCGGCCGCGAGGGGCCGACCAGGAAGCCCAGATCTTCCAGCTCAGTGGTGATCTTTGCTTCCACCTCCGGGTGCTGAGAGATGAGAAACCTGGCCACACATGCACAGGACACTTTCACGGCTGAAAGAGCACTTATTTATTGGAGATCTGCTGAACAACATGCAGGGAATTGTGATGGCAATTGGATGTTAGCAGGGGGCTCACAATGTGTTGGCGATTGTGTGGCCCGTAGTGTCGGTTCCTGCAGGCCAGCAAATTCTCAGTCATCTACTGCCCAAGGTATTATCATTTGTAAAATTTTATGCCCTCGTGTTCACATTTTCAAAGCTTTGACGTAAAGAGACACGCACCACCGATGAACATGACGCTGAATTCTGCATGCAGACGGTCCTGTGAGAGGGGTCGCCCCTCGGAGTCTCGCAGCCGCAGCAGGTGGCCTGCAATGGTGGGATCATCCTTGTCTGGAGTGCCCCTAGCTTGCACCTGCTCATGATGACCATTATCACATCAATTGATTTGTCGAAATTTCTCAACGACCGAACAAAAAGACATGTAATCTGACAGGACAATGGGCGGGTTGCCTGTTCTGGTGACCTGCTGGTGGAACCCACCTCTTCTAGGAGATCCTTTGTGACTCTCTTAAACTTTTTCAGTGCGACATTGCTCTTCTTCACCTCCTGCAACATGAAAGGCTCCACTATGAGCACACACCCGTGCAGGAAAGGCTGCTTTGACAGGCCGGCGATCTTGCCATGCACCAGATACAAGCTTAGAAATCATCCACATCCAAAGGTTGTCCTCACCGGGTCAAAGAACCTATATACTCGCAGAGGATTGGCCATTCGTTTTGATACCTCCTCCAGACCTGCCGAGCAACAACCTTTATTGCTCACGACAGCACAACACCAGATGACTCGCTTGTACAATTTCAGGTGCAGGTGGGGAGATTGCAAAATGCAGCGTTCTTACTTGCAGCCAAGGCTTTGAACACATCTTGCTCAGCAGGCGCGTCCAGGGATGCGAGAGAGTTGAAGGACTTCCCGAATCCTACTTTCCCGATCACCTGCGCGTGACAACCATTATTGCTACTCATGAGGTCTTCTGGTCAGCTGTGTCACTTTCCATTAGTAGACAAAGCTTGGAGGCCTTTGTCTACTAATGGTTAAACTAACTGGAGTTATTCACTTTGATTGTCGGTACGAATCCCACCTCCAGGGCCACGCGCTGAGCTGCATCGTCAATATCGACAGCCTTGTCAGCGCCCCTCTCTTTCAGCACCTGTATCAGCTGATTAGCCGCCTCTACTACATGCCCAAAACCTTGCCTGCAGCACCACACAATTTTTTAGGAATGAACCCCATGCTTCTCCACACGGAGAAGTGGTCTGCAATGCCGGCCATGTCCACATTTGGTGACAAGTGGGCAGGCGCAAATGTCTACCTGATGTTCTGAGGATTGAAGGCAGGCGCAACGCCCTTGCGCACAAGGCGCCAGTAGGGGTCGCCTGTCTTGGCTGACAGCATGTTTGGCTCCCCCGCATTGCTCGTCACCTGTTCAACGATATTACTGTCATTGAATCGGTGCAATTCGCCACTCTTGCGAGTGTAAGCACAGTGTCGCAAGCATATCATCAATGCAATGATCAGTATGCAACTGATGAGCACCAGAAGCTTGCTTTGACACACGTGTGCGGATTTTGAGCAAGACTAGGAGCGCACCACATCAATGTCATGCAGAATCTGGTCCACCGGTCGGTCCAGAACATTAGCATTTGGAGGGTAGAGTGCGCGATCAAAAACAATCGGCACGAGTTCAGGGTCTGAGATCATGAGGACCTGCCAGCACAACATTTGATGCTCAGATAAAAAATGCAGCCACATGCATACTTGAATAATAAAGTGTAGAGAGTAAGGGGTTGGATCAGCACATGGTTGTGCGCCAGACGCATGTAGAATTTATTCCCCAGCTTCTTGGTCATCTCTGAGAGCCACCGATGGTGGTGTGGCTTCTGCAGCTGACCCCCATGGCCCAGAAGCAAGCTGTCCATTGGTGGGGAAGGAAACTGCTTTCTGAGCAATCTTCCAGCTGCCGCCCACCTCAAAGTGCTGACCACGACACTACGAGTGGACAGGAACACCAAAATGAGCGGGGGCACAAAATCGCCTGTTACACTCGCATACTCGCCAGGATAACCCCTCCCAGGTGCCTTTCGCAGCGTCATGATAGCGCAGGATGATTGAAGGCGATCCAATATCTGACAAAGACACGATCAGAACATCATCTCTTGCTCAGCTACTAGGATGCAACCGTCTTACCTGTACAAGAAATGGCTGATGATAACAGTAGAGAGGACAACGAACAGCACGACAGAATATATGACATCATTGGAGGGGGCCTGTTCGCCTCTCCAGACGAACCATTCGCTCTTAAAAGCTAGCATGGTAGAACCTTGGTGCTTAGCTAAAAGAAGCGCAAAAGAAGGGCACGCTTCCTTTGTGACTAACAACTCAATTGATTTCAACAAACAATCTTCATGTGCAATTTACGAAAACGACGATTTTTAGAACTTCCGAAACACCTTCCGGAAGTGGCTCGGCCAGCTGGCTAGCAAATCCACCTCTGCTGCTTCATTATTTGTGTCTTGACGTCTAAACAACATCAATTTTGCATGAAAATTAAAGACCTGATCCCGATCACAGGATCGTGCAAAGAGAAGGCGGTACTAGTTTGCCCTGTCATGGGCGATCCCGATCAGAGATCACATATATCTGGTTCTTGGTAAATTGCAGCAAACGTTTGTCGACTGAGATCAATGGCTTTGGCCAGATCCCTCGTGCGAGCGCAACGACAGTTTGTAAGGACGGTAAGCTGAAGTCTCTGGCAAACTTTCTGAGCCCATGCCTTCTTGAAATAGCAATCCATTGATAGCAATTCTTTTGGTGCTATCAACAGGTATTTACCACCACAAGAGGCTCGTCATCTGTTGTTAGCAAGGGAGGTGAGGCAGAAGGCAAGACATCTATGCATGTGCAGCTCTGTTCCGTTTCTGGAAACAGAATTGCAAAGAAACTTGAGGTGAAAAAGAGTTTCTGACTGCAGCCTACAATGTCACGGAGTTTGACGAAGGGATGCTGGAGTTTCTAGCCTGTCCCCTTAGCAAGACCCCTCTGAGGTGAGTAAAAACTTGCTTGCATGAGTCTCTGCTCTCCTTGCTTTAACTTGGCACGAGCTCTGTGCATGGAATTTCTACCTTAGCAATTCAGTGAGAGGCAATCACGCCAGTCAAAAGTTCACAGGACCTAATCTGCCTTGGACTGCAAGGCATCTCTGACATATCTTGTGACTCAACAGGTGGGATGAGGCTACTTCATCACTCATTTGCGACGAGCTGGGAGTTGCATACCCTGTGAACAATGGGATGCCGAACCTGCGCCCGGCTGATGGGCACGTGATTGAGGCTCAAGACAGGGAGTCCAGCACTAGTCAGCAGCCATGGGGTGACACAGATGCGGTTCCCAAATGAACATAAAGGGTGAAACAAGGCGCTGCACTGATGTTCTAGAATAAAGCTTATAACGGTGCGTGGCACTTCTGCACTACTTTTCAAGAATCAACTGCTGCGCCAATGGCATTGCTGCTGATTGCCGCTTTTGCCCAAGGCGGCCTCACGGGATTCTCCGTCAGGTGTTTTGGATCATCATGACGGGAAAATATCTGATGAGCAGCCCTCAAAATGTTTCCAGCTCAATTACATGTATATGTACATCAATCACTCATTGGCAAGACACTCAAAGTGGATTAAATCAATACAGAAAGACCAGCATTGGCAGCCTAGGCCTTCTAACGACATACTGCTGTACATGCCTTTCTTGTCTTGGCACCCGAGAGGCCAACAATGCGCATGCTACATTAGTGCAAAAGGGTACATAGACCGCAGGATGTTGCAATGTCAAGGATAAATATGCTTCCAACTGCAAAATGCCGATGCAATGCAAGACACCTGTCAAAGAGCTCTCTACCTGACCAGCAGCACCCACCCAGCAGCATTATGCTCATGTATGTGGCAATGTGCCTCTTCAAAACATCTACGAAATTGCACTCAGCCAAAGAGAGCATATGGTACATGAATCAGACAAGCCAACAACACATTAGAAGACTGCACCTCTTGCCAGAAAGCATAGTCCTACATAGGAAGGACCAAGATATCCTACATAGTATGTACCAAAGATACAGGAGCAGATCTGGGGTATAAGCAATGACCCCTGGCACACAGTACCCATTTATGGCATGCACAAGACAGATGTGCAGCACTGCATCACATTGATGCCGGGCAAGGGCCTACAGCTAGAAACCACAAGAATGCGTTTTCTGTTGTACAGCGAGCGTTCAAAAACACCGAGAAACATTCAAATCTGGCCTGCCCGGATCTGATGGCCATTACTGAAGGCAGGGGTGGCCTTGTTGAGGAATCGTGCCACTATGTCGGGTGGCGTGATCTCTGAGCAGTAGTTCCGCAGCTTCTCAGCACCATCCTTGAAGCTGTTCAAGACAAAGTATCGGTTCTGATAGCCATCCTGCATCAAGAAAACATCCAACTTCTGAGCATATTACATACAGGCCAGTTGCACCACACTGAAGCAAGTGCGGCATCAGCACTTCAGGCTGCAAAAGGCAAGCTGAAGCAGGAGTGCCATCACCTTGTAGGACATCTTGGGCTGCTTAGCATGGGGGTCAAATGGCACAAAGTCTGCCTTTCCACTGCGCATGTGCTCCATCTCTCCATAGCTTGACAAGATCCCTGCAGGCCCAGGCGGCAATGCATTATCAAGTCCCAATCCGTCAAACGCTCTCCTTGCAATGCTGCAATTCCTCTTTCAGCAGGCAATTGCGTCCATTTTCAACAGCATTCTCTAATGCCCAAAAGAGGTGCTGACGCTCACCCGCGCCAAAGGCCTTCTTCTCATCACCCTCCATGACGACGCCAAATTCGACGGTGAACCAATACATCTTTGTCAGGTGCCAGATTTGCGAGTCATCTGCGCACAGGGACGCCACGCCGATGCTGTGCACCATGTCGCAGAAGTCCGGGTCTGCCAGCATGGGCACGTGCCCTGCATAAAACCATCAGCATTATCAGGCATAGCAAAAGCAGAATTCAACTGCACAACACTCTTCATGTTCTGCAGCACTGATGAATCTTTGCAGCCATGGATATGCCAGGAGCTCACACGAGCATTCTGCAGAACACTTGAGGTCGTATGAGCAACAACTGGCAGAATCTTGCATCATCAGAGGAAAATGGATAATTCGGCAGAGAGGCTCACCCAAGAGTTCATGGCACACATCGGGCTCCGGTGTGTACATGGGCCGGGATGGATGGCGCATGTACTGTGTTGAGTGGAATGTCTGGAAGGCCAGGCCGTTCAGGAAATCGCGCGGATGCAGCAGCCCTGCAACAGGCCGGATCTGCCATCCGGTCTCACGCCTGAGAACCTGCGACAAGTCCTCTAGCTGTGGCACCTACAAAGCAATGCAGACATGACAAGTCAGTGCCATCATCCGTGAGATTCAGGAAACTCAACAACACCCACCTCAGAAGCAAAGTGATCCTTGGTTTTGTCTGTCGCAGGGCAAAGTATGTGTCAATGCTCTTCATTTTCAAAAAATGGGATGGGGGATGGAGGCATGTTTTTGAGTTGGCAGGCAAATTACGTCATCCTCTCTGAAGTCAAAAAGCGGGTACGAGCGGAGGAATTCCGCACAGGCTCCATCGGGGTAGAGTTCATGCAGCTCGCGCAGCACTGTCCGCCAGACACGCAACTCCTCTGGCGTGTATTCCAGTCGCGGAATGGGATCTCCCCTGTACATTCCATACGACAACACAATTAATGTCGGAAACTAGCTGGGAAACGGAAAATCATCAAGAGCTGATGCAGCCTGACACAAAGGAGGGACCAGGCTATGTCACTCACACTCTGTGTCTGCGAGCAATATTTGCAATTGCCATCCTTCTGTCTTTGTATGCCTGGTCCCTGAAGCCTGGGTGGTCCTCTGCCAAATCTGCTCCGAATCCAAGAATCTTCCCATTGTCCACTTCTTCCAGGCTCTGGGGTACTCGTCTTCTCTCTACCTGGAGCTTTGGTTCTGGTGCAGCTGCCGTTGTGCCTGCAGTACTGAAATGTTTCAGGTACTATAGATTGTTTGCCTCAAAGTCATCGCCGTGAAAATGCGCATATCGCACTGATACGAGTTAGTAGGGAAGCTATCTGACTGTACACATGGTCCTTGCTGACTTAGCAAACCTTTAGAAGGTTCCAAAATGCTTATATCACGAGCAATGATGGAAGATGACTTACCATCCTTGAAGCTGCATGGCACCAAGCAAAGTCCTCTTGTGCGGTTTGAGTGATTACGTGCTGATGCCAGGAATCGCTGACAACCTGCAAACTGCGAGATTCCCACGCGAGCGCTCCCGTATGAAGGAATTGTGGAACAAGACAGATCCATAGTACGACGCGCTTTTCGTCAAAACTAACTATCTGGGAGCACTTGCTCGTCCTCTAGGCACGCCTGCGGTTTTGACAAACTGGGTGCTCTTGATTCTCGAACGGTGTCCTGGCTGGCTTCGTAGTCAGCAAGATAGTTCTGTCAATGGTTGTGGACGAATGGTTTTATCTTCTACAGAGGTACAGAGAGACTTATTGTCCAAGGAAATTTTGCGCAAGGAAAACGCGCGCAAAGGTACGCTGTGGAGACCGTGGAACGGAGAAGCTGCTGCTGAAGGTTTCCATCAAATGAGGAATGATGCAGGCTATTTGGAGAAGTACGAATTAGAAGCATGTCATCTTCTGGTCCCATACAGGACTGTGGCGCTCAAAGCTGGGTTGTGTGATAATCACCGACTCGATGACTCGGTCACCTGTGTACTACAGTTAGTAACTGTCACCGTGACGGCTGGACATGACAAGCCTTGCTGAGCATGTCACTGGCCACGGTGGCATCCCGCTGCAGGGTACAGCACCTAATCTTTCATGCACTGGAATGTGCACTCCAGCTATCAAACAAGTACCTTCAATGATCCTAGATCTATCACGTTCAACAGTGCACCTGCAGGGCACCTGCTGCCCTGGGCACCAGCTGGGCACATGCCTACGCACTTCGCATGGCATACTGTGTACTACGCTAGACCATATACTTATCAGTGCACATTGTGTATTGCGCATCATTCAGATCAATTGCAGTCAAAGGCTCAGGATTGACTGCTGTTATATCTGCATTGTCTCGGTTCAACTGCTCGCAATGACACAAGTGCCACTGTGGGCAACAGATCCAGTGGATGGATCGACTGAACATCCGTTTTAGAGAGCATTCATTCCACGTGCTCCGCACAGCAACCTTATACATTTGTTCAAGGACAACTACAATGCTGACGCGACACTAGGAGGTCATAGGGCTACCGGGTGACCCCTGCTGCCACCTCTGCCTGTGTTGATTCACAGCCGTCATCAACCTGTACGACATTCAAGTCGACAAGTCAGTTGCATTCCAACCAGGCGAGGTTCATTTGGCAAGCCATGCAGAACTACAAGCACCAGGCAAGATCCATGATTCACAACGAGTTGATGCATCTCCACCAAAGGTCACATAACGTGCCTTACCTCCATAATGATGCCCCATTTCAGCAGCTCACAGCACTGGGATAGAGTTGTAACTTTGATCCCAGGAATACTCAATGCTTCCTGCCTTTCTTCGTCTGTATTGTAACCCCTGCAATCACCATCAGCTAATGAATTGGAGCATCACATGAGCCTGCAAGTCGCTTCACTAAGAATTAGCGAGCACACGCATTCAAGCATCTGGCGATGTCAAGGATAAGACCACCATACCAATCAGCAAGGTACAGCTGGATGTTGGAAAGATCTGCAGCTTTGCGCACAGCTTTCAAAGTCTCCAACCGGTCATCGATAAAGTGGATGCGCGCTCTGCTTTGGCTCACCAAGGGTCGCTGTGCGATGGTCCTGTATGCAGCACAGCTGCATTCAGTAAGTGTCTTTACTCCTTGTCTTCGTCAAGAGGATGTCTGCCCTGAAGTGCACTCACCGCAGGGCCTCAATCTTCTGCTCATCGGGCGGTATGAGCCCAGCAAACAGCCGCGGAGAGGTGGGCTCCATCTCAATCCCCAGCAAGCTCGACATGAGGGAAGACACCCTGTGTGGTGCCTTCGCGGATGCCACATACCAAGGATATGAACAAGACCGCACAGCCTCGTATATGCCTCCATAGAGCTGATTTCGGTGCGTCCACGCATGCTGCAGGCCACATGTATTCAGAGTGAACAAGGCTCAGAAAGTCAAGGTTGCTAAATGGGGCTGCATCAGCGCACAGATTCTGTCAACGATCAGAGCTTGCGCACCCTGTCTCTGATCAGGCTGGCATTGCGATAGCCATCGCTGAATGCTGCAAGGTGGTCGCCATTGACCCCCCATTCTTCCAGCACTTGTGGAAGGAGCGAATCCCATCCTGTGAGGATGCGTTCCTCATTGCTGGGGTCTTCCAACAACATTCGAGCCTGAGCCAAATAGCACATTCAAGAAATTGCTGCAAACACTCTGAGATCGTCTAGCTTTTGTAGCACTTGCACTACTGGGACCACTTCACCTTTCCCAGTTGAGGTCAAGGCAGAAAACGCACCTGAACCGTGGTTTCATACCCTTTGATGAGTACTGATCGCACCCTCGCCAGGCCTTTCAAAACTCGCAATTTCGTCTGCAAATCTACGTCGGCAAATAGCTCTGGCCAGTATCTGACAGCGCAACGATAGCCCGAGTATGAAACCTGCGAACACAGAACAGTCAACATGCTTGCACAGTGATTGGCTAATCAATCCTCAGGGAGACTTTTTGGTGTTCACACATTGAGTTCTATCTCACCTCTGGTTCAGAGTTGCACACGACACCATCAAAATCCAGGACAAATATGTCGGAAGGTTGTGAAGAAGCGGTGATCCTCAAGCTGACTGCTTGTCGTGATCGCACAGATCGCACATCTGCACGTTCACAGAGCGAAGGAGCATTTCTCCCAATAGTTAGAAGACCTGCTGACTGAAATCTGGCTGAATGCAGGTACAGGGGCCCCCACGCAAACCCACGCATGGCCCAGCAATAGACGGAACTATTCGGCAGGCTGCCCACTCCCAATGCGTAGAGGATCTAGCACCTTACATGGCACGTCTGATACACACCTAGCTCAACACACTTTGACTTCACAACATCGCAGCTCGAGAACTTGAACCCTTATTTAGTCACCCTCCCGCTCATTCCGAAACCCCCTCATAAATTGGATTATATATATATTCATTTGATCAAAGCCTCCTACAACAGCCAAAATATTCAGCATTTTTCAAGGACAGTCCAATTCATGAGGGACATCGGGTTCTGAATTCCATCAAGTCTCTTAGCGAGACACCAAATTGGGGCTGAATACCTGGATCAGACCGATCTAGGAACTTGTCACACATATCGCTTGAGCTCTTTTGGGCTTGCCTTTGCATACGGTGATCTGTTGAGCTACAACATCTCAAATGCGGCTGACATACATACTCGTTGCATTGGTGAGTCCTTCACGTATCCACCTGGACGTCTGATGGCACATTGCTTTTGGAGGTGATCCCTTTGTTATGACACTCGAGATGTCAAAGGCTAACAATTTCTGTTCCAGATGCTCTGCACTGCACCCGCATGGGCGGCCATTCAAGGGGAATGTGACTCACGTGGTCTCTACGAAGGCGAGTTTTTCCCAGGAGTTGGGAAGATACCTTATGAGGGCCCAGACTCCACGAACCCGATGGCATTCCATTACTACAACGCTGACGAAGTTATCATGGGAAAGCCCATGAAGGAATGGTGAGCAGACGCTCAGGTTCTCTCTTGGCTTCCAATCCTGGAAATGGCAGCCAGGGAACTGAGAAGCATGTGAGTGCCCCGCAGGCTGCGATTCAGCGTGGCTTTCTGGCACACAATGCGCGGGGATGGCGCCGACCCCTTTGGATCCCCCACCAAGGTGTGGCAGTGCAATCCATATCGCGGGTGTGCTCTACTATCAGGTTGCATGATGTCATTGCAGCTGCCTGCCAGACATATTAAACCGCTTTTCACCTCATGCAGTGGCTATGCAGGTGTGGCCATGGGAAGATGCCAGCCTGGACGACATGGAGCTGGCCTACCGCCGCATGCGCGCCATGTTTGAGTTCCTCGACAAGCTTGGCGTTGACTACTGGTGCTTCCATGACAGGTGCTGCAGTCTGATTATGTTGTGATGACCCTCACATGCCTTATATTGCCACCAAAGACCCTCCTTGCATGTTGTGGCCCCAGCTTTCCAGGCCCCAAATATTGCTGCACAAATGCTGCGCCACCAAGCAATGAGCACAGGGATGGACCTGAGCTTGAGGCTGTCTTGACGGAAGCTTGACGCATCTGCTGCGCAGGGACATAGCCCCGGAGGGCGCCAGCCTGGCAGAGAGCAACGCCATGCTGGACAAGGTGGTGGAACTGGCGGAGCACCTGCAGAAGGAGACCGGCAAGAAGGTGCTGTGGGGCACCGCGCAGCTCTTCAAGCACCCCCGCTTCATGCATGGAGCCGCCACAAGTGTGCCCCACATCCTCCCTGCAGTAGTGGTTGAGAGCATGCATGATGTCAAGTGGCACAAGCTGATTACTCTGCCAGACAGGCACAGATCATTTCTGCATTTATGCATTGCCCTACCCGAGGTCTTGTTCAACTTCAATGATTCATTGCCCCACTGCAGAGTGCAGCCGTGAGGGTCCTCTGAATGAGTCGCAGGCGGAACAGCAATTTTTAATTTGAAATTGTTTCGGGCAGGCCCGAACGCGAGCGTGCATGCGTACGCTGCGGCGCAAGTGAAGGCGGCGATGGATGCGACGCTGCGGCTGGGCGGAGAAAACTATGTGTTCTGGGGCGGCCGCGAGGGCTACCACACCCTCCTCAACACCGACCTCAAGTGTGCAGCCCCTAATCATGCTCACACTCCAATATAGCCCTCATGGTTCTTGATGTATCTACCCTCTTGCAGGTACCTCATAGGAATTGTTCAGACAGGAGCATATTTGATAGGAGCAGGTCTAACGTGGGACACAGGACAGTGTCGGCAATAATGTGAGACGCAGGGCGGGCTGATTGATGGTGGGAGTGCTGCAAAGGGTCAGGGATGGTGTCAGATCGGTGATGGGAGTGGGGTGTATGCAGGCTGGAGCTGGACAATCTGGCGGCCTTCCTGAAGGGTGCCGTTGCGTACAAGAAGAAGATCGGCTTCAAGGGGGCACTGCTGCTTGAACCCAAGCCCCAGGTAACTCTCACATGCACTGTTCAATCCTTCATAAATATTTCCTGCTTGTCAAGTTTGAGACTCGAGCGAGCTTTGCACTTCATATTGCTTCGCAAGCTAGTACTGAGTGGGCTGATGGGAGGGAGGTATGTGAGTGCAGGAGCCAACAAAGCATCAGTACGACTGGGACGCTGCCACAACGATGGGCTTCCTGAACCAGTACGGCCTGTCGGACGAGTTCAAGCTGAACGTTGAGTGCAACCATGCCACCCTGGCCGGCCACTCCTGCGAGCACGAGCTGCAGGTGCACCACTCCACCAACTGCTCACTCCTGCATTCTCCATCCCCTGGTTCCACACTCATAGAAGCGTGCAGCAAAAGCGCCTATTTCTGAAATAGTCCGGCTTGAATTTCTGACACATGCATGTCCATCCCATGCAAGTCCATGCATCTTCAGGCCCCCAGCAACTGCACCATGCATCTCACCAAGAGCCTGCTTCCTTACAATCACAGGCACTTCTTTGCTGTATCGCTGCGTGAGAATGTTTTTTTAAGCTTGAATTAATCTGCAAAATGTTGTCCTCCAGTGCTGATGTGAGTTCTGTGAGCCCGCAGCTGGCGTCGGCGTACGGCAAGCTGGGCAACATCGATGCCAACACGGGCGATGCGCAGACGGGCTGGGACACAGACCAGTTCCTGACAGACCCCAAGGAGGCCACCCTCGTGGCCGCCGTCATCCTCAAGCAGGGCGGCCTTGCGCCAGGTCAGCCGCCAGCTCAGCTCCCCTATTCAGGCTCACCACGCTGCCTTTCAGAGACTCTGCTCAGCTAATGCTTGCAGTACCCTCCTGAGCGGGTGTCGCGTGCTTGCCTGCCCGGCAGCAGCACAAAGTTGTCCCACTGTGCTCTTTCACACTTCTGGGAGCTGGTTCTGGGCAGCTCCTGAAGGTCAACCATTTGTAGAGATATTGACCCTTAATTCCCTTGAACGGGTAATACGCTTCTAAACCCTAAGTCCACCATTGCATTCTCCATGAGAAATTATCACTACAAGGCCCCTTCCCCTAAACCCAACCATCCTGACCCTAAAGGTTGATACCGTAGTAAATGGTTGATCAATAGCGCCCGGGCTGGTCCTGTCAAAACCAGTGACAGGGCATCGTCCAGCAACATGCCAGGAATCATAGTGAGGGCTTAGATGATCAGGCAGGTGTCTGTGGCTGCAGGCGGCATCAACTTCGACGCCAAGCTGCGGCGGGAGAGCACGGACGTGAACGACCTGTTCTACGGCCACATCAGCGGCATGGATGCGCTCGCCAGGGGCCTCAGGAACGCTGCGCAGATGCTCGAGGTGCAGCTCTGACATGGACATTTCAAGGGCAGCGTTTCATGGATACATGCAGTGACTGTGTTGATGGTGTGGCTGTCTGAGAGATTTGAGGCTGAATGCTTGCCTGCTGTGGGGGTGGAACAGGAGGGCATCCTTCCGGGAATGATCAAGGACCGTTACAGCACCTACTCAAAGGGGGTTGGCAAGAAGATCAGGGATGGCAAGGTCAGCCTTTGCTACTACACATGCTTGCAGTTTACCATCACCCAAACTTGCACCGAATTGATAAAGACTCTGCACGCTTGGCTTCTCATGCGGCGGATTGGTGCACTTTAAAGTTTTGGATGTTGTCATGAAGATGCTGTGCTGGTGTGCGCCAGGTGGACTTTGTTGAGCTGGAGAAGGTTGCTCTGGCCAGCGCGGATCCAGCAGAGGATCTGCCGAGTGCGCGGGCCGAGCTGTATGAAATTGTTCTGAGCAGATACATCAGATAGGTTCAGACCGGTCCTGAGTGGCTGGATTTCGGCACAGCCCGTCTTAAATCTGCCTGTCACTAGGGCACTTTGGTGAGCACGAGCCACCTAGGCACAATACTAGCGCTTGGCACAGTCGTATGGTCAGTTCACCGGCGAATTGCCCGGGCCCTCTGATCGTTCTTACAAGAACATGGTGCGATTCAGTATTATGCACATGCATGGCCTGCATGTGCATTTGTCCACTGTAAGCCCGCTGGCCTAGAGGGGCAAACGACACAGGTCTATGTTATCATTTGCCCCAGTCCAAAACCTGCCTGTCAATTGGGCCCTTTATTGGGCATTAGCACGTCCAGCTCTACCAACATCTGCTCTTCGCAAGCTGACAGGCGCTGCCGCATCAAGTCCTCATTCTCCTTCAGCTCGGCGAGCCGTTCCTCGGCAACTTCTGCGGCCTCCACTGCCCGAGCCAGCCGCTTTCGGGTGGGTTTTCCATCCTTTGCTTCTTTGGCAGCAACTTTGGCGGCTGCGCCAGCTGCTGCCTGCTTGGCTGTGCTGATCACTTCTGAGAGCTCAAGGAGAGGGCGCCGCGGCATTTCCATCTCCATCGCGCTAAGTACCCATACCCACTCGACTGCCAGATGGCTTGGCAGGTGTGCCAACACATCGCAAAGGATATGGGCATTGGCAATGACATGGCGCGCATCTCTGGGTCATTTGATAGGTGTCGCGATTTTGTCCACCACAGCGATGTCCAGATGACACCATACACTTTCCTTGCTGTCCAATTTTCCATGCATATCTTGATAAGTGAAGCCGATTGCAATTGACTGACTGACTAGGATGGATGTTGGGGATGTTTACTTTTTCTCGTGTGATCATGATTTTGGTGTTGTAGATTGACTTAAAACATTGCTTTGGGAACAGTGCTCTCAGAGGCAGGCAGATAGATTCAACTTTGCAAGGGGTGACACACTGAAAAAGACTTGTGTGAGATGTTCATGCTCATTGCCAATCGTCGTCTCTTTACCCAAAGATTTAAGGATACTGCACATCAGGGTAGAATTCTGAACAGTAAGCCATTGTAGTCCAGTATACGTACCAGTGTAGAGATCTGCAAAAGGCCGACCACTTGTACAAATTGTACGGCATTTTGACCTGAGGGAAGCTACACATATAATATCCCAAGGATTTTGATGGGGCAACATCCATCACATTTGTCGCGCACTGCCATTATGACTTACTCAAGTTAGAGCACAATAAGCAAACAAGGAAATATTGCGAGCAGCTTCAATATCTGCATCCCTCTTTCCTTCCAGTTAGTCTCAAAACACCTGTTCAGATTTCCAATCAGATGTGTGCCGTGCAATATGCCACGGCAACAGGTGCTCGTGCGCATCATGATGATTGGGCAAGCCTCATTATTCATCAGGCAAGCCCCATCAATGAGTGTATGGTGGCAGCGCGGGTTAAATAAGTGAAATAATCTGAAAGAGCAGGGGGTGTCTAGATGAGGGATGGCTCCATGTGGGCAGGGGTGGCGAAGCCGAGCAGGTTCAGGTATGTGCCAGTGATGTTGGCCAGACCGGCGTTGGGCAGGTCATCCCTGAATTTGATTCCCTCCGGCAGCCCAGGTCCGCCAATCGCCACCGGCACGGGAGCCTGCAACGAAAGCAGCCTTCTCTTACATCACACTTTCACACAAAGCACTGCAGAGGCAGATGTTGCCAGGTATAGCATCTTCCCCCAGTAATTTATCCCCTTTGTGGGTGCAAAGCAACAGTAGCAGGCAATATTTGCAAGTTGTAGCAGTGATGCAGAAAAGCCAAAAGCGCTCAGTGCGAGCAGGTGGCAAGGCGAACATGAAATAGCACCAAGTGTGCTCAGCAAGATAGCATGGCATCGGGAACACAAAAAAGTAGCAAAGCAGGCTCAGCAAGGTGGACATGAAAGAGGAGTGGGCGCGCACGAGGGTGTGGGAGGTGAGGGGCAGGGGGGCGCCGGAGTCGGCGAAGAGGGGCGCGTTGGTCTTCTTGGCGCGCTGCACCATGTCGTCCGCGTTGCCGTGGTCGGCCGTCAGCAACCAGCGCCCGCCAAGGGACTCCACCGTGTCAAGCAGCTCCTTCACGCACTTGTCTACCAGCGAGCATGCGCCCACGCACGCCTCAAGATCGCCTGTGTGGCCCACCATGTCTGCGCGCACAGCCACACAATGTGTCAGAACCTTTTCATTGCATCGCAGCGCGCACAGCCCTGACTCAGCGTCTGGGTGGGACATTGGTCTGCACAAGGCATGGTGTACGCGCAACAGACAAGACCTTCTTTCAGTGTCTTCTGCGAGGCGAAGGCAGAGATGAGTCTTTGCCATGCATAAACCATCCAATGACGTCTCATTCCTTGCATGGAGGAAACACGTCGCATATGGATCGGAATGTGTCCTGGCACTTGTCACCCTGCAGCAGTCTGGGCGATCCGGGAGGATCCACGCATGGGGGAGGTTATAAAAGGGGGGGTTGACACACTCACCGGGGTTGGCGAAGTTGATGCGGACCATCTGGTACTTGCCAGAGAGCAGGGCCTCCTTGCCGGCCTCGGTGATTTCGCGCGCCTTCATGTCCGGTGCCTCGTTGAAGGGAACAGCGTCACTGGGGATCTCCACATACGTCTCCAGGTCCTCCTTGAAGTAGCCGCTGCGGTTGCCGTTCCAGAAGAATGTCACCTGCAGCCGCCAGGCCCCACACCGCCATTTCAAAAGATGCAAAGACCTCTTCACCCAATTTTCTTTCCCAAGTGTTTTGAGAGTACTGACTGTCGATCAAACACGGTGCCAAGTTGCATGCAGGACTGATCGCGTTCAAGAAGATCCGGCACCTCAATGTTAAGCAAAGACGCCTTGCACTGTTTGCGGTGCAAAGCAGCTTCGCAATCCTCAAAAGCATCTTAAAGGAGCTTCTGGACATATCCACGATGCTCAAGAGCTTCTAAGCTCCTCAAGCGGCTTCTCAGCTCTGCAAGACAGCAAAGGCAGCAGGGTGGGCAGGAGCGCACGTGGCCAAATTTCTGGGTCTCAGAGCAGGCGAAGGTTGAGACGCCGGCCTTAGCAAGCAGCTCGCCAGAAACGCCGGAGATGGCCGGGGGCGGCACCAGGAACCTCGCCGGCAGCTTCAGGTCACCGTCATACTGCATCATGCCCACAAACCTCGTCTGCACACACACAACACATCCAGTCAGCCACCCGAGTCAAGACCATCAATGGGCCATCAAGAAAAACAGACAGATTGCTGCTACCCTGACAAAGCTCGACTTGCTGACCGACGGACAACAAGACAGGCAGCCCGCGATCTCACCGAGCTGAGGATGAGGTGAGTGTGTGGAGCTGAAAGGGGATCTGTCAGGAAGAGGGGATGGGGGGATCACCTTGGGGAAGCGCTTGCGGTCAAAGGCATTGAACTCCTCGTATTCAAAGGCCTTGCTGATCTCCACCATCCTGTCCGCTCTGAAGTTGAACAGAACCACTGCATCGCCGTCCTGCCCACACACATGACCCCAATTAGCTAACTCACTCAATTGCCAAATAATTTAGCTGTTGTCAACTTCAGCGAGCCAGCTGTTGACATCACAGCCCCAGCTACTGGGCACCAGGGCTTCCTCACCTCGATTGTGCCCACTGCCTTTCCACCGTCGTCTGTGACCACGAAGGGCGGCAGCCACTGGTCTGTTATCGCCTTGCTTCCGTCTCCCTCCTGCCGTGCATGCACCATTCCATGTCAGCAATCAATTTTCAGGAGGACCTTCTGCTTGACCTACTTGACCAAATCATGGTCTTGAGGTGGACTGGGGTGGCCAGAACGGTTGAGGCATGGCTCTCACCCTGAGGGTCTTGATCGCCTCCAGCGCAGTCGTGAACTTGTGCGGCGCCTCTCCGAGCACATGCGCCTGCCAGCCGCGCTCCACAATCTTCCAGTCCGCCTGTTCCACATTCCATCCAGCACGCGAGTCAGAAGCTCCCCTTGCAGGCCAAAGACTTCAGGCTTTTTGACAGCCGTGAGTGAGGCAGCGACAGCTCCATCCAGATGGGATTGGGCAACGCGCAAGCACTTGTTGAAAAGTCAGACATCGTATACAGGCATTTCGCCTTCCATGAGTACGTGCGGTGGGTGTGTCAGAGGGGAATGTACCTCGTAGCGGTCCATGGTGACGTGCATGCGGCCGCCCCCGGACGCGATTTTGGCGTCGCAGCCCGACAGCTCCGCCAGATCCTTCTCCAGCTCCTCTACAAACTTCACTGACGTCCCATCCGGCACATCGCGCCCATCCTGCAGCAGTGCACAGACATCTTACTTTCGTATCTCCTTACCACGCCCTTTTCCTTCTGCTTGCCCCTGAACTTACACCTTACCCTACTATCAGAGACTTCTTCGTTTACTAGGCCTATAAGCTGGAGGACCTTTAGACCATCCTGGTCATCACAGCGTTGTCTGACTCCCAAGAGGGGCAGTTTGGCGGTGCGACATTTGGAACATGCACTGCAGGGCAGAGGTAGTGAAGAAGATAGAGAAAGAGCAGGGCAATGGGTGGGTGGGTGACTAACCGTGAGGATGTGCACGCGGATGCGCTTGGCGCCATCCTTGGCTGCGCCTTTGAGGAAGCCAACGAGCTGGTTGCAGCGGCTGTGCACGCCTCCGTCGGACAGCAGGCCGATGAAGTGCACGGTGTTGTCAGGGAAGGACTCTGAGATGTATTTCCAGCCATCCAGCTCGAAGGCTGAGCCGTTATCCAGTGCAATGTCCACCAAACGGGCACCCTGGTCGATCACCTGACCAGATCCTGTGCATCACACGATGAAATGAACATTCCCACTGTTGCAGCCCTGGTTGTCAAGCCTAGCCAGACCTGCTTTGTATTCTGGCAATATATGGACACACGTCACCAGAGTGAAGGACAGAGACAAACGTACGATGATAGTCGTACCCAGTGCATTGTGTCCGACCTCGCTGTTGCCCATGTCTGCATCACTTGGTAACCCCACTGCAGTGCCATGAGCACGCACTGTGCGCCACCGCCCTGGCACCTCCTTCAGGGCATCTGTGACGGGGGTTTCGGCACTGTGAATAGCATTGAATTTATCCTTGTTTTCGTTCTCACCCCAGCCATCGAGGATACAGACAAGGACTGGCTTTTCTGCCTTAGGGATAGTGTCGTGGGGCTTCAACTCTGTGTCGATCGTCATGGCGACGATCTGTTTCAAGATTTTCCTGTCTTCTGGAGTACTTTGGATGGATGCTTTGTTAGAAATATATTCTTTGGAGGCGATGCAATATGCCCTAGCTCAGCTCATCGGCTTCGAACGAGAGCAAAACCCCTACTCTTATAAACCCTATCTCAATACCAGAAGCAGGAGCAAGCTTTGGTTGAACCAAGTCAGGTCTAATCTAAGGAGGATCAAAACAGTCGTGACGTCCAAGGTTGGTGCTGTGATTTGCAATTGTGACGGGTTCTGGCAGGTTCAGCAACCTAAGTTGATCCCAACATCGGAAGGGCTTTCGTCTGTGCACTGTGCATTAGAACTAGCCAATCGATATGGAAGAGGGCACTGTTGGCCTGTGCGAGGCTCAAGGCGATGAGTCCGATATCAAATACATCGCCACACGACGTCTTTCTTCCACTCAGCTTTTATCCATGTGGTATGCTTCCGGAACTAGGTTCCAGTTTTCGCACAGCTTCTTACGGCGCGAGAACGTTGTAAACGATTCCATAATTCAATATTGCATATTGATGTGGAATTGTTGCTGCGCTGGGCAAACCTCTGCAACAACCTTGTTGGGACTGAAAGCTGTTGTTCTGCAGCTTGGCGATTGTTGTTGAGTCCATGAACATCACGATCGCCTACACAATCGGAGTGTATATGGTCAGAAATTTGCTTCAGGACGCAGATCAAAGCAAAATTGCCACTCTGACAGGACTCCTGGTGAGCACGTTGTCCTGCCTTTCGGTGGGCTGTAACAGTATCGCATCCACTAATTTTCCTGACCATTCTTCCTGGTGATGAACCTCGTTGTAAATCAATTCTCGGGTGCTTGCAGTCCTCCTTTTACAGCCTGGGCCAGCTCACAACAGCTTTCGCTTGGGGCACACTGAGCGACATGTATGGCCGGAAGCGCTTCATTTTGATGAGCAACATTGTGAGCACTCTCAGCATGCTCTGGTTTGGTCTGGCTCCCTCCTACACCAGCGCCGCTGCAGCCCGTCTTGTGGGAGGGCTCTTCAACTGCTCGTTCACGTGAGCGCACTCTCCCATGACATCTGCGCTGAATAACGGGAGATGCTTGGCATTGGGTCAGAAGCTCTTTATCCTCCAGTGCATGGGCTGAGGAACTGACATCCAATGCTCTACAATCTGACTTTCACCCATGCACAGGAACGTGCGGTCCATGATTGGGGAGTCTACTGATTTCACATCACAAGCTGTGGCTTTTGGCTACCTGGGTTTGGCCTTTGGAGTTGGAACTGTGCTGGGTGAGCAGTCGTCCTTCACATTCTCACTTCTCATGACACAGGGCAAGCATGGAAACAAGTACGCTGCCTCTTTTGTTAATGAGTCCGCAGCGAGCCTGATGGCTACCGGTGTGTTTGCCAGGGCCACTGGTGGGCGGAGCATTGTCAATGCCCTGTGAGAATGTTGGGCCTGGGTTTCCACTGTGCGGCGAAGGCCACCTGAACGCCATCAGGTGGGAAGCAGCACTCTCCTTGGCGGACCAAGTGGATGCCATGCATGCCTGAACCCGCTTTTGTGCATTGGCCAGGATGGGTGGACCGAGACGTCTGCTTGAGGATGCACCCCTGTGAACAGTGGGTATTGACATTGACAAAACCAGTGTCAGATGTCTGATGCACACGCAGGAATTGAACATCTATGACATGATGGCAGGCCGTTTTTTCTACCCTGCCTGGTGACCGCGCTGGTGTCAGCGGTGGCTGTGGCCTCCAACGTGTTCCTGATGAGCGAGACACTACCGCGCATCGTGGAGGCGCGCCGAGCCAAGCAGCTGGAGCAGGAGGGCGAGGCGATTGTCCCCCTCCTCATCGACGACCTCACCCCGGGACAGACTGTACCTGACATAGAAGGTGGGCAGCCCATCTTTCATGCTATTTATTATAGTTAACCTGTAACAGGGTGCATGCCATTTGCTTGCATACAATCGGCTGTGAATTGCCATGAAAAGCCTCAATAGTAGTGCACTATGAGCCTATTGCATTGAGCGTTACACCCATTCTGCTGGTCCAGGGGGAGTCCCACCTCCACTGGAGGAGCCGGTCAGCATTGCAGACGAGAGCGCACCGCACGGCAGCATCCCCATCGGCAGAAGCCCTGCAAATGCAGACCGCCTTCCCAGGAGCTTCCGCCCCAAGCACATCGCAACTTCAAGCCCCGACGATGTAAGCCTACCGGACATACATCCTCCTGCATGTGTGCCTTCATCGAAAGGGCGCTGCATGCACTTCATGCAGGACTTCTTTGGCAGGTTGCGCAGCATGATGAAAAGCCAATTTACATGGATGTAGCAGCAGGAAAAATGGAGTGATATGCTGTAATGCAGGTGCCGTTTCTGCAACTGGGCACGCCCTTCTTGATGACCAGCACGGTGTCCGCCAACGTGGCGGATGACATGGCGGAGTTTGAGGCGGACAACCCGGGCCGCTGGACTGAGGAGCGCTTCAGAAGCAGCTCCTCCGGCTTCTTCCGCAGGTGCACCTTCACTTCATTATACACCCCATAACATCCCGAGCCTGCCCCCTGTGGCAGATTTGCCTTCACTTCCTTCTCTGACGCATGCACAGCCTGCCTTCCAGGACTGAGGACTGGTAGCCTTGTTCTGTACAAGAGGTGTCAAGTGAGAATATCACCACAGTGCAGTTGCAAGTGCCGAAGGGATGGACTAGCAGGAAGGAACTGCAGAAGATAAGTGGCCGGCGCTTTTCAGGGTGACCATGGATGCGGCGGTGTCGTCGCTGGCGGCCGCAGATGTGGGCGCTGACGTTCTGGAGGATTTCGAGGCGCGCGGCGGCGGCGGCCGGCACGTGCATGCGCCCGCGCAGCCGCCGCGCCGCGTGGCGCCCACTCATGTGTCCCTGCTGTCGCGCGCCATCCCTCGCAGCGTGTTCGCCGACAGCGAGGTGTGCATCTCCTGCTGCTGTCCGATGATTTCATGCCACTCAAGATCCTGGAGTCTGATGGAGCACTGAACCTGTTTAAGGAACATAAATATGAGCTTGACCTTGCATGGTTGCATCATGCCTCCCGCTAGGCCAATTTAAGGTCCTGTGTCAAGGAGAGCAATGGTTGCTGTGCTGTGTAGCCAAGGGCTCTCCTGTGGCTGGTAATGGCCTATGTGGGGCACCATTGCACTGCAGCCGGGAACAGCTTGAAGGTTTCTGGCATGGTGCAGGAGGGAGGTGCTTCTTCGCCGAATGGGGCCCAGCACCCGGAGCTGGAGGGTATTGCGGAGGAACAGGCGCCCAAGCCTGCAGATGTGGATGCAGCAGAGAATGGGCAGGGCAGCAAGCCCGCAGATGAGGACCCTGAGAAGGCATGGTATAAGGACCCTCTGGTGGGTTGCTCTTTCTGGGAGCTGCACATATTATTTGTTCTGGATGTATAATGCTGAGATGTGCTTAATCAAGCGAAGACCAAAAGCTTGCACCTGTCTCTTCGAGACGCCGTGCAGTCAATATTGAGGATTTAATACACCCACTTCTGTATAGCAGAAGTGTAATGACGAATGTTCGTGCACAGGTGCTGCTCTCGTGCTGTGGGTACATGATGATCTGCTTCATGTTCAACATGCTCGATGAGCTGTTCCCAATCTTCGCAGCAGCCCCCATCGCAACCGGAGGTCAGCACCTGTCCTTCCAAGAACAACTGCTGCTCCTTCCTGCTGCATGCCACCTCCTTGCCACCATGCCTCGCCTTCACTGAAGCCATGTGGCTGCCACGGTACTTGATTCTCTGTAACTAGCAGCCATGCATGAGGGGCCATGAATCCTGGACAATCCCCCAAGCAACTGAAGCACTCCTCTTCCCCTCTCCCAGGGCTGAGCTTCTCGTCGTCGGATCTGAGCCTGCCGCTGAGTGTTTCCGGAGCGGCGCTGATGGTATGGAGTCTCTTCATCTTCCCGACCGTACAGACGGCGCTTGGGGCCTGGATGTGCGCGGTTACGGGCCTGGCCGTCACGGTGCTGCTGTCTGTGGCGCTCGGTTGCACCTCCTTTTTGGCCGCGGCCGGCCTCTCCCACACCGCCGTGCTGACCGCGCTACTGGCGGTCATGGTCCTGAAAGTCTGCGCGCAGCAGATGTGCTTCCCCACCTCCATGGTGCGCCACTCCCTCTTGGTTTTGCCAGCATGCACTATTGACATACTCGATGATGTTTGACCAAGCTCCTCCGCAGAAAAGCACCAAACCAAGGACTCAGCATTATCTCATGAGACGTAAAGCTTGCCATGTGTTGCTCTTGACACTATGGATCAAAGCTCAGCTATGCATGCGCTGTCCATTTTGCCGGGCATGCGTTGCACGGATGCACCTGGTGATCACTCTTTGGTGTGCGCGCAGGCAATTGTGAACCGCTTTGCGCCGGCGGCCTATCGCGGGGCGGTCAACGGCACAGCGCAGTCAATGGCTTCGGCTGTCAGGGCGCTGGGCCCTTTCCTGGGGGGCGTGATGTGGGCAGTGTTCTCTGGGCTGGATGTTCCAGGGCACCAGCTGTTCCCCTTTGTCATTATCAGCGTCACGTCAGCGGCAACTGTACTGTTGTACCAGTTCCTGCCCCGCATCTGAAATGTCCGGAGAAGTCTGAGGTCTTGTTCAGGAAGACACAAGTCAGAAAGCTTGTTCCTGCAGTTGCTTCTTGTGCTGCAGAAGTGTACTGGTGGAGTGATCGAAGAGAAGTTGTGTGCCAAAGCGCGCATTGAATACTGTCAACATTGCAACGTCACGAGTGAGCTAGTAGAATGGAATGGAATGGTGCATGCGGTGCATCTTAAGGACTTGGTGAAAGCAGACATGCTGTCCAGGGAGCATTTTCCAGAGACTGAAGTACAGACTTGTACTGTTGAATGATTTCAGTCCAAGGTGCTGATGTCCTGCAGAAATCCAGAGATTCTGAAGATTATTTCTTTGCCCTATTCTGGAACAATTTACAGATGAAGTCCCAAGTTGTCTGTAAGACAAGCTGGATAGCTTGCCAGCGTGCCAAAAGTGTTTGTTATACTGTTTAACCTTTTACTTGTTTGTGGCACAATGATGCTTGAGGCAAGAACCCGGGTTCCTCGAGTATTTTCAGCTTATGAGCTGGTATGTCCAGCATTGAGGAGGAATGAAGTTGGTGCTTTTAGGCCAAGGGTGGGGATTAGGAATCCCTTGCCCTCAATTGATAATGAGCTGGCGTTTGCAATCCCTGACCCACTCTGCTTCGTAATTTGGCGGTCACAAATAAGCCATCGTCATAATATGCGTATATTTGAAATGAGACGCTTAACATGCTGGAAACACCTGTACTCATGAGGGGTCAAGAAACACCTAATGCAGAACTGCGCAGCATGCTTATGACATTGAAAGCTGTAAACGAGTCTGTCATGTCTGGCACAAGAAAATTATGATATCATCACTGTGGCACATTCTGCTCAAGTCAAGCACAGTTGTTGAGAGCCCACAAGCTAGCGCAGTGCTGAGAGCAATGTCAATATCATCACAGCATTGCAGTTGCTCCCTTGGCCTGTGGGATTTACTACCTAGGGTCAGATTGACAGGTACGTATATCACACTTGTTCAGGCCCTGAGACACCGCTGTTAATACTGAGTTAGCTGAAATTCTTCATCTATGCTGGGACGGTCCAAATTTGCATCTGGTCCAAATTGATGAGCAGGTTAATCTGATTTATGAACAATTCAACTTCCTTGGCCTCTTCACCCATTATTCCTGCCGTGTAACATCCCTTCTCTCCATGTCAAGAGTATGTTCACATGTCTGCACCAGAACATTGCTGCAGCGCTACAACTAGCTGCTCAAAGCAAGATAACCTCATCACATGTCATAGAACACCAATAAGCCTGGCCCCACACCCAACAGCAGGGAACAGCAGGGGCAGGGTCTGGCACATCTGACCACAGGACACTGTCATGACTGGTCACAAATCAAATATCCTTCTGCTTGTTTCTGTCCCTGCTCGTGATCTTGGTGAGATTCCCAGGGCGGGGGCCGATGCGGCCAGTCGCAGTGTCCAGGTACTGCGCTGTGCTCAAGTCCACCTTGCTGAACCGCACCTGCAGGGTCAAACACTCGTCACTTGCAGGCTCCCAGAGTGCATATTGTGCATTTAAAGTGCTCACAGACAGCCGCTGCCGCACAGTGCAGATCGCTTGGCTCACAAGCAGCGAAGCGCTCGAACCACTCCAGGCCATGAGCAAAAAGATGCCATGCTGCAAGTAGCATGAAGGATTCCCTCACAACGCTAGAGGGGACAATGAAGGTGTGTGGGGCTTCTGAGTTGTCAGCCTCAGAAGTAGATAGGAGCGGCACGCCATGCCAGGCAAAGACTTGAGAAGTAGGCTCAGTGCAAGGCCTTATTGCCTTCGTTCAGTGCTAGCTTGGAGAGCAGAAAGTCGTCTGGCAAGTGGCGGCAGCACACCGTGCCGAGGAGGGACTCTGGGAGCTCGTCGCGGGTGTGGCCCTCCAGGACAATGCCCATATCCACGACGAGGCTCTTGGTGGCGCCTTGCACCAGGCCCACCACTGTGGCCGCCACGCTCGAGGATCCCACGTCTATGTCCACCTCCACGTACCCATCACCCCTGTCCAGACAGCGTCACTGTTCAGGCAGCGTGGCTCTCTTTTCCGCAGCACTGTTTGCCATCCAGCTCTTATTGATGCGTTCAGGCCATGCGCAATGACATGCCTTTGGCCAGCATGCAAGTGCGTGCATTCAAACCAGGATTCTAGGAAATTATTGGTCCCACACAGTATGGTATGGCTGGTTATATAACACTTTATCAGGATAGTTAAGGAATATGCAGCTGACAGGTGAAGGTGGGCACGCACTGGAAGTATTTGGCGGTGAGCTTGTTGCCGAGGAGGCAGGGCGTGGTGCCCACGGACTGCTTGATGATCCACGACCCCTGCGTGACGCGCGGGATCAGCTTGAACGTCGCGTTGCGCTCCCTGTCGCCCCCCGCCAAGAACCTACAATCGCGGCATCCATTCTCAGCGCTCGGCAACGTCTTTCCCGTGCGCATGACAAGCAAGAGTTCCCATTGCTGGCATCAAGATGCAAGTCCCGTGCAATGCTGCCCAGACAATGGTGCCAAGCCACCACTGGAGCTCACACACTGACACCGTAAAAGCAGCAGCATTGGGAAGCCTCCCAGACATTGCTGACCGCTTGCTGGGGCATTGCTCGTGGGAGGGGGCATGCACCTAGCGAGGGAGAGGTCAAAGGGGGAGTCGGGGTCGGAGGCGCGGCCGTTGTCGCTGCCCTCGTCCAGGCTGCCGGGGCCGCTCCCACCGCGCGGTGTCGGCAGGCTCGACAGCCCGCTCGATCCAGACCTGCATTACCCCAATGCAAACCCGCTCAAATTAACTCCCTCAAGCGGACGTGCTTGAGAGTCCCCGACTGCGGCGAGAAACTTGGAAGAAGGCCCAGCCCGACAACCTCTGTCCTTTGGACAGAAAAGTATTCTCCCGGCATGCACCGCCGCCCCTGTTGCTTTTAAAGTCAGGCCACATGCACTGTGCAGCAAGGGGATGGGGCTCCCAGAGAGGCAGAAGGCCAGACTGATGTAAGAGCAAGGAAGATGGGTGGAGGGGCATGCCTGTTGAGGCTGGGCACGGCGCTGTCTGACTGATCGGCGTCGGCGGCCCAAGACATGACGAGGGAGAAGGGCTGCGCCGAGGGCACCATGATGTTCACAATGAACGTGAACGGTGCCTTGCTCTTCCTGCATGGGCAGCCAGCACTTCAACACTCCTGGGTCCAAAGCTGATAGTTTTGGGCATGCAAATACAAAGCCATTACACAAGTCTCGGTGCTCAGAAGCTAAAGGAAGATGGTGATCGGAGCAACCTGCAGTAAGCAAGGTGCCCTGGGTAAAGGTGGCCACAAGATTGCAGGGCATCTTTCATGCTGCAACCAAGAGGCAAGACCGAGCTGCAGAAAGATAAAGTTCGATTGGAAGGATGGGGTCAAAGGAAGGCAGGGGCTCACTTGAGGGAGGGCAGGTAGCGGGCGATGTGGAAGGTTGGCGTCTCCATCTCCAGCAGGTCCACAGCCGCCAGCGCAAATAGAGGGTCGTCTGCTAGCACCTTCTTCTTGTCGCGCAGATAGTTCGGCCCCCGCACCTGCGCTCATGCCACAAATAGTGCATCAAGTTCATGCAGGTTATTTGATTTTCTGGCTATGCCACCAACTGCCATCAAGCTGTGTTGTTGAAGCCCCACTATCTGTTCTACCAACTCCCATCAAGTTGAGTTGATGACTTTGCACTGGCAGAGCACTCTCCACCAGGCCGATGAAGCCTGCGTGCACAGGAGAAAGCAGTCAATGATGGGCACATGCAGATCTGTGTAGACAACCTAGGAGGATGGAACACCTTGAAGCCTGCGTTGCCGGGGCAGCTCCAGAACTGCTTGTCGCAAGTGCCGGTGGCGCAGGCAGTCGGGTCGGCTTCAGGCGCCTCCTCTGCCAGCAGCCCATCGCTCTCCGACGGACCCTCCTGTGCCGCCCCATCCTCGCTTGGTGCATCCACCCTGCACAGCAGCGCCGCACTTTTGTCAGGCATCTTTTTCAGTAATTCGGCAGCACAACTGTGCAGCTTGTGAGCTCCCAGTCCCATCCACACCTGTTCTTGGCTACTCTGCATGAAGGTGGTTGGTTTAAAATTCGGCAAGCTAATTTGATTATCTACAAGCAGTGAGCGTGGCCAGCACATGTAGAGCGCGTTGGGACTTTGGCACAGAATGGGTGTCAGAGGCGCGCACTGGGCGGGTGTGAAGATGGAGGTGGTCTTGCGGCTCGCGAGGCGGCTGGTGCGCGCCAGGCGCTCGGCAGCTGTGTTTGAGGGCGAGGGCGTCGGGGGCGGCGCCTCGTTGGAGCCCATCAGGAATGGGCGCGTCACGAACCGCTCAGCCTCCGCCTGCGCTTGCAACGGCCAGAATATTTGCTCATCGTGACAAGACAGCTGATAAGAATACAGCATTAAAGCAGGAGAAAATGCACATTGGAGCCAGATTGCAAGCGAAAGAGTAGGGAAAAGAGCTGCTTATCAGTTAACATGAAAAGAATTTGACGGGACAGCAGCATCAAATCAGAGACAGTGCACGAGTCTGGATGCTTCACAGGGTCCGAAGAGACCCTGCAGGTGCAAAGCAGGAGGTTTACGAATATTGCACATAAGAGCAGTGGCTGACCCGGTTGCGCAGCATGACGTTGTGGTGCACGACTGGCTTGATGACGGTGTACCAGATGGAGCTCCACCTCAGCAGCGGCTGCGGCAGGCTGGTTGTCAGCATGTGCCGCACCCACCCGCCCATGTCAGCCTGCACCGCCACAGATCGCCATTTACAGAAAGGCACTCACCAGCAATGACAAGAAATGATTTATCACACCCAATTGTGCCTTCCTTTTTGCCACGAGCCCTGGAAAGGTAGTGCAGCAATGGGATGTAGGGCTCCTGAGCACGCAGCGTCATGCCAAAGGCTAGAACACTGGACAACACTTATCTTGCAAGGCAGACGTGCACGGACAGCTAGATTGCGACGCACCTTTATGACGTGCGTGATGAGGGTCTCCTGGCTGCTGGCATGGTTGGCATACTGAGCTTGCAGGGGCGCCAGAGTGTACCCAGAGAACTCAATCTGTAACAAGCATGCAATTTATAAGAAACACATTTCCCTGCACAGCTGCCTTGAGCGCAGAAAAAAGCATCCATAAAGAGGCACCCACCTCTGCGCGGATGGGAGAGGTCCATTGGTAGAAGGGCGGGTCTGTGCGGGGGACCAATGGGTGGTCTATGCTCTGCATCAGCACCACATAGGTCCCATCGTCCTCCCTCCTGCACAGCACCATCGCATAGACACCCTCAGCATATGCTGTCCCAAGCAAAGCAACCATATCCGGGCAGAAGCACCAATAGTCACAACCAGCATTGTGATACAAGAGGCGCTCCGGAAAATGAGCTGATGCTCTGCAGGCCTGTGTCTAGAGCCCTTTCTTTAGAGAATGCTTTCAGTCTTAGATTGCCCTAAAAATATGCTGGCTCTGCATGCAGTAGGAGATGGGGCCAGGGGCGCTGACCTCCAGGTGCGCTTGACCACCACATCTCTGGGGGCCAGCAGGGTGGCGGCCCAGCCGCCGGGCACCCAGCGCCCAGTGAAAATGACGGTGTGGTCGTCCGCCTGCTCCAGCACGCGCGAGGACTGCAGCCCAATGTTGGACGCGCTGCGAAGGATGTCATTCTTCAGCAGCACCTGCCGGCACATGCCCACACCCTCAGCCCAACTGGCCCTTGCAAGACCCTGCTCAGGACAACCATTGATCGCAGCGCAGGGCCTGAGCGGGGCGGCAGAGTTTTGCCACACTGCTCAGGAATATGAAGAGGTGTGATTGCAGTGCACAGAGGCTGGTCTTTCTGAAGGTGGAGAGGCTGAGCGGCTACCTCAGTCACAAGGCTGGGTGGCGCATGGACAATGAGGGAGACCATAATCACATCCTCGTTCTCCTCGCTTGTGCCGAAAAAGACTGTGACGCCGTCGTGGCAGTACCACGCCTCCCACAGAGTCATGTCCATCCCGGGAGAGTGCACATCTGCGCATCAGGCCCACCCATTCAGGACCCTCAACAAAATCGGCCACAAAGACAGATCGCGCATGGGCTCATCGATTTGAGCAAAGCCTACAAAGGTTTGTCAAAGACGATGAAGGTATGTACCTGTTGGGCATGTCATGGATGGCTGTTCCAAGTGACTCATGTCCAGACCCTGCACCGCATGAAACAGAAGGCAGCTCAGCAGCACACCTTTGAATGCACGCAGAGATGCTCTTGATAGCCCTTGCTTGCAAAGGCTGGCAAGACACATCAAGACTCCCCTTGATTGCAGACAACCACATTGTGCATCAGCAAATCTGCAGGCGCAACAATGGCAGATTGGAAATACTTGAGTAGGGGCACCTCTGAGAAGTAGGAGGGGGCCGCCGACATGGCTGGCGGCGTGGCAGAGTCTGGGGACTGGCCCAAATCGCCGTCAGTGTCAAGGGAGGGAGTGATCACAGAGATGCGCGGGCGCTGGCCTCGCTGCAGAGCTGGTGTGTCTGGTTGGTTGGAAGACCCACTCCTCGGCTGCGCACATGCTTTCAACATGGCTAGAGGCATTTGGGAAGCGTCTCTAAGCACACGTCAAAATGTATGCATGCTTCTTCGTCGCATGTTGATGTGTGAAAGAGGCGATGGTGCTGCCTGAAAGCTACATGCACTTTCTGAAGGACTACCTTCTGTTCCCGGTAAAGAAAATATACATGGAGGAGGTACCTCAGCAGCAGCTTTGGCAGCAAGATCCCCAATGACTGTCTGGAAAGTTGTGTACCACAATCGCGCTTCCTCCTCGTTGTGGAATGCAAGCGTGACTTTGTCTGTGTCCTTGATCAGGTGCTTGCCGTTGTGGAGCTTGAAGCAGAACTGCAGCCACACATCCTCTTCGTCCAAGGCATGATAGGCGGTCGGATATCCTTAGGTGAAGAAGAGGGTTTGTAAGTCAAGACGGCAGGGAGAACAACACCCACCAAATCGCGCTCCTGATAGTTCCCCTTTGCAAGAGCGAGAGCCGAGTTGTTCCTCCCTTCGTCGAGGATTCTGAATTTTCGTTCTTTCAAGATCCCAAGTCTGTACCGGCGGTTGAGGGTCCACACTTGAGTCAACTTGTCTGAGGTTGCTTTCCTGGTGGTTCCAAACTTGTCCCTGCGAATCAAATGGCACAGTCAAAATCAATCAAGAAATTTTGAGCTGGAACACATAAGAAACCAAGTCCAAACTAAGCTCCCTTCGTGCTCAAGGTCAACATCTGCTCCTTCACAAATCTCACTAAGTACTGCCTTCGTTGGTAAAAAGGTCCGGAAGGGGTTCTGCGGATGCTATCAAGGATTAATTTTGCCAGTGTCGGCGATGAGTCCATAACGTCCCTCACAAAAGGACGACTTCTTTGCTGGACCGTATGTCTGAGCTTTCAACTCCCCTTCACTCACAGCAAGCTCAGCACATAATGCTATCATCACGAACCGGTGGATTAGAGGCCAACAATCGAGTCTTACGGATATAAGAACGCCTTTCGAGGCTTCAATATTCCAGGGATGACAGCTGACTCCCGCAGTATCCACGTTTCTAAAAGCGGTGTGCTGATCTCCGTGCTAGAATCCTCTGCAACAGTCTGCATGCTGTGATGATGCTTGTCTTAGACCCAACATGGATCCATCACGCCAGAACGACAGTGTACCGGTACTCCCTGAACTCCTTGTTTCGAGGCATGTGGGTAACACAAGCGATTCTTTAAACGTCCTTTTTCGCAAGTGGCGATGCAGATGTCTGCAGGTTCACAGGGATGCAGAAAAGTGCCGAAAGGCTTTGATTCTCCAAAGTCGTGATTGGGAAGCAGTGCATGGTCACATGACCCCCTCACGTGCTCCAATATGATATTTGTCGGAGCGTCCCAGAATTTCTAGCCCAACGTGCCTTTCACAGCAATGGCACATGGCACAGCAAATTTCACCTCCAATGCAAACGCTGCCTTGTCACCACACCCTCCGATCCCTCATTTCCGAGCTTTTCACCCTCCTAGCCTCCCCTCTTTCCATGGGTCTCCCTACTCAGCGCCGGTCGCAACGTGCCACTCGCCCCTCGGTGCGCCTTGCCCCTTCCTCGTGCCCGCCTCAGCGCCGCCCTGACCGCTACCACCGCCGCTTTCGCGCAACCCCTTGCACTACGCCCTCCCGGGACCCCGGCCGCCCACCCTCCGCCACTTCCGGTGTCGCCCCCACCCCTGCGATGCTCCACCCGCCTATGCCGCCCGTCCTCAACTTTCCTCCTTTGCATTGGGCAAGAATGAGAGCTTGAGGGGTGGGTCAAGATGTCCTCTTCACACGTACGTGTGAAACATCCTTAGGGGATGTCCCCCTGGCTGAGTGGCAGGGAAGAGGCGGGTGTGGTGGCAGGAGATTACCATGTAGGTGATGGGGATGTCGCAGTCTCTGACGTCGCAACCGTTCAGCTCGCAGATCGCCTCCACAATCTGAGGGATCTCCAGGCGCTGCACCTGCATAGCCACATAGCTTGCATGTTCAGTCAGGTCCTAGCCGCTGTTTTTAGACTGTTTGCAGCGCTGCATGGTACTTGCGCCTGCTCCCTCCTATGCGCTGGACAGATAGCAGGGATGGATTTTTGTTTGTACAAATGTCATGGACATGGCATGAAACTGTACCTCGAGGTACTGTCAAGCTGCTGAAAGAACTCTGGAGGAGCAATCATGGAGTCAAGCTAAGGCGCATCATCATGTACAGATATGCCATCATAAATTGCAATGGATTGTGCTTGGGATTTTCTTCTAAAATTGCATGCTCTATTGTGCTCGTAGATTTAGTCTGATCACTACAATTGTGTGCAAAGATGGCATGTCAGCGCCCCCTTCAAGTCCTGCACAACCCCAACAGAACATCCAAGCTATAAAGCAGCTGAAGTGCAAGCAAGTTCTGCTGAGACAGTGAGGCACATGCCAAACTTGTGATATCATGTCAGCCATGCTTGTTATGAAAAGTAGTGGCAGACGCGCGCTGATTTGAGCAGTGCAAACAAGTGTCGAAGCAGAGCGAGCTGCAGGTATGCATGGCTCACTGAGACGCACCCCCAAGATCTCAAACCGGTGGGCCTGCGGCGTGATGTGTGCGCCACAGCAGGACAGAGATTCGTCCAGCGAGCCAACAACAGCTGCTACGGATGGGCTACTATGGCTGAAACCGACATTTTGGGTCACATCCGCCCCTGTATGTGCCTGACAAGGAGATGAGAATTCCATTTGGGCAGAATGCAAGCAACACAGCACATCTTGGGGTCCATGGCAAGAACCTTAGGACTCACCCAGAATCATATAGGGCTCACGCACCTGGCATTCTTCCAGACAATGACAGGATCCGGCACAGCATTCTGCATGCATGGGCCCAGTACTCGTGTCGCAATCATTCAGGATGTCATGCGCTAGTTGGCATGCCGGAAGTTAAGCACCCTTGCCGGACATTACCAGCTCAGAGCTCTCATGACATGATTATGCCAAATGATGAGAAAATCACCTGGACAGCTCAGACGCCAGTGGCTTCTCCGGGGCAGGAGGAATACTCTGCAGCGAGCGACAAGTTTGCAGAAATGTAGCCAGGCAATGCTGAAGTGGCCGCCGAAGGTGAGAAGCTTTGAACGCACCAACCTGTTCGATCGCGACCAACCCCTTACCTGAAGTGTGGCGCAGAATATCTGTATCTGACTGTCACAATGGCCTCCACAACAAGACAACCAGCTTGGGCCACCGCCGCGGCCAAGCCCCGCGCCACTGAACGTGATGGGATGACAGTAGGGAGGGAAAAGGAGGCTCAAGAGCAACGAAACAGCAGTTTTCTTCAAGTTTGTCGCGGATAGATTGAAGCTGCTGAGATCATGAAAGGTTTGTCTTCTCTTCTCTCTGTCGCCAAGTTGGGGAGGGAAGGGCATGGGAAAATAGTTTAAGCGGGCTTAGTTGTCGATCGTGTTTGCCTGTTTTGGCAAATGTCTTATGACGAACAGATATTGTGAATCTTCTGTGAAGACTCAGGAATCGATAGCACGAAGCTAGAACCAGCTTTACGCTCTCGTTGCTCCCTTCATCGCGATCAGGGAGCAGGCAACGCTCAGGACAATCTTCTGCCTCCAGTTCGTCGCTTCAAGGTGGAAATTCACTCGCTTGTTGCTTGCTCAAGATGGTGGTGCCAGCAACTCTGGAAGCGCTTCTGGTGCTTTAGAAGAGCAATTAAGGACCGCCTTTAGTTGCAATGCTGATTGAATGTTCAGCGGTACCTTACCGCATGAGCAGACTGCTCACTTGAAGATGTGATGAGGCTCTTTGTTCTGATCGGGTGTTTGGGTTCTCGGATCAGGAATGGCGACGCCTCCAGCCCATGCAACAAAGCTGCAAGCGGACAGCGACGCATCCAGAAACCGGATGGACATCAAGGCCAAACTGGAAACTCCGTCTGGCTCAAGGTTATCAAACAACGTGCCCCTTGTCTGATATGGCTAGCGCTACTTGCTGTCAACGCCGTCGTTCCCCCAGGCTTGTTGTGTATTTTTACAATGCCGTGGGTGATATGTCTGTTGCTGCCTGCAGCTCTCCGTTCTCCTCAGACGTTGCACATTTCCCTACTGGCGACTACGAGACCATCGGGCAAGCACCACTCAATTGTAGCGCTGCTCAGCTCAGCGTTCTGCAAACTCTCCTCTGTCCAATGTAATGAAGTCACATTGCATCCTTGCCAATTCCTCCTCTGAGAGGAAAGTCTGGGCTGCAGGTATCTGAAGATTCCTTCAACATATCCAGAACATTTTGAGTTCAAAGCTAGGGTATACAAAACGAGTGAGGGCTGGAGCGGCTACTTCCCAAACATCCCTATCGCAAATGCGACAGGCGGTTCAGATTGGCAGGACTGGAAGGGAGTGAAGGCAGAGCTGAAGGTAAGTAGGGCAAATTCATTTTGCTAATGGCGTGCACTTTTGTGTAATGCTTGTGCGTCAATGTGAAACATCTTCTCACCGGTCGAGTCTGAGAAGGGCGCTTGCTCTGGAATGCAGGCCCTTATGCTGGATCTTGTGGGAGTACTGGTGTATCAGGGCATGGACCCTCCTGTTCCCATGTGCAAGGAGGTCGAGGACAAGCAGGGAGTCACAGGCATATCTCTCACGCCGCAGCTGACGCAGGACTCTGAGCGTGTGTGCACCGTCAAGGTATCGGTCAAGGAAGCGTGCAAGCTCTTTGTGTCCAGCCCACCTCCCTGTTTTGAGGATTTTAGAAGACTTGTGAGTGTCAAGCATTCCAACCAGATGAAGGTGCTCTTTTCCCAGGCATATTGGTGACCTGGCAAAGGAGCTAGTGTGTTTGTCTTCTTCCCTGAACAGTTAGCAATATGCTGAGAAAACACAATCATAGGGCTCAATTTACTTCGGTGCAGAGCTGCTGAGAATGTTGTGAAGATAGTCGTCAATAGTGATTGTTGGTTCTGCCAGACTGACAGGTACCGGTCAGGTGAAACATGCAGCACAGTACATGGAATCATATTTGTGGAAGCCGAAAGCGACCCAAATCCTGCAGATATCATCCATATACTGTAAATCATATATGATTGGGCAACACATTGGTGCAAGCTTCACAACGAAATGATTCCGAATCATTTCATCAGAGTCTGCCTGTGCCCTGAGTCCCTTGACCAACGCTTCTGTGCATGTATGCAATGCAATTCTTTCTGCTCCTGTGCCGGGGAATTATTGAGATGTTCCTGCATAGCATTCAGTTGCAAGGCAGCCCTTGCTGTTATGCCTCTCTCTCTCCTCCCCTCTCTCTCTCTCTGATTAATGCATTGCTTTGCCCGTTGGTCATTTGCACTGAGATTTCCTTGATTACAACACACTATTCTTTCTGCAATGCTGGAGCAGAAAAGACAGCATCCGCACTTTGAGAGCAACTCATATTGACTGCTTTGCAAATATTTCCTAGTTATCTGCTGCAGGACTGGATTGGATCTGCACTGCAGCAGGCAATACAAATGGGTACCAGCAGGCAAATTATCCCATCGTAATTTCCTACCCCTTTGATGTGACATTGCATAATGCTCTGGATCCTAAGGCACTCTGAGATGATATTTGAGACCATATCACCATCCCTAATATTAGTGTGCAACCACCAAAAGTAATAAGTCCAAGGGCACATGCAACATAGCTGTTGCCGCGGCCAGTACGGCCCAGACAGAGAGTGCTCTGTCTGGCAGCTGCATTTACATTGCCTCATATAACAGACAGTCACCATCCACCGCGTATCGGCCACCTTCGTTTTACCAATTCACCACTGTTCCGGGAGAACATGACTGCTCAAGACTCGATCTAGGAGGTCCAGCACATATGCCGGAGATGTCGCCTGGGCCAGAAGGGGCCCTGTCAGCATGAGGTCCCCTGCATGGATCTTTGGCAAGTCGCCTTCAGTCACACTGCCCAGGATGAGCTGCACTTCCCTGTCTGGCAGCTGCACCAGTTGCGCCAGAATATCACCATCAATCGCTCGCAAGCTGCCACCTGAAGAAACAAACCAGAGGTGGTTTTAAGGCACTTGGCATGGGAACACAGCAAGGAGGAGCTGAAGCACGACTGTGACAGAGGTGCCAGATTGCTCCAGGACATGCACTGCACTCATCGCTGAGGCGTTGCATTGCACGCAGAGTCAGTGGCACAACTAACACCTTCAGTGGGCTAAGAAGGCAAATTCTGGTAATGTATGGGCCTTTTGGGTCTCAAAACCAGCCATTGGGTCGGACTGTGAAAGACAGCACCTGCGAGGCCGTGGGCTAGGGTCTTATTGCCGCCAGCGCTGGCCTCAACTGCGGATCGGAAGGCGCTGTGGCTGGCCCCAGAGAGCGGCCCTGCCAGGCTGCTGCGCGCCAGGGCGGCCTCCACGGCTGCCAGCACAGCATAGTCCCCCGCACTCAGCGCCGATAGCTGCACCAGAGCGCCTTCTGCCGTGCACACAATTGGCGCCGTGCCCCTCGCCTCTTTGCCGATGCAGGTCAGACTCCCTGTGGCACATGAGGGACAATCTTAGTCACCTCATCTGAGTACGACCGGCCCTGCAGCTCTGCCGCAGCCTCTATTAAACCTGATGGGTCCATGGTACTATACAGACAGGCAGTGATGCAGGTCAGCCAAGGACATCCGCAGCGGCAGTCATCTCTCAAATGAGCAGGAGATCCGCAGTGTCTCTTTCAGATGTCAGTTCCTGAAGAGGTGATGTCAACAGCACGACAATGTGTCCATAGCATTGAAAAATGTGCCAACAGCTGGGGAGCCCAATCGCTGCATTCAGCTTAGCCTGAGTTGTGGTGCAAGGGCTCACCTTCAACAATACACACGCCAAGTCCTCGGCAGTGGAAGTGCATGTCCATCTGCATGTTGCGCTGCAGGCCTCGCTCGTCACGCTCAAAGCGCAACCCGTACAGACCCCCATCCGCATCCAAGCACACAGCGCTCTGCACCAGTCACGCAAATTTAAATGAAATGCTTCAAAGGCGAGCAGCATGCCTTTTCCCCTTTGATCAGTGGAGCTAAGGACACGCTAAAGAATTGAGAATGAAGCAGTGGATTGCACAGATACTCTGCAGGGCATTTTGGTGGGCGTGCAGCTGTGCACCTGTGGTGTCTCAAGTGCTTCATCTCCCCGGCACTCCGAGGTGATCAGGCAGGAAGCTGCGCGACGGCTGCATGGGTCCGCGCAGAGCACCTCGAACCCGCTGTCGGGGCTGTAGCTGTACAGCGTCACAGATTGTGTCTTCCCTGCAGCCGCAATGATGCCGTCCCCTGACACTGAAAGGGAGATTGCCTCCTCGCGCATAGAGGTCCAGGCATTTGCCCCAAGGCGGGTCCTCTGGCCATCTCTGATGCAGTCAAAGCGGGCCAGGCGGTTGCCCACAGCAGCAACGAGCGCGTTCTCATCCGCACCCCTGCATGAAGCGGTCTGCAGTCATGTGCAGGGAAATGGGATATTTGCTGAGCAAATAAGAACTGCTGTTTCTGTGGCAGGATGTTCACCTAACAATTTCCCAAGTCACTCAGATGGAATGAAAGCTGGCGTGATACGGCGCAATACCAGCATTACCTCTGATGTCATTCGCATGCATGCAGGGCACTGCACGATTTCGGGTGGCTCACCTGAGGTAGGCCACGGCTTGGACAGGATCTGGCAGCATGAGGTTGGCCACAGGGCTGATGCCGTATGCATCTGCGCTGACGACCATGATGTGGCCACAGGCTGGCATCCCTGGCCCAGGATGATTGTGCTTCACCACCTCGAAGCCCACAGCAAAGTAGGCGCGCTTGCACCTGTCCTGCAATTAGCATGATATGCGGGGTTGTCAAGTCCAGAAGTACTCGTTGCAGGTCCATCTCTGAGCCTCTGGAAAGCACTGCACTTGTCAGCCAAGACATTTAGCGGTGAGCAAGGGTCCAGAGATTCGGCATGCATGGCGAACCTCATTGTTGAAAGAAAATTCCATTGCGGCGAAGCAAGTCACTCGCTCGTTTCTAGGGAATTCAAACCTCCCAATGGCCATGCTTTGCAACAGTTCTGGTTCCCCTACAAGCAAAAAAGGCACACAATGATTCATTTGCTCGTAAGTCTGGCTCCGCATGAAGTGCATAATCCATTACAGAAGCAGGAGTGCAAATGGTATGAGCATATGCAAGCAGACAACGTCATGTACTGCCATACTGCACCAAAGGTAGTACAGAGGAAAGTGGGCAGGCCTGCCACGAGCGTCATGTAGCTGCCTGCGCGGCCAAAAATGTCCTGGGGACAGTGCAGAGGATCCTCATTGACGCACTGGCGGTCCACAACAACGGCCGCAGTCCCTGACCACCTGTGGGTGGCAATGCACCTTGGGGTGCCATCCAAGGGGTACGTGGATGCACTGAAGGGACTGGCTTGCTTCGGCTTCACCAGCCTCATGCTGGCATCTTCATCTACCATCATGAAGCTGCACCTGGCACACATGGGGAATTCATTCAAGTACAGCAATGCTTGCCATGCTCTCGTGCAGGCAGATGAACATTAACAAGGTATACTTGTGCTGTCTTATCACCAAGCACTGCAGAAAAGGGGCAGATGTCTACCTTGTGGACTTCCCGCTGTCTATGTCTGACAGGTCCATCAGAGGGACTGCATGGGAGACCATGAGCTGGTCAGCCATGTCAATGTAGTCCAATTGGATCCTGCCGCTCCCAGGTGAGAAGCTCAGGAGGGACACTCGCTCTCCAACAGCAAGCGCATCTGCCTGTGTGAACAAGCACAGCTGCAGTAAGTAAGACGAGCACAACTGCCCTGAGCACGGCAGAAAAGGAAATTAGGTTGTATCGATATGTCAATGCAAGCAAAGTATGCATAGTGATAGCGAGGGCCTTGAGATGTACCTGCATGTCAGTGGGCAAAGGGGTCAGTCGGACTGGGACCGCTGCAAATCTCCTGACGCAAACAACTCGCATCTGCCAGTTGGACGCAGCAACGTCCTCGCTTGAAGAGGCTGCACTGCATTCCTGCACATGCATAAGAGCTTCTGACCTGAGGGATAAGCGCAGCGGCGTCCCAACGCAGAGCCTTAATAGATGTTGCAAGGGTACTGAGACGTGCTATCAAAGCATGCCTGAGGAAGAAGGTTCAAGCAAGCGCTTATGCGGCCTGCTGTGTTCTCAATGGCGACCTCAGTCCCACCATTGTGTGTCTGTCCAAGATGAACTTGTGTGATGAGTCCACTCCGCCACCCAACAAGCCCCTGCAAATGACAAAGAGACATATGACAGCTGCATTTCGCACATTAAAATGTCCTAAAATTCTAGATGAGCGCAAGAAGCATCACCTGCATCCGTGAATGTGATCCAGACCCTTTGAGGAGCAAGACGCTCTCTGGCACATCTGTCAGATCTGCGGCAGAGCCCAAGCTCGGTAGCAGTGGACATATGGCCTCCTTTTGCAGGCGGCACAATCGCTGAAACCGTGCCGAGGTGCATGCGTCTCCGCTGTGCTGGGTTTCCAACATCAGCAACTCCACAGCAGGCTCGTATGTGCCCACAATGCACATCAGTCCTGCAACACACTAATGCATCTGTGATTTGCATTTCTGGAACCCAATAATGTTCAAAATCTATATTGGGAACCCCTTCGGCACCTGCCCCATGCACGCACCTTCCGGGACACTAAGGGCATGCATACAGGACAGCTCAGCGTCTATTCCCATCTCAGCTGCCTGTATTAACCGCTGGTTCAGCACTCCTCGCTTTCGCTTGCCAGAGGAAAAGTTGCCACACCTGCGCCAGCCACAACATCTGCATGCCAACTCTTCTACCCATTGCATGAGCATTACAGCTGTGAAGAAAGCTAGCAACGAAGAGCTTGTCCCATGCTCGGTGACCCTGAGGACGAACAAACCACCACTGGGACAAAGATACTCACGCTGATATGTCCTCATCTTGGATCAGCGCCAAGGCTGTCAGCCTCCTCAGCTTGGGGCAGGCGATCAGCACAAACCCCTCCAGCACACAGGCACATGAGATTGTCGCCCCTCCAGGTGGCGCCCACACCATTCCCTTCTCCCTTCTCTGCATCCAGCACAGCCTCCATCAGGTTCTAGGGTCTAATACTGCAAAGGTCTCATTCTGTACTCACATCATGAGGAATATCAATGTAATGCAATTATGTGCTGATCAACGCACACCAAAGCACCCTTTTAGTTACCTGAGGCATGGTATCGAGTTTCAAGCTGGAGAAGGCCTCTGAGGGCTCTGCAGCACTGTCTGCGCAGGACCAAGCCCCGTCCGCATGTGCCAGCCGGGCACTGACTGACTCCTCTGAGCTGGTGATGGATGGCTCAAAGTCCTCATCAGAAGGACTCGACCTCTTCCTTGGCCTCAGATCTGCATGCAGGACACCATTTCATATTTCTCACATCAAGAATGTCTTTCCCGCTTGATTGCAGAAATGGTATTGTAAGCTTTTGGAAAACAAAAGCACTTCCACCTTCTGAAGGGGGCTCATGGCTCCCGCTGCCATAAGAGCCCTCCGCAGCCCAAGATTGCATGGAGCAGAGAATGACTCCCTTGCTGGTCACCTGAGCAGCACGCAACCATACTTTATTAGAGTGCTGCTTGACAAATTAGCGAAAATAACCTTCTCGCTTACAAGCCAGAGCAAAAGCACCATTGAGTACCTGAGCAGAAAGGAGGTTTGCAATGCTCCCAGCCTCCAATGTCTGGCTGTCAGCGTCCAGCCCGATTGTTTCGGTCACATCTGACAGTGTGCTGCCTGCAGAGAGACACAAATGTGATTTGCCTCGCTGGGAGCATGTACTGCTTCCACATACCGAAATGAGTCATTAACAGGTTGCACGTCTGAACCACTCACCGGCAGCCATGGCGCGACTGCCAGAGGTGAAGGAGATGACGACCAGGGCAGAGGTGGCGACAGAGGGCGACACAGGGATTGACCAGAGGCCTGTCACGCCCTGGTACTCCGGCGGGCTCATCAGGAGCATGTCCAGGACCTGGGTCCCATGCAGTACATGCAGAGCACCGGGGTTGCCTGGGTGGCCCTCGCCAGAGATCGCATACACCTGGCATTTTGAAAGCAAATTCACTTCATATATATTCAATACTGCGCCCATGGGACATGCATCTCCCTGCTTGGCCAAAGACTGAGCAGGGAACAGATCAAGCTGCAGAGCAAAAGATGCGCGCCTGCCCCTGGCTGAAGGCTGGTGAGACTGCATCGTGCAGTGGAGCAATGTGCCCCATTTGCTGGCTCATCTCATGGGAAGGCTCCTTGTCAGCTGCTAGCTGATTAGCATTTGTTGCTGGTTTGAATAGTTTGACATTCTGGCCTCCTGTTCTGACCAAGAATGCGCCGGAAGGCAGACATATCGGCGGGCCAGGGATGCCGTTCCTGTCCCAGACCTGCATTTTTCACTTTAAAGGTTAGAATAGCAACATCATGTATGAAGCAATATGGGCTGGTGCCAGCAGAAGAAAAAGATGAGGCAAAATTTGTGTGTGAGGCTCAAGGTTGGCTTGAGAGAAAGGCCAACAGGGAATTTTTTGCAAGGGCCTTACTTGAGTTGATTCAGCAGCAACTGAATAACCCGTTGAAGTCTCCAACCCGAGGGGGCTTTCAGCTCTGTGGATGCTGACAAGGAGGATGCATCTCGCCAGGCATACTAGCATGACTCCACCAGTAGAGCTCTTGGTTTGCCAGCAGCTCGCAACATCTCTCATGTCAGAGTTTACTTCCAAGATTGGCTCTGTGACAGCAACCATCTCCTGTCAGTTACTTGCTGAAAATTTCCAGCTTCAAGGATTATTCAGCCATCAAGCCAAGGGAAGCAAGAAGCAGGCACCTCTCAAATGCAGCGGAGTTGCATCATGGATGCTTAAAAGGTCCCTGCCAGTTGCCAAAGGGCATTGGAACCCTCCTTCATCAACTTCCAAGTTAATGAGGCTTCTTGAAGTCAGCACCAGGACCCCTGTGGCAGTCAAATGTTCTCAGGAACCTTCATTGGGAATAGTGCATGTATGTGAGTGGATAGGCCGATCAGCATAACGACTGATCAGTGTGCTCTAGTCAGCAAGAGCACGGCGCCCAGACAGTACCTCCAGCCCATGCCTGCAGCACCGGACTGCATGGGAGGATCTCATTCAACCCATTCCCAGCAGATGTGGTCTGCGCCGTGTCAACCAGCCTCAAGCCTTCTGTTTCAATGTGGAACATCTGCAGCTGCTGTTTGATGCGCCCACCACTGGGGAACCTCACGAGCACGATCAATATCTGGGGTTCATCACCTGCAAGCCCACCGAATTTTGCAAATGTGGAGGTTGAACATGGTCAGCCATAGTCCCACACTATACTTGCAAGCATGTGATGCAGGACCTTGTCACTGCCCAAATTTATCACTTCTCCACTTTAACCCGTTTGTTTCTCTTTTTGGCGAGAAGAATGCCTACCGAGGAAGCAGATGTCTTTCACCGAAATCCAGGCGGGACCAGATGATTCCCCAGAAACACCACACTGGTGAGTGATCGGGGTAGAAAAGCCACGCGGATGTTTTTGTCTGATCCTGAGCACTACAACACATGCTCCTGCCGCTGCTATTGCTACCAAGGTGCCGCTCTCGTTCACTTTCAAATGGCTCATGCCAGGCTCATGCGAGAGCAATGGCAGCCCTGCCACGTCCACATTCAGCGTCATGATAATATCCAGCAATGATGCAATGAGGGCTGGATGCTTTTCTGGCCACAGGAGAAGGCGCATGGGAAACCGGTGTCACCTGCTGCTTGAAGGTCAATTGAGAAGAGTGGTCTGAACCTGCACGTGAAACCACAGCGCTGCATGCTCAGACATGACCTGCTTGGAACTGTCCTAGGGGAACATTGAGCTCAGAAATGCGAAGTGTAGACAACTCACCTGAACAAGGCTGGATCAAAACGTAGGACAGCAAGCCGCTGGGACTCAAACAGGAGCAAGGGCATATCCAAACCCTGCATGAAATAATTGTCTTCAGTGATGACGAAGTTTTAGAGCAATCGATCAGTGTTGTGCCTGGTAGAGCGCTGGAAACAAGACTAGTACATGAGAACATAGCTGTCCAATATTTGCATGCTGCTCACCTGCAATTCATCTGCATCTTCTGCGCACGGACGCCCTTGAATCTTCGCCATGCTTAACAGTCTGTCAAATAGAGGCTGGCTAAGAATACTGGTGAGGAAACCGGGTTCACTCTCTCGGAAAACCTCCATTTGGGAAGGTCTGCCAAGAATGATCGTCTCTTCATTGGCACTTAGAAACCTTCCAGATGCTGCATCAATAGTAATTGTGCTTTCCACTCGTGTTTTGCCCAGTAGAAAAGCCATTTTAACGTCGATGATGCAGCCTAATGTCCCACTAGCACTTCAGTTTTCTCGCTTTCAAAAATACTCAGGCATCTTTTATCGCAATCACAGGAATATTTTGTCCTCGAGAAACTAATCTGATTACAATCTCTTTGGAAAAAACCAATGAAATTGGACCCAAGAATTCATCGTGAAATAAAGCGGCAGGCCAAAATCAAGCATGCAAACTTTTGCCAAGTCCAAGGATTAAAAACATAGGTTTTCGATTTTCTGTGTTGGAAATCAAATCTGTCGAAATGCACAAGCTGTGTTTTCTTCATCTAAAAGTCAGTGATTGGCGACAGGACAATCGAAGCATTGCTAAACTCAACTGAAGTTCTTGGTCAGAGTCACCGGAAGCCATGAGCTTTGGCCCACTGTTGTCTTCAGGGCATCAGCCTTTCGCCTGGTGAGAAGCATTGGCTTCAACAATTTTCAACATAGTCCGTGGATTGTCCAGATGGCAGATTCATGTGAAGCTTGAAGTGGCTGAGTCACTCCTCGAATAAGCCTGAAGCTACAGCGCTGATTTGTCAAGGATCCCTTGGATTCTCTCCTCTCTGCTTCTGTCGACTATCATCATCAAAAAGCATTTGACGCCTTGCATCTTTCCATTCAGGTCTACAGCGCTTAGGACAAGACAAGACAAACTATGGACTTCGCAGATAATTATCCCAGACACGCGGAGTCCTACGACGCCGTCTACAACCAACCCCATGAAGCCAAGCTCAGTCACGAAGTCCTTGGAGGTATGTCAAACCGTTCATTGGCCTGATAAATATGTCCGTGCATGATCATGTCGGCAGGACTTTGGCATCCGTTTTTGCAAGATGGGCATCGCCCGCCAAAAGAGACTGCAATGCGCCCAGGAGCTGCGGCATTCGCTGCAATGAGGGCATATGAGCAGCGTCAAGCTTCTGAAGGGCGGCCACCACAGCACCAATTCGCGAAGGAAATCCTGGCAGGCATTGTTGGCGGCGAGGTGGGCCCTAGCCTAGAACGTATAATTATAGAATGCTGCTTCCTGATTATTCGACGAGGAGTGCACACATCCTGCAGGTGTCACTGACTCTGATCTGAAGGAGTGCACACGCATTTAGCAGACGTCTCTGACCGGGAACTGACCATCCTGGATTGATTGGGGCAGGTGGACAAGCTGGTGGAGACCAAGGGCATGGACGAAATGGATGCCATGAGAACCAAGTAAAGTCATGCCCCCCTTGGCTTGTTTACCGCCCTCAGTGGTGCTTTGCACTCACAACTGCTGCTGGCAGTGATGTGATCTGACAGTGTGTCCCCCAAGACAATGGGGATACCAAACCTAATGTGGATCGCTGAGAGCAGCGGTGTGGCTGCACAGGCACCATGCGCAGAAGGAGGCTGAGAACATGTTCAATGAGACCTACGGCCGCCAGTACCCTGAGGGGCCGACCGGTGGCGCCCCCTATGGGGGCCCACCGCAGTTCGGGGGACCTCAGTATGGTGGTGGTGGTGCACCCTACGGAGTCCAGCAGTATGGAGGTCAGTATCATTATTCTGCGCTCCCATCCACCTTGTAGGTGACAACATTTTGCGACATAGACTGAAATAGAGGTGCAAAAGATGCCCTGCTGGCTGGTTAAGGCCACTGCGTGGCCTTTGTGCAATAATTTCTGCAATCATGCGACTTGGATGACAGTCGAAAATATTTGCTGGCATCTGCTGAGATCTGCCACGGCTTCTTTTGCAGGAGCTCCATACGGTGACCAGGGATATGGCGGCGGGCAGGCAGTAGGACAGCAGTATGAAGGAGGATACCGCCAATACTAGATTGGCGGCTGGCAGCCTTGAGATTACATGCAGATTGCATGCTGTGCTGAGATGCATGGAAGGATGGTTGAGTTGAACCAACACAATGCAAGTGGCTGCCTGATACAATGCGGAAAGTGCAGAACTTAGATGCTGGGACATTAGGATAGCTCGTGGATAAAAAATGTTTCAAGTCCTTTGCATGGGCATGTCTCGAGTAGGCATACATGTACACAGCTCCTTTGCATGAGCAACAGCCTTCAAGTTTCTGAGCAATGGCTCCTTTACATGATGTAGTGTAATCCAGATCTGGCTGGATCTTTTCTCTTCGAGCCGCTCCAAAAGATCAACCATTTCAGACTTTGTCTTTCAAGTTTGATCCAAATTTCGGGATACTTATACAAAGCTTAGCCTGACTTCTTGGACGGCATATGCAGCATGAGCAAACCGCCACGCCACCTCACAAGCACTGCCAGCTCAAATGCTTCGGCCAGTGAGAGGGTTAGACACTACGGTGGAGGACACAGTAAAAGCACATTAACATGATAGAAGCTGCCAGTTGAGGGCTCGCGCAACCTTTGGTCAAGCAACAAGGCACCAAGCGAAAAAGCAGGCTCTGGCTGCTGTCCAGCCATTGCTCTGCATGCAGCTACCTGTGGTGGCATGCATTGGAATCTGAATCCAATTCCTGGAAAGACAATCCACCACAACGCCATTTTGTTTGTGCTGAATCAAGCATGTGCAGTGCATACTTCAACAAAGACTTCAGTTTTCATGGCCGTCAACACCAAAACTTCTTCTTTCCTGAAATACTGGTACACAAGAACGAAAATGGAGCTCTTCCTCAATGAGGCAGCTCCAGCAGGAAGAATGGCAGAACAAACATGAAGATGTGCACGTGCAAAGGATATCGTCAGGAAGTGTGACTGCCCCCATCTGCCAAACATGACCCCCGCCAGCACAGAACGCAGTGACATCAACACCAGCAGCAGCCTCCTCTTGCCCTATTGTTGCCCCTTTGGACCTTTGAACGCATGGCATCACAGGGTGAATAGAGGCGGTGACAGGCCCGCATGCATCAGGAAGCGCGGAGGAGATCCCGGGCCGAGGGCTCGCCGGCCTCCGCGCCCAGGCAGGAGAGGACTGCCAGCAGATCGGGCGCAAAAGGAAACGCCTGCACCACCAGATTCGCCCCCTGCACCGGCCGGAGCACCTGCGCGCAACCCAGCACGGCATAATTTGCATGCACGTTTTGGATCCTTGCAAAGCAGCTTCCCGAACCTCCGCATGCATGACTGACATTGTGGCTGGCACCATTTTGCCTGACTTGCAGCTGCCAAACACCGGATGGCCAAGGCAGGCTCAGAAACCAACCGATTACTTTCAGTGACAAGGCAGGCTCAGGAACCAACCATTACTTTCAATGCGGCGCTGTCTCTTCCCGAGGACAAGACCTTACAATGGTGGAGAAGACAGCAGGAGGCAGCGCACCTCGCGCCAGCAGCAGGAGAAGAAGCGACACTTGCTGTCGTGGAGGGCGGTGACGTTGGACTGCAGCTGCTTGGTGGCCTCCGTCAGCTGGAAGTAGCGCAGCGCCACCGACTCCGGCGTATCCTCCATCTCCTGCTCCTGCCACAACCACAGACAAGCGCTTCAGCCAGCCCACCTTGCCTGGCAAATAACATCAGCCACAAGCTTCCTTTGGTGAGACCACAACGATACCAATTCTATTGAAATGCAGCACAATTCTGTAAGTGTCAGCACGTATTCTTTTCCTTTGCCTCTTCTGCACCTCTACAGATTGTCAAGAGACCTCTGGCTGCAAGATATATCTTGTCTACCCCACAAACAGGTGCATCAAAGAACTCGCGTCTGTGCAGTCACATCCATACCTATCTTTCTTAATTTAGGGGCAGAGCAGCCACCTTCATGGTTGCTTGGATGCGTGTGCGCTCCTCCAGCAGCGCTTTGAGCTGCATCAGGAACGACCGTCGCCTCCGCAGCAGCTCCGCCACCTGGTCAACGCTGAGCCGCATGTTTTTCTGCACCACTCCCAACACCACGCTCATCAGCTGTCCAATCACCTGTCTCTACTGAAGACGCAATTTCATTGTCTCTATTGGAGAGAACAACAGTCTTCAGTCCACCTCATATTCTCCTATGATGCACCAGAATCAGGAATACTGGTACGAAAGATATCTTCAGATGTGCATTCTCTTCTCACCTAAATGGTGATCTGTATTCACCTTTCACAACACACTGCTCGGTGCACACATTGCAGCAGTGCAGCTATCTTGCCCTGCACATCCTATATCCCACATCCCATCTATCAAACCAAGGGGAGTAGAAGTAGCGAACCCTACTTCTACTCTCCTTGATCAAACCACCAACCAAAATCAAGATTTCAGGCAGCCCAGGTGAAGAAGTTTAAAGTGCAGGACTGCAGGACTGGGCATGCCGGCTGTGGCGCACCAGGCAAGACTTCCAGAGGGCCACGGAGGGTGCAGAAGGTGCCAAGGGGTTGTCCTCCAGGCGGGATCTGGCGAATTGCAGTAGAATTTTGGGCGCGGTGCGCGCCATGTACGCGCACACTGAGATCGCCTCTGACAGCAGCACCTGCCAGCGTGACACACCTCATGACATGTTTCACGCGGCAAAGTCCAGGGCAGCTCAAGATTGCCAAGGCTTTCCCAAGAAGATGACAGAATGCCTTGCACTTCCATTGAATTGTGTGAGCCACAGCTGTTCAGAGCAGTGTGCTAAAGGTTCTTGGAGGGAGGCACCTGCACTTTGCGACCGTCTGGGCCGTCCTCGTCTTTCCAAGCGCCAGACAAGCATGCCGCCACTTTGTTGATGTAGCCCTATTACAAAGCAATCCCTCTCAGGAGCTTCCCCTGTTCAAGTGTTTGACCGCATTCTGGTGTGAAGGTGCAGTCCTGCATGGGTTGCTGCCATCAAGCGGTTCTGAGGCATTTCTGAGCAAGATTGTCCTGCTCGTGCTTGACAAGGGGCAGGCACCTTCCACACAGCTGCAATGCCCTGCAGCCCCAACGCTTGCACTGTTTCTGGGGTGAGCCGCTGCTGCTCCCCGTGCTCCAACACAAGCACATCTGTGGGACCCCAGTCCAGATTGCATTTCCAGTCGTGCCCACCTGTGATGACACGGCCCGAGGCACCCTGCACCTCACAGGTTCTCATTCAGAACATCTTCTTGCCAACCCTTTACACACACACGAATGAGACGTACTAGCTGCAATCACCACTTGCAGTGTCCAGGCACTTTCAAGCATCGCGTACTATATTGAGAGCTTCATTCCACTTTGTGAACAACAGTTGGGAGCAACCCATACTGCCATTCAAGTTGGGATAAAGTAGAGGGACTTAGGAAGACATTCTGGCCGGCCTGGAAGCAAACGGGCTCTGTCTCGGCAAGACATGGCCAATGTCATGATTTTTCCACTCCCTCCCTGCCTGGGACCCCTCATTACGCCCTGGTGGCAAGCAGCACAGTCAGAGCTGCACCTTGTCAATCGCCATAACCCGGTTGCCATTGGGATGCGCTGCCAGCTTCATGCGCGCGACGAGTGCGCTCTCCAGCTGGCTGTTCTGCACCTCCAGCCGTGCCTTCTCCAGCTGCACCGCCTTGAGCTTCGCCTCCAACTCCTCCACCAGGAGCTGCATCCACAGGGGCACTTGTTTGTCATTTGCGGCCTTGTCTGCATGCTTCCTTGCCAGCTTGTACAGGCCCTGATGGTAGGTCTCACTGTTGATCCCCTTTTTTGCTGCACACATTCTAGGCAGGCTATCCCACATTTTCACATTGGAACTGAGGGTCAGTTCAACAAGACCCTCATCCCTGCCCTGCGGGTGATCAACATCAGGTGCGCACGATAATTCATGTACTGTACATGGAGATCACTCACAAAAATCAGGAGAATTGCAGCTTTTCAACCCTTCCTCAGCTGCTTTCACATCACCGCCTTCCATCACGGTGCTCTTTCCACGTATTCTCATGGACTATCAATGCATTGCAATGGCAAGGGCCTCATGTGTTTTCAGCAAGAGCTGCACATGAGCTGGCTCTGAATGCGAGTGGGGATGATAGATGGCAGAAAGGCACCTCCTTGGCCTTCTCCTGCTCCCTCTTGCGCTGCCGGAACGCCTTCTGAGCTGCGCGATTCTTGTCACGGTCTGGCCCGCTCTTGCGCACACCAATGCCCTTGGCGCATTCATCCCCGCTGTTGCTGCCCCTCTGTCGAAGCGCGCCATTTGGCTCATGTGTATTCCGTAGGTGTGGCTCTTCCCCGCTAGCCCCGCTGCTTCCACTCTCCTGCCGGCTGGCCTCAGCCCCTGCAGAGAGCTGGCATGTGGGCCAATTTTCCTGATTTCATGTGTAAGATTGATGCGTTGGCAATGATCATTGCTCATGTGAATGTGAATCGTGTTGGCAATGGTCATTGCTCAAATGAAAGCCATGCAGCACTCAAGCTCTTATATATCGGCAGCAGCACGGCTAGAGGGTGATCTATAAAAATAGGCACTTGCCTTCGCTGTGGCGGTAATCTGGCTGGGCAAGCAGGGCATGAGGAGGCCCGGGGGTGAAATCAACTGGGGTCCTTTTAGGGATTGACAGCGCAAAGGCTGCACCGTCAGATGCCTGGAGCATGCCGCCGGGATCATTTGAAGATAATGCGGTGCCCACTGCTGCTCGACTGCCTGGTTGGCCATTGAGACTCCCAGATCCATCTGGCAATTGTGCTATCTGCATCACTCAACTGCTAAGCACAATTGAATTTGGTGATAACAACTAGGACCTTAAGCCTGTAGCTGCGTGCAACGTTCTGAACCTTTCTGCAGGCAGAATCTTCGGAGGGGTAGCAGCGATGTGACGAACCTGGTCTGCTGGAGCACTTTGATTCGACAAAGACTCCAAAAAACCATAAAATCCGGCATCTGACCAATCGATGTCCGCATCCATATCATCATTTATGCCTGGCAGTGACAGATCCATCGAGTCCTCCTCCACCAAAAATAAGCACCAGAATGAACCCCTTCAACCCATGCGCAGTATCAAATCCATAATCATATTTTCCCGCAAAATCTATTGACACGAGAAAGGTGGCAGCTTTACGACAGGGCACGCGGGCCGTCTGACAATGCAATGCGATGCAAGAGTGGTCGAAAAGAGATCGGCAAGCCACGAAACAAGGACCACCTGCCAAAGCTTATCGATAGTAGGTCTACTTTGCGGGAAAGTGTCTGTCTTGCCACTTGTAGAAATGCAGAAGGTGGGCCTGACCCCAGAGCGCAGAGCAGGGAGAGCATGTGCCACGTCAGGGTGGCTTCACGTAAGCAAACATTACGCCAGCTTCTTCTCTCCACCTCCCCTCCCCTTGGCTTGGAAGGCTTGAAATGCTGGATTGAATTGCTAGGAGGGCTACACATGCTGTGCATTGCAGTGTGCATCGCTCTGCCCAATCAAATTATCAGGTAGAACCCATATATTGCACATGCGCATGCATGCACTGTCACAGTGGCATGTCACGGTGATGTCACATCTTGCAACACGGTGTTTGCATGCGCATATGTGCATGCCCACTGGCAGTGGGTGATCATGCCTCTGGCACAGTGAGTCACCCTTGAGGCGTGTGCACCAAATGCAGCATGCATCACATGACTGCAACGGGTGATCAGAGCCTCGGAGGCTCGGAGCGCTTCAATGGTTGAAAGGATTACATCTGGCCACATTTGCAACACTGCGCTGTATGCGGGCATTCTGATTGTACAGATCAACAACATCACTATACTTGCCAAGGCCAGTCACTGCCATTGCAGTCTGCATATGGACAGTTTCAAGAGCTTCCTTCAGGTCGCCTCAGGTAGGCTACAGCAGCAATTAAATGCACAACTCCATTGCCCTGATCTCAATATACAACAACGTTGTTGGCGCCCTGCACCTGACACAAGCTGCAGCTGGCACTGGAAGTTTGTTAGTCAGACTTCCCACAAAAGCGGAAATGCAACATAGACCTTTCGACAAGGGCAGCTCTCACCCCAAGTACTCAAATTTAAAGATTACAGTTTGGGCAAATTGGAAGCTCTGCGCGACGCGCTAGCAGTCTCCTTTATTTCGATGTCCTCATGCGTTTTTTCTTGGGAGAGCCGTCCTGCATCATGTCATCTAGTCGCTTTTTGGCGGGTTTGGAGACCGGCTTAGCAGAACTCCCTGGCTGGCAGTCATATGCCTGCTTCATGCGCTGGATACACCTGTCCAGACATATCTGAGATTTCAATGCGACACCTTGATCCGCTGAGACAGCGAAGGTCAGAAGTGCTGCCAAACGCGCATGTGCAATAATCACTTGCTGCGCTGGCCTACCTTTTGGACACCTCTGCATGATCCACGATGGGTGCAGGGTAGTCCTTGCCAATGATGCAGCCGGCCTGCTCCTGCACCTCCTTAGGCGCTTTCCAAGGCTCCCAGATGTATTTTGGTGGGTAGTCCTGCAACACCACAATGGGCATGGAACTACAATCTCATCCAAGTGCCATTTGCACTGCATGAAGCGCAGAGCAGCCCTTCTGCACCAGTGTACAAGTTGATCACAGGAAACTGCATGCAGTGATTGAGATCACCTTCAGGATAGGCAGAAAGTGCTTGACGTATTTGCCCTCTGGGTCATACTTCTTCCCATAGGTGATGGGGGAGTAGACGCGGAAGTACTGGTAGAAGAAGGACGAGGCGGACAGCCACATCCAGTTGCCGCTGTTGAGGGAGGGATCCCCATCTATGAGTAGCCTGTCAAAGGTATCCCTGCCCTTCTCCCAGGACACGTACAAGTCACCTCTCGTCAGAAAGCACGCCTGCAACATCACTTGCTCTGCTCAGCAGCCTGCCCATTCACCGTTACCATGCAGCCTCACTGGGCATCCCCTCACTTGCCAAGCCACTCAAAACAGGGGAAAGCACAATGAGGGAATTTGGTGCACTGGAAACCAGTAAGGCATGCCAGCTAGGTCGCAGTCTTGTGTTTGGGTCATATGCTAGCTGTCAAACAAGATGCTGCCAGCGTTTCTCCTGGCAAGCAGGGTAAGTGTGAAGTTTGTATGCTCCTGCAATAGTGCAGGCTTGCACAGTAAGAGGCCTCCTCTGCCCTGTGGCACTCCGTCAATCCATTCCTTCATGCACGGAGCTTCAGGGGACCACGGTCAAAGAGGCTGCCCAGGCGCACCACGCAGTGGCGTGCGAGGTGGTGCATCCAGCCAGTGCGGCGCAGCTGCGCCATGATGGCATCGATCCAGGGGTATCCAGTTCGGCTCTCCTCCCATGCGCGGTAGAACTCCGCGTTGTTGTCCCAGGGAATCTGCTTGCAGATGGGGTTCCCTTCCATGCGGTGGTAGTTCGGCGTATGCGCTGCTGCCACATAATAGAACTCGCGCCACAGCAGCTGCCCCAGCAGCGACACTGGCGGCTTTGAGTGCTCCTTCTTCTCCTTGTACACCTGAAAGAGAGCAACACTGCCTTGCTGATGAAAATCTTGAGCACCTGTGCGCACAACAGCAGCAGTGTCTCGCTGATGAATATCTTGAGCACTTCTTTGAGCTGTTTGTATTTTTGTCAACAAAGCGCTTAGCTCCAGTGCGATGTTATGAGTTTGGCAACACCAGACTGCATTGGTTTGGCAAAGTACAATTTTTACAAGCTTTGTATACGAGCATTCCAGAGGTGTCTGGCCACTCATAGATCAAGAAGGCGCTGTACACTGGGAACTTCATCAGCGATGAGTTATGGGTGCGCACCCTCTGCAGGGCTTCATAGAAGAGACGCGGAGACAGGCAGCCAAACTTCAGGTGCGGCGACAGCACGGTGGTGGCCGGCTTGATGAAGGCTGTGGGATCCCCCTTTGGTTTCTCAAACGCCGCCACCCAGCCCTTGTCAGATAGCTGCTCTGCCAGCCGCGCCAACGCCTCTGTCTCACCTCCCTGTGCAATGCAACTCCCATGATCCCCCCATGCAAATGATCAATATTTTTATTAGTAAAAGTTTTCCAGTTCCTAGGCATTTAGGATCCAGGTACGTCCAGCAACACGTGTGTCATATTTCTCCATTCTGTGCAGTCATGGCACTTCCACCACCAATGCAATGACAATGCAATGGAAAACTTGATGCGGATAATGCATGTGTCAAATTACATCAGCCAAGAACAAGCAAACCAGGAATGCTTCAGATTGAGGTGTCCTGTTCATACAAAGGGGCTTACTGCAGCAAAGAAGAATGTGACACAATTTGCACCTGACAGGAATCTCACCTTGATGTCTGTGCTAGCTTCATCCGGGTAGCCAAGTTCTCTCAGGCTGGGGACGCTGGTTGTTTCACTGTCTGTGCCCTTGCTGTCCGCAGCAAGGGGGGGCAGCTTGGCCGGGGGGTCCTCTACAGGGGCTGGCGGGGGCCCGAGTGCCGTTATGGCCTTCTCAAAGCCTTTGTAAGTCAGCGGCGCTTTGCCTCCGTTCTTCGCCACCACATCGCTTGTGTCGTACAGCGTGTGGCTCACACAGCTTATCACCTCGATGCCTGCAGTAGCACATTGTATAGTGATGTCAATGACCACTCAAATACCCCACTCCCAGGCTGATATAGTAAAAGGCATGCCCATCAGATATCTGGACAACGCCTCAAGGCTGAGTCCAAGTGTCTGGGATGGATATCTTCTGGTAATTACCAGCTTCCTGGGCAGCTGCTGTGATCTTGGTGTCGCGCTCCTCGGCATAATCCTCTGTGTCGGCTTCAAAGCACAGCCGAGTGATGTTCCAGTCCTTCCACACCCTTGGCAAGACATCCTGTGGATTGCCTCTCAATACCAAGAGATTGGACCCCCTTGCCTGGAGACTGCTGCGAAGATCTGCAGGAACGCGCAGAAGCTTACTGGAGAAGTGTACTTCACAAAGACACACCAAAAGCGTCAGTGGAATACACCTGCTCGTCTGATAAAATGCATGGGGCAAATCCGAACCTGTCAATGATTCAAGTAGGAAATTCAGCCGGTTGACACCAACAACATCAGGCTTTAGGAACCAGGGATCAAGGACAAAGACTGGGTACAGGTGAGTGGCTCCCTTTATGGCTGCGAGCAATGAGGGGTTGTCGTGCAGTCTTAGCCCCTTTCTGAACCACAGGATAGATCGCTGCGGGGCGACTGCTGGACACATGATCTTAATATCATGTACAGCTCGCTGCACCTCGTCACAATCAAACTGGCATCGTCAAATAGATTGCAGCGTCAGGACAGCCACCACTGCATCCCCAATATTAGGATTGCTCGCAAATAAGTATATTGGAGAGGGCCTCCTTGCGATCTGTGATTTGTGGGATGTTTTCTTCTTTGTCCAAGACAGTGCCACGATTCCGGAGGGGAAATGACGTTGATGGAATATCAGGTTCCAATGCAGAGGAAGCTGCTGCTTGCTTTCTGCTCCCATCCCAAGACTGCTCTTCCTGGAAGGCATGTTCAAGCATAGGTTTGCATGCATGCCATGTGAATTGGTTCAAAGCAGAGCACCAGCATTAAAGATTACATTCGTACTAGATAGTATTTTCAATGTTTGGAGACCTTGATCAATGAGTCATGATCAGCTTGACGATACTCTAGAGGTCAACTCAGTCAAGTCTGGACTCTTGGCACGGTGCTTGATTTACTCTTCTCTGCTGTCTTCCAGCTAGCTTGAGCTTGGACTATCGTAAAATGCTTCTCCTAATGCGCTTGGGCATTTCTTCGGCTTCAAGTCCATGTCAATAATTTTCAAGCCTTGCGAAGCCCCAATTCTACTGAGTCCGGGTATTCAAGCTCCATTTGCACAGCATGTCTGGCCACGAAAAAGCTCAAAACAGAATGAAATGCGTCTTCTCAATAGCATAAGCACTTGCCGCTTGGCAGGTCTTGAGGCATGCACTGCACCATACTTCTGGGGATGCTACATTGATCTACTGGTACTGTAAATTGCTGAAAAAGTATACCTTGGCGAATGGGAGGCACTTGACACTCCGCATGGAGGGTGTGTCATCAGCTCCCGCAAGGGCTCAACCTGCGCCAACCCCTGGTACGCATGCTGATCTCCAGGCAGTTTGTCACCCATACCACCACCGCCCGGCACGCATGCAGGACCCATGCGGTCTGTCACCCAAGCGATCAGGGCCCCGCCAGTAACTGGTGCGCATGCAGAGATCCATGCAGTCTGCCACCCATACGATCACCGGACGGCGCGGTCAGTCGCTGATGGGTGTGACGCGGTGGCCGTGCACCTGCTCCTCGATGGCGTCGGCCGCGGCATGGAAGCCCTCGTCGCGAAGCATGCGCTCCATCTCCTCCACCTCCCGGTCCTCTATCACATACGGCGAGTGCTTGGGCCCCGGGAACTGCCGCTGCGTCACCTGCACCCCACGAATGTTCAATGCCTTTCACCAGCAAAGCCATTGTAATTCTTCAACTTCTCTCCTGCACTGCTTGGCAGCTGACCAGGCATCCTCTCACCCCCATGCGTCCAGACTGGCGCGTGCTGAAACGCCTCTGATGAGGCTCAAGCAAGCACTTTGACAGGCATGACACTAGGACACAGGGACTTGGGAGGCCTGTGGTGCAGCTCAAGTAGGTGCAGGACAACAAGCTTCAGGACAAGAATGAAACGGAAATGGGAATGGGAATGGGTAGAGGGTAGTTCTGGGCCGGGCGCGCACCTCTGCATGGTACTGCTGCAGGGCATCCTGGATGATGGCGCCGACGGCCGCGTACTGCTTGCAGAACTTGGGCGTCACCTTGGCGTGGTGTGGGTGCTGCATCATGCCCAGCAGGTCGTGGTAAACCAGCACCTGCCACACTCGCACATCCCATAAGTTTTTCTCACGTATGAAGAGAAGCTGGCATGAAGAGAAGAAGGACCAGAGCTTACAGCACTGCATGACTGGGAGTTAAAGCCTTTCCACCCACTTCACATGGCTTCACTTCCAGTAGTATCTTCCAGCTGCGTAGGGATTAATTCCAGTCTTGTACATCTCTGGTCATTGGTACCCAGATGACCTTTAGATGGGCACCCTATTACAGCATGCTTGGCAGGGGTGTGGAACGCACAGTCTTACCATATCAGCTTGGGTTGATACACTCCAGCTTCAAGCCAGAATAAGGCCAGAGATGTCAGAGTTGCAGAGGGAGCGCACCTGGCCGCTGCAGTAGGGCCCGGCGCCGATGCCGATGGTGGGTATGGAGAGCTCGCGCGTCAGCGCAGCTGCCACAACCGGCGGCACACACTCCAGCACCACGGCAAAACAGCCCGCCTCCTGCAGATCCTGTGCCATGCACGCCCACCCATGACTACTCGACAATTGCCATTTTCGGGCATTTCAGCTTCAACACTCGCAAGGCAAATTCCTTGGGCATGGCAACGTCTATCAGGGCCCTAAGATGAAAGCATTATAGAGAGAGGAATTTCCAAGAGGGAGAAAATGGTGCAACCCTGTTACAAGCTGCGGACAAGGTGTGAGCTCTCAAAGAAAATGGCACTCAGCGCCCTCAAGCTGTGCAGAAGGTCAGGGGTCTATAAGGTGTATGTGAGCACTGTCGAGGATGGGAGCTGCGGCGCACCCTGGCTTCGCGCAGAACGCGGACGGCCTCGCGCGCGGTCTGGCCGTGCGGTCGGAAGCCCCCCAGGACGCTGATGGACTGCGGCATGAGCCCCACATGACCCATGACCGCCACCCCAGTCGACACTATTGCCTTCGCGGCAACCACCCTAGCACCTCCGCCTCCTGCACATGCCATCTGCACGCGTGAGTGTGCTGCCCCCGGTAAGTCTGTATAAATCCATTACTGCCTCTGGACGTGGATTTAGTCAACGCGTGGTTCATATCATGGTGTCACTTGACCAAGTGTGCAAGCAACAAGTCAGCTTGTCGGCAGGCATGCGAGTGTCCAAGCTGTCATAAAGAGTTTCAATGGGTTTGTCCTGCGAAATGGCAGGACCGTGACAGTGGGCACACCCTCCAGCTTGACAGCGTCCATGAGGCCCTCCTTCATCATGCGCACCGCTGACCGCACCGCCTGCTCCGCCGAGGTCTCATACGAGCCAAACGGAAGATCGCCCACCAGGAATGCTCTGCACAACCCAAAATACTTAGCCCATAAAAATGCACCACTCAGCCTGGGAGTCACTTGCTCTTTGGATGTTCAACCTCTGCAGTATCTTCCAATAAGCATCACAATGTCAATAACTTCTCTCAAACAAGGTGCATGGTCTTTGATTCAACTTCTTCCAACCCTGAATGCTCAAAAAGAGTATTGGTGAAACAAACGTGCCTCTGGGAGCCGCGCGAGACTGCCTTGCAGTGCATGAGCATCTCGTCCAGCGTGACTGGCAGCGTGGTGTCGTGGCCATGCACCACCATGGCCACGCTGTCCCCCACCAGCAGGATGTCAATCCCCGCCGTGTCAACCTGTCCCACGCAATCCGTACGCATCCTTACGCGCATGACTTCTGATCTCCAGATTCTGCTAGGAATACACTGGCTACAAAACGTGCAAAGCTTCTTGCCAGATAGCCAGATAGCCAGAATGACATGGACCATACTCGGCGCGTTTGATTAAGAGTGGGGCTTGAAAAGGCGCACATGGACTGCGGAAGGGTAGTCATATGCAGTAACCATGGTGATGGGCTCCCCCTTGGAGTATTTGCTGCGAATGGACCGCAGTGTGATTCGCTTGGGGCTCGGCGCCTTTGGTCCGCTGTACACCGTGTGCTCTGGTTGAATGGACGCCATGTGCCTGACCTGTGTGCCCCCATCAGACACTCAATACAGTCCCTCGTGCATGGCACATTGGTTCAGACAGTGATGACTCTCAAGCTTGCTGTCATTATTGTGCAGCTGTCAATTTTAAGAGCAATTTCACCTGCATGTTTGGTAGCCGCTCATACTGGCTGAGTTTGGCAGTGTCCGCACTGAGGGGTGTTCTCTGAAACACTCCCCCTTCTCTGGTGCTGCTGCAAGAAAATTTTTGTCGCTTGACCGTATCACGGATATTGTACGTCCCATCATGTTTAGGAAGACCCATCGCCAACGCTGTCAATGCTTCTTCCCCTGTCCAGGCAAAGGGCAAGACGTGAGAAAAACGATCTGATTGCAATGACTCCAGAATCCCATGGCCAGGTATGGTCGCCTCCTCCTTTCAATTTGAAGCGACGAAGCTCCCACATATAATAAATGCAGGTAATTCAAATGACAGATAAAACATAGGTGACAAAACCCATGTAGACAATTGCATACCCCTGCGGGGCACTCGTGCCATCAGTGTCCCACAAGCTTGCATGCTCGCCCTCATCTGCTGCATTTTTGTGGTGTCACAGCCCTAATATACCGACATGACCGACTTCATCGAGGAAGCATCCACACTCACAAATCCAAAACAACCCCTGATCGAATCTTTATGGGTCATACTTACGACTTGATTGATCTTTTGTGCTTTTTCCGATGCATTGACTTATGATATATTCTCCTTAAAGTCATCGGCAATGGTTGAGTTTCGAAAAGTTCTGTGGAGATGGTCGGAAGCTGTTGGAAGCTGTCGTCACATCCACGTTTACACCCTTAGGGTTTTGAACCTTTCAGGGGCCGGGGACTTGCCAGCTTGAACACAGTTCATCACGGCATCGAAAGGCAATACCGTGCCTGCCAATGTCGTTCCGAGGGACTGCTTAGAATCGTAGCACCGTGTTATCACCTTGGGAGGAGATGGGGGGTGGCAGATTGGCGCCCTGCTGAGGACTGAACCAGATTCTACTACCGGTATGTCGGATGGGGACAGGCGGAGCAGTCGCGCCAGTAGTAGTACTGGATCAAGCTCAAGCTTTTCGCCTGCGATATCAGGATTCTATGGTGCAGACGCCGAGACGGCAAAGCACGTCGTCATGCTGGTTAATGACGTGAGACAAGTGGGAGGGGATCACGTTTACAAGCCCTTCATCCGACTCCTGAAGGACTGCGCTGCGGGCAGGTAGACACAATCTGCCGGGAGATGCAACAGCTCATGCTACTAACGTTGACTTGTTGTCTTGCGAGATCCTCTCACCCCTCTAGCGAGCTTGATCGGTGGAAACGAGACACATAAAAGGCGCTTGCCAGGTTGGTACAAATTGGGCGAAATGAATAAAGTGAATGCTGAGGGATTCAACTTATTCGATTCTGATATCGCAGGATCACTCGGAAGAAGCTGATCGTGTGTGTCCACGACCTCCTTGTAGAGCACCCCTTCCTGCTCAGCAGATTCTGCAAGCTCGTGCCCCCTGCACTGGTAGGCAGCAGCGCTTTTTGCAGCACCTTTCTGAATTCATATTTGTAGTTTTTGGGATTGTTACACGCACTTAGCATTTCAATTTGCGCACAAGACATCATGAATATTGTCTTGCTCCTCCTGGTGCATGCACCTTGTCTTACTCCAATCCCTGGGCTGAGAAGCTTGTGCAACACAGGTCGAAGAAAGCGAACATTCTGACAAGCAGGGAAGTCGACCGCACAGAGGGTCCAGGCGCAGCAAAGCATCAAAGGACCAGGAAGTGGTCATCTCCCTGGAGATGGAGGGCTCCAGGACCATTTCCACTGTGGAAGAAGCGGACGAGAGCAAGGCGGGAAGGGAAAGAAAGCTTTTTGGGGGCATCAAGAAATGGCCAGGGACCAGGTGAGGCTGGTCTGTGGATCTCCAAGTCAATGCACTTTCACCCCCGCTACCCAAATGACAATTATCTGATGCCGATCAATTCAGCGCAAGCATCTTGCTCATCTGGTGGTTATGCTCTGTGCTTCAGGAGGACCATCTCGGAGGAAGCACATCCCAGCACAGGTACACATTCGATTATGCTTCTCCTGTTTTTGGGATGGCAATTACTCTTGGGGCCACGAATGTCATTGTCTTGTGCTATTTGTCTCTCCCAGAGCTGTCATCAACCTGCCACGATTTCTGTGTCGCCTGAGTGCATCAATTTTGTCATGCAGGGCCGCTGTGGATGAGACCATGGGCGGTGGCACACCAGTGGATGAGAAATCACAAAGTGTCAGACGATCCATCAGCGTCCCTGCAGGAGAGGGCCTAGCACTGCGATTTCTTTGTTTGCACTGGAGGCGAGGGACTGGAATACTCCGGTGTTGAAAACTGGAACTTCATGGCTTGAACACAAGTGAGATTGCATACCTAGATAGACAGAGAGTTGCAGGCTCGAAGCTGACCAGAGACACAGGCACATATGGAGTGTGGTACAGTGCCCTGCCGTGAAGTAGTTGGTGCATCTTCTGCTGACACTTGCACTTGCAGCACCACCCGTGCCAGCTGCAAGGGCTGCTGCCAGTAGAGCGTTTTTTACTTTACTTTACCTCTACTGTGATCTCTCACTTGTGCAACCTGACAGGCCGACACTGCCAAAAGCCTGGACGTGAAGGAAGGATCGTTTTAATTGCTTGGGGATGTTTCCCCCTGATCTCCTTCAGCGGTGAACGCTGGGGATTGTACAGATTGGTGCTGCCTAGAGGTTGGCTGAGGTGTCTCTGTGCTGCAAGAAATTCGAGCTTGCACCTTTTCCCGCTAGGAGCGTAGATATTTTATAGTGCTCTTTTGCTTAGATTCCGTAGGCGGTGAGCTCGGCATATAGTCTGGAACTCCACACTGTTCAGGACAACCATGGCTAGCATAGAGATGTTGGTCAACAAATGTTGCTGATGTGCATGGCAAACGCATGAGGCCTATAAGTGTGCCTTGCGGAGCATGCTGCTATTATGGCGCTTGGATAATATTGGAGAATGCAGACAGAAGGGCGATGGCTTGAGAGTTGAGAACTGCGATTGCGACTTACATTGAAGTATGATCTTTTTCTGTTGGATCTCTACTGTGTTTGCTTGTAACATGGAGCATTTGATCATCACCGCGCAGCACAGCTGCATTTGACATACTGCATTTTCTGCGCCGTGACCATATTAGATGTTCATCTAAAGGACTGTGAATTGCAAGGCAGGACCACAGTTGTCATCTGGTCAACCCATAATGTACAATTGCGCAACCCCTGGAGGCGCCATTGCAGTAATCTGATGTGCCTCAATTCTTGCAGAGCGTTCTGTCCCAACACATACAGACAGCACTGCCTGCCACGCAAAGGTACACAGCCACCTAGCTGAAGCTGTGCACAACCTGGCACACTTTGGGTGGAAAAGGGATCCATCGCTCGGTCAACCTCAGCTATACAGCATAATTGGTCTGCAAGACAGGCTATAGGACACCTCTTGCGCGCGGCGACCGCCTCAGCTGCAGGGCAGCTTCGGCCTGCTTCCCTAGGATGTAGTCTATCCACGCCCTGCTGAAGCCCTCCCGGCTGGACAGTGGATCCAGCACTGGCCAGAAGGGCGAATGCGCAGCTGCCACCTCTGCCAGCACATGCTCAGTCTCCTTGGCAGGCCTCCACGCCCCCCTGCTGTCCAATGGGACTGGTTTCTCACCCAGCAGCACCTGCATCCAACAGTTTTATAAATGCACACTTATATTTGAATAGAGGCCTACGCATTCCAGTCCCTTATCACATGACAGTCACGTTAAATGTTTATGCAGGCGGACTTAATCTGCAGCGCTGGTCTCACATAGCACAAGGCTGTTGTACGTGCATGCACGGGAGTGTGAAATTGTGAGGTTACGGCCATTTGCATGACACCAGTGTGGTCAGAGAGAACCGCGGCAGCACACCTTGACGCAATCGGCGCCGCACTCGGCCGTCATGCGCAGATTGTAGCCTCCCTCCAGCGCTAGCACGAGCTTGCCGTCCGCGGCCAGGCGGCTGAGCCGGTCGGTCATGTGGCCGTACACCTGCGGCGTCAGATTCATGCCGCCCAGGGGATCCCCTTGCACCGCATCAAAGCCCGCGCTCACGATGATCAGGTCCGGCGCAAATGCACGGATCACCGGCTCCAGCACCTGCAGCATTGAGTGACTTTCTCAAGAAATGAGTAAGAGCTGAGGTTTTCTAAGAGTAGCCTGATCTGGCTGAGGAGCACGCATAGAGCAATGTTTATTGCTTCATATGAGGAGCGTGCTATGCAAATCCAATACACAGTTTCTCATCAGGGCCACGGAAGGGGCACCCCGAGCCAAGAGGGGTTCTGTGAACGGCAGAAGAAATGCTCAACACAAAATTTGAGCAGGCGCACACCAGGTCAAAGGCAGCTATGTAGTCAGCATCGTTGAAGCCGCCGCGTGGGAAGGGGATGTTCAGGTTGAATCCCCTGCCCTCATTCTTGCCCACATCCTGGACATCCCCAGTGCCGGGGTAAAATCCGTTGCCCCTGTACAAGCGCAGTGCATCAGACACCACATGTTGCATCCCGTTGCTTTACAGAGACCATCAAAGAGTGGTCTGACTGGTACAGAAGAAGAGAGCACGGCCAAGGAGGAATCAGACAATTGGGCATGAGATAGCACACCTGTGCAGGGAGATGTACATGACATCGCCTCGGTTGTACAGGATCTCCTCTATGCCGTTCCCGTGGTGGACGTCCCAGTCGAGCACCAGCACCTTTTTCACTCCCAACCTGCGCGCAGCAGATCAAAATTTGTCCAGGCAACCACCAGGCCAAATCTCCTCACAAGGATCGCCCAGAGTCTGCAAGTCTCATGAAATCAGGTGTATGTTCCTAATAGTTGTTGGCTTGAAGACATGTCAGATGGCAGGAGACCACCAAATGGTTATGTGCTACCAGGATGTAGAGAATGGTGGTTGCTTTGCCAGCGCGCAAATGATGCTTATGATTCGGTGCCGCACCTGCGCGCCGCCAGCGCAGCGACGGCGACGTTGTTGTAGAAGCAGAAGCCCATGGCGCGCGCACACTCCGCATGGTGCCCCGGCGGCCGCACAACCGCAAACGCCCGCTGCACCCGCCCGCTGCAAACCGCCTCCACAGCCTGCAGTGTGAGGGCATGTTACTAATGTGCTAAGCTACATTGTCTATCGACAACCAACATTGCAATGCATTTTTACCATGAAACGGTGAGCTTGAGAAGAGATGGGAATGCGCAACATGTGCTTTGCAGCATGCGAGGGGGGGCACCAATCAGCATGGCACAACCGTGTGCTGTTGAGGCTTATTGTGTCAACTGTGCCACCACTGAATGGCGGCTATCACCTGCACAGTGCAACCCGCTGCTGTCCTGGCCGCGATGGGTGTGGCAGCTGTGTAGTAGTTGTCGCCGATCTGCCACTCGTCCTCCTTGGGTGGGCCATCTATGTGCCGCACATGCGCCTCTGTGTGTGCCAGCACCAGCTCCTCATCCCTTGCCTGTGCAGCGGCACCCTTGACTTCAGATCAACCTCCGCCAGATCCACTCGCCCTTGGCAAGCTTGGCCAATTCAGGTGTGGGGTGAAGGGCATCACAATTCCCACCATGGAGCTACATATGGGCTATGGCTGTGGGCTGATGGGCTATGGGGCAATTACCTGCCGTGGCGGCAGCGTCCAGCATCTGGCAGCGAGCCCAGCTGCTTTGAGCTTCTGCACGAGCGCCGCTGTGCGCTGTGGCCTCTCGACATGACCTGCCACGTTCACCCCTTGTATGAGAGCTTGAAATGTACCCAGGCATTTGTAGTGAGCCATTGTCTGGTTGGGCAGTGTAGACCGTAAATAGGACGCACTTGGTGGTCCAACATGCTCCTCCATGATCTTGTCGTACACCAGGCCCACTGCTAAGTCGCCTTCCTTGGCGCTTGCGGGCTCGTGAGCTTCTGTTTCTGGGACATTGTCAAGCTCATTCGTGACTGCTTGCAATCTTGAGGCCTTGTAGCCTTTCACCGCAGGTGTGGCCAGGCTGAGGGCTGATAGGGTGTCTGCCAGAGCGCTTGCTGGGCTCTGAATGCTTGGCAGGTCCACCTCTGCCTTTTCAGCGAAAGTATCGCCTGGCACACTTGCTGCGTGTCCATTGGCAGAGGGCACTGCAACATCCTCTGCCGATGCAAGGGCCTCATTGGTCTCTGCCTCGCTTGTTGCTGTGTCAACAGAGGCTTTGCTTGCCTCTCCTTCTGGTGAAGTGCTATGTGCACCGTTCTGCAGAACTACCTGAACAGCGGGAGAGACATGCAGTAACATCAGTCGTGTGGTATTTATTGACTGCATAATATGTGTGCCATCACAAATTTGCCGTAAACCAGCGCACAGTGAGGACAGCCTTAGGTTTCAAGAGCCTGATGCTGCAAAGAGAAAACCCGAGGAGAGCAATGTCGATGTAATCTGCAAGGTGATCTCACCGAATCTTTTTCAGCAGAAGGATGCTGGGGAGTGACGGGGAGCTGAGGGACGTCTTCTGGACTTTGTGCTTCCATGCGGTGCTCTTCTTGAAGGAGTGAGCCTGTGACTATAAAAGCGCAAGGTATGCTGTGCCGCGTGTGTCACAACGTACTGTCACTCCCATGCACTGATTAATCGGGAAGCTCTGTTGTTTCTGAGGAATGTCACGGAGAACATGATGGGCAGCCCACATTGGGCAGCATGCCTTGCCCAAGAATACTTCACAGCTAACGCAGGCAGTGCAGATCAGCTGCCCCTTCGGGGCTTGAACTTTGGCGAAATTTCACTATAAGTAGCTCATTATAACGTCACAGGTCTGGTGCTCGCAGTCTGTCCTCAACAAGTACTTTGGGCACCTGGCCGCTAGCGCTCATACAGCCTCCAGTGGAACTGTGAGAGGTCCAACATAGGCTCGCCAAGTGTCCCCGCCATAACAGCGCACTGTAGATCTTGCCAGGCAATGTGATGTACATGGATGCTTAAGTTGCCAGCACCTGGCATTGACTCGTCATGATAACCTAGGATACAAGGTACACAGATGCTGCTGCTGACAATACAATCATCGGGCTGCGGTCAGTTGTGCAGGCCTAGCTGTAGAGCCAGCCCTGGACATGCGCTGCCTCACTCCGCCCTGCGCCTCAGCTACAGCGTACCGCAACTTCTCGCTCTCCAGCTTCAGATGGAATATCTGCACAGCCAACAACCACAGCATTCACCGCTCATGAGCGTTTATACCAAGCATGATCATGTCATGACATTGCATCGAGACATCTCCCCAGAAATGCACGCTTTCATGATGCAGCAAGCTGACAGTGCGGTAGCGGTACCTGACGTTTCTGGATCAAGATGTAGATATAACACGCCGCCACCACAATGCCGCACACGCCAGTCGCAATGCCGGCCGCATGCATCTTGGCAGAGCGCCCCTCACCCTGCACAGCAGCACAATGCCTGAGGATGTCCACATGAATCAAACCTTGCGGAGACTCGCGCCAGCATGCTCTCAGCTGTCCAAGGATCCCTCAGGTACGCACATATATCACGCTAAGCAGAGAGCGGCATTCACCTGAGCTTCGTCCAGCATCTGCCAGCACCGGCCGCACCCCTCTCCCAGGCCAGCAACTCGGCCTCTGCACTCGGCAAGTAATCCCTCCAGCTCCTCAATCCTCTTTGCGCTAGCTTTGGCTGCCTCTGCTGCCTCGGCAGCCATGACCCGCCTCTCACGTTCCCACTTACTCTTCCCCGAGCCCAGCTCCTTCTCTGCAGCTTCTGCGGCGGCGGCGGTGGCTGCCCGGGCAGCTGCTTCGCTGGCAAGGTCTGCCTCCAGGCTCTTCGCGCGCGCCTCGGCTGCTGCAGCGCTCTCCTCCAGGAGGTGGGAGCCTCGGTCCCTGTCCTTCAGCCGCGCATGGGCTGTCCTCAGCGCCTGCTCCGCCTGGTGCAGCTTCTGGGATAGCTCCTGTGCTTGGTGCGCCTGCCCGGAGGCAGCTTCATGCAGCTTCCCCTCACATGCCTCCACCTGCTTCTTTAGCCGTGACGCTGACCTGGCTTCGCGATCCGTTTGGCGCAACATGTCCTGCAGAGAGAAGCAGAACATTCGCTTCAATGCTTGGACGACAGCAATACACGTCTCAATTCGTGCAGTATATTTAGATGGATTGTTATGCCACGCACGCACCTGGCTGTGTTTCAGCTTCTGCTGCGTCTGCATGAGCAGCTTTCTGAGCTCCGCTGTCTGGTCCTCTGGGCCACAGCTGGAGCCTTCTGGCAACTCTGGCAGCGTGGACATCTGTGGCACATATTCTGGCCAAAGGTCTGGCGCATCTGGCAACGCTGGTTGGCGCGAATGAGATCCTTGGCGCAGCAGCAGGATACCTCCCAAAATCTGCGCACCGACAACACACATGATTTTGGACTTCCCCTGTTTGGCTTGGTGCCACCAGGATGAGACAATGCAGCTTGAAGACAAGCTCTTAGAATGACCAGGGAAGAGTCGAGACTCACCACAAGACTGGTAAATGCTGCACATAGGATCCACAAGGGCACCCTCCTGGTATTCCTTCTGGGCTCTCGAGGGAGAAGACTTTTGTCTGGCGCCCCGAGGGAGCTTGCTCGGCTATCCCTTCTGCACCACAATACGAAGATGTATTCAGTGCTGATTGCTTCTCCACATCAATCTGCAAGTCTGAGCAGTGGCAACCTTTGGTGACACCACAGACCTGATAGAGCTGCGTTGGGAGATGCCCGCAGATCCTGGTGTGTGTGTTGCTGGCGAGCGTGGCGGTTCTTCTAGGGTTTTTGCCTTCTTTGGCAATGGTGTGCCCACAGCACGGAGAAAATCATGCTCTGGTGTTCGGGCCATCACAGTGCCTCACAGCCAGGAAATTTGAGTGATCCCCGGGTCTCTTTCGCATCTCTTATGAAAATAATCAGTATCATCAATGGGCTTCGATTGTGTCAACGACCAGCAAAGACACACTTTTAAGAATGTGTTCCCAAGTGATGTCCTGCAACACAATCTTGTATCACCAGCCTTGTTTCATACAGCTGCGCCAAAGTGCTGGTATGCAGGACCTGGACCTCGTTAAGTTTGCTTGATTCGGGGGGATTTCGCTTCTCAAGCATCCTTCCATTTGGTCAACTTGTGCCAGCTCGACATCACCACACGTGTCAGATGACGTCCCCATGGCATGTGCCTTCTTCTCTAGGAGCATCTCTGGCCGACCAAGGAATCTATTGTGCGACCAGGATGTGGCGTGTCTACACGCCTACAGTCCTCAAAATGCATCCGAGGGCTTCCTGCGCTGTGCTAAAGTACACCATCATCGAGCGGTTCGGCAGGTAGATTCCGGAAGCGCGGCTGGAGGGAAAGCAACAAGGCACCTCGGGAGGCAGCTTGTGGTCCTGCGTCGTGCGCAGTCGTTCGGCGCAGATGTCTTGTCGCACAAGACATCGGCTCAGGGCAGCAGCTCTGCTGCTGGTGTGCGCCGCCGTGGTGCATTCTGCTGTCGGCAGACCTCAGCCAGAAGGCGATCTGGAGAGCAGGAAAGACTGCCAGCCAGAGCAGGTTCGAACATATTGATGCTGTGATGCCAACATTGTTGTCATACCCACACTCTAAAGGCTATCCGGTCCTCCGCTCTCCTAGTCCCCTCACGTGTGCTTCCTGGCCTTGGACATCTATAGTGGTGAACAGTGGGAGATTGTTTTCTGCTTTGAGCTAGCGTTGTGCGTACCTGTCTCGTGCGCACATTATAGAATTTCTGTGCTCCTCAATCTTGTGAACGCCTGTGAGCATCACTTCTGTGGTCACTAAGCCTTGATGAGAGGCTGGTTTGCAAGTGCACCTGCCAGGATTGTTCACGGCTATCCAAGCGGCTGCTGTGGGCGTCTTGGTCCGCTCTCCTCACTCTTTCAAGGGAGGTTTATGCACCCATTCTAAAGCTCTGGCACGCTTGCAGGTGCATCTAGCTCTTACTGGAGATCCCACTGAGATGCGCGTCAGCTGGAAGACAGATGGGGCTGGGTATGTGTCCTGCAATCTTTCTCACTAATTGGTCTTCCCTTGTGCACGGGTTCAAGGACCAAGCCTCACACCCACTTCAGATCCTGGTGTCATGAGCGGAAGATTCTCTGATCCTGGAACTTCTACATATTTACAGGTGCAGTGGGCGCCTGCACTGGGCCAGTGACAACGGAGATATGCTGCTTTCTTCAACCTCGCTGAATCAGTCATTACCTTCTGAGGAGTCCTCCTACTCGGTGAGTCTTGCTGGTGTGGGATTTTTCTTTCATGTGAATTTTTTGTATTGAGGGGCTTGATGGGTCCTGATATTTTTCATGTGTGCTGGCTGATGACTGGTGTATTTACTGGACAGGCGGAGGACATGTGCAGCGAGCCGGCCATCAACTATAATTTTGACCCGCCGCATCTGCACAGCGCTGTCATTACCGGATTGGTGCGCTCCGCCTGTCATTCTTCTGCTCCCTTTAAGCTCTTCGAGTCGACTGTGTTCAATACTCTTGTGGCGAGAGGGCCAAGAGTTCTATTACAAATTGAAAGGGGCAAGAGATATCAACATGTCTGTCATGCAGGTGCCAGGCGACCGCTACCAGTACAGAATAGGCAGTCACCTGCCACTGAGCAGCTTCCGGGCAGCTGCAAAGCCGGCGCCGGACGCGGGGTTCACCTTCATCGTGTATGGTGACATGGGGGAGTCGGACCACAGAGCCGCCAAGTCTCCAGGGTGAGCACTTTAACCCCAAGGCTGTGCTGAACCCATATTACCGCCAATTTCTCACCCTGCATCTGTGGGAGTCCAGTGGCACTTCAGGCTATGCCCAGCCTCGCTTGCATGCGCTGAGAAACACCTGTTTACCACAGCTAGCTTTGAGGGGCCATCACAAGCCATTGGTTGCTCGTTAAAACATCCTAGGAGCAGAGCTTTTCATGCTCGCCTGCACGGCATGGCACAGCAGAAAGGCACCTTCCAACTGGAAGGCTCAAGAGAGCTACTGCGTGGCTCTGCAATGCAATGCTTGACCAACACCCGGTGTCTCAGGCTAGGCCTTGCACCAGCCATTGCTGCAGCAAGTCAACTCGTTCGAAATGGAGGGCTAAGAAGGAAGGATGGAAGGAGATCAAGCTGCTGCTTGTCTTACAAGGGTATCTCAGGGAGAGAACCCTAGCTGCCGAGGGGGATTAGACGCGCTCTGTGCTGCACAGGGCGGCGGACACGGCGGAGAACGTGAAGCAGGAGATTCTGGACAGGGGGGCGGATCTGGTGCTGCACATGGGGGATATAAGCTACGCGAATGGGGAGGTGCGCATCTGGGACGCTTTCATGCGCTACATCGAGCGGTACGCGAGCGCCGCGCCGTACATGATCGGCGTGGGCAACCACGAGTACGACTACCGCACCGGCCGCGAGAAGCACCGCAAGCGCGCCCGCCACCCGGACGCCTCCGGCTCCGAGGAGCCCTACGACCCCGACTGGGGCAACTACGGTGCGAATCAGATATTCCAGGACTCTCAGATGGTTAACAAACTGATCACTTGATCATGACTCAATAAAATATAATCTTGCATCGCTTAGTTCTCAAGTATAGCCATGCGATTGCACTCTGGCCTCCTTGGGCGCTACCATAGGGTGGTGTAACAATAGAAGGACGCCTTTATTACTCTTTGCTGGCACTCCCCCTGCTACCGCTTGTGAGCTTTCTTCTCGCTGGGCCAGTGTGCATGCTTACGCATGTGAGCATGTGCCCAAGGCCGTAAAGAATAAAACTGTTAGATAGAGAATGCGCTGTTCACGTGAGTCATGTCTGCAAGACAGGCTCGCGCCGATATTTGTTGAACTTGCCGGCAGAATTTTGCTGACATCATGGCGCTAGTGCAATATGTGAGGCTCATACTGTGGCTGTGGTTGCAGGCAATGATTCAGGCGGGGAGTGTGGCGTGGCGGTGGCCAAGCGCTTCCGCATGCCCAACAGAGAGACCGCGGCCGGGCCGCCGTCCAACGCGCCATTCTGGTACGGGTTTGACTACGGCTCCGTCCACTTCACCATCCTCTCCAGCGAGCACGACCTCCACAATGGGTCCCTCCAACGAGAGGTGCTTCTTTGTTAAACTCTGGACCACACCGCTCTTTTGCCAATGTCAACAGACGAGGCAATCTACAATACTTGATCCAATCATGTGCACCCCAATATACCACCTGCCGTCTCAACCATCCCTGCCTGCTGCAGTCACCCTTTGCAAAGTCATCCTTAGGTATCTCGAGGAGTGAGCAAAAGTAAGCAGACAGCCATCAAGCTGTGGATTCCAGTATGTGAATGCCAGCAAGATGACAGATTGGGTGTCTGGCGCAGTGGCTGGAGGCTGAGCTTGCAGGCGTGGATCGCTGCGTGACCCCGTGGCTGCTGGTGGGGCTGCACCGCCCCATGTACGTCCCCTACCCCCACAAGTCCAACCGCGTCGTCGGGCGCCACCTGCAGGCACGCTCCCCACAACCCTTCACTCCTCTTTTATCAGGGCATCTGACCTTGGACACTCGATAATGGCAAGTCAAGGGTTGCGCACTGAAATTCATAAGCGTAGAGGTCAGAGTGGTATGATCATGAAAAGAACAGGTCAGGAGACTGCGCCAAGGCTGCTATGAATCGATGATATAAGGAGCTCTTGTTGCGCGCAGGACATCCTTGAGGACACGTTCCTGAGGCACGAGGTGGACATGGTGATGTCGGGGCACGTGCACCTGTACGCGCGCACCTGCTCCGTCAAGCACGACCGCTGCAAGAAGCCTGGCCGTGGCGGCATCACCCACGTCACCGTCGGTGCGCACCCCTCTGACTGTCTCATCTCCCTGTTTGCGCGCTTTCACAGTCTCACATGCACCTGTTTATTGTCTGCATGGGTATGGAGCTTGCATCTAATGTACTGCAAGCACAATGCCGAAGTGGCAAATAGAATCCTAGGAAGGGTCTCTGTGCGCTGCTGAGAGCCTCATTGTTCCAGAGCATGTGTTGTACGGTAGATCCACTGTAAGCTAGGCCCCTGTCTGAGCTGCCAGAAACATACAAACGGCAAGGAGCGCTGCATGTTTGGTGCAAGTGAGGGTGACTGAGCAGCGAGTGTGGGGCTGCAGGGTGCGGGGGGCACAAGCTGAGCGCGATAGAGGACGACCAGAAGGCGTGGATAGCGTCGGCCGCGTCGCACTTTGGGTACGGGCGCGTGACGGTGGACGACAGCGGGTCGCTGCTGTGGGAGTATGTGCGCACCAAGGACGGCCGCACCCACGACCACGTCCGCCTGCACAACCACCAGGTCAGCGCCTCTGCATTTCATCCCATAAGCCATCCTGCATAGGCTTGCAACGATCTGATTGTGCTCTCGTGTGTTTTCTCTCCTGGTGCCATCTCCATCTATGCCTGGTTCGTTTGTGGTGCTTCACGCCGGGACAGAGCCTGACTTGTCTTTGTTGCTCTAGAGGCTCGCTGCGCTCTGTAAACTATCACATGATGCTCATATTCAATGCAAAAATCCTGAACCTTGACTTGCTTTCAGCTGTGTGTCTAACTTGTTTTGTGTGACCAGGCGGACCGCTGCAACGCCGCGCGCAATGCCTCAGCAGACGGGGCGCTCCTCGGCAGCTTTGCTGACGTCAGCGATGAGATTGATGATGAGCTGGCAGATGTCGATGCTGACTGGGTTGATGAACTGGCGGAGGAGCAGGCGGGGGGCAGGTACTTCGAGGGTGTGGATGAGGATGAGCGGGGTTGTTTGGAAGATGAAGAGGATATGGAAGATGAAGAGGATGTGGAGTCACAATTGGGAGAGCAGGAAAGTGATGAAGATAGGTGGCATCCGACTGTACTGGGTGACAGCGCAGAACAGCTCAGATCAAAGATAGTGGCAGCATCCTGAAATGCACTCAGCTGCAGCTGTAGTGAGAGACAGGTAGAATGAGAGAGCTGTAGTTTTGTGTGCTGTACTTGTATGTGGTAGGCAGGGCTATTCAAGCATTCAGCAAAGAGGTCTGGTTTCTGGTTACTGGCCTCAGCAGCTTTTACACCCGCTGGGGGCCTTCATCTTCAAATTGTTTGTGCCGTGTGATTATTGTTTAATGTTGATGAGACAGCTTTAAATGGTGCTTGTCATGCCGCATGCTGATGATCTCAAAGAATCCAAGAGGCTATGTAGGGCCATAGATGAAGCCGGAAATATTTTCTGCCGCTTGCCTGTGCAATTTGCTGGTGTGCCAGTGTGCTGTGTGTCAGCCATTGGCACACAATCTTTGCAACTTGAGCGCTGCTTGTCTTGTGATAGCCATGAAGGGTAGCATTGGCTTATCCAATAGAGGTTGTCAATGGCTTGTGCTGCACAATGACGTTATAGTCCAGCTCCATATGTTAATATTGAATTCTCTGTACTATGTGTGCTTTGCTGGTCACAGAGATGGCTGATTATGAAGGCTAGCAGTTGCCCACTGGTAGGCCTGAGCCTCAAACTTGATGTTCATTGCTTCAAATGTGCAGGCTTGCAGTTTTTTCAGGTTATTCTGATTTTGCAAAGTGCTGATTATTTCATTCTAGAGTCGATGCTAGTCCTTGCCAATTGTATGTGTTTGATTCTTGTGTCAGATGTTTTCCATGCTTGTTGCTTACCAAAATGATTCTGCATCTTTGTGGAACTTATACTGAAATGGCGGCATGGACGCAATTTGCAAGACTGCAGTATTTACTGTAAAGCTCAGTTGAGTGCTGCATGGAATGACCATACACTCACTTGAAGTGCAGTGTGGTCTCTATGGCTTAGACCACACTGCACATGCATGGTGCAAGTGAAGCTGATTTTACAGAAGGTTTCTTGCCCTGCTATGCCGCGCGATATTATGCTGGCATCATAGTCATTCAGTCCACCGTGTGCATGTTGATGTCAACATGTGATCATATTACTCACAAAGCAACTAGGCTCCACAGTTAGCACGATGACCTGCTTGTTGTTCTCAGATCCTGCGCAGGACACCCCGCCAGGAGGCTCGAGCCTCAATCTTTCGGCCGGGAATCGCACTAGCTGTTCATCCTATAAATATGCGCTGATCAGATACCTGAGGCAATCTCATATGGCTTATCCAGGACTCAACTTTGATTATTCAAGGCTGATGGGGATCACGCGGCGGCCGCGATCCTGTAAGCTCTGCTGCACAGCATTGGCGTCTGCAGCCATCACCACGGTCTGTCGCCCAGGATGCAGGTGCCTTTGCGCGGCGCCCAATACGTCCTCCGCCGTGACCGCCTCTATCCCCGTCTTGTAGGTGAACAGATAGTCCTGGCGGCAGCATCAGTACCCACATCAGCAATGCACACATACCGCCGCCAGCAGCCTTGAAGTGCCTCAATGCCAGTGGGATCTGTAGGCTCGCTACACAAACATGCTTGAAAATTCTCATTAATCAAGATACATGTGAGCCATCTTTACAAGCTTTTCACCTCTGGCAGGCCCAGGAGCGCATAGATGACTGTCCGCTGCATCTGGGCATTGGTGGAGGCAAAATTGAAGATGAAGCTGTTCAGTGTCTCCGCCTTTGCCGACGCAATTTCCTGATCTGTTGGAGCCGTTTCAGTCGCTTCCTGCCACCCACCCGCTTGCTTACTGGACCTTGAACGCGCCCAGCATGCACTCAAGTACGGAATGTCCTGCTGCATGGACCGATAAATGGCAGGGCATGTGACCCACAAGTTAAGGGACAGTTGAGTCATTGTGTGCTCATTGGTGCGCGCATTAATTGCTCACCCTGAGGACGCGCTCGAGCTGCTCCAGGAACTCTGCTGGCCGCGCGGTAGAGCCCCCGGCAGCGAAGAGCCCCGGGTGGTCAATGGGCGAATCCCAGCCGCCGCTCACGCTGTATGTCAGCCCCTGCAGCCGCGCACGGGGCTTCTTATGCAAGATCAAACAAGACCCATGTATTAATCTTCCATGAAACCTCTAGGTACAGACTCCCTGAAGCGGTGCAATGACATGCAATCCCAGAAATGCATATGCAGCTGCAGAGGAACTTCTTCTTGTCCAGGCAAAGTGAGCAATTAGTAGGTTGGGCCTCATTGGCTCACCTCTCTAGACCTGATCTGGTCAAACAGGCGCCCGCCGAAGGAGTTGAGGATGTCCCCCAGCACATCCAGCGCGTAGCTGTCCGGATCGGCCAGAGAAATGCCAGGCTCTCCCATCAACATGCTTACCTGCAGAAGCCAAAGCGATGCTGCGTCAACTCATCCAAAAGGTTCTGCCCCAATCACCACCTGGTCGCTTGAGAGATCCTCCAGAGGGAGAACCGAGGGCGTCACACAGGTCCTGAGCTGGGTACATTATCACGGAGTCGGCACAATTGTTTGTCCCTTACCAGAGTGTGGGACTGTAATGCACCTGAGTGAGGCCTGGCCTGTCCACAACGTAGACAGATGCTGGCTCGGGCTGGAACTCTGGGATGGGAGTGTTAGGCACGTCAGGAGGCGTTGCAGGCTGCCCTGCTGCCGGCCTCCACCCGCCCAGCTGCCTCTCAAGCACCGCCTTCATCCTTGCAACATCAAAATCCCCTGCACATGCGCACTTTGTGTGACCATAAATAGAGCATGCAAGGGGTGGCAAAGCATCAACATGCCTAGATTTCAGAGGTGGATGGGTACTAGAGCTGGGGCAATTTGCTGGGTGTCGTCAAGTGTCAGCATGATGTCAGCAAAAGAACCTGCAATGCCGAGCACAGCAGCGTCTGGCCGCTGCCAGGTGGCCAGGTGCCTGCTGATGTCAGCGCGACTAATTGCCTTGACCTGATCAGGCGTGGGGGTGCGCGCGAAAACGCTGTCGCGGCCATACAGCAGCCGTGCCAGCAGCCGCCGTGGGGCTGCACCCGGGTTGTCATACATGTGCTCCAGAATGTTCAGCACCTGCCTCATGCAATCCAGAATTCAATAACTGTGACAAAAAGCTCATATATCACTGATCTCTGACAAAGGTACAACCTACCTCAAGAGAATCGTTTGGAATCGCTGTGAAGCACGAAGGATGTTATCAGGTCATTCTGGGCTGTATAGCATGCATTAATTAGGCCTTCTGCCACCAATGGAGACTGCCGGCACGCCCACTTGCAGTATATGAGATTTGCATGTTAAATGATGGTGTCCAAGAGGCACCTGAGACTTGTACAGGGCCACTTTCTCCTCCGGCAGGGCGGGCGAATTCAGCACCTCTGAGAACAGGCCCATCACCTCATCCACATCCTCTGCGAGACACTCAAAGCCTGCAGCAAGCACTGCCTGCTTTCACCGTGGCTAAGTCAAGTCCTCTCCACGCAAATCAGCTGCAGTTCCCAGCCAAGAATCGTGAATGGAGGCTGGAGGGGGCGCACCAAGTGAGGACGCCTCAGGGCCGGCATTGCCCTCTATCGATGCTGCTTTCTGCTCAAGAGCCTCATCCAAAGCGTTGCCTGGATGCGCAACCGACCCCCCGGCTCTTTGTACGGCTGCTGCAATGGTCGCAACACCGACCTGCAACCCATCCACGTGCCTTCACTGCTCTGTTTCGTCGTAAGCATTTTGTCTTGATCGGAGGATATGCATCATCTTATGAGCTCAAATGACGAGATTGTGGGCTAGGTTCTTTGTCAGCAGTCGACCTTGTCTGGTGGGCTGGCTCTGAGGCCTCCGCGGAACAGAAGCATTCCCTTCACAAGGGGAACATCTGGGTCCTGCACCAGGAACACTCGGAGCCCATTCCTCAACACCACCTGTACCAGCACACGATTATCAAGATGTGCATGTGCAGGTTGCATTTTTGTGAATTCAAGATCAGTCTGCTGTTGTTGTGCATGCTGCGTACATTGGAAAGAATTGCACAGCAGACTGTGGTGTGATGCCAACATGCAGGTAGCTGCCATGATGATGTAGCTACCTTCTCGATAATTGGCAGACGGAGATCTCCAAGCTCAGGGAACTCTGTGGGGATGGGCGGCAGGGCGGCAGGCTGATCATACAGGGCAGCTAGAGCGTGAGAAGGTGTTACTGCCAGCATGGATGCCAGCAGGAAGCCTGAGGTGCCTGGCACTGGCCACATATGGTCCCAATCAATACAATTGGGCTGCTTTGACTGTTAGTGCATAGCTCATTGGTGTGTCACATGGAGATAATTTGCTCCAGAGAGGCATTTTGAACAGTATCTGTCCTAGTTATACCTTGGGAAGCTGCATGGCCTGAAGCATGGCAAGACAGGGCGGAATGATTCGGCTATTTCTTACCTATGACAGTCCTCAAAAAATTCTGAAGCGAGTTTCTAGCACGTTCGACACCTTGATAGTGTGTCGAGACAGGCAAAACAAAAGTATTTTCTTGTCGGGAACATGCCCATGCCTGCCTTCTAGGTTGACGGCCTCTTCGGTAATTTTGTGGTGAGAAACAAGGTAATACAGGCAGATGCGATAGCAAGTTCATTTTATATTGTGCCCTTACGGATATGTAAGATTTGCTTTGAGTCTGGGCATGGCTGCGATGAATGCTTCTCCTTCTCAAGTCGTTTATTCCATTTTCAAGATGTCATCAGAATTATTGATGTTCAATCTACGTCAATAAAAAATCGCACATACTTTCGGAAGGGCACATTTTTGTGCACAGTTTCCTTGGGCCTAAGTCTTGCCACAGCCATGCAGACGTCATGGTCATGACACATAAGCAACAGATGCCTCACCCCATCCATCCACCTAGGAGAAGGCAAGATGGCTGAATTTAGCCAATAGCTTGAAGAAAGGCCTCTGTCAGCTGGGATAATGGCACACGCATTTGTGCATCACTTAAACGAATGTGACCTATCTTGCCGCATGCTACAGTGATTCTAGAATCAGAGTTATTTCTGAGTGCAACTTGAAGTGGACCGCTATCTATACATCAGCAGCTTGCAGCAATTGGTTTCAAAGATTTCGAATGGCTGTCATGAATAGCACTCCGGTCTCAATACGCCAATGTAAGGCAAAGATCGGTAATGCTCGTTGTAGTCTAATCCATACCCTACCACAAACTCGTCCGGACACTGCAGCACAAACAAACAGTATGATCATCAGTAACAGACAATTCGCAGCTGCCGCTAACAAGCATTGCCAGCAGGCCGCCAAGCTCATATTGCAGTTTTTTGGCCCAGATAATCTGCTGTCCCTCACCTCAAAGCCTTTGTAGTCTGGCTGGAGATCCACTTGCCTCCTGGCGGATTTGTCTAGAAGTGTCACTGTGCTCACGCTGGCTGCTCCCTGTGACTTGAGCCGTGCGCAGAGTTCCTGTGCAGTGGCAGACCTAGGCATGCTCACATTCCTGATAGAGGAGGGAAGTACTATTTGCATGCTTGCACTGCATTGCTGGGCTCAGCACGTTTTCAACAGATCATACCTGCAGAGTCTTCCCTGTGTCAATGATGTCCTCCACCAGGAGGATATGCCGTCCTGAGATGGGTACCTTGGACACAAGGCCCAGTGACACTGCCTCCTCACCGGTTGTGGACGCGCCAATGTAGGAGCTTGCTCTCAAAAAGTCCATCTGCAGGCCATCTGGGAGCGGATCTATCGCCCGCACCAAGTCTGTGTTCCACACAGTAAGATTAGACTGGTGAGCAGGAAGAGCCAAGCATGCTCAAGAGTACAGGACTCCTTGTGAAATCAGCAACCAACCTGCCATGAAGACGAAAGCGCCGTTCAGGGTCCCTATGATGAGCGGTTGCTTCTCTGCAAAATCAGCTGCAAGCTCCCTGTCATACCACCGACATTTGACAAGCCCTGATAATGTTCAGCATCTTTAAAAAATTTGACGTGTATGTTGTGCTAAAATGTTCTACCTTCCCATCTCCAGTGTGCGCTCCTTCACCACCTTCTCAGAGAATAAGATTACAGAGATGTCTTTGTGTTGGTTGGACACAACTGTAGCTCTGCGAGCTCCTGTTCGATGCAGGAGATGACTGCGATTCTTTCCCAAAATGCCTTTACCTATATGAGAAGATCTGAAATTCCGGAAACTAGATACAGAGTGCATGGCATGGGCAGTCATGTTGGACTAGTTTGTGGTTCATTTACACACGCGGCCAAGGCGAGGACACACACTAATGGAAGATTAACCCTTGTATCAATGTATACATGGACACAGTATGGCAATTAAGTATTTACTTTGCATGCATCTGCCTTTCCCACCTTCAACCAACTTCCGATGCTCCATCTGGACCGTCCGCTGGCGGCCAAATCTGGCAAGCGCTCCATTACGTGACCACGCTCCTGAATTCCCAGCCTCAAGATCTCAGCCTTCCGTCGAGCAATCTTTGACGCTTGGTATGACATTCTTGTCGAGGCAGGCTCTTTGTTAAGGTCTCTCGAGAAAGAATGGACAGCCTGACCGCCTTCCTCATGGATCAGCACGGGGCAGAGATGTCCTTGGACGCGCTAACTGACTCCATGCTCGCCAACCTGCCACATGCGCCTAATTCATTTGATGCAGCAGCCCCCATCGTGCCCTTCAACTCGAATTTTGGCAAGACCGCAGGTGGGATCCAGTCAGCGTTGGCACAATTGTGGTTTGTCATCAACTTCTGATACCTGCCCCAACGACGGCTCTGACTTTCTTTTGCCCCTGTTTCATGGATGATGTTGTTCTCTGCATTGCTGCAGACTACCCATCGGTGAAGCAGCAGTTCTCCCAGCAGTACCAGACACCCTGGGACTTCCCAGTGCCTCCCGCAGACTATGCACAGGCTGCCTCTCTGCCCATGGATTTCGGACAGCAGCCCACAAGCAGCCCCCTTTTCGCAGCACCTGAGGAGACCATCTTCAGCAACACCACTGCCACGCCAGCCGCAGCACCCGCCCCCCCAAAGAAGCTGCAGCACACCAGCAGCAGCTGCTCCTCTGATAGCAAGGAGGACCAGGAGATCTCAAAGCTGCAGGAGCGCATCCAGAAGCAGAAGGAGAAGAATGCCAGGAACCAGAGGGAGTTCCGCAGACGGGTATGCGCCCTGCTAGCTTTCGCTCATGAGTTGACGCTTCAACCAACCTTGATTACTCTGCACTTGCTGATGCTGTTTGCTCTTGGATCGGCATAGTTGGAGCATGGCTTGATAATGTTACATCTGTGCAGGCAAAGGAGAGGGCATCAAAGATTGAGGAGCAGGTGCAGCACCTGACCGCAAAGCTGTCAGAGACAGAGCTGGAGAAGCAGAGCCTGGCAGCCAAGAACCGGGTGCTGGAGGCTGCACTTGCTTCCGCCAGGAGCTATTCCAACCAGGTCCGTCAGCCTCACAGCAATGCACATTGCGAATGTCAGAGCGGATCCCCAAAGTGTAGCCAGCTGTTGTCTTTGCATCAAAGCGCTGTTGCACACTGTTGTCCTGTTGCGACCTCGCCTGGCTGTTGACTGGCGCACATTTTACAGAGGCGAAAGGATGCATCCATGCTCTGTAGCTGTCAGAATTGTACTGATCTTACTATTTGACCAACGCAGGGCAGCAACACTGCGTCCCCCGGCTCCATTTTGGGCACTTTTGCATGTGAAGAGGCGGAGGATGCTTCCGGCCCCGTCGTGCTGACCGTGCGCGATGGGTCTCCCCTGCAGCTCTCCATTGACCAGATCAAGCGCATGACATGGCAGGAGCTGTCGCGCATCTGGAAGGTGACCGGCCTGCCTATTGCTTTGTTTCCCCACTGCTACAACCACCCGATCCTGTCTCCAAAGAACAGGGAAGCTGGGCATGCATATCCAACCTAAACTTTTTTCTGAGTGCAAATTGCATGTAGGAATACGTCAACGCCATTGCGATGCGCCTGGTGACTGGCACCAACAAATTCAACGGCACCAGCGAGCAGCGCCTCACGGTGATCATCGCAGCCCCAGCCTGCCACTGTTGAATCCCCAACCCAAAGCCGATGTGAATCATTCTGTATGTCGCTGGCAGCCACATGACATTTGGGAGGTACCCTTGTTGGGGCACTGATCTTGAGGGTGCCTCTATACCCAGGAGCTCGTGGTGGAGGTGTCCAATCTGATGCGCACTATCGCGCTGCACAACGCGATGCTGATTCACCAGCACCACAGCCATCGCATGGACTTGCCCCCAAACGCGCCGCAGGCCCAGCAGCCGCAACCGCTAGGAACCTACACCAACCTCCTGGTGCGCCCACATCCCCACCACCCCAGCTTCCCACAGAATGCTCTGACTGGAGTTCAGTCTTGGAGTCCCCTGATGTTGAAGTATGGGTTGTGGTGCGCCCACATCCGCATCACCTGAGATTCTGGGGGATGGCTTCAAATGGAGCGAATGTTTGAGTCCCTGACTTCCTGTTTGAGTTGCCACTGTATTTGCTACATGCCTGGGCAGAACTATATTATTGACAGGGAACAAGTTCATGGTTGAGCAATCGATGAAATGTTGCATTGTGGGGTGTGCAGGAGGTGCTGGGCCTGAGCAAGGAGCAGAAGGAGCAGATGCTGGCGCATCGCCATGTCAAGCTGGTCTCCCTGGCGCGCCTCGTGCAGGAACGCCGCGAACTGCAGGCCCGCCTCCAGGCAGGCATCAGGCTCATTGCCTTTCCTTTTGATCTGACACAAGCTTGCCTGTATGTGGAACTTCCTCTGGCAGTGAGAGGACAGGCCAAGGCAGGGCCGCCGGAAAGCATCGGGCATGCTGGCGCTACAGCATGGGACCATGTGTGGTGCTGCAGCAGTACACCAACTTGCTGTGGTACCGTACCACTATGTTGACATCCTGTACCTGGCTGTGCGGCAGGCGTGCAACGAGGCGACGGCGAACCCGCGGGAGAACGAGAGCGTGGGCATGGGCGCAGAGTTCCCGCACCTGCTGGAGGTGGCCGAGCGGCTGCGCGAAAATGTGGCCCAACTGCACCGCTCCGTATGCCTTTTCATGGGCCACACCTGGCGCCAAGTCCTCACTCCCGTCCAGGCCGGAACCTTCATGGTTCAGGCCTTTCCTTGGACCCCGGACATGCTCGCGTTGGCAAACACCATCGCGGCGGAGGCCGGCGCCCCCAGTGTGCAGGACATCTTTCGCGACTCGCTCAGCACGCAGCCGGGGGCGACCCCCCTGCAGCTTGGCTGCTGAGCGCGTGGCTGCAACAAAAATGCCTCTGTGTCCAGTGTGTCTGGTGAAGAAGTGCAGTGGTGCGTTTGGTCAAGAAATGCGGTCAGGGCGGGTGTCTTTGGCTGGATCAGCGCTCACAAGAAGTGCTCATGTATATTAGGGAACAGGGTGCAGCTCTTTTGAGCGCAATATTGATCCCATGACAGCGTATGGTTGCTGCATTGATCTTCTTATCAGGCACTTGCAAGTCTCTAGTGTGCAAAATGTGGTGTGGTTGTTTGTATGTCATGTGCTGCTTGGTGGTCGATCGTCCATACATTGAGTAGGTCTTGAAAGATTTGGGGCAGGAATTGGGACTCTTTGGTGGGGCTTTGCAGTCTTGACCACAAAAGGGGTCTGCACTAGTCAGCTGAATAAATTGGAGTCCTTTATTCTATTAGCTTTCTGCAGATCATCAGCTGATCGCGAAAGGTGTTTTTTTTAGGCTCTTGTGTGTTGGCAGTGGAATGTGCCATCCAAGATCATGAGTGCAAGCCTGACTATCAAGCAAATTACATCTGGCTGCAATGCAATTTTATCATTATTTTTACGCGCGCGCGCCTGGCGCATTACATTCTTAGCTTTTCTTGTGTCTAATGCCATCCCATGAACAGGGGAAACCATGATGAGCGTGCATGCTCGGATTCGTACGTTGGTGTCCTGGGCACATGTGCACATGGGCATTATGCCGACACATCTGAGAGTAAAGAGCTGATTTTGTGAAAGTGCAAGATGGTGAAAACTTGAAATGTGCCGTGGGTTCTAGATTTGGATATGGCCAGCGCTGGCTGCAACGTGGCGAAATGAATTATGTATATTGATTGCGCAAGCTTGTTGTAAACAACAGGGTATTTTACAAGCCTGAGGTCTTCAACCGCAGCTGAGAGCATCATACCTTTTGATGCATTGCTGCACACCAAATTTTTGTTGAAGCAACAGATCCTGATATATCAATAACATGCATGCATGCAACTCTGACAAGGACGTCTTAGAGAGCCTCTCTGTCCCGTGCTTGCGCAAGCCAACACAAAATGCACCTGCCCCACAATTTGTGGAGATGCACAACAAGTTTCTTTGCCGATTCACTGATAGGGCTCATAAGCAATCTCTTACCATTCCCACTGACTTGGGGAACCACGTGCCATACATGAAAACACTTAGCTGATCAGAGCTACAGTGTCACGGGATACATGACGGCAGCTCTGCAAGTAAAAAGATAGCTACAAGAAGAAAGCACCTCCTGTTTCAGACTCACACATATAGATAAGTAATTGAAAAGCCTTGGTCCTTGAATGTCTCAGCAGTTGCACTTACCGAGTGTGGAAGGCATGCCTCGCCACAAGCACACATTGGTGTCTCGCATCACCTGCTATGCAATGACCGTCTACTCTACCGGCCCTCTGCCGAGGTCAGCTATCCCAAACATTGCAGCACAATGCACGGCCCTGCCCCCTCCATGCTGTGGTGGACTGTGCACCAAAGCCACAGATACAAGGCCTGCAGCAGGCTCTACCAGGGGGACTGACAGTGGGGGCAGAGGGATTTGCCGGAGGAGCGGAACCACTTGTAGAGGCAGGCGCGGTGGAAGCGCTTGGAGCAGGTGTGGCAGGCCAGGCGCGGCAGCTGCCCGTCGGCTGCGGCCACGACGGAGTAGCAAATTAGGCACTCCTCGACGCCGGAGAACTCGCGGACGCAGTTGTCGCGCCACAGCGCCATCGCGTCCGCCAGGCTGCCGTTCTGATTGCGCAGGAACGCCGTTATAGACAGCAGCCACTTGCGCAGCCGCCCCTCCGCCACACCCACCTGCACAGACGCATTGCGCCGTTCAATAACGCATTCACCATTGACTTTCATTTTGGTTGGCATGAAGCAACAAATTGTGTCCTCATAACATTATGTGTAGCAGCACCTGTCAGCAGCAAATCATCACACAGTAAGGTGAATTTGGTTTTACAGAAAGCAGCAAGTTGGGTCAGCTTCAATGATGTCTAGCAGCACCCAAATTGCATGCACATGCAGGTGTGGGATTGACATGCGCAGTGCACAGTGCAGAGAACGTTCCAGAAAGCTAATGAAGCTGGCTCACAGAGTTTTAAGTGTCGCGCACCCTGCGGCGGCACTCGACTTCGGCGGGGCGCAGGGGCCAGGAGGTGGGCAGCTTGACGACCATCTCCAGAGTGGAGCTGTCCTCGATGGACAGGATCGCCACAGCCTCGCGCACTGCCAGGCTGGCGCGCACGCGGAACTCTGCGGTGTCCGCCACGTCACTGGCCGCCACGCCCGACACGCCGCCCAGCTCCGCAGCAATGATGGCCGCGCTCTCCTTTGCTGCAGTGTACGCCTGCAGCAGGAAGATACTAATGGTGCTGCATGGCTGGCAACCATACACCACCGCACAGATGGCAAAGCGAGCTGGGGGTGCAATGAAGATGCATGAGACTGGCGCTGAGTGCCTGTGAGATCATATCTGGACACATTCTCCCAGAGGAGGCTGGGATTCAAGGATACATTTGAGAAAGAGACACGCAGACATCAAGGCGGAATGAGCGCAAGAGATCAGGGAAAAGGGGGGACTCGCAAAAATTGTCATGCATACACATAGCAGCAAGGGAAGCCAGTTATTGAGGACTCACCTCAATGGAGGACTCCAGGCTGCGGTTGTGGGACAGCCTGCCAAACCAGGATCTGGCTGAAGCAGGCAGCGCAAAGAGCACACCGCGATACAGCGCCGCCGCCAACCGCTTGTCGCCCTCATCCGTGCCCGGAACCCCTGTTTTCCCACAAGTGCATGCTTCAAGGACTTTTCTCGAATACATTGTTTAAGGTTGTATTCCTACTCTCTCTTCTTGGATTACGTGATCCCCTTAAGAAAAGCTAACAGACCGCACAGGAGTCTGCATGCAAAGATTTAGAAGACAGACACGACTTAAACTTACCCAGCTCAAAGAGCTCCTTGGTGAGGCTCCAGGAGGAGCCATTCACGCGAGCTTGAGCAGCCTGAGCGGCACGCTGCGCGGCCGATTGCTGCTGCAGCAGAGCCGGGGAGTGCGCGTTGGGGCCGCGAGCTCGCTTGGCCGGAGTGTCCTCCAACGGCAGCATCGCCACCACGTCATGCATCAGCGCATCAATCAGCCTGCAGCACACGGCACCCATCAGCTTCGGTTTTTAGTTCACGAAAAGTTCTGCAGACCTTAAATCATGCTACTTGAGACTAGATAACGCATCAACAAGCACCGACATCTTTGGAGTCCAGCTGAGCTGAACCAAAGCTTCTACTGCTCCTGTTCACGCCAATGAAGACGGGAACATGCAAGAGAAGCTGTCTCTCCCTGACAGCATGCATGTATGGGGCGCGTCACAAGACATCAATCACAGGAAAGAGCTTAGAAGTGGGCGCACTCGTCTGAGTCGCCGAATGCTTGGGCCAGCCGACGGCGCGCAGGGCCCGCCATGGTGAGCAGCCGGGCCAGCACCAGCGCCCAAGTCACAGCAAAGCCGGGGCCCTCACACACGACGCCGCATATGATCGCAGCGACCTGATCATGCACGCCCGCATCCACCAGGGCACTGTACATGTCGTCAGCGTGAACCGGAGAGGCCTCCGCTTCACTGTCTTCCTCATCCTGTCATGCAGACAGGGCAGCTTCAAATGACATCACACACGAGCCAAACGACAATTCGCACATTTTGCAGTCATAAGGGCAAAGGAATGCAGAACGGACAGCCAAGGGCGGCATTGTAAGAAGCATTTCAGGGTGAGCAACATACCTCCTCATCTTTTGAGAGCGCCACTTTCTGCAGCAATGTTGGGCTGGTCAGGAGCCTCACGCAAGCACTCTGCAGAACGGTATGATTGCACGAAGCATGCATCAAAGCAAAGATAGCAGTGAAAGCGTCGACTCCTGCAGGACAGACACCAATTGGGTCATGGCAGATGACTGCCGTTAATGCTGACCCCTTTATTGTCCTGCTCCCTGCCATACAGCAGCATGCTCGCAGCTACACAAACGACTTCTTCTACTCAACAACACATGTGTCTGATAGTCCTTGTATGCTTCTGCAGCTTGAAATGCCATAGTGGAGTCCCACCAGTTTCAGCAGCCCAGGTGTCTGTGGCCTGGATGCTCTCAGCAAGGCAAGCCTGGTCTGACAGGGCCGACTCTGCGGCTCGGGATGCAGCTGTCCAGAGCAAGGCCTTCTCATCAAAGTACATGGCTGCCGTGTCAGTAGCACGCTGCCCTGTCGCCACGATGAATGCTGCGCAGACGCCGGCAGCAAGGAACAGCCTGTGCGCAAAACAACCTCAAACTCATACCTTGAGGCCCAGGCGCACAGCAAAAGCACATGCACCAGCAAGAACAAAGATGCATTTAAGTATTGGCAACTCGTATGGGATCTGCTGGGAACTACTGCAGCACCTCATGGATTCTGACAGAACTTCTGCCAGCTTCTGGCGCCAGTCACGGGGGAAGTCGCAGTCAGCAGCAGAGCGCCTGTCGACATCCACAATCAGCGCCAGTAACCTCACCCACCCCTCGCCAACCCCATGCAGCTGCTCAAAGCGAAGGTCGTCCGCCAGCTCTGTCAGCATGCCAAATGCCGCACCCTGCAAAATATACAAGAATAGAAGACTTCACTCTTCCAGTGGGCTATGAGATGGCAAACAATGAAAAGGGTTGTCCTTGCAGAACAATCAATTAGGTGCTGTGACCAGGATCCAAAATCAAGCAAGGCAGTGGCCAACCGCTTCACCTTAGGTTTGGATGATGCGTTATTATTTACAAGGCTGAACGTGACAGAAATCCTGACCTGCAGCTTCTCGGCGGCTTCGGGCAGTTTGAGCAGGCTCAGGCGCCGCAGGATTGCCAGAGCCAGATTAGGCCCCACCACTTCCTGTTTCGAGGCTATGACTGTGGCCGCCTTGCGCCCCGCCATTACCACCGCTTCAGCCTGCCAAGTAAGACATACACTGCTAAATTTGACTGCTGGTAAGACACAATGCGCAGCAGACTGGGCACCATTGTACCTCCCAAGAATCTTCCATCAGCTATGCACAAGTATCGTTTGTACAGGATCCGCTTCCGCCTGCCAAAAAGGACAGACACTGCTGTAATGTGGCCACAAATCAGAGACAACGCGCAGCAGGCTTCCATTTTGCCACCCCAGGATCCTGCATGACGAATGCACAACTTATCTAACCCATAATATAGCATGTACAGGTTTTTTGCTGATGAGCAACCTGGTCTTCCATGACAACGGCCGCCGCTGCCACGCCCTCTTTGGCACGCATCAGCAGAGCGGCCCAGTGCTCAGCCTTGAGCTCAAGCCAGCAGTAAGCAACCACGCAATTTGCCAGCCTTGCCAGCGCCGCAGCAGGACTGGTCTCAGAGTCCTCGCTAGACTGCCTGCAGCAGGACCACAGAAGCTGCCTCTGAAGAAAGGTTAAGATATCACCTGTGCCCCATTTCTTGCTTTACATTGCCAGCCACAATTCATGCTATAGCACACTTACCGGCAACATATCTCACCGTGGTTCTTTTAATGCATGGGTTTTTGCAGAGCAGAACAATTTGCAATCTCACCTGATCGCAGCACTGGGGTTCACAGGCTCGCCACTGCGCTTCTCTGCAGCAGCTGCTGCCCTGACAGCCCGCTCCCCTGCCAGCTGGCGCTGCCACAGGGCTATGAGAGCTGTCCTCTCCTCAGGACTAGCGGCATTCTTTCCAGGGACTGCCAAATCCGCCACAGGAAAGCAGCGTGTGACAAGGTCTAGCGATTTCAGGCATTCGGCGACCTGCGAACGAGGTAATTCTCAGACATGCAGAGTCATTGACGGCTTCCGCATGCCTTGATGCAGCTTGGTGGACCAAGCATTTGGAGTTCAAAAGGGGTACCTGTGTAGGAGCGTTGACTTGAGCAGCCACGAGAGGTGGCATGCTAGTAGCGCCCTTCAACTGTCGTGTTGCAATTGCCAACAGGCCAGATGCCTCTACTGCAGGCTCACGCCCATCCAGGCCCCTGAGCAGCCAGGATTTATTCCCTACTCAACTGCCTTTCATACGCTTCATAGATGTTCCTTTAAACAGCAACTAGAGTCAATCAAAGCCTTAGATGCTAGACTCCGCATGCTCAGTTTGAGAGAGGGAGATGAGTCTCACACAGTAATCTGGAACCAAATTACGCACCTCACAGTCTTTGCAACGCTATGCAATACGGCGGAGAGGATGCCAGCAGGGAGCTGCGTGAGCTGGGGGCCAGCTATGCGGGTCCGCACAAAGCAATGCGCTGCGGTCGCTGCTCTCTCACTGCCGCTGATCACCTGTTGCAGGAGGCCGGACAGCACTTGTGTGTACACAGCACTGACACAGATCCCCGTACCTCGCCCCAAAGCGCCCTCCAAGAGCCTGCACAGCACACTGCTCATCCTTACCACAATGCCTACCATGGCTGCTTGAGCGCGCCACCAGCTGTACACAAGAGAGTTGTCATTCACGAAGGTCATCTGCTATGTATAATATAAAAGCATCCTTGCATTTGTATTGACACGCTCGCAAGACAATCACCTATCCAAGGTGCCTTCGAGGAGACCACTGCGCGCTGCAGCTACCCCTGGCAGGTCCAGCAGCCGCCCCTTCTCAGCCAGGAAAGCCTGCAGCTCAACCGCGCTTGCACCTGGGTGCTGCTCCGCAAAGCACAGCATCTCTGTGACGAGCCAGACCCTGCAACAGCACAAAACTTGCTTCACGCCACCGCGCATCCATACACATCCTTTGTGTCAGTCAGGCCACTCTGTAGGATGGGCAATCACACTTGATCCTCAGCTGCGAGAAGACGCACCTCTGGAGTTTTCTCACAGCCAGACTGATTTTCTGCAATACGTCAATCGTTTGTAGGAGCATGCATGCATGCCTGTTATGGCCGTCGCAGTCGTAGAGGATAGCATTGAAGCCCAGCTCAAGCCCCAGCACAAACGCCAGCTCGGACAGCGTCTCTGGGCGGCCGCTGGTGCTCTCAGCAGCCGCCTTCCCCTTGTCCTTGTCATCACCGTCCAGGCGCACATACTGGGGCCAGCCATTGCGAGGCCGCAGCAGGGCGTCGAGCACAGCGTCCTTGTCGTCGGCATCCGCGCACACAGCTGTGATGATGCTCTGAGCCGCTGCAGCTGCGCGCTGTACCAGACTCGCATCCTGCGCATGCAGCTGCGCATCTAAGAGGTGCCACAGGATACTAGTGCAATGGTGCAAAAGCCTTCATGGGATATCTAACAAAAATACAGCTGTACCGCTGCCATGTAAAGCCTTTCATGGGCACAACATGCAGGATCCTGCTGTTCTGGTGCCATGCAAAGCCCTTCATGGGCAACAATACGCAGGAGACACAAAGGGCGGATAAGTTCAATCACCACTTACCGCGTCAATGCAGTGCAGGACAGACTGCAGCAGCGCGCGGCGTATGCTGGCACGGAGTTGAGGGGCCAACTGCTTGCCCATCTCTGCCAGTCTGGTGCCAGCACTCCAGCACTCCCTCGCAGCACTGGCCAAAGAGGTCACATGAGAATCGGCCACCGAAGCGCGCTCGTCCTCACTCTCTGCACCAGTGAAATTGTCAACATCAGGTTCAAATTGGCTTTATTAATTACCAGAATCGACGCCTCAAATCACATTATTGACAAGCATGCACAGGGTCACAGGAGATAGAGAGACATCAATCACCTTCGTGAGTCAAGGTAGACTCGGGGCTTCCAAACACCCAAGCGATCTCAAAGACTGCCACTAGCGCCCTGACAGCAGCTGGCCTCAGTACTGACTGGTTGTCATCCAAGAGGATCGGGCGGGAGAACAGCACAGCGTCCAGGGCGATGAGCGCTGAGAACTCTAGGTCTATGTTCCTGGTCTCCTCGTCCACATTGCAGTCCGCAGGCAAGTACGAGGACAGGATGTCCAGAGCGCTGTCGAGGGCAGACTCACTGAGCAGTGCGCTGGAGTGATCGCCCCGTATCAGAGCAGCAATCACCTGCACAGACATTTGCAGAGAGTATGAATACTTCCTTACAGCTGAGTGGCTAATCAGTATGGTCGCCGATTGGCAGCTTATCAGCAAGGACAGGGAAGGCATGCAGTGGACATTAAAAGATTGCACAGACCTTCCATGCATGGTCGTCAGCCGCCAGCCTCTCTTGTCGCAGGAGCAAGTGCGCAACAGCATCCAAGCGGGGGCTTCTCCAATCCTTCGCCTTGCCTCCAGATTTCCTCAGGCTGTCTGACAGCTGCGTCACCAGGGTGAGCAAGTGCGACAGCCTGCCGGGAGCATGCCCGTTCGCCTGTTTGCTCCTGCTGGGCTGACCGGACCTTGTGCCATTGACTGGCTCCCTGCTGCTGTCTGCCAAGCTGGTCAAGCTGCCATTGCTGCTGGCGCTCAGGGGAGCAAGTGCGCAAGCCAGGTTGGTGGCAATCGTCCCAAACTGTTGCGCAGGATTCTCTGAGCGCTGCATGGTCGCCAGCAGCACATCGGCCATGGCAATCGCACTTGAGCCCTCTGCAGGGCCGGACAGATACATGGCAAGCGCCGCCCCAGGAGTAAGATCAGTTCCGCCCTTGGGACCTGCAGCGCACAGCACACAAATTTCGAGGCTTCTGGTGCCATGCTATTTGCTTGGCACAAACCGTAGTACACATTCCATCAGCATAACATGTACGAAGCATGCTTGACGGCAACCCACCATCCTTGCTGGGATGCAGCAGGTATGACAGCAGGCGCGCAGCTGGAGTGGGCATCTGCTGATCTCCAAAGACTCCAAGCAGTGCCTCGCGCAGGGGCTCATACAGAAGCTCGGCCAGCCACGCTTCCCTCTGTGACATGCTCTCACTGCAAACAGATAACACCAACTGTATGTAAGTTGCCCAGATGTGCACATTTCATGTCACGTCATGCAACAATCTACAGGTAGTACAAGAATAGGATTTGATTCGAAAGCAACGCTGACAATCAGCATTGCTACCTGTCAGTTGTTTCCAGGACACCAGCGATGCGCTGCAGTATCATGAGGCCCCTGTCGAAGTGATGAGGCGGTGCTGGCTGCTGGGCAAACTGTTTGCTGAGTGCCTTTTCCACCTGGCTCAAGAACAGCCTGAGGATCTCGGGGGATGTGCCTGAAATACACAGCAGACCACGTGGATCATTGCCACAATCCAAAAAGTTGTTAGGAAGATAAACAAGCACTCATGCATATCTGGAGTACGACTGGACAAGGAAAAAGCAGACACGCAAAGAGCAGATTCCCTCATCAAAATGACAGGAGTGAGGGAGCGGAAATTTCCAGGACCTGGGGCGCTGACGCTCCGAGTGACTTTGAGGACGGTGTCAGCTGCGCTGTTGCTCGCCGAAGTTGTGTTCAGGGCATTGGCGATGACAGAAGCCGAGTCTAGCAGCTTCTCACAGAACGCTTCATAGCTGTCACCGGCCAACTGCAAGCCACAGAATGCTGGTCAAGAACAGAACAAGATGCAGTCACATTGTGTACACCATCCAACATCGCCTGCACTTCTACATGACACAGGAATGCAGTAGCCGAGGTGGGTCTACCTGCTGGCTGCGAGTCATGGCCCAGGCAAGGCACTCTGCAAAGCAGTCAGAGAGAGCAGCGCGTGCATTCCCCAGATTCCCAGCAACCTGCCAGCCCTGCCATGCTGCCCCCAGCAGCTGAGACAGAAAGCCTGGATCTGGGCCAAGCACATCCCTCGGCATCTGTGCCACCAGTGGCAGCACCGCAGGGGCAGACACCTCCGCCGAGCCATAGAAGGCATTCCTGCATGAAAAGAAACATGTGTTAGTCGGAGACTTTAGTGAACATTATTTTAGACAACACAAATCTGCAAGATGCCTGCAGGGACATGTGAGGGCATGTGCTAATCAGAGCATGCAAGAATGAACCTGCGCCCAGTTAGTTACATATGCCAGAGGGTGATTGTGACAGCACACCTGAGCAATGCTGCCAGCCGTGGCACAATCGCCTTCTGCACGTCCACATACCGCCAGGCGGTGGGATAAGCCTTCAAAAATGAAAGCACCATGTCCCACATAGATGCATGTGCCGCAGGCTCCTTGTCGTTCAGAGCGCCGAGGATCTGGGGTGCAAGCTGCTTAATTTGCTCCTTCAACTCGCCAGATGCCCTGGCATACGAAATCATGATTATTAATACGTAACAGCCGTGTCTTCATCAACATTTGTAAGATTGTGTGCCAAATCTGAAGAGGTAACCAGATAAATTTGCTTCAAGAAGCTGGTTGTGGCATCAAACCTCTTGCACATGGTGGCCAGTAGGCTGTAGGTTGAGGTGCGGATGACAATTGACCCCTGCAGGCCTGTGAGGCCCTTGAGCACGCCTTGCTCCAATAGCATGCCCTTCAGCCTGACGACAACCTCCCAAGCAGCCGAATCTGGACCACGACAGACATGTCAGGTGGCCATATGCATGAAGCACTTCACTGCCATTCCCACGTCACATCAAAGAACCAGAAGATGCCCTGTCATGTACAGTGATGTCATGTCATGCCATGCATGCCATGCACATGAGGCTGCCCTACCTGGCGTTTTAGAAGGTTCGGCAGGCAGCAGTGCACCCAGCAGGCAATCCCAGGCCTTCAGAGAGCCTGCCACAACCCTCTCATGGCGCTCATCCAGCTCCTCTGGGTGCTCCTTGAACACATCTGCCAGAGCAACTGGATTTGACTTGATATTGCGCTCCAAGTAGTCCAGCACCTGTACACATTCTTCTTGAAAACATGTCCAGTTTGAAGCATGTCCACCAAAGTAAAATCCCTTGAGCCATGTCCTGAAATTCCTTGCATGACATCTCAAGCCGCATCAGTCACAGTACCTGGCACCCCCGGGAATCAGTAGACATATGTGAGCAAAAAAGGTGCCATTGCATGCATACAATGAGTTAAGTTCCCACCTGGACGCGGTAGAAGACAAGAGCCTCTCGCCCCTTGGCGCCAGCAAAGACATCCGCAAAGGCAGCCTTGAAGATGCGCGCAGATTCTGGGTCTGGGTCAGATTGGCCAAGCCACCAGGGGCCTGCCAGGTTGGGCATGGCTTTGGCCAATTTGCGGCCTGCCATGGGAGCCAGCACTGCCATGAAGGAAGCAGCCTCCACCCTCACATTCCTGGACAACCATGAGTATTGTTCAACTTCACGCTCCCTGCAGTCCCTGTGCCTTGTGTGACGCTGAACGCTCACATGCACAGCGCTACAGGAGCCTGCATAATAATCTGTATAGAAACACCTGTAGTTGTCCATGACAAGGCGCTGGAAAGACTTGGTCCATGCTAGCAGAATGCCTTCGATCTCTTCTGGTGGTCGCTCTCCAACCAGAGCTTTCATCGCCTGCACAAGGCAGCATGGCGACATCACAGGTGAATATGAACACTTGTGAAAGATATCACAGCCTTTCAATCTCGCTAATGTTCACAGAGATGAGGATCGCCTGCTGCCTACCTGAAGAGCCTTGATCTTGGTGGTGGGATCCCGCTTGGACAACTGACGCAGACGCTGTGCCACCTCTGTGTCAAGCTCATGCTGTGGCAGAATTGCAGGAGAGGTAGTGGAGCCATAAGGAATTTTTGAGGTAGTTGGCACAATTTGCTGTGCACCCGAGAACCTGCAGACAACCAAAGTCAGGTGCGATGGCCCAAACTCATATGTAAGAACAGGAAAACAGCATGCCAGAATTTCCCAGAACACGGTTCATTAGAAGTAAAGTTGTATTTTGAGCAATTTATTGAAGCTTACCCTCCGAAACCGAAAGCGGCTGGCTTTACGACTGTCTGGGAGCTCGAGTTGAGCAGTTCCTGGGCCCTTGCTGCCCGGGAGGCTTTCGTTTTAGACCGATCTGCCTTCTTCATTTCAGTTCACGAACGCTTCCAATTATCTGGAGAAGATCAGGTAGCATGTTGAGCCCGAGTCGCTGGCTTGAACCTTTCATCGTCTCTCTTGCTTCAAGAACGTGGCCTCAAGACACGAAGGCTGCCGTCCTGCAAGGTCACCGGTTTATTTTCGAAAACTTACAAACAGCGTGCTATGTTTTTCGAGAAAAGGGACATATTCCTTGCATTATGATGAGAGACACATGCTAGAGTGTGAGGAGAAAGGGCAGCATCACATGCACCCAGCTTCCGATCTTGCCGGTCAGCTTCCGATCCGTCATTCTCCTTCCATTCCTTCTCTTCCTTCCTTTGGCTTTGGTTCTTCTCCATATGTTCCAATCTTACATGCCGTAGCAATAATATTCGGCAGGAAAAGCCTGCTGTGCATAGCGAGACGTCGGGAATACACCAACCAGCAACCACTCCCGACCGACGATAATATCAGGCCTCAACGAACAAACGAAAATGTTCAAACCAAACCGTACGAAAATAATCATAAACTTCTCAAACTTCGATTCCTAGACCCAACAGTCAATCACGTCAAATGCAGCATCTTTGCAGTACTAGAAGTGCAGGCCTGGACAGCGTTTGGGTAAGTTTCAGCAAGCAGCAGGCATGGCAAAAGCAATATCAGTGCCAAAAGAAATACACATCCACAAATCAACCCCAACCGGAAATCATTTCTGAACGCGACAGAACCTGCATGCCTTCCAATTCTCGTACAGCAAGCATGCCGCTCATCGGCGAAGACATGCTGGATGAACAGCCAATTCTGGCACATCACCATCAATCCACGACAGGATTGTTTCTTGCAGCCGCGAGCAGGCCGACTCCCAACACGTAGGTGGCGCACATTGCTCCAAGCAGGTACGCTGCGCGCTTGCCACTGCCCCTGAACTCTGTGAAGAGCAGCAGTCCCCACGCCACTGTCAGCAGCGGGTACATCTTCACCACCTCGGCCACCCGGTACCTGCACCAAACTCATTTGTAAAGCACCACCCCTTATCCTGCTGAAGTCTCTGCAACTGCTGATCATCGCCTAGCAACCATTCTCCTTGTCTACCTGGCACTCCCAATGCCTTGCATGTCTTGCATTCCCGTTTGGCTTGATCATTGTATTGTCGCTGCATCATGTCTGCCTGCGAGGCAGGCCTTCCATTTATCTCTGGCGACTGCTCTGCCTTGATTCCTTCAATTCTCTTTTCTAGTACCCAAAGTCACAGCACTTATCTGTGGCCATATGCATGGTGCTCACGCGGTGCCTTGAGCCTTGCAAATCTCTTTCTAAATACAGAAAGCGAAACCGCTCATCTCTTGCGCTGGCAGAGTGCCTTGCTTTTTGCAACTCTCTTCCCCTATTGCAGAAAGTCAAAGCATGTGGCAGATGATTAAGTCAAATGCCAGCCTGTCAGTGCCATTTAGGACCTTAATCCGGCAATAAATCTTAACTCAGTCGTCCCCCTGTTGCACTCGCCATGCTATTTGTGTCTCCAGTCAAGACTGGATGAGAGGATTGAATACCATGTGCTGGCCCATGCAAATGAAGAGACTAAGCTGCCAAAATGCAACTAAGCGGTGCATGACATCCAGAGGTGGCAGGTTTGTAGAGATGTCAATGGGGGCATACCCTCCGGCGAGGCCGCCCAGGAACTGGCAGGCCATGCCCACGCCGCAGGCGAGGCCGGCAGCGACGGAGACGATGCGGCCGCGGTGGTCTCGCGCATACTCTGTCAGACAGGACTCCTTTCCGTTGCACAGCGGCACGTACAGCAGCGCCAGATTCAGGCCCCAGGCCGTGAAGCCGAAGGTGAGTGCCATGAAGAAATAGGCGTTGTACACCGTCAGCGGGGGGACCCTGCCACATCGCATTTAGCACCCCATGAGCCGGGGGGTCCCTGACACATTGCATATTCCACCCCGTGAGCTGGGAGTCCCTGGCAGATTGCATCTAACTGTTCCGTGAGCGGAAGGGCCTCTGACAGCTGCATGAAAAGTCCCTCACAACATTGCTGAAAGAAGCAGATCAAAGGAATTTCAAGAACTACATGCAGGGGTTTAGAAAGCAGGCACGAGCATGAGCCGGGATTGGAGCAGCAATCATGTTTGCTTTAATGTAGTTAGCTCGCAATGAGGCACACTGGGGCAGCCACTCGGCGGATGAGCAGGCGCCAAGAGTGGCCAATTAGCAGTGGAGGTCCGCACCCTTCCGGCAGAATGCGCCAGTGGTCGGTGGTGGGCAGGGCGCTGGTGGCTATGAAGAAGAGCGGCGTGAGCATGCCGAAGCAGAAGCCGCCGATGGTGAGGACGATCAGCCCTGTCAGCGGCTTGCTGCCGTCGATATTGATGCCCCGCTGCATGTACTGCACCCAGCAGGACCTTCGTCAGACAGTGCCTTTGAGCTGCTTCAATCGCAGGACAGACACCCATTGATGCTAGGTGAGCTGAATCACTTTCCAGCAACCCACTTCTGTATCAAGCCACCATATTTTATTCTCGATCATGGGCAGCATGCAGGCAGAGTCAGAGGATCTATTGTGGCAGGGTGAATGAGTCACCTGCACGCGCATGGGTGTGTGCTTGGGGGTGCTGGGCTCCTCCTGTGCAAACGCATTGGTGTCTTGCATCACCTGCACACGAGCACACCCAAAATCTCTCAGCGTCTGTCTCAGTAAGCAGACAGTATTTAACAAGGCCTCTCAGCCATGCACAAGCCCGCATGGTCCGGCTGATCTGCAAAGCGCCAAGCAAGCAATTGGCATCACATCAGGAATTGGGGCTCAAGAACAACCTGGCACTCCGCAATATTCCTTGAATTGGGTTCTTGACATCCTGGTTCTCTGATTCTCTGAGAAATTCGGAAACTTTGAGATGACACTGTGGAGCAGTACCTGGGCGCCAAGAGGTCGCAGGCTGGAGGTGCGCCTGGAGGCTTTGGCAGGGGATTCCAGGTCAAGGATGACGTCAGGGTCCGAGGCAGCCCGCTCGTGCAGGGTCCGCCTCTTTGTAGGGGGGCCGACCCCCGGATCCCCGGTGCTGCTGGTGGGGCTCAGCTCCACACTCTTCATCATGCCTTCCGCCAGCGGCTGCCCCATCACATCCTCCAAGCCCACCAGCTTGCTCACTGCATGCTTGTCCCTGCCCAACCACCCGGCTGCTGACCTCAGCTTCCGATAACATGCCAAAGCTCTGCGTGGATAAAGTAAGACACTTCAACTGCCCCCAGCCCCCGTAAGAAGCCAAAGCTCTGTCTCACTGCTCAAAGCTGCATTCCAACTACTACGGTGCATGCGCTGCATGGCTGCCGTATCTCACTCGCTGTGCAAAATCGCTCCTCGGCGCTCGCACTGCCCTGATGTCTGCGTATCTCTTCTCTAAAACGTGTTTGTAATCTACTTAACCTGCTTCTTGGTTGTAAAATTAGTCATATTGGCATGGATGTTCCAAGAAGCTTGCATGATGGACACATGGGGTGGGAGAGATAGTTGCCAGGTTCTTAGGCAGGGAGCAGGATCAGCTAGCGCACTTCCTGTGCTTGAGGCCTTTCAGGCGCTCCACGTGTGCGAGCGTGCCAAACATGGTCGCGATGGAGAAGCAGGTGAGCCCTGGGAACACCCAGGCAGCCTTCCCCAGCCGCTGGTCCATGAACCAGTCAATGCCGACCCCTGCAAGAACACTGCCAATTCATCCCCCCATGTGGGCCAAACAGCACCCTGATTTTTGCAGCTCAACCTCTGTGCTGCACATGACTGCCCAATCCTCTGTGTCTACCAATCTCCAGAAGCCTCTGTGCAAGCCAACTTCCAGCTCATGTCAGCCAGTGCAGGACTTGGCATTCTGTCTGCCCGAGCACTTTCTTTCTTTGGGCAGCACCCTACGGTTTGGAAAAGCATAAAGTGGGGAAAGCAGCTTTGTGGGTGGTGTCTGAAGAGGGTAGGGGACACGGGTTTACCCATGCCCTCACGGCGACAAGGTCATCCATGCCAACGGCATGATTGACCTTCATCTCCTGATTCACGCCCCAGGCCTCATCAGGGCGTCTGTATTTGATTTTATTTGATTCTGAAGATGGCTCACCCACTGAGAGGCTGACAGCGATCTGGAAGGGGAGGCAGATGGCCATCCCAGTCAGGGCCATGCCAAACTGCAGCGACATGCTGCCCAGCATCAGGAAGAAGCCGGCCGCGCATGCGCAGAACACCACAAAGTCGTTCTGCTGTGTCATCTGCTCCCACAGTCCGGGCCTGCAAGGATCCAGAACACTCTTCTTTCAGCAGGTACCGGGTAATGGCAATCAAAAGTTAGCGTAGAACTTTGATGGGGTCCTCAGAAACACAAGTACATGTCAAGGCTCATCTGCAGCTGATGGGCTCACCAGCCTTAGAGGTGATGTACACGAGTCAGCATGGGGGTTGTGTTCTGGTGACAATGAGAAGAAGACTGCTGCAAAGATGAGTACTGGACATGTATATTCGAACGCACATTATTGGTATCCTCGGCCCACTGGTGCTGAGGGAGATGGCGCATGGCAGAGCTGCCAGCACGAATGCTGCTGAAAAGTCCAGAAACGTATGTGCTGGCTTCCGCCCATGCAAATCCGCCCAATTGAAAGCCACTGGAAACGTTCCCAGACAGATCGTTGCCAAAACCTGAAGACCCAGGGCAGAGTTTGGGTCAGGATTAATATTTTTGTTCCGACATGAATAAGTCAAAATTTGCAACAGTAGGCCAGGATACTGTCATTTACGGGGCGCTGTTGTGGCAGCAATAGAACATGGCAACTAGAGATGCCACCTAGACGCTTAAACAGCAAACCTCCCCAGACAATCAAACTTGCTCAAGCTATATTCAGGCAAATGTCTTCACATGCTGAAAGCAATAAACTGGAAAACTAACCCAGACCTATGCAAGACAGATTCAAACTGCCAGTGTACGGATGCAAATGGATGGAGACCCACCAGCACCGCGACCGCGGGTCCTTGATCTAAAATCACGAACATCGTATATTATATGTATTAAGAAACCTTAATGATGGTCCTCGTGCAGCGTCTGCCGTTCAATTTCTTAGATAGTTCTTTCGGAACTCTCCGAATGCCCGAACTCTGGCACTTAGTTGTTCTCCTCATTAAGCAGCAGGCCTATGAACCCCATACATAGCCACCCTTTTCTTCCTAATTATCCATTCTATCGAGGTGCAATGGATTAAAAGTGTCTCAACCGGGAGACGCGATCAGTTCCGGAAATTCTTGTGATGAAGTTACGTGATCATTAGTGACCACGTCACAATTGCAATCCTGCATGCAAATTCAAATTTGGAGAGCGGAGCGGTTTTATAATGTTCGCTTCCCCTGGTTCTTGCGAACATTGATCCAAAAAGTGCGAGATATTCCATACAGAACAAGTTGCAAAGCTTCCGAGTCTAATTGACATGTACACATGTACATGCGTCAAACCCGGCTTGGGCTTCATGGATGGGCCATCATAATGTGATCACAAATTCATGAGCTTTACACACCAGCGACATTCAGAGGTTTAACCGTGAGTGATATGACTTCAACCATTAATCTGCCATATCAAAAGAATTTAGTGCAACAATGAATGTAAATCCATACGTGGGTGCTAGAAATCACATTCAGCCACACAACATAGTACTGCAGACTCTCTGAAATTTTGGAGATGCTGAAGTCAACTACAGCACAATCCCGGACCTCACAAGCCATGATCTCCACCATGATCTCCACAGATGCCATGCATATCCTCTAACAAAGTAATGCTTTGATGCTCTTGAATGCAAGCTCCCTGGCACTTTTTGCCCATTTGCTGTGGACACAGCATTGCAGATCTATCGGAGTGCTAAAGCAATTGCTACGAATGGCTGAAGTACCCAGTCTCTCTGCAGGTGTGTGTATCCGACGCACAACCTGCCTCACTACACTCTTTTGCGCCAGCATTGATAATGCAATACTTGCTGCTGCGGGAATGCCATGGCACTCTCTTCTTTTATGGGGCAGCCATAGCTGCGCAGCGCTGAGCTCACTTGCCAGCAGTAGACCCCCCGGGGCACTGTGGGGGTGAAATGTCGGTGTTGGGTGGCAGCCTGCAGGCGAGCACGCCAGCACGCGACACTGCGCAACACCAGACAGTCAGCAAATGGCACTCTCCTGTCTTGAGCTACATCATCAGGCCAAGAATGCCACAGGCTCGCAATTTGTTGCTGCTGATGCCCAGCAACAAACAAACCCCGAATGGAGTTGTTGCTCTGAAATCAAACAGTGTTCAGAATTCGCATGACACCTGGGTGCCTAATGCATTCTACTCAGGATACAGGCGTGAACAGCTCAGCCGTTCAAGGAGTGCTGCAAGGCATCAGTGAAGGTTCACTAAAACATGCAATTGCGTTGCAGACAGGAACGCACATGAGTAGAAGCCGCTGGGCTGGATTCCGACGGCGGCTGCGATGCCGGCCACTTGGGGGTCGCAGCGGCAGCCCTGCAATCATGTAACAAAGTCCCCTCTCAAACTCAATATCAACCTGAAGGCCACCTTGGATTGCCAGTAAGCAAGATGCAACAGTGCGCCGGACATGGCATGGACAGAGACAGTGGGAGGCAAAAAGGGAGGTGTGCATACATTGCTCAGAACCTTCTGCACTGTGGCGCAGCACCTGCATGCAAGGCAGGAACCTCGTCAAACAATCATCATGAGAGGCCCCTGATCAGTGTTATCAGTGGGCAGGCATCTACTGCTGTGCTGCATTATGCGCATGCCAAAACTCCCTGACTCAGCAGGCATGTTTGCCGAATGACAATGGCCATGGCCATGCCATTCACAGAGCCGATCACTGCTGTCCCTGAGAGCAGGCAGTTGGTGGTATGGAGCGGGCCAGGGCACTTACGTGGGGGAAGGTGTGTTGCTGCCAACAGTTGCCTGGATCTGGGCGTCAGTGGCCGTGGCAAGGTTGCCTGCCTGGGCCTGGATCAGTCCCAGGAACTGGTTGCAATCGTTGACCAGCTGGGAGGCCAGCGGCTGGCATTGAGCTGCTCACAAGACACACAATCGCCCCAATAAAGTGCGGCTTCTGATGTTAGTGAAGTGCTAAGACAACTTTGCTTGAAAGCCTCATTGGGAAAGCTTGCCATGTGTCCACCATGGAAACTGCAACTGTACTGTGGGCTGAAGGTGTTTGTAACAAGGAGCAAGCAAGCAGTTTGGGCCAGTCGCCAAGCTTATGCAACAGACGAACGCAGTCAAGTCTCAAGGCCTTCACCGTTGACAAACCATCAAGAATCAAGACAGCGAGCCGCCCAAGATCCTTCAAAATAAGGATCGCGTCAAAAGAAACAAATGCCGACGGTCGCCGAAGCGCGCTAGCGAGACAGAGCGGACGCACGATTTTGCAAGAGGCTCCGATGGGACGCAGACGAAGTTGGCAGGACAGTCGCCATGACGACGGCAGCCAGGACGGTGAATGCTGTAGTGTGAGCCTTCATCATAGTGGAACGTCGAACGGAGGAAAGCGGAGGATGAGGCAAGAAAGTGATAAGTTGATGGAGGCTCGAAATTTGCGAATTGTCTCACAGTTTCGGTTTGAGCTGCGACATTGGCCTGCTATCCGGCAGATCATAGCAGCCCAACGTTCAAGATCCAGCTGGCCATGCACTTTTCAACATTGGAGCGTCCAATATTGACAGCTGTGCCCACATGCACCTCAATGCAGGGCGTTGCCCAGTTCCGTACGAACTTCAAACCGCAGTTCAAATTCAAGTTTGTAGGGATCCCTCGATCCCGTCGGACGTCTTTGACAATAATTTCAATATTGGACTACCCACAAGATGATACCAACGCATCCAATGCAACCTTGCAATTGCAGGTGTTACAGAAGTCAGCTGTTCAATACCCAGGATCGCTCAGCCTAACTCAGCCAGCAGCTGTATCAGCAGCAGTCCAGATTACCACCATTCCAAAGAGTAATTAAGCAAACCCGCCACTCCCACGTGCAAGTCAGATCTGTACTACTGTATATTCACCCAACTATCAGATCAGACCCATCTAGATCCCTTTCAATAGAGGGAGCGCTCCCTCCAACCACGTCACCGTGACGTGACGTGCTGATCCTGGGCAGGTAAACACTCCCTTCTATCCATCCAGCAGCCACGAAGACGCTCTCCGCAGGACAGGTTTCACACTGCTGCTGGGTGACGCCAGCCCATAGACCTCTGCCAGAATGGTCACCACCTGGACATAACACACCAAACCAACTCTTGCAATATACCGGACCCCAAGGTGCCAGCTTGACCTGCTAAACATGACAGCACCTGGTAGGACAGGCAGGGACACAAATGATCAATTGCAGCTCCACAAGTTCAGAACAAGACACTACTTGAAGGAACTGTATAGAAATAGAAGAAGTATATCAATATATCAGTATATTGGGAGAGTGAGGAAGGCAGCAGGAAGTCAAGATGGCATGCCTCTTCATTGGAGGACGCGAGCATGACATCCTTCAGCTCTGGGGCGGCCAGGGTGCCGTTCGTGTCAAACGCCTTCAGCAGCCCGATCAGGCCGCTGTAGAATCCATCGTAGTTGCACAGAATCAGCGGTACGGTGTGCTTCCTGGAGCCAAAGAGTTTGTGTTATCCAGAGTGACAAGTATGCGCCTTGACTGCGGCAGCACCACAGCCCATGCACACTCACAACAACATTTGCCTACCCTGGTCCATGAAATACACAGGCGAAATGATCGACATCCCAATGACGTGTGAGCCAGCAATGCCTCAACGTATGTTTCAAAGGAAATGAGAGGAGGGCTCACGAGCCGAGCTTGTTGAGCTGCATCAAAGTCAAGATCTCAAACAGCTCATCCATCGTGCCCAGTCCTCCCGGCAGGAAGATGTACGCCGTTCTGTCGCTCTCAGACGCCCTCACCCCCGCATCCACCAGTGCCACCTGTATATCATTGATGTCTAGCCTCCATTACAGTCTTGACCCTCAAGGGATTCTCAGTGTCCAAAGGTTACCGCAGGGCATATTGTTGGAGTACTAACAATGAGGGCATCTCCACCCCCGGGTGCCCATTTGTCATAGAAACTACCAAAGTAGAAGGCAGAGCCGGCGCTTCAAAGAATCGCTCAACCTGAGAGACTAGCTCACAGTGGTTTTCAGTACCCCTTTCTCACCTGCATACCTTGCTGCAGGGTGCATGCTGCCCTGCAAAGAGCAGCGTTGCATACCAAGGTTTAAAACAATGCTTAAATGGTAATGGAGAGAATGAAGTGGGAGCAGACCTTTCTGGAGGACAGGAATCTGCAGAAGACGGCGGCGTCTGTGGGGAGGTAGGACGCCGTGCGCACCGTGGTGCCTGCTTCCCTGCTGATGCGGATGCCGCCAACCGGCTTGCCAGCGTCCATCGCCCCTGCGCACCACACACAATATTTTACTCTTTACTATGGTACTGCTTTGGTCACCCTTACCAGGCTCCCACCAGGGGTTAGATATAGAACCCCCTGCTCCCACATCCACACAGCACCAGCCAGAGTACAACGGCACACAGAAAGAGCAGAGCTAAGCTGCATTGCCTGCACTTCCCAGACTATAGACTCAAGACCCAAAAGACCGAGTGCCACTTTGCCGCGCCTCCCATGTCTTTCTTGGCATCCCTACTTTTCCTGTAACATGCGTTTGTGTCCAGCATTTCAAACTGGCATGTTGGGGTCCAGTGGACTGCGAAAGGCCCAGAACATCCTAGCGGCGTGAGAAGGCACAGCAGTGGGGGGTAACCGAGGGTGGCGGCCTCCATCATGCCGGGCCCGCCGCCGGACCAGGTGGTGCAGCCAAGCAGGCGCGCCACATCAGCGCCCAGGTGGCGCGCGCGGTCCCAGTGCGGGCTGGCCGCCTTGAGGCGCGCGCTGCCGTAGTAGACGACGCCGCGCCCCAGCCGCTCTATCAGCGCGTAGCACGCCAGCAGCTCCTGCTGCACCGCCGCCGCCGAATCCCTCACCACCGTCGCCGCAAGCTCACCGTGCAGCCTGCTCGCATGCCGCAGTGCCACATCAGCAGTTGCGCATGGCACTATGCCAGATCAAGACGCGATAAAGTCGAAGATTTGCAGCTGCGGCAGGTCTGTGTGCAGCTAATCGTAGGGTTGGGCAGACTGGTTCTGTTCCCTTCAAAGGCTTCACTCATTGGCAAATGGCAATGAGCAAAAAGCAATTTCCCCAGACATTGATGCAGCACGCCGAGGACAGAAAGTTTGACAGAAGGTTATTCAAGCAGAGGCAAGTAGTGAATGCACCTGGCAAAGAGCCAGCGCCAGGAGGCCGGAGTCATCTCCGCGCCCACCACCTGCACGATCGCGCCCCCAGCCAGGCAGCCCAGCTGCGCGCACTTCTTCAGCGGATACTCGCGCATCAGCCCGTACAGAAAGCCGGCCGCAAACTGGTCCCCCGCTCCTGGGCATGACAAAACTTGTACTTACTCACTCGATGAGCCTCGAGTGAAGGCTTTGCCCTGCTGAAGCCCAAGCCTAGCTGCACTGCACCCCTCCAAACATGCATGCGTTCCTCTTCATACTTCCAAGACAGGCACAGGAAGACTGGTCCAGATTGGCATAGGACAGGATTTGGGTATGAGGACCATCATGTTCAGAATCTCCAAGGACAGATGGACGTGACTAATTACAAGGAGGTGAGTCAGCGGCACGCACCGGTGGCGTCGACGACCTTGATGTTGCTGGCGGCCGGTTCGCTGAAGGCAACGCCCCCGCGCTGCTGCACCAGGCAGCCGCGCTCCCCCAGCGTGACTGCCGCCACGTTGCAGTGCGCCGCCAGCACTGCCAGCCCCTTCTCCGCGCTGCCCACCTCCGGTCCCCCCGTCAGCTCCGCCGCTTCATCCTGTTTAAGAGGACGGATATTCAGTGCAGCACGTAAGGTGACAAGTATGGTACGTTGCACTGCCGTTCACGTACTAATCCACCCTCTACCTGTCCTCTTAGATCAGACCACCTTCCCATGATCTTGTGTGCAGTTGACTCTTCTTATCTGGGCCATGGGCGGCTTGGCACATTGTTCAAGCACACCAGGACAAATGGCGGAACAAGGCTATTGTATAGAGAGTCTCCCACGGTTTCCACACGATGTCCGTGGTTAGGAGCTCTTTAAATGAGCAATAACTTTGGGGCTGATCCTGAAGGGGGTGATGGTGCAGGGTGGAGGGAACACCTCGTTGCAGAAGCAGCACTCGATTCGGCCGCTCTGGAGCAGCGCCTCGACGTCAGCGCGGAACTCGCGCACCACCTCGAAGGAGGCCAGGTCCAGTGCCACCTTGGCACCCACACTCAGCGCCAGCTCAACAGCCCTCTGCAGCAGGTCCTGCCTGGAAGCATACTGGAGCCTTAGAGCAATTTCGCATGCCTGGTAGAGAGGCCAGACTTTCATGCGTGGACTTTTCCCTCTCCTACCTAGGCCACCTGTTGCATTGGTCAGGATGGAAGTACCGATGCGCCGCATATTCAGTGCAGACCAAGGGATTCGAAGGATGCTTGAGGACTGCTGAAGGTGTGGGAGATGAAGAGGGAAAGAGACGCCAGGAAGGGGAGTCGTGCTGTAGCATACCTGTACAGGATGTACCCAGACAGGAACACCCATTTAGCAGATCCAAAGTCCTCTGCTGAGATGTCACCGGCGGAGAGCCGCTCCGCACCGGTGAGGCACGTGCGCATGGTGCGCTGGCCATTGCTGCTCAGAATGACACACCGCCCTGCCCGTACACAACAGCTGTCATTGGGAGTTGCTCGTAAATGAAGGCATAATCAAGAACATAGGAGGTTGAGAATGTTGCATGCCTGTGGATCCCTTCCCCACACGAAGCTTGCTTACATCCACCGATGAGCGCTTCAGGCTGCTGACGAAAATGGCGCCCTGCTCGTCCTGCCCACGAGCTCCAACCTGTCCAGAAATGACAACCCCCGTGGCATTGCACGCCATCAAGGGCAGACAGCGCCTCTATGGTATGGATTACCCATCATGCATGCATGTGAGCTTGCTGCATGCAGAGGGGACCATGCATACCAGCTGGCATCGCACTCCCCACCCAGATGCCAGGCCTGCTCAAGAATCCATATCAGGAGGTCCGAAGATGTATACGTACAGAATTGTGAGCAGGAAGGACTGATGACATGAATTTGCGTGAGGGATATACCCTTTGTTGTGTTTGCAGCAGAACCTCCTGCCTTGGTAGTAAAGTCCCCCACAGCAGCTGCAATGATACATAACAATGAATGCCATCGTCAAGACACGCGTTCAGATCAAAATTGGCTCCAACAGAAGCTAATCAAATGTCGTGATCTGGAGGGAATGCGCATGGCACCTAAGAGTTGCTGGATGTCTTCTTGTTGGACCCTTCTGCTTCCACCGACTTCATCGGCACCAACAACCGATTTCAGCGTGTCCTCGTCCACAGAACAGACGTGATCAACGATTGCAACGGGCTGAAGGGCAACGAACTCGACTGGTTGTGGCTCATGGAGCAAAGGCAAGTCACCTCCCAGCTTCACATCCAAGGCCATGATGACCTGCAACTCGAGAATAAGATCGCAAATGTGAGTGTTCGCGCACGATTTGGAATGAGTCTTCGGAGAAACAATGAGGTTAGGTCGCACGTGTTTCAGCCTCAACATCACGTGCTACTAGCAGGTCGCTTGTTCCCGAGCAGAATCCGCAATTGCCCAAAACTAGCAGATCCACCAACTTTAAATCAGGACTCTGCATAGGGACATTCCTACTGAACTGATTTGGGGTTACAGGGACATAGGGACATAGGTGGGAAAAAGAATGGGATCTAGAAAACACGATGTCAACGGTAGTGGAGCATTTAGCAAGAGTCTCCACCTTGCTCAGCGTCGATCTGAGGTTGAATTTAATTTTGAACGCATCAATGAATGCAAAGTCATCATAGTAGGAACCATGAATTTCTCTGTCCCTGTACGGATGTTGTCTTCTGATCTGCAAGGATACGTGCTGAAGGCTCGTTTTTCTCTCTGTGCAGCATGCAATCATATCCAAGGATTACAGGGAAACCTTGCTCCGATCTAAACGCATGCGCCTGGGTCCGTGCCAACAGGACGCTCCTTGCACAAGTGAAGAAGCAGGAAAGCAGGATTTGAGAAAGGCAACCTGCGATCTTGTCAGTGCAATAAAGCAGAAAACTATTTTACTGACCCAGGCAGCGCGACAAGTCAGGATTATTGTATCAGGAGGTGCGGAATCCTATCCTACCGTCTTGGTTCCAAAACACCTGATCTCCAGCTTGAGTGAAGACCAGCTCTTATGGTGCAGGACAATGTACTATTGATGCCAATCATTTGAGGGACACGCTTCTACCTGCCCTCATCAGGGTCTTGCTTCTCCGGTACGAATCCCCTCCGTGAGCTTTCAGCCGCTGTTCCATATGTTGAACTCAGCATAGGAGAAAGTGATGGCAACAAAGAATTCTTTGTAGTGTATGCCATCCAGGCAAGGCGGGCGGGAGACTGCAGAAGCTGTGCTGGAGGTAGCTTGGGCCATCACAAACCTGGCAGCAGGCCAGCATGATATCGTCAAGACAGTGCTCCTGTCTGCACCAGCACTCATTGCTCATCTGAGCGGCTGGCTTGGACTACAGGTCGCAGAACAGTGCGCCTGGGCTCTAGGTGAGAATCCCTGCAAAATGCCATACAGAGAACTGATGATTAGGCATTGGTGCACTGGTTAAATTCTTAATTCGGCTGCACATACTCACGAGATTGGATGTAAGAAACGATTTGAGGAGAGGAGGCAATTATGACAGATATGCGCAGGCAACATGGCAGGCGATGACTCAGCGTTATGCAACACCTTGGCAGCAAATGGAGCTGTCATACCCCTCGCGCGTCTCCTGCTGAGAGCTACGAGCCGCCATGAGGGCACAGCTGCTGATTGTGAATCTGCAGCTGCCACCGCCGCCTGGGCATTGTCCAACTTGCTCTGGGGCGATCCCTCTCAGGTGGACAGCTTCTCCCGTTGAGCGCATCCTTTTCGCATTATTTTTAAACAATTATTGAATTGCCCACGGCATGCAGCCTACCCTCCGCATCACTTGTGTGGCTTCCTGTGGCGGCAGGTTGGCCATCTGATTGAGGTGCCACAGTTCCCCAAGGGCCTGGTCAGCCTTCTTGAAGAGGAGCATGATGCCTGGCTGCACACTGAGGCAGCGTGGCTGCTGGCGTTCATCTGTGGTGGAGCAGACACTCACATGCACACGATGGTCAAGCATGGCGCAGCAAATGCTGTGGTGAAGCGCCTTTGTTGCATTCTTACACAGGTCCGTTTTAATGGGGTTCCTCTGCTTCAAGTGCATGGCTATACTGTGTGAGGTAAGGAGGGCATAATGCTCTCTCACTGCTTCTGATGTGGGTCATTTGGAGGTGATTGAACTGCACTCAATGGAGTTGTGAGTGGCTCACACAGTGTGCTAACAGCAGGATGGCGCCTTGGAAGGATCAATAGCGCTGCTCACCCCGCTGCTGAGGTGCTTGGGGAACATGGGCACATCAAAGGTTGCCGCAAAGAGCTTGCTCAGTGAACAATCTATGGCAGTTGTCCGGCGATGTGCAGGCAGCGAGATTGGAGCCTTGCAAGGGGAGGCACAGTGGGTGACAGCCATGCTCTCCAAACTGGCGCAGACATAAAAATGCATGTCTAGGATGAATTTCCTGGTTTAGCTGTTTTGCGTCCATGCAATCTTATTTGTCGCCAAGAATTATTGGCATTGGTTAAGAATCTATCAGACAGAACGATGCACCTTATGTACAGACAAGCGAACCATTTATTTGAAAGATTTAAGCAAAACCTGCTCTACTTCTTGCAGAAAGTTCACATGCATGACTCAGAGCTCTTCAGCACGTGTCTAATCGAACAAATCTTGGAGCATGTCTACAGAATATTGCATTGAACAACAATGTCAACAATTGCAACCATTTTCTCTGTGCTTTGAAGTTGCAAACATATATATAGCGCTACCTCTCACTGTATAAATAGCCATTCCTGCTCACCAGAGTTTTAATATCAATATCAATCTCGCTTTCAAAAAAGCTGCCTCCCTTCAGACCTCTTCTCCGCCATGCATGCTATGATAGTACAGTCTCGCCAACAATGAAAGTCACCATACACCATAGTAATCATTGTCCCGGACAGGTTCAATATTGTTCTTCACACATGATTTGGGATGTCGTTCATGCTGTGGCTTGCACTTCCCAGGTAGCAGACTGCTCCACATCTAAACCACCTGAGGTGGGATTGAGGCGCAACACTCGTTGATGGAATTCTGCCAGGGTTGGCCTGTGCCCAACGCTGACAAAGGTGACACCTGCTCCTGCAATGGCTCGGTACAAGATCTCCTCATTGCCAATGTCCAGCGCACTAGTGGCCTCGTCCATCAGCACAAGCCTTGGCTTCAACAGAAGAATCCTGCACCACATACAGTGATTGTTACCCAATAAACCCTCCTTAGCCATCCTCATGTGCACTGTCACCCTGTGCTTGTTCAAAAATCCAATATTGGTACCAGCAGGGCGCAGGTGTGGAGCAGCAACTCCCATGAGAGACCTGCTATAAATCTTTGACTTTTTTACTGTGAGTTGGTTGCGCGCGATCAGCCGGCAGGTGCATGCGGTCAATTTGCAGGTGCACTGGCAAAGTCAAAGTCAATTGTTACCGGGCAAAGGCCAGCCGCTGCTGCTCCCCCAGCGACAGCACGCCAGCCCAGTCAGCCAGGGAGTCCAACCCGGTCGCGGATCCAGTCCCGTTGCTGCCGTTGTTGCTGGATGAGGCTGAAGACCGGCGCAGCAGCGCATCCAGCCGCACCTGCCTCAGCGCCTCCTCCAGCTCTGCATCGCTGGGCCGGGCCCTGGCGCTTGCCGGCTGCGTGCCGTTCACGCTGCCAGCACTGCAAAGCATGCACAGCAACGCTCCTCCATTGCCTATATAAATTTCATCTTAGCAGCTGCTGATCTACATGAGGTTGATCAGCATTATTGGGAAAAAAGTATGATGCTTCCCTTGCCCAGTTACACAGCGTCATGTGTTGCACATGATGGTATGACGTCACATGCCTGCATCTACCTAACATTGAAGACACCTACACCAAATAAAAGGTCGGCGCTCGCCGGATGGGAACATCTGAGGAGGGCATGCGCACCTGGTGGCTGTTGATGAGGAAGGCACAGTGGACCATGTTGGGTACAACAGCTGCTCTCGCAGCGTGCCCAGCACCATGTAGGGCCTCTGGGGGACAAAGAGAATGTCGCCGCCTGTTCCATCTGCCGCTATAGGCTTCCCATACCTGTGCAATCATGCATTAACCCTTGATCACACGCTGCTGGCCTGTGCATGTGACACGCTGTTGAGCAGCACTGGTGCAAAATTTTGTCGCGGACAAGTGATGAGCCTGACCACCTGGTGATTGTGCCAGAACCGCTGGACCAAAGGCCTGCAATTGCGCGCAGCAGAGATGTCTTCCCGGTCCCACTTGGTCCCACAATGAGCAGCGACTCGCCTGCCCCTACCTGCGCAGAGCCCAGCCAAAGCAGTGTATTAATTTCGTCCAAGCAAATGAAAAGGCAATGGACGAATGACAGGGATCAATGCTTGAGCAAGGACTGTGATTGTGATTGATTATAGGATTTATGCCAGGTGGGCGCACCTGCAGGGTGAGGTCCTGCACAAGGGTCCTCATGCCATTGGGTGTCCTGAGAGTCACACTCTCCAGGCTCAGCAGCTTTGCAGAGCTGGCATGGTGCGGCCGGTCGACAAGATCTATCTTTGAGGCTTCTGCTCCATTGCTGCTGGCTGCACCCGGCAGCGCATCAGCCTCGGGCGGGGATGCAAAGTTGTCCACCACTTCTGAGAACTCTCCCAGACGGTCTATGATGGCGCTGAAGCCTGCCAGCGCCTCAAACTGCATGCAGATACCTCCGCACTTAGGTCTACATTCTACATAATAGAGGCAGATTACATATTCTGACATGGTTGCCGCGGGGTAGATTACATACTCTTGGCATGATTGCTGTAAAGAAGGGGAGGCAGAGGGAGTGGCACCTGATACACCACCAGGGACACATCCGACAGGATGTGGTTGAATGCAGAGGAGGACTGGTTGATGACCCCAAACTCAATCTCCCCCCTGAAGAACAGCGGAGCCACCACAGCAGCTGGCAAAATCTGAATCAAGAACCTGCATACAAAGCACATTGATGATTGGAGCTGACTTGGACACAGATTGCAACCCAGTCCTGGGAATGAACCATATTGGAGGAGATGTGTCATAGAAGGTGATTTCTAAAGCAGAGCACTGAGAAGCACATGTTTTGGATGAAGAGGATACTGCATGCTTGAGAATGATGTCGTGGACTTGCCTGTAGAAGGAAGTAAAGAATGAAAGATTTCTGGAGGTGACAAGCAGGTCCCCGTAGTTGGCCACCACCTTGCCCAGCCGCTGGAATAGCAACTTGGCCTCGCTCTCCTCTCCCCCATAGAAGGCAATGCTCTCCGCATTCTCCCGCACCCTCACCAGCCCAAACCTGTCACACATCACTGTGCGAATTAGCCCCCCAAGCACGTCTCGATAGCAGGATTCGACAGGATCGAAAATCAGATTCTGCCCTATCTTGCTGAGGAACATGCTGAACAGGTAGCAAGAAAGGTGCCTCACACAAGCCAGTGTGCCTCATGCGCACAGCTGTTGACGCACCAGATTTTGCTTTGTGGTGTGCCAACAGCCTTGTGCATCAGACCAAGGGCTGTTGTGCTGTGCTCACCTGAAGTTAGCCTCCTGAGCCTCCTGCTGGAAGTTGAGGCCGACCAGCTTGCGGCCCAGGAAGACAGAGGTTGCCGTGCCGCCCAGAGAGTAGATGAGGAGCGCCACAAAGAGGGGCGGGTAGATAGAGTACAGGATGCCGGAGAAAGAAATAAGGTCCACGCCCGCGTTCAGTATAGTCATCGAGAAACCCAAAGCGGTGTCTGTAAACTGCCTGCGCCCAACAAAATACTGCCCGTCGAGTTTGTTTTGCATCTGCACTGGTATTGCTGAAGGCAGACATGCAGTGTTCACAGGTATTGCAGTGCAGTGGGTGCTTCTTGGAAGGATGTGATGATGGAGAGTATCGATGAGGCCTCCTTAATGAGTGGCACACCTGACATCTGATGATATGCGCTGATCGGGGTTGTCAATCAAGGTCCCGGACTGGATCTGATAGAAAGTGCGGTTCCGAAAGTAGTCCTCGGTCAGGCGCCGCGTCATGTAGTCTCGCCAGTCAAGCGCCAGCCGTGACTGAGGTAACCCACAAATTAAGTTTCTTAGCAAACGGCACATTGCTTTAAACTTGTCTATATTACAAGTTGTAATATAGACAACAGAGTGGCCATACATTTACCACTCTGTTGGTGGTAAATGTATGGCAAATTTACCACCAACAGAGCATACTGAGGGAGACCAAGAGTCTCTCAGTGTGCCTGCAGAGCATAGCCGAGCACCAGATCTGTTGCAGCACAGGCATGTGCTCTACCAGAGCCAGTGATGTAGGGAATGGTCTCGTGCATGAGGGTAGGCACCTGGACATAGTCCCTGAATACGAAGACTGGGACACCGAGCACAACGCCTCCCAGCCACTTGATCAGCATCTGGGTGAAGCGCTCTGCATCCTTTTCAGACAGGGCGTTGAAGAAATCGCGTCCCAAGAAATTGAATAGCACGCTGTGTCCACACATTGCACATCTTCAGTAATTATGCATAAATGTGTTAGCAGGAGGTGGGGCAGAGATGTAGGGATGATTGGATGCAGTTGTCTGACCTTACACCGGTGGTGCCTAGAGTAAGAGCAACAACTCCTGCCAGCTGCCATCGCGCACGGCCCCCCTCTACAGGATCGTTCCAGTACGGCGTTCCAAGCTGTGGGAGGCACGCAAAGAGATTGCATCACGACAAGAAGTTGGAGGTGACAATACAAATTGTGAAGAATACACCTAGATCGCACCTTGATCAGTCGGGACCAGATCACGCTGAGATCAGTGCTTGCACCCTCACGTGAACTAGCACTCAGAACAGATGTTCCTGGAGTCTCAGCATCAGAACTAATATCCTTTGTGTCAAGGCTGCATCGACAGCTATGCTTTCCATGGCCCCGGTAGCATACTCTTCTGAACAATCCTAAATCGGTGCGGAGGGGCTTCAATCTTGCTCTCCATCGTGGATTTTTGCAATGCTTTAGTACTGTGCCAAAAGGCAGAAGTGGGCGGTACTGTTGGTGTGGCACAAAGCATTGCCCCTGCATTTCTTTAATAAGAAGAAATGTTCATACAATGTGAGTAAGTGCGCAACACAACAATGGATTTATAGAATTACACCAATTCACTTCTTGCTTGAACTCAATTGGGCTCCATTTGTGCCTCGATTGACCGTGACGCAGCTATCCTCCTTGTGACGTCATCCCCACAGCTCCAGCTGGCTTCCTCCTGCTCCTACTCTTCCTCAACAGTCCTTTGATGGAAGCACATCAGTGATTAGCGCAAAAATTGGAGGTCTGCTTCTTTTGGTCGTCTTTGGGCAGAGACGTGAAAGAGATTGAACGCAGCCTGATGGCTGCTGCCAACGGCAACAAAAAGCCACGCCTTGATTTGGCACTGCACAAGGGCCATTCGATCTGTCTGGTACTTGATTATGGATCTCAGTATACTCAACTGATTGCCAGAAGAGTGAGGGAGAATGGGGTTTACTCAATGCTCATACCTGGCGATGTCACCCTGGTACAGCCCACCTCTTTGTTCTGGGTTGTCCTTGCGCCTGATTTCGGATGATGGAAGAATATGGACCCTATCATCTGTACTTCTAACTCAATGAAGCATGTGGGTATCAAGATGTCGTGTGACTGGGCCGCAGGAGCGCATCAAGTCAGTGCAGCCAAAGGCAATTATCCTCTCTGGTGGACCAAATTCGGTACATGTGGCAGACGCTCCGCAGCTCCCAGCCGGTTTCTTTGATTACATCAAGGAGAACAACATCCCAGTTTTGGGCATCTGCTATGGCATGCAGCTCCTTGTGCAGGTACGGCTCTCCTGCCTCGTCCAGTATGCTCTTCCATATCACCAATCTGATTCTGATGCACAATTCAGCAGCAGGCTGCCCTACAGCTCTGCACAGCCACATTGATCCCAAAAGTTAGTGATGCAGCGCTTCTGTGAAGTAACAACTTACACACTCCCTGGAGTCTGCTATGTTCACACCAGCGTGTGTGCATGCCTGCAGTCGCTAGGGGGCGAGGTGCAGACTGTGGAAACGGACGGGGAGTACGGGCGCATGTCCATCAGAACCACGCAGGCCAGTGAGCTGTACAGTGATGAGACCGACCACGCTCAGATGGTGTGGATGAGCCACGGCGACAAGGCCACCCGGCTGCCTGACGGCTTCCAAGCAGTCGCCACCAGCGAAAAGGTCAGCACGCTGCAACGCTTCTCACTTTACACCCACTTGATTCTCACCTAGTTGGCACTATGTAGCTGGTGTGTGGCCAGACATTGGGAATTGCAGCAGGCTAATTTCTTCCTCCAAAATCAAGTGCAGAGGGTGTAAAAATAAATTTTGCGGACTGTGAAGGGGGTTGCATTGGATGAATGCAGGGCACTGTGGTGGCGATAGAGAATACTGCGGCTCAGCTGTACGGGCTGCAGTACCACCCAGAGGTGCAGCACAGCGAGAGGGGCATTGCCACGCTGCGCCGCTTCCTGTTTGACATCAGCAAGGTGCCGGCCGACTGGAAGATTGAGAATGTGCTGGAGGAGGAAATGGCCAAGATCAGGGCCACGGTGAGGCCCTTGCTCTCCCTAGAAAATTGATCCTAATCGTGTTGAATTTTTAGAGCCCATGTGCGGTAACATCTGCCACCTGTACGACCTCATCTGCCACAAGTGCGCCCTCCTGTCAAGAACAACAGTCCTCAACTCGGGCACAACATCTCTGGGAGTTGCAAAGCAAATAACATTTGATGTGCATAGAGGGCCATCCTTTACGAGGCTCTTTTGGGGTCTTTATAACTACCTCTGTGGGAGTGGTAGGTGGGGCCCACGGACCATGTCATCTGCGCGCTGTCTGGAGGAGTGGACAGCACAGTGGCAGCCACGCTCGTGCATCAAGTGCTGGGAGACCGCCTGCACTGCGTCTTTGTGGACAATGGCCTCCTCAGATACAAGGCACACAGCACAGCTCCTTCTTGCTGCATCGCTTGCACCTTTTGTAGCACTCTTGCTGTGGGTGTTGAGTCTGACACAAGCTCAGATGGCTCATGATGCTGTGCACAAGGTGAAGGATAGCTGACAGGGAAATGCGTCGCATGGTGCAGGAAGCAGAGCGGGTGATGGACACCTTCAAAAATCACCTGCACCTGCCAGTCACCATGATTGACCACACAGAAGTCATGCTGGCCAGGCTCAAGGTGCGCGCTGCATTATGCGCACATCCTGCAAACCTCTCTTCGAGTTCCTGTAAGCAGGGAATGTATTTGATTGTTTCAGGTGTTTTAACTACCTGCGCAGGGGCTGAAAGACCCAGAGGAGAAGCGCAAGGCGATCGGCGCCGAATTCATCAACGTGTTCCAGACCTTTGCTGACAACTTTGAGAAGGATCACGGCATATGTCCCAAATACCTTGTACAGGCGGGTGCTTCTCAACAAAGCAATGCTTAACAATACCTTGCCACACACGTCATCCACCTCATGCGTTATTGATCAGTGCCAACGAGATTGTATTAAACAGCAGCTCAAGGATAGTTGGGTTTCAAACCCGAACGGGCTAGATCCCTCAGCCCCTGCTAAAGGTTAAGAGTGAACCCCAAGAACCTCAGGATGCTCCTCAAGCTTGGGGTGAACCTCACTTAGTAGTGGGTGTCTTGGCAGGGAACGCTGTACCCAGATGTCATCGAGTCCTGCCCGCCCCCGGGCACGGGGCAGAAGCACAGCCACATGATCAAGTCCCACCACAACGTGGGTGGCCTCCCCAAAGACCTCAAGTTCACCCTCATCGAGCCCCTGCGTGAGCTCTTCAAGGTGCGCGCTGCTCAGTACAATGCACGCACGGCCACGGCTTTGGCCACCTGCCATCGTACCAATGCCAGCACTTGACTCGTTCCTGCATATATGCTGCGAGTTCAACAAGGGGTAGTGATTTTTGTAGCCTTCGCTTCCAGCCTGTCTGCTCATGCACCTCGCCTCTTGGCAGGAAGAGCGTTATACCATGAGTATGCTGATTGCAAATATTGCTTTGGTTTTACTGCTTGATAGGGTGCATTGGCTGATATTAGTTATGCCTGTGCAGGATGAGGTGCGAGCGTTGGGCCGCCTGCCAGCGCTGAACGTGCCAGAGGCCTTCATCACTCGCCACCCCTTCCCCGGTGCACACCCATCCTCCTGCGCTGCTCCTTGTCAGATATTAAGCTGCTCTGCCAAATTAATGGGTTTTTTCCCCTTGACTTTTGCCTTGTCAGAATCAGCACTTTGTCAAGACCGCTTGAAGATGACACAGGGGGTTCTGAACACCACCCCCTGATATGCCATCGGGAAGGGGGACTGCATTGTTGGGACTGAAAAATTGAATGCATTCTTGGGACCGATTAAAGCAGCGGGTGCTCTAGCCAGGTTATCACTCATTTGAACTGAGGGTCTGGGGGGTGTTTGACTGCAGGGCCGGGGTTGGCGGTGCGTGTGCTGGGGGATGTGACGGAGGGGGATGCGCTGGATGTGCTGCGACAGGTGGACGAGATCTACATCAACACAATCCGCGACTTCGGCCTCTACGACAACATCTGGCAGGCCTTCGCCGTCTTCCTGCCCGTCAGGTGCGCCCTTCTTCTGCCCATGCCATGCACCCACCATTCCACTCCCGCCTGAGCTTTCCGTTTCATTTCTCCAACCTTAGCTACCGTCATGCCGTAGCCTTGATGTCCACGGCTTTGGGAGTGTTGCAGGTGCCTTGGAGCAGCACGAGTTGTTTCCATGCTTTATTCCCCTAGGCTGCACAGGCGTGTGAAGTGCTGGGGATGCCATTCTTGAAAGCATTGGAAGACCTGCACATGCAAGGAGGGGGTGCAATTTTTTTGCAGTGCTGCATGTTGCACGCATGGCATATCCTGCGCATGCAAGGAGGGAAAGCAAATTCTTCTGCAGAAGATTTTGCAGTGCTGCATGTCGCAAGATCTGCGCTTGCAAGAGGCCTCGCAAAAAATACTGCAGTGCTGAGCGGGGGATCCAAGCGGTGGTGGGGCGGCGCAGGTCGGTGGGGGTGCAGGGGGACCAGCGCACGCACAGCAGCGTGGTGGCGCTGCGCGCGGTGACGAGCGGGGACGGCATGACGGCCGACTGGTACCCCTTTGAGCCCAAGTTCCTGCAGACCGTCTCCAGCCGCATCTGCAACGGCGTCCGATCCGTCAACCGTGTCGTTTATGACATCACCAGCAAGCCGCCCGGCACCATCGAGTGGGAGTAGGGCACCGGGGGGTCCCCAGCATGGCTATGGGGGCCAGTGCGCCCGAGGTACCGTGCGTTGGGTTGAGCAACATTGGTGGCTCTTGCTCACGGTGTAAATTGGATGAAACTTGCTCTGGAGTCGTATATTTCAAGGTTTAGGGGGCTTGAGAAGGGATCTAGGGGCGAGTAGAAGGTTGTAGACTTTTCTCATGCACAGAATTTGTACGAACATTGTCTTTTATATGTTGCAAGCTACTTTTGTGTCAATTTCGCCATATCCAGTACTACATATGTCATAGAGTGAATGGACACATGCAATGCATGCAATGTCTCGGCAAAAAGTAGAGACAGTCCGTGCTGACAGTCTGTTCATCTGCAGTAATGTTGACAACAATTCGTCAGAGACTTGCTCTCTATATAAGTTTGCTGATGTCTTGACCGCTTTTGTCAGATCAAATCACTGTTCCAGAGCACCACGCAGCTGTGCATAGGCCAAATAACGTGTAACTCACTCTTGAAGATGCATCTGCTTGCCAGCTATAGCCTATCGTCATGCGTTCATTCTTTGGGGTCTACGAAGGAGCTTCTCCATCATATGGCATTACAAATCCGTCTCATAGCGCCAGTGAGACCACCAGTACTATCAGCTGCGCCTAAAACATAAAATCTTACAATTGTGCCTTTCTTTGCTAACGCTACCTGCCGGCCGGTGCAATTTGCCTCGCCTGCTTCTGTTCCTGCATACCCAACAGACAAATTCCTTAGACACCTGCAGAAATGCAGCTGAGAAAATGGCAATCAACCAGTTCACAGGGCCATTATCAAATTTAGTTCAACTACGGTAGGAAGATTGTTTGGAAACAAGGTAGGAGCACCAAATCTGCTTCAGGCAAGAGGCAGTCGAGTTCGGAAGCTGAGCTCACAATCAGGGAGGGAGCCTGTGTTGGAGGCCGGCCGGCGAGGCTGGTCTTGGCGGCATTCTTGATACGCATGCTCTCCACAGCATGCGCGAGCAGATCCTCCAGCACAAAGCCTGTTGGGTCGCCCGCCCTTGCACTGCCTGCCCGGCTGGCCGGCTTTGCCGCCTGCACTCCCAGCCCCGCCGCCGCTGCTGCAGTGCTTGGCCGAAGCGCTGATGGCACCAGCGCTAAGGCAGACGACGCAGCGGAGGCTGTCGGGACCGCATTCAGATCCGACGGTGCCACGGCGACGGGAATTTGCGGCTGCACGGCAGGTGCCGCTGGCGCGGCTGGCAGGTCCCACTCGGGAGCAGGCTCGCCATTGAACGACAGCTCGTGAGTCATGGCGGGGGGAACGGGGGGACCGGCTGCCGCGGGAGGGAACGTCGGAAACGCAGGTGGCGCGCCGAAAGGGTGCTCCTCCGGGGGAGCCGCGTCAGCCGCGGCTGACGCCGCGTCGAAGGCGCCGTGCAGAGACCGGGGCTCGAAACCGAGCTCCAAGGGCTGCACAGGCTTGGGGGCTGGCTGATTGAGGGTCGGCTGGGGCTCCGGCTCGCTGCTGTGAGGGCGGCTGCTGGCGGCAAAGGGATCATCGTTGATCAGGTTTGGCTGTGCAGAGGCAGCCATCAGATCTGCAAAGCTTCCCAGTCCGGCCGCGCCTCCTGCCGGCTTAGATGCGTTTGAGGTTACGCTCGGCTGCGCTGGCTGTGCTGTGCTGGCAGTGGCTGGCGGAAGGGCGCTGTCAAAGCCAAAGTCCATCAGGTCCGGGATGGCCGCTGAGGAGCTCGCCGCAACAAAGGCGCTCTCCCCAAAGCTGTGCTCCTCTGCCGACGCCTGCGAGAGGAATAATACAAATCAGGACCTTTGGCCAAAAAATGCAGTCAAGAGGCTCCCGCACTGCTCCTTCCTTTCATGCGAAACCAGCTCAAAAGAAGTCCATGGTGAAATGTCCATCTGCCAGTGCGATGGTGCTCACGGTGTTGAAGTCTCACCTGCGTTGCAGCTGGCTGAGATGCCCAGAAGCTGCCGGTGCTGCGCAGGGGGCCCAGCTTGGCTGCGGCAGCAGATATTGCAGCAGAGGAGGATGCAGTGAGGGGGCCGTCTGCAGTGGAGCGCATTGACTCAGCAGAGGCCGGCGCCGGTGCCGGCTCCAGCGCGTCCGCTGGCGGCCACTCTCCCTCCCTGTAGGCTCCGTTGTACTGCGCCATGACACTGAAAGCTCAGAGGGCCGTCCTCGCTCTACTGTATCGGCTTTCCTGCAGACTTTGCCGCTGTGAAGGGAAAGGAGCAGGGGTTTCATGATCATCCACCCATTTACTTGAATTAAGGGTTCAATTTGCTCGGACATGGCAGGACATCGGTCATGCACAGCATATAATTAGGTGCCAGCAGGAAGACTTATTGCACAGTCATTCGAAAGCGTAAAATGGAACAGAAAAGGAAAAAAGGGGCGCACCTTGCGGCGGATGAAGGCTTCGAGGTCGGGGGAGTAGTAGGAGGGCTTCTGTGAAGGGTCCAGCTTGGCCTCCAGCGAGGCGTTGGCGCGCGCGTTGCCGGTGCGCGCCATGAAGGCCACCTGCTCCGGCAGCCACGTGTCCAGCGTGCACGACCGCACCTGCACCCACTCACATGCCGTTCAGTGCCCACGTCAAAGGCTGCTTCGATTGTCTCGCGGACAGGGGCGCCAGGTCCTACTCTGTTTGCACCCCTGGAGAATCACCTGGTGCGATATCTGGATCGACCTTCATAAGAAAGATATGCTGTTGCGTGTGCAATTGAATGGTCAGACCTCAGCACGCACTTTCTTGCACCCGGGAGACCCCAGTGGAGGCCATGTCAACATGCAATGTCCTATTGGCTATTTGAAGGATCAAGGGGACTGGCGTCAATCTCCCCTGGCAGAGGGGCCAAGGGTGAGTCGAGAGGGTGAGAAGGGTATGCCGAGGATGCAGCTGAAAGCAACTACCTTGGAGATGTGGACGCCGAGGCCGCGGTGGTGGCCGGCGCAGCGCATGCAGATGAAGACGCCCGTGTTGATGGAGGCCCACGTGGCGCGCCCAGCCGCGCCGCCACCCGTGCAGTCGGCGCATGCGCGGTTGCCCGGCTGCTCCAGCAGCACGCGCAGCGCCGCCAGCTGCTTCTTGTTCTGCTCCATCGTCACCCCCTTCATCTCCCCAGCGCCCCTGCGCCGGTAATGCTTGTAATGCATCTGTCCCTGTAGTGCCAGCTTGACTGCCAGTAATGAAGGCACCTGATAGGAAAGACAGGGATGCGAATGAGGTTGAGAGCACAGCATGTCTGCTTCTCATACTGTTCGTCTTCATAGTTGCCATGGGACGGGACGAAAGTAGCATCTGGGATGAAGGAAAGCCGAAGACATGCCTCAAAGCAAAGGTCATCTCAGGAGTGAACAGGGTGGGAGCAGGTGCTGGGCACACCTTGTCGCGGAGCGCATCTGGCTCTGCGGCGTCGCCTCTGCTGGGGAAGGCGTGTCGTGGCCGTATGCCGAGAAGCCAGACTCGCCCGTGTCCGACCGCTGCAGCCATCCAAGTAACAACTTCGGCAGCCACTCTTATACCTTGTTGGGTCCCCTTAATTGACACCAGCAATGCCACACTTGGCGGCGAGATCACAGGAATCCTAGAAAAGCAAGTGGGCTCTAAGCACAAAACAGTACAGAGCACAGCACAGTGTCTACAGAGCACAGCGAGGGCCCCAGTTCACACCGATCTGCGCAAAGATGACGGCCCGCCGCCGATGCCGTCGTAGCCAGTGGAGGCCGAGCGCGCGGGCGTCATGTCTTCGCGGCTGTAGCCAGTGTACGTGCGCCGCTTGGCCGCAAATGTTTCGCGCTCCTCCCGCAGCCGCGCCGTGTCCCTCAGCAGCGCCCCTATCGCCTGCGCCCTGCCACCACCATGCAAACCATCTGTCATTTTGGAACCGTTCTTTTCGAGCGTCCTTCTTACCACTACGAATGACAGAATACCTGGTAAAGGACGGTCACTGTCCTCCTACCATGCTGCATTGTGTGGAGCAGTCGGTGCAAGCGATGTTGCCAGAGAGCAAACATGCATTGGTTGGCGACATTCATGCACCATCTCAATTGCCTAAGTGAGCCTCCTGCCCGTGGTATCCTCTCCTTCCCATACCCTCCCAGTGTGAGTCACAGACCTATGCCTCTGTGAGTCACAGAGGCATAATGCCTGCTTGCTCCTGATCATGTCAGCATGCCAGGCGCCATCTGAGGGGGCACCTGTGGCGGACGTTGACGCCCTGGTCCCTGCCCTCGGGGGAAACATACTGGAAGCCCTCCAGGTCCTCCAATCGCATGGCCAATTCATTCCGCGCGATTGCCACGCAGCGTTCGGAGCCGCGCTTCACCAAGAACTCCAGCACCGTCAGCGCCTTGTACACGTTGCGCCACTTGGCCGGCGGGTAGCCCAGCCGCAGCTGGATCACCGCCTGTTCAGGCAACACTCATCACCTTCAGTGATGAACTCGTGCACATTAGATGGTTGTCTTATGCGTATTGTACCTGACAAAGTAAAGCAAAGGGAAAGCACAAGAAAAGCGCTCATCAAGCTGGCTGAAAATGCACGAGAAGCGCTGAACTGTCTGGCATTTGCATGCGTCGAGGCATACTCCAGACCTTCAATGATGAGCTCAGAAATTTCATTCAGGATTGCATTATGTGCGCTCAACAGCCTGGTGCTTGCATGCATGTCTTAAGGCAACATGGCGAAGGTGCGCATTCGGTGGTGCCAAACATACAAAACAAACTGGCTAGGATGAAGAATGAGGGCTCACGAAGATGACCAGGCAGTCGTTGTGGTTGAAGGACGACTCTGCCAGCTCATTGAGAATCATCCCCGTTGGGCCCCTGTGAGTCATGGCACAAGCACAAAAGTATAGCAAGTGATGTGCAGAACTGCAAATCGTGGGTGTCATTTGGAGTGATACATAATCAAATGGCATGCAGGGTGAATCATATAAGAAATCAGCCTCTTGAGGAAAGAATGTACCCACCAAGGCTCATTCCTGGTGGCTTCCCTTGCCTTCCGCTCCATCTTTGTGAAGGGATGGTACTGCCCAGACTTGATGGCTGTAATGTAATCTCGCAGCCATGAAGCGCCCTCCTTACAGGCTGACACTGTATAGTCCTTCAGATCCAGGCCTTTCCCTTGCGACACCAGGGTCATGGTGTGACACCTGCACCAGAGATGACAGTGACAATGACTTAGTGCCACCCATCTGACTTAATCGGCAGCATCTGAAAATTGATACGTCGAGCTGTGTAGATGATCGTGCACAGACAAAAGGAGAAATTTGTCAGTCTCCTCTTTCCTCCAGTATGGTGACTAGTCAAAACAAGCCCGGTTCAACACGCGAAGATTATTAGGGACTGGGCGTGCCATCGGTGACTTTCAAACACTGAGAGTACCTATGCATAATATGCATCTGACATTACGGTTCGAATGAAGAGCTTACAGAAAGCTTTTGCCCGCCAAGACAAACCACCAGACTGTCTATTCTACCCGTCTAAGTAAGGCCTCTCTCTCTGAATGATGTTGCAAGCAGAACGAAATACTCACTAGATTAGATTACTGATGTCAAGTTGATGGTCTTCGTATAACGTTCCCCTCTTCCTGGAGATTTCAAGAAATAGCAAGGGCCTTTCAAACCTTTAGCTCGAGTACTAGTTACAAACAATAATCAGAATACAGGCAGACCCAGTATGTTTAAAAGTTATTTTTTCCCTCGTTCGTTGAAATTGTCTTGCTCGGGGAAGATTCATAGCTTCTTGCCTAGCTAGGGTTTGATGCTGACTGGAGTGTCAGGGTTTGACAACACTTTCCTACAATTAAATCGATCTCAAGGAGGACATTATGTCGATGTTTTATTGTGGAGAGGCAGTTTCTTTATAAAATCACAACGCAACAGCTCTTAGTCTCGTCCGAGGCTGTGAAGACATCCGTAGATGTCAGTTCGTTGATGTGCTGACGCAGGGTATGTATCCCTGACGTGTTGCCTCTCATGGCAAGCAAGAAGATTGCAAATGGCTTTTTGTATCGTCTCCTGGCCTCCTCCCGGAAGGGCTTGTGCGACAACCAAGCCAGGTCGATATCTAGCACTTGCACAAGGAGCTTTCCTCCCCAGTTTGGAGGATACCTGCGGACAGGTATCATCCCGGTTCAGACGGTGGAGCTGTACTTCCACTGCCTCGATTATTTGCTAGCGTAGAAATTGTGGGATGGGTGTTGTAAACCGAACATCTTGCACTGCTTTTCAACGCTCGGAATCTCCTCTCCGGCAGATTTTGAACTGTCCACAGTAAATGTGAAGTGTAACGCGGGTATACCTCTTAGTTTTTATTGAAAGCCTCAGGGCTTAGCGCGGCGATTCTGCGAAGTCGCCCACATGTCGTTTAGCATACCGGTCTGGGTGGTTCGGAAACCCGTGAAGTTTTAGTTGAGATCATATTGAGGTGCTGTGTTCGACCCATTTTGACAGGTCAGGGTCCAAGCGATGTGGACGAACCTCGCTTCTTGGTCACGGGTGCCTCAGGGCAAATAGGTGTTGAGCTGATTCCCCTTCTCAGGCAAAGGTCAGCTCCTCCTCGTGCATCAGATTGCAAATCGTCCCTCCTGCAGCTCTGTGTGATGTCAGCTATTGCCATGCAAGCACTGAGTGCTTGTGCTATGCTTCTGGCAGGCACCCCGACTGCGTGATTGCCTCAGATGTGCGCATGAACCGGGAGGTCACAGGCGCGGGGCCTTTCGTGTACTGTGACGTTCAGGACAAGGACAACCTCGCGCGCATCATCCTTGAGAATGGCATCAACACTGTGGTCCACCTAGCCACCCTGCTCTCAGGTCTGGCTCCCTGGGCCAACCTTTGTTTTTCCTGGCTTGCATGCTTTCCAGAGTGGGAAATGTGTAAGGAGCAATGAACAGTCTCATGGGTGGTGCAGCCATTGGAGAGCGCAACCCACAGCTGGCGTTGAAAGTCAACACCCAAGGCATCCAGGTGAGGCCCCAGATGGCTTCCACGCACCATGATGTGTATGATGATGCACCATGAGTTTCAGCAAAAAACAAATTAAATAGGACAGAGCTGCAAGGATGTTGAGCAGAGGCATTATGGCAACAGAATGTGCTGGAGCTGGCAGCGCAGCACAATCTGCGCGTGTATGCGCCGTCGACAATAGCTGTGTTTGGGCCGACCACGCCGCGCGAAGACACACCGGACTGCACTGTGAAGGAGCCAACCACCATGTACGGCATCACCAAGGTGTGGTGCCCTTTCAATGGCACGCTCTCTGACGCACATTGGCGCACAGAAATCCAGCAACATGCAGAAGGTCGTCAAACCAGCTCATACGGATCCTTTGAAGCTTCCCCCTTCTATCCCTCTCTAGCTGACCGCACGCCGCTCATGCACCTGCCTCCACTCTGCAGCCAAGGTATGGTATCATCACAAAATTTTCAGTTTCCTTCAAGTGAGTGAAAAAAACTGCCTGCACAGGTGCACCAGGAGCTACTGGGGCAGTACTACAGCCGAAAATACGGGGTGGACTTTCGTTCGCTGCGCTACCCCGGAGTCATTTCCTCGGCGACCCTTCCCGGGGGCGGCACGACAGACTACGCGGTGGAAATTTTCCATGCTGCGCTGACCACTGGCAGCTACGCGTGCTTCCTGGGACCTGACACTGCGCTGCCCTTCCTGTACATGCCCGACTGCCTGGCCGCCACCTACCAGCTCATGATGGCTGACAGCGCCTCCCTCTCCCAGGTGCACGCACATGCCTCTTATACGCATGGTCTCAGTGTGGCATTTGAGAGCAAGCCTTGGACTTTTAAGGGCAAGAATGTGGTGCAGAGTTGATGACCGGTAAACGAGCGGCTGACTCTTTTTGCAGAAGGTATCTAAATTTATAAGTCCTGTTGCTGGCAGCCATGTCTCTGCCATTCCACTGGCCGTGAGGCTCTTGAGTTTGAGTGAATGTTTCTTTGCCCTATGCCTTGGATGCTGTGGGATGGATGCTGCAACAATGCAAGTGAAGCACCAAGCAACGACGGAACATATGCACCATTGCTGGCGCAGACAACCTACAACGTGACAGCGATGAGCTTCACGCCGGCGGAGCTGTGCGCGGCAATCCAGCGGCGGCTGCCGGGATTCACCGTCGACTACCGGCCCGACTTCCGCGACGCAATCGCGCGCTCCTGGCCGCAGTCCGTAGATGACTCACCGGCGCGCGCCGACTGGGGCTGGCGCCCCGCCTTCGACATCGACGTGCGCCCACCGCCTCCTTATGCTGCTGTTCCTTGAGAAGTTATGCTCAAGTAGCTCATGAAATTTGTACTGTTGGCTGCATGCTTTGGCCACCAGCATCACTGGCTTGCCAAGAGCCGGATGGTGACCTGGATCCAAACTTGGGGCTGAGATGGGTTTTCGCAAGTGGGGCTGGTCAGGATCCAGCATGGATGCACTGCAGCACGTGCGCATGCTTCTGCGCTGAAGCATTTTGACTGCATGCATGCCAGGAAGGCTGGACTTTGATGACTTTGACCAATTCTCAAATTTATTTTGGTGGGGCAGGCAATGACGGACCACATGCTGACGGCGCTGGACGCGCAGCTGCGGGCAAAGAGGGAACGCGCAGCCAGCGGAAAACTCAGGCAGGCGACCGTAGATCCTCTGCTGAGGCCCCCCAGCGTGCATGCTGCATGAGCGCCCATGCTCGCACCTTTTAAGGCTTGGTTCTGGAGCTAGCTTGATCATGAGCCTCATGAGCCTGCGGCTAGCTAGATTGAGGCGTGGGGTGTTTACTTACTGCCCTTGGCCGCAGACCAGTTGGTCGGACTGTTGTCTGCGGCTCAATGTACTTTGTACCAACAAGTTGTGTCTGTAGAGGCAGGGATGCTGCCAATCGGATGAGAGTCTTCCCAGCACTGAGTTGTAGATCTATATAGAGAACAGTAGCATAGTGAAGCATTACGTGACGCAACTGTGATGGGAATAGCAAAGGCACTGCTTGACAAGCGTTTGCCTCCCAAGAGTGCACCCTGTATGGATTATTGTGGATTTTGCAGAATACTGCTATTTTTGGCTTGTTCGAATCCTGCCATATTACCGTGTTTGTATAATCAAATCAGACAGATATTGCCCATGTCATGATCAAGCAGAAATTCTCAAATGTAAATCAGGGGTGAGGAGTCCTCGCTGAGGACGCAGCATCAACCTTGAATAGGAACTCATTCCTCACACCCCCCGTGCAAGCCATGAAGACTGCCAGGAAATACAGTCTGTACTACTTAACATATCTTTCCAGTAGCACCAGAACCATGTGCCCTCGTCACACACCCTACTAGAAGGAATTGCAGTCAAAATGAGTGCGTTCCATTGCATTGTCTCCACTACTAACATCTATCTAGGCAAGTAATATGCACTACAAGGCTACTGTCTGTCACTGCACAATTTCCAAGCTCCGTCGGCGCTTTGAAGCATATTTGTCCTTGTGCTGCTGCCAGAGCGCCTTGAGCCCTGCAATGTACCGCGCATGGTACTCCTCCACCAGCTTCACTCCCTCCTCCGATTTCAAATCCCCTGCACGCAGCCCACACACTGCTTCAGAACAGCCGCTGCTCAGCGAGCTCTGCGAGTCCCTCGCTTTAATTCTCTCTGTGGCAGCAATGCACTTGCTTCACGACCGAGCGATAGTCATCACCGGTGACAGCAGAACAATCTTTTCACTGGTGCATGTATTCCTGTCGCCATGAGAGACCAGTGGACCTCTAAGTGGTGCACCCCATCACAGCAGAGTGAGCAGGGATGTGTAAGGCATAGGACAACATATTCCCACTTTGAAAAGCGGTGTGGTACGGACCTGTAAACTTGGGGACCGGGATGGGAGCCCCGACGACGGCGGTGAGCGGCACGCGGTGCGGCAGCATTCCCACGGGGAAGCCAAACAGGCCGCGGCCGTACACAAAGGGCAGCGTGAAGCCAGTGACCTTCTTCAGGCCGCGCTGGAAGCTGCGCGCCCAGCCCACCCTGCGCGTGTCCACCACTGTGACCACATCATTCTCGCCAAAGGTGTACACCGGCACCAGCGCCGCGCCAGTCTGCAGCGCGATCTTCACAAACCCCTTCCTGCGCGCGCAAAATACCCCGGACGCCGTCAGCCCCTACCGGTGCCACACGTGATTATTAAGATTGAAGAACACCTAAGCCATCCCTGCATATACACTCTATGGTCCCTGCACTGTGTTTGCCGGTTTTGTACGAAAAGGACCGAGCTTCCCGGCTTGCCCGCTAGCGTCATTGCTAGCAAGAGCTGCGAGGAGGTGGGCCTGTGGACACTCTACAGAACTCCCACAACAGATGCAGAATCAAAGCAGTCATCCAACACATGAACTGCAGACACACATGCAGTCTTCATGGCTAAGGCAAACTACTCAGACACCCTGAGCTGACAATGGGCATGGTGGCAGCATTTGTTACACAACAAGGATGTGTCAGCCAACATGAGGTGTCAGGCAGCAAATTGCCCTCCCACCCCATTTTCAAGATGAGTCACTGATGCAGGATTAGTCATATATGGAAAGGAAGCAGGGTACGCTTAGAACAGGGCGAACCGTTTGTTGAGGACGAGGTCGTTGAGGCCGGGGCCCGCCAGCAGGGCTTCCTCGGCGCCGCCAATGGCGAGCATGACGGCGCGGCCGGGCGCGGATGACAGCACCTGGCGCAGCGTCCAAGCATCGGCGTCCACAAAGCCCAGCAGCAGCATCAGCTCACGCGCTATGGGCGTGATGAAGTTCCACCTCAGCGTGGCTGTGAAACACACAAGTTGTGTGAGACAGACATGTGAACATGCACACCTTGCCTCCGGCAGGAACAGCTTTGGTAAGAAGAGAAAAAACCTGCGATCAGACGGTAGGATGAGAGCTGCAGCGCAATCTCAAGCTTGACAACGTACACGCTTGCAAGAGAAAGAGCTGCTAGTGTTTGCACAGGTGGGTTTGCACAGGTGGCCGACTGGTGGTGTTGAAAAACGAGTCATGCACCGCTCGCACCTACGCGCAGATCAATGCCGGGAAAGGTTCTGCTGAAGTTGGTCCCCTCGCTGGCGAACGTGGCCCATGCACTGATCGTCAGGACGCCATGCGGATGGAGCCTGCACAGCAATGTGAAAAATTTGAACGAATTAATGAGTGTTGATGCAGAACCTTGGACCACGGCTTGCATGCACATTCTGGCTGGATTTGTAAGCCCTGCCTTGCATGCAAAGGATCAGCAATGGAACATTGCCAGCAGGTGCCCTCACCCTAAGATGTAGCGCTTGCTGGGGTCCAGATCGGCTGTCTTTATGAGCCTGACAGGGAAGTAGTCTGCTAGATGTTTCCAGATCGACCAGTGCCTCAACCACGTGGGCCATGAGAGGTTGGCTGCCGCTTTCTTTCCAGGGCCGTACCAAATGTACAGAAGGTACCTGCGCAGCAAATAACTTGAGTGAACATGACCTGCAGCCTTTAGGTGAGTGAGAAATGTGATTCTGTGTAAGATTGTGGCAGGAGCTGTGAAGATGGCGCACAAGACGATAAGCCAAGAGACTCGAGGATTGAACAGCTGCCAGATGGTCAACACCCAAGCTGTTGGGGTGGTGAAATACAGACTCATTGCCCATATGGCTGCCACATATGGCATTACGCCCAATTTCTCGTTAGTTTGCGCTTTTGACATCTTATCGTTTATTGTTGAAGGACCAGAATAATTAGGAACGTTCCCCTATCAGCTTAGGGAACAAAGCTGCTGATCTGTGCTGATCTGAGAAGGCCACAAGAGACAAGGAAGCATTAGCGCGCAAACTACATCAAAATGCCAGCAATCAATGACAATCAATGGACCTCCCTCGTTTGACCGTGACTCGAAGACGCTGGCGCTACAGAATTGGGGCGTCTTATGCAGGCTTTACGTAAAGACAGATTAAGCATGCAGTGGCTTCAACCAGCCTCACGATGTGTGTGCGAATCGTTGATTCCGATTATGAGCAGATAATTCAATGACCAAGGTTTGATTGTAATCTGCTGCAACATTAGGCGTGCTTGGGCGAGCTTGGGCGATGAGTCAGGGAACCAGAAGTCAGTCGAAGCGCCCAGCGCAGGGCAGCCCAGGGCAGTCAGATGAGGAGATGGAGCCGCCCCTCCACGATCTCCTTCTTGCAAAGGTCGAGTCTATGATCCACGGCCTGGAAAGCAAGCTTGACAGTAAGCTGGACGAGAAATTTGGGGCCCTCTTCCCTCAGCTGAAGGCAGAGCTCAAGGCAGAGCTGAAAACCGAGCTGAAGGATGAGGTGGTGGCTGAGCTGAAGGCAGAGCTGCTGCCTCTCCTGCGCGCTGAGCTGGCCAAGGACACGCAGACCAGAGCCGCCTCCAACGATGAAGCAGTGGTGAACAAAGTGCACCATCTGGAGTCTGTGGTGGAGTCTCAGGCCCGCCAAGCCAGGAGTGCCAACCTGATCTGCCATGGTCTGGCAGAGGACAACACAGAGAATGTCTCAGCCCGCGTGGCAGCGCTGTTTGACAGCAACAGCGGCCCCCCTGCTGTTGTCAGCGAAGCTCGCCGCCTCGGTGCCCCCAGCGCCACGCGCACCAAGCCGCGCCCCGTGCTCATCAGCTTCAGCGGCGTGGCAGCCAAGCACGCTGCCCTCAAGCACAGCAAAGCCCTGCGCCAGCGCCAGATTTTCCTGGATCCCGACCTCACCCCGCAGCAGCAGCGCATCCGCGTCAGCATGCGCCCACACTATGTCGCCCTGAAGACAGCCGGCAAGCAGCCCTTCTGGCGCGAGGAGCGCCTCTTCGTCCGGGAGGGCGACCGCGTGCGTGAGCACATGCCTGTGCCTGGGCCTCCCCCGGCTGCCGCGCCGGGCGCCGCTGCCGCCCCGGGTGCTGCCACTGCCGGGCCCTCTCAGGCCGCGCCTTCCTCCCCCGGCCGCGCCGACTCCTACGCCGAAGCAGTGCGCCGCTAGGAAGTCTCCAGCCGCCTATCGCTGCGTATATTGTCCTGGAATGTCAATGGCTTACATGCTAGCAAAATATCCTTGTGGGACACGGCAGCCTATCTTGACCAGTTCGATATTGTACTTCTGACTGAGGCCCGTTGCTTGACCTGGGATGACTCGATCTTGCCTCACCACTCTGTGACTTTCACGGCTGCTAGTGAAGAGGGCAAGGCGGGTGAAGGCATTGTTGTTGCGGTTCGGAAGCACCGTGATTACCACGCACAAGACTGGGTGTCAGACACTGACAGTGCCTTATGGGTGAAAGTGCAGTTTGAGGGGGACTCTACACCGCTGCTGATTGGCTCCAGCTATGTGCCTCCAGCGGGTTCCCGGCAATTGCAGACTGTGGACCTGACCAGTCGATTTACGGGCTTATGTGCAGAAGTTGTTGCCGCTCGTGCTCAGGGCAATGTGATCCTGGCAGGAGACTTCAATGCTCGTGTGTCAAATTTGCCTGACGCTGATGACAGCAATACTCGAGGCTGCACTGATGAAGGTGTCAATGCTCATGGGCTGCGCCTGTTAGATTTTTGCAAGGAAACTGACATGCTCATATGCTCTGGCAGAGTGCTAGGAGACCTTGAAGCAGTGCCTACCTTTAAGGCCAGAACCCATACTCAGGCAACTAGACCTGATCATGTTCTCGTTTCCGCTGATGCGCTCCCCTTGATTTCTCATCTTGTTGTGAACACTGGTAGAAAAGACTCTGATCATCATCCTATTGAGATGACGTTGCAAGTGAATGTGGCTGCCAGTGTTCCCTTACCATGTATTGGGGCGCCATTGTCACGAGTGAAATGGCAGCCCAGTGCTAGGAATGCGTATGCTGCTGTTTTGCGCAATGTTGCCAGTGCAAGTCTTGACGCCTGCACAGGCCATGCTGTGGCTGGGGAACTTGATGCAGCCTTTCAGACCCTGGAGGCGGGGATCCGGGAGGCCGCAGCCGCGAACAGCATGCCGGCCCGCACCGGGCGCCATCAGCGCAAGGCGCGTGCCGACGCGCCCTTCTTCGATTCGGAGTGCCGCCAGCTTAAACGGGACGTCCGCGCCCGCGCGCGGTGCGGGGGCGATCCAGCCGAAGTGCGCGCGCTGGAGCGTGCCTACCACAACACCGTCCGCCACAAACGGCGCGCTCACCGGCTCGCGCAACTGCGCCGCCTGCTTGATGATTTGCACAGTGACCCCCGAGCCTTCTGGAAGCGGCTCAAGTCTCAGCAGTCTGATATACCTGAGCAGCTCAAGCCAGTGCAATTGTGGGCTGGCTATCTCAAGCGGGTTGCAAACTTGCAGTTGCCACTCATTGCTGAGCTGCCCCACTTGTCTTTCCCTGTCCAGCCCAGTGCTCCTGTTGCCCATGTTGATGCTCTCAATGCACCCATCTCTCTTGGGGAGGTGCTTGCTGGGCTCAAAAGTTTACACAATGGTCGTGCCACCGGAGTGCAAGGTTTACCAGCTGAGCTGTTTCGGTATGCAAAAGATGAGCGGGCGCCAGGCATGCCTCCTCCGGAAAATGTCCTGGCGCATGCTTTGGTGGCTGTGCTGAACTCTGCATTTGTGGCTGGGCAAGTGCCACCCTCTGTGAATGGTAGCCTGATCACCCCTGTGCACAAGAAAGGCAGCAAGCTTGACATGCTCAATTATAGACCCATTGCCGTTACTGAGCCCATCATGCGCTTGTATGCTGGCATATTGAATTCTCGTATTCTGAAGTACACAGAGGGGGCTGGATTGCGTGCAGCCACACAGGCTGGCTTTAGGCCAAAACTGTCTACGGCCCACCAGCTATTCACCTTGCAGCATTTTATCGACCGGCAAAACCATGCTAAGCAGCCCTTGTATTGTTGCTTTCTTGATCTGAAGGGTGCTTATGACAGAGTGAATCGGGTGTTGCTCTGGGAGAGTCTGCGTCGCCTGGGCATTGATGGCCACCTGCTCTCTGCCATTCAGTCTTTGTATGCCAATTCTACGGTTGCCATTAAGATTGGGAGCAGGAAGGGTCCTAGTTTGCCCTCTGAGACAGGATTGAAGCAGGGTTGCCCCCTTAGCCCAACGCTGTTTGGCTTGTTTGCAGATGGCCTGCACAGGCACTTGCTGCAGAGGTGCCCTGGGGTTGGCCCGCAGTTGCGTCCTGGCAGTTGTGTACCAGATCTAGGCTATGCCGATGACTTTGCTTTGCTCGCCACCACACCTGCTCATTTGCAACGCTTGATTGATGCAGCTGCTGAGTTTTGTGAACAAACGGGAATGGTCATCAGTGTTGACAAAACAAAGATTGTGGTGTTCTCTTCAAGTTTGCCAGGACCTTTTCAATGGCTTTGTGGTGGTGCGCCTTTACATTGGGTTCAGCAGTTTGAGTACCTGGGTGCCCTTTTTGACGGTGCCCAAGGCATTAATCTCACCTTTGGCAAGCTTCACAGGAACATGTGGGGTGTGTGGGCACAGCTCAAGCAGCAATATGGGAAGTTGCATTGCAGCATGTCAGCTGGCCTGTTGTTGCGCCTATATGATGCATGTGTGCCGCCGACTGCCTCCTACGGTTGTGAGGTGTGGGGCCTGCGCAGCCTTCCTGGTGGCGACAGCCGGCGGGGCCGGGCTGCCTTGGCCTCCTCTCACCTGAAAATTCTGAGAGACATTGCTGGCGTCCCCACCTCTGTGCATGGTGCCATCTTGCTTAAGGAGTTGAATCAGCAGACCCTTGATTGTGTGTGGTGGCGGCGCATTATCAAGTTCTGGAACAATTTGGCTGCCTTGCCTGCAAATAATTTTCACAGGCAAGTGGCCCTTGATGATTGTTGGGATGCCATAACCCGTAATGTTAAGAATTGGGCTTGGGCCTTCATGCGGGGCTTGCGCCGAATTGGGTATGAGTTTGTTATTCGGTTTGACACCCTTGTTCCTGTGGAAGTTGATGCTGTGATGCAGCTGCTAGATGCGCAAGCACTGCAGGTTTGGGATGACATTGACATTTGCCCTAGGACCTGCCCGTCCAGCAATGCCACCTTGTGTACATATCACAGATGGTTTGCTAGGCCAGCTTGTGTGCGCCACCCTTGCCAGCTCTTACAGCAGCCTTTGAGTGCCCGTTGCTTGCGTATACTGTTGAAGTTCAGGATGGGTTGTCATAGTCTGCCCAATGTCTCGGGCCGCTGGGCAAGGATTCCCCGGCCCCAGCGTTTGTGCATGCGTTGTGCCCAGCAGGTTATTGGGGATGAGCGCCACCTTGTGTTTGAGTGCCCTGCCTTGCAATCTGTTCGGGACAGATATCCTGGGCTGTTTGGTGCAGCCATTGTGACGATGCAGCAATTCATGTGGCAGTTGGACATTGTTGGTGTTGCACATTTTGTGATGGATTGTTTTGATTATTTGGATGCTGCCAGTTCATCCAATCAGCCCTAGGCGGCTGGAGTGATGTAATCTTCCTTCCTTCCTTCCTTAGGTCCTTCAGCCTCCAAGCAGCAAGGTATACATAAGTATAGGTGGCTGCAGACGTCGACGCCCTGCATGTATGCCCCAAGCTATGGCCTTTGGCTGTGGGTTTGCCGACCTGTAATAATAATAATAATAACGCGCCAAAAAAGATTACACACCTGTCACCACAGGGCCCAGGTGGTGACCGAGTTGTACAAGAGTGGAACAAACTGAGTTTCGGTCTAGCTACTGTACAGCCCCCTACAGGAATCTTTGAATGCAGGGATACACAGGCACCCTCAGTCAGAACAAGCATACATGAGCAGTACAGCACGGCTGCGCGTATTTCTATAAAAAAAAGCTGAAGCGAACTGCAACGATGCAAATTCATGGCCCACAATAAGCAGAACCCTGTACAGCACATCTCCTGCAGCATCAACCCAACCTGGACAAACCCCCCATTCCCCACTTCTTGCTTGAATGTCTTGCCTCGATATGACGCCAGCTGCCATGTGTGCCCTGACCTAGCTGCTTCTGAGAAATCTTTGTGTGCACTCTACGCCAAGCAGGCTGGTGCTCTAATTCATACGCGGAAGCAAAGATGGATAGCGTCTAGCATGACACTTGCGCGTCAGATGCTAGCAGACAAGGAGGCCAGCAAATAAACGTTGCTCTTTACTTAATCCCTGCTGTGCTCTGACACAAATCCACAGGGTCTTGATCACTGCTTTGCTGACTGCCCGCCATTATGCGATCTCCCTTTTCTTTTGTTCCCGGGAAACAGGCTTGGATTTGTTTTGAGGCTGACTGATCAGGCAATCTCCAGTTGCATCAGAATCTGAAGCGGAGCACGATGCATGAGATGTTGTCATTGCTGCCCCGCCCATATGCTTCATCTGTCAGCTTCTTGGCTGCCTTCTCAGCATCCTGCAAACAGAAAGTGAGCTATAATCTCTCTGATTCCAACAGCATGGAGGGGTTGCACTGCCAAACCGGGCAGCCCTATTGGAAGAAGTAAGGCATGAGACAGGGTACAAAAGACAAACTGACAGACATGCCAGCTTGATCGATGCGCACCGGGATGTCTTTGATGAGGTTGACGGCCTCATCATTGGAGAGCACGTCCCAGAGGCCGTCCGATGCCAGGATCAGGGTCTCATCCTGTGAGGTCAGCTTCTCCTCGCGCACATCCGGAGTGGCCACCTGCAGCCCCCACACAAACCCTGTCAAGTACATCTCCTATCTTCTGGCGCTCGCTCTGCCTTGATGTCTGCATACCTCTTCTCTAATTGCAGATCGACAGCAGGTATCAAAGAAGACAGGGCAGTTCCTGGATATCCTGGATATGTACTCTGTATTGTCTGCATGTCAACATCTCTGTCTACTCTTAGTGTCTTTGCTGAGCAGGCTCAGGCATAGAAGTGCCAGCTGTCACACTAAGGGAAGATCCACTATTATGTGAGGACACCCGTGTAATACAGTGGCTGGCTGTGCAATTGGGGAGATCCTTGTGCCCTGAGGGGTAGGAGGGCACTGCGCACCACGTAGCGTTTGAGGAGGCGGTCTCCAAACGCGCGCGAGACGGCCAGCACGCCGCCGACGCGCCAGGTGCCGGCCCAGACCACCACGCCGCCGGCCGCCTCTATGCGGCTGCGCTCGTCCGACCGGTTCGGCTTGTGGTCCTCGCTCAGCGCAATCGCTGCGCACCACCCACCCAAATCACTCCTCCCGGCCCATTCGAGTCCGCCACATCACTTATAACTCCTCTCAAACCATTCCATCATCCTTCACGTGTGGCTGGTCAAATTGAGGGGCGGTTTCATTGCCCAAAACGCGGCCAGCAGACTTTGCAATGCCGGTTTGTGAAAGCACATCTTCTGCTCCAGAGATTGCTGTGCTCTAGAGACTGCTGCGGTGTTGCTCCACAACAGGCCCAGGGGTCTTGCAGAGGAAGCAAACATGGCGAGCAGAGGGAATTGGGGGCGCACCTTTGCCGCCGCGTGAGAGGACGGCCCTGGAGTCACCCACGTGCGCCACCACGACAGTGTGATCCAGCAGGACTGCTGTCACGGCGGTGCACCCATCGTCCCGGTTTGCGCCGGTCTCCGCCTGCAGATACCGCTTGTCGGTCTCCACAAACGCCTCACCTGGATCAGACATCGCCAGGTTCAAATCCAGCTGCAGAGCAGCTCAATACCTGATCTTGGAGCAAACGACAATGAGCAAATGAGACAGCGGTTTTTGTAAAATTTGCTGGCAACATTGTAGTCTGAGAAACTGTGAGGGTTCTTTTCTTTGTAGGCCACTCCAATGATATGTGTTGGCACACCAAGCCAGGCAATAATGCTACAGAAATGGGTGGCTTACCAAGAGCCAAGGATACGTCGGAAGGGAATTGCGCATTGCTTAGTAAGCTGTCAAAAAGGTTTTCGCGCACGAAATCAGCAGCGTGTGGGCCGCCATGGCCTGCACAAGGACAGCGGTGATTAGGCACAAGGGCAGAGGGGTACAGAGAAAGGACAAGGGAGTGAAAAGTGAGTACGCTCCTTCAAAGAAAACAACGTGGGTGCAGGGGCTGAATGTCGCATGCACGTACCGTCAAAGATCCCAAAGAGACCGACTGTTCCGGCCTTGCCTTGAATGTCCTTGAACTGCAGCAACAGAACGTCACCCAGGTCAAAGTCAGCAGGGCAGTGATGGTGGAACATAGCGCGTTGCTTATAACAGGAGTTGTAGATCTGAAAATAGGGAGTGAGATCCACTCACATCTGCGTAGAAGAAATCCTCCATGCCCGCGCGCTTTCCTTTCAGGACTGAGTAACCAAAACTGACCTTATTATCGTTCCTGCAAATTATTACCTGGTGCGTCAGAATAAAAGAAACGCCAGTCCTGATCTTTAGATAGTTAGTGCAAATAGATCATCGCCTCTCATCGTTCGACAGACAAAACCAAGGGGTTCCAACACTAAACTTCTTCGTCAGCATCCCTGACTCTTCGGTGCACAGGTGGCAGAGGTAACTGCACCTGACATCTCCTCCAGTAAGGAATCCAGTGATAGGTTGCGTAGCTGATTTGGAAGTGTGGCTGTTGGGACTGCTACTGCTGCCGGAGTGTTTGCCACTGCTACTGCCAAAAAGCGAGCTCAGGAATTGCATTTTAATCACTGAACGCGTCGATCCCGTCCCTGTGATCTACTCTTCGATCATACAAGACACATGAAACGTCACGAACGCCCAAAGAGCCATGCCAAGCCTATGCACGAGTCTTGGAAGAGGAGAAAGTGCACAAGAACCGTGTCCGACTACTTTTCGGTGCTAAACCGTCATTGCTGATAATAGCTATAGCATCGAAAATTTTTCAAAATTTGGATTTAGTAAGGCACCTTAACTTTGGAAGGAAGAAGACTTTGAGAACACCGACTGAAGTTGGGAGTCGCGTCATCGATGACTACTTTATGGAGAACTTGGGAAGAACCCGTTGACCGAGTCAGCCTTTCGTCCTCCCCTAGATTTTGACCTTCTTTCCATTGACACACTCAATCTTACTGAAGATGCTGTATCATATGACCCAGATAAATGGGAAGACACACACTTATATGGTGCCATGGAGCCATTGCGGCCGCGGCATGCCTGCCAGGTGCCAGTGCGCACAATGTGCACACTCAGCCTGAGGCTGCCGCATTGCGCAGTGCGGCTCAGCTGACAACCATGCAGCCGCAGCACTGTGACTAGCCCTCTGGGTGTCATACCACTGGCATTGGCAGCGCCTCCAGTGCAAACCGCAAATTTGGTAAATCAGAGACACTTGAACATGGTGTCTCCACTTGCATGCATCTGGCCTATCCTTAGCACGTGCCGATCGCCAGCCTGTGGAAGCCTGTGCTCTCTGGCGGAATCTGACCTGGACTAGGACGCGGCCCACAACAGTCGTGGGCCCATTGGCGCCTGAAATCCCAAGTGCAGTACATCAAAAAAGTTTAAAGAGTTGCTCAAAGGCCTGGAGAAGAGGTGGACCAGGGTTCCGAGGTGGGCAAGCGCGCAGGAAGCGTGCCAGGAGAGCAACGATGACCTTCGTCAGCGTGTCAGCGTCAAGTTCCGTTCGATGTTCCCCTCGAGCACGAGGCTTCCAGGTATGACATGCTCGTTGTGTATGACCACCTTTTGAATTAGAGACTGTGCGATTGGGGGCCGCGCATGGCTCTATTGGGCCGGTTGGCCACCGGCCCGATGTAGTAGGAGTCTTGTGCCTGGCAATGCTGTGAAGCAACAAACACCGCAAGTGCAACAATACCATAAGATTCGTGGTATTTTACCGTGTACATGCTTACCTTCAGCATGTAAATGGCCGAACAAGGCGGAAACAGCTGGGTTCAGGATGTGCTGAGTCAGGATATCTGGAATGGCACAGGTGGTGAGGGCGGTTACCAGCACAACACTGCGAGAGATGGCAGATCGGTACTACGATGCAGGCCGGCCTGCGCTCCCCAGGAAGGTCACGGGGAAGAGCGTTCAGACCTGGAGTGTGTGCACCTTGTCCAAAGTCGATGACAGGTGAGCCTCCACATCAGTGACGATCGTTGACAGGCAGTGTCATAAACAGGACAGATGTGCATTTTCGCCCATCTATGTGATGTGCATTTGGCAACAGTGTTGACGGTTGATGTGGAATTGGTGGTGCAGGTCTGAGTTGATTCTGTCCTCAAGAGACACCCCACTTGCGGCCCAAGCGCCACCCACAGCGGTGCACTGGGTCAGGGTTGCTGATCAGGACAGTTTACAACCCGCGATTTTGGAGCGTATTATTTGCGAGTGAGCGATTCAGCTCACTCCCGCCCAGCAGAGATTTTGATGGCAAGGCTCGGCCTTGTCCCTCTGCAAACTGAAATTTTTTAGATGCCTAAAAGCAGCTGCAACCGGCAAAGCTGGTTCAGATGTGCATGGAGGAGCATCAGGGAGAGGTTTTACATCCAAAGCAAGTCTCAGGCAAGCAGTGAAATTATCTTTTAATGACCATGGTACTGGCACCATCGTCCCTACCTTTTGCAGCCTACTGGTATTTGAAGATACTGCAATCTGTGAGAGTCGCATGAGGATTTTCTGGCAAGGGCTTGATGCTGCATCATGCGGACATGTGTCAATTTTGGCTGGACGAATGCAATTTGCACGGTAGCAAGCTTGCAGCGGCGCTTGAGTTTTGTTTACGTGTTCCTGCTCGTCTTGGGCGCAATTTTGGATCTATCGTATTATTTGGAGAGCCATCTATGTGTGACAACTACAGCATATGTGCAAAATGCTGCATGCTGTTTTATTAGGGTAGATCATGCTGTACATTTTGAAAGGACCTGGCAAATCTGAACGGATTGTTCCATTCCGGGTTCTGTCCCATGGCCATCATGAGTTGGTTGCAGGCAGCTGAGAGTATGTGTGCATTCGGCATCAAGTCATCAAAGTGTGTAGCACAAACTGTTTAGAAAACATTGTCGGCCCTCGGGTTAATTGGCAGTTCGGAGTTGTGTGAGGATCCTTGGGAAATTTGGATAAATGAGCATGATAAGAAAAGGTGAGTGGCATTTATGGCTGAAGAGGATCCTACATGTGTAAGAGTATGCACAAACTTCCGGGCCCCAGAACTTTTGAGTGTGTCGATTGCACTATTTCCAGGGTTCTCTGTTGCTAGTGATCGCTTGTTACAGGCACTTCATGTCATCCTGATCCCGAACTGGTGGTACAACAACGCGCACACGCCTCACAGTAAGCCAAGAGCTCTGCTGAATCTTTTCAATCCTACAAAAGGAACCAGAGGCAGCCCCCATCACAACAAGACAATCAATCCAATGTTCTTCATCCGGCCCCTCAGCACTTGTCATCTATTTAAGAGATATCATCGTTCCCTCAAAGAGTCAGCGCCCCAACACATCTGCTGCCAAAGAATTGGACCGCCGTCAAAGCCTCATCATCGGACGACTCGCGCTGAGACACAGATCGCGAAAGAGCTACATCTGACCAAGCGCATGCTGCCAAAATCCCTCGCTCTGCCTGCCATGAGCAGCGACCCCACCCCATACAGACCCCTCTCACCACAACAGTCACTCTCCTTCTGCACCAGGGCTCCAGCCGCACTCTCAGCAGCCAAGAAGGTTTTTGAGAGCCGGCTCTGGCTCGCGCGGCTGCGGCGGTTGGCGGCTCGGGGGGTTTGAGAGCAGGTTTGGAGGGGAGTCAATATCAGGCGCCCTGGGTGGGGGCCGGCGCGGCCGGGGCGACCGGCAGCGGGGCGCGCTGCAGAGGGGGCAGCCGCTCGATGGCGTCATAGTGCAGCACGAAGTTATCCTTGCGCACGGCCTCCCAGGTGGCGGTGTCGAAGACGTAGTAGGAGCTGCGCTCCATCTGGTCGTTCTTCTGCTGCGGCTCCACCCCCTGGATTGCCGTCAGCCACACCTGCGCCGCACCCGCAGGATGTAGATCACTAGTCTCCTCTTAGTGATTCTGTTGCGTTCTCATGCAGGCTGCTGAATTCTGCTCCGCTGCAAGTCAGCTGTGAGCTGCGGTCCACTAGAAAGAGGAGAAACAAGCCCAGTAAAGGCCAGCATCTGCTCAATCAAATTACCGCCCATAGCCCTATGATGCCGTGCATCCAGATTCAGAGCAAATGAGCAGATGGCAACAACGACATCAAGGTGTCAAGAAAGCTTGTGCATAATGGGGGTCTGCACAAGCGCATTTCTGAAATGCAGGACCGGGCAAATTGGGAGGACAGGTAAGACGGCGGCAGGGCCCACCTTGAACTCCTTGTGGTAGGCCCAGCCGCGGTGCTGCAGCTCATCCGCCGCAAACAGCTGCGCCTCGTCACCAGGCATGGAGTAGAAGATGTAGAACAGCGTCTCCTGCGCAAACTTGGTGAAGTAGCCCGCCTGCAATCGCGGCGGCGCATGCCGATAGCACTCCGGCACCTGCGCCCACACGCCGGTCATCGACGGCCGGAGATCGCTTATGCAGGCAATGCTACTTCTAAAGGGGGCTCACATGCATTTCCATGGAGGCTCTAGCCCTCTCAACATGGTGGCATCTCAATGACCGTATACAATTTCAAGATCTAACTTCTGTTTGGCATGATTTGAATTGATTCGAGTTGCATGCAACTGGCGCTCACCTTGAAGTCGGGCTCAGGCCGCAGGGGCGCCTCAGCCCAGGGGGAAGCGAAGGTTTTGTAGACGTTCTCGGGGGAGTTGAGGTGAAGGCCCAGCCCCGTGAGGTCCGTTCCAAGCGCAAGCGTGGTCAGGTCCGGATCACTCATGCGGATCACACCCAGCAAGCCCAGCAGGCCAAAGCGGTCTGGTTGCGCAACATTGCCCTGCAGATGCCACATAGGAAGATGTCAGCCCACCGCCGACTTTGTCGGTGCAAAAAATAGTGCACATTGCCACAATTGCTCTTTTGATCGCATGTGTCACACTGAGGGGTATTTCCATCGGTAATTGCTGTGAACAAAGATGCATATGGGAGCTCCTACCTTGGTCTGTTCCAAGGCTCTTTGTTGCTGCATGTGTATTAGCCGCATCACCTGATCCTGGGTTGCCGGACCCTGCCCTCCGCCCTGCAGTCCACATGCATGCGTGAGAAGCGCCTCTTAGACAAACACTGTATGCCTTTCTAGAATAGCCTTTCCTTTTGGGAAGGCTCGGTTTCATCGAGTGCTAATGTGTTGGCATCCGCACCAAGCTCTGCAGCACAGCGGCGGGGATGTCATTGTAGAGGCGAGCATTGCGCTTCATGTCATTCTGCATCTGCTGTTGTTGCTGGTCCAAACCAGGCTGCTGCTGCTGCTGCTGTGGTTGCTGCCTGAAGCCTCCCATGATGCCCCTTTGCTGGAATCCCTGCTGCCCCTGCCGCGGCAGCGACAGGATCGTCAGTGCCCCATACACTGCCTCATCAACAAGGACACGACGCCCTTGATTCCCTGCCGCAAAGGCCGCTGTATGACAGAAAACAAAAGCAATCTGACAGATGAGGCTCTGCTGGCGGGACAGGACCTCACCAGACCCTGTTGCTGTTGCTGCTGGCCGCCCTGGTTGTCCTCGGTGCCTCTCTGGTCGGCCGCGCCCGGGAGCGCCGGGAACTCCTGCTCGTTCTGAATGGAGAACTGGCCGCCGCCGCCCATCTGAGCCTTGTGCAGGTTGGCCAGGTTGGAGTATGGCGCCTCCCCCAAGCCTCCCAGGCCCGCGCCACCGCCGCCGCCGTCGCCGTTCGCGAGCGTGCCCGCCTGCCGGGTGGCCCCGAGGGCTGGGAACTCCGAGGCATCAAACGCGGGCGGCTCCTGCTCCTGCTGCTTCTGCTGCTGGCCCTGCTGCGCCTGCATGGCCTGCGAGCCCAGGTTGCCAGGCCCGAGGCCCTGCCCGGCAGCCCCGCCCAGGCCGCCAAAGGCGCCCATGCCCCCCGGGTTGACCAGCTGCCCCTTGTTGATCATGGCCAGCAGGTCCCCGGAGGGGTACTGGCCCGCGCCGGCCATCCCGTGCAGGTTGTTCATCGGGTTGGTGCGGCCCGGGGACGTGCCAAGTCCAAGCGCGGATCCCAGGTTGCCCATGGGAGCTCCGAGGCCCCCGAGGCCCCCCGCTCCAAGGCCGCCGAGTCCCCCCACGCCGCGCCCCTGGGCGTTCATGAACATGCCCATGTTGCCGCCGCGCTGCTGCAGGCCGGGGGCGGCAGGCGGCTGGCCGAGCGGCGCGCCGGCCAAGCCGCGGTCGAGCCCGCGCCCGCCGACGCCCGGCAGATTCATGCCGCCCAAGCCGCTCCCCACCGGACCCCTCCCCGCGTTGGGCGGCAGCCCATTCATCGCCACCGGTACCCCTCCTCTTCCCGGCCCCGGTCCAAACTGCGCATGAGGACACCTTTACAGCTGAAAGTTATCGTCATGCATTGGCGAAGCCAAATGTTGGCAGAATTAATGGATGACATCCTAGGGCTCAGCCACTTGTTCGCCACTGATGTATTGGCGAGGTGAAGAGATGAAGAATGGAGGTACCTGCTGAGGCAAGCCCTGCCCAAAGTTCCCGCCGCCGAATCTTCCCTGCGCAGTAGGCTGCGGTGCCGCAGAAGCAGGCAAGCCTCCAAGCCCAGGCCTGGACAACCCCAAGATGTGTCAGGAACCCACAAAGTCAGAACATGTCAGTGGCTGTCTATCCCACGCTGCAATATTCACGTCTCACAGTTCCTGCAACCTTCTTGGGGGAGGAGATCTTGAGGAATTTACCTTCCACCCTGCAGCGCGTTCTGCATTGTGTAGTTTCCCTGTAATCCTGGTATGCCTGCCATACAGAAATTCATTAGGCATCTTCGTCCTGAGCAGAGACCGGAATATTGCGGCAAGACAGACAGTGGAAGTCATGTGCACAAAGAACACTACCTGATAAGGGCCCTCCATTGAATTGCGTTGGGAATTGGCGGGAGTTGGCAGGATCAACTCCGTTATTGTTGTTTAACATTGAAGCCTCCAAGTGGCCCCTCTCTGACTGCTGCAAGAGCACAGACACCGTCAATGCAGAGCCTTGCCAAACGCATGGTGTGGCTGATCGACACTATCTCAGTCTAGTGCGGGAAAATAGGGCACATGATAGGTTACTCTGCTTGGCAAACCCCCAAGTTGTCGTGCCTGAAATACCCAAGCAGAAACACCTTCCTCACGTGTGACTGAAGAGGACTGCGGGTGTGTGGAAGGCACCCTTGCAAGGACAACCTTCTCGATTTTGAAATTTTCTATGAAATATTGCAGGCATGCCAGTGCTCTTCAGCACAAGGCAGCAGAGAGTAGGTAGTGCATTACAGGCCGTGCACCACCCAGCAAAAGCCTTAGTCTCCTCGTCGTGGGACCATCGCGCTTTCTTAGAAGGATGTATAAATGCTCTGCCAAAGGGGCATGCAATCAAAGGTCCTGAAAGACCTCTGGAAGGCTGATTCTCCTCATGTCAGTACTGCCACTGGGAGAGTAAGGGTGCTCCTTCAGCGACCGGCCTTCCATTGCAGACCTCTATCTACACTCAATATTCGATCAGTTCACATGCTGATAATAATCCTGGCGCGGAGAGCAAACCTTGCAAAATTTCGAAGAGATGCAAGGATCATCTCAAGTTGGTCCCCGCAGCTTGCAACACACCGCGTCTCTGCCCTGGTGCAACAGGCTCCAACTGATCGCCTTTCGCACAGAATTATCAGTCTTCGCAGTTCTTGTGACTTGATTCTCCGCGCAACAACCAGTTTGATGCACAGGAACGCCGTCGTATCGAGGGCCTCGCTGCGGCGATTAGAGAAGAACGCAAGCCAAACAATTGACATGCGACTTCCATTCTTTTAATGATTTAAACGCATAACTGTGAAAGAGAAGTCATCAACGAGGGATATCACAGAGCCTGTGCCAGAGCTTGATCGCAAGGCTTGGCGGGCTCTTTCTTGGTGATCAGCTGTCCGTGTTCCTTCATATTTGCAGGCATTCGTCGGATCCTGCAAGCCTGCCACCTTGTGGCCTTCATCTGCCAGGACGTTGCATCTTGGACTCATCGATAGGGACATCTCGTCTGTGATCCGAACGGCCTTGGAAAAGTGTGTGGTGCTTCTAGTTCCTTCCTGTTCAATTTGTTCTGCCGCCACCTTGCTGGCTTATTGATGATAGTCTGGATGGTGCAGTGGCGTAGAGAATATGTGCATGTTGCTATGCTGTCGCAAGCATATTCTGCTTTAGATATTGCACCGACAAATGTCTGTGATGCCTGAACGTTCAGCACCACCTTGGCACAGAGTGGTGATAGCATACACTTGACGAGGCAAGTATGCCGTTCTTGCAGTGGCAGACGATTGGGAAGATTGGGAAGACGAGACCTTTGAGCCCAAGCTGGCAGCAGGGGCTGCAAACGGCCATCAGTTTGAGACCAAGGGCCAGGCTGTACTAGCCAGCACCAAAGAACCCGATGCTTCAAAATTTGCTGGAGAGGACGAAGATGAGGATGCGCCCCCCACCTGGGAGAAGAACGTCCCCAAACCACAGCAGGTTGACACTGGTTCATACCCTTCAGGATATGAACTATAGGTGATTGAACTGGGGTCTCTTCAGAACACAGCGTTAAGATTGCACCATGCAGAGCAGCCAGCTATGATCGCTACTCACACGCTGTAGTGCTGCCTTGCAGAAGAAGGAGGTTGCCAAAAAGTCCTATGAGGACAAGGGGAGGTTGCAAACCATTGATGAGGGTCCCTTGGATGATCCAATCGCTGAGAAACTGCGGCAACAAAGGTGCTTCTTTCTTTCAAGGATCACCCATCACTTTCTCCGGCCGTGCATCATCCTTGGTGTTCTTCGTCCAGTACACATGAGAACTCTGCTGACTGATGATCTCCAAGGATGAGGGTTTTCATGCAGACTTCAAGCTTCATACAAGAATAATATTTCCCATGAGATTAATTGGATTCTCCTGTAAGCTTTAACGGCTGATGCAGGCTGGTGGAGGACGCCGACTTTGCAGCGGCGCAGGAGCTGTTTGGCTCGAACATCAACCTGGACACGTTGCAGCCCAAGTCAGCCAAGGACTTTGAGGACTTTGCCGCCGCGCTCGTGAACAAGTACATGGCCCCGCACGCCAAGAGCGCGCACTACAAGGCGCTGGTCAAGGCCCTTGTCAAGAATGCAGTGAAGCCCCTGGACCTGCAGCAGACCAAGGACATCGAGACTGCGGTCGCAGGCATGCGCTCTGACAAGCTCAAGGAAAAGACAGCCGCTGACGCCGCCAAGAAATGTGAGGCACTCCTCTCCGCATGCCATCTCAGCTCACGCATGCAAAGCAGCACCAGACCGCGTGTCAATGTCTGTGTCACCCAAATGTCTCCTGCTTGACATCCATGTGCGTGGACGGATTCATTCGCATTCTGCTAAAACTTTCTTGCGTGCTGTTATGTGAGTGATGTTGGTGTGTGAAGCGTGGCTGTTGTGTGTGCAGTGGCAGGCAAGAAGAAAACGCTGAATGTGGGACGCAGCGGCGGCTCTGCGGGTCTGGATGACTACAAGTTCGACGATCCACTGGACGATGATGACTTCATGTAGACCAGTTTTCCTTCAGTTGATGGCTCTTGGGTCTCCCCGACTGTTGATCATGGTCACGAGCAGCCAAACTTAGATAGTCTGCTAGTATATGTAGGCTTTTGCACAGCACACAGCGCGCCAAAGCGGGCTGATGCAAGTTTGTTGCAAGTTCTTGCACAGACTAGTTTGATTGTAACAGACGTGGGCATCTTGTACAAGCTCCAATCACAAGTCGAGTTGCTCCACAATGCTGTTGCATCCTTGCTTGACAAGGGCAATCTTCTCCAGTAGCAGATCAGTCCGGCGCTGCAGCCTCACCTGCAGAGCAAACCACTGCTCCACGCTTGCATCGCTGGGGGCTGATTGTCCTGAATAACGCAATTCCGAGAAGCTGTCCTCACAGGTCCGTGCGTGGCTGACTGAGCTGGCCAACCAGGATTTGGCCCTTTCCGTGACTGCATGCTCCTTGCCGGCGCTTTCAGCATTTGTGTGGCTTGGTGTTGCCACCAAACGCCGCTTAGACACAGACGGCGCTGTGAGCCTGGACTCCTGCAGATGCGCACAACACCAATCATGTCCATCACATGCAGTACTCTCCATTCTTGGGATAAGGCACATCGAGAATAAACTGGGGCACAGATTAAGCAGCTCCAGCTCGAGCTCGCTGCTTTGTTCACAGGAACAGTATTCATTGAACACCAGATCGGTTATTCAGTATTTAGTCCGTACCTTTGGCACTGTGAGACGCCTCTGCACCGCCGCCCTGGCAGCAGCCAGCTTCTGCGCCCACAGCGCATGCAGGGCCCCAAAATTTGGCACCTTTCCTGCCTTGTACACAAGGGCCTGCGGCCAACCTGGTGAGCTGGCCGGCACCCTTTGCAAAAGAGCTCCATCTTTGTTACTTGGAGATGAGCTCTGCAAGTGCCCCAAGCCAACCTCCATGGCTCCCCCCTGCCTGTCAGCAACGGCCCTGCCCATGTTCAGGTCCCTTCTGCTGAGCGCTGCCTTTGCTGTCCTGCCCTCCAGCCTCCTGACCTCTTCCATCACTGAAGACACAGATCTATTCACTGGGGCTGCTGCAGCCTGCTCTGATGCTCTCCCTCCCCAGTGATCAACCGCTTTCTCCTGCTGCAGCAAATGAGCTGGCAGTGCCTTATAAGGCTTGGGCTGTTTGGGCTTAACTGGGGCTTGCAGGTTCTGCTGCAGGGCTGCCAGTGCTTGTCTCTGCTGCCGCTGCAGCCTGAACTGCTGCGCTCTCTGCATGTGAATGCATGCGTCTGTCAATGCAAGTTGCAATGTTCCCGATGCAGCATGAAAGACGCACCATGCTGCATGACTCAGTGAAAGACGACTGTGATCAGTGTCCTCAGGGACATGAAAAGGGTTATCTGTGGTTCTTGATCAAATTTATATAGATTGTGGATACCTTCTGAATGAAGGCCGGAACTGGTTTGGCCCTGAACACTGGCTTTGGTTGCGCGGCCTCTTTCTCCGCAATAGCGGCCGCAGCAGCACTTGCGGCAAGCGCGCGCTCCTTGTCGCGCTCATAGAAAGAGAACGGCCCCTCCAACTCCTCCAGCACTTGCCTGGAGTGCTCGTGGAAGTTGCGCACCCTCTCTGCCTGTTGTGCCAGGATTCTGGCATACCTGCGCTTGGACACTTGATAAGGGAAGAGACATCCATTTACTTAATCCTACACCTGCATGTACACATCATGTAGGATCCGAGCTCATAATGTCAAACCCAGAGGCTGTAAGGTTTTTGTCCGCATGGAATGTAGTATGGTCTCTGACCTGGGTTCAGAAGTTGTCCGTGGCAGCTGATGAGCTCGAATTCTGTGCGCTGCCTCCTCTGCTGCCCTCAGCTCCAGATCTTGGCGCACCTTCATCTGCCCACAGCATGCCTCATGATCATGCATTTCTAGTTGTGCCACAGCCAAACAGCAGCATGGCTTGTACACGCAGGTCAGGAGGGCCATACTGCTCCTTGACGATGCGCTCAGGCTTACCAAAGACACCATCAATTTAGTACGCACAATCTACACCAACTGAAGGGCACAAAGCATCACACCTGCATTATGGTCTCCTTCTGGAGTTTGCTCGGGGTGGAAACAGGCCTGGCGCGACTACTCGCTGGCCGGGAGCTGCCAACCTGGGTTGCATGCGCACCAACATCAGATTGGGAAGTCCGGGACGTATCTGGCTGTGGTTTTGGCTGAGGTTCATGCTGTGCCTGCTTTGTCAGCAGCGCCAGACACCGCCTTACAGCAGCCGCCGCCTCGATGCTTTCAGGGTCGCGATAGTAATCCATCCAGTCGTCCTGAGCGCAGCCAAGACAATATGTAAGGTGACGATAAGAAAGCAATGGGGGGAGAAATGCAGAGCAAGTTGATAAGGAGGCCTTGAACTACAAAACGTACTGGTGCTGCCACTGCCCCTGAAGATTTCCTGGATTCCCGCTGCCACCAGTGGATGGGTCTTACGCCATCTTCAGGTGCGCCTGCTGACCTGCACCCCAATATGTGTATAGTACTCCGCTTAACAAGCACGAATGCGAGGCCACAAGGCTTGTGGGCTGTCTTAGCAATGTGCAGGGAAGACACAGCACTTGGGGATGGGCTGTTGCAGACCTGCTTGTTGGGTCCTGAGCCGGTGCTTGCTCACTGCGGCTGCCCACAAGAGCGGCACGGCCTGCTTGTGTCTGCAAAATTGCTGCAGGAGGTGCGCTCCCAGCGCCTGCTCTGTCCGCCAGGCCTTTGTCATTGCCAATGACATCCTGCACCAAGCGGAGCAGTGTTGGCTTTTGCCACACACTGCCGCGAAAAAGAACTCCAAAGTGTGCGTCAAGTAAGAAAAATACCTGCACATTTTGCTGTAGGACGCTAATTTGATCCTCGAGCTTGGCAAAAGCCTCAGCATTGCGTGGGCTCTCTTCGGGCTGAGATTCCTCATTTGGCACCCTCAACTTCTTCCTCTTTGTCTTCTTCTTGCCGGGGACAGGAGCTGCGGTGCTTGTTGTATATGTATCTTTGAGGCTGTCTTGTTCTGTCCTTTTGAACGCTGGTCTCCAAACCCCTTTGTTGCTACTCGCCTGCCTCTTGGCAGGCGATGTGCTTTGGGATTGTGGAAATGAGGACCCAGGATCCACAAAGCTGCTGGGGGCTTTCTGGCTTCTAAGGAAGTGCTCATCGGCAAGGTCCGGGTGGGTGTGCTCAAAGCTGCAGTTGGCATGACAAGACCCCTCAAGAGATCAGCTTCTCACAGTGATTTCTTCAGCTCTGCATGGTGTGCTATGTACCGTGCCAAAGCGCCTTGTGACTCACCTGAAAGTCTTCTGACGTAGAACCTCAACCTCCTTAGGAGGATTTTTGTTCCTAATAAGTTGTAACCGCTTGAGAAGCTTGAGCTTCACAAGCTGTCTGGGAGCAATCTCTGCTCTGTGAATTTTACAGCTGTCAACGTGTGTTTCCTCTGATAGCGTCCCTGCGCTTCCGTTATCTTCTGTAGTCAGATACATTGCAGCATCGACTGCACTGGCTTGAAAGAAACCTGCCACGCATGCAGCGAGGAGGGTGCCGTATACTTTGATGCGCAAAAGTTAAGAGACTAGGAATGTTATTGATGCATAAGATATGCTTGTTGACAGTCTGAGAAGCTGCTGCTCGGAGCTATATATTCGCTTCGATGGGAAACCTGCTGCTCTTTCAACAAAGATATTACCAACTGAAAATCCCCAGATCGATGAGCCTGTCGAAGCAAGATTTTCAAGCAAAAAAAAGCGCATAATTCACTAACCGAGCTTTTCAGTCAGGCCACCGATCAAGACAGAGTTGACGGTCCAAGAATAAGGGGCATGTGAAAACTGGAGGGGGTGATAATGTGTCCAGGATGCAGGTCTTGAAATTGTCTGTCGTGCATTCATTTGGCTGGCGTCGCCTGGCGATCGAAGACATCAGATTACCAACAAGTGCCATCCTCGAAGTTAGGATCTGCAATTTCAATTAGATGTACACTACACTCGATGCTTTCAGCCCATTTTGATGCTCATCTTGTGCTATTGAGCACAGCAGAGCAAACACAGGATGTCCCAAGAGGGTCCTGGTCTCTATGCTGCAGCAGCCTTGAAAGCGAGGGACATTGTAGATCATCCTGTCACAGCGAGCCACGAAAGATGTGGACACGATGCCAACCTTCACATCGTCCACTTTCTGCAGTGAGTCTTTGGGCAGTCAAAGTTTGCCCTATCAATATGAATTTTTCACTTAGAAATGAATTATGTAGCATGTCCATAAGGACGGAGGGTCAGGCTGGTATCTTTACAATAGCCAATTGGATGTATAAATCTAAGCGGATGTACACAAGAGAAAATAAATTTTTGTGTGCAGATATGCATCCATTTACTGCGTGCTTGCTAAAGAGATTCCAGTGATATCCAAGGTTTGTCATGATATAGGCAGTCGTCATTAGCTCACGGTGTGCAACCTTCCTGAGCAGGGAGATACGTGCAGAATGGATCAGGCGGAAGAGGGATCAAGTGAAGACCTCGAGCATGGGACGTGCGGCCACCAGTGTGCGTGAATTCCCACAGCGAATATACAATGCTGCCATGCTGGAGTCCCTGCCCAGTATTGGCCCTGAGACTCGCCGGGTGAGTCCTCTGCTGCTGTGAAATGCCAAAGCATTCAACACAGGTCTCCCAGGCCTGTACTGTATCTAATAAGCAATGGTGGACGCAGCTTGATCTCGGATTGCACACGGTTGAACCACACCAAGGAAACTTACTGTTGTTTGCATCAACCGCAGATGGTTGTGGAGCATTTGTGGACTCTGCCTGGATGCGCACCAGGGCCACCCTCAGCAGAAGAGCTGCAGCTGGAGACTCAAAGACAGGTACATTAGCATCCAGTCCTCTTGTGAAGCACAATCTTAGCGAGATTGCAGCAGCTTAATGTGGTAATTTGTTCTTATTTCTGCACAGGCTGCCGCAGTGGCAGACAGGAAGCGCAAGGCAGCGGCGGCGAAAGCAGCAAAGCAGGCGCTGCAAGGACAGCAGGAGCAGGTTGCCCACAATGCCCTGCACGTCGCCCCTGCTCCTGCAGGTCCGTCTCTATCTCTCTCGTTACTGCAAAGCAGATCCTCCAAAACAAGCATTGACTGATGATACTAACATTGAAAATCAACAACGCAAGGTTTCATCTGTTTATTCTGACGGTAGTTGTATGTGTGCGTCAGAGGAGGCCAGGCTCAAAAAGAAGGCGCGCAAGCACAAGGAGTACATACCAGGCGTTGGCACAGCTGCCTACGCTTTCTTGATCACTCTCTTCAAGGTGCTGCTTGGAACCACAGCACGCAGCCACAATTGAAGGTGGTTTTGGATGCTTGAAAAAGCTTTCATTTTCATTGAAACTTTATCATATGATACTGCATGGTACAGGCCCACAGGCACGGCGAGGACCATCTCACTAGGAAGGACTTGTCTGATCGGGCAGAAGCCAGCGGCCTGGCAGACGCTCCCATCTTTGGTGAGTCACATTCACTGTACTCGTTAACAGAATCAGAGAGTTCCTTCATGCTTTATGTCGATTTGGGTGCTGCACAGGCACATCCCTTGAAAGTGAGTGTTCTTTGGTGATCTGAGTGTTTTGTTTTTCCAATAGGCAATGGGCAGGCTCAGGGCGGTGTGAACAACCCTCAGCGATGGTACAACGGCTGGAGCAGTTTCAGCACGCTCAAGAACAGAGAGCCGCCACTGGTTCTTGCCTACAGTCTTCCCATGAAATGCAAGCTCACTCCTGAGGTGCGCTCTTGACGGACTCATTAAGCGCTACAAGCATCCTATTTGTAGCAGACGACATCCAGCATGGAGAGTACTTGAGATGAATCAAGCCCATAGTACTGCTCTGGCATGGCAGGGGACAATCTTGGCAGCGAGGCTCTACAAGGACGCTGTCATTCGCAACCGCATCGCTGAGGATCCGGCCATCCCTCTTGCCTCCCTTCCCGATTCTTCTACCGTGGCCGCCCCTTCTGCTGCTGGTAAGCTTTACCAACCTCCACACAAGTAGCACAGGCTTTTGGCAGGCAAATTTGCATAGTATTATGGCCAGCTCTCCTGCATAGCCTCAATATTGCCTTCGTTGGTTACTGCGATGAACATAGAAAATGCAAAGCCAATGGTGGCTTCACAGGTGGCAGCAACGCAGGATATGCGGGAGCAGCAGCATTCGGCTCTGCAGCGGCCGAGCAGGGCAGCAGGGCAGCGGCGGCAGGCTCTGCGCAGCAGCCGCTGCCGCAGCCGGCGCGCCGGGCCTCCGGGGCCGGCAAAGGGGGCAGCAGCAGCGCCGCAGGGCGCGCGGCAGCAACCTCCGGCTCTGCCGCGCCGTCGGCCGCGGCGGGCCCGGCCCGCGGCAGAGCCCTAGCGCCCAGCCAGAGCGTTGCGGCCGGTGTTGCCATGCCCGACATCCGTGCGTCCCTCCCACGCTCCACTAGAGCAGTGCTCATATGCATCTAATAATGATTGTCTCAATTCTTACTGCAGAGTGCGGCGTCAGCACAACACAACTCTTCCTACTAGGATGAATCTTTCTGCCATCCTTGTAGGAAGATATATATTACTACATGCATCATGTATCATTTCGAGTCTATCTTGCATGGCTGGGGAGCTTGCAGTTCTGAAGAAGTGTCTGGTGGATGTTGTGCAGCGTTGGGTGCGGACGGGCTGCCCAATCTCACAGCGCTGCCCCTGCGGGAGCGGCTGGCAGCTGCGCAGCGTTTTGTGGCAGCTTCCATGGCGGCCCCGAGGACAGCTGCTGCAGGGTACTCTGTAGCTGCTGCAGCCCAATGGCCGCCACCGAGTGCCCACCCCGGCTCAGCCGGCCGGAGTGTAGCTGCACCGCAGCAGCTGCCCTCTGTTGCGGCTGGTTCTGCAGGATACCAGCCCCGCTATGCGGCCCAGGCAGCTCCCCCGATGCTGACCTCGGTGCCTGTGCTCCCGGGCGGGGGCGCTGCATCAAGAGGACGTGCGTCAACACCTGCCCAGAGGCGAGGTGTGTTTTCACACTTATTTCGCTTCCCCCTGCAAAGAATGCTCAATGGAGTGTTTGCCCCCTTCAGACATGGGCTAGCCGTAAAGTTGTGATCTCAGTCCAACGTGCACAACAATGACAGCTGCATTGCAAACAATATTGTTCTTGTCATGAACTTCTTGGTGCTTATGATACAGGCGGTCCTGTGGTGGAGGCTGAGGTGGTGGAGCTTCTGGACAGCGACGACGAGGAGGTGGCCACACCAGCCCCCAGGCAGGCAGCTGCTCCCAGCCAGGCAGCTGCCGCCAGCCGGGCAGCTGCCGCCAGCCGGGCAGCTGACGCCCACCAGGAAGCTGGCCCGTCTGAAGCAGGGGCTGATGATGGCTGCGTCGCGCAGCTCGTGGACATGGGCTTCACTCCAGAGCAGGCAGCCTCGGTGAGACAGCCTGCAGTGGCCCTTTTGGATGTCTCACCAAACATGATCCTTGCATTTGCATCTCAGGTCCCCTCTGTTTTTTTGTTCTGTGCAACTTTCTCCAGCAATAATCACATCGTGCAAGCCCTCCTATCAAGTAGATGGTCTTTGCATCCCCGCCTTTCCCAGCGGGTGCCTTCATGTGTAGCAAGTCAGCATCGCACCTTAGAGAGTCCAGGATATGAGATTTGAACTGACACATCCATTTGTTTCTGCAGGCGCTGAGGGATGGCCGCTCTGTGGAGGAGGCTGTCGAGGTGCTTATGATTAGCTCAGACGAGGAGGACGACCCTGCCCCAGCAGCCCTACCCGCCCCAGCAGCCGCGCCAGCCGCGCAGCCCTTTGACTGGGCTCTGCATGACTTGCCCGCCGCGGCGCCGGCCCCCGACCTCCGGCTCTCCCAGGGCGCCGCCGGCATGCCCCCCCTGCCGCAGTCGCAGCAGGGCAGCACAGCTGCGCGCGACAGCCAGCCGCAGGCGGGCTCACAGGCCGGCCCGAGCGCTCGTCTGGGCTCCCAACCAATGTTTGAGGCGCCCTTTCTGGAGACACAGGGCTCACAGGCTGGCGGGTGGCATGCCGCATTAGACCAGCCGGGCAGCTCTGCGCAGCTGCGGGCGGCACTGCCAGGGCCAGGCCGGGACAGGCGCCCGCCAAATCTGGTGGCCCGGGCTGCGGAGGCGCGCGCGGCCGCGCAGCCGAGAGCAGCGCCGTCCTCTGCGCCGGCACAGCTAGCTTTGCCCCCGCAGGGTGCGTCACAGTGTATCGACCTACAAGAGCTGATGTGTCCAGTACACGAGTTTGCCTCAGCTGCAGGTCGATGCTGCATGTGACGCTAAATGAAGAACAGTGCATTGTCAATCTGGGCGTGCTGTTGAGACATGAATCGTTGTTCTTGCAGCCCAACGCACGGCGTCACAGCCAAGCCTGCAAAGAAATGACTCGGGCGCCAGCAGCGGTATATCCCGAGCCACCAGCGAACACACTGGACAGGTCACTCCACCTACCCACCAAACCCGCCAGTCTGCATGTTCACTTGTGCTTTGGCAGAGTTCAAGCTTCTACAAAGGATGACAGCCTGATCACCATGATTGCGACAATCAAAGTAAGTGCACTCTGTCCCGTTGCTTTGGTGTTACGGTGGGCATCGATGGTCTTTGTGTTGGGCAGGCGACGAAGGGAGTGTGGCGGCTGCAAGGCCTGGGTGGCGAGTGGGGCCTGGGAGACAGGGAGGTCCGGCTGCCTCCGCTGCCCCCTGGAGAGGCCTTCCGAGACCACTACGAGGTCCGACCGCCATAGAAACCCTCACTACATAATCATGCCTTCACTCCACCAAAAAGTGGTACCCCCAAAAATTGCCTACCTTGCGTTCGCTGCATCACAGAACGCTGGGAATGCATCAGTGATATGTGTGTACAGACATGCGTACAGGGGTTGGTCCTTGTAAGGGGGGGTTGGCGGGGGTGACAAGAAGTGCTGCTGACGTCACATACAGTCCCTTCCAAGTATTTCCCCTGGATTTTTCCTCCTGGGGTGAGTAAGGGAAAAATTGAGAGGCTGGCCTGTGGTGCAGGTGGTGCTGGTCCTGGATCAGCGGGAGCAGTTTGGGCGCCACGTGGGCGGCCGCAAAACCGCTAGCCGCACCGAGTCGCGCGACGAGTGCGTGCGCCAGCTCAGAAACCTGGGCATCAACGTGGAGGTGCGCCCCAACCCAAGTTGTCACGGACACTGGACATAATTCATTGGGTTGTTGAGTTGTGGCTGCTTTGGCTGGCTCAGCAGCGCTTTATGGCTATCGGCAGTGATTTCATCTTGCGTGATTCGGGCCCGGCCAAGCCCAAGCCCGCCTCGTGCATCGATGCCAGCAACTGACCTTTGAAACCCACCAACCCCATTCGTCAAGCTTCTTTGCTACTAGTGCTGCGACCTCAGGAAAGCTGACTGGTGCCACACAAGAATGACAGTCCTCACAACGTAATAAGGCAGTGCTTGACGGGTTTTGTCTCAGGGCCGCGTCTGTTTGCATGTGGTTGTGTAAGATCCCACAGGATGTGACGACGCCTCTATACAGAGCGCATGTCACCCTTGAGCAACGTGCGGGTGTGCAGGTGCGGCACTCGGACACAGGGGACGCGCTGTGGGTGGCGCGGTCGATCCGCAGCCCCGGGGAGGTGTGGGCGCTGGACTTTGTGGTGGAGCGCAAGGGCGTGCACGATTTGGTCGGCTCGATTAAACAAGGGCGCTACGAGAAGCAGAAGTACGTGATGCGCCGCTGCGGCCTGCGCCGAGTCATGTACCTCGTCGAGGGCCTGCCCGAGATCGAGGTCCAGGGGGTGCGTTGCACTCTTTGTTGAGTATGGCTTAACTTTTGATGTACTGCTACCAGGGTGCCAGTTGCAGCTCGAGGTGCTGGACATGAAGGCACATGATAGGACAGGCAGGCAAATTCATTTGCATGCCTACCTCGGCTTGGGGCACCCCAATATTGTGTGGAGGGATTGCACTTCAGAACCATCGAGGTTAGGCAAAGACAAAGGGCTTGTCATTCCCCAGGTGTGGAGCTTCGCAGTCACTTCAAGCCCCGTGAGGTCCACAAATTTTCCAGCACAGGGATTGTGCAGAAGCCAGGCATGCAGCGTGATTGTGCCTTCCTTCTGCTTGAAGTACGGCTTGATTGCTATCTGTGGTTGCGATCAGGCGGAGCTGAAGGCTGTGAAGACGGCGACTGTGACGACAGAGGTGGTGGACGGTTTTGAGGTGCTGCACACTACTTCCGTGGCCGACACCTTCCGCCTCTACGCCGCCATCACCAAACGCCTCGTGGTACACTACCCTCCCATGCCGCAACTAATCTTCCTTTAGAAGCTGTTGTTTACGCCGGTGTAACATCCTAGAATAGAATTCAGCTCCTTGTGGAGAGAGATGCAGACATGCTGGACAATGCGAGCGCCAGAGTTGATAGACTAAGTATAGTGATTACAGTGCAGCAACAATGCAATGATTACCCCGCCCGGAAGCACTCTTTCGTTCAATGTCTGTTGGATTGGTAAAGGAGGTCCTGGAATGTGTGGAAGGGTGAGCCTCGGATTTCCACAAACATAGGGGGTGGAGTGTGGTTTGCAGGCAAAGTATGGGCCCCTTACGAGCCAATCGCCGGGGGTGCAGAGGGGCGGCGAGCCTCTGCCAACGTTTCATGAGCTGTGTGCGCGTGTCAACGCAAACATGAAGATCACTGTGCGCGATGTGTGGGGCCTCATGCTCACCGCCCTGCCAGGTGGGCACCCGCTGCCTCTATACATCTCTGCTGCCAACAGTGACACTCGATATTGCTGTCTCTGTGTACATTTCTTGACAACAGTGACACCTGCCGTTGTTGCCTTGGGCCTGAATGGCCAGAAGAGCCCATCCCTTGAGGAAGACAGCTGTGACAATCGTGCCCATGCTGAGGCCCTTGCTAGCTTTAAAAGGCTTGCTAGCTGTACAAATTTCTCATTGGCTCTAATTTATTTTGAACATTGCCGTTGCTGATTATCAATTGATCATGCTCTATAGGTGTTGGAGCTGAGGTAGCAGAGGCCATCCTGCAAGCCTACCCCACGCCGCTGCTGCTGCGCAACGCATACGAAATTGCGATGAAACAGGCGCCTCCGGGGACAGCAACGCGGCAAGCGCAGAGTCTGTTAGCCGGCATCCGAGTCAGCCCTGCCAGGAAGATCAGCGTCAACCAGTCGGCCAAAGTGTTCGACTCGCTCTTTGCTGCAGGATGGCACTGTGTGTGAAGCTTTCGCCTGGTTTGCAGCGAGTGTGATGCTGCTTGTACATTGAATGCATTGAGATCGCTCGCAATTTCGATTATAGGTATATATAGATTTGTGAATAGTTGGAAAGAAGTGGCCGGAGTGATTAAACAAGAATGCTTGGTTTGGGTTTTGAATTTCGAAGCTGACCGCATCTTGAGGCTCGCTATGGAACAGAAAAAATAATTATTGCTTCCATTTTGTGACAAAGATAATATGCGCTGCAAAACATCTGCACTACGTGTCCTGTTCCGAAAACATCTGCGGTGTGGGAGAGCTCCGGAATCCCAGGATCGTGTGAATGTAGACATCTGGATATGCAGTGAAGCAATTTACTATGACTATGACTATTAAGGGGTTGAAGCAAGGACCAAGACCGCACAAAGGTCTCTGGCCGGTTGGTCGAAAAGTCAAAGTCCAAGAAAATTTTTCCTTGGACGTCGTAGATTCTCCCCTGCCCGGTCTATTTGTGCTCGAGTACTGCCTCCCAGCTGCCCTACGCAGCCTCAGCCAAGAACATCAAAGCATTATAAATTCATCTGAGAGCTTCTAAGAGGCTTGTGGTCCAACAAATGCATCGCTGGCCTCTAATATGTCATTTCACACCAAGGTACATCCAGAGCCAGTTATGGATGGGAACGACACTCCGAAGCCTTTCTTAGCAGGGCGTGCTGAAGACTCTGAAGAAAGTGAAGCTGATACATTTATTCTCAGTCCAGCTGAAAGACGGGTAAGTTCATGTCTGCTTTCGTCCTTCAACAGTAAACGTCGAAAATTCCTGCTGTGCTTGAGGAAATTTGCCGTGGGGAAAATGTCTCAAATTGTACAGATGTTTACAACTTAAAGTGTGGTGGGATCATCAAGATCTGAGGTTCGCCTTTCAGTTGAGAAGAGTGCTGCTGGACGTGTCTCTGAGGCGAGCTCGTCTGTGCAGAGGCCTAGCGTGCGCATCAATCTGAATGGGGACGTACCTTCTGTACCCATCCATCCCAGCAAACGGAAACCATCCCTCAAGAACCCAGGCAGCGGCCCCAGGGTGTCACTGTACATCCCAGAGAAGTCTTCCCAGTCAGTCATCCCCCAGTCAGACAGCCGCAGCGCCAAGGCATCCTTCCCCCTGCTGTCAGGGGACACAGGGAGCTCCAGAGCTTCCAGTGCCAGGCGCTCTAGCATTGCAGACTGGCTCCTGGGCTGCGACAAGGCAAGCCAGGGGAGGCGCAGTGTGGTCAGGTGCGCAGCATTGGGAGAATTACATGTGCATATGGATTTATGAACGATATTGATGGGCAGAGAGACGTCAGCTCCCCTCTGTATACCAGTTAGCACCCATGGTGTCGTGCATCTTCTGTCACAAACATTGCCGCTGCAGGATGTCCTGCCTTGCACGCAGCAGTGCTGGCATGGCTCTGAGCTTGCCTGGTGCTGCGAGTAAAAGCGCTGTTGTGATACTTAGATTGTGTTGCCCATGCAGGTTCCTAGACGGCCGCATATTCCAATGGACGCAGGCACTGGCGCTTATTTTTGTGCTCTTCGGACCGGATGTGGTGGCGCTTATGTCAGCGCCAAATTCCATAGATCCAGTCATAGACGCTCTCCTCATCCTTTCCATGGCCATTTTTGCCCTAGACCTCATCCTCAGCGTGGCCTGCCGCCCAAAAGTCAGCTCTCTCGAGGTGCGTCTGCAACACATGAATGACTTTCCTTGGGCATCTTTTGGCTTGCTGAGTTTTCTGGGATAAACAGACTGGAGGGCTTGGACCTTCTAAGTTGATCAAAGGGCATTGCATACCCAGAAATTGGCAGAACCCTTGGAAATTGTATGTATACATACGAAAAAGATCTGCATGGTGTGCAGGTATTCATGAACCTGGTGACAACGGCGCTGATAGCACTGGACCTGTCCTGGGTTCAAAGGCAGATCCGCCAGAATGAGTCGACCGGTTACTCATCGCTGACGCGAGCGCTCGTGCTGGCCTCCCAGGCAGGCCGTATGACGCGACTGCTGCGAGTCATGCACCTTGTCGGTGCATTTAGGGTGGGTTCCTCATGCGCCCTACTTACATCAGCTACTGCAAAGCTACAGACATCAAGAACTTGTAAGGCAAGATCTGAGCGGTTCAAAGTGGGATTAAGAGGAGCTCTTGACAGTCCAATGGGGACGGTGGGGTCAGAGTGAGCGAGCCTGAGGACTCCTACACTCTTGCTCAGAGAGGAGGGTCTTGCAGTACTGAAGGTTGCTGTTTGCGAGTCAAGACATGAGTGGTGTTTGATGGGTGACAGAGCTGCCTGAAGTGCACTGGCCGTGCTTTGGGCCGCCGCAGAACAGTGGAAGCCTGGGGCGCAGACTCCACTTCCGTTGGCAAGCGCCTTGCAGAGATGAACACCCTGCAGGCATGCCCATCACTCAGCCGCTGCTTTGTACAGTGTACAGCTGCAGACATTCCACATGACTCCTTGCAGAATTGTTAAACTACAGACTGACCTGCATTGGGGTGCATGCAGATTGCCCTGCTGATCATGCTGACGGTCACCATGGTGCCCATCATGCAATACCAGGCGCCAGCCGACTACTCAGTAAGTTCTTGACTTCAAAAATTATTGTCTGCAGCGTCGAGCCTGCCCCGAATATGCATGCATGTTGTCCAAACATGGAAATCTGACAGTGTCAATCTTCTTACGCTGAGTTGTGTGCTGTGTGCATTTGGCAGCCGCCGCAGGCGGTTGCAAGCGTCCTGGCTACAATGGTGGGCCAGCCTAGAGCAGAGCTTGACCTCATAGTCAACGGCTTCTTCAGGTGATACTTTCTCCGTGAAAGTTGCTTCCTTTGCTTTGCTGCATGAGTCATGCCAGTCTAGACATGGATTGAGCTGTGTCACCAACGATGCTGGCATTGACGTGACTTGGTGTGTCATGTCGCAGCTATTACTTGGCAAAGGCTGGGAAGCACGTGGGCATTCCACTGCTGGTGAGCGTGGGAGACGAGGTGTGGGATCATGTGGAAGCCGGCGGCGGATTCACCGCCAGAGCGGAGGACAGGTAAAGCATCGGACTACCAATTAACTTTCTCACATTTTTTTTTGTACTACTTTTTATGCAATTGTTGCACTGCTCCAAAGCAGAAGGGCACGCTGGTGACGTGTCTACTTAACTTTTTTTTGGGCAAGATGCCCTGCATTACAGTGTTCAAAATGGACCTCAAGGTGCCAGCTTGACCTGCTTAACATTGAAGCATTTGGAAGGGAAGGCAACATTATAGATTCAAGCCTGGCTCGGTCATGGGAATATCTAGAAGAGGCGGAGTTTCTTGCTGTGCAGGCAATTGACCAGGAGCTCGGACGGGCTGGTGAACATAAAGGTGAATATAGCGCCGCGCAACCATCGGGAGGCGGCTCTGTCGATAGCTCTGGCGCTCTTTGTGATCATCGAGCTCATGGTGTTCATCAGTGTGCTCAACAACACCGCCATGGATCTGCTGGTCAAGCCTGTGGCGCACATCCTGCATGTCATCCGCACCCAGGCCCAGAAAGTCATGGCCGCCCTCGACACTGACGAGGTCTGCCTACTGCGCCCCACACTGTACTCTATTGAATCCTTAGAATATCACTATCACCATATGTTGGAGACCTGTTGGGAGCCGCCTGATGCTCAGTCTGGTCTTTTTGGTAGAATGATCTCTGGTGTGTGGCAATCTTTATATGCCATGCAAAAATTTGGACGTCCAGGGAGATCTGTGACTGCTGAGGGAGTTCGCCAGAGAGAATTTGATAGAATCTGCTAAGGCTGGCATGTGGGGTGGCAGAAATGGGATGACAATGAGCTGGGCATGATGGAGGCGGTGGTGACTAAGATGAGCCGCATCATCGCGCACGTCAGCTCCGGGGAGAAGGGAAGCCACGTCCTGCACAAGCTGCAGGTCCGCACCCACTGCCACAGAGACACCTGATCTATTCCTACCCACCCTTTTTAATACATTCACACGTAATGATCACATGCTTGATCGCTTGCAAGGGACGCAGAGTTTTCATCTTCCTGCCTATTTCCCGTGGCCTTGACGAAAATGGTCCCAAGAATGCCTGGTGAGAAAGTGCAAGGACAGGGGAGTTTGGAACACTCCTATAGAAGTGCTGCTGGGGCGCACCTAATCTTTGAAGGTTGGAAGAGCACGTGATAGTAAACCAGCCCCTGATTTACTGACTGTGTAGAATGCTGAGTGGGGAAGTTCCAGGCAGAAGATTGTGGATGAGACTGAGGAGAAGTGACATTGTTCAGATGGACCAGGAGGCGGACGATGAGACGAAGGATTGGCTGGACAACATGATGAGCAACTCGGTGAGCGCGAAGAAGGGGCAGGGTGTGGCGGCCGCTTCGCAGCTTAGGGAGGCGCACAAGAGCCTGCAGCGCCGCGAGCTTGCCGACAGCCGAGCCATGCGCAAGACCCTCATCCTCAAGACCGCCACCGCCGACATGGTCGAGGCGCGCCCCTGTCTTATCACTCACACCCGCAATGTGACTTGTAGAGCGGCGCAAGCTTGGCATCTCATGCCCACAGAGTAAATGTCATGCATGCACGGATTTTGGAAGAGGGAATTCTGCCTGGGCGATCAAATGTGTAGCATTGCGCGTTTGTTCCGCGCTGATTGAGTTTGCTACTTTTGCGCTGGTTGCGGGCTTGGATCTCAATAGTGAACATGCCACCTTGAGCACTTGCATGCAAACTCATGACATCAAGCTGAAGTATTCAAGCTGAGTGTATTTTCTGTGAGCCAATGAGTCTCTGCAGTAACAGCCTGCTTGTGCATGGCTGCACAATGCGTGGTACATGCGATTGCAGTGATGTTATGCTCGGCACTGACTCTGAATCTCAGAGTCAGGCATCGGATCACCCAAACTTTAGCTGAAAACAATGTAATGGGACTATTTGACTGGTAGGGGGATGAAGACGGCGAGGACAGCCTGCCGGCGAATGCTGAGCCGGAGGTGAAGCTGCGGCACAGCATAACGCAGCTGGACAGCGAGGTGCTGGACTCCTGGGACTTTGACGTCTTCTTCTTCACCCCCGACCAGCTCATCGCCTACGTCGCCCTCATGTTCATGCACCTCGGCCTTACCACCCAAGACGTGCGCTCACGCCCATACACACCCTCTTAACTTGGACCGTAGCCATTTCTTTAGTCTCTGTAGGACGTGCGCACGCCCAAAGCCCCGGTTCTTCTGGCCTATACTTCTTTCGTTCACAAACATTTTGAGCTCTTGCGTCCAACTAAGTTGACCATGCAAGGAAGGCAGGTACCCCATGGAATTGCCGGCATTGTAGATGAGAATGTAATGCCCTTGGAGACAAACATCTTTGAGGCGTCTTGTAGAGCACACATGAAGCACAGCAGGCTGGGCATATGCATGCATGCTGACATCTCCAAATCTGTCCATGCTGTACCGCTGACATCAGGAGCACAAGGTTTGACGCGCTGAGGTGTCGCTGTGTGCAGAAAGCGACGGTGGCGGAGATTAGCGCGGTGACGGGCGGGGGCCGCCTGCTGGCGGCACTGGCATCGGCCGAGCTGGCAGCCGCGGACACGAGCTACGGGCCCGAGGCACGCGTCGACCTCGACATTCTCTGGATCTTCATCGGCGAGGTGCACTGTCGAACGATGCTTGCACCTGTAATCCTTGCGGCTGCAATTGCACACTCACGTGCATCAAGGGGCATGCACCTTCTCAGCGGCGCGTCCCACAATGGCAAGGCCAGGGGTGAGCTTTAGCACAAAATGCCTCCAACATAATTGGTTATGTCTTCAGAGGCATGTCCTCACAGCACAGCGGAGGTGTATCGTGCCTTGAGCATGCATGACGTCTGACCCCAGGCACTGTCAAAGCGTTTATGTCCTCCCTAACTAAGAAGCAGCTCAACTCTGAAGAGCGCAGGTGAGCAGGCATGAGGTGTGCGCGCAGGTGCGCAACCAGTACCGGGCGGTGCCGTACCACAACTTTTTCCACTGCGTGGACGTGACGCACGCCACCTTCCGCTTCATCCGCCTAGCCGGCAGCCGCGCGCGCATGACGCCCAGCGAGAAGCTGGCCCTCATGATCGCTGCCCTCTGCCACGACATGGACCACCCCGGTGCATTTCATGCCCACACCCTTCTATGCAGTCCCACTTTGGCGCATGACGAGTATATTAGTCACTGTTAACAATTTATTACAAGTTCTGGATGCTCGAAGCCATATGCCGCAGGGCACAGACGCAGGGCATCTGCGATCCCTTTGCGAAACCTACAATAGGGATTATTGCTGTGTCATGCAACAGGCGGATGTGCATGCAAATGTGTCATTCCAGTCACGAGGGGGAAATTATGCAATCCAATTACAGCTACAAGTCGTAGCAGTGAGCAACGTATGCAAGTTTTCATAAGATGCTTTACACAGCAACCACTGCCCTTTTGCTGGTGTTGGGGGCAGAAAGCTTAGACTGGCCCCAAGAATTGCCCACTTGACGAATATCATTGAGTTAAATCATTTGGGTGTCGTTAAAACAGGCCTGAACAACGCGTTCCTGATTAACACGCGGCACGAGTATGCGCGGCTGTACAACGACAACAGCGTGCTGGAGAACCGCCACGTGTCGCTGCTCTACACTCTCCTGGCCGACCAGCCGCACGCCGACGTGCTGGCTGACATGGACGACGCGCGCTGGAGAGACATGCGCAAGACCATCATCAACGCCATCATCCACACCGACATGGTCCACCACTTCCCCATGGTCGCCAAGGTGCGGCAGGCAGAGAGGGATGCACAACATCTCTACCAGCTAGTCATGCTGATCAGTTGAATGTGAGCTTTTTAGTGGCATCTGTAGCTGTCTGCGCAATGTCCCAGCTGCCCTGATGTCACAGCCATGGCCACAGGCCATGTGCTGTGATACATTGTGCTGTTGCGCTTTCTTGCATCAGATCTGCCATGTCAGAAACTTCTCCAGTAGAGGAGCACTTGCCAGCTCTGACGTGACTACTGGAGTAATGCCGGCTTTTGCAAAATGCTGGCCTCCAGGATTGGTGCTAGTCGACTACTTTTGATATTGGCTTGTGGGTGCACTGTGCAGCTGGAGGTTTTCTATGAGTTGAATGCGGCGGCGATCAATGCGAATGTGCGCGGCACCGAGGCGGCCGGCGCGGATGCGGGGCCGGGCATCTTCAAGACGCCCGAGGACCGCCACTTCATGCTGGCGCTCATGCTGCACTGCGCCGACATCTCCAACGCCGTCAAGCCCATCGCTATTGCCCAGAAGTGCGGTCAAAATATTTCATGCCCTGTATCACCAGCATGCAAGGGTGGTTTTGTTCATGTACTTGCAATGATAACTGCTTGCTTGCAATGTAAGAAATGATAGGGTCTGCAGAGCCCACCACCGCTCAGTCATATGCAGCTGTAGCTCCAAGAATGTCTTTTTACACCTATATTTTAGAGGACCGCTGCAGCCAGGAGTGTTGATACAGCAGCGCGCAACGGCCCAATATTCTTTGGTGACTTTGTGAGGCGCAGCCTCATTGACTCTGACATTGACTCAAGGCGCATCAGGCCAAGGATGCAGTGGTAAATGCCCACGTCGATCGATGGCGGCGCCAAATCAACTCAGGGAGAGGTGGCGCCTGTGTGCAGGTGGGCGAACCGTGTGCTGGAAGAGTTCTTCCTTCAGGGAGACCAGGAGCGCGCGCAGGGGCTGCCGGTGTCCCCGCTCATGGACCGCCACACCACCTCGCTCGCCATCTCCCAGATCAACTTCATCGAATTCGTCGTCGCCCCCCTCTTCCACCAGGTCATCTACCCTTCACTACCCCCCCTCCTATCGCCTCATTGGGAGGTTTCCCTCCCTACAGACCCCCTCTTATCCTACCACAATACTGTGGCATGCGTGCATGTGTACGCAGCAGTCACGTTGAAGCTGTCAAATATGGCAGCTACCACCGTGCATGAGACGGACACTGCCCATTTGGGATGTCACAAAGTCCATGCTGCACAACTGTAGTAAAATTAGTGTTGGTGGGGCGGCAGGTGGGCAGGGTGTTTCCGGAGCTGAGGGCGACGGTGCAGTACCTGTGGGAGAACCGGCGGCTGTGGAACGAGCTCTACCTGGCCGACATCGAGGCCGACACCTTCAAGACGCAGGCCGAGAAGGACGCCGACAGGGTGCGGCCGAGCGAAACTCACAGCTGATCTTGTGATGGAAATGGGCAATGGGCGGGGACGTGTATGAATGCTGGGCAGCGTGCTCAGTGGTGACTGATTCCCTGCTTTGATCCAGTAAGGCCAAAATGAGGTTGTATTGGTGGTAGCATCCATCAGGGGGTTTGTCTGCAGATGCGCTTTGCCATTCTTTGGTCGGAAGGCATGTACTTGTGAAGAAATTCCTGGACGTATTCCAAGCTGCGCATGCGTATGATGAAAGAAGTGAAGGATCACAGTGCAATTGTCCTGTCGTGAGCGAGGCGTGTGCTGTGTTGTGCAGGAAAAGGCCATGACGCGATGGCGGACCTTCCAGGAGAAATATGGCGTCGTGCAACCGTCAATGTTGGGTGTTGTGCCGAGCGGCTTCTCTGTGTCCCCTGCCAACCTCGTCAACCGATCTGCCATCAGCGCATACTTCAGGTGGGGGCCACTGCGCTCTTCTCTTGTGCCATGCTTGAAGAGCATTCATTGGACATAAATTACGTGTGATGTTGCTTCTTGCATGCTACTGTATTGATATGCACAGCTCTTGCCAGGGTAGACCATCAGCACCAGCACTTTTGTCCATGCTGCGCATGATGCATGGATTTGCTTGTTTGCCAGGAGGGGCACTGGGCAGAGCAGCGATAGCAGGCCCAGATCAGGATCCTCCCAGTCGAGCACCAAAGAGAGGCCCTCCGAGCTCAGTGGTGCGCGCATCATATCGATTAGTGCAACTGGCTCGCCATTTATTTTGGGTGCAGGCACTGATACTTGGTGGTCTGTTGGATGTCCAGAGGACTTGGGAAGGAAGTCTTTCTTTCAGCGGCTCAGCAGGCAGCGCTCCAACAGCAATGTGTCTTGGGGTATCCCAGAGGACGATGGCAGCGCCTCCTCCCTTGTGGATGCAGAGCAAGGTGCTTTCTGACTTATTGACCATCTTTGCAATTGTGACTTATTGAAGTTGAACCTCTAACCTTTCAACTTAATCTACAGCGAGGATCAGACCATCATTCCTGCCAGGAAGACTGTCAGTGACTGTTTTGCAACAGGGCAAGCGGGGAGCAGGTTTGCGCGCAAGAGCAAGAGCCTCGTCGATGTTTCAAACAGCGAGGCTGGCAGGAAGCCTTCATTCTGAAATATGCTGGTGACTCGTCCCCCTGGGTCGCTAATTTTGGCTACCCCAAAGTGGAGACGCGCTTTGTGCGTCCCATTCCAACCACAAACCTTGAGGCGCCCAGGCTCTGAGGCGCCGAGATGTGGCGCCAACACATATTGTATTTTAAAAGATTTGACTGCCATCCATCTGAAGTCCAGAGAGAGACCATGCTTGACTTGTCCGCCGCACGGACTTGGTCAGGGCAATTGGTCTGCTTTCTACTGTATCCTGTTCCGGATAATTCTCGTCAAAGCCACTGTTCTGCTCTGCTTTATACAATAAAGGTCTGCCTGCAAGGACCTGAGATAGCCAGGTCCTTGCAAGTGCTTTGATTGTCTTCACCTTTGCTTTGGGGAGCTCTGAGGGCAGGACTAACGATGCTGGTGGCTTGGGGGCTCAATTCATTGGGTCACTGCAGCAGCAATGTATTTGAGCATAGCTGCGCACAATGTGATTGTGTTTTTGGACCAGGATCATTGAACATCACATTTGTCAACCGAAATGACGAAGCCATTCAGTGGCTTCCTGCTTGAGGTCCAAAGTCTCAATGTGCACCATACTAGAACCCACATTGTACTCCATCAATGTCTGCTCGAATACTTTCTTGTAAAGTGTAATTTTGAGAAGCAGGTGGCAACCGTTTGGTTGGACATCAGGGCCTGTGCAAACAAGCATGCGGAGCCCAAGTTTTGATCGTGATGCGCCGTAACGCTGAGCATGGTTACAGGTACCATCTCATCAATTTATAATGTTTCCGTCCACCTGGGTCGATCTTCCAATGGCGGGCACAGGCACGCTTTCTCTCATCTCTCATTCGTCCTTCACTTCGTAAAGATTATGACCTGCCTTCTTAGAAGGTCGAAAGGGAGCCACGCAAGACTTCTTTGTGCACCTGGGATATCGAAAAGTTCTAGCACAATACCGAACGTGAGGGATCGCAATACTATACCTTGTAGATTGTAGATTGCAAGCAAAGCATGGCCTGCTCTCTTGGATCACTCTCAGTTTGTCAGAGCAGGACAGGAAGACCAGGTAATCACCTATTTTTATGATCAGATTCTGCTTCCCAATACTCCTGTTCTTCTTGTTTTCCATCATTTATGTTTTAATTGAAAGGTTCGGAAAGGAGGTGCCTTTTCCGCGCAGATGGTCTATCGCACAGCGCATGCCATCCACAGTTGAGGAGAGGGAAAATGCAGGTGAACCATGGCTAAAATGAGGCATAGAGAAGCTTGTGCTGGCGTCTTTGTTAAAATAGTGGTATTTGGTGCTCGGGTTGATCATGGCTATCATGGCCTTCCTTTCTACTTGCTCAAAAGAAGGATAGCCTTGAATATTTGCAGAGAGGAGGTCAGAAACTCCCTCTGGGCGTATTTTTGCAAATATTCTTGCTTGTGTCTAGTTGCAAGTGTCCACATCAGGCATTTTGTGCTGGCTTCCAGGTCTTCCGAAGCAGAGCCACTGTACAGGTTGTCAGTGAGTCGAGCTCAGCTCTGCGCAAGCCTGAGCTGGCCACTAAGGAGGACGAGCCAGAGAGCACCGGCGCAGCAGCTCACAGCCCAGCAGCATCTCCCTCGAGGTGTGCTTCTGGGTGGCTTTCATAACATGACGACAAACAAAGACCTGTCAGAACTGTGGGAGTGTCAGTAGCATGTACAAGTGTCAACGGCTGTACAGTGGGGGAAGAAATGCTTCATAATCAAGGTGTGCTTCTCATTCTTGGCACCCTGCTATGCAGGAGCTCAAAGCCGGCAGTAACTATTAGGGAGCAGAGGGAAGCAGCAAAGGCGATGACTCAGTACTTCCGCGACTTGAATGCAGCAAAGAATGCTGAGAAGGCAAAGTGAGCCTTTCTCATCTCCTTGTGCTAATGACCTGTTTCAGCAACAATGTGCACTGTGCACCAAGTTTACCAGCCATCACTTTGGTGCAAAGCAGGTTGCCTGGTGTATTGGTAAATGCAAAGGAGTCTTCACCAGTGTCTATTGGAAAAGACAGTGATTGATGTCTTGCCCGCATGCAGGGTGTTTGGGTGGACCAGGGCTAATGAGATCTTCAACGGGCGCTGGGTCATGTTCGGAGTGTTTGTGGGCCTTCTGACAGAGTACTCAACTGGCGTGGATTTCATCAACCAACTCAAACTCATGGTCTCGTACTTGGGAATTGCTGACATCTATGACTAAGACAGCAGGTGGGTTATCAGGCCAAAGACTTCTCACCAGACAGCTGTGAGAAACAGCCGTGTTATCATAGAAGAACAAGCTTCCCTGGTCATGCTTGCAAGGCTGCACTTGCGGGCAATTTGCTTGGGCGCTGGACGTCATGACGTGAACAAATGCAACCTTAGAACATCACAATTCAAAAGCGCAGGCTCAACCTTGCCGATGTTGATCAGCATGGGCATTGAGCGAGCTGTCCCTGCCTGGATTCGGCCAGGCGACAATTTTGCGAGGGCGAGAGACAGAGATCGAGTCGCATTGACACATTTTGAGTTTGGATCAGGGCAGAGGCATGTTGCAGCCACTGGGTTTGAGCACAATTTGACAGCCTTGAGCGCATTTGAGAGAGAATAGACATTGAAGGTATAACTTTGTAATATAGTAGATTCGAATAGTGCACTGATCATGATCACTTCTGCTCCTAATGCTGCATGGCTAATGCAATTTAAGACACCGACAAAACATTGCGTCTCCCTAGCAGTCGGGAAAATTTCAGTGGTCCATGTACATTACCAAATTCCATTTGTGTTCATTCGGTTTTGGTTCATGTCACATTTGCAAAATGGTACATTGGCACATGGTTGAAAATCAGCAGTTTGCTTCATTGCTGCATGCTAATCAGGTCCGAGTACTTCAGCTTGATGCGCATGGTGGACACCAGCTTCTTGTCATTGACCTGGATAATTCCCCCGTCCTCTACCAGCTCCCCAATGGGCTGCACACAATCCGTGTCACAGGACTCGAGGACTGGCCAGCATTTAAAGAATTCCGCACCACGTCATTAGGGTGTGGTCATGAGTACTATTATTGCCACAGGCAAGGTGCATCTGCAGACAAGCTGCAGGTAAAGGCCGCCACATAGAAGGATGTGATGAGACAAAGGACTTGCAGACATGTAGGCAAAGCAAGCGCCAGAGATGAAAAAGGGCTGCAGACATGACAACAAGATGTGGTCTGCCTTTCATTCTGTCTTTCGAGTGGCGTGGCTCACCTTTTCTAAATTGTCATGTGTGGCTTCCTCCAGCACTCCGCGCATGTACAGGTTCTCAGAGCCGTGGCTGATGGAGGGGGCGCTTAGATTTGTTCCTAGCGCCTTGTCCGCCACCAGCGCATCAATCACCTGCCACAAACACCTCACCAGTCGCTGTCCATCCCTTGAACCATGCGGAGGTCTTCACAATGCTGCTAGGGCAACTGCGGAGTCTCCACAGTTGGCAGAAAGGATCACAGAAACTGCTGTGGACTGGACAGCATCTCTTGATGTGTCATTGACAGCATGCACAAGTTTCAGTGTGGCAGCTGGTGGGGGTGGATGGTGGCCTCACCTGCTGCAGTGTGTTTGTGGATGTAACCTCAAAGGGCACAGAGGAGCTGCAGACGGTGCATGCAGGGTCGCGCTCGTAGGACACCGTGTGGGTGTACACCCCATCCGCCCCCACGTACCTGCACATGCTTCTTCCCATCAAATAGCAAGGTGGCCAAAAGCACCATGTATTGCATCGAGTCATGCAATACATGTGCAGACTTCACCGCATCAGTCCCGTAAAAGGCACCTCCAGACCACTTTTGGGTGTGATGCACACCGAAAGTGCATGGAATTATTGGCTCAAAGGTCCAATGCGGTGTTGTCCGTGCAATTTTGGAGCGGATCACAACCAGAGCTAAATTGAAAGAGCCCTTTGAATGACCAGACTGAACAGCTGACAATGGGCACAAGAAGCGCTACATTGTGGTCTGGCCAGCGCACATCATGTAGTTGTTGATGCCGGTGCTGCACATGGTGATGAGCTTGAGGGTCTCAAGTGCGCAGGCCGCCGCAATGATGGCGTTGGTCGATGCAATGGCCGGGATGATGTTCTTGACGACACCTCCAGTCAGCTGCCACGTCACCCCCTGCCAGGAGACACACACACACCCGTCTCAGTGCCTCTCACCAATGATTTCAACCAAAATTTAGACTTGGCAAGCTGTTTTCAACATTGTGAAGCACCCTTGTGGCATCCACAGAGCTGCCAATAAGAAGGCTGAGACATTTTCATGATCCTGAAGTGCAGGCAAGCACCTGTATGCCAAAGTGCTCGGCTCGCTGGAGGGCCTTGTCGTAAACCCAGCGCATGTGCTCCTCGTTGTCTGTGTCAAACTCGTCGCCGCTGCGCTCCTGCTGCCACTGTATCAAGTGCGCATACTCTATGCAGTGCGCCGGTGATCTGCTCACAGCATCAGTGTCAACTTCCACACCATGAAGTCCTGCTACATCCCATCATCAAGGCAACTTTGATTGAACAGCAGGGGGATATACCTGGGAGTCTCGGCCAGGGTGCAGAGAGGGAATTTGGTCTGGGGAGGGAACAGCCACAGCGTGCACTCGAAGCAGGGGGTGACGCCTGGCAGGATGACTCGCGCGTGCCCCTTGAGGCCCTCGGTCCCCCCATCCACCATGGGCTTGATGGTCGACATGTCCGGGTTCCCGTCATCATCGTACTCTGACCACACGCGCAGCACAGACTCCTTTTGACAGATGACAGACGATGGCTTCCGCTCCTTTTCTCAAGCCCCATGCACATATGCCTGGTATCCTGAACCTCGATCTGAGTGGTGGCCTTCATGAAAAGATGTCTCAGTTGCCTTACTACAGTCCCCTGAAACTTACTAATTTATGGCATGCAATTTTGGCAAATCAAGTTCCTGATACGAAGACTTCAAGTCATGATAAGCTCTCACTTCTGCCTTCCATTCTCATGCAAGACATTGTCCTTGCAGTCTGGTGACTGTGGGAATCACTGGCCGGTCCAGTAGTGTGTTTAAGGCTCACCTAGGAAGCTGCAGGCAACCTGGTTCATGAAGCGGCGGGCCTCCAGAGAGTCCAGGCCCAGCACCAGGATGTGGAACTGCTCATAGAACTCCATCGGCTTCTCCTCAATGCGGCAGTGGTGCGGCGTCACTGTCACGCCCTGCACCCGCTGCATGATGCGCTCCGCCGCCACCTCAGCCTTGGACTTTCCAACATCCTTCATCCTGCAGGCAGAAATTCACCATGCTGGCAATGTACGTGGCAATCTATATGCATCCATCATGCTGCAATGGCCGTCGTACATGGGTGTCATGGCTGCCGTACACCCATCATGCTGGCAACAGCTCGACTAAGAGAGCAGCTGCAGTGTCTCCAGCTAACAGCACTGTGAACAAGCCTGTGGTGAAGAGCTCCAGGCATGCCGTGAGCTTCGCAGGCACTCTTGTGAATCTTGCTGCATTTGTTTGCAATGCTGAAGTGCCCGGGAGGGGGTATGGAAGTGCACGTGGTAGAGCTGAGGGCACACCTGAACAAGAACTGGCGGTTGAGGTTGGACACGTCGATGGTGTCCATGTCAATGACATCTATGTTGCCAAAGCCCTGCAATGCCAGGTCCTTCAGCAGCTCGCAACCCAGGCCCCCAGCACCCACGCACAGCACCCGTGCATCCTCCTGCAGGAACTCCAGCAGCGCTGGATCTGGCTCAAAGCCAGGTCCTGTGATCTTCCCAGGGCGGGTGAGCAGCTTCCTGAGATCCGTCCACCTGTCTGCCCCGTTCATCTTATCTTCTAGCTTGAGGCGCTGCAACATTGGCAATAAGGAATAGTCAGAATGTTCCTTGTATTACAGGGACTCTGGGAATCAGATCTGTTGATGGTGACAAGGAAGCGTTGTCAGATCCTTTGCTTCAGCAGTGGATTGCAATTAAAACCTTTGGCATGTTGATGACATTTTGTTGCATTTCATTTCTAGCTTGTCTAGCTTGTTGAAAATCCCATGCTCCAATGCTGATCAACATAGACGACTTACCTCCGTGAGCACCAAGACGTCTGGAGGAGTGGACAAAATTAGATTGCTATAGAAATTAGATCTTGATGGATTACTGCTTGAACAAGGTCGTCGTTATCGTGTCTTTACAGGTGTGTCTGCAATCCGCTCAACGCATGAAAGCCTTGGACATCAGCTGATGATGTGCAGGAGTTCTGAATTTATAGTTCAGCAATGTCCACCTTAAGATTCACAGATCGATGCGCGATTGCAGAATAATCATCTCTTCTGGAGCATTGCTGAGTCCATGGGTAGGGCATTCTCAGGGTTCATGTTGGAACTGTATAATGTAATTGATGGACCCCATGATGAGTGATCCTTTCCCCTCAAATGCGGTCTATTGCAGTGCAGTGCAGTGTAGTGCAGTGGATGGTAAGCTCTTGCAGAGCCTACAAAGAGCATGCGATCATCGCACTGCGAAGCACAATTGTTGCAACTTGCATGCAAGCACAGCTTGAAGCACAGTTTCATGAATCTGCATCACTATTTAACTGACAATGAGCACTGTTCCGACATTGATCATGTCATATCATATTGTGACAGCTGGCTCCCGACGAGCGCTTACCGATCAGGCAATGTAGCAACTGTTGTCAACTGGTCCTGCACTCAGTGCAGGCTGTCTCCACTAAGCTGCAAAGGTTGGTGCTACAAATGAACGTATGTTCTTCCAGGGTCCTGACTAAGTTATGTCTTCAGCATGCCGCATGTCTAATGCACACCCATCCGCTATATGCGAGCTGACACTGCGCCTGCATCACTGGCGAGGCCGCTGCCTTGCAGCTCCCGCTGCCTGAGCTGGCGCCCCCTGCCGGCCGGCCCCTCCCCCAAGACCATTCAACAACTGCACAGACACGACATGGCTGAATCTGGCGTTGTTAGCAGCCAGTGCATGTGGGACGATACTTTGATCGACACATTGGAAATCCCATACTTCTCTACACACGTCTCCTATGAGCCTTGGTTCAGCCAGATCACAAAACATGACACGTACTGGAAGTTGCTATGTAATGCAGCGCACCATGAAAATCATGGGCACAAGGTAGATCCAGTTCTTCTGCAAAAATGTCCGCTCATCGGGTGGCGGTGCAGCCTCCTCCCCTTCCTCGCCCGGCTTGTCCCCTTCCCTTCTTTGCTGTGCACTCCCAGTAGCCGCCTTGGGTGCAGGCCGCTTCACTGCAAACAAATTTGATTTTTTTCTCACTCCTTGATGCTGCAATTAAAACAGAAGATGCAATTGCACGAGCACATCTCTTCAGTCTCAGGGCTGCATGTTGTATCTGCAAACGGGACTATCAGCCCCTACCTTCAGGCATTGGAGCCTGCCTTACAACAGATGGAGCGGCAGCTGTTTCTGTAATTGTCACAGGAGCACTCTGAGCCAGAGTCACTTCCAATGATCCTGTGAGGCTCTGGAGTGAGTCACAGTGCATCTGCACAGCATCCATATTTCACTGAATCATCTTCAGGACAGATGTGCATGGCTATCAGGATTGAATCGTTGGGCAATTACATCATGCATTTTCATACCTTTGACATGTCATAGCTGAGGCCAACCAAGTCCCCAGTGTAGCTGGTCACGGCCATGAAGCTCTCTTTGTTTCCTGGAATTACCAAGCACCTAGCTGGTATAGAGACCTGCAGTGGCTGACCTCCATTTCCACCCAATACTCTGAGCTTGTAGAACCTGCTACAGATAGGAGTCAGGGGTCGAACCAGCAGTCCTCCCTAACGCCAGTGGGAAAAGTAAGGATCTAAGAAGGCTTCTTTTCAACCAGATCTCTAGCCGTGGGAATTCCTACCCTCCTGTTTTGATGGTGTGCTCCAGCTCACTTTCCTCTGTGGAGCTGAGAGGCGGCCGCACCAGCTCTAGGCAATTCTGCATCGATCAAAAAATAATTCGCACTTGTGTCCAGATTTGCACACGCGACAATATGTGGAGTGCAGTGTGTATCATGTGAGCAAGAGAATGAAAGATCCCATATGGTAACACGTACCTTTAGTTTAAGCTCACGCAGCTCTCCCCCTGGATGATATAGTCCTTCGCCAAAGGCATGTTCAATGGACCTGGGGAAGGCCCAAGCTCCAATACTGCATGAGAAAAGGAGAGTTGCATAGAGAAGCGTGGCTACAGCACCGTTCCTCATGCTGTTTCTTGCTCTCGGCTTTGTCAATACATCGTCAGTCTATCCCTCGACCAAAAGTGACACTCCTGTAATGCTTTGATCGCAAAATCCAATGCTCTGCGATCAGGCTTCATTGAGGGGTCGATGATATGATCGCAGCTCTCGCTCTGTGAGAAGCTAAGGACGAAGCGTTGATTGATTTTCCCTCTCACGCAGAAGTGACTAGGCAAGTGTCTACTGTGAGACCGATAGACAAAATTGCAAGCAGCGTGCCATGGGTGACGCGCAGCTCCGACAGGTGGCCTTCTATACCTTTTATAGACGCTCTAGTAACCGGACATTCCAGTTTGTTGATGCTCTCTGTTCTTCACGGTCATTGCTAGATAACATTGTTGATGTCCTTCTTAAATTAACTTGATGCCTGTGAGTACAGGTGAGCAGGGCTGAGTTCCGTCGCTAAGCCTAGAAGTCCAAGGTGCAGGCTTCCAACGCTGACGATCATTTTTGATGCTGGCGCAGTGGTTCAACGCGATCGATGTAGATAGGAGTGGACAACTAGACGCGGAGGAATTGCAAAGAGCCTTGGCACTGGGCGGCTTGCACTTCTCCCTAAATCTTGCAAACAAAATGATCAGGTAAATACCTTTAGTATTTTTGAGAGGGCATGGCCGCTTTTTAGGCCTACAGTACCTGTACATCTATCCTCGCTGACTGGATCGTGGCTGTGATGTGCAGAATACACGACAGGGACAACTCGGGCGCAGTCAGCGTCGAGGAGTTCAAGACCCTGCACCAATTTTTGCTGGACACACAGAACAGGTTCCAGCAGGCTGACACGAGGCGGCATGGGCGCATTGACAAGCAGACTGTGGAGCGTGCGTTGCAGGCACAAGGTGTGTGCCGAGAATTTGCTGCCCCAATATGCCACAAGGGCCCTAGGCCTATGTAATTCTGCGTAGCATGCACAAAGTTCTTGTGCTACGCCAAAGTGAGCGAAGACAAAGAACACAGCGTGAGCACCATGTAGGGAGACAGGGCTGCCTTGCAGTTCCAAGCAATGCGGTATTGCATGCAATGGCACTGAGATGTACAGAATTTCAGAAGAGCCAAGTCTCTCCTGTATGCATTCTGGTATGACAGGGAGTGCTGATTGATGCCTCCAGGGTACAAGCTAGATGGGCCAGCCTTCCACACTCTCTTCAATGCCTACAACCCGGAGCGCAATGGCACCATGGACCTGACAGAGTTCATCGCCATGACGCTGTTTTTGCAGAGCGCAAATGCCACATTCTCTGCTTTTGACCAGCAGCGGATGGGCCGCGTGACACTGGACTACAACCAGTTCATCTATGCCGCTGCCAATGTCGTTTAGGCAACATGTAGACACATGCGGCCGGGCGTCTGCACTGTCCCCACTGGTTTCAGTGGAAGGGACAAGTCCATAGAATTCTGACTCTGTCTTGGAAGTGCCGTGGAACCCCTGAATTGAGAGGTGGCACAGTATGGCATACCAAACATGGAAACATGGGAACGCATTGCTGCTCCGGAAGCGGTCCGACGGAGGAATAGAAAATAGAGAATGAGATAAGCAGACATCAAGGCAGACGGAGCGCCAGAGAAGAGAGGAAGGCTGCCTAGAGTTTGATTGTGAGTTCATGACGTCAGGGACTGCGACTGCTGTTGACAGAGAATGCCGCGGCTGCTGCAGCAGCTTGGTGGCAGCGCTGCAGTGAACAAGCTTTAGTATGTGGAACTGCAAATCATATCTCCAATTGGGATGAGTTTGACCTTGATGGGCTTTCATTTATTGCTTCTGCTAGGTGGGGCTGGTCAAGGATGTCTGATCATCAAAGTCTGACTCAATCGGACGCAAGCTCAGCTCTGATCAGTCGTGAATTCAGCGAAGACTGCGAGCTCGAGCCGCACTTATAATAAGCATGACAGATTGTATTCAGTTCAGGGTGTGAAGAGGTCTGTGACAAACTTGCATGAGAGTTCTTATTCCTCATAAATCAACATAATATTTTGTAATGTAAGTAGACTGAATTTGAAGTAGTGCCAGCTGGAAGCCTTGCAAGAAGCCAGAAGAAGCTGTTGATGGCAACATCAGAAGCGGTGACCTGTTCTGTCTCCTCAAACTTTTGTCAGGACATATTTTAAGTGTATCAAAGATTTCATGTTTTAGCCTTCCTCCGCCACCGTTCTTATGTTCTGCATCTACTGATACTTTTGTCAACCGGGAGAGATGGCGGATGCCCAGATTCAACAGTGTAAGTATTCCAGAGGCTCTGCTAAAGCTTGTTTTGCACCAGACGCATAAAAATGGTTTCTTATGGTCCCTAGATATAGAGTCAAATTGAAAGGATGGTTTTCAGACTAACGACCAAAATAAACATCTGGTAAGTGCAGGGTTTGGTGCTATCGACACAGATCGGAATGGAGCTCTCACTAGCGAGGAATTGCAGAGGGCTCTAGGTCTTGGAGGCATGAACTTTTCTCTGAAGGTCTGCGCAGCTCTGATTAGGTAAACCATTGCCACGGTGTCCTCTACATCGCTTTCCTTGCCAGCCTGCTGCCTGAAAAGGTGAGGGGGAAGAATTCTTGCTGACTTGTTGGAAATGTGTGAACAGATTGCACGACAGAGACAACACCGGCACGATAAGCTTCAACGAATTCAGAACTCTCAACCACTTCATCATGGACCTGCAGCAGAGATTTCAGCAGTGTGACACCTCAAGAAGGGGCAGAATAGACAAGAAAGCGGTTGCACAACTACTGCAGAGCATCGGTAAGCCAGTCAACTGGTCTTTTCTATGGCACCAACACCCCAGCACCTTGACCGACCTGTCAGTCAGATAAGGGGAAGAAATTTCCCCTTTGGCAGGAAAGACTTTGCTTGCAGGCCCTCTTCACCATAATGTCCAACATATGTGGAGGGATTGCCCTAAGTAAGTGTCTGTGTTTGCCTCTGCAGGATACCGGCTTGATACACCAGCCTTTGAAGCATTGTTTACAGCCTATGACCCAGACCGGTCCGGAAGCAGTGACATAGCAGAGCTCGTGGCGATGGCAGTATTCCTGCAGAGCGCCACAGCCACGTTTCAGGCCTTTGATGCCCAGCAGCAGGGGCGCATCACTCTCGACTACAATCAGTTTGTGTATGCTGCTTCCAATATTGGGTGATCTGTCTGATCAATCTGCAGAAGTCTCATGCTGCAGCATCCCTGCGACCCTGACAGCACCAGCCAGAGACTCTTGACAGTCAGAAATTCAGCTGATTTTTTTGAGCGGCACAGATCTGTCACTCTTCCATGTGGGCAAACCTCCGAGGCTACAGCGGTGAGTCTGCATCTTTGCTGCTTGTGGTCTTACCATCTACATGCATGCCGGAAGAGCAGAGCAACGCTTGCTTACTTGCATGCATGCCTGCTGCTTTCAATGCTGGCTTTACTGGTACTCTTCTGGGGACCAGTCATTCGAAAGCAAGAGTATGTTACAAGAGCTGCTGATTGAAAGGAAATGCGCGCAAACACGCTGACAGCACTATCCTGCCTTTTGGATGTGCCCTACCTAATTGCAAGCGCATTACTGCACATTCTAGGCTCGTGACGGCAAGAAGCTATCATACTCCTCATGAACAGGCAAATATGCAGACAGCCCTAGCTTCCTAGACAACCCGCAACGTCACTGCTCATATGGCCAATGCAGTCTCTTGTAAAACAAACCCTGTAGAACGAATGCTACAAGCATGTCATCTAACCATCAGACAGCCTTCCACCTATCCGCAATTCCAATGAAACAATCAAGGTGCGCATGCGCCAACTCAAGACTGCTGGAAGTATGACATTTGAGGCAATATTAGGCGGATCCACATCTGTTGAACCCAAGCAACAATGACTCCATCACACACATATGCGCCACATCTTCGATGCAAAGCACGATCATTTTCTTCCATCTCTCGTGTTGTACAATTATCCCACGTAAAGAATATGATGCGTCACCACACCTCTCTCTTGATGCCGGCCTCGTGTAATCATTAAATCAATCACACACTAGCAAATGAAAAGCTGAACTCTTCTTGACCGCTTCTGCAATATGCACCCTTCTCTGTGACCCAACACATTGCTGCATGGAGCTTGCACCCACACCTGGGACCCCACAACCACTGCCAAGGCCTTCAAGGTATCTGTGTGACTGCTACACTACGATAGATTAGAAGCCCACGGCCCTACTCTAAACGATGCGTGCTTCAGCGCCCAAGTTCTGGCAAGACCACCAAGAGGGTACAGAGGGTGCATGTCTCTGATACCAAAGCGAAGTCTTCACACGCCCGCAGCAACCAATGTCTCAGTATAGAGAACCTCACAATCAGCAGGCTGTAGGGGCTGCCGGACTCTTTGCCCCTTTACCCGCTCCTAACACAATGGGTGAGAGGCTGCCTGACATGCCTCTCCTCTCCGGCATGCGTTGATTCCTAAATGCCATATCGACACAGGCCCATACCTTCAGACCTGCTAAACCCGCCGCATGTTGTAACGTTCCAATCCAGCTTAAATTTATTGATGGACAATCACCAATCATCAATTCTGCCTCCCTTAACACCAACGCTTGTCGATCCTGGCTTGTACTCAGCAGAACCAAGTAGAGAAGTGCCCTCCAAAGACGCTCATTAGTTGCTCCGCCCGGCTTTCAGCACCCAGGCATTGTCTGAGGCTGCGCAGCGCTCAGGCCATGATGACAGGGACCTCGCGGTTGAAGATCCAGGAGAACTGGGTGGACACAACGGGCTTGCTCTTCATGATGCGCTCCTGGCGCTCTGTGAGACGCTTGAACTTGGTGAGCAGGCTCTGCACGTCCTCCTGCGCCTTCTGGGCCTCCGGCGTCAGCCCCTGCAGCTCTGCGATCTTCCAGTGCTTCATCAGGAACTCCATGATGTCCACATAATCCTGCGCAAGAACACCAGCTTCCCTCATGAGCGCCAACCTCACCCAAACAGAGCGATGCTCAACTCAAACGATCTACACAGCACAGCGCATAATAACAGCCATGTTTCATTTGTGCTTTCAGAAAAATTTGAAATGTGGCGAGCCACAGTGGCAGCTGCTACCAGCTGATACGACAGCTGTCAGGTTGTCACTCGTGCAGCCACCATCTCTGCCACTTGAAAATCAACCGCTGCCATCACTCTGCAGTACTCTCCAGATTTTTGCTGCATCATTGAGAAACTGGGTTCTCACCTTTCCGGTGTAGGTGCCGGTGGCCTGGGCAACGGCCGAGAAGTCCTTGAACAGGTTGCGGCCGTTCTTGGAGCTGTGCTCGTTGTCGTCCATGAGGTGGGCTGGCATGACAATCTGCTTGCGCATCATGTCTGAGAACGCGATCATGGACCCGCTCGGATCCCTGCAACCCCAAACAATACTCACAAGAAAGCAAAAGATTTTGATTGAAGACACCCTCTGAAGACTGCAGGACAGTGCCACATTTCACCTCTTAAGGGCCAGAGAAGAGCACACTATACGTCATGGCATTACCACAAAGAGAACAAGGTAACTCTGCCGGACGCTCATCAGTGGAGCACAGTGTAAGAGTGACAGGGGCGGGAGGCGCACAGTCGGAAGATCTCGTCTGTCATTTTGATGTAGGCCTTCTCGTGGCGCGCCTCATCCCCAGCAATGGCAGCGCAGATGCGGCCGAGCTGCTTGTCGCCGTACTCGGAGGCATGCGCTGCTGTGTTGCCATGGCTGATCTGTGCAAACAACAGAACATGCACGGATCAGCACTTGGAACATCTAAATGCACAATTCCTAGCGCTATGGGGCAATCAAGCCCTCAAAGTTCACTATGTCAGCGCTTGGTAGATCATGAGGAACCATGCATGATGACAGCATCGATCGTAACAAGGGCAATGCGGCTCAGGTTGCCAGAGTGTGATCAGCAAGCAGTACCTTAGTGGCGCGCTCCTGGAAAGAGGTGTAGATAAATCCATAGTACGGGTTGTTCTGTGTCTTTGGGTCCATGCCTGACCCAATCAGGTTCTGAATTGTCTTCTCCACAGCCTGCGCAACATAACAGTTGCTTTGTCAGTCTGGCATCATGCTTGTGAGGAACCACGCACACAACAAACAGACATGCTTTTGCTAGTAGGCAAGATCAGCAATCACACCTTCATGTTCACACGGCCGGACAGATAGCAGTACTTGTTCATGAGGTCTCCATGCCTGTTCTCCTCCGCCGTCCATTGCCTGGTCCACCTGCAACAAAATAGAACCAGCGCTGTCAGTACAAGCCATATAGGTGGCGCCATTAACCTGTGTACAGCAGAGCCACGTCATGCTGATCCACTCTGCTGAAGGCTTCAGCAAGAAGAGGCAATTGACAAGTTCAACATGTGCATATAACATTTGGACACCGAAAGACATCAGACTGTAATTTTTCAAAGACAAATTGATGGGGCAAGATAGAAATCAGAAAGCATGCCTGCCCCAGGGTGTGGGAGCAGCGCCGGTCTCATCCCTGACCCCGTCCAGAGTGTTCAGCATGGCCATGTAGGTGGGCAGCGCCTCCTCTGTGATCATGTCACCAACCAGCACGACCAGGTAGTCGTCTGGCAGGTTGTCTGTGCGCTTCCTCAGCTCCACCACCTACAACACACTTGAAAGTCACGCTGTGTAACATGCTATCTCGTGCTGTGCATGTGATACACATAGAAATGATGCTGCAGACAGTGCACCTGTGTCTGTGGAGTACGGATGTGTGCAGCAGGCGCCAAGACATGTGAGGGTCATGCATGCATGTCAGGGGTTAAATGGGTCTTTGGGGTCAGGGAGTGCATGCACGCCTGGTCTGCAAAGTCTGGGGAGGAGGAGTCTGGCAGGAAGTCTGTTGGCTGCCAGCAGGCGTTGACATCCTTCAGGATGGGCAGGACTGACGACTCCATATACTTGTCCATGGAACGCAGCAGGTCCAGCTGGTGCGCTGAGATGCTGTGCAACGTCTGCACCGCAACCCGCAGCTTCGTCAGCACACCAGTCATTGCATATTCGGCTATTGCAGGCGCAGATATGCAGTGAAGAACATGCTTTGACATGTTATAGGGACCGTAAATAAAACAGAATTGCACTCCTGCGTTCCACTCCCTGTGACATGAGCTTCCTGCCAATCCAAAGGTAGTAGGAGAAGGCAGGGAAGGCAGCCCACCTGTCCATTGATGATGGTGGGTCCATTCTCACCAACTTTGCCATTTCCACTCGAGGTCCCAAGCGTCTTGGGGCGCGGTGTGTCAGTCACGAGAGCAGCGCAGGGCTGCACCCGGCATGCCAAGCGCCGTGGTGTGCGGGGGGAGACTGTCTGCACGGAGATGCTGCTGCTGGTGCTAGGTCGTTGAAGGACGGTGCCAAGTCCCAGCATCGTCATCTGCAGACATGCCAAGACAGTCTTAATCGTCTTGTCACAAGTAGACGCTTGAAAGTATCTCATCAGTGTGGCAAGTCTGTTCAACAAATCTCTCGAACCGGAGACCTAGCAACATGCAAGCTGACATTACCTCTTTGGTCTAAGCCGCAATAAGGAACATGTTGCTTCTACTAAAGAAGCACAACGGTTGTCTTCCCAAACCACAAACAGAATAAAGGCATGTTCTAGATATCTTGGCTAAAAAGGCAGCGGATTGTGCGGACACCAAAGCTGATCATCAGCAGTCTAAACACTTGCACCGTGATGATCGATGAGGGACAGATGGTGAAGGTCGCTACGCAGTACAACATAGTCTGCACATGTAAGTCAGGCATCGACTGATGACCACCTAGCCCTCACAGCACAGAGGTGCACAGGCATGGTACAATCATGCGCTCTCGACTAAAAAGTCAGATCAGCCCACTTGCTTACAAGCCGCTGCAATTCAACACCATACGCAGCATATCTCCGTGCAAAGCAGCAGCTCAACGCTCACCGGGTGCTACGTCTCGCTTCGCACGAACTTCGCCGCTCCTTGCAAATCTGGAGTGGTCGATGTTAAATGGTCAGGCTGCTGATTTGTCGATGAGTGTGGACTTGTATCCAGTATCTGGATCTCGCAGAAGGTGTTTCGATGCAGCGAGGCTGACTCCGTCCTCTATTTCAGATACGCTCTGCCTCGATCAATTTGCCACGTCTATGCCGATGAGGGGTCTCCCCATCCGGATCCCCCGCTGGAGGACTCCTAATGACTCAAGGACTCCTTGTATTATTGTATTATTATTATTATTACAGGTCGGCAAACCCAAAGCCAGAGGCCATAGGGCATACACGCAGGGCGTCTGCAGCCACATCTGCGGGGCCTTCATTAGTCTGCAGCCTATCTTGTAAACTTTACAGCAGAACCTGCATGCGGAGACAGCTTGGCGCACTCATGATCGGCAGGCACGTGCACATGAGGTACCTGTACGACGTCGTACAGTGTACATGGACGTACAGTGTGCGTACAGCAGGTATGCCAGTTGCAACATGCATGCTAGCCGGCCATGCATATGGCAGCGCTGATGATGATCAGCCTGCGGCACGAGTATGCAGAGGCACTGCCGCTCGGCCCAGGCCGGCTGTGGGCCGCATGCGGTCCGGCTGGAGATCCAAATCCACCGCAAGAGCCTCAACCTGAGAACAGTTCTCTGCAGATCGATGATATCATGGCATGCGCATGTGGCTACCACCATCATGCTGCCAGCCTGAGGCCTGGAGCACCTTTACACTTCAAGTCTGGTCAAATTAATTGCTGATCAGCTTGCGGTGCTGAGTACAGCGATCGTGCATATCTTTGCCACAGTGCACTGAATATTCACACAGCATGATGACGTCCCGGTCGGTCCGACATCTGAACCTGGATCCATATCCGGATATAATTGATGAGATGGTCTGCACACCAGACTGCATGCATCTTCAAGGAGATTTAGATGTCAATATTAAGCAGATAATTCCTCTTACATGAGCTTCAAGCTAGCTCACATGCTGCCTACACCAGTGCTGCTTGATCTACATGATGTATACAGGTCCGTTTAGTACGTCACAATGCCTGGGTTCGAGCCTCTAGATTGAACATGCAGCCTGCACCCTCACTCCGGCGCTCAAGCAAGGCAGGGCCGCCAAAGACGCCCTGCTTTTGCTTAAACCACCCAGTGTAGGTTTGCAGGACAACTCCTACCTTGCCTGTCTTGCGCGACATGCCACAATGATGGGTAATTATGTGTCAGGGCACTCGCGCAGCTGCAGGCTGATCACCAAGCCTACGGTACAGAGGAAAACGTCCCTCGAAATGCTAACAGACCCAATCAAGAAAAAGCACCTCAAGAGGAATCAGGTGCTGCCACACTCCGAGACTGTGCCACAGACCGGTGTCTGCTGCGCTAGTGGGACACTCACACTCACATTCAATTTCAATTCAGCTCTTGAACATCGAAAAGTCATTCGAATTTGCCGCATGGCTGCTCGAGCAGGCACACTCACATAAACCCATGCCCCTTCCCTGGGAGGAGCATCGACTGCACCTTGAGAATCAAAAGAAAAACAAAGAGAATTGCACCAATACCAAGAAAGTCTGCATCAGCAGTCTTGCTTGAATCTCCCCTGCCGAAGCCCTGTCTCCTTCAGCTGAACCAAGTGACAAAGCCTTTCCATGCTCAGACCCAACAATTAATGGAAATGTAATAGAGATCACGAGAATGTCATACACTGCAGCCGCGGGCCTCATTCGTGGAATGGGGCTCAAGAAAAAGGGCAAAATGCTCAACGACACCTGCCAGGCCTGTGGGCTGCAAACACAGCACCTCCAAAGCCTCAGCTGTCCCCATGAAACAAGGGATCAGTTGTTGAAAGTGAGGAAAATGAACTGCACGCACGTGAACTTCATGAATAAAAGAATGCTTGTCATGGCTCCCTCTGTGCACAGGTCACTTCTCGCAATGAGAAGCCACTCCTCGCAATGAGAAGCGGCGCATGACGGTTAGAAAGGTGACCACTTGGCACATCACAGAGAGCCTCTCTCAATTGTAAAACCTGCCAAAGCTGCGGCCAGCCAACCCTGTTCAAACTTCAATACGCCACCAAATAAACGTACATGAATCAAAAGGCCCCTGCATAAGCCGGAGCAATGTCCAAAACGGGCCTGTACTGGGGACATGCTAATCAGCAGCTATCCACCAACACAGGCCGTCCTGCCGAGGGACGCCTTGCCAGGTCCCTTCCGGCCTCTTCAGTTGTCAGTCGATTGCATGTTTATTGCGACCCATGATCCATCCTCCTCCGCAAGAAAGCAGACTCTAAGATTGGGAAAACCGCGCAGCTGATTATAAGATGCCCTGTGTAACAATTTGCCGCGCGCAGCCAGTACCCTGGTGGTGCAACACATCGCTCACCTTGGGATATGTTTATTCGTAATTGAATGCATGTGCGCTTGATCAAGCGCCCCTGCGCTGCTTGCCGCGTGCCCCCGGGACCTCTGAGGCACATCTGAGGCTCCCCCAAAAAAATTGAATATGTGCCAAAATAAGGGCAGCGCATGCGCGCTTGATCAGGCGCCCTTGCGATGCCTGCCGAGTGCCCCACCGGTATGTTCCGTGGTGCAATCTGCCGCTCCCCGATGATTTTGAACTTAATTTCAAAAGGGGGACCGATGCGAGCGCGTTGAGCAGGCCTCCCCATGGCGCTTGCTGCGGGCCGCCAGGTCCTCCCTCCGGATTTTGAATTTGAATCTAAAATTGTGCTTACGCGCTCAATCAGGCGCCCCTCCGGTACCCGGCGCTGGCCGCTGGGACCTCGGTGGTGCGGCCTGAGGCTTTTGTCCTTTTCCAGGTTTGAAGCCAATTTCGAATTCAAAAAGCGCATGCGCGCTTAATCAGACGCCCTTGTGGAATTTCGCGCGGGCAGCGAGGACCTCGGTGGTGCACTCGGAGATGAGCTGCCAGGTGGCACGCACGTGGCGCTCCTGAGTGAGGCTGCCGCCGATTGCCATGCGCGCCACGAAGCGACCGCTCAGCTCGGTGTGCACGAGGAAAGCGCGGCCGCTCTTGTTTATTCTCTCCAGCAGCTCCGCAGTCGCCTCGTTGGTCGCGTCGTTGTTGGGACCCTGCGCGCGCGAAAGTTCTGTCTTCAACTCTTGTCATTGCAGAGACCTGTCTCAAGCTATTGCCGTTGCAAAACCTTCCCCGCGACTCTTGAACAAAGAAATGATCAGGTGACAATGAGTTTCCGTTGTGTCAGGTCGCTGAGAATCCTGGGTAGGTCAGGGATTCAAGACAGGCCCGCTATTGGCAATCAGCTACCATATACATGAGAGCATGGACATATTCCCTGCTGGCATACTTGCATATGGCCAAGCAAGCAAGCTTTGGGTGAGCAATGTGCAATGCTGCTCCAGAACATTTTCAAGGTACAGGACATGACCAGAAATGCAGGTGGCAGGCTTTGAGGGGAGGGCAGTACTCACTCTGATAGCAAAGCAGATGAGGCCCCAGCGTGGGGGTGCCATGATCTCCAGTCGGGCGTCGGTCTGGATGAGGCTCACAAAGAGCTGCCCCAGCTGGACGTGATGCCTGCGCAAAAAAATGGCATGCGCTCTCAGCGTTTTGCAGGCAGTAGAGAGCAAGGCAGAGCAGCACAGACAATGCAAATGCTGCATACAAGGTCAGGTACACTCGGCCACAAGCAACCTCCTGCGATCATTCAAGGTGCACATGTGTTCAAGGACTGCTGCTTGATAACTGAGCATGTGCACCAAATGGCGGAAGCAGGTCAGGGGGTGCACCTGAGGAATTTCTTGATGTTGTCAGTGCCGTAGGAGCGCATCACAAACCACAACTTGAGCGCGCGGAAGCGCCGGCCCAGAGGCACTTGCCAGTCCTGCTCCCCCACAGGCAATCATTCCTCACATTCACCTCAAAAGACACCCAAATGATGTGTCGATTAGCAGGAGCAGTCACCCTTCCCTTACCATGCACACGGGATGCACTAGCACATGGAAGTTTGAGCTGCCCAAAACAATCGAAAAGAAAACCAGAATATGCGCGAATTTGTCCGAGTCCTGCATGTTATTAGCAGGAGATGTGTTATGACATAGGAGCATACAGCTATATTTCAATGAGCAGAGACACATTAATCTCATTCAAAGAGATGAGTCGCAGTGAGTCGCGATCAGTCACCTTGTAGTCGAGGCTGTTCCCCTTGGCGCGCAGGTAGGCCGGGGTGAGCGAGAGCGCTGTCTTGAGGGGCTCCGCGTTCTGCACCCACATGCAGGAGCAGTCGAAGTTGGTCAGCAGCCACTTGTGCCCGTTGGTGATGAAGCTGTCCACAAGCTCCAGGCCGTTGAAGTAGTGGCGGTACTCTGGCAGCATGGAGGTAACGCCTGCATAAGCCGCGTCCACATGCAGCCTGCACATTCGTGCACATGCGGCTCAGCCAGAGCTGGGGGTCCTTACTAATATTATTCTTACACGCTTATCCTGCCAAAAGGCAAGGTACGTCCTGCACTCAAGCTGCAATTATAGGCTGTCACAATCGTACCCCTTGGTGGACTTGCCAGATCCAAGCAAGACCCAATCATCCGTGGGCACGGTGCTCAGGTTTTATACCGTCCTCTGCCGACCGGGGCCTTCCTAAACAAAAGGCTATTGACTGCCCCCAGCCTTGCTGCTTTTGGACCTTGCATGTGCATAATGCAAAATGTCGTTTATCAGTGCAATATGTGCAGACAGGTGGCCTGCAAGAGTGTATCCCCCATGTTTTTGGAAATCCCCATGTTGCCTGGCACATCCTTGAGCAGGCTGATCACATCAGAACTTTGCAGATGTGCATTTCAAAGCCAGCCTATATATGCAGTGCATGAGGTAGACATTCGCTGTTCTAAAAGTATGCGGGGGGAAATGCGGCGGATGCTCACCAGAGGTTGTAATGCCGGGTGATGCGGCCGATCTCAGCGATTGGGTCAACCGCGCAGGAGGAAGTTGTGCCGATGGTGGCACAGACGTAGAAGGGGATCAGGTCTTCATTTCTGAGGTCCTCTTCGATCGCCTCTCTGAGGGCAGCCGGGTCAAGGGCGTAGTCATCCTCGGCCGAGGCTGGGATGATGCGCACGTAGGGGATGCCCGCCACCATGCAGGCCTTCTTGATTGAGCTGTGCGACTGCGGGACACGTTAAAGTGCTCAGGAGCCAGCAGACGCCTTGACTCACTCTCGATGTGCCCCGAGCAAATTGCACAGTATCTCAAGTGCCCATAGGGACGCTGGGACCCATCCCAGAGGGACTGGAAAGAGGCCTGGTACCCTTCATTGCTTGCTATTGGCAATCAGCTATAGCAAGTTGCCAATGCACACGACAGATAAAGCATCTGAGGTCATTGACTCACAGAAAAAACATTGACGGGCAATTGAGACGCCGCCCCTTAAACCATAGCTACGCAATAACAGGAGTGGTGCATGCAGTTCCGGCTGCGCACCTGATCTGAGCTGTACGCAACGAGCTTCGAGGCGTGCTCAGGGGCGACCCTCGCGCGCGCAGCCAGCACTGACACAAGTGTCGACTCGCTGGCGGAGCCCTGCACAGCACAGCACCATGCCTCGTAATGCACCTGCTTCAGGCCATGCACTTGCCTGCAGCTGTATTGCTCTGCTCGTCAGTAACCAGGAGTCGAGCACCCTATACAGCATGCATAGCAGGGACGTGTACAAGTGAAGCCTGGCTGGGGCAATGGCCATCACTGTTGCACAGCGATGGAGACAGTGCTAGTGTGGTATTGCGGCATGTCATCACAGGAGAATGGAAGTATTGGGGTTGCACTGCCCTTTTACCACATGGGCTGAGGCCGGCACTGAGCCGGACAGAAGAAGGGGCGCACCATTGAGTCTAGCAAAAGGAGGGGGCACATCAGGGAGACAGCTTACCACTGTATCTAGCATAAGGGGGGGTCAGATCAGGGGGACAGCGCAATTGGCGTCTAGTAGAAGGGCCAGATCAAAGAGATGGCAGCGCACCTGGATGACGCCGCCTCCGAGGCCGCGCTTGCCCTGCTCGTCAAAGGCCAGGAAGGAGGTGGGCAGGCACAGCAGCTTGCCCAGCCAGTCCATCACAATCTGCGCAGCCAGCAGAACCTTCCTATCAGGCTCCCAATTTCACAAATGCACACTTGCAGGGTAGAAATACTCCACACAAAGGGCCAACAACAAGTGCGATCAGGATATGTGGGTGGCTGTCAAAGGCAAGGCTGTCTGCCCTGCTCTGAGAGGCTGCACTGAGCTAACAATCACAGTCAGATGGGGGGCTGCATAATTCACCCAAACATTCATACATCCCTGCTTTGCAGCAATGTGATAGATTGCCGTACAAGGACATCATCTGAGAGATCATCAACACAAATTTAAAGCAATCGAGGGGCGCTCACCGTCTCGAGCTCTGTGGTGGCTGGGGAGCCGATCCAGCAGAAGCCGACGGTGCTGAGGGCGGTGCTGAGCATGTCGCCCAGCATGGCGGGGAAGCTGGAGTTGGAGGGGAAGTAAGCGAAGAAGTTGGGGCTCTGCCAGTGCGTGATGCCTACACAGCAGCAGCAGCACATGGGATCAATTCAGCAAGTCAGGGGTTAGCTTAGTGCATAGAGGGGGTCAATATATGAGGTCAGGGGAATATCTCAGGCGCACAGGGGATCAACTGAGGTGGTCATTTCAGCAATTCAGGGACACACAGGGGATCAGCACAGAAGGTAAGGGGACCAACTTGGGGGGTGCAGGGAATCTACAGGTACAGGAAGAGGACAGGGAACTAGACATGAGGCATCCAAGGTATCAACTCAGTTCAGTGCGCACAGGGATTGAAACTGAGGAGGTCGGATCCTCCATTCGGGACGCACAGCGGTCCAAATAGGATCTATGGGCGACAAAGGGTGCAAATTCCAAAAGCCTACAAGACTGTGAAACGTCCAGGAAAAGTGGCAGCTTGACAGGCTGCCAGCACAGCTTGATTTGTCAGCGAGCTGGTGGGTTGGTGCGCACAGCCAATTGGGGAGGGGTCTGGGCTGCCCTGCACTGACCCAGTACAGGGGTTGAGAGGGGCAAATGATCGAGATGTACAGGTGTGCCCTTAGGGCCAGAATTGTTGGGTGCCCACCTGGCATAATCTTAGACTGGACGTCCTGCATGATGGAGCCGAAGTTTTCGGGGTGCTGCGGGGCGGCCTTGGGTAGGAGGGGACGAAGGTAGCCAGGCTCCACCTCCGAACGCACGGGCAGCTTCTCGTTTGACGCGTAATAGTCACAAATCCAGTCCACCATGTCCTTGGCATTCTTCCGGAACTGCGCGACGGACAAACAGTGGGCGGCTGAGATCTCTCGTAATTCAGGTGACTGGCAACGAAGCCTAGCGCCGCGTGCCACAAGGGGCTCTTGCTGAGCACAGCCTTTTCGGAACATCAGGGGGGCGACCAAGCTCGCCAACGCCCCCCAATTGAGCCGGTCCCACGCACTCAATTTGAAGCCAGGACAGATCCCGATATTGCTGACGTGAAGTTCGGCCGATTGACGTCGACGTCGGAAACCACGCATATACCCTTGAACACGCTACGTCCTGCCGAGATGCAGACTTTCAAACGCACCTCCTCAATTCCCATAGAGTGTTCGAAGTCATCAACGGCACCCTCCTGAAGTCCTGGGACGTCAGTGAAGGCCATGGGAGGGCTTGCATGGAACTCCGGCCAGTTCATGTGCGGCGGCATCGAATCAGCTCAGTTCACCTCCACTCTGCCCCTAGCCCTTGTGGTGGGCGACGAGATAAGAGCACGTTACAATGACGGACGTCAAAAGAATAAAAGAAATTCGGATGCTGCGGTACGGCAAATTCAGTCGTACAGGTTTGTGCTCTTCCACACGGAGTCCTAGGAACATTTTCTTTTATTTTCGCCCTTGTTGAAGTTATGTCACTGGCTGTCATCGATCAATGATTGGGAACCCATCATGTTGATCTCACTCCATGATCAGTCAGTCGGAGCTTGTAGCATCTCGATCTTCTGATGTCGAAGCTTCAATTTGTATGACAGGTGACAAGACGGCACAGGACTTGACAGATTGCGTCCTCGGAGGACGGCAGCAAGACGTCAGCCGTGAGGGGGGTTCGGTCTGGATGTGGGTACCGGCCCAATGATGTCAGCAACTCGAAAATCTCCGGGAGGCAACGACAGGGATCACCCACCACACTAATTCAAAGCCCCCCTTCACCTCGAAGAGCCCCGAGGTGTTGTTCCGAAAACCCCGTTTGATAGATTTGTCAGGACCAGGGAGGTCAGAAAGCCACTGGACAGGAAATACTACCCTGGCATGCTCCTTTCGATCCTTAGACAGGCACCCTCCAGCGGTGGGGGGATCTTGAAGGCGTCAAACGAGGCTCCGTGCGGTAACCGTTAGGGCTTGGCATATTGCTTGTAGAAGTGGTGGTCACCTTGAGGTGACCTGACTCAGAATTCTCTAACACTTTTTGTCGAGCTAGAACTCTCGCAGTGTTCGCACAAACGGTTTTGGACTGCCTCCTTGGCTACTTAAAAGCATGGGCGGTTTTGAGCACCAAAGAGGTACAAGGTGCAAGAAAAGTAATCTTGTGGTGTATATAAAAATGCCTAGGCTTTGCTTCCAGTGACAGAACGAATTGCTGTGATCTTTGGCAACAGTACTTGGAATTGTCGTGGCCCTTTCTACTGCACACCTCCCTCCAAGCTCTTCTGTCTGGAATCTGTGCTGGTTTGCAGAAAGACGCTTTGGAGACATGCAATTTCATCAATGCATCGGCTGACCAGGTCTGACACCTGAGTCTTTTGACCACACTGTGCCAAAGACCCGAGTGACTATATTTCTTTCGCCCCAAGCAATTGAATTACCTCCACTGCCTATACATGTACATACTCTGCTCGATGCAGTGCATTCAGTGTGTCTTTTGTCCTGCTATGCAGGCATGCAGTGCAATCAGTGCGTCTGTGTCCTGCTATGCAGGCATACCTCGAGACCGATCCTGCAACGCGGACAACCAAGGATGAGTACATCATGCGCTACCAGCGATTTGCCAGGGATGACTTGGAGCGTGCGCTGCAGAAATATGAGGCTCTGCACAGCACCATTGGTGCGCTCTTGTCTCATTGCGTGCCCATGCCTGACAGTGACAGGTTCGACATTTGGCATCTTGTTCGTGCAGCGCTGAGGTGCTGGCATGAAGCAGATTTTGTTCCATTGGCTTATTTAATGCTCATGGAGCTGCCGGATACAAATCTGTACCAAGTGTCTAGGCATAAAAGGGTTGGGCATATATGCAGGTGAGGATGAGATGAAGCGGCTGAAGAAGTCCGAAGTGCAATTTGCGCTGACTGTGGCTGACTCGCTACTAGGGAGAGACAAACTTACCAGAGCGCTCAGGTGACAATTGTCCAGAACACTCACTCTTTTTAGGAAATATGTCTGCAAAGATATACAATTTTTCAATGGCTATCAATGCAAAGGGGCCTACATTTATGATTGCGGACATCCAATCTGGTGTCTTGCATAGGTCCACGAATGATGGTGTTGTTGTGTGCATGCTGTGGTCTCCTGGAAATTCATACAGCATTTGTGGCTCACAATTTCCGCCTTCAATTTTGCGCAGAAGCGGACAGGAAAAGCTGAGGGAGAAGCACACCTCTGGACTCAATCGTGAAGACCTCGTATTTTGTGGCAATTGAGTTAGGCATGACGAGCATTGCAATTGTGTACATTACAACACGTGTATAACATGATTGTGTGTGTCCTGTTGTTGCACGCTGCCGTACAATGTTCTGTTGCAAATATTCCACACAGTGTTTCAAATCATAGACGCCAGCTCATGGGCAGTGTCCTAGCTGTTTGGCTTGTCCTACCAATCTGCTGTCTTGAGACTTCCTGGCAGCAGTAAGTAAAGGCTTCCTCACTACTAGCGAAAGAAGAAGAGCAAAAGCCGCCCATGTTGCAATGAACGATCATTGGGGATATCTTCTGGGAATACTTATAAGCTAATTAGCTACCACACCATCAAGCACTTAAATATTTCTCAGCCGTCATACAACCTGAGGTGAATCTGATCCACCAAGATCATCATAATGTAGTCCCAAGACATGGACCACAACAGCAACAGCATTGCTGCACTCAATTGACATGACACGGCTGATCATAAAGTGACTGGCTAGGTCTCAATGCATACACCGTGAGGCAATAACATTTAGATATTGTGGCAGTAAGAAAGGGGCCATTTGCAGAATAGGTAAGTTGCTGAATCTTATTTAGCAGATCATGCTTGTATCAGAATACCATTTAAAAAAGTTTCACTGCACAGCCGCTGTCACCTCGGTGAATATAAAGGCCAAATCTTGGAACATACTGCAGTACTTCATTGCTTTGCAGATTGGGTCCTCCTTTTACAGATTGAGCAAGTCCTCATAGAAGCCACCGTACCTGCAGCAGCAAGAGCAAATTACTGATTTATTTATTGGCACCCAAACATACTCATTTTAGATATTTATTGTGATACATGAGATGTAATATCAGAATTTTTTTCGACGCTTGTACGGTTTTAAGGGCGCAAATAACATGTTTTCTGGGATGTGCAATGATGTGATGTTACTTCAACAGAGTATGGAGCGGAGGCTCACATGCCAATGGCAGGGTCCTGAAGAATGTGGATTTCAAGCACCCAGAAGCGAGTGTCGCCATTGGGCGCAGCTGCAGACATGGGCGTGTGGTTCTCGGGGCGTGCAAAGTTGACATCCTCCAGCCCGTAGTCCATTTTGTGGCTGAACCGTCCCAGCAGGTGTGCGCAGTACGTGTTTGCATACTTGTATCCATGCTCCTGGCATGTCCTGCATATACAAAGAGTTGTGCATGGTCCAATGGCGGCAAGGTCACTGCACTGACACATGCCACTGTATGCGCTTCTTACAGCTTTCAGGCTCGTGTAAGAAAGCTTGCAGTGGCGGAAGTACACACTGTTATTCTGATCTCAGGAAAGACATCCATGATGCATCTCTAAAGCTCTTGAAGACAGCGGGCAACGCTCACAACGGCCAGACAAGACACTGCTCTGCTGCAAAGACACAATCAAATGTGCAAAACTATCTATATTAAAGAACTTTTCACAGGCGTCATTCTTTTTTACTAGAAACATCAGACTGCCCTATTTTCAATGGGTAGAGCGCAGGTACCTGAGGACAAAGGCGTACAGCTCAGCACCAGTCATGTCTGGACGCGACTGGTATTCAGCCTTGCACTTCTTGAAGATTTTGGGCAATGCCGCTGACAGCTTGTTCTTCTCTGGATCGTTTCCTGCAGAACAGGGACACTGAATGCATGCAGTCTGGTTGTATCAGTGAAGAACCGTTTACTTTGACAACAGAAGCAGGCCTGACAGATCTGCTCATTCAGGCAAATTTCATTGTGCGTGCCAGGATGGAGCTGGCTCACCAATGACATAGTTTCTGGCGAAATCGGCCTCCACATTCTCGAAAACAGGGCCAAGGTCTATGAAGGCGATGTCATCCTCCTTCAATATGCGATCAGGCGTCTTCACGTGTATGGGGTGGATTGTGTTCTCTCCTGTGCGCACAAGCCGCACATGCCAGTACTTGCGCGTGCCAAAGCTGACTGCTGCCAGATCGAATATCTCCTTATTAATATCCTCTTCTGTCCGGCCAGGCTTCAATAGGTCTGCACAACAGACACTGCTCAAGACATGCAAGACAATGTGGTTGAAGAGAACATGCTCGTTTTCTTGTGCACAGACAGTTTCTTGCTCAAAAGTGTCGTTATGCTGTCATAGAGCTTCAAAGGTACCACAGAAGTAGCTATTAGGTTTTTGCTAACTGCACTGGGACATCGCCTCCAGAGAGCAGAAAGTCCTCAGAAGATATCACCTTTAGATTCAATGACCTTGAAAAGCTCCACAGCCTTGGCATGGGCGTCCAGCAGGGCCTGACCCAGCTGGACGTCCTCCGCCTTGATGGTGGGTGCCAGGGGAACTGAACGAGTGGCCTGCCGTACGTGACCTGCAGGAGCAGTGAATTTGCTGCTTTGAAATGACAGAAATTTCCAAGGTCGGTTATGTGTCGGCAAGGCCCGAGATGAATTGTATCTGTTCGGTGAACGACACAACCTGGAAGACCTAGCGAAACGATTAATCACGCACTTGATCTGTTTGAGATCCTTGCAAAGCTGGAAGGAAGACGATTGACATTAAGAACCTGCATTGCTGACAACGCTGATAGTCCTGCAAGCGTCAGCCTTTTGCAATGAGCCCTCACATGAAGTCAGATCTTACGTGAAGGTCTGATACATACATTTCCTAAGCAAATAACAGTCCAAATATGTACACATTCGTTTCTATGTAAGCTATCAGTTGTTTTGAAGGCACTGCATCAATAACGTTCTGCTATGAACAGTATAGAGGCTCCAACGAGCATGCGGATGATGATTTCCCACCTCACTGGTCAAAATCTGGTCAAGTCTGCAATTTAAGTGGTTGAGGGCACCGTTAACTTGCAGATAGAAGAGTCGACTTTGTGGGAATCCGAGGTAAGGACATTGGTTTTGACCACCAACAACCTCATCCGACGACCATGTCTGACTTGATCCGAAGCTTCCGGGCCAAGAAGCTTCCAAGGAAGCTTCCTCCCCGACAGTGATATTTTGAGTTGGAGTCATATTATGGCGTTCAGGTCATTCAGGTGGCTTGAGTGAGCATTCAGAGCAGGTGCCACCATCAGTGATTGAAATCCTGAAACTCGCTTGTCTGGCCATGAGCATGCCGAGCCACAGCTTCAGCAGGCAGTGAGACAATTGTAGCAACAATCCATCGATTGTTGATATCACTGATATCATGGCATGACTATGATCATGAACCCAATGGAGTTGCAAGCTCGACCATCAGATCATGCAGAGTGCAGCAATGACTAGTCAACGTCGGCCATTGAATTTACTGAAATGTCTCGCTTTCTCGTAATATTGCACTGTCTGTTCAATGCATGCACTGGAAGATTCAAGACCTGAGAACTCTAGCATTATCTGCAATGCGCTATAGAGAAGACCAATTACTGCGGTCACTTTGCCCAGACATCCCCAGGGGGTACGATACCCAAAAGGGTAGGATTTAGTGGCCCCTGCCATCTTCAGTTCAGGGGTCTACAATGCCTGCACCAAGGCCTGCGAAGTGCTTGCGCTCACGCCGCACCTTATGTATGCTGCCTGTATGCATGCTGTGCCGCTCAAAGATGGGCGTCCGGCCATCGGCCGACGCCTTCACTGCGCTTTCCGCACCCATCACTCTGCGCCCCTCATTCTCAAATTGGTCCATGCTCAGCTGCGCAGGCATGCCTTACAAGGCCCCTCAAGGAGCCCGTGCTCTCCTGCAACAACACATTTTGCACGCATCAGTCAAGTGCCGATCTTCATGAACAAGGGTAGTTTCATTTCCAAAATGGTGGTGTCAGCCTTCGCGGGAATGCAGCATTATCGCACCTGCAACCATTGACAGACATTTGGACCAAAACCCTACTTAACTCACACATGCATGCATGCATAGTGCTGAGAACAAGCACTGGATCTGGTTTTCTCAGGCAGACTCTGCAATCTTGAGGCAGATCAGGGACTTGCCTGCGCAACGACCACAGCTCTATGGTACAGCCTGACGTCGTGGGTGGGGGGCTTCCGGGGGTCCAACCCTCGCTGCTGCAGCGTGATGCTACTGGGAGAGCTTCCTCTGGACCCTGCCAAGTCCTCCTCTGGCCTCCCCGCCATCCTGGAACAGAACAAAAACCGATCAAGAGCTGCTGAAGAGGTGCCAACAGCACTGTGCCGCTTGGCACGGTCCACCATGTCTGCAAACACAACACCACAATTAAATATTCATCCCAGAGGATTATTTCATGTGGCGAGCTGCCTCTTCTGGGATCCAAATCTTCACGAACCCTCCTTTAGATATAGGTGCCCCTTTCTTTCTTGGAAAACCCTGGCAGCAAAACCTGGCCTTCTACTAGAAGCTTCAGCGAGCAGTCACCTTCCACATTTCACTTGCTTGCGCCACCGAATCGGACGACCAAGTGAAAGGGTCAGCATGCAGAGCTTCGGGCGTGCTCTCGTGCACTCTGCACGGAAGAGCCGGAGCAAGGTGAGCTGGAGAAGAATGAGTGACTTTGCCATGGGTTGATCTGGGAATGCTGGTTGGCAAACTAGCATCAAGTGTTGTCATAATTAATGCACACAGTATGCCAGAAAATATATGGGAATCTCACATCATGCGAAGAATCTTACAGTCACTGCCAAGAATGCGGCAGTCAGAGCTGACGATCTGTGCATTCAGGTGCTCTCGCAATTGCAATCCACGCGGGGATATGCTGCCAAGGAGGTCAGATTCGGCGTAGATTGCCGTAGCGGTGTGCTTGCCGGCGTTGACAAGCTAGCAGACGCTGTACAAGTGACTCTGGGGCCAAAGGTGCCTTCTTTTTCACCATCTGCTGGTCCTTCCTTTGGCAAGCAGCTGTCACACGCTAACCTGGTCTCGCACTAATGAGAAACAGCTTCGTGGTTGCATGTAGAGATTGTGCAGCACCTTTGCATCCCCTCATGCATGCATGCTGTGGTGCAGGGCAGGAATGTGGTCATAGAGCAGAGCTACGGCGGCCCAAAGATCACCAAGGACGGTGTCACAGTGGCAAAGTCCATAGAGCTGAAGGACAAGTTCCAGAACGTGGGTGCATCCCTCGTGAAGCAGGTGGCCTCAGCCACCAATGATGTTGCAGGAGATGGTGCGCCATGCCCTCCTGAAACTGTAATGCAGCGTGTCCGTTCCTGCATTGCTTCTGCGCCGATTGTTCACACATGACCCTAACAATCACCCCTGGTTCATCAGCAACCCACAGTTATGGCTCTGTACCATTCTGCATGGGTCGATGCTTGGTGATTCCGGCTCTGCGATGGAGATTGCAGCCAAGGCAGTCATTCTGGGAATTCTGGTGGCATTGCCTTTGCACCGATGCTGCCCAGTTCGGTGTTGGGGCTTTGCAAGAATCATTGATGTTGTCCACATTAGCAGTGCTGATGGGCGGTCCTGTTCAGGCAGTCGAGTCATGGTGTTACTAACCACGGATGCTGGCCAGGCACGACGACAGCGACGGTCCTTACGCGCGCGATCTTCAGCGAGGGCTGCAAGAGCGTGGCGGCCGGCATGAACCCGATGGACCTGCGGCGGGGCATCAACCTGGCCGTTGAAAAGGTGCTGGAGGACCTCAAGAGCCGCGCCAAGATGATCAGCACCACCGAGGAGATCGCGCAGGTTCGCCGCATACCCAACTTGTGACTCAAGGTCTCAGGTGCACTGGCCGGCTGCCTCACCATCGTGGGAGGCTGCTACGCTGCAAAATAAATGTTGCGGATATGGCTGCCAACTGTGTTTACTTGGCATCATGCTCACTGCACTCACATTGACCAGTCGCTGAGAGCCAAGATAGTGAAGGGCAACTTGCAGTGCACCCTATGCGCACAGAGCAACTCCTCGACAACATCGCAGAATTTGCAATGCTCTCAAATGCAATGGGAATGGGGTCTGGTTTCTGAGCGCGGGCACCACGGTGCAGGTGGGAACCATCAGCGCGAACGGGGAGAAGGAGATTGGGGAGTTGATAGCGCGCGCGATGGAGCGCGTGGGCAAGGAGGGGGTTATCACTGTAGCGGACGGCAAGACGCTGGAGAACGAGCTAGAGGTTGTGGAGGGCATGAAGTTTGACCGCGGCTACATCTCCCCCTACTTCATCACCGACCCCAAGACCATGAAGGCCGAGCTCGACAACCCCTACATCCTCATCGTCGAGAAGAAGGTCTCCGGGTAAGCCTCCCCCTCCCGCATGTCCTTCTCTACTGGAACCACGAGAGTGTCAGGATTTGCTGCTCATGCACACCAGCGCACAGCAGCATGCAATCACCACTATCAGCCGAGTCCTCGGCAGCCTCTATCATTCATATCATTCGAATATCTGGGCCATCTGTCGCAAATTGGATATGAATACCAATATTCAAAAGATATGTTACACAAGAGCCTGCGGCTCGTCAAATCAGCTCTTCTACCAATGAATAAACCTGGTCATATCAATTCAGCTCCTGCAATGACGACTAAGGGATTCTGGGTGGCTTGTCGCCAGGCTGGCGCCGCTGCTGCCGATCCTGGAGTCGGTGATAAAGACGCAGCGGCCGCTGCTGATCATTGCGGAGGACGTGGAGAGCGAGGCACTGGCGACGCTCATCGTCAACAAGTTGCGCGCGGGCGTCAAGCTAGCCGCCGTCAAGGCGCCCGGCTTCGGTGACAACCGGAAGGCCAACCTGCAGGACATCGCCACCCTCACCGGCGGCGAGGTGCGCGCCTGGGCCGCCTCCCATAATTATAATCAGAGGGAAGCTGCACTTCACAAACGTGGTGCAGATCATAAACATTGCCATTATGTCTGGATTATATTAGTGTCCGGATGCAAGGCATGCCATGCGGGCATTACTCTCTTACAGAGCTGCTCTGTTTATGATCTCACTATCGATGTCCTTTATGTCCGTATTGTTTCTGCTGATGCAAAGCCATAGGTTTTTAAGCCACTGAGTCTGTTGAAGTGGGACGGTCTCTTCTACTGGTTCGCTGACAGGAGTAGCTGTCTAAATATAGTTTTCAAACCATGCAGCACCGTGTGTGTAGTGCATTGCAAAACTGAGCGTGTGTCGAGGCGATGGGCGGTGCTGCGCGGTGCAGGTGGTGAGCGAGGACGTGGGCCTCAGCCTAGACAAGATCGACATGAGCAAGCTGGGCACGGCCAAGAAGGTGAGCATAAGCAAGGACGACACCATCATCCTGGACGGCGGCGGCGAGAAGGACAAGATCAACGAGCGCTGCGACCAGATCCGTGAATCTGTTGCAGCCTCCTCCTCCGACTACGACAAGTGCGCACACCAAGCTTCCTCCTCACCACCTGTCACTAGACTCTGCGGACTGCGAAGTCTGAGTAGTTTTCTGCCTTCGGCTATCTCTGAGTGCTTACACCTTTCTTGCTGCAGGCCTGCACTTGCAGGCTCACCGCCCACAGTCTGTGCATGTTGGATTTCAGAGCAAATCTGCCATGCATGACATGCTGCACGCTGTGTATGCGGGCACATGCAGCATCTGTCAACACCGTGCGGATTGCTACATAACATCTTGGGCGGAAAAGCACATTTGTGCAAAGAGCACATCTAGGTGTCAGATCGTGTGAGCGCTTGTTGCATGGTGTGGCTCTGCAGGGAGAAGCTGCAGGAGCGGCTGGCGAAGCTGAGTGGCGGCATTGCAGTGATCAAGGTGGGCGGAGCGTCCGAGGTGGAGGTGTCTGAGAAGAAAGACCGCGTTGTGGACGCCCTCAATGCCACCAAGGTGAGAAGGAAAACTCGCTCTTGATGGCTACTCCCGTGCAAATTTGTAGAAGTAGCTCTTCAGTGCATCATAAAAGTTTGAATGGCTGCCAGAGAGCCTGCACGTCATGTTAACACGACTTGTTTGCCAGCACCACAAATGCATCCGGTGATGTGACAGTTGAAGAACTTGCCGCACAGGTGCAGTTGCTTACAGTGTCCTGGCACATCTGTTATGCCAGCAGACTTGTTCCGCTGCGTCTATGTGCCGGCTTTTTTGATGTCTTTGCCAGCGGCTAATCACCTACTGCACTGATTAATGCAGCCGGCTTACATTCACATATGGTCTGAGATGTGATCGCCTGACTGATATGTGTGTTTGGCGGTGCAGGCAGCTGTAGAGGAAGGCATAGTGCCAGGTGGCGGAGTGGCGCTGCTATACGCGTCCAAGATCCTGGGCGGCATCAAGGGCGGCCTCAACTTTGACCAGAAGATCGGTGTTGACATCGTGGAGCGCGCTCTGAGCGTGCCCCTCAAAACCATCGCCAACAATGCAGGTGCGCGCCCGACGCCACCTGCGTGGCATGCTGTTCACCAAAATGATGAGCTGGGGCTTCTTGTGACCTTTGTTGCCTTTCTTCTTCTGGCAGGGGTTTGAGTTTGCAACAGGTCAGGCAAGAGCGGGAGGTCGCCTTCGTTTCACATTGTAAAGCTGCACAACGTACGCAAGTATTAGGGCCTCCGGGTGCATACAAAACACACAGATGGTTTTGAAGTGGCATTGCTGTACATTGCTCGTCTTGTGGGTTTCCCTTTCTCTGGCAACCACACCCAAAGCCAAACTACTCTTCAACCTTTGGTTTGGCGTGAAGTTTGATGAGGTTGCCTGGAAGATGGAGAGCAAAGACAGTCTGGTGTCTTGCAATGGCCTTCAATTTTCCCTGTATGGTAGTGCATTAGTAGACTTGGAGGAATGGGGACAATGTGCCAATACGTATATATTCTGTGGGTGAACTCATCTTAGCTCGAGCTATTGGCTGGCGGCTGCAGGTGTGGAGGGTGCAGTGGTGGCGGGCAAGCTGCTGGAGAAGTCGGACGAGGAGAACCTGGGCGGCAGGCTGGGCTACAACGCAGCCACTGACAAGTTCGAGGACCTGGTGGCCGCCGGTGTCATCGACCCAGTCAAGGTGCGCATATCTTGTGGGCCTGACATTTCCACCCATGCACCATGCACCCTGGGCGTGATTGCCAGATTCCCCCTGCAGGGCTTCCCCTGCCACTTGTGACTTTCAATCTTGTTGTGTGCATACGGCTTGCGCACAAGAAGGCTGCTTTTAGCAGTGGTGGGGCAGCCTTCTGTGGCGGAAAAGCCCACCAGAACTCTCTTTGGAAAGAGATGCTCTTTCTCCTGTTCAGGGATGTGCTTTTGCTGGGCTTATCAGACACCACTTACAGCTTTAAGCACAGCTTATGAAGTGATCCTACATGTGCTGAGCGGGCTGGTGTTGGATGTCAAAACAGGTGGTGCGCACTGCGCTGGTGGATGCTGCGAGTGTGAGCAGCCTGATGATGACGAGCGAGGCCATCGTGGTGGATTCCCCCGAGGAGAAGGCCCCTGCGGGATCCCCCGGCGGCATGGGCATGGGCGGCGGTTACGGCGACATGTACTGAGCGGGGAGTCCCCTTGGGGGGTCTCCGTAACGAATCCCCCTGGCCAGGGATGGCTTAATCCAGTGTGCACCGGGCACATAGTAGCTGGTGGATCTTTAGTGCTGGTGGAAAGAGTCTTCTGCATTGTGTGCATGTGCTCAATTGGCTGGTACCTTATCTGCCATGACGCAGCTGCAGTTGTGTATTGCTGGCAGTTTGACAGGCCTGCCGGGAGTGATTGCTGTTGGGAGACAGAAGGCAGCAGAGCAATGGGGCTGCTGAGTCAAGCAGATTGGGAAAACGGGGTCTGCATGCAGAACAAAGGCTGTTCTGCCAGGCCTGGGTGGTTGGCTTTAGTGGTGGAAAGGGATGTAGCGTAAATTTCACATGCTTTGCAGTTTTGCTACGGTAGTTGCTGCATCTGCTTCAAGGCTATGGGCTTTCTGAGGCGAGGGAACCTCAGAAGCGTCCTTAATTGGGCAGACATATCTGGAATGAGGAGAGCCGTTCTCTAGCTACAGGTGGTGAAGCGGGTTTGTTGGTCCCCAATGTGCCTATTGGCAATTTAGACAGTTCAAGATCAAGTAGGAGCTGAATCAGTAAGAACTGTATGACAAGGACATCACGTTATACTGACCAATGCATGCCTTTGACATTTAAATGATTACGTAGGACTGTAATTACAGTATAAGTACTGTGGCATCAACGTTGATTAACACTTTTGGCCCTCATGCCGTCCATTTACTCCCTAAATACCCATTTTCGCAAAGACTTTTGAAAATTCAACTGTTCATACACAATGTTGCCCATGGTTTGCTGGCTGAAAATTTGCCAAGCCGTGCCCCTTCTGGGCTTATTCTACTAGAGTAGTAGTAGTACTTTCTCAGACCAGCACCCATACTGCAACCAGCTTAAAGAAACGGCAGATGTCACGATCTGCTTTTGATGTTGATGGTGAAGTCGCAGACTGGCAGGTTGCTGGCGTCCGCTGTGACAGTGGCCTCAACTCCCAGATGCACCAGAGCTCCTCTGATGAGCGCACATGGCAGGATAAGGTAGTCGCGCGCCAGGTCACCCACTGGAGGGCTTGTTCCTGGTGGGGCCCCCGGAGGTGGGGGGTCCACAGACAGCTTTGACAGCCACCTGAATGCTGCATCCTTCAGCACGAATGTGCCCCTGTGATTCGTCCTCAGATTGTCCACCTGCAGGCATGCATGGCTTACATCGGTACGGTTGCTGCAACATGGTGTTCTGCTCCAAATACAGAAGCCTCAACAGCTTCAGTCCCCGCAGGAAGGTAAACTGTAATGTAGTGTGCGAACCTGTTTCCTGAAGACAGCCGCCCAGAACTCTTTGCAAATAAATTTGATGACTTCCAGAGGCTCGCCAAGCCGCCCTCTGCTGGCTGTGTAACGCTCTGCAACCTGCCTGCCTACTCTGAAGCCTGCAGATCATATTGCAGACCTTCACAATACATGCAAGCAGGGTCCAGCTCGTTAGTTTGGAAGCATCATTTGGGGGTTCAGAAGAAACTTGTGACCAGCACTGAAGGGATCAATGAGCTTGAGCTCGCAGACTTGGAACCTACCGATGGCCTCGATAGCAGCTGCAGATGGGATGTTGGTCTGCCTTGCGTAATAGTGCACAAGCTCCAGATTCAGCAGTTCCATGCAGGATTCAGAGCATGTCCTCCCCTTTACCAGGGACATGCTTCGGCCAGAGCCTGCGGGCAGGACTAATCCGGGATCTTTCGCTTATAGTTGCGTGTTGTGTATGTTTGCTGCCATGAGTCGGGTCAAATAGAGAGGACCGTTGGCATCAGTGAGCGAGAGCCCAGAGCTCTGTCTATTTCTGCAAGAAATTGAACTTCTGACCCATCCAATAAATTTTCCCGATCAGAAAGGTATCCCCAGGGAGTAATCTCACAGTGTAATCTCACTGAACATTGGACTGAATCTTGAGGATAGCAGCTCTCTCTTTGATACCTGGGTGTCGCCCTGTGTGTAGACCAACAATTCACAAATGATCCTGAAGCCCGAATAGCAACAGGAAGTCTCCACAACACGAAATAATTGAGAAGAGTTCGGTGCTTTCTTGCAAGACAGCTAGACCCTGAGGGTTTTTGTAGGTTTCTTGAGGCTTCTCAGGTGGAAGAATTTAGATCGGTAAAATGACTGCATGCCAAAATATGTGAGAGATATATTCTCAGCACATACAACTTGAAGTGTGCTTGAGCAAAGGCTCTCCATATCTTCCGATCGATGTGACAAGCATCTCGATCTGGAAGTTCTATATTCCTAGAAACATTGGAAGAGGTAGGGTATGGTTGCAATAAAGAATTTTACATAGATGACTTCCTCCAATGGTTCGAGCAATGTACCATCCAGCATCATATCGATGTGGGGTGCCAATGCTTGACACATGCACTGCCCAACTGTTCGCCAAAGCGAGCCCTTGGATAAGGGCATGCACACATGGCGAATGGTTCCTCATTGCCTCCGCCATACGAAGCCTGGGGGAGGGTGTCACGCGTCTGGCTCGAGATCTCTGATGTCTGGCAGATGGTTTCGTTCGCTGTCCTTAGGCGTGGCACAGCACCACATGCATCAGGTGCCACAAGCCACGTTTGCATCGTTGGCCAGCCTTCGGAGTTCTCAGATCGAATCTGCTGCTTTAGCTATCCCCAGCCCTCGTCCAAGGACAGCAGTCTGGGGCCACGCCAGCTTTGCAGCTCCTGCCCAGCTGTGGTTGTATGCACCCCAGCGAGCCTTATCGAGGGCAGCCAACGCCATTTTCAAAGCAGCTGTCGATCTTGAACCACCAGCTGCAATCACCGGCTCTACACCAGCCAAGCCAGCTCCCAGGAAGCGCGGCCGCAAGAAGAAAGCAGAGCAGGAAGTCCAGCCGGCCGTCTCCAGCAACGAGGAAGCCCCAGTCCTGCCAGCTGTTGATCTGGCAGCCAGCGTGCCACAGGGCGGTGAATGGGGCAGCGTCAAGCGGTGGGTGGTGTTCTCAGACCTGCATGTCAGCCACAAAACTGTGGATGTGGCCTGCCAGGTTCTGCGCCGTGTGAGGGAGGAGGCAGTGGCCCGCGACGCTGGAGTGCTGTTCCTAGGCAAGCATCACCCCTTCCAATGAGCCCTTAAGACTGCAAATACTGATGTGTATTGCATTCCTATCCAGAGTTAGAATCGCCTGAGCTCTCATCACTGTGGGTTGACATGTCTCCTATTTGGGATGACCGATCGGTCCTTGTGGCAGCGGCATTAAGCTCACATTGTGCCTGCATGGACCTCAAGGTCTGCTGAATGTTGAACATGCAGCAGTGAACTCAGTGCTTGTGCTGCAGGTGACTTCTGGCATGTGCGGGGCTCACTGCCGGTGGGGCCCCTTAACCGAGTGCTGGAGGAGCTGCGGCAATGGCGCCAGCCCACCCTCATGCTCGTGGGCAACCACGACCAGGTGCCCAACTCCCCACTGCAATGCCCATATCTCCCTATTACTCCACAGGATCTCCTCTCAGGACAATTTGTGGGAAGTTGATGTCTAGGATTGACGCTGTGCAGCCTGCACAAGCGTGTGAGAACCTGTAACTGGGCATTTATTGAGACTCCGCATCTGTGTGCCACTCTTGCATTTGGTATGATACTGCAAGGAGCTGACGCTTGAGGTTTGACTGTCACGCTGTTCTTTGCATAATAACAGGGGGAGTAACCTAGGAGAAATCCCCCGGACCAAAGGCAAGGCAGGGCGTAATTGGCACAATCTCAATTGCCACCTCCTTGCAGACGGAAGTAAACAAGGACAATCTCCACAGGCATCAAGGTAGATGGTCATGAGAAATTCATAGTGAGTGAGGCTTGGGTGTGGGGGGGCGCTGCAGAGCACGATAGGGGGTTTGGAGCACGGGCTGACGCCATTGGCGGAGGCGTGCGGTGCGCTGCACGTGTTTGATCGGCCGACGGAGTGGGGAGGTGCGCTGTGGCTGCCGTACAGGCGGCAGCGCGCTGAGCTGGAGGCCGCCATCCGCGCCGCCACCGGCCCTGTCAAAGCAGTCTTTGGCCACGCGGATGTTGTGAGCGGCCATACACTCTCTTCTTCCATTCCAATCAGTCATTTCAAACGTCCTTCATGCAGTCTCATGTAGCATGCTTGACCACTCAGCTTCATTGAGCTTAGCATGGGTCCTAGGTGGAGTATAGCCGGAGTGTGCATGCATCTTCCTGCTAATGTTATTCCCTCATCACACATGCCTAGGGCAGTCACGGTCACTGGTGCAGGAAAGCAGCAGCATGCTGACATTTATTGGTGTGAAGGGAGGAGTGATGGGGGGAGTTTGTGGGTGCAGATTGGGGCATTTGTGAACGAGACATTCCAGGCGAGGGAGGGATTCATGCCGGACCTGTTCCCCGAGGGCGTTCCAACTTTCATGGGCCACTACCACAAGCCACACACCGTCCAAGGCACCAGCATCCAATATGTCGGCTCCCCGTTCCAAGGTTACCCCCTTGAAGCGTATCATGTCTGTTTACGAACTTTCTTCTCAACCTAAGGAGACAAATTACATCTTGCTCAAAAGGCGGCTCACACAATTGTTCTCTGAACATGGAAAGACCGTGCAGAGTATAATCAGATGTAAGCATGCCACACAAGTCTAAATTCAGCAAGGAAAAATTCAATATTATTGGCATATCATGGATTTACCACAGCTGTGACATTCCTTTTCTTGAAAAGCCGGCTGAAGAGGACCAGCTGGCTTTCTCAGAGAGGGAATATGACAGCTGTGGCATGTCTTTTTGCTTTCCTGTGACACTGAATCTTCCTTCCTATTTGCCCTGCGCCCTGCCTGCTCTACGGTTGAGCCTAGAAACTTTGCAGATACAGGAACATGCCATGAGTATACGTGAACAAGTGACGGAGGCATGCTTTGTCTCACTTATGCGACCATTGTATGTGATGTCGTTTCTTTTGCAGCAACGTTTGAGCCGCTTGCATGCATGCAGTATCCAGGAGCGAGGCGGGGCAGCAGAAGGCTCTGCTCGTGCTGGACAGCGATTGGCGCGAGACTGACAGGATACCCCTTGACATCGGGCCGCGCTTCCACTCGCTCTCCTCTGCCCAGCCAGACTTCCCAACCGACCTGCGCGCCGGGGACAGGTGAGCCCATTTTAGATCTGTCCTCACATATGTTGATCCTTCTTATTTTATCTATTTGATTTCATATTTATAGTCATATCAATTTTTATATCAATAGTAATGTTTGTAGAATCTTTTGATGGACTTTTATGTGGGGTGGGCATGAGAGCATCAACTCAGCCCCTCTCTCATCGCTGAAAGAAAGCAAGAGTCTCAACGCAGCCATTCTGCTTGCCAAAAGAGCGCATTCTGCATGGATGCACAGCAAGGACTGCAGGAAATTAAATAGGCATGACACTGAAAAAGTCATGACTGCCGGTGCCTTGCCACTAAGCAGGAAGAATGCTGTTCTGCACTCCTGCATGCATGGACGGAGGCAGACGATGCACTGCAGATCTGAAATCACATGAAGCTGAGGAGAGAATCAATGGTGGTGCATTCGAGAGATGGCGCATGTCTTGTGCAGGGTGAGATGGACACTGCCGGATTCCAGCCACCTGGAGAGCGCAGAAAGTACTGTCCAGGAGCTTCAGAGCAAAGGTGCTCTTTGGTCCTCTCACTAGATGTCATTCTCCAGTGCCATGCAGTCACATGCCCCACACTTCTTCCCCATGCCCTCATCCACCATGGCACAGTGCTATGCTGTCTCTATTCTACGAGCCGTGTCTTGCATCGCCGCCCGGATCAGGAGGAGTTTGATGATGTTCATGTGGAGGGCATTGTTGGTGGGTGAGCAGGGGTAGTAATGGAGGTATTAGCGCCGCCGCCGGTGTCAGCGCCGCGCATAGAGGCGTCAGAGGAGGCTGGAGCGATGCCCCTCTTCCAGCTGTACGCAGACCACGTCGGCATGAGCGCCGCGGCCGTCGCCACAGGCTCAGACATTCTGAGGGTCTGCCCTTTTGACCAAGCACTTCATATTCGTACCAGGCCATGATTTTCTTGCCTTTGTTTTGCTTGTCTTCATCACGCTTGCGGTGCACTGCATTCATTGCCATCTGCAAGGACGCTGGTGCAACTCGTGCTACACCAGACACTGTTTTGCACCAATGTCTTGACTGGTGTGGAGCGAGTTGCACAGTGGCCCTTGCGGATTATGGCTAACAGAAGAGCTCACTAATTCGCCGGTGTTGCCCTTGCCAGGATTTGGCAGACGAGGGTGCCAGCATACAGACGGAGGGCGCCACCATAGAGTTGCACTCAATGGAACTGGAAGGCTATGGACCCTACAGGTGTGCTGTGCATGACTCTGATTTCATATCAAAAGCCCTGGCGGCGAGCACAGCATGATTTTTCTGGGTACCATAATTGTCCAGAATTTTGACAATGACAGAGTTGGCACTTGGAAATCGTTCTCTCTCTGATCACGAGTGCACACGTGGAACAATATTCTTTGATATCGCTCCAGAATTCTAGATGATGCCGAGAGGTTTCTGCGGTTCAGGGAGGCGGTGCGGTACGGGCTGCAGGAGCGGGGCATACGGGTGATTACGGGGAGCAACCTGGATGATGACGGCAGCCAGAGCAATGGCGCCGGCAAGAGCGTGCTCGTCATGGCCCCCCTCTGGGCCCTCACCGGCCGCTCCGACGCCCGCTCCGAGGTAAGTGCATTACCAGAATGTCCTCTGCAGGTGCCCTAATACACACACACACTGCAACGATTTGGCACATTGAGTTGCAACATAGAGGGGCTGGTGCTCCTGATTCTTGGTAGATTGCTGTTACTTTACACCCGCACTTGTTGCGAGATGTCTAGTTCAGGCACCGGGCATGCATTCACAACTGATGCATGCAGACTTGAAGATCTGCTCAAAGTGACCCTGGCTGGTGGCAGGGCGGAGGCAGCAGGGGCCTTACCATGTCAGACATAGTGAACGATGACAGCAAGGCGGCGCGCGTGCGAATCGACGGCGCTGTCAACGGCCGCAGCTTCACTGTGGAGCGCACCACCCGCAGGTGAGCACTGTCAAGGATCGGTCAGATTGTCAAACTTTCTCTCATTTTATCTTGAAATAGCTTGCAAGTGCTGATATCTGGAGCTGCACAACAATGTAAGAGCTGGCCCATTCCTTTGGGCGAATTTTTGCTGCAGAGCCTTACAAGCTTACAAGGCACTGAGCACTGGGTGTCCTCAATACACCAAGTAGCTCTGTGCTGTCTGATGCTGTGTCAGTGCAAGGCAATAGTAATGTAAAATGTTGGGGTATTGTGGGCGCAGGAAGGCGCTGGCGGGGCTGAGGTTTGAGTTGGATGGGGAGGACCTGACGGGGGCTGACTCGCGGCTGACGCAGGCGCAGATAGAGCGGCGGCTGGCGGTGGGGCTGCTCGCGCGCGCATCCTTCCACGGTCAGACCGACATCACCAGCCTGCTCGAGGTGCGCCCATCCCCTTTGCAAGTGCCTTGGATTGAGCGTCCAATGCCTCCTTGTGCCAGCAGGTCTTGCAGAGATGCAGGCTGCTCGATGCTCATGTCTGCGTGTCAATTTAAAGGCTCCAGGCAATGCTTCTGAGCGTTTGTGCGTGTGCAGACAATATGAACATGAAGAGCAGTGTACCATCAGTGACACCATCGGGATCACTGATTCAGTGAACCTGAGAATTTGTTGACGCGCTGCTGTAGCCTTCAAGTGACACGAGCATGTGAGCATTGGGCAGCTGGTAGCTGGCTTTTGAAACCACCTAATTATGGCTTGGCACTCTTATTTCTCAATTTTCAGGTGCATGTGTTGCCTGGCAGGCGGACGACAGGAAGTTCAAGGAGGAGCTGGGTCGGGTGATCGAGATGGACATATGGGACTCGGCCAAGGCTGTGGCGGCCGAGCGGCTTAAGGGCGCCAGGCAGCAGCTGAGCGGGCTGGACAGCGAGGCCAGTGTGCGCCAGGAGCTGCTGGCCACTCTCCAGAGCCAGGTCATCCCCTTTTACTGTGCCTCATTGGTCAATTGTCCCGTGTGTATCTTGGAATTGGACAGTGGACTCTGACCTGTGTGCGAGGATGTCCTAGCTGTCGGCTGTCTGGTGCACTGTCCGGTGAACAGTGAGGTTATGCAGGAAGGTTGACCGGACAGTGCCGTACCTGATACCAAGAACACCCTCGGAGGGGTTGAGAGTCTTCATTAGCAGGGCCTGAGATTGCCAAATTGCTTCTGCAGTGCAGTGCAGTGGTGAAAGCTGTGTGGTCACCAGGTGCAAGACGCAGAGCAGAGGAGCGTGCAGTGGGAGAGCGCGCGGCAGGACAGGCAGGCAGCTTCAAGGGAAGCGGGGCAGGCAGCTGCCGCGCAGCTGCAGGCGGATGCGGCAGAGCTGCAGCAGTGCTGCGTGCGGCTCGAGGCCTGGCTTGCAGCCAAGAGGCAGGAGGCGTCTGCACAGGACAGCCTGACAGAGTCGCTTGGTGGCAAAGGTACATGTGCACCGTCAGCCTGCAAGTAATTTTTGCACCTCTGGCATTCCTATGTTTGGCCTTGGTAGCACGCCTGCACCAGCACAGATATTGAACGTTGAGCACATGCTTACTTCGCCCCAACATCACATTGTTCTGCGCAGAGCCAAATAATGGCAGTGTGGGCAGTGCCGGGGAACCCCAGTTACTCAGCAGAAGCTATGGGAGCAGCTGGGCTGGAGCGCTTGATCAGGCTGCAGAGCAGCGCCAGGTGGCGGCGCGTCAGGGTGCCACAGCGGTGGCGTCCCGGGAGCAGGAAGAACTGGCGCAGCTGCAGCGCTCGCACCAAGCGCTCCAAAACCGGCTCCTGCTGGAGCGCAGCCAGCTGGGCAGCGCCACCGGCACCCTCCAGGTGACTGCAGATTTTCTTACTGCCATTTTGCTGCCTCTCGCTAGGGTGGTATACAAGCCAAGTATCGGTGGGTTGCGGGTGATCATCTCAGGCTTGTTGTGCTTGGCCAAGCCATGCACCTGCCATGCACGGTTGGCCTGATGCACTCACCAGCCACCCACTGGCCCTCTAGGTTTGGATAAGCGCACGCAATGCTTCTCGCGTCTCTGGTGATACCAAGCTGAGTCTAGATCGCTCTTCCAAGTGCACCTTTCACCGTGAAATGCCAAGTGGGGGCATATTTTATTTGGCACGATTAACTGAATCAAACCTTGCGAAGAAAACTAGACATATAACCGCGTCCTACAATCGCAGGCGAGCCAGAGGCAGGTGCACGAATACAGCCAGCTGCTGCAGAGCGCCTTTGCCGACGCGGCCGGTCACGGGCATGCGGCCACGGCGCTGTGCGACCGCTGCCTGCAGCCCATTGACGAGGCCACCTTCCGCGACAACCTGCAGCGCCTGAGTGCCGACGCCGACAGCGCCGCCACCACGCACCGAGCTGCGGCTGACCAGGCCGGCGCTACTCAGGTGCTCACTTTTTCCTCTCGAGCCTCTCGAATCTCTGAAATCAATTGTGATGTGTGAGGACACACAAGCGATATGCTCAGAGAGACAGCAGCAGATAAGCATGCAAGCCTCCAGATGAGGTGTCTGGACTTGGGTACCGAATGATAGTGTATCTTGAACGGGCCTTTTTTTACTTCTGATCTTTCACATTGCATGACGCTGTTGTGCAGTCTGAAGGTGTATTGCCTGTGGGATGAAGTGAAAGTGGAGGGTGCATGCGCAGAGGGAAGTGGAGGCGGCGAGGGCGAGGGTGGAGGAGGCGCAGCAGGCGCTGATAAGGGAGCTGAACCGCGCGAAGGAGCGGGAACGCTGCGCGGCGGCCGAGCGCGCAGCCGCTGCCCAGGAACGGGCAGCCCAGGCACAGCAGACTGCCCGGGAGTGGGCAGCCGCTCAGCAGGCGATGCAGGCCGCAGCAGCACAGGCACGCCCTGTATACTTATGTTGCTAAAGCTACTTATACAGTTGTCAGCGCATGGGTATATTTAGGAGCCCATGAATATGCGTAGGAATATGTGGAAGCATGCAGAGTCGGACAATGTGTGCTAAACTCAAACGCCGGCACCCACACTGAAGCCAGGTGACATGCTGGTTACCTGGATTGTGATCGGAGGATTGGAAGCAAGAGCGGTGCTTCCTAAATCTTTGCATGATTGGTGCAGGTGGCGACTGCGGAGAGCATGCTGCAGCAGGCGCAGCAGACACTGCAGCGCTGGCAGGAGCTGCTGGGCGGCATCCCCGCTGCACTACTTGTGGACACGGAGGCTGCCACTGATAGCGCCATCTCCTTTGTCTGCCAGACCTGCTCGTGCAGCATTCAGCGCACAGATTCCACCGGTGCGTGGCTGTGCCTGGCCCTGTCTGGACACCATGACAGGCTGATTCTTTGGCTTCTTTCAACGCAACATGGTTTTAAAGTACAGACGCTGTCAGGAACCGTCATCTGTCAGTACATAGACCAATTGGTAATCCCGAGGCAACACAAAATTGCTGTGCACCATCACATGTGCAAAGTGCCCATGGATCCAAGCGCTGCCTGGTTGGTGTGGTACATTTTGTGCTGGATTTTTAAGAAGTCAGCCTAAGAATCAATACCTTTTGTGGAGTCTGAAAAGACGCATGAAAAACGGCTGGGGACCTCGACCAAATCTGTTGTAATCATCGCGCTGCAGGAAGGCGCGTGGAGCAGTTGCAGGCGGCGGCGGCTGCGGCGGCGGCCGAGGGCAATCCGCACGAGGGCGAGGCGGCGCGGCTGGCGGCGCTAGCGGCGGAAGCTGCCGCGACGCTGGCGGCGCTGGGGGGCCGGCGCGTGGACCTGGGCCGCCAGGTCAGCGTGCTTGCTGAGCTGGACGCCGGCTTTGGCCGCACCGGCGTGCAGAGCTACGCGCTGGAGGGCATCCTGGGCGAGCTGCAGGTGCCTGCTCACTTAATCACGGGGTGCTGTTACTAGATATGTCAGTAATCCTCAATATATCCCGACCCCATACTGCTGCGTCACCGCGGCAGTGGCAGCTTCTGTAGTTGCTTTTGCTTAGGCTGCTTGCTTATCTTCCAATGCAGGTCTCTGCCATGCCAGCAGCCCTGCCATTGGAGGACAAGAGAGCAATCCATGCAAGAGCAACCTGTGCCCCGGGGAAGGACAACGTTAATCTGTCCTTAAAAATTCAACCTTCAGTGCCCCACATCACATTGATATTGAGGCCCATGATACCGGAGGCTTTGCCGTGGCCAAGGGATTTCAAGGGGTCGTGAGCAGCATTGTCTGCGCGGTGCAGGAGCGGACGCAGCAGTATTTGGAGCAGCTGGCGAGCGGCTTCTCGCTGCGGCTGTCGGCGTCGCGGCCGGCCGCATCGGCGCCGTCCACGGCCGTCGAGCGCATCACCAAATCGGTGCTCGTGCGCTCGCGCGACCCCGCCACCGGCCAAACTATCCTCCGCGAACGCAGTCTCAGGTGACCCTGCCACCTGCCTGCATTCACGTTTGTACACCTGGCAGGAACTTGTCAACCGTATGTCATGGTTGTATTCCAGTCCCAGCTTTGCCTGCAACGCTCTGCCAGGCGTGGTGACAGGCTCCTGGGCAGCCATTTCCTCCTGAAATAGTCGGTATACAATGTTTTTTATGGCAAGCCTGCAGTCATGTCTGTTTCTTGATATACGTGGTGGTGGCTGAGGCAGTGTAGTGGGCAACATTTAGGCAGTTGAGCGGCGGGGAGAGGCGCAGAGTCGCTCTAGCACTGGTGCTGGGCTTTGCGGAGCTCATATCTGCGCGCGGCCGCCTGCGCTGCAACCTGATGGTCCTCGACGAGGCACGCCCAGGACCCATCTTGACCAAGCTCTCACTTGCTTTGATCATATCGTACTGTTCGTCATTCCTAGCAGAGACAGTTTATCTCCCCAAAATGACCATGCACCACCCCCTCGCCTCTTGAGCCATGCGTATTGTCCAACATCTCTGTTGGTGTCTCTGCCTGCTCATAGCCTTGGGAATTGTCTCGCTGCACTTCCTAGCAGAGGCATTCAGGGGAGCGCAGTGGGGACGGCTTGTGCCAAGTGGGTACAGACATGCTGGGCAGACATCACCCCTTACTGCTATCTAGGGAATTGTTGTTCTGAGTGCCGCCAGCTGACATGTGGAGGCACATGCGCGCAGGTGCTGCAGCAGCTGGACGAGGAGGGGTGCGCGCGCGTGGCGGCAGTGCTCAGGCGGCTGCCGCACAGCACCGTGCTGCTGGTGGGGCAGGCGAACACCTACGTGGCGCAGACATTTGACGCCATCGATGTGGTGGTCAAACAGGGCGGCCAAACCACTGTGGAAGTCGCACCCTAGCCAAGGATCCCAAACGGCGACATATTTTTGGGGTAAAACACGTATTACCATGCGCCAGCAGTCTGTGCATCTTTATGCTCGTCTGTCCTTGTGCAGCTCTTGTGTGGGACGTTCTCCCGACGTTGAGATTTGGGTAAACAGTTCTGAGTGCACGTGCCTGTCTGGGTGCAAAATTTTTTGGTCTTGATGCACGTGCGCGTGTTCATGAAACCCAGTGTAGGCATCTTGATATGGAAGAGATCGGTTGATCCATGTCTGCTCAACGATGGGCTTTATGATGACCAGTCTGTGTCTCACAAGTTGGAAGAAACAGACCACACCGTGTTCACGGTAATAAATATTCTGGTGCAACAACACATCACGCAAACTTAGACTGACCCTTGTGCTGACGCCCCAATACAAGCCCAGTCTTAGCGCAAACAATAACAGAATAATTGAAACCAAATATCACCCATGCTTAGTACTCACATCAATTCACCCCATCTGAGCTGTCCGCGCAAGCATTGCATCTTCGAGAAAGAAATTGCTTGTCGATGCAATTGGACTGTTTCACACCGCAGTCAACACTGCACTATTCTCAAAAGAGACACCGCTTCCACCATTATCGGTGTGACTTCAAGATTGACGCCACTCAAATTGTTGCAATTGCCCATAGAATCTGCCTTAGCTGTAAGAAAACAAATGCTCGCGCTTGAAGCATGTCACTGCATGTGATCGCCTATTCTACAGGTCCTGTAGTGGCTGTGTCTAGGCGCTACGAATGTATCTCCTGTAATACAAAAGCTGTATCTAGGCACTACAACCACCTACAGAAATAGATACCACCACACGATCTGTCTTGGGTTTTGACTTTAGAGGCAGCGCTACAGCATGACTAGCTTGTTCTGACATGCAACATTCTTTCAAGTAGCTTATGCATACCACTTTAAAAGTAAACCTTGAGACGAGGGCAGTAAACGCCGCCCTGGAGCAATCTGAAGACGCTTGAGTGAAAACCAAATTTCTGAGACAAAAGTGGCGCCGCTCCCAAGCATATGCAAAGTCTACCTGCTCAAATATGGGCATCCGGCGGTTTTCATTGTGCTTGGATTGCGAATGAATTGATGGGGGATCTACCAACGCATGTTGATCAGCGGGCTGTTTATTATTATTGAGACAGCCTCTGCCTTGACCTTCTGCTTGCAAATGCTGTGTGCTGACAAAATGCATCGTTGGAAGCATATTGTCAGCGCAAGTCAGCGAAACACCCTGCCCAAAAATCCGCCCCCAGCAACTCCCTGCCAAGCGTCACCGGCCGATGGATTTCCCCTTTTGCCGGCCGCCTTGCTCAACCCCTTAGCTTTGGCCCAGTAAAAAATTGCGCGGAAGGACGTCCCTCAGAAGAATGCTCTTTATCTTGCTTAAAGAGGGAGTCTGTAAGCTGTGTGTGGCAGCTCAGACAGAGGCTGACAGGGCTTTGACTGTGGCGCCCACCAGCTTGTCCAGCGCCAGCAGCTGCCGCAGTAGCATCGGGTGCTGACGCACCTGTGCGCCGCACGCAACACCTTAGGCATAGCTATTCAAGATCTTTGTGCTTGGGGCGGCATTCTTGCAATCTCAAATGCCCTGGTCACATACAGTAATGCCCGGACTTGATTGAGCCTGCAAGGGACCACCTATTGCTCTCATCGCAGACGAGCACCATCTGTAAGAACCAGAGCTGTTGGCATGATGACATGCAAGCAGCTCAGATATTAATGGTGAGTCACCTCAGAGTACATGTGCTTTCACCGCACATAAAGGCACAACTCTAAAGAGCATCAGTTCAAGATACAATAGCAACCCTGGGAAGGGAGGGGCGGGATGAAAATGGGCAAGCGCACCTCAAAGGGGAGTTCGGAGAGGGAGACGCCAATGTCGCTGATGAGCGCGCGGACCTTGTCGTCCAGGATGGCCTTCAGCGCCACGCGCTCCTTCACGTGCGTCAGGCTCTGCTCCCGCAGCGCAGTCACCTCCGTTTCCAGCGCCAGCGACGGGTTCGAATTCAAATTCGAATTCGGGCCCCGCTCCTGCGCAGCCGCCATTCCAAAGGCCGTCAGTGTCCCAACCCCAACCCACATTAACCCTCAAGCACATCTGCTTTCCTCATGTGCATGATGTCCCTCAGGCTCCCATGGCTTCAAGGGGACCAGTGCTCATCCTCATGGCATGCATCCAGTTCACTCTTTTCTGAAGAAGAATCCTTTGTAGACAGCCTGGAGTCACTGTGAGAAGCTGTAGAGGAAATTGTTTTGCTTACAGTATAAGGTGGGCCAGGATGTTTCACGACGTTCTTTGATTACTTCAGGCCAAATTGCCTCAGCTTTGCTCTGTGATTGAATCAGGCGGGTGGCTGACCTGGATGGAGCAGTCTGAGAACTCGCTGGAGGTGGTGGACAGCAGAGCAGCGCCATTGCCATTTGAGTCCACAGACCTAGGGCCCACGGCCGGCAGACCCCCGCTCATCCGCTGCCTGCAGCAACCACACGCCACGCAAAATTTCACCCTCTCCTCTATCTTGGAGAGAACGTGCTTATGACCTTTTCCATGCATGGCGGCTTGATGGGCAGTCGACGTCACAGGGGCTTCATCATATGACAGAGGGCCGCTGATGAGCGACCGCAGCATGTAAGGCAATCCAGCCACAACTAGGCATTCCACTTCCGAGCTTCAACACGGTAACATAATGGGCGAGACCATCTAGGCTGGGTTTACGCAATTGCCCCATTTCAGGCGGCAGGTGCACTGACAACAAGTGCGCGCACCCGAGAGGGGAGGGCCCGGAGGCCCAGGCGCCGAGCGCGGACTGCAGCGGAGCGGACTTGATCGGGGATGCGGCAGCGTGCTCTACAGCGGCCTTGCGCAGCGCTATGAGCTCCGCCGTGCGGCTGTCCAGGGCATCCTCCAGCCGCCTGAACCACCCAGCACATTATCCACCTCAGTCACCCCTTTCCTACGTCTCCAGGGATTACTAAGTCCACACTACCCCTTGCATGTACATAGCCAGGCCCCAAGGTACGGCTGACCTCTAGATGCCCAGTGCCCCTTGGTGACCCCACTTGTATAAGCCAAGGTAACAGGTTCCAGAGCTGCATTGCTTTGTTGTCAGCATTGTGCTCCGCTGCTAGCCTCTACAGGGACTTTCTGATGAGTTGCTACCATTGCTGTATATTTCGGCCCGGGCGTCTCTTCTTCCACTTTGCATTGTGACAGACAGGGAACACACCGACAGCATCTTCATAGTGCTGAGGCATGCACAGTGCGCTGGAAAGAAAAGGCAGGGAGGGGTGAAAGAGGGCGGGGCGGCGCACTTTTGGTGGGAGTCATAGGCTTCAAGTTCCTCCTGCAGGCGCAGCAGCTGCTCGTCGCGCTCGTTGAGGCGCCCCGTCAGCGCTATCATTATGTCACGCTGCTTCACCAGCAGCGCCTTGTACCGGTCCACCTGCGCCGCAGCCACAAGCTCAATGGGATTCCTCTATTACACCTCCTGCCGACTGTTACGGGCAGGCTCTACATCAATCGTTTATATAGTGTCAGCATGGCGCCTATTTGGGCGCACACAAAATTGTGGCAGGCAAATGCAGTTCACACATGCATGATCCAAGAACACAGCCGCGATCTGCTCAGGGGGTTCTAGCCGTCAGGCCGCCTTAAACAAAGCCCAGCCTACGAAGCGGCAACGTCAATGCTAGGACTCTATGCCTCCTCTTGTTCCGCACCTGCGCCTTGTCCTGCTCGGCGGTGAGTCGCTCGCGCTCCAACTCGCGCAGCCGCTCCTCATACTGGTCCCGCATCCGCCGCTGCTCCCGCGCCAGCAGCGTCCTGCCACAGTGACACACCCTTTGCACTCTCAAGCCCATCACGCCACCCAGGTATACACAGCTGCCAGTCCTGGCTCGGCTCCTTCGTACACGAGATAGCACATGCGAATAGATCCAGATTGGTCCACACTTCCGTAGACCCTTTTTTTTTGGAGCTAAACCGGGGCCGGTCTGACATGCTGACAAGGCTAAAAGATCTGTGTGTTGCATGCCTTTGTGGGGTACTCACTTCAAAGTCAATTTAGAAAGCCACCAGTTCCAGAAGGAGTGCTGAGGATACTGCATGCGATTTTCTTCCCAGAAGGAGAAACATGAAGTATTTCTGGCCAGGGCAGGCGATGGGGGGATGTGCCTGAAGACGGGGGTGTCCTCAAGCTTGTTGCCGCCGATGAGCAGCTGGGACTGCATGTTGGCGATGCGCGCCTCCAGCCGCCGCTTCTCCTCCTTCTCGCGCATGAACTCGCGGCTGCGCTGCTCCAAAGCAGTGATTGCCGCCAGCTTGTCCGCCTCCGCGCGCCGCTTCTGCTCCTCCACCTGTGGCCGGCAGCCATACCGCCATTCAGCACGCTCGGGCAAAGTACGCAAGCGCCACCCCGGAAGTGAACTTTAAGGTGGTGGATCTTTCCTTTTTGCATCTGTGCCTTTCTCTAGAGTGGAGAAGGCTGAGCAGTCATGCATCTGCGTGATCACTCAAGCCAGCTGGGGTGCAGCATGAGGGCTGATGGCCTGCACGCCGGGGGACAAGGTGGGCAGGCTGTAAGAATGCATGCGAGCATATCCTACTGCGCCATGTACAGGGACTGAGCCACAGACCACACAGGAAGGGACAGCTGCGCCAATGCAGGCAGTGGGGAGGCGAGGAGGGAACAGCGTTGTACCGCGAGGAGGTGGCGTTTGTCGACGACCTCGCGTTGGCGCAGCTGCAGTTCGGCGCGCAGCTTGCGCAGCTCGGCCTCGTACTTGCGCAGCAGCGTGCGGCTGTCGCCGTCCTCGTTCACGTGGGCCGCGTTGCGCACCGCCTTGGCCCGGTGCGCAAACTTCAGCGTGCTCACCGTCTCTGCGCGGCGCAGAATGCCCGGCGTCAGCCGCCGCTCACAATCGCTTTTAGTTGTGTTCTAGTTCTCCTTCTGGCAACCGCCCATACAGAGCCAGAGCATGTGTCACGCGCATTACAGTAGATTCTATTTCAAGTCAGTGCAGGCAGACCTATGCCACACGCAAGGTGGCATGGGAAGTAACTTCTCCAACCATGGCCATGCAATCCTGTGCTGTGATCCCGCCAGATGCAAAAGGCTGTCTGAGGGCGATGTTTCACAACAATGAGCGCCAGGAATGCAGCAGTAACCAGTGCAGGTAGTGCGTAGCAGAGGCTGGCGCACCTGGGAAGGCTTCGAGGGCGGGGGAGACGGTGGCCATCATGGTGGTCTTGCAGTTGCCGCCCAGAGAGTCCTCCAGGATGCGCGTCAGCTTCGAGTCCCGGTAGGGGATGTGTGCGCGTGCACCCCGAGCATCTGTCAGCGCCGCTATCACATTGCCAAGCGCGCTCAGGCTCTGGTTGATCTTCTTGCTCTCCTCCAGCCGCTTGCCTGCAGTGCGAAATCCCCCGCTCTTGATTGAATACCACGTTCCGTCTATGTTGAATGTAGCTGCGTATTCTGGACTTGTATGGGCTGCAAAGTGTGATGTAGAGATTACATACCGAGGGCTTTCACGGTGATTGTGTGCTGCATGTCTGGAGTGTGGGGTGCATGATCTGGACATGGATGGTGACTGTGGCAGTATGTCTTCATCAAGATGGGTCTGCATGCTGTTTCTGTGTTTCATGTCGGGGGTGAGGCTGCACGGTGTGCAATGCATGGGGCGCGCACCAGTAGCACCAGTGATGTGGACGCGCTCTGAGCCGGCCAGGTCGACCAGGTTGAGCTTGCCCACCTTGACGCAGTGGGTGGCCTCTCCCCCCTGCGGACCGCCGCCCATCCTCCCCATGCCTGCTCCCCAGTCAAACACACGTCTTCAGCAAGAAACCAGCGGTTTTCGAGGCATTTCCAAACTGTGGGTGTTGAGTTTTGGGTGTTCTCTTGCCCTAGAATAAGTGACTAATGGGTTGGAGCCAAGCTGCAGTCCAGCGGTGGCTTGAAATTGCAACATGCAAGATCAGCATTGTGTGTGCACCTGGCGCAACCCCTCTGAACTGCTCCATCTCTTCGCCATTGGCATGGGCCTCCTCTGATGGCACGGTGGACTTCTCAACGATAATGATGAACACCGCATGGCTGCGACTACTCAGCTCGTTCAGCTTTGTTGTGCCCGTCGCTCGTTGCATCGCCCCCCGCTCTATCAACCCATACACCTGCCCAGGTCACCATCTCCCTAAATCAGGGATCAATCCTGGTATCCGCAGAGAATGTATGCTCCAGCAGATCTCAATGTGAGCAAGCCAAGCTCATGGGATGTGTGGGGCTGAGGTAAAGTGAGTTAAAATGCACCTCCTGTGGAGACCTCACAACCCACTCTGAGAGGCCGTCCACAAAGACCCCCCGTTTCCGGTCCTCCTTGATGGTCAGGTTCTGCCGCTCCGGCTTGAGCAGATCCGATATCACCTGCGCCATAAGGAAGATCCCTTAGTCATTCACACCGCTGATTGTTGACAGCAGTGCTTGCATGCACAATGTCCTGGCTGCAGAGCCTGCGCATGCAGCACAAGCACCTCGTTGTAGATCTGCAGGTAGGACGCGCGGACGAGGTACTTGCTGCCCGGGGCAGTGTCGTTCTCGATGTAGGCAAAGACATCCTCCACTGCGCGTGGAATGATGCCCCTCTCAGGGCCATGCTGCGCTCCCTCCATGGTGTATGTCTTCCCTGTGCCCGTCTGCCCATAGGCAATGATGGCCGCGTTGTAACCCTGCACCATAGACAGCCCCCACCCTGTTTAAAATCTCCGCATGCTCACCCCTGTCTAAGCATGCATGCCTGACAGATTAGGCAAATCGAAGGAGTTATGTTAATAATGTATTATGTAGGAAGCAGACGTGGGAGACACTGTCCCAGTACATAGGATCACAACACTGGGTGGGATGAGACAGCATGACTGGGATGGGGATGCAGTCAGCACACCTGGAGGGTTGACAGCACAGTGCGCTTGGCGCTGTGTTCATACACCTCTGCCTGGTCAGAGTCTGGGCTGTACACCCGGTCAAAGGTGAATCTGTAGGTGGCATAAGCCTGCAACACCAGAATACCGTATCGTCATTCGGTTTATTCGGTTTCTGTGGTATCTAGTGCTGTCAAATCACTGCTGAGGGATCTCCTACTATATCTGTTGTACAACATGATCCACAGGGCCTCACCAGTCCGGCATCAGCTGCACTTCCCCCATTCTGTATAGCATGAAGATTTTCTGACACTGTCAAGATCGTCTGACGTGTGTCCACCAGCGCTGTATTTTGGAATGGCTGGTACCCCTCAAGCTCCCTGAGCAGGGGCGGTCTGACACGGATGGCCACCTGCATCCAATCACAATTATGGGAAAATCCATACAGAAAGTATTGCAGGCTCCATCTGCAAGCTTTCGACATCATGGTGATAGAGACAGCTCACAGTAATTGAACATATCAAGATGCCACTTTCCAGCCTGTTTGTGTAGTACAACAGAGATTTCTGCTATTATACATCCAAATTAATGCAAAATGTATCCGTCAAACATGTTGGCACGAACCTGAAAGTTTTCATTGGAGTCAGAACTGGCTGATGTTGTTGAAACCTCCGAGGTCTCGCAGGCTTGCTCGAGCTCGCTGGAAGCGGGCCGCTGCAAACCAAGATTTCTGCTAGTTCTGCGCTCTAAAGCAGAGAGCTGCTCCCACGAATCTCCCGCACTACCCATATACTACTCCACTTCTAGGCCCCCTCCCTTTCTCTGTTTATACGTCACTTCGCTGCGATTCACCATGCAGCCGAAGCTCGGCCAACCCCCTCTCGCAAAAGTGACCTCGACAAAGAGTTTCCTTCACATTCCCTGGCACGGACATCAGGGTGTTGCCTGCTTGTTGAAAGACAAGATTCAACCGGTCGCAATTGACTCAAGTAAACTGTCCAGGGCGTCCGCCGGCGTTCCTGACTGCCTACGGATCCTTGTGACTCTGCCCCATGCTGTCCGCAGATACATTAGGATCTAAATTTTAATTTACTGAAGTTCTTGATGTCATTACAAATATGATCCGAATTTGGATCGTGTTCGGGGTTGTTCCATAAGTTTTCATGGAACTGAGTAGTGCATGGAAGTTCGCATTGCCTTTTCGCATCCCCACTTCCTGACTTTGCGCAGTCTGAAGATCATCATACCATTTGTGTCGTTTTTAGGGCGACAGCCGTGACTGGATCCTAAAAATAGTTGGGTCAAGAAAATATAGCAAGATTGCCAGGAGAGATGAGCACGGGAGCACGAGAAGTGATCGTGGTACTGGCCCATCTGGCACTTTGGAGCCAGCTTGGAGTGTTGACCCGCATATCCCTGGATAGACTCTTCGCGGACGGTTGTCATGGCTCTTTCGGAGTCTGTCTCACCTCAGAAGGTTAGTATAGTACAGGAAGCTCTGTTTGGGGAGACTGACATTGATCTCTTCTCCGTTGCACGAGCATCTACTTCCTGAATGCATATAACTGCAAAATAATTCTATTTTGCTTGTGCAGGCTTGCAGCACCACAGCCTTGGGGCCTACTTCCCAGACATAGCCTCAAACATGCTAGGCTCCTACATAATGGGACTGCTGGCGGCTTCAGCCACGCTGAACCTGCCCACCAGGAAGCCTATGGCAATCCTGCCACAAAAGAGCCCTCTCCAGGTGCGCTGTACTGCCCAACGGGCTGCACTGACGGTACATCCTGCCGCACATGCCAGAGCTGAAACATGCCTCTTTGCTCTACATTACTGATCTCATGACTGGCTTACCAGGGTGTCCCAGAGCTTCATATCGGCGTGCGCACTGGCTTCTGCGGATCGTTGACCACCTTTGCCTCCTGGGAGTACAGCCTCGTCACTGGCTTGGTTGGAGGTGACTCACAGCCAGCAGATTTCACTTTTATGACCCCATAACCATAACGATCTACACCTCACGTTCTCTGCTGTGCACATGTCAACGTCGTACCCACATGTCTAATCAATCGCGCAAGAGTTGCTCGGCAGTCCTCCTACCACTGATGTCAGCATCCCTCCGTTGCCATGGCTGCAGGGCAGGGCAAGCAGGGTGGGCAGTGGGCGGAGTTTCTGTGGGGCCTTGTCATAGGGCTGCAGCTGTCGCTGGCGTCCTATGTCTTTGGGGAGCAGTGCGCGCTCATTGTCGACCGCTACCTGGTGCCTGGAGGCCAGGATGAAACCGACCTGGAAAAGATAGAGGACCGGTGTGTATAAATCATCACCCCTATTCACATGCATTTTTTATGCTGCTGCATGCATGCCGACTCTGCGCCAAGGGCGACTATTGCAAAAAATGCACGGACGCCTGGGCGAAGTTGGAGAAAGTGCATGCATGCACAGACCAAACCAGAGCCAAATCATGCAATCAACATGTGCAGTCGTTTAGCCGGAAATGTAAATGTAGGGAGAGGGCGACAGTGGAGGCAGAGCGCCGAGGGGAGTTGGGGGGCCCTGACCGGGGCCTTAACTCAGACGATTTTGGCGCCGGGCCAAATTCATATTCGGAGCAGGATGGCTCGGACGAGATTACGTATGTCCTGCAACAGAAGGCCGCTGAGGAGGGGACAGCTGCACCTGTCAGCAGCCGGCAAGAGCCAGGCGAGGCACGCAATGGGGTGGGCTCAGCTGCGGGGAGAGGCGGGACAACTGGAGAGAGTGGGGGTGCGCAGCAGAAGAAGGGTCGCGCAGAAGAACGTCCACCTCAGTCGGAGCCGGCGGGGACCAGAACAGGAGGTGCACAGAGCCTGGAGCTTGCTGCATCGCAGCAGGACGACGGGTCCGGCAGAAAGGTGACGAGCATCTAATTGATTTGCTGTCCAAAATGGGATTGTCTTTGTTGGTCACCTGACTCATCCCTGCGCCGCCGACTCTTTACCGCCATATCTGTATCTGGAGGTGTGCTCTGGCCAATTCAGGGGGCATGGTGCCTGTGCCCAACTGAACCTTGACACACTCCCTTGGCCTGCGCAGGTGTCGTGGTTCAGGGCGTTTCTGCAGCATGACAGGGAGAAGTACAGGCTACAGGGGAAAACAAATCTGGTGACTGCCGTGCTTCTGGCCCTGGTGTTGGCCCTTTTCATCACTCTGACAATTGTTGACAGAGGCCCTTCACACGCCGGCAGGTGCACCCCTCTCCTTCCTGCGCTGACCTGGGGATCCCGCCCTTGCTTTCAGATTTAGGCTTTGGGCATGCAAATGTGCTCTGCCTGATTTTGATTGTGTGGGTCTGCACGCAGGCGTGCACAGTGGCTGGCAGTTCTGTTTGGGCCATTTGGGTGCACGCTAAGGTGGCTGCTGTCAAAGTACAACTACAAGCTCCCTGGGCACTGGAAGTGGCTGCCTGCTGGCACCTTTGCAGCCAACATGATCGCCTGCCTTGTGGACTACCTCGTGGGGGTGCGCATTCCCATATTTCCTTCTGAAGTCACACCTGTTCATTCTGCAGAGTGATCAGAAGTGTATCCGCTTCCATTAGTAGTCCCTCGATGTCTTACAGGAGCACTCCAGCACAATACTTCATCAGCCCCATTTAAAGCCAACTTCAGTGAATCTCTGGGGTGCAGGGGATTGGGCACAGGGTGGGCAGCCTCGGATACTGGGCCACAATTGTGTTGTACGCCATCAGGACAGGATTCTCTGGGGCGCTCTCCACTGTCTCCACTTTTGTCGCAGAGGTGTGCTGCTGTTTTGTTCTCTTTTTCTTTTATTATTAATTTTTTGAACTTACTCACTCCCAGCTCTACTATTCTTCCCCATGGTCCTCACGGGCTGAAATGGGCACTTTCACACAAAATCAAGCCATTTATGATGTTGTGGCATGTCTTGTCAAGGAGGTGCTCATGGGCAGCAGTGAATATCATATTGCTGCCATGCAGGTTCATGCACAAATGATGCTGATTCCGGAGGTGCTGCATGGGTACACCTACTCTATCGGGTCCCTTGTGACGGCTGCACTATTGGGAATCCTTGTCTATGGGTCCATGGTCTGGTCAACATGAAATGGGCATCCTGGGAAGAGCCTGGATCTTGCATCAATGCAATTGTTCCCCGCAGCACTGCCCAGAGCCAATTTGCACTGTAGACAAATGCGATCATTTGCGTCAACTAAAAGGAGTACGACCTGCACACCGACAGTGACTGCTGTGCTGCAAAATTGAGCACCTGTCAAATAGAATGGTTCAGCATTGACACACCCCGCGGTATGCAAGGCACTCTCCACAAGCATCACAGTTGCAAAAACAGTAGAGAACGCTGTTGAAAATTATCCAGTCATGACCTTCATGAAGGAGGAACCACCAACCACAGGTTGAGATCCTCACCTCGGGGCTGGAAGGAATCGGGCGTATGCTAGCCTCCATCACTCTCCTACTCACACAATAAAGTCCTTCTTCCTTTGATTTTAAATGAGATCCAGGCTTTTTGTCGGCTGTGGTCCGCATCTGGCATCGCCAGGATGTTCGCCGTCAACTGATCTCGTTCGTGCCTTTTTCACTTTCAACATGCTCCCTTACTAAGGGCCTTAACATAAAAACTTAAGTGTCTCAGGCAGAAGTGAAGGAAATCCAAAATGATATTTCGGGCTTATAAGCTGGCTTGGGTGCATTGCAATCTAGGCATGGGACCACTGTGTCACATATTTTCAATTTGTTTGGGATCACACCAAAGGATGTCAAGTTGGATGGCAGAACACACACATGAGTGCAGGCAGGGAGTTCACATACTTCAATGGAACATTCAGGAATAACGGCTGCTAGAGTTAAGTTCCATAATAAAGTAAGCTACTCCATATATGTACTCCGTATATACTTCTGATACTTCCTTTGTGCACATATGTGCATGCATGCGAGCATCAATGCAAATCGATTTGCAGATAACTCTTGCACCATTGTTTTCATCGCCGCTTTGTCATCGGCCCATTGATGCCTCATGCCCCAAGTGGTGCCTGACCATTGCTTGCATCAGGCACCACTTGAAATGTCAAGTGCAGCTGCACATGATTGGGAACCAGCTTGGCCACCTGCAACCACCATCAGCCACTCAGCCACCAGAGTGCATCTTCACTCTTCAATGATGGGGAGAAAGGAATTGCCAGCCTACAGCTCTGCAGAACATGCCTTGATCCTTGTAAATATCAGAAGCCCATCCCCAGTGTGCTCCTACCTTGTCCAATTGGTGACGCTGCAAGACAAGCTCCCCCGAGTCCAGGTAGGACGAGTGCAGCCACGCAGAGAAGAGTACGCTGATCTTTCTGCGCCTGCTGAAGCGCGACACCTGCCCCCAGCCAATTGTTTTACTCATTGGCTCCACTCATGTCCCACCGGCAACTCTACACTGCACCGGCAAAATGATGAGCATTTGTCTTGTTCAATGCAACACCATACTCTGCAGGCAGCATTTGCATTCCCTCTCAAGCCCTCCTTTTTTATACGAACTGCACTCCAAACAGCTCCCTGATCACCTGACTACACCAAACCCTCGCCATGACTTCCTGACATTTGCAGGATGACCCACCTCGAATTTGATGTCCCCTTCCAGCTGCCAGGGCCCAGGCAGTGCGGTGTCACCCTGGCCGAGGTATATAAGTGCGATTTTGCGCGCGGCGGCCGCCCCGCTCGGCCGACAGCGCAGAACAAGTACCCCCCGGTTCTTCCCGGTGATCCAATTGAGGCCGCTCATGCGCACAGACTGCAGCACCACCACTCTCCTCTCCGGCCACGCCCTCAGCGCCCTCGCATAGTACTCAACATACCTGGCACGTACAAGGCAGCTGGTGTCACGATTGAGGGATTGTAGACCGGTTGTGAGAGGTTGTAGAACAACGAGACTGTTTGCAGCCCGGGACTCGAGGGCAATTGGGTGCCAATGCGTGAAGGTGGAAGGAGACCGTTTGCTGCCCAAGACTTGAGGGCGACTGTGTGCTCATGTGTGCAGGTGGAAGAATGTTGTGGTGGCACGGCTTGCAGCAGAGGAAGTGTGAAGAAGGAGAGACCTCTCCTGGCTGGCATTGGTGATTCCCTTGCCATCATAGGTCCGCCGCTCAGCGTAGAAATCCAGAGCCTGCCGCGGGTCCTGAAACTGACCCTGCAACCCCAGACACATTTCATGCGATGTGCTTGCGAGGATCCTGGCCATTCTGCAATTGAGTTATCGGAGTAGGACTTTATGTAAATGACTGCAGCGCACCGAGTATATCAGATAGCAGGTGATCATGATGCCTGCAACCAGAAAAGCAGTCAGTCTTTCACAGCTGCAGCTGCATCTCCCAATAATCAATGCCTTTGGCACTGTGCCCAGTTTTGCAGTGCGCCAGCGAGCAACAATAACGGTATTAGTTTGGAGCTGCCACAGAATATTGACATAGAACAACTGCTGGGCTTGCCTGTGCGGCCTTTTCCAGCCTTGCAATGGATTGCTGCAACGCCGCCGGGATGCTCTGCCAGGAATTTGTGCACATGCTCACAGAAGGCCTGAATTAGGCTGAGCGGCGGCACCTGTACATACAACATGGCATGCACTTGCAGAAACATTAAATTTGCATCTTGAGAATGCGCTCCGTGAACACTTCGTGGGTTCACTGCTCAGGTGAAGGCGCCTGAAGTGCATGCATACCTGGTGGTCGTCAAAGGGAAAGTTTGCCACTTTCTCAAACTTGTGAGGCTTGTAAGCATAGGCCTCTTCAGAGCAGAGATTGTACACGCAGTAACCCCCGGCTCCGTGGCGCTCACACAGGAACTTCTGTACCTTGGCCATTGGGTTGCGGTACAGTCCTGTGTAAATCACATTGCCTCGAATTTAAGAAGCAGGATTTACTAGTGCTTACTGCATGGCAAGGTAAGGAGTTGATTTCTTCAGATATGTACGTTGTTCTGCAGGCAAATTACAACTTCTTTCTAGCTTCCATGCTGATCAGGCGTGCCTGTTGTGCCTTGGCTCGGTGCGCCCATGGCGATGATATTGTCCATAATGTAGGCCAAGTCCAGATTGTAGCCATTCTCCTTGTAGCGCCTCTTTCGCTTGGACACCCAGCCTGTGCACAACAGTACTACAGTTGAAAAGGGAACGAGTGAGGCTGATCTGATACAAATTCCCTGCGTTAATTTAAAGATATTTTGCATCTGACATGAAGTTTGCTTTGTGATGGCATATTTAAGAGGGTTTGACCTCGGACTGTCGTCAGCATGTCCTTGTCATGCCTGGCTCCGATATGAAAGAAGTGTTCCGTAATGCAACAATCAATATGAAAACAACTTTATCAAATTCTAACAGTAAATTTGCATTACTTGAAAGCAATATGCAAGACACCCTGGGTCAACAAGGTTTCACTAACCATCGAAGCCAAGCAAACGGTTTGGATGCTAGATAGCATTCAGACGCGAAAGTGCATGCCTCAATATATTTCAATCTGAAGATACTATTAAAATGATCTGCGCGATCTTGATCAGTGCAAGAAGAACAAAAGGAAGGATTTGTGCAGGGCAACTTATGTGTTCAGGATCTGCCAACCCTTGGAAATCAGCAGATGGGAATGGCATGCCAACGCCTTGTAAGATCAACAGGCAGTATTCAGAGCATTGAAAAGTGGGGTTGAGCACACTTTGTCACTCCGATCTTTAGGTTGAGGTTTTGCTTCTAGATATATATCGAAGCCATGAGTGAACATCTGGAGGATCCCACCAAGCATCTCAGCAGTGACAAGCTCCTCTTCCTCAATTCCATGGAATGTAAGACATCTAGAGTATTCCAGAGCATTCCCATGTGTCTGTCTGTAAGAAATATAAATATAAATCTGTCAGTTTCCCCAAGTATCTGTGTCGATGCCTTGGCCATGTATTCTTTTCAGGTCCCTTCGCGCAACGAACATGGATCGCTCTGATAGAGAAGCAGGTGCAATACTCAAAAGTTGACATCAATCTTCGCAACGATGCTGGTGAGTCAAGTCCTTTGAGACAGGGTTATGCTCGTTCTATTCTGATGCTTTTGTTCCTCAATTTTGGCTCTCGGTCCAGGTCAATACGCCCCTGAGAACAAGCCCGAATGGTTCCTACGACTCAATCCAAATGGGAAGGTGTGCATCCTTTCTCCTCATTACGTATTCTGCCAGACAACTGACTTCAACAGATATGACAGTATCCTGCTACAGGTGCCCGTGCTTGCATATGAGGAAGAGAGAACAATCCACCAGGTGCATCACTCACCTTTACCCTTGATTGCTACAGGACACATGCTCAGTGCACATTTGCATGCATGCAACACCATGCAAAGTCCTGTCACTTGTTTTCGGCGCTACTTTCCTTAGCATTCATACCTCCCACTCATTTTGCGTTTGATGGTCTGGCTAGATCTACGAGTCAAATATCTGCAATGAGTTCTTGGAGGACTACCAGCCCAGCCCCTCGCTGCTTCCACCCCACCCGGCAGTCAGGGCGCGAGCGCGCATCATCATTGCACGGTTCAGCGAGAACTTCGTGCCAGCATTCTACCGGCTCCTCCTCAGGCAAGCTACATGGCATCCCTGCAGCGGAACATCCTTCCCTTTTGCGCCCCTGCTGCAATCTGGCGCAGCCAGCCTTGTCAAAAACGGCCAATGTCCCTGCGCATTCTTGTGGCGACTTGTCTGTTTAGTGTGCCTTCTTGTACAGCAAAATGCAAAAAATCAGTATCAGAACATCTGTAATGCAGGCAGGACACAGAAGGACAGCAACAGGCGGCTGAGACATTGAGGGCAGAGCTGCAATGGCTGGAAGCCCACTTTGACAGCATGGGGCCACACTTCATGGGCACAGAGTTCTCACTGGTGGACATCTCCCTGCTGCCCTTCTTCCTGCGCTTTGGCGTCCTGCAGCACTACAGAGGCTTCAGCCTGCCGTCAGTAAGCTCCTGGCATGTAACCCCGTCTGCACACGTATATCAACAGATGGCGTTATCTTCATCAGCACTGCTGCACCAGGATCCCACACTGTCATGGCCAGTGAAAGTGACTGCCATGATCTCACTTCCTGCTGTCAAGGCTGGCTGCGCTGTTGCTCAAGTGCTGCCTCCCTGTCCCGATTGAATCTTCTCGGCTTGGTCTTGGCTTTGATATTCCCTGAGGATGCTCGCTTTGAGATGAGAGTGTTGCTGACCTTGCAGGAGTGCCAAAAGCTTGCGGCCTGGGTGCAGGAGGTCAGCAAACGTGCATCCGTGCAAGAGACGAGCGTTTCTGCAAAGCCTGAGCTGTCATACCAGAACTACCTCACATGGGTTTATCAACGGTATGCTGATGCATCAGCCAAATCAACTTCAGCTGCTGATTTTAAGGATTGAGCCATGCCTGCAAGTATCGAGATGTGAGATGATCCATTCTCCTGAAGTATTGAAATGGGCATTTGAGGGAATCTCTCAAAACTTTTAGAAATTTAAGGCATAGTCTTAAGCTTTGTTCAGAATAGAGAGGTACTTTGCTAGATCGCACATCAGGACCAATTACAATTTAATTTTCTGGCAGTTTTGCAATGATAGTTTTGTTACAAGAGACTACAAGGAACGGAAGGAAAGTGGCATCATGGGTGCCCTTGCATCATAAGGTCAGCGACGATTCCATGTTGCACAATTCTTTGCAGTAATCAAAACAAACTAGGGCAGAACATGTCATATCAAATCTCCACAGTCCCAGCGTATGTCACAAGCAATCTATAAAATTTTGCACAATAGTCTTCCCCTCAAATGTGATCACGCTCTCCGGATGAAACTGGACGCCCTGATCACAACAAAGCACACAAATGTGAATTCAGGAAGCAACACAAGACACAAACCCATGGAGGCTAAAATCAACGCAGTCATGCACGGCACAGTCCTGCCAGTGCCCCACCAATTACCAGCACAGCATCCACAAGTGGCAAACCCCGGCATGGCCATCTAAAGCATCGAGTCAGGGACGGCAGGGAGGCGGCCCACCTGTATGTGAGGGAACTGCTTGTGTTGGACTCCCATAATGACGCCATCCTCAGTCCATGCAGTCACCTCCAGGTCGTCCGGGCAGCTGTCCTTGTCAATGACCAGGCTGTGATACCTGGCTGCTTGGAAGGGGTTTTGAAGGCCCTGCCAAAATTGCAACCCATCCTTAGCACCTTTCTTACAGAGGCCCTCAGGAACACAATCTTCCCGTCCAGAGTACTCCAGAGATGATCCAGCAGATCCCCAAACCTGCAGGCTTGATGCCTCCAGATCACTGAAAGCATGCCTGCCCGCACGCTACCAGCCGCCATCAGCTCAGGCACGGTGATCATCAGACAGGAGAAAGGCATCATGATTGAAAATTAGCAAAGAAGTGATTGGGCAGCCCACCTTAAGCAGGCTGGTATTGTTGTGATAGACCAGAGAAGTCTTGCCATGCATGGCACCCCCAGGAGCGCGCACTACATTGCCGCCAAACACCTGGCCGATGCACTGGTGGCCCATACACACTCCAAACACCGGCAGCTCTGGCCCCAGCTCCTGCACTATCTGCAGCGAGATGCCAGAATCCTCTGGCCGCCCTGCAAGGAATGGGAAGGACATTGTCACGCCTCTCCCTAGCACGTTGCTGTCTCAAGATGGAGTCTGCTGATGTGAAGCATAATCGTGGTAGGGGTGAGTATGCTCTGGGAAGCAGCACAGCAGGTGGTGCAGTTTGAATGCATACAGTACAAGGGAGCTGATCGGATGCCAAGAAAATGTACCTGGCCCTGGTGAGACAAGAATGCCTCGAGGCTGCATTTCCCGGATCTCCTCCACTGTCTTCTCATCATTCTTCAAGACGATGTGTTCGCATCCCAGGTCTCCAAGGTACTGCAGCAAAGTCTCCAAGATGAGTGTTATGGGCGTGACACCGAGATTTGCGATTCACAGGAACATGCAGGATTGCTGTTCAAAAGTACCTGGCAAAGATTGTATGTGAAGCTGTCGTAGTTGTCCACAACTATGACAGGCCCTGATGCTTTCCCATTAGAGGCTGCTATACATGCAAGCATGGCTCTTCTGCCAGGTTGTTGCCTTCTGTTTTGTTGTGAGGACCTTTGCAAAGGGGCACCTGCAATTTGCAAGAAGCCACTTGGTCATAGAGCCTTGAAGCCGCGCAGGTATGCAAGTTCGATCAACGAGAGGGTTGCAAACCATCGTTTCACCGTTTCACTTTTGACAGATCACTCCCCAAAGACTTCTCTCACAGCTACCCTACCGTGAATCTGTGGCACATCTGCTGGACACATGCGATCAAGCCTCAATCTCAAAGAACACCGCTGAATGCCTTTGGAAGTTCCAGCATTTTCAGCGAAGCAGCAGGGCTGCCTGCCGCTGGTGGTTGGGACATTACAACCGGCCATTGAGAAGTTCATTTTCCCAGCTCTGAACCGCGAGACTGACAAGATTACATACTCTCAGATGTCAGATTTTGTGCAGAAACACCCCAATTCAGGTCCCAAGCATCCACTGCATTACGAAGCTAGCGGAAGCCCAATCGTCGCCGACCATGTGGGTTCCAGCGTGGCATTACTAACTGTAGCTTCTCTGCAGTGACTGCGGGCCGGAACAAACTGCACAGAGTCCATACACAAACACATCGACACTAGTACGATCGTATCAAGCGAACAAAAAATACAGCTGACCCGAACACCGAACATGGCAGACTCTGCAGGGCCAGATCAGAAGGGCCTGTATTGCAGCACGTCAGGCACCTTCTTCACAGACAAGGATGCACTGGCCGATCATTACAAGAGTGATTTCCACAGGTGGGAATATTATTGGATTTGTCATCGAGATCAGCAGTGAGGGAGACCTATTTCATGTCGACGTCTGTATAGCAATTTTATGGAGGACAGTATTACGTTTACGTGCAGTGTTTTTGAAACACTACATACCTACCTCGTGCCCTCTTTTGAATGCATCCTACGTTGTTAAATAGCAGAGGAAGCGATATGCTCTGCAGGTACAACCTGAAGCGCAAGATAGCCAACCTTCCTCCAGTCACACGCGAGTGGTTTGAAGCGAGGAAGGAAAAGCTGGCATCCACGACAGGCACAGCCGTCACGAAAGTCTGGACGGATCCCTTGACCAGGAAGAGGTTCAGCAGCGAGAACACCTACAAGGCATTTGTCAACTCCAAAAAGTACAAGGATCTGGTGAAGCAGACGGGGCTCCCAGCTCCTGAGGCAGCTGTGAGTCTGCGACGGGCAGAAGCTCCAGCTGCAGGTTTGCAGATTGATATCTGCCTCTCAATTTTCAACCACTTGTTGTGTTCATATGTATGCACGTGATCGTGCCAAGCCCAGCTGCGCTGCATCATGTGAGCCGGCTATCTTGGGGGCAGGAAATCCATCCAGCAGATTGCATGTGTGCCTGATTTGTGTTGTGCTGCGCAGTTGCTGCGCCCTCCGCTGCACCGCCGCAGCAACAGCAGCAGCAGGCCAAGGCCGGATTCACCATCAAGGCTGCAAACGGCGTTTATGACATGACGGCTGCATCCAAGAAGCGGGTATGCAGCTTGCTATTGTTGGACTTCACAATCCGCAGACAGCTGTGCACAGCTGCTGTGCCTGCATGCTTGGCCTGTCTGCAGCATATTTACTTTTGCACCACCAGGTAGGAGCAGTCCGCAGGAAGAGCAGAAAGCACAATATGACGTTTCTTTCATGCGCACAGGAGGATGGGGAGATTGATGATGATGATGAGTCAGGCTGGGAGACAGCCTCTGACGAGGATGAGGAGGCGCACTTTGATGCAGCTGCTGCTGTTGGGGCTGACACTCCGGCAGCCCGAGAGGCCTCCTCCGCCCAAGACACCACCCAGGTGCATATCTGGAACAGACATGAGACTCTCGCATGCATCACAGCAGCATCCAGCTGGGGCACGATGAGCATTAATAACAGTATTGCTTTCTTGTATCTAATGCATGCAGTATGAGACACACCTGCCACCCATTTGGTACTGAGAATGAAAGCCATTTGCCATAGAATTCTCAGGGTAATTTCTTGCAGGGAGCCGGACATCAGAATAATTACCATAAGCTCATTCGTGGTGTGTACTGTGGTGCAGGAGGGGGACATGGCTGACATGGAGGAGTGGGATGTGCGGCGCAGCCTCTTTGACGGGCACATGTCGAGGAGCATGGAGGCCAACCTGGAGTACATGTGGAAGAACTTCGGCTTCTACTTCCCAGAGGCCGACCTGCTCACAGACCCCGAGGGCCTCCTCAAATACCTGGTGCGCCCTGACTCCCTCATCCATATACTGTGCTTTTTATTGCGCTCTTTTCTTGCCAAGAGGCAAGGTGCGTCTGCAGACAAGCTGCAATCAAAGGCTGCCAAAATCCTACTCCTTGACAGCCTCGCCAAATACAGGCAAGGCCCAGTTAACCGTGGGCATGGTGCTGGATGTTGGTGCCAAGGCTTTTCCATTTCTAGCAGAAGAAGAACCCTACACCGTCCCCCGCCAGCCAGGACCGGGTTTTCCATTAAGGCTGCAGGAATTTTAAGGAATCGCACAATTCGTATTCAATTTTCAACATAAACCCATCCTTGTCTAGCTTCTGTATTGTCAAGGTCTCGAGGCTGAGTCCAGGGTTCTCCTGAGCTGCCCACACCGAGCTGATCAGGATCTTCTTATCGTCTTTTCCTGTCGCCCTGCCTAATTCTGGCTCTAATGCTGGGATAACAAGGCAAGAAATGCTTCTGCAGGGGGCCAAGCTGCAGTATGGCCGGGTGCCGCTGTACGTCCAGGGAGATGACTCGAACGCGCGCCAGTTCCCTTCGCTGCACGCGGTGCAGCGCCACATGGCGGACACAGGGCGCTTCAAGATGGCCTGGGAGGACAACGAGGAGGAGTACGCAGAGTTCTATCACTTTGGTGACGAGGACATGGAGGAGGACGCAGGTGCTGCCCTGCCGTGGCATCCTTGACAACACCATCTGCTGGTTATGGGTGTATGGTTTGATAAATGGTTGCAGTCCTGCCCACCGTGCCAATTTTCTTACGGCATGATTTGTTCTGTCGGGAGTTTTTGTGGCTGTTCTTCCTGGCTGATGTGTGCTAGCACGCTGTTGCACATGGAGGCATCTGAGACAGCACAAGAGCATTATATATATATATGCTGTGATGCAGCAGGGAGGGAGTTGGCACTGGCGAGTTCATCAGGGGCGGAGCTGCCGACAGCAGTGGGTGGCTATGAGCTGGTGATTGGCGGTGATGGCGACGGCGGGGGCGGCAAAATTCTGGGCCACCGGCAATTTGCGCGCTACTACCGCCAGAAGTACCGCGCCAATGACCCCCGCCACAGCGTGGCCATCAACCGCGTGCTCGCACAGTGCGTACCTCCTCTTTTCTGTGGTCTGTTGTCAGGGATCAGCAAGGTTATTATGAGACTAGGCACATTTTAGCACCGATGGCCCTTTTGGGGTCTGAAGTTGCAGTATTGATGCTGATGTGTGACGTCTGTGTGACGTCTGAAGAGATAACAAAGTGACAGGACTCTACGTAATGACACTGGGCAAGCCCTGTGCAGATCATACCTGCTAAGCAGGAGAGCGAGCTGCTGGCACACTGGACACCAGCAGGCTCATGTAGAACAATGTTCCTGTGCCATAGTGGTCTTGTCTTCGTGCTGGTCTCTGCCATGCTGGCTCATGTCGCTTTGCATGCTGTGTGTCTTGGGCACCTGTTGGTCGACAGGAGGTGTGATATGAAGGGGGAATTGCATGGAGTGGTGGAGGAAGGGCTTGAGAAGCTTGACTAAGGTGTTGTGGATCTGCAGGTACCACTTGCTGGGCGTCGCCACTCAGCCGGAGCCCACCAATGAGACAAAGCGGCAGCAGCGAAATGCGCAGAGGAAGTTTGAGCGCATGCGTCTCAAGACTGAGATGCGTGCCAATGTCAACCGCAACCTGCCGCGCAATGTGCCCTACTGAACATGTGCTCTTTGCATAGTAATTAATGTAGGACAACGGTGCCTTGTGTGCATAATGTTTGTAGACTTTGTAGTTTAAGCAAAGGTGACGGCGCTGCTTCACTGGCAATGGTGTAGTCTTCCGCCTGTGAGGAGTTTTATTGCTGGTGTCAACATCCTGTCCCTTTCAAATCTTGTAATGCCAGTGCTTTGCGCACATCCCAGTCTTAAAAGATGTCAGATGAAATCATTCGCCTCAAATGTGATACAAAGTTGCCTGTCAATGTTGGAGTTTGATCATTCAAATATGGAATATTGGAATATTCGAGAACGTGCCCGTCATGTGACCCCACTATAGATATTGGACGTTGGACTCCATCGTTGGACGTTGGCGATCTCCTCTCGAACATCACGGCGACATTACAATCATGATGTCAACATCGGTATATGGACGCAGGCATCGGCCAACTTAATTACGTGCAAGAATAGCTGACCACGGCACCTGAGACGTTGGAAGTTCCAAGGACCTGCATGCACTCCAAGACATTCTCGGCGATGCATGCAAGTGTGGGTAAGTACACAACTATGTTGTTGGGCTGCTCGTACCCCTTGGAGAGTCTCTCATGATCAAGATCGGGTCAGTGTCGGTTGGAACCCTCACATCAAGGACGTGGGGGTGGGGTGTCAACGACTTGGGAGGCGTCACTTTGGCAGGTCAGACGTGGGGTGCCCAGCTTGGCGAACGGCCACTGGTCAAGGTTGCAGACCGATCAGTGCAGTTTTAAGGTGAAGTAGAAGACGAAGTTTCGAAAGCGAAGGCTCCTGCAGCTGTGGTAGTAGGGCAAAATTTGATTTGAACGAGGTGCAGACGTGCTTCCCTGTGACGCCCTTGTGTTGCATTGAATGCATATTTCAAAACGAGCCGGACACGGAAGGAAAGTCCCTGCCGCCTGAAGGGCAACACGATATGACGAGGATATTGGGGGCAATTGGGTCCTAACATTAGGGCCAGTGTTACGAGCTTGATCTCGTGACGTTGCAATTCCAGAAGGCTGCTGCGCCACACCTGCCAACCGTTTTTGGAGGCCGGAGTTGTCCGTGTTCACCGCTTTGGAACTCTTCCCTTCGTGCAGCATAGCTTATTCTTTCGTCCTGAGCGAACTGCCCTTTCGTGTACCTGCCAAGCAAGATTCGGTGTATGATAGCCGTGGTGTCGTGCAGGTCTCCCTCACTGCACCCTCAGCTGATCGTTTTGAGGTGAGGCAACGAGAGCCCAAGTAAACTGTTGAAGCAACCAGCAGCCAACATGCAGCAGTCTCAAGATGCCCAACCAGAGAAGGAATCTTCCCAAGATGACCAGACTGTGCGCCACAGCTTTTCCCCTTGCCTTTCCTGCATGAACTGCTGTGATTACCGGATGCAAGAGCAGTTCAATCATCGCAGTGTTTATCCCTCCATCTTCTGCACATGTCCTGCCAGCATTGTGCAGCACTGATCTGCACTCATCTCACAGTGCATTGGCAGTCACTGCAGCATGCAGAAGTACCGAAAGCTTCTGTGCACTGTCGCTGAGCAACCACTGTTTGCTGCGGCATCAACATTTGCTTGGCGAGGAGTCGCTGAGCGGTTGCCACGGTCTGCAGAGCGTGCGGGAGCGGATAGAGGACAAGCGCAAGGCGGTGCTAGGCGCCATGTCCCCCAGCCCGGCCGTGGATTTCAGCTCGCAACGCTCAGCTCAGCAGGCGTTCCCTCACAGCAGCCCCTTCTCAGATCAGCCCCAGGGCCGGCCCCTGCAGCGCGGCTCCCCCAGCCTCAGCCCCTACTCGGAGCTGGGCTCTCTCCGTATGACCCCTATTGCTTCGTCCCCCGGGCAGGGCATGTACGATGAGCTGGCAGAAGGGGCGGCGGGGAATGCAGACAGAGACAATCAGCAGCAGCAGCCGCAGCAGGAGCAGACAAGCCTGGCTGACAGACTACGCACCAGCCTCACAAGTGGGCATGGTGAGCTGTCCTCCTTTGCACAGACAGCCGAACATACAGTGGCATATGGTCTTATGGAAACGACTCTCACCCCAGGCAGCTTGTATTCCAGTGGAATTTTGTGTTGGAGTCTTTGTTCGGCGCAGTGCTGATATTAATGTGTGATGTGGACAGGTGGTGGCCATCGGCCATCAAGCGGCGTGCAACAGGCCAGCCCGCGCCCTCACACACCTTATCAAGAAACAGCGCCGCTCATCAGCACAGCCTTTCAGCAGCGCGACAGTGCTGCCAGCAGCCAGGTAGACACTTCACCACTTCAGGCACATGCATGTCTGTTGCATGGAAGGCATATCAACGTGATTATGTCCTTGCCTGGTGATCTTGCCCACTGTTGTTTCGTCTTGATTGGATCTAATAACTCCATTGAGTCTCGAGGCGTAGGAATTTGCAATGGCTTTACATGCAGCTTGTCTCAACACCACACGCACCTTGCCTCTGGCAGGTGTTAGTTATAATGGTGACAGTAAAAATGTCAATGGTGACTGACAGGGTACGCAGAGGGGCGTCGACATGCGCGCAGCACAGCACAGCGCGCCGAGCGCGGCCGATGCGAAGCTTCTCAGCGCGCTGCGCGTCTGCAGCGACGCCGGCGCGCTCGGCACGGTCCTGCACGTGCGCGAGGGGCCGCCACCGGCAACCATCGGCAACAACTCCCCGGCCATGGCATCATACGACCCTCCCCCTGAGCAATCGCGCGGCCCGCCGCAGCAGCAGCAGCCGCTGCAGCTGCAGGGCAGGCTATACTCCTGGGAGGCCGGCCAGGGGCAGGGGCAGGCCAAGAGGCCCCGCCTGGCGGCCAGGGATGACGACGGCGGCCGGGCCGAGAGCGCGCGCCCCGGCGGCTATGACGGGTCAGAGGCCTGGGCGCGCTCGGCAGCACCTGCCAGCATAGGTAGATCCCTTGCTTGTAATGTAGGAGTGCTCTCCAAATCATCCACACTGTGAGCTATCAATCACTGGGAGCTTACAGTATCAGCATGATCTTCAGGTGGGGCAGTCTGTTTCTATGCTGCATCACGTGCATTGTCCCACCTCGCAGTCCAGTCCAAGCTGGTGTATCACAGGCTCTTTCACCAGCTGACATTTCGTGCCAGCACTCTGCAATATGTAACTGGCAGTCTGACGGTTTGGATTCCAGAAGATCAAGTCACCTGCGAGACAGCACTAGCCTCAGTGGTCAAACTGTAGGACTGCTGACTGCAATCCTCCACACCGCTGGCGGGAAAAAGTCGTGCAAACAATGGCTTGATTGCAGTCCCTACTTTGTGCAGCCCCGTAGTAGTAGGGTGGTGACTCAACCCTAACCAGTAGGAGTTAGTCTCTGTCACTCTGCAGGCAGCATCGAGGAGCCGCTGAGGGGGCAGCCCATTGGCTACATGTCTGACCTGGTCTCCGCTGGCGATGCCTCGGGCTTTGGGGCCACCGGCCATGTGGTGCGGCCGGCATGGGAGCGCCCGGTGCAGCGGCAGCCGCCGCAGCCGTGGCAGCACCCCTCGCCGCAGCTGCCAAGCGGCGCTTCCTCCCAGCGATCCATGAGCCACATGTACCAAGGTAACTGCTTGCTTCACCTAGTTTTATGAACCGAATCTGCTTGAAACTGGCTTCACGCCGTGCCACAAGGCATTTTTCAGCTCCTTGAACTGGACGAGACTGTCTCTGCATTGCAGATGCCGCCATGCACTGGTTCCAGCACCCTTCAGAGGCAAGCACAGCCGAGATGCGTTGTGTTTCGATGCCAGGAGTAGCTAGTCATCAAGTGCTCATCCATGTTGCTGCAGGTCAAGATGATGCGGCACCCTCGCACCCAAGGGTGGATATACCGGTGGCGGCTCCGCGCCTGGAGCCCCGGCTGGCGCCTGGCATGTCATTGGGCGACACGGCCCAAGCGCAGATGCCCCCCTCCTATTCCGGGGGAACCTTTGAGCCCCAGCAGAGCCCTGCACCCCTCCAGACTGCCGCCCCTGCCTCGCCACATCTCAAGCGCAAGCGCACAATGGGTACGGGCTGCACCACAGATCCTCAAACTTGTGAACATGAAATCGAATCGAAATAGTCTCCTGCAACTTTGGCTGATGCCTGGGAAGTCGGACGGGCACCGGCTGTGTCACTTCAGAATCTTTGTCGCTCTTGAAGCCGAGTAATAGCAGCACAACCAGCGGAAAACCCTCTTCTCCTGAAGGACAAGGGCCCGTTAAGCCCATAGAAATTGCCAACGGATTCCAATTCTAAGACAGGACATTGTGGTTTGGTAGTCATCAGCTCATAAGTTGACCTGCATTGATGCTGAGCTGGCATGGAAATGCCCCTGCGCAGAGATCCAGGAGTCGGAAGAGGATGTATATGTGCTCTTCAACCTGCCGCCGGCTGACGGACACCGGGCTGAGCCGCCGGCCGCTTGGGATTCCCCGGCCGCAGCCCTGCTCAGCCTGAGCTCCTCCGCGCACTATGGTTTGCTCCCCCTTGAACATTGGCTCAAATGTAAATCCCACCTCCACAGCCACAGAGATGTGGTGTCCGCTATATTCTTGTAGTTGTCTCTGTGTTATCTGGTCCGCATGATAAGAATAGAGCATGCTCACTATTTGATGATGCCTGCTTAACCCCCTTGGGCGAGTTGAGGTGGCGAGGAGGTGACTGCTGAGAGTGTTAGGTGCAGCATCGTCACTCACTCTCTATCTTTCTGAAGGCCAGTGCTGGGCGGCTGACCTGTGTTGTTTTGCGACACAGGGCCGGTGCGGTGCCAGTGGCTGTTCAGCAAGCAGCTGACGGCGAGCGACACAAACAAGCTGGGCCGCATAATTCTGCCGCGCCAGGCCGTGGAGCACTTCCTGCCGTGGGTGGAGGATCGCGCCGGCCTTGACCTTAACGCCTGGGACACCTCAGCCGCCCACTGGAGCTTCAAACTCAAGTGCGCGCGCAAAATATCTCAAAATGCTGATGTCAGCGCCTGATGTCCTTGCCTGATGTCCGCCCCTCCGTCCCATGAGTCACCCAGTGCCCCTTCTGCTGTGTTCCTTTGCGAGGGCAGGTGACATGTGCACTTCTACATTTGCCGCCTTGTGCAAATTCTGTCTTTTTAAGTGTCTCTGCACCAGCTTCTGATTACTTTTGAAAGTCCGGCTGAGCAGCCAGCTACATTCCATTCATCTGTGCCCGCACAGACCCTCTTGTTATCTTGCAAGTAGACCCTGTCTGTCCTGCTTTCCTGCGCTCTTGTCCAGTCACATTTGAAAGATATGTGCACTGTCATCAATATTGTTTGGCTGCTATCGTGCTAGCACAATAACTCCTTATAAGGTGAGTAGTTACTTACTGACAATGTAATTCTGGGCCATAATGAGGTCAGGTTTTCTGTCACGAGCATGAAACCGTACTATTGCCAGCGCTGCGGCATGGCTGCTCCTGAGTGCACGGTGCGATGCCAAGCGCAGGTTTTGGATGAACGGCAGCAACCCCAAGCGGATGTATGTGGTGGAGAACACGCGCGACTTTGTGCGCTCGCACGCGCTCAAGCCCGGCTCCATCCTCTCCTTCTACTGCGCCCCCGACGGCCGCCTGGTGCGTTGCCACCTCAGCGCCACCTCAGCATTTTGTTGAGTACAAACTAGTCATGACCTCAGCATTGCAGGGCAATACGGAATTGCTGCTGTTCTTCGCGTGTTCTGTATGCAGCATCCTGCCTGCAATGCATGTAAGGGAAAGATGTAATATTATTAAATATTAAATGTTTTCCAGGCTCACCCTAACTAAGATTGTTGAAGCAGATGAACAGCACGGCAGCACTTTGCTTCATGCAGGGGATTGTGGCATGGTCAGTCGTTGACATCATAGACATGATGTGTCTTGAGCTGTTGATGCAGGTGGTGGACCCGCATCCTGTGGATGATTACTTTGAGATGGCAATGTAGGAGGCTCAGCAGCAGTGAGTGCATCAATCGTGGAGCTGAAATAAGAAGCTGGCTCTGAAGACATGAGTATATTTTTGGTCGCTGTCTACCAAGCGCAAAATATGCACCGGCAGGCTTCTTTGTGTAGGGGTCTATTCACGGCGCACGCGGAGTTCTTCGCATTTTAGCGTGCAACTCTTCAAATCGGGTTGCAAGACCAGCAATGTAAATAAGAACAGGTTCCGGGGATCTTTTGGGAGAATAGCACAGCATGATTCGTGGGAGTGTTTCAGGGATATGACCAGCACATGTTGGCAATAGTCCTAGCTAGCAAGACTGGAATTGTGTACGCCATAGAGGTGACAAAGACAGATACAATGCAGTGCTGCTGACGACCAGATTGCTTCCATCCCTGAGTCCAGCGCTTGAACCGTCGATATGCATACATTTCCTGCTGAATGCTGACATGCAGAATGTCTGCCAATCTAGGTGTTACATGGCTTCGGGCCTAGTAGGAGATTAGCCATGGAAGTGTCTTGAGCAATGCATATTTGGGTACATAAAGCACCGGGAATGATTATGTCCTAGAAGGATTGAGAACTGCATATCAATGAATACTCCTCTTGCCTAAGCAGGCTTGCAGGTGTGAGCTTGATGTGAGCTGACTGTCCTCTTGCCTTGCACAATTTTTACAAGCAGAGTGTATAAGTATATAAGGATTCGCAAGTCTTGCAAGGACAATGGTATGGTGCCAGAAGGGCTTCGGCCATTTCGCCTCAGCAGTGACTGTCCAAGAATGTCAAATTGTCTTAGAGTTTGTGTTCTATGCCACAGCACAATCCTCCTAATATTTCCACCCCTCACACAGCTTCTCTCAGGAACACATGCATGGATATGCAAAGCATTACCCCGTCGACAAAATTAATATTCTTCCGTGAAGCTGGAAAGTTCTTGACACACTGTGACACAAGCACTCACACCAACTGCGTCTTGCGTGTGACTTTCTATGATGCGCTCTCCATCTGACCTATGGCAAGTCCTCTGTGGCTGCCTCAACATGAGGGTGGAATGCTTGGCATGGCTCTGAGCCATTTGCCATGGCTAGCAACACGCTCCTTGAACGCTTGAAGGGCCGCACAATGGGCGGCAGCAGCTGATTGGTCACAGCGTCTAAAGCCAGCAGCTTGCCGGTGGCTGAGCAGGGCCTCGTGAAAAGATTCCTGGACAAACAGGCCCCCATAAATATGTCAGGCAGGCACAAGATCCCAACAAAGACGGTTGAATGCATGACCAGAATCCAAGGTTTAATGCAAACGGCAGGAATTGGGCCCAATGTGGGATCTGCAAAAGCCAGCGATCCCCTCAGCCGCGCCTGTATGTGGAAAGATACAGGAGCAGGTCCTCCAAAGCAATGCTGGAAGCGAGCATTGTGGATGCAGGACTCTGGAATTCTAATGGAGGCAACTGTTGCTGAGATCTCTCCGCAAAATGCGCAAGCGCCTGCATGGCCACATCTGACGCCCTCCTACATATGGCAGGCAATACTTTTAGAATTTGTGAGTTCAGTATGATCCTCAAAACACATGCTGATAAAATCCCGAGATCAATATGAGCATGGGGACAGAAATCGCAGCAATAGAAGCATTGAGGCTGCAGTCGCGTACCGGAACACCTGATGACAGGAGGAATCCCAGGCATCCTTGCCGGAAAGTACCTCCTCCGCTGACATCAGCACTACACGCGCAGCTTCTGGCCGCCCGGCAGCTGCCAGCGCCACCATGGCGCACATCACACCTTCCACTCTCATGTGCACCTCCCTGGCAGCTGCAGCATCCGCTCTGTCGCAATCACACACAGGATGTAAGCCTAGTGAAGCATCTGACTTCTTTCGGTAGATCTTGAGCACAAGTCAATGCAAGGTGTTGCATAGAATAGAACATGGAGCGCTCACTTGGAACCTGAGGAGCCCTTCAGCTCTACTGGAAGGCCAGTGGCTGTGGACACTCTCTGCGCAACGAGTCCAAGCACCTCGCTCTCAGACTTGTTTGCAAAGTCTGACGATGGTGTAGCTGCATGGCCAGCGTCCTGAAGCGCACCCCACCAACATTGACCATATCAGCTCTTGCCTCTATACAAATCATCTCCTTTGTCAAGACAGCGCAAGATTTGCAGGGTCCAGCGCAATACAAGGATGATTAGGCGTCTGTAATGCATCGCAGAAGAATTCGTATTGTCACAGGGGCGCACCTTGCGCTTCTGAAGGACTTTTGCCCGAGCAGCCTTTTCAGCCTCTGCCGGACGCTCTGATGCGGCCCGTAGCACAGGGCCAAGGACTTGAACGTGAGCATCAGCAGCTGCAATTGCGGCTTCAGCCGCTGAAGTCACAGCAGTGACCTGCAAGCAAGCATTGTATTGAGGACAGGCTGTTTGACTGGGGCTTTCCAGTGCCAGGCATGCAATGCACTTGAGAGGGTAGACTCAGGTTTGTTGTTGGTCTGCTTGGCAGCAATCCTTGCCTTTTGAGATAAGACTGCAGGTTCGCCACCAGCTGCCAGCGCTTCAATGAGCTGCTTGCCACAGCTGCGCACGGTATCAATCTGCAGGCATTCCCATTGTTACTGCGCAGTCATTTCTGCATGCAGTCATCTGTCAAGCGCATACTGCATGCAGTGTGGGTCTGAAAACTCAGAGAATGGCTGGATCGATGAGAAACCGACATTCAAGGGCCATTACTGCGATCAGCTCACCTGCCCTTGAGCCTTTGCGATGATTTCTGATTGGGATTCATCATAGAGCACGTTGTCTGCCATGCTCAACACGCGCTGCCTGTTCACTGGCTGCGATGCTGTCCCTGCAAGGAGTGCTCTTTGGACAGAGAATCCTTTTGGTAGGCCATGTACGCGAAGAATCCCAGGAAAGCAGCCGTTCCTATGTAAGCAGTCAACCGCATGCCTCCTGTGGGTCTCTGGACGACAAAGCACAGAAACAACTCAAACTCATATAGTCGTGCATGGACACGTAATTGATAGTTTCCTGAAATCAGAATCTAGATCGATATCAGATCACGAATTCTCCTAAGCAAATGCCTCCAGGCAACCCTTGGAAAACAAGCATCTCATGCGAAGAAGGGCTTGTGCTGACCGCATATCTCTCGAAGTTGATGGTCCTGAAAAGGCTGGTTCCTTCGGGAGCAACGACGTGGTCTGGCAACTTCTGCTTTCCACTCATGCTGATCCTCCTTCAACACTGAAGGATCTGGTGCATTGGACACCGGTGGAAGTCTCACATTTTGTACCAAAACGACAGGCATATACACAGTTAAGCTTTAGCTAGAAACAATGAACAGATCACCAGCTCCTGCTCTAGCTGTGCCGAGGGCTTCACAAAGGGTTTCCAAGAGGGCATCAGCTATTTTAGGAACCGTCCAAAAACCATTTTCGCATCTTCGATCCGAGATTCAATGCATGATAATGCATCCAAAATATCATAGGACTGCATTTAAAACATCAATTTATTAAAAGAGCGCTACGGTATGGAGTCGGACATGCCGGGTGCATCCTCGCACCTGGCAGCTGACCATCCCCTGCTGCAGCAGGCGCAGGAGGCTCTTACTTTCCAGCTCGAGGAGAGGAAGCTTCATCTACAGGAACAACTCAGGGAAAAGGTTCAAGGCCTGAAGGTCCGTCAGGTTGCAGTGGAGGCAAAATAATTGCAAATCCTTTGACGACGAGTGCGACTCTTAATCAAAATGTGCAGTGGATGCCAAATCGTCGAACCTGATTGGTGCAGGATGCAAAGCAGCGGAGAGAGGATCTCGGTGTGGAGATGTATGGCTTCCAGCAGCAGCTGGCTTGGGTGCAGAAGAGCTTGCAGCAGGCGCAGAAGTCCACCGTGGAGCTTGCGGGCTCCAGGCAACTTGCCGAGAAGCACGTCTCGCACCTGCACACTGCACTTGGCAAGGAGTCCAGCCTGCTGCAGAAAGAGAGGGATGCGGTGCGCTGCACCCAGTCCCATGCCTAAACAACATATTCTGCTCAAGTACACGTAAAAGCTTTCAAAAATGCACCTGATCTCTAGCTAGATATCTGACTAGGGATAGATCGCCAAAGGGCACTGTGACAGAATGAACCATTTTGCAGGTGGAGGCATTTCGAGACGAGCTGAACACCATGTCAAACGCCCTGAAGCGAGTCAGCGCCGAGAGCAAAGAGCAGAAGAGCGAGATTGCAGTCACCCAGAGGTGCCGCCTCCCACCAGTCCACTCTCCTGGACCCTCCAGATTGGATGTGTTTCAGCATCTCGCGCTTTTTCTACATATCCAAAATGTATCACTGCGCATGCATGGCAAGCCAAGTCAGTTGCGCATTTCAATTGGACGCAAGCCATGATATTTATTACCTTCACAACTCACATTGTCCAACCTCATTGGCTTGTGTTACTTTGAAAAGACTCAGAAAAGGAGATTGCTGTGCATGCATGGCGAATCAAGTCGATTCTGCATGTGCCAGGTGCACGCAAGCGGCGGAGCAGTCGGCGCAGCGGCTGGCGAGGGAGAGGGCGGAGCAGGAGGCTGCCGCAGAGGTGCTGCAGCGACAGGTGGACTTCCAAAAGGCGCAGCTGGCGCTGTTCAGGTTCGGCGGTTGGACCTTTTCTTTTTTTTGGATTTTGTTATCACTCGGATGGTGTAAGCACACCAAATCAGCGCCAGGAATCTAATTGGAAACCAATGATTGGATGACGTGTAATTTGTGACATTAGCGTCACCACATGACCGGCAGGCATGTAAATGTAGTCTGTAGTCTAGCAGAAAGGACCATGCAGCAGCCCTGCAGCAGGAAAAATTCCACAGACACCAATCCAGTTGTATTTCAGCACTCCGGCCTACGGAAGAAACTTAGTGTCTGTAGGATTCAACTTGGTTTCCATGTAGCTGGGAAGGTTGAAATAACACTGGTTTGGTTGTCTGCCATAACATGCTGTGAGCTTAGGCCCTGCTCTGCAGAGGGAACACCCTCCTGCCAGATGCAGGCCTGCCGGTCACAGTGGGTAACCGTGGTGTAATAGTAATGATAAAGTAACAGAGTCTTATCAGTCCGCGAAATGTAGAGGAGCATGGGGCCAATGAGATGTGGCCTGCCTAAATCCAAATCGAGCTGCCAAAATGAGGGGCTGGGGAGCTTGGAACAACAGCAAATTCACAGGAATTGAGAGTAGAGACCAGGGATTGTTCAAGCAAGCTCCTACGTGCGGACCACTCTAGTTAGTTCTTGCTTGGTGCATCCAGGGAGCAGCGGCAGACGCAGGAGCGGGACACGGCAGCTGCCAGGCAGATGCTGGCGGGAGCAGCGGTGGATATGGAGGGCGTGCAGCTGGAGCTGCGCGGCCGGCGGCAGCAGTGGCAGTCCAGCCTGCTCGGACTGCAGCGCCGGGACGAGGCCCTCAAGGTACTGTCCCCAATGTGTCATCCTTTAGTTTGTAGTTCCCATATGGCCTCAAGGTAAGGGGTCCTATCACAGCACCCCGCGCAGGCATGTGTCAGAGGCAGGCCTGGCTTGGGCAGATTGTTCTGATTGTGACTCACTGTCTCATTCTGGAAGCTTTCCAGGGTGCCCACACTGTGTTCTGGCAGAAGCACGGTGCCAGCAATGCAGCAAGGTTGAGCAGCGGCAAACATTTTAGGGCCAGAGCCCCTTGACAATTTAAAATAATCCTGAACACAAGAGAGGCAAACTCACGCGCAACGCAGCTGCACACGGGCTTCAAGCACAATGTGGCGATGCTCTCCAATGTGTATTAAAAGTCGCACAAAAGAGGGGCTTACTAACAGGCATCGGCCGATGGCCTGCAGGGAATGGAGGAGGCTGCACGGGAGCAGGCCGAGCAGCAGAAGGCGGTCGAGGTGGAGCTGGCAGGGTGCAGGAAGGACCTGAAGAGGGCGGCTGCGCGTACAGAGCAGTCTGCGGCCGTTCTTGAACGCTTGCAAGGGGAGGCAGCCATGCTGTCAGGGACTAGCAGCGCCCTCCGCGGCCGACAGGGCATGCTGCAGGTGCGGTGCCGCCCTCCTCATCAGGTTGCCGGAGCATGCCCAACTCTCGGTGGTGCCGTCTGTCATCTTTCAGACCGATGACAAGATGGCACATGTCACCACCTGAAGTTGGGCCTCTCCTTTTGGCAATTTCGCCTGGTGATGACAAAGTCATCACTAAGCCACTGGCGGGAGAATCTGTCCTCATTCAGTTTCTATGCAATCAAGTGAGTGCTCATCTAAGTATTTGAATGCTTGGGACATAGATTTGGCGGCCAGAGTATTGTTGCTGGCTTTGGCGCAGGACACACTGGGCAGGTTGGCTGCCTCGCTGGCGGACACAGAGGCGAGCCTCAGGGCGGAGCATGCCGAGGCCAAGAGGCTGGCTGACAGCCACGTCGTTACTGACCGCAATGCTGCAGCCGCACAGCAGCAGCTCCAAGTAGATTTCACATCTCTGAACCTGCTTTCACAAGTACTGAGCAGCGTGCCCACTGTTGCTTGGAGGGGTAGGAATTGGCAGCCATTGCACGCAGCTTGTCTGCATATGCACTTGACATTTGGCAAGGATAGCATTTGATGATACCAGTCAGTCTCCTCATGCATTTGCACCACAGCTACTGAGCGTCTGACAGACCGTAAGGCTGATGCAAAGGTAAGATGTATCGCATGGATGTGGATACAAGGAAGAAAAGGCAAAAAATGGGCATGGCTGTGCTTGCAGGAGGTCACAGAGCAGGTGCTGCTGCAGCTGAGCGGCCAGACGCAGGCGAACAAGAGGGGCCAGCAGGTGGCAGCAGAAATCAAGCGAGTGCGGCTGAGCGTGCAAGAGCAGGAAGCCATTGCTGAGACCCTCAGAAAGAAAGGCGCTCAAATCGAGGTGCCCATTCCTTGAAAAGTGCACCTGCGACTATAAAGCACTTCATCCCTTGGTCTGGTCGAAACCTTTTTAAATTAGTTGCACAGCCTGCGGACAGGATGCGCAAGTGGCTGCAAGGAAAGTAATCGCTACACAGAATGATATAAACATGTAGTGGCTACATTGCACTTGCTGCGGCTTCCTGTCCAGAGTCCCCATGCACGGAGTTTACCTGATGTGATCATTGGAGAGCTCCTCAGAAGGCCTTTGCGAGAGCATGCACAGCACATCAGAAGACTGCGATTGTGCAGGCGGATGCAGCAACGGCAGAGGCGCGCAACAGCCGGCACGCCGAAGCTCTGGACGCGGCAGAGGCGGAGCTCAAAGAAGGCGAGGCCGCGATGGAGCGGACAGAGGCAGAGATGAAGAAGTGCGCGGATGAAATCGAGCGCAAGACGCGCGAGCAGGACATCCTCAACCGGAAGCTGGAGAAGATCCTGGCAGCCGTGCCCCCAGGGGAGGATGCAGGTGTGGTCCTTTGCAAAAGGTATTTATTGCCAGCAGCACATTGAGCCTCTACGAGATGTGCAAATCAGCATTGGAACTATGATCTGCATCTCTTACAGAAAGCAGCTAAGTGCTGCTGACCGCTAATGCTGCAGTCGAGGTTCCCATGCAAAGATACCGGCTGCCATGGCTCCAGGGGAAGATGCCGGTGTGGTCTGCAACCAAATATAGCAACCGCTGAGATCCAGGGTAATGAGTATAGCTGGATTTGCTTTCTGCCTGGACCTTGATGATCCAGGACATAGCACACGCTGCTTGGTGCTTAGTAGCACCAATTTGATGCTGTCAGCAGCGTTTTTAGCCTGTGCAAGAGGTGCATATTAGCACAAATATTATGATCTGCATCTCTTGCATAAAGGCTCAAATGCTGCTGACCGCTCCTGCTGCAGTCGAGGTTCCCATGCGAAGAGCCAATCAGGATATTTGTGCCACTGTTGTTAAAAGCCAGGGAATCCTAAGAACTCAGGAGAGATGTCATCTAACAATAACAGGTGTAGTGCTGTATTTTTGATGAGGGTTACTAAGCTGATGATGTGGCGGCGCAGGCCCCTTGGAGGCGGCAATTGCGAATCTGTCACGTGAGATTGCTGCGCGCACAGAGGAGGGCCACGCGCTGCAGCTGCAGTGGGTGACTCAGCAGCGGGAGCTGCTCGCGCTCGCGGCCAGCAACGGTGCAGCTGCCGAGCAGCTGGCGCGGGACACCAGCACGCACGCCGTCATGCTGCACCGCCTTAGCCGCCTCGAGCACCAGTGGGTGCCTCCTTGTCAGTCACATTTCATTATTTGCAGCCGACTGAGGGATGATCCGATGCCTAGCGCTCAGTTTCAGAGTAAGCATCGTCTCTAGGCAGCCCACAGACACATGGTTGTCAGACTGCAACCGCAGGATCCTAGATCCAAGCTTGTTGGGGACACCCACCCAGGTTCTGCAGCTGCAGCTATGGACGCACAAACTCAACTAAGAACACATCAGAAAATTGATTGAGTGCTGCTTATGCCTTGAACTCAGCACTCCCCGGCTCATAAGGCCATGGGAGCACAACCCGTTCAGCAAAACGGCGTACCCGTCCGATCAATTACTGGATTGAAGATTGCAGCTGCAGATTCAAGCAGCCTGCTTAAAACCTGCCTCGATGGGTATTTCATGGCCAGGCAAGCAGCCTATTTGTTTTTATTCGGCATTGCAGGCAAAAGGCTGAGGCAAAGTGCCTGGAGGATCTGGGAAAGGCGATGGACCGGCAGCGCGCTGACATGGCACGAGTCAACGCCATGCTGGCAGAGACCTCCGAGGCCCACGCCGAGCTTGTCTCAGAAACCTTCGGCCTGCGCGCAGCTGTGGACAACCAGACCAAGGTGGGGATCTTTGGTCACACTTGGCATTCTGTGCATGCGCCATGTGTCGCGCATGTGTTCCATGGAAGAGCAGGCCTCTTTAGGCACGCCCTTTACACCCAGTACTCCTGAACAACCTCTTTGTCTGCCACAATGCAAACAACATAATACTTGGCCTCAGCCCAAAGGCAGAGGTTGCTCCTCTGTGCTGCATGAACCACGAGCAGGCAACTTCTGGCTCTCCTTTGAAAGCAATCCAGGCTCAATGACTTGGGGCTCTTGTCTGCTGAGAGCAGGACATGGAGGAAGAGAAGGGGAGGATGAGGGCGGAGATAGAGGCGGTGCGCAGTGACAAGCACACGGCTGTGGCTGATGCTGTGGAAGCTCAACGCCAGGTCTGCACCCCCATCTTTCATCCGGTGCATTGCCTGTCTTTCCAGAAATGTTAGACGTTCTATTTCCACGGGCAGCATGCATTGGTGGATGTGCATGCCACTGCGTAACAAATGCGGGTAGTCTAACCAAAGGCACAAGGTATTGAGAATGTGTGTCTTTGGAAAGAGGAATAGGGGAGCTTTAGATCGAGAGTGTGATACAATCACCCCTGAAGGCACGCCTCAGGGGGTGCCTGTGTTATCATGGCCAGCTGAATCTTGGAGGATAGGATTCGACTTTGACCGCCCCCAAAAAATCACAGAAAAGTGGGTTCCCTGAGTTGTCAGCGCCTGGTCAGGTGCTTGAGTGGGAGCGGCGCATCCAGGTGCAGCGCGAGATGGCGGCCGCGCTCGACCCGGCCGTCGGCAACGAGGAGGCCGCCGCGCTCGCCGCCGAGGTTGGCCGTCTCAAAGCGCGCGAGGCCGAGCTGCGGCAGTCGCGCACGCAGAAGCATGCCGAGCTGCAGCGCGCCGTTGAGCGCCGGGAGGTCGTCGAGCTCCGGGTGCGCCCGCAAGTTTCCTCCCCTTTCAGAGCCCGGGGGATTTCTATTGCTGCAAGTCGGCAAATCCAAAGCCAGAGGCCGTGGGGCAGTACACCCAGGGCGTCTACAGGACATCTGTGGGCTTAACATGTCTTCCATTATATTATATGGTCTCCTTTTGGAGTGCTGTCTGCAAGATATGCAAGATCAAAGAGGATATGGGATGGCTGCAGTCACAATTTGGCCACTGTATGCAAACTTCGGCGACCGCCAGAAAGCGAGCAAGCATGTCTGCTTGTTGTAGAGGTTCATGTTCGGTGGCTTGACTGCTCTGGTGTGCCGTTGCTGCCCAGCTGAAAGATATGTTGGCAGTGAGATATCTTCCTAAAATACACACAACAAGCACATGGTAGCAGATCACGAGAGGGCAATAGCGACTGCATGCCTTTGCATGCATGCATTTCAGGTTCACCAGGGAAAGGATGTTGCGAGCCAAAAACCGAATCACGGTGGAAAGAGCTCCCATTTCTCCACTTAGTAATTCAATCAAGGGGTTTCCTGCAGGGACTGGCGTGCGAGGACAAGCGGGCAGCGGCCAACATCGAGCACCGGCAGCAGACAATGCTGGCAGCCTTAGAGCGCACACTGGCAGAGGTCACCAAGAATAGCGAGGCAGTGCAGGCCAAGATAGGCGAGCTGACAGCTCAGCACAGCCAGCTGGAATTCCAAGCTGCGGAGATCGCCTCGCGCTGCGGGCAGCTGAGTGCGCAGGAGGAAGCAGTCAGGAGGGACATTGCTGCCGTAACTGACCAGAAACACCAGGCAAGGCCCCTGCTCTGCTGCCCTGAGAACCAGCTTCGTTTTGCTGCATCTCACTGGTGCAGTGCAACATGTTGTTTTTCCCCCTTTTCTTTGGGGCAGCGTCCTCTGGATGAGAGTTAAATCGCCTTGCAGTATACAACGCTAGCATGGCTGCTGCATGCTCTTGGTGGTGACAGCAGTCGGTATATGTGGCCAATTTTGATTGTTGCCCTTGCAGGCCCTCATACTGACGTCTAGAGCGCAGAGGGTGGCGAAGTGGTACGAGGAGGCAGCTGCCGGGAAGCTGACGCCCCACACAGGGCCCGAGCTGCTGCAGGCGAAGGTGACCCGCGCCTCAGCGCGCCATCGGAGGATACAAGGGATCCTGCAGGACCTCAGCGCTGCCCACCCAGAGCTGAGCACTGGAATGGAGAGGGTGCTGTTGTCCAGCGTGCCCATTAATGCCTGCTGAGATCCGCATTGCCGTACAGTGCAGCAGCGGCAAAGTTTATTGTAAGTTTTCAAGCCTGATGCTTCAGAAAGCGCTCTGCAGATCTATTTCGTGATCGAGCCATGCAAGTAACATTCCGTGTACTACACATGTGGCGCCCTCGTGAGCAAAGCTGAATTAGGAAGACGCCTTGGAATATCTGAGTATTTGGATTCGACTTGATTCTGTTCAAAAAGTGTTGCGGAATTAGTTGATACACCACTGACACGACTAAACCATTACATTGCACATTGGACACCAACAGTGCTCCTTGGACACATGGCTTGCATACCTCAACTCTTCATGAGCAGCAACTTGAAGCTGTAAGGCTGTAACGCCTCATTACATAATCTGGAAGGTCCCACATCTGCACTAGATGGTGGACGGTGAAAAAATACTAATGTCAACATGACACGCTGGCAGCTACTCCGAGGCGCTGTCTTGTCAGCATCAGCCTCATGCTGTATTTAACAAGCAATGACTCATCGGTCGGACCTTAAGATTGTATCATCCATATGTGACACCACATAAGAGACATCTCATGGAACCTTGATATAAGTTCTGCTTGTTCAATCTAAATTCACTCCCCAACTTAGGCTGACAGATGCTGCTCCAGCTTGTTGAATTCCTCCAGGCCTGCCAGCTCTGCCTCGTCTGCAGGCGCCTCAACTACCTCCTTGACTTCGGGGATGTAGTGCATCAGCATGTTCTCGATGCCCGACTTGAGCGTCAGCGAGGATGACGGGCAGCCACTGCAGGCCCCCTGCATCTTGAGCACCACCTGCCCCGTCTCCTCATCAAAGCCCTGCGCATATCCCCAAACCCAAAAACTCACTGATAATTCATACCCTGGCTCCTGCATCACGCCACAAGAGCAACGACCATCAAGCACGCACACAATGTAATGAGAAGCACTCTGGTGAAATTCCTTGCCCCTCAACACCCGCCCTGTGTAGGCTATGCTCTGGGAGTCATGCCACACATGGCAACCTTCAGCACAGTGAAGGCCTCTGATGAGACGATCTCATGTAGAGGTCAGCCGGTGCTTTTGGCCCCAGGATTAACAAAATAACGTGGTGCTATTCAGAGCCACCGAGGAATAAGTAAGGTGAGTGTGTTATGTGAAAGATGCTTGCCTGGAATACGATGTCACCGCCGTCCTCCTGTACTGCCGGCCGGATCCGCGTCTCCAGCAGCTCCTTGATCATGGCCACCACCTCGCTGTCATCCTCGCTGATGGCCGTGTCCGGCGCCACCGCCGACTGATCCGTGAACAGCTCATCCCCTGCACAGCCAAAGTGCGCTTTCATCTTTAAGCACAATCGTATGATCAACCCAGACCCCTCACCGCGAAAAAAGTCCTCCTTGTCTATAATTTAGCACCACACATGCGCTGAGTCTTTGCACCCGTCGTTCCTGACCTAGATTGAGGCAAGAGCCACTGCGATGGAGGCACAAAGTGTACAAGCCTAGTCAAGAGGATGGTCACAGCTAAGCCAGGGGCTGACCTGAGCTGAAGTGCTCCATCATGGCCGCAAATATCTGTGGCCTGAGGACGCTCCAGGCATAGTCATCGCTCTTTGTCACCGTGACAAAATCGGAGCCGAAGAAGACCCCGGTCACTCCGTCGATGGCGAAGAGGCGCTTTGCCAGTGGTGAGGACATGCCATCCCTTGGGCTCTCAAAGTGCGCACTCCCAGACTGCACATCACAATTGTTTACTTAGTAAAGTAAGCCAAGCTGAGCTCAAGGCACTCCTTCAAAGGTGTTGAACGCTACTTGCCAGGCAATCACTTATGGAAAAGATTTGAGGAGACTTGTTCGTACCTCCATGACTTTAGTGCCTGGGAGAAACATGAGACTTGCAGGATTGGGCGTGGTACTGGTCTGTATGAACATCCCTCGCTGCTGCTGGTGCTGCATCCCTGCAGATAGGTCTGCATGTTTCAGTGCCATGGACCACGAGAACAAGTCTCTCGTATGCGACACAAGCCAGCACAAGCCTTACCACTACACGATGCCGCAGGTCCTGTCCTTGATGGGTTGAATAGCAGCGTACTCCTCCTTCTGACAGTCTGCAAAGACAGCCCCCCTGCAAGATGGGCTGAGGAGGTGCTCGCAGCCGCCTGTGAAGCACAAACAACTTGATAATTCGGTAACAAGGAGGCAACATAATTTCTAATCAGCAGCTTAGAAGCAGGAAGGTCACTCCGAATCTAGCATGTCAACGGGAAGATCTAGCCGAGTCACAGATGCTTACCGCCGACACGCATCTTGCTTGCATGCTAGCAGAAGAACTTGCGAAAGAGCGCTCGATCGCCTTCAATAATAGCCTTCTCATTGTTATCTGTCTCGCTTGTAACTTCTTTGCTCCTTCGAGTCTGTGTCCCCAAGGAAAAGCAGGTATCAGCGATGCAGCTTTCAGAGCTTGCTATTACTTCGATACACCAGATGCACTTATATTTGCAGTTTTGTGTCCAACTATCATCGTTTGTTGGGAGTTCACTTTCGGGAACTTCACGTAATGGCCAGCGTGGCGCACACGTGTACGCAACGTGGCATGCCATGCTGTCTGTTCCTGGTTTGACTCAGTCCCACAGGCATGCAACTTTTGTTTAAAGATAAGAATGAGTTGCAACATGCAATAGTGCAGCTCCCCATTATGTTGCATATGCAATTTGTTTCGTTGAACATCTTAAGTGGTGTTGGCGCTAAAGGCTAGTAGCGCTAGCATGCCGCGGCGGCCGCCTCTGGCCTGGGCCCGAACAGCTGCTCTGCAGGTGTAAGACTGCCCAATTTTGATTGCTACACATGTATACAGAGCAACTCGCAAGTCCCATTCAATCACAAGCTTTCAGCCATCACCGAACAAAGAATTAATAATAGTAAAAATCACCGAATCTGACATAAAACAAAATACTGAACTTCATTGAATGTGCATGATGATGCCAGGGAGCGTGATGTGCCTCTCAACATCAGGGCCACCATTCTGCAAATCCTCCTTATACCAACCAATCAAAACTGCCTTCAAAATCTCCTCCAAAACTTTTTGTGGAGGCTTCATGGCTTCATGACACGGCATGACATGACCCCGATGCAGAACAGAACCAAAAAAGCAGTAGCCATTTGGGGCGCCAAACAACTCTTGAAGGCTGCAGCAGCTTGCGTTGGCCTGGCCTCATCTGGCATACTGCTACTTCTGAGGAAAGGTCTAGCGCTTGCCGGTGCAGCGCATGCACATCTCCAGCAACTGAGTCTTCTGAAGTCAGCTCAAACTAAAGAGGTGGCGTCCTGCAACTAGAAAATTGATCCGCACATGGACAATGAGTGGCGGCAAGACACATCTGAGCCTCTCATGTCATTACAGATCAGAGTTTTAAACAACGATTGAGTACAGAGGTCTGCCCTCCAAGTGTGGGGTGTTGGCAATCAGCCCACATCCAAGTTTACTTTCTGTTTTGAGGAATTTGAAAGTTTGGGCCCCAGGGGGGCTGCATGTATACACGTAGCATGCATTTGCATGTGAGTACTATGGTGGCCCTGATGTGTTTGTAATTCTCTTCAAGGACCCAAGCATGGGAAAAGACAACATTTGAGCGCCTAATTTTTTATGTTTGCATGAGAGGGAGATCTGATTCTTGATAGCAATGCAACACAGCAAATGCAACACCACGCAGCGCATTTGGTGATGAGCAGAAGTATCCAAGTGACACATGGTGAAAGCTCTCACGCTGCAAGATCATGCATGTCTTGAGAACAATTGCTATTTATATAAATGTAAGCAACATAGGAAAACTTCGATGTTTCTGCGCGCATCCAAGCTCACAAATCCACATCAGATTTGACTTTCCTGATGTCAGCATTGACCAAGGCACGTCATCACATCTTCCAAGAAATGAGAACAAATCTCACAGGAAGATGTATCGCTGAAACAATACGATCAAGCCATGCAATTGAAGGGCCATACGTGCCAACCGTCCTGGAAGTGGTTGGCAAGAAAGCCGTTGAGCCTTTGGGGCAACACACAACGACATGCGTCCGGGCGCAGACACTATCTTAGTGTTGCTGCGAGCAGCGGACTTATTATCTACGATCCGGATGTGAGTTGGCCCACACTTTGCACTTGAAGTATCCTTTTTCAGCTGGAATAACAGAAATCGAAAGAAGTGGATCAGAATATATTCATGCTGACAGTGATGCGCTTGGTGACAGGACCTCGTCATTGAAACTTCCCTGGGCACAATGGGATTTATGAATGTATCGAGGTGCGTCACTTGTCATAACAACTGGGGCCAGTGCTCCCGTTGCCTTCACCAAAAATTGACTCTCCTGGAAATATCTCAGTGACAACAAATGATGTGGGTGCCCACAGCTATGCTCCTGACACAGAGCAAGGAGGTGTGAGGCTGGGAGCCTCTCAGCTGGATCTGGGCAGCATACAGCAGCGTGGAAAGCAGGAGCTGTCATCTGGGGGGGTCAGCGTCCGCCTTTACACAGGGTGAGCCGCTAGATTGATGTCTGCCCAAGGCAGTCAGCAATGAGGAGTTCCGCTTCAGGATCCAGGAAACGGATAGACATGCTTGCTGAATGGATTATTGCAATGACTGCAGGCGAGTGAAGAGAGGCCCCGGCGGTGGGACCCGAGTTGTCCTGAAGGTATGCAGAGAATTTTTTACTGGGTTTCCTGTGTTTGCTAAACAGCCTGCTGTCCACGCATGTCTAGAAGCGCAGATAAAAAGCAGAAGAAGGTTGGTCGTGCTCTCAGGGCTTGAGGAAGGGGTAATGTGACTCCAGCACCACGCTGTAAATCTGCATACAGGACATGTGCACCTAAAAGGTGCCCACATATGCACACATAACAATATGAGGCATCGTGTGTGTTTGCATGCATTGAATATTGACCTCGAGGCAGCCCTTCCCTTTTTCCTGGCGCTCGCACTGCCTTGCATGTTTGCGCATTCTCCCTTGTTTTTGACATGACTGTTTGAATGATCTGTCTGCACAGGCGTACCCTCAGGATGGGGGCAAGGAGGCGGATGCAATGGCGGCCAACGAGCTGGCTGCGCACTGCAGCCTGCAGCCACCCGCTGTTGTGAAAGAGGCGCAGCACATCTGCACCCTGCTGGGTGGATTCATGCCCCGCTCGGGTGCATCAGCCGGGGAGCAGGTGCTTTCCCACATCCACCTACCACTGATATGCCTAGTCGCAAACGCTCCAGACCAGATCCCTGGAGCACAACTGACACCTGCCCTTGGCAATGTGCTTTTACCCTCCTGCTGAATTACCATGCACGGACACATTGGCATCTGTGCTTTCAAGAACGGTCATCACAGAATGAAAGGGGTGACAGCTGATGCGATTGGGCCAATTGCAGTGGCTGGTGTTTCGTAATGACGGCACCACAACAGCAGCACAATGGGCACAGCAGGCGTCGCAGGCCGGCTTGGGAGGCGGCCTCTTCAGCGTCTTTGACAGGGGCCGCGCAGAGCGCCGGCAGGCCTTTGCTCTGGAGGTCCTCCGCCAGACACTTAAGGTGAGCCAATTTTCAGTACCGTACAGCTTCCACCATGCTGCATGGCGTCATCTTGTATGGACACTGCAGTTCCCTTGGTCTCATACATAGAAGCTAGTATTGATGGTATGGGAAGACAACATGTAGCCCCTTCTTAGATATCTGCTGTATCCCTGGGCAATGTGAAGGGGACGTCTCCACCGAATGTTCTTGGGCCAATGTGGTCAAGAACCACCTTGATGGGATGTGATCTTCAGTCAGCTTGATGGGGTACTTCCAGCATTTGCTGCATGCAGACAAGTGGTGTAAACTCCATTGATGCACCTGTCGTGCCGCTGAGCAGGGGCTGGCGTACATGCACTCGCGCAACAGGCTGCATCAGAGCGTGGGACCGTCCTCTGTGATCCTCAGCGGCACGGACGAGACCGGCAGTCGACCGCTGCTGGTGCGGCTGAGGGACCTGGCATTCTCAGTGGACGTCTCCGAGGCGGCTCTGTACGGCGGCGCCACCCTGGCCGACATCTGGGAGCGGGGCCGCATCGACGCCAAAGACCCCCTGTGCGCGGCTCGCCAACCCCCACCAATGCTCGCGCAGATTTTTGCTTCCTGTCTGTATCATCCCTGACAGTAATATGAGCGAGCAGCACCGTTGCAGAAGCAGCTGTTAAGCTTGCAGCCGTGTGTTGAAGCACCTGCCCTGTCAGACCGGAGCAGAACTGGCACGCTCAGAAAGAGCAAACTGGAGCAGACTGGATTTCTGAGGACGCTACGTGTTTGCGATGCTCTTTGCTCAACTTAGCAGAGGACAGTCCCAGACAAGGCAGCATTCTCTGAGGGAGATCACCAGGCACCTCAGCAGAAACAAGATGTCGCAGAGCACAGGAGCCACACGGCTGACAGGCAAGTGGCGCGCTGCGACAGGAAGCAGCTGGCAGCTGGGCTGTGGAGGAGGGCGGAGCAGGAGGGGGCGCGCACGGAGACGGAGCGGCGCAACTACGGCATCGCCGACGACGTGTACGCGGCCGGCCTGCTGCTGGCGTGCATGGCCTTCATCCCCTTTTGTGAACCCGGCTCCATCGATGCGCCTTCCCTGCAGCGGTGCGGCCGCCTGTCTCCCCGCGCTGTTCTTTGCATTCTCTGGACCTCAAGGCCTCTAATGAGACAGGATATGCAAAGCAGGGATGCTTGAAGACCATCCCCTTGGTTGCATGAGATGCAAAGTAGAATGCTCAAAGGCGCTCCTTGCCCGGTCATGATGTTCAAGTATCCTGTCCCGGCTAAATGCTGCCAGTTAACTTGTACCCTCACCCATACCACGCAAAGAAGGCGTGCATGCATTCAAACCGTCCTTGCCTTGCTAGTATTGACCAGAGGACTTTGCAGACTTGCTTTCTCCAGGCTTGACTGAGATAAGAGCGTCGTCTTTTCACTTTTTGCTTGCGGGTTCTGTGCTTGCACGCCAAGCCTGGCAAAGATTTTCGTGTGCAAGTGGACTCCACATCATGGAGCCGCCTGCGCTACAAGTGTCAGAATGTGCGCGCAGGCTGCTGGAGAGCACGTTCCGGCTGGACATAGAGGCGGCGCGCGAGTACTGCGATGCCGACGAGCGATGGGCGGGCGCGGTGCAATTTTTGGACAGCGCGGCCGGCGGCGCTTCCGGCTGGGATTTGTTGGCGGCAATGCTCAATCCTGAGTGGCGGCGGCGGCCGACGGCCGAGTCGTGCCTAAACCACCCTTTTTTAAAGGAATATGTTGCAAATGACGCGTAGGCATTGTTTAGCTGGTTTGGGTGGAGGTATTGAATATTGATTGCAGGAGGCAGGGTTGGAATATGCTTATTCGGCGCTGTTTTTCAGAGTGTTTTCTGATAGAAAACTACAGGGCATCGTCAGGCGCTCAATGCAAATAGAGTGACTAACGCAGGGATCTGTCAAGATGCGCGTTGCCTGCATATGTTGCAATAAATTCCTTCAAGAAAGGTCACATGAGCGATCCTTTAGAATGCCTCTCTTGGCAGATTGCATATGCTATTGTGTCACTAAGACTGGCTGAACACTTGCAGATATTAAGTTCCTCGTGCCAATTGACTGAAAGATGTACTTTATTCGCAGACTATTTCAGGTTTCACATGCTGGCAGGGGCATCAGCGCAAGCTGTGCCACTCACTGCTGCGAGTTCTGTGCAGAGCTGCCTCCACTGCACCCGCCACATCATCAACCACCACATCTGCTGGGTGTTCCCTGTCATTTTCCCCGTCCTCCCCACTGAATACCCCTGTCCTCACCAGTACAGACACCCAAGGTTGCCCCTGAGCATTTGCACCCGCTATGTCGGCCTTTGGATTATCTCCCACTGCATAGATGGCCCCAAAAGGCAGTGCCCTGCCTGGCTTGGCCGCTTCTGCTCCAGTGCTTGCTGGCAACTTGCCCAGCTGAATTGCTTGCTCCAAGAGGAGCTCCTCAGCCAATGCATAGGGGGCTCTGTGGGGCTTGCCAAAGTACTGATGCTCCAGTTCTCCACCAGTAGTCTGCAATGCAAAGCTCACTTCAAGGAGAGTTCTCAGCAGATTTGTCACAATCTGCGTCTGCTGCAGCGTGGCAGTCTTTGACATGTGGTGTTCAGTGTGAATGACAGCAAGTATGACCTCATGGTACAGCGTTCTGAGAGCTGCTGCAAAGGCGCCCTGGCCAAAGCGGGGGGCCGGGAAGTCTGCTGCCCAAAGCAGGTCCGGATTGCTGAAATACACTGGCACAGCTGCTCTGTCAGCTTTCATCGGCTTCCACCGCCCCGGCACGCCACCTGCCCAAAAAGCATGCCTTGTGATTGCCTTGACATTGAAAAGCACATTGCCAAACCCACATCCAGGCTGCTCTAGCAATTATTGGAGGGTATCAACAGGCGGACATGGGATGTTTTGAGCAGGAAAGGGGTTTCTCACCCCCCAGGATGACATCTGTCATTATCTGCAGGTCAAGATACCAGTCGTCAGGATCTTTGAAGACCAGGATGGCTGCTATTGGGCGCTTAGGAGACCCCAGTCCTAAATTGTGCACAGGACATCCTCCCGATGCAGGAGGCTCATGTCCTGCAGGATACAGGTAAGTCCTAGCCAATGGCTGCGATTGCAATTTGCACTTTGCGTAGATGCTTCATGTCTGAGTTAGAATCTCTCTGGAAATATCTGGTATAACAATTGTATGCCAGTGAAGCAACAAACAGGTCGGCACGGTAAATCTTGCACAGCCTACCTGGGGAACCCTTCCAAAAGGGCACTGCCTTTGGCACAGCAAGTGCAATGTCTCTTGTGGTAAGCACATGCTTGAATCCATACTCCCTTGCCACCTCTGCCACTTTGCCCACCCCAGCCACCAGCACAGGCTTGCTCCCCAGGCTCTTGGCCAGGCTCCTGAAGGGTGTATGAGATAGCACCACCTGGCCACCATACACTGCCATGATGTTGTGCAAATGACACCATGCAGAATCCGACTTGCTCATTAAAGCTGAATGGGATCATTTCTGGTAGCAGTCCCCGGGCAGTGTCATTACCTGATTGTTGCGCACGTTCACACCAAGCCAAGCTGACAGCTGCTGTGCTTTCTCTGCTTCTGTTACGCCTCCTCCATTTGTCAAAAAACAGATTGGATACTTCTGTGTTTCACCTGAAGTCGAACGACATGTGTTAGAATGGTGTTGCCAGGTGTTATATAGGTGTTATAACATAGGTGTTACCAGGACATCATAATGTCGAAGTCACATGTTTTTGTTCATTTTCTGTTGCATCCATGGGACACATGGCTCACCCCCTCTTGTGTAGAGGCGCTGAAGGGCCTTTTTGGCAGACCCTAGGACAGTCTCGCCCCTGATGAGGACACCGTCGATGTCGAATACAAAAGCAGGAGGCCCGGAGGCTGCTCCAGGAGTGTGGAGGAACTTCCTTTGTAGCAGTGACAGACACTCCGCCAAACCAAGTGAGCTACTGCACGCCCTATTCCAAGATCCCATCGATCTCCAAACCAACATAATGCCGATATATTACAATACTTGTGACACAAGAGGGATCATTTAGACTTCTAGCTCATTGCTTGATAGGAAGTTCTCAAGTCTTCAACGAGTCTCTTTCTCATCAAAAAAAATCAGATAACCGGAAGAGAAAATTCAGTGAACTTCTGCATTTACAACGGATGCAACTCGATTGATCCTAAGATATCTGCTGTCAACACGGATCATGGCATCGAGATTTCCCGAGACCATCGGCTTTACAAAGAAGTTGTTGAAATGATGTCGACTGCTATAAGGTCGCATCACAAGCGTCTGCTTTCATCTATGGTAGGAAAAGGATCTAGAGCATCAGAAAGAGGGTGGAGGCTATTGATGACCAAGAAAAGGCGCAGCTTCCAGGTGTCGCGAAGCCATGAATTCCAAATGCATCGATTCCCTGGACCGCTTCTTTCAAAATTGCAACCGGAGTTCATTGATCGTAATTGAGAAGAGAAGGGAATAAAGGACGCGGGGTGTTGTTACGGATGCTTGAAAGCCAGGACGGAAGATATTCAGCCAGGCCGCCTTTGCGAAGGCAAATGACAGCGGCTTCTTCAACCTCTGATGTAACTAGACTTGTAGATCAGCCCCTCTCATTTGAGCTTGAAAGGCAGAACGGGCATGCGTCAACATCAGGTAACTTTGAGCCCTTTTTATCCTGTGTTCTGTGCAATCTAGATACAAAGTGCTGTTCAGTCAAGACGAAGGTAGTCATTGAGCACCTCACAATCAGCAGCAGTTGACCAGGTCTTGATCAGCTTGGGGTCTCTAGTACCACAAACAGCTTCCTTCCACAGGAGCCATATACATCTAAGCCCACTTCAAATGCCTTAGACAAACGCAAATTGCCCACTGCAGGCTCTACAGCACCACAGAGCAAATGGTACGATGCAACTTTTCACACGATCACCGCAGTAGTTGGTGTGGGGGTGCTATCGCTTCCATATGCCTTCTCCTACCTCACGTGGACTGGCGGTGTAATCGCCCTGGCGGTGACAACAGCAACCAGCCTCTACACCGGGTACCTGCTAGCAGCACTGCACGAGGACAAAAACGGCCACAGGCATAATAGATACAGGTGAGGCCAGCATGCCGCTTTACAAGTCAAACATTGACTGCGTAGAATGTATCATACAGCAATCTCACGTGAAAAGGGAGCCACTGAGAAGCATATCAAAGGTGCAAGGATGGGCTGCTTTGCAGGGATCTGGGGAGGGCTATCTTTGGGGAGAAGTGGGGCAATTGGGCGATTGCCCCATTCCAGTGGTCTGTGCTGGTGGGCCTGGCCATCACATACACTGCTACTGCAGGCCAGAGCCTCCAGGTCTGCCTGCAGCCTCACACAGAAATACTGCCTTGACTTGACCTCTAATAATACACATCTTACAGCTCTGACATCTTAAATGGCACTTCTTCTTAGTATGCATGACCAAAGCATCCTGCAGGCATTCCCCCATTGCCGCGTCTTGATTGTCCATGCAATCATTTGCAATTAATAACACCTCAGATGCTGGTCTTGGCCAATCATTTGAAGACGATTGGGTTGCCCATTGACAGGCAGTGCACAGCAGCACGTGCAACAACGCTGTGTACAAGGCGGTTGGAGCGGGGCGGACTGATAGGAACTGTTCTAGTGCATTGGCCTGGTGGACGATTGTCTTCTCCTTCTTCGAGCTATTTCTGTCCCAGATAAAGGACTTCCACTCCCTCTGGTGGGCCCTGACTCCTCAGCTGCGCTTGAATGCACACTCATGTTTCCTATCTGAGCATAACACCATGAGGTCCACACAGAAAGGGTGGATAACTACCACGCCTGCTGCCCTGTAGCAGAGCACAGCACAGCAGCCCTGCCAAGCCTTCCACCCGAATCCCTCTTCCAGTGTACCCAATATTCTCACACGCTGACGGAGGCACAACTGCCAGGATGCTGGAAGGAATCAAATCCTCTTGAAGGGGCTTCCCACCCTCTTTAATAATCTTCCAGTCCTTCTGGACCTAACTGGGATTGCCTCTGTTCTGGCAGGTGGGTATCGCTGCTGGGGGCGGCCATGTCAGCGATGTACTCAACGCTGGCATTTGCAACATCGGTGGCAGCTGGGTCGGAGGGCGCCAGCTACGGGCCACGCCAGGAGAGCCCGGCCGCACTCATACTGGGAGCGTTCAATGCGCTGGGCACCATCATGTTTGCCTTTGGCGGCCATGCCATCCTGCTGGAGGTGCAGGTGAGGCTGCCTGCCCAACTCCCAAGTAATCCTTTATATTTTTTCTTAGCGAGCCCGAGGGATACACAAGGGGAGACTTCAGCACAGCAAGGGAGCCGTGAGGGCACTGCCAGATGCCGGCTTCAGCCTCAAGCAGGGGCAACTGGATCTGACTAGCTGAGCTCATGGGTCATTCTTGATTTCACCTCCCAGCACCAGCGGCATCTTCAACCAGGCAGCTTTAAGAAGAAGCTGTATGACGACCAGAAGACCTACTTGGGGCCAAGGGGCTGCTCACCACACGCGTCCAAGGCAACATGCAGTGCTGAAGATCAAGACAATGCTGTGCAGGCAACGATGCAGACGCCGCCGTCAGCGCTCAAGTCGATGATGCGCGGCCTGGGTGCGGCCTACACGGTGGTAGTGATCGCGTACTTCCCTGTGGCGAGCGCGGGGTATGCGGCGTTTGGGAATGTGGTGTCCCCGGACGTGCTGCTGTCCGTGCGCAAGCCTGCCTGGCTCATCAGCATCGCCAATTTCATGGTGGTCATCCACCTGGCAGCCTCCTACCAGGTGCCGCCTCCTCACCCGCCCCTCTGCATGTCCTGCCTGCCTGGGAAAGTCAAGATGGGGAGGATCAAATGTGATGATCCATCCAGGCTTCTATCATTACAACTTGCTGCCAGGAGCGATCTCCTTGCATGGACACTTGCTTGAGAGCTGAAATGGAGCTAGCGCCTCGCATCCATCATGGCATTGCCCGCTGAAGCCTTCCTCCAGCAGGCAGGCAGGAAAATGCTGCAGGTGGACTGCCCTAGATGCATTCGCCAGCAAGCAGCCACACCAAAATCTTCCTCATAGTAATCAGTTGAAGTGCTCCCTGGGAATGCATAAAGAGTGTGCGTGCGCGCAGGTGTTTGCGCAGCCAATATTCGAGACGGCGGAGGGCTGGCTGGCGGCGCGCAAGCACCGGCTGGTGGATCGGCCGATAGTGACGCGCGCGATCGTGCGCTGCAGCTACGTGGCACTCACCTGTTTCGCGGCCATCCTCATCCCATTCTTCGGCGACCTCATGGGGTGCGCCGCCTACTTGCTCAGTACCCATGGCAGCAGTCAGGCACTTGCTCTTGCACCTCCGTGGAAAGATCTTGTGCTGGAGGGGATGTAGCTGTGCAATCAGCCTCATGTGGCCAAATCACTATGCAGATCTGTATGACACGCTACAATTGCCAAGATGGACGCATCGCTGACCCTCCCTGCTGTTTCCTCTGTCGCAGGCTGGTGGGTTCGTTGGGACTGATGCCGCTCACTTTCATTCTGCCGCCCGCCCTTTGGATCAAGGTGCGCCCACTGTTGCCCTTGCAGCAGTGCATGCACAAAAGAAGCAGCAGTCTGAGCCAAATCTTGGCTTAATCATTTGGCAAGGTGTTTAAAGAAAGGTGTGGGCTGCGTGTGAACAGGCGACAAAGCCCAAGGGCCCGGAGCTGTGGTTCAATGTGGCGCTCATGGTGGTGTATGGGGTTGCGGGAGTGCTGGCAGCCATCGGATCTGTGTACAACATCGTTGTGCACGCACATGAGTATCACACTGTGGGCTGATGCCAGGCACTTATCAATGCAGATTTTGTGGGCGCACTGCCAACTGCTGGATTTTGCTCTAGCTAGCAGTGCTGGCACCTCCGTTTCAATCTCGACGTGAAGTTCTTGGATTGCTCAGTCCTTGACCCAGCCCTGTATTAGAAGTATGCTTAGCATGCTGCATGCCATATACGCTTGCAACTGGCCGAAGTATGCTTAGACTGCAGGGTGGTACTGCGCACTGTCGGGAAAGGAATAATTGCAGATGAGCACTGGTGTCCAGCTTCAGGATTCCGGGATGTCACTTCAGATATCTGTAGCTACTAGAGCAGTGAATAATTGCAAGCAATTAATTGTGCAAGTATTGCAAGTGGACAGGTTCACACTTTCAAAATTGTGCCTTTGCGGAGGAACGCTACCAGCTTGTGTGCTATAGCATCTGGCAAATTATTCCTCACCACACAATCAACCAGGTTCAATCTGAGAGTTCCAAAGCGAATTGTCCAATCTGGTCACTGAGCCTCACTGCAGGGTCAAGCGATGCACAGTTCCCTTCCAATATCTTCGTCAAGCAATAATGAAATTCAGCAACAGCACTCTACCAAATGCATTTGCACAAAGCACTCCATCCATCCTCGCAAAACAAGACCTGTCTAGCACCAGACCCCATCACCATAGCCAGCAAAAAACAAGAGACAAAAAATTGATAGACAAAAAAAGCCCGGCGCCCTCACTCGGCCGTGGCGGGCGGCGGCCGGTTGATCCACCGGCGCGCGGCGCGGCCGGAGTCGACTGCTAAATGCGCGGTTGTCATGAGGGGCCCTGCCACTAGTGTCGGCAGCGCATACAGCACCCGCCTCGTTGCCAGTGCCAAACCATCCATGTCCGCCAGCAGACCCGCCTGTTCCATCCGCTGGAACACCTGCGCCAGAACAACTTCTCCTCTGAAAGGTTGCTCGCCAAAACGCACACCAACATGGCGCACTTGTGGTGTTTGGGAACATGCGGTGCTGTCAAAGGAAGGGAGATCAGGCTGCATTTGCCTGAGGGTCTCGAGCTCGCTTGTTTGATCCGCATGAAGAGGGGTCGCGAAGCGCAGCAGCACGGTGTTTGTTTTGAGCTTTTGAACTTATTGAATAAAAATAATTTTAGCTTACTAGTGGCATGCAAGGTGGGTCTGAGCTATTCAGCCTCTTGCTTCAATACTTCTAGGTCCAGACTACTGATTGAGGAAAAGGGACGCACTGCGTCGGCCTCCTCCCAGGCGCCAGCGCGCTCGCATGCGCTGATGACGCTCTGCAGCGTGTGCCCGTCCGGGGCAAGCCCCGAGTCGCACATGTCCTGATACAGCCGCAGCACGTCGCGCCACCGGCCGCAGGCGCGGCAGGCCCCAATCGCGGCCGCCCACGAGCGCGCATTTGGCGGCGGTGCCGGGGCACGGCCCGGTGCCGGTGGCAGCTCGCTGCGCATGCCGTTGAAGACCGCCAGCGCCCGCGCCGGCTGGCCGCCCTGCCCCAGCGCTCGGATCTGCACACAAAGGAAATGAAGGCTTGACTAGGACTCTGACAACCATTAGATGTGCATGAAGTGAGAGTTTTGTAACATTGGCATCAAAGCCTCTTCCTACACGTTTTATAGCTGCGTGTCACACCACCGATCTGGAATCTTTGCTTCTGGACAAGAGAGAGTGATCCAAGAGCCAGGCCAGGCGGTGCGACACAACAATAGAGTGCATGTATCTCAGGGTGTGCATCTACTGGCACACACTGCAAAGCCTGCAGTGCATGACATAACACTGCGCCAGGGGCTTACTGCAGGCCAGCACAGCATATCTGCTGGGACCTCAACACAAGTACATGCATTTCCTATGCGCTCTGTCAACTCTCATTGAGTATCTAGCTGGTAAGGCGGCCTCTCACCAGCGCATTGTAGGCCGCTGCGTTCGGCCGCCCTCCGGCGGCGCAGAACTCCTGGAAGGTGGCGAGCGCGGAGCGCCATTCGCCAGCGCCGCCTGCCGCGCTGACTAACGAGCAGATGGTGAAGCTGTCGGGCGTGTGGCCGCGCGTGCGCATCACGGCCGCCACCTCGAGCGCCTCGGCATATTTCCCCGCCTTGCCGCACGCGCTGATCAGCGTGTTGTATGTCACTGCCGACGGCTCCACGTACCCGTACGTTTCTGCATTTCGGGAGTCATGTCAAGATGTCAGGTGCTCCAACGCCCCCCAATTTTGTGCCTAATGTTGGCTCGTGTGCTCAGGGTAATCTGCAGTACACTTGCAAAACACATGTTTTTGTGCCTAGCATTGTGTCGAATTCTTTAATGACTTTTTCATGGGCTACCTTCCAAAATTTCCTACGTAGAGGCGCCTCACGTGGCACAGCAGCATGACGGACCTTGGAAGGATATATGCAAGTGCTTGAATAGCAAGAGGCAAGGGAGAAAGGGAGCAGGAATCGCTCACTGGCTGCCTCACGCTCCATACGCGCAAAGGCCTCCAGCGCCCGATCCGCCTCCCCGTCCCGTTCGCATGCAGCCAGCAGCTGCACACCAGAGACAACCTCAAACCTCACTTCCCAAGCAAATCGACATATTCTTTCTGTCCACAGACATGGGCACGACACACCAACTCCTTCAATCTGCTGCTGCAAAGGGCCCGCAGCATGCCAGCAAGGAGGGGAGTGTTCACTGGCACCAAAGAACCTGTCTGTGTGTTGAAAAGCGGCACCCACCGCGTTGTAGGAGCGGGTGTTGGGCTGCACGCCGGCGCGGCGCATGACGTTGAAGCAGGACCAGGCCTGCTCCCAGCTGCAGCTCGCCATCGCCTGGTTGTACGCCACCTGCACATACCCAGCAGCATTCCATGAGCCACGCAGTCTTCACCACCAACCACAGCCATCCTGCTACTCCTGGACACTTGCCAATTCCACACAAAAAACACCCATTGCTTCATTGCTTGTACATGAGAGTGGAACCCAGGGACGATTTGGTCATTGGAGAGACAAGGCATCTTTTGTGAGAACGGGGCAGGCAGGACAGCTCTGTAAATATGAGTCGAGAGGGGCTGACCACGTCGAGCTGCACACCATCTGTCTCCATGGTCCTGAAGATGGCCATGGCACGCTCGGGCTGCCCGCCGCGCCGGCACACATTCATCAGCGTCGTGTACAGTACCACGTTCCCCTTGATGCCTGCGCAGCCACAGCTTGGTTTCAAATGTTGCTCCCGCACTTTTCCCACCTCAGAAGCATCTCTGGCTTCCAGACAGCAAATATGAGAAAACAGAATTTTGTCACATTGTCCGGGGGATTAGGTCACTGTTTTGGTGCATGCCAACTCGCTCACGCAAGCACTGCATAACCCCTCCCCTCAAGTTTGACAAGACAGTGCCATGCATGCATGCACAGCTTCTCATGGTATGCAGGCCCGTGCGTGAAAGCCTTAACGGTAGAGATTTTGACTTTGGAGGAAAAGCCTCTGCAGCTGCGCAGCCGGTCAAAAGACCCACCTGAGCTCTCCATCTGGTCCAGGAACTTGAGGGCGTCCTTCCAGCGGTTGCCGCACGCCTGGCACGCCGCCGTCAGCGCCGAGAAGGTCCACACATCCGGCTTCACCCCCGACTGCTGCATGTCCGCGTACAGCCGCAACACCCTCTCCCAGTCCCCCGCCTTCCCTATCGCACACGCCATCGCTCATACTCAAGGTAAGTCTAATGAAATACTCACCCATATCACCTCATTGCCCCTGTCCTTTCTGTCAAGCCAAGCCTAGAGCTCAAAGTGTTGTGTGAAGTACGATAATGGCCTCCACATATATAATGAGCTTGAATGTGCATCAGTATCCCAAGCAATTGCATGCTTGATTGCCTGTTGCCCGCTTTGTACTGAATCCAGCACACAGATGTAACATTTTGTACCTGCAGCGCCGATAGCAGCGTTGAAAGCCACGACGTCCGGCCGGATGCGGGCGGCGCACATGCGGTCAAAGAACTCCAGAGCCTTGACTGCGCCGTTGGGCTGGCGCGCTGACATGGAGAGCAGGCGGGTGTAGAGGAAGCGGTCCGCTGTTGTGTACTCTGGGCAGCTGTCCAGCCAGTCAAACGCTGCCAGCGCCAGATCGAAGCGCCCTTCGTGCCCCAACCACGACAGCAACCTGCGCATATCGGACCCTAATGCTTGCTGCTGGCATCCATATTTGTTGCATGAACTTAGCTGGCAAAAGGTCCTGGCTTTGAGCAGAAAGCAGAGAAATTCCCGGGTCAGCATGCGATGGGAATGGCAATCTTTGAGAGCTTGCGAAGAGGGATGAAGTCACACCGGGTGATCTGCTTGCTGCACAACATCTGGCCCTCCAGGACTCGAGACACACTGGCGCCCTGTGGAAGGCCCACCAGCATTCGCCCAAGAACAGCTTCCCTGCTCAGCACTGACCCCGTCCAGTAGACTCGCTCAACTGCAGGACCCCTGTCCAAGGTGGCAGCTGCACTGCTGCCATCGCTGAGCGAGGGATGGTTACTAGGATCTGTGCCTGCTTCTTGTGAAGGCTGCCTGGGTGGACTTGGTCTGACCAATCGAGGAGGCCCTGAGAGCTTAGGAACCTCTGTGCTTGCTGTACTGGGTGTCTGGCTATCATCCTTCACGAGATCCTTCCCAGGAGCTGCCTCCTCTGGGAGACTTCCATAGGATGTGCTAGCGCCTTCCTGAGAACGCTGCCTGTCTGAAGTAGTATATAATGCAGCATCTGTGTCAATGATATTTTCTTTATCTGATGATCTTGCGGAATCTCGGTCGAGCACAGCACCAACGCTGTGCTGTCCCAAGTCGGTGCGGAGACATGAAACCATTTTAGAACTGACGGGTGACGATCTGCGATGGATTCCATTTCCACTAATATAATGCACTCTCACGATTCGACTAAGGTCGACAGGCTTGTTTCTCTTCTGCCACTCGACACATCTGCCACAACGCTGCTGCTGCTGCATTCTGGACTTGGTGCAATAGCACGCAAAGCAATCTGGTGAGTATTGCAACTGCAATCATCCCAACAATTCAGTTGCAATCATCTTAATTTGTGAATTGATTTGAAGGATCGCCTCAGGCCACATGGGCGCCACGCTGGAAGATGTTCGATAGTTGGTGCTGACATCAGCATTACTTTTTGCGATGCATGGTTTTATTCCATGGATGTGGGAGTTTGTGCGAGTCCATTCCTGACATGATGCAAAATTGAGAAGATTGGCCTTTTTCTGAGGGGTTCATAGTCTGGAGAGTAGTGTCAATGGCTTTCAAATACTTCAGCTAAAGTCACAGAAAGTCACTCTCTTTTAGTGAAGGTCACTGACAGCGGGTCATGACAACAGTCATATGACACATCCCCTTACAACCAGAAGCATGATAGGTTCGGCACACATAGCAGCGGACACATGGGGCACAGACATCAAAATGAAATAAATCCAATTTGTAAGCTGTAGCAGCTGCGCAGCAGTTGCAAGAACATCCTCATTTGAAGTCAAAGGCGGGAAACACAAGGGAGCAATGGCTGCTTCAGCATTCCCACAGCAGGCTTGTCAGGGGGTGTGATTGGAAAAGGAAGGCAAAATTCCTGCAAGCTTTTGATGCACGTACCCACGCTGCGACCCATCACAGCTTAGCCAGGAAGACAACATTTTGCACTGCCGAGCCACTGGCAATGGCCGCATGCAATCCTCTCATAGGAATTACGCCACAGTCCTTGAGGGCGGCAAGCAGATCATCCACGTCCTCAACAGTGTGTGCAGCAGACAGCGTGATGCGCAACCTGTGCATAGCACACACACCTTCAATCTGACCGCTTGACTTGCCTCAACATCACTTCCCTAAGCAGCTTTCCCAGCTATAATACTTTCATTGCCACTAGCTCTTCCTGATAAGAGGCAAGGCGCATCTGCAGAGATATTAGATATAGGCTTTTATATAACTATTGCTAGAATAAGTAGCCCCTCCTTGGGCATGCCAGATATCCAAGCACGACCCAGTCGATTGTGCGCATGGTGGTCACACTTTATACGGCGGGGGCAAGCTTTGGTGCAACAAAGAGAAGACAACTAAAACATGCAGAGAAACTTGAAAATGGTGCATTCTGCTGACCTGGAGCTGCCTGGGGCAACCGCAGGAGGTCGGATGGCCGGCACATAAAAGCCCCTCTCGAGGAGCGCGGCGGAGGCGGCCACAGCCGCAGCTTCGCTGCCGACGATGAGAGGCACAATGGGGCTGCAGGCCTCCACCCCCAGCCCCTCCCCAAGCCGCCTCACCAGCCTCCACAGATGCTCACGCCTGTCTGGCTCCTGCACAATTTCCCGACCACACTCAATGCTGTCCTTCATGCTAAATACTGCTTGGAATGCCTGTCCTCTCGAAGGAGAATGCATGACGATAACACGAGGAATGCTGATCCCTACCTGGGAGCTATGGTGAGTCACCCTGATGAGTCACACAATGAGTCACCATGGTCATTCACTAGGGTCAGTGATCATTGTGAGTCATGGTCAGTCAGGGAGTCACCTGTTCATTGACCTGCAGCGCGGCGATGGCGGCTGCCACCACCGGTGCTGGGAGAGCGGTGGAGAAGATGTAGGAGCGGCCCTTGTTGATCAGCAGGCTCTTGAGGTCGGCTTGGCAGGCCACAAAGCCGCCGTGCGCCCCTACCGCCTTGCTCAGCGTGCCGATGTGCAGGTCCACTTCCTCGCCCACCCCAAATGCCTCCGCTGCTCCGCCGCCCCTGGCCACGCACCGGCACACAATCAGTTTATCTGAAGTTGTGCACTGATTTGCCGTTTGGATCCTTGCGTGCTCTACCTGACAGCTTCACCTAGCACTGACGCCAGCAAATTATATCTGTTAAAGGAAGCCAGCCTGGGCTCACACAACCAGGGCACTGACATCCTCCTGACTGAATGAGTGCAAATCTTCAAATAGTGCGCAAACCTTCTGGAGTGCGAGAGCAGTGCTAACGAATGACATGGCAGCATGATGCCCTGCTCTTTTGAGGTCTTTGTAAGTAGATCAAGGGGATTTCAGTCCCGCCACAATCAGCTCAGCATTCAAGAGTTGGTGGACAGCAGAGGAATGCAGTGCAGTGTAATCCACACCTTGAGCCGCAGACCAGAGTCCCATGGGCCTCATCAATTGCCAGCAGGAAGCCGTACCGCCTCCGCAGCCGCGTCAGGCCCTCAAAATCTGCAATGTCACCTAATCCCCGGCAGACAGTCGATCACAAAAGTGCTCTGGAACAAGATGCAAGGAACGATGTGAGGGCTCTGTGATTCAACGAGCTGGATTGTGTCTTTTGGAGGGATCAAGAGTGCCCACCATCCATGCTGAAGACGCTGTCTGCCACCACAAGCTTTCTGTGGGATGATGGACAGGTTTGTAAGAGTTCCTCCAAGTGCCGCATGTCATTGTGCTTGTAGATGTGCAGCTGCCCCTGCCAAGCACAGGCCCAGAAGTTTCAGGTGACTTTATGAAGCTCTGCATCTGTAATTCGGGAACTGGCCTGAACATGCAGAATACGCAGATTGCAACATGAAGCGCGCCTTATTTCTGCAGGCCAGGCGAGCGCCATCCACTATGGATGCATGGTTCAGTTCGTCTGAGAAAATGGCTGCATCCTCGCTGCTCCCCAGAGCTGACATGACTGCCAGGTTTGCCGCAAATCCCGTGGCGAACAGAAGGCATTCTTCGGTGCCCTTCAGAGTAGCCAGCCGGCTCTCGAGCTCCTGATGAAGCACCGTGTAGCCAAGACCCACCGGTGACGACCTCGGCCCTGATGCGCCGAAGAAAGGAAATGATACTAGGGTTGCAAGGATGCCGGTCAGATGCCGATAGTAGATCAATCATTGCAGAAAAGAGTCACGCCGTGCTGTGCGGCCGTAATAGAAGAGTGCTAAGGTCAACCCCATTGAAAAGGTAGGAAGAAGTTCATACCAATTCCGTACAGCGCTGCTGCGTCAGCTGCTGCGTGTCGGACGGCCGCATGCATGGATAGGCCCAGGTAGTCGTTTGTACTGAACAGCTTCAATGTTTTACCATGCTGAAGGACATCCTGACAGGCGTGTCCGCCTCCATCCTCTATCCACGGACCCAGCACATCGCCAGGAAGGTGCACCTGGCGGTATAGACGATCTTGTCAATGCACACCCCTCGAGTTTGTCAGAAGAAATAATAAAATGCGCATTAGTCGCACCCGATTCCCTGAAAGGGTTGGCTGCACTGGTCGGAGTGTCCGCAGGAGATCTGCGTCCCTCAGGCGGCCCAGGCAAGAACTCAACCATGCCTCCCAGCGCTCTTGAGAAAATTCACCTGACTTACTGACGTGCATTCAAATACAATAATCCTGGAGTAGATCACAATCTCTCTATTTTATTCAGACCGTCGGCGATGCCCGTTCGCTGAGTCTATCGCGGCAGGTATTCAGCTGATTTTCGAGCTACAATCGTATAAGGAGTTTTAATAATTAAATGAGTAGTCGACAAACTTCAACTCCTTTCGCAAAATCTTGATACGGTCGTTTGATGCGAGTGCTAAGAGTGATAACCTTGGAGTGATCTCAAATTGCGGACGCGCTTTCTGTATGCCGTGACATCACGAGTCGTCCCAAATCGTTCAAATCCCTATCCGAGGGGCATTTCTAGCCAGCAGCTTGCAGAACAAAGCTTCGTCGAGAAGAGCCAAATTATGCACAAGATCGGCGGCAGGCACCATGACAGAAATTATCGGCCTGTCATGCCGCTTCCCCGAATCAAACGGGCCAGCGGAGTTCTGGACCAACCTAATAGACGGAACGGACATGCTGACCACTGACGATAGGCGATGGCCAATTGCGTTCCAGGGCCTCCCTCCCAGGTCTGGAAAGGCTCCTGGCTTCGACAAATTCGACGCGGCGTTCTTCTCAGTCCACGGCAAGCAGGCACAGGTTCGTGGATGCCTCACGGATGGCTGACATATAAAGAGGTCTTCTAGAAGATTTTGTGTAATGTTGATGCGGCACTTGAGTTAGATGGTGCAAGAAAAATCTAATTAGTACATGTGCACAGCAAGTCGGAATGCATAGAATAGTTTGGGGCGAGGCGGCGGAGGACGTCCTGGGCATGGCTTAAGTTTCGGTGTATGTCTGCGAATTTGATAAGCGAAAATAGTCGATGCATCTAAAAAATTCGTTTCCTGGAGACTCACTGTCCTTCTCTTCGACGAGTTTGCTGTTGCGTCAAGTAGTACAACGAAGCACAAGCGGCCGACTTTGACGATGTCATTGCGGTCGTCAATCTTGCTCAAAATGTGGTTACTGCTGCCCTTCGCGCAGGTTGTGTGTTTTGTAAGTCAATACAATTTATCTGTGGCAGGGCCTAAAGGTGAAAAGCTAAGTATTTGTTCCGCAGAAAATGGACCCTCAGCTACGCAAGCTCTTGGAGGTCGCGTACGAGGCCTGGGTGGACGCTGGTATAGACTTCCGCGCACTGCGAGGCAGTGAGAGAGTGGGAGTGTATGTGGGCAGCTGTGGGTCTGAGATTCACGCTCAATGGGTGGCGGACATCGACAGCATCACCGGCTACGAACAAGCGGGCTGTGCACGTTCCATGTTCGCCAACCGCCTATCCTGGTGGTTTGACTTCCACGGCCCCAGCAAGTGCATCGATACAGGTGTGAGCCCCAAAGATCTGCCATCAAATATCGTCTGTAGACCCTCATGCCCATACCTGCAGCACTGCCACAGCTGCACATCTGCACAGAAGGGGGAATTCTGAAGCAGGCACAGAGAAAACCAGCAACTTTGTCAGACTTTGAGCATGCCTTCTGTGTGCCAAAGACTTTGTAATGCAAGATGATGTCATATCAGCTGGAGTCTAAAAATGAATATTTTTTCTATGTGCAGCTTGCTCCTCCTCTCTGACGGCGTTCAACGACGCAATCAGCGATTTTGAGGCCGGCCGCATCGACTATGCCATGGTCGGCGGCACATCTGGAATCTTCAAGCCCCAGACATCCATCGCTTTCCAGCGGCTGCACATGCTGTCCCCAGATGTGAGCATGGCCCCTTCACCCTGCATCGAAGAAGCACCCCAGCTGTTGCTTGCTCAAGGTTCCGCATTTGGACCATCCTGCACATAGCTCTCACTTCGTTTTGCACTGGAAGGTTCCATCTGCTGCTTGAAATGATCACTGCATGCGAATAGAGCATGCTGCTTAACCAAGCCTGGATGTTGACGTGGGACAAGATAACCTTGCATTGCGGCCAAGGCAGAGCTGCCTCCGGTGGCTGACTCTGTGTCTCGGACTCAGCGCCCAGCATGACATCCAGTCACTTAGTCAGTCAGTGAGTTTACATCGCCTCCAAGGCTGGAGGCATGGCCTTATGCTGAATTGTTAAAGTTAGCGCCGAGCATGAGATGCATTAACAATCATTTGAAAAGATAGCTAAGTGCAACGAAGCTCAGAGGAGTGTCCTGCGCAGGGCACGTGCAAGTCCTTCGATGCATCGGCTAACGGCTATGCGCGCTCGGATGGGATTGCGGCTGTGGTACTACGGCGGCCGGGCCTGTCTGAGGCCCCTGTCTGGGCCCCGCGCCGCCCCTATGCGCGCGTGCTGGCCTGCGCGACCAACAATGACGGCCACACCAAGGAGGGAATTACATTCCCATCCGGGCCTGCCCAGAAGGCCCTGGCACAGCAGGTGCTCCACCTCACAATGCATGGTGTTATGGAATCTCAAGCAGTCAAGACTTGCATCTCTGTTCATCGCTTGCTGTGGGGCTGACTGCAAGTACACGGCAGGTTACTTCATGGGCACTGCACAGAACTGAGTCAGACTCTAAGGTTCATGCTGTGCATTGCAGCTTGTTTAGAGACTGCTCAGCACTCAACTCTCTTAGCTCTTTGGGGGAGCTTATAAATTTTAACTAAACAGACGCAGCTTGCATGTCTTTGCAGGAAGCTCATGCTGGCAAACAGGATATGATTCGCACAATTTTGTTGCATGCAGGTGTGCGCAAAGGCAGGGCTTGCACCATCGGCGGTGGGCTACATAGAGGCGCACGGCACAGGCACAGTTGCCGGAGACGGCCAGGAGCTTGGCGCGATTGAGGAGTGGTACGGCCGCGCCGGGGCCCGTACTCCTGACAATCCATTACTCATCGGCTCTGTCAAGTCCAACATGGGCCACTGCGAGGGCTGCTCCGGCCTGGCAGGTGCGCCCCCTGCAAGTGGTCTGCATTTCTATCCCATGTGGCAGAAGATTCCACTCTGAAAGTTCCAGAACTGCAAGCAAATTGTTGGCAGGCATTATCAGCACCGCTTGCTTGCAGACTCTTTCTCTTGGGTCTGCAAGTATTTGTTGCTGATGCCATAGCACTTTAAAAGCTGGGTCTGCATGCTTGGCCGAGGTACACTTCACTGAAAGCTGGGCTTGCCGCTTTGCAAATGTCCATGCAATTGCAACTGATCGGTCTGACGGCCTTCAGTGAGACTTGTCTGACAGAGAAGTCAGGTAACACTGTTGGGCGATGGGGTGCTCACAGCACATTGTCTGTGGTTGCAGGACTGATCAAAGTGCTGCTGTCATATGAGCACCGGACGCTGCCAGGCAACCTGCACTTCAAGGAGCCCAATCCCAGCAGCGCCGGCCTCAGGGATGGAATACTCAAAGTCATCACCGAGCCCACAGCATTTGAGGGGATAGCTGCCCTCTCAAACTTTGGTTTTGGAGGTACGTACTCCCCTCCTAATGTGCGTCTGCGCCCGCATGCTTGAGATTTTAATGAATGCCAGCCTGGATGCTACAACATTGCGGCTGCTTGTCTGCATTGTTGAGGTCTGAAATTGAACTTGAAAAATTAAGGAAGGGCTTCATGTGCAGGCACGAACGTCCACCTGCTGCTCCAGGGCGGTGGCTGGCATGAGCCGGTGGCAGCACCAGTTGCTGCTAGCGAGCAGAGCCGCGCAGCCACTGGCAAGGTCATTCCACTGGCCTGCCGCACCCAGGAGGGCATGGCCGAGGTGGTGAAGATCCTGCAGGGCCTGCCAGGTGATTCACCCTTTTGGTGGATGATCACCCAATTGAAGCAAGGTGGAAGCTGCTGATGGTGCTTCTTTGGAAATATTGGGGCTAAACATGCAGTGCAAAATTTCGCTGCGGTGGGCTCTTGATCAAAACAGTTGCAGACAGTCTCACATGCTGCGGCATAATTATCCAGTATTTCTGTGTCGGCAGTGAAAGCATCTTACATTCTCAGGTTTTCAAGACAACAGATATCTGTCCATCTCTTAAATGTGATGTGCAATCACACCGGCATTTTCCATTTGAAATTCAAATCTGCGCACAGGCGGCGAGGAGTCAGTGGTGGACCCGATGCGGTGCTGGGCCAACAGTTGTGGAGGGAGCATCGCGCGGCTGTCCATGAGAGGCACACTCATTGATGGCGAGCTGCGCTGCTGCCAGGCGCCCACATCCGCTCCGCCCGTCTGGTTCATCTTCACAGGTGTGCTCACGCCAAAAATCTGCATCAGAACAGAACACCAGCCTTCCCCATCCCATGCCGCCTTGCAGCAGCAGACTTCAAGCTCCGCCGAGAAGCCTGCTCTTGTGAGTCATGCAATGTTGCAAAGCAGTTGAGCGGATTCGTAGCAATTGTAAATTTCAACATCAATAAAGTGCACAATCCATCATACTCCTCATTGAGCAGGCAAATCCCATTTTCAAACTTACACGTGCTTGTTACAAGAGAGAAAGTGCTTGCTGGGATCTTCAAATCACTAAGGGTTGCACAAGAGCATACCAGGTAAAGAGAACAGATCAGCTTGAGAATAGAAATGGTGATGTGGCGCAGGCAATGGCAGCCAGTGGCCCAGGATGGCCGCGGATCTCATTCAACAAAACGCCACATTCAGGCGCAGCATCGAGGCCTGCGCTGCAGTAATTGCCCCGCTGGGTCTTGATTTGCTGGAAGCGCTCGATAGGGAGGACGGCTTTGTCAACAACTGCCTGGCTTCTGTTGGTCTTGCCTCTGTCCAGGTGAGTGCACAATTCCTGACACAGAGCTCACTCTCAGCTTATTGCCAAGTATGTTGCCTGCTGCTCAATGGGTCGGCCTGTAAGATGACTGCAACTTGAAAGGCTGATCCAGCAGTCAATAGTGCTGGGTAGTCAAAGAAAAACTGCTATGGAGAGGCTCTGCTGAGCTTGTGTAACTCTAAATGTTGACTAGGGCCACCTGCTGTTGGCAATAGCATCCTCTGGGACCTCAGTATGGCGGCATGAATTAAGTCATCAATAGTAAGCGGTGACATGGTCGTGCATATTAAATCGGAGCGGTCCTGGGGTGCAGGTGGGCTTGGTGGATGTGCTGCGAGAGGAGTATGGAATTATTCCCGGCGGTGTGGTGGGCCATTCTGCGGGCGAGACGGCGTGCGGTTACGGGGACGGCTGCTTCAGCCGCGAGCAAACCGTAATGGTCGCCTACCACCGCGGACGCATGTGCCCCGACCACGGCATCAGCGGCGGTATGCGATCTCTGAATCTCCCCGGTGTTCACACTGTGCTTTCTAAGAGAGAAAGGAACACAGACATCAGGGCATAGCAAGCGCTAGAGGGAGAAGAAAAGGCTGGCTCCCCTTGTAAATGCTGTGAATTGGGGCACCAGGCCTAGCTGACTCAGTTGGATTGGCTAAGCATTACCTCCTGCTGCCATACATAGTCTTGAGACTTCCTCGTGCTGTGACTGGACACAGCCGCGTTGTCTCACAAAGTAATACAAATGCAATAAACCTGATGCCAGCTGTTCAAAAAGCTGCTACCGTCAAATAGGAGCTGCAGACCTGCATCAGTGCAGGACGCATGCAAGATGAACAAATTCCATTTATGGAGTATGATTCAAGTTGCAGGCCTCATGGCAGCTGTGGGACTAGGCGCCGAGGTGGCGGAGGCGCGTCTGGCGGCGCATGGCAAGGACTCCTGCGTGATCGGCTGCGACAACTCCCCAATATGCACCACCCTCTCAGGTGGCTTTCCATTCCCCGTTCTCAGGGACTACTAACATCAATCCTCTTCAGTACCAACTGCCTCTCCAAGTTTCAGGCCCCACCTTGTCCGTCCTCCAGAAGCTCCCGTCGAGGTTCTTCCGGCCTTCAGCGTCCCAGTATGGGGCAGGCACATCTTGACACATTGATCTCCTGGCTTTTGGATACTGAGAATTTGGCTATTGTTGGTGCCTGCATCCCTACACCCTTCGGATGCACTCCTGCCTTCAGGGTTGTCACGCACAGGCAGGCAGGCAGAAACATTGAGGGCTGTCTCTGTGTTTCTGTGGCACGCAGGTCCGGAGGCGGACCTGAAGCCGCTGTTGGAGCAGCTGAAGGCGGATGGTGTATTTGTGCGAGAGCTGGACACGCGCGGCCTGGCATACCACTCCCCCATCCTGCAGCCACACCTGCCAGAGCTGCAGGCTGGTGCGCCCTCTTCTTGTATTTCTGCCGCAAATCAAAAGATAAAGGATTAGCCTGTCTGAACTAATGGCTCGAATTTTTTTTGTGCATTGAGGGTATTTTTTGTATTATAAAGGCAGTCTCAGTGGGTACAAGTAGAGCTGCAGGCTTGCGCTCTTTTGGATGATCTGGCCGCAGATCCCAGCAGAGTGAAGTGGATTAGGACAGGGTGCCTAAATGAGACTGGGGGCCAGGACCAGATACACCTGTTGCAAGACTGAGATTTGCCCTTAGTATCTATGACACTCAGGTGACACTCAGAATTTCAAGAACCCTTTTTGCAGCCTTTCTGACAGCTTGTGCTTCTACGGCGCTGTGCCGGCTGCCACAGGACTGGCCAGTGAAGGCATTTGACTGGAAGGAATGTCCAATTGTGTTTTTGCTGATGCGCCTGCAGCGCTGGAGGAGGTTGTGCCGGAGCCCAAGGAGCGCTCGGCCACGTGGCTGTCATCCTCCTATGCAGTGGACAATGACAGCACGGAGGCCCGCCTGTGCTCCGCAGCCTACCAGGTATCTCTTGCAAGAACCCACTGCATGACACTTAAATGCACACTGGCATGCCTGCCTTATGGGAGACATGATCCGCGCTTTTACACCAATCCAAGTGGCTGTTTTTGGCGGAAACTTTCCGCAACGTAATGGTCTTCATGAGTGCATGCGAGTGTGCACGGTGTTGCTGAAATCTGATTCTTTGAATGCTCGCGTGGACAGCTGTGCATGCGCATATTCCTGAGATAACCGCCTGAGCATGTTCTTCTAGTGCTGATCAGATGCTTCTGCTGGCGCAGACGCACAACTATGCGAGCCGTGTGCAGTTCCGGCAGGCATGCGGAAGAATTCCCAAGGGCGCAATCCTTCTGGAGATCGGCCCCCACGCGCTCATGCGGTCGTTCCTGCACCAGAACCGCGCTGATCTGCACTATGTGCCCGCCATGCGCAAGGGCAACAGCGCCGTGGAAACTCTCAAGGCGGCCGTCGCCGAGCTGTGGCGCAACGGCGTCTCCGTCAAGTGGCCTGTGGCCTGGCCGGCGCCCTCAGCCGCCCACGAGCGTGAGCCCCTTTCTGCTTTCCTCATCACCCCTCGGAAACTTGCAAACATGGGGCACTAACATTACAACTTATATCCAGCAACATGCATTGGCCCCTGTTGGAAGCCCCCGGAGTCCAGCCACTGCCAGGCTTAGCGACATGTGTTCGGTGCCCTTGAACGGGTTCTTACTCAACCCAGGGGAACATGGAGGGCACCTGCGAGTGGATTTATACTGTTCTATAATCAAAAGCTGGTCACAAATTTGGCGTCAAGGCAAGTTGTGAGGGGTGTGCTTGTCGCTGATGCAGTGCCGCGGGCGGTGCGAGAGGCCCTGGTGTCCTGGGACCATGCAGTTGATTATCCGCTGCCCACATTCAAAGACTGGACGGCTGCGCGCGGCTGCTCCGGCTTCATCAAGACTTACAAACTAGGCGGCGAGCACGCATTTCTGGCCGACCATATTGTGGACGGCCGCATCCTCATGCCTGTGCGCTCTTCTCCCACTTCCCGATTAGCTGAGCTGCTTTCAGAGGGTGTCGCCCAGTGCAAGCTTCAGCTTCATGTACACCCTGCTGACCAATGTGAATGGGGAAAAATGCTGACCAGTATCAGAGAATTGAGAAGGTCTGAAGCATCTCACTAGGAGGTTTGCAGGGTAACTATTGTCCATTTAGGAGAACCTGCTGAGCAATCCAATGTAACCCAGACCTATTTTGATTGATGTGTATGGCAAATGTTTGGCTGGCCTTACTGTGCAATGGGCGGGTTTGAGGGGCGTTCTGTTCTTGTATCAATTAAACAATTCACTATCAAGTATGGTGGATATTTGTCTTGTGTGCAGGCGACGTCATATCTGGTAGCAGCATGGGAGGCGCTGGCAACGCAGCAAGAGAAGGCCATGGCCGAGCTGCCGGTGGCGTTCGAGGATGTGTGTATCCTGCAAGCTGTGCAGGCGCAGCCGGGAGACAACATCACTCTCTCTGTGCTGCTGGACCGCAGCCACCGCTTCCAGGTGCCCTACCAGATTTCCTGTCAGAGGCATTCAAATAAAATTCTTTTCAATTGCCTTCAATTTTCGTGCTCACCCTGGCACAGATATTGACTGGCGCTGCTCGGCAGCACCACATGTCGCTTGCAGCAGCTTGCATTGTTGAAGTTGCACTGATATCCTCATAAGCAAGAAGTGTTCATCTTTGCTCTGCTCTGCTCTGCCGTTGGACATGCAACACTACAACATTGCCTTAAAGGTTCACCTACGGACCACCTTGATCTACCAACATGCTCAGCAAACACTGACATGCTCTGAGGCCTGGCAGGGGGAAACAACAGATGTTACCATAGCATGGGCTTTGTGATCGTGGAGGTCATCATGTCTCTGTGCAGGTGCTGCAAGAGACAGACGTCATCGCAGAAGGGTGCATCAAGCCGCACTCAGCACCCGCACCTGCCAAGCAGAATTGCACAGCAGCTGCAACCGCCGAGGCGCTGGCCAACATCGTCATGCCTGGAGGGGCCGAGGCAGCCGCTCCTGCCAAGACGTCCCTGCCGGAGGGCCGCATCCCCTGCCGGTATGACTGATATCCCAGCATGACAAATCAATCCCCGGGCACAATGACACAATAGATTGTATATCCACATCCATACCCCACCTTTCCAGTTTCCAACAAATAAGGTCAGGATTTTGTTCTGGTTGCTCAAAAGAAAGTGGTTGGTGGGCAGGTGGAGCAGCACAGGCAGAGCCTACAATGGTGGACTGGCCATACAAGACACTGGACACGATAGAGGCAGACACTTTCTACCTGGGTGTGGCAAGGTCTGGCATCCAGTATGGGCCCCACTTCAAGATGCTGCAGAAGCGTTGCATCGACGGCACGGCTGCTGTCCTCAGGTGCGCTCCTTTCCACCATCCCACGCTCATTCACACATATTTGCTCCCTAATTTCGAAGGCATTCAAAGATTGGGTAGATGCTGAATGGCAGCAATCATTCATACTACAGTATGCATGAAATTCCTCTGCTTGGTAGCTTGATGTCTATGAGTTTCAGCCAGTAGGCTCGCCGAGGCAGATTCCTTCCACCCTGGATCTCTACACATTCCCAGAGAGGTACACTCATGATAAGAAGAGCTCAGGTGAAGTGAGTAGCAGCGGCTGTGAGCATGACGCGTGTGATTCCCATGGATTGAAAATCGTTTAAAATGATAGCAATAACAGTGGTAATAAAGTGCGCTTTCTGGTGCGGATGCAGGTGGGACCAGTGCTTCATCCGGCTGCTGGATGGCATGCTGCAGGCAGGTGCGCTAGGGAATGCCACAGACACCACCCTGCGCATCCCCACCAAGATCCGCCACCTGGAAATCCTGGACCCCAGCCCAGCCATCCCCGCTGGCTCTCAAGGTGCCTTCATCCCCATCTCAAACTGTACAAGCATCCAGTACCACTTCTTGTTGAGGAAGCCCTGGTGATGCCTGGCGCTCAAGGTTTCGGTGGCAGGTTTTGCTGTCCAATTTCACCATGGTAAGGGTGTGTAGACCTGACAACATGACAGGCAGGGCGTCAAACTAGCATTTGTGCACCGGGGCTGAGTGTGTGGCTGTCTATTGCACAGTCATGATGGATTTGGATGCTTTCATTTACCACATGTCAAGAAGATACCAATTTCATTCCCGCAAGCTGAAAAACAATGATATTTTGCGGGGTTTTGACCGGTCAATACCTCGTATTTGCGCATCTACCAACAGGGTTCAGGGTTCAGTGTGTTGAAATGGGATGCATGGGGATGCATGCAGTCATGGTTGACGTGGACGCCCGGTTGGGCATCTGCCGCACGGTCATCTGCGAGGTGGCCGGGGTCGAGCTGTCTGCCGCCCCGCGCCGACCCGCCAGCTACAAGACATTGCTCAAGAAGACAGACTTCCTGCCCTACGGCGAGCACCCGGACAGGTTGTTCTTTCTTTCTCAAAGGGTCAATGTTAATGCCGCTGATATCCTTCTCGATTTCCAAAGGCTCCCTGTGTGACAGCTCACTTGCAGCACGAAGGTCTGTATGCTTTCAAAGTACTTGGCTGGCGGGGCCTGCCATCCTCGCCTGTTAATAAGTGGGCTCCAAGGTACCCCACCAATACCGTAGTCAGCACCATATTTCGGAAATTAGACACTTATTTTTCTTGAAAAGGGTCGATTAGCAAGACCCTAAAGTGCAAGATGAAAACCCTATAACGATATTTAGACCAGTCTTGGAAAGCTCTCGCCGAGGCCCACCCGTTGGTGATGAAGAAACATTTTTTCAAGGAAGGAAAGACTTTAAAAAAACAGGTCCAACCGGATTGCGCATTATGAGGGGTGCAAGATTTATGGTGCTGACTGCGGTGCTTCATATTCCGGTCACTCCTGCACCCAGAGTTATCAGGATGGTGAGAACTCTTCTTCCTGGACAGGGACACTGCGCGGCTAGCCTACTACAGGCAGATCCGCGGCTACCTCAGGCCCAAGGTCGAACCGGCCATTCTAGCACATGCCGCCACCTGTGCTAACGGCATGCCAGACCACCTGCGCAAGGTGAAGCTTCACCCCAGTATTACATGCAATGGAATTTTTATGCATGCGCAGCAGGCAAAGATTTTGATCCGACGTCTATTGCCTTCATTGGGGTTCTGTCTCAAGATGACTTGCAAAAGGTATCATTGAACCCCACAAGATGCATGATGCCCTCGCTCTTTTCAGAAAAATAATGGAACTGCACAGCAATGGCAGACACAGAAAGAGTACATAATCATGGTTTGATCAATTGTAATTCTTTGCACAGGTGTTGGCGCTGCTGGAAGATTTCAAGGAGCCAGCGCCTGACGGCGCTCAGCTGGAGGCGTTCCTATCGGCGCCCAGTCACCACCTGGCACGCCTCATCCGCGATCTTTTCTCTGAGGAGGCCTCCGCCGCCACCATGCAGGTCATCCTGTGTGACAAACCTCTTACTAATCACCCCTCATGGGACAGAAAGTGCACATGGCAGTGCCCATGGCAGGCATTGAAAGCTGCAGCAAACGCAAACTGGTGCTGAATTGACTTCCGCCTTTTTGTGGGAGAATTATCAGCATGCAGTCTGGCTGTTCTCCTTCCATCCTCATCTTGTGGGTCAGTCATTGATGTCTACCGATAGGGAACTATTTAGAAATGCACGGTCATCAAATATCGTTGGGGGACTTGCGGTGGCGCTGGCTTTAGCTGAGATAAGTGTGTGTTGGCGAGGGGCGGTATAATACTGAGCACCGTGCCCACGGTCGATTGGGTCTTGCTTGGATCTGGCGAGTCCAACAAGGGTAGATTTGTGGCAGCCTTTAATTGCAGCTAGTCTGCAGGACGTACCTTGCCTTTTGGCAGGAAAAGCATGTAATAATAATAATAACAATAATAAGTGTGTGTTGGTGTGCAGAGCCCAATTCAGGCAATCATGCAGCACGGGGAGCACAGTCAGCTGTACGCGCAGGACCCACTGATGCAGGGTTTCCACGCGCGCCACATCAACCACATGCTAGACATCGTGTGCGAGAACCAGGGCCAGGCCGGCTTCTCGGTGGCTGAGATCGGTGCTGGTACCGGTGGCTTCACCCGCCAGGTCAGCTTTGACTAGCTTGTCAGCTTTGACCAAAAACATTCTTATTTGACTTGCCGTTCATTGATTTGACTTGAAATGAGTCTGCCGCTGCAAAGGACTGCTGTTGTGCTCTGCTTCTATCGCTGTTGATGTCTCGAACTGCATTTTCATTCGCCTTTGTGCACGCATCATAGGCCATTGAAATGTGCAAGCGTGGTTGAGGCCTTCATTGGTGCACTGAACTTTGCAGGTCTTTGCTGAGCTCAATCAAAGCCCATTCTCAGAGCTGCGTGGTTACACTGCCACAGACATCACCCCTGGCTTTGGGCCCAATCTGCTGCAGATGATCAGCAACCCCAAGCTGGATTTCAAGGTACGCTCCCTTTCCTCTTCAGGCTGAATGATGCAGAGGGTATGCAGCCTTGCATATTTGACGCCAGTGCAACAAAGCATATGTTGAACATTAGTTTCTTGATCACTTATCTTGAGAATCTTTAGTTCTGAGGTCTGGCGGGAGCACGTGTGTGATGCATGCTGACCGCTGCATCATGCTTGCAGACATGGGACGTCAACAAGCCGGCACCTGCGTCGCTGGGAGGTCCCTTCAACCTAATCCTGGCATCAAACGCCCTCCACACCTGTGACAATATGGCAGGTGAGCAACCTGTCTTGCAGCTTTGTGCCTCGCTTAAAGCATGCCGTGTGCTCATGAATACGCCACCTTGCCTGCTCTTCACATGATTGCATTTGAAAATCGAGATTGAGATTGTGAAATGTGACAAATGCACATCTGAGTTTAATTCCCTTCCTTGTTCCATGTCGTTCTATTGTTGATCTGGCAGAACGATCTTGCTGACATTGCTAGTTTCGTCAATGAGTGTTTGTTGGCACGCTGGGTGCTAATGTTGAGAACCAGAGACAGATGTGGGATCAGCTCCCGATGGAACGTGAATCACTAAATGCAAGTCTTGGCGCGTGGCAGACGCGCTGGCAAACGTGCACGCATCTCTGGCGGACGGCGGCTTTGTGCTGCTGTACGAGACCACAGCAGCGTTCACCGCCTGTCTGTGGGGCTTGGACGAGCGAACCTGGAAGTTCACTGACGAGCGTGAGTACGGCCTCTGGATCGCCAAGCCGCGCTGGCACCGCCTCTGGGCCGAGGCCGGCTTCACCCAGATCACCGAGCACTGGTGCGAACCAGCCGAGTGGGCAACTTTTACAAGACTCTCAATGTTTTGCTCACAGACTGTTCTCATTTCACCTCAGTATTTTGCAGGCTGCAAATGTTCTGATGATGAACAGGCATGCTGCACACCCTTGACCTTGCAAGTATCGAGCTCAATTTTTTACCATCCCTCTCTATTATGTCATGTGATAGCTTTCAGGTGCATCTGGAAAAGAGGGCCCAAAAGAATGAATAACAGCTGAATGTGATTGAAAGTGAAGACTGACAGAGATCACAACACCCAGGCTGAGGCATGTGCGCGCAGGTGCCCGCATGAGTCGGGGGCGTTGTTTCTTTATCGCAAGCTGCCCAGCGTGCCGCACCCGCTGCTGTTTGCGGCGCCTCCCCTGGTGACCAGCCAACAAAAAATGGGTTGCTGGCTCCAGCGCTATAACAGCGTCCTAGCAGCTATCGACAAGCATGTGCCCAAAGAGGCTGCCCCTGCCGAGGGTGAGGAGGCAGCAGGTGGGCATCTCAACAAACTCTCCAGAGTTGCTGACATCTTGCAGAAATGACAGACCTGCACCGGGCGTGCATCAAATATGCAGTGGGTCTGCTCTGCAATATTTGGACACCGCAAGCATTCCTTACTCCCACTCTCCTCTGCAACAATGCCGCTGCAAGCGGGGCAACAACAGGACGAGCAGAGCGATTTGCTAATTATAGGCAGTGACTAAGCAACATGACATCACCGAGGTGTTATCACCCAACTGACTGCATGCAAACATGCCAGTGACCTGCGTGACATTGCCCATCTCAACTTCACGCATTGGCGCATGCTGCGTAGAGCCGGCAAAAGTGCGACGGCGGCTGTGGCTGCACGGCAACCTGCGCGACAGCCCCGGTGTGATAGGCCTCGGCCGATGCGCGCGGCTGGAAGCTCACGGCGACAACTTGCGCTGGATGCTGGATGCACATCACCCCTCCTCCGCTCCCACCTCCTGCACAGGTAATACATTTATGTCTATATGAATCAATTACCAATGCTCCGTGCTGATGCTGGCAAGAGGCAGGGTGCGGCCGCAGACCAGCTGCAGGTGAAGACTGCCACAATCGAACGAGTGTGACGTTGTTTGGGATTCGCATGGAGTTTGTTGGATTTCCAAGAGCGGTGTTTCATTGAAATGATCCAGGAAATGCTTTGGGCCTTCATGTATGGAGGTGATCAGGTGCCTTCACAAGCTTGACACTGCTGCAGCAAGTGCAGATGCAAAGTGAAAAGGGCTGCATGCTCACTGATACAGAGTTCATGTCCCAGGTCTCTCCGCTAAGGCCGGCCCCAAGCTAAGCGCGGAGCAGATGCTGGCAATTGCCGGCCGGCTAGACTTGGTTAACAATATGTTTGACAACGGCGTCCACGGATCCCTGCGCATCTCACTGGTAGAGGTGTGTTCTTAGGGCCATAACCCCAATGATCTAAATAGACTATATATCTAGACTATATCTCACTTAGATATAGAAACCCCTGGTCTAGTGGGCCTAGGGGTATGAGATTCTCTAGTGCTCTGAGAGTGCCTCAGGCCCGGTTGGTCTCAAGTAGTGTATTTACATCCATGATGACACTCACCTTCGCAATTGTGACAGCACTCTTGACGTCGATTTGGGGCTGCTCACCCCAAATTCAACAAGCTCCACAGCTGCTAGCGCTCCACATTCCTCGAATCATTTCCCCAATCTGATCAGTGCATGCTTGACTAGAGGAGTGCATGCAATGCAGCTGGATGAGTTGGAGAATGCAGCCGCGGCCGAGACAGCGCCAAAGATTGGGGTGCACCTGGACATTGCCTCTCCCGGAGACATCTCCTCGTTCATGTGGGCCCACAGCCAAGCACCACCGGCATGCCTGTTGCAATGCAACGTAGCATTTGGTGAGCAGCAGCTTTCGCTTTTTCAGCATTACTTGTTGTGCAAATAATTATGTTTTGGCCGGGCCGTCCCTTGTTGAGGTCAGCTGTCTAATAATAGAGATCAATCCCCACAAAAGGATGTAGTATAAGCAATACCAGGTTGTGGATGCTGCAGGTCGAAGTGTGTGCCATACATTTTGTGACCCATATGGTGGTGGTCAGTATTCAATTTGTCACAAGCTGCTTTTGCCCCGCGTAGGGGCCTTGAACTTCCGCGATGTGATGTTTGCCTATGGCAAGCTGAGCAAAGACCGCATGAGCCACGCGCACGGTGGCTACCAGATTGGCCTCGAGTTCTCCGGCAAGGTGATGACCCTCTGCACGTGGCTTCCCCGAGGCTATTGTGATGAGCAACCTCAGGCCTGTCTTGACCGCATGTGTATCTGGGCTGGAAAATCATTCAGTTAGCGTGCAGTCACTGAGGGCACATTTCAGGGATTGATTCAAACGCATTGAACCTTGACCCTAGAAGATGAGCGTGCCTTGTGCAGGACAAGGCGAGTGGCAAGAGGGTCATGGGAATGACGCCCCAGAACTCAATTGCAACAATGGTGGCCTCAAGGCCGCATGCGTTGTGGGACGTGCCGGACAGCTGGACCCTGGCGCAGGTGTTCCTTCAGATGCTATCTAATTTCATGACTAGAGCTTTTGGACGGGACGTTAACATTGTCCTGCAACCACCATTGCATGCAGGACAAAATCACATTCCTGTGAGATACGTTTCATGACGTTGATACTATGTGAGGAATTAATCCCTCAATGCTGATAAAAGCGAGGAAGAACACAGTCGGGGTTGGCGCAGGCCGCGACAGTGCCGGTGGCGTACGCGACGGCATACTACGCACTAGTCATCTGCGGACGGCTGCGGCCGCGCCACCGCGTGCTCATCCACTCTGCGGCCGGCGCCGTCGGCCTGGCCGCCACGCGCATCTGCCTCGCGCGGGGCTGCGAGGTGTGACATGATATTATGCCCTGCCGACCTGTGGGTTGCTTCCAAGTGTCGGGTGAAACTGAAGAGCACCAGTACTCCCTGGAACATTATGCTTTCTGCTAGCACTGTTTGAGGCAGGTGTGGAAAGTCTTCAAGACATCAAATTGATTTCATTCATGTTTCGAAGGTCTGTCCGTGTCTGCCATTAGGCAGTCAGCAACTCGCCTGGTTGGAAGCAAACTGCTGTGAAATCTCTGAGAAGTGTGTGTCTGAAGCACAGCCGAATTCGGTACGCGCCGGCTGCTGTAATGTTGAACATGACGGGTGCGGCGCAGGTGTTTGCGACGTGTGGATCTGTGGAGAAGCGCGCGTTCCTCCTGGAGGCGTTCCCTGCGCTGAGGGGGGACCGCATCGGCGACTCACGCTCGTGCGCGTTCGAGGAAGTAGTCATGCGCGAGACCGGCGCCGCCGGCGTGCACCTTGCTCTGAACTCCCTCGCCGGTGACAAACTGCAGGTGCATGTCATGGCTGACATCAGGGGTGCATGTGCATTGTGTATTCCTCTGGTTGTTAGTAGCCAGATGACCTCTAGATGGGGCGCCCTGTTACAGCATGCAGAGCAGGGATGCGTGAAAACGATTGTACCGGCCCGACTTGACCACAGCTCACCAGAGGTGCACTTGGACTGGGCTAAGTAATAGTAGAAGAAGAGGTTATCCCTTCTATTGTGCTCCCCTTGTTGACGATCAAGGGTGCCTGACACGATGTTGCATGCACGAACTATTGGGCCTTAGGGAAAGGTGGTAAAGGAGAGGTGACCTGGATGGAATAGGTCCCATGGGTCTTAAATGTGATTGGTGGAAGATATGCAGGAACAAGTATTCTTGGGAGGCAGGCCACAATCACATGCAGAAGAGCTATGGAATAAATTAAATTGCAATTTGCCTTGATTATGGCCGCATAATGCATCTACCAACTTTGATTATTGCAATTTGGCCTCTGGTTAGCGCTTGTACTGCACTTGTACTTATGATCAGAAATCTGCGCAGGCGACTGTCAGGTGTCTGGCGGACGGAGGGCGCCTGCTGGAGATTGGCAAGTATGACATTCTGCAGGGAACGCCCCTGAGCATGGCGCCCCTGATGCGCAACATTGCCTTCGAGGGCGTTGACCTGGACAGGATCGTCAATTGCCCCCACAACATTGCCAGGGTGGGCAGCATTTTTATTTTGATATTCGAGTTTGGCCCTGTGCTGTGAAGTCTGTTAGCCTGAGTTAGCCTGAGCTAGCTTCGCTTAAAGATATGTCTGCTACAGTATAGTATACAGCCACAGCTGGCCAGTGCCTATACCCCGTGTTTCTCATAGTTCAAATTTTTTTGTGTGCACACAATATGCACATCATAGATGGGCAGATAAGTCAGAATGGGGTATTGCATGCTGCTTGAAGCCTTGCAGGTGCGGCATGCGTGGTGTTATCTTGAGCACATGCAATGTTCAGGCGTGGGAGGTGCACGCTCTGCTGAAGGCAGGACTTGACAGCGGCGAGGTTGTGCCATTGCCGCTGAGCAAATTCTCACGCAGGGAGGCTGCCGATGCCTTCCGGTTCATGGCTGCTGGTGCGCTGTCACTTGCCACCTACCATGACAATTGCTGTGTCTTGAATATAAGCCTGACGGTTTGGTTGAGAAGAAAGAAAGGTGAGTATGAGAGCGTGATGGCATAGCATGGCATGTCTTGGGAAAGCGCCATGCCATCAGGAACTGGTGGATGTAAGAACATACTGTATAGATCCATCGGCGACCACGTAGCTAAGTGATCAGATCTGCTGTACATGACTTTCAAGGCATATGTGTTGTTTAATGCAGGTACCCACGTGGGCAAGGTGCTGATCCAGATGGGCGCCAAAGCCGATGCCGCGGAGGCTGCTGCCGAGAAGCCAGAATATTCAAAGTTAAGTTCGAACTTCATGTGGCCAGCGCGGCCCGCCAAGCCATGGGTGGAGCAGACTCCCGAGGCAGCAGAGGCCCTTGGGATGGCGCCTGCTGTTGCAGAGGAACCGGTTGCCAAGCCCGTCTTCTTCTGCAGGTGAGACGGGCTGTCTACAGTTAGTCGTTATGCTCTGATTCCAAAGTCATCTCTTAGAGTATTTGGATGTCGTGCTAGGCGCTTACTCTGACTACCGGGGTTGGGCTTCACGTCAGCCCTAATTTGACCGGAAGGGATGTCAATATATTGAATGACAGACTCTAGAAGATACGCAACTTTGTCATGTCTTTGGGTGCATTCACAGGCCTGACCGGTCGTACATCATCACGGGAGGACTGGGAGGTTTTGGGCTGGCGCTGGCGGCTTGGCTGGCCGACCGCGGCGCGTGCAACCTGCTGCTGACGTCCAAGCGTGGCATGCGCACCGGCGGCCAGCTCAGCATCGTGCGCATGCTGCGCAGCCGCGGTGTCCGGGTCAGCGTTCCCTCCCCTCCAATCATGTTTCTGCAACGAATTTCAGTAGGTACAAGTCTTGGGTGACATCATCTGCATGGCAGACAATTGAAGCTGGAGGCACTAGCTATTTAAAACAGTGCCAAGTGCACCTCTGCAAGGAATGTCATCCATCCTTATTTTGGTTCAGCTTTCATTGCTTTACAGATAACATGGCAAGGAGTAAGGGAGCTCTTTTTCTTGCTCCCTCATTGCAAAACAGCAGTGGAGCATGTTGCTTGCATCTGAGGCATGGCTGAATGCTGCAGGTGGAGGTGTCAAAGCTTGATGTGGCTGATCTGGGCGAGGCGCAGCAGATTATAGCGCTGGCAGAGGGCGTGGCACCCGTAGGAGGCATTTTCCACCTGGCCATGACCCTGCAGGACCGCTGGATGTCCAACCAGGTGCACTCCCTCACCATCCCACGCTCTTGCTCAAACTGCAATGCGGTTTTAGCCCTTTGCACGCAGGAAATATTGCTGCATGGCATGGCTAATATGGCGCCAGTTTCCCTCACGAGTACAGGGTGCCCTTGATTGACCTTATGAGGCATTGCCAACATGCCAGATTCCCTCATTAACCTGGAGGTCCCTTAGATTTGCCTTTAAAGGTCTGTGTGTGTCCCCAAGGGGGGTCCTAAGGGCTGTCAGATTTGGTATATGCTGAGATTGAGGGTGTGCTGCGCGCAGACGGGTGAGAGCTGGAACTTGGCTGTCATTCCCAAGGCGCATGGCGCGGTCAACCTGGACAGCGTGTCCCGGAGCCTGCCCCACCTGGAGCACTTTGTCATCTTCACATCTGTTGTCTCCTCCATCGGAAACGAAGGTGTGCCCAGACTCACCATGCACATCTGTGAAATATCTGAAATCGCTTTACGAATCGTGGCCAGAGACTGCGCCAGCAGCAGCGTCTGCGCACGTTCTGGTGAGGTGTTAACTTAGGGGTGATAATGTAAAGTAGGGCTTGAAGGTACCAAAATAGTGACTTAAAGTATTTCAGCAAACCATGCCCTGCGGTGGTATCAAGCAAGGTAGTAGGAGGGTGTGATGAGAGCGCAATGCGGCTGAGCACCGCTGCAATCTGATGTGTGCGCAGGTCAGGGCAATTACGGGTACGCCAACAGCGCGTGCGACATGCTGTGCATGTCCAGGCGGGCTGCGGGCTTGCCGGCTCTAGCACTGGCATGGGGCCCCGTCGACCACGTGGGATATGTGGCCGAAACTCTCAAGGTGCTTTTCTCCCTCACTCTCAGCCCAGCACCTCTCCGGCTGTAAATCTCACTTTAAGGAGCAATTTGTAGGCTGTAAACAATCTGTGATGGTTTAAATGTGCCTGGTAAGAACTACAGCCTGCTGGTTGGCGGCAGTGCACCTACTGTACTGCTAGAAACAATGCCATTTAATGTCATCTATGCTTGTGAATCTAAACACTTGACCGGCCCTCCTACTGCCACCTTGATGGATCCTGGAAATGGCCAGGCTCTTCCAGTGGTCCCCCAGGAGCTTCAAAATGGCTCACTGGTGACATCCTGGAGACTGATTACAACTTTGAATTTGTAAATCTGTAGGGCAGACTGGTGGGGCGGGTGTTTGAGTGGCTGCTGCCGCAGCCGGTGGATGACTGCCTGCGCGTGCTTGGCAGCTGCCTGCTGGGCGGCAGTCAAGTCGCGCCGATCATGTGCAGCACCGCGGAGACGCTTGGCTGCAGCTCTGCCACTTGCAAGGAGGACATTGTGAGCCCCTCTTTCCTCTTCAATTTTGTGATATATGGTTTCAGATTTTGTATGTGTGATCACTAACTTCAGCGCAATGCTCTCACTGTGACAGAATAGGCCGATAGGTCGATATCAATGAGGTGCATGATCAGGCGCTCAGCCATCGAAGGTGACACACTCAAGCATGCATTGTCACAGCAGCGCACCACACGCAATGTTTGCAGCGTGCTCGTCACGCTTAAAGCAGTGAATGCTCTTCTTCTGATGATTGTGTAAGGCTGTGCAGGACCTGGTAGAAGCTGTCCTGAGCCTGATGGGCCTCAAGGCGGGCACAGTCAGCGAGAATGACAGCCTGGCAGCTCTTGGGATCGACAGCATGCAGCTGGTGGAGGTGAGGGAGCTGGCCCTCACTCCTTGCCTTCTCCCTTGTCCTTCTGAACGTCTCTGTGTGCATGGATATGGCCATCTCTGTCATGCCGCAGCCGCCACTGCTTCTGAAAAATTTACCACCTTGTAATTATGGGCATTATTCCCGACGGATTTGGTGTTAGTAGGATGATACAGGTTTGCGGAGGCTGCAGGATCATGTGTTTGCAATATAGAGTATGTTCCAGTTTAGTGATGGATTGTCACATCCACAGCGTTGGGTGCGCAGGTGCGGGCAGTAGTGCAGAAGAAGCTGTGCCGACCGGTACCGCTGGAGTCCATCGGCACACTCACGGTGGCGGCCCTGCGCGAGCTGGCTTCGCAGGTCTGACAAATACTTTACAAACCACCCGCCAACGAATCACATGATCTGAACGGCAGACACTAGATAACCTGGTAAAAAGTATCAATGTTCACATGGCATCTACTCATGAAATGCCCCCTGTTGCTACAGGAGGCAGGGTGTAAGGGCGGCCGCTTGACGCCGCAGGCTGCAACTGCAGCAGCCGACGAGGGCTGTGTACTCGAAGAAAGGGCTATTGCCCGGCAGGCGCTGAACGCAGCTCAAGAGGACAAACCGGTTGCTGTGAAGGCGCACAGCGCTGTGGCAATCCAACAAGGGACAGAGGCTGCTTGCAAGAGCAGTGTGGTGGCGCAAGCTTCGGCCGCAGCCACCAAGAAGGTGCCTTGCATTTCCTGTGCCACTCTTTCCTGACGCTTCTCAATTTTGAATTTGAATTTGAGGAGTTGAAAATTGGATGATGCACATGCTTGCGATGATGTTCACGTGCAGATAAATCTCGCAACATGGTTGCCATGTAGCAAGGCAGATGTGACCCTTGCTTGCTTCATGTGTAGTGACGGCCGGGCTCAATGCATTTAAATACGTTGAACTCAACCCTGGTCCGATTTGTTACAGGGCGGTGATGGAGCGGGCGAAAATCCAATCACTGCCTGGACATTGAGGCAGAAGAAGCCGGCTGCAAAGCAGGCAGCGGTGCCGGACAAGCATGCAGCACTGGCCACAGCTGTAGCAGTGCCGGCCAGTTGAAACTTGTCTGCAAAGGTAGCAGGCATGGCTTGCACACCACTTTTCAGTCCGCCCAGTACCATTTGATGCCAACAATGAGCAGGCGCCAGAATTTGACCCTGCCCAAATCAAAATCGGAACGCAGAGAGCAGATGCTGGGGAGCAGAACTCCGTGCGAAGTTGGCCATTGATAAAGTACTTCAACGGTAAAACAGTGCAACCAATACTCAACTGAGATCTCCGTAGCAGTGTGCTGAAACATCACCTGCCACAGCAGTGGCAGCAACAGTACAACAAATGGGCCCACAGCCGCAACTTCAAGGTAGGAATCCCAACGCGACAATACGCCATACTGCAACTTACAAGCGCTGCTCTGATCTCGCAAAGGAGTCCGCGCGAGCGCCTCTGAATCCACCAATAACAGCTTAGAGCTCAGGCTGTCACACAAGGCTGTCCTTGAGTTTCTCATACCACTCCACGTTCGCCTTTTTCTGCTCGTCGTCTGGGAATTTCTTGAGCAGCTTGTGGGCTGCATCCAAGCCCACATCATATGCATCCGAGAAGTCCTTCGCCACATACCAGGCAGTGATTGCCAGCTGTTCCTTCGCCTCGTACTCGTACACCGAGATGTCTGCAAACAGCGTGTCCTGCACGGAGACAGAGGCAACTGTCACAGCTCAGGCGACCCAACAAATTCATCGATATAGAACCAAGAATATGACAGCCCTGCAATGCTAGTCCATCCCCTGACAGGCTTGCATGCAAAGCCAGAGCCCAGGAATAAGCACTTCACATCAGGTGGCCAACACGGATACAGCAGGCTGTCACTGCAGATTTCAGCAGCAAGGCTAAGGAAATTCAAGGATGTGAGCAACTCTGGCTTTGAAATTAGTTCCACAAGCTGTCATTTAGCAAGGCTTGCTAGATTTAGACACAGAAGAGCACACCCCGCCAGGGAAGGGCATCTCGGCCGCCTGGTGCGCGTAGTCGAAGGCGGAGACCTGTTGCTGCATACGGCACACCACGGGGTCGACATCCCGATGGCACCACCTGCAAACAATATGCTTACTCAATCCATGACATGCCAATCACTACACTCGACTCACCCACCCAGGCCGATGCTCAGGGCTTTGGCACGCCAATCCAAAGAGCCCAAACACAGCTCCTGTCAGTGACCCACGGATACACACCCTTTCGCCACACATATACACACCCACTTGATGCTCTCGGTGTTGGTCAAGGTCTCCTCAGCCCCTTGTGACCCTGGCAGAGTCTTTATAAAGGCAGAGCAAAAGATGTTAGCGCAGAGAAGGTTAGCGCAGTAACAGAGAGTCAGAGGCACACTTGTCACGCATCCACTCGCTATGGCGAGACAGCTGCATCAGTGGCTCTGCGCGCTTTGGGTACAGCGCAAGCGCAGCCAGCAAGTCAGGGACAGGGTCCACTGAAGTGTCGTTAGCCGGGTCCATCCCCGGGTCGGCCGCCAGAAGCCGCATCATCATCTTGGCCTGCGCGCATGCGACAGCAGGGTCACTGAGCCATCGTTGCGTAGATCAGGTGTCTTTGAACGGATGGAATTTCTGCATGCATACTTATAGATATATATATATATATATATGTATTCGAGACCTGATAAACCGTGACCAATACACTGCAGGGATGACTCGACAGGGTAAAGAACAAAATGGAAATTCTGCTTTACAGGTGCTTGATGTTGCGCATGTAGACTCACTCAAGTGCTCCCAGTACCGTTCTCTCTGCTTGCAAGTGTCTAGTCCTCCCTTTGCTGTTGTTGGCACACATGCAATCTCTCGAAGCGAATGAAACAGATTAAAACGGAGAAAGATCAAGACAGGACTGTGAATGGGGCCCGCACCCGGCGCAGGTGGGACTCGAAGACTTCCTGGAGCCAGCCGCGCATGTCGATGCGTTTCTGGTAGGTCGCCAGCGCCTGCTCGGTCTCACCGATAAGCTGGTACGTCTGGCCCAGGTAGAATACAATGCGCGTGTCCTCCGGGTGCTTCTCATGCTCCTTTGTCAGCAGCGGCAGGTCCAGCTGCGCATGCATGCCATTTGTACTTGTCAGCTGTCACATGAAAGATTCTAATCACCTCAGTCTGCTGCCGATATCAAGATGTTGGCAGAACAGGCCTTCATCTTTGTTCTTGCTCACGGATTTTGCAGCAGGACTGGGAGATAGTGGTCACATGGCAGGCTTGGGAAAGCCAAGCATGGGCAGAAGAGGGAATATCGGGTATTGCGCAGGGGAGAAGATGCCAAGGAGCAAGTTTGGGGCAAGTGGCTCACGTTCTTCCAGCGCTCGGAAGACTTGCTGTGGGTGATGGGCAGCGCTTCAATAATGACATCCCTTATCTGGATTACATCATCGATCCTGCCCACGTTCAGATACTCCAGCCCACTGTGCCCCGGCACCTGTGAAAGAGCACCCAGAATTTCATCAAACATTCAATGCAGTACAGTACATATCTTTATCGACGTTGCCACACAGAAAAGGTAAAACATCAAGGCTGGTTCTCAGTCAGGTACAAGCGACTTGCAAGACATACGGCCAAAACACAGCGCAAAAAGGTGCATCCAGACTGCAAATGACTACGGCAATGATAAAGAAATACAGCTGAGGGGTGTGCCTTGTCAGCATGGGGCTCCCTACCTCGTGCACAGGGTACTTGTAAAGCCAGCCGCCGGGCAATCCCAGTCCAGGCGTAGGGAACACACGGTTTGAGAAAAATCCCATATCTCCCATCTTGAACCACACCTGCCACACAAGCAATCCAGCATCAGCATCACTTTCAATGGAAGGGAAACAGGTAATTTGGCAATCTCCAGCGCACATCCTCGTGCATGTGCATCTGTCAGCTATGCCAGCGCAGCATAGAAGCCACGTGTAACACGAGGCAATGTTACTTTCAGGACATTCTGGGGAAAGCTGGACCACTGTGATCTTTTTTTTGAGTTCTGAAGAGCAGATAAATAAAGGAAGAGCATTTGAGGCCGACCTTGACGCCCTTCATGCATTCCGGGATGCTGCGCTCGCGGCACTCGGTGACCATTCGGTGCGCCATGTTCCGCAGCCGCCACGCGTCCACCACCGCAAAGTCAGCGTCCAGCATGAACGCGTACGCCGTCTTCTGGCCATGCGCCTGTGCGCAACAGCACAAATTGCAAGTCAGCCTATGCGCCCACCTGCTGAAAATACTGCGCTGACAAGCACCGGAGCAATGTGGCCTCCGCATGCTGCAACCCTGTGCACACAGCCAGAGAAGCAAGCAAGGAAGCTACTGAAGCTACTGAACATGAATATTGGTGAGAGTGCAAACATGCCAATGCTGTTGCCGGGATACTGGGCCTGTCTTCAAGCAGGATATGGGCACATTGCAACCCAGGCTGCGCAGGGCACCTTGAGGGCGTAGTTTCTGGTGGTGGAGAAATCTACGAAGGGCTCCGAGAGCAGCTGTCCCGGCACGTCGGCCATGATCTTGCTAATGGTGTCCTGTGTGCCATCCGTGGAGCCTGTGTCAACAATTGTCCAGTAGTCGATGTCGTGCTTCACACTCTCCAGCGTTGCCGCGATCGTCGCGTTTTCATTCTTCAGGATCATGACTAAGCCCAGCAGCGGCGGCTCCCCGGAAGCCGCCGTTGGCCACGCCCATGCCGGGGCAGCTGCCGGGCAGCTTCCCCCTTCCTCCCTCTCCTCGCCGCCATCTTCGCCGCCCTTGCTGCCGCACGCCTCCTCGCTCACCTGGATCATGACAAGATTCCCTCATGCATTGTGCATAAGTGAGATGCAGATATATCCTTCTCCTCTCAATCTCGTCCGTCTGCATAAGCTCCCATCTGCCCTTCAATGGATCTCCCCTCTCTTGCAAAACACAGACATTAAAGTCTCATAGCTCAAGGTATTTTTTGCTGTAACCTGCTGGTGCTCCAATGAAGACAGAACGGACCCCTTCCTTCCTGGGCAGGGCAATCACTGGCACAGCACGGCACTGACGAAATGCCTTGCTATTCCTCTTGCAGACGACGTTTCCCACAGTGGCGAGGCGCTGGTGTCACCTGCAGGGTATTGCGTGGGGTTGTTCGCTCTGAATTGGTCAACGCTTTCTCTAGGGCCGTCTCCAGAGCGGCATAGGCAGGCGCCAATTTGGTCTTCACCCGCGCAAGGGGCAGCACCAGCCGCTCCACATCTTCCAAGTAGGGGAATCTGCCCAAATGCAAGTACCTTCAAATGTACATGCGTGATGTCCCAGCCTTGCAGTTCTATTTTGCAGGTAGTATGTGTAGATCGCAGCACTAAGGCACTTCCCTTATCCTTGCTGACAGGTTCCTTGTTCACCATCCTTGAATGGTGCCATGCATACAGGCCCAGAAGGGAAAAAGAGCTTGAAGGCCCCCATGCTGGTTGATATCTGATGGTCAAACATGTGCTGAGATGCAAGAATGGTAAGTTGGCAGGCACATGCTTTGGTTCATTGCTGAGGGAGGGTCGCGCATGCACCTCTCTGCGTCGGTGGCGTTGGCAAAGACGAGGATGCTGGGCCGCTCCCTGTGCACCTCAAAGGTGCTGTCTGTTGCATTTTGGCTGTCAGGGAAGAAGCGCACGACGGGTGTATCCACTCGGGCCGCCCAGTCCGCCACTGCACAGCAGCCAAGGTCCCTCAAGCAGCATGATCCCAAACGAGGGTTTGTTGGCGCCTTGCCTTGGCCAGCTCGCATTGAGGTGTGATTGCTTGCCACCACCCAGGCATGTACTTGTCCTTGCTATCTCATGATATTTGCTGCAGAGTTATCAGCAAAAGAAGGTCGTGTGAGGCTCAGGACAGGCAGAGGTAAGGAATTGTTGATTGCTTTTCAAGGCAGGCTTGCTCACCAGTGTGGGCTGAGATCCCGCTCGCCAGAATGGCATCATACTTGGGGGTGACCAAGTCGTCCTCAGTAACCAGCGCGCGCCAGTCTGTGCCGGGTATGTTGACTGATTTCACTTCCACCTGGTGATCTCGCCTCTCCAAAGACTTGGCCACGTCTCTCATGTCATGGTAGCCAGCGGGGAATGTCTCCCTCAGCTTCATGACGACAGCCAATTTGTATCCCATGCAGAGGCTGGCATGCTGAGCCAGGCAAACTATAGCCAGTAGGATCCATCGTTGAGAGCTCGCCTGCCCCAATGACCTGGTCATGGCTTCCTGTGCAGGCATCAGCAGACCTGGTGGCATATGAATCCAAGAAACTGGACTGTGTTTGTAGAAAGTGGCGCCTGTACCTGTTGGTATTTGGTAATTCGTTCGATATCTCGTGCTCATGCAGCTGACAGGCTAAGGAACAGAGACACACCTGAGACATCTGGTCGAATCTGCTTTGTGCCAGGGCGTGCCGATTGACGAAAGTGCTGGAAAATTATTGCTCAAATAACGTAAGTAGCACGATCCCCACTAAAACATAGCGATTATTACATCGGGCACAGACGTGTGGGCAGCGTCACATGCAAACCGATGCTCGGCCGAGCGCGGTTTTTCGGCAACAATTGTCAGTGGAAACTCAATTTTCAGGTGATTCCAGACGCTAGTTTTGAGACTTGATATCCCAGAACGATTCTGAATACCCGAATTGAGGCTGGGTCACTTGCGCGGCAATCAACGTGCACTGGCAAGGGTCGTCGACGTAAAATGCAGTCCCGCGCCTTCCACTTTTGAACATTGGAAAAGTTGGAGACTCCACCGCCAGAGGCCCGATGGCGACGGAATTGTAAGCATGCTGTGGCCATCAGTCGGGGCATCTCTGATCATCAGATCAATAACATATAGCGTTCAGACAGGCAGGCGGCACCGAACGAGGAGAGCTCCATTGTATTGCTGAAAGTTGAGAATGCCAAGTGCAGGCTCTTCAAGAATGATTGTTCCATAATTAGTGTTAGCCATCCTTGAGGGACACCTAAAACCAAACAAGAGAGATCCAATCGCCACTAATGGGATCTGGTGATGGCCTTGCATGGGCCTCAAATCTTCTGGGTCTTGAGCTGCACAGGCTTGATCAGGTACCAACTCAGGGTTGCTTCAGTTGTGTTATGTTAATCCTACGTAGTTGCCAACTGATCACTGGATTTGCACTTTTGCAGCTTCAAAGCGGTGCTGTGTACCTGCTGATTCTTGACGCCTTCCACGCCAACTGTGTGGCTCTCAGCAAGGTGATGGAGTGATGCACCTGAGAGTTTGCATGCCCTTCTCGATGCGATAGTTTCACTTTAAGGTTTATGCACTTTTAACGTTTGCACTGGCAATGGGGCTCTACCATTCTCTTGTATACATCAAGATGATGCCCTGCCACAGCGCCTTCAACAAGGAATTGAGTCTGCATCTGCAGGTATCGCTGGGCTCCAGATACGAATATGAGTTCGTGCACAACTACAGAGTGCTGAAGTCCACTTTAGAGAGACTCAATATCGTCAAGGTAAGCTACCACCAACACACCAATCCTGAAGCGTGCCTGGCGCCAACTTGCATGCAATATAAGCGCGTTAAGTTTTAGCAGAGTAAATCAGGGAACCTGATTGGAACACATGGCTGCAGTTTGTGGATCGGCAGCGGCTCATGTCATCTCCCGAGCCGCATGAGGCGCTCTTGAGGTGGTTCCATCAGCGGTATGCCGGTGAGTCACCCCTGGAGTCATGAAGAGGGGCTTGCACGTCTGCAATATTTTCTGTTGATGTCATGGTTGTTGTCAAGGATGTGCAGCGCACGCTACTAGATGCAATGCGGAACCTCTACCCCACATAATACATGCTGTCCTCCGATAAAGAGATCAGCCAAAGGTTGTGGCGTGTGCAGATGTGCCCGTGCGAGCCAGCTATGATCCTGTCAAGCAGAGACAGGCCACGCAGGGTGGTGACATCAAGGCTATCCCCGTCCCTGTGAAGACCGGCAAGGTGTCCACGCCCATGGCAGGTAGGCTCTTGGGAGCCAGTTTTGCATGTTTCTGCCTTGCTTTTATAGTACAGTACACGCCAACAAGCACTCTGTGCCTGTGCAGATATCGGAGGGAGGGCCATCAAGCCGTCCAGCCTTCCAAAGATCAACAAAGGTGCGTTGCCCTGTTAGCCTCAGACATCCGTAAAATATCACGAAATAACTCCTGTCAAGCTTTATGCAAACCTGGCAATCTTACTCTGACAATTGCAAGGTGTGAGTTGTACAATATGTACTGTGCAGTGCCTCGGCTGGAGCTGCGCAAGGCGGCTGTGGGCAAGGCAGGTTCGCCGCCCAGGGGCGGCAAGATGCCCTCCCCGCCCCGGCCGACCAAATCGGCCTCGCCCCCCAAAGCCGGCTCACCGCCAAAGGCCGGCTCGCCGCCAAAAAGCGCGCGCGGCGGCTTCCGGCTGGCTGCCCTCAGCGCCGCGGTAGCTTCCCGGGCCGGCGCCAAGACCCCCCGCCTGCTGCTGGCGCGGACCCCCCGCAGCCCCACCGAGGGGCCCATCTCGGCTCGGCGTACCTCCCCCAAAACCTCTCCCATTGGGGGAACTAAGCGAGGCTCGCCCCCTCATCGGCTGAGCATATCTGTGGACGCGGCCGCGGGTGCCAAGCTGGGCGGGGTTGTTTTCAAGGTGTCACCCAACAGCGGTGGCCTCACGCAGCGCACCCCCCGGCTGTTCCCGGCCCAGCTGCCCACTCCCCGCCAGCTCAGCAGCGCCTTCCGTACCCCTAGAGGTGTGTCTTTATTCCACTGGACCCTAAGGCGCCAGCTTGACCTGCTAAACATGAAGGCACCTGGAAGGAAAGGCAGCATGCATGGGCTCACTCCAAAAGAGTTTCCCCCTGCCAAACTCACAACAGACACAGGTGCCTGTTGCCTCAGATGATATATGTTGCGAAGTCAGCGGACCAATGAAAAGAAATGCAGGTTGGGGCTGAGGAAGCCACAAACTTGCAGCATGCGGTAAAGCAATTGAGAGCGTGGGCTGCTGCATGCTCAGGGTTTGGAGGCACTCTCCCCACGCCCAGAGGGGCAGTGTCGGAGAGCAAGGCAGGTTTCAGCCACGGCGCGATTCCCCGCAACTCCCTCATGCAGCCGCGCAGCACCGGCAACAGCGCCATCCCGCGCCTGCGCTCCCCGCCTTCCGCCGAGAAGCAATCTGCAGCCGCCACCAGGCCCAGCCAAGTCCCGGTACTTCCCATGGCTCCGCTGGCTTCAACCATTCTGCCACTGAGACAGCACTGGCACTATAAGACATGCATCATATGGAAGGGAATTGAGCGGACAGGATATGACAGTGAATGATTGCAGTGGCAAACACTCCATTGGTCTCATGAAAATCAATGACACATTACTGAAGCCTCTCAACATGGGCAAGGTATGAGGCACCTCATTTCGCCCTGCAGATGCTGTCATGGCTCCGCAAGGCCGCCCAGAAGCTTTCCCAAACGGCCAGCAAGGCGCCCGAAATTACCGCATCCCCGTACACTCCGGCAGAGGCCTTTGCGCCGACGCTGCAGCACCTGACGCCCAAGCGGCCGCCAACAAACACCGACGCGGTGCAGCAGTGCCCGCGGCCCCCCGCGGACGTCCCCCCGATCACCGCCGTTGCTGACATCACCGCCGAGGCTGACGTCAGCGGCATCGACGTGTCATCCCCGCCCGCTGACATCAGCGAGCCGGCCCCGGCCCCGACCGCGCCGTCGCCGGCCGTGCAGCGGCTGCGCGCGCTGCGGCAGCGGGCGGCCAGCCCGGAGGCGGCGCGCAAGCGCCGCTCCGCGCTGCGCGCCGCCGCGCCAGACAGCGCCAGCTCGCTGAACAGCGCAAGGGGCGCCCGCGGCAAGGACCAGGCCGCGCGGCGGCGTACCTCCCTGGCCGGCATGGATCTGGGCGCCATATTGCTGTCGCCTGACAAGGCCGCCTGCCTCGCCTTTGCCTCCACCAAGGTGCGCCAAACTTTCCCTCCACCCACAGCGTGCAGCCATCTGCGCAAGTCTGCACCAATCATGCATCGATCAGCTACCCCGGACCTCCCTGCCTGCCATGAAAGTTGTATCCAGAATCCTGATGTCCGGTGTGCCTTGCTTGAGCGCCTGTCTTGTGAGAAAATCAAGGAGGCTGTCAATGGCAGCCTGCCAACATCTACTGCTGCCACACGTACAGGCCCCGCGCAATCTTGAAATGTAAGAAGTGCTAGTGTTGCACGAGGAGCACAGGTCGCACAGTCTTGAGATGAGGCGAAAAGGCAATGATATGTGGGGAGCACTAAGGGCGCAAATGGCTGCTTGCAGATCGAGACGGCGGACAGCATCGCGCAAGCGGCGGCCACGACCGTTCTGCGCGCTATCCCGGAGCTCCAGCTGCTGCTCAAGGACATCGGCAGCTCCAACCGCGACGGGTGAACATCTGTCAACTGCCCCCAAAATCCACCCCATTCACTGGCCGCAGTCACAGTCCCACAGGAAAGGCTGTCCTGCAAAAGCTGGCCATTTAGTTTCCGTAGTGATTGTCTGTTCTCACCCGCGCTCTGGACCACGGCATAAGCTAGGAATAAGTCAATTAGAGGTTCAGACTTTTCTTGGTCGGTGGGGGTGAGATGGCTGTGGCGCATCTTGCAGGTACCTGCACCGGGGCAAGCTGCGGTGCCGGCGTTGGATGGTGAGCGCCATGATCCCCCGCACTCGCGAGCTGCTGATGCACGTTCGCCAGCTCAGCCAACTGGCTGTGGATGACCCTGGCGCCCGAGCGCGCGTACGCAGAGCCAAGCGCCTGCTCAAGGTGGGCCCTTCATTACTCTTGAAGCTCGAGAGAAAAGTGCATTGCAGGCGGTTTCTGGCTGTGCATACGTCCTAATCCAGACACCCACCTGCTTCGTGCTGCAGTGCTGAGACTGTATTAGCTGAAGCAAAGCCAAGTGCTGCAATGCAAGCGATGCTACTGCTACACTGCATGTGAATGGCACAAGTAAACGCATTAGAGCCTGTAATGTCAAAATAAGCAAATAGGAGCTCGGTAGGTCCAACTGCAAAGTGTTCATGCTTCATGCTGCGCTGTGCAGGAATTGGCGTCGGCGGAGCAGTCTTTTGCGGACGTGTGCGACCAGATCGCCAAGGCGGAGCGCTTCTTCCCTGTGCCGGGCATCGGCCACGGCGAGCACACCGCCCGGGACACTGCTGCAGACGGTGCGTGCACTTACTCATCACAACCTGTCACAACCTGACACAATGCAGTATATGCGCATTGTGTCAGTTATCTGCATGGCACACTCAAAGTGTTCAGACCTTACTGCATGCCCGCTCGGGTTGGGGACATCTGATCTGGCAGTATAAAGAAGCTTATGCTTCCTATCTGCAACGTGCGCAATCTTGCAGCCCCTATCTGTGCGGCAGCATGGTCTGCACAGCTTGTGTTTGAGTTCCTTGGTGAGTGACCTCACATGGGAGCATGTAAACAAGGGGTGGGCTGTGGCGGCTGTGCAGGCAAGGCGGGTGCACGGCAGTTGGAGGTGAGCCTACGTGCGGTTGGCGGGGCAATGCAGGACCTGCAGCAGCTCTGGATTGAGCTGGCCCCCCACTCCCCCTGGTGAATCTCCCCGCCCAATCCGCCTGTCTTCAAGCTAGAAAGCAAACCTTGTTTCAAGTGTGTTGGCACAGCACCTTTTGGCGCTGGCGTTTAACATCTGACGGTTGTGCAGTTAGCTTAGCATGTCATGTGAAAGATAACTCCAATGAGAGGTCATCTGAGGCATTAGAGTCCAGAGGAACATAGAAAAGCTAAAATCACCATAATATCTGTTAGATCTTGCTGCTCCATCTCCCGCTCAGTTGGAGATATTACTTGTCCTCCATAGAACTGCACCAAAATTGCTATGGGTAATAGCTTGCCCAGGCAGAAATGCAACAATGGCTGATGGACGAATGCTGACCGTCAAACCTCTCTGCGCAGGGCCAGCGCTGCCAAAGCAATCAGGCTCTCTCCGAGCGTGCGCCTGACGGATGCCAGAGGAAGCATCCCTGCCAGCCTGGCCAGTGACATCACCGGGGATGTCAGCGGCGAAGATGACCTCAGCGACGACGACGCCTGCAGCAATGCGAGCGAGGATGCCTCACCCGCTGCCAGCCCCTCGGATGACTCAAGACCCGCAGAAGAACTCGCGCCAAGCCCAACAGCGAGCAGCCCAGCCAGCATCACAAGGACATCAGAGCACATTGCCACAGGCCCAAAATTAGCGCTCGACCTTGGCAAGGTGCAAGTCAGCGGATACTCATCCAGCGAGGACGCAGCTGCGTCACCAGAGCCCGACACAATATCAGGCTCTAACAAAGCCCCACTGCCGGACACAGCCACACCGACGAAGCTTCCGGCCGCTGCCGCACCGCAGCCGCCGCCGATCCCTCAGGCGCAGCAGCAGCGCTACACGGCGTCGATCCAAGATGAAGCCGGTGAAGCCGAGGGGATGACAACGCCCCCGCGCGCCGCCCGCCCCGGCCGGCCGGAAACTGCGCCGGTCGCCGGCCGTGCCGCGGCCGCCGCCGCGCCGTCGGGAGGGAACAGCGCGGCCGGGGAGACGCGCCAGCCGGAACCGCCGGCGCGCAAGCCGACGCGCATTCCGGAGTGGAGCCCCTGCAGCACCCTCAGCAGCAGCGGCAGCAGCTCGGCGGCGTACTCTGGCAATCTGAAGCTGCCGGGCAGCCGCGCCGGGTCCCCCAGCACGGTGCTCACCCCTGAGGCGGCCCTGAGGAGCGCCAAAACAGGCGGCACAGCCTCCGCCGACAAGGCCCGCCTCAGGGGCGTGAACGCTGAGCTGGCGCGCTTCTTCGGCTGCTCACCGATTTTGCAGCCGCCAACCATCAAGCTCACACGTAACAACTCCGCCAGCCCACCACCGGCCTCCGCCACGGACGAGGTGAGCGTGCCTTGTTACATGGCCTGATTGATGAGCGGGGCTGAAACAGGGGAACTTTTATGCAAGCTTGAGATTTGAGGGCCCAGGATTACTTTGTCCCAGAGCATAAAGCCATGTGGGGAGGAAGTTGGCTATTTAAAGAGATATCACACCACTGGGGTGCTGCAGGCAGCACATGGGGAATTTATCTGTGTGTGTGGGTTGAAAAACTGTATGTGTGATGGTGTTGCAGGCAGGGCAAGCGCCGGTGAGGAAGGTGTCATTTCCGAGCGGCCACAAGTATGCCGGCCAGATCAGCAACGGCACAATGAACGGCCTTGGGGTGTACGCCTTCGACAGCACCCAAGCGCGCTACGAGGGAGAGGTACTCCATACGACCTCATCTTATGCCAATCACTCCACCAAAGCTGTCTTCGGAATGCTTGAACTTCTTGGGTATTCCATGGAAAGATGTGGATGGCATGGCCGCATCAGTGGTTCATGAGAGATGAAATTCTGGGTTGTGGGCGCTGCGCAGTTTCTGGACGGAGCATTTGAGGGGCTCGGGGCGGAAACATTTGCGGATGGCATGTATGTGGGCTCCTTCCATGCCGGCCTGCGCCACGGCCTCGGTGAGCTTCAGCTCTCCACTTCTCCCCGCTGTTGCTACCCTCTTCAATATCCAGCCAAAGAGGAAGCTGTCCTCAGCTTTTCAACATTGCTGCGTGCTGCCGTGGTGACAACATTACAGCAGGGTTGATATAAGATGGCTGGTGTGGCCAGGGGTGTGCCACTACCGCAATGGGGACTACTACGAGGGCGGCTGGCGTGCTGGGTTGCGCCACGGCATGGGCATGCAGCAGTGCGCCGACGGCTCCAACTACGTGAGTTCCCCCGACCTCATTCTTATTCTGTTCTGCTTCACCTGTTCCACTGCCTGATCTCCTTCCTTGCAAACACTCATGAATACTGGACTGGCATTGCTGAGCATCAAAGGTCCTGCATTGGAATTACTTTGTTTCCACTCGTACATTGATGTGGGTCCCCAAACAGCTGACAGACAGCAGGCAAGGTCGTGATTTTGCGCTGGTGAGTGCAAGAATTGCTGAAGCAGGGGCAAAGCCACAACAGCATTGTGCTTTAGGAGTGGGCTTAAGCAAGTTCTGGGGTGGATTGCGCAGGTGGGCGGGTATTGCGCGGGGCAGCGGCGCGGCTGCGGCATCTACTCATTCCCCAACGGCGACCGCTACGAGGGCGAGTGCGCGGCCGACGCGCCGCACGGCCACGGAGTGTACCGGTTTGCGGCCAGCGGCGCCGTGTTGGAGGGCTCCTGGGACTCTGGCGCCAAGCACGGCTGGGCCGTCGTCACCGTGGGCAGCCAGCAGTCCTACGGTGCGCGCCCCTTTGTGCAACTACCCCAGCCGCATGTGAGCCGGGGCTATTGGAAACCTGACAGAAGGCAATTTGTCAGGTTTCCCGAACAACACACTGCAGCCCTACAGAACAATGGCGCAGGCCTCCTCCATGTCTCCTCTGCTTACCTCCAATATCCTGTCTATTCTTCATTGTATTTTTATCGTTCCAGGACCTTGCATGGCGTCACGGTGACCTTGGGCAATACTTGAGAGAGTTGAACTGGACCGCGCAGGGCGGTGGGAGGCCGGTGTGTTGGTGAGCCTGGCGCCGCTGGAGCCGGACGCGGCGCTGGAGGACGGGGAGGAAGCTGAGCTGGAGGATGACGAGGCGGAGGCGCGCGACGTGGCGGCCGAGACGGCGCGCACCGCCCGGGCCGCCGGCCTGCGCGCGATCAAGATCGCCGACGACCACTGGCGCGCTGCCGGGCCCATGCAGGCGCGCCCTCTCCGCTCCCCCCACCCGAATTTTTTTGGTTTCCGTTTCAATTTTCAAGCCCTGATCGGATGTTGCTTGTCAAAATCTGAATTGATATGAGATGCTCGCAGTCTGTCTCGCTCATTCGTATCACAAGTGATTACCCTGTTTGAAAGCGACCCCGCTTGAGGTGGGTTATTGTCAGCTGAATATGAAGGAGGTAGAGATCCTTTAGGTGCATGGGTTCAGCCTGGCTGCTCACGCTTCGTCTGTCTCTTGATATTCAGTCAGGATGACTGCATCAATTTCGTGCTTGAGGATGGTGCCTTGCTTCAGCGATTGGCGGAAGGAAGCATATTGGTTCCAACTCCAGCTCTACACAGCAAGCTCAGTTATTTGGGATGAGCTTTTTGATTTTGATCTTGTGGTGCAGATGGAGCTGCAGGATTTGCTGCAGAGGGCCCAAGCAGCAGCAAGGACAGCAAGACAGCTTGCCAGGCCGCTCATGAAATGAAGTTTTACAGCCGAAAACCAGCAAAAAAATGGTTGTCAAACCAGGACTATCAGATTGGGGACTTACTTCCATTTTTTATCCTCGTGTTTTGGGCCATTCCTTTTTATTGCATGTTGGCACGTTGCTCGCATGGTGTACACACCGCTTTATTGGAATTCAGTGACTGCGTGTCACAGACGATTCCCAAAACTATTGCATGACAAGAGTGTTGCTAGGTACAAAGGTGGTCAGAGGACGGGGTTGTGTGGGTGCTGCGTTAGGATAAGAGAAGCTGCAGGCGGGTGATGAAAGCATTGGAAACTAGCTAGTGCCCCTTCGGGAATGAGTGGATTTCACCATTGGATAAGTGTACCTCTAAGTTGGCAGTTGTCGCGCCATTGAATGTCAGTCTATACTGCGGCAACGATTGCTGAGATTCCCAGGGGAACATTATGAGCAGTTGTTGGAGTGATATAGACTCCCATCTAATATTAGCTGCTCTGCACAGATGTGTCTTAGGCCTGCACATATCTGTACGTCCTGCATATGGTGACAATTAGACTGTGGTTATCGGCTTGGGAAGTTCATCAATCTCTCAAGACTAGTGTCTATATGCGTTATAGTGTGCCATGCCAAAACTTCTCTGCAATGTAAAGGAGGTCATCGGGCTATTGAGTGACTGGTCGGCACATGATGCTCAGCCAATTGGCACATGATGATGATTTCATGAATTCGTTCTGCAGATACAGCCAGCTTCAGAAGTTGCACTTGCTTCGAGCTGTCGCAGAATAGCAGTACAATGACTGGATGTGGCTGTGCAAAAGGAAAAGGCCTGCCAATCCACAAAACCCGGGTGCACCATGCAAATGACTGTTCTTCAATAAAAACCTCCCTCATACATTAGACATTCACCAGACATAAGGCTGCCAGTATGCTACAACGCGTGCTTATTATTTATAATGTACAAATGTGCAGCAGTCCACACATACCACAAAGGCTCGAGCCGCCGACGGCATTGCAACGTATTAATCAACAGACAAGCAAAGGTTTCCAAACTGCGCCCGCCCACGGCGTTTCTGCCCGCCAAAAGGTGGAACAGGCCCTCGTTATGCAGGAGCGCCCAGGTTCCATAGACACCTCTGAAGCCAAGCATTTCACCTCCTATTCCCAGTCACCACCCCAGTCCTCGTCCACATCGGACTCACCACCCTCAGCAGCCGCAGCATCCTCATCGCTGATCTCCAGATCTTCATCCTCATCCTCAACAATGCCAGGCTTCTCAACAGCCACTGCTCCTGCCGCCCCTGCAGCTGCCGTTGCCAGCTTGATAGCCGGCACCACCGGTGCAGCTGTGGTCTTGTCTGCCGCAGGCTTGCCTGCTGCTGGGCTGGCTGCAGGGGCGTCCTCCTTGCTCGAGGGAGACTCGCCGGAGCCCTCTGCGGTGTCTTCCTCAGATGTCTCTGCAGGGACACATGCATTCTCTCAACTTTATGCACCTTGTTCCTCATAAGGCCAGAAATTCTGCATGAGATGAGACCACAGCATAGGCTACACCTGGTGCGTCCTTGAATCATCATCTGAAATTGTACACTGGGGCTCATCAGAAGAATTCCACGTGGCGCATTCAGGATTGCAGCTGACAGCGCACCTGGTCTGGGAGGGGTGGCAGGTTTCACTGGGGTGGCCACCGCAGGCTTCAGATCGGACACAATGGGCGACGAAACCTCGCCTTCGTCGGGGACCGATGCCGCCTTTGTGGCAGCGGCGGCGGCGGCTCTGGCCGAGGGAGATGTCACGACCGTCCAGGGGTGCGCGCCGTTGGACTCGTCTGACGCGGTCGACGTTTCCACATCCGAGTGCTCGTCGCCTCGCTGCATCACAGCCGATTTCTAATTAATACTTAGGGGCCGAAGGATGCGACCTGCATTTTGCCAACAAGCAAGCGTGCAAAATTCACAGCAGTGTCAATATTACGCACAGGAGCCGATGAGCTATGGGAGTGGTCCGTTTGTGGCAGAAGATCCAAGGCTACCTTGACAGCCACCGGAGAGGAAGATGTAGACCCCTTGTCCTCAACTCTGGGAGACACAGGCTTGACGCTGACGGGAGGTGGCGGGCTGCTCTGCGTGCCCACGCGCACACCATCCTGCAGCACAACTTTCATTCAATTCCTGCGGGATGCAATCACCGCCAAAAATGTCATGAGGATCACACTTTTTGCAACAAACCAGCAGCTGAAGCCCAGGACCAGGACCCAAAGCAGATGCCTACGCACCTTTGCTGGCGAGGGCACGGCGGTGATGGCAGGTCTGGGGGAGGCGGCAGGGGAGGGAACGCGCGGGTCGTCGTCCCAGGCCACCTCATCCTCTGCGGCAGCGCGCGCACGCTGCGCCACTGCCACCCGCTGCTCGTGCTTCTGCTGCAGCTTGTGCAGCCTGCGCAGCTCTACTTGTCAGAACACGCAGTACTTTAAAGGAGCCTCTGCCACAGATCAATCAGCCAGGTGCAACAGGCAGATGATGTCACCTCGCTCAAAGTGGCAATTTGTCTTGCATAAATGCCAGCTCGACAGCTAATGTCAACAGAGTACTCACGAAAAAAAATCCTTGCACTCCCACACAAATGTACAAATGTAACAATCGCTGCAGCTCCGCAGGAGACGCCAGGAGAACAGAGGGGCACGGCACAGATGACGGTGGGGCCGCACTGGTAGAAGTAGCGCGTCCAGAACTCGTCGTACTGCACGATGAGAGGCACGATGCGGGCCTGCAGCTCGGCCATGAATGCGTTGTCGGCGATGATGGCGTCGATGTCGGGCTTGCGCGCGGCCAGATCGAAGGCCGCCAGCCACGCCGTATAGTCGGCCGCGTCCTCGGGCTCGTCGCAGTACGTGGACGAGTTGCGCTGCATCGCCGACACCTCCGCGTCCAGCCGGCTGTACCGCGCGCCGCCGCCGCCGCCAGCCGCAAACCTGCCTCATTGCACACGTGCTGCTCAGATGGCAGGAACCGGTGGCTGGGTACGTCGGAGACCTGCTCAAAGACAATTGCTGCTGAGCTGAGGGTAAGTGGCAGCTCTGCATGACTTTGCTGGCATCCTGATTGCAGTTGACAGCTTTGTTCAGGGTGGGCCGATCCTGTGCAGCCAGACCAGCTCAAGGCTTCTAGACTGCTCTGAACAGGTCTGAGCCGACAGCACTAGCCCAGCCTGGACCAATCTGCGCGCCATTCTTTGTGGTGGCTGGTGCTTCTGTGCAAACTGAATGCATGTATGCAGAACAAGCGATCGACATTAGCAAGATTACATGCGTGGCATGCAGGCCAGGAGCGCACCGGGCGGCGGAGCGGTTGGCGGCACCGGGGCGGTTGTGCGCGGCCATGCCCTCGATGGAGTCGAGCTCGCTGGAGATGGCGTCGGTGACCTGCTCCAGCAGCTCGCGTGTCCCCATGAACACGCTCGTGCCCAGACCCCGCAGCCGCGAGCCCACCTGAGCCCGCAGCAGCGCTGGCGATCACTCACCTCAATCTATGAATTGGGGAGCAAATTCTTGATACCTTCACCCACTGGATTTTGGCGCTTAGCCGCCTACCGCCTCATCACTGCTGAACGCCGCAGTTGGAGCCAGCAGATGAGACGCTCGTGGGTAGCAAAGCGCCGAGATCGCAATTCTGTATATCTTGACTGGGAGCCTCCCAGCAGGCTTGTCAAAAGACTGTGGAGGATTGAGTAGATACGTTTTTAAATTTTCATCATGCATGCCCTTGGCACCCGCCTATAAAACGGACTTCTTAGAAAAACCACTGCCACTCACCTTGGTGAATTGCTCCTGCACTTGCTGGGAATCCAAGCTGCCGGTCATGTGCTCTCCCAGGCCCTCCAGACCCACTCCCAGGCTGGCAGGCAGGTGGGCGGTTGCCTCCTTTGGGAAGCGCTCCAGCCCCTTGTGGACTATGTGGGACGCCTCCGCGGAGTCCTCCGCCACACCCTTGGAGAAGGAATGCAGCTCCGCCTTCCAATCCGTCTCCTTCACACTAAGGCACAGTGCAAACCTCCCATAAGCGAGGCACAAATCTTCCATATCAGGGCGCTGGGCACTCTGTCAGCCTTGGTGACCGTCCTTCTATTCCTTGCGCACAGCCGTCTCAACAGTACTACCAAAATGTTACTCCGATGACGATGGCAAGGAGTGGAAGGATGGACATGACTTGACAGAAGGTTCTGGTAACACTGTAGAAGCTACATCAGCTGTACATGTGCGTGCAACGCAAGTTCTGCTTATGAAGCACGAACCTGGCCGCAATTTCAGCAGTGCTCTTCTTCACATTCTCGGCCAGCGCTGTGGCCATGCCCCAGAAGCTGAAGCTGCCGCCTGCGCTGTCTGCCCCCTTCTGGGCAGCTTTCCCCTTGGCTTCTGCACCCTCATCGTCCGAGTCGACTGCACCCGTTGAGGGGCCTTGCAGCATGTCCACGTAGTCAAACATCCTGGGTACCTCTGCCCCTGCAGCAGATGGACAATCGTACGTGTCAGACTCGCATAAATTCACGATTGCATGAGAAGTCTTGGCCACTGTGGCAGCAGGCAAGGGGATTGAGCAAGGTGCAGGACTGAGGTATTTATGTGGCGAGGTGTCCGAGCATTTGTGGGCAGACCTGTTCGAGGCTCACAAGCCACGTGTGATGGATGCCAGCACTTTGTCGCTGAAGGATTTGAAGTCTGGCCGCAGCAAGGCCTCCTTCAAGGCCTGCAAAGGCAAAAGAGGCTAAAGGCCTACCTTGATATTGGTGAGGACCAGCTCAGCAAAATCATGTGGAGGTTGTTGATTTGCCAGCGCACAGGGTGTAGCCGTACCTTCTCCCTATCGTGTGCTGAGTCAACACCTCTGATGAGATCTTGCAAACGCTCGTCCTTCAGCTGTGCCCTTATTTCTTCGCTACTTGCTACGCAAAACAAAACAGGGTCCAATCAGTACACACAGAAATAAAATGCAATTGAAGAATTGAAATAACCTGCAAAGTGCAAGGCATACCGAGGTTGTAGAGAGCGTCTGTCTTGACGACTGCTGCGGCCACCTCCACTTCTTGGATAGGTTTGCCTGCAGGATTGAATGCATCAGCCCAATCACTATTAACCAAAAGAAAGTACATCAAATCCAGTGCACAGAATCCTATCTAAGATGCAACAGCTAGCGCTGACATTACTACTTGTGAGATAGTGATACAAGCAACATTGGCCCAGTCATGAAAGATGAAGCCTTTCCACCGTGCCTAATATTTAGCGATCATGGCCAAACTTTAACGTGCATGCAAGCACAAAACTGACTAATTTACGATCCTGAGGCTTACTTGGTTGCAGGAGAGGCTGGGGCGGGGCGTCAGTGACACGAAGAAGGACCTGAACGACTGCTCCTTGCTGCTTTCTCAGCGATCGGACGACTCCCCTGCCCCTCTTCAACAGTTGTCGAGTGTTCTCGTCCTCTGTGACCAATATTCCTACCAACTGCCCAGCTTTAGTCTGGACTTGGAGCTGAGCACTTTCAGCTGAGCAGATGATGCAAATTTCCTCGCCTGTGTGAAGCTGGGTCACAGCTTCCTGGTGATCAGACAGATCTGTGACCTGGATGTCAAGCTTTTGAGCTGCCATCCAACGCAGTGTGAGAAGTTGTGGGTGCCAAACAATTTTCCACAATGTTTTGCGCCCTTTCCCCATCACCTCATCGCTGAGCTGGACAATTGGACCAAGAATGCCTTCATCGGGATCACCGCAGGCGACCACAGGACAGTTTGCTGCTCAATTGTGAGCTTTGCTGACCTCAGATCGTTATTCAAGTTTGCAAGACAACGTGCACAAGAGGCACTGTGGCTACTGCAATAATCTGCATCTCTTCCTTCGTGTCTTTCCTTCTAGAAATAGCCTTGCAAACTTGTCACCCTCTCATCCAGCCTCATTTACCAGGTGAGTGACGTTTTCTGTTCCACAACAGGAGAGAAGCTCTGATCAATTACAGACATATTTGCTGCAGCACCGGATGCTGTTTGGAGACCCTTGGACATGTCCCCGTTAGAATGTGGTGGAATATGCAACGGCAGGAAATGGAAAGGGAAAATCCAAATGCATGTAAGCATGGACATCACCGTGTGACTCTGACAGCTGCTATAGCTGACACACAATACTGTGGACTGCAGGACAGTGGACGAAGATGTCGGTGCCAGGGCTGAACTTCAACTTGATGGATCAACTGACATTCTACGGCAGCTACCACACCCGTGGATGGAACCAGTGCATCCACTTTGTCTTTGTCCCACTGATTCACTGGACCATCACCGTCTGGCTAGCCTATGCTCCCTTGCCTACTTCTTTTGACCTGCCAGCCCACCTGAACTTCCTGCCACCAGTCATCTCCAGGTGACTTATTTTGGCTCTGCTCTTCTGGCCTTTTACTATCAGCATCATGTTCCTAGAGGCATCTAGAGCTTGCTGAATCAGGAAGACAGGTGCAAGTTGAATATGGTGTGTTGAGAATGTACAGAAGCTCATACTGCATTTAATATGATGCCTTGAAGGTGTGAGTCTGAACTGACGCCATTGTGCCTGTGCAGTGCTGCGGTGCTCAATTGGGGCCTATTGGTGCTTATCCTGTATGCCCTCTACTACATGATTCTGGAGCCCTTTGCTGGCACCACTTGGGGCATCCTCCTGGGCATCCCCATGTGGCTCACGGCCACTGCCTTTGCGCAGCATGTGCCTTATGCCTGGGCTTGGGCCATCGGCCTCCACATTCTCTCCTGGTACCTGCAGGCGAGTCCTCAGCTGTACCACTCGCCCTCAGCCTAGTACAAAGCTATGCATCACAAGGCTGGCTTTGCTCTTTTTCACAGAATCGCAGTGATGAGGCATTGTTGTGCTGGACACAGGTGGAGGTGGGCCACATCTTGATTGAGCATCGCAAGCCAGCCTTGCTGGACAGCTTCATGCAGGTACCCAGGAACTCTTGTTGACATCACTTCTTGGGCACATGTTGGACAGTATCATGGCGTTCTTGTCATCATCTGCCTGTCATTTTTTCAAAAAGAAAGTTGGTACTCACTATGTGTTTGTGCACAATGGCAGAGCCTAGTCCTGGCAGGGCTGTTCGCATGGATGGAGGGCCTCTTTGTGCTGGGCTACCGGCCCAAGCTGCACGCCGAACTGGTGAGGCGAGTGGAGGAGAATATTGCGCGCAACAAGGCAGAGACAGAGGGGCTTCTCACAGGCTGATTTAATAATCTCAAAGAGAATCCTTGCTGGCGGCAAATGAGCTGAAAAGGCTCCTTTGCTCGTCAAAGGAACAAAATACGAGCACATAAGTGTATGGTGCTCCCCTGATATTCTCAGGCTGAGAACATCCCGGGAATGTACTTGTCTTTGTACGAGAGCGCCGTGTTAAGCATTGCATCCTGAAGTGCAGGACGGCACCAATCTGTTCAGCGCTGGACTTGAGCACTCTCTGTACCGGTTGTCGCTTTTGCAAATTTCCCTGTATGTACATGCTGCGATGCCCCAGTAGTTTTTCGAATTTCTTGCGCATGCGTTAAAGGTCCTGAAATGTGGTGCTCTGGAAACTTGCCTGGTCTCAAATATCACATCCTACTTTTCAAATGTGGACTAGTGTAGCTGCTCAAAGGAGTTGATATAGGGCATGTTGCAGCTGTGTGACAGCCTTTTTGCATGTGTTTGTCTCGTGCAACGCTGTTTGGTGGTCGAAGCAAATCTGGAGGTGTGTAAACTCCTGAAGATTGCAGTGGTAAAACATGGCATCTGGGGCTTTGGCACCTTTGAAAGCGCCCACTTCTATGCATGTGCATCTTAAGCGCGTCTTGTCCATACGGTACGTACCGTATGCACAGTAAAACATGGCATCTGGGGCTTTGGCACCTTTGAAAGCGCCCACTTCTATGCACATGCATTTTAAGCGCGTCTTGTCCATACGGTACGTACCGTATGCACAGTTCTGATGAGCTTGATCAAGTCCATTCTTGGCATTGATGGCAACATCGGTATTGATAGCAAGCCGCACTCCAGAAAGTACTTCCACCGCAGACCCACATTTTTAGGGGACGATGTGTATATTGATGCACCTCCCATCCGCTACATAAACCTTACAGGGCCTCTTCAGATCTTATAATATTTACTTATAAATGGCTGCACAGGAAGGAAGACTAATCTGCATCACTTCAGACGGTGGGCAAGGGGCGCGGGGATGCTACATATTATGTTGACTGTACGACACAATTGTTGGTCTGTCACTCCAACTTGTGGTAAAGGACATATAATTGCTCTGGTACAGTTGTCTCTGCAGTACCAGAGCTGTGTGCAGGAAGACCTTCCTGCACACCGGTACCTGGTCAAGGATGCAATCCTTGCCAAACCATCTGCGCCGATTCAAGCAGCCACAAAAGCAGGACGCGGCAACAGACCTTAATGCGCAACAACTGTCCCACGCATTGCAAATGGCGTGAGAACTGCATCAACGGACTTTCAAGTGCTTTTATAGTGCTCTGCCCAGAGCAACCGCCAAGGCTCCACGAGCTCTAGCATGCAGCACCAGGCACAGGTGTCCTGGCCTTATCTTGTTGGCTGGGGCGTCATCAGGGTTGTCCTGACAGAGGAACGCATTGGGATTCAGGGCAAAAGGTGGGGCCTCCAGTTGGGCACCCCATCAGGCCGCTCACTCTATTACACTGTTGCTCAACAACTTGCCCCGCCCTTCTCCAGCGACTGCAAGGGCAAGGCCGCTCATCGCCCAGTGTCAGCGCCCAGATTGGTTTCGCTGCTGTGCATGCGCTCGGGACGGCTTTGCACCTGTCGAAAGGAACCATCGATATTCATCAGCATCTAAGAACAGCACTCCACATGCAATTCTTGGTGCTTGTCCCTCCCGGTCATTTAGTATCCTTGATTCCAAGGCCAGCAGCCTCTCCTGTGTATGGATGCTAACACGCATGCAAACGTAAATGCCATGCATACCAGCATCCACACACCAAGAAGGTGATGGCCCTGAGACTCACGCAAATCAACAAATGAGCATGTCTTGTCAGGTTTCAGGTTTTTGTCTCTCTACATTAGCGGTCATGCAAACTTTTTGGGCCGGCATGCCGCTGGGCCTGTAGGATGCCGGGGCCAATCACCGCTGAAGGGCTTGAGTACTAATCCCCAAAAATACTGGTGCGCGGCACCTGGGAGGAGGAAGCTGAGGACGATGTTGCGGCCGGGGCGGCGGGTTTGGCGCAGGCGAGGGAGGCGGCTGCGCATGCGGCGTGCAGGTCGGCCAGCGCAGGCGTGCGCAGGTGCAGCAGGTCCTGCGCGCCCGCCGTCAGGCTGTACAGCACCGCCTCCAGCCTGCGCATGCATTCCTCACGTCACACACCCATGTACTAGTTAATATGACCTACAAATTCTGATGATCTCTGGCTATTTAGTTCCTTTGGGGATTAACCGAGTGGCAGATGCCTTGTGAGACTTACGCTCGCGAACTTTGCATGGCTTTGCAGAGCAGGCTACAGGGTGTATCAAAAAATGCCATGGGAACCTCCCATGAGGGACACCACCTTGGCACTCAGAGAAGGCACCAACGAATGCCTTAAGCACCCAGAGCATGTGCGTTGCGCTGGATAGGCCATCAGTCTTAGTCTGAAGGGTCCATCCGGCACATGCACCAAAAGCAGGCGATCGCCGAGATGGCCGCACAGAAAAGCGCGCACCTGTCGGCGATGATGGAGGGCGCGAACTGGAGGGCTGTGGCGCGCGCGGCGATGGCCAGGCGTTGGCGCAGGGAGTCCTCCACCAGCACCGTCAGCAGCAGCCGCGCCAGGTGCTCCACATCCTGCGAACATGCATGCGCACCCGCTTTACACAACCGCCACTGATAGGGTGCTCATGCTGCGGATTTACACTGTCAGACTGCTGCTCTTCGATGCAGCGGTTTCCAAAACGCAACCGTGAGCACAAACTTTGCCCCAGATGGGCGTAGGTAAGCCAGAGCACCTGGCAGCGAGAGGCTCAGCAGCTGGCATGAGGACATTTGTCTGCACAGGAGCTTTAACTCCTGTGGAAGGTGCGCCTGACAAAACTCCGCTTAGTGGCACAGGGAAGAGTAAGACCTGGGTGTCGGCGAGGAGGGCATTGACGCCGTGCTGCGCGAAGGTTTGCACGCCAAGGCAGTTGGTGGCGACGCAGGCGAGGCCGCTGGCCATGGCCTCCAGCACCGGCATGCCCCACGCCTCGTAGCGCGACGTGAACAGCAGCGCATCGTGGCCCCGGTACAGTGCCGGCAGCAGCTCCTGCAAAAGACACCAGTCAGGCTCACCACTGCAGCCGCCAAGAGGGGAGAATGGGTCCCATTATGACCCTCGCGACCTGTAGGAATTTACTTTGATAACAGCACTGATACCAAGATGCTGCCAAAAACGCTTTGTCCAGCAATGTGGCAGCATCCAGCATAATAGCAGGGGTGCTTTTGGATAAGTGGAGCCCACACTGTTACGAGCTTATGTCCCATCGTCATGATCCAGGAAAGCACACAGCCAAAGAATACGTACCACAAGCATTGCATAAGGTTCAGAAGCACACTGTCGTTGGCCACTTGCTCACCTGTCCAGGACAACAGTGATATCTGCAGAGTGTGCGCGCATCCAAAAATGCGCACCTGGGAGGGGCTGACGTGGAGGCTGATGCGCAGGCCGCAGGAGGCGAGGCCGGAGACCATTGCGGACGTGGGGTGCGTCTGGCAGATCCAGGTCACGTCGAGCGGCAGCACGCGGTTGACCATGGACAGCACCGCCAGCGCCACGTCAAACCCCTTCAGCGGCAGCGCTGGGTTGCCCACCAGCAGCACTGACCGCCTGCCCGCATGCTCCTCCCCGCGCTTCTCCTGCGCGATAGTTTGCATTCAGTAATTGATGCTGCTTTGCTCAGTATTTTTGTTGTGACATAGGAATAGGAAGCAACGTAATTGAAGAATGGGCTAAATGTGCCCTGTGCAAGACATACTACGAGAGCAGACAGCTTGATCGTCAAACTTCCCAGTTTATTGAATGTCTGGCAAGAACAAGCAGCAAACTCCGCACTTATAAGCCGGAAAATTGATTGTCTTGACCACAGCACCCGCAAGCAGCTCATCCTGCTTGCCACTCAAGGGAGACTGGAGATATTATATTTGGTTGTCATGCCAAATTAAACAGCAGATCCACATCTCTTAGCCAGCTATGCCCGACACAGAAAGAGATTTCCAAGTTGCCCATGTCAGCGTGCAAGCATCATGTGCATGCAAATAAAGGGAGGTCGAATGTCCCCCCGCACCTGGCCCTTGGAGGGGGAGGTCAGCGCGGCGGTGGGGGGCACGGCGGCGGGGGGCCCCGGGAAGAAGCGGTCGCAGTCGACGCCGTTGGGGATGAGCAGCGAGGAGCGCCCGAACTGGCGCTGCAGAATGGCGCGCACCGCCTCTGACACCGCGGCCAGCGCCACCGGCAGGTGCAGCACCTTGTGGAACAGCTGGTCCTGCCGCTGGTAGTTGTGCGCCACCTGCGCGTTTCATCTCACCCACTCAGTTAATAGCCCTAGGCAGCTATACAGCATTTTCGCCTGGGAACCAGGTGTTCACTTTGGTACACCAGCGCAGCGATACGGCCGGGGGCTGAAGAAGCAGTGGAAAATGGTTGTGCAGGTTCACAGAGCCCGATTGGCATGCAGCATGCCATAAATACAGGATTGCAGCTGCAATGCAGGGAGCAAGACATCCCAGGAGTGATCAAGCACCGCTGGTTGAATATGGCGGCATTGCACAAATGCGGCCCTGCCTTGCTTCTCCAAGCGGTAACAGCTTGGTCAATGTGTAGCACTGCAATTCAGAATTGGCTCATTACCTGGAACCTGACTGGGTCCCCGAACAGCCATTCGTGTCCCTGCTCCCAGTAGAGGATTGGCGCCGGCACACCAACCAGGAGCTCAGCCACCTGTACGCACAGGCCGTCATCATCCACCATGCTTGCTACTCTGCCATATCGCCGTTGCCAAATTGAACAGTCCCCAAAACAGGCACCATGCGATAGACCTCCCAGCGTCGCCTACATTGAGGTTCCTAATTGTGCACCCATGGGATGGGGCAAGAGGATTTCTCGACCCATTTAGGCTCAGGCCAGCCTCAGCTGAGTGTGCTGTTTGCCTGGTCATCCACTTAAGATGCCATCCGCAGCCACTAATTGAAGTCTCAGGCGCAGCTTGTGTCGTGCAATCTCGAGCACAAGAAATGCAGATGGAGGGGTGCCGCCCCACCTGGTGGAAGATGCCAACAACGACCACATCAATCTTGGTGACGTCATACACGTCGTTGATGCGCTGATGCAGCCTGCAGACCACATCCACGCTGGCCTCCACCCGCGTCCAAGGAGGCATCGCGCGGTCGGCCGTCTCCGAGCGATGCGCAGCGATCACAGTGTGGCCTGCATGCATGCAAAAGGACAATGATTATGACTTGCATGCACAAGGCGCAGCACAAGATAGACGGACAGCCACGCCTGTTTCTGGCGGACATGAGGGCTTACATGACGAGGAATGGAGTCTGCCGCATGCATGCAACCTTGGATGTGAATGGAGCCTGCATGGATTCTAAGAGACACGCTTGCTGCATGGTTGCAAGCGGGTTCTAAGACTTGGATGACACTAACCACATCGGCATCCACAAGGTGAGGCCAGGTCGCCACAGTACAAAATATGACAAACACTTGGTGTTGAGCAGCTTTGAAGGATGCAAGGTCTCGAGTGTGTGTAAGAGCAGCGCATATGCCAAAGCGTCTTGCTGGGAACCGAGGAGTATGTCGCACCTCGGATCTTCAACAACCTTATGTGCTCCACCAAGCACTTCATGCCTCCAGTCACGTTGTGGTGTGGGAGAAAGTACAGCACTCGCAGGGGCCTGGTGGCCACAAGCCGCCCAGCCTGATACCCCTTGAACGCCTGCTGTGCCAGCAAGTCCACAATGTCTGCGGCTCTCGTGCTGTTCTGCCATCCTGGTGGGCATCCACAAGTTGGGTAGTGCAGTGTGTCACCGTACGGCAACAGGCTATCCCCCATCCTGCTGATGTCAGGGACCCCTTCATCCTCTAGTTTAGCGAGCCTATTCATCTGCGTGGGCTTGTACACGAAAGGGGGTTGGGCAAACCAGGACGTCTTTGTCTTTTTCGCAGCGAGCACACAGAAGCGTCATAGAGTGGAGGGGGTGGTGCAGCGATGGCCCCCTCCTCCACCATCAGGATACATCCTTCAAGCGCGACATGCGCGCCAATGTGCAAGAGATCTGACGGATCTCAACAGATTTGCATTGAGTGACATCAACGAGGCCATGCTGAGTAACTGCTTGTCACCACCTTGTCCTCACAACGTCCTTGACTCCCAAACCGTTTTGTGTGCGAACGCTTTCTCGACCTGATGCCTGATTAGCAATAAATAAGAAACTGGCAGGGAGGCCTTACACTAGGTGTCTGTCACCTATTTCGATTGCCAACATCAGCAACCATTTGTTCATCGCCGAAGAGGCTGGTGATTGTGAGAGTGATCTGCCAGATACTGTAAAATGTAGATACTATCCTTGCAGGTCTAAGATCTAGAATGCGGGGTAGAAAAGTATGAAGCATATCCAAGGCTACCCGTCATCATGCCTGCTATATATGCGCTTTATGTCATCAATAAATCAGGAGGCCTCATCTACAATAAGGCAAGTCGGAGCGCTTTGGTTTTCTACGCTCATGTGAGATCGATGAAAATGTAGTGGCTGACACTAGATACTTGCTAGTGTTGCAACCTTGCGATGTCTTGCAGAGGGATTCCCTTCAAGATCACTCTTTGCATCGCAAGTGTCATCAAGACGTTGAAAGACTTGTTGAAGCCCCCTGCCCTTCAAATGTTCAGGAGTTTGTGATCATGGCGAGCAACAACCTGAATGATACCCTGAGGCTGGCGAGTATATGGTGAGCAGCTCCCTCGATGTGCAACTCTGATTTGATCTCAGTGCGATCAGGTCCAACATATTTGCTGCCCCACTTTTCACATAACATAGAATGCTCTAAAGACATCATCATCGCTGCCTTGACCTCAGCAATATTATTAGATATACAGCCTCAGCAACCACATTGTATGACCTGAAGTTGAGGCATGCCGCAGGCATTCCCTGCATGCCATCGCCGCGCAGCTGTCCCCTGCGCCCGGCTGCACAGGCATAGAGCTGCTGCATGCGGACACCTTTGACCTGCATTGCTTCCAGACGCTCACAGGCACCAAATTTCTCATGGTGGTGGAGCCCAACACCCCAGATGTGGACATCCTCCTCAAAGACACGTGCGCTGCTTCTTGTGACCCCTTATTGAAGTTTGCTCAATGCATTTTTAAACAATGGAAATTCTGTTGCAGTCCTTGCAGGAAGGGTATGTGATGATGAGGATGCTGACTGCTCCAATTACTGTCATGTGTGCAGGATCTATGATCTTTATTGCGACTTTGTCCTGAAGAACCCCTTCTATGAGGTGGAGATGCCCATCCGCTGCGAGCTCTTTGACTTGAACCTCTTCCAGACAATAAACAATGTGCACCGGAGATGGGGCCTCATACACTAGAATGGGTCAAAAGCACACTGTACAGTAGCAGCATCAGCAGCATAGAATTGCAGATATGCAGCACAGATGTGCCTGACCGCCAGAAAGGGAGAGAGCGCTGCCCTGCATGCATCACATGGCGCAGAAGTGCAGTGATCAAATTCTGGAAGCCAATTTTAACAAAAAGTGGCAGAGATCCAGAGTATTCTTGAATGCTTGATTACAAGGTGACTCCCTGAGTTCTTTGCCAAGTATTGGAAGCATTGGGCGATGCACACTTCACTGGTGAAAAATCTGATTATTACTTGAAAAGTCCAGGACCCTGTTGTAAATCTATCGCCCTTGTTCTACAACCGGATACACAGAGATGTACATCTTGAGACTCCAAAATTCAAACAGGTCCTGAGAATACTTCAGCGACCGTAGCTCTTCCAGTAGAGCCTAGGCCCACAACCACTTCAAATCTGCAAAACAAATACAAGGCTGGGCCATTCTGACACCAAGAAAGCTTGAAAGTGTACAATTACTTCAAAAAGGCCTATTTTTGTTCTTCTTGGCAGTTGCAGGGATTGCAAGTACACTTGGACACACTCACGTAAGCAGCAGGCAGATGGTCACAACAAGGTATGCCAGATACATCCCGATGAGCACCAGACCAAAGTTGGGGGGTAGGCGGTTGTTGTTTGTCAGGCCCACTCCAATGACGCCGACACACATGGCAATGACACACACACAGCTGGCAAATACATTCTCTGTCACCACCACTTGGACGCTGGTCAGGCCCTTGGAGGCTAGCAGCCGGATGAAGCCCAGCGCAATCGCCACCTGTTGCAGCATTCAATCAACCACCTTTCAGAACCCCAGATCTGCCAGAGCAGCATTAGTGTACCCTGTGAGATTTTTGGACACAGCTGCTTTGCCGACTTCGGTGCAGAATTGGAATAGCACCAACTGCTTTAGCAATGGCAGTAGTAACAAGTAACCCGCCACAAAAGGAAGCAGGTAGTTGGGGGTCGTACCAACAGGTTGAAGACTGGACCAGCATAGCATGCAGTCATGGCCATATTTGCCAGGCCCTTGCGCGCCATGGCCATGTTAGTGGACATATCGCCCACCGAGTTGCCCCAGGCAAGCACCGTCAGGCCCAAAACCTGCGCACACATACACGTTGTTTTTCAAACTTCGGGCTTCCGCGCACATATGCCTTGCTTGGTCTGCGCCTTCGAATAAATTGGGGTTGTGAGGGTGCATAAGAAGGAAAGGCGATTGTGGACGTAGCAGCAAGCATGGCAAGGGAGCCGTGAAGGAAATAGATGTTGCAAGGACTGAGTGAGGCATGCACAGGGGCGCACAGTGTGGCTGATGCCAGACAGCAGCCCCAGGTACTCCAGCATGCTGACCAGCTCCGTGGCAATTGTGTCAATCCACATGGCCGCCAAGACAAAGCCCAGTGCAGCAATGACCGCTGAACCGACCGGAAAGCCCAGGCCAAAAGTCCAGGCCTGCAACCCAGCATTACACCCATTACTTCCAATGGTAGCGCGGGGTACGTATGCACTCTTGCATGGAATTTTGATGACTTCAGCGCAGCATCTGATTGCCCGACATGACATGAGAGCAGTAGCACTGTTGGATATGGAGAGGTGCAGTACCGGTGGAGTGGCCTTTGAAGATCTGGTTGCCCAGGCAGCCAGCGCTGAGGCCGCACAGCCAACCCCCAAAGCAATGCCCATGGCCATGAAGCTGAGCTCCAGATAGTACATTGCAGCTGGTGGCCCAAACACCTGCACACCATGACATGAGACACTGACTCGCTACTCATGCCAATGTGCAGTGTGCTCAGCCATGGTGGCCGCACTTCAACCATTGACAAGGTCACCAGATTGCATGGCAGCAGTAAGCATTCACAAGATCCAGAAAATTTGCCTCAGGGTGCGCACCAAGGATGTCAGAAACCAGGGGCGGCTGTAAAACTCCTGCTCCACGATCGGGACAGTGGCATGGCGGATGATGAGCAGTGGCCACTCCACTGTGCTGGCAATCACCTCAAGCACCCCCAGCTGCAGGCAGACCTAGACTGCTCAGCAAACAAGTGCATACAGCTCATTCCTCTCCAGCAACCTGTGCTCCACCCTGCACTGGCTCTTCAAACTCTATAACGAGAGCACATCAACAACACTGTCCGTCGTAGAGAGGGCGATTGCGCATGTTTCACATGACATATCCAAGTACACACAAAGGCTCGGCCCAAGAGCACACAGGCAGCCATGCTCACCACAGAACAGACGATGCCAGAGTGTTTTCTGCACCGCGCGAAGGAGCGCCCAAACCACCCGGGCCTCTTGGCGGCGCCGCCGGGCTCCAGCAGCTCCATGGAAGCTGTCCTTCTCCGAGGCCGGTGGGGGCCCGGTCCCCCCTCTGCCAGCAGGGGACTCACCCCCCTCTCTGCCGCATCGCCACTGTAGTCCTCCCCATCCCCCTCCCCCTCCTCATCCGGCCCCTCAGGGATCGTTGCTCCGGAGTCCACTATCTCTGGCGGCTGGTACCCTGCAGCCCAGCAAAAAGATATATATTACTCGCCTGTTGCTTAAGAGCGGTAATATGTACCAGTAGCAGTGCACTGTTTCCAGAAAGATCACCCTTGTGGTTTACTACCTAAATGACACAAACAATTTCCTGTAATTGCCTCATGCAGCGTCTGCATCAGACAAAAGAAGCACAGCTGCATGGACATCACGTTGACCGGGAACGTCACTACCACAGGTATAACACAGGGAGGGCAATTCATGGCAGAGATCTTGCAGCGCACCGTCTGCAGGGGTGTGCCCTGCGGGGCCGGCCTCCTCGTCGCTGAGCAGGGAGGCTTCGGCAGAGGCGCGGCGCAGTTCGTGGATGTGGCCGCGGTAGTTGAAGGTGGAGGAGTTGGCCAGCTCAGCCAATGCGCGCGCCCGGTAGCCGCGCCCGCTCATCAGGTGCACGTCCTCCTGGTCCAGCCAGCGCTTCACCCTGTGGTGCCGCGCCTGCCGCACCATCGCCAGTAGCACAATTATAGATGTGGTATTTGTTTTGATAGTAATGATGGTGTTCCTGCCCATGTCCTGTCTCTCAAAGCTCAAGTGTCTGTAGTGCCCCTTTGCCCGAGCCAGGCCTGCCTTTCACGCATCCCTGCTATGCATGCTGTAATAGGGTGCCCCATCTAGAGGCCATTTGGTTACTAATGACCAGAGGAATACATAAGTCATGCACAAGCCAACCACTGTACGGTGTCCTCGAAATCATGTCTCAGGCTTGATGCATGCATGTCCTTCTCACAGCAGACATGGTGTGTTGCCACAGCCATATATCATCAGAGGCAGAATACTTAACATTTACAGCACCCTTGCATATATCAAATGAAACTTATTATTTCAGCACTCCTGCATGCAATGGGGCCAATGCTACAACGGACCCTGCATCTAGCACATTCAGTAAGAAAGGCAATTGTCGAAAATCTCTCATGCTGCATGCTGCATTCTGGTGATTTTTCAGGTCAGCTGGAGGCCAAGGCAGGGGGCACCTGTTCATGGTGATGCTCGCGGCTGCCGTCTGCTTGGTGGTTCAGGCCGCTCTCCGACCGGTCCTCCACACTGTGAGCGATGCTGCCGGTGCTGTGCTGCTTCTCTGTCAACTCAATGGTGCTGTCCGGAACCTGCTGCACACAAGAAGAAGCTCGGCCATACATTGACAGAGTATGGGTGCCCAGAAGGGACTCGCATAAAAGCAGTAAGCACTCAGCAGCACAGCAGACAATACTGTCGAATCGCGTGCCGTTCAGAAAAACCGTCTTCCGACAGCATGCTCCCATCAACCTGTGGAATTGCCAGGAATAAATGCCCACCCCCAACTCCAGGAGGCCCACAATACACTGAGGGTGCTACTCACATTATGAGCATGATCATGCAAGTACAGGTCTGCTGCAGGGGGGATAGTCGGCTCTGTGTGCCTCCTCCCACGAGCTGGATCCTCCTGCATCAAAGGCTCCGCCTCTGGCAGCTTCTCGGCGTCCGCACCCCTGAGAAGCACAAGACCATGCACGAGTTCAGGCCTTTGGCATGCGATTGACATGCACAACATTCAAAGTGCTTGTGAAAGGTGAGCACCGCAGCCGTCAGCTACGCCCACTGCGCCAGAGCACACATGCATCCATCCCTCGAATTGCACTATAGGCTACAGCAACAATATTTGAATCGAGTACTCACTTGGTGAAAATGTGCCACAGGTCGGCACCCAGCACGATGACTACAAATGCTCCATAGAGGATGAGCAGGACTCCCGAGCGGAAGTAAGTCATCTCTCCAGTCCACATGAACACCGTGATGGTTATAACGCCAATGCAGTAAGCTGACACATCGCGCATGAGCGCCCCACGAGCCTTCGCTCCACCATTCGCAAGCATAATGGCGCCCGCCACAATGCACCCCACAAACAAGCCGCCACCTTCACAACCCAATATCAAATCCCGTTTGCACATAAGAGATGATATTCCCTGCCACCTCATAACAATTTGCTGCTTCTGTGTCACTTAGATCGCCGTGTTGTGAAAACTTCAGGCATGCTGGCAGCTGAATGATTGCTGCAGTCAGATGAGACCTGTAAAATCATCTAGTATCACAAGAAGTGCTGGCGCACTTACCAAGGAGTGAAGACACAGCTAACTCATAGTGGCCAGCAGTGATGGCAGCAACTGATGATGAGATGTCCGGTGCTCCATTGCCCAATGCCAGGAACGTCACTGCAAAGGACAGTGCAGATTCTTCCTGAACTTGCAACTTCATATGATTGGAGCCTGCTTTGCACAACTCTTGCACAATTGTTGAAGATACCGGTAAATGGCTCACCTCCAGCAAACCTGGGAGGCAACCCCATTTCTTGTGACAGCTGTGTCAAAATTGGGGAGAAGAAGTTTTCGGCTGTGCTGCCAAGGATACGGAAGAGCAGCAGCAGCCACAAAATGCAGGCAACCTGCGAACAGCAAAAATGATGTGAACACGAAGGGATTGAAGATTCCAATCACCATGCAAGGACATTCTCTATGCCACAGGTTGCAATCCCCCAAGGAAGCCCCGCGAATGTCACCTGGTATAGGATGATTGGGAGCTGCCCAGCAGGTCTCACATAGCAGAAATACAACTCCACGTAGGATATGATTGAGCCTGCGTATCAGCATTCCTACAGTAAATTTATCTAATGTGTAATTTACCAACAATATAGCAGTGCCTGGGGGTCCACGCCTCGTACCTTTAGCACAGTTCTCCTTCACATAGGCGCACTTGTCCACGACTTCAGGAAGATGTTTGACCTTACGGCAATCAGCCCCCTCTGCTTTGGTTAAATCAGACTGTGCATCCAACAAGGACCTCTTCAAGCTGATGCCTGGGCGAACATCGCTCTGGCCTTGTGCAAGACAACTTGTGCAGGTAAGAACAGCGATGCTCGTCAGAAAAAGCAACCGCCGAAGCTGCGCTGCCCTCGCCATTCTGCAGCTTACTGATGGCTGTGATGCTTACAATACTTTTATCAGACACAATGTCTCCCTCCCATGACCACTGCGAAACTAGGGGGAAGCCGAGGTAAAGTCAGCTGCGCACAACACGAGGAGTGCAGATTCTGGTCTTGAATTGCGACAAACTTAAGCAAAATATCAAATCATCTACCGTAGTACGATGCACAGGGGATATTGCTGCAAGCAAGAAAAACCCCTCCCCGTTCCCCTACGAGACTTATGGAGAAAACATAGGGCGCATCACCATCCTGCATGAAATGTGAGGCACGAGGGCACCGAAGTGATGATCATCATTTGCAGTGCAGCCTTGTGTGTGTGTTGTGTTCCAGGAGCACCTGGTGGAAACGGTGACAAGTCCTGATTGCCACCTGGCGGGGTCACGTGCTTGAGGCAGTCTGGATCTTTTCATGTGCTTAATTTCCAGGCTCTGAAGTGCAATCACGAATATTGAATGTGCGCAGTAAAGGGCATCAGCTCACCATGGTCACTATCGCATGCACCTGGTGGATGCGCATGATCATGCTCATGACTTGCATGCAATGAAACTGATCATCATGATTATTATAATATAATGATTACGATGCATCATTGTGAGGCATATGCCGTGGCCGTGGCCGTGGCCGGCCGGCATTGCGCATCACGCCAAATTTAAATATGGGAGCTCTTAGGAAGCGTCCTGTGAAGCCAGCGTGTGGCACCCAGCAGGTTGGAGAGGAGCCGGCGCGCAGTAAATATTCTAAGATTTTAGTAGATTTATCTTGCAGTCATTCTTTGCCTTGCAAATATTGATGCGCTTGCAGGCAGTTCAGTGTCCAGGCCGATGGCAGTCATTCAGTAAATTAGGCAGCTATTTAGCAGCACTGAAGACCATCTCTCCGACATACACACATGCATCTCACCTCCTGCTGGCGCTTGTACTTCACCTTACTGCCCTCGGCCACAAAGCTGAGCATATGCCAGTTCCCATGGTACATCCTATCAGTAATACGCGTATATGCTGCATGCCCATGCAACAAGGTCTTGGACCATCCTATTGCAAGGTCACACAAACCCTGAACAGGCAGAAAGCATGCGCAGCGGAATACTCACTCCTCTCTGGCCAAATCCACATCCATGCTGCCAAATTGCGCTTTCAGGGCGGTGTATGTAGCCTGCAGGTGGTCTGCCAACTCCTCTCCATCAGGCAAGCTGTTGTGCACGTGGCAGACATCATGTGCCATCTGTGCCTGGAACCCCTGTGCACACAACAGCACCTTAGCTGCTAGTTAAATCGGTTAATTGCAAGACTATCACTACACGATTTTCCTGCCAAGAGGCAAGTTGCGTCCTGCAGACAAGCTGCATTTAAAGGCTGTCACTTACCCCTTGATGGACTCGCCAGATTTAGGCAAGACTCAATCAACAGTGGGCACGTTGCTCAGTATTTATACTGGCCCACGCCAGCCGGGGGCGATTGCAATTTATCAATTTCCGAAGGACATTCCGGCAAGACCCTGAGCATTAAGTGCAGTCTTGTGCATGCAGCTTCCTCAAGCATGCTGTGTCGGAAGACGCGCAGCGATCGTGAGACAAAATCTAAAAGGAGAGGTGCAGCATGCGAACCTTGGCCTCGCAGCTCCGCTCAAACATGACGATGGCGAGCACAGCGTCAGGCAGGGCCAGAACCGTGTCGCGCAGGTGCAGGCGAGCGCTCGCGATTGCCAGCCGGGCGAGGCTGCTCAGCGTGGCGGCTGTCACCTCGAAATCAGCTGCATCATACTGCCTCAGGGCCTGCACTCGACAGCAAGATCACACAATTATAGACTGTCACGCACTGCAGGCTTGTGCCCATCAGCAACATGCCTCACTGATTTTTATACGAGAGCCAGTCCCTAGATGTCACATGACACCGGTCGCTTGTCACAGTGCGGATTGTTGCTGCACATAACGAAATGCAGCGTTGGGAACATGTTGCAGGCTCACCATGAAGTACTGCTGCAGGAAGTTGGCAGCAGCAGGATTCATTGTCGGCTGGAGCATGCATGCCGCCTCAGCCATGTGGCGCTGCATGCATCTGCCAAGGGACGCCATCTGCTCAATGCTGGAATCGTCCATATTTGATCCTGGGTCAGCCACCAGATCCAGGATGTGCTCTATGGCCTCCAGCTCCAAGTCTGCTGTGGTGCTGTAACTAGCCACAAGGTCAAATGCACCCAGCAGACTGCTGCTGAGTTGGACCTTCGCCGAAGTAGAGCTCATGAAGCGGCCCTGCACAGGCACATTCCCTGCTGAAGACAAATGCAGACTACGATTGGCATGTCTGTGTCAATGGCAGATTGGCATTGAAGGTAAAGTATGCATTGCAAAATATCACTCCTGATGGCCTGAAATGCTTGGCAGGTGAGAATCAGACTGCCAAGCCAGACCCCACTACTGGATATCACGGTATGTTTCACATGATTTGAATGAAGACCTTGGTTACCTTTGTACTGGTGCCGTTCTGCTGGATGTCTTCCTGGTCGGCAATCATCCACAGGACAGCGGTGACAGGGACACTCAGGGTGGGGTCAGCGCAGACACTCTTACTGCTGTGCTCCAGAGTGTGCGCGAGGGCATCCTGTTCCTTCTTCTTCAGGTGCTGGTGTTGCAGCACAAGGACTCCTACACCACAGTCGCTGGCCATCTCTACTTTGGTATTATCTGCATGCATGATGTCAAAGTATGGGGGCTCACTGCCTCAAGCTGGGATCTTGTGCAGGGCATGTCAAAAGGGAAACTGTATTCCTTCTAGAGACCTGTATGTTGAGTTGAGAAGAATCGGCTGCAGAAGAACCATAGCTTGGAAGAGCTGCTTACCTGATGCAGCGAGTCCGAGGGATCCAGAATCCACGCGCATCCCATTTTCAACACCAGGCAGAAGCGTGGACTGTGCTTTGGGCAGGAGTGGCCTGGACTCATCATGGAATACGCAGTGTGGAGTCAGCAGCTTTGCAGCCCTCTGGATGATGCGCATGAGACCTGGTTCATGCCCATCACATCCCAATAGGACATGCACCTGAACAGGCAAGTGTATTTTTGGCATCAGTGCTGCACGACACAGACACACAAGCACACCACATGACAGTCATCCCTGGGCAGAGGTAGCGTGGCGAGGCGAAAATTAGGTATTCGGGTCTAGTAAGCGCTATTAGCATGCTTCTTGTAAGTGATGACGCCTTGTCCAGTCCTAGGGACAAGATGTCTAAAGCAATATGTGGGTTGTTGCAAGCATGTGTTGCATCAAGAATGTGCAAGAGATGTGGCAACTTGCCTGGCTCCGCTCGGTCTCTGGCATGTCATTCTGAGATGTGTCGGCGGTCACTGCGCTGAGGAGCATGGCCAGAAGGATGGAGGCACTTGTTGGCTGGGGCTGTAGCCAGGCAGAGAGCGCCTCACACAGATTTGCGATGACGTGCCTGGGCTCAGACAGCATGTCACTCTGCCAGCGATCCCACTCGATTGAAGCAGCAGGGGCTGCCACGGCTGCTCTGGGCAACAGGATCTCCATGTTGTTTGCCCAGACCTGACCACAGCAAGGCACATGAACGTGAGAGACAAAGGATGAGCCTTGCCAACAAAAATTCATTGCAATGCAAGAAGGCAAAAGATGGATAAGGGCAAAGTGCATGCATGGCTTGTTGCATGCATGCAAGCATGCATGTGTCTTCACAGAGAACGTTACCTGGATCGTTCCTATGGACCATGCAGGAAACATTGGTGTCACTTCCATGCAGCCAAAGATGATGGCGCAGCTTCCAATGGCTGCCTTGCCACAGAGGTCCCCGCCTGTCAGGTGAATGCTCACTGCCTGTGCTGATGGTGTGACAGCGCCAAAGGAATTGCTGACAGCAGAGAACCAGAGCTGCTGCACCTGCAATGGCAACAGAATTAACTTCATAACCTTGCCGCATGGGCTGGTACTTGCACATGTTGGAGCATGCATGCGTATGTCTCACGATGTCAACCTAATGCAGGGGCTCTCATTAAGTAGATCATGCTTTGTGAGGCAGAAATACCGGGACAAATGTGCGTCCAGCCATGTCCTCTTCCCACTGTGCGCAGCTGAGGCCGTCACTCTCCTCGCAGCAGGCATGCCTGGGCACACCGACCAGCACTGTCTGGACTGTGTCGCAGCTGGGGCACTTGAGGACCTGTGAGGAGATGCGGCGGCCCACTGAGGAGGCAGCCGCGCAGATGCCGATGAAATGCACTGTGGCGCGCTTGCCAGTCAAGGCATGGCCCTGACCCACTGGGGACAGCGGCAGAGGCACCTGCAGGAAGCCACCCTGTCCTGTCATGGCATTTGCTGCAGCCTGCAGTTGGGAAATATTCACATGAACAGCACGATGTGGACAGCAGAGAAGGAGACTCATGCATGCAAACACAACACCTTTGTCACTCGCAGCCGGACTCGCTCTGCAACACTTGGAAGCACGTCCTGCTCCAGGATCTCTGCTATCAATCTCCCCCTCACTGCCTCTGCAGCAATGCAAGTTATTATCCATGTCCTTTAGCAATCCCATCGTTTCCAGCTTGCAGGATGTGAGTCACAGGAGTTCACCTGGGTCAGACAGCAAGGTGTAGCCAAGCAGAGGGCTTGTGCATGCAGCCTGCATTGCATCTACCTACGAATTCAAAAAGTGTTGATCAGTAACTTTTTGCAGGTTGCTCACTGACGATGGTTTCAGTGAGAGGATACGGCACTGTGACGAAAAATTTGCTTGCCTGCAAAACGATAGGAGTATCGTCCTCGCTCTGCAGAGCATTCTCCAGGCTTTCTAGTAACCCCAGCTGCTGCAAGGACTGCAAATAGGATCCGTGTGCTGTTGTTGAGAGCTTCATTAATGACGCTGCTCGGGTCAATATCAGATGATCTCAAGGAAACGCTTTGGCATTCGTTCTCGTTGGAACACGGTCTCGTATAACAAGTGTGCATCCTGGACGAGGTTGAACATTCATTTTCAAGTGCCGTTTCAGTGGCACGATGGTTTGGGCCTATGATGGCGACAGAGCTCGAGCAATGCATGCATGGTGCATTTGCCACGTCAGCACTTCTCCAGGTGCATATACATGAATATAAATGAAAATGGAAATGGGAAAGACATATTTTCGAAGCATCAATTTCCAAAATTCTGAATTGTTCCATGGGTCTAGAGCAATTTTTGATTGCAGTAATGGCTCAGGGCCTCTCGCCTACTAGGCGAGAGGCCCTGAGTAGTACTTGGGTGACCTTTATAAATTAGATCCCAGTCAGATTGGTTCACACCACATGATCATGTGATTTATGAAACGCGCCCAGTCGTACGTAATGTCCCACAGATAGCAAGGCACAAAAGGCGACTCGCCCAGGTCTCTTTATTGCAACTTGTGACAGCAGGCATTCAAAACCCATACATTACGATCATTTGCACCATGCTCAGCTGCAGCACTCAAAGCACCCGGTGGGCCAATTACAACAGAGGCACTTACTCATTAAATAGATGCTGGCATGGCTAAGACACATAGTAGAAGCCCACAAAGAATTCCAGACCCATGCGGGAAAGGTAGTGTGCTGAAACAACCTCATCGAGATCTTAAATAGCGAGTCGGCATGGCCTCTTGAAGATACATGACTGAAAAGCGGTACATAGGACTCAGAAAATGCACAAGTCACACCACAAAGATCAAATGGACAACATTGATGCAATCATCTTGGCAGAATGAGGTCAATACACTGGCAGATCTCTAGATGCCTGCTCTACCTCGCCGCCAGATTCCAACTACATAAATTCAACAGTTGATTGTTGATCAGCATGCATCATTCTCCCTGTTCTTTCTTTTCCTGCAGCACTTTTGTGGAAGCGGCTTGTGATGATGAGGCCTGCAGAGCAGCAGGAAGTTCTCAGAGATCCTGCAACTTGAATCATCGTGCAACTCATCTGCTAGTGAACCCACCTCCCAACGCTTCATGACAAACAATCATCGGCAACTTAATGGCACCCACCTGATCACCAGATGCCACCTCTGCTGAATTGTCACTGGCGGATGGGCCCCCCAAGCAGCCTGATCCCAGTCTCCTAAAACTTCGGGCTCTGCTGCTGCCTCTCCTCAGAGGGTGTGGCTTGTCAGCTGCGCTTGAATCCACCCTTTGCATCTCCACATCATCCACACTCGCTGTGGATCTTTGCCGCTGCAGGACTGACTCCAACCACAAAGGCATGACCCCTGTCAACAGCCATTGGTGAGTGAGACACATGCATGATGGCAAACACCTGCATTGCTAAAGAAACTCTACACAACCCCAGTCCTACTTACAGAAGCAGGGAAAGAAATGGGGTTGCTGTAGGCAAGGGGTCTCACTTCCTCTCCCAAAGGAAGGCTCGGACTGGAGCTTCTGATCCCACTTCCCAAACGGCGACTGCAGCGCGTTCTTATCCACATCGCCGACACGCCGAGCGATGTCCACTGCGTTGTTGGGTGACACCACAACAACAGGGATGAAGGGCTCCGGTCTCAGCGGCTGCACTCCGGTCGGCGCTGACCGCTGAGCCGCTGGTTGCTGTTGCACCCCTGCCACACCACCGAGAGCTCGCTACAATGTCATCCCTCGCTACAACAGCAATTCCAATCCAGGCATCCAGTGTGAGCTTCCATGCATGTGCAGCAGGAGGTCTTCAGATATGTAAATTGAGGACTGACCGCCAGGTCCATTGATTGCATTCCGGCGCCTGATGTCAGCGTATGCAGTTGTGCCGCACAAGAGCAAGAATGCCGCGATGACTGCTATCGCGCATACACCTGCAGGTAATGGTCCTTTTAGAAATTCCACCAGGCGATACTGCTGCGTGTAGGCTGCTTGCTGCCAAGCAGCAATTGCAGCTGCAAGCAGCAATGTTGAGTGCAAGTGAGCCTTTCTGATGTGGAGATGTTTGAGCCTCACCTATGATAATCAGGAACGGGTTCGTTGCCTGGTTAGATGAAAATTTGTATCCAGCGCTTGTGTCAACAGGCTTGCTTGTGCTGTTGACGTACTGTGCACTACATACACTGAGGAGGAAACAGACACTGACGACACGGATGAGCACGCGCATGCGATCCTGCAGGAGGCATACGTGCAATCAGAGACCCAAAAAACTATTCTGTTCGCACCAGGAATTGTACTACACAGGTCGTCAAATCACACGAGCACAGAGGTACTGAAGCCCAGTATGACTTCGAATAAAAACATCGAAAATATCTTGACACTGCCATCCTCTCTCTGATGTTGCTCAGAAACCGGTAACTTCAGCCACGCTGATTGCCGAATACTCAGAACTTCTTAGTAAACATGTTGGACATTGTGCATTGGGTGCCCAATGCCGCACTGCATATTCTAACTTTATGCTGTGGATTTGTAACGTATTTATAATCTGTTTTAGCTACCCACCTGGTCTTGCACAAACAAAGTTCGGTTCGTGAGGTGACGATGGCACTGAGTATACTGGACTGATGCTAAGTGCAAGTCCTATTCCGTCATCTTCTTGCTGAAACAAAGGTATAGTTTTGAAGTGTTTCACGATACTGCAATCGATGACTTCTACTCAAATCTAACTTTTAGTCTCTTTACGTGACAGCTCGGTGAGTGCGGCCAAATTAGCTTCGATCTCCTCGAATTCAAACTCGAGATCGGACAGGCACCAAACCGTGCTGGCACCAGCAGCAGCTCACCATTGAAAAGGGTTCGTTTGCAAGAAGCATAAGTTCCTAAGTGTTGAGGGGGTTATGTCCCAGTAAATAGCAACCAAAATGGATGAGGCCAGCTGTTGTGCAGGTTGGCTCATGAGCAAATCTGCTGGCCAGACAATGCTGAAAAGTTCAGGTGAGGCAAGAGAAGAAAACAAGCAAAACACGAAATCGCAAGCATTTTGATCAAGGCATGAAGGCGGCTACAGGCGCCAGCGCTCTTTCAAGGTGAAGATTTACATCATGTACAGCATCATGCATCAAATATGGGATCATTGACACTCCTGGACATAGTGTCCCTTCTGCGTAAGGTGCAATGAGCGCCGCATTTGCTGGCCTGCACAGTGAAGGACCATACAGAGGGCACCGACTTTCAAGTTGGCCCAAAGTGCCATTGCAACTCTCACACCCGGTGCCGGTATAAGCCATTTCTTAACCACAACACTCAGTGTCACACTGCCAGAATAAAACTACCTACGAAGTAAGACTTGCATGGCAGCCTCCCGCCTGACACATGGACTTCTCTGACATTGAATTTACAACACAAGTCCCAGAAATACATGACCTGCACAAGTGTAAGTTGCGCTACTTGTACTTTACCCTTACACTAACTCCTGGCACGAATAGTGCCCAGAGGATACTTGCTCTCAAGCCAACCCCATACAGCTAACAGACAACCGCAGGAAAGAGAAACACACAGGCTCCTTCCCCCAGCCATCCACAACCCAACACCCTAACCTCAGCGCACTGCTGGCAGCACGGGGAGGCTGTCAGAGGGCGTGCGCAGGAGGCCCTGCTCTATGTCATCATCGTCCTCTTCCTCGTCCTCCTCTATGATGCTGGGCAGGCGCCCCTTGACCACCTCACCCGGATCCTCCTTCTCCTTGTCCCACATGGCTGCCAGGTCGCCGCGACAATAGCTCAGCACCAGCACCACCCCCAGTGTGCAGGGGATCAGGTACAGCAGCGCCGGCTGACCCTGTGTGCAGCCAAACACACTGATAATATTCACTCCTCTATTCGATTCCAGTCAAACCACCATTCATATCATATCAACCACACTGAGGCTGCGCAAGATACCTCAGCGGGTTTCAATTGATATTGTGTGATCCAAAGTGCCCCTGCCGATCCACAAGAGCACCCGACCGCAAGAGGATGATCTCTTCGAGGAGACTGCACGAGCGCAGAATACCTCTGATCTTGAGAGCTCAAATGCGCAGGACAGTGACAAGCCAGAGACCGCATGTGATGAGACAAGCATCCCACCTGGTCGCCAAAGAGCTCCAGCAAGAGTGCGATGAAGGTGAGCACGAGGCCGCAGCCGTAGCCGACGGCGGCCGGCAGGAAGTAGCCGCCGCAGATGCCAACCCGGTGGCGCAGGTCAAAGATGCGCGCGTACACCAGCAGCAGCCCCGGCAGCACAACGTCCCCAAAGCCCAGTACCGAGTAGCCCGCGTAGGGGCCTCCGCGCATGTTGGGCACCGTCAGCAGCATCGGCAGCGCCTCATGCGAAGCCTCCCCCGTCGCCACCTGGCACACATGACATCAGATGAGGAGGCAGGTGCTTGGAAACACACGTGCCGAAGCTGCTTCGCCTCTTGCAGCATGTAGACATATCTGGACGAGGCTGCGCCCTAGCAAGACGCTCAAAATTGACATTGCGCAGGCTGCACCACAATGGGGAAGCGTTAATTAAGGTACAGGTACATAGATGGTGAGGGAAGGGGAGAGCAAGGTAGACCCGCCTCCACCATGACGCTGGTCCCTCCCATGATCAGGGGCTCGATGAACACCCAGAAGATGTCGTACACGAAGCAGAGCGGCAGTAGTATGCACGCCACCTGCACAATCCACGTCACTGGTGCGTCATTCATCCTTAGTCATTGATACAATTCAAACTTGAACTTTAACATGCGTTTGCACCAGTACAATATCTGTTTCTCAAAGAGGAAAGTACAGGAGAGGACAAGGCCGTCTAGTGACCAGAGTCTCAATGAATTGACAGACATGCATTGATCAGGAGGGCAAAGTACCTGCACACATCGGTGAAATTCACAGGCTCAGAATGCACGCACCTTGATGTTCGGCAGCCGGAACTGGCGCAGCAGCAGCAGCATGAGCGAGATGCCCATGGCGTCCTGCAGCGGCCACGCCCATATTGTGTGCCGGCCAAAGAACCACACGACCACAACCGCGGCAGCGGGCAGGCTCGCCGCAAGAGACAGGCTGTCCACCGCGCCAGCCAGCGGCAGCACGCTGATGTGGCTCTGCCAGCCTGGCAGGCAACGCCCCAGCGCGGCCGACAGAACCAGCGTCAGGGCTTGCAGCGCCCCGAAGCAGAACATCACCGTCTGCGCAAGCACAGAGTCTGCGAGTGTGAGGAGCTGACTATGACAAGTTTCTGAACCAAATGATGTGTCTGTTGACAACTTGCAAAACTTTTGAGGAATCTGACACAAGTGCGCAGCATCACAGCTTTAGCTCATTTGCTTCCCAAGCCTCATGTCTACAGCCTAGAGGTCCAGCATGCAGCAGAAAATGGAAACTGACAAGCCCAGGAACTAGCCATAGAGGCAATAGGGTGACTAAATAGAGCAATGGGGCACACCAGCACGACGGCGAAGATGTGGCTCATGAAGAAGAACAGCAGCAGGAGCATGCCGGAGGCAAGGAAGACAAAGCCAACAGCCGCCTGCCCCGTCACCACCAGCACTTCCGGCGCAGTACTGCTGGCACTGGGCCCCTTCCCATGCGCTCCCTGCAGATCAGGACCCTGTCGGCCCATACTCATGCTCTTTGAGGACTTCCTGCGAGCTGGTGCCATCCCTTGCCAGGAAAGCTTGAGCATCCCGAAGCGGAAACAGGCAGCCAAAGCAAACAGTCATTGCGAGATCTCCCAAGCAACCCAACACCAGGGCTGCAAGAAAATGTACAAATAAAGCTACTTCTGAAGAAATTGCTTTTGGCGGATAAGCAATCAGGTGGGTGGTGTCACCTCATCATCGGCGACCCTGCCTGCCGATTTAACCTCCTGCATGAAATCGCTCCCCGCCCACAGCGACGCTACCACCACTGTCGCCACTGCCATTAACCACAACAGAGCCGCGCTGGGATCCAAATTGCGATTCCTGCAAGCAACCAACACCCTTTCGGGCTGCGCATGCATGCACCTCTTGCTCACTAGGTCGCAAGGAACTTCCCTTGAAGTTGCTCATATGGTAGGAGGACATGATGCTGTGAGAGTGACCTTGGCAGCCATATGGCGACTGTGGCTCCCTCTGCTATCTTGGCATTCATCTGCTCCCCAGTCGAACGTGACACGCTGATGGATGAGATGTTGAACCTCTCCAGGGTGGCCGAGCCATTGGTACCCATCTGGAAGCATCCTAATGCCACGCAAAGTGCATTGTTCTTTAGATCCCCACAGGAATAGCTTGAACCAATCAAAGACACGCGTACGTACAGTCCAAGGAGACAAACGGCTGGATATCAGCAGCAATCAGCCATGTGTCTGCAGAAATTGTACTCAAGAGTGTCCCTACAGGACCGCAAAGCCATCAGACACTACTAACAGGAGAAGAAGGATGGTAGGCTGGACATGCGATAGGCAGCGCACCATCATCATCATTGTATACAATCAGTATTGAAGCGTTGGCGGCCTGCACAGCCCTGGCCTTCTCCAGAAATGTACAACCACCACGCTCTACCAGCACTGCAGAGCCTGCCGACATCAAAGCACTTCCATTAAGTCAGGACCACAGAGCTAGCGGCACATCTTTGCCAGTCATTCTCTCTTCACATTGGCACAGCCAGTGTGATTGCAGAGGATGCACTCGTGCCTGAGAATCGAGAGGGGTCCAATGGCGAGCAGGCATCCGCAGGTTCTGCAGCCTTGAGAGGCAAAAGCTGTGACCGCTTCACTGGTGGCAGGGTCCCCAGTCTAGATGGAAAGGCGGTAAAGAGCTGGATAGGCTTCCCATCGGTGCTGACTTCAATGATTACCTGAGACCAAACCCAGAGCAGAGTTTTGAACAAGCATTCCAGCCAGCTCTTCTGTCAAGATTATAAAATTGAGGGTTATCGATGCAAAAGGTAGATCCTTCTTACTTGAGCACCATTGCAGCTGTCCTCCTGGGCGGCCTGTGCTGGCCCACTGCCTAGTAAGATGCAACTGAGAATGACAGGAAGTACCAAACTTCTGCATCTTGACGCGTCCTTCATGAGCCTCCAGATCAAATTAACAGGGAATGCAACTATTTATAAGATATCATTGCGTCACAATGCCACTTGTGGCCTGAGCTGTACACAGTTTGAGAAAGGCCGAGTCAGGGTGGTTGCAACAGTGGACCGCTGACCATTCAAGCCCTCCAATCTGATATGTAAATAAAGAAATTGAAAAGAGCAGGTTAGATCACCGTACACAACAATATTACTTCTTTAATAAAAAACACCCCTCCTTGCTGACTATGATTGGTTGTTGCAATAGAACTATAGTCACAATAAACTTGAGCGTTTACAGCACGAAGGACATGGGTTGCGCAACGTACGACGCTGCAACACACGGGATCGATCACCACGAGATCGATGCCTTGAATACATCGGACCAGTGGACGAGGAAAAGGAAGGTGCGCCCTGAACGCGTGAACGGGCAACACATGGCAAGGTCCCCCCAGTCAGATCATGCATGCTGAAGAAAGCAAACTGCTTGGATCTGAACTGCTATTTGAAGTGTGATTTCAGTAAACAGATGTTCAAGAACCAGCGAGTCAGCGACTTTGCGCATGCAGAGATCATCTGAGAGATGCCTGACCATCAGCAACATTTATATCCGGATCCCCACATGTGTACCGCAGCTGCTCAGAAGCCCCGACCACCAAGAAGTGTTCAAAGCCTGCCAGGTCAGTGACTGTGCTGAATACCGCACTGAGCACAATGCAGCCTATGCTTTGGGATGAGAAGAAAAGGATATACTTGGATATGTACGCCAGTGGTTTCTGATAACAAGCCAGAGGCTCTCGTATGGAGAGTACTCGATTAAATTTTACTTCAATAGTGGGGCTGTGTCGATGTCACACTTAAAGTGGCCACTGATGACGAGCAGGACCTCCAATGGAACTCAGCAAACAGTACTGATGTCACTGCTCATTTCTCTGCACGACTATGTGCAGCGATTCCTGCCATATTTGCCTGTGATATCACTCATGACCATATACGTATAACGTGATGTCAGCCCATATAAATGTCATAATCTGGACGGCACGGACTCAGGGAGCACCCCTCGGCGTCCAACAATGGCCTTCCAGTTGTCACTGGCATCCCAGGAATGTAAGGAATCCCTAGTGAAGACATGCACCGGCTGTCCCAAGCCCTTGAGGCTCACTATTCAGACAGCTAGCCTTAACTTACGCGCCTTAAGCTTCCTCACTTCTTGGGGAAGCTGACCTTGGTGACATACTCCAGCAAGGTCTCCACAACCTGTACAAAAGATCATTTTCAATTTGCACTCTGTCCAGAACTCATGGCAGGCAAAGAATGAGGAGCAAATCAAGACAGCGAACAGACGACATTGCCACGCCAATAGCACCAGTTGCTCAAAGAGAAGAAAGCTTATTAATCGATGCGGGACTCTGACATGCAGCTTACCTCCTTCTTCTTGCTTGCAATGCTCTTCTCAATAGTCTTCACAGTAGCCGCAGATTCTGACTCCAACCGCTTCACATTTGCACCAGAGCTTGTCGAGTCCTGCAGGTGTACATCATGATATCAATACTGATATCAATTCAAGGTCAGTGTGCAGAGATTTTGCACAGCGCTGCCGCTGTGGGTCTGGTCACAAGCCAGTAGTGCAAAGATCAGGCAACATGATTTGCTTTGAGAGGGACTCTGAACGCACATCGGAAATGCGCTTTTGATACTGCTCCTCACGCTGGGCCTTGTAGGCCTTGATCTCACGCTCAGCTTCCTGCTTGGCCTGCTTCAGCCTGTCAGCTTTCGCTGCAGCACAAAGGGGCAACGTCAGGGAACCAAAGTACTATTATGGCAGTCTTGGGATTGTCTTATTACAACTGGTTTCATTTTGAGCGTGAAAATTGATCTGGCTTGGCGTGGACGCAAATTTTTTAGCACTCTGCATGGATCAGGGTGAGGCAAAGAAACCATGGCGAAGTTACCATTGACAGGAAGGTAAATCATGGCAACAAAATACTCCGTTTGAATGATATACTATGCAGATCTTCATCCTGATGTAAACATCTATAGCAACTAAGTAGGGCTCCAGAGACGATTAGGGCACTGCACCTTTCCGTGCCGCTGTGACAATGGCTTGAGCGTCCTGCTCGGCAGCAAGCAATCTTTGGATGCCATCTTGGCCCGAAGAGATCTGCATTGGAATCCTTCTCGAGAATCAAGGGTCAAAAGGTTTTCTTGAGCCCTTTTCCACTCCAGATGTTGAGGTGTTGTGCAGCAGGCTTTCTCACAAGCGCATCGCTAAGAGTTCTACCACAACTCACAGCTCCCAGACTAATATTGCTGCTCGAAACGATGCAAATCTGCCGGGCTTGACCTAGAACCAAACCAGCAGGAGCAGGGTTGGATGATAATTAGTAACGCTTTCGCGTTTGTTCGCACGTGCGACTTTCAAGCAAACTTTGCCCTTCACTGATGGATATTTGGCGATGTGTGGTTCATCTTTACGATTTGTGAAGGTTGCTGTAGCATCTTGAGGACAGGGGTCATCGATCGCACCGAATTCCTTGCTACGAAGAGCACGCTAGAATGAGCGGGGTGCCCATCGCTGTAGTGACTGGTGCAGGAGGCTTTGTCGCTACAGAGCTTATCAAGCAGTTACTTTCGAAGGGATACAATGTCAGAGGGACAGTCCGGTCCCTCTCTGACACCGGCAAGATGCAGCACCTCACCAAGCTGGGCAATGCCTTGCCAGGAAACCTTGAGCTACAGGAAGCAAACCTCTTGCAGGTGGCCTTATTACTACTGCTACTTTAGCTGGCAAATAACCTCGGTTGATCGCTTCTCAGTCCTGTCCTAGCCGACTGAATCCTGCTTGCTTCGTCACGCAGGAAGGATCGTTTGATGAGGTCGTTCGGGGCAGCACATTTCTCTTTCATACAGCGTGAGGCTCCAATACTTTGCGTCATTTCTGTCTCTCCTTAGTGTCAAGGACGATTATTAGCACTCTTACCGTCTTGGCTCTAGTAACGGGCGCAGTCCTTGTGCAGATCTCCCTTCTTCATCGAGACTCCAGACCCTCAGAAGGACCTGATAGATCCCGCTCTGAAGGGAACACAGAACGTGCTGGCATCAGCTGCAAAGGCAAAGGACACTTTGAAGCGCGTTGTCCTCACCTCTTCTGTAGCAGGTGCTAACTGCACAGTGACTTCCTTCTTGCAAATTGAGCCTCTACATAGGCGTTGGCTTGATGTACACGTGAAGATTGTGAGGACTATGAGCTATCACTGCAGCTGTGCATGGGGAGTATGCTGCTCCGCCCAAGAATGGCAGCCTGTACACAGAGGAGGACTGGAATGAGACATCTTCACTAGAGAATGGCCAGGCCTACCATCTCAGCAAGGTATGCGCCACCGCCCTTCTTTGCACACTCACTGCAGCAGGCCTGTCTACCTGCACCTATTGCTGATAGTCAGAGAAATCCATACAATGGTATGGAGGTACACTGCATTGAATAGTGCATGTGCAGACTGTGGCTGAGAAGGAGGCCTGGAGGCTGGCAAAGGAGGAGGGCCTGGACCTCGTGGCAGTGCTGCCCAACTTTGTGCTGGGCCCTGTCGTCTCCTCCCGTGCCGATGGGACTTCAGTGGGCTTCCTGAAGGTGCTCCTCCCCTGCCAAAATTCCATACAACAAAAATTCATTTTCCTGGGAATTATTTTGTGAGCACACTCCCTGAGCCATTTACGGCAACGTCCCAAGCTGGTGATGGTTGCTTGGACAAGGTGTGCTATCTTGCTCTGCATGTGTGCCTGACACATTCAAAGGCACGAATGGTAGATTTACTGGAAATCTACCCTTGCTGCTAGTGCTCACTTGTGTGTACATGCGCAGGGAATCGTTGAGGGCAAGCCTGTGGAGGGAACGCCCCTGATCTGCGACGTGAGGGACGTGGCCGCGGCGCATGTGCTGGCAGCAGAGACGCCCAGCGCGTCCGGCCGCTACATCGTGTCGCAGCGGACGCCTGTCACAGCCACCTACCTGTCCAAAGTGCTCAGGGTGAGGCTCCAAAATCTTGGCGCACCCCTCACTTTTTAAGCGCCTGGGCTTCAATGTTCAGGCTCTTTCCCTGTGCTGCCTGAGCCATCGGCATCATGGGAAGGGTGTCTGTGCACTTACAACATTTTGACAGAGCTTAAAGCCTTTCTTGGAAGTCCTGAGTGGAACAGCTTGTCTGCAGAGGCACCTTGCCTCTGGCAGGAACAGCGTGTCACAATAATGACAGTAATTAAATTGTAATCAGGATGCCCTCCTTCTGCAGCTCAATAGTGATGGACTGACCCAATGCTGCAGGAGCGCTTCCCACAGTATGCCATCCCAGAGGTGCCAGAGCTGGAGTACGATGTGAAGGAGCGCATAGACAACAGCAAGGCAGCAAGAGAGCTGGGCCTGAGGCTGACGCCCGAGTCCAGCACTTTCATCGATGGCATTGTCACTCTGATCCAGCTGGGTGTTGCCCAGCCGCTGCCCAGTGGCGCTCCCCACAGTGAAGGGGCACCTGCCGTTTGATGCTGAATACCATTTGAATTCTGAAACGCTGCGCCAGCTGAGGCCCATGGGAGTTGTGCCCAGACATGCGGCCTTTCCGTGTAAGTCATTTGCTGTACAGCACTTGTGGGAATCATGGCACGAGGCTTGTGTGTAAAGGAGATAGTGTGCAGCAAGTTGTGGTGTAAAATATATATAAGGGGGCAGTCATGCTTTGTCTATCTTCTGAAAACTTAAAGTTACAGATTCTGAAGACAGTCGGGAGCAATCCAGCATATGTCACGGGTTTATCCTAACAGATCTTGGGGGCTACTACATGTAAGCTTCAGACGAGCCTCACAGGCATGCTGGCCAAATGGCAATCAGTAGCCACCGCCGCCACACGGACGCCACACCAGCTTTGTCTGCTTGGTGTAGCCCCTGCCAGGCTCGTACCCCAGAAACTTTGCCTTCCTGCACACAAAAGACGACTTGTGTCAGATGACCGACTTATAAATCTGCTGCAATCCTCAGTGCTGGAGTATCAGAAATAACTCAAGTCAATACATGGTCCTGCTCAGCTGAAATTATCATCCGCCAAGGCGAAGCTACATCAAGGATAAGTCCGCACTTGAATGGGCGCTTAATGGTTGGAGGAAATTCCTCCTCAAGTGCGCCGAGCATGTCTGTGGGGTCCGCCATCAGCTCTGAGTCCTCAAGGGAGGGGCTGCTCGGCCGGCCCTGCTCTCTCATGCCACCTTGAAGGGGCTGCTGGAATGCATGCCCCATCTGACCTCTCCCTCTCCCCCTTGACATGGTAGCATGGGGACGCAATCCCAGGGTGTCTCCTGTGAAAAGTGAAACACACATCACACAGCTTCTCAGTATGCAGCAATCTTAAGTAATGCTGCATGCTGAAACAATGCTGTGTTATCTATTTGGGCTGGCAGATTGATAAGACTTGGTGTTTAGGTGGCACCTGAGGCAAATTTGCTGCCCTGTTGAGGTGTGGCATTGCTCCTCTTTGTGAATTTGTGCTGCTTCAAGGCCAAAGGTCTCGACAGTCCTCTCCTCTTGGAGGCTCTCCTTTCCAGAAAGTCATCCTGTGGTATGGGCAGCATTTAGCTTTCAGCAATCCATCAGAGAGCACAGAGAGGAGAAAAATCTGAGTGTATTGCGCGCACAGTATATGAGGGGCGAGCGTGGTGCCTACCAGGGCTCTGCTAGCATCCCAGTCCTCGCCACCTGGTCCTCCTGTCATGCCAGTTGGCTCACGAATGTGCCCCATCCTGACTCCTGCTCGCCAGCCCAGCACAGGAATTCAAATGGAAGAGGACGTGTGGTGATTTGCAGGAACAAAGAATGAGAGCGATAGATCTGACTGCATCAGCTGAAACACCCACCTGGAGGGACAGTAGCATGTCCTGCAGTCATTTGAGGCTGGTAGGCTTCGGCAGCTGCATCACTGTCGGGGGTGTCATCATCCAGGGCCAGTGGCTCTTCAGCGTCAAAGCTGATCCCAAACTCATCCACTCCTGCACCATGGCAAACATACTTCTTTCCAGGATATCTATCACTGATCGCTTAGCATCAAAACTGGGGAATTTAGCCGTGTATGAGCATACCTGGCTCTGCAAAGTGGTCAGCAGATCCAATTGGAGGCGCACTAGGAGGCAAGTCAAAGCATCCCTGCGCAGGAATTGCAGCGCTGTCATCAGTGGCCGACAAAAGAAACAAGGCAAGGGCAAGGCACGTGTGTCTCATGCATTTCTGCGCACTGTGCATTTCAAAAGCAAACTCAACGCTGGACAGACAGTGCACACCTGGTCGGTGCGCATGGGTACCGGGTAGTCATCTGCTGCCTGGAATGCCTGAGGAGGGTGCAGCTGACCCCGTCCAGCCGCATGGGGGTCATCCATGTAAGGCTGGGCCGGCTGCGCTGACCCCATATAGGGCTCCTCGTAGTCGTACTCCCCCTGCCAGACACCCCCATACATCTGCCCTTGCGCAGGCTGCTGCTGCTGCTGCTGCCGGCGCCTTGGCATGGCGTAGTGTGACTGCTGGGCATATGGGCCGCTCTCCTGGAAGGTGGGACCCAGATGGGCTGGCAGCATCTGCTGCGCATGCTGCCGGCTGTGCGCATGCAGCCCACCTGGCCCCATGTGCTGCGGGGCATGAAGATGCTGACGCGACTGCCCGCTATAGGTGGCATCGTGAGGAACGTTCCCTCCATTCACATGCAGCATGCATGCGCTCTGCCCTTGTGCCCGCTGCTCTGCGGCGCTCCAGTGGCGGTCACTGTGCGCCTCTGGGTAGGACTGGTCATCAGCCTGCCATACTTGGGCCTTGTGCCTGCTGGGTGGTTCCTGCCCCATGTGCTCCCAGCCTGTCGGCTGCGGCTGCTGCCTCTGCTGCTGCACCTCCCTCTGCTGCTGCACTGGATCAACCCACCACACAGCCCCGCCTTGCCCCATGTGCGCATGCTCCAGCCGGTACGGCTGCAGCGTGGCATGCTGCGATGGCTGCGGCGGCCGATGCGCTGCAAACCTGCTCGCGTCCGTGCTGTAGGGAGACCTTGCCAGATGCGCGGCTCCGGCCTGGGGACCAGGCGCTGTGTGGCCGCCCTGTCTGAGCCTGCCAGTCCGCTGCCAATGCTGTGACTGCTGCCACTGCCCTTGAGCGGCAGCCCTTGTCGCCTGTGGACGCGCATAAGTAGTCTCATGATGGAAAAGTGGTGATGTCACAGTATGACATCATCCCAAGCATGCTGTCTGTGCCTCTGCAGCCAAGAAGCCAAGATTGACATCCAAACATGGCACAGCATATTCCCTGCAGACTCAATGTCTCATTTTTATCAAACAGGAATCCACTTCTTTCGGCATCACCTCAGCTGGGTGGTGACTGTAAGCGTGCCCAGGCTCGAGGTACTGGTTCCAGCCACTCCTGTCACTGTCATTGTCCTCCTCTTGCACAGCATCCAGTCCTCCCATGCCATGTTGCCCATCGGCCTCATGCAGAGTCGCACCATACGAGGGGCCATTGAATATCTGATTGCCTGCATCCATAATGATTGTCAGGCTGGAGTCTCACCCCAAGTCCCAGAACAGCACGTACTTCGTCATCACAATCAAAACTTACCAGCAGTGCTTGTTTCAGCAGTCACATTCAGCAGCTGTGCAGAGCCTGCAGAGGGTGGGCGCATGTGGCTGGAGTCTTCAACGGCTTCCCTGGGCCGGTCTGCCGCCGTTCCCTCCCTGGCTGTCCCTGATCGGCTGGCACGCATGTCTCCAGCAGCAGGGGTGGCCCCTGCAATCAAAGCAGCAACAATGATGCCATGACATGTGGCACACTTATGATCGCACAAAATTGCTGCCATGCAAGGATTCGTGCCCAGGCAATTTGCTGCTATTGGGATCGGAAACTCAAAGCACTCTCAGAAGGCCATCATACAAGAATCAGCTGGCCAAGGTCATGGTAGATCAGCTCGTAGAATCTCCTGAAGAAGACCTGGTGATGTGTGTACCTTGCAGCACCGGAGCGCCACATGATGCCTGATTGAAAAGCAGCTCCAGGCTTCGTCGAGGTATGTCAGGAAATATCTGCCCAAGTTCCTGCTGGCCCTCGGAGTTGCTGCACAACAGCTGCTGCGTACTGCATGGCAGGCCTGCAAGCCTCGCTGCTGCAAAGGGGTTCAGACTGGGAAAGCTCTCTAGAAAGGCTGCTCGAGGCGAGGGAGTCTCTTCAAGCAGTACTGCTGACGCGGCCATGCCCGCTGTCCTGACAGCTGTTTTCACGGCCTCCTGCTCAAGGACGCACATGAGGAATTTGGTTATCCACCTTTTATTAATGTTGTACTTCTCTGCAACCTGCTCTTCTGGGATGTGGTGGAAATCATGGATGGGAGGCATAAAGGTCGAGGAGTGTCCTGGTCATTTGGGGACATTTCTCAGCTGTTTGCCCCCCCTCAACATGATGTACTCCACTGTGTCCAAGGGTGGGGGCAGCACCTCGGTCTCTTCAGGGCTAGTTGTGGTGAGGATGCTCAGGCCCACTCCACAGCGCTTGCCGAGCACAGCAACTTCCTCAATGCACGCTAGAATGGCCGGCTCAAATGCCTTGCTGCCCTCGAAGCACAGTATGCATCTGCTGTAAGCCAGGCTCACAAGCGCCATCTGTGCCCCCACACGCTCCTTCACTATGCTCGGCAGCGACCCTGCTGGACCCTGTTGGCAGGACATAACAATAACATCCGAGCCAACTCCCAGTATGTTGACCTCAACTGATCTCCAGCAAAGTATCTCGATTTTTACATTCAGTAACAGAGCCGGCCACAACACCGCGAATCAGCTCATGGGTTGTGGGTGCATGCATGGCAGGGTGACACAATAAAATACCTTTAGGCTCTGCTCGGTCCAGATGCAGCAGCAGGTGCTATCAGAGAGTGCCAGGTCAGCGCAGCTGATGTGGCGCTCTACCACAGCTGCACCCTCCCTCTCCAGTTGCATCAGGCAGTTGTGCAGGCCACGGCGCGTGTGGACAAGGCTGTCTTCGCTGGCATTGATCACCAGGCTCCATGCTTGCGTATCTGCGCCACTAGCAGTATTATCTGTGCCGCAGACTGGCATGCTTCCCCCTGCACAAGATGAAACTCGTTGGCAGAACACAGATGACAGCATTGCATGCTCCACACGATGCTCTGAATGGCTAAGTAACGGCACAAAAGTTGAATACTTGTGATACTTCAAGGGGGTTGTGTCTCTGCGTACAACCCCACACTCACCTAATGCTGAGTGCCTTGATGCTGTGGCCTGTTTCTGGGCATTTACTGCGATGAGAGGCCCCTCTGTGTGGTGCTGGGCTTGCGCAAGAGCACAGTTCTCGCTGCGGAGTGAGTCCTCGGATGCAGGGCAGTTTCTCTGGGGGTGAGCTCTGTGCGGGTCCATGAGGTCCTCTTGGCTGACTTGCACCTTGAACAGGACATGCCTGCAAGCCAGACGCAAACTGGTCACGCTGACAAATCAAGTTAGCATAGAATCTGGCAGACATGCTTCTCGTGAGAGCGACCTTGCAGGAATATATTGTATTGATAGATGATAAGGTTGTGGTCCAAATTTAGACAATTACCTGGGGCATGGCGCAGAAGCAAGGGCAGCTGCGGCTGCCTCTCCTCTGCCGTTGAAGGGTGAGCTATTGCACTCGATGATGCAGTGAAACAGGCTGAATGGGAAGTCCCTCACAGCCGCGTGGTCGTAGGTTGCCAGAAGACAGTCTGCAGCTTGCAGGGCTGCCTCAGCTGCTGCCGCGACTGCCACTTCCTGCATGCATTACAGAAACAATTGATTCCACTAACAACATGTAATTTTCTGGCCCTTAGTAAACAGATGACCTCAAGGTGGGCTCACCTATCACAGCATGCATACATGATGGGAATGCATGGGCAATTAGTCACACAAATGGAGGGATCGGAACGCATGCCTTGAGCCCTTCTTTCATGAGCCGGCCATCGCGGTCAAGCTGGTATGCGCGCAGACCGGCATCTGTGATGGCTCGGTACATGGTGAAGAAGGCTCTATGGTCCCCCAACAACAGCACCTTGCAACCCTGTGCAAGCATGGTATTTCTTCATGCCTGATTGACATGCCCACAGTGGCAAACATGTCACAAAAATATTAGTCCCGCCATTCACATGATGGTCATGAAAAGAATAAGATTCAAATTAGGAAAGGAAATTTAAAAAAATAGAATACAGGACACATACCGATCGCAGAGCATTGACGGTTATGAGTGTACGCCGCAGGGCCTCCTGATTTGGATGATCTTGCAGATGGCCACTCTCGACCTCATGATAGGCGGCTGAGAGGGCTTCTGCTGATGCCTTGCATGCAGCGGCCAGGCCTGGCAAGGTGTCCACGTGATGGCGCAGGTGCAAGTGTGCACAGCGCACGCCGTAGTGCACCAGTAGCAAAGCTGTCTGCCTGTACAGGACACATAAATCATGTGAATTTGTCCTTGTTTGTCATTCAGAAATACATTATCCCTCTACCGCGTGCAGACAAAGTATCTGCAAATAAGAAAATACATGCATGTCATGACAACACAACTCCTTTCAGACATGCAGAGCTGTCCAAAACTATGTGAACGCTGTCAAGAACATTGGTGCGTACTTGAGAATCGCAAGGGCGGCATAGGCTTTGAGCAGAGAGCGCTGGCTGCCAGGTATTCTGTGCTCCCTCTCGGTGGCAGAGGCCAGGGCAGCATCAAGCGCCTCTGTGGACAGCAGGCCTGCAATGGCCACAGCAGCATCCATCCCTGCTGCCTGCTTCAGGATGTGGCTGTGATCGATGGCTAGCAGCCGCAGCAGCTGCAGCAGGGCACTCGGCAGAGTCATCTGGATGTGCTCCACCTCTGGGGCAGACGACCTGCGCAATTAATCACACACCCAACATCATACATACTATTTGACCTTAGAGAAATGTCACTGTTGTGAATTTCGGAAATGTGGTTGTGCAAGGCTAGAGGCATGCCTTCCCAGGAGACTGTCCCTGCTGCTGCTCGAGGCATCATCATTGGATGAGTCCTGGCTGCCAAGAGCGCCTGTCTGCAGCCCAAAGAAGAAGGATGCATCGTCCTTGCCCGCGGCCTTCTTGGCCTTCTTTGCTGGGCGCTTGCTGAAACTCCCTGCTGCTGCCACTTCCTCCGCCCTGCTGCCAGGCTGGTCAGGTGCATGTGTAGGTCGACTGGCACTGGGCTGCATGCCACTCATGCCTCCTGTGCTCTGACGGTTTGCCCTGCCTGGCAACCTGGCAGGTGGGGCAGAGGCTGCGGCTGCCCTGTCCCACCTCGCCACTGGCGCTGTGTTCTCCATGCCACGGCCTCCCTTGCGAGAGGAGCCCTTGCTGCAAAGGAACTTCTGCACAGCTGAGGGGAGCTGCTCGGGGCGGGGCTGCAGCCCAGAGCAGTGCACCGGCGGCCCAGCAACCTCTTTCAGCAGGAGCTCCGCCCACGGCGCTGCAGCCAGCGCTGACTCTGCGCACGGAAGAGCTTCTGGCGTGAGCGCGGCCCTGAGCCTGTTCCTGGCTCTGCTGCCTGCCGATGTCGGGTCTGGCGCGCTTGCATCTGTCAGCGACCAGTCCAGAAGCAGCTCTGACACTGCCAGGTTGCGGCTCTTCAGCTGGAGCTCCTTGAGCATGCCTGCCACGGCTGGTGCTTCTGCCCTGGCATGCCCTGCATCTTCCAGCATCACCACTGGGAGCGTCTGGAATGTGTCGCTGAGCACTTGGCCTGGCGCGATCAGCTCATGAAAGGTTATGCCGTCTGCGATGTCTGCGTCTGCAGGAACATGACTGATGACCAGTGCTGGCATGGACTGCAGCAGCGCTCGCCCAATGTGCTGGCGCACTGTCACACTGCTGTGATCTGGCGGCACTGCAGGGACACTCAGCAGCAGCATGCTGTGGAAGCACTTCTGGCCAGGCACTGCTTCTGCAGCGGCTGGTGCCCGCATGACTGGCAGGTCCAAGGATGGCTGCTGGAGGCGCTGTGTGAAGAGTGTGAGGAAGAGATCTTCTGTGCTGATCGCTGGTGCGTGGCCGTCGTCAAGTGGTGATGCTGGGCTGTGTGCTGATGCTGCCACGATGCTGCTCAAGGGCACCAGTGAGCGATTGCTGGAAGATGGCCTCAGGATAGGGAGGATCGGTTGCTCCAGGATGCTCAATTTCTGCTCCATTTCCTGGGCATGCGCTGACAGGGCCTGCTCCCTTTCTGTCATGCTTGCCTGGTCCCCGGACTCCTGAAGGCTGTAGGACTCGACTCGCATGGGATCCAGGCCACACATCTCTCTGACCTGCAGTGCACAAGGACTTCATTCGCATGCAAGGCAGCTCCTGCTCAGCATGCGTATACATTGCTTGCAACAGAGGCATCTATACTCGCAAGTGCTGGTTGAAGGTGTCACCTTCTTCACTCCGGCATCATCATTGGTGAGTTGCTTTTGGGCAGCAGCAGGCCTTGTGACTGAAGGCCGAGCAACTTCCTGTGCAAGCCAATACCTTCAAACTCGATACGAAATTCGCAAGCGACCTCTGTTGTGAAGCAGAAGGATATCATAGACGTGTACCTTGGCGAAAACTGGTGGTTCAAGCTCCACAAAGTCGAGCAACTGAGGTTCAGAAGGAGGTCTGTCAAAGTTTTCCATCGGAAGCTCCGACAATGGTTGCTTCTGAGGCTGCATGCTGTGCTTGAGCCTCAGCAAGGTGCTTTTCGAGCAAAAAGTTGTGAGGCTGCCCTGCTTGGAATCCTTCAGGAGCTGCTTTGGGCAGAAAGCCGTCTGCAAGTCCTGGGCTTTGACGACACCCTTGCATATCGCTTCTCTCTGCTCTGCACTAGTTTCCGTCAAAGTTGGCGAAGGGAGACAGCTGGATAGGTACTGACGGTTTGCATTTTCACTCTCTATGCGGTAATACCTGGGCACAGTGAGTCGACCTGCTGTGAGACTTCGAAATGGCTTGCGCTGCATTGTGCTACAACAGAACGTCTTAGCATCCTCAAGCTTGCACAGATCTTTTGTACAGAACGATGGCGATTCTTTGAGATCGATGTAATCTTTTCTACAGCTCAACAGCCTCAACGCGCGTTGATGTCTGCGTCATGCATGCTAACCTGAACAGGCAACCTTTATCCCATACACTGGATTAATCTAACGATTTCTTTGTGCAACCTTGTAGATTCAGATGCAATGTAAGGCAGGAAAGCAGGACACAAGAGCCAGAGCCCAATCTATGGGAGTTTAGTAACATTACTACGATTTTGATTTCAACACGTTCCAGTGGGCTGTGCAAAAATGACGATCAGCTTTGGGTCTAATTGGCGCCAACTTGGGATTGGCCGGCCCAAATGGCCATGGCCAGCTGCAGCTTGCAAACAAGGCAAGCAGAACAGCATAAATGTTCCCATTGTTCACGCCCTAGAAATTGAAATTTTTTTCTTTGACTGTTCAACATGGGTTTTGGACAGGCAACTGGCAACCCTGCAGGACTCAACAGCTGCGCGTATTGCCCCTGACTCGCCCTGCCCAGATGAATCCTTGGTACTAGTGGAACCTTGCCATCATGGTACACTACATTCAACGCAGCCACGAATCACGTGTCGGTGTAGACGCTCCACATTGCGATGCTGCCATCCTTTGATCCTGACGCGAGCCGCTTGGACCGCTCATCAAAGCGCACATCCTGCACGCCGCTCCTGTGGTACTGCAGCACGGCAAGCGGCTTGCGCGTATCGCACCGGTACAGCCTCACCCTGCCATCCCAGCCGGCCACCGCAAATATCTTGCCATCATGCCGCAGTGCCACCGCCGCCACTCCAGGCTTCTTGAGGGGGACAGCTTCTTCCTCACGCAACTCCAGCTGGGCCCAATCGATGCTGAAGATTGCAAGCTTGTCTTCTGCAGAGCCGCTGACGCCCCCTGGGCAAGCATCGCAATTCAAGCTCAGCCAAGACCATTTTAATATTTGAAATTAAAAATAAACATTCAGCAGAAAATCCTCCCGGTACACTGCATTTAGTAGGTGCAAGAGCGTACATTTGCCTGAAGGTTCCATAACCAGGGCCATGACTGGCTCAGCGTGCATCCTGCTGTGCAATATGGGGCTGTCTGGCTGGGCTGCGTCCCAGACAGCGACAGTGCCGTCCTCATACCCGGCTGCAGCATGCAGAGTTCCAGTCTCTGGCCTTACAAATAGCTGCAGCGCCATGCACATGCCCATCTTGGCGTCTTCCCTCTGCCTGAACTCCCTCCATTTGCCCGCCTCCTGTGCCAGCGCCCCAAGTCTTTATGAGCATGCTACATCAAGTGCAAGATCACTCTTTCCAGCACTGCTGGTGGACGTGAGCTAAAAAATGTGCGCGCACCAAGCCCATGACTTCCCAAAGCTCGACAGTAGCAGGATCACTGCCTGCAACGCCCACCAGCCACCTCTCCGATTCATCAGTTCCAGGCTTGCCATCCTCTGATTCTCTCAGTAGTATCGCTTTCCCATTGCCCGGCTTGTCATCAATTTCATAGGAAATGACAGAGCAGCGGCAGAAATTGTAGGAGTTGGTTTGCAGCTCCAAACTGGGATCCCTGGCATAATAAGGCTCTCGTCAAGCCATGCTTTGCAAAAGCAAAATTTCCATTACTATGAGAATAATGTAACCACAACAAGTGCGCACCTCGAGCAAGATCCATCTTCGGCTACAGCCCATCCCTTGATTGTTCCATCGCGACCTTGACTGCACAAGGAAGTGGCAGTATGTTAGTCATGATCTGTCCCGAAGAAGTGTAAAAGTGAGGCACCTTTTGGTCAGAGGAGAAGCAGTATTACCTCAGTAGGTTCTTGCCAAGCCAGGCCAGGGAGAGAACTCCAGCATTTGCAGGATGCAACCTGTGGGCAGTCCGTCTGGCTCAGTAGGAAAATAAAAGCAGCCCCAGGCTTAAGTAGCACTTTTAAATTATTCACGGCTATGTTTGTACCTTTGAGAAGAGACAGGGCGGCGCTGCTGCAAGTCCCAAACCACCAGTCCACCTTCAGCGTCTCTGCACAATACAATTCCAGACAAGCTGTGAGGCGCCTTGGCACGGAGGCTTGGGTATACTGAACATCAGCAAGCAGCTTCAGCTTTGGTCAAAACACCTCGACAGGTATCAAGCTGGCATTTGCAGGTTGAGCAAGGAGGGCTGACCCTGAGTACAGCAGATCCATCTCGGGATGGAATAGCAGGGCTTGAACATCCGTGCGGTGGCCTCTCAAGACATACTCCGGGTCAGGCGAAGGCCGAGGCTGCCTCTGCAGAGCCATGTGCAACGGGCAAGGCACTGCACAGTCATCCATACTGCACATAAGTCAGGGAAAGAAACAGGAAGAATACGGAACTTACACCGTAACAACCTTGCAGAACCTCACCTGGGTCTGCTCGTGAGGTTATCTGCTGCTTTGAGAGCCAGGATTGCTCACAGGAGCCCTCTGATTCATCTGTCTAGACAGGGATGCCTGCAACAATTCATCAACTCAGAGCAACGCAATGGGCATTCCTTCCAACGGATGGATATTTACAGTTTCACGAAGTTGAGTGCCCACCTGTCTCGTAAGAGATGTCTGCCGAACCAAGTCCATGCTTGGGCCCCTCCTACTATGTTGGCGCTTAATGTCTCGAATCTCTCTGGCGATCTGATCCTTCTGTGCCTGTGACTGGCGCCTTTTCCCCATCATCTCTTGAGCTATGGGAAGGTCCCGCAAGCTGGTGCACCACACGACATACCAGCCAAAGGCAAGGGTAGAGATCACGAGACCAACAGCTCCCACGACACCAGCGGCTCCCAGGAGATGATCAGTGACATTCTCAGGCAAATTGATCATTTTCACCGTTCTGCATTGGCAATATTCCTGGATATGGCGAACTGTGCATCGAGAAGCTAGTGAATGCTGCTCTTAGATAGGTGCCCAAATGGGCAGGCCACTGCAGCCCAATGAACCAGCCCAGCGCATGCGCAGCCCAAGATGTTTGTGAATGGTTTGCTCTGGAAGAAGGCGGCCTCAAAATTATTCACTTTATAGAACCAAATGACCCAAAAAGAGTAAACAGGCAGTGAACGTAATATATTCCTTCCTTAGCCTCCACTGTCAGTAAGAGTGGTGATCAAATTGGAGATAAGGCATCTGTGAAGGGACAAAGTCAGCCACATCAGGCCAGGATGTCCTCGGAAGAAGATTCAGATGCAGACAGCGTCATGGAATCAAGCGAAGAAGAGGAGGAGGTGGTGGAAGTCCCACAGATACAGCTCCCCAATCGGGCTACCAGAGGAAAGCGACTCGAAAAGGTGCTCAACCGGAAACCCCTTTATAGCCGGCTTGAATCATAGTGCCTTGTTACGTGGTTGCTATGCATGTGCAGCTTCTAAATGTCTGATTTATCATGGTTTGTTTCGTCTAAGCTGTGTTTTTCTTTGGCACTTCCTTCAAGGATTCGACGAGTGTGTGTCCATTTTTTAGCTGCTAGAGGAGGAGGACAGCGCAGACGAAGAATTCTGGAATCAGGATTTTTTCCAGGAAGAAAAGGCCGATGAGGGGTACAGCACAGAATCCTCCGAGGAGTCTGTTGCAGACTCAGACTTTGAAGAGTCGGTGCGTTCTCCCATGTCATGAACGCAATTAAAATGTAGCACGTCCCTCCCAGAACTCTTTGGCCTGATCATTAACCATGATTCCAGGATTGTGCATGCCCTAGATCCCCCCTGTGCATGCTCTAATTGCAACGCCTCTGCTGTAACAGGAGGAGAGCAGTGATGAGGAAGGCGTGGAGGTAGAGGAGCGCAGCAAAAGAAAGACTCTCAAGCCGCCAGGCGCGGCCAAGAAGCAGACTCGGCGCCCGCCGCAGCCGCCGCAGCCTTCAGCAGGGGTTCAATCTCCCCAAGCTGCTCTAGGTGTGTTAACCACCTCCCTTGCAACACCCCTGCTCTGATTCTGCATCTGATGAATATCATTTCCCCTTTTCTGACGAGCCACCATGCCCAAACGCATGAAGTGATTGCTCACAGTCGTATGTGGCTTCGAGCAGTCGCTTTGGGGCGAGTCACTGGTAGGCTCTTTGGGTTGATTGTATAAAGTGAGGCATATCTCATCTTCTTCTTTAGTTGATAGGTTTTTGGTTGGTGCATGCCCTGTAAATTTTTCCCAATCAGGGGAGAGAAGAAGTGCTTGACTTGAAGCATGTGCGCACAGGTGCGGATGCGGAGCAGCCGGGCAGTCCGATGTCGCCGACGACGCGAGCGGCCGTCCGGGCGGCTCAGGCCGATGCGCTGGCAGAGGCTGCGCAGTTCCAGGCGCCCACTCTGCGCAGGTCCACGCTTGTGCGCGTGGAGGAGGCTCAGAAGGAGCGCCAGCGCACCGAACAGGTGAGGCTGACAGATGCACAGAGGGACATCCGTTGCCTTTGTTCACAACTCGTCAGGTGCACTTTGGAATGCGAAAAGAAGCGCTGCAAGACCCAGTGGTGAGGGCATTTGCTGAACCTGGCACCCAAATCTTGTGCGTGCGGCAATGGCAACGCGTGATATTTGTTCTACTGCCTTGAGATTCATGATTGCCCCTGCACTAGGGAAGGGTACATACCGTATTCAGCACCATAACTCCCGCACCCCTCAAAATGCATGAAATGCTTGGACCCGGTTTTAAGAGTCTTTCTTTGCTTGGAATGATGTTTCATCATCACCAAGCTCAGCGAGAGCTTTCCAAAACTGGTCAAAAATTGTCACAGGGTTTATATTTTACATTTCAGGTTCTTGATTTTTGACCCATTTTTAAGAAAAGAATTATTTTATGCGGGAAATATGGTGCTGACTACGGTATTGCCATCCTCAGAGTTACCCAGGAACTGTTTACCAGTAAAACGGGTGTGTCTACATTCAGACCTCTGCAGCAAAACAAGCGTGCCACGTAGCACAATTGATGGTATACTTAGGGGCGGAACACATGCGCCTGCATGCTGACCAGCAACGGTGTGCACGCTGCGCACAGAAGAAGCCGCGCAAGGCGCAGGTGCGGGCGGAACACCGGCCGCTGACGCAGGAGGAGCTGCTGGAGGAGGCAGCTCAGACGGAATTAGAAAACAGCGCCAGCGTCGCGGCGCTGATGGCGGCAGAGGAGGAGATCCGCGCGCGCGCCGCCGTGCGCAAGGCCAAGTACTGCGGGCCGCTGCTGCGCTACCACTCCCTCAAGGTCGCCGGCGAGGCCGTGGTGCGCCCCGGTGATAGCCCCCACCAATTTTAGCCACAGTGGGAGGATAGTGGGACGCATTCCTGCCATTTGAACCATTGTGAAGCTCGAGGTAGTCTGAGATGTTCTGGATGATTGCCAATGTGAAGTTTGGTTCTTATGCTTAGATGGGCCTAGGGTCAACCTGCCGGACTGATGATCATGGTCAGCGTTCTTCACTTGTACATTTTTGTATGTTATCCGCCTTGGGAACGTGAGCTGTCTTAACAGTGCTTTGAAGTATGTGCCCCTGTCAGCGGTTTGTGATGACGCATTTTTGCTTGATAGTAGATCCTGAGGTCTCCGGACGCTGCAGATCAAAACACATGTTGCTGAAACCGTCTGACTTGGGCACACTTGACATCACGTTATGGCTGCTGAGCCGCAGGTAATCTCTGACAGATTTTTCTTGCACGGTGGATGAGGAGTGAATATGTGTGCAGATGCTGTACGAGATTGCCAACATGCTGGCGCCAAAGGAGATGCAACCCCAGAAGGCACCTGCACCTCCAGCCAAGCCCCTGTGCGTGATCACTGGCCGCCCCGCCAAGTACAGGTCTGGGCAACACCTCTGCGGTCATCTCCTTCTTCCTGCTATCACTGGTCCACAGTGCCGTAATGCTGCATGCACGTACCTTCTATGGAGGCATGCAACTTAAATTGTCAGGGGCATGTCCACTGTGGATCTAGCGTTCCACTGTTACAGCTGTGTGTGATGATGGGGCACTGCCTGTTCACTGCGGATCCGATTCTCCATCATCACAGTACTGTGTGATGGTTGGACGCTGCGTGCAGAGATCCGGAAACGGGCATGCCGTACGCGGACGCTGAGGCTTTCAGGGAGCTGCGGCGGCGCACCTCAGAGGGCCGGCCACTGCACTCCAAGCGCACGCAACGGCGGCGAGTCGGCACAGGTACTGTTTCACTCCTGGATGGACCTTTGTTGGGTTGACCTTCAGGGTGTGAGGATTTGTATATCAATGTAAGCTGAGCAGTCCTAGTGTACGACAGCCTCGGGCATCTACCGAGGCTCGCCGAAGTGGCGGACTGCAAGATAGACTGGGATCAATGGAACAGCAGCTGTAGCTTACCCGTCTGCAATCCTGCATTTCTCTGGTCCCCACAGCCCATAATCGTGCCTCCAATAGCACCCCATGTGCCTCCTGGATGTCTATTCTTTGGGACCTGCAATCTTACATGAGCGACTGAAGGTACGTTGAGTCTCGGAGCTTCAGGATGTTGTGATTGCACGAGCAGGTGGCTGGGCCCACGTTGCGAGCACACTGCGCGAGGATTTCCCACACAATGTTATGCAGCACTCAGCTGCCCCAGACGCCGCCACGGCTGCTGCGCCCAACGTAAGCTTCAGCGCACCTGCCCCTCACCCGCCCGCAGCTGCTCCCCAGCCGCCGGCAGCTGCCATGACCGCACCTCATCACCAGGCGCTCTCCCAACCTGCAGCTGCAGCCTTTCCCTCCTCTCACTCAGCGCCGGGCGCAGTGCCCTCCCTGCCTCTGCCACAGCCGCATGCGCCGCAGCAGCCAGCTCTTCTGCAGCCTCCTTCAGTCTCGCAAGCGCAGCCGAACTTCAGCACTCCACCTGCTGCCGCATTGGGCCAGGGCACGTTGAGTGGGAATTTGCCGCCCGGTGCGGCACCCACCGAACATACAAGCGGCAGCTTGCAGCCTATAGACGTGCAGGGCGGTGCACTACTGCCGGGCAGCGCTGCAGACCTGCCCAGCAAAGATGAGCTGCCCAGCAAAGATGAGCGGGTGATGTAAATAGCGGCAATGTGCTGAGACAGGTCACAGGTTCGTTGCAGGCTGTAGTGCAAGAGCTCTTTGCCTCGCGCTCTGATGCAGCTGGGGTGCAGCAGGAGGCTGTACCGCAGTCTGTGCCGCCAGAATGGATGGCCCAGGTAGTGCGCTCTGGCGCTCGAATTGTCTTGTAACATATGTTGTAATCTCCTTGTACACTGATTGATGGGGCGTCATCCATGCTTGAACGAAGGTGGTTGGGTTTCAATTGCTTTGTGAGGCAATCAAGACCTCAAAATAACTCACCATAGCGTGAAGAATATTACCGTATTACATACGGCTGTTCTCAGACGTATTAGAAGCAATGCATGATGTTGCACGTGTAGCATTATATGGACACACCAGTACTGCGTTTCCATTGAAACACATGTACTGTGATGGTTTGTGATGTGCTGTAAGTCAGAGCAACTTAACAAAGAGAAGAAATATGTTGAGTGGAGACTGATGCTGGGCACCGAGAAATTGTAAATCTGGACGTTTTATAAAGGAGTGCAAATGCATGCTGGTGAGCATGTTAGGCACTTTTATGAAAGAGGCTTTGCAAACGCAAATTTTGGCATCAGCGATCACGGCAACTTATTTACAGGACACTTGCCAACTTCCAAATGGCGGCTGCCATCGCGTATCAGGCAAAGTTGACTAGGTTCATTTTTGGGCACACCAGCTCGAGCGCAAGTACCAAAGTTTTAAGGCTAAAGCATGTTCCACAGAGCTTCAGGCTCAGAATTTAATTGCAGCTGCAGCACTCATGACATGTTCAACAAGGCTTGGGGTCCTACCCAATTATCTACAGGCCAGAAAGGCATCAGAACATTCCTCTCTGCATGCGCATCATAAGAGTCATCCACAAGCCCTGTCTTGGCACTCTTGCAGCCTGAAATGTTCTGAGCCATCAGGCTATTTCACAAATAGCAATTCAGCAATTCACATGAGAAGTCTATCGCTCCATTCAGCACAGCACTAGTCCAGTGTCAAGAGTCACACATCCGCTACCTATGTGGGTCTGCATATATGCATATGTATGCATGCAGCAACAAGTGTCGCGCACAGGTCAAAAGCAGACGAACTCACACCGGACAAAATGTGCAGATCACAAAGCATAGTAGAGCTCTCACACAAATGAAGCTTGATTTGAAAAGGTACACAAAATATCTACACATCATCTACAGCACCCTCTCAGAACTCTCACCGGCTGTGGCTGGGCCGGCACCTGCTCTCAAGAGTCAGCTCGGCCTATCTGAACCACAAGGGAGATATCATCCTAAGAGTCGTGCGGGCTATTCCATTTTTCACCTGCAATCCCATCTGCGTGCAAAAGCCTCAACAGCTCCCATGATGCAAGACTGCTGCGCACAGAAAAATGCCGAGGCAGCAGCGCAGTGCATGTTCAGAAGCAGGGCATGAACATCGCATTTGTTTTCTCACACCCTCCTCCTCTAGCGGTCAAGGAATTGCGTGTCCAGATCGGCGCAGCATGATCTCGAGCCCCGGTCTCGGCATGCACAGCGTGTGTGCTTCGCCAACCAAAAATTTTTCAGAAAAAGAAGGCCTGATCCTCGCTATAATTGTCAACACATCTGCATGCAGCCTGAAGATTGCTAGAGACGTGTTCCACATTTGCATGCAGCCATATCACGAAGCAGCAGAGCTTCATTCAGCTTCCAAGGGGATCTTCTCATCGTAGCCCTTGACGCGGATGCCGCCGCGGTCCCCGACCTTCACGGTGCCGTAGAGCTCTGCGTAGCACTGCGGCAGCGGCCTCTCCACCGGCGGCGCCACCCACAGCCTCAGCAGGTGCCGCTTCCTGTCCTGCTCCTGCAGCAATGCACCCCAAGCATGCAGTGAGCTCAGCCTGCGGTTACCACCTTCAGAGCTGCTTGCAGTTTTCACCGCTGTGGCCCCTTTCCTGTACTTTGCCCATGGCAAGAGCACCCGCCCACGGCATGGCACATGTCTTTTCAAAGATTCGGAGGGAACCACAGTGAACACACCCTCCGCATTTGCACCTTTCCCTCGGCACTTCTCTGGCGCCTTCTGCACGCCTCGATACTGCTAATTCTCAGTGTGGAACCACGTGTTACAGCAGGCTTCAGTGTCCTCCAATCCGAGGTATCATCGTGGTGCATGCTGGTGAAAGCTTTCCCAGCGACTCACCAGTGGTTGACAGAGGCACGAAAACATCTCAGCAAGAGGCTCACCGCTTAATTGATAGAAGCATGAATACTTTCTCAGTGAGAGGCTCACCGGGTAGTCGACAAAGGCGGAGCGGTAGTGCAGGCAGGTGTGGTTGTTGAGCAGCTGGTTGTTGATCATCTCCAGGCGCAGCTCGCGCGAGGCCGCCAGCTCATTGAACAGCGCCATCGCCTCGTAGTGCGCCGGCGTCAGCCGCGGCACCTCCTCGAATCGCTGACTCAGCAGGTAGTAATTGTCCGAGTAATTCACGCTCAGGTAGCCCTGTGCGAACCATGCAGCGCTCAGTTAGCGCCTTTTGATCGCCTGAGTACTTCAAGCAGGGAGCCATGTGGGCACCTAGTACTGATTAAGGGCCCAAAGGACCTTGCCTCAGCATGGAACTACCGTTCATGGCTATTAAATGCATCACTTCCCGCATGCAACAGTGGCACAACTAGGCGAGGTCTCAATGAACTCGGTGGAATCCTCCAATAGGACAGAAACCGAGACATGCCTGATGCCAAGGTGGCCATATGTGGTGAGACTCAATGAATTTGATGAGCATGATCCATCACCACAAACAGCTGCACTTGCATGAGAACACACGAATAAAACGTCAAGTGAAGGCTGGACAGATACCTCGTGGTAGTTGAAGACTGGCAGCTCGAAATAGCCCTTCTTGCCCTCTGGCACCTCCCCCTTGCGGTCCATGAACCAGGGTCCCGCCAGCAGCCGCGCCAGATCCGGCCGCCGCCGCACGATCTCGTTGTGCACGCTAATGCTGCTGCTCCAGCCGCTCAGGCCGCCCTCCTGTGCATTGCTCAGGCACAGCAGCGCTGCAGCACAGCAAGGATCAGTAAGGTCACCTCTGTCATCCAACTCAACCAGCTGCTCAGGAGTAAAGGTGCTGCAGTACAGCCACGCCTTGTCACAGTCTCCCCACTCAGTGTCACACGTCCGAGCCCCACTTACTGAGTATTGGGGAGCAGAGCATTCAGGCCTCCCACAAGCAGCGATGTGCGTACCACTAGTCTTTCTTACAGCGATTGCACAATACTCTGGTCAACTACTCCACCCCCCAGAAACAGCGAAAGTATCAGCACCTTTCCAGCAAACACGCTTCTTGCATTTCAGGCATATCAAGGTGCAGGTCTAGCCCTCCTGAGAGTCTAGATGAGGCAGTTGTGACTGGGGGCACTAGAGGGCAGGAGCACTCACCGACTTGGTCGCTGGAGTCGTTGTGCCAGGGCTGCGCTGCGTGGGTGGCGTAGAGGCGGGTGGTGGGCTGGGAGGGGTCGTAGCCGATGTCCTTGATGTGGCCTATGAGGTGCCCCTTCTTGTTGTTGCTCTGCGCCTTGCCCCAGTACGTGCCGATCGCCCAGTAGGCCGCCATCGTCTGCTCCCGGCTGTACTTTCCCACAGGCAGCCCCCTGCAGTGAACAATATCCAAACGACATCAGCCCTGCGCTGTATCTTGCTCATCTGTCCTGCGCTGTGATGCAGCGCTGGGAGGCCAGAGACACGACAGTCTTTGTCCCAACAGGGCTGCATTTCCTTTGTAGGAATCAATCTGATGCAGCGCTGGGATGCACCGGTGTACCATTATGGCTGCATCCACGTGTACAAATTATATTGATGCAGCGCTGGAGGCCAGCTTCATGACAGCGTTTCTCTCAACATGGCTGCGCTCTTGTATGTGCACGGATCGCCCTTCAGAGAGCAGCTCACTGACTCTCACCTGAACAGCTGGAAACCGCGGCCCGTCCTGACCTCTTCCCTGAACGCCACCAGTTTTGGGCCTAGCGTCGGCAGCGGGAAGTCTTCCCTTGCCAGGTCCTGCAATTTCAGTCCATTTGAATTTCAGAACGCCATCCCTCTCACCACCATGGGTTGTCTGATCTTCTTGTCACGATGTCTCAATGCACTGATACCATGATATCACATGCAGCGGCCTGGTCAGATGTAGCCGACAGGACAGGAAGATTTACAGCACCTTGATGTCTTTGCCTTATTGGAGGGCTGCTGCCACCGCAGCTTCAAGCTCCGCCAAATCAGCCGCTGAGAAGTGGTAGATGTAGTCATCTGTGTTGGTGTAGTCAGCGGCGGTCCATGCCTCGGGGCCCTCCACAACTGTGAAGGGGACCACATTACCCATCCTGCAGGGAGACACACAGTGTGTGTTATGAGTCTAATAGAGTGCCACGATGTATCACCGCTCAAAAATGCTCCACGTAGTCAACCCCCGGTGTGAAGAGCGCGCATTCTAGGCAGAAGCATGCAGCAGAAGAAAAGCATGGGTGCGAGGGGAAGGCAGGCCTATGCTGCCCTTCTAGAAATTATGGAGTCGCTCCCTTGGGGCCTCACCTGGTGGTCAGAGGCGCTGGGGCAGCCTTCTGGAAGGGATGGACCTTCAAGGTATTCCTGCAGGCGAATGGCATAAAAGTTGAGGCGTGCTCGGATTTCCCATTCGGCTGCACTGAAAGCAAAAAAGACACATCCAAGAATAGTGGCGTAATGCTAGGATACTTCGAGGCCAGCCCATGCCGGCAACAGGTTTGCTTCACGTCACTACGACAGCAGTTCTGGAGAGACGTACGTTGTGATCGTCGCGGTGGCTGTCGCCACTGGTCCATTATTTAGGAAAGCCGGAGGCGCCATGGATCAAAGCGTGCAAGAATCCCTGAGCTGAGTCGCTGGCGGCAGCTACGGCGTTTCAGACCTGCATCAAAGCAGTCTCAGGGTGGACAACTCCCCTAAATGGAGCAGATGTTACGAAACAATCAAACTGCGCTCCACGAGTCGCGCAAGGGACAGACGATGCTCCCAAACCACACCAGGGGAAGACCAAAAAACAGGCTGACGGGGTAGGAATGTCCACGCAAGCAGAAGTCAACTTGCAAAATCGTCCCCTCTGAGCAGCCCACCCATTGACCGCATGTTCAAAGAGCACAAACGGGTCTTTCTGATAGAAGAGGCCAGTCAAATTGACCGGGCGTTGCGCCGGGCCGAGACCTTGTGCTGAACAAAACACGTGCGCTCCCTCCTATCGTTGCTTTCGCTTGCATCAGAATCCTTCGCCTCCGCAGGGCCGCCCCTAACTACAGAAGCAATCACTTTGATGCAGATGTGCTCGTCAAAAGACGCTTGACTTGGGAGGGAAGGCAAACCTGTTGCCCGGTCGCCGCACGAGGATGTATCTTCAACCTGTCCGTATCCGACGCCACTGAGCTCCAAGATCAGCACTCTGCAATTGATAAGGGTTTAAGGGCGAGTTTAAGTGAGTTACAACAGTCGAATGACGTGAACGCGATTGTCGCGGAAGTTTCTTTGGATAAACACGTTATGCCCTCACGAGGGATTTTGTGGTGGCATCGTGCCGGCACGAGCCTCCGAAGGATCTTCCAGATGTTGTCTCCCTGGGGAGGGCCGCAAGAACAAGGGTTTTCGTGGTAGGGTGCCGACACAAGCTGCTGCTCTCACAACAATTTACAATGTTGTGCTGGCCCATCCTTGAATAAATTCGATCGATGATGATGTTCAGCTCGAGAGAAGTTGACATTAGTATTTATTTGTTGTTTTAGCTCTTCCAGAGGTTGCGTGTTTTTACACAGTACTTTTTTCAGGCTTCCAGCAGAAGTTCGAGTAGATGTGGCCATGCCTTAATGTAACTTCTCAAGTATTGCTGCGCATTTGCAAGTCGCAAGATGCCGCCATTCGGCAGGCCCTCCTCAGCAGAAACCAGTTTACTAGTCTCACTTCTCTAGCCAGACTCGGCAGCACCGCTCATTCGATGCCTTTCCGACATCTCAGCGTTGGTGCAAGTCGCTGCAGTGTATCAGCTTCAGCTTTGAGAACATCAGATGCCTCGGTAGTACCCACGAGCCTTGGCGCACAGCTGAGGAATGATGAGACAGTGGTAGCGCGCCAAAGCGCAGCCAGAATGCACACATCCTGCATGTCGGCCAGTGCCCAACAGTTGGCAGCTAGCACCAGTCAATCCCTCAAGAGACAGTCAGCATCGGTCGACCAGGACTGGCCTGTGCAAGAGAGTGGCAGGATCTATGATGGCTATACTGTAGAGCTGGCGCCAGGGGCCGCCTTAGAGGGGGGCGACCCTATTTTTCTGAGCATAGACGAGGATGCAGTCCTCGAAGAAGCCGCAGAGGCGCTCCAAGAGGAAGAGCAGAGAATGGCCAAGAGGAGAGGGAAGAGGTCAGTCGCGAACGGCAGCGTTGTAGGCTCCTCTGCATTAGCTCAGGAGCAGATTCCAATGCAGCAGGGCAGGCGGGCTTCAGGGGCGAGGCCCCAGCGGGAAGGGCGGCTGAGTGTAGGCGATGAGGTGGACCTTATTTGCCAGAGCCTGGCATTCGGCGGCCAGGTTGCTTCACTTGCACATCCCCTCAGGCTTCTATGCTCGCTTCATATGTGCACAATGCATACCTGAGAATGCAAGAAGTGATCCCCACAATCCCCCAAACCGCAATACCTGCCTTCTCGTGTCCCCCAGTGGGTGCATTGCGCGGGTGCACAACAGAGAGGGATGTGAAGCATATCCTCTTCCTGACTACTGTATCACAGTCGCTGCATTGACTGGCGCCCAATACAGAGAAACTCCACTATCTTGACAGGCATCTTGTGTCGTGTCCAGGGCGTGTGCAAGCTGCCGGAGGGGTACACGATCTTCTGCGACCGTGCACTGCCGGGGGAGCACCTGCGCGCGCGCATCACGGCTGTCAAGAAGACGCACGCCAGCGCGGTCAAGGTGGCGTCCATGCAGCAGCACTCGCATGCCGTGGAGGCCCCCTGCAAACACTACAGCGAGGGCTGCGGCGGCTGCTCCGTGCAGAACCTGGCCTACAGCGCGCAGCTTGCAGCCAAGGAGCAGCAGGTACTGTAGGCAATCTTACATGGACACCATGAGGGATTGAGCCTTGTTTTGAGGGTTGTGAGCCTTTGGTGGGCCTTTTTGTGCTTTGTGGGACACAGTTTGTTATGAGCTTGGTGAGCCTTGTGGGAGCTTTCCTGGATTTCTGTTATCTATTCAGGCTTTTTAAGGGAGGCCACTGCGCAGGTGCAGGATAGCAAAGCCTCTGATAGATCTGAGCTGCAGTGTGTCAGTGGGAGTGTCATGTGCACAGGTGGTGGACGCTCTTGGGCGCATAGGCAAAGTGGAGGGGGCCCGAGCGCTGGTGAAGCCCATCCTGCCATGCGCAAAGCCCTTCCGGTACAGGAACAAGATGGGTTTCAGCTTTGCGCAGGATGTGCCGCAGTTGCCGAGGGCTGCCGGCTTTGGCCTGCGCCACATCAGCAACCCAAAGGAGGTACCAATACTTTCCTTCACAGTGTCCTTCTGCTTTGTGCTGGCATGCAAGTTTTTTCTGTGGTAATTATTTGGAGTTCTGATTGATTGTACTCAGTTCCTTTTTTCACGTGAATGCGTGCTGTGCGTTTTTCTTGAGGAATAAATGAGCATGGAAGAGTGAGCATTGAAACACGATGTTGAGAGTCAGAGAGGAAACTCACAAATGCACTGTTCTGTGCAGGTGCTGCCGGTCTGGGATTGCTGGCTGCAGGATGAGGGAGCTAACAGGATCCTGCAGGTCCTCACAACCGCCGTGCAGACCAAGAGGGACTCCCAGGAGCTGCCCATGCTCCAACCCTGGACAAAGGTATGCATTTTGGTGCTTTAGAGCATCCTCATGATGTGGGGTGTACATAATATTCACCTGACTGCATAGCAGAGGCCTGCTGGGAGCCTCCCGATGCTCACTGGATTTATGGTCAGTCAATCACTGTCTGACTTAGTATCACAAATTTCTCATGTATCTGCACCCTGCCGACAATTTGGCAATTTGTTGCAAAGTAATTATCTAGGAGGAGAGTGGCAAGCGGTTTGTTGCTGCTGCAGATAAAGGTGTTCCAGCCTACGGTGAGCAAGGTGACCATTCGCAGTGGGCTGAATCCCGACACAGGCAACCGTGCCTACTTGGTCATCCTGCATACAGCTGGGGAAGTTACGCCCCGCACACTGCCTGACGAGGAACTCCTTGAAGAAGCAGGTGCGTTCCTTGAGCCAGTGCCGATCACTTTTGCGCTGCATTCCTGAAGCGTGGAGGCTCGCATCCTAGGAAGAACATTGGAGGCTGAACTTCGTACTGTCTGAGCGTGTCTTGTCACACAGCCTTGACACTGCTCTGTCAACAAAGATACATATGAGGCTTTGCCTCTCAGTGAGAAGCTGTGTGGGTGTGGCAGCCATGAGGCCTGTCAGTAAGAGGCTGTGTGGGTGTGGCAGCCATGAGGCGAAGGGAGGGACTGCCTCTGGAGAAGGAGCATCTGCTAAAACTGCGGAGGAAGCGCCCCAAAGCTCTCATACCTATCGTTGACCACCTGCGCCGCGAGGTGCCAGAGATTGCTGGCATCCTGCAATACACAGGTCTGTGTCTGCTGCTGCATGTTGTCTTAACCTGTATACATCTTGCTCCCCATACATGCATCATCCTTGCAATTCACCAAGTTCGCTGCTCTGAGTTTTGCACGGTCCTGAATCAATCGGGCAGTGACATCGGCCTTTTGCTATGCACCAAAGGGATGTTCTTGTTAGGGGTGCACACCATCTCTGGCATGGAGAAGGTGCCCATTCACCTCTTGCAGGAACAGCCTCCAAGGAAAGAATTCCTTCAAAGGATGGGTTAGATTATCACTTCTTCTGCCTCTGTACCTACTGGGCAGACGTCCTTACCAGCTCTTGTGATGCAGAGTCGCGGAGGGGGAGAAAGGCTGAGGACTCTGCGGATGGCCTTGCACTTATTTCTGGCAAGGACAGAATCATGGAGAGGCTATGTGGGCTGGAGTTTGCCATCACCCCGCTCTCCTTCTTCCAGACCAATCCCAAGCAGACAGAGACCCTTTACAAGGCCGTAGCAGATGCAGCAGGTGGGTACCCCGTCACAGGTACTCTTAGCTGCATTTGCAAGTTTTTCTAGTGTTTCACAAGAATAGCATGTCATAATTACTGGCATACCGTGTATATGATTGGTGTTGGAGGCAGTGCTTATGTCCTGCCTTGATCCTGTATCCTGCTTGCCTCTCCCAAGCTTGTGTGTTCTGTGTGCCCTCCCTTTGTCGATCGGTACCAGGGGACTCCATATTAGTCGACTTAGTTGGTGTCGAGTCACTTGGTGATACGAATCTTGGTGGAGGGGCCGGCTTTCCGGGAGAAGGTTGTTGGCCACGGCTGAGGAAGATTATGGTGGCCAGGGTTGAGTGGATCAGAGGTGCTGCTGGACCTCTACTCTGGCACTGGCACGATCGCGCTGTGCCTGGCGAGGAAGTGCAGCAAAGTGTTTGGAGTGGAGTCCAACCAGCACGCGGTGGATGATGCCATGGAGAACGCACGCCACAACCGCGTCACCAATGCCACATTCCTGCAGGCTGACCTGTCCAAGCCCAGTGACGTGGCCCACGTTGCCGAGCGGGTCCCCCAACCCGACGTCGTTGTTGCTGGTGACTCACTCTTGCACCTTACGCACTTTGCATGTGTGGGTGCCCACGCATGTGCCCACGCATGTGCATGCAATCCTGAACCTTTCTTTGACGCCACTTGTCATTGTGTATGCCTGATCAAACTGCATTGTCAGATGATTAATGCTCCTGGAAGTGCTTTCCAAGACTGCAGTCACCATGAGGCTGTGTGAGCAGGTGGAGATGAGTTGATGCTGAGTTCTTCTGTGCATGCGCAGATCCAGCAAGGGCGGGGCTGGGGAAACCTGTGATAGAGTACCTGATGGGCTGTGGGGCGAGCACTCTGGTGTATGTGTCTTGCAACCCAGCCACCCAGGCGCGGGACATCCAGCTGCTGACAGACACGGCTGCGCCGAACAGCTTCTGTCTGGAGAGCGTGCAGCCCGTTGACATGTTTCCCCACACCGAGCACATTGAGAGCGTGGTAATGCTGCGGCGTGCTTCTAGTGCAGGGCAGGTGCCAGAGCATTGAAGGTTTTTTTGTAGGTTTGGTCCTTTGGCAGGTCTGACCTAGGTCTTGCTGTGCCAGATCATGCAAGTCATAATGAAATTCTGAAAGCTAAGCTGACTGAAGAGTAATAACAATGCTTGTTGAAATGAGCCTTTTGCAATGCATTTGGGATCAGTGCATGATTGTGAGGCCAACGACAAGCTGCGGAACCTTATATGGGGGGTACAATTCTCTGATCAGCGACAAGAACGTGAGGATTTGCGTCTGCAGAGAAGTTGCGTGTAAAGGCTTCTATAAATCCTATCCCTTGATGGACTCGCCAGATCCATGCAAGCCCCAATCAATCATGGGCATGGCGCTGATCAGTACATGCCCCTCCAGCCGGGGCCAATACTGATTTCAAACAAGCTTAAGCTTTATGCTATACTACACTCAGTGGGCCACTACTACAGTATGTGCACACATGCGCATGTGCAGAAGACTGTCCTGTGCAAGGGAAAGATTGGAGATGATACAAGACAAAACTCATCGGAGAGTAAGTCTCACAGGGGACTCTAAACTAACTAAGTTAGTCTGAGTCTCACTTTGTGGGGGAAGCTGGACGAAACTGTACATAGTATGTAATTTACCGACCCCACTGCATGCCATGAAATGTTGCACACTCCGATGTTGGCATCGATGTGTTCTTGTACAGTACTGTACTGACTTCAAAATAAGCAGATGTTGACATCAAGTGGACCATGCGAGAAAGCGTAAAGCCGATATAGGATGCGTTGTCGTTTAAGGCAATGCAATGCCATTCTCCCTCCTTACTGTGCTCATTCACGTCATTGATCTTGTAGAAAGTGCTGCACACCACATACTTAAACACTTCAATTGTTGAAGTGCCGGCTAAGCGACTGCGCAGGGCCCAAAGTCGGTAGTTGCGGCATACAATAAACAAGATGGCCAGCGACAGACTTTCAGCCCTGCTGAATGACCTCAGCGATTGTCTTATGGCAGCCAGTGATTCCAGCAACAGCCCTCACGGCAGTGAGCTGCAGCTAAGCACAAGGATGCGCACCGTCCTTGTGTCACTGCTTGGTGAATGTATCGAAGTGAAAACAGGTAGACAGCATACTCCGTCTCTTCTCTGTGCTCGCTTAATTCATCATGTGAACTGATGAACTGAGTGACTGTCTGATTCTGCAGTGAAAGAGAAGGACCTGAAGGTCCTCTTGAACCTTGTCAACCTGGCCCTGCAGCGCATCCCAAAGATGGTCAGAGACGACCGCGGTGCAACTGTACTCACGATTTTCAGCCAGATCGTTCCCCTTCTGGCTGAGGAAAGGCTACAGTAAGCCCATTCTATTTGGCGATCCGCTTTTCGCAGGTGGTAGTATGTTGTGACACAGTACTGACAACAGTTGTGTTTTTGAAATGCAGCAACTTGCACAGCTATCTCTTGAACACCGTCACATCGCTCATGGTCACCCTCGCCTCTGCAAATCCTGATGCCTATCGCCAGCTGTGCTCAGGAATGGGGGAGCTTGTCACAGGTGAGACTGGCTGACTGCATGAGCCTTGAGACCTGAGCCGACTTTGTTGTGATCGCATGATTCAGCCACGCCTAGAGTGCTGCAGTCGATGTATTAGCAATTGCAGCTGGGCAGCATTTGGACAGCAAGAGGCCTCTTGTGTAATGCAGATCTTCGAGACCTGCTGCGCTTCATGTGCCAGCCTGGCGCGCTGCCACCAGGAGTCTCAGCCACAGTACAGTGCTTCTCTGGCGTGCAAGCAGGGCTTGTCTCCCCCGCAGAGCCTCCAGAACAGAACCAAGCATCCCAGCGCTCAGTGCAGCTGCCGGCCGGGGCTGCGCATACTTCTGCAGCGGCCACCATTGCGCTGTCGTCCATTTCGCAGTGCAAGACATTCCTGTGCAATGCCCTGGAGCTGTTTGCGCACGTGATGACGGAGACTCCCGCCACGTTTGCTGCAACTGTCCCACCAGATGCCATCCTTGCTGTCGTGGACTTGCTGGCTCATGCAGGGTTCTCGGTGCGCCCCATTGCCACCAGAAGAGGCTCATCTCTTCTGCATTTGTTATTTTCTGGCTGTCAGTTGTCGACAGGAAATTTGATGTTCTGATTCTGCGCAGGTGCAAGTGGCAGCAGCACATGCAGCAATGCTGATGCTTAGCGCCATCCCAGCAGAGCGCTTGCCTTTGGCACAGATCCTGGAGAGCGCACTCATTGCGCTGAAGGCCTGGGCTGGAGCGTATGGCTGCTTCACGGACCACGCACTTTTCCCACTCTGGTCGCAGTACATGCTGGCAATTTTAGGGTTGCTTCAGGGCACCTCCAGGGAACTTGGCCTTTCCAGCATGACGTGTCTCAAGGTTTCCAAGGTGCGGCCTCACCAATTTACTTATCACTGACATCTTGTACTGTTTGTTGTTGGGCTTTCAGTGCATGTGCACCCTAACTTTGAAGTGACGTGCACGCATGCTGCATGCAGGTTCTGCCAGAGATCGTTCTCAAGTGCCCGAGCGGGCTCAGCTTCAGAACACAGCTGTGTCAGCTGCTTTTGAACATAATCCAGGACCAGACGGAGCTCGCAGGCAGTGCTTTGCCACTGCTGCCGCTTTTGGGGCTTGGAGATGAGCTGGCGCGAAGTCTCTGTGCAGGCTTGCGAAGCATCCTGGAGCTCTGTGACCCTCAGGACCTTGAAAGAATATTCAAAGAGAGCTGGACCTCAGCAGAGCAGGTACGCTCTGACAGGCAGAACGGTACTCCTTGCTTGCATGTGTCATATAATGTATACCTCTGATATTCCAAGTAATGCAGGTGAGTCAGGGGGCAGCCGAGGGAGATGCACCTGAGGAAAGGGTTGCAAAGCGCCGCCGAACACGTGACAGAGGGGAGGCCGCTGCGAGAGCTGCACAGGAGCTGCCCTCATCGCAGATACCCACGCAGCCCATGAGTTCATGGGAGCCTGGCATGGGTCTTGGCAGCTTTGCAGCTTCAGGCCCTCAAAGAGATGCTATCACTGCTGTAGTAGCCAAGGCTGCAGTCCTTGCCGCGGCTGTCAGCCCATTGAGTATGCTTCTTACCCTGATACCCACATGCACTCGTTGTATTTCATACAAAATTGACTTGCAGGGCATAATACTGCTCCAGGTGCATAGCATCTAAATACAACGTTCTTGGCCCTGATCATAAACTTTGCATGCCTATTCAGGCAGCAGTGCCGTGAGCAGCAAGGAGCGGTTGCAGATCTTGACTGGCCTCTTCTACATCTTGGGGTGGGCGTCACCGAGCTTGCGCCAGCTCCAAACACAGGCATTGCAGGAATGGCTGGCTTCCGAGCCTGTGGCTGCAGCTGCCGAGAACGTGCCGCACATGGAAGCCCATGTGCTCATCCTAGGTGGGGGTTTGCCCTCCACATGCAGAGCTGTTGTTTTTGCCCGTCATTGTCACCTAGCAAAGATCAGACACGACATCTTTAACAAACCAAACCGAATCTCACAATTGGTTGGACACCTCACGTGAAGGCAGCTCTTGTCTGTCTGTTTGCGCAGACTCCCTGGATGCCTGCTTTGCATCCCAGACTGCTGCTCTCTTGGCAACTCCGGCATCTGCCACAAGCGAAGAAGTCAGAGCAGTCTGGCAGCGCGCCCCCTGGACAAAAGAAACCGCCAAAGGAGTCACTGCAAGGCCCTGGACAGCCACAGGCAGACTCTTACAGCCAGAGCACCTGCAGCACGCCAAGCTGGCGGCCCTGAGAGTGCAGCTTGCTCTGTCAGCCTACCACCTCGTTGAAGGCGACAGGACTCTGCCCTTTGCAAAAGGTACCACTGCTGCAACAGCATTTTTGCTTTATTGCTTTGAGTTGACTTGACCTTATGTGGCCTGAAAGCGAGTTGTGCATGCTCCAGGCACTGCTATGACCAGGGGATTGGAGGATACAGACGAAGCTGTGCGTGCATGCGCTGCCTGTCTCATTCCAGCATTCATTGCCGTATCAACACGCAGCCAAGCCAAGGTGGTGTCTGCTGCTGTCTCAGCCCTGGACGCCCTGAAAGGTGAGCCAGACCCCTCAACACTACATGCTCTTTGCATATAAAATGCCAATGCATTTACTAGAATTGGAAATTCTAGAGACGACATCGCTCAAATTGATGCCAATGCAGCAAGTTTGTGTGACTGCTGCAGATGACTCCAGCAAGGCAGTGCGGCAGGAGGCAGCAAAAGCGGTGGGCACCCTTGTTAACATGCAGAAGCTTCATGCACAGCCGCTCCATATTCTTGGGGTGGCATGCTCAAGCGCAGAGGAGTGTGTGAAGGGAGGCTCGAGCCTATGGCACTGGCTAAAATCGGCCCATGTGACGCCCAGAGACATCCAGCACACTGATGTTGTCATGGGTTTGGAGCAAGTGCAGTCTTTGACAAGCGCCTTTCTGATCAACGAGTCAGATGAAGATGTCCAGGTATTTATCTGTAGAAAGCTGATAACGTGACCCTCATGTACCGCACATGTGACAGTGCCACTCTCTGTTATCTGCAAGCTGGTGCCTCCAATGAAATGCCCTCGGATGAATCATGGCCTGTTTGCTTCAGGTGGAAGGGCTGCTCTCGGTCCTGTCTTGGCTTGAGCATGCTAGACAGCACATCTTGGCTGGCAGCAAGGCGCTGATCATGCAGGTGCGACATGTTGGTCAATCGCTTCTCTAATTTCAAGTTAACACATATTTGTCTGTGATTGTGGTGTGTGCGATTGGCCTGGCAGATTTTGGCCTTCTGCAGCCACAAGTCACTTTCTGTGCGGGCTGCTCTGGTCGCCAGCAGCAGTGTCTTCACAAGACCAGATGTCCTTCTGGAAGCCTTTTCAGGCGCTGACACCCAATCAGATGCAAAGGATGGCAAGCAGCTGCGGAGTGCTGAACTGAGGCTCCTGCAGGTAATTATCTGTCTCTCTTGATTCGACTTAAAGCCTCAGGTTTG